CCCCTCATTCCTCAGTTATCCGCTCTCCTTTCTTCTCGCCCCTCCCCCGTGGCATACGGCATTCGCCACGCCATGTCTCCTTACGCTGTGAAGAAATCACGTTGCTGACGAGAAGTCCACGGCGACTAGGCGTTGCCCCCAACTCAAAGTCCTCCGGCAGCTGGGACAGCATACACGTGTTCGAGGTGCAGGACAAGGCGCGGGTGTCCCACTACAAGCTGACGAGCACGGTGATCCTGAGCCTGGGCAGCGAGACGGACGCCTTGGGCAGCATGGACTTGAGCGGCAACATGGTACGCCAGGTCGAGCAGGACATGCCCGTGGAGGACGACAACAGCCATGTGGCAAACATTGGCAGGCTGGTCGAGGATATGGAGCTCAAGATGCGCAATCTTCTGCGTAAGTGTCCATCTTCCTCACTTTGAGATGTGTGCTTCACAGTCACTGAAGACTGACGTTCTTTTAGAGGAAGTCTACTTTGGCAAGGCGAAGGATGTGGTGGGTGATTTGAGGAGCATACAGCCGCTAAGCGAGGCGCAACGAGACCGTAACGCGCATCAGGAAATGATCAATAGCATGGGTGGAGCGAGCATTCGGTGATTTGAAGAGGCAAAAAAAACCCCCCAGATGCAGCGTGTAGCGTTAGGGCAAATATGTAAGGTCGTTGCAGCGGTCTGATGTTCGCGATATGCTGTATTGTCCTGCTTACAAGCTATAGCCGGGACGCTGGATTTAGCCTGACATTGCGGCCGAAACTTGATTGTCCGAGCCACGAAGTATATGCGAGATATAGAAAACAAAATCAAATAAAAACATCCAGACGACGACTCAAGACACACAAAAAAAATGCTTTTTTTTTCAGATTGATTTGCTAACTATCCATGCTAGCAACAGTGGGAATGCAAACTATGGCCTAGCGCAAACCCAAGAGGCTCAAACTCGTCGGAAATGCGCCATGAATTAACCAATCAATCAAAAAGCAATTTAAACATTATCCATTCAACATGTGAGAATCCCGAAATACCTCCACAACACAACGAACTCACTGCGAACCCAGCTACAGCAGCGCGAAGGCGCCCAAGAAAAGGCCGGTGAGGCCACCTGTGACGCCGTACTGTGCGTAAGCCAATGAGTTGCCAGCATTTTTCGACGTGGACGAAGCGGCGCTGGCGGAACCCGATGCAGAAGTACCAGTCTGGGAAGCGGTAGCTGCGCAGGCACGTTAGCAAATTATTCAATACAAAAGGGGAAAGAATCAAAGCGGAAACCCTTCTGGTTTTTGGACGGAGATATTGACCGGGAGTCTGTCAACGCGTGTGTTTGCTGCGGCACGGTAGGACCTGGTCGAATACCAGCGTCTCCGGGTCGTGGGAACGGACGGGCAGGCTCCAGTGTCATGGTTTGCAGACCGATCGGGCGGACCGTTGCCCCTGGCACCTGAGCGCTTGGGGGCAACGGCATCCCAATCGCCACGCTGGAGCCGTTGGACATTACCGGAGGCAGTCCCAGACCACTGTTGCCGGTTGGAACGGCATTTGCTGACGTTACACCGGATACAGCTGTCGATATGTTCACAGACACGTGCGACGAAGCAAACACACGGGTGGGACGAGATTCAGTTGGCCGAGTCCAGCTCGACAGGTGGCCAGGTCTCACAGTCCAAGAAGCCGATGGTCCGATTTTGCATGGGGAAGACGGGTGTCCAGTGCACGGAGAGGGAGTCGTCGAGGTCCAAGAAGGGAAGGGCCTGCCGACGCAAGAGGACGATGGCTTTCCCGTACAAGCAGGTGGCAGCTCGAGAGTTCGAGTGCACGACCCGGTTGGGCTAGCGGGCATCGGCCCTTCTGTACCGGTAGGTAGATAGGTGAAGGGTTCCCCCATCGACAGGATGACGGTACCGTCGCAGTCTGGGTAATCAATCCGATCGAGCACATGTGTCGGATAAGGGTAGACTTCGACGGTGACCGTGTCCCAGGGTGGATCATATAGACAAGCGACATCTTCGCAGACGGGGACAAGAAAAGTTGCTGTGGCGAACGTACCGGAAGCCTCAGTAGCGGCGGCGGAGCCAGCGGCGGAGCCGGAGGCCTCCGCGGCAGCAGCGGTGGTAGAGACACCTGGCGGAACGGCCGTGGTGTAGCTGCCACCTGGAGCGGCGGTGCCGGACAGGATGATGTAGCTGGAGATGCAGCCATCACGGCACTTGGCGTAGGCCTCGCTGGCAGCAGCGGAGCCGTCACCCTGGTCGCACTGGGCGACGCACTGGGTGGTCGAGTTCATCTGAGCATCGCCTGGGTGGGGGACGCCGACGCAGATGGCCTGGCAGGTGACATCGCTGGGGGCGCAGGCGTTGAGGCAGCTCTGCTGGGGCGTCAAGGCCGTGGATGTGGTCGTCTGAGCCGCAGCGGCGGCAATGAAGAGTGCGAAAATGGCCTTCATTGTGGGTTCTTCTGTTGAACTTGAGATGGCAGGCGTGAGATAGTAGCGATACAAGCCGGGGTTGGACCGATGCTGGCACTGAGAAATGCTTAAAGAGAAGACGAGTCGAGAAGACGGGGCCGGGTAAACGAGCGACTTTTTATACGGCAAACAAACGAGCGTGAGGCAGCAGCAACCGAGCACCTAAGGGTGGGAAGGCGAGCAACGACGACGAAGACGAAGCAGGTTCGTTCTTGATGTTGTTGTTGTTGTTGTCGGGGTGTCGGTGGTGAACGGGAGAGAGATGCACGTCGAGAGTGAAAAGGGAAAGGGCCAAGTTATAATTACCACGGGACAGAAAGCAGTGGAAGCCGGGTGGAAAGAGAAAGTCTGGGGTAAGCCGCAGAAGCCTGTGATCATTATGAAATTAAAACCCTTGCCAATAATTGCACATCGTCGGTGCCCACCAGTGCGGCGGGTCATTTGCTCTTAGCAAAGCGATGAAGGAGACCACGCCACCGGCCAGCAGGGCCACCGCCGAGTCCAACGGGCGGTCGTCCTTAAACAACCGCTAGGCCTTGGCCCTTGGCCCTCCTTTTCATATCTCTCTCTCTCTCTCTCTCTCTCCCCTCCGTGTTTGTACGCGCGTGCGGCCTACCTTTTTCCGGCCGCCCGCTGTGAACGAGAATGTTTGGCATCGCGGGTCGAAGACAGGACAGCTCGCATTTTCACGCGGCGCGCTCTCGACTGGTTTTGCTGCCCGTCGGTGGCGCGCGTGGTGTGTCCTGTGGCAAAACGCCCTGCTCGTGGATTTCGCTGGTGGAGCCCGGCGGCAGCTGCTGGCAGGGGAACAGCGCGATGGGCCGCCGAGCGAATGCAGCATCCGCGTCCCCTAAATAAAGAAAATGCTTTTTTGTTGCAGGGTGAACAGTGGCATGCAACAATCGCGCTCTGGCATGTGGAGGCACGTACCGCCGTCTGAGAGGCCCGCCTCGCGCCTTCGCTCAAGAGCAGCGAGGATTGCTCCCGTCACCGGCCCACGACCCGGCACTGATCACTGGCACGGTCCTTTGCGCAAAGCATGTTCGCAGGCCCAGGTCTGGCACCGCACGCGTTGTTTCGCGATCACGAAATCGCGTCTTCCTACGGGATGGAGCGCCGACAGGCGTGCACAGGCAGAACCCCAGGCACCCATGCTTCACAGCCAGGAAAACGGGCGGTGGCTTAGCATGAGATTAGACACAAGATCCATCACAAGCAAACTCCCAATCGAGCACGCTCCTCGCTGCACGCACAAGAGACGAATTCAGACTTCGAAGCTTCGCACATCGAGACGCAGAAGCCCTCTCCTGATTGTGAATCTGCAGCGCTATCTACTTGTATCTGATCTAATGCTGAAGATGAGGCGCTGGCTTTCCCTCCTCCCACGCGTGCAAGGTTTCGTCGATGTTCACCCAGTACCGTAGCTTGACTGCCTCCTTGGCCGCCTCTGCAACGTCGTCCTTCTTGAAAGCCTCCTCCAGGACCTTGACACTGTCCGCGATCCTTACGTCGTTCTCCTCCTTGATCTTGCGGATCTCCTCCTCCGTCTCGGCCTCCTCGATCTGTTCTCGCAGCTCGAGCACCTCCATCAGCAGCGTCTGATCATCAGCGCCCTCGCCCAGTTTTGCCGCGTCATCCGTGGACGAGTTGTCGCCCTTGAGTGACAGCAGGTACTGCGCCCGCAGCAATGGAGATTGCAACGTCTTGTAGGCTTCGTTGATGCGCGAAGACAGCGCTTCGGCTGCGGCTTTGCGTTCGGGTGGGTGCCGGTCAGGGTGAGCCGCTGCCTGGAGCTTGAGGAATTCGTTTCGCAGTTGCTTCAGGTCCACGGAGAAAGAGCCAGAGGGAGGTGGACCATCAGGCAACGTCGACGGGAAAAAGTCGTAGTGCGTTCGAGCATTTGACGGAAGATCCGAACGTCGCTTCGTGTGCGAAAAATGCCGTCTGCTGCACGCCTGCGATCCAGCGCATCGAAGCGATGATGGCCAAACCACTGCTTGCGTTGGCGAGATGCGCGGTTGATGGCAAACCAACGACGTTGATGCGACTGTCCCCCGCGACTGTGCAGCCACGGCGGATCGCAAGTAGCGGAGGGTTTCTGGTGAAGTGCGCACGAGTGAGATCTTCTTCATCGTGCCAGATTAGAGCCTATAGAGATAGGACCTGGACGTTGACGAGCTGAAGAGTATGAATAATCCTGGAAACAACGTTCCTCGCAGCGTGACATCAGAGCTTCAGCTTTTTGCTTGGAGGGGGGAACAACTTCCGACTTCGGCTGATCCCTCTCCGAACAACGCGAAGCCGGCTATGAATCTGACGACATGCAACGTCAAAAAAATCTAACAGAAAAAATTACTAAACCAATCTGTTGCCCGTATTCACAACAATATAAGAGACGTATGACGATTCAACATTACTGGCTAGGTAATCTAATGGATCGGGGGGGTATAATGAGCACCTATCACATTGGCGAGCTGACCTTTGCTCTAGCCATGCCAAAGAAAAGTTAAAACAGCCCTAGACTATTCCGCCCTGACATGTGCACCAATAAAACGGTTTCAAAGTATCATAAGAATGTTGTGCCCCGCGGAAGAACATGAAGAGTTGACTATGTTGATTGAGTGGTGGAGGTTGGCGCAATTTCATCGGCCCTTTGACTTTCTGCAGACGGCGCTGGTGCAACGCTTTCAGCAACAGTCGATTTCGCAACATCCACAGCATTGGGTGAACCATCTTCCTTGGTCTCATCCTGCTGCTGAGGAGTGTCGTCTCGAGACTTTTCAGGTTCGACACTGTCTGCATGCTCGCTTTCCGTCGCAGCACGATCAACAGGTGTTGAAGCACCTGTGCCCGTCTGGCTGTGGTCGGACGGAAAGTACCGCTGTGCAGTGTCCAGCCGAGCTCTCTCCTGTTCTACACCCTTCGGAAACATATGCTTGAGGATATGATCCGCCCGTTCCTGCGTGTTGCCGGCCTCCACATCATGGCTGGCTGTGCTCGCAGGGCTCTCTGCAGCCGCGCTAGCGTCCCCTGCCCGACCCGAGGCTGAAACGCCTGCGGCAGCTTCCCGTTTTTCCTCTTCCTTCTTTGCGTGAACTTTGCGAAGATTGGCCGCGCTGCTCTGGGACCGCATGTCCGGGCGACCGTCTTTTCGAATAAGAATGCCGTCAGCATTGCGGACAGGTTTGGTCCTTGAACGCTTGGTGTGGCTGTAGGGATCAAAGTTCTGAACGGGGGAAGGAGCCATAGTAGGACCACTACCGGAGCTTTGACGGCTAGCTCCACCGCGGTAGAATCCATCGGATTCAGCTTGCGAACCTGCCCAGCCTTCCTTCTCCGATTCTGGCGTTCCCGAGATGTGTGGCTCCAGTGGCATGCTCTTTCTTGGGCGGCCACCACGTCCTCGGCCGCGTCCTCGACCTCGTGGACTTATGCTGTGTCCCACACCAGACAGTGTACGTTGGTATGAAGTGTGCCAAATATCCTCGGATCCACCTTCTTGAGTAGAAGAAGGTGCAAGAGTAGAGGGATTCGTAGTGTCAGGATAGCTGTCGTGCGAAGCATTGCGGTAGTTTTGTGGCGTAGTGATGGACTCATCTGTGTCCATGCGCTCATATCGGGCGGCGGGCGTACTACCAGCCTGTGCCTCATACGCATATCGTGGTTCGAGCGGGGCAAGCTTCGCTCGTTTTGGCGATCCGATGGGCGTATTGGCAGCGTCTCCATGTCCATCCGCGGCACCGGGGGGGCCCCTCTTCAGTCCCGTGTTTATAGAGATCCAGCTAGGAGGGGTAGCAGCAGCAGAAGCCACCGCCTTTTCTTGTTCTGCATACTGGGGACGATGTGACTGGTCAGAGACATAGGTTGCCGGTTGAGGAGGGTGCGAAGGCAGTACTCGTGGAGGCTCCGACGTTCGCACCTGAGGCATTTGTGTCTGTGGTCCATGATGTGCGACGGGAACATGGTGTACGGGTTGCTGACGTGCATGCAGGAGATAGTCGGGGTTGGCTGCTGATGTGGGGCTGGTGTTACTTTCTTCCAAGCGTTGCAGTCTTCGCTTGACAACTTCGAATTGCACTCTCAAGACATCCACTTCATTTGCCTTCGAAACAGCTTGGCTTAGGGTCGTCGAGAATATCTCTAACGTTTGGTCGTCGAGGCGCTCGGGATGAGCGGCCGCTGCGATGTGCTGTCTAGCGGCAAGCAGTTCTCGTCTCACGACTTCCACCGTCTCCTGGAATTCGCTACGCAACTGCTGAAAGGCGCCTTCTAGCCGAGCGATATCTCGAGTGCACGACTCCAGCGTTGATCGATTGATGCTCATTTGCGCCTGGAGACGGTCGAGTGGATCGAGCTTGGCCGATACGCTTGGCGAATAATGGGTTGTGCCAGTTGAAGGATTCGCCAGCGTTTGACCATTCAAATGAGCATTCGCGGGTGAAGATCCTCGGTCAGTGGGGTTAGGCTGCTGCTGCTGCGGCAGATGTACCACTCGCTCCGTCACCACAGGCTTTGGCTGCAACGGCTGTGATGGAACGGTGCGCACAGCGGGAAGGTCATTTTGCCTGGGTTCTTCTTGAGGCCTGTGGCCCAGGACGGACATGGACGGAAGTGAAGGCTTTTGTACGGTAATAGCAGTCGCTGTGCCAGCCACTTCTCTCGAGCGGTCCATTTTTGGAGCTTCTGAGGCGGGATGGCTTGGTGATTCCGCTTGGTGATCGTCTTCAATCACTGCTTCAACCGGTTTACCGCTTGCCTCAGAACGTAACTGAATTTTCGGAAGCTTTATAAACTCCCGGTCTCTATCAAGCAGGTTGCCATTAGCAAAGTTGCGTTCGCCAGGTGTATGGCAAGGGGAAGGCAAGACAGGCCAGGGCAAGGCAGCAGGTGGCCTGGCGTACAGTGCCATTGTGTACGGAAACACAAAGCAGACGGAGGGCGGAAAGGTAAGAGATAAAAGTACTTACACATATGCACTCTTGCTGTCGGGTGCCTTTATGCAAGTGATGGCGAGCGTGTCATCGCAGTTATTGCATACGAGTGGTTGGATGATGCTTTGGCAATTAGAGTCAGCTTTGGCACGCTTGAGCCATCCCAAGTCGAAATGACAAAGGTCGAAAATGATGTAAAAGTGGACGAATGAGAATGCATGGTGCGTATAGGGGTGTTGATATAGCAGATGAGCATTTTGCTGGACAGCAGAAGGTAATTTGCGCGACAAGGATGTGGTTGCCGCAAAGGGCGAATCTTGGGGCGCCACAATGTACTAGGCAGGCGTGCATGCGTTTTGGTGGATGTCATGGGAAATGGGTGAGCGGCCAAAAGAAGATAAGCGCGTGCGACTAGGAAAGGCTGCTAATCGGGGGAGGGTGAGGTACAGCAAATTGGCGATGTGCATGACACTGATGATGACAATAATCGGCAGAAAATCGCCACAAGCCGAAGACAAAAATATGGGTCATCGCAACAGTTCACAACCGTATGCGATGTCGACGTCGTGGTGGTGGTGGTGGTGGTGGTGGTGGTAGTAGTAAGAAGAATAGTCGTGATGATGATGATCGTAATAGTTGTCATAGCAGTGGTCGGAGTAGAGGAAGAAGCCGCAGGACAAAAAAAAACGAGAAAAAGAAGTGGAAAAAGATCACCAATGGGAAAGACGGAAGATTCATGATGTGCTTTTGGTGCTCACTCACCATCCATGGAGAGAACTCGTTTCGGCGGCCGGCTTAGCCTTTCCCTTCGCGTGCAGCCCCGTGATGCTGTACGAGCCCCGATGAGCGGGCAGGTAGTATGACCCCTGCGAAGCGAAGACAAAAGAGTCAGCAATGAAGCAGGCCAAGGAGACGACCAGGACAGGAAGCGAAGGAAACGGAAAATAACAATGGCAACAGCAACAAGAACAAGAACCACGGCCAGAATCCAACAGAGAAAGGGCGCAACCTTGTCCCAGCGAAAACGTGATTAAAGAGAAAGGACCGGAAGGGAAAAATACTCACGGTGATGCGCAGCCAGGCGTTGTCAAAGTGAGCAAAGTTGGCATCGCATGCCTTGCAACTGGCGACCGTGGAGCGCTGGGCGACACAACCATTGACGGCGTCGCCGTCGCCCTTGGCCTCGCCCATCCCGGTTGTGTTTGCGGTTGCGGTGGTGGTGGCGGCTGACTCCAAGGCAGCGTCGGACTTGACCAGCGCGCCGCTATCCCCCGTCGAGGCGGACAGATGGTGATGTTGAGGATGTGGACGATGAAAATGATGCTGGTCTGCAGCGGGCGCCTCCACCATCGCCATCCTCGCAGCTGAACTCTGTTCGTCTCGATGCCAGAGTGGAAAAGGTGAGCAACAAAAAGTCAAGCGAGAGTCCGCGAATGCAGCAAGATCATGACTTCTGGGACCCACAGCAGTTAGGTTGCAGAACGCAGGTTTAGACGGAGGATATATTATTCGAGGAAAACCAAATAACCAAAGATAGTGTCAGACTATTTGTCGAAACGAAATGAGCTAGCCCCCGTTGCGGTTAGCGCAAAGGATAAGATAGAGTTTGGCTCGTGAATGGATTAGTAGAGTTTCACAAATAAGGGATCGCGTCCTGGGGGCAAAAATGGGTATTTTTTTTTTGTTGAACGTTCGGATGTGTGATGTCGGGAACAAAATGTGACGAATGAGGACGACGACGGCAACCTCGATAAAAACGATGACAATAAAAAAACAATAACAATAGCAGCAATAATAACCATGACGGTGACGAGGATAATGCGAATAACAATCGTCGCAGTAGAATGATAACGATCGTGATCATGACCACGGTAATGGCGCTAATGACGATACCGTACTGTAATCACAAGGAGGAAAGAGTGATCGTGCTTGTCGTCCTCGTTGCTGCTGCTGTCAGCAGCGTGTTCTTTCCTGTAAGGTAACGCACGATACCACCTGCCAATCCATTATCTTACCTGTCGCTCTACTTTTGGTGGCTCGCACTTTCCCTTTGTTCTCGTGCCCCTTCCCGACTGAGCGCGCTGCAGGGCTCAGCACCATGGACAGCACACGCAACAAGCAACTCTCGTCGTCGACCACGCCATCGACAAGAATGACCGCAAGCCGTCGTGGACGATCAACGAACCTGTGCTGTGTACAACAACTGGTGGCCCCGTGGCGCTTCACGGTGCTCCGTCCGGCGCTGCTAATCTGTCTAGTTTCTGTTCTTTATCGTAATCAGCGCCCGCCCCAATATTATGTCGCGCGCTAACTGAACTCACTAAGCTATTTCCTAAACATGCTCAGTATTAATCAGCCCCACACGTCGATCAATCACACGCACACACGCCATCTCTCTTTCCCTCTAACTTTCTCGCTCTGTCTGTCTTAGACAAAAAAGCGCGCATGCATATCACACGACATATACCCTCTCTCTGTATCTCCCTCTCCCTCGTCCGCTGTACGCCTCTTCTACTCTCTTCCTATCTCACACACACACACACACACACTCTCTCTCTCTCTCTCTCTCTCTCTTTTCCTCATTATTTGCACGGCAAGAACCTCTTCCACTCCCCCTACCTTCCAATCTCCCTCGCGTCGTTAGACTCAATCAAACTCATTGTCTCAAAAACTTGATGACTCGGGTCTCCCATGCATCCCTGGACCCGACTTGTCCGGCTGTCTGACCACGCATAATGTAGTATAATACATCACGCGCTAGTGATTTATCTACCTGGCGTCAATGCAAATCATGGTGAAGGGACCGCCTACTTTATGCCATGCTGTTTCAGCATACGAAACAACAGTAGGAAGTTTGTTTCAATCTTCCTTTTACGCACCATATTTCCGATCGCTCTCGGGGGATTTTTTAACCTTTTACGTTTTCCTTTTTCCTTTTCCCTTTTTAAAAAAAAATTAAATTTGCTTTTTTACAGGGTCGAAAGTGGACTGTATTCATGACACATTTTGCCAACGTACAGATCGCGCTTGCGCCACGAACTAGCCGCGTTTCGCGATCGCCCTGCACTGCTCTGCACTGCCCTGCTTTGCTCAGAATGCTCAAGACACAATGCAATCTATCCCAAAAATCATTATTTTACAGTGATAAAGCCAAGACCTTCCCGGGCCTTCTTACATGCTCTACGCATCTGCTGCTCCTCGACATCGGTCCACTTCACGCTCAGCTGATCCCATTTCTTAGTTCGGTATTCGTCTCTGAACTGTTGGTGGAGTGCTTGCATCCGAAAAACCTCTCGTGGATCGCCATGGCCACTGTAAACAATGAATGCCGTGCACGGCGGCAGCGCCTCGTAGATGGCTGAAAGGTGCTTCACTGTGTTGGCCACCGCCTGAGATAGCGCTTGCAAATTTGGCTGAGCTGCCCTGACCTCTTCCTCCGTCAACGAGTACCTCGCCAAGGCTTGCTGGCGCATCTCGTTGTTGTCGCTCGTCTTTGACTTTTCCCACCATCCGCGCACCGCCTCCACCTCTCGAAACCGGGCCCATATGAAATCGACGCCTTTTGTCGCAGCTTCATTGTCATCTGAGACAAGGAGTCTCTTGACTTGCTCTGCAACTTCGGAATCGTTCTCACAGCCTCGGATGACATCGGCATTTGCCCCGAGCCCACGAGTAGGGTTACCCCAATCGACCACCGCGCTGGACCGGAATTCCTCTTCGCCCGGGTTCTTTCGAAATATCTTTGGGACCGGCGACCTCTTGATTCGGTTGAAAATCGACTCGCTGCTTGCCTCATTCGTGCCCCAACTGTGGCCTTTCTGACATTTTTGCTTCACTAGGTCGAGCACGGCTTTTGCGTCCTCAACGCTGTCGTGCCCCGTCGTTCCGTGACTTTTCTGAATCTCGCGACCCAAATACTTCTGCGCCAACCATTTCAGGCTGCTCTTGAGCGGTGGGCCTCTTGGGTGAGGGTAAATGATGGCTGTGTCTACTATATGAGGATGTGTCATGCGCAGCGCCTTGAAGTCCCCATCGAGCGAATGCCCGATAATAATCGTCGATGGCTTGATAACCTCTTGAAGTCTCTTCTGTATGTCCGTGAGGCGAGTCGTTACCGGAGCTAACATTTCCTCCGTGATACCGGAATATTGCGTGAGATAATCGGTGATAGGAGCTTCGGGTTTGACCAGTTCATCAAGCACGATGTTTCCGTCCCAGTCCAGAACACTTATGCGAGTGAGTTCGAGCTGCTCGTCGCCTGTTTTGCACATTTCGCAGTCAATAGCAATGACGTGCCGTCCACCAGTAACATCATCCGCGCTGGCTTGTTGCTCAGGCGCATCTCGTGCACCGGTGGCGGTATCGATCCAGCCATGTTCAGTCGATTGCATAGTGCTACGTCGAAGCTCCACGAGAGAAGCCTTCGCCGCTTCCGTTTCGCACAGTGCTGGGTGAAGTACGTAGTCGCTACTCTCGAGTTCTTGTGCAGATGCAATGAATTCTGTGATCGGCGTGAGCTTTTCTACGAAGTCATTCGACTTCGCCAAGCTCGGTCCCTTCTTCTTTTTTTCGTCCTTTGATTTGGGCAACGGCGTGAGGAGCATAGACTGAAGAGGAGAGTGGATTTTCGCATATTTGTCATCTCCGGGAGCTTTGACCGGCCAGATATGGGTAAACATGTCAGCAAATGGCCTCAAAGTGGCCGGCAAGATGGCCACGTCGAGTTTTTTGGGATAGTAATCATCAGGTGATAGATGCACTCGCTTTGGTGTCGATTCACTTCCATCTTTTCGCTCTTGGTTTGCGTCAGTTGTGTCCACATCTGCTGGTGAAGCCGTGTTAGAGTCTTTAAAGTAGGCGGAATTGGTTGAAACCGCTTCTATATTGGCTGGCTGCTCTGACACGCGTAGAAGCGGTGTACGTCCAGTGAACAGGTCGGGATCAAAACCTGGAATAGTAATGGCCACGACTTTCTTGATGGCATCACGGTGTCTGATAGCAACCCACTGTGGAGCTGGTCCGTCGGAAAGAATGTATAGGATGAGATGTTGCAGGTCGCTTATCTTGACATTCGTTTGCAATCGTGCATTAGGCGAATGATAAATGGAAGGATAGTTTGTGGTGCCCTTGGCCGGGTTGATTCTGCGCTTTTTCTTGCCTTGACTTGGCACTTCTTGCCAGTTATCATCGTTAGAAGGTTTTGAGCCCGATCCTTGTATATCCATATTCCCATTCGGCGAAGCATTGCCATGAGCTACGAGATCGACTTTGGTAGAATCAGAAGATCCATCAATGTTATTGTCATTCTCGGCATGTTGCCTGCTACGCTTGCGCGACATGACCTCCAGACACAAGCGTCGCAACAAGAATGCTATTTGAAGGGTTTATGCCCTCGCGATGGACGACGGATCGAATTTTCTCAGCTACGTCCGACGTTGGAGCACCCACTCCAGCCACTAGAATGAATTTTCGGAGACTTGGCACAGTTGTGGCGGCCTCCCGAGCTGCTTCGGTAGTGGCCTGAAGCTTTGGTCGGAACACAGACAGCTGAGTTTTTGTGGCAAGCCTGCCCCATCGACTTTTCGATCATCTCGCTTCGAGAAGCATATCAGCTATATCTCATCCTCTTACAGTACCCTTCAGCTACAAGCCGATACCCATCCTGCCGATAGAATTCCCGGTGGTTGCTACGATGTCCGCTCGCAGATGACCATTTCTCCCTTGCCTATTGAGTTCGCCTTATACACACGAACTTTGCTGCCGAGATGGGATTCTTAACTTTGCCACGAGAATGGGAAGGCCAACATGAGGCCTTTCCAGCCCACCCTCCACAGTTTGACGGTCGAGGATTGCTTTCAGGCAGCGGAGTAGTTGTCCTGCTTGGTTCGATCGGCGGCGTGGCATTAAATCTCAGTCGAGCTCTTCGTCGGAAGCCACTCAGCTTGGCTGTTTTGAACGGAATTGGCCTCTGCACAATCCCGTCCATACCAATTGATATCATAATAGAAGAAAGAGGACGGCGGGGATGTATTGAGGATATCCGGGCTATTCTCAAAGCCGACAACAAAACGCTCCCACCCCGGAAGTATATCAAGTTCACCAAAGAGAACACACCCGAAACCACTGCAGTAATCTGTGGAGGACTTGCCGTACTTGGGCTACTTGCATACCGCCGTGCGCCTAATGGCCCCAAGGCTGGCGTCCTCTCAGTGCTTGGCGCGTTCAGCGCCGGCTCTTTCTTTGGAACGCAATTGTCTAACAATGCGCAAAAGAAATTGAACGGTGCTGCTATGATGAAGTATCAGATTGCTTGTCTGAAAGGCAGTCAAATATACTCCGAGAGGACTCGAAAGCCTCCAGATGAATGGTTGTATGAGAGCATAGCTGGGTTGGGCCAAGGTATCTCAAGACACCAAGATTCGAATCCGTGGTCTTTGCTCAGAGGAATCAATCAAGAATCCGACGATGAGACAATTGCCATAATTGACGAGGACAACGTTACCACTGCTAGTTCATTGCTTACAGCGTTTCCCTTGCCACCTGGATCAGAACCTCACATGGCCGTGAAGACGCAGGACGGAACAAAGATTTACGCCCCTCAACGTGACTATGAATGGAATCCGACCTCGGCCCAGACAGGTCTCGAGATCTTGCAAGATCATCTGGAAGAGCTGAGCACGGCAAGGTCGAAACAAGCACAGACAGCCGAGTATCTTTGGAACATGATTGCCCGCAGGGAAGCAGACAAGTTCCCTCCGTACGCGCGCAACGACGAAGCAGAGGAGATTATTTTGGAAAGAAAAGCCCTGGAGCTACTCACTAGCATACATAGACAAGTCTATTCACAGATAGCCGATCTGGACTGGTGCATAGCGAACACGAAGAAGCTTATATTGCAATTTCAGACAGATGGCAAATGGGTGCCTTCAACATCTGTACAGTCTTCCGTCCTCTCGGAGGCTAGAGATAAAATCTTGGAAAACATCAGGCTGCACAAGAAAAATTTGGAAGTTCAACAAACGACATTTGCGAACGAAGAGAATATCAAGATGATGGCAATATCTGAGGATGAAAAGGAGGACATACGGCGCGCGCTGAGAGAGAACTTAGCGGCAACGACGAGGCTGCTGGAGGATCTTGAAAACGAGGTCGAAAAGGGACAATGAGCGCAGAACAAGCGCCCACAAGCATATTCCGACAGGTTTTGTCCCCCTTTACAATAGGACTGCCTCTTTGAGGCAAGCTACTCATCTGGTCCATCTACATCCAAGATTTGATTGTACAATATTTCGATATATTCATACTTCCATACAAGATCTGCTAGAGCCAGCCATCTAAAACAAAACGCCACTTGAATGAGCCCGTACTCGCTTCGTCCAGCACATAGACTAATGCTTTCACAACTACAATCATGCGCCCTTAGTTCTTCCTTCTTCTGACACCGACCTGCAACTCCAGCGGCTTCCTCAAAAATCCCTCTCGCGTTTCCAATGTGTCCTGGTACAGCTCAAACTCGAAGTTTCTGAACACGGTGCTCACGATGAGCGCCATCTCCATCTCCGCGACGTTGCGGCCAACGCACGATCTCGGGCCGTAGCTGAATGGGATAAATGCTTCCTTTTGCCTGTCTGTCAACCGGTCCTTGGCCCATCGCTCCGGGCGGAACTCATCTGCGTCTGGGCCCCAAATTTCCTTCGAGTGGTGAATAGTATAAGCGGGGACGGAGAGAGTGGTGCCAGCCGGGAAGAAGTGGTTCTGCAAGGTGATACCTTCACCAACGACGATACGCGGTAGTCCAAGGGAAGACGTCGAGTGAATGCGCATGGTCTCTTTGATGACAGCATCCACGTAAGGAAGATCCTTGATTTGCTCGTACGAGGGAACGCCTTGGATCGGGAGTGCATTGTCGAGCTCTTCCTGTAGTTTCGGAATGACGTGGGGATTCTTGAGCACGTGGAAGAGCAGAGCGCATGAAGTGTTGCTAGTCGTGTCGCTTCCGGCGATAAGTTGCGTCAGAGCTTCAGCAGTAAGTTCTTCGCGACCCAGCTTGTTTCCGGACGCGTCCTTGCCCTCCATCAGACGAGCCAGGAGATCAACCCGATTGCGGGCACGGTCGGGATTATCCAAGCGATCTTTGACTCGAGCAATGGCAATACCGGCGAGATTCTCGACGGCTTGAACACCTTGACGGAAAAACTTGTCCGGTAGGAACCTCGCGTAAGGCTTGATTGCAGGCCAGCAGCCAATCGTTCTGAGTATTCTGCATCAGTTCATGAGCTTCTTTTAACCACAATGTAAGAACATACCCAGATACTTCGCCTCTCCTGTTCAGCACTTCAACAGCTGGTACATACGTTACTGGGGCGTCTGGCGAGCTTCTCATTTCAGCCTCGTCTTTGCCTTTCTTAAGCATGCCAAACGGAGCACCGAAGGCAAGATCTCCGATGATATCGAAGGCGAGATAGTTGAACCAATTAAGGGCGTCGATCTTAGCATAGCCTCCATTTGCACTTTCAGACAACTTGCTCCACTGTGTCTCAAACAATTCGAGGTTGTGATGCATGTATTGCTCGAACTGGCCTACAGACTTTGCACTAAACGTATGAGACACCGTTTTGCGTTTGCGGGTATGCTCCGCTCGATCGCGAGTGTTGAACAAACCCCGCCTGATCGAAACAAAAGCATCGTAGTATTCACTGCATTACATTAGCAAATGGTACATGATGTGGCTTGGGTTATTTACGATTTTAAGAAACCGTTGCCGTGACCGTAAATGGCCTGGATGGCCTTGTCATCTGCAACCGACACGTGATTTGGTTGAATTCTGACAAGCTTGCCGTATTTCTTGTGGGCTTCGTCGACTGCTAGATATCTTTTGCCACGACGGGCCTGTAGCATTAGCCACAGATTCGTAAACTGAGCTGGAAAGGGAGCTGGTATATCATGCAGTCCCCAATTCTGAAAATACGGCACAAGGTAGAATAAAGCAGGTAAAAGTAGCACCGTGTACGGCGTCAGTAGTGAGTCCAGAATAGCCATCCTGACGAGTGAAGATCCGTAGACGTGCGATCGATATGGAACAGAATATTGTGTGCAGGGGAATATAGGTGATCAGCGTAGGGGGGACATGCAAAGCCTCGAAGATTGCTGGAGCTTGATGAGGCTAGAAAATTTTTCTTTCAATGTATGTATCTAAACGGTGCGTTGAAGCTCTAGATCTCGCACCAGCTGATGATACACACCCAATATATAGTCGCATCGAGATGATGTCGGTCGTGTTTTCGGGCAAACGCTACCAAGCCTTCGAGCGGTCTGGGGCATGATATTCGAGCTGTCTCATTGGTCAGAGCCCCACAAACGCTCCAGCTTGCGGGGTGCTGCTGAAGTTTCGGCAGGCAATCCTTCGGACATAGATGAATAAGTTCTTACTTCAGCCGTCCCTTATACTAAGTAAGCCATTGCCGATTTTCAAGCTTACAATTGCCTTGCCCGAACCTCCATATAACAGCTCTGTGTCCTTAACCCTAGACTGCCGGTTGTGCTTTCTCTCTGCTCCGATGCGATATTTCTCCTGTATTTGGTGGATGAAGTGCTCGGTCGTGGCACTTGTATGACCAGCGATCTCGATCCGAAAGTTGCAGCCGTCTCTCCGCTGGAGCCAAAGGTTTCCCCTTTGTCGCTATCAAGTTCACCTTGTTTACTACTCCCCAATTTCTGTGGACCCACGCTCTGAGACCATGTCCAATTTCGGTGCTGATGTAATGTAGATTACACCATTGTTACTTATTGTTCGTTTGCGCGAAGCCAGGTATTCTGGATCGAAAGTCCCGTTCCTTGTATCACAGTGTGGATTTGCAGCATTTGTGGGGGCAACTCCGTATAGGACAAGCTAATCCTTTGACGATAGATTCCCACAGCCACTTGCTCTGTCGCGGTATATAGGCTTGAGCAACAGAGCCTCTCTTCTTCCGGGACATAAGTTGGTTGTTGATATACGACACGCTCTCGATTTATCTTCCATCATAGTGTGGACCTTTTTTTTTCCATATCCTGGCGAAGAAACACCATCAATAACAAATAGCTGCTTTAATCACTCAAAGCAGAGATTCCTTTGAATGGAGCATAGCTAAGATGTCAGTGTATTAAAAGCGTACTCAGGGACGTACATAGTAATGATCAGCGGGAGAGACTGTTCGCAAAAAGAACCTAAAACATGTTCGCTACATCTAGCGGGCAATTCATACCACTGTAGACCAACCCGAGAGGTCGACTTAAACCCAAAAGCTGAGAGGAGGCAGAAGATAAATCGATTCAGCTCTCGTTGGGGGATCGTCTTCTACGCCTCCTTGGATAGTCCGCGAATTGAAGATGGTATCGCTGGGGAATTGAATGTGAATTGGAAATACAGCCGTGAATGCGAGGATTGTCCTGCTCATGGCAAACGTGTTCCTTCACTCTTACCCAAGATTCTCTCAACTTTCGCTTCAGTCCGCCTTATAGCTTTCAACCAGGCTGCGCGCTGTGAGCTCTTGTCCTTCATCACGTCATCGTCGACTCTGTCTTTTGCGCTTTTTCTTGGTACAACTAATAGTGCAAGCCTCCTGCCTGTGGGATCACTTTTGTCTCTGCAGGAACGTTTCTTCGGTTCACGTGCCCACCAGGAGCCCGCGTCTTCTCTCTCATTTTGAAGGCGAGTTTTAGACACACAATTTGTGCGCCCTGGTGCGCGAAGCTGAATGTTATGCAGCGGCGCACCTTAGCTTTCTCGACCAATATCATCTGATCTGTACTCCAGGGCCTCCGTGGATTGATATTTGTGTCAACTCTTTAAACTGGGTATCTGCCAATAGCGTTCTAAGTCTTGGTCTGTATCACGAATTCCAAGGCCGTGTCTCATTTGTGTGATATATCAGGCTCACGTCGTCAACCTCTCTTTCAAGTAGTATCCGTCAAAGTCTTGAAGCTTCCCTTCTACGATAAGGAAAACTTTGTGGAGGAAACCTTGAGGGGACTGATTCAAAAACTTGGCGTGAATGGTTGTCGCACTAGGTCGACCTTTGACGATACCAACAAGCGGGTTCTTCTGGCGGGCGAGCATGATTTGGGTATGGAAAGAAACGTGTTGCGTAACATCGGTGCACCGAAGGCCGTGAATATTATATTTCAGACCTTCCACTTGTGAACAGAGATTCGCAGCCTTGACCATAAAAATAAAGGGAGTCTCGAATAGTACATGAATCCTAGAAGCATGTCATACACCGTCTCGTTCGGTGGTTCGGTGATAGCGCCCTCGCTTCGCGCGCATCATTCGTCCGTACCTCAAGCGAACGCGGAGTCGGGGCGACTGGAGCAACCTCGCAGCGCAGATCCCAGCCCAAGAACCCGACAGGATGTGTGTCTCTCGGTCAGACAAGGGAATCTTCCGAATGCATGCTAGACGCTGTAGGAAGTGCAGGCCAGTGTCTTTCTCACTCTCTCAAGCCTCGCACGCGGAGGGGCGTACGACAATGGCCTTCTCACGGTTGACACGGAAGGAGATAACGAGCGTCCGTCAGTCAGCGCTAGGACAAGACGACGGACAGCAGCCCACGGGCAATTTGGCTTAGGTTTGCTGCGTCATGTTTGTCTCAACGAAACGATAGCGTGTGAACAGCTGATCGGCGCATCTGCCAGCCCATGGGCGACTGGGCGGCGTGACACCCTGTCTCGTTGGCGGGCTGACCGCCCCGACCGACCCTATCAGCATCTCACTTCGCAACTGCACCTGACAATACACCCTCAACGCTGCCTGCGACGTCCTCTCTCCTCCTCCTCCTCCTCTCTCACAATATCACCGTGTCCTCCTTACGGTCGGCCCGTCACAAGCCCAGTGCGACTTCGAGAGCTTGCGCAATGCACCTGGCCTGAGGAGAGAGCCTGGTACAACCCCACCATCCGTCTGCCCACCTGCGGAGCCTCGTCACGCTTTACCGACATCGCTGTGCCGCTGCACCGTCCCTCACTCTCTCTTGTTGAAGTTAAGTAGCCCTCGCTCTGGCTTCCTCTTGACTACTTCGCTTGTTTCACCATGGATTGCAACGCCTCTCCGTCGGCACCGGCTGCGTCTGGCAGCAATATTGAAGCCAATATCCGTCGTGCTCACGGGACACATGCGCCAAGGTTGCGCTCAGATGGTATGTACTCGCTCAACTATGTTTCTTTTCAGGCTTGTGCTTCAAACAAATGCCAGCCGTGGTGGTTTGATCAAGACGCCCGTCCTTTGCTGAAACTCTAACAGCCGCCGGGGTAGAATCCTGGATTGAAGTATCGTCTCGACCGTCATCATCCTCCTTATCATCTGTCGCCGACGAGATCATCACCGAGGGGCTCCGCGTGCAGCACGATTCTAACCTTCTTCGAAGACGCACGCGAAAGCGCGCAAACGATCATATCCACACATATGGAAACAGACAGTCCTACGCCGGCACCAGCAGTCAAGAAGAGTACGAGGAGAGCGAGAGCGAATCTGACCGTATTATGACCTCCTCCAATGAGGCCTTGCCGCGATCCCCTCTACGACATGAGTGGAGGCCAACAGGGCCACAATTTACCCTGTCATCAGCGTCCTCGGACAACGCGTATGCTAGTGAGGACGCTGATGACAACGAAAATGCTACAGCGATTGGCCTAAGGCGAGGCGAGGAGTACTTTACCCCGCAGCCAAATGTCTTTTCACACCCACCTACTGCGAGTCGGGCAAGCTCTCAGCAGCAGTCTACAAACTCCTACTTTTCTGAGCGCCCGGTTCGCCCTTCTCAACGAGGCTCATACGCAACAAGAGAGCAACATTCACCTTACAATGCCATTTCGCCGTCGCATCAGGCAGATCACGATGCTGCTCTTAGAGCCAGCTTGTCAACATTGCTATCATGCGCTGCAGCAGCACGAGGTTTGCCCAAGTCAAACCAGCAAGCTCTGCAGGCCAGCACACGGCCGGTTACTTCAAACCGTGTAGATCCGACATCTATCGGCCTGATTCCAGAATCTGCGGTTTATGGCAGCCCTGCAAAACCAGCAACACAATCATCCCAAAAGTCGGCTGAAAGCAGTGCAGTGGCATCTCCTGATAAGACTAAGCGTAAGGTTACATCATCTACAGCGCAAAGAAGCAATAGCAAGGACAGGCGGACAACCAAAAAGGCCAGAAAGACATCCGCGAATTGGACACCCGCGACGATGGAAGACGTCAACCCAACGCTGCTCACTTGGTTTGTCGGAGCAGGTGTTGTTGTGCTTATTAGTGCACTGAGTTTCTCTGCTGGTTATATTACTGGCCGCGAACACGGTCGCGCAGAGGCCATTGAATTAGGTATGGGCGCAGGAGAAGTTGGTAGATGCGGAAAAGAGGCTATGGTGGCAGGCGCTGGTCGAGGTCTACGTCGGTTGAGATGGACTGACGCTGCCTCTAGCATGGTTTCGTGAGGAGACTAGATTGGATTTTGACGAGTTGCCTTGGTGTGGTCGCATAGTTTGGAGTCTCGTCGTGGAGAATGCACCGCCGAGAAGGTCGGCTTGCAAATAATGAGATAAGGATAGACCTTGTGCCGTTACTTAACAACAGCTTGGTGTTATCAGATGGCAACGTTCGACAATTGGGTAGCCGACATGACAGCAACGATAGTTCAAGGATGAAGCACATTCGGCAGGGTTTGAATCGGCGTTTGGGATTCGTTGTTTTTTCTCCGAGAGGGAGTGACAAAGGACGCTATTCATACCCTTCGTCCTTGGATAACATAACATGGCGCATGCATATGAATAGTCTCAGCAATCGAGCAGCTCTAATAATCACCTTTGCTACTTGCTTGGACCTGAATACAAATGAATTCCTCGAGATCAGTTCTTTCACAGTCGAAGCGAGTGGTCCTGGAAGAGATAGGACAGCGCTCGGGCCACACGATGATGTAATTGAGATATATGGGGAACGTCTATCTCGCCATATTGACACGACGTGCGGAGATGAGCCAGACAACACCTTGTCTTGCACATACGTACCTGAGCAAAGCGAGTCTACACTTGCCTCAGAAGCTTCAGGGGAGCTGGCAATCGCTTTCTCATCGTCTTCTTAACTCCTTCGATCGAAGCCCCAAGTCTCCCAGCCGCCGCTTGCCTGCGCTAACGTCAATACTTGTATCGAGCCCCACATCGCGGGAAGCTCTCCACTTCAAAGCATTCGACCTAGCTCTGAAACGTTGTACTCAATTCGCCTTTCTTCTTTGGCTCATATAAGGGCTCCGAAGCACAGAAAGTGAATAGGAGGGAGATAGCCATGCCCATCGTATTCCCAACGGCAAGCGCGCTCAGCGCTCAATTCTCTGCCTCAAGCCCGGCTTCTTTCCTTCAGCCTCGCCGTACACCTCGCGAAGCTCCAGAACATGTCTGGTCGGCCTGGAGCACTGCGGACGACGTCAAGGCCAAGGCTGCGAAAGTGAGCGACAAGGCGGTTAAGGAGTATGAGAAGGCCAGTGCGAAGGCGCAGGAGAAGGTTGGCAAAATCGAACTGTACAGTGCAAAGTACTACGCCGCGTGCACATTTGGAGGACTGCTGGCTTGCGTACGTCGTGACCATCCTACAGACCCAATTCTCTACAGAGCTAAACCTTAAAACGTGCAGGGCCTTACGCACACGGCCGTCACGCCTCTCGATCTTGTCAAATGCCGCCGACAGGTTGATCCCAAGATGTACAAGGGCAACTTTGAGGCATGGGCCAAAATCGGGCGCGCAGAGGGCTTCCGCGGCATCTACACCGGCTGGGGCCCAACCTTCTGGGGTTATTCCGCGCAGGGAGCCTTCAAGTACGGCGGCTATGAATTCTTCAAGAAGTTCTATGCCGACTTGGTCGGCGAACAGAACGCGTACAGATACAAGACAGCCCTGTACCTGACTGCTTCTGCTTCGGCTGAATTCATCGCTGACGTTGCGCTGTGTCCCTTTGAGGCCATCAAGGTCAGAATGCAGACCACCATTCCGCCGTTCGCGAAGGGTACACTCCAAGGTTACAGCATCATCACGGCCAAGGAAGGCGTGAAGGGCCTGTACAAAGGTCTATATCCGTTATGGGGACGCCAGATTCCATATACGATGATGAAGTTCGCCAGTTTTGAGACGGCCGTCGAGATGATCTATAAGCGCCTGCCAGGTAAAAAGGAAGATTACGGAAAGGCCGCTCAGACGGGCGTCTCGTTTGCTGGTGGCTACATCGCCGGTATCCTGTGCGCCATTGTCTCACACCCGGCCGACGTTATGGTGTCCAAACTCAACGCGAATAGGCAGCCTGGCGAAGGCTTTGGAGCTGCCACCGCCAGAATTTACAAGGAAATTGGATTCATGGGTCTCTGGAATGGCTTGCCTGTCAGGATTGTCATGATTGGCACCCTCACCGGCCTTCAGTGGATGATCTATGGTCAGTCTAACCTTTCTTTACCAGGCGTGTAAATCCATTACTGACGTATGAAAGACTACTTCAAGATCTTCATGGGCCTGCCAACGACTGGCGGCACCCCACCACCCAAGACAGAGAAATAGATAGCAAAAAGGGAGGTTCTGAAGTCTGTGGCTCGCCAAAGAATGTAAATGAGCATGAGAAGTGCATAGCTCGTGGCACCCAGATTCGTGACATGCAACTTTAGATGACCTTTAAATACACTTCCTTGAACCAGCTCTTTGGTGTACTATAGGCGCAGGATAGTCGGGCATCTGAATTTTGCACTCTCCTCTACCAGTCTACCAAGATTTAGATCTTTCCATTTTGGATTGCCTGCGTGAGTGAAACCCTTAGGCAGCATTGTGCTGCTCTTGTTAAATATAAGTGCCTATATCATTCACATGCTGTCGAAAGCAGTTTGCGGAAAAAAATCGGGACCAATTGCCTGCTCATCAAAATGGTGAAGTCTGGCTGGGGCGACGACGGGTGTGACCTAAGAAGCAAGCTTTTGGACGTGTGAGAAAGCCTCGCGCACCGCATTTGCGGGTCCTCTCTCATCCTAGGCTGCTCCGTTTGACTCTCTTAGCCAGCTGATCTATATTGATAGGGGCTTGTGCAGAGCCAGCGACAGCAGCAGCGTTGGCGTTGTGTTGACCATTGAGATCATGATGTGGTGGTTCAAAGCCAGCGTGCGTGTCGTAGGGCCGCTTGGGAGGTCTCTCACCACTTGATTCGAGGATTGTCATGAGCGTCGCCCAGCCCGGGCAGTGCATGAGTTGCATGCTGTCTGAGAGATCACGGGTTATTGCGACTTTGCAGGCTAGTGCTTCTTCGTCCTAAATGGTGGGCTTAGCACAACCTCTAGGGAAATTTAGCAACTATGTTCAAGTATACCTTGCTTAAGACGCCAAGACCATGCAAGAAGCACAGCAAATGGAAGTCGGAAAGAGTCTTCGGGTCAATCTTGCCTCTGGTCGACGAACCACCCGACTTGAGAGTTTTAGCAACCGAACTTAGATCTTGACTCTGACCTATCAGTTGACGGTTCTCAATGGGGAAAGTATTCGATACGAAACGAGGGTTTGGAGTCGTGGGAAACCCATGTGTCAAAGTAAGGAGAAGATACTCAACAGGGAACGCTGGTTTTGCATTCTCCTGAACATTTGCACCGTATTCGTTGATCTTACGGTAAAATACCTCGGGAATATAGCGTGCTCGACCAAGCTTTTCGTCATCCTCTTCTGTTTGCACAAGCATAACCCCAGGATCAGCCGATGGTTCGATAATTTCCGCTCGGACCATTTCTGTCGTCGCATTCGAGACTTGATATGACGATATGGCGATCTGACCATCTTCATCGCCACTGACAACGCACGTAACGAAGTTGGAGCCAAATTTCCCGGTGTCGCTCCATTTCGTTGGACGGGGCTTCTTTGCTTGTTCTTGTGCAGCAAAGACCACTTCGAGGGAGGAGAGGTAGTAAGAGTCAGCATGACGCTTGCAGATGACACTTCCGTCTCCTGCACCGCTGTCTGTCAAGTCAGTGAAGATGACGCCGACTTGTTCCATGCCACACTGTTTGGCAACTTCGTCCACTGCCTCTCTGTTCTCCCACTCGCCTAATGACAGACCATCTACTTCATCAACTTGTGGCGGTTCGTAAATGGCCTCTACCACAGCTTTCGTACCTAGGGGAACTTCTGTGTACTCTTCGTAACGGCCATATAGGTAGCCCAGCCGCTGGCAGCCCGTTTGACGCCAAAAGTCTAGAAAGCCGTTGATGAGATCTGGGGTTGCGAACTCAACATGATCGACCATACGGTATGGCTGCTGTTGGAGCGATATCGCGCTAGGTTGGCATTTCGTGCAGATCCCCTCTGGCCAAGGAGGATGTCCTGATGGGCAGTTGGGCCGTACTCTGTAGAATGGCTCGCTGAGCGGCGGCATGAACGAGCTTCCAAGCTCAGGCTTGTTCTTGCCCGTGTTCACTTTCCGCAAATACGCATGAAATGACATGTGCTTGATCTTCTTCTCATCTAGATATTTCTGATCATACGGTTCTAGAGGCATGCAGTAGTCACACATGCCCTTCGGACCGTGTCTGCACATCTTTGCATCCTTTGGTCTTACAATTTTGCCGTCCTTCTTGTCCAACGCATCATCCAGAGCAGACTGCTTGACCACTTCCCATGGATTCTTTATGACCTTTGTTGGCGAGCCGATGGCGACGGAAGGACGTGCTTCTGAAGGGTCAACGGGACGCCCGCTGATTCGATTTGCGCTAGGAGCGGGAATAGAGTTGCCGTTCGAGACCTCTCGCAGGGGTTCATACTGGAGGAACAGGAGGTCGCCATTTTTGAAGCCGACCTGGCCTACCTGGATGTGCTTGATGTCCTCGAATCTTCGGGCGTCCCCGCCTTGCGGATGATTCGACAGCTTGAGAGATGATAGATCTGTATTCTTGGGCAGATTCTCCGCTATGCGAGGAGCAAGAGCGCCAAAGCTGTCTGTGGGCGAAACATCAAGTCTGAACTGGCCATCTCGGCCACGAAATCGAAGTATCATGGTGGGACAGCTGCGTTCGGCTTTGTGAAACGACGCAGCACGGTGATGTTTTTGGTTGAGGGTTGAACGGCGACTGAATTGAAAGCTTGACTGGTGAATAAGACAGGACGGCGGCAGAGAATGCTGAAAGCTGGGGGGCCTCTGTGAAGATGTTCAAGTGGTGAAAGTGTAAGGGCATTCCAGCGGCGAGTTTGCTGGGGAGTGGGTCGGAGTTTGGCTGACGTAGAAAGCTCCAGCCTGGAGCTGTCCGCCGCCTAAACGCTGACTATGCCCTATGCGGACTCAAGCCACGCATTGCATTTGGCAGTCTGTCCTGCCGTGGTCGAGTACGTGAAGTAACGAAGCCACCTCCAAAAACCCGGTCTGGCTCAGCTGAATCGATTTTGGCCACTTTAGAAACCTGTAGGATCCTCGTTTGGATCGATTGGACATGCAATAGAGAGGCCAAATGTCCCCTCCAAAGCCTTGCGAAGGTGCCATCTCGGACTTGAACGGCGCACGTTTGTACAACTGCTCACCAGCGTGCACGTCACAAGACATCTTGTGCGCAAAGCCCTGGTCGTCTCCATGTTGGAATCGTGTATGTGGAGATCAAGTGCTTTCGATCGTGCCTGAAGGCAAGGCTGTGGTGCAGCCTCGTGGACGCAAAATCTTGCTTCAAGACAGCTAGAACGACGTGTTCTCCGTGTCTACGTGCCTCCGCAGAATTTCGCGATGGCACACTTTGAATATAAGAACGAGTGACCAGAAAGCAAGCCTGCAGTCCATCTCGTCGGCCAAAGGTTTCGAGCTCGTAGTTACCCGACTGCGCTGCGAGTTGCGGTGCCAAGACTGCGGCCGTTCAACGTGTCCCTTACACGACCGGCGCCGCGCTCATACAAACGAAATAGCTTGAACTTTTCGAAATCGCCATGAGGTAGCGCCCGACAACCACCCTTCTCTTCTTGTCATTCTACAACGCCTTTTTCGGGTCTCGTGCATCACACGTCAAATATGGTCAACTGGCTGAAGCTAGCGCTTCCCATTGTATATTTGGGCATCTTGCTCTCTTCGCTCTATGCTTTCAGCACGCTCTATCGTAAAAGAAAAGCAGGTACGTTCTATGTCAAGTCGCCGACCCGCACCAAAGAAGAGGATTGACTGTTCCTCCTGCAGCCAGAGCGGCGTCTCTAGAGCCATGGTTTGGGCCGCACGTTCAGCGAAATATCTACCTATCTCTTCTGCACATCGAACCGTCAGACACCCAGCCGAAAATCCCTGAGTCGGTAATCAAAGCCGCATTGCTGAGACGGGCGACGGAAGACATTCACAGGATAATGTCGATACGAAACAGCAAGGCAGCCCTCAGTGCGCTTCTTCAAAGGGGCAGCGTAGGTGATGATTTGTGGCAGCGGTTCCTCCGCGCAGAGAAGGAGATTGAGGAGGAACTAAGAGACGTTGTCAACGAGGTACGTGGCAGATTGCTCACCGCACTCACGCAGTCCACATGCTGATCTCCAAGCCAAGGCCAATGCATTTTCGCCAAGCTGGGGCCAAACCATCTTCCAATCCGCCAGCGAGATTGCCCAAAACCAGATGCTGCGCAAACGCCTGGCCGAGCTCCAGGCGCAGAAGGAGTCAGAGAAGGAGTGGTGGGAGAACAGGCAGAAGAGCATTCAGGCTGAATTCATGAAGGAGCTTGAAAGCGACAACGTAGAGACCGCAACTACAGCACAACATGCGAAGACCCCGAGCCGCACCAGCGACGACGACGCGGTGCTCGTGGAGGGCGGCGGTCCGGCCGACAAAGGGATCCAGCAAGGTGGCGGCAAGAAGAAGAAGGGAAAGGGCAAACACTAAGCATACATCCTGGCGGCGACTTATGAAGCACGAATTTGATTTCGGAAATCAAAGGGTGGCGATGAATTTTGACTAAAGTCACTACGTTTCTAGAAAGCAAAAGGGAAATCTGGTCGTAGCACTCTTCTGCATTGCTTTCTGCATGGCGACTCATGGAAATACTGTATTATACCAGTAGCGACTTCAAGGTGCATATGAGATCTCATTAGGCGCAAGGGGCTGGGCCCGTAATTCGTTGGCTTTGGACAAACATTCTGTTGATGGACTACTGCGTACCCGAATACTGCAAAATATATCAAGATCCGTACCGTACAAGCACGTACCGTCTTCGCCTTCTTTCTCAAAACGCCCGGATAATAGATAGATACATCCAAGCGACAGTGAACTGCCACTCTCACAATTTTTAACCTTCCGTCTAATTACAGGGTTGTCACCCCTCCAATTCACCTTGCAGTTGGACCACTAACACCAGCCCCAATTACGCTTGGCAACTCCTGGTTGCCCATCTCGTACAACATGCTCAACCCAAAACCAACAATACCCATCAAAAAGATTGTCGTCCCAGCCAGAAGCCAGAATGGAAAGACAACATCCTTCTTGTGGCACGCTGCGCCGCCAAACTTCGTCGTCTTCTTGCTGCCATCTGAGTTGGTACGCACCTCTGGCTTGGTGCACGCGCACCCATAGCAGTCCTGCTTCGACACACTGCCACCCTCATTGGTAGTCTCTGTGCTCCACTTGAGTATACATGAGCCGTGGCTAGTACAGTTATTTGTGCCACGTTCGCAGGCTGAACGTGATGAGAAGCACGTTGGGATAGGGCCACTGAGGACCTTGCTGGCGAGAAATGGAGACACGAACTCTTCCTCTACGAGGGATGCCCCCGGTGATGAGGCTGATTGTTGCTTGGATATCAGGGGTTGTTCTTGGGAGGCTCTTTGCGCCTTTGCGGCACGCTTGGTCAGGCCAAAGGGATTTTTAGAAGTCTTGGTGGACTTCGAAGCTCGTGGGATGAACATAATCGAAAGCGACATCTTCCGCTCAAGTGCCAGGCTGTAAACGTCTTGCAGTGTCTTGCCTAACAGATCGAGCTGCTCTACTCCCTTAGTTGTCTTAACATGCAGTAGAACCCGTCTGTTGGCAAATGCTTTAAGCGTGTTCTCGGGATGCTCTGCCTCAGCGGCAAGTGCTTTCAGCAACTGGTGGTCATCTCCATCAACCGTCGGAATGCTTGCCGCTTCCGAGGCGAACGTAGAGAATAGCTGGAAGCTATCTTCGGGATGAGGCGCAGGAGAGATCGAGAACGTCTGGAAGCCTTTCAGAGTTGGGACTGTATTACAATCAGCCGGTGAACGAAGTTGTGAAATGCGAGAGGGTTTTACAATCTTGCTCATCCATGCCATCAATCACAATCAGCAGTCTCGAGACTGGCTTCGATTGCCTATCATATCCAAACAGTGCTTGTTGCTTCGAGCTGAATGCATTGATCTGTCGTATTGACTCGTCGTCCACGCCTAAAATGCTATGATATTGTCCTAGGCCCAGTCTTTGTGCGAGAATCAAACGTGCTGTCGCAGCGTCAATCGTGTCCAGGCTTGATGCTGAGTCCAACGGTCCAGATTCGCTGTCGAAAACGTAAACCTTCGCAGCAGTAGATGCTGCAGCGACCGTTGACGAAGCTGCGCAAAGCAGCCAATACAACGAAAACAGCCTCATCTTGCGTGCCGTTTATGAGGGGGAGGTGTGAGAAGGAAGTGGTGGTGATCGTGTTTGCCCGGAGCGCAGCTGTATCAATGGCGGAGCAACTCAAGTCTTGGCAGGTCTGCCACTCACTCATTGCAAGGCCGAAAGCATTATTGGATTCAACACACGACACTTCACATCTAATAAACATTAACCCTACTTTGAATCACAAGCAAGGATCGCATGCCAATACTTTCGCCGATGAAAGCAGCATAATGATCTGAATCGCCACCCATGCATACCCAGTACATCAGCCTGCGTTCACGATCTGATTACCATCGCACATGTTCAGACGGCCAGCGCTGCGGCAGTTCTCGTCCCTGAGCCGCTCGCAGTTTCGATTACAACAGGCATCACGATTGCAGATTCGACCCCCGCCTGTGGTTCAAAATGGGACTCCGGTGAAGCATTACCGGGTGCGTTTCGTGAAGCCGCCGCTCCTGTCGTGGAGGCGATCGCGGAAGTGGCTACTGTACGGGATGACTTTCTGGGCATTTCTACAGTACGTTCTGCCAGAGTTTATAACGATATCCTTCGAGGAAGTGGAAGAGGAAGTTGTCGGCGAGGATGGCGAAGTGGATGTGCAGACTGAGGAAGGAGAGGAAGAGGTGGAAGAAGGATTATTCATTCCTTTTGGATGGCCGAAGAAACAGCCCAGGACTTACTACCGTGCATCTGATCCTGAGTGGAAGGAGTTTATGAAGTTTTCGAAGCAAGTTGAAAGACACAAAGAAGTACAGCGTAAGTTTTGATCTAGGTGTATCGAACGTACGTTAACTTGAGCCCAGGTCGCCTCGTCTCCGCGATACGCTCGGAAATTGCGGGATTGCCGGGTACAAAGCGTTTACTTGGAGCTGTAGACGTCAGCAAAGGCAGATATTGGCTTGAAATTGTCTTCCCGGATGGCCCGCCGCAAGACTATGAAGTTCACGGTATCGAGATCACCGACGAGTTTGTGGCGTGGTCAGTCAAGACTGTATCACAGAAGGAATATGCGCGGCTTTGTCGAACGATGATTCCTACAGCAACCATAAAAGCGTCATGGGCATCGATCAAATATCAATTTGACATCCAGGCGAATAAAGTACGTGAATATCTTGGTTTGCAACCCAAGATTGATCCAGAGGTGGCTCTCATCAAAGCTTCATTGAGGGAGCGGCCGAATACGAAGCACTTTGGCAGTGGAAATAATTCACCAAAAACGCCAGCGAATCCATTGTCAAAAGGTTTCCCACCTCAGCCTATAACGTCGCCATCAGGGCAGAATGCTGAAGCTTCAAATTCGGAATCTTCTGAACCCAGCATCCCACGATTGCCGTCAATTGTCCCCCGTGGCGAGAACAAGCCAGTCACACTTGCTCTCTTTCTCCACAACCTCAGGAAGAACAGAGGTCCCACGCCTATCGAACCTCCACGCGGAAGTGTAGTTGTGACTGGTCTCATTGAAGTAATTGGGACGAATGGTAGGGTCACATTAGATGTGTCCGCAGCGTTCGACCCACGAAGTGACGAGTACGTTTTGTGGTCATGGCGACCACGAAGAATTCAACCGAAGGCCCAGAGACCAAAGGGAGGACCTTGAACAACTTTGCTATGTACTATGCATGGGTTGGCGTCAGTTTAAGAACTGGGAGAAAGCATCGCGATGATGGCTGGAGTTAGAATACCATAAAGATACCAAGTTTGGCCTCAAGCGTGAATTCTTTCCGTAAGAATAATCAAAGATTCCCTACCGCTCTCGTTTGTTCTAGCCGCCGCATTCTTCGTCGTGCCCAAAGTTGTGTTTGGAAGCAGGCAGATTGAAGGTAGGCTGAAAGGCTACCAATTGTAGTTTAGCTCCAGAAATTTATCGATAGTAAGTTTTCGGCGTTCAAGAAAAGTTTCGCAACAAACAGGCAGTTCACAGTTACTACAACCCAAGAAGCCATTGCATCGGAGCATTCAAAGAGTTCGAGCACTTGAGAAATTCCAGAAATATTGCCACATTATTCCGTACGCTAGTGTTACTGCGGAAGCGCAGACGGCGCATCCGTGGAAGAAGCAGTAGGCGAAGATGGTGAAAAAAGCGATTGATTCTCGTATACCAAGTATGCGTTCCGTAAGAGCTCTTCAGCCGGCGTCTGCTAACTTTGCGTCTTTTAGCACTTATACGGAACAATGCGCAGGAAAGAAAACGGTCGTTCTTTGTCATCGTGGGTGATAGGCAGAAGGACGTAATTGTAAACCTCTATCATATTCTCCTAAATGTCGATCTCAAGTTGAACAAGTCTGTCTTGTGGGCGTACAAGAATAAGCTCCTAGGATTTACTTCGCATCGTAAGAAGCGAGAAAAAAAGATCAAGAAGGAGATCAAGAGAGGAATTAGGGATCCGGACACTGAAGACCCGTTTGAATTGTTCATAAGTACGCAGAGCATCCGATATGTATACTATAAAGAGACGGAAAAGATCCTGGGTAACACGTATGGCATGTTGATTCTTCAGGACTTCGAAGCATTGACACCGAATCTGTTAGCGAGGACTGTGGAGACTGTCGAAGGAGGAGGGCTCGTACTCCTGTTGCTAAAAGGCATGAACAGCCTGAAGCAACTGTACACATTGACCATGGATGTTCACTCAAGATATCGAACGGAAGCCCATGGAGATGTGGTCGCGAGATTCAATGAACGGTTTATCCTCAGTTTAGGAGGCTGCGAAAGTTGCCTTGTCGTGGACGACGAGTTGAATGTGCTACCAATATCTGGTGGCAAAAACGTCAAACCCTTACCTCCTCCAGCATCAGATGAGATTGAGGAATCAAAGGAACTAGCCGATATGAAGGAAAGTCTTGCGGAAACACAACCAGTCGGCTCGCTCGTTACGCTTGCAAAAACAGTCGATCAGGCGAAAGCTCTCTTAACCTTCGTTGATGCTATCGCCGAAAAGACTCTCCAAAGCACAGTCACACTGACCGCAGGTCGTGGTCGAGGCAAATCGGCAGCACTAGGTGTAGCTGTGGCTGCAGCTATTGCCCACGGCTACAGCAACATATTCATAACATCACCAAGTCCGGAGAACTTGAAGACTCTGTTTGAGTTCGTGTTCAAAGGATTTGATGCTCTGGGATATCTTGATCATGTCGACTACTCGATCATTCAATCTACTAATCCGGACTTCAACAAGGCTATCGTGCGCGTGAATGTACATCGACAACACAGGCAAACGATACAGTATATTCAACCGCAAGATGCGCATGTTCTTGGTCAAGCAGAGCTCGTGGTAATTGATGAGGCAGCTGCTATTCCACTACCTCTGGTACGGAAACTCATTGGGCCATATCTAGTGTTCATGGCCTCTACAATCAACGGTTATGAGGGTACTGGCCGTTCGCTGTCGCTGAAGCTCATACAGCAACTTCGGGAGCAAGCTAGTGGTTCAAGCAAACCTGCCAACGATGATACAATTATCGCAGACCGATCTGGAAAGAATACTTCAGGAGCAGTCACGACTGGCGGTCGATCATTACGAGAAATTACGCTGTCAGAACCGATCCGATATGCTCCTGGAGATAGTGTAGAGAAATGGTTGAACAACCTCCTCTGCCTTGACGCTACGCTTCCGCGGTCACGCCTTCGCACATTAGGGTGCCCACATCCTGACGACTGCGAACTTCTCATTGTCAACCGCGACACCTTGTTTTCCTACCATCCTGTATCTGAACGATTCTTGCAACAGATGATGGCTCTCTATGTTGCAAGTCACTATAAGAATTCACCGAACGATTTACAGCTCATGTCAGACGCGCCAGCGCACCAACTATATGTCCTTGTTCCCCCGATTGATCGAACGGCAGCGAATCAGTCGCTTCCCGAACCATTATGTGTGATCCAGGTGGCTTTGGAAGGTCAAATCAGTCGCGAGAGTGTGCTCAATAGTTTAAGTCGTGGTCAGCGTGCTGCTGGAGATTTGATCCCATGGCTTGTAAGCCAACAGTTCCAAGATGAAGACTTTGCTGGATTATCTGGGGCAAGAATTGTCCGGATAGCCACCAATCCGGAGTATATGAACATGGGATATGGATCTAAAGCACTGCAGCTGCTTACCGATTTCTACGAAGGCAAATTCATGAATCTGAGCGAGCAGGAACCGCGTGAAGAAGAGCACATGGTACGCGTCACAGATGCAGAACTGGAGAATTCGACCTTGCTACAAGACAATGTTAAAGTTCGGGATATCAGCGCCATGCCTCCCTTCTTCGCGCGACTTCACGAACGCAGACCTCCTACCCTTGATTACATGGGAGTTAGTTACGGGTTGACACAGCCTTTGCTCAAGTTTTGGAACCGAGGGGGTTTTGCACCAGTTTATCTTCGACAGACACCCAATGATCTAACCGGCGAACATACATCGGTCATGATCAGAGCGCTGCACAAGGATGAAAATGATGTCAGCTGGCTGGGCGCCTTCGCTCGTGACTTCCATCATCGATTTTTGAATTTGCTTTCTTACCAATTCCGTACCTTCCCTGCGTCTTTATCACTGACTATCGATGCCTCAGCGCTCAAGGGAAGCGAATTAGACACATCTTCACCACCGAAGCCCTTGAGCAAAGCAGAGCTTGATGAAATATTTTCACCATTCGATCTAAAGCGCTTGGACAAATACGCCGACCAAATGCTGGATTACCATGTTATTCTTGATCTGCTACCGACAATCGCAACTTTGTACTTCTCCGGGCGATTGAAAGACGCGGTTAGTCTGAGTAGAGTGCAACAAAGCATTTTACTAGCCGTTGGATTACAACGCAAGACCATCGAGGATCTGGAAAAGGAGCTCAATCTTGCGGTAAGCCAACTATTAGGCTTGTTTGTGAAAATAATGCGGAAGTTCTCCACAGCTTTCAGGAACATGATCGAAGGTGCAGTGGCCGAGACAATGCCAAAACCAAATGAGAATGGAACAAATGGCGCAGAAGCTGGGGATGACTCAAAATTCAAGCCAGTAGCTATGACTCTCGAGGAAGATCTGGAGGAAGGTCGACAAGAGGTGCTTGACGCTGAGAGGCAGCGGGTGAGGGAGCTGATAAACGCCAACGTAGAAAAGTAAGTAACCAACTGCCTACATGACGAAGAAAAGGCTTCTAACGGAGTGAAACAGGTATCAACTCGCGGAAGCCTCAGCCGAGGACTGGGAGGAAGCGGAAAAGCATGTGGCGTTGGGTAAGAGCACGAGCGTCGCTGTGAAAGTCAAGAGCAACGATTCGAGAAAGAGAAAACCTGGAGAGGCATTGGCAGAAGCCCATAGGGAAATGGAACGTATAAAAGAGAAGAAAAGGCCCAAGAAGAGCAGGATGTAGAGAAGATGCAAAGCATCGTTTAATACTCAAGTGATACCCGATTGCCTGTCAGTCGCCTAGCCGCCTCTTTGCCCAGGCAGAGGGAGTATCTTTCTTTTAGGCTCAGGCCCATCATTTGTACCGTCCATATCTGTATCCATGTCATCGGCCGCAGTATCTCTGTCCATGATCCTCTTTCCCGCAGTCTTCACCTCCGCAAATTGCAACCAATAATTTTCGTCGTACCCATCCACCAACGCCCGGAAAGGCGCACCACCGGCCACCCATCCTTTGATCCCACCTTCGAGAACATAGACCTGAGGCTCTGCCATGTTTTCGGGGACGCCCTCTGCTTGACTGCGCATAGCGACGTAGTCCGCGAACCAGCCTGCGCAGCGGGGTCCACGACCCGATGAAGATCCACAGTAGAACATAACTCTGCTAATGACGCTTACACCATCACCTTTGCAAAGGCGGTATAGCGTAGCCATGTTCTGATAGAAAGACTGGGCCGGGATATTGAGTGAGTTGCGAATACAGCCGCCCTCATAGTCCGTCCTCCGTACCTATTGCCTCCTACTTAGTAGCGGAATCGTGTGCACAAGAAGGGCTCAAGCGGGACCCCAAATATGGGGCCCGCGATAAGACACACAAAAAAAATTCATTTACGAACATCGATGATTAGCGTTCCGGCGTTCAGGACATCGCCCAAGATCTGGAATTGGCGCAGCAGGTCCTCCTTCGAGTACAAGGGCGGGGAGCGTTCCGGCTGCGGAAATTTGCTCCACCAAGGAGGCTCCTCTGCTGCCATTGTTGATCGGTGACGGAGAGCTATGGTTCTGACGGCTTGACGACGAAGACAAGCGAACAAGAAGAACGAAGCTGGACCATGAGAGAGGATGGGCCGGGCAACGAGCTGGACGATAGAGAGATCACGGGTGTGCGCACAGGTGCAGAAAGCAGTCGGATCTGGCGTGCTCTTCGCGTACGGAAAATCAACCCACGAATCTGTCACAAAACTTTGGATGCTGAGACCAAGAAACCCAAGAGGGGTGATTGACCAATGGTCTGGGGTGCTGAGAAGGCGACGTGCATGCGCAGCGTGCGGGAGTACTGTAGCTGGGGCAAAAGCGACAGCTCGTCCCTGCATGGCGATCATGGGCCATGAACCTGCAAAGACTTGGGTCAATCTGGACTCTACGACCACGAACGTGGACGGCAGTTCGTAGCGCGTTAGAAGTTTGTGTCCGTCTGCTCCTTGGAGCAAAGAGCGCTCCCGTCGCAGGAGAACAGGCATTTGGACGGGATCCTTCGCCTCGGTCGCACATTTCATCGAGGCGGAGACTCACGGCATGTAGTCCTTCGACGCGGACCTCTTTTTCGACTGTACGTAGAGCTCGACCATATCGCGCGATCCATAAGGGTGCCGCAGATGCCCCACCCCTCCAATGAGCAGCTCATGGTGGAGCAAAACGACAAGGCTGAAAGGGCGAAAAACGAGGGGTGGATGCGGCCTGACGCTTCTCGCGGCGCGCCAGGAACGGCTTTTGACGGAGGCGCGACGAGAACGCTGAGACGGTCGAGATGTTCGAGACGGTCCGTCGAGCGATGATCGACTACGCAGGCAGTCCCGCCGCCTGGCGTCGAACAGCTGCGTTCCCATCGAGAGATTTCTGGAAGGTAAGGGAGCGCAAGGCCAAGCAGGCACCAGAGATCCTACGCGCGTCAGCGCACCGTCTCGGCGGAAAGAGGACAGATTAGCAACTGCGAAAAGGGTGCGAGGTTACGGAGTTGGCAAACCCAACAGGAGGACGGCGTGGATTCGCAAGGTCCAGGCACACGCCGTATACACACAGACACAAGACACACACACACAGCCCACAAGCCCGCCCGTTCGTCGTCCGGGCTTGCCGCCGCATGCAAAATGCGGAAGTCAAGCCACAGTGTCACCCCATCCATCGTCCCATGCCAATCTATTCAACCCGTCCGTGTCCACACCATGCGCGACAGTGACATGTTCTCAGCTTATATACTCCGCTGCTGATCGCTGTTTACGTGGTTGGCATTTCCTTGTCTTTGTCCACTTTCGTCCGCCCTCCACAGATTAATGATCAATCTGTAACACACGTTCGCGCCACTTGGCCTTGCTTGGTCTTCCCGCCGGACACACCTACTGTTTCACTCGTTTGGTAATGTATGTCCTCCTCTCCTCTCCACTAATTTCGTTCGTCCTTTGCTCGCTTTCTATGCTTTCTGTGACGGCGATCCGCTGACAACTTGAGCTCATCGTGCAGACTACGCCGAAGACGTTTCTGGCGAGGACTTCGACATGCCCTCGGCTGCGACGCTCTTCTACCTGGCAGTCTTTTCGCTGCTGGGGACGTCGTACAGCAAGAGTGGCGCTTCTGCGCCCTCGAAATCGAAAGATGTCGGCTCAAGTGTCTGCGACGTACGTCCCACCAAGTCGACGACTCCCTTTCGCCTGAGGCATAGAGCTCAAAGAACTTTCTCGCAGCTTGAACCAAACTCGGTCGTTTCCGATGCATGCGCTTCATATTCGACGCTCGAAGATCTAAACACCGTCATACATCCTCACTTGCACGCCGTCACTCAAGACACAGACTTTTTCTCTCACTACAGGCTGAACCTCTTCAACAAGGTCTGTCCGTTTTGGTCCGACGAAAATGGCATGTGCGGAAACATCGCATGTGCAGTGAACACGCTGGACAACGAGGAAGACATTCCTTTGCCGTGGCGGGCTGAGGAGTTGGGTAAGCTGGAGGGGCCAAAGGCCCAGCATCCTGGAAAGAAACTTCAGCAGGAACGACCAGCGCAACGACCACTTCAGGGCCAACTGGGCGAGGATGTTGTCGAAAGCTGCGTTGTGGAATATGACGACGAGTGCGACGAGCGGGATTATTGCATACCGGAAGACGAGGGTGCCGGTAGCAAAGGCGACTATGTGAGCTTGGTGGACAATCCAGAGCGATTCACAGGATACTCTGGCACCGGTGCGCATCATGTGTGGGATGCCATATACCGCGAGAACTGCTTCCACAAGTCTGCACCTAGCCCTCCCGGCTCCTCGGACCAAATGTCGCCCAACCAGCTGCTCCAAATGGGAGCTGCTAACGACCTAAGGAACGTGATCAAGTCGCACGAGCTATCCCAAGGCATGCAACAGGCCATTGCACGCGGAGATGAAAGCTTCTCCATCGACGAGCTAGACTTCGACGACCAGTGTATCGAGAAACGCGTTTTCTATCGGGTCGTCAGTGGTATGCACGCTTCGATCAGTACGCATATCTGCGCCAACTACTTTAACCAGACCACCGGAGAATGGTTCCCCAATCTCACTTGCTACAAGCAACGCCTCCACGAGTACCCTGAACGCATCTCCAACCTCTACTTCAATTACGCCCTCCTCGTCAGAGCTGTCGGCAAGTTGGGCAAGCAATTACAAAGCTACACCTTTTGTTCTGCCGATCCTAGTCAAGATCGGCATACTAAGGCTCTGGTGCAGTCGCTGATCAAAGCCATTGGAAGCGGCGGCGAGGTCTTTGATGAGACAGTCATGTTTAAGACGCAGGAGGCGGCAGGTCTAAAAGAGGAATTTCGTAGCCGCTTCCGGAACATCAGTCGAGTCATGGACTGTGTAGGCTGCGATAAGTGTAGGCTGTGGGGTAAGCTTCAGACAAACGGTTATGGCACGGCTCTTAAAGTGCTGTTCGAATTCGACGAGAAGAATCCGGAGAACAATCCCCCGATCAGGAGGACTGAACTTGTTGCGCTGCTTAACACCCTCGACAGGGTGAGCCACAGCTTGCAAGCCATCGTCGATTTCAGAAGACAGATCGAGCAGGAGGAGTCTGCTCATGCGCACGAAGAATGGTTGAAAGGCCGTGAGCCCGCCAGTAAGACGCAGGTCGGCAACAAGACTAGAAAGGCAGAACTGCTCGACGACGGCTTCCCCGACATCAACCGAAGGAACGATCCCAACATGACCTTGAGTGAGATTTTCATGGATGAGTTGAACATCATCTGGAGCATGTACAAATATGTTCTGCGGAGTTGGATCGAATTTCCCGCCAAAGCGTGAGTACACTTTGCGTACCGTCAGAATCTCAGAAAGTGGCATGTCTAACGTTGCGAAATTGCAGTTTCCGTATCTCCATCTGGGAGATGAACAGATTTTGGTGTTCCTTCCTGGGATTGAGAGTCCCTGAGAGGAATTGGGAATGGCGCATACCATCGCCTGGCACAAGGCAACAGATATTTCATGAGCGCGATGAAATATGAGACGAAGTACTCGTCCTGGTACATCTTTCAGCACATATCAAAAGCATAAGGGGCGTTTTGGAATGGTGAAGCATTTTTTAGGCGCAAGGGAGCGATAGACTCGCCGCCCAACAGTTTCATAGTTGGCGTAACTCGGATAGCGTCCAAGAGAATCATCTCAACTTGAGATCTTCCCCAGCGATTTAAACTTGACCATGCCATGATATCAGTGTTCACACATGACTCTCGCGTCGCAAAGGAAAAGAAAAATGGGTAGATTTAACAGCGTGCCCTAAGATCGAGCACTGCCCAAGGACAGGAAAATTATTACTGTTCTAGTCGTATGCACGGCAAGATTGGAACAAAGTGTCGGCAGCCTGCCGAATCGCATTGTATCTGGTATAGAGCAGAGAACAGCATTGTAACAAAAGATGCAGAAGAATAGACGGAGTCTCTGCAGGATCGCTTGTTCGTGACACGTTCAAAGGCCATTGCCAGCAGTCACCGCGCGGCTATTCTGGGACGCTTCGAGAGCAGCTGTGGCTGAGCTTGGGCGAAGTCAGCCCTACGCGAGTGACGGAAAACCGTCAAAGAGATTGTCTCACCAACTTTAGTTCAATCCCCCTCGCTTGCGCAGAATCGGACGCGTAGTTGCGTCGCATGGCCTGCGTTGTCCCGTAACGTCAACGTCTCTCGTCTTATCGTACGAGTCCCCTCCACAACCGCCGGCTGCTCGTAGCGACGGCCGTCCCGAAGTATATCCCCGTGCTCCTGCAGGACCGCGATACAGCCACACAAAGACCAGCTCCTTTCGTCGACGCAGTCTTCCCTTTCAGCTTCTCCGCAGCCATACGACTCGTGGTCGCCGGTCGCGACAAAGGTTTTGCCAGCATGGCTTCGACATTGTTGGATCTGTTTTACTCCTTCGGGATGTGCTTCAGCTGCTTCCCGAGTTCTCCGCAACTGAAGATCAACGGGAAGAGCTTCAAGATACTACGACTCTTGGGCGAGGTGTGCACCTTCGCAAAGCATAAAGTCACGGCCACGTTGGGTACTGACCATTCGCGCTGCAGGGCGGCTTTTCATACGTCTACCTCGTTGAGAATACGTCCACTCACGAACTCTTCGCGCTCAAGAAGATACGATGTCCGTTTGGCCAGGAATCGGTGTCTCTTGCCTTGAAAGAAGTTGAAGCATACAGTCTCTTCTCGCCGAACCCCAACATCATTGCCGCCATCGACCACTCCGTCGCAAGCGACAAGTCAGACCCGGGTGCGAAGACTGTTTACATTCTGCTTCCGTACTACAGACGCGGCAATTTGCAAGACATGATCAACGCGAACCTGGTCAACCACACAAAGTTTCCGGAGAAGCGGCTGATGCAGCTGTTCCTGGGGGTGTGCAAGGCGCTGAAAGCCATGCATCAGTACAGGGTCAAAAGCGGCGACAGAAGTCAGGCTCAGGCGCGGAGAATCAGGGAGGGAGCTGCGGCTGCAGACAGAGAAGCTGCACAGGAGGCTGGTGGCGACGACGACGACGACGACGACGAGGCAGAGGAACCGCTCATGGAGGCTGGCGGCGAAATCACCAGAAGTCAAGATGGCGTCGCGCCGGGGCAAGTGAGGGCATATGCGCACAGAGACATAAAACCAGGTATTTGTTTTTGGCGATTGGATCGTACTTCTTTGGAATACAGGCTGACATTGCCTAGGAAACGTCATGATTGCAGATGACGGCAAGACGCCCATCCTTATGGATCTCGGCTCGCTCGCCCCATCGCCTACTCCCATCACATCCCGATCGCAAGCTCTTGCCGTTCAAGATCAAGCTGCCGAACATTCCACTATGCCGTACCGCGCTCCCGAGCTGTTCGACGTCAAAACAGGCTCGACAATAGATACGAAGGTTGACATCTGGTCTCTCGGCTGCACATTGTATGCTTGCTTGGTAGGCAAGTCGCCATTCGAAGCACGATCAGATGAAACGGGCGGCAGCCTAAGTCTGTGCGTCTTGGGAGGCGACTGGAGGTTCCCCGACGAAGGCGTCCCGAAGAGAAGACAGAGCAATAAGCCTGCGCAGCAGGAGTTGAGAGGGGATGAAAATGCGATTAGCGAAAGCGTCAAGGACGTGGTTAGGAAGTGCTTGAGAGTGGAGCCGGCGGAGCGACCGGACATCGATGAGCTGATAACGATCGTGGAAAAGGTCATTGCAGAGTTACCGGATGACTCGAGCAGCTAATCGCTCTTGCTAAGACTTGCTCTCTTTGCACGAACTTAGTTTTTTGTTGTTTTTTTTTTTTTGTTTTTGGATCTAGGGGGTGTTCTCTCTGGCGCATGAAAAGGCATCCTCGAGCTTTTCCCCTGCAAGCGCTTTGAAATAGTAATGGCGTGTTCGGTAGGGATATGATTATAGCGTCGTCCACTCGGCAGCTTTTTCTATAGGAGATGAAATTCTTCTTACCATCTCTCTGTGCTTTGTTCGAGCCATCAGGCCCTACGAAACTTTGCGCCTCCGGACGATGCGAGAAGTGACGACGTTCGATTTTGAGGACTCACGGATGATGGCACGTTCTAGAATGAAATGGGCTGTCCCAGAGCAATCCTCGACGGGGCGGTCGCAATGCGGGAGTTCATATTGCCCGTAGGCTGAGTATCACGGTTGGATGTGTTCTACAGATACGATGGAAACCGATTTCTTCGCACGGCAAAGCAAGCAGTCCCAAACCGCGCCTAGTTCTTAAGATTTTGAGCGTTAGTTTGAAAGTGACTTGGAAGACCGATTATCTTCAAAGACTGTTGATAGCCCTGCACATGCTGAAATGAGAGGAGGTCCAAAGTGAAGAGAAGTGCAAATCTCCTTTTTACCATCTCATATCACATCATCAGAAATACGACGGCCATTTCGTTGCTCTCGTGGTCGCCAACTTGAGCTTTCTCTCCAACAGCTTCACCCGCTGCTCAACCTCAATCATTGGTGTTTCACACCCCCTCAAGCCAATAAACTTCCCAAACATTCTCCTCTTGATGGCCAATCTCTCTTCTGGAGATAAGCACGCTCTTCTTTCCTCCTCGCCCATCGAAGAGTGTGGCACGGCGAGGAAATCCCTGTCCCAATTCATGCAGGCTGGGTATTGGAGACGCCAGGGGTTTCCGGGTGATATTTGGTGGTAGTATTGTGCCAATGCGTCGAGTTGCGACTCAGTGAGTAGCCAATAATGTAGCAGAGTTTTAGGATAGGCGGGGTGCGGTGGTCCGGATGGGAGTGGATAGATGGGCGCAAGCTTGAGTCTCATCTGCGAGATTTTGTTTTGAAGTTGTGTGTTAGGACGTTTGCGTATTGACGCCATTGCCAGCAATCGATGTTTTATGGTACTCTGAGCTGATGATAAACTCGTACGAATAGTGGTGTTTGAAGCAATCCAATAATGTTCTATATTTCCGTTGGTATCGTGATCATGAAGTTTATGGCATAAAAAAGGAGGTAGACGAGTAATGTTTGGCAAGGAGGCCAAGAAATAGGTCGAGTAGCAGTCTTTATTCGGCATATCAGACAATAACTCATTGTCGGTTTTATGGTCTTTTTCTCCATTTCTGTCTAGTAGAACAAAGAAAGATTGAAGGGAGTGTAAACATCTTTGGAGAGAACAATGATTTCCATAGAACAATCGGACTTGGGGGTCTTGTGTTACCACGTCTGCGCACACATTAGCCGTGAAGAGGGGCTGGCGCAACTATGACGTGAGATAACCTTTACTCCATCTGATCTCGACGTGCTCTCGACTTCGTCACTCGCCCGAACACTTATTTCCCAAATGTCTTTGAGTCTCTGCAAGGGTTGGGCAGCCTGCCAAAGGAGGGAAAGGTTCGGTCGGTCTCCAAATCTAGCCAGACTAGCTCGCAAACTGGATTCCAGATACGTTGCGGACCAGAGATACAAATTGAGGGCGACATTTTTGAGGCTCCTGGAACAGTGGAGAACGTCTAACACCGTTTCTAAGTTATACAATTGCGCAGCCGATCATCTAAGCCGTTTTTGTTTCGAAACTTGCCTGTACCAATTCCAAAAATATGCATATTGAGCGAACAAGACCACATCAAGGCAAACCATCGGATTGAATAATCAAAACCCGTTGAGGACTCCAATTGTTGGCATTATGTAAATAGGCAAGTTTGGTCCACGCTGCTGTCGGAATTGAAGTCGATCCTTGAGCTACATAGCTCTACTTGGAAGCTCGAAAGCCTCGAGGATTCTAAAAGTAACCGAACTGGTCCACCTAATAAATATTTCAAGCCAAATCTGGGTATGACACCCGATGTATTTGGAGCAAATTTAAAGGACTAGTGGGCAGCCAGGCTGAGCCTGAGAAAGAGGCAGCGGCATGACTACATTTAGTGACATGAATGGATCTAAAGAGCGGCATCTGACCAGAAACTGCAGCTGAGGGGAGCCTCTTCTGGAAGTTTGTCATATATATGATTGCGTACTTCGCTAGGAAGTCATAGGATTCGTCGCCCCGCTCGCGTTTAAGCTGCATGGCAAACGGAGTGTATCTTCTCCTAGTGGCCCAAGTTCCGAAATCCGAGTCCTTATGGATTTGATCCACATTCTGTCTCTGTATTAGGTCATTCGCCGCTCGACTCTGGGAAGCGTTGGCAACCAAAGAAATTGCCGTCCTAGGCTTCAGGTTTGATACACGCTCTGCGGCTTGTGATGGTACGAATCTGAGGTGAGTCAAGCAGGGAGCGTGTCTGGAAAAGGCCAAGATGTCGCTATCGAAAACGATGAGATGTGTCGAAAAAGTACTGGCGGTGGACGCTCGAGGTCACGTTCATTGATTGGGTTTGTTATCGTCACAACAGTCGAAAATCTCCGGCATCGGAAGCGAGAAGCGCGTCGCGAGAACGGTGGAAGGGGAAGCACTCGGCCACGCGCGCGTTTGTCTGTGGGTTTCCAAGAGCCAAAACCTACAAAGAAGTCCAAGTTCTCAGCATCTCAGTGATTGCTCCCAAAGTCAATGGCAGAAACGCCCAACGTCATTCACGAACCGCCGTCTCTGCCGAGCTCCCCACACCACAAGAAGACAAAGCTGATTGACCCAGCGCCAGCCGCACCTTCAATCGCCAGTGAGTGATGCTTACATCCCGTCCAATATCTGCGGTAGCTGAGCGCAGCAAGGCGCGCTGTTTGTCGACAAGGACAAGGCAGGACGAAGATCAGCTATTATGGCTCAGAGTCTCGACTCCCCGCCAGCCCTGCAGGTGCAATTGCTAGGACCCAAAGGCAGAGCTCCAACGCGGGGAAGCGCCTTTGCAGCCGGATACGACCTGTACAGTTCAGAAGACACCACGGTTCCAGCCCGTGGCAAAGCCATGGTCGCAACCAGCATTGCAATTGCAGTACCGCCCGGAACTTGTACGACCCTCCCTCGATTCCTCCGTCTCGCCTTGAGCACATATCCACCAATCTTCTGCGCCTAACTAACAAATATGGGACCGTAGATGGCAGGGTTGCTCCGCGCTCAGGTCTTGCAGCCAAGCACAGCATAGACACCGGCGCCGGTGTCATCGACGCCGATTATCGAGGCGAGGTGAAGATCATCTTGTTCAATTTGAGCGACACAGACTTCGCGATCAAGGAGGGCGATCGCATTGCGCAGCTGATCATCGAACGCATTCTTACGCCAGAAGTCATGGTTGTCGAGAAACTGGAAGAAAGCGTCCGGGGTGCTGGGGGATTTGGTAGCACAGGCGGGTTTGGTGTTGGTGGATCAACTGTAACTGGAGTTTGAAGTAGACGGTACAAAAAGAGTTCCCGCCCAAGCCTCCACCTCCGAGTCCTGCCAGTCAGACATGAGACGCCAACGTAAGCGCGTAGCCGCGTTGTGTGGGTAATCGTATGATTCAGGGCGGTGTTCGCTGACTCGAGAAAACTTAAAAAAGGGCCATGTATCAACGCCAGCGAAAAGCAATGAAGCATGGACGCACAGGATCACAAGAGACGTTCTGGCGCACAGCAGAATCCTTCACGCAAAACCGCTCAACCGTTCGGCAGCCGTCCCGCGGCGGGTTGTACGACGGGATTTCACACAACCGCAGTCATGACGAAGTCGCAGCAACAGCAGCAGCAGCAGTAGTAGTAGTAGGAGTAGCCATCCTCACGCTCGCAACGGCGCACAGGAGTCTCGAGCGCGGGGTGCTGGCGCTCTACAGTCAAATACAGACTGATCATGGAGAGTACGTCGTGCGGTTAGCGAGATTGCGGCGCTGTGCCGCGACATGGTGATTGCGACAGCTCGCAGGATTCTGCCATGAGCGCGCAATCGCACTGGAACGCTTCGTGCATGCTAGTCATGAGACGAAACACCCCCGAAAAAAAGTAACGAGACGGCCTCTCGGGCAGGACCCTTTGATCAAACTTCGGCCTCTTGCGGTGACGGCAGCCCGGCCGGATCGAGTGTCTGCAGCGTTCTTGTGCGACCGGATCTCATGCCATGGGGCTGCATGCGGAGAAAAGGGCGACTCGTTAGGACGCGCCTGTCCCGCACGCAGCCAGACGCAGTGCGTTGGCCGCCGGCGCCTCGATGACGTCGAGGCCGCGAGCCGGCAGACGAACGCGCCAGCAAACAGCGAAACCATCCAGAGCTTCGGGTCTCCTTGCCTGCGATCCGCGAGCAGCCCAGGCACATGACCGCCGCGCTCTGCAAGTCAGGGCGCGCCACAATCTCGGCGGATCGATGCCGATTCGCCGGTCCCTGAGGCGCTGGTCGTCGCGGCGCCGCACCCAGCAAATCAGACGCTGCGCTCCGGCATTTCGTCCCGCTGGGTCTGAGCAGCCACGATACAGACTTGCTGCCGGGATTGAGGAGCCCCCTCCCGGGCCCTTGGAGTGCTCCTGTACGACTGCGCACGCGTTGGAAACCGCCTCGCGCCCAATCGACGTTCCGCGCGCACATGGAAATGAGCCGTCTGCACGTTTCCACCGACGTGACAGTACAGGCCTCCCCAGACTGTCCGTGTCCGTCCCGTGGCCGTTTCTGGGCCTCTCCTTCAGCTCGCCTGCCCATCCTACAGGAATCGGGAGTCTGAGGGGCGCAGAGGTGCTGCTGCGGTGCGACACGTCGGGCGCCATGGACATGCACGTACGCGGCCGCATCGGATCTGTCTGTTTGTCTGCTGTTCCTTCGCCTTGCACAATCATGGTCACGAGCGGCGAAAAACGCAACCCAGGCGAATGCTGACCGACAGGCGCTTCGTGCTCGCGATTCGAGGCCACAGTCATGCCGATCTAGATCGCCTCCCACGCCGTGACCTGAAAACTTGTACACTGTACGCAATCTCAGCAAGCATCCCGGCTTCAGCCTTGTGGTTGGCTGCGACAGGCGGGTCATCACCAGCTCATCGGATGATGTAGCAAGTCACACCTCCATAATAGTTCCGTGAACGGCTCTGGATGGTCCACGTCTGCTCACGAGGTCGTTGTTGGCACACTCACCGCTACTTTGTCCGTTCGCGCTCCTGTTCGCGAGGATATTGGAGCCTCAAAGACGAAAAAAAATGAGGGACCGAAAGACAAGTGTGGGCTCCCAATTTCGAGTCGAAAATGGGCCGAGCACTTCCTTTAATAATCTTCTATGCGGTTCGTCATCTCAAACCGTCTGCACCTAGATGAGAAGAATGAAAACTCAAAAATAAGACTTCCTGCACGCTGCGAACACCTGGGGGACTTGGTACCGATACATGTGCGCTCTGCATGGTGATCAACAGGAGCGGCAACTCGTCAGATCCCTGGTAACACACACACACGCACACACACACACAAAGCGCGGATGTGACGACTCTCGCGTAGATCATTGGAACACCATCCGTGTTCTTTTGCTGACACAGGAGACGGCCAGGGGTACTTTGGTTTTGGCACTCGGCAAATTTAGGCACCGTTTGCCATCGGACTAAGCAACATCCTAGTCTCGGAGCCAACATTAGCTGCCCCGGATGATCGGGAAACAGACGTTAGACAGGCTTAGCGAAACGGATTCTTGGGACGCTGCGCTCTTAAACTTTCTGGGTAGGCCTGGCCTGGCACGGGCCACATCAAAGATCAAATGCTCCCTTTTCTTTGATTTGCTGAAGAGATACACCGCCTAGCCAAAACACACTTCAGGAAACGGCGTCGAACCTTCTAACAGCGAAAAAAAAAGAAGGCTAGACATACCCTCGAACTACGCTCCCGATCATGGAGCTCAGGGGTCCGCTCGCAATGGGCCACTTACGTGGGAGAGCCCACTTCACGATTCGAGCGTCAGCTACGGTCAGGCCGGGCGTTCGTTCGCACATTATGATTGCTTTTCACCTGCTGAATGGCATCTCCCAAGACGCCCAGCTTGCCTCACAATAACCCACAATCACGATGCTGCCTGACTCTACGTGGTCCACATGTTGTGGCTCGGTCACTGCTTAATAGTCAGCGTGGCTCCAGTGTAGTGACGCCGTCACAAGTCGCTACCCGCTTTCCCGTTGACGGTTTTGTCCAATTCTTTGGTACCACAAGCCTTCCGTCGTGACCTGTCGCCTTCCCGTAGTCCCCGTCGTGTCAATCCTTGCGAAATATTACTTGGAGCAACAGCACACATCCCTTATATGTCTCCGCGAACTTGTCTCTTTTAAGGTCAAGCCATCATCCCGTCCAAACTTTTCTGCAATCTACTTCCAACCCTTCCCTCTCTCACTCTCTTCGCCGTCGTTCCCAAATGCGCCGATAGAACGACATTATTCCTTATTCATTTCTTTACATTCTACACTTTTGTCCGCACATAACTTATAGCCTGTCGCCTTACCTTCTCACAGACCCAAGATGGGGCTGTTGCGATATTTTGCGAGATCAAAAATGGGGTCGAAATCAGAGACAAGTTTTCCCATGCGACCTCTCTTCATCTTGGGTATGTCGTTCTGACTTGACATTTCCGGTCTGAAATCTTCATGCATGATTTTCAAAAGCTTATTCGACCAATGGACAACAGCACTCTGCCGCATCTGCGAGCCAATCGCGTTCACGTCAATTTTCCCTTATATCTACTACATGGTGCAATCTTTCGGAATCGCAAAGGATGAGAAACAAATCTCCATATATGCAGGAATGGTTACCTCAGCTTTTGCTATTGCGGAATTTTCTGCCAGCATTTTCTGGGGATGGCTCAGCGACAAGATTGGCCGCAAACCAGTGTTGCTCACAGGCCTAGCGGGCACAGGCATTAGCATGCTTATTTTTGGATTTGCAAAAAGCTTGCCCGTCGCCTTACTGGCACGGACATTAGGTGGCTTGTTGAATGGGTATGTCTTGTGTACACCGACTGTTGCGCCCTGAAATTGACTGACGTGTCACAGCAATATTGGAGTCATTCTCACCACCGTCGGGGAAGTAGTGACTGTCGAGGCCCACCAGTGTCAGTTCACATGACATACTGAACGACGGCATCATGAGACTAACAATCACGTAGCCCGAGCCTTTTCGATCATGCCGTTTGTGTGGTGCATAGGGTACGTTGTTCTTTTTTTTTTTTTTTTTTTTTTTTTTCGTGTTCTCACGCACGCATTGACAATGTGCTAGGTCGATCATTGGTGCTGTCATTGGAGGCACCTTGGCTGATCCTGTCAAAAACTGTCCCTCCATTTTTGGGAAGAGCGCATTCTTCATCGAGTTCCCGTACTTGCTTCCGAATTTGGTTTGCACCGGCGTGGTCATGCTCGGCTTAGCTGTGGGCTTCTTGTTTCTGGAAGAGACCCATCAGGACAAGCGTAATCGAAACGATGTTGGCCTAAAGTTGGGGCGTCAAATTCTCCAGCGTGTGCCATGCGTTGGTCGTCGACCGTCTGAAAAGGGGAGTTCCGCGGATCCTAGACAAAGCGCCGATGATGAAAAGGGTGACTATCACGCCATTCCAACATCCCCCAAAGTAGCCGCGACCAATCCAGTTACCCCGGATCTTGCGACACCGACGCTTCTTTCAGAAAAGGTTCAGGAGGAACCCAAGGTTTCAGTGTGCAAGAGCTTGACCAGGCAGATTAAGCTTATTATCGTGAGCTATGGGCTGTTAGCTTTGTAAGTCAATTTCGCCGACCAACATTTACCTTGTCCTAATGAGCTCTCCAAAAGCCATACAATTGCATTGGAACAGCTTTTGCCCATACTGTTCGCTTCAAAAGACTCACAGGATACACCTGTGTATCCATTCAAGTTCGACGGTGGCTTCGACTTGTCCGCACAGACGATTGGTTTCTTGCTCTCTTTCCAAGGCTTTCTGCAAATGATTGCGCAGGTTATCATCTTCCCACGAGTAAGCGATCGCTTTGGCCCGCTTGTCACTTTTCGAATCGCTGTTTTGGGATATCCGGTTCTGTACCTATTGATCCCCTATCTTGCCTTGGCCCCACGATCCTTGCGTTTTCTCTGCATTTCTGTGGTTCTTCTATGGAAGGTGACAGCACAATCATTCTCTTTCCCGTCGCAATCGATCATGCTTTCGAATTCGGCACCATCCAAGCGGGTTCTTGGTACGCTAAATGGCATCGCAATGTCAGCGGCGAGCTTGGCAAGAGCATTTGGTCCTACCATCATTGGATATATACACGCGCTCGGTCGTCAGTCAGGTTATTCGATCTTCTCGTGGTGGTCATGTGCTCTGGTAGCCGTGCTTGGAGCAATAGTGAGTTTGCTCATGACGGAACCGGGACGTCGGTCAGAAATGGCCACAGTTGCACAAGATGAACACGATGAAGAGAGGGCTGAAGCCCAACCCCTTCTTCCACGCTTGTCCGACGAGCTAGAGGCGAACGGTTGTTGAATCAGAATTCTGGATGAGCCTTGAAATTAGCCCTGGGCTTGATACATGATAACCGAAGGGCACACGGCATTACGGAGGAATTTTCCTAAGTTTCACATCGCACTGCGAGTTTTTCAAAATGGGCGGCACTATTGAGCGTATTACAAACGATGCTACTAGAGACAATTGTCTGTTCTTTTGACACAAGAGTCAACTGGAAAGATGCATAGATGCGATGTCAACCTACACATAGACCTGGAGTTTTCGGAAGGTTTTGCACGGTTTTGGGCGTAGAGCACTGGGAATACCCATATTTTGCATTGTAATTTCTGAATGTACAAGTAAGATACCCGAGAAAGCAAAAAATTTTAAGTGTTTCAAGAGCAAGAATGTAACATGAAAGACGTCCGTGTGGTTCAGCGCACTTGCGTACGTCGTGAGCTTGGTCGTGTGGACGTTGACAATGTGGAGAGGGGCTCTTCGATCCATCAGCGGATATGGTAAGTTACGTTAGTTAAGTTACACGACATGCAACAAGTAATGTTGCTTAAGTAAGGCGCGTCTGTTCGTCGACTTCTGATTGGTTCGATAAGGGAGCATGTGCCGGCCTTGCCATCCACGCTCCCACCTTCAGTCCCACGCAACGGCTGGGCTCAGCAGGCGGATCTTGCTGCGAGAAACTCCAATTGCAATCAGACAGGTCGTTGTTGTGGTCCCTAGTGGCTCTCCCTTTACACGAACTGGTTTCTGACAGTCTTTCTCTGCTATCGAAGAGGCTGCTCCAAATGATGCATATACTCACAGGCGACATGCTACCTAACAACATCGAACGGATCTAGAGACTATGCCGACCACAACCCGCCGCAGATGACGACACTACCAACCTCTCCAACGGCCGGTGTAAAGCGGACGCGACAGCTGTCGCACGACAGTAGCCCGACTCTTGATGAACACCATGGGAACAAGCCGTCATCCCCGCAGCAGGTCGCGAACGGATCGTCCGCGTCCTCTTTTCGGAATGTTTCTGCTTGCAACCGTTGTCGGCTGAGGAAAAATCGGTGCGACCAGCAGCTTCCAGCTTGCACAGCTTGCCAAAAGGCTCACGTCAAATGCGTTGGTTACGATCCGATCTCGAAACGAGAGATTCCGCGCAGGTGAGTTTTGTCGAGTAGTACCACCAGTGCGTATCAAGATCGGCTCAAGTCGGACGGTTTCATCTGTAGGCGGAGCCCACTGAAATCTTGAACGTGTTTTCGTCTGATGACAGGTCCGAAGTGGGTGTTTCGGGTCTTTGAAACAATGGAGAAGGCACATGATATTAGCTAACTCTTGTTACCTGTAGCTATGTGTATTTCCTCGAAACCCGTGTCTCGTACCTTGAGTCCTTACTTCAGAGTAACGGAGTACCTTTCGACCCACCCGAAGAGTTCGCTTCGACCCAGGAGATTAAGAGGACAACATCTGATCTTAACGGCGACGCACATACCCGCACAGCGGCGGATGCTGCCGTTGGCGAAGATGCGCACGAAGGCCGCAACAAAGTGGACAGATTATTATCACACGCGAGTAGAGTCGCTGTGCAGGGTGCTTCCGACTCGCGTTTCTTAGGCTCGACATCCGGTATATCCTTCGCTAGAGTCGTTTTCGCAGCGGTGAAAAGCTCTGTAAACGGGGCAGCATCTGAACGTGGGATGATAAAGCCCTCAAAACCGCATAGTGGCACCGCCGGAGGCACATCGATGCGCGATTCGTTCTTTGGATTACACACCAAGCCTTCGATCCAGCCCGCCACGTTTCCTGCAAGAGACGTCGGGTTAAGCCTGGTCGAGTTGTATTTTGAGCACGCAAATCCACAAATCCCTATTCTTCACAGACCAGACTTCATGGCCATGTTTGACAAGGTCTACGCAACTGAGGAGCACAATAGAACGGCGCGTGAGTTGTACATGCTGAATATTGTGTTTGCCATTGGAGCTGCTATTATTGTCGGAAAATCGAATGACGAGGAGGGCCAAGCAAGCAGCGCGTCAGCATCTCGCCCAGAACCAGAATCTCATAGTTTCAAGCGACGAAGGCTATCTGATGATCAGGCACAACCGGAGGAATACCATGCATCTGCAATAGTACATCTAGAGAGTTTCTTATCCTCATCTGCCGTGCCAGAAAGGCTTGATGGGATCGGCGGAAGCTTAGAAGAGCTACAGGCTGTTCTTCTACTAGCTGGCTTTGCCTTGCTGCGACCTGTTGCACCTGGTTTATGGTACATTGTTGGTGTGGCAGTGCGTCTCGCGGTTGATCTTGGCCTGCACTCGGAAGATTGGGCCGACAATGATATAAGAAACGTGAGCGAGGACCACAGGAACCCCGAGGGTGACCTTATTGCCGAGCCGCCAACGACTGAGAAGCAGCTCATTGAGAGAGGACGTAGACAATATATTTGCGACTTTCGGAGGCGACTGTGGTGGTGTGTCTATTCCTTCGATAGGCTTGTGAGTACTTGTGTTGGACGTCCCTTTGGCATCACAGACCAGGTTATTACCACCGAATTTCCTACATTGCTGGATGACAACTATATCACACCCAGAGGCTTCACCAGGTCACCAGCATCCGTCCCAAAGCCAACCTACAAACTGGTTGCATACCATTACTTTCGACTACGTCTACTGCAGTCCGAAATCCTTCAGGTGCTACAACATCGTCAGGCGCTCCAAGCTCGTGAAAGGGGTGTAAACCGGGACAATCCTTTCATTCACAAGCAGCTACCGTCTCCATTCCTACGGGATTTTGGGGGCTCGTTCCGAATTTGGCGACAGGATATTGATCGAAGGCTCTGGGAGTGGAAAACCTCCTCACCAACCCAGGAAGAAACAGGGGTGCAGTTTTCGCCACTTTTCCTGGAGCTCAACTATTGGCAGGCTGTGATTATGTTGTACAGACAAAGTCTTAGTGTGCCTCCCGTCTTAGCGGAAGAACTTGCCTCAACCAATGAGGAGATACAAAGTCCCTCTATGGTGCAGCAGGAGGACCAGGAGGATGAAGAGGCCGTGTTTTTGAAGGTTGCCGAGGCTGGTCAGAAAGTTCTGAAGCTGTACCGCCAGCTTCATCGCATACATCTAGTCAATTACACGTTCTTGGCTACACACCACCTTTTTATGGCCGGTAAAGTTTGACGATCCTATTACGCTTGAGATTCCGGCTAATGACATCCAGGTATATCATTTCTCTATGCTATTTGGCATTCACCCACGGTGCGAAGTCAGCTGGTGAGGAAGACAATCTCGTCTCCCCAATCCGTATTTTGTGCTAGGCAAGGTCTAACTTACCCGAACAGAGCCTTGATGATGTCGATTTTACGGTGCTGGCGGCTACATCTGTACTTGATGACTTGATCGAGAAGTGTCCTCCCGCAGAAGCATGTAGGGATGCCTTTGTCAGAATGAGTAAAGCAACAATCAAGATGTGCCTCTCGACTACTGGATTCGGAAATCGAGGAGGTCTGAATAACATGCCTAATCATATGGGTTCGACTGAAACTGCAACTGTTCACTCTAGCACGCAGAGCGTCAATCCAAATGCTCCCTATTTCACCCATCGAGCCAGTGCACCAGTTGCATCCCAAAGGAGACAGCCCGAGTTCGACTATGACTTGAGAAAGCTTTTTAGTGACGAAGAGAGCGCATCACGACCGTTTGTGCGGTATAATAATATGCCTAAAATTTCTCCAGCCCAACGTCAGTCGCTCAGCATTCCACAGCAAATGCCAATTCTGAAGGCAGAGTCATCAAATAGCAGCTTGAGTCCACAACAAACTCCAGCTTTTCCAGGACCGCGCACTTCATCAACTCTAACTTCACCTATCATGAGCACACAGATGCCACAGAACAGCCATGGATATCCTCAGCAGCAATCTTCTCCGACTTCGTTCGGCAACGCAATGTCCAACTCAAATACGTATTCCAGCTTTGCCAACCAATACCCTGGGCTTAGTCCATTCAGTGACCTTGACTTCTTAGAAACTTTCCCTCTTGGCCCGGAGAAGCAAAGTAGCACAGATCAGGTGCAGCCATTTGATTCAGCGTTTGCTGATTTCAACATGGACTTTGGAATGGGTTGGGATGGAAGTTTACCAGCTGGGGGCTTTGGCGACGAAAGTGGCGGTGTTGATTTGTTCGATGGGTTCTTCTTTGGAGGCCAGCAAGGTTGAGCAAACACGTTTTGGCGATGCGTTAAACGCGGCTCCTTCTTATCATCTGGATCGATCAGTGCTTTCTGCTTTAACAGTCAATGAGGGATTAAAAATGGGTGAAAACAGAAGCACAGGTGGTAAACGACGCCGTTTGTGCTTTGGGATTTTAGTTATTATTACGAGATATACCCTGCGACACGACGTTATATAGGTCAATTCATCCGATCTTTTATAATATTCTCGAATGTTACATCACATTTGCACGTTCACCGCTCTATTGGACCCATCTATATGCCAGCTTCAACAGCTTCACACAGCGATTGCTGCTTGAGCTGCATTTAATACCTCGTCTACGTCTTCACTTCTTTCCGTGGACTCCTCGGTTATGGATTGCTCAAATTTAGCCTTTTTCATCTCTTCTTTGGCATATTGCCGTGCTGCTGCTCTTTTGATCGGCCTAGTCATCTCAAGCTTCTGCTGAAGACCAAATCGCGTGTCAAGCTCTGCAGCCTTCTCGATCAGATCGTCATACCCAAGGGCCCTGACGATTTCAACGTGGCTCCTGCTTTGCTGAATGTGTAAGTACTTGTCCTCCTTGCCTGGGATCAGCTGCGCCAGCAGGAACTTTGTGTTAGCCCATCTATTGTCAACTGCCAGCGCAGTTTCGACGTATTCTCTGACAACCTGTCTCCACGGTGCGATGCCCCCGTCTGAATTAGCACGGAAGACACTCGGGTTTTTTTCTGCCGCTGTGGCGATCATGGCTCCATCCACGCCATATTCTTGCATGAGCTGGAGTGCTTGATCTCTGCTTTCAACGTCACCGTTCATGATGCAGGCAACACCAGCTTCGTGGCACACGTTTGCAATCATTCTTAATTGGTCTCGTATCGCGCGTTCTCGTGGTCGCATAGGCGGAGTCCTGCAGTGCACCGTCAAGCCAGTGATGCCTGTCTTTACCAGCCTCCTCACGAGCGCTTCTGTTTCTTCGATCTTGTCCAAGATCCGGATCTTCACACTGATTCCGATTTCAAATTTCTGTCCGACCTCTTTAACCAATGCTTCAAGAATTGAAACCAATCTATCCGGATCTTTGAGAAGCGCGGCGCCCATCCCCCCAGACGTTGAGAACGGTTTAGGGCAACCAGAGTTCAAATCTATGCCAGCGACGTCTCCAGCAACCATTGTTGCCGCCTTCACAGCAAGCTCGGGAGTTGCGGTACCAATCTGATAGATAAGTTTCTTGCCTTCAAGCTCTGGATGTAGTCTGTATATGACACTCTCCCTGTTACTCGGATTCAGAGCTGGATTTTTGAGATATGAAGAAGGATAGCGACTCCAATAGACGGTACCAGTCCTCTCACAAACGTGGCGCTCGGTTCCGATTATCGCTTTGTCGATGGTCTCTGGTCCTGCAACGTGTGTTAAAACATAAGTCAAAGACAGTAGCCAAGTGGTAGCGTACCCCAGACGAGATCGGCTCCGTATTTAAGTGCCATTAATCTCGAAGGCAATTCTCCAGATCGCACCATGGGTGCAAGGACGATTTTACCGCGATAATCGACGCCATTGCGTGGAATAGGCACTTTGGGTTGAGTTGAAGCCATGGCATAAGGCGCTCTTATGATGTTCGCAAGTGTTCGAAACATTCCATGGCTTGAGAAGCAAATGTGCAGAAAACACAAATGTCGATTAGAGAGAGTACTTTGAGCGGCGTCCGAAAATAGTTCCGCACTCCAACTCCGCATCTGATTGGTTCGCCACAGGAAAAAGCGAGGACAAAGACGTTCGGTGTAGCTATTGAGTTCAGAACTCTTAGACCTCAATCTCAAACTTCTCTCGAGAAGTGAATAACGCATATATAAGCTATGGCAATAAAGCAGCATGGAACCACGCGTCTCGAATCTGCTCCTCTCAGAGCAGTCGCCCACCGACCGCCATGACATTGATATTCAGACTGTCGCTAGTGGCTCGTTCGGCGCTGTCTTTCCAACAACAGCATTGCCTGCCATTCGTCCGCTTCATGAGGACCAGGTATTCGACGCAAGACCATATACAAATGAGATTGACAGCCTCACCCTACCTGAAATCGATTGGCAGGCCTTCACTGCTTCATTGAACCCGCAGCAATCCACGTCGGACCAGTTAATCGCACAAAATGCTCAAATCACAGCACAAGAGCAGGCGGAGTCGCGAGCAAAGAAGCCTGCGAGGTCAGGCGCACCTATAGCTGAGGTGCTGAATCAAGCTTCACCTATCGTCACAAATGCTCAGAAAGCGGAGAGTCGAGAACCGGAACCTCGGAAGCGACGAAGGCTGGATCCATCGGAGGCGAGAACGCTTCCTAAACCATCGCCTGCGGCAAAAAAGAGCCATGAGCGTCAGTTGTTGCCACCACTTCTAGCGCCTCTTCACGAGCCTCCGCCTGATGCTGCGTTAATTCCGTCCATGACCACAGAGGTCTTAAGAGCACCTATGACCACAGTCGCCTCCCGTGAATTAAACCACGATGAGAAAAAGCCGGCAGCTGTTTCTATGAAACCCAGTTGTCCGGAAAAGGTGACTCAAAAGCAACCAGAAGAAGCACAAATCTCTCAGCCGACCAAGACAAGGAGAGTACGACATAATTGGACTGAGGGCGAGACTTCAGATCTTTTACGAGGAGTTTCCCAATTCGGTATAGGCAATTGGAAGAAGATTCTCGATTGTCCTGAATACAAATTCCAGAATCGGACAGCAGTGGATCTAAAAGACCGATTTCGAACTTGTTGCCCGGAAGAATATCGAAAAGTAGGAAAGGCAGATGCCGTTTCGAAAGATGAATCAGATTTTCGGACTGTGGAAAGCCTCCCTACAAGATCCAATCAGAAGGACACTATAAAGTCTAACGAAGCAGATCGGCCAAGCAAATTTGAACATAGATTGCCAGATGAGCTTGCTCGTCTTGGAATATCTGGGCCGTTCCCTAAAGCACAAAGAAGAGCACGACGAGGCTTCACAGCTGAAGAAGACAATGCTATACTCCGAGGCTTTGAAAAGTATGGCGCCAAATGGACAAAAATACAAAGTGACCCGGAGCTTGGTCTATCATCTCGGAGCAGGACAGATCTTCGTGATCGCTTCAGAAATAGATTCCCTGAAAAGTTTGTCGAGACCGGGCATAAGTTTAAGCAGAGAGATGCTTTCCTCTTGAAAGAGAACAATGAAAGCGAGGGAGCGAGTCAGATTTCGTCCGAGCCTGTGCCTGTGTCAAACACTTCTCAGTTAGATGCGCAACACGCCACGGCAGTGGCAGCCCAGGATTTCAATTTGGGCCAGCATTCCTTAAAGCTGCTTACAACTTCAATAGCAGAACCTACTTACTTCGCCGAGTTTGGTGATATCACATCCGAAACAGGTGAACCGGGACCGATTACCCTTAGTCGCAACATTTTCGACTGGGCCAATCAAAATACGCGTTCGCTGACTAGCACATCATCAGCACGTGCGGATCCCAATGCGAACTCCTTCGAATTATCTAACACAATTACTACAATGGACCAATTCCATATCAACCCTATGCTAGCTCTGAAGGTCCCTCATCATGCACCACCCACCCTTCACTCAGGTTTTCGTGATGGCTCAACGGCTGTAGCTCCCTCGAATCTGTTTCCACAGCTCCCGCTCTCTGGTATTCTCAATGGCCCCGTCAGCTTGCCATCTGCTGCTGAATTAGTTTCCGGTTTAGAGGCAGATGGTAATACGTGACACTGGTATCAAACCACTTATCATCGATACAAATTTAAGTAATGTCTTATCTTGCTTTTTTTCTCACTCTTTCATGCTGGCTGCAATGAAACAGATATTGAAATTCTGTTTCTTACATCCATCCTCCTCAGTATACGTCGTCTGCACCTTTCATGTGAGACTCGTTTGTCACTGGAGGTAGAATAAATACCATGAGTACAATCTTGCAATGACCAAATGCACGGGTTGCTCTGGCCTTAAAAAAGGTTGAGCAACTGAGCGTTACTCTGGAACATTTGTTTGTGAATTTCTCAAAATAGAATGCTCCTGGAAATTCCTTCACTTTTGGACCAGTTTGAATCCTATGATAAGCTCGGACATGACCATCGAATTCACAGCAGTTCCGCAATTCCGAACGCCAAATATTTGTTTCGGATTTATGAAGTGCAGAAGCATTGCTAGCCTCAAATCAGCCTTGTTATTGTACACGCCCTGTGACAAAACATGAGTCATGTTGATATCCCCACGTAGTACATTTCAGATTAACATCACATTCATAGGTATCACTCATTTTGTGCAAGCTAGCATGGATTTTGAAATCAAACCCCTCGTCGAGGAAGATACTCTCGAATTTGTTAAGCTTTACTATCGTGCGTTCTCGGATTCTCTTTCGCCGATACTCTTTTCATCGCCGCCAAGCGAAGCATGCTATGAAATTATGGCGCGTCAGCGCGCAAAAATCATATTTAAGCCAGGTATTTATGCGTACAAGGCGGTTGACACTGCCACTGGTCAGATGATAGGGGCAGCGTACTATCATATCGCTCCGAACGGCGTGAGTCAAGAAGTCCTGGATAACGCTGAGCCCACGTTCACAGAATTTGGGCCGGAGCAGAGGGCCGACCTTTGGAGAGCGTGGGGAAAGAAGATGAGAGATTGCTATGCTGAGATTGTGGGGACAAAGCCCTGTGTGGAGGTTTTGATGATGATTGTGGAGCCGGCGATGCATGGTAAAGGCATAGGCAAGGCACTTCTAACGCAAGGCTGCCAACTTGCAGATCGGTTCGTTAAACATGACCGTCGAAAGGTTCTGTATTGATGCGGATCTAGATTCGGCTGCATGGCGTATGTGGAAGCCACCGACGCGGGGATTGCATTGTACTTGAAGGCTGGTTTCAAGCAAATTGGAACCATTGATTTTGATGCAAGTCCGTGGTGGCACGAAAAACGATTTCCTGTAGATGTGGTGAGTGTTGCCAAAGCATGCAGAGATTAATTTGCTTAGTCTAGAATAGATCATGATTCGTGAGCCGAAGAAAGTGTGAGCCATCAAAGCAGAATGCCTCAGATTATACCAGGCGGATTAAGACGGAGTCTTTGTAGTCCTTGAGATAGAATCCAGGTGTAGTTGCAATATATTTTCGAATCGTCGGGAATATTATCGACACATCAAAGAGACTGATGAAAAAGTGGCCCCTACAATCATGCGATACAAATTGTATTTGCTTTCAGCGGTCTTTGGGTATCTGGTTCAAGTAGTTATGAAGCAAGTAGTTATGAAGCTTGTCGTTGACCATGGTGTGTCCTGTTTAGATCACCTGTCCATAGGTTCTACCAATCTCGCTCGGATTGAGAAGTTCGCCCATTGCTGTACTCTCACTCATAATCTGTCTCGCTTTTGACTCGTCTACTTTCATATCTTCCTTGATAAGCAGTGTGGCCAGCTCCAAAACTAGCACCATTTGAATATATCCGGTGACTCCTCGCGCAGCTACAACTTTGTCAGACGCAGCATGATTTCTGATGTCCGTGGCAAAATTGTTCACGATATGCTCAGTCATTACGTCAAGGCCCTTTGAGCCATAGTAGCCAACGCCAATGCCTTCCAATCCTTCATTTTTCATATGCTGCAAGAGTGTACGATCTCGGCCCTTTTTGTTGCGTACCTCCATTTCTTTGCGAAAGAACAGCCGGTCGGGCTGCTTGATCATGTTCGCAATGTCTCCATTGTGCCGCCTTAGTCGTTTGGACAAGTTGTCCCAATCAACAATCGGATACCCTTTTTGCTCCCGTTCTTTCCAAGCGTCCTCCACTTGATGTTTTCGGCAAAACTTTTGCTGTTCCTTAATGCTGGCCGTGGAACTTAACGTGTCTAGAACACGTCTTGACAGTATTTTGCCACAACGCATTGGACAAGGGCCTTCGTCGGATAGTTCTGCCAAGGAAGCTTCCCTTTTTTCGCCTCGCTCTTCTTCCTCTTTTTCCTTTCTGAGCAGATCCGGGTCATACTTTTGCGCCGCTTGTGTCAAGCTCTCGAACACTTTGAATTTTGGAACTGCAGATGAAGAGCTCTCTTCATTCAGCGTTGAAACTCTTTTGAGATTCTGATCCCTGCCCTCCTTAGAACTGGGGAAATTTCGTACGGAATCAGATCCTGGTGTAGAGACATATTCTTCAGCGCCTGAATATCTGCTTTCTCTTGCCTGAGAAGCTGAACAACCTCTACTCTCTGAATTTGGTGTTTTCAAAAGTGTCCTCCTAAAAACTCGGGGTGATATCTCAGATTCTTCCGGCGAAGAGAACGACGCAAGAGGGTTTATAAACCCCTTTGGTTCGCCAGAGTGTTTTGCATTGATTCGATTATGTCCATCATATGTACTGTTTGAGCCGAAAGTTCTCAACTTCGGCTTTTTGCGTTTGATCTCTCCAAATATATCAACATCATCGTCGCCGTCGTCAGATCTCTTCTGCACTTTCCGACGTGACTTGTTGTTCGTTCCGTTCGTGGTAACATTTCCTGCGGGCCGTACTTTTGTGCGCGGTGTTTCCTTCACATCAAAGCTGCGCAAAGACTTGCCACTGGCGTCAAAAGACGCTGGAATGTTCGCAGAAGAGATCGGCACATCGTCGTCGCTTGAACTTAGGGGATCTGCCTCCACATCACGCGAATGCTTCGACTCCGCACTATTTGGAGGAGCTCCTTTGTGATAGAGTATGCCTTGTGGTATATAGCTATCATTGTCGTCGTGATCTTCTCTTCTTGCCCATGGCTTCCCTGCAACTGTTTTCAATAAGCGCGGACCTCGGGCAGTGAGACCATTCATATTGCTTGGTGCTACGCGCCGCTCCCAGTCAACACCAGCTTATCCGTGAAGACTTTTTTCATCTATGCATTAGAGCATCGTGGGACGTCCATACGAAAGTCAGGTCGGGCAATACGATGAAGGGAACTTCAAGATGTCAGCTCTTCGATCACCTGTGACACGTCAAGAACACAGAATTGGCATCTCGGACTCACATGTGGACGTCTGAGTGAACCTGTTGGATTCTCCTTCTCGAAACAAACAATTGCGCTGTGCAATAAAGACTGACAGCAGAACAATGGAGAATGTTTCATCGAATGGCCCCGAGTTACTATGTATTGAAGTGGTGTTCGCGCCCCCCCCGCGATCGGCACATCCTGGAGATACGCGATGCCACCTGATTCCCTCCCCATTGTCAGCAACTCGCAGCGAACAAGCGAACAAATCTCGGACGATCAACTCACGTTCATGGTTCGCTCTTTAAATCCAGAGACATGAATTTGGAATGAGTGAATATTTGTTTTTGACATTTGGGTATCTATGCTATTTTTCTTCCGACATTGCCGACGCCCTTGCCAACAATACTCACCACAACGCCCGCTTCAGAATCATCACCATTGTCTCTCAGTCCCCAGCCACTCAAGCCGAAATCTTTAAAGTCCCTCGCCAATTGAATGATATCTTCGGAGCCCACTACATCTCGTCCAAGATGCAGCCTGCCGACATCTTCTGACCCCATAGCCATTAGTGTAAGCATGGTGGGTGCTGTGACGGCCGTCGCGCATCCGCCTTGTTGAACTACCTCAAGAAGCTGATATGCGCATTGCTTCCCGATATCTTCTGGCGGCACGCCTCCAGCGACGGGAGACACTGCATCAGCTGAGTAGCGAATGCCTGTGGACGTTTCAGCTACCAGACTCAACCCAAAACCGATACCAATCTTCCTCTTCGCTCTAGGGTTCGACTTGTCCGGAGAGGGCACAAATCCTGCATTCGTATTCTCCGAGAATATCCGCGTGTCTGACACGAATGGGTTCAGCACACCACGTGTCGCTTCAATCATTCGCGCATTGTTCGCTCCGGCCACGCCTATAGCGTAAGCCACCCCTCTGATGTTCTTGATTCGGCCTGGGTTCAGCAGATGTATCGTTTTAGGCAGTCTGACCTGATGGCCGAATATCAAGTGTACTTCGCCTGCTCCTCCTTTGCCTTCCGGACCGGCATTGCTTCTCTGTGTCGTCCGAATCTCAAGCTTGTTCATCACGCCAAAATGCTCGTACATTGGAAGAACAGTCATGCGAACGGTGTCCACACTCACATCTCCCTTCTCTGTCGCACTGGTGATGACGCCAGGCCCTGTAAATCGCACATTGACATTCGCCACCGAAAACGGTGCAAGCATGCACAATGGTATCAAGAACCAGCTAATGCCTCTTTCAATTGTGGCTGGCAATTCGTGCCTTATCTCGCCGCTTGTCGTCGCACCATATCCCGCCGCGCTGCCTCTGATCAAGCCGGGACGATAGAGAAGCTGGGTGCCTGTCTCCGAGAATACAAACTCGGACCCATTTGTTATCGAGTCGAGAAGGCGGCAGAAGGATATTTCGTGCGGCGCTAAACCTGGATTCTCGACATTGGACGAACGAATTTTCGAGATGCGAATGGGCTTGCCGGTCAGGGTGGAGAGGACGAGGCGTTGGGTAAGATAGCGATGCCCTGTAAAATGGATTGGACGTTGCGCCGAAGGATCCATGAGAGTGTACGGCGTAGCAGTATTGAGTGAGTTTCAAAGTACCCTCATGCCATCGCATTTCAGAAAAAAGTTCGGGATGCGCGAGTCATGGCCTCACTCCTCCGGGCAAACTCCGCGCCTACACATGATTAGTGCAGATCCTGGGTCCATTCTGTGCACTCGCGGCCTCACAAAGTGCTTTAGCAAAGATAGATGCGACAACATGATCGCGCGAATCATGTTCCAGGCCGTGTATATCGATTTACGAAAAGCTCATTTCATCATACCAAAAGCATAATGGAATTTTTTGTAAAGATTACTTGAGTCTCTAAATTATGCTTATGTGAATCATCTCGCGTTAACCAGCCGAACACGGCGCTGAACATCCACTTCTTTCTCGAGGAGAGTACCAGGTGCAACGAATTTCGGAAGGCTTGTCTATAACAAGCTGAAAGGCCCGTACAGTACACCATGTCTAGATAATACAAAAAAGCAGGCGTAAAGCTCTCGCAATCATGACTCCTTGCCGTCCTCCCTGTCGTCGTCCTTCTCATGCTCAGTTGTAGTAGCATCTTTCTCCGTTTCCTTCTTGGGAGGATTTTTCCATTCTTTGATCTTATCCCGCACCCAGTCAACCATTGATTCCCAATACCCTTCATTGAGCCGGTAGCTGAGATTGCGGTACTTGTACATCTCTGCCCAGCAGTCTCTACCCCATTCACAGCCTGCCATATTAACGAGGAAATCCCTGTCCTTGGAGCTGTAGTGAATCTTTGGGTTCTCGCCTTTCTCACCACAAGCGCCAGGCGGGAAACTATTGATCTTACGTTGTGGAAGGAACCCAACGTGAGACCGTATCCATGGTTGATTCGTATACAAGTATTCGAGCGCATCCTGTTCTTTATGTTCCCATTCCATGTGTTTCTGCTCGTAATGTACTGGGTCCCACCACAAATCCAACAGTCGGTCAGTCCATTGACTGCGACGCAGGAAAAAGGAACCAAGATTAAAGCCACTGCAATCTTGAGGTAAGAGTAGATGAACTGATTCGGCCTTGCCGTCTCCAACAGCGGAGAGTGATTCCTCGTCGAGGTAAGGGTCCGTAGGAGGGTGCGAGATGTTGAGGGGATTGTAGACATTGATGTCTCGGTAGACGTTGCCCATTATGTCGTTGAAGATATGTCTCTGCAAGGAATAGGATGGCTCCATTATAAACGTGTTCAAGTCAAGCCACCAAAACCTATCATCGTTAGTCAAAAATTTCTCAATCAACGATAGTGATAAACAGACCATTCTGCGCGTGGATACTTCCGCATCGTGGCGCGCATGACATCCACTTTCTCCCAACTTTCTCGCCACTCATGGGCGTAGCGCTTCTTGGTCGTCATGTCGACAATCTCAAACTCGTAACCCCATCTCTTCGCGTAGTTGCGTTTGTTCTTTATGCTGTCTCTTTCTATCGCCCACTCCCTAGGACCTTTCCATTCCATTACACCTCCACCAATATTAGCGGCCAGGATGATTACGAACTTTTCACCTCCACCACGAACGGACTTGTCCCAGAACTCGATCCAGGCTACAGAAAAGGTTAGTTTAGACAAATCACAGAAGCAGTGGACTTACAAGGCATATTAAGGAAAAACAACAAAATCAAGAAGAGAAGCGCAATCACTGCTCGCTGCCGAAAGCGCCAGAATAGTCTTCCTACCATGGCCATTAGACCATATGCATCCGTCACTGGGGGCCGCCCCCGTCCCAGCTTTTCCTTCTCTGAGTAGTCGTTGGAGTTGAAGTATGGAAGCTTGGTTGACAAGCGACGGAAATGTCTCGCGAAGCCTTGATCTGAGCGAGGCGCAAACGCACGCACTTGGGCACTTCTTGCCTGCGCTGTCGCCCAAGTCACGTTGTTTGCACCGCCATTGCCATATCTCGGCACGGGACTAGCTCTCCTGCTTGCGCTGTCGTACGGTGTTGTGAGGCCGGGGCTTGACCATCCTCCACCCGATTGCGGTGACGGCGAACGAGACAAGGACATTTCACCGGGGCCTGCGGTCACCGGCGTCCCCGGGATAGTTCCAAGTATCCGCCCAATGCCACTGCCGAATTTTCCTGATGCGGTCGCTAGGTGAGTTGTGACGATCTTGGGTGTCTTGGTCGCCGAAGAGCGCCTTCGATGGTGAGAGGTGTAAGGATTTTGAAGGGACGGAGAATCCAGAGTGGGCAACGGGTGAGCACAAGACTCGGCTCGCGACGTAGAATGCGAGGATGTGATGTCTGCAATCTGACGTGGTTGCGCGAAAATAAGGTAGGCCAACCTCCGTCGCAGCCGTGGCGGACTCTAGAACAGTAGAGGTAGTCGTGGAACGCGTACGAGGTAGCAGATATGAGGATAGAGCGGAAGCGGCAGCACGGGGCGAGGCAAACGTGCCTTTGAGGTTATCCTGTGGTGCAACGGTTGCACAGCAAGTTCATTAAGAGGTCCTGGCCGCGGTGATCTGTTCTCAAGGGAGGATAGTGAGAAGTATGTTGAAGTCCGCCCTGTAGGCTATGGCGATTGCACGTACCAACGGAGGACCATCACGAAAAGGAGTCAACCGTTCGACAAGACTTTTACATTTAATTGAAAGCGGTCTCTCCCATGCGGACATGGTCCACAAAGATTCACACGCCTCCCGTTCTAGGCGTTCTTAAGTGCGAGGCTAAAGCCTAGCTGAGATCTCCTGCGTAGCGCTAGGACCGCATTCATTCGCCAGCACCAAAAATACACACGCTCGCTCGCTCGCTCTCTCTGTGTCTGCGTGTGTGTTCGGCTCCCCGATGCCACCTCGTCGCCCTCGTGCATCGACAGCGCCAGAGAGCAGCAGCAGCAGCATCACCCAGCGGCGTCAGTCACAGCGACAGCAACGGCCGTAGCAAACACTAGCACTCTGTTTGGTCGCATGGTCCTGCCCAGCCAGCTAAATGTCAGGCGGTGCATGGCTGTAAATTGATCCCGACGTCGCTCCATCCATGTGGCCAGAACGCTCAGATGGGCCGGGGGGGAGCCCATTGCCTATCTGTTTATCAAGAAAGCCAATTTAACTGTCCTGATATGCGTCGGTGCCAAAGACACAGGCTGATTGATGATGACAGTGATGATGGATCGCCGCGAAGCTCCCGACTCTGCGCATCGATAGCACAGCCGAGCCACGTCGCACGGTGCCAGCGTCGGCGTCGGCGTGACCTCTTTACATGAAAAATTCTGGCAAATTGCCTGCTTTGGCTTGGTCGTCGTAAAGAGTCAAAAGGCCAGAAGAGGAGTGGGTCCAGCAATGGGAGATGCGCCCATCCAGCATCCCTGAAGAGGCGCTTAGCCGTCGCGCTTCTCCCGTCCAACCATCGAACTCACCAAGGACGGATCTCTTTTTCTACAATTCGCGATGACACGCATGACACTCGAATGATGCTTCAGGTTGGCGCCCGACGTTCGGCTTGGTGCGGCTCAGACCTGAGCGCTGCTTGCGGTTGCGAGCGCTGTAGACCAATCGAGTCTCCCTACTCATGACCACAATGGCGAATCAGAAGGTTCGTACGCCTTGAACGACCTGGTCCTCTTTGGAATCTTCTCCACATTTGGAAAGCGAAGCGCCTCCATGTTCTATGGTAAAACGCTGTCCGAACTGTGTCTGGATGATGAAGGCGACGGCAATCTTCTGAGACCACACCACCAAATGATTTCTGCTCTGACCTACTCCAGTCTTCTTTACGTACCGCATTTACATGCTTTTGCATTTCCTGTCACTCTCCTGTTCAACTTTTCTTTATCTCTTCACTCTTTTTTATTTTATTTCTTGCATTTCGGTCTTATTGTCCTTATCCATGCATGTCATTGATGCTATTGAACCGATAATCGTGTCCCTTTTGCAAACTTAACCTATAGATCTGGTGACTGTACCCTACGCATGTCCGTCAATATGCTTCAGTTCTGCTAAAGAGGAACATTCAATCCAATTGTGACCACTTCACCTCGCGTCGACGATCAGAGCCGGTCTTTGCACACCTAGATATTTCGAACTCAATCCTGTCGACGCGTGGGTGGCAGCAACATGGTGGCATTGCCGCCTTTTGAAACCGTACAAAGCGAGGAAACCCAACATGTGCCCTCAGAGAAACGGAGGAGCGGGCCGCGCAAGGAGTGGGACGCCGTCGCTGCACGTATTGCGGCAAGGACGGCAAATGCACGCAACACCACAAAAGGTTGGGATGGTGGCTATGGCTCCAGATCGGGCGAAAAGTCGAGCAGTCGCCGCCAGAACCCAGGTCTTTCCATAGACACGAGCGTCGGAAAACGGCGTGCCTCGCCCAAGCAATTGTTTCCGAAGGAAATGCGACGACAGCAAGGGCCCGGCTATCTGAAGCTAGGCGACGATAACGCACATCAACATGTTGTAATCACGGCAGACCAGAGTAAATCGCTAGAGCAGCCAGCTTTTGAGCAGCAAAAGGTGACAGAGGCACAGCTGGTCAGCAAATTCAGCCCCGAAACCCCATCAATCATCATCACTCCAGCCCTACAAGCTCGTTTGTCACCCGATCAACGTGCTAGAGTAGCATCTAGCGTTTATTCGAGGTTGACCTCCGGGGCTACTCCACCAACGAACAATGGAGACGTGCCGCCGCTCCCTCATAATTTACCTGAGTTGATGAAGAAGAGCCAGCCACTGATGGCGAACAATTCAATCACACACACGTACCCTGGAACCTCCAACGTCACTGAGAAACCCCCAAATATTAGAGAATCGACAGGAACTGCCTTTGAAGAAGACTTCGACGAAAAGAAAAATGGTCGAATAATGTCAAGTGGTACGCTCTTTGAAGAAGACCAGTCTGCTAGATATTCACAGCTCCAAACGGTCCAGACAACTCAAGATTTTACCATAGACTCGGCAATTACTCCAACGCCGCATCGGTCGAGAGGCTGGTGGGATGTTATTCGAACACCTTTCGAGAGGGCTAACTCGAAATTTGTTCGGTCACCGACAGACGGGGAGAGAACGCCTGAAGTACCTGCGATTCCCCCGTCAACACATCACATGCCTTCAACTCTAAGTGATGGACTAGGTCTGAAGATCATGCCTAGAAATACACATAATTCGCAAGCTTTGAGAAGATTGGAATCAAGAGACCATTTGCAAGTGGAGTCTGCACCCCCAATGCCCGGCAAGAGAGGATCAATTCTCAGCACGTTCAGTCCAAACGAACGTGAAGTTCCGTTTATGCTGCATGTGTCCCCGATTGACAAAGATGCAAAAAACCAGGGGCTGTGTTACACAGACCGAAAAGAGCCTCAAGACACCACCGTGAGAACCGAAATCAACGACAATTCAGCGTCAGATTTCAAGACAACCCCAGAATCGGTCAGATCTGAGTTCTCGCCCATTGGCCAAGTTGTCCATGAAGGCCAGGTAGTAACTGCAAAGGGGGTAGTGCAAAATCCTCTGCAAGGCTCAACGCAGTCCTCTAATCAATCCAAATTCATACAAAAACCGAAATCAGTTCATAACTCTCTGAGAGTCTCACTCAGGGCAGAGCTTGTGAAGGTTAGTTCTCCTGCTCCAGTGGCGACAAAAGTGCAGCAGGAAAAAAGCTGGCCCTCCACGGTTCAAGCTCCATATTTCGCCCCTCCACCCAAGCGTCCTTACGAAGATGAATTGGGGATGCCGCGAGAAGTATCCCAATATTTGGGTGCACCTTTTCCACCCACCAGATTTTCTCAATTTGATAAGCCAAAGAAGTCGGAAAAAAAACTTTTTAAAAGACTGCTCAAAGGCAAATCAAAGAAGCAGGATAGCACGATACGGAAGAAGAACAAGAAGCGACGATGGTGCTGCATCGGCTGTTGTCTGTTGATCTTTTTGGTCATCATCCTTGGTACAGTACTAGGAGTTCTGCTTTCTCGCCGTAGACCGTCTAAACTCGATCAAGCCATCTGGTTCAACGTCACCAACTACCCGCCAATACCCGGCGGCGTGCTTACCGTGGCTCGTCCAAATCTTCGTACAAGCGTGTCTGGATGTGTGAACCCGCAAACAATGTGGAGTTGTGCCGTGCCGAAAGAGCAGCAAGACAGTATTAAACCCAACGATCCTGATCAACCGAATTTCGTCTTCGACATTAGGTATGACAACAGCTCGACATCCAATAGCAAATCGCGCAGATCTGGGTCGTATAACCAAAACGTCAAGAAATTCAATTTCCTATCAGCGCGAGACAACCCTGTGCTTCAGGCTTCACCTCAGCCTCCGGCACTGGAGGAGTATAGTTTCCTTGGCAACACAACAGATGGCGTTAGCGAACCTTTTGAGGGTGAGGCGACACCATTCTACATCTCGTTCAAGCCGCCGTCGGAAGCGAACTTCAAGAAATTTAGACGTCAACTCGTTGAAAGAGACGTAGGTGCGTCTGCATCTGCGACGACTGCATCGCCGAGTTCTACATCAAATTCAAGTGCAACAAGCTTGGTAAATTACTTTCCGAACTTATCAACAGCGTTTCCAAAGCCGGAGGTCAACCCAGATGGTACGGCACAAGCTGCTAACTTGTTGCCGTTCCCTTCCTTCCAGCCTTTGCGACTCTTCAATCGTGGCAAATCAGATGAACACTACGGCTTTTACACATATTTTGAGCGTAGTATTTTCCTCAGATCGGTCTCGTTCCAGAACGTCAGCCAGGAAATGATTGGGGAGGTGCCTGCTGATGTAAACGGCGGTTCCGCTGAAGACGCAGCAACGACACGGTGTTCATGGACGGACACTCGCTTCAAGGTACAAATCTTCACAAATCTGGGTACGAGCGCACAGATACTTCCACCTCCAAGTGGCAGTTCAGTACCTCAGCCAGGCTCGTTTACCTTCGTGAGACCGGGTAGCTTCCCATACCCAATTACAATCACACTAGATAGGCACGGCGGTGGCCTTACGACGAAGATGGTTTACTGCTATGGACTGAACGATCAAGAGATTCCAGAGATTAACAGCAGGCAATTCCAGAAGGAGGATAGAGCATTTAACGGGACTATCGTTAATCCCTCACAAGTTTTTACTCCTGTCGCGGTATCAATCGCTGATGGAGGACCAGGCGGTATCGATGGAGGCACCGGAGGATGCAAGTGTGAATGGGCAAATTGGCAGTCCAAGTAACGGCTGAGCAATTTCATGTCGAGTCACTGTACTGCATTTTGCATAGCGATAGCATACATTACATACATGATAGAGTCGACCCGCTTTATTAAGTTGGCGACGTTAATTCAAGCAATGAAATTGGATCTAAATCAGTTTAGGGACCACAACCAAATTTCAAGTTCATAACGTCGCGCCTGACAAAAGTGAATAGGAATAGATCTCGTACGCTGCATGTGATCCAGTCACCTAATAATATCTTCTGTTTCCATCTTCTGTTTCCATGGCCGTTTCAAGCTACACCAAAATGAGACAAAAGCTGGACCTCTTGCCCTTTAACTTTTCTGGATGACCTATCACTGAGTTGAACGCAGCAAGGGAGTATCTCATGACGCGATGACATTCAAATCGACTCTTTCACAAGATTAGAGTCTCGATAGATGCTTCGCATCAGAGCAACGTCATCTTAAATGCGCTGCGCATGCTTTGAGTGTGCTAGTGTGCGACGTTGTGAGGATCGCATTTTCAGGCGATGGAATATGGTATAGGTCCAAACACATTCCGACGTCTGCGGGTACCTGAGAGAGATCGCATGCTAGGGCTTAGGCCATAACCCCCGTCATTCTAATGTAGCTCAGGACTGCACTGGAGCCGAAGAGGCTTCTGTTTGTCTGTTTTTTTCAATCTATTCGAGCGGCTTTCGCGCACTGAACGACACCTCGGATGGTTCCAAGCAAACGACCGGACTGGTCGATCTATCACCCAAGGACAAGCTTTCCTAAGAGCGTGGGACATGTGGACGACCACGGAGCTCGCAACGGCGAGGACGATGATGAAATAGGGATGTGCGATGATTGTGCATCTCTTTGTGCATTCCGCCGCATAGATATCAGCCAGTTGTTGACCCGTAGTTTTAAATAAGGACGCACCAATCTATTGAGTCACTCGACACCAGAGAAAGAGTTGATTTAGTCGATTGCTTGGAATTCTTAGGGAAGATCAACCAAGGATAATAATTTCCCAGACGTTGACAACCACTGTTCACACCAGAATACGGCTCCCTCTCTCAGGACATCCAGAAAACCCTACAAGCCCTTCCTGTTCTTAAACAGGTCCATCTTCCCTGCCTGCGCCCAGCCGATTCATTCGCTCCCTTTCACCTTCAGCTTCAGATCTGATCTCCAAAGTCCTCTTATTCCAAGATCATATCGGCCACAACAAACATGCGCGTCTCCACTGCCGTCGTTGGCCTCCTTGGCTTCAGCGGTTCTGCTTTCGCTGCGGTATATGACGGTGAAAGCACAGCGCCCAGTTATGGCGCGGTCTATACTCCAGTCCAGCAGATCAACGATGGTCAGATCCAGAACCCGGAGTCATGTGGGATACCAGTACCGGTTCCCTCGTCTTCCACGCCTCTAGTGCCATCGACTTCAGGATCATCGACTCTGGTACCATCGCCTCCAGTACCGTCGCCTCCGGTGCTATCGCCTCCGGTGCCATCGCCACCAGTACAGGTACCTCCAGTTTCGCAGAGCAACCTCACGGCTGTATTCACTCCCCCGAATATCACTACCGCGTCCGTGTTCAATGTTTTCACCCCTGTTACTCCTCAAATCTCGACTTCAAGGCCTCCTGTCGCTGTCCAAACCGGAGCAGCGAACGGAATCTTCGGCAGCACGGCTAGTCTAGGATTTGCTGGTCTCATCGTCGCGCTTCTTGCTTAACTCCGGGCTTCGTCGTTACATTTTTGTCCTCGGCAAAGACGCCGGAGAACATGGCTAGGGGACGGACAGGTTTGGACAGTATTACAAGACAGAGTCTTTCGCCTTCGAGGCTGGGCCTTGGATCCATCCAAGGTATTTGATGTATCTAGAGGGAGTAGCCCCAGCTTTAATTAATACAATAGATGGCATCGTACTGCAAGCTGATCCCGCTTTTCTCTTCACTTACTCGGTCTTTGTGATTTTCGAAGTTTCTCGTAGACTAAACCCCCTCGTGACCCCTAGAAGGTCAAGTATTTCATCAGAAGATGATTGATAACAGTATTATAGATTTAATCAGTCGGGCCTTTTCTAGCTCATGGGCTAATTCTCCAGCCATGTTCCACTACGAAGACATATATGCTACACAAGACGTTTTACATCAACAGTGGAATTTCATGCATTGTTACTCGCTGTGGAAAGTGTTTGTTGACATGCACAATTCCTCTAGCATATCATAGACGAACTAGTGTCGGCTTAGCAAACCTTAGGCATTGCAGCTCTAATATCTACATTGTGCCTAGCAGCTAGCTCTCTGGAGAAATGTGGCCAAGAAGGTTCCAATCACGTGCAGAAGGCACTTGGAAAGGCAGATTCAATTTTTAACTGACCATCACGGACGAAAGCTTGCAGCCAAAACCTATACCAAAGGCATCCAGAAAGGTTACGAAGCCATAAATTTTGAAGAGCGACGGTCGCTTGATATCAATTGCCATATTAATTCATCCAAGTGCGGCTGGAGATTTCGCCCTAAAGGCTCTCCATGTCTCGATTTTGGTCATTTATGCAATCTTAGCCTGTTCGTCTAGATTCTGAATTATTCCAGACAGCAATCGATTCCATCTCATTACGGCTTAAGAAAAGATGTTATAAATGCACCAGATCTTGCAGCAACAACCAAGAGGCTGAGTTGCTGATATATATTCCCAAGTCACAAGGATAGCTTTATATCGACTACATTCATTCTTCTTGACCAGTTTACGAAGTCGACGATGACTGTGCATTTGGAATCGTAGATACTAATTACAGATCGTCTTCTGGTAGCTTGCAATCACAAGCCGAAATCCTAGCGACTACTACCTCTAGCTCGAAGGATTCGGACCCATCTGCAACTGCAAGAGCAGGATACTTCCATTCCTGCAGCACGGCTTCTCTGAGCCGTAGCGGAACGTAGGCATACGCGATGATAACTTTCCTGTTTAGTGTCACTACTAGTAACGATCGTAGTGGAGCAGATCTAAGCATCATCATCATAGGGTGGATCCAACCATAGGAAGGGGGTAAGTTGCTACATTATGGTAGATCGGAGTAACTTTGCTGGCTCCTGGGTAGGTAGGCAGTCTCTTCGCTTTCAGAAGCGACCAGCATCGACACACCGCAAAGAAGAAGTCAAACCCCGTACAACGGATAAACAAAGCGTTGTCTAAAATTAATCCAGCTGTATTGAATAGGACAACGTGGGTTGGTAGCCCCGTGGGCGAAGTTTGGAAACAACGGTGTCGTCATGGTGCGGTATGCTGTTGTTCTTAGCAACATGATCGTCTCTGGGCGGACCACACGGCGAACGAATGCCACGGAAGACGAAGAGTCGGGGGCGGGGCGAGCGGTGCTAGGACGGTACCCAGATGTTTGGAATCTTGGTCGTGGACGAACAAGCTGTTCGGCTGCTCTTGGTGGCGAGGACATAAAAAAGCCTTTGGTTTCAAACAATGCGTCCGGCAAGCATAGTATATATGTCATATAGGTAGGGTCATGGTCATGCTTGTTACGACACTGCAGCGAAAGATCTTACGTCCAGAGGCGACAACAAAGCAGCCTCAAAGCGGATCTACCTAGCGCAGTTGGCGCGGGCTCTGGATCGCGACGGCTCGAAAGCGGTAAACGACCAGGTTCTGCAACTGAAGAACTTTGGACTCGCAATAAGGATGATCCTTGTTATGATTTGGAGGGTTTCCAACGTCGAGTCCTCGTCTGTCTGGACGTGGTCGTGGCGGGCTATACCGGCCTCGATACGGCGACCTGATAATGGGATGTCTGAATTCTGCATGCCGTGCTCCGTATTCCTTATGAGCAGGAGCAAGACCAAAGACGGGCTAATGGACTTGGACCCCACGCCTTGAAGTACATCTGGCATAATTACGAGATGTGGTCCTGAATTGCCGAAAGCGGGCTGCCGCCTCGTTCAACGCAAAGCCATCACACAAGAAATGGGAGGAGCACGATGCGCGACGAGGCTTGTAGGCATGCTGCAGGAGTTTGTCCTCCACATTTTCGGCGAGGTTCAGTGGACGGACTGTTTTTTCTTTTGCAACCGACGCACGAACGCTGCAGCAGACGTGCAGAAGAGGGGGGAGGGTGACGATGGAGCATAGGCCGAAATAGGACTCCCTCTGTGCCAACTGGCACGGTACCCTCCAGCAGCTAGCAACGTTTTCACTCCTATTATTTCTTTATCAAATCGTGGGAAAGCATGCCTTCTGTGCTGGAGCTGTTGAGGAAAGCGGGAAAAGATCCATCCGTGACGTCCGGCATGCAGTAGTTTGCTGAAGCCCCGTCGAATGAAGCTTTGCGTTCTAAATCCCCTGATCGACAGGACGCGAAGCAAAGCTTTGAGCGTGGACAACATCTTCATGTGACATCAATCCGGTCCGACTTTACAAACTCATAGTATTGGTTGGAAGCGTTCGACAATAGATGCATCCCACGGCCGTCTTGCGAGCGTTGCTTTCACGCTGGCCGTTGTATCTGAACAATGAAAGAGCATCGACAGGGTGCGTCTGGTTGGCGTCAAGTAGTGGAGCTGCTTTGCTTCGTCTCTTGGTGCCACAGTCTCCAGACCGCTGCAACCTTTCCTGGGAGAGGTAGTTCGCGCGGGCTGCCTGGTTTATCAACCAATCATGGCCACACCGAATCGAGACTGAACCACTGTGCTGGGAATGCTGGTGCCTTTCTCATCAGCTTTTTTATTTTTTTTGGCTCTGCGAGAAATAACACACTAGCGCTAGTCAATTGAGGTACAGGTAATTGCTGCTCGGGCCTTGCGTTCCGGAGGCTTGTCATCAGGAGAATACCACAAAAAAAAATTGAATTGCTTTTCTGATATCGTCCTTGGACATCAGAACTCGCGGGGGGGCACAGCGTACAAGGAGATAGCGAGGCGCAATAACATGTACATATTTGGTTGTCGTCAACTGTTCTCCTCTTTCAGTCAGCTCCAGACGTGATCGATTGTGTTCAAGGTCTGCTTTGGAGTCGTTTCCCTCGAATTTCAATATCATTGTGATAGATCAACCCAGTGCCAGTTGCTAGCGTGCTTGGGGCTGCCGCGTCCGCTCAAGTCGCTGCCGCCACTGTTTTTTAATCCCGGCTCGTCACTGCAGGCTGTTGACAAGTCTCGAGCTCGCTGGCGAACAACAAAAGATTGCCGCCCCTTCCCAGCGAGAAAAAAAGAGCGGCGTGGCACTGCTACCTCATCTATCCTCCGCTTCGTACAATGCAAGGACATGCCCGGTGAGCTGTCTTGTACGTGTTGCTGGCCAAATCCCCGCAAGCACCGATGACCAGTCCGGGGATTAAGCGCTGGCACTCCAGGTTGGTTCCGTTCCGCATCCCATCCTCGATCTCTATCGATATATATACTGACCCGAGACACATGGGCAGTGCTCAATTGCACCGTAGAACTTCTGATCGTCGGTCCAAGTTCCGGGATAGATTGTCGGCCATGCCACAGTCGCGGTCAAAATGCTGCACATCCTATACCCTGGCCGGACAGGCGCACCCGGCCATGACCCAGGCGGAATTTCATAATCTGCCACCATCTGTACAGTGAGTCGACCTGGGTCTTGTTATTGTCGTGTCATGCGCGGGCATCGGACTTTTCACGAGTTGGGACTGTTCGCTTGCAACACCCGGTCTGCTCCAGCGAACGAACACGCTCACTTCCCAGCGCTGACTCCCGTTGCATGCGTCTCTGCCCCTAGCGTCGATTCTTTCCTGTGCGAAATGCGCCCGACTCGAAGCTAATGCCGGCCTTGGTCGAATGCCTGAATGCAGTTGCTGACCTGCAGTATTAGAAGGAAATATTTCTCTACGCTTGAGCGTCTTCAGATCCTCCACTGCTCTTCCACGCTCTCCTCTGAAATCCCGTCCACGTCCGGCAGCCCGCCGCGTGCTTCTGGCACGGTGCGAAGACCGACCACGTCCACCTCGTTTGGATCCTCGATACGGCGAGCAAAGAATCGACGCTGTCTTCTTCCGAACCAGACTGGCTCCACGGTCGAAACGCATTTCTACTTATCGCTGCCCGAGAAGATCCGACGCCAGCAATTCTCGAACGAGGAACGGCTCCGAATCCAGAGCAAGCTTGAAACAGGAGGATCCCTGACAATACCAAGATCTTCACGAGGCTCGCCCAGGCCTTCCACAACCTCATCTGCGCAGTGGTCACGGCGACAATCAAACTCAGCCTTGCGCAAGGCTTCGGATGTACCTTCGACAGACCTTCTACGACCCACAACGGAGCCAATGAATTGCTTTGATGATTCCAAACCCACGCGGGCGGCCTGTAGGCGTGCAAGGAAACCATCCCTGCAGAGAGACGCCTCTGTACACCGCCCGAGCAGCTCCCTGCTTTCTCCCAAGTCGCAATACTCAGGTCCAACCCTATGTTCGCCCTCGTCACCTTCTTTTCCTTCGCATCACAAGCGCAACATGAGTTCGCGCACTACCACCATGGTCCGTCCCAGCATAGACTCGACCTTCTCTGTCGACGCTGCCGCTGCCTACTACCAAGATCCTGAGGCACGCATGAAGGTGCGGAAATATCTTGTGTCACCACAGAAATTCGACGAGGCCGTCGCTTTTGGTTTCCCCAGCATGCCGAATCGGACGTCGACTTGTGAAAGGGATGGGCAGAGGACATCAAGGCCGATGACATGTGGACACGACGCATACAGCTTTTGGAAAGACGACGTGCCGCCTTGTTCGGACGGACGACACTCTAGGGAATCCACGGATGGAGACACAGCCTCGTACAACGACTCACCTGTAACTCCCGCGAGCGGCGACGCCTATATGCCCAGAGTTAAACCGTACGGGTCCTCGATCTTCGCCGGGCTCGATAATTCCGATCTGCCCTCCCTGAAGTTGCGTTTCGACGGCATGTCAGACATCGCAGAGAGGGACTATGACCGGGACTCGTCCACGTTTGACCCCTTGGCGAATAGGGAGATGACGCTTCGCATGACCCTGACGCGACCAGATTTGCGCGCTACGGACGAAGAGCTGTATGGGTGGGTCCCGAAGGAGCAGACGGACCCATTGGCCCTGGAGACATTGCATCTCAGCGACGACATGACCGGACAGAACGGCGCGTTCGCTGTGAAGCCCAATTCGGCTCGCAGCCGACGCTCCGGCGTCTTCAAGAAACTGCTCGACAAAGTCAAGTCACGGTAGCCATGCCGCAACGCAATGGCTAGCTTTGACGTATATCATCTTGCTGCAATTTTTAGCGGGCGTTGGGCGGAGGGCATGGCCAGACCTTTTTTTTCGCAGCTGCAAAAAGGCAAAACTCTACGACGGTGCTCATTCTTAAAAAGAGAATCTTCTTTTTTCCCACTCAGCGTTTGGAAAACCGACATGAACAGTCTGTTCGACGTTTTTATGTTGATTTTGGACTGTGTTTTTCTTTTGCGGATTCAGGAACATTTTTGAAAGACTGTGCCTTCGGAGTCTTTAGCGACACATCGTACTGATTATATTGAGGGGGACACCAGCAAAGCATTCGTGCTTGTGTAACCAGAGAGATACCACCACTTGTTGTTGTTTTTGACATGCGAATTATATTGTACTACTGCAGAGGTTTCTGCGCGCCATCTTGGCATCATATGCGCCAATTTCATCTCCCTCTCTGGAAAACCGAGTTCGATGCGTTTTTTGTGCATGACCAACGGCGATTTCTCATGTTGTGCATGCTAACCTTCCCAATGCAGCCAACGTAATGGCTAGCAAAAAATCATGCGCAACTTGAGAACTGGAGCCTGGTCGACGAAGAACCAGTACAACGGCAAAGTTTTGAGCGTAGCCAGGCGATTAATACACCTAGGTCGAGACGATGTCGTCAGCCACATGCGTACTGCCATACCGTCCGTTATTGCCTCGGACTTCGGACAATAGCTCGTGGTCTTTGCCTCTCACGATCGGCACGCGTGCTGTTGTTGCGTGTTTCAAGAATTCTACGACACGTCGGCGGTGTATGGTTACTCCCTTTCTTGCGGTAAGAATCTTCTGAGCGAGTATGTGGACTTGTCGCAGACGAACGCGCCTAGTGAATTAATCTCCTCTGCGCTAGGGACCCTGCAGGTGCCGCAAATTGTCACTTTCCCAAAATGGCGAAGCGCGCGTCCACGAGGGAAGAGAAAGGTTTGGTGTGGGTGATCTATCATGCAGATACTGTGCAGCGCTTAACACGCTCCTGGAGGCTCAAAATGGCGGGGGACTGGATTAGGTGGAGAGGACGGAGTCTGTGGCCATTATTCCTGCATACGTATCGTTCAAGCGATGGTGGGAGAGAAAAAAAGGGGTGTGGGCGTGCTGAGTAAAGCTTTGGCCGAGGAGATGCAAAGCTGAAGCACATACAACGCATGATTGAACGGTATTCTGCGGCGGTGTACACAGTTGATTACTTTCCCTCGAGCTAAAAAAGCATGTCTCAAATCAATAGTGGATGCGTGGGTTTGTGGGGTACGTCGCTGCTTTCGGCCAGTCGAACGCATATTTTCTCATCGAAGGAGTAATGACGACTCCAAAGGTTATAAACCAACGTGGGAAGGGGCGGAAATGCTTTTCGTCGCTCGAGGCTGGCATTTTCCGGGTGACGTCTTCTTGCTTGCTTTTTTTCCGCCTCTCGCTCCTGAAGAGCTGAAAAATTCCTCCTCGAGGCAACATTGTGCTTTCGTCGACGGAGTTGTCTCCTAGCTTAGAACCCTCAGTTTATTGGCGCTGTGTCTTATCCGTCCAGGAGACGTTCCTGATATGACGTTGACACGATCTCGAATCTTTCAGACCAAAGTCCTTGGCCCGGCTTGATGGGATCCAGCGATTCAATGCGTACACGGCGAATGATATCTGGACCTGTTTATATCACAAAAGCGTAGGCGGAGAGCAAAGAGGGACTCGTTGAGCTAAAACGTCTGTAGAGAAGAGTGCTTTGGTTACTCGAAACTTACACAGCTTTTCAGCTAGTCAATGGCTTCGACTGGAACCTTAGCTGTAAGTTTAGGTGCGCGATCTCGACAGCGGAAACATGTTGAGGCAACGTAGGTATCTGACTGTATTGTAGACGTGCGCACATGTAGGGGCGATAGCCCCTATGATGTGACCGTTAGCCATGGACACGCAGCTAGAGTCAGAGGTCACATCGGCAGCTTGGTGTTCTGCACGCCAGTGAGCATGAGGCTCGTCAGAGGCCAAGACTCCCTGCGCATGAGCCCCAGCATACCTCCAGGCCCTTGTTGAATGAACTTGAAGGTTGTCAAATCTATGAGGATGCTTGAGATTGCACGATTTAGGGGCTAGGCGGGTCAAGCAGAGACAGCAATGTCACGGCGCAGGGAAGGACGGCAATGCTATGGCATACACGCAGCGCCTCCCAGCGAGCACGACGTGGCTCAGCTGCTTCGGGGTTCTCTTTCGTTATCTCGAGGTGCTTGCCTGCGGACTCTTTGAGCGTGATGATGGAGGTGGCCCAACGCTGGAGGCCGTCGTTCTGTGAAGGAGGCGTCGAACATTCTGAAACCAGGGCCCGGCCGTGCCTGGCAGGCGCTCCAGGCCCAGACGGGCTTAGCGGAGGTGCCCACGGTGGGACCCCCGAGCCCCTCCCGTGTTTACGGCCCAGGTGGGCGTTTCAAACAACAAACCACGGCCTCACAGTGCGCAAAAGAAGCGCCATCCTTGTATTTCGCTGTCGTCGTCGTCTTCCCTCGTCCGGCTCCCCCCTGCCTGCTCTTTCCAGACCCCGTCAGACGTGTCGTGTATGTGTGTTGCTCTGTGCCGTCTTTACAAACAAACACCTTTCTCTCGCTCTCTTCCATCCACCGCTCTCGCCAACACCAACCAGCTCGCTCCCGATCCCGTACGGCGCTGCAACTTCGTCTCAGCCTAGCCAATCGCTACGCTCCAACGTTCCCCGCGCGAGCCAACCAGAACCCGCGACGACGCGACGCTTTGCGCATCCGCCTTCGTTCTCTGGTCTCCCCGAGTCTGACGCTACACATAGACAGACCTTGTCCGCGACTGCAAGCATGTCAACCCTACGTGCGAAGTACGAGGCTTACCTCGCAGCTCCCTCCACCGGCGCGCTGGCCGACGGCGCTTCCATCAACTACGTGCCCACGCTGACAACGGTCGCCGAGCCTACTGCCATCCTGAAGCACCTGGCAGCGCAACAGAAGCTGCTCAAGAAGAAGAGCGAGCGTGTGCTTAGTGCCATCGAGAGCAGCAATGGCCTGTGCATTGACACCGAGACCGTCATCGAGTTTATTGCCGGTGGCGGTGCCTTCCTCCCCGGTCTGGACGACAATTTTTTGGCGGACAAGATCGTCACACTACCAATGGTGAGTTGTGGCATGCGTCTCTGTATCCCTGCGTGTTGGCGTCGCGCGAAGCAGACGAATATGAGGCCATCTCAAAAACAATGCTTGCGACTACGCACGAAACGCCACCCGCATCTCTATGCGCTCCTCTCTCTATGCTCGCTTAGGACGCCCTGTGCTGACTCATAAACCAGATCCACATCGTGCAGTTCGACGCAAATCAGAAGATCTCGCAGATCCGTCTCTACTGGGATCAAGGTTCTCTCCTGAAGCAAGTCGAGGTTATCGGATCGCGATCGCGCAACTGGCCCATTCGAGACGGGAAGGACCAGATCCGTCTCATTTCTCGAAGTGTGGCGACGGAGCAGAGCGCAGACGCGGAACCGTCCTTCTCACGCCGATCTACGAAGTCCAGCGATGAAGTCGTTGTCAATCGCTCTCGAGGCAGCAGCACTACCAGCGCAACTCGCGATCCGCATGCATCTCTCTCTTTGTTCGCTCCTCGCGATCCTAATTCAGAAGAGGAGGACTCACGAATCAGCGGCCCATCTTATTCTCGAGCCTCGTCTGCCAAGCCGCCGTCGCGAAGTCTGACCGACATTCTTGGTGGTGGCGATGACAGGGAACCCGGTACGCCGAGCCATGTTCGATCTTCGTCACCGGCAAAGGCAGGAGCAAGCAAGAATTATGGCCCCATTCGCCTATTCGACGATCAGGAACCAACTGGCACGTCACCGGAGCGCAGCACTAAGGTAAACCCCAAGAAGTATAACCACTTTGAGTTTGGATCTGGAGAGGAGGCTCCGGCAATTCCAAAACCGAGTCGTAACATGAAGCACCAGAGCCAATGGAACTTTGAGGACTTCGTAACCCCGGACAAGCCTCGCACGAAGATTCAGGTCCAGACTAGACGAACAGATTGGGAGGAGCCCGAAGAAGTATGTTGCAGATTATGGATAACCGCAGAATACATGCTAATGACCGAAACATCAGGGTGAGAAATCGCCGGTCTTCCGAGCGCCTACGCACAAGCCACGTCCGGATGCAGAGACTCATTTTGAATTTGTAGACGACGGCACTCCAGTGGCAGATAAACCAAGGCAGCGAGTCGTCAAGGACGGCATGGGCCTCTACAAGGACAATATTACTGATCAGGATGACACCAAGAGGCCGCTCACAACAGTGACCAACGTCAATCAAAACGACCGCGCTCGTGACTTTGGTGCGCATTACGAAATCACCGATAACTCACCTTCGGTGAAGGGCAATGGCTTGGCCGAGCCAGAGAAGAAGCCGCTCGACCCAAACAAGCAGAAGGTCCTTAAAACCTTAGACGCTAAGTGGAGTCTGTTTGACGAAGAGGAGGACATCATTGCCAAGGAAAACGCTCTGCCAAAGCGCAAGATCTACAAGACAGCAAACGACGGTATGGGTGGCAACAAGACCACCGGCGGTCGCGGCTGGGGTATTGGTGACGAAAGCGCGGGCGAGGAGGAGGTTGTGTCCAAGCCAAAGAGTGCACGCGCGGGAGTGGCGAAGAAGCAGGACGAGGGCAAGGGCTTCTGGGACTTCTAGACGATCAAACGCAGCCCTCGAAAGCGCAATTTCTTTATGGGAGCCAGGAATATCTCTTATCGGGACGCTGTTTCATGATGATGGTAATGACTTTCTTTATTTGGTCTCGTTATGTGTCTATGAATGTGTTCCACCTGCTTTTCTACCAACTCCAAAACCAGCTCAGGGCTCAATTGGTTCATGTACATCAAGCCACGGCTTGTGGACTAGGATGGTCTTTCTTACGGACGAAAACGATGCTCTTCCAAGGCGATGATGAGCTTGGATAGATCGGTGGTGTAGTTGAGATGAGCTGAAGCTGATCCAACTTGAATGTCAAACAACATTGGCTAGTCATTAATGGAGATCCTTCAAGCAAAGTTCCGTTTCCAATGTGTAATCTTAAAGGCTATCCGTATTCTAAAAGCTTGTCCTATGCATGCAACGTCCGTCCCTCTAGGCTACGCCACGACGAAGGGCTCGTCATAGCTGTAGATCTTTAGTTACCAATACTGCCTTGATATATACCCAAGGCACTTCGCGACCTGCTTCCAGGGTAGCGAACATCAAGGCTAGGCGTGAGGGGAAAAAGGAAAAAGAAAATCGTCAAGAGACGCTCACTCAAACTACCCAATACCAAGCGATGCCTTATTCCAAGCGCTTTATGCACTGCACATTCATTCAGTCAGGTGCGCCACGGATACCAATATAAGCCTATGAACGTTTCCCAAAGGTCGTAAAACGCTAGAAAGCAAGCTATACCTTGCACTTTGACACTCAGTTTCCGCTAGCAGACCTGCGAACAAAGGCAGCAAAGAGAAGGTGCCTTTGGGAGGCTGGACTTGACACCCGTGCGCGTAGAATGTGGAAGCCGCCTCAGAAGGAGCTTTGGAGTAGGATTCAATGTGTCCAGATGGAATCGTGTTTCCTTGCTCGAGGAGTAAATCCTGCAACGAGACATGGAAGAGGTAGTAAAGGGATTCTACCGTTCGGGGTTCACACGGTTGTAATTGCTGGCGGGAAGAAGTGATTTGCGTGCTGATGGAAGAATGGGTTGACTGGCCTGAAGTAACTTCCAAATTAGCCATAAGCATATCAAAGACGTGTCGCAGTTGTGTTGCAAGTATGAAGCTTTACATGCTGCAAAGGAGCTGCCGTTATAGGATTCTCGTGCAGCTCTGCATGCCGGCGAGGGAGTTCCCCTCTACGCGGGAACGCGTCGAAAAGATGATGGCAAGGTCGTTTCCTTCGACGGTATATTAAAATTCCCGACAACCTACGATTGTCGCTCAAGTTCAGACTTACAGGCTTTTCCTCGGAGTGAACAGTCGTAGGCAAAAAGAGACCCGCTTGTCACAGGGCTCCGGGGCCTGGGGAGACGTCTATGTACCACGCGCGTCTACAATGCAAGGCAACGCCTTTGACTGGGTTGAAAGCTGTTACAAATCGAAATCAAACCTTCAGCCTCTCGCTATCCTTGGGCGATATGGAGAACGAGAAGCAAAGTTAGTCATTTGCCGCGACGTCTTCATGTGACGCCATACATCTACATCGAGCTTGCTGCTGACAAACGACCGGAGTGATTCTCGCACTAACACCGTCAAATTACTCAACAAACATGTTCGAAGGGCGCAGGGTGAAACAGTTCATGTATATAAGACGCTGCAAGCAAGATGCCGTCTCCGTCTTTATTTTCCTTTGGTAACACAGCCTTCGCCGCCCTCCCCCGATCCAGGCCGATTGCGCGATTAGCATTCAGACCCTCGCGTACCATCCTTCCTCGCCGACGTTAAGCGGTGAAAATCAACCAGCTAAAGATTAGCCCACATCTTTTCTCGTAATCACCTCTGCATACTCCTCAGAATCGTCGCAATAGACTTTTCCTACGAAGTTTTTTTCGAATAGCATATAGGGTGGCCTTGTCACCCCGCCAGTGGGGTTCGAGAGTGAGAGCTTGGATTTTTCTAATTTCAATATACTACTTCTTAGCCATGACTGTCATGGAACAAGCAATTGAGACGCCGCCGCGCGCACCCTCACCAGTCCATAGATTTGGCACACTTGCGGTGCACGCTGGTTCCCCTCACGACCCGGTGACCGGCGCCGTCATTGAACCCGTTCGTGCCCCCCGCTTCCGGTCCATGACTCTGCGGACCAAAAAAGATGTCTAACGAGGTGACGACAGATCTCGCTCTCGACGACGTTTGCTCAAACTTCGGTCGGGAAACCGGTCGGTCTTTACGAATACACGCGCTCCTCGAACCCGAACAGGGACAACTTTGAGAAAGCCGTCGCGGCCCTCGAGCATGCCAAATATGCCCTCGCATTCGCCTCGGGATCGTCCACCACAGCTATAATTCTCCAATCGCTAGCGGCCGGCTCGCACGTCGTGTCGATCAGCGATGTGTACGGAGGCACGCACAGGTATTTCACGAAAGTCGCGGCAGCGCACGGTGTGCATGTCACCTTCAGTCCGAGCATCGAGCTCGAAGTCTCGGAGCTGATAAGGCCAGGCGAGACGAAATTGATCTGGATCGAGACACCGAGTAACCCTACCTTGAGCCTCACAGATATAAGGGCCGTGGCGACAGTGGCACATCAGCACGGGATCAAGGTCGTCGTTGACAACACTTTCTTGAGTCCGTACGTGCAGAATCCACTGGACCATGGTGCAGATATTGTCGTTCACAGTGTCACAAAATACATCAATGGACACTCGGACGTGCTCATGGGCGTTGCTGCATTCAACTCGGATGCGCTGTTCGAAAGACTGAGCTTTTTGCAGAACGCAATCGGTGCCGTGCCTTCCGCTTTTGACTGCTGGCTCGCTCATCGCGGTTTAAAGACGTTACATTTACGAGCAAGGGAGGCAACGGCAAATGCTACTCTGATCGCGCGAGCACTCCATGCTTCGCCGAATGTGATCGCGGTCAACTATCCCGGACTGCCATCTCACCCTCAGCACAAAGTCACGCTGAAGCAGCACCGGGACGGCATGGGAGGCGGTATGCTCTCCTTCCGTATAAAGGGAGGCAAGGAAGCGGCCGAGGCCTTTGTACAATCGACTAAGATCTTTACGCTGGCTGAATCGTTAGGTGGCGTGGAGAGTTTGGTCGAAGTGCCCAGCTCGATGACGCACGCTGGAATTCCGAAAGAGTCTCGAGAGGCGGCTGGTGTATTCGACGACCTGGTCCGCGTGAGTTGTGGCATTGAGGACGGTGAGGATTTAAGAGCAGATATTCTCCAAGCGCTGGAGAAGGCTGTAGTAGGTCCAAAGATCACCAACGGACTGATAAACATGGACGCGAAGAATGGAAACAGGCCCTCATGAATGGACGTGCATGACCAAGGAATACTAGAGTTTCTGGTGCCGAGGGCACTTTACCTTTTCGTAGGTGCATAGTAGAACAACATGTTGACGCTCGACGTGGAAACTTGATAAATAGAGGCGCGCACGGAGTTGACATGAATTCATAAGGTTGAGCTCATTCGCTAATGACGGGCTTCAACGCATATTGTGATGTAACGAGATGCTGCAATTTCACACAATGAAGCAAACAAAGAAAAGTTAAACTTGTAATGAACGTTGGTTTGCGATGGCAAAAGACACATAACGCCGTTCAGCGCTCCATTTCCTTATAGAAGTCGCTATGTAGTGTTATCATGACACCAATTGACCATGCATCGCCCACCAGACTGATATTGGATGATCAGTTCGTCCGCAATTCCGCCCTAACGGTCCAGCAATAGAAAGAACCATTTTTGGCCTCATCGTTCGACATTTACTTGAGGGGAATGAAACGCGAAGAGTGGGTGGCACCAATACCTGGTCTACCGTGCTTGACTGGTCGGTATGAAATGCTGAACTCGCCGAGATAGTAGCCAACCATCTCGGGCTTAATTTCAACCTGGTTAAATTCCTTTCCGCTGTAGATACCGATAACGGAACCAATCATTTCGGGGACAACAATCATGTCACGGAGATGGGTTTTAACAAGATCAGGCTTCTCGTTGGGCTTAGCCTCCTGCTTGGCCTTACGGAGCTTCTTGATCAGACCCATAGGCTTTCGCTACACCACTACGTCAGCAATGGGTTTATAGTAATCTGAAAATGTACTGACCTTCAAGCCACGGTTGAACCGTCTCCGAGCACGGGCGTGGACGACATCGCGGAGCTGCTCACTAGAGAGGTCGAGCAATTGATCAAGGTCAATGCCACGGTATGTGAACTTCCTGAAGGCTCTCTTCTTCTTGATCTCTGCAAAAAAAAAGTCAGTGTCTTGAGCATTCAGGAATATTTTCCATAGGTCTCCATCAACTTCAAGGGCCTCAACGATATCGAGGCCTTTTCTGATGTGAGATGCTGGTGAGAATTGCGATTTGTGTGCGATGGGAACGTTGGGGCTCTGAAAACGTACCGGCAGCCTGACGAGTGAGTTAGTATGTGGAAACCATGAACAGAAGAACACAAGTAACTTACCTCCTCGGCGTTGTATTCGTCAGCCATGATTGCGGTTGTTGTAGAAGTCTTGACTGATGATGTTCGCAAATGCTAGTTGTAGATTTTGCAATGTGGGTGGACGGTCTGTGCTTTTAATAAAGTGGACTCATGTCTTGGCGCCACTTATAACGGTCTCAAGAATTCATAGGCACGTCACAGAAACAGTAGTCATGCCGAACAGAAAAAGTTTCAGAAAACTTTATTACAGCAAACGTAGCAAATGTGAAGGAAATCAAGTACAAAGTTTAGGAAGAAGATATTTTTCATTTGATGTATGTGCGGAATATCACAATGCGTATCACCTGTATAGTGAAGAGCCACCGAGAAGAATCCGCATGCATGCCATTGAGAAAACTCCTTCCCATGCTTATCATTCTAGCCATATTGCTTGCGCAAATGCTAAAAGTTTTGGAGCACATCTGTTTGCAAACATATGACATGAAAGCCAATGGAGGACGCTTAGTCGAACAGACCGAAACCCATGTCCTCGTCGGACTCCTCCTTTTCCTCCTCCTTGGCCTCCTCCTTGGCCTCTTCAGCAGCAGCAGCACCGCCAGCAGCACCACCACCACCAGCAGCTGGGGCAGCAGCGGCGCCACCCGATGGGACAGATGCGAGCTTCTTGCTACCCTCAGCGATCAACTGAAACATACCATTAGCATATCGCCAATTGTTCCTCCTTCAGTGAGCACAGCGCACCTCGTTGATGTCCTTGCCCTCAAGCTCGGAGAGAAGCTTCTCCAGACGCTCATCATCAGCCTCAATACCAACAGAGTCGAGAACGCCCTTGATGTCCTTGGCGCTGGGGCTGGTGTTGCCAGCAAGGCCGAGAAGGAGGTAGGCGGCGAGGCTATGTCATATTAGACTTCTCTCTAAGAATCGAGTGGAAGAAGTAGGTAATACTGCTTCATTTTGTGGTTTTTCTGGCTGATGTTAGTGGCTTGCTTTGGGAACGGAGAATTCATGGAAAAAACGCACATTGATTCAAGTTACTTAAAGAACTGAGAATCAATCGATTTAAGCGTCTTAACGCAGACTGAATCGTCAAGTTCTTTTTGTTGCGTGAAGAGTGACAGATTATGCCTTTTTCCGTGGTGTCCGAAAATGCTCAACGAATATCGATGCGATCCGTGGGCTGCCAAGACTTCGGACCCACGGATTTATGCCTTAGGAAACAAGGCCTAAAGCAGGATGTGGCTTTGTATCTGCAATGTATAAATCATCCACTGTTGGCATGAAAACGAGAAGTTACGCAAGCCGCAGCATTCACTGTTGCTCTGCCGGAATTTACTTTATTCCATAGAAACACAGTCTCTGACTTCTTGTGAGGCGCAAACTGCCCAGCTGCTGTCTACAACATGCGCAGGAAGACCTAAGCAGCGGAGACTGGCTATTTGCTTGAGCGGATTAACAACCACGATGAGTGTACGCATCGCTTATGACGACGCTTGGATTTAATTACTGACTGAGTGCTATAAAGTATCTTAGCAGCATTCTTGATTCGATTGGCGGTGATGGCACCACAGCTCCTCCAGCTTCAACACCCGCGCCACGTGCCCCTCCAACAATCCAGAAGCGTAAAGCAGATAACGAGTTAACAAACGGCCCAGCAAAGAGACCAATTACCCCGGCAAATGCACAGAATGGGAATGTTCAGCGACCTAATGCACTTGATCGCAGTCAGAATGGAACATCCTCAAAGCCAACGTCAGCTTCTCCGGCCAAAGGTGGTCTGAATTCCGGCTCCGCGACAACTTCCACGAATGAAGCAACCAAGAAACCTTCATCCAAAGCACAGACGCCTTCACTCGGTTCAGATGCAGCGGCAAAGCCTAATCCGAAGCCAACTACTTCAACCACCACTACCACGAAACCAGCTACCCCAACGACAGAGAAGCCACCTCCTAAGAAAGGATCATATGCGGATATCATAGCTCGGGCAAAGGCAGCACAGGCGTTAAAGGGTCCAGTTGGTGTCATTATGCACAAACAAGCGGAGAAGGTGGACCCTAAGGCTCGTAAGGCTGAAGCGGCAAAAGCTAGGGGGGAATTATCTCGAGGCAAACGGGTGAGCGAGAAGGTGGGTGATCGAAGCCGAACAGGAAGCGCGGAAGCTGTGAGCCGATCTGGAGAAAAGATCAAGCAGCGGCAGAAACCGCAGGAGAAGAGTAGCTACAAGGGTACAGCGCAGCCAACCACTCCAATCTACACCGGAAGCGCGCGACCTGGTCAAAGCTCAAGGACAAAGGCCAAACGTTATGACGGATATGCCGGGACAGATGAGGAGATAGACGATTACGACGAGGAAGATGTTTACGGCTATGATGATGATGAATCTGACATGGAAGCGGGCGCAGAAGATGTCTGGGCTGAGGAGGAAGAGGCTCTACGTCAGGCGAAGAAAGACGATGCCGCAGAACTTGCATATGAAATCAAGCTGAAGAGGGAGAAGGAGGCGAGGAAGCGAAAGGCACTTGAGGAGCTTGCTGCATCACGTAGAAAGAGGTGAACCAGATCTCCAGACCCAATCCAATCGTCAAGTTATGGTCTAGAGATTAAGTGTCACCGTGCTCTCATTCTAGCTGCACAGTAATTGATATGATTAGCAGGGCGCTGGTCTGGTTTTACGTCATCTATTTGAGAGGAATATGTACCCAGTAACTAGCATGGATGGTCGACGGTGCATCAAAGAGGTTCGCACTGCAGCATTTTGAGCGAGTTTGTACAGTACGAGTCTCAGCGAATGGACTATGCAGAAGGTCAATTGTATTCCATTAATTAGAGCTGCGAACGGACACAGCTTTTGTGCGCGCACTGTCATTTAAAGCATCTGGCATCTAATCCTCTCTCAAGCTGGCTCAACATGTCAAGCCTTGAGCTGGGGGACGAATGTTGGATCCAGACTCATACAGACGCGACGATATGGCTGGATAGTATCCCTGAGGCCTCAAGACATGATGCGCCAGCCCTTCTGCGACATCGTGGCTTGGGCAGATGTAATTGAAACACCTAGCCAGACTGGTACTTATGCTGGCTTGTAGGAAGCCCGCAGCAGTCGCAGTTTCCTGCTCATTGCGGACATTCAGGAATAACTACTGCCGTCTCAGAATTCTCACACTCGATATGAGGCCTGTCGTAAAGAACCATTGCCCAGCTCAGGTACCTGTGAGGCCGCCAGTTGCCTTTTTGTTCTTCTTTTCTGCTGACTTCTGCTCCTGGCTTATGATCGGCTTCACAAGCTCCAAGTCTTTCTCATCCACATCCAGAACAGAATGCTCGCTCCTCCTTGACTTTTTCTTTTTGCTCTTACTCTTTTTGATTTCTGCTTCATAATAACCTGGCATTTCCTCGAGCTTTCTCTTTGCTGCCATCTTGTCCCCGTCTATCTTCCCTGCCTTCTGGGCGTCGTACTTGTCATTCCCTGCCAGCCCAGCCTTTACGAATCGTCCAGCAGCAGCCGTATCCAGCGTCTTTACGGGAATTGGGTTTTCAATTGCGTCAATCTTCTGCATGTATTGTTGCACGCGCTTAAGCTCTGTCATGACTGGGTGAGATCTGTATTCCTGCGGGTTTGATGCAGCACTGAGGCGCTCATAGCTGTGTAGAATGGAGCCGATTGCGTATGTGCTCAAAGCATAAAATTTTGCTTTATCTATGGGCAGAGCGAAGGTTGAGGCTGTTGAGTCTATTGGTTTGGTGATCAGAGGTTGGAGAGCTGCAGTAAGCTCGTCGATATTGGCGCTGAGGTCGTCCACAAGGTCGGATGCGGCAGAAGTGTCCATGTTGATGAGACTTCTCTATTCCTAAATTCACGAGTAGACAGATGAGTGTGATTAGATCTCACGATCTAGGTTGAAGTCGCGAAAATTGTGTAGTTGTTGGTCTAGAAATATACTTCAGAAAAGGCTGAAGCGTGCAACCAATCAGACGCACATCGCAAACAAAAGCGGAGTACCCAACTGTCGTGAAGAATCCCGGACGGCATCAAGAATAGCTTATCCATCTAATTGAATTTTCATTAACGGCACAAGTTACGAACACATTTTGTAGCTTGGCTGCCTTGAATGTCATTTCAATGCCATAATTGTGTTTTCTACGTTGGCCGTCAATCTGTCTGTACTAAAGCACGCAAGTCCGCTCTTGCGGATTCGGCCTAGAATACATACATCACTTCCATCATGCAGCAGAGGTAGCATTCTCGACGCCCGGGCGGGCTTCTTTATTCAAAGTCGGAATTTAGCTTTTCGGTTCGGGATTTCAAGTATGGATTTTCCTGATGAAAGAGCTGCGGCGGAATCAAAGGTTGAAATGTGCGTGCATGGAGCTGAATTGCTTCGGTTTTCGCTAACGAGAAAACAGGGAGAAAAAAACACCGTTTCCAGCACGAGACAAATCGCCGAGCGAGAGACCACGAGAAGCTCCCCTGCCCATTGACCTCGCCGCAGAAACGCCACATGAAGTTCCGAGACGAATACACATACTCGGTACCGGCAGCATTGGCAGGCTCGTAGCACACTCCCTTCGTGACCTGCCAGACCCTCCTCCAGTAACACTCATTCTCCATTCATCCTATTATTGGCATGAATGGCAGCGATCAAGCAAGGAGATCACAATCAACACAGAAGGTATAAGAGTTGCCCGATCTGGATTCGATGTGGAGTATGTACCAGCTGGTTTTCGACAACATGGAAAACTCATCTCAAAAGAAGAGCACAATGCTGGAGTCGGTGAGCCAAATCAATTACGGGCACATGAACGTATGAAGATGCGAAAAGACGAGGACGTCAACACAGGAATACATATTCCTGAAGGGTCAACGAGTGAAGAGCCTATCTACAATCTCATCGTCTCTGTAAAAGCTGGAACCACTGTTCCCGCTCTACTTGGAGTTAGGCACCGCCTAGGCCCTGACTCGGCAATTCTTTTCCTCCAAAACGGCATGGGACAGATTGATGAAGTCAATGAAGAGGTCTTCCCCGATCCCAGCACACGACCAAAGTATCTCTCTGGTATTGTGTCACACGGTGTACACACTGCAGATAAAATCGGTCCTCTGGATGCAACACATGCCGGCTTTGGCACCATCGCCATCGGCGTGCCCATTTCCAAGGATCAAACAGGCCGAGACACAGCGGCAACAGAAGAAACTTTCCTGGACGGCACTTCCCCCGCTTCGCGGTATCTCCTTCGGACCATATGTCGCTCTCCGACACTTGCCGCTGTTCCAAATTCACCGACTGAACTGCTTCAAGCCCAATTAGATAAACTGGCCATGAACGCAATCGTTAACCCGATCACCGCCTTGATGGACGCTCGAAATGGCGCCTTAATTCATAACTTTGCACTTACTCGGGCAATGCGTCTGCTTCTCGGAGAGATAAGCCTTGTGATCCGTTCTTTGCCAGAAATTGCCCATCTTCCCAACACAGGGACACGTTTCTCCCCGGAGAGACTAGAAACATTGGTTGTGAGCATTGCACACAAAACTAGCAACAACATCAGCAGTATGTTAGCGGATACGAGGGCTGGAAATCAGACAGAGATACAATATATCAATGGGTATATCGTGAAGAGAGGAGAGGAACTCGGCATCACTTGTTGGATGAATTATCTAATCTGTCAACTAGTGAGGGGCAAGCAGCAATTGATCAGTTTGGAGCGGCAAGATGAACTGCCTCTCTCTGGACAGCGAAAGGATGATGTATCGGGGAAGATTTGACGGTGCTATTCAGACCAGGGTTCAAGTTTATGAATAGCTTAGTTGAGCATTTATTAACTTTTTCCATTCAGACGTCAAATCGTGTAGCATGGCGCCAATTAGGTCCGAGCCGAAGAGAACGAATTTTCACGAATTGAGTTCAGGTGAAATTGATTAGCAGGCTTTAAAATCTTGCATTCGATCTCAATGCTATCTGAGTTTTAAATCCCCACGTTACAAAGATGCAGTTTGAGAATAAACTGCTGCTGCAAGGGTCATTGAAGACCAACCATACCATGCGCCATTGCCTATGTGAATGCTGTTTTTTTAGCGCTCGCATATATCTACTCCTCTTCCTCATCACCGGCATCGTCGTCTTTCTTCTCCGCAGCCTTAGCCTTCTTTCTTCGGACACGTCCTGGACGTCCTCCACCGAAGGGCGAGGTGAGCGCGAAGTCGATGTGCTTCTGGGAGTCGAGGCGAACAATGAAAGATGGAACATTAACAATCTGCTTGCCAACACTATGTTTTGTTAGTCATGTGTCTCGACCAGAATATCCCGTTGCAGACGTACCGGATGTGGCGCTGTTTGATGAGAACACGGGCATGGTGAATGGACTTTGCGAGACCAAGCTTGTAGACGCAAGTCTGCAGACGACGCTCCAAGAAATCTTCAACCTTGAGGGCCAAGACGTAATCGAGTTTCATACGAGACTCGTCAAGAACACCAACGCGCACGAGACGGCGAATGAGGGCATTGCCTTCGAAAAGTCTCTTTGGGCTATGTGTCCAGTTAGAATACGTGATGACGCGCATGAGAGGGGTGGTACTGACTCTTTCTCGTCGAGGGTAAGCAGCTGACGAGCGGCACGACGAATTTTGGACAATGTGAGCTGGACACGCCAGACCTCACGCTGCACAAAAGCTTGTTAGCTTATCTGCGGCATCAAAAGGAATAGAATAGCGAGAGGATTCAAACCTTGTTCCTCAATCCATATTCGCCGACAATCTTCAATTCAGAGTCCCTAGTAAAAAAAATCCATCAATGTCATATTCCAACGACGTGAGCAGAGAACAAGCTCTATACTCATTGGTCGGGAATTGTGTATCAAACGTACAGACGCGCAGACTCGAATGGTCGGCGAGGGACCTTGTAGGTCTTCGAATAACTTCGTGGCGCCATCGTCTACGAAGTTTTGGGTGATTGTCGTGGTTGAGCAAAAGTTCGTCGTGGTGTGGCAGTTAACTTGGTAAAGGACCGCAAATTGCAAGTGTGCGGTGCGCTCGGACCACATGCCAAGCCTTGCGCTCCCGTCCACACTTCGAAAATTGCAGCCAACACCAAGAGCGCACACCTTCCTGCGAAAACCGAACGAAAAGTCTCCCATCAATACATCGCAACAATGGGTCACTCTGCTGGTCTCCGCTCCGGTACGAGATACGCCTTCTCAAGAGGCTTCAAAAAGACTGGTTATATTCCGCTCAGCACCTACCTGCGAACCTACAAGTCCGTTTCCGATATGCAAATGCCTAGGAAGCTTCAGCTGACCGATTGCCCGCAGGGTTGGAGATATCGTCGATATTGTCGCCAATGGTGCCGTCCAAAAGGGTCTTCCATACAAGGTCAGAGGAGATGGCAGAAGCGACTGATTTGAGTGACAAGTTGACTAACTTCTTGCTCAGGTCTATCACGGCAAGACCGGTGTCGTATACGTGAGATAGAACCAATCCGAGGACTAGAGCAGAGCAGTCGACTAATATGGCATCAGAACGTCACCAAGTCCGCTGTTGGCGTGATTGTGTACAAACAGGTCGGCAACCGTTATCTCGAGAAGCGCATCAATGTTCGCATTGAGGTATATTTCACTTCGGCTCTTTATCAAGCAACATTGCTAACGTTCTACAAATAGCACGTCCGCCACAGCCGCAGCAGAGAAGAATTCATTCTCCGTGTCAAGGAGAACGCACGGAGAAAGAAGGAAGCCAAGGCCAAGGGTGAGACAGTCGATGTCAAGCGCCAGCCAGCGAAGCCAAAGGAGGCCCGGACTGTCACCCTTAAAGACAACTGGCCAGAGAACATTGCTCCGGCGCCGTATGAGACGTATATCTAGACGATGATTGTGGCGAGTGGTTCGGGATGTGGATTTATTTTCCATGCATTGGGTTTACGGCGAAAGATATTAGCGACAACGGCACGTCGGGTTTCTTCCGATCCAAAAACAAACACACGATGGGTTGTCTGTCATCTGGAAGAAGGCAATTATCGCCTTTGATCAATGAATCGATACCATGAAAACAAAATCAATTCGCTGCAATGTGACACCGCCTCGCTGCCCAACCTGCTTCCGTGCTGTTCAAAGACTTTCCCGCTTTTAGTAGACATTAACCTGTACACAGACATACCTATCTAATGGCTATTGGGAGCCGATGCAAAATGTCTCTTGCGCTTATGTAGACGAAAAGGCTGAAAAAGGGGAATGAATGCCAAACAACATTAATAATCGGGGTTTTTTTTTCTTGGGAAATCCTGAACTGACATAGGCGTGCTGAAAGCTCATGGATGGATCCAGACGTCACTCAATCACGATCCTGAATCCTGCACCAACAGTGCTTCCATATCGCACACTTTGACCACTGCGATCATCACCGTACCGAACAAACGCCCTCGCTCCAGATATGGCCGTTGTCGAGAAACAGGGGTGTGTACTCGCATACGGCGTGTGTAAAGCAAGAAGTATGAAGAAAGTGAACTGAAAATGCATGTACCATCTGTTGCCGCCCCCACTTTCCGCTTACTGCTCGCCCGTTCTCTGGATCCATATCCTGCTATCTCGCACAAACTTCCGCAGGACTTACATGATGGCACAAGACGATGATTTGTCCGCCGGGTTCTTCACAGAAAGTGCCACTCTGGCAGCCTCTGTGAAAGCTTCATTGACTCCCCGGTTCTTCATCGCAGAACATTCTTTTAGACGTATGTCAGCTCGTTTTCTCTTACCCTTTCATATGTGTGTAAAGCAGACGTACCGAGATATCTCAATGCCTTTATCCTCTGCGCGACTTGCAAGCCTGCCTTGTACTCAATCATCGGCCTCTTAGGTTCCTGTGCGCCGTCCTCCTCGTCTTCCTGTGATCGCTCGCGTAGATCACACTTGAGCGCTACAAGAACAAGTTTGACGCCTGGACAATTCTCTTCAATTTCCGATTTCCATTTGGTCTCGATGTTTTCCAGGGAGTCTGGAGAATCAACCTGAAGCCCTGTTAAATGATTGTAACTGAAATAGCGTGAGATGGTACGGCCCGTACGCTGAAGCATAGCATTATTGCGTGTGTGTTGTCGTAGGAGAGCGATCGTAGCCGATCAAACTCCTCCTGCCCGGCCGTGTCCCACAAACTGAGCTCAACATGAGTGTTATCGATGAAAATATCTGTTGATCCGGTGAGATTTCGTGTCGAAGATGCAGGTCGGGGATGGCTCTTTATTACCATGTACGTAGTTTTCTATACGACGTTAGCAACAATGCCAAAGACGCAAGGCTTGAGAACGCAGTTGCTTCTTACCGAAGACTGTTGGCTCGCTATGAAGGAAGAGCCGCAGGGTCAGACATAGTTCAAGTGCTCATGCAACATGACACGACTTACTAAACCGTCGGGAAGTAACTAAAGGTGACAGGTGTTAGCTGAAACTTTGAACTTAGCTACGGAGGAACGCGTACCCTCTCGTGAAGACGTTCAGTAAAGAAGTCTTTCCACACGCACCATCGCCACTGCGACATCAGTTAATGAGCCTGTCGATTAGCACATTGGCGGCTCGGTGGTGGAGACGTACAGCAAGACCAACTTCCGCGACACCGTCTTCGAACCTCCGCAGAGGGGCATTGCGTCCGTATGATCGCTATCCGAGCGAGAGTGTGTCCGTGGTATTCGCACAAGAGACAGGCGGGCGCAAAAAAGATTCGTTTGAGGTTTGGGAGGGCAAGCCACAGGAATGGCCGCGTATCCAATGACGGCGCGCAGAGTCAGTTATGCGCCCGGGTGGTGAGATGGGGGGTGCGCGGATGCGTACGACACAACAACAGAGCCCCGAAAACAGACTTCGCGCCCAAAAGGTTGAATCAGGGAAAATGGAATCGGGGCAGATCTCTTGGTCAGTAGAGGACGGGTCTTAGAAGGTTGGCCGTCAATGACGAAGGCGGTGCGCGCGGACTGGCTTTGCTTTTGGGGAACCGATCGCTAAACTAGCCCCATCGATGGATCCCATCTGCTTCCCCATACCACAGCCTCCGCCGCGCGTAACCTGCGATGGCTCTGCGTAGCGGCACATGTCATGTACAGGAGCTTGCAGCCGTGATGACGACAAGGATTGCTTGTTTCCGACGCAATGCCATTGCCCTCATCCGAGGACCTGTTTCTCTCCCTGGATGCAGGTTTTGCCTGATGCTACATCGGCCACTCTGCAAGCAAGCATGGCCAGAAGTCGCGCCGACGGGATTCCTTTGTGGATCTCCCTCCTCGTTTCCCGCAGAGCCTTGACTTATGCAACGGTCTTGTGGAAACGTCGCCGGCGTATTCCGTAGCGCACAGTGGCCACGCCAGTCGATTGCGGTGTAAAGTGAAAAAGGCATGTCTTGGGAGGAGGTCCCATGTTGCGAAGCCATTCCATTTGGTGGCGAATGAAGGTCTGGTCTGGCCTGATCCTCGAATGGACCTGGAGTTCCGAAAGTCCTTCCACACAAGAGACTTGAATCCGAGAACTCAAAGTTTGGCGGGCAACGTCTTCGTGCAAATTCTTGCAAGACAGTACTTCTTGTGTCTGGTGAGAAACACACCTGGGCAGCGCGGAAAGTACATGACAGCTCGCCAACCCTGGCAAGGACTCTCCTTCCACCAAGTGGCATGACAACAGCCCATCTAGAGTCTCCTCACCAATCATTCTGACTCTTGGGCATTTCCCGAGATATTTTGCAACCACGGAGCTTGTAATTAGTTCTTCGGTGCTGCAAATGTGTGCATGGTAGGCGAGGCTGTAAGGCTGTATCACGTGCCGATATCGCCCGCCAGCATCACAGCACGCTGCACGCTGCACGTAAGAGTTAAGAGCTTCACGGAACGAAACGTACTCATCACCCCGCACGCTTCTTGAACAACATCGCTTGAATTTCACGAAATATCATAAGAGCGGTTATACTGGCCTGCAGTGCGCTGCCAAAATGTCTGACGACGACTTCATGCAAGACTCCGACCAGGAGGAGTAAGTGCTGCCTATCTAGCTTCGATGCACTTCTAACACAATGCGAATAGCTACGACTTCGAATACGAAGACGACGATGACGAACAAGGTGGTGACGTGGACATCGAGAACAAATATTATAATGCGAAGCAAATGAAGGCCGACAATCCTGAGGAAGCCCTGGAAGAGTTCTTGGGCGTGCCCGCGTTAGAGCCTGAAAAAGGAGAATGGTACGTGGGAATTCTCTTGGAACCGTGTGTCGATAAATTCAGTTCAGTAACGTGGGAACAGGGGCTTCAAAGCGTTGAAGCAAGCCATTAAAGTTGAATTCAAGTTGAAACGATATGAAGATGCTGTCGTTCACTACAAAGAGCTTCTCACGTATGTGAAATCGGCGGTGACCCGCAATCATTCCGAAAAGTCGATCAACAATATGCTCGACTTCGTGGAGAAGAACGCAGAAGACGATGCGGCAAATACATCCATCGAGCAATTCTACTCGCTCACACTAGACTCATTCGCGAACACGAACAATGAGCGGTTATTCCTCAAGACTAACATCAAGCTCGCGCGATTATGGTTCGCACAAAAGAATTTTCGTCGCCTCGCGGAGAAGCTTCGGACTCTGCACAAAGCATGCCAGAAAGAAGACGGTACCGATGATCCCAGCAAGGGCACCATGTTGCTTGAAGTGTATGCGCTCGAGATTCAAATGTATGCCGAGACGAAGAATAGTAAGCGTTTGAAGGCCCTGTACCAGCGTGCACTACGTGTCAAGTCAGCAGTTCCACACCCGAAGATTATGGGAATCATTCGCGAGTGTGGAGGCAAGATGCATATGAGCGAGGAGAATTGGAAGGAGGCACAGAGCGACTTCTTTGAGAGCTTCAAGAACTACGACGAGGCAGGCTCTCTGCAGCGCATCCAAGTTCTGAAGTATCTCGTGCTTACGACCATGCTGATGGGCTCCGACATCAATCCATTTGACTCGCAGGAGACTAAACCGTACAAGAACGACCCTCGTATAGCTGCTATGACTGACTTGGTCGACGCATATCAGCGCGATGATATACACACCTATGAGAAGATTCTTCAATCGAACACAGACTTGCTAAGCGATCCATTTATTGCAGAGAACATTGATGAAGTCACACGGAACATGCGGACGAAAGCCGTTTTGAAGCTGGTCGCGCCGTATACGCGATTTACTTTAGATTTTATCTCGAAACAGCTAAAGATATCCCTAGCGGAAGTGCAAGACATCCTTGGATTTCTCATTGTTGACAAGAAGTTGCACGGCAAGATTGACCAGCGAGCTGGTACCGTCGAGGTCGAAAGTAATACAGACATGGACCGGGTCAACGCAATACGAGAGTGGAGCTCGGCAATTGGCTCGCTATGGAGCACAGTGCTGAACGAGGGCGAGGGCTTCAGATCTGAAGAAGCTTCCGGCTTTGCGGGACCTATCTTGACAGCCCAACCTAGCAAACCGTCGAAAGCGTTCGGAGGCAAAGGAAAAGGCGTGGGCAAGGGTAAAGGCAAGGTCCCGGGTTTGGCCGCGAAGGGATGAGAAGAGACATGACGTTACGGGCAATGGGTATCGACGGTGCTGCAACAACCTGTGTCTCGGGGCGTTGCAAAGAAAGAAACGGATATTGGCAAGTAATTTGCCTCTGGTGGCAAGCCAACAGATCACGAATGACACCACAGTCACTAGGAATAAATACTTAGGTAGCCGAAGCTCACGGACCTAATGCAAAAGAGTGCCATAGCAGCCACACTGCTAAGGTTGGACAGATCAAGTCAAGTATCCCGAAATACGGTGCATCGCTTGATGGAGGTATTTGTATTTTTTCATTGTATTTCCCCCAATCGTTTTGACTACCTGCTTTCTGCCGACACAGCATGGAGATTTCACAGCATGGAAGTTTTAAGCGGGCGTCGACCGTTCTGGTTTACCCTTTCCATGTCCTAAGAGCTGAAGCAAGTTCGGTTCCTGGCATGTCTTCAGCCCCATCTACGCGTCCCACTGGTTTGCGGCCTGAAATTAGGAAGATATGAAATTTGTGCTGTCGCTGATTCGACAAATGTGCTAACAACAGGTTCCGATCCCGTTGCGAGGCCTGGTGGTCGATTCGACCATACCTTTACGTGTGCTTGGCGCATGGTTGTGTCCAAGTCTGTTCATCCAGCGAATCACGGCAGAGATGCCTGCATGTCCCGACTCTCTGGAGCCGTACCATCAGATTCACCGAAGGCGCATCTCTTCCTGCGATGGGTCGCAAGACTTTCGCATCATTGTAGGGCAGAAGTTCGCTGCGGTGCAACGCGGCATGTCCTAGCTTCTGTGGCCCTGCCGGCATTGACGAGATGCAAAGAAAAGGCTGACGGCGATGGCGTCTTGGTCACATTTGACGCTGAACAAGCCTTCCATGAACAAGACGATGCTGGCGGCGCCTCGGGGACGTGGTTGGATTTGTGAGGAGGGTGCATATCAGGGTCTGCACCACGTCCACCAGATCTTGTGTAGCGCTGGAATCTCCACTGACCAGGTCGGTATTTGTGCTGGCATTGTTGCGCACGTTCAGACTCGCTCGAAGGTGCAGGATGCGCCTCCCCGACCCTTTCTGGCCCTTCGGATGCAGGACAGCGAGCGAGACGAAGATGTACCATGTTGCTGGCTCACGGAGCACGAAGTGCCCGCCGTCCGGTGCAGCAAGTGTGCAGAGACGAGTCCAACGGTTGGCGGAAGCATTCGAGCTTGGGTCTCGCAAAAACGGACTTTTTTTTGTCTACCTGGCTGTTGTGTGGTTGGACTTCGTACTCAGGGAAATGGTGCTCAGGACACGCCGTTCGACGGCGGTGGGCTGGCTGTCCTTGTATATATCTGCCAGCAGCAAATCGTGACACAAGATGGCCACAGTCGCCGAGTACGCATCCTACTAAAAGGCCATCGAGAGCAGTTCTCCCTTTCTCATCTTGTGGTGTTTACTCGATTTTCTAGCCGGGTCACCCTTCGAGCTGCCCGTCAGTACACAACGCTCTTCTGCTGTTGTGCTCTTCTCCAGTCTGACTGAGATCTGAACACCACATCCGTCCTTCGTTCATCCGCTCACCTGTTCCAGCTGGCTTTACCTTGTCTTTGCTCTCGCCTTTCCTTTCCAGTACACGCTGTTCGCTCGCGGGTTGTCCTTCTGTGTTCGTACTTGTCTCATCCACCCACCCACCTACCCACTCACTCACTCACTCACTCACTCAATCATCAAAGTACAGTCCCTCCATGTGTGTCAGTGACTGTATCTGCGTGTGTTAGCATATCAGCAGCTACTCGCTTGACGACAAGGGGGTACATGTTAGGCCCACTGGCGGGTCATCTCACCGGGAGTGACGAAAAGAAAAAAGAAAAAAAAAAACAGAAGATAAAACAGACATACGGCCTAGTCTAAGGCGCATCAGCACAAGGCGAAAAAGTTAAAGCATCGCCGACATAAGCATATCTGCAACGCTTGCTGGCTGGTGCTGAAAAGGGGTAAGCGCCTTGAGGATGAATGGCCAGGCGGCTTTTATAAGCGCAGTTCAGCAGCACGCCCGCCCGACCGCGCAGCAACAACATTTTGCCATTGGAAATGTAGCTGCGACTGCAACTGGCGGACTGCCACTTTCATCCCATCGTCATCATCTCCATCACCATCATCTCCACCATCCATCATCCAACGGGAGCCCGAGGCTTGGCTCCGTTGCGTGTGGGTCTGTCGGGCCTTTCCACCCACTGCCGCTCCCGTTTCGACTGGCAGAAGCAGCGCCGCCACTGGCGGATCTTCCCGCGAACTACAACTCTGTCAGCGGTTCAGCAGCCCACCTTCACCTCGTCCGTCCAGCAAACCTTCCTCTTCAAAGGATGGCCGCCTATTCTGCTCAGCAGCAGGATGAAGAGCTGGCGCGTCTGCAGGAGTTGTCCAACAAGTGGGAGCCCGATGCCACGGTGAGTCGCTTTCTCCATGTCAATTGAGCGCGCCGGCCCCCTCCCATGGCGTGGGTCGCTCGCTCGACTTTCGTCGCGACTGAACGTCCGCCAAACGAACCGCTGACGACGCTGCGTCTTATCTTCAATGTAGGGCCCGTTTGTGAGCGACCTGCTAGATAGCACTGCTATCACAGCTGAATACGCCAATGCCGATCCAGTTTACCAGGTGAAGACTGCGGTACGCTGAGCAACCCGACAAGCATGCCTTGTTGCCGAGCTTTGATTGACGACCGAGTTTCTAGTCTCTACCGCAAAGCTTCTCACACTACCGAACATGTCGTGGCGATGGTCATTGCGGATGGCGGGGTTAGTATACGCTGCCCCTCAGCCCATGAGATGTCTCGGCGCTTGTGGCTAATTGAGCTTGATTGTAGCGGTTGCCTTCTCTTATTTCGAGGCCCTTGTCCGCACTGCTGAACCGTACAAATTCCACGAAGAAGTCGCCCGACTCAAGTCTCTGCGCAACATCATGAATGATGCAGGCCTCCCGGAGGATATCTACGTCGACTTCGCGGAGGAAGCATGGGTGCTGTTGGATCGTCTGTCTTCGATGCCCGTTGACGCAGGCCTGGCTACGGTGCTTGAAACGTTCAACGATCCCAATACCGCCATGAGCATCATCACGTACTTCAAGGTGGGCTTGTTGTGCTCGCAGGCTACGAATGCGGACTAACTACGAGAAGCTCCTCACCAGCGCGTGGATGCAGAAATACCCCGACCAGTACCAAGGATTTATGAATGAAAGCGTGCAATCCTATTGCAAAACCAGGATCGAGCCGGCTCAGTGCGAAATAGAGGAACTGGGACTCAACGCTCTCCTCGCCGTTCTTGTATCACCAGCTGGCATTGCTGCCGAAGTCCATTATCTCGATCGAAGCCCTGGTGATACCATCAACGTGATCCAGTACGGCTGGTCCGGAGCCGAAAGTCGCACGCCGCCTGCAAAAATTCGACTCCTGTATCGCCCGGGTCACTACGATATTCTGTACAAAGCCGAGGACCTAATGGTTACGAAATCGGTGCCATCAGCGTCTGTGACCCAGGCTGCCCAGCAAAATGTTTTTGTAGCACTGCAGCACGCGTCTACAGAGACACTGCATCACAGGACTGCGTACCAGCCAGAGACGATAGAGATACCAGGAATGTCGTTCTATACCGGTCCACAAGCTACATGGCCACAAGCGTTCAATCAGTATGACATTGCCCCGAGCCCGATCTCGCCTCCTGTTTCTTCGCCTCGGCCAGCAGTGACACCGACCTACCCCAACGTACCTGCTATTCCAGTGCACGACATGTACTTCCCGAGCCCACCTGCATCTCAGGCTTCGCTCCCGAATGTGGCACTTCCCCATCATGTTCAAATCGATCGTGGCACGCCTTTTCGGCCATCAGCATGGGAGTATACGGCCGAGTTCAATAACATGCCGCACCAGTCTCTTTGCCAAACATCCATCTTTCGGAAGTAAGTCTTGAAACTCCTTAGCGTGTGTTTTGCTAATTTTGCTAGTTCTCACTACAATACTGCTCACTTCAACAACCCCGATTTTGAGCCCGAGCAGTGGAGTCCCGACAAAGAATACACAACTACAGATCGTTCACGTAAGAAGTCATCACACGCGTAGTGTAGCGATGCCCAACAACATAACCCAAATTGTGTCAAGGCCAAGACATCAAACTGCACAACCACGTTTTCACGCTGCCCTTTATCTTCCTGACAGACTCAGCTGGTTCTTGTTCTTCGGCGGTTCATATTTAAGTGTATCAGCGGTATAACGTTTTCAAGCATAGCGACGGGATCAACGAGTCTTCTTATTACGGCAAGGATTTTTTTTTCTTCAGAAAAAAGTAATTTTCCCCGTCTTCTCCGACAGTGGGTCAGTTGCAACCATTTTCGTAGGTCGTGTACTAGCATCATTTGCTAGGACATGGCTCGTTCGCTTAGAGAGGAGATCCGGGCGAAAGAGGGGGGGGGGGGGGGGGACATTGGTTGGGGCAAGGATCATTTTATGCGAGCTTGCATTTTTCTAAGCTTTACCCTGCGTTTGAACGGGCGGAACGGAGCGCTCCCTCCCTGGCTCTATCCTGATTCCGATCCAAACAAAGATTGAAACACCATTGCTTGTCCACTTCTCTTCTATAGGCGAGGGGTTCATGGGGAGAGGCCATCCCAACCACGAGGCCGGTTTTTTCGCGATTGGACGCCAAGAACTCCTGTTCCCCCGTTCCTTTTTTTCCGCTGAGGGTTCGCAGGAAGGATTTATCTTGACCCTAGTAAATCAACAACCACACCAAAAAAAAGCTAGACCTTGGACTATTCACATCAGTATCACACGACGATTACGACCAGCACATCGACAGGACATATTTTCGGGTGGTATTGTTGCTAGCGGAATCATGATGCCCAAGTGGGGCAGGGAAGGTGCCGCATATTCTACCAGGACAGCTTTCTCTTCTTTTAACTGCCCCACCTGACACGTTGGGCATCGCTGGCTGCTCGCGCGACCGTGGCTTCTACATACAGACGAATATACATTCATACGAACACACACACACACACACATCCGCGCGCAGCATAAACATGATCTTAGAGTGAGGGCATTGTTACTTCAAGGTGGGTCGTAGCGAAGGCACATATTACGTGTCCAGCATCATATCGACCGCCCTTGAGCAGACTTAGGAATGAGCTTATTGAAGATGTATCGTCAACACAGCCAAACATGGCAATTGATTAGTCTCTTCATGTCGTAGTATGAGTTTCAATAAAAAGCATGCATTAAGCCGAACACCACTTTTGAGGGCAAGAAGATCCACTCGTTCTCTCTCGGGAAATGTACAATTCAATATTTTCGGCTTCGATCGCACGTGGCCACGTCAACGTGCATGCAGCTCATAAGCTGCAAGTGGCGAGGGTAAATCGAGAACAAAATGCGAGGGACGAGCAGCTGGGTCCTACTCGATTCACATGTCCAGCAGTGTAAAACGGTTAAGGCAAACGATTTAGTAACATTAGATTGATTATGTTGTGTGTATATATAATGAGCCCGGACCGCATCCATGGATACGGGGGGACAGGTGTTTGTTCGTAAGATAGACATTACATCATACAAGAAGAGGAATTTGCCGTGCGACGACAACTGACTACGATGCAGCGTCTATGTGTGGGGCGGGTCGGCTCTCCATCAAAAACGAGCGTTGCAAGTAAACATGCCGCATCGCTGGTATTGCGGTCTGGGTTGAAAGAGTTCCAACCAGTACCCAACCAAAAAGGTCAACGAGACAGAGTACCAGAACAATATGCGATTGTACAACTAAGGGGCTTTTCATTCGTTTCCTTCTGCCGCGAAACAAGAGACCAGGTCTCACGCACGCGTCGAAACGCCAAACCCACTTCAGACCAAGAGGCGGAGTAGGTGAAGGACATGGCAATTTCTGGTGTCGGAATGTAAACACATGAACGCAGAGCAGTCGGCATTTAAGAGTAGTCATCCTTAATGCCGCTGCGTTCGCTGCCTAGGAAAGAACCACGCTGCGAGTGGCGGGAGCGGGTGCTGCGCTTGCGGCCGAAGAGTCCGCCGCGCGAGCGACCGGCTTCATAGTCCCTCCCGCGGCCGGTGGAGCCGCCGATGCAGAAGAGGACCGTGGAGATGAAGAAGCAGGCAACCGAGGCCCAGGTGAAGCCGTAGCCGTAGCGGCCCAGCTTGGCTGTCTGGCCATCAGCGTTAAAATGGTCACGACCCATAACGCTCCAAGCGCTGTGCAAGAAGACTTGTTAGCTCATTCTACGAGAACAGAGGAAGATAGTGAAAGGGAAAGAAAACGGGAATCTGGCCGGATAAAGCAAGAATGGAAATACGTACGTCATTAGAGCAGCAAAGAGCACTTGGAAGCCGGCGGCAAGGAAGGTGTTCAGGCTGGACATGTATGCGCCCAGACGAGTGCACAGGGCCAACAGGCCGGTGAAGAGGGCGATGACGGAGAAGAACATGGAAATGAGCAAGAAGGCGAAGGCGAAGCGCGAAAGGTAAAAGTACTTGTGGGTGCCGATGAAGGCAGCGGGGACGCCAATGTCCGTGTCGAAGTTGCTCTTTCCAGGCGGGTTGAATGGGAGGGCGGGCACGGGTTTGCCACAGTTGGCATTGTGTCCGCTGGAATCGACGCCGCAGATGTAGAAGGGCGTCCAGCGCGAGGGGTCGCGTGCACCATTGATACCGGTGGTGGTGGTCTGGAGGAAGTAAACGAGGTTGAGAGGCTTGGTGTTGGAGGTGCCAGCCAGGATGACGAAGAACTGCAGCAGCACGCCTCCGGCCAGGAGGACGAGCGAGAGGAAGCCTAGGAGAGGTCGTGCGCCCATTGCGTGTTTAGACAAGAGGACGGCGATGACTCAGGAACGTCGTGCGGCGACTTGTCCTGTCGATTTCTGTTCGTCCCTCCGAGCAGAAATGTAGCGGGGCGTGTTTGTTGGAAGCTGTGTGCGGTGACGTAATTGGACGATTCGCGGGCCAGGTGGGTGCGCCGACGAGGGTGGCTGGGGAGAGGCAGGGCCAGGTTAGCGTACGGTGCTGGTTTCGAAACAAAAACAAAGAGGCCGAAGGGATGGGGGCGTTTGGTGTGGTGCTTGCTGGTACGTAGAGTCGAGCAAGAGCGGCGATGGACTTACGATGTTCGCGGCGGTGTATACGATGCGGTGCTATAGCGATGTGAGCTGGGGGACGAGGATGACGACGGACGGGGCGACGACTTTTTGAAGCCCAATGGAAGCCGGGGACGTGCAGAGGGACACACGCACGCACACATACACACACACGTCATTGCCAGACCGCAGCGACGAGCACACCACGGCGTCATGATCGAAATTTTCCTGCAAGCGGCCGCTGTTCTTGGTGCAGATCTTAGGACTGTTGCGCGCTTGCTCCACTGCGCTACCGGCACACTAAGCCCGCAAAAGCACCAGCACTAACCCGCGTCACTTGCGACAGTAACACTGTGTGCGACGCGTGCAGGCTCGGCGATTCGGCCGGGGCTGCTAGAGGGTCACCCCACTAATGCTCCAGAGGGCCACCCCCTAAATCTAGGGCACGGTCAAGCGCTGTTCTGTAGCGACGGTGGTACGCACGGCGACACGGTAAAAACATGAGCTCCAGCGCGACAAGTCGAGCAACTAACCCGCCACGCGGGCGGGCGTTCAGCTAAGGCAAAGGTATGTATACTGAGCATTGTCCACATTCGTCTGCGGGTGCTGTGCTCGGGTGGTTGTAGGTGCTTGCATGAGCATCGACGCACACGTACGTGCTGATGTGCTCCCTCCACCACCGCCTCCCTGCGTCACCAGTCCCGATCCAGGCGGACGTGATCCAGGAAATGAGCAAGAACCGTGTTTGCCCGTCGCCATCACCATTGTCATCATTCTCCGACACGGGCGACGCCTATGATGTAAAAGCCCAGGCGCCAAAGCAGCGCCACGCGACCATTGCGCATCTAGCGCACGCCCAGGCCCAGATCGCCAGACGAACCGATCAGTGGCCCCGGCCGGCGCCATCGCTGGGCGCGCACAAATCTTGCTTTGGAGCTGCCAACCACCGCTGCTGCTCCTCCACCTACTGTCAGTCTGCGAGCAAGAGGAAATCCTCCGTCTCCCCGAGCCCGTCCGGAAGAAAAAGCAGCTGGACCCGAGGGAAGGACAACCCCGGAAGGAAAATCGAAAAATAACACCGGGCTGGGCGATCCCCGTCCGTTTCCTCGCCGTCGCTTGAGATCATGGCCACAGCCGTGTGGCCCGCTGTGTCGCCCGCGGACCTGCAGCTGGAGCAGGACCGAGCCTTGGTACGTTGATCGAAGACGCCCCACTCGTCTATACACTCCTATACGCACCTGAGCACCATCTCAAATGGAAAACGAAATGCGTACAAGGACATTGGCCAACACGCCGTCCCTCTTGACAGGTGCAATGCGTCTCGTCGCCATGGGAACGCGTGGAAGTTCCGCGCTGTTCGTGGCTGCAACACCGGCGGCGACGTCGAGCGCAATTGACTTCTCAATGAGCTACGCGCGGAACATCGATCTTTGCTGACGCTAGCCCGCAACTCGCGTAGGCCAACGAACTCGAATGGCTCCTTGACGCGCTCCAGGAGTCGCTGGCTGCGCTCAAGGCCGGCTTCGAAGAGTGCGCGTCGCTGCTGGCGCCCGTTGAACCCGGCTCCACGTTGCCTCTCAGCTCGCATCGCAGCGAGAGCCTCAAAGGCGTCGTCACCCGCGCTGGCGCCCGCATCGTGAAAGGCGACATCAAGGTGCGCCTTGCTACCTTGCCTCCGCCAAAGGGCCTCCCCGCCTACCCCTTGGTCATCTCGTCCGCCGCCCACGCGCCCACCCTCGTCCTCGCCCAGCTGACCGACGCCCGCTCACGCATCAACGCCTGCCTTGACGTCGTCGATGCCGCCGTCTGGGCCGGCGACGCGAAGGACCCCCATTTCATCGCCGGCCAGCTGCGCCTTCTCGATGTCAACCTGCAAGAGGCCAAGGCCGCGCTCAAAGGGCCCTCGTCAAAGCCATGGTTCGCCGACCCCGTGGACCCTGCCGTCTTCGATCCGCCCCTGCCCCCTTCTCTGTCTTTCCACATGTCCGTCGTCGACGCCGCCCTGACCGTTGAGCTACGCACCCTCGAGCCCGCCGCCGCGTCCGGAGGCCCCGCTGCCGACCTGCATGCCTCCTTCTTCAGAGGCAGGCTGGCCCAGGCCCTCGGTGCCGCAAGACCCCACACTCACGACGAGATCGACGAGGTCTTTGTTTACAGGGGCGAGCAGGTCAAGGTCCGCGAGAAGGTCAGGGTTGAGAGTTCAGATCCGAACCTGATGGCGGCCGCCGCGAAGCTGACCGCCCTCGAGCGCAGCGTCGCCCACGCGAGGAAGGCCTTGGATGTCGTCATGGGCAAGGACGATTCATAGCGCCTCGCAATCAACCGTGCGTTTAAACTCCTTTTACGTCAATCACATGCCTCTCTAGAAAGGGAAAAGAAAGAAGGGGGGGGGGGGGGGGGGGGGGGGGGGGGGGTGTGTGAGAAATCAAGAGGGGAAGATAAACCATCCTCTGGCACTGCGTGCCTGGCAACCGTGTTCTGTATTGCTTGACGCTATCTCTCTCGCGCTCTCTCTCTCTCTCTCTCTCTCTCTCTCTCTCTCTCTCTCTCTCTCATTTCCTTTGACCTTTGTCTCGCATCATGATTCGAACTAGCAGAGGAAATTGTGTGTATGTGTGTGTGTGCGTGTGCATATCGTGTAATCGCATGCCGTTCCATCCGTTTATGCTAATGTACAAGTGACTCGAGCAGCTCGAGGCTTTCTTTGTCAATCTTCTTCGTCTCTGACGTCTCCTTTATGTTCTCTCCGCTCATCGAAGCCTCGTCCGTCCGCGCTGGTAACGTTGCTTCAGACCCTGCCATGGCATTCTCCTCCTCTTCGTCATTGTCCTCGTGACCATCTTCCCCTTCAACGTCCGCGGCGGCCGCTTCACGCATCGCCTTCTTTGGTGTCTCGTCTGCTTCCTCGTCCCGGGGTACATCTTCGACGATGCCCAGCGCGTTTCTCTCCTCCGAACCGTCGTCTGCAATGCGCACATCGTCCTCTGTCTCTGGCGCTTTGATAACAAGCACATCGTCAGACACCCCGCTTTCCACCGACGCTCGGGACGATCTTGTGCTCGCCCGCCTCGACTGTTGGATGCTTCCTTTCCGGGAATGTGCTAGCGATGGCGTCGACGGCGTCGAAGCAGCATTCTCTGTTGAGGGTCTGGGAGGCAACGGGGGTGTTGTTTCGACGGCTCCTTTTGCAGCTTTCAAGGCAGCCTCCCGCGCATTTTCTGTTAGACCGGCTAGCGAAGAAACGTTCGACGGCACCTTCTTGCGGCCAATGCTGCCCAACGCCGTCGTCCAACTCTTTCGGAACGCGTTCGGCGGGCCTGGAAGGGGCTGGCCGGGAGGCGGTAACGGCTGCCCACGGCCAATTGGCTGGCCTTGTCCGCTCGCCGCCGCAGACAGCTCTGCGATTGAGTCGCTTGAGCCTGGAACAGAAGCCCGCTTAGCCACAAGGTCGAGTCCCCACTTGCGGGCGGCTGCTGTTGCGACTTGGGCTCCGGAAACAAGATTCCTACGTTTCTTCTCGTTCTCCTCGAGATGTGAGCTGCCAAAGCCCTCGACACTGATCGACGACTTTTTGCCCTCACGGAGCGACCTCTGCGCCTCGTTACTAGGTCGCGGCGTTTCGTCCACGGGCATTTCCATGTCGAACATGTCGTGCTCTTCTCCTTCCTTCGCCTCATATGCCTCGTCAACCTCGGCGGAGATGTCAAGTGCCTGAGGCTCGGCTGGTGGCGTGGATGAAGTGGACGAAGACCTACTCGAGAGGCTTTTCATGGTCGAGGCAGCATCTCCAAGGCTATTTGGAGTTTCGTTGCGGAAAGCGCTGGCATGTGTGGGGCTCATACTGACTACAGGTGGGGAAGTGCTCGCGAAAGAGCTCGATCGAATAGTCTTTGGCTTGCTTTTGGAGGCCGGACTTGCACGTCCGGATGTTTCCGCGCTGTCCGCTGCGCCTCTGGTAGGGTTATTCTTGTCTGATGTCGTGCCCACAGGACGTCGTCGTATCAAGGATGGAGTGCTCTGGGATTTGGGCACATCGCTAGGCTCTAATTTTGCCTCCTTCTCCTCAAGTTGATCTTCCGATGGCGCAGTTGCGTCGTCTGGAGGCCTATAATTAGAACCATGGTGTTCCCACAATCCACCACGCACGGCTTGTCCCTCCGTGCGACTGAAGGGGATATCGTCCCAGTTTGGAAGGACAAGCGTCTCGCCTATGACTTCTCTTATCTTGCTTTCTATCGTGCGCAAGATGAGACCGTACGTGATTTGCCTCGAACTCACAATCGGCTCAATTGACATGTCGACCTTAGGCATCGTCTCGAACGATATCCAGATACGGTTGCAAGGCGGCGGCTTAACTTTGATTAGCAGGTGTCCTTCAAGGCTCTTGCAGATGCCAGCGAGAAGAATATCTATTCTTCGCACATTGAACCGCTTGCCCAAGTCAATCAACACCGATGTCGCTATCTCCAGTCTGAATCCACCAGAGTACCTCACATCCATCTCGACAATCAGCTCGCCATCCAAAGTCAACTCTCTGAGCTTCGGATTTGTAAAGAGAGGTGCAGATGTGCCCATGTCAATCTTTCCCACTTTAACCTGCTCGATGAACGAGGGTTTTTGTATACGCGTCAGCTTCTTTGTGATCTTTGAGTGGATCAGTGAATGCATCTCGCTGGTCTTGTACAGGGAGAGGAATAGACGCCCGAGCAATGCGTTGAACCATCGCGTCTGCATGAGCTCTTCTGAGCCGTGGAGTTGCTGGACGAGCTTGACCATATGTTCAGATTCGAAACGTAGCGGCAGAATAGGTGGCTTCGGGTTCGTTGATGAGCGGTGTTGGTTCTGTATCAGAGCATGGTAGAAATCCTCCTTCTCAGAACAGTTATCTGAAAAGAAGTAGTACGGCTTCGAGTCTCGTAACGTGTAGTCTGTCTCCCTCTTGCGTAGACGTATACAATTCCTTCGTACCCAAAGCTCCCCTTCCAGTATTTCTTCGCCACCCCCATACACATCCACGTCGTAGAGCCCAAGTGAGATAACGTATCGCACTTCGATCTGATCCGCATTGTCGTAAAGCATGAGATGCCCAAGCCTCAGCACGACGTAAAAGACGTTACGTGACTTCTTCGTCGCTTTAGATATGCCCGGTGTGGCATCGAAACTTGGTCCTTGAGGTTTGCCCCGCTCGAAGATGCTGCGGTACATGCTTTGGTAGACACTGGGGCTTTCCACCGCTACGACCTCGCCAGCAGGCGTTAGCCGTTCAGGTGGTTTGCCATTGACTCCGCCAGGCACGAATTCTCGCGAAATCGCGAAGTAGCCCGCCGCCGCGTCCTTTTCTCTGTCCGGCTTCTGAAGCTCGACTGGTAAGTTGGACAGGTCGGGCTGATTGTCACCAGGCTCTGCCAGAGTGTTGTTCCGACTCTCCTTTTGCTCCACCTCCGGGTCCACTACCGGTAGCATATAGTACGCATGGCAGAATGTGAGAAGGACAAGGAGCGGAAGGAACGTGAGACCGCCGAGGACGTACGCGAGTATGATGGAAAGGAAGCTGCCCATGACTAGCAAGCATTCCTAGGAGATCCGGGGGCTATGGTCATGGTTCGCTAAGCGCAGTGGGTCCGGAACGTGTGTGGCCCTCGACTCTGTCTGGTTCGGGGTGCGAATAGTCGCACAGAGTCTGTGTCCTGAAGTTCTGACCTTGGCCAGCGCGGAACTTGTTTATAGATCAACTGCGAGCGGGACGTAATTGTACAGGGTGTGTGGAGCTAATGCACATTTGCCCCAGCGCGATCTGGGGTTTTCCTTGGCGCCTCGACAACCTCATCTTGTTCCGGCAATCTGCCAACTACACGATCGAACTATACTCTGCCAGAGCATTTTGTATATCCACATCCGCCTGAACGCGTGATATCTAGTCACAATGTCGACACTGATCTCGCACTGTCGGGACTGTTCGACAACTCACAGCTTTGGCCCACCCATGACGCAGAGTTGCACCTTCTGGACAATCTTCTTCATCCTCTCTGTGCTGTAATTCTCACAATCGATCTTTGTATCAATCAGACGATCTCAAAGTATTTCGTCGTGATGTTTTCTTTTTTGCATTTGTGAGACTATATACGTGTTTTCGACGCGTATGGAAGGGCTTGCTGCTTTGGAAAGTGAAACTCCGTCCGGAGATGTATTAACTCGGTCTTTATCGTCCTCTTTGTTCTTATTATCATTGTTCCGAATCTACGGTGGGTTCCACTAAATCATATCTTTTTAATAAACGTGTCTCTCAATCATTCACCCAAAGCGTCGCTTTCGTAGATCTCATCAGATTCAAAGTACTCCTCTTCCAGTTCTTCGTCATCTTCAATATTACCGCCATAGGCTTCCGCAAATTGTCTCGCAATCTGCAAAGCTTTCATCTTCTCGCGGACATTCGCTTCAAAGAACTGGATGTCAAATTCCAAGAAGGCCCTCACAGTGGAAAGAGACCTGCTGCCAGCGACCCAATTTTGGTGGCTGGCTCTATTTCGCCTCCATCTAACTACTCATAACATTAGTTCATAATATCAAAAAAGCACTCGAGGTCTTACACCACCATTGTAATCTTGCCTCTTCCTCGTCAACGCTTTTCATAAGCACCTTCAGGTCATGGTGATTGGGAATTTCACAGTTTTGGAAAAATTGATCTACGGCATCATTGTCCTTGAAGCTGGTAATACCGGTTATGTTTTTGGACATCAGAGAATTTTTAGTCAACGTATCAGTTACTCTGGAAGAAATTAGTCCACAGTCATACAAGGAAGTTCAAAACTGACCCAGTAAGTAGCTCCGTCAGCGCTTCTTGGTGATGGCGCCGCAACAAGGGTGTCATGGATGGCCAGGCAAGCTCAAGATCGCTAACATCATCAACAATTACTTGAAGCGCATCACGCAGATTTCGCTCGCTTGAATAAATCGTTCCGAGCAGAACTCGTTTGGCTTCGTCCATTCTTGCATTCACGCGGAGACAGACTACCCTGTGAGGCGGAATTGCTGGACCTGTTGACGTGTTTTGGGGAGCCTTCTTGCAGCAATGTGCCTCTTCAATTGACTGAAGCTCAGATATGACTGAGTACCAAGCATGGGAAGCCATTTCTTCGATGTTTATAAGAGTACGCGACTTTGTAAGTGTTTTTGAACCACTAATATTTAAGCAAACGCTTATTGTCAGGATGCAGGCTTTAATTATCTGTTCTTAAAGTCACGCCTCACCGGATTTTTCACATTGGCCTCAGTTCCATCACTTTGGCACTTTTAGTGAAGTTAAAGTGACTTTCACTGGAACTGACCCCAGTGCACGAGGATTTCATTCAAGTATAAGACACTCTAATCTCATTCATATTTTCTCAGCGCAGCTCTCCTCAAACAACAACTACGTTACTCTTTGCTTCATATACCTCCAATTGCTGCATAACAACCAGTACAATGGCCCTTCAAGCAACCCTCAACTTGGAAACCCTTCTCGAAGCGAACTGGGCGGCATTTCATGCTCAGGTCGTCGCTGGCAACAAGCAGCTCGTTTTGCCTGATAACCTTCCTAGCTCCGTTATTCAAGCCATTGCCAGTCGGTACAGCAATCTTCTCAATTGCCCCGTCTCAACCGTCTCCATTCCGTCTTTGCGTATTGTGCGCTTCACTCCTTTTCAAGGCGATTTGACCACCAGCAATACATTGCCACCAGTGTCAAGCCCCATCAGCTCCGATTCTACCTCCAGCTCTCCTAGACCAGTGGGCAAAGCGAAAATTCGTCGTCCTCCCAATGCGTTCATCTTATATCGCCAGTTCCACCATCCAATCATTAAAAAAGACTTCCCTGGTATCGTCAACAACGACATATGTAAGTCCAATATTCGTAACCTTGTAGTCACTGGGACTTTTAAAGTTACTAATTATTGTACAGCAAAGAAAGTAGCGATGATGTGGAATAGTGAGAATGAGGAGACCAAGGCTGCTTGGAAATTAAAGGCAGAGGAAGTCAAGGCCGAACATCTTAAACAGCATCCTGGCTACTCATACCAGCCACGCAAGTCTTCGGAGAAGAAGCGTCGTATGACCAAGCGGAAGGCAGCCAGTCTTCAAACAGCCGAGTCGACAACTGCGCCTATGCAGACGTTACTGTCAGTTCCTCTCCCTAGTGATAGTAACGACGTCGCAGACTACAACTTCACTGAGGTTCCTGTCCCAGCTGAAGCCCAGAACCAAGTCAGCAATCATCTCAAGGGGTCGCTTCTGGAACACAAGCATATGGAATCTTCCATTACAATATCAAACAATGCGCTTCAATACACAGGAGGCTATGACTACAACAGCGCTCTCTCTACTGCTCTCTCTGCTGCTCAAATGAGCGGCTTTGATACAGGTTTTGCCTTTCACAATTCCTACATCGGTGGAGAGCCTTTCTTTAGCTCCAGTCCTAATACCAGTGAGCAGCAGCGCCAAGTTAGTCTCAGCGATCTTGATTGGAGCCAATACTTGACGATGGAAAACTAAACTCAATACCGCATCTTGGTGCAAGAGGAAATTATCACCATTAAGATTTCACTCGATTGTCGATGAGTAGCATGGAAATGATGGACTGAAGATGAATTATTAGATCGAGGTGTCTTAACGGATGGAAGCGGAATGGTTTATGTGTGCCTAATCAATAATTGACTCAAAGGTATTGCCATTGTGCTTTATTCGTAGAATATAAATTGAGCTTGCTGCTGGTTGAATTTACTAGATACAAGGTGCCATTCCCGAATTTAATGCTGATACTATTCTCAGAGTTGCCATTAAAATGATTGGGCAATCCTCCAACTAAGAGCTTTTGCAGATTTTCGCTCACAACTATGTTAATCTTGGGTCTAGGTGATTGATTTAGTCAGGTACTTTCGTTACACCATGGCCAAATCTGTGAATTGATTATGAAGAGTCGTTTTTCTCTTTCTTGCCGTCTACCTTATCTTTACAAGTCCGTTTATTAAGCCGATCAATCCGAATGGTGGCAGCTTTCCATCCAGAAGGACATCGATGGTTATCAAGACGTGCTCCTACGCGTCAGCACTTTATTTTGCGATGTGAGCCACACCATTTACCAATCATTTGTGACATTGGGAACAGGTCGCCATCGTAGAGCGCCTGGCCATTGTCGTACACCTTCGCATATGATTAGCGATTGCCTAAACGTATGAAGAATATGTTAAAGGGCTTGCCTTTTTATACGGTGAATGAGGTAATACACCCTTATGACGCATTAGAAAAGCACTGATCCTGCTGTATGTACGTACCAGATAGACCGTCTTCACCTTCTTGCGCTCGGGGTCTAGAACTGCTATTTGCTGAGCTCTCACCAGACCAGACTCGAAAACAGGGCGGCCTGAGGGATTAGTATCAATCTCATCAATGGCTTTAGCAGTAGCTTTCTCCCATTGCTCTACAATTCGGATTCCACCGTTTGGCACACGTTGCTTGTTGATAACCGTGGGCCCGTTAGCCCAATCGACTGGCCAACCTGGTCCGTCTTTCTCCAAGAATTGCGCCCATGGCTTGTTAGCTAACTCTTCCACGAACGAAGGTCTCGCCTCGCGCAACATATCGTCTATGGACAGCTTGCATTTTCGCTCTGTAATTTCAAGATACTCTCTCCAAAGCCTATCAGCCTCAAGAATTTGGCAAAACCACCGCATCACCGTTTCAAGATATGCCTTTTTTTCTTCTTCGGTTTTGAAGAACTCGCCTAACTTGGAGTTTTTGAAAGTCTCATAGTTTGCTTTGATCTCCCCAACCTTGAGAGATGTGATGGCTTCAGTGTTTTGGCGGTATTGAAAGACAAAGGAACGTTTGACTGCGTAAATTTGATCCAGAAACTTAATCTTAGGATCAGAGAAGTCCAGATTCTTCTCCTCAGACTTGAACTTCGCGAGGGGGTCATCAGGTATGATTTCTGCGATGATTTTCATTCCTTTATAGAGTTCAGTCGGTCAATTTGTATAGGAAATTCTTCTAGTAGTGACGTTACTTACGAGGATTTTTGCAAATTTCATTCTGCATCTCAGGTGGTAGGTCGCTGAACTTTATTTTCGTGCCTTGATCACTTGTCCTCTTGCTGTCCTCACTGCTTCCGGAAGCTTTTTGGCAATCCATTGTGTTCTCCGTCGTGATTAGATGCTGATGTTGTTTTTATTTTGTTTTGGGTAATTTTGTGAGAGGACAGAGGAGCTACTTGCGCTTAAGCGCAGGTTATCGTCAAATGACTTTTAATCACTATGCCTAAATTCACATTCTCATTGTCACGGACGTTTAACTTTTGAAATCTGTCGATCACATCTATCTCTCCTGTCTTTCACTTCTTGACGTGACAATGATATTGCATTTTCATCGACTATTGCCAGCGCCCCCTTGCCAGTCACTTGCCCAAATAAAGGTCCCACATCGCCACTGCGTATTCTTCTCTTTCTCGCCTGAAGGGCCTAGAGGCCGAGCGCAGATATAAAACATTCTGCCACAATTGACGCCCTTCTTCTTCGTTTGCAATGATTTGCAAGGCTCTTCATGACCCTCACATAATGGAATGCTGGGCTTTCGCATGAGCATACCCCACTGTTCGCTCGACTTTGCGCGCTTCTCAACAATATCGGAGAGCTGAGTGTCGTCTGCCACTTGGATTGCAATATCAGAATCCCGAGCATCTTTGGAGGCATCTATGCGAGTTGGGGGAGCCTCTTCGCTAACCTTTGCAGCAGCTGTTTTGTCACTCGTTAACTGCTTCATTCTGGCGTCTGCAATGCTAGACACGTGATCCGAGGACGAATCAATCACTGCTGCTGATGCCGCTGATGCTGCACTTGTGCTTGGCTGAAATGAAGCTTTGGGTGTAAAGAAGGACCGCAAAGTCCCTTGCCCCTTTCCAAGGTGAGCTGGCGTCGTGCTTGCTATCGACTTAAATCTTTTCGTCTTTCCACCGCCTGAATCCGAATCCGAAGTTTTCCGCTTCATCAAGTCCGCTTTTTGCAGTGATTGGGCTGTAGATGAGCTGTTCATCATCACTTGCATCGATGATCCCGTTGACTTAGAGGCGCTAGCGTCTGGCGAGTTCGATGATGATGTAGTATTGAGTTTCTGGGAAATGGATGGCTGTCGAGTGAACATGTCCTTGATACTCTGTCTTTGACTCACGTCGAACTCCGGCAGCAATCGCGCAGAGAAGGCGAGCGTGGGTTTTTCTGGAATGTCTTTTAGTCTCTCTCCTTCCTTAAATACGCCCGGCGGATTTATCATATCCTTGAGGTATATCTTTGAGCCATCGACTGTGACAATGTCATTCATGACTGCATATACTGGACAGTGATCGGAGCCCTACACAGCATCAGCGAGCTGTCGTATGAAATGATGAACCAAGCCTCTCACCAACAAGCCTTCTTGTATATTGGAATCCGTTATCCAGGACTTCATAGAAATAGACATAAGCAAATAGTCAATTCTAGAGCCGAAGTTGCCCGGCCGCATGTTCTTTTTGGTATCCCAATGTGTATACATACCTTGCCGTTTTGGGTGAAAAGCACGGCAAACATCCCATAGAACAGATTTCTCTCTTCCTTTGTCACGCGCTCCAATTACCTCTCCATCGTCCAAGAGCTGATTTAAGATACGCCTTCTCGGAGTTGATATGAATTCTTCATGGCTTATGCCCTCCTTCCGCTTGTCCTCCTCAGAGCCTGCAATGTCAAGCTCACAAACGGCGTTGTTAAGATCCCCAGCAAGAATAATGCGTTTGCCCATTGCATCCAATTTCCGAATTCGCTTATCTAGCGCCTCCCAGAATGCATGACGGAACATCGTACCTGCATCGTCCCCGCGAGTGTTGGCAGGGCAGTACACACCAAAGATAACGAAAGCAGGAAACTCGAGTACGACACAACGACCTTCTGCATCCAATACCGCTGGGTCTACTCCAAGGTCGGCCATTTCGCTGTAAGAAAGATAGCCCCCAATAGAATCGTCAGCAGGTAACTCTCGGTATGGAGTGCTGGACCCAGGGGGGCACAAAACGCCTAGCAGACCCTCTTCGGCTCGGATGGGCTGGCAAACAGCTTGTCGTATGTATATGCCAACTCCAGAGTAGCCTAAAACTTTTTTTTCAGTGTTTTTCGAGAAGAAAAGAGCCCAGGTATATCGAGAAGGCAATAAATATACCCTTTTTATGCTTAGGCAAGCTGAAGAAGCAGTCCCATCCAGGGACAAGCACCATGTCGTCCTTAAGATCCTTCCTTTGTATCTTAAGCTCCTGCATGACGACAATGTCGGCCTCCAATATTTCGAACATAGCGTCAAATGTGCGCTTCGAACTCCATGGTTGATATCCGAAGGGATTGCGAATCCCATTGACATTCCACGTCGTTATCCGCAGCCCCATAGCTGCCACGCCGTTGCTGATCCTCTGTGACCACGTTTCATCACAGTAACAAAAATTTTATCTCGTTTAGCAGAGATAACGATAAAGCTGTAGGAGACACAGTCTAAACGCGTTCACTTGGTCATGAAGTCACGGGAAGCGCGAGGACGCCACCTAATCACGTGATCAGTTTCAACGAAGAGCAGCCGGAGCTTCGGGTCTTGGCACTAACTCGCTTAGCGGGAATGCAGTCAAGCTTCGAACATCACCTCACACCATCAAACTCCTACACCTTCAATCACCCATTGCACTCCACAACCAAGTTCAAATATGCTGTCGCAACGTGTTATTCTTGGCACTGCCCGCCGTGTCCCTGCCCAGATCCGACGGCCCGTACAGAGGCGCTGGGCTTCATCGACGCAGGAATTTACTGGAGCTGAGGACAACGCTTTCAACCGCGAGAGGGCGGCTGTCAAGGCTCATGCCGCGGAATCTGCTGGTGCGTGGGGATTGATACGGCCTCAAAGGCTTATTTATTAGTTCATACTGACAGTTCGCAGAGCTCTGGCGCAAGCTTTCCCTTTAGTACGTCTTCAGTAATAGCATCACACCACCATCATCAAGGGCTGCCTCTAATGAAGGAATAACTTTCTAACAACATGATAGCGTCGCAGTCCCATGCCTGATTATCTTCAGTGCCAATGCCTGGACGCTCTGGAACGAGCACTGGGAACATGAAGCGCATGCCAAGCCACCATCTGAACGCCCACAGTACGAGTACCTCAATATCAGGAACAAGGCCTTCCCGTGGGGTGACGGCGATAAGACCTTGTTCTGGAATGACAAAGTCAACTACAAGAAGCCCATTGAGGAGTAGGACATGGCAACAGGAGCTGTACGTTAGGAATATCGGCAAATGGACAAAATCAGACCACGCCTATGGAGAGAATTTACTTTGTAAATAGTACTAGAAACTATCGAATGTGATGGTTAGAGTTGCTGGGTTATACTGTGCGCAGTCTTGGTTTGAGTCCTCAAATTCACGCTATTATGCATTATCGCTTTTGTGGCCAAACTGCCTCTCATACAGCGTGAGGTACTTTGTAGCCCAATCCTCAGCCAGCTTGAGATCGCCCCTTATTCGTGCTATGGTCGCCTTTTTAGCCAACATTTCGCACTGGCCCCGAAGATCTTGTAGCTTTTCGTACAGCGCAATTGCCCTGTCGACATATCCTTCCGTTTTCGATAGCAGACTTGCTCGTTGTCTGGTCCCTGCCTCGCTCTTCCCAGCCAGTCCCATGCATGCGTCCGCCTGACGATTGTATAATATAGCAGCAATTGCAGCATCGTTCGCACCAAGGGCCTATTCATGTCAGTCTGCCCTATTTAAAGATCAGGCTGGAGCCATACCTGAGGCAACACCGCGTCTATGACTCGAGATGCATGGTCAAACTCCCCGAAGAAAGACAAAATATTCGCCAATGCTCCCATAGCTTCCCATAGTAGAGGCATTAATTTGTACTTATAGGCCATACTTGCGGCTCGCAGCACAATTGTGAAACCCTTGCCTGCTTTCCCAGCTCTCGAGAAGAGCTCGGCCTTAAGTAGGAGCAGGGTAATTTGATGTACGATATCAGCCTGAATTTTCGCTGCTTCACCCAAGCAATCTTCTAATTTATCTAAAGCACTTTTCAAAGATTTCCGGCGCATAAGAAGGTCGATCTCAAGCACAGAGATTTGAAATTCGAGGTCGGGATCGAACCATGCTCCTCCTTGAAGTTGACGTAGAATATGCTCTGCGGCAACAATATCGAATCTACGCAACGCCTGCTTCATCTTCACTAAGCCGAATTGAGTGATGACGTATTGATTGAGCTTGTGTGTTCGCAGCATGTCTTCTCCAAAGCTCTCCATGATTGCATTTGCACGAGCATAATGTCCAAATTGCGTGGCACCTTGGGCGCGACGGCACAACGCGCGAACGACATCCTCCACCGGTGAACAGTCGGCGTAACAGTCGAGAAGTATCTCGCAATCGTTATCAGCCAGTACGTTGAGCCCCATCCGCGCATACATTGCCGATTCAACGAGGAGTTGTGTACCGCAATTGCTGAAGATGTGATAAACGAAGTTTAGATGTGCACTTTGAAATAGGTGCTCACTGACAACGGAAGAATCGCCGCCCAGTGATAAAGCCAACTTCGCTTCACTCAATAATGTTGAGCTTAGCAAACTCCAACTCTTACTCTCCTTTGCCTTCTCTGAAAGGAAAGCTAAACGATCTTTCTCTGAACTCAGCATGCCAGCATAACCCGCTTTGTTCAAATCATTGGGAAATGTCTTGCTAAGATGACTGAGCCAGCTCAGACTGAAGTTCAGGCAGCTAGTATCTTGATTCTCACGAGCTGTAGCTATAGTTTCGTTCATAGCGGCAACAGCCTCGTCGAAGCAACCAAAGTCTGCTTGCAATATGGCCATGTGCAGAAGCGCGTACTGGTAAAAGGTTTTGTCTCGGTTTTTGACGGTGTAATCGAAATATCGATGCAAATTCTCGAATGCACTTGTGAAATCGCCTGCTCGCCACGCGTCAAAGAAGCTTACGAAATAAGCAACATGTGGTGTGTTTGCTGTAGTCTTAATGATATGCTTAATTTGTTCTTGCATGGGTTTTGGAACTCGCGCACCAAATCGTTGCAGCTTGTCGAGATCATACTCAAGCAATCGCTCAATATCATCAGAGCTGAGCACCGCATCATCCAACTCGGTAGGGTCGTTCGAGCCGTAGACTGCTAGCGCCAGTCTATCTGGCCGACGGACATCGAACTCGGCAATAGCCAAGTCAAAAGAAGGGCCTGACGACACGTGGTTTCTCCTCCTCCAAGCTGCCTCTGTAGGAGCCCTGAACTTGAGAAACCCGGTCCAAATTTTTGCAGCGTCGTCGAATTGTAGCCGCGCAAACTCCAAATGAGCACGACGGAAAAATATTCCCAGTGGAGACGTGCGCGAAAGCAGGATCCTACTACTTGGCACGTCACGATCTTCTTTCTGTGGTTGGACTAGGTAGTCCTCAAGCTTTCCGAAAAACTCATGCAACGCGTGAAGCGAATCGATACCCCATAGCGCATTAATAAAAAGGTCGAATAGGGATCTCCCAGGTCTTATCGATTGGTGTTTTCTAGTAGCGGCCTCGAATTCTTCAATCGTGATGGAGCTTTTGGCTGAATTGAGCTGATCGGCATCATTTGACCCTGTTGATGAGAGAGGGGTAAGGTGAGAGAGTACAAAAGATAGAACGGGTATCAAAGATCCATTTGGTACGTTGGAATCGCAATAGAGCGTAACGAGGACAACAAGGCCGATTTTTGACGGCGTCAAGTACCGAGTCATCTTAAGCGTCAAATACACTGGCACTCCAAGCTCCTCATGGTTGCGTTCAAGTGGATCTGTTCTTAAATATCCCCTGGTCTCGATGAACCGGTGCCAGAAATCTCTTGGTATCCTTTCTGAAAGAAAAATCAAGGTTATAGCTTATTTGTTCTGGGCGTTACGCTTTTGCGTTTTAAGTTGTAACACGGCTTTCACGCAATACTTTGGAAAAGACGCGTGAGCACGCTTGATTGGTCCGTTCATGTCGGGCGGTTCCCAAGAATAAACCACGACATAGACAAATATTTTTGATTGTCATGAAGGGGGGAAAATGTGTGAGGCTTTGGTCCCTAGTTTTTGTTCTTCTATTCATTTGCATTCCACTCATCACAAAGTCAAGGAGATGGATTTTAACATGGAGGTTCGGGGGGAAGGGAATCGAGTTCGTCGATGGACCAAATCTATTTTACGTCCCCGTACAAAATGATAACTACAGCGGCTTTTGGATCGGGTTGAAGTCAATAGTTTACACCATCTATGTACAGGTCTCTTAAGACAAGAAATTTCGCTTATTCCATGCTATCAACACTGATCTTTCCCCACAACGCTCGAGCTTCCGCCAACGCACAATTTACAATCACATTAGAATTTTATCTGGTAAATTACTCCTTCGTCTCCTTGTCGTTGGTGAAATCTTCTCATTTTCCAAATCCTCAGATCCATGTAATTGATCATGCCTAAATTCGACATCCCCATTTAAATTTGCTATCCAGACTCTCGAGATCTTCAATTCAAACGGCCGTGGTATACGATCCAGCAAACTAATTCCCACGCTCTTCACGCTTTCTCTCAACATTTCACTTTGTGGCTCTACGACTTCTCCTTGATTCGTCCGCACAAACTCCTTCAAATCGATTACAACGGTCTCCCACTTTCCTGGTTGCTTAGCCGTCAGCTGGTGCTGGTGGACATCCGATGCGACAATTGAGTCTGTGCGAATATTTACGAAGTACTTGCGCCCGTCAGAGAGGACATTGAGACACAAATGAGTGTATGGATCGAAGTCCCAAAAGCCGCGGCCGAAAAGGGTGGGCTTGCGGTCTTGGGTTGCCCAGCCTGCGTATCCGGATCGTACAATGTGCGGTTTGTTGCGCGGGAGTTCTGTAGAAATGGTGCCGTGAAATCGTGCATGTGCTGGCTCCGAGTCTTTGGCAGGAATGTAATCGAGGTGCACCGTGGAGAACCCGCCCATGTCTGCATCAGACATTGTTTTACATTGTTCAATTGAGGATTTATCCTTGAAAAATATTAGGTCATAGGGTCGAGTAGGTCCGGTAACTGCCTCTAATCGAGTTGCTATATGTGAGGGTGATCAGCAAGGAAATATCAAAGTGGCGGATTGATATGTACGTACCTATGCCCACAAACCGCTTCACATCTTCTAAACTCCTTTTGAAAATACCCGGGGGCCCGAGTAACCTTCGAGTGCACTGCATGGCTAACGATGTCTGAGGCGAATTTTGAACACGGCGTCGCTGAAGCTACCCTTGTGCCCGTTGTTGACACCTCTCGTGATGGAGGATTCTATTGCAAGAATACTATAGCAAGTCACACCGCAAATCAAGGTGCATTTCAGAGAGATATTATGTACCAGCTGTTAGAACTTGTGAAGCACTTCAGCATCTCGGGCGAAGATGCGCCTTGAGCGTCATAATCGATTCCGCTTCTCCGCTGAGGGCTCTTGCCTCTTTTGGAACAAGCTAAACCCCATTGGAAAATTTTCGACATCTCCCGAGCATGTAACTCCTCTTTCCAAAAGTTTATCTCCTGTACTTGAACACTTTGTATCCCCAATCTAGCGCCAGCATTCCAGCAGAATCGACTTTCGTCATTCCATTTCAACACGATTGTGTGAGCCGGTGAAACCTGACTGTTTCGGAAGGTTTCTTCCACTCGGCTGTTCATGACCTTTCCATCTTCTCCAGCTGACTCCCGTCATATACCCGGCGCATCGACTAGACTTCCTGCGGCCGTCGCAGTACAGTCGCGAGAGTGTGGCGATGTCAGCCCTTTACCAAAAGATCCAAATTCGCCGTTAGCAATCAAGGCAAGCCCATTCGCAAGATCATGGGCTCATTTCTTCGCTGGAGGGTACTTCTTCCTCTTTCCCTTTTCGCAGAGCTACTGTGTATTTCAACTAATACTTGCACTACAGCCTGGGTGGCATGATCTCAGCGACACTTACTGCACCTCTTGACGTGGTGAAAACCCGACTACAATCCTCAGATTTTTACCAAGCACAAATTGCGGCATGGCGCGCGGCAAAGAATATCCCACATCCCTCTCAACTGTCGTTCGCGCGTAGTTCGCTTCTGCATATTCGAGAAACTTGTCAGATCTTGATTGCCATTCCCAGAGTAGAAGGACCTCGCGCTTTGTTCAAAGGATTGGGTCCCAACCTCATAGGCGTCGTCCCCGCACGCGCCATAAATTTCTACGCGTACGGAAATGGGAAGAAGTTGATAAGCCAACATTTTAATCATGGACAAGAAGCGGCGTGGGTTCATCTCTCAGCAGCTGCATGCGCAGGCATCGTGACGGGCACCGCAACAAACCCAATCTGGCTAGTCAAGACGAGGCTTCAACTTGACAAGTCGCAAGCGAAGGATGGCAGAGGCAGGCAATACAAGAACGCTTTCGACTGCACTATGCAGACTCTTCGAAAAGAGGGCATTCGTGGACTGTACAGGGGTCTCAGTGCAAGCTATCTCGGCGTGACCGAGAGCACAGCCCAGTGGATGATGTATGAACAAGGGAAGAGGCAGTTAAGGCTGAGGGAGGAGCGGCTTGTAGAGTCTGGACGGCCGAGGACAATGTTTGACAACTTCGTATCGAGCACAGGCGAGATGTTTGCCGCTGGCGGCGCTAAGTTCCTTGCTGCTATCATCACATATCCTCATGAGGTAAGTCTCCCTTGGAAGTCGAGAAGCAAATAGCCGGCTGACCACAGTGATCAGGTTGTACGAACGCGACTACGGCAAGCTCCCATGAAGAATGGTGAGCTCAAGTACACGGGCCTGTGGCAGTGCTTCAGGCTTGTTTTCAAAGAAGAGGGCATGGCCGCATTGTACGGTGGCCTTGTCCCTCACATGATGCGTGTCGTACCGAACGCCGCAATCATGTTCGGCACCTATGAAGCTGTGCTAAGATACATGGGTGAGGACTCAAAAACTTGAGAAGCATAACATCAGATTTGCATTCGTGCATTCATTTTCGTATGTTATGACATGTAAAAACAACTGAAAAGTCGCCATCCCTTGGAGTACCGCATACGCTTCAAAACTTAAGACTCCGCTTTGGTGATAGGACTTGTAGACATAGATGTATCTGGTCGCGGTGGGTGAAACAAAGGCCCGCTGCGAAGTGTACAAATAGACAACGACAGACAAATCAATCTGCTCATATTAAGGCTGAATCATCCTCTGCACCGTTCAGAATGAGTGATTGATGAAACCTTCCCCGCGTAACTTCTGCTCCAGTAGCTTACCACTTGTGCATTTTCGTCCTCTGAATTGAGAGGCTCTCTTTCTCTCTCTCTCACACACGCACACACACACACCTAACCGCTTTTGTTCCTTGTCCAAACGCATCCTGTGCTTGACGCCGCTTGTGCTCGCGGCTCAGATTGGCCAGCCGTCGTTAGCGATTCCCCGCTCGCTGCCATGCATTCACCATGAATTCTTGTCCCAATTTGGATCTGTTCGCAAAACAAAAAAAAAATGCGTCAGCTTCTCTCCTCTACGAGCAGTCTACGGGCAGATCGTTCATCGGCTTCCACGTACCCTGCACGAAGCTGGCCATCACCTTGCTCCCCGTCTGCAACAGCGGGTGGCTGGCTACGATGCGCAGAAACTGCTGCAGACCCTCTCTCCTGTGCTCGATCACGTCGTCCGAGAAGCGGTTCGTGAACACCTTGCCCGGCAAGGGGGGGATGGTGACGCGCGCGCTCTCGCGCTCGAGCATGTCGCGGAAGTGCTCAAAGTCCGAGTAGCGTCTCCGCACGGAAGACTGCTTCAACTTGAACGCAGGTATGTTGGTTATGACGTGGATTTCGTAGTCTGTATACATGTGGCGGCCGGTGCCGTGGGTTCGAGGGTCGCGGACCTGTGGGTCGTAACCATGGTAAGAAGGTTTTATCTTACAGAAGACAGATGAGGCTTCACCGCGGACGGCGTCAACTTACTTCAATCTCAAGCAGGTTCTCGGGGGCTCCGTAAAGCTCCTCATAGCTCTGCTGTCTCGACTCCGGAATCGTCATGATATTAGCTAGGCGGGGGCTACGAGGCTTCGAGGGGCTCGTCTCGCTCGCGTCCGGGTTGGCAGCCATTCTCTGCATCTTGATGACAATAATCGAAGCGCAAAAGAAATTAGGTGTCGGGAAAAGCTTGACACTGAGAGTTTTGAGACCGTTAAGTGTTCGCGTGCTCCAAAGATGAGTACCGATTCCAAAAAAAATGCGCGCAAGCCCCAAGATGTCAGCGGGGCGCAAACAGCCGTTCGTCCAAGCCACATCGACAGGGATACGATATCGACAACATACATTTCCCGCCGACATATTCATATATGACAGCGGGCGCATTCTGCACCTGCATGGCCCATGTCAGGCAGTCTAGCAAGGATTATTTCTGTCACATTACATTTCTTGAATCTCGGGACATTATAATTCTATGGCCTCGCTACTGCCCACCATTCCAAGGGTGATCTTCACCGTTCTGGAGCCGATCTCACTGTGGGTCCCCCCTCATAGATACCAAGGTTATATACTTACATTCCTCTTCAGTGTAGCAGGTTTCCTAGCTCCCCTTGTGTCCTCAGAATACTTCATTGCCAGCCAACTCGTCCGCCCGTACAGTGGTACTTTCGATGAAACATCAAAATTACTCTCATGGCAACTTGGCAATTGCTACCTCCTACTTGGCCTGTTGGGCGTCTTCATTCTCAACACTACGACGGAACTTAAGACAGTAAAGGCATACATATGGGCTTTGTGGCTTGGCGACATCGGTCACGTTGGTTTCAGCGTGTACGCGATGGGATTGCGTGATACCATGGCGGTTGGCAGCTGGAGTGCTACAGTCTGGGGAAACATTGGTGCTACAGTTTTTCTGTTTCTCGCCAGATCACTGTACCTTCTTGGTGTCTTCGATCGCAAACCAAGTCGAGGATCTGGGAGGGAGCATAGATCCCGAAAGATAAAAGCAAAGGCCCGCTAGCTAGCGTTGTGATCACATTATACTTATTTATATTCCGAGGTTTGCTATCAGTATCTCGATTGTTTGTGTTTAACCAATCGATCAGATGCTGCAACAAGCCGAAAAAAAGAAACTCGCAGCTCGCTAGATGTCGAAAGAGCGTGGTAGTCGTTGAGCAATGATCTTTCCAGAATAGAATCGCGGTCTTCGAGTATTGGAGTGTCCACTCGCCGTGGAAGATGCCGAATTTTTGCAAGATCTTTTCAACAGCGTTGAATGTATCGAGGTTGTGGAAGAGCATCCATTGTACGATGGTCGTGCTTGCGTCTGTTGCTATTAGTAAGCCTAAACTCATCCAAAGAATAGAGCCTACCGTTTCGTTGGACGTCTATCCAACTGAGCCGGTGAGAAGTGTTTGTAGACGGGATAGCACGTCGGCATCTTGCTCATGAAATCTGACGTCCACGCCGTAAATGGTAACATGGTCGAAGAGAGCGATGCTTGAAGCGATAGCTGACGTTCGTACAATTTAGCGTGATGATAATCGGCAACCGGCGACTTTTTGGGGCCTTTCATCCAGTACGCACCATCCTCCCGATGGGCCTTTAAGTTATAAGCATCCTATAAGATGGTATCTCGAGGCTAAACATACACGCAGTGCTTCCCCACACTCCCCCCATTTGGCGAAGTGAACGAGGACGCATTTTCCTAATCGCGATATCTCGTCCTCGGTTGGCTCTTGAACAGAATCGACGTCGAAGTGAGCGAAAAGCTTTCTTATCTCGCCCTCTGTGGGCGCGTTCAGCCTCTGGTCTCTGTGGCCAACATACAGGAATCCTTCGTCGCTGATCAGTAAAGGCCCTACTGAGAGCAGACATACCCCTACGTGATGCACTTGCTGGCTCAATGCGCAGCTGGCGATTCCACAAGAGACGATGATTCTTCGTTTCGAGTATTTCCTTGGCAGTGGCAACTTCCTGTGATCATTCAGCACGTCTTCCGCGAAAGATTACTTCACAACACCGACCAGATATTGAACATGGGCGAATGGCACACCTGACCGCATTCGATGGACTTTGACGAAGTTTTGTCTGCCTTCGATGGTCAAGAACTGAGTAAGAGCCAATTGGATCTCCCTATCGGAGATTTGAATGGGAAGGCTGGTGCAAAGGCGTCAGAAGACGCGTCATTCGCGTCGTGATTAGCTAACTCACTTTGCAACGAAGAGACAGGCGGCTGGGTCGAGCAAAGTCTGTGCATTTTCTGGAGTGATGCCGCTCACATCTTGCGAGCGCGCGGCATGTCCAGCGCTTTGCTTTTGTGCACAGGGGGAACATGGCTCCTCAACGGCATCTGAATGCGGCAGTTCCATGGACAAATCCTCCATACGGTAGATGAGATCGTCCAACGATGGGTCACCAATTCTTGGAGGACAAGATGCCGACCTCTTGCGCGTGCGGCTTTTGGGAGGCTGTGCATTTAGCAGGCTTTGCAATGAGGATTGGGCGCTTGGATAGCCATCATGGAGCATCTCCGGACTCGTAGGCATGTTGGCTGTACGACGTAATCACGTGTTAGCTTGCATAGAATCAACTTGGCCGTGGCCTCAAACGTACGCAAGTGAACGTCTCGGCGTTCCTCTCCACTATTTCGGACTCTTTGAGAAACAGCAGGCTCACGGGGCAACGTAATCGAAGTACACATCAGGGCCGAAACGTGACAGTAGTGCGCAAGCTTGGATCCATGTGGGAATCGCCAACGAGGGACGGTGCAATTGACAGAACAGACGACAGCGGGCCAGCAGTCGAAGAGGACGTCGTTGGCGAGCGCATGATTGTCGGCACGCCAAAGAGGCGCTCGTCCTCCCTCCGTTGCGCCTTCCCGCGGCAATTCTCTTGCCTGCGTAGCAGCTGCCCGCTTCGTGGTGGTGGCCAAGTCTGAGCCTCGCGCCTTCCTCAGCAGGCGACGCTGAACACCAGCATCGAACACGGCATGATGGTCGTCGAGCGCAGCGCATGGCGTGTTGGCTCGGTGCCCGCTGTCCTGCTCGCACACGTCTCTGTGCTCGGCGATGTAGTCCGCCCATCTCTCTTGTTGTCGCCTCCGGGCAGGTGGCCATTTCTCTGTGTGGCCATTTCCACACGCCAAACCCCCCTTTTCGTTGAATCTGAGGACGGCCAAACGCGCGCTCGACTCGGGATATCCGGGAAGGGGCTCTGCAAAGATACGTCTCTGTCCCTCCCGCCTAAATCACGTGGGTATCTGATCTGCGCGTTATCAAAGGCGCCAAGATGCTTCTGCTTCCTTTGCGTAGCGAGACTCACAACAGCATGGGCGCCAAAAGAGCTCCTGTTTCCTGTGTGGTGCCCAGGACTGCACTGCGCCCATTGATCTTGGCGCTGGTTGACCAGTGTATCAGTTGCGTGTTTCAAAACGGGTGCGCGGATCACAGCCCCGGCACCTAAACACTTCTTCGACATAAGCTTCTTCAGAAATGCAAACAGTGCTCCTTGGATCGGTGGCTTCAAAAGCAAGGTCAAAGGTTGGAATGCAATTACAAAATGGCGTCGTCCACGTCTACCTCGCCGCGTCATCTCCTCTTTTTTGTACTCTTTCCCAACGACGCCTGATATATTTCGCTCCACCTCCAATCCGTAGAACACGTTCGTCAGCACTACACTAGACGGAACCATGCCCCGTGTTACTCCTCTTTTTGCTGGGCTCATGCTCATTGTCACGTCTGCGACGTCGATCCCGTTCTACGTTCAGGAACAGTGTTCTTGCCAACCCACCAGCGTCGAGGGAATCGTCAACGCCTCTGCCTTCACAGAATGTCAGCGCGAGGCGGCGCGGCTCCAGACCAATCGCGCTGCTCTCAGGAGCATGGCACAAATGCCGAAAACCTGGATTGACGATACGGACACCATGAATCTGGCTCTTCAGCCTGACCACGACCGCTACGCTGACGAGAAAAGGCCCTCGCACGTGTTATCACTACCCGCAGCGAGAGTGACCGCTTCCAGCCCGTCTTGCAGACCCTCATCATGGTCATGGTCCAAGCTACGAAACTATGGCGGCGATGCACAGACTCGGAACACCGGCGAGAACGTCGGCACCCGACATTCCGGTCGACCGTACGAGCGGCACGTAAAGTACGAAGGCTTCAACGTTGTTTGCGAAGGGCGAATGTATACCGCCCGAACCAGCGAGATAATCTATGTCGACCTCAAACCCCTGTCTGTGCTCTGCATCTTCTTTTCCGTGGTTTTTGCGTGCACGACGATCATCGATTGGGCCCTCAACTCGTGGGCCAACTACCCGACAAGGATACGACTCGACGGTTCAGAGAAGGTCCTCTACGCACTTCCGCAGGAACACGATCAGTCGCAAACACCGACTCAGGCGAGCGATGAAGACCCCACGATAGAAGAACAAGTCGGAATCGTGAATTCGTGCCAGGAGGCGAAGTGCGATTCTCAACAATGAAATTAATGGTTCTCAATGATATATCTGTACAAAACTTTTCGAATGCTCCGTATGCAGTGAGCAATAAAAATCAGACATGGTTTGTCGATGAACGAAGCGCGAGCCTTCTCGTCGGGCCGCAATCTATCGGTTATATGTACAGTTGTATCGCATTCGCATCGGCATCAGATTTCTTGATTCTGATCCCGAGGGTATCTTTCGCGTCAATTCTCATATCAGTTCTTCCATCGATACATGTGTGCTCGCTTTGATAGTTAGTACTAAAAATACCCAATGTCCTGTTCGAAAATGCATCAATTTTTTCATAAAAAACCACAAACGCGCCGCGAAAGGCCCTTGCACCTCTTCATGCGAACACCATTACCCGTAACCCGTGATTAAGCCATAAAACATGCGTGCGTGTGCTTGCGTTGATCTTTCGTCTCTTTCATTCGGTGGTCGAGGAGCGTCATCTCGACCATGATATTGGGATTCCATAAACTCCATAGCGCGTCGTAGAAAGCATCAAAAGGATTCCAAGCGCGTCAATCAGTCGTCAAAGAGCACCATGCCCCTTCCGACCTTGTCAATGCCCAGGTGATCCCGGCCATCTCGTCCGGTATAGACGCCAAAGGCGTACAATGCTCTTTCGGCAGAGGAGTACGCGCTCGTCCTCTTCTCACCGGGACTTGGACCCGTAAACGTCGTGTCTGCTGGCGGCAAGGGCGGGGCGCGATCTGCACCAAGCACAGCCTTTGCCTTCCGATTCTCCGGCCTTTCAAGAGCTGCATCTCCGCCTCGTCGGAGCGTGTCGCGACTCATCGAGTGCATCAGGTTTGTGACACTGGCCCATAGACCGGGAGCAGGCAGCGCGGGGCGCTCGCCAAGCAACCGGGTCTGGAGCTCGACCTTCGATTGACATCGTGTGAAAGCACGATCGAGGAGGATGGGTGACTGGTAGAGCCAGCTCACGACCTCGGCTAGGCACTTGCTCTCGTGGGGCATGCGGATGAACGTACGTCCCGGCGCAAGAAGAACTAACCCTACTGCGTACAGAGCGAGAAATACACATAGGGCGTACATGCCAGACGCCTGTGCGGAAATACGCACTTCGGTGTCGCCTGTATACCACTGCGCCCAGAAGATGCCGCCGCTGAGAACAGGGATCGCAGTGTTGACAAGAGACATTGATGAGACGAAAGCGATTTTCCAGTGCCCATTTGAAGCGGCCGTCAAAGTCGTGGAGATGGGGAGGCGGAAAGGGTAGTCGAGGAGAAGTGTGTGCTCCGCAAGTGCTCCGCTTACACTCGTCATATGCCGGTACGGTTCCAAACGGCGGAGCGCGTAGTCAAGAGGGAGCCACAGGAGGTAGAGCAAAAAGCCGATGAGACAAGGTACGAAGGAGTACAGGAAGTTAGCAGGCGAGAAGCCAGCTGAATTTGTGTCCGCGCGGATCTGCGGGATGAAGCCATGTCCCGTCGTTGCATTATTGACAAAAGCAACGACGTAGAAGGCGATGAGTAGCACAAAGGCGATCAGAATCCAGGCAAGGACTGCAGTGGAAGACAAGAACCAAGGGATGAAGCGTCGTCGCACGACGCCGTGACGATAATTAAGCTGTACCCGGGAATGATCGCCTGCTTCGGCATCCTCATGGGAGTCGATGGATGGGTGGTACTTATGGCCCTTCTCACGTATGCGTCCGGATTCGATCGAGTAGCGTCTCGTTAGGCCGCCTTCCTCGCCCAACCCATAGAAAATGTCTGTTGGTCTGTGTGACGTGTGCCAGTAACCCAAACGCGGGGTGCAGTTCCACAATCTCTGCCTGAAGTCATTTAGATGAGTGTAAATTTCCGTTCCTGTGTACTCATTCACGAAGTTTGCGCGTTCGAGCAAGGCGATAAGGTCAGCGAGTGACCTTGGGTCCCATTTCAGCCCGGTCTCAGATCGTCGTAGATGGATGAGGAGAACTAATAATGCAACAATGAGAAGAATGTATAGCACAATGACGGTCCAAATAACGCCCTGAACAGCGACCCAGCGCCAGACGCCGTCGCTTCTGGGCCCAAAGAAGCGCACGTTGAACGATGAGCCGAGTAAGGGTATGGTGAAGAGAAAGAGCCAGAATATTATAAAACACGTCCCCAGTATAGGTTGGCCGGAACGGAAGTATTCGATCTTCGGGAGTAGGAATTGCGTCGGGTAGAGCGACAGGAACTGAGCTTCTGAACGTGCCTTTGTCGACGTCAAGGTCATGGCCATGAAGGGTGCGATACGGATAAGCGCGATCTCCACTTGGAGAAGCCATACCAGTATGATCATGCCGAAAAGAGTGGGCAGATACTCGAAAACGAAGTATCTGCCGTCACCAAAGAACCGATAATCCCACAATCCGTCATGTGTGAGGCACCACACGGCGCAGAACAGCAGACCAGTGAGCATGAGTAAGCAGACGAGAATAAACATGCCCAGCCAGAGTGGCCGCAAGATTCCAGGTACGAAGTTAAGCCTGGGCTGTTGCGTCGTGGGCCTAAGAGGATTGTACGCGACGAAGACATCGCTTTCCGAGACGCCATGGAGCGAACTCGATGAAGCAGACGGCGCACCAGTCAGAGGATGCTGCGGTGCAGGACCTGCTTGCATCTCTTTCTGCTCCGCTAGGAGCGCTCTTTCCCGCCGAATAGGCTCCGGTGTTTGCGGTATAGCAACGATGTCGTCTTCGATCCGTTGGGGCGGTGGAGGCACTCTCAGCTCCCTCTCTTCTTCGGTAGACACAAGGCGGATACCCATCGGCGTAGGAACTCTCCCTCTTGTCTCGTCGTGCCCAGATGCTGCGGCAGCCACGACAGCAGGCACGATAGCGGGATAGTCCTGATACGGGTGCATTGCGTGCTCCAAATCTTCCGCTGAAGTCGAGCTAGAATGCTGCTCGTCTTCACGCACAGGATACGTCCTCGAGCCGCGGACTTCCTCGTCACGCGTCAGCTGGTCGATGGCAAAGCGAATGAATTGGCTGTCATCTTGGCCCGGTGTGTACGTTCGGTTTATAAGATCCATCTTCTCCCGCCTGTCGTTTTGTTGCAAGCTCTTTTCGCCCACCAGCGACTTGGGCTCTCCGCCAGGCACAAGTTCTTTGGGTCCTCCAGAGCCCACGGCCTTGCGTCTCGTGTGTCGCAAGTCGTCCAAGCCTATAGAACGTCGCGTGCTCGAGCCAGGGTTCCCGCTAGGTTGAACCGATTCATCATCGGGGGTGCTGCGCCGTGAAGGTGGTGTGCTGAAGCGCCGACGATCCGCTGACGAGGGCGGCAGCAGTTGCGTCTCGTCGCCACGCTCTGATGCGGAGTGCACTGAGTAGTAATCTTCGGACGCAGCGATAGATTGTCTGGAGTGCGAATGCAGGAGTCGCGGTTTGTATTCTGCGCCAGCGTTAGATTACATTGCTCTTCTTTATCGTCAGGAAATTTCCTGGGAACGCCCTGGTCGGGCGGGCGACGCGTGCGACGAGGCTGATTATTCAGCGCACGGGTTGTGTGGGCGCGTTCACCTACCTGAGGAATCTCGCAGCTCGATTCTTGAAGTCTCGGAAGTCAGGCTCATCTCTCGTGCGACAAACGCAAAATAAACAAGACGAGCATAAATCCCAGGACAGTACAGTAACGACAGGGAAGGAGCTCGAGAGGATTAGTGTTTTCGACGTTGTGGCCTTTTTGAACATAACGACGGCGCTGGACAGGTGAGGCTGAACACCGTGGTCAGGTGGCGGGGTGACCCGCCATCTTCAACACCACTTCTGATTCGTCCCCAACACCTCTCATCAACGCTCTTGTCCTCTGCAGCCAATTGCAAGTGTGCAGAATTCGTGCATGGACCTGGGCTACTTTGCGTCCTCGCCGTGCATTGCTTGTTTTCAACCCCAAGTGTCGCAGGTCCTTGTGTGCCACACTGCTTCGGTTCCACTTCCCCTTCCCGCGAGTCTTGCGAGCAATCCGCCTCCTCGTCATTGCCTTCTCCAATCCCTTACCTCCGTAGGCTCATCAGCAATAGTGGTAGCAGTAGGAGAAGAAGATGATGATGAGGATGATGAAGCATTCCGAAGTGGTAGAAGAAGTGAAGTACTGTTGCTGGCCGAAGTATCCTGCTGACTAGAACTAGTTCAGAGCCTCATCGCGCACGGGGCATCAGCTCACGATCTGTCGTGAAAGATTTTGCAAGTCCAGCCATCCAATCGTCGTAGCCCAGCTTGCTCCAGACGCTATTCTTCAGTCATTGTGATATCACAACTTGTCAAACACATCGCGCTGAGTCTATCCTGTGTCAAGAAACATAAGCAGGAAATGTTCTGAATTGGCTGGTTAAAATTCTCTCTGCTGCCGCACAACCAGCCCCCAGGTCTGTGGAGCTCGTGCGCGAAACACACAAGTTAAATATGCTTGGAAGTAAAATGTCTTTCAAAACTCTTATACTAGTCTATGTCTTCCCAAATCTCAAGGGATTCGAATCTGCCAACTTGAATTGATAGATGAGTCGCATACAATTGCAGGGCGGGCAGTAGGAACGCGGATAGTAGTTGACTTGGCTCAGATTATGGGACCGCTGCTTGCCTCGTTCGGCATCTCAGCAGACATGCAAACAACGGCATGTTCTCAAGAGTTATTCTACTAAAATTGCCCCGTTTGTATTATCTAAATTTTTGATGCTGAGTCGCAAGCGGCTTAAGACCCAGCCACTTGACCACTATTTCAACATCATGTCTCTCCTCTGATTTCTATCCGCACAGTGGCAACGCACCATTCTGGGTCTCTTAGACCAATGCACCACCGCGTCTTGACCTAGGACCCGTTCATGTTCTCTGCCGTTAAACCTCGTCTATGCGAAATAGGGAAAACGCTTCTATCGCACTGAACACCATAGCAGCTGGTCTGGTCAATGTGTTCTGTTCCAATTGACCAAATTTAGCGCACAGTTTGCCATTTACCATACGCTTGGGGGAATTTTACCCCCTGTCTCACCAGGCTCATCGAACTTAAATTCACCAGAATTTTCGAGGCCTTTGTCGTTTCTGGTAGCGGTGTCCCAGGTATAACCGTCTTCCTTAGCGTCGCCAACGTGAACTTGGGCATCCTCGACATCAGAGTCTCCCTCGTCGAAAATCACGCTGCCATCCGTAGGTTTGAAATCCTCGAGGAAGTCTGGAATCTCTTGATTCGTCTCCATTAAAATCTTGACTAAGTCAGGAGCGAGGTCGTCGTTGCGCTCGTTATAGAACGAAGTGGCGAGACCCAGATGCCCAAGGCGGCCAGTGCGGCCTATACGATGAACATACTCGTCAATACCTCCGTGGGAAGTTGACGGGAGGTCATAATTGATGACATGCAAGACGTTTGCAACGTCGATACCGCGGGCAGCCACACCCGTAGTAATCAGAATTGGAGTTGCGCCACTACGGAAGCCAGATATCGCATCTTCACGTTCATTTTGAGTCCGATCTGAGTGCAGAGCAGCACATGGCAAGTGCAGATTGAACAGAAAGTCATCGAGCTTGTCTGCGACCGACTTAGAATTCACGAAGATGATCGTACGACCAGGAGGGTGCGCAAATAGAGCATCCGATACCGCCTCAGTCTTGCGGTCATTATCAACCCAAATCACTTTTTGAGTTATGTTGGCATGAGCTGATCCGCAGCGACCAGCCTTGATACGAAGGTAATCTGATGCCATGAATTTCTTGGCGATTCCACGATATTTTGAGGGGAAGGTGGCCGAGAACATCATGAAGATATGATCAGAGTCTTCGTTCAAGTTCGCACCACTAAGAACGGTCTCAAGATCATCAGCCCAATCCTCATGCATCAGCTCGTCTGCTTCGTCAATGACAGTAAATCTAGTCAAGATGATATTAGTAGCAACTCATGCAACTCTGTGAGCGACTTACCGAACACGGTGCAGAGAAAGAACGCGAGGGTCCTTCAAAAAGTCCCTCAGACGACCAGGAGTGGAGACTAGGATGTCGCATCCTTTGAGGAGCTCCTCGCGCTGCTCAACCATTGGAGCGCCGCCATATACAATGCAAGGTCGAAGTCCGGCACGATAACACAAACAACGACATTCATCGAAGACTTGCCAAGCCAACTCGCGTGTTGGCAGGATGATGAGTACCAAAGGTTCAGCGCGAAAGATGTCAACTCGGGGATCGTACTGAGACGGGTTCCACTTCGGCGCGCAGATGCTGTGGGCTCTACCCATCAAGTGAGAAAAGATAGGACAAAGGTAAGCAACTGTCTTTCCGGAGCCAGTCTGAGCAGAGACGACAAGATCACGGAGCTGTAGGACAGCTGGGATGACATGCTTCTGAATTGCAGTAGGCTCGATGTAGTGCATGAGGCGGAGCGTCTCCATCATGACCGGATGCAGCCCCATCTCTTCGAACTTGACGAGGTTAGTGCTATGATGAGAGACGAGTGACTGAGCTCAACGTACGGTCTCGATTGGCTTAACCGGATTCTCGCCGATAATATCAATCTTCACGTTTTCGAGGATATCGATATTCTGGCCTTTCCCATAGGTGCGCTCGTCGGGAAACAATTCCTTCTCCAGCTCTGGGTGACGTGGGGCGAAGATGCCGAGATCACCAGTTGCTACCCAGTCGCAGCGCTTATATTTAGCAACTTTGCGATGGTTCTCATTCTGAGAGTAGTTGTACTCTACGCGAGCGCCGTAACCATGATCCCGAGCACGGGCAGAGGCATCCTCGTTGATCTGGGCGTGACTTTGGTTTCGAGAATCAGTATCAGAGTCTTTAAGGACAGAGCTCTTGAGAACAGAGCTCATGCCAGACATGTCAAACCCATCTTTCCATTCGTTGTCACACATGATTTGAGACTGATCAAAGTTTGTCAGTTTTTTTATTTATGGTAGTGTGTCCTCAAGTGTGAACTCGGGTTTTGAGAGCAACGACAAACCAATGGGAACAAAAGCACGAACAGGAGAGTGTGTCTCGCCGAAGAGAACAGCTTCGCATGGCAACGATCAGTCAAAGCCCTGGTTGCCACGATCGTGTTCAGTGGTTGAGCATGAACGATTGAGGGCAAAGCAGCGGGAACAAGAAGCAAGCAGTGTCAACATGTTCGGCAACGTACTGAGAATCGAGAAATGCTGGAGCAATTTCAAAGCAGCTTCGGAAGCACAACTCGTCCGTGGCAACTGAAATTCAAGCGCCCATGCAAGCCGGGGGATGAAGAGAGGAGAGCTTGATGCAAACGCAATCACGAAGGTGAATGCCACGACGTGCATGAGGAGGTCACGCGTCCAAGGCAACAGCCAAGTCACGTTCCTGCCACCGCTGAAAGCCGAAGATCAGGAAGGTGCCACCTTGTGGCAGAGCTACCATCCTTGTTGAGAAATCGAAGAAGGCGCGACCGAAGCTGCTGCAGCGCAGGTTTGAAACGGTCCTGCCCTTGCCTACAGTCGTGAAAGGCAGTCGCGGCTTTCCCAGGCTGTGCCAAGGAGTAATGGTTCTGTTGGCTTTACAATGCTGGTATTCCGTGGCTGCAAATGATGATTGCAAATGATGGTGGTCATGCCGGTTCAACATTAGATCACATCACCTACGTTCGACATTTCCGTTTCTTTTGTTACGTGATCCTCTCAGAAGCGAAGCTCTTGTCCTAGCAATGTACATGCTGACATCAACATCAAAGTATCCTCAACAAGGCATGGCTGTAGATCTACTTGTCTGTTACAATGTGAATATAATTTCTGCATGCGTCGTCCTCATTCGACTTGATCTCTCGTTTGTGTTCGTTGATTTTCGTGCTTCGATGTGCTTGTGTTGTTGGAGTCGTTGGCAGATATGAATCTCATTCTCTTTCAAAAAAAAAAAAAAAAAAAAGGTTACTTGCAGCAATCCACGTTAAAGGAATGAATGATTAACAAGTAGGTTTTAAATTACGAACATGAATAGTACCTGCACAACCTCTTGTGTATCTCCTATCCAATTTGGGCCAAGACACTTCTGTGGAACACATGTGAATTCGAGCAGGCCGAAAGGTGCTATAGTATTTGGAGCCGCTACGCCTCAAGCTACTTTCGTCGCAAGCTTCCTCCTGTCGTTAATAAAGACGTCTTGTGTGAGAAAAGAAGAGAATGGGCAACAAAAAAGAGCCCTGAATATACATGACCGTTCGCAAGCAGCGTCTCAAAATCAGGCCTGAGATGATATCAAAGTCCCCCCGACTACCTTCAAGAACCGCATTGAAGAGGAAGAGCAACGGCACTTTCACAACTCGAAACGTACTGGCTACCTTCAGATACGCATTGAAAAAGAAAGCCTGTAATGGCACGTACCAAATCAGTCCTTGCGTTGCACTTAATCAGTTGAAGCCCAGCGCAGCCTTGAAGTTACAATTCGGGAACAAAAGTACAGAGACAATCTGTCTCAGCCGATCAGCTAGCAATCCGACCAGCTGGTCTGTCGACGACGTCGAAACAAGCCTTGTGACCTGCAGAGTGTGGGTGTTCGAAGCTCCACTAAGTGAGAGATCCTTGGGCGCGCTAGGCAGAATTTGGTAGCCTCGACGCCATTGCCGTCATCGAGCAGCAGCTTAGGCTTGATTTCTTGCCATGGAAAGCAGGGAATTTAAATGTCTTCGAAGCTTGTTAAGCACATTCCCTTGCCTTTCCGATCCTATGGGTCTAACGTCCATACATGAACCAAAAAAATCCGCATCCTTCTGGTCAGCATGAACGACCCGGGAACAGATGAGCCTCTGCGCGAAGTCGCGGAGGAAATGGAGGAAAACCAGTATGAGGGAGAGGACAAGGAGGAGCAAGACGCCGAAGAAGACTTCTTAGATCCCAGGTGAGAATCTGCAGAACCAACCGTTGTACTTGACGCTTTGCTAAGAACGAATGCAGCCGTTGGTGGTTCACGTCTACGGCTTGCCCGCTCATCGCTGGCACATTTGGACCTATGGCAAGTGCATTTAGTATCTGCGCCCTCGTCGTGTATTGGCGAGAGTACATCCCCGAAGGAGGTACAGAAGCACACGGTGAACCCATTAAAGATCCAGCCTGGTGAGTACCATGGATTGATCAGATGCTGGTTCTGCTCTGACTGGTCAAGTCAGGCTGACTGCGTTAAACTCAATATCGCTTGTCCTGGCTTTGATTGCAAACATAGCGCTTCTCCTAAATATGACTCGGAGACTCAAGTTCGCAGTGGCACAGCCTATTACGATTGTTGGCTGGCTTTTGGCCTCTGCGCTATTGATTGCCCTAGTCTCGGTTGCTAGCACCCGCTCATTCCGCCTGGAACCGCCAGAGAGACATGCTCTCACCCAGGCCTACTATTATGCTATCATGGCCTCAGCTCTATACTTCATAGTTGCGTGCCTCATGGTCCTCACTGTTGTAGGAGCTCATCGGGGCCATTACGAGAAGGAGTTCCGTCTTACGCTTGTCCAGCGAACTCTCATGCTTCAAACCATTGCCTTCATGATGTACTTGCTCGTAGGAGCTTGTATCTTTAGTTACATTGAAGACTGGAAGTTCCTTGATTCTGTATATTGGGCTGACTTCACACTGCTCACTGTCGGCATCGGCGATGACTTTACTCCCAAGACTCATTTAGGACGATCGCTTCTCTTTCCGTACGCTGTTGGCGGTATTGTCACCATCGGTCTAGTTATCGGCTCAATTAGATCTTTGATCCTTGAACGAGGAAAGGCCAAAATGACGGCACGAATGACGGAGAAAAAGAGAGAGAAGGTTCTAAACACCGTTAACTTGGACAAGAGGACGATCAAGATCAGCACGTTCAAGACGATCTCGTTCTCGCAGAAAGGCTTGTCCGAAGATCAGCGACGCGAGCAAGAGTTTAACATCATGCGAAAGATTCAAGCCGACGCGTCATCAAATCGCAAGTGGATGGCTCTGGGGCTTTCCACAGTTGCAGCAATGACTCTTTGGCTTGTAGGTGCCGTCGTCTTCCAAATTGCTGAACGAAAGCAAGGATGGTCGTATTTTGTTGCCTTGTACTTTTCATACACTAGTTTGCTCACGATCGGATACGGAGATTTGCAGCCAACTTCAAATTCTGGCAAGCCTTTCTTTGTCTTTTGGTCACTGCTCGCTGTTCCGACCCTTACAGTACTGATCAGCAACATGGGAGATACAGTTGTTAAAGCAATCGCCGACGTAGTGGACTGGACAGGAACCCTAACAATAATGCCAGGTGAGAATGGGGCTAAAGCGGCGTGGCGTTCAGCAATACAGGGGCTTGCCCGGAAGGTTCACAACAATGAATGGGAGACTGCAGTACCTGGGAAAGCCCTTCCCAAAAAAGGTGGAGATCAGTCCGATGAGAGTCAAAAGCGTAGTGTGCAGGCGCATGCAATGGCTCGATTATCGCAATACATCGAGGAGGAAGAACTTAGGCATGCAAGAGAAGCAGGTAGGCATGGTGATCTTACCGAACGTGACAGACATCTCTACCATTATGTCCTGTCAAAAGAAATAAGGCAACTGATGAAGGATATCCAAGCAACACCTCCTAAGCAGTACTCGTACCATGACTGGGCGTGGTATCTGAAGCTACTTGGCCAAGACGAAGATGATAGAAAATATCACCGGGATCCTCCCGTTTTGCCAGATCAGAAAAGAGCGGATGCAAAGAACGAATCAGAGTACCTTGGCCAAGGAATGGGTCCTAATGGTGATCTCAGCTGGTCCTGGCTGGGTACCAGGAGTCCTCTCATGGGCAACAAGAGCGAAGCTGAGTGGCTCTTGGAGAAGCTCAGTGAGGCTTTGGAGCTTGAATTGTACGAAATGCATTCTGGCAGGAGGTGTCGACACAAACCCCCAATTTCGTTCCAGGACGTTCTCGACAAGGAGAAAGAGCGGAAACGTTCAATCGGCTCCGAAAAAGTGAATGCAGCTGCAGAGGAAGTTGCGGCAGAAGACGAAACGAAAAGATCCGCGAGCAGCTCAAAAGATTCAGATGAACAAAATCGTTAGTTGATTGACGACATGACGAGATTGGGGAAAAAAAAGAATAAGGAGAGTTAGCACGCATTACAGGGAAAGTCAACAGAAATATCAGAATGATTGCTCACGAACGGCATTGCTTTGACTAGGATACCCGCTGTGTTGCCAGCACCTGTATTTTAGTTCTATAAGAACGACACAAAAAGCTTTTGATCTTACAATACTCTCGAGGCAACGGTTGAGGACAGGGGAAAAAAATTTCCATGTTTTTGGACACAACTTATATGTTTAATAAATGTGACTATACCCTTTCGTCGTTGACTGCGCCCCTCTCTCATGGCGCGGATGAGTGTCAAATAGCGATAGGCCACCATCCATGATAACTTTCACGTCAGCCCTGCTCAACTCGTTATTGAGCCGTCGTTGAAAGGCCTTGGTAATTTCCCTTCTTTTTTTTTCTCCTCCCAAGGCTTGCTGAAGTTTTAAAACTTCAGAGACGCGGTTGAATTGTCTTGCCTCAGATCATCACGCTTCATGTCTGGAGCTTGTAGCTGACTTCCCACATGGCTTGCGGAGTCTTCTGGGAAGATGTCATCTGATTTTGCAATGGCGCACAAAGGTGAAAGGTTGCTAGGTTGGTACGTACGTGACTCTTTCAGACTCCAAGAGGCGTCTGTCGAAGGGCTTCCCGCTCCGAAGTAAGGATAATTGCTGACATCAAGCTTAGGGCCCTTTTGGTCTATTATCACTGTGTTTACAGATTGAACCGTTCCGCCTACAATTGATGTAGATTGCCGAAGGTCGGCGAGGCCCATGTTTGGTGCTGCTCCTAATAATCGGAACTTTCTGTTATAGAACCAACATATGAAAGATAGCGCGGTGAATACCGTACCAGCACCTACTGCTACGGCAATGCCAAAAGTATGCCAGACCTCCGCATTTCGCACGACACTGGAGGTAGATGGCAGCGTGGTCGGTATTGTCGTGCTTGAAGGTGTTGATACCAAACTTGAAGTTGGTGGGAGATCATCGAAAACAAGGGAGGACGTAGACTGCGGCGTGTAGCCTGGCATCGGAATCGGCACGACCCTTGCGAAATTGCCGTCGACGAGATTGACGAAGCTATCATTCAGTGTCAAGCCCGAGAGGTTCGCCAGGTTTATGTTCCAACCAAAGGTTCGAATGTTGGAGTTGTTCAAGGCTAAGAAGGTGGAAGGTACATTCCGGAGGCTCCAGAGATTGTCCAGGTTCGACACGTTAGTGATGTGTTCTAAGACAATGATTGTATCTGCGGTAGCCATAATTTTCCCCGGAAACGGAGTCCTGAAAGACTGGCTGTCAAAGAATGTGAGGGAATGGTGGGATCAAAGTAAAGCGAAGAGCTCAAGAACAAATGCAGTGCTAGAGTGGATGCCGATAATATCATGTATTCTCGGTTGTCTTTACAAAAATCTTGCGTGCCATGCGGTCAAGAATTCTACTTTGGCCATAACTAACTTCATGACCAAAAAACTAAACAGTCAAAGGAGGCAGTAAATTTGCAGCATCGTACGTGCTGTTATTGACTATTCAAAACTTGAATCCATGTACGATGCAGAAAATATCACAGTCACAAGGTTCCCCCTTTCAAGGCCCAAAACCTAGTGAACGCCAAATCTGCATATCAATAAACAATAGTCATCATAACATCTCTCAATCATCTCATGAGCACCAGGTCAGTTATAGAATTCTACTGTCCTGGGATAAAGCTCCATCCTCCATCTCTCATCAGCCTTTCCCTTGCCTCTCGATCTCTCTGCCTCTCCTCCTCTGTTAGCCGATCGGCCCCGCTCCAATTTGCACTACTCGTTCGTTCCCTAAACTTCTTCTGACGTTCCTTATTCCTGAACACTTCTTCCATTCTCAACGGAGCTATAGGACCGAAAACAGATTGTGGATCCACAAGCTGTTGCTCCGTCAACAATTGTCTCAGTGCTGGAGACTCGGTCCAAGAAGGCGCTTGGAATTCGTTTTCTGAGTCCTCGTCTTCGGAGTCCGTGGCAATTTCTGGTAGATGGATGGATTCAGGATTCGGGTAGTGAGGCGACGACTTAGCTGCTGACACAGGATTGGATTTCATGCCATGCGCGGTGGAAATGGGCCGTCCAGGTGTCTTGTGCATGTTGGTTGTGCTAGCTGTTGCAACTTGACTGGAATCCGCGAAGGGAGGACGGACATTTGCAAACTTGGACATGTCGTTCGGTTTACCATGCATAATCTGATGCTGTCCGGTGACAGTCTTAATGAACATTGATGGCGCATGTTGAGCAGGAGCAGGGGCAGCTCCATAGCCGTGAGGGAATTTGTTGACCTTGCCCATGTTTGATTGACGTACAGGCGGACCAGCCATGACTGAGCGGCGAGGCTCAGTAGGCTCCTCCTCGTCGTCAATGGTCTTTCTCCGCTTTGCGTCATGTTGCTGATATGAAGCTGGATTTCTTTGAATGGCTGGACGTTGGTGCTGTTCATCCTCTTCAGCGAGAGCCCGCTTAGGCTTGACAGGGTTGACCTGCACAGGTGGACGGCCGTCGTGGTGCATCATACGTGATATAGGACGTGCGCCACTCATGTCTGCTCGAGGCTGAGGAGCGTTTTGTGCCTTCTCCTGCTTCAGAGCATAAGCAAAGCCTTCTTGCTGAGCGCGTTGTTGCTCACGGCGTTGCTGTTCAAGGCGTTGTTGCTCGAGGCGTTGCTGTTCAATTCTCTGTTGTTCAAGACGCTCTTGTTCAAGCCGTTTCTGTTCTGCAGCCTGACGTTCTGCAGCTGCTCGCTTGGCCTCTTCTCGTTTCTGTAACTCAGCCTGTCGACGACGTTGCTCTGCACGACGCTCTTCTTCAACTCGCCGTCTCTCTTCTTCTTGTTTTTGCCTTTCTTGCTCAAGTTTACGACGTTCTTCATCCTGTTTTGCCTGTCGTCGCTGCTCAATTTCGCGTTGTCGATCTGCCTTACGCTGCGCTGCCTTAGCATCGGCTTCCTTCTTCTTAGCTGCAGCGTCCAGCGCCTTCTTAGCAGCCGCACTAGGGTTTCCTGTACGCAGGTTGCCGGTTGATGTCGACGAATGCAAAGATGTGGTCGAAGCCTTGGAAGTAATGGCGGGCTTGGGCGGTGGTGGTGGTGGCAAAGACTCGTGGAGAGACTGGGAAAGTGCAGCCGTTGATGGTCCAGGAACTGGTCGGTGGCCGAGCTGAGAGGGTACATGCATGCGAATCGTGACCGGGGCTGGTTTTACCTTGGTAGCAGCCTCTTTTGTGGGCTTCGCGATGCGACGAGGATCACGCAGGCGCTGGGGCTGACCCGTTGGAAGCATGCTCTTAGGTGGTGGTGGGGGAGGCATTTCATCCCCAGAGTCAGCTTCCGTAGTGGCTTTGCTTCGCTCCGATTCAGCGCGACTAGGAGGTGCTCGTGGTTGCGATGCAATTGTTTCTTTGGAAGGAGACTGCAGTTTGTTTGCATGAGCGGCCGCTTTCTGGCGTTCCTTCTCGCGTATCTTCTGAAGTTCATCCTCCATCTTCTGGATCTGCTTGGCTTCATTATCCTTTCGCTTCTGCTCCTTCTCGGAGGAGCTACGCGTCCGCCTACCCTCAGTTGATGCTGTCGCTGCGCTGACAACACTTTCGGCGGAAATAACACGGCTTTGCGGAAGACTTGGGTACGCCACGTCATTGTCAAACACGTGTTCTTCTGTAGGCGCATGTCTCGCTTTTGGGGCTGGGGAAAGGGCCTCCATCTTTGCCTGAGCACTGACTCCTGCACTGCTGGCAAAGATGCCTTTCGCAGAGCGAAAGGCCGAGTAGAGCTTTGCTTTCGTCGCACTGACAGCACCATCGAAGTTTCCTCTCTTCGGAGAACCGATGGGGGTGGTTGAATTATTAGCCGATGGCACATTTGGGTTTGAGACTGAGATCGCTTTTTGGTGTTCAGCCGAAGGAGCCATAATCGCCTTGGTAGGTGATTCAATGATTGAGGAGGAAGCGGCCTTCTTGTGTCCAAACGGCAATTTCGGTCGCGTAGGTGACATCTTCCTCTTTGGTGAGTCTGGTTGCGCCAACAAAACATCATTTGCACTGTTTGTACGTTCTACTGACTCAGCAGTTTGAGTTCTAGAAAGATCAGGTCGCAGAGCATCCTTCTGCGTCACAGACTGTATGGGTGCAATCCAATCATCTTCATCATCTTCTGCTGCTGCTGCAGAAGAGGAAGCGACTTCGAGCCGCGAGGTAGGAGCAGGCGCCGTAGTCGGCCTAGCATTTTCGTTCCCTTCAAATTTATCAATTTGAACCCTTTCCAATTGGGGGTAGAGTGGCTGCGTTGTAGACGCATTAAGGTTAGGTATTGACTTGGACGTGCGCATATCTCGTGACTGCCCCAACATATTGATGCGATTTCGCAGCTCCTGAGTTGTGGAGTGATTATGGTTTTTGGTAGTCTCTGAGTCTTCACGCCCAAGAGGCGGTTTTGGGAGAGCGTCTATGTCCATAGTATCTGCATCGTCATGCGCGTGTGACGCTTGCTGAAGACCGCCTAAGCTCTTGCCACCTGTAAAACGACCCAGAAAACTCGAACGTGCCTGGTTTAGGACTGAGGAACGCGCCCCTATACTCTTCTTTTGCGCCAACGGTTCTCGTGACGGAAGAGATGAGAAGGTGAAACTACTCTTCCGTAAAAGCGGTTTGATGGGGCTTGACGCATCTGATGGCGAACGAACTTCGTCAACATCCATGTTCTCGGCACTGTCGTCGGCTGTCTGTTGAGTTGCTGAGATTATATCCACAACTGGCTGGATAGCTGTGTCTGGCTTAAGCTCCTCTACAGGCTCTGGTACTTCATCAGCTACGGTGGAGCCGTCATCATCACGCAAATTTTCTTTCGAGCCCGTTCCGCTCGCATCTTCGCGTGCCGAGACAAATGTCTCCTCTGTAGTCCTTCGTTCACCGATTGAAGAACCAGGTCGTTCTGGTTCGACGGGAACCTGCGGTGTTGCTTTCTTTGGGCTTTGCGCACCGTGTGTTGGTGACTGTAAGCGATCCACTTCCATTTCATCATCTGTAATGCCATGATAGCCGGAATCCCAGTTCTCCTTGTTTCGCAACAGAGGCTGCTTTGGAGGTGATGGGGCAGACAGTGGGTGTTTCTCGACGTGGTTTTCATCCTGCTGTTGCTGAATTTGTGCGACCTGTTTGTAAAACTGAGTTTTGGTTGGGCTTGTTGAGGTTTGCGCGTTTGGTGCAAAGATGTCAGTCAATGGCTATGAGAAAATTTTAGCGTTTACTTAGGCAATGGATCATATCTATCACATACGGCGCGTTCACCCTGTGCATTCCGCTTTCGTGCAGTCCGTGGAGTCTTGCCGCGCAACTTCCCAGGCGTTTTGAAGATATCTGTCACGTTCCTAGAGGAGATTAGTTATTTTTATCATGCGACATATGTGGCAGAATGTTTGCCTGCAATAACATACAGATTGCTTGCCGAAAAGATGTCCGACATGTGTTCGTTCAGCCACTCCATCTCGTTTCGTACTGAATAGCTAAATTCTTCCGCCTCCATCTCGACAAGCTCGTTGGCTTGTCGCCTCTCTTGTATGAGCCATGGCGCGCTGCCTACAGGAATCTTCATCCGTGTTGTTGCCATCATGCGTGGCTTTGCTGGAAGCTGTGATGAGGTTCTGACGGAGATGACAACAACGGTTCCCGACGCGTTCGACGGCTCGCCAACGATTCCAAAAGGTCACCTGAATCGTACTAAGCCGTGGCTGATAGCTGCTAAGGGTTCATCTCCAGTTTACGAGCGCGAGGAATGCTTCTAGGCGTGAAGACTTGAGCTGGAAGCTGGGATGTGGGAGATCGAGGGACACGCTTGGACGAGGTTTGTTTGGGTTGGTCCGAGCTTCGGAATGCAGTCAGAATCCACTTTACCGCATCGCGTTCTGGACTCAAACGCCGCCTCACCTGATCAAACTAAGCCGTTTTGGGATTTGCCGGGTCATAGCCGCAGCCAGTGAGTCCGGGTCATCTCGGTAATATGTGGACTCTTCTTGGGGCCAGGCTATATAGCCGGCCATTACGTATTTAACGAGATCCAGCGAAGAGAAGCAAAACCTGAGCTGCGGTTCGAAGGATTTACGCCGCGTTTTGAGATCCTAACGATTTGGCATTGGACTCCATGGCGCTGCCTGCAAGATCAGTGGCACGCGTATGCGCAAGCCTCCTCAAGTCCGGCTCCTCGTGGAGTCAATTGCAAAGGTCGAAGCAAACTTCAAAGAGATGCTTCTCAGCCTCCTCAAGGAATCGGATCATGGAGCTGTCCGGCTTCACAGATACACAATTGTCTGTCCGAGAAGCCATATTCAAAATATGTTCTCGATTCCCAGACGACTACTGGATGGAGCATGATCAGAGTGGGGAATATCCACACGAACTCCATGCAGCATTGGCAAAGGATGGATGGATCGGGATTGCGCTTCCAGAAGAGCTTGGAGGCGCAGGATTAGGGATACAAGATGCCACAATGATGCTACACACGATCGCCGAGAGCGGGGCTGGCATCGCAGGTGCACAGAGCATACACGCTAATGTATACGCCACACAAGTATGTCGATCTGTCTGAGATGTAGCTTTTAATAGGATTCTAATAAAATTCTACAAGCCTGTAGCAAGATATGCTACTCCAGAACAACGAGAGCGAATGCTTCCTCGCCTCATCAAAGGGGAATGGCGCGCGTGTTTCGGTGTTACAGAACCGAATACTGGTCTTGAGACGCTCAAACTCAAAACATTTGCCCGCAAGGAAGGAGACTACTACTACATCACTGGTCAAAAGATCTGGATATCCTCCGCCCAAGTGGCCTCCAAGATGATCTTGTTAGCACGAACGACGCCCCTCGAGGATGTAAAACGGCCATCAGAGGGGCTATCGGTGTTCTACATCGATTTCGACAAATCAGCCCCCGGTCTGGAATTAAAGAAGATCAAGAAGATGGGAGGACGAGCCATTGATGCAAATGAGGTTTTCTTTGAAAACTATAAGATTCCCGCCGACACTTTGATTGGAAAGGAGGGTCAGGGCTTCAGAATCATCTTGCATGGAATGAATGCAGAGAGATGCCTCCTCGCTGGTGAAGCACTAGGTATCGGTTACGCAGCAATCACAAAGGCAGCCAAATACGCAAAAGAACGCATCGTATTTAACAGGCCAATTGGCATGAATCAGGGTATCCAACACCCGCTTGCAGCAGCGTATATGAATCTTGAAGCAGCAAAGTTGGCGACATACCACGCAGCGAAACTTTATGATCAGAGTAAGGAAGATTCAAGTATAACGCAGCATGCCGTTGGCGTAGCGTGTAATTCAGCGAAGTATCTTGCAGCTGAGGCAGCATTCACAGCCTGCGAAAGGGCAGTGTTGGCTCATGGTGGCATGGGATATGCGCAGGAATACCATGTCGAGAGGTACCTGAGGGAGTGTTTGGTACCTAGAATAGCTCCCGTCAGCCGAGTAAGTGACTTTTTTTCGACGCTTCTCTACAACGACTACATACAGCCACTAATATCTGATGGAAAGGAAATGATACTGAACTTCATCAGCGAGAAGGCCTTGGGTCTGCCAAGGAGTTACTAGCTTCATGTCTCGGCATTGATTGTACATATACACCCCAGCATCTGGAGCTTGGCTTTGCGGAAGATCGGTTTGCCCATATTTTCATGCTACAGCATGGAAAAATATTGCCTCGGCCTTGTGCATTCATTTTGGATCATAGCTTACCATGAAAAAGACTCGAGAGCGTATCGACGAAACGTGCGATTTGCTGTCGCAGAAATTCGTGATAGTACTTAACTGACTAAAAAAAGAAGAATTTTAGAATCAAATAGCATGCCTTGGCTGTCGTTCAGTGAGATACCCGATCAAGGAAAATCTTCTAAGCCGATCATGTCCACCTCACGCAGTCCGAACTTTAACTAGTTGGCAATAACACAAATTCTTATAAACGTGCTTTCCCGAGTCGCACCACTCACATAACCATATCCTGAAAGCAACGTTATCTCATTTTCTTCCGTCTCAAGAGTACGTCGCTACCAGGCTGGAATTAATATTAACGTGGCACAATCCCAAACTGCACACTCGTTTTTACTCATTTCGTGAGAGAATACGGTTCAGTAGCAGCGTGTCGTAACTTGTGTTAGTCAGGTACAATGCAAACACACAAATGAAAGAAAACAATTGTTTTCTTTGTAGTTAGCATGTAGCCTACCACCATATTTTTGATATCATTCTAGTTTTTACTTTGATGCCTTCCCATCCGGACACTGCAACAATGGCAGCTCGGTGAGTGCTGACAAAATGGGCTTGTCGCAGACCGATGGCATAGAGCTTTCGTGAACCAGCAAGTTCTCCTGCTATTAAGATTTGCAACTTTTGGTCGATAAAGGGGAGAAGAGAAGATCTCCGACGGCTGGCTCGTTGTCTTGACCGAGCCACTAGAATAGATCGAATCAGGCGATCACTCCGCCACTCAGGCAGCTAAGGCTGCACCTAGCGGACTCAGTGGGGCACTCATGTTAGAACTTTAGAACTGGTTCTGCTCGACCGAGCTCGAACTTTTTATGCACGAGAAAACATAGCCTTGTCCATACTCACCCTTCTGAGCGCAATGGGTCGAAACAAGTTCCGAGGCAATGTAAGTTATTTGACTGTGGTTTTTGGACTCAAAGTCTTGACTGACTCGACCGTCAGAAACACGGTGGCGGAGGTGGAAGAGGTAGGATTTTCACCCCATTTTGTGTTTCGATCCATTGATCATCTTTAGGTAGCGGAAGAGACACGCGGGCGCCATACGCGAGCTACGATGAGGTCAAGAAGAGCAATGAGCTGTTTGAACGATACTACAACGAGCTCAACCTAGTCCCGGATGAGGACGAGCGGAAAGAATTTTGGGCGGCAATGCGCCGCGAACTACCAAACAGCTTCCGCTTCACAGGTAGTAAAGGGTTGGTTATTTCGATCTGAGAATATTTGCGGCTTTTCTTCTAAAACTGTCAGGCATGCCCTTGCTGTGCAGCAACGGCTCATTGATCATTACATCCCTCAGATCATCAATGTCAAACACGAAGGCAAAGCCGTTGACCCTCCAAAACCTGTTGAGTGGTATCCGGAGAAGCTTGCTTGGTCGATGACTACGCCCAAAAATGTTGTCCGCAAGTTTCCCCCCTTCGCTTCCTTCCAGAAATTTTTGGTCTCCGAGACGTCGGTTGGGAACATTAGCAGGCAAGAGATTGTGAGCATGATTCCGCCTTTACTACTTGACGTCAAACCGGGCATGACTGTCTTGGACATGTGTGCTGCTCCAGGAAGCAAGTCAGCGCAGCTCATTGAGCTTATTCATGCAGGCGAAGAGGCAAGGATTCGCAAAGTTGTGCAGAAGATCGCGCAAGAGCAGGGCAGGGAAGCGAGTCCTGGAGGTATTGAGGTCAAGGCCGAAGAAGGCGATACCAGAGCGGACGATGACTGGTCCGACGATGGTAGAGCTACCGGCCTGCTTGTTGCGAATGATCGAGAATACAGACGCGCACAGATGTTGGTTCACCAGGTGAAAAGATTAAATTCGCCGAACATCATTGTCACAAATCATGATGCAACACAATTCCCGTCGATACGCATACCTTCCAATGGCCCACCAAGGTACCTAAAGTTCGACCGTATATTAGCCGATGTTCCATGCTCGGGAGATGGAACGGTCAGAAAAAGCCCAAATATCTGGAAGGATTGGCTTCCCGGATCTGGGCTTGGGTTGCACGTAACGCAAGTTCGTATCTTGGTACGCGCGTTACAAATGTTGAAGGTCGGTGGTCGAGTTGTCTATTCTACCTGCAGTCTGAACCCTGTGGAGAACGAGGCAGTGATCTCTGCCGCGATCGACCGGTGTGGTGGTAGTGAAAAAGTCAGAATCGTAGATTGCTCAAATGAGCTCCCGGGCCTGAAGAGGGCACCTGGCCTAAAGTCATGGAAGATTGTTGATAAAAAGGGACAAATATGGTCATCATGGGAAGAGTACGACGAGGCAACGAAGGATGAGGGTCTAGATGAGAAGATGAAACTTGTAAGAGGCATGTTCCCACTCCCTTCCACGACCGAGGCAGATGCTCTCCCGCTGGATCGATGTATCCGTGTATACCCCCATTTCCAGGATACAGGAGGGTTCTTCATCACGGCTCTTGAAAAGCTGTCTGAAATTCGAGCAAGACCAGAGAACGCGAAACCAGAGAATTTGCCGAATGCGAAGCACCCGGCAGCTCCCAAAGTCGAAGTCAATAATGCCAACAAGCCTACAAATGCCAATGGGGAAGGCAATGCTGAGGAGAATGCAGCGTCTCGCAAACGGGAAAGAGAGGAGGACGCTGAGCTGCCGTCAAGTCCGAAGAAGCAAAGAGTTGAGAGCGATGTGACTATGACTGATACGCCAGCGCCTGCGTCCTCGGAGGCAACCCCGAAACAAGATGATTATGCAGCTCCCAAGGATTCGGGCCCCCCTGCTGGCAAGAAGAAGGGCGATCAACCATTCGAAGAACCTTACAAATACCTGAACCCAGAACATCCTGAATTGGTTAAGATCTACAACTTCTATGAGATCTCGCCTCGATTTCCAAAAACCCGGTATATGGTTCGCAACGCTACCGGCGAGCCGGTAAAGGCGATTTACTATACTTCGGAGCGTGTGCGTGATATCCTTGTTTGCAATGAAGGACAAGGCATTAAATTCGTCCAAGCCGGGGTAAAGATGTTCATGAAGCAAGATGCCCAAGGGCAGGACATTTGCAGATGGCGAATCCAATCGGAAGGCATACCAATTCTTGAGCCTTGGGTTGGTGAGAGCAGAGTGGTACGGTTATACAAACGCGAGACTTTGCGCAAGCTGCTCATCGAGATGTTTCCGCGAGTTGGAAACGGCGACTGGCGTAAGTTCAATGAGATCGGGGAGTGGATTCGAGATGTTAGCATGGGTTGCTGCGTTTTAAGAGTTGAACCTAGCGATGCAGAAGACGGTTTCAAGTAAGTCATGTCGCCAAAATTTTGACATCCGCTTGAACTTCCAAGTGCTAATATCACAGCTAGGGAGCGAACCGTTCTCCCGCTATGGCGTAGCATCAATTCGATCAATCTCATGCTTCCCAAGGAAGAACGTAAAGCAATGCTCTTGCGGCTCTTCAACGACGAATCAGAGTTAATTGATCATTCCAAGGACCGTGAACGAATTGCTGTGGTCAAGAATGGATCAGAGAGTGAGAATGGCGTCGAGGTTATTGATCACCAGTCAGCTCATCAGGTTAATGGAGATGATGCAAAGCCAGAGCCTGATCGGGAAGCTTTCGAGTCACAGGAAGCGAATGGAGTAGAAACGCCTGGCGACGAGTAATGAATGAAATGCATGGTTGGTTAATTGTCCTAGGATCTCAGCACGACGTGCTTTGCAGCGCAGTCACACAATTTTTTAGAGATGATGAGTAAACAGCTGGAATCGTTTACGAAGTGGATATCATAACAGGATGCGGGGCGAGGTCTTAGATCTGTAAATCAGTCAAAAACTGCGTGCATTATTCAGTCATATCTGGTTCTAGAAGTGATGCTGGCGATCATCACAGTTCTCTACAAGGTACGATCGCTACTAATGCAAACAAGATCATTTGCACGTGGCCATCTAGGATTCCAAATTGAATCCATTGATCTGACGTTCTGGACAGGCAACAGGTCCGATAGGACGGGTGTCGGAAATGCTCGGCAACTGTGTATAGTAATCTGCGCAGGGTACGAGTACAAGCACGTCTGGAGATACTTTAATCCAACGACATCCTTTGTGCTCTTCTGGAGTATTAAAATTTTTTTGTCAAAGCCTTTTCATCGTGGTGCTCCCTTACCACGAAGGTGTTTTGCCGCACACCGCCGCTGTTAGTCTCAAGATAACGCTGCTAGTTCTTGGCCACCATGTTAATAATTGTTTGAGTAGAGTGCAACCCTCGTCGTCCCAAATGCTGACCCCCCTCGCACAAGAAGATCGGTTGGGGGCGCCTTGTCTAGTGTGAGAGAAATCCGGGGCGATCAATCGATGATCCTCGACGCTCACTGCATTTCCTACAGGTGCAGGTTTTGTGCAAGCTACCGCGGTCTAATGGATGCGATAACAGTGGACTGGATAGTCGTTTACGGATAATGATGCCCCGTCATCTCACAAGATTGATACAAATGATCGGGCCAACGAAAAGTGCCAACACCAATGAGCAGGCCATGTCGCAGACCAGCCGTCGGATATCGCACCACGCGTGGAGCTTCGAGACAACCCGTATCGGTCCTGCCGAAAATGCACCTGCACAGCGAGCGAGCTAAATTTAAAACTAATGCGCCTGCTCTCAACAATGTGAGCGACAGCATCGACGGGATGGAAACCGCTTTCGGTCGAGCCGCGGTAGATTTCCAACAGCACAGATACGCTTACCCCGCAAGGTCACGCGAAAATGCGGATGCTGGGGAGATTTAGGCCCATGGCACGAGCCCGATTGTGGGGTTGGCCAAGCAGTCTTGATGGAGCCAACCCCGGATTGCGCAGTAGGAGAAGCTGTTCTAAGATCCTTGGCGGACAGCTTAAGAGACTTCGGCAATTGTTTTCACTGAGCCATTATCGAACCACGCTCATATTTCACTGGCTCGTATCAAGGGCCGGGACGCGGCCATATTCAGGATCCGCTGTGTTCTGGAGGCAGCCAAGATGCAACTATTCAGTAGACCATGGAGACAGTTCTCTTGGCAATGCAATTTGCCTTCGCAGGCACAACGGGGATATTCACCTCATGGGACTAGCTCAGCCTGTTCTCGACGAGAAATAGCTTGGCAACCAAGAACGTGGAAAGCAGGTGGATCACAAAAGGGAATCTGATCAGCCGCGGACTAATATTTGGACGAGATCCACGCGCACATAAAAGTTTCGCGACCGCGGTCTCCTTGCCTCTGAATCCAACCGCAACCTTCTGCTTTGTGTCTCTGTCGTGCCTGAATTTGGTATCATCACAATGTCGACGGGCGTAGACATGGAGAAGTCCGGTGTTGAGCACCTGGATCGTTCTCTTTCCAAAGACATCACCAGGAATACCAGCGAGGAAAACATCCTTGCCGAGTTTACTCAGGAGGAGATCCAGAAAGTCAAGCATCGCGTCGACAGACGTCTTGTCACAACGGTTGGCTTCATGTACTGCATCTCTCTCATGGACAGAACCAACCTTTCTGCTGCCGCTATCGCGGGCATGACTGCGGAGTTGAAGCTCAACGTTCTGATGGGAGGAGTCTCGCGCTACTCTGTCGTCACTCTGGTCTTCTTCGCAACCTACATCGTCTTCCAGTTCCCATCCACCGTCGTTATCCGTTATCTGGGACCACGAAATCATCTCGCCGGTATCACCGTAGGATGGGGTGCGGTCATGATTGGTAAGTAATGGAACGAGCCCTGCCCGAAATCTCTGATCCGATTCGGTTGACTCAGCGTTACTCTCCCTGTGTGATGTTGTGCCTACACGCTCGTGCTGACACGTCGCGTAGGTATGGGATTTGTCAAAGACTACCACAGCTTGGCGGCTCTTCGTGTCATTCTCGGAATACTGGAAGCTGGGTTTTTCCCTGGCTGCGTCTACTTGCTTAGGTAAATACACGCCCTAAGACGAACCCTGTTTCCCTTCGAAAAAACGCGACTGACCAGTGCAGCACCTGGTATACCCGATACGATATGCACAAACGCTACAGCGTCTTCTACTTCATCGGCTCGCTTGCGTCTGCTTGTGCGGGCATCTTAGCATACGGTTTGATGCAAATGGACGGTCTCGAGGGATACAGAGGCTGGCGGTGGATCTTCATCATCGAGGGTGTTCTCACATGCGTCATTGGCATTTTGGGCTACTTCCTCATTGTCGGCTTTCCAGACGACGCTCACAAGAACTGGCACTTCTTGAATGAGCGCGAAACCAAGATGGTCATGGCTCGCGTCGACCAAGATCGTGGCGATGCTCACGGCGAACCTTTCAACTGGAAGAAGTTCCTCGGCGCTGGCCTGGACCTCAAAATCTGGGGATTCGCATGGATCTTCGGCATGACCACCACAGTCACCTATGCGCTGGCTTACTTCTTGCCCATCATCCTTCGCATTGGGATGGGTTTCTCTGTCGGCAAGTCACAATGTCTGGTGGCCCCGCCGTACGGAGCCGCGGGCATCTGGATGTAAGTGAACCCACCTTTCTTTCTTTTGTTTACGTATCTCAAGAGCCTGAGCGGCCGTCGAACAACTAAGTTTCTTGTCGAGCTTCAAAGGATGGGTGCTGCCCGGTACTAATCATGGTTTAGGTATACCACAGGCTACATTGGTGACAAGTACCACATACGCGGACCGATCATCTTGTTGAACTCCGTCATCGCCATTGTCGGACTTCCATTGATTGGCTGGGTCGAAAATGTTGGCGTTCGATACTTCGGTGTGTTCCTTGTCTGTATGGGCGCCAATGCCAACGTGCCTGCTTGCATGACCTATCAAGCCAACAGTACGGATCTTCCTCAGATCTTTATTTAGGTGCAGCCCATGCTGATGTTTCTCACAGATATCCGAGGTCACTGGAAGAGAGCGTTCTGCAGTGCAACCCTTGTAGGTTTTGGCGGTGTTGGTGGTATCATTGGGTCACTTGTGTTTAGGGAGCAAGATTCTCCCGGCTATCGTCCGGGCTTGTGGGCCTGTGTCACGTCGCAGCTCATCATCATTGCCATTGTCATAGCCTTGACCATCAAGTTCAAGATTGACAACCGTAAGGTTGAACGTGGTGAGCTGAAGATTGAAGATAGCGAGGCCGGATTCAAGTACACTATTTAAAAGTATCGGGCTTTTGTTTACGAATAAACAATGTATGCTACGGGCTGAGAAATTGGGAACGGAAACGCTTCATTGAACCAAAGGTTTTTGGCGCAAGTTATCGCTTGCTTTCATCATTTCGATGCACAGAAATTTTACGACATGCCGGTGCTCTGCTGATCTCTGCCGATCTCTGCCTGTTTCAGGCCGTCAGCGAACCGTTTGAGCCTCAAAACAGCGACGACTCTGGTCAAAACACATTCTAATCTGTGGGGAACCTTGCCAGAGGATCGAGTTGCAAATGCATGCGGTCGGTAGCGACTGTGGCAGCCGGACGCGCTAGCCCATGTCGGGCTTAGCGCTTGTCCTTCCAGCCACCGTCTCCGCATGCTACCAGCCTCTGGCCACCACGCACATTTCTCCGCGATCCAGTCGTCGAACTTCGCATCCTCTAGGAACCCATCTCGCGGGCTGGTACGTGCATATGGATGATGCATGAATTTCGAATTCTGCCTTAGCTGTGGCCGGCTTGTGACAAGCTGACTTCAGCTGTCCCAGAGACCGACCGACCTCTGCGGGTTTGGAGCAACAATATATTGCCCATGGCCAACGCATGGCAATTGTTCTTCATCCCAGAGATCTTTTCTCCTTTCGCTTCTTCATCTTCTTCATCGTCTTCTCTTCTCGAGCAGTCTCTCGTGATCAGTACCCCGTCCGTGCTTTGCGACCTCGTGTTCTCCGTGGGTACGCAGCCTCACGTGTCATACCCAGCCTCGCGTGCAGCCTTGTGCAGAGCCCGCACTCTTTCGCGTTCAAGATGAAGTCGCTCGCTATCGTCGCCTCGACTCTCACTCTCTTCGCAAACGCACAGCTTTCATAGTGAGCCTCCCCCTTTTCCCGCTCGTCAAAGGATGGACTTGAGGCTTCATCTAGAAACAGAAAGAAAAGAACAATTATTTCAACAAAAGTATTGGAAGAACCTCCCTAGCTGACTTTGAGATTTAGCAATGCTGGCGAAAAGACCATCAAGTGCCCCAAACCGTCCGGCACGTTCTGCGTCGGCCCTGCGTCGGGCCTTCTCGTGACGTGCACCAACGGCGTCGGCGCCGTGTCCTTGTGCGGCGGCAGCGCAACCTGCTCGCAAACGTCGCCCTCCTCTGGCGACGCCGCATGCTCCGCCACCTCACAGGGCTCGTCCGGCGGCTCGGGCCCGTGGGTCATGGACTCCGGAAGCGAGGACTGCAACTGCACCAAGCCGTCGCCGCCTGCTGCGTCGAGCAAGCCTGTTTTCCCGGTGGTGACGCCGTCGTCTCGATGGGCCAACGTGAGCACGCCGTCCACCACGAGGTCGTCGACGCCGGTGCAGCCTGTGGTTCCGTCGTCGACGCCGTGCCTGACGACTTCAGTGCCGCCCGTCGTTCCCTCTTCCAAATCAACGTACAAGAGCATGGGCACTGGCTCCGCTCAACATTCGTCCAGCGCCACGACGCTGAACTCGAGCTGGAAGCCGACCTTGTCACCCAGTTCGACCCAGCCATCTGTCACCATCCCAGCACCTGTTCAAGCCACAGGCGGTGCCATCAGCGGGAAGAGCATCCACGCTCTCGCCCTCGGCCTGGCTGGCGCGGTTGTTGCTCTTGCCTAGATTTTCCTCGGTTGAGCACATGGGACACGCTAAATACCGCATTCCGTTCCTTTCTTCGTCCTGTACGTTCTGATTGAGATAGTTTTGGTTTTAATTTGGAAAGAGCAAGATCTTGACTGGAAAACGAGAGGTTCACGGCTTGCAAATTTGCGTACATTGTTCTGGAACATGCCTTATGATAGAGTATGTGATATATATGAATCAAAGTAATGTACGACTAGACGGAGATGGAAGTCGCAAGAATTCAAAACAAATCTCTAAAAAAAAGTTTAAAGTGCACGCACCAAATAATGCTTACGCGATGCTATGTACTATCCTATCGAAAGCCGCTCTCCTTCGTTGTTCGACACAGTTCTTGGCTTTTCCTAGGAAAACTCCCAATACGGTTGTCCTGCAATAGAAAAATTTTAACAGGAGGAGCAATAGAATAATACAATTTCGGCGAGAAAGGTCGCTCCGCTCCCCAAATACAAGGTTTGAGAAAATCGCTCGCTTCCAAATCGCGCCCAAGCAGAAGGAGGGGAAGTGTGGAAAAAGGGATTTCAGGCATGGAAGACAAGAGTTTCGTGACGATTCCAAAACAAGGTGCAGGAAGAAACGCCTCTCCGTCATCCATCGTCCCAAGTTTGCCGTCGTTCGTTCAATTTTCAACCATCATTACATAGTCCATTCATCTCCTCATTATCATGGTATGGTGGAAGAAAGGTGGAAGGGGTATGCTTCGGTCGTTGGCAATTACGTTTCGGGTAGAGAGCATATTGTTCACAAAGCTGGAACCGGCTCAGGTTCGGAAGCCTTTGCGACGGGCTCATCCTTCGGTGCGTTCGGAAGGTCGCTCGCCTGAACACCACTAGCCTTTCCTCTGGCTTGTCCGATCATCTCTTGCGCCTTTTTGGTGTACTCGCTAGTGTAGCCCTTGAGCGATTCGGTAGCACGACCAGTGTGTTGTGCAGCGATCTCGCGAACCTGACTTGCTTGCGCTGAGGCAACCTCCTTAGCGTGGCTGAGGTGCTGGTCGATGATGGCCTGGTTCTTGATGTAGATGAGAGGTCCGATGAAAAGGAAGACATCGAAGATAAGGGCAAGGCCCCACAGAGGAAGCCATTTGATTAGCCAGTAAGAGATAAAAGAGGAGATGAAAGCCTGACGCAATGATTAGTGACGCGGTAGGATGTGGAGAAGGCATGGCAGCACGTACGAGGAAGGTGGCCCAGATGTTTTCGGCAAACACCACACGCTGGAACTCGATAACAAAGAAATTGATCAGCTGTTCGACATCGTCCAGAAGACGCTCAAGGGATTCCTTGGGAATGACAAAGTATTTCTTTGGTCGCAACTTGGTGGCGATGCCCTCACCAAGCACCAGTCGGCCAGCAACCTCGGATGCGGCGGTCACTGCAACTTTGTCAAAAAGAGCGTGGGAAGATGATTGAGGTCGGTCTTACCACCAAGCACGAGGTACAGTGCCTTGAATGTATATCGAATAACATTGAGGTATCGAGCAGCGAAGATGAAGGCTACGGTCGCAAGGAAGGTGATGGTTGTCGCGCGAGGGTTCTTCCACTGTTCTACTGTGAGCAAATGACGACGGGAGGCGCGAGTTTGGTCATTGGAAACTGACACTCAACAATCGGTAGAACATCGAGTGATAGTCTATGCAACATCAGCATCAAGATCCATCTCCAGTCCACCAGAAAGGTACGTACGAGTCAACGGCTGGCCAGTGGCGGCCGGCGTGTCTGGAGTTTGTCTCGCAGCGGCCAGATCTTTGAACTCGGACGACGTCTTTGCGGTCTCCTTTTGCACGCTCTGGCCTACAGGACCTAATCAGGCACCGTCAGCACGCCCAATGATTTGAACATCGGTGCAAGCAAACTGCAAGCTGTCAGTACGAGACACGGCCAGACAAGGGGTTGCTGCCTCAGCGGTGCAAACGAGAGACTGACCCAACCATTTACTACGGTGTCCTTGGCACTCTGCGTGACTGGATGGTTGCCGACGGTATCCATGGCTTGTTTGGCAGCTGTTGTTGGACGTGGTCAGAGAGAGAGGTGTGTGAAGGAATTTTGTTTTGGTGGACAGATCAAGTGGAGAGCAGCAGCTGGACTGTGTGATGATAAGAGAGGCGTTCGGGCTTGGAACTGCATGTGCATTAGCGAGACTCCACGACCCAGGGCCCTCGCATTCGGCCAGGCTAACACATGTACTTGGACACCGTGAACAAATGGTCGTGAACAAGTACATGTGTCTGCGCCCGCATCCTGTGGCTTCCCTCTATTTTTCTCTCACACGCACCTTACTATTGACGAGAGTATCCGCCAAGTTTCCGTTTGACGCAGAGCTGCCGTCTACCTGTTCAGCGACAGACGACTCGGGCACGGCGGCAGCAGCAGCAGCAGCAGCATCATCAGCAGCAGCGGCGGCGGTAGCCTGGGGCTGCTCTGAGATAGGCGGAGGAAGATCGAGGTCAGCAGACATTGTGCTTGCGGAGAAGTACACGACAACAGACGGTCAAGAGTCTCGCTTGGACGATGGACGAGGTGTGCAGTGACCGAGCAAAGCGTTCGCTGTGAAGTTTTCGAGAAGCAAAAGATTTGCAGTGCTGATGAGAGGGAGAGCGAAGCGTAGAAAACACGGTGTTTTGAGCAGGTCGTGTGCTCGGTGCAGACGCAGGCTCAGGCTCAGGCTCAGGCTCAGGCTCAGGCTCGGGCTCTCTCCTGGACAACTTTTTTTCTTGTGTGACGAAAGCGTCGAGCAACTGAGCAACCAGAAAGCAAGCCGTCGTCCCTGCGCTACCACCCGTTATCCACCCGCTGTCCCGTCGTCGATTGCGTCAATGCTGCGTAGCTTTGCCTTTTGCCTCTCTCTTCCTCTTCGCTCTGGCGTCCTGTCGCATCCCAGGTACGCTTGCTCCGTTGGCGCTCCGTTACTGCGCAGACGCTGTGCCAGCACGACGCTCGTTGACAGACTCTTATGGTCTCTTCACGCTCGTCTTTCGCTCCGAACAGGAACCGTCTTCGGCCCAGAAACTTCGCGACAGGCCTCTGAGCGCCTCTTCCGACCCTGGTGTTACATCATCTCGCTCTGGCATGTGATTGGGTCGCCCTTTAAGTTCGCCGCCCTGTGTTGATCCACTACATAAACACAGGAGACTACGGAGTACAGGCAACCGAGACACTGTGCATAGCTCTCATGGCAAAGGAAGAAGAGACCAGATCGTTGAAGATGCGTGCACCTCCATCATGGCTGCCATCCAGCTAGTTCCGGCGCCGGAACTGACTTGTTGACGTGCTCGCTAATCGCTCGTCGCCGCGTCAACCTTGGCATTTGCGTTGCTCGCTCCATACACACTCGAGGTATAGCCGAGTCATGCTCGCCCGACCTCATCATCAAGGGCATGGCTGTGATCCTGCTTTACCTTCTAGGTCGTCTTTTCCCAAGATGCAGATTTTTGTATCTTAGCAAGGCCTGGTCTCCTTGCGTAAATGATACCTTCGTTGCAAATACCCGCACTCCCGTCATAGGATAGATTATGCCCTTCGTGGATACGAGCTATACAATATGTTTGCTACCGGCTTTGAAAGCTACAGCATCGTGGCGTACACGTTCGGCTTACGAAACATGGCCAGATGACCCTCATGATACCCGATGATTCGGATTTTGTCCGCTTCGCGCCGGTAACATATACTGTCAGGGTGAGTTAGAGGGTCGGATACTCCGTGTGCTGCTTGTCAATCTGGTACTCGAACCGATGTTCCTGCTTGCTTGCTTGCCTGAATGTAAGTCTTCTAAACGAATAATACATTCGCCAGTGTCGTACTCCTTAGCATGGTAGGTCTCCAACTTGAGCAGTTATCTTTTCGATGTGGCAATGAAGGTCATGGTCAAGCTCATCACGGAGAATGTTCATATATAAGTATTGGTCGGGAGCGGCTGGTCAAACTGTGGGACACATGTCCTCCAAATCAGTTAACATCTTGTCCTCATTAACCGCGGAGACGTCAACGTCCAAAGACCGACCCCAGAACTGTAATCTTCATAACGTTCCCGCAACTAGGAGCTACATCAATTCTTTGTCTCATGCGCAGCATTGTCCATCTCCTCGAACATATGCCCTGGCTGACCGAGGATCACTCTTGTGGACTGCGCAACAAGATCAGCATGCCCGCCCTTAGAAGGGCTATGGAGCCCTGAAACGGATTGGCGAAATAAGGGAGATAGAGTCCGTCAAAGTCAGCTAGAAGGGTTGTGAAAACTGCCGCGGAATAGCGAGACATCCAAGTGTATCGCGTGCTCGTCGATTGGAGCAAGGCAGAGCTTTGGCGGCAGCGAGACGGCACAGGTTCAAGCATATATGTACTCCATTTTTCGGAGCCATGCCAAATACGCAAAGGTGAAGTGTTCAGATTGGTAAAATGCTAGCTAGCGACCAGAAAGAGCCACATGCAGACTTCGCTCTTGGGACCTGCACGCAAACGCGGCGCTCATAATTTGTTACATGTGGATGTGCAGAATTTGGGCATTGCACTCTTCAACGACACAAATATCAGTTCGATGTCTCGGATGGGCATGTCATCGAAGCAGTTGATCCAGCTTGCATCATGCTTAAGCGCGCGGAAAACTGATGTGCACCTACCTGACGACGTGTGACTAAACGTGTGTCATGTTTTCACGGCTTTCAGGAATGGGAGAGTCCGCCGTGTGGATCTGGTGTACGAGGTGCACGATACGCAGCGGTAGAGTCCAGATGCGTGATGAAGAAGCCGTACGTGCGTGCTGCAGTCGCTGAAGAATCTTGAACTGGTGAAGTGCATGGCGGAAGGCGCTGGCAAAAACGCCACCACGATCGTCATCCAACGAACGCCAAGCTCTTCGGTCAACCCCCCAGCCTTCGAGCTAACAGCTCACTCGACCCTTCGACGCCGTGACACGCAAGCTCAGCATCAGCACAGAAAAAGATCTCCAGCTTTGGTTTTCTTTGCTGCCTGGTTTGATACGCTTTTGATTCTTGTTTTCTAGCGCTCTACTTTCGCATTGCCTGACGTTACGCACACCTGCCCGCCATGGCCATGTACGGGGCCACCAGAAACGTGGACATGGGAAAGTAAGGCTGCGCTCGCCGTGCCAGCGTGACCGGACATATACTGAGTGAGAATACACAGGCAGGAGTCGGAGTTGGCCATCAACATCAAGAAAGCCACGAGCATCGGTACGACACCGCCCTAGCATTCGTCACCGGGGGTATCACTGACAAGGCACCCAGACGAGACAGCGCCGAAGCGTACGTTCGTCGGCAGCGACAGGATATCGCGGATGTACTGAGATTTGACCAGGCAAGCACGTAAGAGCATGTATCGTGTATACATGGGACCACAAGTCGTCGCAGTCGTTCTGGTCGGGCATGAAAGTGTACGTTGCATCGCTGCACGTCCATGCCGATGAAGGCCCACTGACAATGGACACACAGGCAGCCTATCCTTGCCGACGAAGTTCAGACGTTCAAAGCCCTCATCACGGTGCACAAGGTGCTGCAAGAGGGACACCCAATCGTGCTCAAAGAAGCTCAGGCCAACGTTGGATGGCTGGAAAGTTTGAGACGAGGCTCCGTAGGCGGTGGTGCTCGAGGTATCTGCTATCCTAAGCTAATGTGCGGTCAATAGGCAGGTGGCTTACAGCGTCCAGGCTACGGAAAGCTCATTGATGAGTACATTTATTTCCTAAGGGCCAAACTCGCGTTTCACCGCCAGCATCCAGAATTCAACGGTCCGTCAAGCTTACGTCCTGCCGGAAACACGGGCTGACATCGCCAACAGGGACGTTTGAATATGAGGAGTACATCAGTCTGAAGTCCATCAACGATCCAAACGAAGGGTGTGTTCAGCTCTCCTTGCAGTTAGCCCGCTCTAATCGCTGCTAGCTACGAAACCATTTCTGATCTCATGGTCCTTCAAGACCAGATCGACTCTTTCCAGAAGCTTATCTTCGCTCATATTCCTCATTCTGCACATAGCGAATGTCGCATATCGGCTTTGGTGCCGCTCGTGCAGGAAAGTTATGGCATCTACAAGTTCCTGACGAGCATGCTGCGTGCCATGCACGTCCAGCTGGGTGATGATGAGGTGTTGCAGCCCTTGCATGGACGTTACGACATGCAGCATTACAGACTTGTCAAGTTCTACTACGAGTGCAGCCAGCTGCGTTATCTGACCAGCTTGATCACGGTACCGAAACTCCCTCAAGATCCACCAAACTTGCTAGCAGAAGACGAAGAACGTCCCGCGTTACCATCCCGACCCAAAAACGAAGTGGAGAAGCCACCCACCCCCAAGAAGAATCTCGATATCGACCCTGAACCGATCAACGAATTTTGGAAGAACCAACAGGCTCGCGAACAAGATGCATATGCCGAAGAGCAACGTAGACTGCAGGCGCAACTGGAGGAGGCGCTACGTTTGCAGGAAGAGCAGCAAAGACAAGCACAAGCAGAATTTGAGCGACAACAGCGTCTGCAAGAAGAACAGGCTCGACTTGCGCAGGAGCAGCTTATGCGTGATCAAATGGCCCAGCAGACGTATGGCCGAATGGCAGAACTCGAGCGGGAGAATCTAAATGCTCGTGCTCAATACGAGCGTGATCAGTTGATGCTCCAGCAGTATGATCGTCGTGTTCAAGCGCTGGAGAACGAATTGGCTTCTCTGCAGGCGAACTACAACCAACAGAACCAGTCAAAGGACGACCAGATTCGTGCCTTGCAGGAGCAGCTGAACACGTGGCGATCCAAGTACGACAATCTTGCTAAGCTCTATTCGCAGCTGCGGAAGGAGCACATTGAGCTGCTGCAGAAGTTCAAGGGCATTCAAACGAAGGCAGCGTCTGCTCAAGAAGCCATTGACCAGCGAGAGAAATTACAGCGCGAGTTGAAGCAGAAGAACCTGGATCTTGCGAACATGATCCGTGAGCGCGACAGAGCACTGCTGGATAAGGACCGAGTACAAGGCAATCACCGCGAGGAGATTGAGAAGCTCCAGCGTGAGCTCCGTTTCGCCCTCGAGAAGGCGGAAAACGCAGAGCGTGGGAAAGGGTCAGAGCTCTCGGCCATGCTCAATCGTCACAACCGTGAGATTGCAGATCTGGAGGAAGCACTACGACAGAAGGAGAATCAGCTTAGAGAGCTGTCACGACAATTGCGTGAGGGCGACGGTGACCTTGAGCGACAACTTCGCGAGAAGGAGGAAGAGCTGGAGGTCTTCAAGGCTGGCATGGACCAAACGCTGATCGAGTTGAATGAGATGCGTCAGCGACAAGAAGCCAATGACCAGGCCATCGATGGCCAGCTGGACAGCGTGATCCTGGACAACATCCGCAAGATCAACGAGATCATCGACTCTGTCCTCTCGGCCGGCGAACAGCGTGTGGATGATGCACTCTACGAGCTCGACTCGTCCATGATCGCCGGTAACCAGAGCGCATCGGGAGCCTTTGTGCTGTCTCAGATCGAGAGAGCTGCACAGAATGCTATGGAATTCTCTGGCGCCTTCCGCGAGTTCATCGCTGACGGCCCAAGCAGTGCTCATTCGGAGATCATTCGCACTGTGAACGCTTTCGCTGGCTCAATTGCGGATGTTCTCTCTAATACCAAGGGTCTCACCCGATTTGCGTCAGACGAGCGCAAGGCTGACCAACTTATCAATGGCGCGCGCAAGGCTGCACAAGGCACTATCAAATTCTTCCGCGACCTGAAGTCGTTCAGACTTGCTGCGCTTGATGACGAGGGCAAGCAGGAGGTCATTATCCACGACAATGCTGACGTGCAGCTTAGCCTGCAGAATCTATCCAAGCTCGCAGACGCATTTGCACCAAAGAGCAAGCTTACCGACCAGTCCGGCGACCTAGGCGAGCTCGTCGATCGTGAGCTAACGAATGCTGCTGCAGCGATCGATAAGGCTGCCGAGCGTTTGAACAAGTTGATGAACAAGGACCGCAGTGGATACTCCACTTACGAGCTGAAGATCCACGAGTGCGTACCATGCATTTCCAGAAAAAAAAAACAAAGGAAGATGTGCTAACTTGAGCCCAGTTCGATACTCGAGGCAGCCATTGCGATTACAAACGCAATCGCACAGCTTATCAAGGCAGCTACTGCTTCTCAACAGGAAATCGTCCGAGAGGGCCGTGGCTCTTCTTCTCGAACACAGTTCTACAAGAAGCATAACCGTTGGACTCAGGGTCTTATCTCAGCAGCCAAGGCCGTGGCTACTTCGACAAACACACTCATCGAGACGGCCGATGCTGTCATCTCCGGCCGCGCTTCGCACGAGCAGCTCATCGTCGCATCTAATGACGTTGCTGCTTCAACCGCCCAACTCGTTGCCGCATCTCGTGTTAAAGCTTCTCTCATGTCCAAGACACAAGAACGTCTCGAGTCGGCATCACGAGCCGTCACTGCTGCTTGCCGGAATCTTGTCAGACAGGTACAAGACATCATTGCTCAGCGTGACCGCGGAGAAGTCGCGGAGGACTACAGCAAGCTGTCTGCACATGAACTGAAGACTCAGGAGATGGAGCAGCAAGTTGAGATTCTCAAGTTGGAGAATGCACTTAGCGCGGCGAGGACCAGACTGGGCGAGATGAGGAAGCTGAGCTATCAGGAAGAGTAAAGGTTTTTCTTTTTTTTTTTTCCTTTGCCTTGTCGCCGAAGGGCGTTTCTCGCGGATTGTGCTGCGCGTGTTGAAAACAAGGATGATTATATGTGATCCAGTTAGCGTTTGACTGTTCGTCCCTTCTTTCCTCATGGGTTGGTTCATGGACGCTTCCGGCGAGCAGGAGATATCCAAAAGGTGAAGATTTTCTTCCAGCGACGAGAACCAGGCGCCGACAAAACATACTTGGAACCGTGCTGTAGCTTAGCTTGGCTTTCATTATTTTTATGGACATAAGTCACATTCTTCTCCAACTCCACCTTTGAGGCGCCCACCCTTTCACGCGTGCTGGGGGTTCTTTTCTGTCGGGGTTTGTGGCTTCCACCTTGTCCTGACTCGTGCGAAGACGCTAAGCCCGATTGAAAAACTTCTCTGTCGCGGCAAGAAACGTATCTGTCTTTCCTTTTGCGATCGCTGGCGGCTTCACGTTTTTTTTATTTTCATCCATTCCTTTTCGACTAGCTCGTGCTGATTTTCTGAATCAACATATCAATCCTTTACTGTGTTCATCAAACCGCGGCAACGCCAGTTTTGGCGGTAGTAGCACACTTTTCAGGATGTTGGGAGCGTTGAGAAGATATTCTGCATTCGTTCCGCGAACGCTGTCATCGGCGGCGACACGGGCATCTGCGCCGAGAACACAGGCCTTGAATCTGAACCGGCTGGCACAGCTGAAGTCATGTGTACCGGCCAGGAGCTTCTCGAATGCGATCAGGTGGCAGCAACAGGCGTTGGCGGAAGCCGTTCAGGAGACCGAAGCGCCTGCAGGAGATGGGTTCACAAAGTTCCAAGAGTTGGCTGATAGGCAGTTGGTGCACCAAAATGTCATCGACGCAATTAAACGCATGGGGATAGAGACGATGACGGAAGTGCAGGCGGCAACCATCAACACTGCGCTTCGCGGTACGGATATGTGAGTACAATTGGGTCTCCGAAGGAATGAGTGGATCTGACAAACGTCTAGCATCGCGCAGGCGAAGACAGGCACAGGCAAGACCATTGCATTTCTGCTACCGATCTTGCAGCGCATACTGGAGAACGACCCGTCCCTCGCCACTCGTTCTGGCTGGAGACAGACGACTGCGTCCGATATTCGCGCATTGATCATTTCGCCCACTCGCGAGCTTGCTGAGCAGATTGCAGATGAGGCCAGGAAGCTGTGCAGAGGCACGAATGTCATCGTACAAGCCGCTGTAGGCGGCACAATGAAAAGCCAGATGCTACGTGCAACCCAGAGGCAGGGCTGCCACCTCCTAGTTGGGACGCCGGGCCGTTTGCGAGATATACTCAGCGACCCTTGGAGCGGAGTTGCTGCACCAGGCTTGGATGCCCTTGTGCTTGACGAGGCAGACAGACTGATGGACGATGGCTTCTGGCCCTCAATCCAGGATATCATGGGCATGCTTCCGAACCCAAAAGACAAGGATCGGCAAACGCTCATGTTCTCCGCCACGATGCCGAGGGAGGTGTTGCACGTCGCACGGCAAGTGCTTAAGCCTGGATATGAATTCGTCTCGACGATTAGAGAGGACGATGCACCGACGCTGGAACGCGTTCCTCAGAAGGTTGTGCGGGCCGATGGTTTTGAGAACCTAATGCCCGCTCTGTACGAGCTAGCCATGCGAGAGACACGAAAGGCTGAGGAGGTACCAGATGCGAGGCCGTTCAAAGCCATTGTGTTCTTCAACTCGACCGCAGAAACTTCGCTGGCGACGGCGATTTTCAACAACCTGAGGAGTTCCAGTCGAAACGGACGGGCGTTTTTGTCGAGGACGCCCGTGCTTGAGATTCACGGCAAACTCACACAGGCACAACGCACGCGCGCCTCTGCGGACTTTAAGAGACTGCCCGGAGCGATGCTGTTCTCGTCTGACGTAACGGCACGTGGTATGGACTTTCCCAACGTGACGCACGTCATTCAGGTTGGCTGTCCGTCGAATGCGGAGACATACATCCATCGCATTGGACGGACTGCACGTGCCGGCAAGGAAGGTGAAGGCTGGCTGTTCTTGAGCAAAGTGGAATTGCCGGAAGCACGACAACGGCTACGCGGACTGCCTATTCAGCCAGACGATACACTGCAGAGTGCCAATGTCAACATGACGACACCTGCGCAGCTGCCGGCTCCTGTTGCAGGTGTCCTAACAGATGTTGGCAATGCGGTCAAATCCGTAGATCCGTCATTGCTATCTGCTACATACAGGGCGTATCTGGGCGTGTATCAATGGCTACCGACAAAACAGCTTCTTGTCGACAGCCTGGCTCGACTGTCCAGATTTGGATGGGGCCTGTCGTCGCCTCCTAAGGTCCCTCCTGGACTGGCTTCCAAGCTACGTTTGAACGGTCTGCAGAACGTCAACATTGGCGTTGAGGAAACATCTCTCAGGTCTGGTGGGAGATTGCAAGGACTTAGGAGCGGAGGCTCCCACCGCTCGGGTGGTGGCAATGGTCGTCAAGGCTGGGGCAATGATAATCCAGCATGGTAGTGCACAGATTGTGCACGACAGCTTCTTGATTGTATTATGATGTATTCTGTGATGCTGGATCGCCCTGCAGCTTGTACTTTATAGATGGAATTGCATAGGATGGCGTGAGAGGCTACCTTTTTAATTTTTCAAATTGTCTATGTAGAAAACGGGAAGGGTATTTAAAGGAGCAACAGGTCCGTAGAATTATGAATCGAAAAACTCTTCTCGATGAATCCATTCATCTGCTGTTAGTTCCGTCACTCAGACAATTCATTGGTCCCATGGAAAAGAACGGACATGTCTCGCCATCGTGATGAAGGGTCACGTGCCACTCCCCGTCCTTTAAGTCGACCCCGGCTCCGCTCTTCTTCACCTATATCACCACATTACTCGCCACTTGCTGCAAAGTTCAACTATACAGTCGATTGATAATTCACCATTATCAAAGGAATCCCGTTTATCTTCACAGTCTCGCTGCAGACGCGGAGATTCAACCTACTTCCGCCGCCGGCGCCAAACCGAAGGTTCTCGAGCTTCTAGTTGCATTTCCCCCACCTCCGTGGTTGTTCGCCAAAACATCACGACAACTTCGACTTCAGGATGTCCTCGCCCGCGAGAAGACGTCTCATGCGAGACTTCAAGGTGAGAATCAGAAAGACACAGGTGCGAGAAACACAAGGACGGACTGCTGACAGCGTCACAGCGCATCCAAACCGACCCCCCGTCTGGCGTCTCCGCGTCACCCGTGCCCGACAATGTCATGACGTGGAATGCAGTCATTATAGGCCCGGCGGTACGTTATTCATAGATTCCCCACGATCGACGGCCATTGCTGAGAAGTCTGGATCAACAGGACACGCCGTTTGAGGACGGCACGTTCAAGCTCGTCATGCACTTCGAAGAGGCATACCCGAACAAGCCGCCCGGCGTCAAGTTTATCAGCCACATGTTCCACCCGAACGTCTACGCAAGTGGAGAGCTGTGCCTGGATATCCTGCAGAATCGGTGGAGTCCTACGTACGACGTTGCGGCCATCTTGACGAGCATTCAGAGGTAGGTTTCGCACGGAAGACGGCGATCCGGCGTGGCTTCGGGGCACGCGCTGACTCTGTTGTGTAGTCTGCTAAACGACCCCAACACTTCGTCGCCGGCGAACGTCGAGGCGAGCAACCTGTACAAGGAGAACAGGAAGGAGTATAGCAAGCGCGTGAGGGAGACTGTTGAGAAGAGCTGGGAGGACTAGACGCTCCACAGGCGGCGACTGCCGTCCTGCGGAGAGTCGGACATGGCTCTACAGGTTCAAGCGATTCATTGCGAGCGCGATGGGGATCGATTCCGGCTACGGTGTTCATCTGGGCGTTTGAGTGAAGAGACTGCTTCATAGGCTGGGCGACGTGCTCTTTTTTATCGTCCTCTTGCTTCTTACTGCTTTGATATTCTTTCTCCCTTTTCTACATTGCGAGGAGTATACGGTGCATGAGCTTTTGGTTGTTTTGTGCAGAAAGTCCAATATGTAACCATTACATCAGTTTTCTTGTAGACAATGAATACCCAAATCAGGCATGGGAGTGTACATCCAACGTATTCTGCACCAGCTGCTGGCACGCGTGGGTCATGCTGCAGAGGGCCGCAGGTGTTACCCAGCGTGCTGGACCTCCCGCCTTTGGTCCCCGACGACCTTTTCGCAGGCGGAGCCGGCTTTCAAACGTGCAGTGCGTGGAACGGCGAGAAGATAGGTGTTGCAATCACTTGTCCAGATCGGTAGAGCGTGACCGTGAAGACGTGACCTGTGAAGATTGACGCGACCAGGTCTTGGCAACGCCAGACGGTTCCCGCTGCATAAACCGTATGTCAACAAGCCAAAGCTTGGGTACCTCCATCTTGCGCCTACGGATCCGCTCCGGCTCTAGAGAAACCTTGCTCTCTGCTTCTGCATTCTGAACACACACTCTCTGTCTCCTTTGTTTCTTCTTTCCTTTTCTTTTTTCTGCAAAACAAAAACGCTGCGCAACGAGCTTTCTCGTTGCGCCACAAGTTGTGCGTGTTCCCGCCTTTCTGCCCTCCCCCCCCCCAGGCCAGCTCGACCTAAACCCGTTCCCCTGCACGTGTGTACCTCATTTCCCGCCAGACAAGACGTATCCCTGTATACAACTGTCTTTTCGCGACGTACTTCTTTCCAACGGGGGCGTCCTCCAGGCAGAACTCTTGCACTCTGTTCTCTGATCGGCCACGCGACGACGTGGAGGAGGAAACGGCCTTGACGGAGAGCAAATCCTCGAGTCTCGAGGCCTGTGGGCCATTCCTGCCGCGTAGATCTTCACCATGGCGTAAGTTGACTCCTGGCTCGAGGGCTGGCAGATGTGTGTGGATGTGAGTGTATGTGTGCTGATGCCAATCTTCCGTGCAGGACGAGCAACGCAATCAAAGGTATGCAGACCAAGAGCGGCGTGACGATTGGAGATCCGCTAACATGGATGCAGTCGTCGCGCGTTTTCGGCCGCAGAACAAGGTCGAGATAGCGAGTGGTGGCCAGCCCGTGGTGACTTTCGAATCCGACGACACTTGCAAAATCCAGGTACGCAACAGACCAAGGCGTACAGTGTGCCGCGGAGAGGTGTGCTGACCACACGTCACAGTCCGATGGCGCCCAAGGAGCATTCACCTTCGACCGTGTCTTCGGCATGGACTCGCGTCAGCACGAGATCTTCGATTACTCGATCAGATCGACCGTCGACGACATCATGGATGGCTACAACGGCACCGTCTTCGCCTACGGTCAGACAGGCGCTGGCAAATCATATAGCATGATGGGCAGCATGGACGACCCAGAACAGAAAGGCATCATCCCCCGCATAACGGAGCAGATCTTCGCCGCCATTCAGAACGGCTCGGACACCATAGACTGGTTGTTGAGGGTCAGCTACATGGAGATCTACATGGAGCAGATTCGTGACCTGCTCAAGCCGGCCAACAGCAATCTGCCGATTCACGAAGAGAAGGGCAAGGGCGTGTACGTGAAGGGCTTGACTGAACTGTACGTCCAGAGCGCCGAGGAGGTCTACGAGATCATGAGAGTGGGTGGCGAGGCCAGGAAAGTCGCAAGCACAAACATGAATCAAGAGTCGTCCAGGTCGCACTCGATATTCGTGATCAATGTAGAGCAGGAGAACCGCGAGACCAAGAGCAAGAAGAGCGGTACCTTGTTCCTTGTCGATCTTGCCGGCAGCGAGAAGGTTGGCAAGACGGGCGCGAGCGGTCAAACGTTGGAGGAGGCGAAGAAGATCAACAAGAGCTTAAGTGCCCTCGGCATGGTCATCAACGCGCTTACCGACGGGAAGAGCTCGCACATCCCGTACCGAGACTCGAAGCTCACGCGTATTCTGCAAGAGTCTCTTGGTGGTAACTCGCGAACGACCCTCATCATCTGCTGTTCTCCCAGTTCTTTCAACGACCAGGAAACACTTTCCACACTGCGTTTCGGGACGCGAGCGAAAGCGATCAAGAACAAGGCCAAGGTCAACGCTGAGCTTAGTCCGGCAGAGCTCAAGAATATCATCAAGAAGTATGAGCTCCAGAACGCGAGCATGGCCAAGTGGATTGCCCTCGCGAATCCTGAGCTGATCAGATGGCACGCTGGCGAAACTGTCGCGAAGGAGGACTGGACTCCAAATTGGGCGTCTGGTGACACGTCTCTCAAGAAGCTTGCAGACAAGACGGCACCGGGAACGCCAGGCAGGATTCAGAACGAAGAACGAGCGGAGACGCCAAGCTCCAGACCGGACTCACGACTGGAGCTCGAGCGCTCGGCCACGCCCAGCGTGCTGGACAAGGATGAGCGAGAGGAGTTCTTGCGACGGGAGAATGAATTGCAAGATCAACTCGCGGAGAAAGAAAGCGCTCTAGCCCTTGCCCAGAAGGGCTATCAGTCAGTCAAAGAAGAATTGGCTGCTCTGCGGGAGCACGATGCACAGATGTCAAGCAGCAACCAGAAACTGAGCTCCGAGATCCACGATCTTCAGATGCAGCTCGATCGGATAAAGTTCGACATGAAGGAGGAAGGCATCTCCATGGACTCGCTCAAGGAAGCCAACGCAGAGCTCACCGCTGAGCTTGATGAAGTCAAGCAGCAACTGCTGGACGCCCGGACGGCTGCGAGGGAACATGGCGCTGGCTTCGATGAGAAGGAGAGGTTGAAGAGAGAACGCATGGCCAAGATGATGGCTGGCTTCGATCTTGGTGGCGAACTCTTCAGCGACAATGAGCGCAGCATTCGCAAGACGATCGAGCAAATCGACGCTCTGCAGGAGGGAGAGTCGATTTCTCCCGAGGATCTCAAGGAGCTGAGAAGGAGGCTACTCGAGACGCAAGGCATCGTGCGGCAGGCCGAAACCTCGATTACACAAAAGGCCGAGCAAGAGGAAGCCGCGTTGCTGCGACGCGAGGCTCTCGAACGACAGCTATCCAAGGTGCAGGCCGAGTACGAAGCATTCCTGGAGGGCAAGCTGTCAGCGGACGACGTGGAAGACGTCAAGGCACGCCTTGCTGACTCGTTGACATCACGGCAAGCCAGCGAGGCTGAGCACCTTGCTGAGCTGCGCGAAGATCTTTCACGGAAGACAGAGGAAAACAAGAAGCTGGCTCAGGAGATTGAGATCTTACAGCAGCGCCTCAAGGCTAGCTCTGCAGCCAACGGCGTCGCAGTCAACGGCACAGTTGGTAATAAGACGGTGCAGCAGCAATTCGCCGAATTTGAGGTCATGAAGAAGAGCTTGATGAGGGATCTGCAAAATCGCTGCGAAAGGGTAACCCTTCAACTGCTCCTGTTGCCCCTTTTGAAGTGCTTGCTGACATTTGTTATCTAGGTTGTCGAACTCGAGATCTCTCTCGACGAAACGCGCGAGCAGTACAACAATGTGCTCAGGACATCCAACAATCGCGCCCAGCAGAAGAAGATGGCTTTCTTGGAACGCAACCTGGAGCAGCTCACGGTTGTACAACGCCAGCTTGTCGAGCAGAACAGCCAGTTGAAGAAGGAAGCCGCCATTGCCGAGCGCAAGCTGGCTACTCGGACAGAACGGATCAGGAATTTGGAGGCATTGCTGCATGACAGCCAAGAGAAGTTGACGGCAGCTAGTCATCGGTTCGTGTTCCCTTTTTCTTTGTCTCAGCACCCATCTCTTATGTCTAATTCTTCATCCGCGTCATCTCCATCCTCAAGGCCTTCAGTCGCGAAGACGTCGAGGCGGAGGGAGACGAGCAGCGATTTACGTAAAGTGTACGGGCTTGAAGATGGAAGCGCCACGGTCCGACAGGCGCGATTACACCAGCATGAGCAGAAGTGGCCATACTGGCCAGACGATTTTGGGGAAAAGCCTGTAGAAGAGTCGTGGACGATGCTCCCTTCGCCTCCGCCTCGAAATCTTTCAACGTCCTTCCCGAAGGAAGAGTCGAGGCGAACCAACAGTTTTCAATTTTCTCTTCCGGCGAAATCAACACCGGCTAACGCGACTACAAATTACAGATTCGAAGTCCAACTGCAGTCGGTCAAAGAGCGGTTGGAAGCCGCCAAAGCCGGGTCAACTCGCGGACTGGGTATCGGAGGTATCGGAGCGCCCGGTGCTGGAGGTTTCAACTTCGGCGGACCCAGAATTGCCAAGCCGCTGAGGGGTGGCGGAGGAGGCGAGATTCAGCATCCTGGAGTGCACTCACTCCAAGCAAACTCGGAGGGTGGAAACAAGAGAAACAGCTGGTTCTCAAACCTGCGATCGTAGCGTCTTCCTCATGTTCAATCAGGGGCGTTACCACAGGCACGGCAATTCAGTTGTGTATGAATGCATGAACGTATAGACGAGCCAGATACGAAAGAGTAGCATTGGGTCCCGGATCTGGTCGGATTGGGATGAATGAATTGAGGGGGGGAGGCGTTTTGCTTTCTTTCCCCTGAGGTCACTGGCGGTGTTGTTTGCTCTCGTCTCAGAAGTCTGATACCACGCGCGAGTATTTTCCTTGTTTCTTGCCGAAAGGATCACAGTAGACTGTACAGGTGAATGGTGCAACTTGCATAATCTGCTTCAGAGATACTCAGTAGAACGAATGACAGGTCTTCTGTACTCAATCGCTAGATGATTTTTCTACCTCTGGTCATGCTTGCAGCCGAATCCTATCTGAGGCTGCTCGAGGCACGATGCTGCATCGACAAGTATCTCATCTGAAGTACGCCACAAGGGGCGCTAAAAATAAAACCTAGATCAGAGCCCTGAAGGCGAGCAGCTCGTGCAAGGAGGATTTCAGAGGCCAAGGTCTCACTTTTTTACAAGATGCAAGTATATGACACGACTCCACGCATGGATCCAAAATCCCGTTCACAGAGATTGGAACAGATTTGGAGCTGAGCACGGAGTCCAACGACGGCACTCGACGTAGGACGGGGTTTGCCTTTGTGAGCGATCGAAGCACTCCTTCGATCTGACAAGAATATAGGAGTCTCGTCATCGTTTGAGTTTCTGCTGCAGCCTTGGCTTTGAGATAGCCCTGCGCTGCCATTCGCAAGTCTATGGAGAAGCTCTCCGGTGCGGATAAGGACAAGACAGCCCTGTGAGTGCGCGCGAGTTACCAAGCACGGCCGGGGCCGACAGCAAGACCTGATCAGTGTGACACCAACAGACAGCTGCGTTAAGAACCGTGGGACGTAGTTTTTTTTTTTTTTTTTCAACCGGTAAAAGACATTTGGAATCATGGGCGAGGGAGTTTACTGTTTCGAACTGGCGTCTTGTCAACGGCGCCGTCCGTCCGCTTGCCAACAGATGCATTCGAGAGCTTAGCTATCAAACTTGGAAGAATCAGTATACAGACGGCTTCGAGGGTAGCCACATCGCAGAGCACCTGCTGGGCTAGGCTAACGGATTAAAGACCTCAATTTCGGAGTAGAAACAGCAAATCTGCATTGGCGAACAAAACAACGGTCGCGTGCTCGTAGCCATCCTTACAGTTTTTGCGGGACGTTGGGAGAGCATCTGAGTGTTGGCTTTCGCGCGCTGACACTCACAAGGAACCACATGCTGGCTTTTACCAGGGAGCCGCGTGCCTAGGAGAATGTCGTTGACGAGCACGTAGATCTCCGAAGAGAAAATCGTCCGGAAACCGAACGAGCGAGGTGAAGAGCTGATCCAGGAACCGGGACCGCCGGGCCATGAGAGAGCCTGTGGACGTCGGTTAAGGTAGTAGCTGATACACTTGTTTGGGTCATCGCAATATCCAAGGCCACGGCGATGATCGCTCATGATCTCTCGGTCACGGGCGAAGTCGAGCCAACATGCAAACGCAGTTCGCTGTATGGACGTCCTTGGGGCGTTTCGCGGAGGTAGGGAGGGGCGACGAAACTCTTCCTCCTCTCCTGGCCCCTTGTTGCTTGGAGGCTGTGCACTCGAAACCCACAGCGTGTTTCAAGATGTCGACCTCCTGAATTCAGCCAGCAAGAGGCTCTGGATACATCGCATGAATGGCAAAAAAAGTAAGCCGCACATGCACAATCTCAGGGAGGATCAGGATGGTCGCGCGCATCTCGACCTGTGACAGCGCACAGCAAGGTATGTGCGGGCTGCAAAGTCACATCGGTCCGTCTGCTGAAGAACGATCCTCGTGAAGCGATCGGATCGTGAACGACGTCGCGAGCCCTTTTCACAGCGGTGCAATTGACGCCGGCGCAAGGAACGGTTTGATGGATGGCAGGTCGCAATCTCACCTAGACACAACGTCGACCAGAGCGCGGCCAGAAGGGGTTTGAGCCATGCAAACAAAAGAAACATGGCATGAAACAACACTGGCTAAGCACGTTCAAGAGTGTTCCAAGAGAATGAGAGGAGCGTGCTTCCCGCGCTGACCTGCCCGACCCCGAGCCGGGAGCGCAGAACTCCGGACGGCAGGCTACATGTCTTTTCGCTCCGTTCGCTCGTGCTGTCAATGCCGCTCTCTTATGGCACATGGGCTCTCCTGTGCCGCCACGAAGCTCCGGCCTTGCTTCGTTCCTGCATGAGCCCTGCAGACTGTGCCGGCATTGCAACCTAAGCCGGTGCAGGCCTCGAATGGGTCGCCCTCCCAAAAATAAAAATTAAAAAAAAAGAGGTCCGGCCGCTCTTTTCGTGCTCCAACGTGTACGATGCGCTGTCCTTGCACACGTTGGCCATACCGTATGCGTGGCAATGGACGTCGAGAGCAGGTCTTCGCTCCACAAGGTGTAGCCGATTGGCGTGCCCGCCGCGGCGGGTAACGTGCTGGAAGGGCCGGAATGCTTGTATCGACGGGGGCAAAAAAGCTTGGAAAACCCTCCCCCAAGTGCCTTCGCCGAAAGAGGCAATGATCATGTACGGCACTGGCTCAGTGTTTCGAATGCAAAGGGTAGGTTGACATCACAGACGTGGAGGCTTGAGCGCGGCCAGCTGTTTGTGTGTCGAAACTAAACATTCGGCCCCTCCATTACTTCAAAGTGTGTCCAACCCATGATGATTTAAGGCACACGTCCTGTCCTGCTCCCACTCGCCTTCTCCCCCCCTTCTTCCTCCCATTACCTTCGTTTGATCATATATACCCACATTTCACGTTTCAACCCTACAATACTCCTCTCGTTGTTCCGTCAATCGCTCAAACATTCGCTCTTATATAATCAAACCAATCCATACATCAATATGAAGCTCTCTGCTGCTCTTCTACTGGCTGCTGCCTCCCTTGCCGTGGCCTTGCCGGGCGATGGCAGTTATGGTAGCAGCGGTTCCGACGGAGGCATGAGCGGCGGTTATGGTGGTTCATCATCTGGGGGATCCGGGGAATCTGGCTGGGGATCCAGTAGTGGCAACAACAATGGCGGCTACGGCGGTAGCAGCAGCGGTGGCTACGGAGGCAACAACAACGGTGGCTACGGAGGCAACAGCAACGGCGGCTATGGTAGCAACGGCAACGGCGGCTATGGTAGCAACGGCAACGGCGGATACGGCGGCAGCGGAGGCGAAACCTCCAAGGACTGTACCACGTCCACCAAGGAAACAAAGACTACAAAGACTGCCAGCTCGCCAGTTTGGACGCTTCCTGCAGCAGAAACTACAACGTCGTCAAAGTCATCCGAAACATGGACCTGGAGCACGACCACTGAAAAGACAACTAAGACGACTGAGAAGTCAACATCATGGACGACTGAGAAGTCAACATCGTGGACGACTTCGACAGAAAAGAAGACGACTTCCACGGAAACAAAGACGACGACGAAGAGCGAGGCCTGGACCGGTACTTGGTCTATGTCGCCAAAGGGAACCCCATCCAAGCAAACCTACTCTCAGACCTGGCCATCGGTTCAGATCGCACCGTCTAACGTGCCTTACGTGACGGTCCCGAAGGTCGCTTCGACAGTGACCATCAACACCGAAGGTGCCGCGTCGACTGCTAAGACCACGGCCACGGGCGCTGGCAGCGTGCCTAAGATTTCGCAGACGACAACCGCTGGACCTCTCCAGGTCACAGCTAATGCTGCTGCCGACACGAAGTGGTCGGCTGCCGCCGGTCTGGTCGCCGCGCTTGGTCTGATTGCTGTTTAGGACGGTCCCTGCTCAGGATACGCGCTGTACAAAAATCTCACGTCGCAATCACGAATTGTCGCATAATAGACACTGGAGTTTTTCTCGTTGATCCCCCCTAGTGTAGCGTCGGCGCGCGCAATCACTTCTTGTTTCTTGCATATAGTTTAATACGCCCAGCAACGGTGGCGTAGTAATGACGCGCAGTTCTCAAAATATGAATCAAAATCTTTTAAGAAAAAAAAAAGTCATTCTCCGCTTCGTGTGAAACCAGTTGGCGAGGCTTTCATGACCATATCTAGCCTCTATTAAGCGTCGGTTTTTTTTTTCTCTAGTCTACATATGATATACAGTAGGCCTTGTGCGATCTACTTTTTTTCGATGAAAGCCTGTCCGCCCATATACGGTCTCAGCACCTCAGGAATTTCTACCCTCCGTGTTTCAGGATCGTAGCCGATCTCTAGGATACAAGCCAACACCCTCGGCACCGCCATAGCCGTTCCATTTACTGTATGCGGAAACTCCAGTTTACCCGCCTTACCCACTTTGACTCTCGTGTTTAGCCGCCGCGCTTGATAGTCTGTACATACGCTTGCAGAAGTGAGCTCACCCCAGCCGCCCTGCTCCTCACCTTCGACGTTGGTAGGCCGCATCCGCGACGGGAAGAGGGCCTCTATGTCACGCTTGCGGGCGGCGGATGCGCCGAGGTCATGAGTGGGCATTTCAAGAACACGGCAGTGTAAATTCAGAGAGGAGAGGATCTCTTGCTGCACAGCCAGCATTTCTTCAAAGAGCTGGTCCGAGTGAGAGATTAGTTCTGGTGAGGCCTCGAACACGTCTGTCGAGGACCTGGACGACGGCGTCGAAGGCTGGTCGGGCAACGTCCAGCCGAACATTTCAACCTTTGTGAACTCGTGTACGCGATAAAGGCCCTTCGTATCGACGCCGCGAGCGCCTGCTTCAGCGCGGTAACAGCGACTAACGCCAACGACTTTGAGGGGGAGCTCTGCCTCTGAAAACGTGTGGTTGGCCTTCATGCCCGCCAGCGGGATTTCTGCCGTGCCGGCCATGACGAGTTGTGGTTTCGCTGCGTCCTTCTCGGCCTGTTGTATCATGTATATCTGCTGTTCTTCGTTCTTATCCCTTGGCTGGAATCCACACGCGTCTGCCATGTGCGCGTACACCATTGAAGGCGGCGACACCACTTTCCATCCCCGCCTCATAGCCACGTTCAGCGCGTATTGCACCAGAGCTTGTTCTAGCAGCGCAGCTTCGTTCTTGAGGAAGTACCAGCCCCATCCCGACGTCAACGCTGAGCCCTCAAAATCCAGAAGGTCCAGCTCGGTGCCAATCTGATCGTGAGACTTCCACTTTCTGTTCGGGTGTTTCTCTAGTGGACTCTGATTGAATGTTGCCACCTGTTCAGGCTCTGATCCCACAGGTGTATGTCGACTTGTGAGGTTCGGCAGCGCTTCCGCCAGCTCTTGAATCTCCTTCTCGCAGCGCTTCTGCACTGTCTCGTACTCTGCCAATTGAGGTTGCAATTCCTTTGCTCTTCTCAGCAGCTCGTCCTTCTTTTCCGCAGCAGTGGGCAATTGCGCGTGGATTTTGTTGATCTGTTCCCGGAGCGGGCGGCTGTCTTGGTTGGCTTTACGCGCAACATCGGAAAGCTCGAGAATGCGCCATGAATTTTGCGAGAGGCTATCGTAGCGCCTATCAACGCAGTTCTGTGAGTACAGTCCAGGGCTTTGTCGAATATGTTTGATGTCTATAGACACCTTTGGAGCGACCGAAGGGCGCGAATAGCTATGAGAGGGTGAAAAGAGCCCAAAGCTCTTTAAGATCTTGCGCCGACATGACGGGCATGAGGAAAAAGGCTTTGAGGGAAGCGATGTCCTCATCTTTATATCATTGTCATTCCTCGTTTTATCGTGCGATTGGAGGGAAAAGAAGGCCGCAGCACTGATGGAAAGGGAATGGCGAGACAATTTACAATCGCCTTGGGTACAAAAAAAGGGTTCTGCGGCTGCGGTGATCCAGAATATTTCCTAATTAAGCGACTTCCCCGAATCCGTGGCTCGCTCCACAAAATCATCCTCGCGCTACTCCGTATTGTATCGTCAAATGGAAACAAAGCCTGCAGCACTGCACACGACATGGTAGCCGCTGCCGTGTGATACCCGCGTAGGCTTTTTATATGTTGAATTAGCACAACTGCGATGCTGGCCAAAGACCGTGTGAGAGAAATTTTGTTTTCCTACGGGCGTTAGAATAGACAGTCGATGGACCGGGAATGAGCGAGTTCGTGTGACAGCTTGCCTTTGAAAATAATCTCTGAGAACAAGATCCCGACGCCCCTTCGTCTGTCTTTGAAGATTCAACGAGAGAACCGGATATCAGCTTGGTTGATATCACGAGGCAGCGCCTGAGATTCAAGTCTAAACCCGCGGTAGAACAACGAAACTGGAGGTTTTTTTTTTCGTATAGTATAACACGAACACTGAATACATACTCTTCGCCGGCGAGGGTTCTAGATCCATAAATCCAATATCGAGCACAACAACTTCATGGCACAGCTCGACGCAAGGCAACTTAATGGTATATGAGCATGTATCATACCCAGCTCTACACGGCTCACCCGTTCAGCAACCACAGCAGCAACCAAACCACGAAGCACCCCAACAACAAAGTATTACCAAAATACATCGACCTGAGTCCAATCTCGCGGGCGTTTATGAATGATCGGCGCCGTAGTCCTGCGCCGTTACTGGAGCCGCTGCCGTTTTGGACAACAGTCGCAAAGACTGTGTCTTTCCACCAATCCCATGTTGATCTGTCTTGCGTAGTTTCTGTTGATCCCGTGGTGCAATTGGATGACGCGAGAGTAACTAGGCCAAGCGATGAGACAGTAAATGAAGGATAATCGGAAGACGCCCATGCAGAGGAAGTTGCGGTCGAGTCCTGGAGAGTGTTGGACACAGAAGTAGGATTCCATGAATATGTTGAAGATGAACCCTTTGGGTTAGATACTTTTAAGCTAGATTCAGACGTCGTCGAATCGATTGAGGATGAAGATGTGCTCGTTGCGGCCATAGGGGTGCTCGGTGGACTTGGAAGCAGACCCATACCACTAGTAAATGAGAACGCTGTGGAATATAACGAAGAAGCCGATGAATAAGTCACTATTCCATGAATTAGCATTGCTCGAAAAGTTTAAATGAAAGGTTTTTTCGTTGGCTGCTTCAATGGCATGAGGCAGAACGAACATCGACGAAACAATCACCTTTGGGGAGGACATGCTTTGCTGGGTTGGCATAAGAATTGACGAAGGTGGCGATGGGTTTTGGTTGTTCAGCGCAGTACTAGTTGTGGATGGGATTGCTATGTTTGCACTTGGAGTACTTATGGTGGCGCCATCGGCATCGAGCTCGATTGCAGTTGGCCTACCGTCAATGCCTGTATTGATCATAAGCAAGACGAAAGAAACTGATCATGCCTTGCGTACCACGACTAGCTGCCCATGTTCCTGGGATCTTCACAATCCATCCATCCCCGCAGTAATTGTGCTCAAGGGTGTCTGGTACGTAGCACCAATGGTATGTTTTGGTAAGATTGGCCGTGAGCACTGTGCTAGGTTCTTGCAGAGATGAGCAGACCATCGGCACAGGCTCAGAGCAAAGCTCGGTGTACGTCGTCTTAGCGCTCGTACCTACTTGAACTCTTGCCAATCTCTTAGAGGTGACAGATATTTTGTCTATCAAGGACATGGATACGTCATGACCGCAATACATGCTAGAGGTGTTCAACAAGGCTGCTCTAATCCATCATTAACAAAGAGTATACTAGTGAAACCATCTTGATACTAACGCTATATTGTGTTGCCTAGACAGAGGACTCGAGTTCGGGACATCCAGAGCTGATAATTGGTATGAGGTCGAAATGGTGGTAGGATGACCTATCGTCGTTGTTGTATCTTGAAACGTTGTTGTCTCGATCGTAACATAGGTCGTCCGTATATGTAGCACATGGTACGTGGTCTCCGTGAATTCATTCAGTTCTGGGACTGGCATCAAGGGAAGCAAAGCACCGGAGAAGGAAGATTCATCTTGTGCTTTATTAGCACCTTTCGTAAACATTATTGTAGAGAATGAATCGCGTGGATCTGGCAAAGTTCTCGTGCCAGGATTCAAGTCCGTGATCGCTGGATGGGAACCAAAGTTCCCTGTTGAGAAGCTTGCTGAAGTCGTTGGTAGCGCAGTAGTATGCGACTGAATAATAGAGTATATACTTGTCCTATTCGTACATGGCATCGAGACGAGATCCCTTTCTACGGCAGAGAAGGATTCGAGAGAGCTTTGACCTCCTAGAGGAACTTCACAAGCAGATGCTAGAGCAAGAGCTAGACCAAGGAAAGAGAATAGGATCTCTAAGAAGTTCATGTTCTGCGACGGGTGACAATGAACGGTTGCTCTGTGCTCTCGAATGCGTCTATCCCTGTGAGCGAATCAGAGGCTACAAGAGGAAGGTTAAGGTTGGAGAATGCAAAATGAGCTATGTAGTATGGTCGCGGAACGAAATAATTAATCATGATTCTTCAGGCCTCTGGTGGTAAGGAGATTGTGAGTCAGCATGATTAAATGACTGCTACGACAGACCTCCATTTGTAGATCAGTCACCGTATTTGTAGAAGTATGACTTAATGCAAGGTAGACGCGAGCAGCTGCGCATCATTGTGGAACTAAGAACTGTAACATTAAAAAGCATGATCTCACGAATTGACGGGAGAAAGTGATACTGCTGTGCATCTTGCATTCTGGCTTCTCGAACTATCGTTCGTGGCCCAATTATGATAATGAGTTCTCGGATTCAACGATGGAGGTTTGGAGCGTCGACTGGCCCGCAATGGAGACTTCCGTACGTTTGCTGCTCGCGGTGTTCAATATGTCGACACGACTCCCTATCATTCCTTCGAGGACCCAAGAATAACGAGGCGTAAATGCAAATATGTTCAGGCCAAGAGGGAGAGTTACGGGAGCCTAGTTAAAAGGCTTGATTCGCAGCACTTGGCGGAGAAGGGTGTTTTTTTGACATCGAAAGCAGTTACTACAATCCCGGAGATCGATGGCTAACTAGGACACCTTAGGTTTGACGGTCGAGAGGCACTGTCAGATGGCACTGAACGCCAAAGCTCGCATCAAAATTGGCGTGCGATTCTCACGTCGCTGGGAGATGTAGCGAAGGTCTTACCAGAGCCGAAACAGAAGCCAAAAGACTCACGGAGAACGCCCAGACCAAGATACGCAAGACACGGTAGAAGCAGTGATTCGGCGCTGTTCTCTGGTCAGCTCGAACCCCAACCTCGCCAAAAGAGAAAAAGGGTCGCCTACACCGTCAACGTTCAGTGAGGCCAAACGTCGTATGCCTTGTGAGGTTCTTTTCAGGTTAACCAAAAGCCTTACAAAATGTACAGTCACGGCCCTTAAACGCGTCCGGCTCTGCAGGATAAACACCCCGTGATCGAAATGAAGCTAACGAGAGGCCGTAGTGATAATAGACACCTTGTACAATCTCGCCCACACGCAAAGTAGCATTACGCATCGAAACGGCTTTCCCTGTCACAGTATTAGCTGTCGTTGCTGCATTTGTCACGGTCACCGTTCCAAAAGACCGTCGTCGCTCAGGAATCTCAGATCACGAAGGAAACCGAAGAAAGGAGACTTCTATTATGGGTATCTAGGAATGTGTAAGTCTACAGCTGATCTTCCGCTGTGATAGTCCTGATCTCTTGCTTGTCCTGCCTCTGGGCAATCCATAATATTAGTGGATGGTGACCTGGGATGGTGACTTTATCTCAGCGTTCCTCTTGTGCTAACTCATTTAAGGAAATCAAGACCGCGTGCACTGGTCATCCAAAAGCCTTCCGAATTGCTGCCAAGTCGATGAAGGCTAGGTTTTACGACTAAGCGACTTTTGACCTTCGTGCTCATAGAGTCTTCTTCCCAGCGACGTGGATTCTGCGTCAATAAAGCCGTTCGGCTTCATCATGCTTGAATTGAACAGACGGAAGCAATCCTCAATAATTTGCCTAATATCGTACGAGCTTAGCGTACAAGTGCTGATCGAGCAATGGAAATATGTTCGGAGCCAACGTGCGATGTCCGTCTACGAGGTTTGGAGCAGAAAAGAGCTCGGAGTACCTTTCGAAACCGGAGGCATGGAGGCATCATGGTGTGGGAAAAATAGCCGGAGGTTCAAAGTGATACAGCAGAAATAATCTCATCTCGGACACGGTATCAAATTTTGGCTCGACTGGCCGAGCTGGTTCCTGGACGTTGAGAGCAGTAATGTATGGGTCGGAGCAAGGGTTCCGCGGCCGAGAAGGCTCAACACTCAACTGTACCCAAGGGAAGCGGTGAAAGCTGGTGGAAGTCCTAAGATACTGAGCGGTAGAGCAGACTCGATCTTGGCAGTCTCGCTAGTCATCGCCTTCAGGATCTGCAGTCTCAGGAAAAAACGTGCAACCAGTTTGGAGCGCCTCTCCTCGACCAAATCATCGAGTCTGGAGATATTGTGGTGAAGTTTTGCAGCCTTCTCCTTCCGCTGATTCTCCAGACTTTTATCTAGACTCTTGCTGAGCTCCTCCAAGTCCTTTTCTTGCTTTCGGAGCAGCTCTAGCTTCTTGCCTTCCTGGTATCGAACGAGATTGCGCATCTCGGCTTCATGCTTCTTCGCTAAACGCTTGAGAGCTGATTGTTCTTCCTCGAGACGCAGATGGTGCTCGGGCGTTGCCTCGTCGCCAAGCGACGCAATTCTTGATGTTACATGCTTTATGGCGGTCGAATTTCTCACAGCTTTGTCGTCCATGGCAGCGCGATGGATCTCTCGCAAGCTCAATTCTTTATCGGCATGCCGGTCTTCCATCTTCTCGATCTCGGCCTCGTGCTGCAAAAGTGTTAGCGCTGCGCAGTCACATTGCACCGTTCAAGCAGGGGCCACTCGGGTGTCCCATCCTGCATGGGTAGCACGTAGACTGACCTCCTTTCGAAGTTCGGCAAGCTTAGTTTGCTTCCGCTCCTTGCTGTAAAGATAATTACGTCCGAGAATGAGTGGCAACGCAATATGCTGGTCGGTTGCGAAGCTGTTGAACCGGTGCATTTCCTCTTCACACAATGCCTGCAATTGCCGGAATGCTTTGGTTTGCATAAAGCTTTCTAAGCATTCCTTGTCTACGCCGGAGATATCTTGATGCGGCTGCTGCTCGCCAAAGGAGCTGATTGATGTTCGTGAGGATATCGAAAGACTTTGAATTGAGGACATATCTTGCGATTCATGCGAATTTGGCGACGCAAGATTTGGTTCCTCTGCAATTGTGCCATGATTGGAATTATTTTCGCTGTATTGCAGCGACGTATCCGTGGGCAAGTTGTCTGCGCGAGTACCACTTGGCCTGCTACTGCTGCCGCGCCGGAAGAACTGGGTGAGGCTGTGCCGACTGTCTCTTCGCTTACCAAATATGCGATTTGAGAACGAGGAGGACTGAGAGCTCGTGCTATTTAACGAGACTACCGATGTGGCAGGTGTTGGGTCGTGGGTGTTGTTCGAGGCGCTCGTTGAATGTCGCGCCGTCGTCCTGTCCGACGGAGGTGCCGACACAGACGGCCTTGAGGAAATCGATGCTCGCAACGAAGACGGTTGCAATGACGACCTTGCCGATGGATCTGAGGAGCTCGTCGAAGTTTTGTGATCCACGGTTGAATCTATCGTTTGAGTGGACTGTCGCAGGTGGGACAAATGCCTTGAAGACCGATGCGTCCTGCGTCTCTTCACGACGGGGAAATGCGACTCCGCGACGCCGACCTGGCGCGCTTCTCTGCGAAGCTTATTATCCAGCTCGTCTTCTGTTGTGCCTATTTGGAGCACTTCTGATTCGTAGTATGACTGATCGAATACTCTCGTCGTGCTCTCGAACCGATCCAGGGCCAAACAGAACCGCTGTTCACGCGAGAGTCCCGCCGATTGGGTCGCATCACTAATGTCTGGGACGTATATGCAGGCTTCGAGGATCTTTCGAAGGTTGATCAAGTCTGGCGTGCTGGGATCGAGTGTTGCTTCAGAGAGCGCCATTGCGGCGACTCTCTCTCTGCGCGACGCGGCAGGGGTGGGAAGCGTGCAGCTGAAGCTTCAATCTCTTTCCCTTGAGTGGAGCAGAGAAAAGGCCCTGCTCTTAAAGATTCTGTTCCCCTCAATGTGATAGCTGCCAGCCTCCACAGTGTTCGAGCCGGCGGCGGTATGATGATCGACCAGTCCGGCGGGATTGGGGGTGTACCGTGGGGCGGTTGCTGCTGTGTTTTCTGCGCAAGGCGACGGCAGGCGAGTCCAAGAGCCGTCAGGCAAGCCCTGTTTACGCTTTTCCAGGTATTTACGAGCGTTGTCCTGGTGTGCGCAGGTGGTGATCGCATAGACTGAATCCGCCGAGCTGGGGTCTTTTTTGGCGTCCAGTCGACGCTCGCTTTTGTCCGACGCCGGGCGCGCAATTGGTCAATCCAAGATCTACAACTGCTCCCAATTCCCCGATTCGCCAACGGCGTGGGATTCTGAACGATAAAGCTTTGCCTGGGCTCGGGTTGATCCTTTTTGCGTCGTGGTTGAGTCGCGCTGAACGGTTCAACAACTAAGTTCGGGCGACGCAGAGGAGGCACGAGGCGACTCTTTGAAGCACAGCGTGCGGAGTACGAGACGATGGATACATGCCACTATGTCCTATGCGGTCCGTAATGATGTGCATCTAGGGTGAAAGCTTGCTTCCCCTTACGCGGCCGGCTGACTCGTTGTCTTTAGTTTCATGACATCCAACGCGCTGGCTCGTCCTCGTGTGTTGAATCCTCCGCCCTTGATGCTACTGGCCACGGTCGTCTACTACTGGACATAATCTGCAGCCTGCCTGTGCATATCCCCAGCCGTCTAGACTCTGTGCCCCTGCCGGCGCCCTCGAAAAACGTGTCTTTCCCCAAGCGACGCTGTCTCCTCTGTCATGGGTCAGAGCCGACTCTCCCAAGACTGTTTTCCTCAATGCGCGATTCTCCCCTGCCTCCTCGCCCATCGCTGAAGCACCTTGGTGAGACTCAACCAAGAAGAGAAGTACGGCCGAAATAACCACGTTGCCCCCATGACCACCTCGTGCTCTCCGATTTCTATCTACTCTGATCTCTGGATCATGGACTTTCCGCTATTGCCGCGTGTTGAGGAAGATCCCCGCAGATCATTTGCTTTGTTTGAGCAGCACGAGCAGCTGTACCATCATCAGCACTGGCAACCCAACTCGGCTATGTACGTATACGTGTGTGTTTGTGTGTGTGTGTGTGAGGCTGAAATCAATCGAGACGCGACTCGTCTATGTCGCTGCTGCTGAATCCGCCCACGAACGAATGCTATTTCAACATCATGTCCGCTGATTCGCGCAAACTTCCCTGGCTAAAGCCGATTGCGATATAATGAGCACTCTTGGTCATGTACCATCAGTATCTGACCCATCACCCAGTACGTCGTCTTCTGCAATTCTAGGCGAAGAGACGAACTTGATAGATTGCGTTGTTATGGCATGCTACTTTGGGATTGTTGCATGGTCTACAGCCTCTTTTGGACGCTTCATATGCGAGGAGTATGCATGGCGGTCGCGCTGCCTTTCCTCATATAGATCCAGCCCGATCTTGACGTGCATTATTGCAGCTTTGGTTGGTTTCACATTGCGCCTGCTACTACGAGTTGTGCCCACGAGCTCATGTGAACACTCTCGAGTCCGACGATCGCTTCACAATCGCACACACGATTCATATAGGAAACGGAGATGAGGTCTGCGCTGAACAAGCGAGCTTTGTCATTTGGCTGCAACGAAAACGAGGCTCTGTTAGCACGTATCTGAAGACTTACTCGCTGACATCGCTTAGCGACCATGGACTCATCGTATGCGGCACAAGGAGTCATCTCAGCGCAAGAGAATTACCGAACATTGGCGCAAAAGTACTACATTTCAAGTGCGAGGGGTGATACTCCACTTCATTACCCGCGTCGTTGGATCACTGTACCCCTCAGCGAACCAAAACATGTCAGGATAATCAAACTCTGCTGCCGACTTGCCTTACAACGTGACTCGGAACAGATTGTCCAACACAGCCTACATGCCGCAACTCCGCTCTTGAGCTCTCACAATTGCGGATTCGCGAAGATTGGCTCATCAGACTCCTAGATATGTCATCTCTCTGACTCGTTTGACACCATGATCTACGGGCTTCTGTTACAGTGTTGACGTGCGAATGAAGTTAATCTACAAGTCTTGATGCTAGGATGGAAGCGTAACAACCACTTTTATTTGATCTTCTGCCATATTCAAGCACCCGTAGATTGCTGAGCGTACCAGGTGACGACGTAGACATACGGACAAAAGTCATCGGATTGGATGTCACTCTGAAGTATCATACCCTGTTGGAAAATTCTCCCCCCTTCATCCTCCCGCCCGCGGGCAAGTAGAACAATGGGGGCGGTCTATCAAGCTGGTGAGCGACTCCAGCCAGACCAGACCCGGGAAAACCGAAGTACTCGGAGAAAACCCTTGCGCACTCAGTGACACGCACAGCGTCTGAGCACGCCGCTCACCTGCGAACATCAGTAGCTGCTCAACACAAAAGGGAAAAGGAGGGTTGGGCGAGAGCGTGAATTTGTCGATCATCGATCTAAGTGGGTAAAGACAAGTTAGCATATTTCTTCTTATCCGTGGGGTGTCATGAAGGATCTGGGGCTTATGCACCAGGCTCTTTGTTAAACATGTCCAGCAAGAGAGCCTGTCGAAGACAACTGTGGTTGTCGGTTCGTTGATTGAAGAAGAATGGTGCCAGGTGGACAGTCGGCTTATAAGGACTCTGGCCAGCTCCGGCTACCTGCGGCCGCGTGACAATCTAATTGTTATCCAGACCAGAGAACTGATGTGAATGTGACTCTGCTTTGAGGCGTTGGCAATACCACATTCAAAGCCTCCTCCTCCGTCAGAGGACGTGCAGTCCCGTAGAAAGTTTAGTTTGATATGCTTTGCTGCCGTGTAAATGGCCTGCTACTCTACATTCGCAATTGGGAAGAAGATTTGCTGCCCTGTTGGAATGTCGCGCTGCCGCGATATCTTCAGATGATGGTCGGTGTAATCGTCGATTCTTGGCACATATGTTTTACAGCATGTGAAGGCTTTTAGGATGAGCTTGCTGCAAACGTCACCAAGCTTGTGCGCCGGCAAGTCTACCCAACAAGTCACAAAAATTCAGACGTGTCTCGTACTAATAACGAGAGGGGCACTTCAAAGACTGCGAAGGATGTCTCTCAAGGCATGGAGGACGTTCTATCTTTTAAGAACCAGAACCAAGTTTACTATCCCCTTAACGACGTTTCTCATAATGCTCAGAAATGCCTCTATCAAATCGGCAAACTTCAAGGGGAATGGAAAGAGAAGAAGGAATTCTGAAGGGTTCTCCAGAATAGTGCGGAGCGGACGTTTGTAAGCAGACCTCAGGTAATTACCAGAGCTATGTTGTTCAAGTCTGCACGATGAGCTAGAGCTCGTCGCCTTCAAACTTGTTGTAAATCAACAAGAGGACACACAGAAACTCTATCAAAGAGCATCAAGATATCATCGACAGTACGAGATGAGCAGATGAAGACTGTAAGACCTTGAATAAGACCTTGAAAAAGAAAAAAGAATTCTCTCAGACAGCTATGAAGTCAATAGAGAGGTTCAAATCAAGTGGTTGTAGAAGACGAGAGTTGAGAACCAAGTGTGTGAGAAGGACAAGATTCAATACTTCTATTTAGCCGACGTCTAGAGCATTCATGCTGGTGAGCTGAGCGGCGACAATGATCATCCGGCTACGAAAGTTGAGTTTCGTTCCAAGCACGATTTTCACGTCACAGAATTGATGGAAACGTCCTTCGAATGATGGCCGCTTTCTCAGCGCAAAGCAACCAGTCGGTGACAGGTCACGTTTTTAGATGACGGGGATGAGAGCGGAGTGGAGTCTAAGGGCCGCATTTGGTGGACCAAAGGGCTCGCATTCGAGGTCTGCAACTCGAGTCTTCCCCCGTGGACCACAAGCGCTACATGAGGCGGGCGTGGATCATTTGCGATACGGACGATCCGGCAGTTTCTTCGAGTGATTTCTTTCGTTTAGATGACCCTTACGGCTCGGATGCCAAGGCGGCGCGTGAAGAGCATCCAGAACTGGATATACATGAGGATCATCTTAAGTGCCAACCCGGCAAATCTTGACAAACTAAGGCGGTGAAAGTCAGGGGCGCTTCAAACAGCGCTTGTCTTCTCTTCTCCTCAAAACAGGCCATCTGAAATAGCAGCAGACGTTCAAGTTTTGCTGCAGATTGACCTGACAAATTTTGAAATTTGTTGGGTTCTTGCGACCTGCCTCCTCACCGTGTGGTCACGAAAAATCTGCGTCTCGTTTTTGTCGTCCCAGTCAGAGAGTCAGAGAGGGGTCCTCGAACGATCTTACAAGCTTTGCTCCCTCAGTAGAGCTGGAACTTGACTGATGACCGTATCGAGCGGTTTAGGGATGGGATAGGTTCCTGGCATTCTGGCGAAATGTAGACAAAATCTCTGTGATCTGATCATATAACTCATACATCAAAGATATTCTGGTGGCCCCTATTGGACGCGGTCGGATCTGGATGGCTAAAGTAGGCGATGCTTCCGTCGCTTCCTTATCAGTGGAATCTTATGACGGAGGTTGAACGGATCTTAGCAAGAGTCAAAGCGGAAAACCTCACGGACTTGGAAAATCAAATCGCCCCCCCGGAAGAGCGATGAGAACGTCATCCATCTCGAGAAGGCATAAAACGAGCAGCAGCAGCAAATTCTGCGAGTGAAACGTCAAGCCGAAGCCAATGACAGGGTGGTCAGCTCACGACCCTGGAAACACGATTCAGTGCCGACATGTGTCCGAACGCTGCTACGAGTAGGGACTCTCGACTTTGCGTCTTGGTTATGTCATGCCGGGCTTCGAAATAGCAGCGCGGTCGAGGTACGGGACACTTTGGTTTCATGCGAATACTGTAGGCGACACTTGCATAGTTTAACTCTCGGTATTGCCAACCCAATTTGGATCGTCGACTTCTCTTACCTTGGGCCGTTTTATGTCGATAGATTTTCCCAGCAAGACGTGTGTCTTTCTCGCTTCCACCTGTACATCTCTCTCTTTTCTCGTGAAAAGAGGGTCTCTCATCACCACCTGCACAGTTGCTGGTTGATTTAGCCAAGACTCTTATCGCCGAAAAGAAAAAAAAAGCCAACGTTGACGTTGAAGATGCTTTACGTTTGAAAATCGTGTGCTTTTGAACTTCCCCCTTTTCAAGGCTATGGAATACGCGAACTTAGGTCACACTATGAGTCACAGTGCTCTCGCCATCTCATCCATCTACGCGACCCTTTATTCTACCACGAAATGTATTGGTTGACCCCACCAAAGAATTTAGAAGGTGGAATGACCGCTGTAACACCGTTCCATTTCATTGTCTGGGCTTGCTCTCGGAGAGAACCAATCGAATAAGCAAATGTGGTATTGGCTGCCGTGTTTGTATCGATTACGGTGGCCAACGATCTACTGGGATGGTCTACAAAAGTGCATAAGAAGGTAACAACGTCTAAGCCGTAATCGGCATGATCATGACGTGTATTAAATTGATGTGATTTTTTTTTTCCCAGGTTCGTTGCTGTTGTGATGACCGCCCCTTGCATGGTCCGCAAGCAGAAATGAGAAAAAAGGTTGCGATCAATTCAATATCCACGTGATCATGAAATGTATTCGAAACATTGGTGTCCGGATATGTCGCTCATAAGAGGGATTGTATGGACTGAGGGGGAAAACTCGGGCGTCTTTACCAGGTGGAGCGACGCTGGTGAACGATCCCATTTCTTACACGTAATGGTGAGCGCACAGCCAGGTTGAATCCTTATCCTCCGTTCAGGACGTTGCGGGGATGCCGGACCACGAATGCGTTTCATGTTTTCTCGCTCGCGAGTTGATCCTTGGATGTGAGGTTTCACATCTGTTCAAGCTGTCGCCTCGAGTGTATTCAGGTATGGAATTAATCATAGTAACCAACGAAATACACTTGAATACTGTCCCCCCATCGTCGCGCTTGATTTGCCAACGGAGTTGACAATGCAAGCGCAAAAATTCACCTGTAGCTGAAACGTGAAGTCAAACGCGCGCTGTGCATAGCAAATCGATGTTTGTCTGCTTGGCGAAGCACCTTCGGTGGAGGAGGATGGCTTGCGTCCGAACGAGGTGTTAGGGAGCGACGCAAAGCGTTGGCCTTGTTCCGCGAATAATGACAAAGGGAGGTCATGGCATGCTTATCCGGCCATATATTGGTTGCTAAGGCAGCCAAATGCATGCTGACCCTTGATCACAGAGGGAGAGAAAGTTGATTGATCATCATGGCCCAAGAGTGCCCGATCGGTCGCTGGCCGGAGGTGACATCGGAACGGTCGGGACAGCCACAGCAACGGGGCGGAGGCAAGGGCAAGTGCACGGCAAGACGAGAGGACGGTCTAGGTCGACGATAGAAAAGTCTGCCATGACTTTGGACGGAACGAGCACTGAGCGAGCCGAAAATGCTGGTGCTAAGATCAGACGAATTGAGGTCGGGCGCGTCACGTTAGCGCGCTCTCAATTTTTGTCGCAACAGGGGTCCAGATACGGATGTTGCCGCTGCGCACTAAAGGCACGCCCCCCAGGCACGGATCGAGCCCGCATCTGCCTGCAACGTCAAGTATCGCGGTGAGCAGCGCAGCTTGCCTGAACGCTGAACCACAACGGCTCGTACAACTTGGTCGGGCGAGCACCGCTATTCAGCCCGCTGCCCGTCGCCTTGGGCCCAATGATCACGGGGGTCCAGGGCCGGCTGGACGTGGAATGCCTCCTGCAGTGTGGGGGCAGAGCGAGCGACTGCGAGGGAACAGCGTGCTTGCCTGGGGACGGCTTTGAACGAGCCAAATCAACTCGGAACGGTTGCGGAAGAGAATGGGGGTATCAAAGCCGGTCAAAAAGTCAACTCCAATCCTCAGCCAACCACGTAAATCACGATCATTGCTGTGCCCTACGGAGGTGAGACAAGTCCGCCGGCGACAGGGCGGGAAAAAAAAAAGGTTGGAACCGCAGCTGGGTTCGGCGAAAGGAAAGTTGCTTAGACTTAGCGCTGCGTCGAGCGCGTATTGCTGTAATTATCGTCGATGAAGTGCCAGTGTGGCACTGACCAGTGATGATGGTCCAGCGCTCGTGTAAGCCGAGACGACCAGATCCCGAATACAGAGCGCAGGCGGCGCGAGAAGCGTCCAGGTCGCCGGCAGACAGGCTCTGCTCGCGCGCTGGTTTGCACGCCAGCAATCTGGCCGGCAGGACGCGATGGACGACGCATCCTCGGTGCATGAGGTGATGATTCGTGCTGATCATATGTTGTCGTTCCAGATTGGCCAACGAGCGGCCGCCCGTCAAAAGACTTGCTGGGCGGTCCGCTGGGTCCAAGCTTGGCCCTGCGTGCTTGTATCTGAGTAGTTTCCCTTCCTTGGCCAGCCCATTCCTTCGTCCCAACTATACACGTCGCCCTCCTGCCCGTCGTCTCGTCTTGTCGTTACTTTCCGCATCGTGACGCCCGAACCGCGCGACAGACGCTCTCTTACCGCTCGTTTCCCATCATACTCGGACGGAATCGCGGGCGACGCATCGTTCTGGGGCCAGATGCTTGCGTAGCTGGTCGTGATATTGCCTCTCCGTCCGAGTGTTGCCCCCCCGTAATCGAGTCTTTGGCCCACCACAGGCATCCGTCCGCGCAGTAAATGCAACCGTCCTCTGCTGCGATCGCGAAGTTTCTGTTTGGACACCGCGCAACCTTAGATGGGTGAATCGGAGAATGAGGTCGGACAAGCGGCAAAGACATCTGCGTTCCAGGCGATAAACGGCAAAAGTATGGGCGGCGACGTCGATGCCGCGAGCCGCAGCAGCGCTGCAACTTCACGCGAAGCGAGTCGCGGCCTGACCGTCGAAGAGAGTGGCAGTCTCAATGGCAGGCCGCACTCCAAGTCCACGCTGTCGCGACTCGCCTCGCCCAACCCGTCCACCGCCGGCCGCACACCCGCAAACGAAGACTCCGCACAGTCTGGCGCCGTGACCAGGCGAGCCTCGACGTCGTCCCAAGTCTCGTCCCCACAACCGCTCGCCCCTTCGTACAGCACGCGGTCGCGAAAGCGACCTGGCGCCGCGCGGCCAAACTACGCCGAGGATGCGGAGGCGGAGATGGACTTTGAGATGCAACAGCAACAGCCACGGCAGAACGGCTCTGCTTCGCGGCGGGACTCGTCGTCAGAGGCGGAGGAGACCGGCATGAACATCGCGGAAGCGGTCACGCAACAGCTCAAATACGAGGCGCACGAAAAGAAGAAGCACGATAGAAATGCGAAGCGCGGCCCACGTGCCGCAACAAAGGACGCGAAAGTCAACGGGTGGAACGCAGTCAACAACGGCGAGTCGACGCCCGCGGCGGACTCGTCTTCGGTGTCTGCTGGTAATCTCTCGACTTTGCCACGCAAGCGCAAGGCCGCTGCTGTGGCCACGCAAAACATCGCCGCCAGCTCACAGTCTACTCCGCAAAGCGCTATCAACGGCAAAAAGAACGCAACGCCCGCAACAAAGTCATCTGAGCGCGAAACCAATATGGTATTTTTTGAGAAGTGCAATTCGCGTCTCAACAAGGACGGCCACCTTGTGTCGGACGACGGCGTTGTGTATGCACCAAATGGTAAGCTTTTGTCGCTCCCGCCTCGATCTCCACTATGCTTGTCTGGCCTGCCTTCTCTCATAATTCAGCTTGCTGACAATCTCTCAGATCACGTGTATCTCATTTGTGAGCCTCCTGGTGAACCATACTACCTTGGACGGATTATGGAGTTTCGCACCAAGGTTCCGGACGATCCTTCGACGCCTGTCGAGTACCTGCGAATCAATTGGGCATATCGGCCTCGTGATGTTCAGCGCTTCGTGAACGACTCACGTCTCGTATACGTGACAATGCATTCTGATCTATGCCCGCTGTCGTCGCTACGTGGAAAATGTCAAGTACGGCACCGTGCCGAAATCGACGACCTCGATGAGTATCGAAAGCAGCCTGATTCGTTTTGGTTCAATCAGTGTTTCGATCGGTTCATCCACAGGTGGTATGAGGTTATACCTACCTCCCAAGTCGTGAACGTTCCTCAAAATGTCAAAAAAGCCCTGGACGAGCGATGGGACTATATCGTGGTGGAAGCCAGTCGAGTCAAAGAGCTCACTAGCGCGGTAAAGAGCTGCACTCGATGCTCCGGCTATTGTGCGAAGTAAGTCTGTTCTGTACAACAATGCGACAAATTCTAACCTCATTGGCAGCGACGATTCGGTCGATTGCGCTCTATGCAAAAAAACGTATCACTTGCAATGTGTTCGACCCCCACTGGCGAAGAAGCCGTCACGTGGTTTTGCTTGGGCTTGCGCCATCTGCAGTAGAGACCAAGAGCGCAAGCTCGAGGCGCGCAGGACCCCACTCATCGATGGGACGACTGATGTTGATGAGGAGGAAATCGTCGAGGAGGAAGAAGAGCACCCGGTGGAAGACGAAGATCCCGCAGAAGTAAAGCCAGCAGACGACAAAGTTGAAGATGTCGCTCCGGAAGCCGAGATAGCACATGCGAAGATGTGGCCTATGCGTTACCTAGGCATCCACTGCCGGGTTGAAGATGTCCTTCAGTACGAAGACAGGGCCATTTATCCACGTGCGAGCTCACGGCTCGGACCAAAGCATCAGGCCAACGTGCCGGAGTGGTATGGGCGACCAGTCCAGCTTGTGAAGCCGACAGAGATCAAGAGAAAATACGTCAAGAGCGGAAGCAATAAGAAGGACACGAAACTCACAAAAGAAACCCAGCAAGCCATCGAGGCGGATCGCGCAGCGAAAGCCAAAAGAGCGAAGTACATTGAGGACGAGCCAATAGGATATGTGGCTCGGGGTGAGGATTTCCCGAACGACGACAAGGCAAACTGTACTGCTCAGCTTTTGTTCCGACTGCCTGCTGTAGGCGAACATTCTTCCCGTGGCCTGGATGATGCGACAATTCCCCCAGAGGAGGTTGTAGACGCCTACATGGAAAGAACGCGCGAGGCTGCAGCGCAAATAGGTGTAGAGCCTACCTCAACTGATTTCTTAGATCGTGCAGTTGCTCTTTTACAGAAACACGACTTCAATCCGGACGCTGCGTTGAAAGAACTCAAGAAAACGAAGGCCGTGGGTTCGTGGCCAAACTCACGTTGGGGTTGGGGTACACGCGATGGCTTACGAGACCCCAGCAAGACGTTGACGGAGGACGAGAAGAAGCGATTTGCAGACGGAGTACGGAGATACGGCTCTGAATTGCGCCTCGTGCGGCAGCATGTGAGGACGATATCGCACGCAGACACTGTTCGTTATTGGTACTGGTGGAAAAAGCAGCCACAAGGCCGCAGGATTTGGGGCTCGTACGACGGACGGAAGAACGCGTCGAAAAAGAAAGCGGCTGCAGTTGAAGCATCGACGAAGCTTCTGGACGACATTGCAGACGATCAGGACGACTCCGCATTTGACAATCAAAAGGTTTATGATCTTAACAAGCGCATGCAATGCAAGTTCTGCAATACGAAGCGATCTCGGTTCTGGCGACGAGCCCCAAACACCAACCCCGGCGAAACAGTACTGGGCGACCAGCGAAGCAAAGAAAAGAATACACATTACAATGTTGCTTTGTGCCAACGTTGTGCTCGCCTCTGGCGCAAATATGCTATTCGATGGGAAGATCAAGACGAAACTGCGAAGAAGATATCACAAGGTGGAGGGCGAGCCTGGAAACGCCGCGTCGACGAGGAACTTATCAAAGAGTGGGCCATTGCGGCTGAAACAGCAGATCTTCCGCCTATCGAACCGGAGGATATGCCGGGTGTAATACCTCACCGACACATGGACGTGGACGAGCCGGCACGAAAGAAGATGAAAGGTTCTGAAGGAGCTATTCCAACTCCGGCGGTTGTCGTTGAGAAGGAAAAGAAGAAGACGCCTACGGCATCAGCACCACCTCCTCCGCCTAAAGAACCAACGCCGCCACCGGTGCCGAATCCACCGAAGATGCGTGTATTCCCTTGCGCCGTTTGCGATGCCTACGAGACCCCCTCGGATCCAGTACTAGTATGCAGAGACTGTCGTCTCACTGTGCACCGCGGTTGCTATGGAGTCTCTGAACACAAGAACGGCCAGAAGTGGAGCTGCGACCCGTGCTCGAACGATCGTAGAGAAATTGCGGCCATGAATTCGGCTGACCCCGCCGCATACGTAAGTTGCTTAGTTTACACATAAAAGCCAGACTCGCGAACTAATTCTCAACCAGCGGTACGAATGCGTATTGTGCCCGATCAGGGTCACTGAAACTTCGATGATCGAGCCTCCAAGGATATCGCACAAGAAAAAGACAGAACGTGACCGTGAGAGAGAGCGGCTGGAGAAAGAGCTTGCCGACGAGTTTGCAAGGAACTACCGCAAACAGCAAATCGAACGAGGCAGGCCAGTCGTTCCTCGGGAGGCTCTCAAACGCACAGCAGACAATAAGTGGGTGCATGTCACCTGCGCACTGTGGACGCCGGAGGTGAAATTTAGCAACGCAGCTGCCCTTGAAGTTGCAGAAGGTATCCCACTGATCCCACGGGCGAGGAGAGAGCAGGTCTGTAAACTGTGCAAGACCAACATCGGTGCTTGTGTGGCTTGTCACCACTGCCATGCTAGCTTCCATATTGCGTGCGCATACAAGGCCAATTATATCTTCGGCTTCGATGTCAACCCTGTCAAAGGCTCCAGGAGAGACGGCGTCCAAATTGTCAAGCTGGGCGAAGAAACTGGTACATTGACGGCCGCTATTTGGTGCAAGGAGCACTCCTCCAGTGCGATAAAGACAATCATACACTATCTTAATGAGGTAGTCGATGAAAGTGGGAAGCTCGCTCTCCAGTTATTTGCAGAGACATACAAGCAGGCGGACTTGACGCTTACGGGCACTGCGCGGAAAGCAAATTATCTGGATGAGATCACGAAGACCTCCGCGCCGGTGGCATCGACTGGGTCGAATAGACGCATTTCCACAGCACCGGCTCCTGGCATGAGAAGTGCTAGGAACTCGATTGCTGGTCCGATCAAAGACACAGAGATACAAGATGGGGACGTTCGAATGACAAGCCCTGAAGGCGAGCTGCCTGAACGTCGCTGTGCTGTCTGCAAAATCGATGTATCTCCCAGGTGGTGGCCACATGAACCTGTCAAGCCAGCTGTTCATGCCCCAGCTGTTCAGCCACCTAATGCAGCTCAGCCGAACGGGCTTGGGATCAACGGCATCCATTCAGATGGACCTGCTCGTGACGCGTCTCGAATGGAGATCGATGGTTCACAGCTACCAAATGGGCATGGACCTCTGCTTGCGGGTCAGTCTCTTATCAACGGCACAGGTCCAGAGAAGGCGTCGACGGTCGAGGTACAATACGATTGTAACAAATGCCACTGGAGGCGCAAGTACGACCCAGAGAATTTATACAAGCCAAAAGAGCCCGAGCAGAAACTGATTTACGAGCCAATCCGCTCGCCACCTCGGCCTCCGCTCTACCCAGGGCATCCACCGCCAGTTCCCGCACATCCGCATCATGGATGGCCGCATTTCGGTAATGGTCCATCTGCAGGATCACCGCCTGCGCCGATACATCATTTGCCACCCCATCACGGCACTTATCATCCTGTTCATGCTGCTCCCGGATCAGGATTCGGTATCGGCCAACCACCTCCGCTACGGCAGTATCCTCCTCCTGCTTCAAGCTCACATCAAGGGCCAGCGCCTTTGCATGTCATCCAGCAAGTTATCCCGAATGGACTACCTTCTCCACGCGGGCCACCAGTGCGCTCGCCAACGCATCCCCCACCTTTGAGTGGTCCGCCAATGCACAGACAGGCAGAGAGCCCTTTTAACGGACCGACTCCGACAGGCCCCTATGCTTCACAGTTTCGCCATCATGGTAGTCCGGTGCCAACAGGGGTCGCACAGCCACCGCAGAATGGACCACGGCCTTCCACCCCGCGCGATGTACCGCCAAGCTCGTCAACATCACGTCTTCCGCACGGGGCGAGTGCGAGCCCAAACGTGCGCAATATTCTTAACGATTAAAGGCCAAAAAGGCTCTATTCACAACCTTTTGTGGATTCGCTATCATACATACTCTCTCTTTTCTATCCCCTTGTAGACTGATACACAAAAGTCTGAATTTTGTCTCGTTTGTTCAATACCCGGCTTCTGCGGTGTACGTAGTAAAAATCATGGCTGGTGGGAATGGAGTGTCTGAGCAAGCATCGTTTCTCATCTGCGATGTGCAAAGTACACCACGCAAGGCGGCGCACTGAGGGCCATTTCCTTGTGAGTGCGATTTGCGCAAGCAGACCCCTCGTATGGTGTAACTTTGATCAGAGCCTGGTCAAGGGTCGTCCACAAAACGGCACTGCAGAAACTTTCGTGCATTTAGTTTCCGGGCATTGTTGCATGGGGTTATTAGCAGATGGAGTACGGAGGTAGAGGCAGCTTTATGGAGTGGCGCTGTGATAGCGGATGATGTATGTGTATCACTAGACATTCAATTACGAAAGACCAAGATGTTCTGCTGAGCTCCCCTTTTCTTCTTTCTTTCTTTCTTTTCTTCCCCATTTTCTGTTTTGAATATTTTACTCAATCTACACTGCTCGCTCCAGAGGCGGCCAAAAGCTAAAGGCTTTCAAGCCCTCGTTGGAGCTTCCTCTGACGAAGGCCTGTGGCGTTCAAACTGTTGGGAAGCAAAACGCACCATATGAAGAGGTTAAACAACTACAGAATCGCACACGCAATACGTGTTACCGGCTTTTTGCGGATCAAGGTTGCGAGTGTCAAGAACCGATGGTCGGTTGATGCAGACCTTTGAATCGAGGTGGGGCTGACATCATTGGGCCGCCAGCGCGTTGATTGGCTGCCACGAGCTGCAAGTCGCGTCGAGGTTTGGCGACCTTTGCTCATCTCGTGCCGGACGAGAAAACAAGCACGACTTCTTACAGCATAGCAATTGCTGCCTCTAACCCCCTCAATTAAGACATACGAGCTTCGCCTGCAGCTTAGCGGCGTCGTGTCGGGCCGGATTTTTTCGAGCAACCTTTTCTTTTTCCACTGTCTTTCTCTCCATGTTCTATCGCGTCCAGAGCGCGTCTCAAGCCCGATAGCGAGTCCGTTTTGTCGGCGAAAGGGCGACAATGTATCTCCCTCGAAGCCTCATCTCGCTCTTGTACACGCACCTGATAAACAAACACCATGCGTTGTCGCCGCCTGTCTTGCTGCTCGTCTCGCTGGATCCGGACGCGTTATGCGCCTGCCGAATCTTGACGGCTCTGTTCAAGCGGGACTATATTCCGCACAAAATCCAGCCGATCTCTGGCTATGGCGACCTTGCCCGGGCAGGTGAGGAGCTTGTCCGGCCCATGCGTACAACGGATGGAGGAAGCGGAGGTGTAGTGGTCTGCCTGGGCGTAGGTGGATTAGTGGATCTGGAAGCTATGCTTGGACTTGAGGTCGATGAAGATGGCCAGGGAGGTATGGGTGATGTCGAAGTTTGGGTCATTGATTCGCGAAGACCATGGAACCTGAGCAATGTGTTCGGTGTGCAGAGCTTAGGCTCTCCGGCGGCGGACGGCCAGGTTGTACCGCACGTTGAGGGGGTGCAACAGGGCAGGATCACCGAGAAGTATACACCAGGGAAAGGAGGGATCGTCGTTTTCGACGACGGCGATATCGAAGATGAGCTCGGCGCAGAGAGAGAGGCGTACTGCGCGCTGGCGGAGATGCCTGAGCTTGGCGAGGAGGATCTGGACGACTCGGATGTCAACGAGGTTGCAGAATCCGAGGCAGATGAGGAGAGGATTCCGGATTCTGCGCAGCCAGGGCAAAAGAGGAAGTCCCCTTCGGCTGAGGACAACGATTCGGAGAGTGAGGCAGATGAAGGGACGCCACGGAAACGAAGGAGGAGTAACTCGGTACGGTAAATGACCCAACTAGCTATATTGCAGCTGACAAAGCTCTTAGAACTCCTCAATAGATACAACGCCCGAACGGCCGGCTCGACGTGGATTGATGATCACATCACACCAACGATCAGATCCAGATCCTCTCGTTCGCTCGGATTCACCCTCGTCTGTGGCTCCAGCGCCATCTAGAGATCAGCAACCCTCTGCGCGAAAGTTAAGAAGACAACTGTTGAAGTTGCGTAGAAAGCACGACGCGGTCATCAACGCGTATCAAAACCTTGGAACGTCGTATTCGGAACCGATCTCGTCGCTTATGTACAGTCTGGCATCGGAGCTTGGACGTGAAGATAACGACTTGCTGTGGCAGGCCATTGTCGGAGTCAGCAGCCTCGAATTGGCCGGGAAAACGAACAACGGTGTTGGCCTGGCACCAGTTTCGACGTCAGGAACAACATCGAGCTGGACGCGTGACCGAGGCGAGCGTATACGATCCGTATTACGCGACGAAGTGCGAAGATTGAACCCCACGGATCTCAAAGACATTGCACGCGTCGAGAGCATGGGCGACGCGAACGGCATCATCCAAACGCATGCACGGAGCCCGAATGATAATTCAATCCGGCTCTCTCCAGAACCCCGACTTCTCCTAGTACGGCATTGGAGTCTGTACGACAGCATGAAGCATTCGCCATTCTTGGGCACAAAACTGCATATCTGGAGCGAGGCAGGCAGAAAACGCTTGGATAAGCTATTGGCGAAGATGGGCATCAGCTTGACGCAGGGCAAGCAGAATTACACGCACATGGACATGGAGCTCAAGAGGGGGCTCCGGGAACGGCTTCTAAAGTATGCCCCAATGTACGGACTGGATGGTTTGGTCCCGCCACAAGTGAGTCGTGGCGTGGGAGGCAAAGAAGGCTGGGGTTTCGTACGTTGCTGGGGTTGGAAAGCTTGTCTCAGCGCACTTGATGTTGGTGTCATTATCGGTGCCATTCTCGAAGTCGGCGACATGGACGATAAGCTTAAAGCCGCTCTTGACATGCCACCACCAGTTTCCCGTCACAACTCTGGCAGAGAGACGCCTCGAACTCAGGAGGAAACACCTGTTCAGGAAGAGGTGCAGACGATGGATGAGAAGCGGGAAGACGCAATTACCAAGCGATTCTGGACAGCGTACGACGCACTGGACAAAGTCTCCATCTTGACCGAACACATCCCTACTGCACAGCATTTGCACAGAGCAATCTTGCGAACAGGATCTTCTCTCCTCGAAAAGAGGCAAATTCGTCATCTGCGAGCGTTCCGTATCGGCGTTGTCAAGGAAGGCCCAGACGTGCAGCTTTTTACTCACCCAGGCGCACTTATCAAACTCGCTTTGTGGGTAGCAGAAGCCATCACAGAAATGGAAGGCTCAAAGGGCCGAAAGGGCGGTGAGCTTGTCATGGCAGGCTTGGATGAGGCCCGCGGCGTGTATGTCGTCGTTGGTCTCGGCGGAGGGGCTGATGTGGTCAAACAAAGAGAGATTCAACAACGACGTGAAGAAAAACGCAAGGAAAAGGAGAGGAAACGCGAAGAGCGCAAAGCTGAAAAGGAACGGAAGAAGAGGCTGAAGCGAGAACGATATGAGGCCAATGGTCTGGAGTGGGACTCTGACCTCGAAGAGGAGGATGATACTGAAGATGAAGACAGCGAATCTGAGAGCGAAGATGAGCTTGATTACGAGGAGACTGCAAACAAGGGCAAGGGCCTTAATAGGTTCGGCATTGCTTTCAGCGAGGCAGTGGATGAGACAGGCGCGAGAGTGAGACAGGATAGCTTCGAGCATTGCGTCGTGGAAGTCAAGAAGGAGGATCTGAGTAGTTTTCTGGAGGCACTTAGCCTGAAAGCCGTGGTAGGATAAATAACTGCGAACTCCGCGTGGACGACGCTGCGCGACGTGATCACGACAGTGAATTGGGGCTGGTTTGTCTCTGGGCTTTTTTTTTTTTTTTTTTTTTTTTTGGAATACGGGGAACCACTTCACGATATGCACAAACAGCTCGCTCGCATTAACATCGGCATAGCTATGGCGTTTTAGAGACCCAAATCCAAGACATACTATTTTACGACAACGCTTTTAAGCGACGCGGTTAAGCACTTTTTTTAAAGATTCAATATTTCACATTACACGACACCTTCCTGTTTGTTCCTCTCCCGGTGAGCATTATACGCATTTACCATCTCTTTAGGCCATAGCAGCCGCTTCAGTCCAAACCAGGGGGTGTTGACTGGAGAAGGGCCGGTGTAAACCAATAAGTCATACAGGAACGCTCCAAAAAAACATCCGCAAAACGGCGCTACCATGGGGATCCAGAAATAGTAGCCACCGGCGCTCCACACCTCGTGACCGTATCCCACAATGTAGCTGAAGAGACGAGGGCCAAAGTCTCGCGCCAGGTTTATGGCATAGCCGGTTTCCCAGCCGAAGCAAGCGCCTAGTCCAAAGATGAGGAAAAAGAGCGCGAGCGGAAACCAGTTCCCTCCGCCCTTGGACACGCCGTTGTTGGTGTCGTCCTTGAGGGCGAGAATGACGAGCATGAGGATGCTGCTCGCGATGAACTCGGAGAAGAACATGCTCGTTTTGGTCATGAACGAGGCAGGGTAGGTGCAGAATATGCCCGCCGTTGCGTTCGGGCTGGGCGGCACCGTTCTGACGCCGTGGCCTTCGAAGGCGTTGATGGCGTTGATGTAATTTGCATACACGATGCCAGCGGCGACGAAGCCGCCGAGGAACTGCGCGACGAAGTACACGGGAAACCTCCGCCAGGGCAGGCCTCTGAAGTAGCAGTTGGCGAAGGTGACGGCGGGGTTGAGGTAGGCACCTGAGTCGCCAGCGACGTAGATGCCGAGCATGACCTATGGAGACATCTCTTGTGTTAGGACGCAGGCTGGGAGCAGATTTCCAAGGCAGAAACTCACACCGAGGCCCCAGCCCCACGAGATGGATTGGTAGCTGCCGAACCCGTCGCCGCCTGGTGCGCTCGTCGAGCCGGTGCTGAGAAGGACCTGCGCCACGCTTCCGTTGCCGAAGAGGACGAGGATCATGACGCCGAGGAACTCCGCAAAGGGCTCTCGGAGGGCGAGGCGGATTCTGCTCCATAGATAATCCTGGTGCGGCGCGGTGTCGTGCGTCTCGTCAATCGGTGCCAACGGATGGAGGCCCAAAGCACTTCGCAAGCCCGTCATGCGATGCGAGGTTTTCGCGGTCTCAAGGCGGCGGGCGGCCGCCGATCCACTGCTATGGGCCGTTGGCAGCGCCGCGAGGTTGTCCGGGTCTGATCTGGTCCATTGACTCGGGCTGTCCTTGCTGAACACTTCCGTTGTGCCCATGTTGGGCCACTCTCCCACGTTCTCTGGAAGGGTATCCCGGACACGATCGTGGTTCGACGACGGACTGCGTTCTTCCGCCATCCTTTCCGTCCCAGTAGCGTCTCGAACTGAAAAGAAAAAAAAATCTGAAAAGGAGTTCTTTCTAAGAATTAATGTAGGGCAAGTACTGCAGGGATGACTAAACGCGTCTGACGGCCACTCACAGCGGACGACGGCACATTTCCGACCACGCAGAGGGGGTAGAGGAAGAAGAGAACGAGCATGGCACAGGCAATAGACCGGGCTCTCCCCATGGTTTATAACAGAAGAAAACCCCCTTCGCACAGAGAAAGTATGCTCCAGCCTCTGCGAACTATGACGTTGTTACAACCCGATGATGACTTTCGGACATGGGCTCGTACGCGATGTGGAGGTGGCTTGTGGTTTGATCGTGGATTGCGTCAAAGCTATGCTTTTCGTTGCCCCGACGCTTTACACCTATCGACGTCCGGCAGTTCAATCGCCAATCAGAGACGAGAAACTGGATCAAAAAAAAAGGGGCGGATGTACGGTCCAGAACGGTTTTCCCTTTTAAAAAAAATATTCAATAAAAAAAAAACCGAAAACGGTCGCCCAAGTTTTTGAGAAGTTTAGTTTTTCTGCAACGGTTCAGCGCCGAGTGAAGATCTACCAGACCGAAACCAGAGCAAGATCGTCGGCCAAGACAGTCGAACACGGTGGAGAACAACCTCCAGCGCTTCCTTTTTTGGTTGCTCGTCCTGTTCGGCGGTCGATCGAGTACCCGCCAAAAGGGATGGAAATGGCAAAGGCGGCGTACGCTTGTGCTCCTCGCCAAAGGTAAGACGGCCCGAATGCAACAAGTTTCTTCGATTTCTTAAAAAGGTTTGAGGTAGACCAAGAAGGCAAAAAGAGGCCCGTGAGTGTCTCACCGGCGAGTGGATTACACACATTACAATATTATCCTGGTTTGTCCGCTATTCTTCCGACCGTTATCCCAATCCCAATCCCAGTAATTGGTATCATATACCCATGTGAAAGCCCTCTCTTCGATGCGCCCAAGCTTAGATTGCATGCGATTTTGAACTTCGGCTGTGCCAGGTGATGAGAGAACACTTGCTACGTTACAGGCCCGAATCGATCTGGTCGGGAACGTTGCCAGCTGCCTCCCATGCCGCCCAGTCGACACATGTTTGTTCGAGGGCGGAAGGCACCTGGTACGTGATCGCATCGGGCCTTTCCAAAATGTTGACATAGAGCCCAGCGCTCACGTGCCAGGCGATGTGGCAGTGCAACGGCCACAGACCTGGATTATCCATCTTGAACTGTATCACCGCATAGCCGTTGCCATCGCTCGTTGCCCCTGGCAGGTAATGGACATCTCGAGCCTGCGTATCCGAGGGGTTGACGATAGTGCCGTCCCATGTCCCGACTCCGTCCGCGAGGACGTTGAAATCGTGACCGTGAAGATGCTTCAAAACAGTTAGATCAAGCGAATCTCGCGTGAGGCGACAGGCGTCAAACTTACCATGGGATGCGGGAACGCAAATGTGTTCTCGAAGATGATGCGGATAGAGCTCTTGGACGAATCAAACGTATACACGTTCCAATCAGACTCGAATGTTGTGTTGCCGCCGATAATCTGGTCGAGTAGATTGACGTTGTAGTCCGCGTGGAATGTCGAGTTATTCATGAACCACACAAAGTTTGTGCCATTGGATGCGAACTCCATAGTGATAGTCTGGGTGAAAACATCCGCATCATCATCAAGCGCGATCGGGCACAAAGCTCGCGTCAAGCTCAGATCGTCATTTTGGCACCTCAAAAGCTGGTCGCTGGTGGCATCGCTCGTGGACGTCGGTTCCGAATCGGTGTCTGCGCCGTCGTAGTAGACAGCAGCAACGCCTTCGGTGACGACACCGGACGTGAGAGCACATCCAGTTCCCGCCAATGCATTGCCGCCGGTAGCACGCATCCAGTATGAATCCCCGGCACTACCGGTTGCCTCAACCTTCGTCATGGTTAGCTATCGTATACCTTGTCTACCAGGAAAGAAACATACAATAATGTCCGAACGCTGTCCGACGCCAACGGTCACGACATTCGTTGTGTAAGGGACGATCGGCACGAAGTCGTTCGCAATGACTGTCAGATTGTGGCCATCGATGTGGAACTTGAGAATGGCCTCGGCCGAAGGGTTGATAAGACGCATGCGGTACTTCTTGCCAGGAGTGAATTGGAACTTGGATATACCCGCGTTGGCAGTGCAGACAGCGGTGGTATTGTCACACGGGTAGTTCATCTTTCCGTTAATCAAAATGTTATCGGAAAGTGGTAGGCCACCGGCCATCGTAGTTTCAACTAGAGAGTAGTAGTCCGCGTGGTACCAATCATTGATGAAAACAGGCCCTAGATCCTCGTCGTAGCAAGCACCCGGGATCTGAGGACCGTGAACGACGACTGGCCCAAGAGCGCCACCAGCGTACTGAGAGCTATAGTGAGAATGATACCTAAACCAATTAGTTTAAAGATTACTCCAGCAATGCTATCTATCTGTCTCACCAGCTGGTCCCAATGTGGTCCGCACGGTAGGTGTATGTCACACTCTTGCCAGGGGCAATGGGACACTGTTGCACCGAAGGCACACCGTCGTAATATGGAGTTTCCTGCTGCAGAAACCCGTGCCAGTGCAACGAGGTTCCTTCACCTTGCTCTTGAGAATATTCGGGGAGGTCGTTTGTCACAGTGACTTGAATCCAATCGCCCCAGTTTGCCTCGATGAGCGGGCCAGGGAACTGATTGTTGACGACTAGGCCATTCTTCTGGACACCATCTGGCGCAATCGTGGCATAGGCTACTGTAAATTCATAGGTGCGCGTGACTCCCGTGTCCGGCATCTTGCTAGCACAGAACGCTGCCGTATTGTTTGCAGAGCAGCTTGGCGCCGAACTAGACGGCGATGCAGAGCTTGATGAGCTTGACGTGACCAAGCTGAACGAGGTTGTGCTCTTTGTGCCATTTGACGAGGCGCTGTAGGTAGGATATGCTGAGTACGCCGCAGAGGTGTAATGTACGCCAGAGACGTACGAAGAGGAGACAGCTGAAGTATAGTACGATCCAGAGCCCGACTTCGAGGACGAGGCTGAGTAGCCGCTTCCAAGGTACGAGGACAGTCGAGGGCAGTCGATCAGGCCCCACTGGGAGTCGCCGTTCGTTTCTTCTTGAGACAATCCGGGGGTAAGATCCTTCCCCACCTGTTGCCAAGCAGGGGACTTGTACTCGCTAGCAGAATATCCGCCCGATGGTTTCGGAGCCTTGGTCGGCAGCGGCGGAGGAGTCGATGCTCCGCTGCTTGGCTTTCCGGGCCAGTCGACATAATACGGGATAAAGTCGTTGGGGTTGTAAAATGGGCCGTTCGGATTCAAAGAACTCGGAGAAAAGGTAGGAAAGGTGACGCCAGGATAAGTGAAGTCCGAGGGAGGTGTGTACTGTTGAGTGACGGCTTCTACACTGTCCGTGGCAGCCCATGAGCCTTCCGCGGCACTTGTGGTCGCAGTGCTCGCCGCAGCGGCGTTGGCGACAGACGTCGTCTGTTCCCAGCCTTCGCCGACGGTGACGGTAGTGTACACCGTTGTCGTTGTCCTCACGCAAGTATCATCGTTTCCCGGAAATGGAACAGCACGAACTGATGAAAGAAATGAGAGACTGGAAAGTGCAAAAGCATAACGAGTGATCGCTGCCATACTATAACCAATGGCAGCCAACGAATGACTGTATTAGAAATGAAATAACGAATGACTGAGGTAGGAAATGAGAATGGAAGCATACAGCAAGGTTGGTCACGATCAGTATTTATTTCGATTCAGCATCAACCACCGTCTCCCAACTAATTCGAAGCCACCCGAAAGCGCCATGTTGAGTGTTGTCCCTGCCAAGAAGTTGAAGAGAAAAGAAGTATGTATTTTGCAGAGACGTTCATAGGAAATGGTCAGACAGAGTACGAAAATAGCTGCGTATGCACGAACAGGAGATCCACAGAAAGATGCGGCCAGGTGATCCCAGCCCAAGTGCAGATGTACCGTTGCTGGATTAAGCTTTAGCAAAGGAAAGCCGCGCAGCTTTGTTACCGCTTGTGGGGATGGCCGCGAGGAAGAAAGCTTACGTACGACTAGCATATCTGGTTCAGGTCTGGTGGTGTTGTTCGCTTGTTTCGACGCCACTGACGCGTCATCCAACGACAGGCGCTGTTCGCACCCGTAGACTACACGCGCCCGATACCTTCTGCAGTTTTAAGCCTCAATCCAGCGGCGGGTTCCTGCGTTAGAAATGAAAGTAAAAAGAGAACCAGAAGATCTGACTCCGCAGGCGCTTCCTGTGCAGAGTCCACGTCTTGCATCTAAGCCGTCATCACGACCCGTTAGTGACGCTAACACGAGGACGTGTTGAGGGTTGCATAGCTGCTCCTAATCAACTTCGACCCGCGTATTCGACGATTTGACTTAGAAGGGGCGAAAAGTCCACAGGCTACAGAAGCCATTTTCGTGGTGCTGACATGGTCTGTTCAACGCAGCGAACAGCATCTCACCCCGGCTCACAAACTGCCTGCAAAAAGACACTGTTAATCTCGAGCCAGTCAGCGACGTGGAGGTGCCCCTTGCATGAGTAATTGTGGCTCGTCGTTTCGATCCATCTGCGTGGGAAGTAAAAACCCCTGTGAGACGGGCCTAGTAGTTTTGAGTGGCGTCTGGTTGTACGACCTGTTTTTGGACCCCTTGATGAATTTTCACATAATCCCAACCTTGTATTCTTACCAATAATGTCATAGACTTGTGCTTTCCGCGAGGACAAGTCCAGTTGAGCCGGACGTGAGTCCGTGATCTGGGCTGACTCAGCTTTTGTCGAGGCCGCCACGAAAGGCCTCAGTAGTAGTAGTTCTAGCGTTTGATTCCCTTGCCTCAGATCGATGAGAAGACGGGTGTTGATCATTGATTGCACACTATTCAACTCCACACAATTCATAAAGGAGATCTAAGCTTATCAGAAAACCTCCCCTGAAACATACTCCATCCTGTGCAATCTTTTGATAGAGAGAGAGCAGCACGAAGAGTGCCCTGTAGTCAAAGCGAGTGCGATCAAGTACCGAGGGCGAGATTGATCTCCTGCATATTGTTTCAGGGGCACTTCTTGATCTGTTGTCTCACCCGAAAGATACGGTGACCTCCATCGGATTATTTGTCTTTGCCTCCGCACGATGAGATACTCTTCCGTCATGACTGGTTGCTGCTGTCGCGTGCTGTCGCGCGTGGCTTGGTGCCGAGAAAAAAAAATTGCGACGATGAAGCCAGCTAGCCAGCCATCTAAGACGCCTTCTGGGAATTCCGAGTACGCTAGACGTTTCCTAATCGTGCGCTAACGAGGCCGCGTAGTTGGCCGTAGATTCTTCAGCCATCAGATATGCCGTCAACCACGGTCACTGGATGTCTTTTCTAAAGGAGAGCTCGGCCGCGTTGAGCCTGTCGGTGTGGATTGCGGTGCCTGTGTGCGATCAATTAGTTGCTTATTGAAGCGAGAGAACCAGGACACTGCTCCCTGATGTGAAAATCGTCCTTCTGGACCGGAGCGAGTCAAGCATTTTGAAGCATCAACTTATCTCGTCGAGGGCAACAAGAATGGAAACGCCGGTGAGCTTTAAGGATCCCTGCGTGTGCCGCCTACGACGAGATCCTCCTAGTGCTCGCTTCGGGTGCAGCTCGGGAAAGAATAAAAAAAGAAGAAAAGAAAAAAAAAGATATCAAAACAATCAGTAGGTGTCAGGTTCATCAAGACGAGCACGTCGATTTGAAAATATCCCGAATTATTCCCAACTCCAAATTTATGACAACGCTAAGGGGAAGCACTAAGTACACATGATCACGAGTCCAGATGTGTGACATTCTGGTCCCTACAACTCATCCTTGACGTCCTCCTTCCATGGCTCATCAACGATCTCCTCAATCTCTTCAATAATGATCGGGCCGCCATCCGTCACAATTTTGGGGGCCGCGAGTGGCTCTTCAGAAGCTTCGGGGACAGGGACCTCTGACTTCGGTGTGGTGTAGTCTGCATCGCTGATCAAATGCTCCGGTAGCTTCTCTTTCCTGCCCTCATTCATCTTGATGGAATCGACCCAGTCGCTGAGTTCTGCCACTCCAAATGTTTCCCCTTCGTACCTGCGCACCCAAGACCTTTTCGCATTCGTGGCGATGATCTCTACAGCGTTTGCTTTCAGCGAAAGAGCCTCTCGGATTGAAGACGCCAGAGGATTTGCGTCTGAAACAGCGTAGAATGGGAAGATACCACGACCTGACAACCGATGGCGGATGTCGCTCAGATTTGAAATGGCTAATTCTGCAGAATTCGAAGTTCCATCCTCCTTCCCGTCTTCTCTCGGCACAAGGACAAGAACGCACGTCTTGGCTTTAGGGTTGAGACATTTTGTATGTAGCTCGGATTCCGTGTTGAGGTATTCAAGCGATCGGATAGGTTCTGCAGCTTCAACTGGCTTGGCAAAATCCGCGGTCGTGTCTGATGACGGCTTCGTCTCCTCTTCAAGGGTCTCTGAAGATGAGTCGACGGGCTCGGACGAAGTATCCTCGGAACGATCGGAAGCATATTGCTTGAAACCCTTTTCCGCCTTCTTATCCTTCTTAGGCTTGGACTTCTTAACTCCTTCTGGCGCCGGATCTGGGTTAGGTAATATGGAAGTGCTCTCTGTGATAAACTTGCTCATGGCTTCCTTTTTGAGATCTCCACTGTAGACGAGTGGTTCCTCTGAACCGGCTGGAACTACAACGAATGTGGGAAATTTGGTGATACCGTACTTGGCGACAGTGTCTTTCTCTTTGTCTCGTACCTGCGCTACCGATACACTACCAAGATAGTCGATTGCCAGTGATTTGAGCAAAGCGCTCGTTGTACCTTTGTCGCTGAATAGAATGGCTTTCGCCTTGCCATTGGCCTCCTTGAGCCACTCATCCATGGTCGTGTCCGTGACGCGCTTAACGTGGTTGGGAATCTTCTCAACGACTGCATCGACGATGGCCTTTGCGGTACGAGCTCCCTGGTAATCCTCGATGATGGGTCGTCCCGGCTTTTTGCCTGGTCGAACGATCTTCAAGGTTGGGAAACCCTGAACACCCATGCTACCGCAGAATGGCTTATTTGCATCGTCATCACAGTCGACCGCAGCAACTTTGGCCAGCCCTTTGAGGTTTTGTGCGGCCTTTTCATAAGCCGGCTGCAGATTTTTACAGTGCCCACACCACGGTGCATAGAATCTTGATGAGATCAATAAAGAGTGTCATGATCCAGCATCACTACGCACTTACTCAACGATCTATCCGGCGATTAATGAGCTGTCCGTCGAGTAGAACCGGGTCACTTACGGAGGTATAATTCGATTGTGCAATGAGCGTGTCATATGTTTTCCCCGTGATGGAGAGCACTGCTGAACTTTTTGGATATAGTCCAGCGTGAGCGGGCGTTGAGAAGATTGCAGCGGCTGCTGCAAGGGCAAGAGACGTAGATAGTGCCATGGTTTTCGAATCAGAGCTATTTTGAGATCATGACTGCCTTTGACGTTGGACTCACACAGGTATATATATGTATCACGAAGACTCCGTAGTTGCAAGTTGTCCAGATCGGAATGGCGCCGCATCAGCCTTGTCCAGGTTTGGCGCCATCTCCTGCGGGGATGCGAGCGGATCCAGGTGGCTGGAGCTCAGCACCGGAGAAGAAAACAAGAGCATATGAAGAGCAGCACGCCAGCACCTACTGGGGGCACCGATCCTATTTCACCGTAGCATAATCCCCCGTCTCCGAAAGCGAAACATACACAGCACAAGTTTTGCGCATCGACGATGGCTGCACCGCTCCCGGCGCCGTTCAAGAAGGCGGATATAGCACGCTTTGCGACCAAAGCGAAGGAACTGGAGAAGGTTAAGCCTGTAGTAGCATACTGGTGTACGTTCGGCTCTTAGGCATGCGGTCTCAGAAGCTCATTATGCGTAGGCAACTACTTCGTCGTCAATCAGATACTTAACAAAGGACTGCACACAGAGTCAAACGAATGTATGGCATACACTACAACGCTGATGGACAAGCTTGAGACGTTTAAGAACGAGAATGCGGACAACGACGCCGTCCATGACGACGTTGCGGCGCAGGCGTACATTGAACAGTTTGCACAGGACGTTTTCAACAGAGCGGATACAGCTATGATGTCGAACAAAGCCACAGCGTGAGTGCCATCATCACTGGTCCTGGAAGACATCCTGATGAGGATCAGACAAACCGCCCAAACCTTCCAAGCAGCGTCGACACTGCTCGACCTGTTAGCAATATGGCAAACGCCTCTCAGTCAAGAGATTGCTGTCAAATCGAAATACGCCAAATTCCATGCCTTGCGCATAGCAAAGGCTTTGCGCAGTGGTGAGGATCCGAACCTCTCCAACCCGACTCGAGAACCGCATACAGAGCCACCAGCCTTATCGCCGGACGACCCGGAGGTCCGGCGCATAAATGGGCTACAGCCAACAGTTGAGGATGTCCCAGACAGCTCGTTGCTACCATCGGCTTCGGATAATCCTCCAGCGGATGCGCTGTCGCCCACGACACACGTGCAGACGGCTCCCACCGCTGCTCCGCGACCAGAAGTTCCATCTGTGGGAGCTTCGGCCTCGGATGGATATTTTCCAATCATTCCCACATTCACCTCCGAGCAAGCTGCACCGAGTTTGCCTACAGCACCAGAAGACTCGGCGCCGAATGTGACCATGGTTTCACCGGGCTCGACATCCGCCCCCATGTCGTCGCCAGCTGCGAACTTCTACATTGCACAAGGTCGTCCAATCGAACCTTCAGTACCGGCAGAGTCCCCCGGCCAGCCTCAGGTGCAACCTGTAGCGCCATCGCAATACCACATGCCTACGCCTACCGCGCCGCATCAATTCATCTCCCCACCGCAGCAAACCACGCTGTCAGCGCCTTCGCTTGCACCACAACCTTCTATACAGGCGCAGCAGCCAGCACTGACGCAGCTGCCGCAGACAATGCCGGGACAGTATAATCGGGATGATGAATCTATAATGCAAGCGCAGAAGCATGCCAAATGGGCCATTTCGGCGTTGAATTTCGAGGACGTGGATACCGCGGTCAAGGAGTTGAGAATCGCATTAAGAGCATTGGGTGCGTGATCAAAAAGAAGATGATAAAGAAGGAAAAAAGAAGGAAAAGGTTCCACAAACAAGCAAAATTTGAGGAGCAAACGAGAAACGCCCTTCGACTCTATGCAAACATATAGATATCCGTGAAAGACGAAAGATACCCCCCCCAAGCTGTCCGTGTATATCAACAATGTCATCCCAACGCATTTCCTCGCTCAGTTACGAGTTCGACGGAAACATTCTGCGCCCGTAAATCAAGCCCGTCTTTATTTTGCCCATTTGAAAAAAGTCGTATGCAGTCAAAGAGAATCGCCTGCATCGAGGGTGTGCTCGACTATCACGTCAATCGAATGAGATTCGTGATGTTTCGAAGGTAAGAAAAAGAGATCCACTGTAAACGCCGCCCTTGCAAGGTAATTTTTTTAGGGGAAAAAATTATCAGTATATCATTTCACAGACTCCACGCGAAGATGTAATTGCGTGACGTTAGTACGAGAAGTTGCCTCCTGGAGGAAGAAACGTCGTCCAAAAATAGTTGTCGGCGTCAGGGGTGAAGTGAGAAGTAGTAGTAGTACTTGAGCCTTCATACGCGTATGGGCTTTCCGTAGGGATCGAAGGTTGGAATGACGGGCCATACACTGGAGCTTGAGGCGAAACGTGACCGCTGGTGGTACTCCAGGCACTGTGTTCAGCGACGGCCGGCAGAGATGTTAGAGCTGGGCAATAAGTCTTAGTGTATACATTCAGGGTGTTTAACGAGACACACTTACGCTGCACGGGAAACGCCCGTTTCTCTAGCATCTCCAGAGCCGCTCGGCATTTCTTTGCAGCAATGCCAAAAGTCTCGTACTTCTGTAGGCATACCATACATTTCTGAAAGCTCTGTTGAAGCTCTGTACCATTTTCCAGGCCCGGCAAATGAGCACAAAGCCGCCCGGCGTGTACGACCGTTGCGCAAAAGTACACATCTGCAATCTGTTAAAAGATGGGCTTACAATGAAAAGACCATGGACGTACAATACAGACCGTACCACCACGGGATCAAAGGAGTATGGACTCCAATAATGTCGTTGTAAACGGCATCAATAACCGCTTTATTGACCTCAAGGCACGTTTTAGCACATTGAGTTAGGCTGCTTAGCTTGACATGATGCTCGGCGGACTCGAGTTCTTCCGAGGGCTGGGAGCCGACGCTATAATTGTATAAGGCTAGTATGGCAGGACGCAGCAAGAAGACTCTCATGTGAAGATAGCTGCAACGTTAACTGGACCGGTCGTAAATTTAGAAATGAGTCTTACCGAACGTTCAGCATTTGAGATTGCCTCACGAAAAGAGGATATGTTTCCCCTGCGCTTACTTGCAGGTGTTTCGGAAGCCGCCTATTCCACGAAACCATTGTCGCGTCGAGATTGACCATTATCTGTAACTGTTCGGAGCTGATACTGCTATTGCCATCTCGAAAAGCTTCGCCTGGTACATGGATTGTCGCGCTAGACTCTTCTCGTGCACTATGTAAGTCCAATATCTGCCCCAGGTAATGTATTAAGTGTAGAGATTCGAGAAAGAAATCGATGTTACGAGGTGACTGTCCCTTTAGAATCAGTGCGCCGCTATACAATTCTTCATCTGAACGATCAGGTAGATTGTAAATGAAGTTGGAAGTTACACTGGGGTGTAGCATCTGCGGCTTGCCGTAGATCAAAGCCAAGATCCTATGTAGACGTGAGTTTCAGGACAGAAATGGTATCATAGGCGCCAGAAGCGAGCAGGCGACATGTAATCCATCGTGACTCAAACGTTCAAAATTATAGGCCAGGTCTTACCTATCCATGGTAACACAACCGGCCCACACTCTTCGTCTCATCGCCTCTTCCAACTCGAACGAAGGCGCCCAATAGCTCTCCATGAATTGCGGAGGAGAGATGTGCAAGCCAATTCCTTGGGCAACTCGAACAGCGAGTCCAACAAGATTCCAGCACATCTCCCACGAATGCGTGCTCTGGAGGTACTGACTGGAGAGCAGCAGACATTGAACAAATTCGATGTTCCCCTGTTCTAAGAAGTGAACCTTGAGCGAATTGATAGCTCGACTGTAAAAGAGGGCACTCATCGAAGTTCGCCGAACCGGCTCCAGATAATCCGCATTCTGTGCTCCCAGCGCAAAAACGGAGTTCAGCAAGGCATAGAACGCGTCTGTCTCAATCTCTGACGATGGCGGGCCATATTCGCCATGTTGAGGTTGCCACAGTTGCGCGTACGTGCTCATGAAGACTTGTCGAATCAAAAAGGGATACAGACTATACACTTTCTCGAAATAGCTGTCAACGAGCGCATCAGCCTCCGCTCTTGGAGGAATGGTCCAGTTTCTCACAGCGTGCGATATGTTCAACGATCGCCCTGCCCAACAATGGCACACCTGTGGCATTTTACGTGTCCGTTGATCGGGTATTCCTTGGCCCTTTGCCGAACCTTCTGCCCACGGAGAAAATGGGTAGTCGAAATTCGTGGCAGTGGATTGGCTCGTATATTCAGGCCTTTTGGCTCTGAAGCCCCGACAGTGGGAACATAAAAGACCTCCTGGAGTTCCCATGACACCTATTCCGAGAAAAACGTTATCGAACTCCTCGGTGCCGGAGCTGGTACTGCTGTACCCAAAGCTATGAGCATGTTAGCGCCGAAAGACTGTACTCAACGTTTGATGTGGACTTGCGAGGGGTGCTCGGCAACCGCAGTCGCTTTGTCTTCAAAGGAGCTCCCTATTGCAGGCTGTTCAGTTGACATTAGAGCCCTAAATTCCTGGCTGGGCGGCGAACTCTGCTTTAAATGTAGCCCAGCTGGTGACGCCGACGTCGCCGCTTGTTGCAATTGTTCCAGGCGTTCCTCTAGCTCTTTGATTCGCGCGCGCAGCGATTCGACGTAACTTGAAAGATGTATTTAGGCTCACATTAGATTGCAGTCGTCATGAACAATACCTTGAGCTGCCGCGTTTCAAATTCTCATCGGTGTAGACACAAGCAGGCGAAGGCTTTCGCCTCGCACAATTTCCGCATTTTGGACGCTCGCCATCGCATTTTCTGTCATTTTATTAGCCTACAGTCGTGCGATACTTTGCCGATGAGCTTGAGCTGCATGCCGATAAGAAGCAGACGGAAGAAACTATGGTGTTGTGAGGTACTTGCCGCTGGGGTATTTACCTTTTCCTCTCTCTACATTCAACACAGGCTAGACTGACCTTCTTCCTCTTCGACTCGGACATGGCTAAAACTGAAAGAGCATGTACGAACCATGCTGTCGGGACTTAGGTGCTTTACGGAATCCCCATAATATTATATCAGCGGCAGTTTTTCAAGACAAAGGCTCGTGCGTGGCCAATTGTACGCTTTTCAGCCCGTTCGGTCATTCTCTTGGCCAGCACATCCAATCCCCGGCCGGATCGATCTCCAGATCCCGCGCTTCCCCGTGCTTCGCGCTGGGTGTATCCAAAGGAAAGGGTATTAATAGCTCCCAAGACAAGGCCGCATCTGTACCTGTAAGATCTTCGCGACGGAATCGTTCCAGCATGAGCGAATTCCTGTTCGGCTTCCTCACGCCACTGAAGGCAAGCTGTTGCATGGACAGGACGATGCAGGCAATGGAACGAGCATTGTCTGAGTTCGCCACTCCCCGCCTGAAGCTCTTGTGCGATCTACATTGCTTACGGGCAGGGCTGCGCACCCAGGGAAAATGCCAGCGACTAATGCGAGCTCACGACGCGTGCGCGAGTCGATCGAAAGCTATGCGATATGCACGAAAGGTCGACACGGACAAGGGTATTCTTGTCGATGGTAAGCGCTGACATGCGCAGCGTCTTCCGCCTACGTTCCCATTGGCGACCTTGCCCGAACGTTCGCCCGGACTCGTCTTCCATCTGTCGCTCTCCAACTTTGGCCAAGCCAATGAAAACTAGCACGGTCGCAGCTTGTTCAGCTTTTGTATTTGCAACGGTTCTCGTAAGCCTTGTGCTTCTCTTTGCTTTCGGTAGCAGAATGCGCGGGCCCCAAGAAGGTCAAGGATGTTTTTGGAACGCGGATCCCAACGATCATATCTTCTCATGACATACGACTTTGGTGTAAAGATGCTCCGCTTACATCCGTGGCTCCTTGGATACGAGTACTGTCCAAAGAGTTTCTACCAATTCTGTCATGGACGGTTGTAAACCTAGAATGATGCCTAAAGAGAACAGCGCACCAAGTTGCTCTCTGTCAATCATGGTGCAAAAACCAGGTCGCAAAGTTGATTGCCAACGGCTCGTCTTCAGGGCCTTGTCAGATGTGAAGAAGGTGAAATCAAAATGTCGATGTCGCATTCTCCTCCGGGCAGGTGAAAACCGGCACCGCAGATTATGTCTTACTTCCAGCCAGGATCTCCTCGTTGCAAGACCAACCAGCTCATCCGATTCCTTGAACGCGAAGACTCTTTCTATCATGCAAAAAATTACCATGAAGATCAGGATTAATCAATTTGATACACATTTATCTCGTTCTGACAAATCTCCCAGTGAACCGAGTCACATCTCTAGGTACCTCGTCTTCAAAGACGTCGTTCGACTTTGCAGCTTGGAAACCCCAATATTGCTCTCACGCCGTCGCTTCCCTTGCTCCTTCTGTAGATAGGATCTTCTGCATCGCTGCGCTGCCTCGACACTATCTATCACTTCTAAGAGTCATGCGTGAAGCCGCACTGGGTCTAGGGCCTGTTTCTTGAGTGCGAAGATGTCCTGATTAGCCGAGCTGCAACCCGCACGGCTCAATCCACGTCTTGTGCCGTGCAATCGATACCTCCATCCACAGGCTGCTGATCCGATCCTATCAGATCGTCGTCAAGCTAGACACTGCATATTTACACTAAAGCCCTGTAGCCTACCGAGGGTCATATTTGAAGCCTTGTGGCCTCAGCCCATAAGTGGCGAGATTAGAACTACCGGTAGATGTGGCTGATTGGCTGACTTAACTCGCGGTGCTAACGTTATTCCAGCGCTGCACGTGACAAATTCGACACAATCGACGCCCGTTCTTACTCGTAGGAGTGACTGAGAAAGGACGAAGTGAATCAGACCAGTCGAGGCGGGTGGGTGCGACGAAGCGTCCGGTAATGAGGAGCATCATCTTATGTAGTTACAGACAGTTTTCTGGAAGCCATTCGATAAGCGTCCCCGCACACTGCCTGGCCACCGTGAGGTCCCGTCTCCCGTCATCCTTCAACCCCCAGCCTCATGAAACTGCATCTTCTACGATATATGCTCCTAAGACCCTGAAACAGTTTTCACTTTCTCCGAAAAACTTCGCTGGTCGAAAGGAATACCTTTGCCACAACAAGTACGGACAAGCTCCCGGATCTGACACGAATGGCGCAGTTGAAACGATCAGTAGGCGTGCCAATGTGCTGCCGATCTTGAGATCAGTGATTAGGATGAAGGAATGACTGTAGAGCGTGATTTCTTTAGTTTAAAACTCCGTATACTCTCTATGCTTTGTACATTCGTCAAAAAAGAAACATGTCTCTATCGGATAGTCCGCTCGAGGTACCATGGAATCTTCCGCATGGAGAGGGATGTAGAAGCAGAGTGCATGTAGCAAAATACGCTTATCAATTTGGTGCGAAGACTACCAAAATCACATACGTGAACAGTACGACCAACTGCAATCGCCATGAGCCCCAGAATGCTTATGTATCGCCATGTTCGTTGACAGTCCCGTAACCCATTCTTCTTTCCCTATTCCGCGCACGTCCCGTGATGTCCTGCCAAGTTGCATTGAAACGCCTGCCCGTACTTGCCAGCAAACCCTCTTCTTCGTCTGCCTCTGCCGCTTCATCGATTCCTTCAATGTCGAGCTTTGGAGTTCTGAACAGAGTCAATACGAAAACGATGAAATAGACGCCCAAGAATGCGAACTGCGCCCAGAAATCGAACACTCCAAAGAAAGGGAAGTTGATGGTAACGCGGTTGATAAATGTGGAGACAACTGACGGCGTACAAACGTCTCTTGCAATCGGGTTCGTCGCCAGCTCTGTGCAGGGCTTGATCTGCGACTTGTGCTTGGTACAGTCTGGTTGCTCGCCTGGATGCTGAACTGGGATATCGCAGTATGTCTGAGGACCAAATGTCGAGTACTGGGGTGCAACCATCGTAGCAACGCTATAGTTAATTGCTAAAACGATGAGCGTGAGGAGCACTGTGGCCAGAAGCATTGCTTGAGGAGTTGTGCGTCCCTTCTGTATCTTAAAGATGACGACCCACAGAAACCGAATGCCCGCAGTAGCGATCCCAACAACGGAAGCGCTGAAGAACAACATGATCATCAGTAGAAAGATCACATAGTCTATGGGAAAGACTTTGGACGTCGTGACAAAGATCCAGTTGATAGGCTGGAAGATGTTAATGTGACCAAGGACGTAGCCACATTTGACACCACAGATGCTGTTTTTTGCCTTGTCAATTCCCGTAATCAGCATTGACGACCAGATCACAAGGGTGATAATGATGAGGAGAAATCCCCCGATAAGCTTCAGAGGACGGAAAACAGCCTCTGTCTTCATCCATGCCCGAACTAGCCATGATCTGCCTTCCCCTCGTGCCTCGGCCGCGAGTCGTTCGCGACGGACAAGAGTGCGTTCTTCCCTTACGAGGGCATCAAGCTCACGACGGTCTCTGGAGTCAAGTCCACCCTCTCGTCCCTCGTTACGCAATTCGAGCTGCCGTTGACGTTCACGGTTCTGCTCGAGATGTGACGCAGTGTTTGCTGCCAAACCTGGTGCTGAGATGGATGGTGCGGATTTGATGAGTGCTACTGGGAGCAGCGCAAGACCAGCCGCCGTGTAGATTATGTAAACGAGCGTTCCGATGGAGATGAGGAGGCCAAGCGCGAAGGTGAGAGCTCGCTCGCCGTCTGTTATGCGTCAGTATTACATGCCCACTGCAGCATGGAATCACATACGGTTCTCCGTCAATAATTTCTTGAAGTAGTCCAGATTTTTATCTCCCTCGTCGTCTCTTATTCCTTTGGCGTAAGGAACGAAGAAGCCCACCAAAAATAGAATCACAACAATGAGAATGAAGAACACGGTGTATTTGAAGGCACCCCAGAACTTCTGTCCCAACGTTCGCTCCCCCTCTTCATCTTCGCTCTCCTCGTACCAAAAGTAGGTGAAAGGAATGACAAGCAAGCACAGCAGAGCATCAAGACTGTACAGGCAGTAGTACACAATCTCTAGCGCGTACAAGATACTGTCGACCTTGTCCGGCGTTGCCCAGTCCTTCTTTCGGCCCCACTTGCTGCTAGTCGTTGCTGAAACGAGAGCAATGTCGACGGGCATGAGAAGTACGGTTGCGAGGAGGCATAGCGTGGTGAAGATGCAAACGGTCGTGACACTAGGGGCGCGTTCGCGTGGATCCTGGTAAATGAAGACAAAAAGCGCAGCAATTATGAGAAGTATCGCTATCGCCACAGCGTAGGCGACCCAGATGAGGGACGTCTGTATTAGAGCCATAGCTTGTGCTCAAGGTCGAGTGGCGTGGTGGTAGGCTGTGGTTTGTGTCGTGTTTACCTGGGTCCAATCTCGGATGAGGACCATGAAACGAAGAAACAACAGAGGTTGACTCCTCTTTCTCGCCCTCACGAAATTTAAAGACGAACCGCTTCAGAAGCTCGCAATCAAGGTAAAGAGCGATAATTCACAAAGAAAGGTTAGTGCGCGTCCAAACAAGCTTGCCTGCGGCCAAAGCTTCTCGCTAATGATGACGTCACGAGCCTTGATCATTGTCAACTTAGTATACTCTGTATGTAGTTAGTGTGCATGTCGTGCAGCCTTATGCTAGGACATTCAACGATAAGAAGGTTACCCAGGTTATGGAAGTGTTGCGAAGAAATGTCTGTAGCTCGATCGTCTAAACTTTTTGCGTTGACGGGTCGCGCATTGAAACGGAGTAGTCCTAAAATGTACCTACCGCCTAACGATAGAACTCTCCAATTTCCACAGAAGCCTCGATGGTTCGCTGTATTAAGCCTAAAGTCATCGCTGGGGTGAACCTTGGAGTTGTGGAACGCATATGTATGTTCGAACCCGGACACGCATTGATAGAATAACGCTGGACAGAACGCCAGCCTCCTCTTCGCAGATGTGCACTTGAGAGGAACTTCACACTCAAGATAGAACTAGAGAATGTGTTCAGGTGATTTTCACATTGAGACATGAATTCCGACCAGAATTTATCATGGAATAGACGGCTAGTATGTCAAGATGTCAAGAACTATTTTGGCCAAAGATGGGAGTGAACAGACAGGTCTAACCTTATACCACCATAACAAAACGCTACGAATGCTCATTCTAGCTGATTAACCATATTCCTATTCGAAGGTAACCCCGCCAAATGTAATTAGGACTGCGGACTGTGCAAGTCGACTGACAGATAGAGTATGCAAACAGGCAAGATGCCAATGGTTTATGTCATTCGAATGTGGGTATCATTATTTACGTTGCGCCTCCTTCTACTGCATTAACTCCGCCCCCTTCTGAGTAATGTTGAATCAGGGTGCAGCTGCTTTTGCTGCTTCCTTCGCCATCTTCTTCTTCTGCCGATTCGACAGTGGCTTTTCAGCTTGTTCGACTGTGGAATTCATCTCTGCGAACTTTCGCTTGTGGTTGGCACTGGAGTCCCCATTTGCCCCCGAATCTTGCTCCTGCTGACCCATTCCCTGCTTTCTCCTTTCGGCACGGGTGTTTTCGCCGCCATATATAATGTCTACCACGCCCCTGTAGCTTGAACGCCTAAATCTTGAGTTGACCGCCACTTTGCGTGCTTCTGTTGTTACAGCTTCAACTCCTCGCTCTTGCCCTAGACCCCAGACTGCGGCAAGGTTGACGATGTCTGCCGGGCCTCTACACGCCATAATGTCATGGCATTCGCTTGAAATGATGAGTCCTCTGCCACGTGTTACACGAATCAATGCGGCGGCATTTTGAATGAGCATCCTCCTCTGCTCTGCAGTTCCCAGGATCCCGGGCCCGTAGCACAGCTCGATGTGCACGCCTCTCGCAACCGCTGCGGCGAACATCTTGTACTGAAAGTGGAAAAAGTATCTCGCCGATAGGTCTAACGATATCAGGTCGCAATCAAGATTAAGACAGGCCGCCTGAAGCGTCTTTTCATCGACTGGTCGAATGGCGACGATGTCGTAGCCCGAATTGGGCGAGACGAGGTCTTTTAGTCGGTGGTTCTGGGTGTGATCGTTGATCACAAGGGTCAGACGCCGAAGGATCTGCGTCTTAGCAGGTACAGGAAAAGGCAGCGTTCGTGGAATAGGACACGACATATCCTGCGGTAGCTTTCCGGACTTTGAATCAGGAGCGATTGTGTTGTTCAGGGCGAGAACCTGGTAACCTACTGATCCAATGTCAGATTACAAGAGGCTGGAGCAATGCGTGGGATCAAGTACACTCGACTAGAAAAGCTATCTTTCGCTGTAGCTCAGCGTCCTTGGTCGTTGATGACCACGGAACATTGAGGTCGTAGTACATGTCGCGCGTCAGGTGATGAAGCAATCGTGAAAACAGGGCCTTGGATTTTTCCGCGGTCTCATTGTCCGATTGTGGTTGCTCCTGGGACAAAAATGTATCGTTCGACTGCCGAACGTTGAGCGCTGGAACAGACAGATGTGGTGGAGCACTCAGTGAGTAGGCAAAAAACGCTTCGGCGAGCCCACCCAATTGACAGGGCTTGGCATCCTGAAAACAACCCCTCCACAGCCTCTTTGACGACCGTCAAGAATCCTGCTACGTAAACTTCCTGGCCGCCCACAATCGCCACGACTTCCAAACGTCTTTCCTTGCTCACGGCTACGGCGACTGATCCAGAACTGCCTTTCATCGCTCTACTGTACTTGTCAACCCGCCTCATCCAAAGAAGTACACGAAACGCGCTGGACCGCTAACGTTAAGACGTTACCCTTCCTCAACTGGCCTCGTCCAGTTGAACCATCCTCGCCATGGCGCGCGTCTACGCAGATGTAAACGCGAACATGCCGCGCAGCTACTGGGACTATGACAGCGTCAACATATCCTGGGGCGTGCTGGAGAACTACGAGGTCGTGCGCAAGATCGGTATGAATTCCGTACTCTTCAGCTCATGACCGTGAGAACTCGCCTATGCTAATGTTAATGCGGACATTCAGGTCGCGGCAAGTATTCGGAAGTCTTCGAAGGAATCAACATCGTCAACTATCAGAAATGCGTGATCAAGGTCCTTAAACCCGTGAAGAAGAAGAAGATAAAACGTGAGATCAAGATTCTACAAAACTTAAGCGGTGGTCCGAACATCGTTGCGCTGTTGGATGTCGTACGTGACAATCAGGTATGTAATTTCCTTGGATTTGGTGCAAGGAAAGGCGCTCATGCACGCTTGTAAGAGTAAAACGCCATCACTTATATTCGAATACGTAAACAACACCGACTTCCGTACTCTGTATCCCAGGTTTACCGACTACGATGTCCGCTACTATATCTACGAGCTCTTAAAAGCTCTTGATTTCTGCCACTCGAAGGGCATCATGCACCGCGACGTCAAGCCGCACAACGTCATGATCGACCACGAAAAGCGAAAGCTACGCCTCATCGACTGGGGCCTTGCCGAATTTTACCACAAGGGCACAGAGTACAATGTCCGTGTGGCGTCCCGTTACTTCAAGGGCCCTGAGCTCCTCGTGGATTACCAGGAATACGACTATTCTTTGGACATGTGGAGCTTGGGCGCGATGTTCGCCAGCATGATCTTCCGGAAGGAGCCCTTCTTCCACGGCAACTCGAACCCGGATCAACTTGTCAAGATTGCGAAGGTGCTTGGGACCGAAGAGCTGTTTGACTACCTTGACAAGTATGACATCGAGCTGGATCAGCAATATGATGACATCCTGGGAAGATTCCCGAAAAAGAGTTGGCATAGCTTCATTACCCCAGAGAATCAGCGATTTGTGAGCAGTGAGGCGATCGACTTTCTAGACAAACTGCTTAGATATGATCACATGGTACAAACGTCAATACAGATCATTGAGCGAGTATCAAAATACTAATCATTTGGAAGGAACGCTTGACTGCAAAGGAGGCCATGGCACATCCGTACTTCGCGCCAGTTCGGCAGGCTGCCGCTACAAATCACACATCCGGGTCCAGCTGATGTACTTGAAAAAGGCCGTGTCGATAGCTTATCAGAGTGCATACGAATTCCGAATCGCCGGCTTGCATATATGGTTGAGCGTAGCCGTTGCCGCGCTTGGGGACTCATTCAATAGGCAGGTCCCTTTCGCTAACCCCGCATGATAAGGACCTCGATGAAGCGATCTTCTACAGTCTGGAGCGTTCGATTATTCCAGTGTCGAAGTCCTGACGAGACGATCCTTGAACCTAAAAGCATGGGTGGAAAAACTTGCTCTACCTTCTGCTATCGGTGATTCGGAGGCAGCGGATGGTCTTTCTCTACACTTATGAGTGGTTGTGCGTGTTCGACATCGTGGGCTTCGGGTTAGCTTGGAAAGAAACTCATAGTAATACGAGATGCTAGCATAGGATACCATCCCCAGTAGATAGGAGCCTGTAATATCTTTGACCATGCTTGACGTTTTTCGCTCTTCCTTTTGCTTTGATTTCACACATAGCACGTCTGAATCTTCTCTGTCAAGCCTTCAACTCCACATGTCTTAAGTATAACGACACAGGTCAGAGTCCTCGTCAGCTGACTTGAGTTCTCGTCATTCGAAGGAGTTTCGTAGGGAGGATGCTATCATCCTTTGTTCGTTTTGAGTCCATTAAGCCGGCAAAACGAGTACAAGTCGATGCCACAGGCAGCATGAACATCGAGGCACGAAGAACGCATCTGGCGTCGACGGCAAGTCGGATGATAATATCATTTACGTTTTTCGACAAATTGCACGATCGCACTTTCGAGACAATGCAAGGAAAATGGGGTTGCCAGCTTGCCCAAGGAACTGCCCAGACTTCACGGCATAAGATTTTCACTGGTGGTTCCGTTCTTTTCGCTTCGACATTTTGTTTATTTTTTTTTTTTTTTTAAAATTTTTTTTGGCAAAGCCGGAGCCACGTTCAGCCGTGTGAGTCCATAGTTGTCTCGACGAAGCCGTGGCAAACCATACGGGAGTAGGAACGAAGACGTTCAGGTTTGAACGTCAGAATGGCGAGAAGCGTGTGAGCCCGTGTCTCCAACTAACGCTACATACAAACCACAATCGCGAATAACGATTTCAAGCTGAACGACTGAATGCGCAAAGTATATGCTGAGAGCATGGCCTTCATTTCGTAGGGGATCCCGGGCGACAGGCGAATGCATGAGGCTAAGCGCGTCACGGTTTCTTTTGGTAACTTATTGAACTCAAGTACAGGCAACATTACGGGACAGGCTGATGCTTGGCTACAGTGCATGGAGACACGGTCCTGGTGTTGTGATGCAAGGACAAGGCTGCAAGAAGCCAGATCCGAGAGACTCACAAACAGCGCAGTTAGGAACAGCCGACAGGATTTCTTCATCGACACAAGTCCCGACGAGGAATGGAAAAGAGTAAAGCGACGATAGCGAGATTCTCGCGTATGAAAAGCTGGCTCATGTTCCTCTCTCGCTCTCGCTGCGCCCTCTCAGAAGAACGGGACTCTTGGACGAATGAGATGCCAAAGCCGGATCTCCGGGCACAAAGTACACGCACACCGGGGGTCTGTGATGGCGGTGCATTACCAGGAATGACATGATTGACGACCGAGCCTCGCCAGGTCGATAAAAGGATGACATGGGCGGCTAACATAAATCAGGAGCGCAGATTTCTGATGGTTGCACCACGCCACCTCATTCCCTTCGTTACGAGGCTATGGACTCGGAAGCTAGGTGATCGCGACGGGAAGCTTTCACTGTCAATACGAGACGTTCCGGTTGCGGACAGAGCTTCGCTGGAAGGATATTGAGCCAGTCTTCAAGTTTGGTTTGGGTTTTCCGGGGCTGCTAGCAGTCGAAAAATGCGTCTTTGGATGTTTGACCTGCTCACTGGTGAAGTCGGAAGGCCATGTTCATCCCATTGCAGATCCGGCAAGGTCAGCCAGGTTGGCACATCGATCAAGCCACAACCTCAAAGTCCAACCCCACACACAAGCCCTGCGCTGAATTGCGCATCGTCTTCTCACCACTATTCCGGAATGGGCAGTGAGGGGTCGAGCAGTAATAACTGTTCAGCAGCTTCAGTCGGTGAAGGAGTCTCGGTACCTCAGCGCGAGTCACGAGACCGGTCTGCAGATGAGCGGGAAAACGCGGCGGCGCTGATCCAGCGCAATTATCGCGGATACAGAGAGCGACGACAGATGAGGGGCATAGGATTGTCGCCGGCAACGCGGTGGAGTGAGGCCATCAAGGAGCTGAATTATCGCGAGAAAACCAGGCCAACGTCGCGGCAGCAGGATCTCGCGAGCGGAGACGAGCGTGCGCGGGCAAGGCAAAACTGGCAGCGTATTAGTGCCATCGCTGGCCGTGCAGGTGCGGACGACAGCGATGACGAGACGGAGGGCGAGGAGGGCATGTCGCCGGAGGATGTGCAGGCGTACAGGCGGAGGAAGAGCGAGGCGAGGGCGGAACGAGAAAAGACGGCTAAACAAATGGACTTGCAGTACTGGCTGGAACTCGTGGACGAGAAGCACAGATACGGCTCGCACTTGCGAGCTTACCACCAAGAGTGGCTGAAGTCCGACACCCACGAGAACTTCTTCTACTGGCTTGACCACGGCTCGGGAAAGCATCTGGATTTGCCGCTCGTGTCGAGAGAAAAGCTTGAATCCAACAGAGTTCGCTATCTTTCTCGGGAAGAACGCCAGAACTACCTGGTCAAGATTGACAAGGAAGGTCGCTTATGCTGGGCGCGAAACGGAATGAGGATCACCACGTCAACGGCGTATAAGGATAGCGTGGATGGCATTGTCCCCAAAGACGACACGGAGCACAAGCCTTGGGCGCTGCCGGTAGAAGAACCGGGTTCATTCACCAGTGACGAGTCGTCAACAATATCGACCGGACACCTTGATCATACCGAAGGCCAGCACTATGTCAATCACGACCTGAAGAACGCCAGGGGCATCCGCAAGCTCAAACACGTCTCGGCCGCCACTATTCTCAACCAGCTGTTGCAGAAATCCGTGAAGCCGAACTCGTGGATATTCGTCGCCGACACGTCGTTCCGCTTGTATGTGGGCATCAAGCAGTCGGGAACATTTCAGCATAGCTCATTCCTGCGGGGATCGAGAATCTCGGCTGCTGGTCTGATCAAGATCAAAGACGGCCAGCTGCGAAAGCTTTCGCCGCTGAGCGGGCACTACAGACCGCCCACCAGAAATTTCCGTCAGTTTGTGCATTCTTTGAAGGATGCTGGGGTCGACATGTCACACGTCTCAATATCTCGATCGTACGCGATCCTGGTAGGGCTTGAGATGTACGTTCGCACGCGCAAGAAGATCAAGCACGGGCTCCACCACGTAGAGAAGGAGAAGGAGAAGGTTCTACATCCGGAGGATGCAAAAAAGCGAGAAGAAGCACTTCAAGACAAGAGCCAAAGCGCTGCCAAAGAGAGAAAAGCGTTGAAAGAAGAGGAAGAGCAGCAGAAGGAGCATAAGAGAAAGAACAGTTTGTCCTTCAGGATTATGAACAAGCTAAGGTCACGAACGTCAAGCAGTGCGAGTTTGGAGAAAGAGGTGGAAGTACCCGAAGGTTCGTCAGGAACTGATGCTTCGGCACCACGCAGCGTGAAGCACGAGGATCCAGAAAGTGGAATTCCACCAGAAGGCAAGCGATAAGGCGAGAAGCCTGCCAGCAACGATTGAACTTGACTTACGAATTATGAATTCACATATATTACATGATGATGTAGATAGCGTCCGATGTATCATGACGAATAATATCCGTTGTTCTCGCAAGAGTTCGCTAATGTTGTGCCCGCCCTTCCTCAGCCTCTCCATGATCCCGTGACGGCTTCCGGTCAGCGTGTTTTTCAGGATCGAACACGTACATCGGAAACTCCAAGAAGATTGTCCTCTTCAGGAAAACCGGCATGCGCTTGTACAGCTGAGGAGGGAACGGGATGAGAATGCTGGTTTCGTGCAGCCATTTCGCATAGGCAGGCCAGTTGGTGCCCTTCTCGTATCGCTTCTTCGCGCCAGGTCGTTCTTGCAGCGTAAGACCGGAAACGAACAAGAGCAGCGTTGTTAGGAAGAATGGGCCCAAAATACTGGCGTACAACGCTTTGTAGCCGCCGCCCTTAGTGTATCCGTACGCTGCTGGGGATACCGCGATCATAAAAATTGCTTTTTCAAATTAGCTGTATTCTGATACGTGGACACCGCAACAGACTCACAAAATTGAATGATGATCTCTCCAAAATAATTGGGATGTCGGCTGTATTTGAACAGGCCGACGTTGCAGACGGCACCGTCGTGCTGATGCTTGGTTCGAAACAAGTATTTCTGCACGTCAGAAACGCTCTCCATGAATAGCCCGATACTGTACAGTATCACGCCGGCATTGTCACGACCTGTACCGAAGTTCGGTTGACCGTATCGTGTGACGTTGGGGCTGTTCAGGATGGTGACTGGCAGGGACACCGTCCAGACCCAGAGCATTTGGAACACCCAAAAGCCGAGGAACTTGAAGAAATCATCCCGCTTGTCATCAAAGCGGTCGTCTTTTCCGGTCTTAAGAATCCGGAAGAGCAAAAAGGCGGAGAGCCTGGCGCCCCAGATCATGATGAAAAGCGAGCATACGATGTTGCGTGCATCGTCACGAGCCTCGCTGAATGCGAGCGTGATGACAGCAAGCAGAATGAAATTTGTGCCCCCAGCAAAGTCTGTGAGTTTGTCGAACTTGAGCGAAAATGCTATGGCGAAGAAAAACAGCTGGTAAGCGACTGTGATGAGAAGCTGCGCAAGCCGTCAGTCCAGGACCTTATGAGATAGCGATGGTTTGTGCTAGAACATATGGTACAAGCTATTTTTAATCGATCATAATGAAAGAAAGAAGGAAATTTTCCACTTTTCCGACGCATAGTGTCTCGCCATGTGCTGTAGTTGCTACTGGAATTAATGGGGTTTACGTACGGTAATCGCGAGGTAATAATCATCCAGAACGTGAACGGAACCCATGCTGGCTGACCTTCAGAGTTGAAAAAAAGTTAGCGGATTGGCAGCTGCGAATAGTCATATTAAGCTCCGCGCGTATATATAGAGCGTTTCCGGTCGAACTTCTTACCGAGTGAGCCTCGTCGAAGTTCGCAGCGTCGCTTCGAGCGAGCAGGTGGTGACGTTTAGAACTAGAAGACTGTACAAGGGAATGGCGATGCTGCCAAGCGATCGACGTCAGTCGATTTCGTCCCACGATCGCGGCCGCACAACGGCCACGTCCACACGGACAGGTAAAGTCGTTCGCTCTCTCGCACGAAATGATCAATCCGGGCTTGTCTGCATTCCACCGTTCGAGACGGAATCGACACTCACACGTGATGCGCTGGCGCGAAGAAAAGCTTGGAGCGGTCGTTCCTGAAACACTTTGAGTCGGATCGCAGCCTCGAGACTCTCTGCCGCGTCGGAGCCTTGGAGAGAGGAGATCATTCTTGCCACATGTTTCCGAGACTCCTTTGACGGCATCCTCCAATCGTATTCATCGCCTTTCGAGGCCTCGCCGGCGACGCCAACAGCCTTTCGTCGACCGAAGAAACAACCCCACAGTACGAGTGAACACTTGCGAAGGCTTCCCATGCACGACACGGCCAAGCGTACCCGCCTTGTCGAGGCCTAAGCCGTCGACTTCAAGCACTGTCGAGTTTGGTTTGATGTTGCATAATGGTCTTTTCAGTGTCTTGCGGGCGATGTGCCTCTTGCTGACCTATGCGCCTTTCCATTCTTTTCCTTCTGTAAGGACCAGATCGCGAGATCTTACGAACTTAACAGCTTATTATTGCCAACCTGTTGCTGATGGTAACTTAATCGATTACTTCAGTTCTCATTCATTAATATTTCTCTTTCGTTCTCAACCGGAGCAGGTCTCTCCTTTTTTTTATTTTTTTTTATAGCCCTGGTAGGCTATTGGTTTTCTTACGTTCACGAACATGAGGGTTCCTACCGCCCGACATCTTTCAATCCTAATCAGCGTAATCTCTCTCACTGCAGGTTCGGTATGTTTTTTTAGGACATTTAGAAACACGCGATGTTGACATTGCAACAAAGGTTGCTGCGAACGATGCCGTTGAGCGGCAGGAACAGTTCGCGCAGCCACCTTCTCTCGGACTTAACCAACAGTCGAACTTTGCTCAGATAAGCTCTCCGGAAAGTAAGGACATCTGAATGCTCGTGCAGGGTCCATGATTGACAAGGTCGCAGCTTTTGGAAGAGCGCTAGCTGCTACCCAGAGTGTGTTCGAGCGACAGCTGTCGGTCTCCATTACATCAACAATAGCCTTGCAAATAAGCGGACAAGCTGCGCAGCCGGTACCTCAACGAACAATAACGGTGACAGCCGCAGAAAACGGTAGCCAAAATGCCGCTTCTACCAGCACGTCCAGTCCGCCGCTGTCGACAGTCTCAGCAAGCGGCCAGTCTTCGCCGTCGTCGCCTAATGCGAGGACGACGATCACCGTTAATGTTGCTGGCCAGCCAGCTGCATCACAGCAGGGCCTGAATTCGTCCTCGAATGCATCCGCTGTATCGCAACAGGCTGGAGGGGCCAAAAAGACGATTACGATCAACGTAGCCGGCCAGCCAGGCGCGACGTCGCAAACACGATCAAGTTCCAATCAATCACTCAAACCACAGGCCACGGGTCCGTCTACTGTGACAATCAAGCCAGCAGGGATGGCAACTGGCGCCTTGACGCAAGGCGCTAGTGGCTGTACGTGCACATGTGCTTGCCCGAGTGGAAGTTTCCCCAGTCCTGCAGCGCCAGCTCCTCAACCCGTTCAAGCGCAGCCGCAACTCCAAGGTCCATCAGCCACAACTTTGAGTACGATGGTTGCGTCTTCGTCTAGAACGTCTTCATCAAGTGCTCCTAGCCCGGCAGCCGTTGCTGCGCAGATGACAGCGGCGCCCGCTGTATCATCTCAGTCAAGCATCTCGTCATCGAGTCCAACGGCACTCGCTTTGAGTTCACCAACATCTGCAACCAAAACAGTGGGCAATAATGCAGCGGGGGAGATCACACTAGCCGGCGGGAGCGTGTTGCCCTTGCAGAGTGCGGTAACAGTACCATTGCAAGGAAAATGGTTCCATATTGGGCCTGTCAATGAACCTATGTGGACATGAAAGAAAGTATTTTAACACTATATTTGTAGTTAGATAGTAGAGAATGTTCACTCCGGCTACAATACTATCACTGGTGACACACATTTTGATAATCTTGAGCCTCATAGGCATACCGGAGGGAAGGTAGCTCTTCTGTATCAAAATCCCGGACCTTACAAGGGTTGACGAAAAGGAAAAGGTATGATGTCGTGGAAGGAGTGACATGCAGGATGATGAAATGATAAGACATGAATTTGAATCAGAATTGGCTGCATTAGAACATTCGTGATCAAACGGGTAACAATTACGCTCGATTGACTTGTTCGCAGAGTGCAACAGTAGAACACATAAGAATGGAGGTATCCGGTGCACGTTATGCATGAATCATGACGGAACTTGCCGCGTATGACGGAACGTCGCCTAAGGAATATAGCCTTTCTCCTAAGGGGGTTGATTTGACCTTTATCTTTGGGGCCGTCGATCGATCTCGACAAAGCAACCTCGCAAAAGCGAAGAGATCGTCCTCGGGCTCAAATGTGCAGATCGTAGAAGGAACCGAGCTTCCAGGCTGGTCAGAATCCAAGTTGCGAAGCTGAAGACACGACCTGGGATTGATGGCGCAAATCACTGGAGCGGCCATTCAAAGATTGCAGGCTGTTGAAACTTGTCCCCGAAGATTTAAATCCCATCAACTGGGCGACAAAGGAGTCTCTTCACTACGCACGATTTTCCGGTCGAAGAGGCGGGGACATTCCAAAGTACATACAACCTTTTAACTTTCTTGGGCTGGTTCCGTTGCGCAGCGACTGACGAAGCGACCCAGGGACCTTGACTGGAAAAACGCTCCGTGATACCACCTTGATGAAGATGAGCGCGACGAATCAGAACGGCGTTTCGAACCGGTGACGGCGATCGTCTGGTCGCTTGTACGCAGCGAAGAGCTGTTCTTTTGCGATTGCCGCGCGCCTGCCCTGGGATTTTACCTTTCAAGGTCCCGTTCATATGCTTTGGCTGGAACACTCACATCCGCGAGGGTCAAAGAGCGTCTGGAACGCTAGCACTATATTTTGCATGAGCACAGGATGTTCCTTCAAAACCACCTGTCCGTCCACGACGATGAACGCGGACTGACTGCATCGCAACTCTTCCCCGGGAAAGGTGAAGACCATGCCTCACGTTCGCCAGCCCATATGAATGCCCATCTTTGAGGACATGATGTAGGTGCTCTACGACAGACGTAGGATGTGCTCAAAGTCAAAGGCGCAAAAGGACTAACGCGTATCGCCAGGCATGCAATATCGAGCGAGGATGCTAAAGATCGCTTTTGTGCCGAGATTGACAGGCGATTGCAGTTAATACGAGACAACCAGACACCCAGTTCCGACGCTGGCGAGTCATGGTGGCCATTCCCGGATTCCATGCACTGCTCGACCATGGAGCTGCATTGTCGGCGGTCTTCCGTCGGCCACGGCTCTGTGTTCGGCCGAGCGGCGACGACGCTCACTCCAGCCACCTCCGGTCGGCGACCGCACGGGAGGAGCCTTTCTGTTCAGGACATCTGGCACGATGCCAACAAAGATTCTAAAGGCAACCTTGCCGAACCGAGACAGCCACGTCGAGCCTTCTCGGGTCGTGAAAACACGGACCTGGACCTGTACGATCTATACTTTGCACAGTACGCCCAGAACGCAAGGCGACCGCAGCTGAAGACAAAGAGGGCGGTCACAAACCTGAGATCGACGCGGCCAAGGCCGTCTGAGCCTGGCAAAACCTCTACGAAGGGGACGGGCTACGAAGCATTTGACGACGACACGTTCGGAAAGCGCCAGCCACTTTCCAGCGCGGAGCGCAGGTCGTCGCTCCTCTCCCTGGAGCTGCAACCGTTCGAGGATCTCATCGAGGAAGAGAAGCAGGCGAGAAAGCGGATGGAGGCTTTTGCCTCGTCCAGTGGAATGCTCGACCGCTTTGGACAGCCTGTCCGTCCCAACTGTGACGAAGGCGTGCGACGTGACTCGGGCTATGACTCCGCATGCGGCGATGAGGAGCAATCCAAAGACGTGGACCGCGCGACCGAACAAGCCGAGTTATCGAGAAGCAAGATTCCTGACTATGACTTCTCGCAGCAGAATTATACGTGGTGATAGACCATGTGCATTGCTCGCCAAGCTCGAAGCTGTTGCGGCAATATCGTTCTCGTATGCGAACGAGAACCGCGGTGGCAAGTTTGCTTTTTCCTAATTTTTTTTTTCGTGTTATCAAAGTGCACGTCCTCAAGTTGTATCCGTCATGGTAGCGTAATCATTGTAGTGAATCAACTGTTAAACAACTACATCGCTGGGAGCAGCATGAGAGGTTCGGCACTTTCGGTTGGCTGGTAATGACTTGTACATGGTTTGCTCCTGCAAAGCCCAGTCTGAAGTGTTGAAAAGCCCCCAAGGCAAGTTTCTACATCCTTTTAGTTAAATGCGGCAAAGTCAGTCGGTAGAATGTTCCCGACGGGAGCCGTCATCGGCATTCATTTCAATGGAAAGCGGCCAATTCCGCCCTTCGACCTTATAATGTTTGCGCATAGATTTTGATTAGGCATTCGTAATGTACGTTTAAACATTTCTTATACACCATCATTCCCCATTCTAATCGTCTATACCAGCAATTGGGACCAATGTTATGAACAAGGTCGCACTACGCTATCATGGATATTGATTCGGGGACCCTCTCCACAGTCACTCAAGTCCTCAGTAAAGAGAGGAAAGGCGACATCGTGGTAGATCTAGAGAAATCGCAGCACGTCGCAGATACGCCCACGCAGTTGCAACCTTCTAATTCTGGCGACGACCAAGATGCCAGGCACGGCGCGTTGCCTTTTTCGGTGGCTCGATCCGTCTTGTTTGTTCTTGCACTTACCGGCGCAGCTTTTCTTAATGTGCGTCTCCATTCGTTTACAGTTTTCAAAAATGCTGATTTCATTCAAAGACCTTAGGCGTCCAAGCGGCTGTCATCATCCTTCCAAGTATCGGTCGGGCACTTAGCGTGCCTTCAAGCCGACAGCAGTGGATCGTCTCCGCGTACTCGTTAACTTTTGGCTGCTTTCTTCTACTTTTCGGGCGTATCGCAGACGTTTACGGAAAGCGACTTGTCTTTCTGGCTGGATCTACATGGTTCACTGCTAGTACGCTCATTTGTCCTTTTATGCCAAACGAAATTGCTTTCGACGTTTTCCGCGGATTTCAAGGCCTGGCCTCGGCCGCAACAATGTCTTCAGCACTTGGTATTCTCGGTGCTACTTTCAAGCCTGGCAAATACAAGAACTACGCATTCGCGGTGTATGGTGCTGGGGCTCCTCTAGGAAGCGTTTTCGGCAACATCATCGCTGGATTGATTGGACAATGGGCGAGCTGGAAATGCAGGTGCTTGCACTACCAGATCCCAGACCGATGCTAACAATCCCTAGGGACATTCTGGGTGATAGCGATTCTCGCTGCACTGGTCACAACTGCTGGCTGGTTTCTGATTCCGCCAGCGCCTCCTAAGCCCGTGGAGAACAGAGCTTCCGTTGATTGGATTGGTGGAGCAACCATTACTATTGCTTTGCTTATGCTCCTCTTCGCATTGACAGAAGGCAACATTGTTGGATGGAGTACTCCGTGGGTGCCAGCTCTAATAATCATATCAATTCTCATGGTTGGTATTTTTGTTGCTTGGCAATGGTATCAGGAAAATATGACGAGTAGACATCCCTTGATGAAGGTGTCCGTCTTCAAGAGCTTGCGGTTCTCCGGAGCAATGTTGATCATGATGCTGTTCTTCGCCTCGTTTTCAAATTACTTAGTTTTCACTACATTTTTCTTCCAGGATTACCAGGGTTTATCTGTCATTGACACTATGCTTCGGTTTATACCTACCGGTGTCGTTGGAATCTTGACTGCAATGACAACGGGGTTTCTGCTGTCGCGTGTTCGTGGAATGTACCTCCTATTTTGGGGCACGCTCTGCGTAGCAACATGTTCGCTCTTGTTTGCAGTGCCGATCCCGCCGCATACAACATACTGGGCCTGGAACTTCATCGCGATGATACTGGCAGTCTCCGGCGCTGATACTCTATATCCCACACTTACATTGTTTACCGCACAGAGTGTTCCGCCTGCAGATCAAGCACTGGGTGGTGCTCTGATAAACGCCGTTGGTCAGATTGGACGAGCCATTGGGTTGGCGATATCCACGGCTGTCCAAACAGCTGTGACAGCAAAGAGAGAAGGAGTCGATGTAAAAGAGGTCGGCAATAGTTTGCATCTTTCGATGAAAAATAACGATGCGTATCTGGCAGGCTTGAGAGCTGCAAACTACGCTGATTTTGCGTACGCAGTCGCAGCATTTTGCGTGGTTGGTGTAGCTTTTAGAGGCGCCGGAAGAGTAGGGGCCAAAAAGTAATGAATAGAAGCCCACATTTTGCTTTGAAACAAGTCGGTCTTGCTCTTGGTATCTCGTCAATTTTGCTACGATGTCTCTTTTCCAAGCCGTTGGAGCTCAGAAACAAATTCTTGAGGCTTGAGGATCTCCGTCGAGCCGTAAACGATGTTGTAGCGAGGTCCTGCACCAGCGACCTTATTTCGCTGTGCAAACGCTTGGATGTTTGTGTACTCCTCCACGCTTCCTCCACCAACGGTGAATAGAATTGCTTCGCTAAAGCCTTGTCTTCGCATCCCAAAACTTGCATCAATTCCTCTCTGCCTGGGTTCTTTATCGCCTCTTCCTGTCGGCATGTTACCTAAATGAGGCGGTATTAGTACGCGCAATATAAGTTGTATTCGCAAAAGGTGATCGAATTACCTCTTGCATGCGCAGATCGCGGATCATAGTATAACCAATCCTCAGACCTTCGCAATGCGGCCGTGCTAGCCTCGGTTGGAGCAAGCAAGCCATGCATGATCTGCGTCACTGTCATGTCACTAGAGCTAGGCATAAGATTTTTTAAGCCCTTGGTGAGGGTAGATAAGTCTACGTTTGAGAGACCGACATCTTTGAGGCCCGACGTGAGACGGCTTGATATAGAACCGAATAAATCACTCGACATAGAAGTCTGTTCTCGCTCAGCTGCGGGAGCAGCTGCCATCATGGACATCCTTGAAACCTGTCGTAGCTGTTTGACATACGACAAACACGTTATATCTGCCCCAGCAGCTACGAGAGCTCTTTCGAATGCCTGCATTTCCGCTCGAGAGATGTCATTTTCCGCATTTAGGTACCTGTAAATCTGTTAGACAACGTTTTTAATAGATTCAGTCCACAGAAGCAGTCTCATGTGATCCATGTTATGAGAGGAACCCTGCTTTGAGATCAGCAATAGGAGCGAGATTCGCCGCACAGATGAGTACTGGCCACCAGAAGATGAATAGACGCAATGCATCCAGACTGTCCTTCCCTCGTTTCTCTTCGGAGCCTAAGAACTCGAGCAGTTGCTGACGTGTAAAGCCTTTTTTCGCGACAATGTCTTCTTCGATCGAGTAGTATTGGTCAAGGGCGCGATCTTTAATTGCTTTCAGAAGGCTAGTCAATATGGTCATGTGCATCTAGATGAGATATTAGGATCGACGATTCAGAGTTCTGAGGCGAGACTGCTGCATAATGTTTGAGAAAAGAGAAGTACGACGACATACATCCAATTGCGCCTTGCGCTCTTTTAGTTCCGGAAGAAGCGTCAGTGCCGCTCTCAGGTGCTGCGGGTCCACAGCGTTGTCCCCAGAGAGATCCTCCAGACTCGAAGCGCCTGTCTTGCGAGTTACTTCCGCGGCTTCATCTTTGTACTTTGCCAGATCCTCATCTATCTTCTGCGCTGCTTCGGGAAACGGGTCAGCCGCGTGCTTAGCCCAGAACGTGTCGTTGGACTTTAGATCGAAGTTTTTCTTGATCGGTTTTGCGTTGTCATCAGTTACTTCGACCGTGATTTGATTGAGCTTAACATCAAGGCAGTCATATACTAATGACTGATAAAACCACGAATGGCACAGCATACTTGTCACGTCAACGTTGCGGTCAATGATGGCAAGAACTGGCCTCGCGGAGGACGATCCAGCCGCAAACAACGACTGTTCTTTGGTCGAGAGAATATGGTCGCGCAATTTGCGATCAAGCTTCGGTGCGATAAGTGATGCTGCACCGTCCTTAGGCGCGCGTATGATGGGCACTTTCTCCATGGTAACACACACGCTGAAGAGGCCGGAGACGATGCGATCCACCGTGGCGTCGAGTTCCTCATCAGAAGTGTTCGGACTGTTGAGGATCGAGTACGCGTTGCTGATGCCGAGCGAGAAGAGATTCGGTTCTATTGAAGACGCGTTCACTGTTAGAAGGGACAACCGACGACAAAGAACTTTGACCATCCGGCCAACCAGTATCCAAAGCTCTTACCTGAAACTACGAAGTTGACATAATTGTCGAAGACCGAAGAGATCGACTCGGCTACGTTGGCGGCGGCGACCTCGCTAGCGAATTCTTCGAGTAGTGGGCGTGGTACAGAAGAGGTGAAGTCCAGATGAATAGGAGACTGTAGATTATGACGACCTCTGTCAGCTTCCCTTTCCATTTGCATTGCACACCAATGGATTTGTCCTCATATCGCACATACGTAAAGGCCGGCCTTTAGGTCGGATAATATGATATCAAGGTTGGCTTTTGTAGGCTCGACGAAGTAGATTGCTGGTACCTAGCACGACGAAAATAAGTCAGGAACATCTCGCGAACAACACGCAACACAAGAGGAGAGCATACATCAGAAATTGCAGCACGTCGGCTGTTGAGGCTCAAGTGCAGAGTGACCCCTCTACTCCTCAAGTCGGCAACTCGCAGCGTACTGCTCACGATCGCCATGCCACTGGCATCTAAGACCAGCACCTTCCATATAGGCTCATCTCCAGCCAGAATAGGCAGCGACTCTGGCAGCAAACCCTCCTCTTTTGACGTGTCTGATCTGCTTGGTTTGTGCAGGTCGAGCATACGAAACAAAGCCGCTGCGACTACAGTTAGCCGGACGAGCGATTAAGCTGGCCTGCAGCGAAGAATACCTTTCTGTTTGTCTCGAAGCGAGACGTTGCTTTGGACAGTGGCCATGGTCTCGAAATGTGGCGAGCTCTACGTAGGCTGGAATGGCCAGCGAGCGTCTCTTGCTATTGATGGCCAGCGAGCGTCTCTTGCTATTGCATCCACCGAGGCTTCCCCAAAAGTTGTGAAATGGGACACCTGAGTTGCTCTTTGGCGGAGACCAACAATTCGGCGCGATTTTGGTGGGACGCTTCCTGGGCCGAAGCTAAGAACGAACAGCCAATTCTGCGCAAGCACGGCAGATCAACGCTTCCGTGACGGTTGAAACACAGCTCGAGTTTCGGGAAGCTAAAGCAAACGGGTCGAGTGTATTCCAGACTTATAGCGGGCAAGGCTTCGGTACACGTTGCTTGAAATCGAATTCCCACGTTGGCATCAACTGCACGTTACGCCACAGCCTCCGTTCTCCGGCCAGCGGCAGGTACGGTCAGCAGCCTCAGGCCACAACACTCAGCCAATGGGAGGCTCCGCTGCTGGCTCCCCCGTGTTGTGGCCTTGTCGCCCTGGAATCAAAGATCGCTGGGGCGCACTGGACACGGCGCCCACAGCCTCAGCTTGGAACGTTGAGGCCTGAGCTCGGCACGTGACGTAGGCGCAGTCGCCAGCAAAGAGTCGGCGGGTGGCCCCTTCCTGGCCCCTTTGCGGTCCTTCCTTCTCCAGCCGCAGCTTAAATCGGCCGTCCGCCTGCGACGCCGCGTCTTCGTCCTTCCATCCAACTTTCCCATCCACAGCACCCACCACATTCCATCAAAACTAACCCCCTCCCCGTCTCAATAGGCCCTATAAAGTGCATTCCCCAATAATAAACTCATCTTTCTGCTCGCCTCCGCGTAGATTAGCGGGTGCGCATGGAAGGTGAAGGCTGATGAGCGTTGAGAGTCGCTGGAGGAAGGTGCAGTGCTTGCTGCGTGTCGGGCTTCACTCAGGGTTTGACGTGCCCCGACGGCGGTGCCGCCTGCACCAGAGGGCCATCGACGACAACGACGAGGGCCGAGTGTGTCTGTGTGCGGCTGCTCATTCGTTTACTCTGAGAATATTGGCGGTCGGGGAATCTTTGTGACTTTCCATCATACACCAAAAGAAGAGCACCCTGAATCTGGCCCTGCGCTCTCAGCACAAACGCAACGCACGCGGTCTCTTTTTCTTTGCTCCTGCTTCTTCTGCTGCTACTATTGACATATTCACGGTCTTTTACTGCGAGGGAGAAGGGATTCGGACGCTCTTTACGAAAACAGACTGGCAGTCACAGACGCACGTTGCCGCGTAACCTTGTTTCCCATTCTATTCAGCTTTCTTGAAGCCACTCACACAGGGCCATTGTAAAAAAACAAACAGGCTTGCACCCGCCGCTGCGAGCCCCAAAGAGGGAAGAGGCAGGCAGAAAAACGCGCCCTTCAAGTCGCCCGCCCGAGAGACGCACGCAGCCAGGGCCTTCGATCTCTGCAATTCCGTCAGCAGTGGGCCAGGCGTGCTAATCCCAAACCTCTTGAGTCTCTCTCGGCTTAGCGCCGTCTGACCACGGCCCAGCTGGCAAACAACCGTCCTCGCCGCAAAAGGCTTAGCGCGCTCTGCTGGACCGCATCCCCGCGCATCCCTGTCGCGTCGCCCCAATAAGCTTGCACCGCCTCTTGCCGAGTCCAGACTACGAGTCCAGATTACCGCAGAGTTCAAGCCACAATGGCATCCAATCACGTGCACCCGCCCGATCCCTCCTTACAGAATGTCTCCATATTCGGTGCTGAGGGCCAAGATCATCTTCCCTTTACTGATCCGTACTCCCAAGGCTCGGCCTTTCCGACCTCGTTTCTCTCAGACCAACAGGCATCGCACTTGAACGCTACGCCCCCGAGCCATTCGCCTTTTAACCAGGCTCCTGCGTTCAGCCCGCCCGCTTGGCAAAGCACCTCGACTCCATCTGCCTCCATTCCCAGCTCGCTCCCCAATCAGTATTTGACTGCGAACCATGGATATTACCCGCTGCCGACCTCGAGCAGCGGGAGTGCCTTTGTGGCCGGTCATGGATCCCCATTCACCAACGTCGACCCGTCTTTGTATCGTCAGGGAGATGTACGTTCCTTCGGCTCATCACCCGGGCTGTCTTCGACGGCCTCCCGCTCTGCTTCAGCCATCGCTCCCGCCCCTCTCCAGCGAGGCTCGCCAGCCACTCCTTCTGCAGTCTCAACGCCTGGGACGTCCACGCAGGGTGTGGTATCGCAGTCCGTTGCCATCCAGCAACGCCCGCTGCCTCCCTCACAATCAGTAGCAAATGGAAATGCCGCCGCTCATGTCCGAACCGCTCCAAAGGGCACGCAATCCGGGAACTTTATCATCGTAACCTTGGAAGACCTGGCAAAAGTCACCCCGTCCAAGAAACTGGCTAACTTTGCAAATGTTGGCGACATCCCAGTCGATCTTAACTTGACAAAAGGTGTGTACCGGACTTCCTATGGGCTTGTCATCTTTATCTAATCGTTGCAGTGAACATCCCACAGTATGTTCCTCGGAAGTCACAAAATGAGCTGAAGGCCCTTGCTGCAAGTGACCCCGCTCTTAAAGGTGAGTTTCCAGTGAGACGTCGCCACATGTACGTAGACACACTAACTCGTTGTAGCAAAAATAATGAAGCGAGTAAGGAAGACAAAGTTGAGCACTCCAAAACCAAGTCGCCCACTACAGTCGACTTCCGGGAAGGGTTCGCCTGTGTCGTTGTCGTCAGAGACGGAATCCTCGGATTATGATTCTGACTCATCTTATGATTCCGACGCTTCTCCCCCCCCAGAGAAATCTCCACTTCCCCCATCTCGGCCACAAAAGGCCGTGGAAGCAGTACGCTATGACACGATCAAGGCCGTGTGGTTGCCGCGCAACAAGTTTGCGGAGAATGAGAAAATTCTTAAGGGACTGGCGGACTTGTGGGAGGTTGTTCGGACCATAAAGGATCGATGGAAGACAGATCGTGATGCTGTGAAGAAAGCACTCGAGCTGAAGCAAGACAGCGAGCTGCCTCTTTTGCGTGAACGTGTTGAAAAGCAGCTCGAACTGATGGAAGCTGTGCTCAACGCAGCTGTCGAGTTCGGTCACCCTGACCTGCTAAGCGCGTACGTATCCCCTTCTATTCTCATCACCTTCTTATCCAATGCACGTGATTTGTGGCTTTCGCCTGATGAATGTGACGGTCGAGAAGCTTTCGATACAGCTGCAAAGTTTTGGGGTGGCTTATTCATGGGCATGGCCCTCATCAGAGCGATGGCTGTTAGTATAGTAGTCGCATATATGTTCCACAAGCACTCGAACCACGGCGCATTCGTCACTATTAATCGATCTGAATCAACCAAAAAATCGTCTGCTCAACCAGTGCAGAAATGCACAAGCAAAATGCTTGCATATTGCACAAAAATAACCTTCCCTTAAAGTAACGTAGGCTAATTTTCCATTGATAGCTGCGGCCAGAATACAGCACTTATGCTTGTCTGCTACCAGTTCATTCTCGAACCGGTCCGTGAGGGTAATTACACAGGCTCCTTCATTAAAGCCGTCTTCAAGGTAAGTTACATCCTGTATAATCTGCTGTGATGTGAGCACAAGCCAATTTTCAACAGTTTCTTTCGCTCTGTACGAATCTGAATGGATCCATTTCCGAGAAAACTGGTCTCAGCAAACTCTTCACCCGTTCGATCAAGCGCGGCAATGAAGAAATCAAGCTTTTAACCGCAAAGATTAATGAGAATATCGCCGCATCGGACAAGAAAGCCAAGGCGGCGCGAGCTTCAGACTCAAAAACTGCGAAGGCTGCTGATTCACCAAAAGCGCCCAAACAAGAAACCGAAGTAGTTGCTGGGGTCAAGCGGGCTCGTTCGAATGAGGGGAGCGTTACGCCGCAAGCAAAGCGTGTTGCCTCTGGCACTACCGCTCCCGGTGGAAAGGACTCCGCTGCTGCAAAACTCGGATCTGTCAAGAAGGTCGCTCCCGCAAGTTCTTCGACTCCAGCTGTTACCGCAAAGCCCAAAACCGTTAAGCCGGCAGCAACGACAAATTTCTTCGCTGGGCTGCAGTCAGCCTCCAAGAAGCCCGGAACTTCGAACGCCGCCCAAGCAGCGAAAAAAGTTACGGCCGGGGCTACGGTCGATAAAAAAGGAGCGGCAGCTGCCATGCCGACACCTGCGCGGCCCGCATTCTCATTTGCGGAAACGATGGCTACGCTATCTAAGGAGAAGAAAGAAGATGATGAGAAGCCAAACAAGAAGAAATCAGAGGAAACACGGCCGCCCGAAACTGAAGAGGAGAAGGCCAAGCGTTTGCGCAAAGAGGAGCGTCGAAAGCTGCGTGTTCGCTGGAAACCAGACTTTGAATTGGTGGAGACGAGGACGTTCAGTCCCGATCCATCTGAAATTTCAGGGAAGGCCCGCAATGTGCGCGATGTGGGCAACGGCAGGGAGAAGGAAGGCTTCACACTCAAGAAGCACATGGACATGATGGAGGTTGACGAAGATGATGACGGTCAACCTATGGAACAGACGTACTTTGATTACCGCGAGCCAACAGCCGTTGACTTCAGCACGGTCCCGGAAGACGAAAGATGTCGAAATTTCGAACGCTTTGGTGGTTACCAAAAAGTCGACTCACCAGAGCGAGCCGTGCAGGACAATCACGAAGCGAATACACTTATGGTCCATTACCTCGCCAAGTCAGACATACCTCCAAATCCACGAGAACCAGCTGATCCGTACACGGGCCCCCAGATCGAGACCAAGAATTTTGGGTATCCTGATAGCTCATGCCCGTGGCTGCTCGCTCGCCTCAACCAGCATTCCACCACTGCACCTGCTACCGTTCCGCAGATTGACATCACTGCCTTGTTGCAGTCCTTTGGTCAACAACCCCAACAAGCGCCACAGCCAACACCACAACCAGTCTCTGCACCGGCTTTGCCAGACCTTTCCACCCTCCAAAGCATAATTGCGAACGTCAACGCTGCGTCCCAACAAGCCAGTGCTGCCCAGCAGCAAAGCTTCTCGTGGCCGTCAGCGCCCTCGCAGCCTGCTTCGTCTGCCACGGAGCCTGAACAGCCCAGTTCGCTTGAGTCTATATTAGCTGCCTTGGGTGCTGGCGTGCAAGCCTCACAACCAACTACTACGACTGCACCACCCATACAGCCGTCTCAACCGCCCCCGCCCCCGCCGGCACCGGCGCCACCGACCGCCGCTGTGCCTTCGAGTGACGTGAGCGCTCTTCTCGCGTCGCTCATGCAGAATGCACAAAGCGGCAGTTCGTCCACAGCAAGTCCCTTCCAGGGTTTGAACTTGACCACCGCTGCTGGTGGTGGGGGGCAAGACCAAACACAAGGTGGCAACTACTACGGATCGGCCCCTGCGTCTTCTACAGACCAATACGTCAGCAGTGCTGCAAACGGAAATGACCAGGGCGCGAATGGCAATGGCGGAAAGCGGAAATGGCAGGGCAACGCAAACAAAAAGTTCACGCACGCGTGCCGGTTCTGGAAGGAAGGCAAATGCAAGAAGGGAGCTGAGTGCACCTTCCGGCATGACTAATGCCAGTTTATCCACTGGTTCCCTGTTTTTTGCTCGGTGTTTTTAAAGGCAGCGCCTCTCCATCTACATAACTTAGCGTTTACCAGGCTTCGTTTGCGACGCCATGTTATCATTACTAACAGTTTCATCCTCTTAATCATAAGCAGCCTGGGAATTAGGCTTTTCATACACTCTTCATAGACCATGGGAGTCGGGTTGGCGCCATGGCTGTGCCATTGATTCATGTTGCATCCAATCTACGCGGCGCCGGCTTTTTCTACGGGAAGGAAATACGGCTAGAGCATACACAGCTCATGGGGTGGGTGATCCCGAGTTTTGTTTAGTATTCAGGCGGAGAAAAGAGCATTTGGCTGCTCTTATCCTGTAGTTGATACCATGGCTAGGTTCATTCCAAGAGCAAAAAAAATGACAAAAAGGAAACGGGATCTTTGATCTGAGCTTCTCTTTGCTTCCCTTTATTTCTTTTTCCTTCTTCGACATCAGAGCTAATAATCAAGATCCACTGACACGTTGGGCGCGTCATCCTCGTCCCTTGCCAGTCTTCGGTACGTGAACAGCTCGCCATCCTCCCTGAAGTCGTTCGGATCGTGCCTCTTGTCGAAGCTGAGCGTGGCCCTAGCCGGACCACCGAGCCTCGCCTTCTTCGCGCCATCGTGCGCGGCCAAAGTCTCCTCCTCCGAGCTCGAAAGTCTCCTCCGTTTGGGCTCCGTTTCGCACTGCGCCGGGCCCTTCGCGTCCGCGTGGGGCCCGAGGCGTTCCACGCGTCCCGCAGTCGCCTTCTTCGGCTTCTTCTTGGGCTTCTTATTTTTCTTCTTGCTCGTTGCAGCAGCGGCGCCAGCAGATGGCGTCGACGCCACCGGCGAGTCGTCTGTCGATTCTTCCGACCGGCCCACCGGCGGGCCCGCGGACAGCACATTGCCCGCCAGCGCTGCGGCCTTGCTGGCGGCACCCTTGGCCGCCTGCTGGGATCTCTCGCTCTGAACGCGGCCCTGGGGCATCGAGCCGAGACGCGTTGGGAAGATTGGGCCCGCGTATTCTCCAGCCTCCAGCCACAGGATGCGCTGGAGCTCGCTGTGCCGGAAGATGGCGATTTGCGCGTCCGTCAGGGTTCGCTTAACGCCATCGGGATAGTAGCCCAGTCCGTCACTGTCCTCCTCGCCGCCACCATCTTCGTCGTCGTCTACTTCGTCTCCGTTCGCGCCTTCCTCAGTCTGGTAGCCGATGAAGAATTGCTGCGGCAACGCAGTTCCCGGAAAGTGCCTTGCGTGAAACGCCCTAAGATCGTCCTGATCACCCGCTTTAGAACCCTCGCCATTCGGACGTATGCGAGTCAGAATTTACCTCTGTGATGGATGGAACAGAAACGCTTCTGGTCACGTTCATGCTCGCCACGATTTTTCTCGCAGAGATCGATCAAGCCGGAAGCACATGATCTAAATTTAAAAGAAAAAAAAATTGGCGTCCGAAATATGAGTTCAAGACTGGTGTTCGATTTTCAGGCTCGTGGGTTCCATGAGCTCTGGTAGGTAAAGCGAGTGAAGAGCTTATACTTCAAAGATCAACATCCATCATCCAAGACTGTGGAGTGAGCTGAGGTTGGATGAATGCAGCCTTGCGTGCAGAAAGGGAAGAGAGCGAAGCGGCGTCAAGCCAATCAAGGCATGGGGAAGCACGTGCGGCGTCCCACCTGTCGTCATCGGTACTGATGGCATTCAGCCGTTGCGATGCCTTGCTTCCACGTACGTTGCGCACCCGACTCAGCAAACCATGTATCACATATTACGGTCTTCAATACCTTTACTTTCTCTGTTCTCTCTATCTGCCCTTGCTTCGACCCCGCAAAAACCGTTAAACATGGCTTCTGCGGAGTCCCAGCAACCAACCCTTCAGTCCTCCTCTGTGACTCTCTCTGATGTCCTTCCGCGTTCCCAGGCTATCGGCATCTTCAGCAGCTTCTGCAATGATGTCCCCGCTGTCTCATCCCTCCTCTCCTCCTCTTCCAAGAACCTGACCGTCCTCGCGCCACAAGACAGCGCCATCAAGAAGCTGCCCCGAAAGCCGTGGGAAGATCCGGCAGACTACGAAAAGGTCGGCATGGACGCGTACGAGGGACAGGCCGGTGTGGATAGAGCTCAGGATAACCTGCGGAGGTTTGTGGAAGCGCATCTTGTGACTAGTAGTCCGTGGCCAGAAGGCGTAAAGGCAAAGCGGATCAGCGGCGAAGGTGGGGACATCTGGTGGGAGATGAAGGAGGGCAAGCAGGTGGTACGTTCCTTAGCAACAATCGAGCAGGGAAGTTCAACGGCTGAGCGCTAAAATGATAAACAGATTCAGCCTGGTAACATCGAAGTCGTACAGATCGCCGATAAAGTCTCGAATGGAGAAGTATGGGTCGTAAGTGGCGTGCTCAACTACGCTAGATAGATACACGAAGAGCAGGGATATTTTGATTTGAAGGGAGTAACGGCGAATTGATTCTGAAAGAGAGCAGCCTGATTGTGCATTCCTTGTTTTTGGGGACGCTGAGAGTTCTTAACAGATGCTCTCACCCACTGCTACAAGACCTGGAAAGGCAGGTACGCGTGTCCCCAATTAGTTCGCAGGCTTGTAGTCATAGAAGAACTTGACCCTCTGCACCTTGTCCTTCTTCCAAACAATGATGTTTCTAGCGTACATTCTGATCTTCTGACCGTTCACCTCCGCTTCCTGAAAGCCCCAGACCTGCCTGGCCGTCCAGCCGTTGCCGACGCTCTTCACTTGATTGTCGATCAACTCCTCGTCAAGCCATCCATCCTTCAGGAACTTCTCGTCTTCGTCATCGTCCTTGAGATCTGACACCTTAATCCAGTTTGTGACACCATCGACCGCACCAAAGATGTGATCCTTGTGGTGGGCCTCCTTGCCGTCCACGGTACGCAGCTCAGTCGTGCCTGAGATGCCAGCCGCGCCCGGCTGTTCGATGTCGAAGTGCCAAAAGCCCTGATCATCTTGGTAGTTCTTTATGATGAGTTGGACTGGCATCACAGAGATTGCCTTGCGAATAAGCCAGCCAATGCCTTGCTATATGTTTGTGTAAGCGCATGACATGGCTATTGTGATGAGGTTCGGGAAGTATTCGTACCAGAGCAAGGACTGGGTCTGGGTCGCCGGAGATGGGCTTGTTCTGTGGCGAGAGTTCAGTCAAAGAGGTCCAGAGCAGCAAACTAACATGGTGCAATCGTTACCAAAATGTAGTGACCTGAAAGATTCTTGAGGGTGATTTCTGGTGGTGCCGCCATGGTTGGGTGCTTTCTATGTAGCTCTCCGTCTATGTCTTGTTTAACGTCTGTGTAGGAAAGGTAGGGCTGTCTAAGGCAAGATTGCTCAAAAGTGCAGTAGGTATTGTAGCCTTATGAAGCACTTTACCGGTGCTCGGACAGAGGGCTGAACTGCTTCGCTTAGACGCAGAATGGAGCTTCAGCTTCAGGCACATGTTACAGGAGTGCGCTAGTCAGGGCCGAACCGGCAAGAACCTAGGTGCCTAGGTATCTCTTCGCAGAGCGAATCTCGAGAACACGCACAATGTGCATACATTCGATGAATGGCGCAAGCCGATTGGTTCCTTGCGACTCTCACGGTGCAACCAAATTGGACGATTCCTGAGTACATTGGAGGTTCAAGCGGGAACTTAGCGGGGCCATAACGCCTGGTCCGTCCGGCGACAGTGGCACTTCCACGAAGACTGCAATTTACACAGGACGGCTGGCTCAGTTTCGGGCTAGTCGATCTGTCAATGGCCAGCTCTGTTGTCTTGACGAATACTAAAAATCCGTCCTTTCGCATCAGAGCGTCGGTGTCATTGAAAGGAACTGCGCTGAGCGCGTTCCCAAGGAGGGTAGACGCCCCGAACAGGTTGAATCGAGATCAATGAGTCAAAATGGACGATCTCGCGCGTTTCGCTTGTATCAATGCAGGGAACGCGGAGTTCACTAGACGTATACATGGCTGGGGCTCGCCCATGGGGTAAAAGTCCGTGTGTTTCAGATATCAAATCATCGAGACTACGAGTCGATAAGGTGAGCACACAGAGTCACGTGATCAAAGTCTCTCCGTTCGGCTTATCTAAGCAGTTGGTTCAATTTGACTGCCCGATCGAGGTTAGCGGCGTAATGGCAAGCGCGTCGCGCGTCATTGCTTCTGATGTGATATTTCGTTGAATGCGACAGTCATACACAGCAACGGCACAACATATGCCATGGCCAGCAGCTTTTTTGACATACGGGCACGCAAGGCCGCAGCTGCAGATGCAGGCTCGTCGAAACAGCCCGCAAAGCCAGAATCGAATCGTCTCCAGCCATGGGTAGAGAAATAGTATGAGCTGGAACACAAGCGTCCGCACTATGAATACACAGCTGATCAAAACCACAGCCGGCCAAAGACTCTTTCGGATGTCACGGCGCAGGATCACACAATTACTGTCCTCCAACGAACGCTTCAAGCGTCTAACCTCCCACACATGCTCTTCTATGGCCCCCCGGGTACGGGCAAGACCAGTACCATCCTCGCGCTGGCAAAGCAGCTTTACGGACCCGAACTATTCCACTCGCGTGTACTCGAGCTCAACGCATCCGACGAACGAGGAATAAGCATCGTGCGTGAGAAGGTCAAGGATTTCGCTCGCCAACAGCTGTCCAACCCACCCTCGGGGCCAGCAGGCGTTGAATACAGGAAGAAATATCCCGTCCCACCTTTCAAGATCATCATCTTAGATGAGGCGGACAGCATGACGCAAGATGCGCAGAGTGCGCTTCGGCGGACTATGGAGACGTATAGTAAGATCACCCGCTTTTGCTTGGTCTGCAATTACGTGACGCGAATCATCGACCCGTTGGCGAGTCGATGCAGCAAGTTCCGTTTCAAGAGCTTAGACAAGAGCAATGCAGGAAAAAGACTGGAGGAGATTGCGCAATTGGAAGGTGTTGGGCTTGAAGTCGGCGCTGTGGATGCGCTAGTCAAGTGCTCTGATGGAGATTTGCGCAAGGCAATTACGTATCTCCAGAGTGCCGCTCGACTGGTTGGCGCCATGGCTGCTAACGGGAAAAGAAATTCGGACGAGGATGCTATGGTAGTGGACGATGTAGCTGCGGAAAAGATTACTGTGCGTATGGTCGAAGAAATCGCCGGCGTGATCCCGGACGATACAATTCAGAGCCTGCTACAGGCTATGCAGCCACAAAAGAATGGATCGAGCTACGGCGCGGTATCCAAAGTGGTTGAAGATCTTGTTGCAGATGGCTGGAGTGGCGCGCAGGTGCTGGCGCAGTTATACGACAAAGTCATCTACGAGGAAACGATTCCAGACCTGAAGAAGGGCAGAATAGCCATGGTGTTCTCTGAGGTCGACAAGAGACTGATTGATGGTGCAGATGAACATTTGATGATGCTGGATATGGCCCTGCGGATATCCGACATTCTTGCTAGCAAGTGAGCAGCAACCTTATACGGTGGCAATTCGAGGCCTGGATCTGCTACATAACATGTGAACTCATCGAATGCGATATACTCGGGAACATGCGCCAACTAGTGCCGACAATATGATACAACCGGGAGTCAATGCTTGAGTAGGAATGGTTGTGAAAAATGAAGGTCATGTAAGACTACAAGGAAGATTTCGAACTCCACAAGTATGAGGATGAAATGCTGGCGCTCAGATATGAAGATGTTCTGTTGGTAAATCCAGCAACATTCGCCGTGCTTCAAGGCCATGTAAATGTAAAAATCTCCTCGTTCGTTGCCCCCACACTCTCTACCCAATTCTTCATGCTTTCGAGCAACTGTGTCTTCAGATCCGCACGCCTTACATCTTGTCCCGGAAAGCCACCATGCGTCGTTTCGAACTGGAACGGTGCGACGGCCTTCCAGATCCTCGTCACATCGCTCGGCCTGAGCGGGATCATGTTAGGGTAGCTCCACATGAAAGAGTACACGTTTGTTTTCGGCTGCCGCGTTTCCTGGAAGTACAGGCCGGATGGCACCGTCATGATGGTGTCTGCGATGAACAACTTCTTGTCCCAGTGCAGGAGAAGCGATCCCGGAAAGTGACCTCCTGCTTTAATCGCCGTCACACCGGGCACAATTTCAAGTGTCGGCGTGGTGATGAATCTTCGTCTCGGCTTTTTCTCGTCGTCATCCAACCGACAAAGCCATTCCTTATCCTCGAATGCGAGGTACACTGGGCAGTCAAATGCTGCCGCCCAGTCGAGGTGCGTGTTATAGAAGTGAGGATGACTGATCACTATCGCCTTGATCCCACCTTTCTGCTTGACCTCTTCGACGAACTTGTCGTTAATGAACGGGACCAGATCCCAAAGCACGTTTCCGTGCTCGGTTTGTAGCAGTATGGCTCGCTGGCCAATGCCAATCTTCGGTACTTTCATCCCACTTGTTAATCCCAGATTAACGCCAGCAAGGTGCGCTGGAAGCGAATCCGGCACACTCTGGATGAACCAGACTCGCGGGTCGACCGCGTCTTGTGTCCATGTGTTCTTGAAATTGTCTGCCTTAAGCTTGCTCAGACATGACCACTGCTGTCCTGTGGGTGGAACATATTGTCTTGGATCCTGCGTGGGGCAGAAGCGGTTTAGAAACTCGTTTCAGACTACATTTCTCCCGAAAGAATGGAACTTACGTCGCATATCTTGCAACTTTTTGGCGGATCCGTAAAGGGAGCGTCGTATTGAGTGCCACAGGCCACACATATTGCAAGATCATCCGAATTCGCCATCTCACTTCTTGGATAAGTCGTGTTGAGTTATCTTTGCCGGATAGTTATATTGCTTCAGTCTTTCAGGGATTCGCACCGGGCTTTAAGTCATTCTAGAGCTTGGAGAGGTGCTGACGAGCGGAGCGAGTTCTAGCTCCTGTACAGGCTGCCCCGCATCCACTCAATTACTTCGTATAAAGTAAGCACAGAAATGATACTTACAGCCTGAACCAGCAGTCCTGCGTCTGGACTCTATCTATGCAAGTAGAAAAAAGCCTATGATTAGTAATGGAGTTTGCGTTGCGTCTTTTCAACGTGCGGCAAGACAATCCAATAGCTGCTCTTCGTTCACGAAGTACAGTAGGCCAAAGTTAGCAAAATTAGAAACAGTTTCGAGTTCGCGCAAAGGTTCTTGTCACCAAACGATGATACAATGACGAGTTCACAAGTCTACAGCTAGCTAGAGAATCAATTCTAGTCTCACACAAATGCTCTGTCTTTATTCAGTATTCTCTAGGTCCTGCCCTTCAAATTTCGGCAGCCTTTTCATGACGTCTTCCCAAGTTTCCCTACCCTTTACCATGTTGACAACAGCATCCACGATTTCTGCCTCTGGTGCGCGAACTTGCAAAGTGCTGTCGCGCTCGCGTAGCGTGAATGTTCCTTTCTGCACACTCTCGAAGTCAACGGTAATGGCATAAGGTGTACCAACTTGATCTTGACGGCTGTATCTCCGACCGATGCTCACAGATGAATCATCGACAACATTGTATACCTCTTGTTCTCGAAGCGCTTTGGACAAGCGGGCCACCAGCGGCTTGAACTCGGCGTTGCCGGAAAGTGGTAAGACAGCTACAGGAGTCGGTGCAACAATCGGTGGGAAAGAGAGAACAACGCGAGCTTCATCGTTTTCACGACACCAGTAAACGTGCTCGCAGAGTGCGTACAAGATTCGACCGATCTGTGCTTGTTGAGCCTAATACACCATATGATTAAAAGAAAGGGTCACTTACTCCGAAGGACGGTTCAATCACGTTTGGTATGTAGGTGCGGACGTGTTCCACACGTTTCTTCTTTTCGATTGTCAAAAGATCTGAAGTGAGCTCTACATTGCCGTCGCCAACTCCGGGTACATCAATGGTCGCCTTTCCATTGCTCTTGAGTTCGAGAGACATCTTCTCCCTAGAAACAATTAGTATGCGTGTGATATTCAAAAACACGCGACATACTTGAGATCATCAGCCAGATTGTCAAGAGCGGCCAGGATTGGCTGTGCGTCTTTCCTGAACTTCATTCCCACTTTCTTCTTGTCAGGCTCTGCAGCCCAGTATTCAACCTCTCTTGGTTCAGGGAGCCGCTCTTTTGCCACCAGAGGCTGACCAGTTTTCTTCATATGCACAGTCAAATCGTACGCACTGCGATCAGCGCAGCCGACGCACTCAATCCATCCGTACGAGGTTTGAAGTTCAAGATCCCAGCAGTCGGATCTATGAAACGTTAGGATGAAAGACAAAATATGTGAAATATAATCAAACTTACGCATAATGGGCCATTTCTGAAGCCATGTGTTGTCTAAAGCGCATTTTATTTGGATCACAGCCAATCTTAATGGCGAAAAGCTGTATTCTAGCAAGGAAGTAGCCAAGAGTTTCATTGTCAACGATACCGTTCTTGACAGCCTCACCGATAGGCGTCGGCGTGACAGTGGTCTTTCCAGATAATTGAACTTCTCTATTCAGCAAGTTCAATTTGATATGCCGGACTTCTTCAAAGCGTGCGTGCTTTTTGCCACCCTGTGGATCAACGAAATGTTCGATCTCTGCCATCAGAAACTAATAGTAAAGAAGTTAGTTAGCAATTCTATGCACCAGTAAGATGTATTTCGGCCTTTTGTTTGTGTATATGTGTGTTTTGGCGAGAAGGGGCCAAGAAGTAAGAATGCTGTCATCCATGGCAGCACGTGCATAAAATATACCACAGAAAGGCCTATCGACGACATACCTCGCGCACACGAAGCAGACCAGCACGTGGAGCTATCTCGTTTCTGAAGGACTTTCCAATCAAAGCGGATGCGAACGGCATGCGCCCGTTGTTGAACTCGAGAAGCTTTGCAAAGTTCAAAAATTGGCCTTGCGCAGTCTCTGGGCGTAGAAAGCCCTTGAGTTGACTCGAAGGGCCAATATTCGGGATTTGAAACATGAGGTTGAATTGAACGGGGGCCTCAGTGCGCTCGCCAGAAGCTGGGTTACGGATGTCGTACTTCTCCATTAGCTGACCCAGCTCAGGACCATCATAGTTATCGATCTTCGCAAGGACTTCCTCGTACTCTTGAACCACGGCATCATCAAGCTTCACGGCTTCTAAGGCGCCACCCTTCTTCTTTTTCTTCTTCGGGTCGTCTTTCTCGACGATGGCCTCGGCTCGTGCTAATCTATTTCCATTTAGCCTTGCCTCCAATACCTGTTCGACTAAATGATCAGCTCGAAGAATGTCACCGTTTTTTGGATCCTTGACCATCCAGTCGCAGAAACGATCAACGTGACCAGATGTTTGCAGCACTTCATGAGGCGTAATCATTGGACAATCAACTTCGAGCATGTTTTCCTCTAGCACGAAATGCTTTCTCCACAGATCGACGATTTTAGCTTGCAGAGAGCAGCCTGGAGGGCCGTAGTCGTAGAATCCGCTCACGCCGCCATAAATATCAAAGGACTGTACGAACATGATTAACAAAAATTCATTTGATAATTCCAAGCTGCAAACGAGGAGAATCCACGCTGCAATGACCCTCGGCAAGTCCAATGCAACCTACTGTGGAAGTTATTAGCAAAAAACAGGACAAGCTATTTATTTTTCGAACCTTGAGTGTAGAACAGTGATGCGCGGAGAACCCGGTCAAGCTCAGCTCTGTCAAGCGGCTTGCCTTTCAAGGTTTTGACTTCTGACATTTTGTCGACGAGTTTTCTCTTCAGCGATCCTGGGTTATTGGTTTTTAAAACAAGTGTTGTCGAGAAGGTTCGTTTAGCAACCAGCGCTGGGAAGCGAAGCGTAGCAGATCGATCAACGTATCTGACGCAAGAGAGAATATGGATCGTTCTTGATGAGGAGAAGCCTAGCATCCACCGATCTGTGAGAAAGATAACGCCCACTTGAATGATGATGGAGTTATGTGAGTCACGTTTTGATTTTCGACACCTGTTAGGAGGTGGCATTTGAGATTAGATTAGATCAGATGGGCAATCATGTTGTGCGCCCTATCACGTGCAGTATCTATCTCATAGAGTCACCCCGTCAGTACTCTCAGCACTTAGCATCGGCATCGGACTAGGCTTCCGCATTCGAACCAACTTACGGGAAGGACTCTTCTTTAGTGATCGTCACATTTTGTCTGTAGATACTCGAACAAAATTCAGTCACTCTTCGTGCTAAGTCAAAATGCCAGCTTACGAGAGCTTGCAATCAGGCGCTTCTATGGGCACATTCAGAGGCCGTTCAGACGAGCTTGTCAAAACACCATTAGAAATGACATGTGAACCACGGGACTACTATTTGAAGAAGAGGGATTCTTTGCCTCCTCCACATATTGCTCACAGCCACTTTGTGCCGAGAACAACGGTGGAGTTTCTCATGCGCTACAAGAAGGACAGCGCCATCGGCATAAAGTTTTTTCCTAGCAACAGCGCAAATAGTGGACGACTTGATAGGATCACAAATTTGGAAGGAGTGTTGCATACTTTTGTTGTACCTATTGTACAGGCGACTATGCACGGTGACTATCGATGGGCTGGAGGCCACGGCGTACTGGAATTCGGTCAGAAAGATGGCTACCAACTTGGCCGTGAAGTCTTGGTCAGTGCCCTCGTACAACAAGACTTTGAGAATTCAAGAGTGATGATGAGAGTCGCGGCACTTGACACTAAGGATTTACATGGAGACCCAAGGTTGCCCAGACCTCTCACCACTAAAGAGAAACAAGATGTGAACTTGAGGACGAGATACGACGATGCTATTCGTGATTACCTCATTTATCATCTAACATTGGATCGACGCTTGCCTGCTGTAGATGTCCACATAGAGCAGACTGCACTGACATTACGAGCCGCTCTTGAATTCCTGGCCCAAGCAATTGAGGAAAAAGAAGCACATAAGCTCCCAAACCTGATGCAACATGTGTTCTTTTACCATGAAGGAAGATTCATCAGCCTCGAGATCATGTTTCAAGCCGCACTCCACCAAATTCGGAATGAGATGGTCCTCCTTGAGCGACTATGCGGACAGCAGGGCTATGTGTACACCTTCAATCCACCAGCCATATTTGCTCGTTTCTTTGGCCCGTATGGAACCGAGCTTTTGTCAAGAGTCCATGTCGCAGCTTTGAAATTCTTTGCATCTACAACGCAAATGCTTCGCTGCAAGATTTTTGCGTGGGCGGATTTCAACTCGCCGCGCATTCTTACACTGATCAGGAAGGCGCTGGAAAGCCAGCCGCACATAACTGTCATGAGTTATGATACTCTCTTCTCTGGAAAAAGGAGCATTCGAGGTCAGAACGAAGGACTATATTCACCACCTACGGTGGCAAGGGGGGCGACCTTGGTGATCCATAACAATAGTGATGCATTTGGCCAAAATATTGAGACCGAAGCATCGGGAGGGAGCCTCGACGGCGTTATTGGCACATATTCAAGTGCAGCAGCAAGCTTAATGCGAGACAGGGAGGATCTTTGCCATAATTTGTACGAGATAATTGCAACGTAACAAAGCAGATAATAATGATGGTTGGAGACAACGGGGAGAGAAGAAGCCATCGATACGTGATTTCAATGTCAACAACATTTGCCATTCACAATGGTACGGTCAATGGGTTCATAATTCTACACGTTGACATTAGCACAGAGTCTTCGCACAATGTGAAAGCAACGACTTACACAGCACCACCGTCAACTACAATGTTCGCTCCTGTAACGTAGGAGCTGAAACCCGATGCCAAAAACCCGGCTACTTTGCCAACTTCAATTGGTAGTCCTGCACGCTCGAGACCGATTTGTTGCTTTTGCACCTTAGAAGATTGCAAGCTTGCTGGGGGGAATTGAGCAGACATTCCTCGCATGTCAAACTTTGCTGCTAGATTAGTCTGCGTTTGAACAAATGGAAGAATCAAATCATACTCCATCCAAGCTGACGCCAACGTCGATCTGCCCTGCACTTATACAATTAATTCTAATCCCTGTCCCTTTCAATGTAGGCACTCCGGCTCTAACGACGCCAAGCGCAGCGTGACTGCTCATGGTGTACGCAGGACCCCAGCAACCACCGTAACTCGATGCTACAGATGAAACCACAATAATGCTACCATACGGAACGTCCTTAGGTGCCGCATTGGGATAGTTGCCTTTGGAAGTCGTTTTGAGCATAGCAGCGGGAGCGTACTTTAATGCTAGAAAAGGGGCTAATGAGTTGGATTCAAAGCATTTCTGTAAATCTGCAGGCGACGTCTCTGAAATAGAGGCAGGGCCGAGCAGACCGGACGAACAGGCCCACACATCGAGTCTACCCCATTGGTTTAAGACATCGTCGACCAAAGCTAGGGTCTCGACTTCATCTGCGACCTTAAATGGATATCCAATAACTCTTGTGTTCGGGAACCTTTTATTGATCTCGGCAGCAAGGGAAGTAGGATCATCCTGGACGTCATCTGAGCAAGCTATATCTCGTTAGATTCTCATATCAACTAATTAAAAGAACCTACATACCATACACGCATGCTGCACCGTGAGCTATCCTTCACATTAGATTCGATCTTTCAAGCCTTATCTCAAAGCCTACCGGCCAACTCAGCAATAATAGCGTTTCCCACAGGCAAATTAGCTCCTGTGACCACACAAACAAAACCGTACTGTGAGGTCGTCAGTCTTCTTTGAAACCTGTTGTTCCTCAGATCATCTTTAGATTTAGCATACTAGCTTTCCATCTGCTCTATAAGGCGAAAAGTGCTCAGATTCCATGTCTTCGAGCGCAGATGCTGTCAGAGAAGATGCGGGGATTAACCCGTTTATGTCGCTGTTCTCCATAGATAATTTTGCAATCTTTCCTCACAGTGTTGTGAATGAGTTCTTGGCGAGTGCTTCAGTCGCAACCTTTCTACGAAATCAGGCGCGCTGATAGCCATGATAATGTTAGTCTGCAGTTGATTATGCATGCGGGACTCCGAGGAAATAGGAAACCTTGTTGCAGATAAACGTCATTCGTCCGTGGAATTCTGAGAGCAAATGCACAGTGGTCATAGCTTAGAATAGGTCTGGACAAGCTGGTCGTTAAGAAAAATGACGATAAGAATAGATCCTAACGTTTTGATTAGAGATAGATAAACATGCTTCATGCTTTTGAAAGACACCACGGGAAAGAGGATGTGACTGATCTAAATTTACTCTCGACGCAAGGTCTTCACTGCCGTCTCCTTTGCGATCCACGAGGCCAGACTCCACCACCTACATCAGCACAGAGCTCAACAAGTAAGTCACTGCGTTTTATTTCTGGGTGGACACCTTTTTCTTTAAAAATGGCTAATGCTTTCAAAAGCCTCTATAGTCAACTTTCTAATCTCAGCTCGATCATCGTCGTTCACGTTGCCAGATTTGATCAGATGTTTGAGCTTCTCAAGATGTGAGTACTGCTCATCAGAAAGGTCCGACTTTAAAAGCTTTAGCAAACGTGGTGCAAACTTTCCGGTGGCATATACGATTCCTTTTCCTTTTCGTGTTGCGAGCATAACTATAATCATTGTCAAGAAGAGGCGGGGCGCGTCATCGTCTCCCTTCATCCCTCGTACCATATCTTCCAGTTGTCGCTGGCGCGTCTGAACAAGATCCTCAGATTTCACGGCAGCGAAGCCCATCTTCTCGTGAAACTTGTCCAAACTCTTCATGATCGGTGTATCTCTCTTCTCCGCAGAGAGTACAGACTCCAGTTTGCTTACATTTTTTTGAATTGTATGATCATGAAGTAAAGATTTTGTTCGAATTTTAGTTACTGTAGCAGGGACAAGATCTTGCGTCAGATGTATCGCAAGCAGGTCCTGTAGTTGATCTCTTAATGATCCAGGTTCTAGATCTTTCAATGCATTTTCGTACTGTTTTGCTGGTAGATACGCTCGCAACATCCACAAAGACTCGAGTTGGCTTCGCTCCTCGGCAATCAGTTCGGTGATCCGCTCATCAAAACTCTTTGTAGCTATGGGCTTGATCTTGACTCTTTCATCATCCCACAATCGTGATAGAAGGTCTATTGGCAGATCCGACTCTTCCACGAGTTTCTTCAAGAAAGATGCCAGGACCGGTTCCTGTGTTAGACATGGCTTCACTGCTTCTTTCTTCCAGCTCTCATCCGCACACTCGCGGCCCAACCTTTTCGAAGCGATTTCAACATCGCCGATAATGGATTTCAGAACAAGCCACTCGTCCATGCCCAAGACTAGTGGCGCCACGCCGCCGCAATAACGCCAAAGTTCGACGGTTCGGTTCTGTAAGAGATTCAAGACGTCTTTCCGAATATCCGCAGGAAATGATTGCACGAATGGCTTGACGAAATCAGAAGCGTGTAGTTAGATGTATAGCTGTGAACTCACCTGGGTGTTAAGATATCTCTGAGGCCCAAGTGTCTCAAGACATCTTTTGGCAGTGTTATTCAACCCAACATCACCAATTACGTAGTGTGAAATAAAGTGCCACTTGTACCTGGATCCGTCTTTGTGTAGACACTCTCTTTCTGCCAGTTGTCTTGCCGCTTCAATGTCAGGGAGCAGAGTCGGATACTTTTTGACTAGTTGCTCAAGATCGCAAAAAGCTTCGTCTCCGATTGCGACCTCCTTTAAGGACCGTTTGGCCTTTCGAAGAAGATAACTCTTCGTGATATAGCGGACCTCGTCCTTGCCGATTTCGAAAGTCCCGTACAAAGGTTCCGAGCCGTTGAATTCTTGAGCAAGTTTCTGAGCAAGTCTCCCGAACGTTGCGGTGTCCAGCCCGTACATATCATTGGTATTCCACACCGCGATCCGAGCAGCGGTGTTTGAATTCATGGCTTTCTCGATGACACTTCTCCTTAACTCGAGGAGGGTGCTCAATGCGTGAATGTAAGATTGTCCACCTTCCAATGATCTTGCTCTCGATTGATTGGGAGCATCGAGCAACTGCAGAGGAGACTCGTTGTGGATATCTTCGCTAAGTATCACAAGTTTCTCCACGCTTTGGACGTCAAGGTCATTTTGGTCTGCAAACTCTTTTGCTAACACGAACTTCAATTGAGCTTTTGCATATAAGTCTTCAAGAATGCGCTCTTGATCGCATCTGGTAATGATATCTTCCTTCGACTTTGAAAGCATGAAGTCCTTTCTTCCTCGCAGTGTTTCAAGCAAGGCATCTTGCCTGACTTCAAGATGATTTCCGATGGCGGCAATTGGAATCTTCCCATACTTGCCCTGGATAAGACGCGAAAATGCTCTAGCAAGCGCGTCTCTCGTAGTGAAACCAGTTCCCGAAGATAATGGAATCAGAGTATTGTCGGTGCTTCCTTCATGCTGGGGTGGCAGATCAAGAACTAATTGACGGACTTCATCATCGTTGAAAATGTCGCGCTTGGACATGTTTCGATTAGAACCTACGAAGTCGAACATCACTCAAGTCACAGCCGTAGGTGTTGGAAGATATCACGAAATTCTAGTCAAACCCCATTTTGATGACTCAACTTTGATCTCTCGAAATCGCATGCTCACATCAGGCAAGATTGGTCACTTTCGTTCAACACGCTAGGCAACTAGTTCTAGGGCACGTGCTCGGCTGAAGTCTTGATTCCTCAGGCCCTCATTGCCATTCCCCATCCCTCGAAGCTGAATTAGTAACAAAGTTGTCAATTGACTTCTCCATTCATCTCAATTCACTCGCAAAATGGCTCACTTCAGGGCCAAGAGGCTGGACATAGGCAGTTACGTCAATAAAATGGTCATCCGTGATCATACGAAGCGCAAGGTGTTTGAAGAGTACGAAATGGATAGGTTGACTTCTTACTCAATCCGAATTCGATGCAAACGGCTGACATTTCTTCTGACAGACAAGCGCTTCGTTACATCGTTCGAAATACATCCCTCCCGGCTCGTATGCGTGCACAAGCGCAGCTCGACCTTTCCCAGATGCACCCGTACACAAGGTTAACACAAATTAACAATCGCTGCATATTTGGCGGCAGGGCACGAGGTGTCTTTAGAGACTTTAGAATGAGCCGGGTACGAATTTGATCGAGCAATACGTCTTCGTGTGCTTACATTGAGCAGTATCAATTCCGAATGAACGCATTGGAAGGCAATCTACCAGGTGTTAAAAAGGCAAGCTGGTAATCAATATGACCGAGTGTGTTTCAACTCGAGCGATACTAGTATTTGTGTGGGTCAAGCCTATAGACTGCGTGTATAATAGTATATGTTTAGGTCGGTTGCCGTGGATTACTCGGGCGCAGGGTTTAGAAAACTGTATCTGGAGGGCATGCCCTGATTGCGGCCGATCGTGCAACAGATGAGCTCGCTTGAGATATGTACGAGATACGACGGTCGAAGTAAGACCTTGAAACAAAATTAATATATCACCGCACTTCGGACGGTGCAGAATACGTCGATTTCTCTGTAGATGCCAGAGCGGTAGCTTGTGGCTTATTGGCTCACGTTCCAATTTGAGGAAAAGGAGCCACACGAACCGCATTGTTGAATTTTCATGATTACACTTCGAGCAACGAATTGCTTCCCTGCTTGTGTTCTGTCGTGCTCGCGAAAGAGTTGCCAGTAAGATGCGCCGTCTTTCTACGCTAACCTCTCTCGGGAACAGTAGTTCGCGTCCGCGCTGACACATGTACTCTCAACTCTTTGTTCTCACATTGACTGATAAGTCGACACCAATCACGCAGTATAAGAGTCGTAGTAACTTCCTACAAACAAAATCTGAGCAACAATAAGGTTAGAAGATAAAAATGCGTTCAGAAAGCAAGATTCAAAACCTCGAAAGGCACACCGATCCTTCTATGATGTACTCAATCGCAAGATTCTTCGTTCTATATTTTACGACTCTATTCTCCCTTGATACTGTCTCCGCAGCGCGGTCATCGCCTTTCAGCATTAGCAATCCACAAATACCAGAATCTATGCGACGGGGCCGGAGTGATTATGGCGAAGGTCACAGCATTGGCTACCGGCTCGACCCGGGCGGCCCAGCAACTCGACGAGGAGGGTTTAATGGTGGCGGTTCTGCTTCAGACATTAATATACCTGCGTGCAAAAATTGTCCCACGAATGCTGCACCAAAGCTTGGGTGAATTGAGAAGGATCTGATTAGATGCTCGATATCTCCCTGGAGATGCTTATCACTTCGGGATTGCTTAATATGCCCAGCTGTATCTGCATTGCTTTTACGGGGCGGGAAGATAACTAAGGCTAATTAATCTGTCGGATTCAAACCATCTCAGACACAGAATTACTTTAATTGGACTCATTGAGCAAAGCCGACTTCCCTTCAACATATTTATGTCCCTGACTCCCTCAAGCGGCTATATGCCTACACTTATCCATGAAGCGGTGTTTTGCTGTAAGGGTTCTATATTCCAAGGATGCTAACCACTAATTTATACCAAAAAGAGATATCGATCTGGTTCCGCCAGTCTCACATCGACACAATGACACCGGCTTTGATGGTAATTCTAGCTGCCGGAGGATCGTACACCACCTCTGCAATGCTCTTTCTTGTTCTCAATTTTGTGTATCCTTTCTTAAAAATCACGAAGTCAGCGTCATCGCCAACTTGAAAGTCCCGATTACCCGGACGTAGACCTATGGCTCTGCGAGCGTGACATGATACGCAGTCATATAGCAGATCGGTGTCCGTTTGACTTCCGGCAGAGTAAAGACCCACCCCTAGACATGCAAGGCTCAGCGGATCACAATTTCCTTGTGGAGTGAAGGCGTTGCCAACGTTGTTAGTCCCAATGGCTGCTTCTAATCCATGCTTTTGGATCATGTCTGGAACATGAAGTGTGCCCCGCCATTGCTGCTCCGTCTTCATCATGAACAAATCACTCGTCGGCAATCCTACAAAAGATATTGGAATATCATGGCAATCGGCCTTCACTTTTTGCCACTCTGAGCTTGTAAAATGTGTCAGGCGAGTGCAGTGCCCTAGAGTGACATGTCGATTGCCCTTCTTTGCCCAACCCTTTTGCTTCAGAAGGGATATTACGTCCCAAAACAGTGGTTTCTTCTGCGGGTCAAGATGATAGTCTAAATGCAAATCTAGCATCTTGCTGTGCTGTAATGTCAAATCGATCATCCACTCAAGATTTCGTAACTCGAGCTCTTCGTTTTCTTCAACATAAGGGGTACTTCCCAAAACGTCCACTTCTGCTTTTTTGGCCGCCTCCATGATCAACTGGCGGACTTTCTCTCCATTGTCCTTGCCGCCGAATAATGGATTTTGAGCGAAAGCACACAGCTGTATATCGCATTTGCTCTCAAACTCTCTTTTGAGTTCTAGTCCAGTATCTAAGCATTTCATCCCTACATCTCCGTCAACTTCGCAGAAAGCCCGCATTGCCGTAACTCCGGCTCGAATGCTTTCAATGATCAACTGTCTTCCCCTTCGCAACAGGTCCGATCGTGTGAAACGCTGCTTTGCCTTTGTCGTAAGGTTCATTGCTTCCTTGAAATCTCCGTCCACGATTTGAAGATCGCTGAATTTCGGATCTTGGAGAAGGAAGCACTTATCTAGATGGATATGTGCATGGCACAGGCTTGGAGCTATAAGACACCCACGAGCCTCAAGAATATCAGGCGAATTTTTCTGAGGAGGTGAGTTGAACTCATGAGGGAGGATTGCTGACACGGCCCCTTTGTCGAGTTGCAAATCCCACAGGTACGGACGACACGGCAGCCGAACGCCGACAATTTTCTTCAACTCGTGGAAGCGGGAGTCTTCTTCAATTGATTCTTCACCCCGGTTTGTCTCCACCTCCCCAAATTTTATCTTGTCAACCTCATCAGCCAAGTTGAACCCATGCTTTTTGAGGAATTCAAAAGCCATCGTGATCGTCTGAAGATCGCTCGAGACTTAAGTTCGAAACATAAATTCCGTGGGTTGTACATAAATGTGTCACTGCCCCTCATTACCAATGACAACTTAGTGGTGTAGAGAGTCAAGGTCTAAGACGAAAAGTGGGGTACATTGGTAAGGTCACACCATTGAAGATTATCAGGAAAATGGTTAAGTGAAGTAGCTTCCTAAATCAATGGATCTTACATTAGCAAACTCAAATACAAGCTTGCTAATTTCAAATGTAATGCTACACCTCTAGAGCAGCGGTCTCGTCCCTGGCCTGTCTCAGGAAAGGGAGCAATGCCGATCCTCCCGTGCCTCTCAGATTGTCCCCATTATCACAATTATTCGCAGATTGACAACCCATTTCTTCCGGAAATGTGTCAACATGATCCACAGCTTTTCTTGCAGGCTGGATAATATATTTGGAGACAACTGCCATGTGCTTGCCTCTCCAAGTCTTCAACTCTTTTACACAATCATTGTAAACTTTCCAAAGCTCATCGTCACCAACCCTGGTCTGTAAATATGTCCTCAACGAGGATAATTTCGATATTTGATGAAGAAAGTTACGATGGATTTGGGGCATATAGCTTCTCATTTCCTGTGTCTTTGTTAGTGATATGTCTTCAGAAGCACGTTGGAGAGCGGAATTACAAAGAATATTGGGTCTTCGTGCACCACACCGAGTAGGCAATCCACGAATTGGAATAAGCTACTCTGTCCTGCATTTCCACCTGGTAACTTATATTCCTCTTTTTTTCCATTGGATCTCAAGAAGATCATCCCACGAGGTAAGCCTTTTTCTTCCATGTCTTTACCTCCAGCAATGAAAGGACGTAATTCATTATAAAAGAAGTCGGCCTTTAAAACAGGGTACAATTTCGAAAGCTCGTTCCCCATACTGATAATAGTTTTCTCTGTCTTTTTCAAAGCTTCTACGACTGCATCTCTTTGGCTGGCTTTAGCAGCATTGCTTGCGCCAAGGAGAAGGTGCATCAGATGCCCGCCCTGGTTCTCGATAAGTACTGGAACATGATAAAAGGCAGCCTCTCCCCTGCTGTTCGTGAAACTTGCTATAGTATCCATATTCTCTAGTTCAAATCCAGCCCTCGGATCTTGCAGCTTCCAATTCCAGAGGCAAAGACCGGCATAGCTCAAGACAGGCTTCAGCCCTAGCTTCTCGCAAACGGTGAGAAACGGTTCTGCTAATTGAGCCGGAATTACTTCTCTTGGTGGTGTCCCGCTCCAGACGAAGCCATGTACGAGAAATGCAAGAACAACGTACGCGCGCTGGTACTCCAAATCGCTATCAAGATGGGCAGTCCTCAACAGAGGCAATTCGCTTATCTTTTGAAAGAGCTGATTGGATTTGATAAAAACAGGCAGATTCGAGATTAGGTCGTCCCATGGCTCGTAATATTTGTTCTTGAACGAGGAAAGAGGCGGCTGTGATGACAGAAAGCCATGTTTGGGTGATATGCCAAAGTTACATGGGTCTAATACTTGAAGATCCATATTTTGGAATGCCAATTATGCTTAGATATGATTTTCATTGTGCTGATGAGCTTTTGTGCTTACATATGTCCCTACTTCTTCTACGCCCTACGAGTAACAAGCTCCGCCTTACAAGTGAGAATGACCAGAGAAATACGAACCTTTGATCCGATACCGACGAGAATCTTGAATTATGATTTGTAGATTTGGCAGTTGTTGCCTTTGATACAGGGCGTCCCCAATAAAGGAAAGAAATTCTTTTGTCTCAATATATTTGTTACTAGACGGAGTTGCATGCGCTGTCACAAAAATCAAAGATTTTTTTGCACGTTGCTCAGTTCGGACAGACATCACACGAAGTGAACATCAATTCTTTCGCAGTTAAAATTGAATTAATACACAGTGAATGACGCTGTGTCGATACCACGAGGATCGCTGGCGCTTTTTCATAATGCTTAAAGGTTTGCGTTGTAGTCATTTCCATTATGTTTCCAACATTTGGATCATAGGGTCATGGCTGGCCATCTTCTTTCGACGGTATTCCTCCATCTCATCCTCTGTTGGATCACCCCTCATTTCATCAATTGTTCGTTTCCTCTTCTCTGCATCTGCCTGCACATCTGAGCTAGCCTTTGGATCGCTGCTGGAATCATACGGCATACGCTGCCCCATTGTGTCTTCTTGCCATGGCAATTGCTTCGAAACCTCAACAGAATCAGTATCTAGATCCGCACCGGAGCGTAACCGATCTGTCTCCTCGAATGCATGCTTGCCTTCTTCGCCAGTGCAATAGCTGTTTTTGATAAAAGAATGGCAGCAAGCGTAGCCCCACCGAAAGTTTGACCACCATGATCCCCAGACCGATGTATGATTATTGATATATACGTCCTCAGCATATTTTGATTTTGTCTTAACCTTCGGCAAGCCTTTTATCCTTCCACGTTCATCATATTCGACGAACTGTTCTGATTCAACGACTGCAGTATCTTTTGAAGGTGCTGGAGTAGGTTGAACACCATACTTTTCCAGTAGCATCTTCTGTCTGGCTTCTTTCTTTGCTTTTGCCTCTTCCAGCTCCTTCTTGCGCAAAAACGCTCCTTCTGTTGGATTTGCCTGTAGGTGTATTTTGTTAGGTCCACCTCTTTGTTGGATCTCCCATGCATATCTTTGCGCTCGCTCGAATTCTTCAGCATCGCCACTTTTTCTTACAAAACCCTCCTCGGCAACCAGCGCTGAAGCAGCATCTGATGTGGCCCCCTTATCGACCATACTCCGGGTTTTCGGATCGTACTTTGCAGAGTCAAGGTCGAGATTGAGTAGATATTTTGCGGTGTCTTCTCGCAAACGTAACTGCCTTGTGCTATTCTGCTGTTGTCTGCCCATGTCTGTCTCCTCTTCGTAGCGATCACCTTCGCCTTCCTCGCTGCCTTTTTGATTCCCTTGTGTAGCCTTTTTGAGTGCCTCTAATTCATGGTACTCATCCACAACTTGCTGATACTCCGTCGCATCATAGCCATTCCATCGATCGCGTTTAGCATCCCAACCTAAGTTGACATTGGTAATGGTCTCGTCTGCTGCAATATCTCGCCCTGTGAACTTAGCACCGAATTTTCGTTTCCGTTGCAAACAGTCCTTAGCCTTGTGTGTCATCGATCCACAGTTCTCGCATGCACCTTTGCGGAATTTTGTCGCCGCAGGTCCAGTTTTCTTGCCACGGTCGTACCATTGCGCCTTTGCTAGTGAATCATCCTGCTGTTTTTGAAGGCGCTGATGCTCGAGGTAGTCCTTAGAGTCATTCCCAGTGTCTGGTACATAGAAGGGTTTATTTGCGATGAAGTTAGGGATGTATTCATTCCGCTCTTTTGCAGCTGCGTTGACATCTGGCTTCTTCGGCTGTCCGCGAAACGTGCCAGACATGGCTAGTAAATCCCCAGTGTTGGAGAGCCTTGAATATAAGCTTGTGTTTTACGTTCAGAAAGCAAATCGACACAGGGTGCAGCATCGCAATACCATCAACTAGGTGAACCACCTATAAGGCATTAAGGCAGAACATGCTGCCTTCACGTGCGAGAGTCATGTAAACCGCTTGCGCTTTTACCAAACAAACAACATGACGCGTATTTGGGTTCCTACTCCATCTTTGACGGGGAAATCTCGAAGATGGAATAATACCTGTCTCTAGAATGACACTATTTACAGGGACAAGTCTCGTCGACGATGGATGGCTTCCCACGCCCCTTTCGCTTCCGCCTGAATTGTATCGATCACTATCAAGCCACTCCCACTACCTTTGACCCACAGCTGAAAAGGATAAAGCGTCAGGGCCAGAATCAAGCTCCCACTGTTCCTGTTATCCGTGTCTTTGGCGCTACCGAGAGTGGCCAAAAGGTTTGCGCGCATATCCATGGCGCATTTCCTTACTTATACATACCATACGAAGGAGGCTTGGAAGACGACGAGGTACATGGCTTCATCGAATCACTAATCCTTTCTATCAACCATGCACTTTCTCTATCGTACCGCCGCAATCCGTATGATCATTCCGCCGGAACATTCGTTGCTCATGTCTCTCTCGTCAGGGGAGTTCCTTTCTTTGGATACAATGTTGGCGCGAAGCCTTTCCTTAAGGTGTACTTACTCAACCCATTGCATATGACCCGACTTGCGGACTTACTCGTGCAAGGCGCTGTGCTTGCCCGGTTCATGCAACCTCATGAGAGTCATTTGCAGTATCTGGCTCAATGGATGTGTGACTACAATTTATTCGGTTGTGGATTTATCGATTGCGAAAAAGTCTATTTTCGTTCACCTGTGCCTGAATATGAGAACATCGAAGATGCCAAAGACAAATGGCATGCCGGGACGATCCGACCAGAGTGGATGTCTGATATGACTGAAGTTCAACGTCAAAGCCATTGTACCCTGGAGGTTGATGTTCGTGTAGAGGACATCACGAATCGACGGGAGATTAGACCGCGGTACATTCACCATGATTTCATGGAGCGATTCCACGAACTGAAACCAGATGAGAAGTTTGTGCATTCCATGGCAGGTCTCTGGCGTGATGAGACCATCAGACGAAAGAAAAAAATGGGGCTAAATGATCCGGGGAGCAGCCCTTTCCCACCCGAAGCTATGGTAAGCATGAGTGCTGATCCGCGAGCTGAGAAAAGCGACTGGATTCACGAAGAGGAGTATCGGCGGCTCTTGTGCGAGATTATCAACCAAGAAAAAAGAGCAGATGGATATCGGGACGTCAACTTTGACAGCTTTCTCAAATCATCTGATAGTGTACGTCATATCCAATCAGCATTTGAGAGTGTTGAGGACCTTTACCAGGTCAATCTGGAGAAGGCCGACAATGGCTACCTCGGAATGCCGCCATCAACACAAGAATCAAAGGTGCTAGTAGACGAGCAGAGTATTTCGCAGACCCTAGACAACATTGAAGAAAGTTATTACTCTGACGAGGAAGTTGCAAAGGAGATTTTCTTTTCCCAACGCCGTGTGAAGGACGAGCTCCTCAAGGATTCTGACTGGCCAAGCGCAATCAAAAGCAGAAGTCACGCAATTACAGTGGAAGAAAATTTTTCAATTGACAAGCTTATTCAAGATGAAGAGACTGACGATATACCTGATCGTCGTGAATTAGATGCCTTGGAGTCTAAAACAGTTCGGAAGGTCTTGAAGAGAAAAACGCTCCAACGTGATGAGAGCTACGAAACTTTCAACATATCCATAAAGAATCAAGCGCTGGAAACTACGCCACAAGTTTGTCCACAAAGTTCTCCCAGTGACTCTTCACACAAAGGGAGAGCCCCCAAAATTCGCAAAGTTACCTTCACACAAACCAAACCTGGAAGTCAAGGAGCATCGTCATCATCTAGCCAATTGTCTCAAAGCAGTATCAAGGCCCAAGGGACCAAATCTTCGAGCACACTGTCGTTCCCGGTGGTCAAACATGCCCATGACCCAGACACGCAGTTAAGATTAAGCCAAAGACTTGAGTACTCCAACCTAAAGACGTCAGCATTGACGGCTCCGAAGACAAGCAATGAAAAATCAGATTTTGGGTCGCCTATCACGCCTTTTACTAACTTGAAATTGGCCTCGTCTGAGCTGAGTTCTGGAATCATTGGGGCATCGCCTGTGATGCTACAGATGGCCAGTCATTTATCAAAGGCATTTCCCATTTGCAAAGGTCGGGTATTTTGTTTGTCAGAATTACCTCCAAGTGCTGATGAAGTCTCTGTGTCGATGCTTGAGTATGGCCTGCCTCCTGTCATCTACCAAGACGCTTTCTACGGCGATGAGAAGGACGTCCCTGAACGGTCTCGAGAGTATGCTGGGCGTGAATTCAGACTTGAGAGCACAACCGTTCCATTTCTTGCGGATTTTGATCCCTTGGGTAACTCTGCAGCAGCTGCAGGTGAAAAGCCTAGTGTCGTACGGGACAAATCAAAAGAGGAAATGATATACTATCGACGCCGCAAAATGTGTTCTCTAAAGAACTGGGAATATGCAGTCTCGCCACCCTCTTTTACTGAAGTGAGCCAGTGGCCTTCTTTAGCTTCGAACAGTTTAGAGTCTGGTCACAATGGTTTAGGATGTCTTGACAGGTCACCAGCGGATGCTGAGATGATGGACAATTTTCATCTTGAATTATCACAACTAGATGGTCCAACACAAAGAAACAAGCACGGATTCAAATATTCCCAAGTGCAAAAAAAGACAAGTGTTGAACACGAAACACAGTACATGACGCTGATGAGCTTGGAGGTACATGTGAACACACGAGGCAAGCTAGCACCAGATCCCGCTGAAGACGAAATTTCCTGTATTGCGTGGAGCACTCAAGTCGACGTCAAGACAGCAAACTCAGTATATAAGACCGGCATTCTGGTGCTTTCGGATGATGATGGAGTTGCAAAACATATGAATCGATTGACTACCATAGAAGTCGAGAACGAGGAGGATGAACTCGAGCTGCTCAATAGACTTGTCGACATAGTTCGCGAGGTTGATCCAGATATCCTGACTGGCTTTGAGGTGCACAACGGCTCTTGGGGCTACCTAATCGAACGTGCGCGTGTCAAGTATGAATTTGACCTTTGCAACGAACTATCGCGGGTCAAGAGTCAATCACACGGTCGATTTGGCAAAGATGCTGATCGATGGGGCTTTCAAACGACATCTTCTATTCGCATCACCGGCAGGCATATGATCAATATCTCGCGGGCCATGCGAGGGGAACTCAATTTGCGCCAATATACAATGGAGAATGTTGTCTTTCACTTATTGCACAAACGCATACCCCATTATGCGTTTTCAGATCTTACAAGATGGTTTCGAAGTGGTATATCTAGAGATATTGCCAAGACAGTGAACTACTTCCTCACTCGAGCGCAGATCAACCTGCAGATCCTGGAAGCAAACGACCTTATCCCTCGGACATCGGAGCAAGCGCGCCTGCTTGGTGTTGACTTCTTCTCCGTTTTTTCGCGCGGCTCGCAGTTCAAGGTTGAGTCAATAATGTTCCGAATAGCAAAACCAGAAAACTACATTCTTGTATCTCCATCAAGAAAACAAGTGGGACAACAGAACGCTCTTGAATGTTTACCCCTGGTAATGGAGCCACAGTCCGCATTCTACCCATCTCCTTTACTTGTTCTCGATTTTCAGTCATTGTACCCCAGCGTTATGATTGCATACAACTATTGCTATTCGACTTTCCTCGGTCGGGTCGTCAATTGGCGGGGTACCAACAAGATGGGCTTCACAGACTTTAAGCGGGAACCACGTCTACTCGAACTTGTCCAAGACCACATCAATATCGCACCGAACGGAATTATGTATGTCAAACCGGAGATGCGGAAAAGTTTATTAGCAAAGATGTTAAGTGAAATACTGGAAACCAGAGTGATGATTAAAAGTGGCATGAAGGAGGACAAGGACGATAAAATTCTGCAGCAACTTCTCAATAACAGACAGCTTGCTCTAAAGCTCCTTGCGAATGTTACTTACGGCTATACTTCTGCGTCGTTCAGTGGGCGCATGCCGTGCTCAGAGATCGCCGATAGCATTGTCCAGACTGGCCGTGAGACACTTGAGAAGGCCATAGCACTGATACACTCTGTTGAAAGATGGGGAGCTGAGGTAGTATACGGCGATACTGACTCAATCTTTGTCTATTTGAAGGGGCGCACTCGAGAAGCAGCATTTGATATTGGGCAGGAAATTGCCGAGGCCGTCACAAATGCTAATCCTCGACCAATCAAGCTCAAATTTGAGAAAGTATATCATCCTTGCGTCTTGTTGGCCAAAAAACGATACGTAGGGTTCAAATACGAACACAAGAGTCAACAAGAGCCAGAATTTGATGCAAAAGGCATTGAGACGGTGAGGCGAGACGGCACACCAGCCGATCAAAAGATTGAAGAGAAAGCACTCAAACTGCTATTTCGCACACAGGATTTAAGCAAGGTCAAGAACTACTTTCAAGCTCAATGCATGAAGATCATGGCTGGCAAAGTTTCTATCCAAGATTTCTTATTCGCAAGGGAAGTCAAGCTGGGGTCATACTCTGACAGAGGTCCTCCGCCTCCAGGAGCTCTTGTTGCGACGAGGAGGATGCTTCAAGATGCGAGATTGGAACCACAGTACGGCGAAAGGGTGCCTTATGTGGTCATCACAGGCGCACCAGGCGCTCGACTTATAGATCGCTGCGTAGATCCCGAACAGCTACTAAACAACGACCAGCTTGAACTTGATGCGGAATACTACATCACAAAAAATATAATACCGCCACTCGAGCGGATTTTCAATCTCGTTGGAGCGAACGTACGGGCTTGGTACGATGAAATGCCAAAATTACAGCGAATCCGGGCCATTCGGACGCCAGCACAATGCGTTAATACCGGTCTCGGCGGAACGAAGAAAACTTTAGAGGCGTACCTGCAAAGTACGACTTGTCTAGTATGTCGTGCGAAGCTTGCGCCGTTGCCAGCCTTGTCGGCAAACAATTCAGGCCAAACACCGCCGCCGCTCTTGTGCGAAAGATGCATGAAGCAGCCTGCTTTGGTCTTGTATGCGTTGCGGACGCGAAGACGGGACGCAGAGAAGCGAGTCAGAAATCTGCGTGACATCTGCAGAAGCTGTTCGGGGTTCGGCTTTGAGGATGAAATCAAATGTGACAGCAGGGACTGTCCCGTGTTCTACACCCGAATGAAGGAAGACGCTGCATTTGAGCACTTGAATGGACAATTTGGGAGTGTTGTCGGTGCTCTTGAGAGGCAGGGCTTTGAAGATGGCCCGGAATGGTAAGGCTTCGAATAGACGAACTTGAATGTTTTCCGGTTGCATAGCACTGGCGATACTTGGGGTTGTAAATTACATCAATGTACCAGTATAGTTTGCTTCCGAAGCAATTGATTGTGTGAGGCAGGCGGCCATCACGTTGCGCTGGGCCTTGTTTGAGATTTCCGCATCACCATCATCATCATCATCATCATCACATGCCTCGTTGGAAAACGCGCTTGGACCCTTGGACTGGGAGAATCAGTATCCTAGCTTGGGCGCTATCTCAACGGGAGGAAATCTTGCTTCGATGCTAACATTCCGTGCTACCCTTGTTATCCTTTGCGATCCGCCACTATACACGGCTGAGGCAGGGCACAGATCCCGGTTCTCAACAAGCTAGGTATGCACAATTATCAACGTCTTCACATGCAGATGTCAGAAACATGCCCGCATGCCATTTTTTGTCGGCGGTTAGTTTCGCGGCCATATCTATCACAGCTGCCGTCACAGCGAGAAAGCTGACACCAGTCTCTCCTCTCGCTCCCTCAAGGTAGTCAATCACTGTGTGTGTGTGTGTGTGTGTGTGTGTGCGCGCGCGCACGCAAAAGATTTGTCGTCTTGTCGTGCTTGATCCAGAAGCCATGGAACAACAAATACACAGGGACACTTTATCGTCAACAAGCGATGAGAGAAACTCGCTTCTCTATTCAGTGATCCCCAAGATCGTCAGAACACGTATAAGGAAGATCTCTTCGCTGCGACGGTCAATGAGCCAATACACCATCAGCACAGAGGTATCTCTTCCAAATAACGGCGGACAAATCAGCGAAGTGTTTCCTGATCTGGGCACACCACCCCCAGGATATCGATCTCGGATTTCACTCTCGGAGCCAGAGTCCGATAACGAAGGAGATTTGGACTTGCCCTTGCGACCAATGTCAGCTTGCTCGTCTGTGGATCCGCTGGAGAACAACAGCGGGATCTTATGGATTTTTGCCAATCAAGGTATGGCCTCAGTCCGTCAGAATTTCATTCTGTCATTGACACGCCGTTTATAGGCCTGAGCCTCCTCAACATAGCCGCTCAAGAAGATAAAAGGAGACCGCAAGGTAACAACACCGACTCGAAGACCTCGTTGAGCCGATCGCTGTATATACATGGCGTCACATACCTGCTAAGAGGCCTACCTAAAAACTTGACTGTAGACGAGAAGATGAGTGTCTGGTCCTCAGTACCTCCTGAGGTTCAGCAGATTGCACCAATAGCAAGCTCGCCAGAAATCGGACAATTGGCGCAGTGCCAAAGCTCAACCGAAACGGCTCGGCCAGGCAGCTCGTCCATTCTGAAACAGGTCATTGCGAGCATGGTGGTGCAGATATTCATCATCACGCATTTCCTGTTCCCTTACATCAAGCACTGCCTTGCAATCCTGTACAAGTACGAGCGAAAGCATAAAGTTTCGGAACGCGTGCTTGCCTGCAGTGTGCACACATGTGAAAGTTTCATGAAGACCGGCCTGCAGGTCACAGGCGCTATTGGCAGGATGAATGATGGCAAGGTTGGACAGGCCTTGAACGACATGAGCGTCTGGTGGATCTCCGGAGTCACGGCGGGAATTCACCAGGGCATCGGTGATGGCCTGGCTATTGTGGGTGCCAAAGACGTAGATGATAGAGGACCAGAGAGCAAGAAGAGACGATAAAACGAAGAAGATACCAATAGAGAGCCTCGTGATTAGAGGTTATAGATAGCGTTTGAACGTTGCGATGCCAGTCTTTTGCCGCTTTCAAACTTGTGTGCCATGCTCTTTTCCAGTTCATCGCGATCGTTTGGTCAGGCATCCCGCTTGCCGCCGGTCAGAGACCAAGGGTTGGATGTGCAAAGATACGCGCCGAATGAATATTCCAGGCCCTGAGCGGCTCGGTTGCGAAGGTTGTTAAGTTGATATTTCTGGCATGTGCTCGTGAAATTTTTCGAGTCGATATTCTTCTGCATGTCATGCTCCCTGTGCTTTCTTTGTCCCCTCCCAGACCACGTCCTGCGCAGGCAAGAAAAAAAAAAGGAAAGAAACGCTCCCAGCCACGATTCGAACCTTTTCACATCACGCCGACTGCCTCCACGAGTCTTGGCGTAGTCATGCAGGAAGGCTGTCGAATGACATTGCTTTGGCTTATCTCCTATTTCCAAAGACATCACCTCATCATTAGTACCTCAGTCTGGCCGTCCGCGAAATTTACTGGCTTGAGACACGAACCCGGCGGCGCGGCTTAGGCTTGGACCGCATTAATTGAATCACAAAATCTCTTTCCTGGTACAATGACCACACCCTTTTCGTTGTGAGAAGCTTCGCGCAATGTCTTATGGCCTAGCGAAGCCAAGAGATGCACATCCCACTGTCATCCAACTGAAGAGCAGCCAGTCGACCAGCGTTGCGTCATAATGCTCGGCCACTGGCTGGTTCAGGTTGAGTACCTACCTTACTTTTGAGCAAGCTACATATTCTGTCAATTCCCGACGATTTTCAGTCACCCAGCATCTTCCCTGCCTCTCCTGCCTTCGATTTGAAACCTTTGAAGTACTGCAACGAACTCCGAGACGGCAGCTGAAAATGTCTGCAGAGGGTCCAATCCATTCCACAGGCCGCGGTGGTACGCGTGCAAATCCGCGAAAGATAAGAGTCTGGGCACTGATGCTTTACAGGTGCTGGCAACGTTGGCCACGATAACACCGAGTACACGGATGGTGGTATCGTACGTGAGGGCATCGTAGGCGCTGGCGAGGGCGATTACTCAACAGGTGTATGTGAAGCCGTGACCATTCTGTCTAGTAACCACGCCATCGCACTCACTCACCCGATCGCAGCGTGGTGGCGCCGGTAACATCGTGGAGCATCCAGAGAAGAGGCCGTCAATGGACATAGTTCCCAAGGTCAACGAAATTCCTCATGAAGGCCATGAGGACTTTCACACGGGTGTAAGTGGTCATCATCCTAGACCCTCTTCTTCACGGCACTGATTCGACCCATGTAGCGTGGCGGAGGGGGCAACGTTCACAAAGAAAAGTACGGCGGCCATTCCCACGATCCGAACAAGTTGAGCCTGCTTGACAAGGCGAAATCGTTCCTCACCGGCAAGAAGAAGGAGGCGAAGCACACGGAGACCAAAACGGAGACTCCAGCCCCCACTAGCGAAGCTCCTTCCACTTGATGCTCAACCTACGTACGTACATAGTCTATCGAACGTCGCGACTAGCGTCAAATATGATACCAGGCAGAACATGCCATGCCTCGCTCCGCAGCAGCATATCAGAGTAGATAGATCGTGCAGTTTCCTCCCAGTAGCTCTAGACAAAATGAAAGCTGTAGTTCTAACCCATGTCACCTGAGCACATTTGCAGATGCACCGAGGCCGTTCACGCTCTTATCACGTCCGACACGTTTGCTGGTCTTCAGCTGGCCAAGTCGTTTCTATGCACATAATTTCTCGCGTATATGGCGCCGGAGCTCGTCATCACTCACGCTAAACAAGCTTGAATTGGCCCACGTGCGTCAGACCCGTCAGGCAGTGGACCCTGTCCCGCGCGAAAAGCACCGGCGTGTTTTTTTTTTTTTCGACGGCGGCAATAAGCCATTTTGAGAACACCAAGGCCATCCTCGCAGCGCAAAAACCTAGACTCCTGCTCCCTGAGGAGAGAGGGAAACCCCGAATTTAAAATGTCTGCGCCTGCGAACCTCCCTCATGGCGAGCAGGATGATGTATCAGGCGAAGCTCTCATCACGTCCTCGGACCCGGAGCACCCAGCAAATCTCATTCCGGATCTTTGCCGCAACTTCTATAGCTTAGGATGGGTATGCTTCGAGGAAACTGTATCTGCGTCACATGTTATATAATCTTCTGATACGCTATCCTAGGTGACGGGTACTGGTGGCGGCACGTCCATTCGTGACACAAGCACGGGCAACATCTACATCGCGCCCAGCGGTGTCCAAAAGGAACGTATGAAGGCTACTGACCTCTTTGTTCTGGCTTACCCGGCCAAAAAGTACCTCCGCAAACCGCAAAACCTTAAACCTTCTCAATGCACGCCGCTTTTCCTAGCTGCGTTTGACCGCGGAGCCGGCTGCTGCATACACACCCATTCTCAGTGGGCCGTCCTTATCACATTGCTTGTAGAAAAGCAGTTTGGACCTGATGCTTGCTTCGAAATTGAGCACCTCGAACAGATTAAAGGCATCGCAAAGGGTAGAGGCAAGCCGGGTGCTCTAAGTTACTGGGACCGGTTGCGTGTACCGATCATTGAGAACACTGCACACGAGGAGGATCTGACAGAGAGTTTGGAAGCAGCCATGGAAAAATTTCCCGACAGTTATGCTGTGCTGGTGCGAAGGCATGGCGTGTATGTGTGGGGCGATAACGTGCACAAGGCGAAAACTATGTGTGAAAGCTTCGATTACATCTTTCAGCTCGCGGTGGAGATGCATAAACTGGGCCTGCCGTGGGTACGGGATGACAAGTCCGGACTGGTAGAGGGATGAGCAACTCCAGGCACGGTTACGGCTACAAAAAGATTTCTAAGGGCGGGCATGTTAACAACTGCGTTCACGAAAATCATGGCAGAAGATGAGAAAACCACAGAAAGCGGTAGAAGGTAAGAAGCAATTCGCTTGTCATGAACCTAGGCCTGTTGATTTATCCACGAGCACATACAATGATCGTACCCCATTGGGTTGAGATTGTGGGCTCTCGCATTGCCTCCAAAGCAAACCCTTTGTGCACATGCGGCCCTTTTCCTTTCCAACGCCAAACTTGCTAGCTAATGTAGCCCCACGGACAAGTTCGCGAACGAAGTACCGGCCTCCTAAATGGCCCCAAAATGCACAGGACCTGAAAGAACCTAGATGTGAAGGATAGCTATGAAAAGCCCCCTGCAGCAAAATAAGCTGCAAAAATGTACAACTCCGAATGCGAGATGGGAAATATGATCCCTAGCACTTGTTAACTAGATACTGTTCCAAGATCGAGAAGATATGAGGTACGAAAGCAGCTCCAAGTAGCTGCTCTTGCGAAGCCGGGCGCAAAGATGAAGGCAAGGAAAGAGCTTTGACGCCTAAGCTGCTGCCTGCTCCACTTGCGCCACTGGCTCTGCTGATTTTGTCTCTGGACCTTCTGGTGTCCCCTCTTTCTTTGACTCGTCCACAGCTGAAGATTGCTCTGGTGACTCCGTAGGCTTATGCTCCTCAACCTGTTCCTTCCCATCGTCTTTGACACCGTTCGTTGCAGGTGGCACAGGTGTGCCTGTGGTATCCTCCAATTGCTTGCCCCAGCTAGCCAGGATGTCTTGCGCGCGCTTCTTGAACTGAAACTCGTGCTCGCGTGGAATAGTTGCAAGCTTGATGATTGCTTTGAGAACCTTGTTGATCTTGGTAGTTTTTATGATGGAGCCGTCAAGATCTCTGTAATTCTCGAGCGTCTTCATATGCCCATGCATACCTGGCATCTCACTCTCCTCTGGCGGCTTGTCACGCGAAAGGAAGCCTTTTTGCAATCTATGGCGAAGAAACAGTATTGTCTTCTGCATTTTCTCATGTGCCTCTTCTGGAGTCTCCTGTGCGGCTGGCTTTGGCGACTCGACTGTCTTGCCATCCTTCTTCTTTTGCTTCTTTGTCTTAGTTGCGCTATCAGCTGGTGTCTCCTTCTCTTGAGGTGGTTTAATCTTCAGCTTTTTTGGTGTTTTTAATGGCTATTACAGTGTTAGCGAGATCCTGATATAAGCGTAGCTGCACTAACCTTGCCATCGGCATCTATCTCGTCGTCCTTCGGAGCTTTGCGTTTCTTTTCCTTCTTGCCCTTCGATTCGGCTTCGGCTTCCGCATCGGCCATTTCTACGTCTTCCGCAGCCTTTTTAGCGGCAGCCTCCTCGCGCAGACGCTCCTCTTCGGCGGCAGCCTCCTGTTCAGCAGCTAATAACCTTTCGGCTTCGGCTAGCATATCCTTGAAGTAAGCAAGGTCGTGGCCCTCAGCTGCGACTTGATACGCGGCCCATAGAGATTTCGGCTGCAGTGGTTTCTTGCTGTGCTCTTCTATGATCTTCTTGGCCTCCTCGACACTGAACGGGCGCAGATCAGTGTTGACATGCCAGGAGCTACATAGAGTTCTTAGCAGGTTGAAAACAATAATGTCCAAACAAAACTTACAACTCGTTCGTGCCCAGGAACATGATCGGATATCGACGGTCACGAGCGTTTTTTCCACCGGGAAGGAAATCCTCACGGTATGAGCCATCAGGACGCATAGCACTTACGGGACGCTTGCTCAGGAGAGTCTCCGGGAGCATATCTTCGTCGCAAATAATACACGGCCAATTCTTATAGCCTTTCATGACAGCAAGCCAAAGCTCGCCGGGTTGGACATCGAGATTTAGGTCGATCTTAGATTGTTTACGGTTGAGTTTTTTGCCTTTGCTCTCTGGTAAAGTGCCTGTGGACTTGCGCTTGTCCTTCTTGGATGATGCTGCACCATTGGTAGGGGGAACAGCGCCTGGAATACACGTTAGAATCGTCAAAAACTCCAGCCAAGAATCAGAAATTTCGCGTTTGTGAATGGGGAGCTCGTAGATTACGCCTTAGATTGGATCGCACAGTGCTTGAAGCTCGCGCGCCGACAAGCATTTGCCCACTAGGCTTGACTCCGAGACGGGCGGTCATAGTTTTAAGCATCACACTATCGAGGATATCGTTGTGCCTGAAAATATCTACCCATCGCAAGAATTGCTTGATGCCATCTCTTTTACGCTAAATTGCGTCTGTAGTTGTATACTATTGAGACTGGTCGAGGGCGAGATGCGTCGCAATCTGGCATATTACGAACATGTGGATCGCGACACTAGAAACTGATCACACTTACTATCCTCTGTCGCCTTCTTTCCTGGCTCATCACCTGTCGCTGGTGCGTCGGAGGTCACGGCCGGAGGCGCGGTAGCGGACGCGTCTGTGGTCGAAGATGCGCTAGGTTGTTCAGCAGGCTCATTAGTTGCTGGCGTGGGTGCAGACGCGACATCAGCCATTGCGTTGGTGAGAAGAGTTGTGTGCAAGGTGGTTATATGGATATCACGCAAGGCGTGGACGCGTCACGACGGTTGCGTCAGAGGGCGAAGTCAACACAGGTCGTACTAGCGCTCGGGCGACTGCTCGCGATAGGGGAAGTAAACGAGAAGTGGTTAACACAATGAAGTTGATGGGATTGTCGCGTTTGTGATGCGGCAGTGTGTTGAGTGGGTGGGAGGTTGTTGCAAAGAAATTGGTCGAGAGGTGCTTTTCATTGATGCCTGACTAAGGCAGCACCCATCGGTGGTGTCTCTGTTCCTCAGACAAAGCCAAAATCCAGTAGCAAAGCTGGAAGACAACCAGAAAGTAAGTCGCTTTGAAATTCAGAAGGTGTGCTTTATTAGAGCTCAAGCTACTTTCCAAGCTTGTTTCTGTAATTATTGAACGTCGTTGTGGCTTTATCCGCGCCTCTGTTGTGCCGGTCTAGGTGACTGCCAGGTGCAGCCCCGGCGACCTACCCAGGCTGAGCATGACTTCCCCGCTTCGAGTCTGTGCTTCCACAACAGCGCTGAAAGCCTGTGAACCATGTGCGCTGAGTCCAAATACTGCATTCGTTGGTTTCCACCGCCTCCGGAGGCGCATTAGGTGAATCAGCACAGAGTTTGACGTACGCTTCATCGGGTTTGCCGGAGCTAATCCACCCTAGGCACCGATGGATGGCTTCGAGAGTCTTTGGTGGAAACCTGTGCTGCGCGAAAACACAAGCCAATCCAGAGATCGTGCATGTTTTTCACAACGGCCTGGCCCTTATGCTTGGAATAATACACATCAAAGAATAATGTTTCTGATCCCTGCAGGAAGTAAGTTCTACTCGTCCGCTCCACGCAAAATCACCACAAAAAGCGTGTGAATGGCAGATAGTATCGTCGCCGAGCCGCGCAATAGCCACTGAAAGCAATGCTGGCTGATGTTCATAGCGCAATGTCCACGATAGATGCACCTACGCTGAGGCGAGGTCACATACATGTCCAAGCTCTTTTCGACGTTTTCACTAACACATCCGCTTATGCACTAAGCGCAATAACCAGTCGACTTACGAGGATCGTTTTGGCGAAGATGCCTGCCATGCACGTTCCTGTTAAGCACAATTTGCGCTGCTTCGAATCTATTAAGTGAACGAGACCAGTTCGTTGAAGAAAACGCCAGGCGCCACGTAAAATATCAGATATATTGAGGCCCGCGGACATGAAATCCTGGCTCATACAAGTATTCTGCGAAGAAATGTCCTGTGGCTAGTTGCGTTCATCGCACGACAAGTCATTCTCTGCCTTAGTGACTCACAAGTGTTTGCATAATCAAGATATTACCATTCCAGGTTTTCATGGATGTTGGCAAATCTGCCCCAACTTCCAGTATGTTGCTCTTTTGTATCGCTGGTTCTCGTCTCTTCTTAAGACCAGACGTAGCTGGATTTCCCAGCACCATACATGGCGACTAAATTGACGGAAGGAGGAAGAGGAGGTGGTACTAGAGGACGGTTGAAATCGAGGCGTACATATCGCGGAAGGAATTAAGTTGATTGCTGCTGACTTTGCTTATCTCTTTTTTTGGTGCAACCCAGCGCATTTCCTAGCAATTTAAACTTCCGACGGCATAGAGTCCCCGAAAATTATGATCGACTCCTTTCATGGCGTACCATAGATGGACGTAAGGATGTCGGCGTCTTCGTCGTCGTCGTTGTGGAGAAGGTCAGGGTGATTGCGTTCTGTACAGCTTCGAGTGACTACTGAACGGTAACAATGCTATCTTTCAAGCCTCTCAATTGTCTTGATGATGCACGAGACGAGATTCGGTGATGCCATCGAAGACCAAGAGTTGAGATGCTGGCAAGAAAATCGCTGGGAAGAAGTGGAGTGACTTTCCTTGCCTTAGCGCCCAAGGCATATCGCATTGGCCCTTGTGACATTTCTGGAGTTCGCGTATATCGATCCGACAAAGAGCACTCACTTTCACATTTTTCTTTATTCTCAATTGCAGGTAGTCTCTCAAATGGAGGTGTAGAAAATCTCATCTCTTTTTGAGTTGTTAATCACTTCAAAGTCGCATTTGTTCACCGGGCAATTACTCAATCTTAGGCTTATATTGGCCATACTCTTTCTGAGATAAGGATTAACTATGCTCTAGTGTTATCTAAATTTCCATCTACATCTTATCTTGTTAAAATAATATTACAACATCATATAAAACCATTACATCAGCAGGCAAGTCGCCAGTCCTTCACTATACCCATTATAATACTTCGATCTAATTCTACTAACTCTTTAAGTGGCTGCCTTGCTTTCCTCCTCATCAGCGTGCTTTTCCTTGTGCTTGAAACTTTGCTCCGTCTCAAGCGCCCTGTCAAGTGGGAGAGCTTCGGTCCATAAACTAATGATGAAGGCTACGCCAGCCAAAGCAGTCATGACTATCCAGACCATTTTGTTTGCGTCAACGTATGCCTCTTGGAGAGCATGTTTAACAGGTCCGTCGGCCATCGCTTTTAGAATAGCAACAAGCCCGCTTGCATCTTGAGACCATTCATTAGCATTCGCGGCGATAATTGAACGCTTGAGGATTTCTTTCTTCATTTGGTTTTGGAAAATAACGCCACCAACGGCAACGCCAACTGTCTGACCGGCGCCGCGGAAGAAGCTGAACAAAGTTACAGCATAATCCATGTTTTCGTTTGTCGATGCAGCTTGCACGGCGAGGGCCATTGCGGAGAAAAGAACTCCCGTGCCCAATCCAGAGACCAGATTGAGGAAAATCCAGGCTGGAACGCTTGTACCGATATCTAGAAGAGTGAGCAAGCCCATTCCAAGCACAGTAATGGCCCAACCAGTCCACGTAAAGATAGTATATTTCCCGGTTATCGCGATAGCAATGCCCACGGCCATAGATGCTGGCGCGACCGTGAAGCTTTGCGGGAAGAGAGCAACTCCAGACAGGATAGGGGAATACTCTTTGACTGCCTCGTAATACAGCGGCAGGTAGTACACAATACTCCAAAGTATCATTCCATGGAGAAAAGTAGTTGCGTAGGTCACTGCTGCGGTGCGATGCTTGAGTACGCTCATACGGATGGTTGGTTCGCGGCCACGTCTTTCGAGCCACTCCTCGTAGGCAACAAAACCGATAAGGGCGGCGGCACAAACAAGAAGAGGCACAAGTGTGCGCCAGCTTGACCAAGAGTATTGCACACCTCCCCAAGTGATTGGAATGAGGAATCCGACGGTCGCAGCGACAAAAACAACTATAGCAAGTCAGTTTCTGTCATCGAGCACATCCAAGGGATACTTGCCAGTGCCGATCCAGTCGACCCGCCTCAGCTTCTCAGCAAAGTCGCTTGTTGGGAAATTCAACTTCAAGAAGAGGATGACCATAGTGCCGCCAATGCCAATAAATGGGAGATTGATCCAGAATATCCACCTCCATTCGCCTGCTTGTGCAAGGCCACCTCCGAGCAATGGTCCGATGACTGTTCCAAGCGCCCTTCCGAAAATTAGCTTCAACGCTCGATGATTTCTTCTGTTGAACATACCACATGCTGCTGATAAAAGCAAACCATTTACCTCGTTCTCTCAAGGGCACCATGTCGGTAGAAATGATTTCAGTCAAGGCAATCACTCCACCTCCCCCGATACCCTGAATGGAACGACCCACGAGGATAACAGTGAAATTATTGGCAACTGCTGCTACGATCGCGCCGATGCCGAATAGAACAAGCGACCCAAGGATCAAAGGCTTGCGACCAAAGATGTGACTGAAGTTGCCGAGAACTGGTTGGAAAACGGTGCTTGTTAGCAAAAAACTTGTTCCTGACCAGAAGGCTTCGATCGCACTGCCTCCTAGCGCTTTCGCCATGACAGGCAAAGCAACAGAAAGTGAGGTCGCATCAAGGGCCACCATCAGAGTAACCACGGACAACGATGAGAACGCCAGCTTGAACCGCCAGCCCGGGTTAAACACGGGTAGAGCAGGAGGTGTTGATGTAGAAGTCTGTGATGATCTCGAGCTGACAGGTTCTTCCACTGTCTTTGCCTTCTCCAAGTGAGCTTCAACTGGTGTGCTGAGATTGGCCATGTTTGACATAGTGAGCTGGCACGCGGTGTGCCAACGAGAATATGCAGGTAAGAATGTGGTCCAATGTATACAGATAATGTTGTATTTTTGATGGTTTTGTATTCTATGGTATTTTCAAGAATCCAGTTCATGAAGCTGGTCAACATAAAGAATATATACTTGATGGCAGCATGACGGACGCTGCACACATATAGCGTTACGGCGGGCGGAATGTCCATGGAGTCACACTTCACGCTAAGAAACAAGAAGTCTTCGTTCGTTAAGCCAAGGGGAATATCCGGACACGCCCGTCTTGAATCTCTCCGTCTTGGGCATTTGGAAACCAAATGGCGCGAGGCGGAAGAAACGTGCTTGTGCCATCTTCACGTTATGCAAAGACTTTGCGTGAAGTTTTACGAGTAGTGGGGACAAAATCCAGGGCTCGTATATCGTGAACGAGCAGGCCAATCGCAGCGCAGCATGGATCGGCCCAATATGGCCCTCTTGGCTGGGGCTCGGCGCATTTTTCCTCCGCCCTACACTTGGCCAGACTCGTAACTGACCGTGCGAAAGCCTTTACGAGATGTTTGAGCGACCAACGACCTCAATCCACTATGACATCAGAAAATTCATTTGTAATCGATGTTGCTGCCGTCGGAATCGGGGTCGAGTTCATTTTATAATCGACGTTGCTGCCGTCGGGATCGGAAACGAGAATGCTCTTAAAATACGCTTGCGTCGCTCACACGCGAATGGAGTCTTTCGAATCGAGAGCCAGGCATAGCACTAGTTGATTCTTCATATCATTCATCCAAACCAATAGGTTCCATGTCATAAATGGTCAAAAATGACATACTTTTTTCTTGAAGAATTCCTTTGAACACATTTTCCGATGCTCTTCTCGATTTTAAATCACATCTCGTGCTTAGGAGTGCTCGTCTTTGGTGCCGCAATACAAAATTCTTGAGCTCGAGCTTCTCATAACTGAGCAGCTCTAACCAAGAAGTTCCAGTACTTCTTAAATGACCGTGTAGCAGAAAAGAGAGAAACAAAAAGAGAAAAAGAAGAAAGAAAAAAAGGGGTGGGGTGGGGGCCGGAGCAAGGTACCACATCGCCTACTTCAGTTCGCTTCTTAGAATGCAATCCGTGTTGTGGACTTGACCGAACGTAGAGTCTGCACATTAGGTTGATTTGTTTCGGACAAATATTGAAAAGAAAACTCATCCACATACGTTGACTATAATTCGATCGTTGCCACAAATAGAGTCGGTGCTTCCTAAACTTGAACGGTCAACAAACGTTGCGAATACATAAAATATTCAAGGGAAGGAATCTACGTCTTCAATGATAAAAGCATGCTGTTAATCGTAACCTCATCAGTCCTTGCGCGCGTTTGCTCGTGTAGAGCTGCATATTTTAAACGAATTTTTGTTACACTTTCGTGCTAAGTATCTTTGATCCCACTCGTGTGGATTCGTCAATCCGGTCTTCTTTCCTATTATCAATAAATTAAATACACTGATCCGAGCTGAATAACAGGAGATATATCACCTTGTGGTAGCCAGCGATACGCCACGATTTTTAGCTCATAAAATTTGACGATATCTTCTTATCGAAAGGAGGCTTTTTTTTTCTATCACCTATCATTTTGCCGAAGTTAAAATAACACGAATGGTGTGAATTGTGTGCGTGGGTCATATTTAAGCTTTAAGAACGGGGAGGAGTGTCTGTTGTTCTAAAAAAAAAAAGAGACAGGCATCATTATTGTTTTGACTAGAATTGTGAGATGGTAATATGATGGAAAGGGCCTTGCCGTAGCATTCCATGGGTCTAAGAAATCCGTTGATACCAACAAATTGGATATATCCGATGAAGTTCAAACGCCATGTTCCTCAGTAATTTGCCAGAAACAACACTTTATGTCTGAAGATGCAATAAGCCGACCAAGATGCACATCGTAATGAAAGAAGCGCATGCAAATACGGGCATTGATCGGTCTTCACGCTTAATAGCGGCACGGTCGTGCATCGTAAGATATACCATCGCCAGAACCTGGGTTTGTTAGCCAAGGCATCAATCACTTGCAACAACAGTGCATACCGTCGCAACCAATATCCATGAAGGAAGCAAGTTTCTTGGGTTCTCCCCAGAATTGGAGTACTCCAACACAACATTTGTGCCAACGTAATAGATGAAGCTCGCGGTGATCAGACGGATAATAGATGCAATAGGTGTGTAATGGAAAAGCCATCTGACCATTAGGAGATCCATAGAGAAAAAAGAAACGTAGCCGGAGACAGCACACCATAATGCAGCCACCATGACCTCCACAAACACATAGTCGGGATCACCTTGCTCACTGAAAGCCTTTTGTGTAGTTGGATCTCCAAGGAGGAAAGAAGCCAATTTCCAGAGTATTGGAATGCCAAATCTCAACTCAGGAGCGACGGAGAGCAGACGGCAGAAGAAAAGCCATTTGTGCCAATGTGTTTTAAGGCCCAGTATGACCGCGGCACGTGGATGAAGTCGGCCAGTCGCGTGTTCAGGCGGAGTTGAACTAAGCGCGATGTCTTCCTGTGGGCATGTTGAATACGCGGGTGGATCTGCGTAAGCCGGTGGTTCACCCGTTGGTACGAGATTCAGTGTGTCCTGAGCTTCATCAAGATCGACGGCAAAGTCGTCGACCTGATAGCGATTAGCGGCCAGCAGTGGCAAAAGTGTACGGCGTATTGCTGCCGTAAAGCATTATCAGTGGCACTTTCACTGCTTCCCGAAATTTTATCAGAGGAACAGGTTTCGTTTCGATTTGTACTATCCTTTGTCTTGATAAGTGAGGTCGGAGGGATCAGGGGAACTTGAGTTTAACAGGCGCAAATATCCTAATCGCTAGCGTTGCTGAGAGATCTGTGGATACAAGTGTCTGAATAAAAGGGGCGAGCGGGAACACTTCAGGCAACGAATTTCGACATAGAATCAATGATTGTGCACGGCATGGAAACTATGCAGCTGAAGTATCACGAGCCCATGCTGCATCAAACTTGAGGTGGGGGACTGCCTTGGACCAAGCGTCAATCCCATCATTCCTTGATCATATCTTGCAGAACGACGTATTATTGGGTTGGAATTGACTTTATATCGAAAGAAAGATACCTAGATAGAGGCTTACGAAGAATATAGGCCCCATAATTTTGTATTGCGTTACACGTGACAAAATGCCGATTTCATCCCCACGTCATGTCCATAGTGATAGCTAGGGGTATGAATATAGTCAAAGTATACTTGATGGCCTTCCTTCAGCACCAGCTCCTCGGACATTTACTGAGTGTACGTCGTGTGCATGGTTATGTCAAGCGGTACACAGTGGACCGTATCTATCTCAGAACCAGAAGAGGAATTGCCAATCTATGTCCTCAAGCGTTCCGAAGCGCAAGGCGACAAGGGCGTTCTGCAATGCGGAACATCAGCTATTGGGCGCGTGTTCGGCCTGTACGATCTAACCTCAAAAGGACTTGTTTGGCTATTCAACGCATGTTCATTCTTTATTGTGTCGACGGACTCTGTTCGCTATGCTCAAATTCCTGCTGTGATCGATTGAACACACTCGTATCCCGCAAGCAACCCAGCTATCATTCAGCAGCGTACGAGATTCTATAGCTCCTCTGACTTGTGGCCTAGTGGGCCAGAAGTCTCATTCAATTACAACGAAGGATTATCTGCCCAAGGTTATCCTTGCCTGATTAAAACTGATAACTAGTTCTTATAACTTTGTCCTAATCCGAGCAGTTCAACCACTGTTGCGTTGACTTTGCCACGAGACAGCTCAGTCCCCTCCTCTCGGTCTGAAGAGTTGAACGAAATCTTCGTTTCAGTAGGAGAGACCTCCATAACAACATCAATCGCCAAATATGTCCACAGGAACCAGTGTGTCTATGCCAATCAGGGATGATGGAGGATCCCCAACTCCCACCTTTGTGAAGCATTCAACGACAAATCCCGCACCTGTACATCCATTTATCGACACTTCGATTCCATCCATAAATTCCGGCGCACCAGTTGAATTGGACAGCACTCCAGTCTCTCCCGTTGCTCGGAAGGAAAGCTGGAAAGTGCATTCCACAGGCACGGCAGCGTCCTCCAACTGCGACACAAAAGGGCACGAAGATTTGAATGAGACGCTGGGCAGGGATGAGAGTATAAAACAGGTGCGTATTGGTCGTGTCGGTCTCGGTTTCGAGCAACCAAATTGAAGCTAAGACCGTTCGCCAGAGGCGAGAACAATTGCTGCGAGAGCGGCAGAAAGACCCAGGTGTTCTAGTCGATATTCCGGGCACTCCTGGTCCTGAGGAATACGGAATCGCACAAGCAGGATTTCGAGAGGTTGTTGCACGACGATCCTCCGTAACTGGTGTAACTCCGAAAGAAGTAGCAGCGATGGCAGAAGAAGATGCCAAGTCATAAGTTAGCAAGCAGCAATGTTTTCGAGGCCTTTCAAATGCACTATCTAAATGGAAAAATCGCGATTCGAGCACATTCTTAGTGCGCTGGCTCTCAAGTTGAGGGTTGAATGAGGTCTTATTCGGGTAAGTTAACCAGTTAATTTGTGGCTCACTAATGCGCATCCTCTCTCTGCTGGACTCTGAGACACTGCACTTTGCGCTTCCGCCTTATAGCTTGAGCATCTATCGACAACAGACTAGATCGTCCTATCTTGGCAAAACTCTTTTCAAATCGATTCAAGAAGGTTATGAATTTGTGACGTTGAACTACGAGTGGACACGGAGAAGGTCATTTTCACACCGTTTTCTGTTTGTGGACGTATACACAAGACTCTGGGACGAGTTCTGCGTAAGCTATATGCTCGTTACTCTCTCATGACAGTTTTAGCGTTCTTGTATGTTCAGACGAATAACTGAAAATAAAATAAATTCGACTGTTGTAGCTAATCTTTCTCATATGAGCTAATTCTGTTGGCCCCAAGCTCCATCAGAACGCCAATTACTTTACTTAAGATGTGCTATCATTTCATTGTTTGTATAAAGATGCACAGTTCAAATTGATTTATTTTAGACGACAATTGGAAATGCGTTTCTTATAAAATTCGCGTTATTAGCAGAATAACGTCTAGATTTTTCTCGACGGACAAGATTCTACAATTTGAATTCGGAAAAGATCATTCCGATGATAATGCGCCGAGTTCTTTCCCTAATTTCTTGACCTTGGAGATACTTGATTTTCAAAGTACCTACCATGAACACTGAATATATTTCATTGCCCTGGATGTTGACGAACTAGGGCTACTAAGATGATGAAGTGGTCTTGTTCCATTGTGCCACGATCATGTGACATAGCTGGTCCAAGCTTGAATCTCGAAAGATAGTCACTTCATGCAAGCATCTGCGTATTCTGCGTCCACAGACCATGTTATTCTCAAGATGTGCCTCTAGGCACGCTAAGAGCTCAATAGACGCACTATGCAAAGTATTTGAGATTCCCACACGATTTCGACAGCCAGCGTCCGGAGCGTTTCGATCAACTCATTCCTTACACGGCAAACGTGCAACCATAGAAAGCCACCATGCATCAATTCCGGCCCTGTCAACGTCTTTTCGAAGCACAATAAGATACCAAATACGTCCGCTTTCAATAAATAGGAGGATGCTCATAGAATTGAAACCACAAGGACGCCTCAAGACGATGGAGCAGATAAAGTCAAGAGCAAATCTAGGGGTACTGAAGATCTCCTATGGGCAAGCACTTTTTAGAGGTGCGTTATGACAATCGCTGACACATGCATACAGCCTTTGACGTTGAAGGCAGCACTTCTTTTCGTTTTCGCTGGCGTCGCAATGGTGTTCTACTTCCGTGAGGAAAGAGCGAGACTTGAGAGGCAGAAGATCGCAGAGCAGACCAAAGGAATGGGCAAACCGAAAGTTGGTGGTCCTTTCAAGCTACTTGATCACAACGGAAATCCGTACACGAGTGAGAATTTGAAAGGCAAATATGCTCTGGTATGTTATAATGACTTTATGGGTCAACAATGCAGCGATTAACATGGTTTGCCATAGGTCTACTTTGGTTTCACACATTGCCCAGATATCTGCCCGGATGAATTGGACAAGATGGCCGAAATGATCGATGGGGTGAAAGCAGAATGCGGAGATGTTCTCACTCCAATCATGATCACCTGTGATCCTGCGCGCGACACTCCAGCCGTGCTGAAACCATATATCAAGGAATTTCATCCTGACCTGATAGGTCTAACGGGGGATTGGGAGTCAATCAAACAGACTTGTAAAGAGTATCGTGTATACTTCTCTACGCCGCCGAACGTTAAGCCTGGCCAAGACTATCTGGTTGACCACAGCATTTACTTTTATCTTATGGGTAAGCCCATCTACTATGTAATCTCTGAGGTTTTATCACTGACCCATTCACGCAGATCCAGAAGGTGACTTTGTGGAAGCCATTGGGCGAAATTTCACCGCGGAGCAGGCTGTGAAAGTGATATGCGACCACATAAAAGACTGGACAGGCCCTTTGGACCGGCAACCAAGAAAAATTGATTAAATCTTTGTCGTTGTGTACAACTACAAGCTATGTAAAATAATCTTGTACAACAATATGTTTACACCAGGACGTTAGGAGTCAACTAGCTTAGAAACTCCACTTAAGTAATGAGGTTCGCGCTAAGCTTCACACCCCCCAATATCTCTGTGCTAAGGGTAGAATTATAAACGTTATGTTGGTCATTGTGAAAATGTCTAGGACAGTTCTCGCTCTCCACTCGCGGCCCGCATTCTACCAAAGACTGGGATTGAATAGCTTCTCCCGTTTAGGTTTAGTGCAACCTTCGTGCAACGTCTCACTTGGGAAGTGGCCTCCGGATTATTCGAATTGGCTACCACATCAGAATCAGGCCTTCCTTCAATTTATTATATATTATATCTGATTCTAAGGTATCATAGTCCGTAGAAGGCTGGTGTGGCCGTTCTCACGACGCTGCAGTCGGCACAACTCTTATTTGAAGCCACTAAACACGACTTTGTTGTCTGCATGGCGTACTTCGTGATCTCCTTGTCTTTCAACCCTTAACGAGAAAGCTTGACGATAAAGAGCGTGGATTTTATGGGCGATTTGAACGTCTTTCGTTGATACTAGCCGTGGTTAAAGCCTTTGGGACTGCGAAACTTTCTTTGCGTTGACCCTGAAAAGCGCCCTCCAACAAGTGGTCCATTCAACGTCATACCAGACCATCGATTATTCGACATTTGACCAACCTGAAATCTGAAGCTGCAGCACATCAAGCATTTACACAGATAATTTGGTGCCTTAAATGGGCTGGCCCATTGGTCCCAGATCGTAGCAGCCGTCTGATCGATCAAGAAGGGTCGCATATCACAACTGGACCACATTTTGGTAGGAAGCACGAAGCTTCGACATTTTGGATTTGCTGGCGTCTCACCTTCGATATTGAAAATACGCGCCTGTCTGTTTTTCCTCACGAAGAAGGAACTGGATAGATAACGCTGTCTACCAAAAAGTAGCTCATCATCGGCATGCTGCCGTTGGGAGGGTGTGTTGCCGTTGGTGGACTGTATAACCTGTGATTCTTGGCCGTGTGGAATTACTGACGTATTAAATCATGATGGATGTCGATATGCAAGAAGGCTCTGAGAGCGTTCCGCTCCTTGATATTGCTTTGAGGCAGAGCTTGGATTCGAGGGACAGCATGGACTCTTCAGAAGGGAAAATCTATGACCTGCGGGCGATCGGGTAAGTTCTCATCACATGATAGATCCATATTAGACTCTATGCTCATACATCCCAGTCCTGTGTACGATGATAAAGATGGTGGCCGCCCAGTCGAAGCTGCAGAGTCATGTGAAAATGATGAATACAAAAGCGTTGAGGTTGATGAGGAAGACGCCTTCGCCAAAGATCCATTCGTACCATTCAATGAACTTCCTGAGGAGGAAAATTGGGTACTCACCTTCCGTGCTGTCTTCATTGGTCTCTGCTGCGGTGCCATTGTCAACGCGTCAAATGTTTATCTCGGCCTAAAGTCAGGATGGACTTTTGGCGCTAATCTCTTTGGTGCCATTGCCGGTTTTGCGATCATTAAGTCATTCTCAACCATGTTTGCGGAGAACTTCCCTATTCTGGGTGGAGCCTTCGGTCCAAGAGAGAACAACATAGTACAAACAGCTGCAATGGCGTCTGGCGGTCTTTCTAATGTCTTTGTCTCCGCCTACCCTGCACTGTACCAACTTGGATTAATGAACACACCCGAAGAGGACTTTTGGAGAATCGTCTCTTTGACTGCTGTAGGCGGCTACTTCGGATTCTTCTTTGCAACTCCATGTAAGCCTAAAGCCTCGTTCCCTGTTGACCGAAGCCTAAGCTCATTGCATTTTAGTGCGAAAGTTTTTTATTATCTACGTAGCACGCGAGTTGCGCCTCGTCTTCCCGTCCGCATCAGCAACAGCTCTTACTATACGGAGCATGCATGATGCTGTTCGGGGTGCAAGTATTGGTAAAATGAAGATGAAGGCTATGGGAATTGCTTTTTCTTCTGCAATGATCATTCGCGTTGTCTCCCAGTACGCCCTTGGTATTCTTTGGGAGTGGCACTTCTTCTGGTGGTTTCACGTCTGGGGTCATTACAGGACCGTTGCCATAGCCGTCGAGAACTGGGGTTGGTTTGTCCAGTTCACTCCAGCCTTTATTGGGTCCGGCATGCTCGTCGGTCTGAACGTATCCATTTCATTCTTTGCGGGCTCCGTCATTGCATGGGGTATCATTGGCCCCCTTCTGGTGCACTACGAAGTAGCATTTGGCAAGCTTCGGCAACCTGAAGAATACGGTGTGGTCAACTTCGCATCGTTCAGTCCTCCATTCTCAAGCAAAGAGACACCCTCTCCACGATACTGGCTTTTGTGGCCTGGGGTTCTAGCCATGATCACTATCTCATTCACTGAACTTCTATTGCAGTGGCGTATAATCTTCTTTGCGTTTAAAGCAGCCAGCAAGGGCGTCGGCAAGGGCATCTATAAGTTGGGGTCGAAGCTCGGAAAAGATTTTAGCTTCCTTCGAAAGGCCACTGAGCAGGAAACCAGAGATCTCGTCGAGGATCCCGCCGAAGATACAGAACTACCTCAGATGTGGATGTGGGGACCTGGTCTCATCGTGACTATCATCGCCATGTGCATCGTCATGAGCGTTCAGTACGAAATGCCCCTTGGAATGTCACTTCTCTCAATATTCCTGGCTTTCTTCTTTTCCTTTCTTGCAATACAGTGCACAGGCGTCACCGATATTACACCACTCACAGCCGCATCAAAAGCATCGCAGATTATTCTCGGCGGCGCAACAAAGGGCGAACATTGGACTATAGAGCATTCCCAACGTCTTAACCTTCTTGGGGGCGCTCTGGCAAACATGGGAGCTAATCAGTCTACTGATCTAACTGCTGATTTTCGAACTGGTTTCTTGCTCCGAACACCACCAATCCAGCAATGGCTTGCCCAAGGTGTGGGCACTCTTGTTGCTGTGTTTGTTGCACCGGTTATGTTTAGGTTGTTCATGAAAGCGTATCCGTGCATCATCAGAATGGATGACGAGTGTCCCTTCACTTACCCATCAGTCGCTGCTTGGCGTGCTGTTGCTATTGCGGTTACTGATCCGACGTTTCCCATTCCCCCATCCAGTGCATACTTCTCTGTGGCTTTTGCCGTTTTCGGATCTTTCATGGTTCTTCTTAAGCAGTACGCCTGGCGCGGAAAGCTCGAGTGGATGAAGGCGTATCACCCAAATATGATGTGTATTGCCCTTGCTTTTGTTCTTCCACAAACATACTGTAAGTCTTATTCTTCTGTGGTTTCCAAAGAAACATAATGCTGACATTCTTCACAGATGGCACCGCAATGGTCATTGGCGCACTCATTTCCCATTTCTGGCAGAAGAAAAAGCCAAAACATTATGAGACCTTTGGATATGCTATTGCAGCAGGTTTTATTGCAGGCGAGGGTATCGGCGGAGTCATCAATGCTGTCTTCCAAGTCGTTGGTATTGATGGTGACAAGTATGGTTCAACCATCGCGTGCCCTATATCCTGCTAGGTAGAGGCCTGTGGATATGTATAAACTATGAGAAATGCCTAGACAATCGATATTTTTACCTCACGATATACGTATGTAAGACGTGATACCTTTATCCTAGAAGCCAGAGCAAAAAAAATTTTTTCTTACGGAATTTCAGGAATTAGAGTGAATTGCAATCTTTCTCACTTTTGACTGAGCGAAGACGGTATTCTGAAACTATGCTAATGCTCTTTGGTGCCATCTCCATGCAATTCAATATCTACACAGACTCAACCAGATATGCGCCAAAAATCTAGTATTGGCTAGCAGCCTGTTGACATGCCTTGAGCTGCTCCAGATACCACCCGCAAATGTTCAAGTCGCCCTGATTTGTGTCCATGCAGTTGCGGAACTGCATTACCTGATTCTCGCATACCCGAGGTGGGTTGTAGCTCTGGCTGTATGCAGCACGAGCATCGCCGTTGGCAACTGCTTGTTGTGTGGCTTCCTGGGGGGCGGCGCTCGAGGAACCGCCTGAGAAGAGGCCCCCAATTGCGTGACCGATGGAAGAACCCACGGCGACACCACTTAAAGTCAAGAATGTTAGCTAGCAGCCTAGTTGTGGCAACGAGACGGAGGAGCGAATCTGGATAAGGTGTTTAAGGAAGCACTTACGCAGCGGTGCTAGCCATCTGACCGAAGAGGCCAGGGCCTTGTGACTGTTGAACTGGAGCTGGTGGAGCTTGTTGTGCTGGCGGGTGAGCGACCGTAGAAGCCGTTCGGTTTTGGGTTGGATGAGGTTGTGCTGCAGGAACGGAAGGGCGGGCAGGGGCAGCAGTTGGCCTGCTGGGAGCCGCAGGGCGACCACGGGACTGACGAGGCATGTTGAACGAAGAGTTGTCTGGTTTTAGATTTGATGGACGATCGAGGTAGAATCAATGGCTTTATGCTGTAGCTCGGAGTTTAAAGAAATAGAACAGCAGGAAGCTCGTGGAAGATGCGAAAGACTGATCGTCTCCGAGCCAATCGGAGGGCCGCATTAGTCCACACCAGCGACGCTTATGTAAGGCCGAATCGGGTGTTTGCGAGCTCTCTTGAGCGCTCGCGACATGGTAATCTTAGGTATGGCTTCGTTAAGAGTTTGTTATCGCGTCGCCACAAAGTCATCTACATCATGTATTGCAGGACCTATTCTGCCTCTGGTAGATGTCAGAACCTTCTCTGTTCTTAATCGGCCACCTCCAAACTATGATGGCCATGTCCCACTCACCCGCGTCGAACGAGCCAGCCTTGCAGTGGGATCGGCATTATGGTGCTTCTTTGATCCTACTAGAGCAGGTACGTTTAATGCTTGGGCCTTAAATCAGTTGAATATTGATTGAACGGCTCATGAAGATATGGTCGCCGCTTGCGGCGAAGCGACCGCCCAACCTTATTTCATAAACCGCCTCCGTGATGCCATGCTTTCCTCTCCCACCGGCAGACGCATCCTCCGCGACCGCCCGCGCATGACATCTAAGTCTCTCAATCTTGATTATCTTCGAGGCCTTCCCGAGCACACTGTCGGTCGCAACTACGTAACATGGCTTGATCGTGAAGGCGTTACACCGGACACCCGAAGTTCTGTACGGTACATCGATGACGAAGAGTGTGCATATGTCATGCAGCGGTACAGGGAATGCCACGACTTCTACCACGCAGTAACGGGACTCCCTATTTTTCGCGAAGGCGAGGTGGCGCTCAAGGCTTTTGAGTTCGCGAACACCCTGCTCCCAATGACAGGATTAAGTATAGGTTCTGTCTTCACTCTGAAAAAGGCCGAGCGGAAACGATTCTTTAGTATTTATGGACCGTGGGCTATTCGGAACGGAGTCAATGCAGAAGAAATGATCAATGTTTATTGGGAGGAGGAATTAGAGAACGATGTGGCCGAGCTGAGATCAAGATTAGGAATTGAACAACCTCCTGATCTAAGAAGTATACGAAAAGCCGAGAGAGCAAGGAAGCGGGCCGAGAAGGACAAGGCCCAAGATGGGGCAGCAGTGATGTAGGTGAGCTTCATTTATACCCCAATCTCATTATCTATCGATTTCCGCTCTCAGCCTGTCCGGATGAGCGCTCCTTCAAATCTATATGTCTTCCGATTCATAAGCCTTGATAGTCCAAACGAACACCAGGATTGCAAAATCAAATGACTGATAGCGGGCTTTTTAGTGGGTTGACGCCAAATGCTCTTCTTTCTTGTCATAATCGTCGTTAGCTTCGTCAACACTCATCTTTTCCCGGGTATTCTGTTCATCTTCGTCTTTATCATGAGTGTACTTTTTCTCCAAAGCCTGCTCATGGATCTTGATTTTCTCCTCCTCCGTCAAGCCATACCAATGACTTGCAATATTCGTGTCGCCGAAAAGAGCACCCTATTCAGTATCAGAACCTTTGTTACGGACTTCGATAACGTCTCCTTAAACACTTACAATCTCTTCTAATGTTCGACCTTTCGTTTCAGGGAACAAAAAGTAGATCAGAGTGATATAAACGATGCTAGGACATATCAGAACTAAGTAAAACTTCCAGCCAATCTGGTTGAGTGCAACAGGTGCTCCGACGAGCGTGATCTCGGACGCCAGATAAAAGCTAGACAAGCCAAGGGCAACACCCTGAGAACGTAAATGATTTGGAAAGATCTCTGCAATATACTAAAGCAATGTCAGGAAGAGAAGAACAGCTATAATTTGATAGTACGTACCACGTATTGTGTCGCATCAATAAAGAAACACCACCAGAAGATGTAAAAGAAAATAAAAAAGACAGCAGCTCGTAGACCGGCTGTATTTTCAGTATTCAGGAACTCCGCTGTGAGAGCACACAAGAAGATCACGCAAACTGTGCAACCGATGGAACCTATCAGCATAAACGTACGGCGACCAAACTTGTCAACATAGAATGCCGTCCAAGTGTTTCCAATTCTGCGCAATTATCAGCTTTGTTAGCGCCACTACTATCGCCGCTCTGGGACTCACAGGGTGAACGATGTCCAGCAAGCATTGAGGAGAAGCGGTATCGAACCTGTCAAGCCAAGTGATGCATAGATCAAAACACCATAGTTCGTCAAAACCTTGAACCAGGATTAGCAACCTTCCGGAGCAATCTTTCTACCGGAGTCAAACTTACAAATATTCCTAAGAACTGATCGCCCCACATGAGTATGAACCCGATCAAAGCTCGCTTCCTATCTGGCCCGTTCCTAAAGATCTCAAGAAATCGATTTGGTAGGCTAGCGTCCAATTCGTATTGCTTCTCGATAAGGTAGAATTCCTCCTTAGCTCGAACGTGATTGATGTCTGCCTTAGTTGCATGAAGTTTCTTCACTATCTCCCATGCTTCCTTACGCCGACCTTTGGAAAGGAGCCAACGTGGGGAGTAAGGAACGAATCCTTGACCGAGCAGCAGAACGAGTGGGAAAAAGCATTGGAAAGCCAGAGGGAAGCGCCAGGAGAATTCAACGTGAGGGTTGTCGGCGGACATGAAATAGCAAGCGTACCCGAGCCAGCCTGCTAGTGAATAGCCAACAGCGTACATTATCTATTTTCATCAGAATTTTGGAACAGGAAATACATGAAGTACTTGCCCCAGTAACGCACACCATGGCTCCTCTTGTTTCCGGCGTAGACACCTCGGCTTGATACATTGGGACAACGCAGGCTAGCATTCCTGCGCCCCAGCCTGCAACGAAACGACCAACGAGAAACATGGCTAAATCTACTGCACCTGAGCAAAGCGTTCCACCGACAATCAGAATAGCACTTCAGAGCATCATGCTCCACTTGCGACCAATCGCCTCAGAACTCCAGGCATTGAAAATACAGCCAAATATTGCGCCGGCTGAGTTCACACCGTTAAGAGCCCCAATCATATTAGTAGTATGATCATATCCTGGCTCTCCTGCCGTTGCAAGGTTGAAGTAGATGTAAAAGTTAGGCTGACCTACGGTCGACCCGATGATGGCTAAGCCGTACGCAGTGCTGATTGTGCCTATGGCAACAAAAACAACAACCCATAAGTTATAGGAGTTGACAATGATTTTGTCCAACATACTGTTAAACCGAAGGAAAGAATATTGGTCGGGAAAAGTCTGGCACCTTCAGATGCAATGCAGAAAGCATGTTTTATGCGAACAGATATAGGATATAACCGGAATGACGATGACGAGATATTCTGAAATGACTACGGTTATACCAACGTCAACCGATGCATGCGGGGGCTGATGTCGATCCGGCAGGCTTTTCCTGAAGCTTACCCTCCACGTTGATGCGCTTGGAATCTCTCAGAACCTTGTTTATTACAACGCCAAACTAGAACCTGACAAGTGGTTCTGATGATCTTCCTCGAACTAGGTCACCTCAGACGTTGAGCCATACTTTCCCCCGCATTCGAATTACTTAGTAATTGTCGATCATAGGGGTTACCCAGCTTACTGCCGAGGAATACCGCGAAAGTACCGTCCTTTGCAGCGAAATACACAGATTAATGTTGACATCACTTCGCCACGGACTGAAAGTGAAAGCAATTTGCAAAGCTAGAGCTGTCTCTCTTTACTATTGATTTGTGAAAATCTTTTCTATAAATCAAGGGCATTAAGATAGAGCTACTGACATTTTTAGCCGCCGTTGTAATCGGCGGATATATGTTTGTCTTGGTCAAAATTATACAAAATTCACTCTGACGCTTTGGGTTCATGACGAGGTCCCAGCACGATGGGAATTCCAGATCACTCAAATTTCGGTAAATTTTGGTTTTCACCAGCATTCTACATTCTTCCTACATGTGTGTGACTGCAGGCTCGTTAGGGGAGGGGGGGGGGGGGGGAAATAAGCAAAGGAGAACATATAGGTGATTTGCTCCAAATTCTAGAAGCGAGAGGATTATACCGCCAACTTCGCCTCTCCTTCAACTATAATGGACTCTAAGTTGTCATTTCCTAAAACCTAAGTTAGTAAAAACCAATTTGTTTGTCAGCAGTATCAGAATTTCCATAACTCGCTTAACTCTAGCAAGAGTCTCGGACTTATGACCACGCCTGGTTTTTTTTACACAATGTGTCTGCTGCCCTCGCCGTAACTTGAGCTCATCAAGCGGATAGCCTCAATTTCTGTTCGAGAAAATTAAGACGAAATTACAGTAGGAATTTGGTCTCGTAAGACATCACTTTGCTCGTCCTTGGCCACAACAATATCAGTCTGAATTTCGAAGCTCTTTATCCTTATGTTTGCTAGCATCATTAATTATGATCTGAATTAGGTGTGTTTTGATCGTCCAAGTCATACTGCGCAAAAAAGGTCGCAACCACTCAATTGCAAGCTTGCCAAGGATGGTTTCGTTTTTTAAGATGGCAAGGCATTTTCCAGATGAAGGTTTTGACATATGCTCACGAAGATCTGTGTATCCCTAAGATACTTTATGCTTGCGAACAAGGAAGATTTCCATGATCTCGTCTCGCCAAAGAATGTGTAGAAATGACAGATGGACCGAACGAACGCGTACTGCTAACTCCCAGAGCGAAATCGGCATCAACCTATCAAGTCACTTTTGTGGCTTTCGGCCCTTTGGCTCATAATCTGCACATGCTCTCCTGTCAGCCCCCCGCAATGTTTGTGCACTGCCTTGCTATACTTACGGCCTCAACGACATTGACTCGGAACAACATGTCTCATTTTAGCTCTTCTCCCCAGAATAAAATAATGAAGAGGTTATTATCAAAATAGATCTACGAAATTTTTACCATCACCATGGCGCCCAAAAGAACACAGCACTACCCGCCGCTGGACTACCGAGCAGGCCAGGTCCGACTCATCACATTTCAAAAAGCAACGGCTGGTGCAATTAGAGGCCGCCTGCATGTCTTCCCAATTTCTCAGTGTCCAGAGTATTTGGCCGTATCATACACATGGGGCGAAGAGCCGCCACGTCGCACAGTTTATCTAAACAACAATAAAATTCGCATTCGAGAGAATATCTATCAGGCTTTGAAAGTCATTGTGAGAATGCGAAACCGCCACAGCATCCAAGACAATGGTTGGAAATCGCCGAAGATGCTACAAGGGCTCATCCAAGAAGTGGCAGAGTGTCAATACTTCTGGATAGACTCTCTGTGCATCAATCAGGCTTCCGTTCAAGAGCGGAACCACCAGGTCGGTCTGATGAGGCAGATATTCTCAAATGCAAGGTCTGTAATTGCATGGCTTGGACCGGAAAGCGAAAACAGCTCCAGAGTGATGAAGACTATCAACGAGTACCAACCACAAGCAGCGCCTGTTGCACTGTCCTTCATGCCTCTTCGAATGCCTGAAGACGTCAGAGCTGCGCTACTAATTCTTCAGGCTCTTCCCTACTGGAGAAGACTATGGATCGTGCAAGAGATCATACTCGCCCGAAATATCCTTCTACTATGGGGTGAAGATGGCATGTGCTGGAACCAACTTGCGAATATCTGCCTTGGCTGTGGGCTCGATATTGGGCCTCAGGGAAGAATGGTGACTGCCGAGTATGCCGAGCAGAACATAAACGAACGGTCTGAAGGGTGGATCAAGCTAGTGATGAGGAAAAAAAAGATAGAGGCCTATCTGAAAGGATCATCACGACAGAAGACTGAGGGTGGGGATATTAAATCGCCCTCGTTGTACGCGCTGATAATGGAATTTTCCGAGCAGGAGTGTCGTGAGCCAAGGGACAAAGTGATTGGTCTGCTGGGCTTGCTTTTCGACGAAGCTACAGAACTAGGTGACTACTCTGTACCTCTTGAAGAATATTATGAAATGGTCTGTAGGTATGCATTTCGCACTGCTGATATTAAGGGAGATTGGAGTAAGCAACGGTTTCAAGGCTGCCTTAGGAGGAGTCTTGGTCTTCCGGTGTCGTAGTCTAAACATTGGCGAGTTGTAGACGTGGAACACTGCTTTCCTTTTCCGGATCTGTGTTCTACGTATGCCTCGTCCAAATGTTATTCTCGTTGAACTAGAGCACACGAGCGCGCATCATGATCGACCGGGAAAGCTGAAATGGCAACTCTTCGATCTTAATAACGAGTTTTGTGATGCCCAGTTCTTGAAAAGGCTGAACAGCTTCGTCGAGTCATGTAGCCCATTGCTCATGACTCAGCTTTCTCAGGTTCGTACTTACATTTCCGATTTCTGCTGTTAAAGGCCGAAAGCATGCCTCCACCGTGGAAACATCGGGACCAAGGCCTGCAGGCGGGCCGATCTATTGCGAACTGATCTATTGACGAAACCTTTAGATAAGGAATGGACTCTTCGTAGCCATCATTCTACCTCCGTTGTGAAATGCGTCTCCTACACATTCGGTAGTGCTCCATTTCGCCGGCAGAACGTCCTACTGAGGATCTCTTGACGCCGCCTTTTAAGATGTCGTCGCCCAACGAATTTCATGGATGGGTTGGCCACGATGAAAGCTCAGCCCAAGGTAAAATGCGCTGGGAAGCTTTCGCCCCCCGCAAGTTCACCGACGACGATGTCGATATTGAGATCTCCCATTGCGGGGTCTGCGCGAGCGACAACCACACCCTACGAGCAGGATGGGGCCCCACGATATACCCTTGCGTCGTCGGACACGAGATAGTCGGTCGTGCAGTTCGAGTAGGCAAGAACGTCGAACATATAAAAGTGGGTGACCGGGTTGGCGTCGGAGCTCAAGCGGACAGCTGCCGCCGGGCTGATTGTCCAGATTGTGCTGATGGCAATGAGAACCATTGCGTTGGCATGATTAACACGTACGCGATGAAGTGGCCTGGGACAGAAGAGGTCTCGTACGGAGGATACGCCGATTATCATCGAGCACGGGGTCATTTCACATTCAAGATACCGGAAGGCTTGGACAGCATAGAAGCTGCCCCGATGCTTTGCGCTGGAATCACAGCGTACTCACCTCTCAAAAGAAATGGCTGCGGTCCGGGAAAGCGAATTGGTATTGTCGGTATCGGCGGCCTCGGCCACTACGGAATTATTTGGGCGAGAGCCCTCGGCGCAACAACTGTCGTTGCCATATCTCGTTCGTCTACAAAGAGAGACGAGGCCACCAAACTGGGCGCAACTGGCTTCATTGCTACAGGTGAAGATCCGGACTGGGCCACAAAGCATGCTCGATCTCTTGACTTGATTGTCTCTACGGTCTCATCGCACGACCTGCCACTCTCTGGTTATCTCTCACTTCTGGCACCAGATGGTCAGTTTATTCAGGTTGGTTCGCCCGAGGACGAACTCCCTAGATTTAGCGCGTTCCATCTAATTGGCAAGGGCGCCAAGCTGGGAGGCAGTTGCATCGGTCCGCCTTGGGAGATCAAAGAAATGCTAGAGTTTGCGGCCAAGAACGGGGTAAAAGGATGGACTGAGGCGAGGCCCATGAGCGAAGCGAACCAGGTCATCGTTGACCAGGAAAATGGAAAAGCAAGATTTAGATATGTTCTTGTCAATTCGTAGTCTGAATCGATGTTGCTCTACTCTGAACAAAGTAAAGCTGTTACAGACTTGAGCATTGTACATAAGAAAGTAGCTGCCAGCCAACTAAGCAACTGGATTGATAGCTGCAAGTACTCTGCACGTCGTAGATGAGCCGGACATTTAGATACGTGGAAGTAGGTTTTAGCACAATAGACAACGAAAAAGATTTACTATGGTACGTTCTCAGACCAGCGCATGCCGTTCTGTACCAACTTTCTGACGAAATTACGGGTTCCCGTACGAAGTTTCTTCTCCGCATTCATTGTCTTTATAATCCACGACGACGCAGATCGAGTAGGCAAATTGTCGTGAAGATCGCAACTAAAAATGCTTTTCAGCACAGAATCTGTGGTCGATGACAAAGTACATGCCTGACGTGGACGTCCACACTGGAGAGAGTCGAGTCGCGCTGTGCCGCTCCCTATGTGAGATGCAGGCAATGTAATAAAAAAAGGATCCATTTTCTTGTTCTCTCCTACATAATACCCGCATGTTCAGGAAGATTTTGGGACTTAGCTTAACGGCACCCCTCTTTGCAGTTTGTTAAGATGATAGGTGCGTCTGCTCTCAATCTCAGATAACTTTCACATTTAAGCCAAATTTTGCCCAGCTAGATCTACGAATAGATTGTTATGATACTGCAGCCCCAGCATAATTGAGCAGGGTTGGGAAGAGGACGGCGCAAGCTGAGTTATTTGCGATGATGAATCGCTGACCTGAATACGCTGTCAATCACTGCTGGCGATTTTTAACACAACGTAAGATTAGTAGCACGCCAACACATTTTTTTCATCTTTGACTTTGCTTATTTGCACATGCTTAAAAAGATAAGGAGATATTTATCCACCAATTCATGCCGCAGGCTTCATGTACATACGTGGATTCCTCATAATCCTACAAAAACAATTTGTACGTTGCCACCTCGAACGCCCTAAGTTCAATGGCGACACCTTTCCCACTGCTCAGCATTGCAAGCTCCTCCCCTTGATCCTCCAGCAAATTGACCTTTTCTACTTTGGTGATCGGCACGTGGCCCCAAGTCAAAGTACCCCTTGCTTTGCCGCCTAGACTGTCATAAACTCGGATAATGACGCTCTTGCCCTTTGCCTTTGGAATTCCACTGTATGTGCCATCGTACCAGACATCTTCGTCGTTTTCACCGCGCTTGATCGTGTCAAGCACGATCGCGGGATTGCCTTCGATCTTAAACGAGGAAAGTAGCGACGAAACAGATGAGGGGGAAGCGTGGTGATGAACCTTCATTGGGTTGTTGAAAGCGTATCCCGCGCGTACAGTCCTGTGATCCAGACCACCGATGTGCGGGAAGATCGCGTATCTGATGTGATGACGTCCCATGTCTGCATGAGCGTCAGGTGCTTTAGGGGCCCTCAACAAGCTCAAGCGCATGAGGTTTCCACAAGTGGCAAACCCGTACTTGCTGTCGTTCAGAATGCTCACGCCGTAGCCCGCCTCGCTCAGGTCAGCCCATTTGTGACAACAGACTTCGAACTTGGCCATGTCCCAGCTCGTGTTGTAGTGTGTTGGGCGGCGTACGATGCCAAACTGGGTTTCGTAGCTGGCCTCCGTATTGCGTACGTCAACAGGAAATTCGACCTTAAGGAATTTCATAGTCTCCCGCCATTCAACTTCGGCATCAAAATTGACGCACGCAAAGGAATCGTCTAGCACTGCTGAGAGTGAAATAATGGTTTTGATCCAGGAATTTTCGCTAATCTTGGTCTCAGTCTCGACGCTGACTTTGTGGGGCCCTTGCTCCAGGATACGTGAGGATGTCGCAGTGAGTTCTTTTCGCGAGTTCAGATGGAAGACCTCAACGTCCCAAGCCTGCCAGTACAAAGGTTTGTCGTCGAAAATGACAAGCTGGCCGCCTTTGCCTCCTTTGGCCAGAACCTCGCGCTCTGCCGATTTGTCATACAGCGATGTTATTACTCCGTTACTGACTTCGACGTTGAAACGACTGTTAGAAAGCATGAAAACGCCCTTCTTAATTTCTTGGATCGACGCGGGCTTTGCGCTTGCGGCAGTAAGCGGGGTTACTACACCAACACCTGTGCTTGAAGACGAAGCAATAGCATACTGAGGCTTCTCGGTCTTGACGGGAAGCTTCACAATTTCGGTGCGGTCCCATGGCAGCGTATTGAGCACGACTGGATTGAGGGCTTTTGACTCGTTATCAAACCCTAGTTCATGCAGAGCATCCAGCATGACCTTCTCGCCAGTCTTAAAAATTTCGGCGTACAACTATAAAGAGTTAGTATTGATGGCTAGTTGTTGAAGAAGATTACATACCGCATCTGAGTCATCATAGCACATCTCAATAGAACTACCAGGCAAGCAGTCATGGAAGTGGCACAAGAGAATACCCTCCCACATGAAATCAATCGCCTTTTTCGGATACTCGTATTTGCTCTTTTTGCCGTCAATCTCACCCTTCAAACTAGCCAGCGTGCAGAGAAACTCAATGTCCCTCATCATAAATTCGCTGTTACGGTTGTTGCGCTTGTTGTTCGCCTGCGTTGTATATGTCCCACGATGTAGTTCGAAGTACAGTTCACCGTACCATGTTACGAACTCAGTACCGCTTGCTGCCTTCCTCTCTAGTTCGGCGAAAAAGTCATCAACTGAGTTTCCCATATGAACGCGAGGAAGAAGACCGATCTTGTCAGAGATACCACGGCAGCGACGAAGCTTTTCGATATGCTGCCATGTCGGTCCACCGCCGCCATCCCCTTTACCAAACACAAGTAACGACGTCTCATCCTGATCCAAGCTCTTGTGCTGCGTTACGCTCCGCTTCACGTCGCCGAAGTGGGCTTCAGCGGTGTATGTTTCGCTAGGAGCCATATGGCAAAGGACTTGGCTTCCGTCCAAACTTACCCAGTTGAACGTCGTATGCGGGAAGTTATTGATATTGTTCCAGCTCAGTTTCTGTGTAAAGAAGCGTGTCATACCCGCAAGACGACACAGTTGCGGTAGCTGACCCGAGTAACCAAACGTGTCAGGCAACCAGAACGTCGTGCATCTTGCCCCAAAATGGGATTCGAAGAAACGCTGGCCGTAAAGGAATTGCCTGACCAGCGATTCACCGCTTGGGAGGTTGGTGTCATGCTCCACCCAGCTGCCGCCAATGGGGATAAATGTACCCTTTTTGACCTTTTCCTTGACACGGTCAAACAGCGAGGGGTAGTACATCTCAAGCCACTTGTACTGCTGTGCTTGCGAGCATGTGAACCTCAGCTCGGGATATCTGTCCATCAAGTCGCATTGATTTGACCATGATCTTGCGACCTTCCGCTTCGTTTCAGCCCAAGGCCAAAGCCAGCAAGTGTCAATGTGACAATGCCCGATAGCCTGCACGATTGCCGGCTTCCCGGATTGGTACACCTTTTCCGAGTCCACATCTCCGGTGTACTGCCTAGCAACCTCACGCGCCTTCTTGATGCTCTCCTTACTTCCATTGCCCGCAATGAAAGTATCCATGATCTCATTGCACACCTGCAGCGCCTTGTGGCTCTCCCAGCTGTCGCTTGGAAATTCCCTTGCCGCATCTCCAATGATCCAGAAGTCGATGTATAGTTGTCTCGCGTCCAAGTTGACAGCTACAATGTCTGCAGTGTGAAGCTGATAGTATCGATCTGGCGGGGGCGGCTGGATCGTGTCCCCATTCGCATTGCCAAACATGTGATTACACGCCATCTCGATGTAGAAAGTATGGCTTTTTCCATCTCTCCAAGCATCCGGAAGGATCCATTCGGTGCGCTCACCTCCTCCTGTAAGGGCATGCACGACTTCTCCATTTTCCGTCCAGATCAAGCCCTCGGCACCCGTGTCCCAGTGGAACTCGAGGTGTTCTTTTTTGACGAGGCTGTCAGGAATGGTGAGGTCGATCTTGAACCAATGTGTACTCCAGCTAGGGCCAAATGACTGTCCGACGTGCGCCTCGGCGAACTCATGGCTTGTTGCATCCTCAAACGTCGGGCGCGATAGGTTGGGAGGCGAGTATACGCTGAGTTTCACAAAGGGTTCTCCCTGAACCCTACCTTCGTACATCTTCCTGTGTATACAGAGCTCAATTAGCTTGCTCGATCATAACAAATGCAATCCCGGTGATGCTGCGGCTGCGACGGCGAGGAGTTGGAATCGAGACGTACCCCATGAGCCCTTGCTTCTCATATTGGCCAGTATTGGTGAACTGTCGCAGCCGGTCCAGGTAAATGTTGTGAATCTGCTTACCGACCGGCCGCTCCACGAGCTTCGGGTAGGTCGAAGGAGATGAATCTGAGGTTTCTCGGCCTCCCATCTTGAATCACTGCGATCAAATTGACGATGAACAACAGACCGGAGATGGGCAGATGTTTTGAGCACACAGGAAGTTGGTTTGGCTGCAGGAGAATACGGGGTCACGATCGATCCCAGGTATGGTGGTGGTGGTAGTGGTAGGAGGCTGTACCTGGTTTCAGAGCTCCCCTGCTGCACAAGGGACGAATGACCCGCGCGTATGACGACGCCATGGGCAGGCCAGCCAAAACCCCGCCACGGTTGGCCAGAGTTGTGGAGAAAGCGGTCTAAACAGAATACGCTAAGGGCACCTTGACACCCTCTTGCGAGGCTGACGCTGCAACAAGAAAGCTCGGGAAGAAAGACCCAGAAATCCCACGATGACCGCAAATTGGCCAGGCCTGAAAGCCAGACATGGTCGTGGGGGACGTCAACCCTCGGATGGCAGTAATGTTAAACTCAATAAGAGCACGAACGGATTTGTGTCAGACGATGCACTTCCCATGAGCATTCTGCAGGCCGACATGTATATGCATTATCCTGTCGCGCAACACCTAACTGAAGCACAAAACATATAGTCATCTAGATACTAATTACTAGCTTTGGCAGCCTTGGCCGCTGCCTCGACCTCAATCGCAACCTTGGGATCTATCCTCGGTCTGCTCTCCACGTTATAGATAGCACTCTGCAGCGCTGCCGTGAGATCGATATGGAACAACGGCATATTGACGCCGTGCACAATAATATGTCTGCCTGGAACGGCGCAAACGCCTCCCGGAATAGCTTTTGGATTCTCCTCGCTTGACTGAGACACACTTGTTGCTCGCTCAATGTCCGCGTTTCTGGTAGAAGCACGACGAAGCTCATCGCGATTCTGCTCCCACTCCGCCTGGTTCGCTGCAGAGGCATAGCCACCTATATCGGCAACAGAGAAGATGGGTTTCCACCGATGACCCTCACCTGGTGCGTGAGACGATTCGGATGGTTGGCCAAAGCCAGCAGAGGCAAGGGCGCGCTTGGTCCAGCGATTGTTGATGCCCGCAAAATGCCATTCGACGGTCTCGGGGGACGCATAGCGGTCAAGTTGATTGCGTACGTCGATTAGATTTTGAACAGAGGTGATATCAACGTTGTTGACAGAGGAGAAATCTAGAATGATCGCCTTGAGAGTCGGACGGTGGTCGTTAGAGTTCAATTCCTTTCCGCGGCGCGGACCTGGATCATTCCACGGTCGGTCCTAAAATCTGCTTAAGTCTTGGATCACGTAGGCGAAATAATAAGTAAACTTACGCCCGGCCGTGGAAAGCTTAAAGGGTTGGTCCGCTGGGTTTTCTCAAAAATGACCTTCACCATATAGTCCAAGTAATGGTTGGCGTTCGGGTAGTTGAATCCTTCTGAGAATCGGAATATAAAAATGCCTGGGTATGGGTCCTCAAGTTCGATCGCCGGATTGGAGCCGTCATGGTGGCTGATCGGGAGGAAGGCATTACGGTACTCTGCGGTGTCGTGACTACTCACATGACCTCTATTTTGATCGTATGGCTTCGCAACACCAGTCTTGTTCTCTTCCCCATCAAGAAGGTGGTCCCCAATGACTGAATGAATCTTAACCTTGCCAAGGAAATAGCCTTTGGCTTTGAAGGCCCGAAACAAGAATAGCGCGGCAGAGCAGGAGATCGTGGTGTAAACACCGTCCTCAATGGTGCTGAAAACGGTGACAAAGACACCAGCAAAGAAGATGAGAACTTCGATTGGAGAGATTCTCCAGAATCTGTAGACCGTATTTGGTGGCGTGATCAAGTCTCCAACAGCATGAATAATGACTGCTGCCAGGGTAGCGTTGGAGATGTAATAGAACACAGCGGGCAAAGCGTAGATGGCCAAGAGCACAACAACAGCAGTAATAACTCCAGCTAGCGGTGTGCGGACGCCTGCCTTGGACTTGATGGCGGTACGTGAGAAAGACCCCGTGGCTGGATACGCACCAAGGAATGGTCCTAGAAGATTCGTTACGCCGATGGCAACCAGCTCTTGCGAGGGATCGATTGTGTAGTTATTGACGCGCCCAAAAGACTTCGCAATAGAGATGTGCTCAATCAGTAAGACAATGACTGCGGCAGGAAGCTTGTTCGAAAAGGCATCGATGATTTCCGAGTTGATGACTGGCACGCCGGCATCTTGGAAGCCGCGCGGCACTGTCTTTAAAATGCTGAACTTCGGACTCTTCTTGTGATGCCTGTTCACAAGCCAGCTGATTAGAGTGAATAGGAGAATAACAAATACAGTTCTTAGAGTGGAAATAAAGAACCACATCTTTCTGCGATTGGGCTGCTTCTTAGACATGAAATTGCAAAACCATCTGATGAGATACAGAAGGAATAGGGATGCAAGACCCATTGCAGCATTCACGTTGGAGCGTCCCAGATGTTTTAAAGTATTGATAGCGACTTTATACGTCGAATCGCGAGTGTTAAAGCCGGTAATGCCCATGAGGGTTGGCACCTGGCCTACGGCGATGTTGAGAGCAGAACCCGTCATGAAGGCAGAGATAGCTGCGAGTGAAATAAACTCGACAAGCCAGCCTAAGCGTGCTAGACCGATGAATACCACGATAGATCCGCAGATGATAGCGAGGGCCGAAGCAATATGATATGGCTCGACATTCGGTAATTTCTGGCTTGCCTCATCGATAATAGTACCGGTGAGGGTAGACATGACGGCAACGGGCTGATAGTATCATCAGTATGTGTTCTTCAAAAGATTTCTAGGAAGCTTACGCCTATGGTAATATCCTTTGATGTTGCGAAGAACCAGTAGATCAAGACACCCATGAAAGATGAGTATAGGCCAAACTCGACGGGTAGGCTGGCAAGCTTCGCATACGCCATACCCTGCGGTACAACAACCGCGCCAACAGTGATGCCTTAAAAGACTCAGCATGGTTATTCAGAAAGCGATTGAGCCTTCTTACCTGCTACGAGGTCACCATACAGCCACTGTAAGTTGTAGCGACCGATCCAGTGAATGAAAGGGAAGAGATTGTATATATATCGTCCGACATCCCGTAGTGAGGGGGTATGCTCTTCAAACCATTCAAATATTGTTGGTTCCTCTTCAACATAGGTATCTGCGGTGGTCACTGAGAAGACGGATTCTCCTCGAGTGACAGGATCGGTCTTCGGGTCGTCAAGCTTAATCCCTAGAACTTTGGCCAAGGAATGGCCAACTTGCGTTCGGCTGATCATAGTTTGTTCACTAGATCAAGCACAGTTCAGTAGGAGAATGTACCCTGGACTGTTTTCACGAGAGAGAGAGAAATAGACCCTGTGCCAAACTAATCGTAGCAAGATGTGCAGAGTATTTAAGCCCTCCAAGAAATGAGATCCGCTGGTCGCGTGCGTTGATGCAGCGCTCTCTTCTTCTTCAGACCAACTAGGGAGTTTCCTAGGATGGCGTAAGTACGGCAATGAATGATGTGAGCGAGAGTAAAAAGCCACTGTGGGGGATTTGAGATATGTCGCATGCGCGAGGCTGAGATCCAGACTCTACACGCTTGCGGTTTGAAGAGACAATAGGCGAATCGCCATAGAGGAGCCAGAGGTGCGGACATTAGCAAGATAGAATCTCAGAGACAAAGAAATATCTGTCAGGTAGATTGATGACGCGATCGCTTCGACTTTTCGCCGCGGCGCACAGGTGTGGATTCAGGATATGGGAGCGACTGGCAAGCTGCAGATCCTCACGTTTCCGTTTCATTTGTAACAAAAGATCATTGTGGTATTTCAAAAGTTTGCTAACCTTTCGTAGCTTAATCAACACGGAAGCTTAACCTCAACCAGCCAGAACTACGGGTACGCCTGGGTCTTGGTGTTGGAACACCTTGTGTTGTGGTGCAATAAACCTCCAATGAGCAGGGTCGGGAGAGGCGGGTTAGTGAATTGCGTGATTGAGGGCCTGTCTCACGACATAGAAGCGGAAATCTCAGGTGCATGCGCAACGAAAAGCCAGTGAGTGTTTGTCAGGTTAGTTACTAAGAAAGTCGATGAGCAGATCTGCAAAATTCCAATGCGAGATTGATCTGCTCTAGGATGGGCGAGCGTGCTGATCGTCTTCAGATTGCTTTGCTGGAAGCAAGTATTGTGGGCACAGGTCCACGCATTTTGGTGGATAGCGCCTGCGTTGGGTCCCTAAGGCGCATTCAAAATGGTCCAATCTGGTGCGTAAGAATTTGTTCATTAATCAGTCGTCCGTTCGTTGGATCCGACAGCCAAGGCCTGAGAAAAGTGCGACGTTCCTGGGAGGACTCCCGCGTTGTGGTACATGAAAAAAATACAGATGCGAAGCCATCCGCACAGGTCGCATTGAACGTGATCGCGTTCACGAAGAGTTGATCAGCGGACAAAGGCTAATATTCATCTCAAAACTCTGGATGGATTGAAGAGCGGTAAGACCAACCACGAGGCTAGGCTACAAGTCGGGATGAGCATCTCTTCACCAAAACGGCACGACCACGACGCTTGTGACGCGAGGTTGAGTGTCGATGATTTTGTTGGAGAAGCCTTTATGCCTCAGGCAGACAAGCTTGTGGCTGTGCCACAAAGAGTCAGCCACAGGTTCCAGCTGCCGTGTGGAGATCATCGTAAGGCGCGTCAGGACGTGCAAAAGACGCGTTGTGTTCACTTGACGAGATCGAACAACATATAGTCAACATGGCCGTCACCGCAACTCAAGAGACATTCGAGCACCTGCTGAGGAGAGGACCACCCAATGGCGACATTGCCTCTGGCTTGGACGAGCTGCGATACAAGATACTGATCGACGGCTTACCTAGCAAAAGTGACGGCACGGTAAACAATCTGCCATCCATAGCTAGCATCAGCAACTGAGTAGAATAATAGTCGGAGCTGCGCATGTACGTATGGCTCATATTGCTCAATTCGCCACCCATCAAGACCGATGTCTATCTCGACCTCGTCCAACAAGGTGCTTCGCCAGCATACTCTAAAATACGCAACGACACATTCAGGACGCTTGCTACCGATCCACTGTTCAGAAACCGGGTGACGGAAAATAGCTTGACTAGGGTACTCAATGCAGTCGCCTGGAAGCTTCAGGACGCGCATGAAGCGCGAGTCAATGGTTGGCTATCTCCACCCACAATGACCATGGACGTTACTGCGAGTCCCGACAACACGGCGCGCAGCAGGAGCTCGGTGTCTGGAACGCAGGACGGAAGCCAGATGGGAGACAAGACGGACTACGTAGGCTATGTTCAAGGCATGAACGTCCTCGCTGCCCCATTCCTCTACGCAGCGAGAAGTGAAGCCGAGGCATTCACCGCGTTTGACAGACTTGTGAGCACCGTCTGCCCGGGCTATATTCGGGGAAGCATGGAAGGTGTGCACAAGGGTTTGGCGCTGGTAGACGAGGTCCTCCAGATTTGCGATCCCAAGTTGTATCATTGGCTGCAGCATAAAGGCCTCCACGCGTCTATCTACGCATTTCCATCCGTGCTGACGATGTGTGCTTGTACCCCTCCTCTACCGGAAGTTTTACAACTGTGGGACTTCCTTTTCGCGTACGGGACGCACTTGAATATCGTCTGTATCGTGGCTCAACTAGTCTTGATACGTGACCAGATTTTGGGCGCGGAGAGGTCAGATTTGTTGGTATCTTCTTGACAGCCTGTTTGCTAACTGAATCATCTGCAGCCCTAACCAAGTCCTTCGCTCCTTTCCTCCACTTCAAGCCTCGAAGATAAAAGCGTTGGCAATCAGCTTTGTGCCCCGGTTACCAGAAGAACTGTACAACCGCTTAGTCGAGCATGCCAAATGAGAAATATCATTATGCCGCATCTAACTTTTTTTTTTAGCACGTCACCGCCAAGTTGGTTGCACACGCGAATATTTAATATGATTACATCGATGAACAGGAGCTGCGCATGCAGGTGTCAGACCTGTTGCATACCTCAAAATAGTTGCAGAGCTCCGAGCATATGGGAGTCGGTAAATAACCGGAAAACCCAGCTATATCAGGCATTTATATTATTGCATCGTCTTTTGGGGATGTGAGCATCAAAGCCGGTAAATGTATTGTGACAGTACTTCTCTTTGAGGGGAAAGTGCGAGCGGCAAAACGAATCCAGCTGCGAATTTGACGCAATTGACAAAATTGCACCTGAGCTTTTATTTTTCATTTCTGACTTCAGTCTAATGAAGTAACTGACAATTCGCACTGCAACAGCCACTTCGAAGTCAGACCGAGACCATTCTTTTGCACTGCAGTTTTTTGAACTAATCACAAAGGAAAGCCAGGTCCGTGGACACGGCGAGCATTCAAACTAAATCCGATGTAACAAAACGGCTGCGCCAACTGAGATCAATCTAAGAAGAATTATATATATCAAACATAAGAAACAGCGGTAATCAGGCTGGTATTTACATTGGCTTGCGTGCCCAGCCGCTCAAATACCTCCAAAAGGCACCGGTGTAAGAGCCTTCCTCAAGTGCTGCAGGAACACCCTCGAGAAGGCGATCGGCTTCACGGCCCATCTCCTTATGCAGCTTAAGCATCCATCGTTCCCATGCCCATGAGCCGACCAGGCCAGAGATATGGCTTGCATCTGCGGTAGTGCCTTGCCGGCCGTCAGCCTGAGCCAAGGGCAAATTCAACCAAGCCCGGCGGACTTGTGCGAATCCTGCACGGCGGAGACGAGGAAGCCACAGCTTGGTCGGCGCTGGATCGTAACCACGTGTGCGGAGGTTGAAGCAGAACTCGACGCTAGTGGCGCAAGCCTGGTTACCACCACCGACAATGTCTGCGTCTAAGAGGGCAAACTCGAGATATCCGCCTGGAGTGAGGACTCGCATGCACTCGCGGAGGACAAGGTCATATTCGTCTCTTGAGCGACCAGATGGTTTATCAGTTTTCAGGAGCGTCATCAAGTTACGGGCGGAGATGACGTGGAAGGTGTTATCGGCATAAGGAAGGGTCCACAGGTTCGGCACAAGCTTAGTTCGGTGGTTGGGTGGCCCCTGTATGGCGGGATTGACGGACTGGTCGTGAGCAGTGTATACTGTAGTAACTGTGCTGGACGGGTGCTCAAGCGCCACCTGCCACGCCCAGTCGCAGGAAGCAAGGCCACCAAGGTCGAGGACGCGGCCGTTTTCGATCTTTGGCATGAGCTTGCCGGTTGGGCTTGTGAGAAGGGATCCACCATTCAGCATCTTTGTAGCTTCAAGATTCCACGCGATGGGCCGAATCTCTTCGACAGCACGGCGCTGCCTAAGGGTAGCAGTGACAGCCTCAGATTCTTCGGTAAATTCCGGTCCAAACATGTCAGAAGCCGGGCGGCGAGCCTCTGGCTCCTCCTTCTCGATTTCGTATTTGCCATCGAGACGGCTCAAGTGGGTTGGGAACAGGCATCTGCGATCAAGGCGAAGCTTGTCGGTACGAACCTTGCGCTGAACAAAGGCATCTTGGGGGCCTTTGCTCGAAGCGTATTGTTTCGCAGCCTTTACAAAAATGTCGCTCTTCTCGACCTTAGCCTGCTCAACCGGAGCCTGTTCTGGCTCTGGGTGAACGTCTTCAGCGAAGCGGACGGACTTAGGGGTCGGGAGAGAAACCGATACCGCCTCCTCTTCAACAGTCTCTGCGATTGTTGAGACATGCTGTCTATGGCTATGGAGGCCACCAGAGGAGCTGTGGATCGACATAGAATCGTCAGCGACATATCTCTCCTGCTGTTGAAGCCACATGCTAGTGCGGTCAAAGTTACATTGACCCATAGCCTGAAGCTCCTCAGCATAGTTGTCCTTGTACTCCGATGAGTCGAACTGGGAAGACTCGTTTTGCGGAGCTGGAGCTGCAACTTGTGGAGAAGCAAGTGCAATTCTACGAGCGGTTGGAGGGCCCTCCGTGATGTTATCATCGACGTCGTACTCAATAATTCGCTCGTTCATGCTCTCAGTCCATGGTACGCCGTAAAAGCGCTCTGCAATGCTAGTTGATGGAGCATCTTCCTGAGCATAGAGCCATGTATTGCGCGAGGATGGATCCAAAGTGGAGAAAAAGCCGCCCGGGGATGGAACAGATAATGCAGAAAGCTCGGCTTCATCCGCATCGGCGGGTTCGATCGTTACGTCAAGAGCTAGAGATGGACGCTGCTCACATATCTCTTGCATCTCGCCCACAGCTTCGACTGGTTCCTCTATTTCCTCTTCAACATTGATTGCCGTAAGCGTTTGAAGAGCCTGAGGGTGAAGCTGTACGGGCGTCGACCATTCACGATCGCTGCGATCCAAATCCGGAGTCGATGGGCAGCTCAGGCTAGACAGTTCCTCAGAGGTGAGACTGCCATCAAGCGATGGGGCACTTGACGTGCTGGCCATTGGTCGGGTAGCAAGAGCAGAAAGCATCCTTGGGTTTGGTGAAACAATCGCAGGTGATCTAGTATTGGGGGAAAGTAGTGGAGCGTGAATGCTCTGTTTTTGGAAGTTTTTGAAATTCTGGATGGTCGGCCACGCAGTTGGTGACGGAATAACGAGAGACGACATGCGCTTTTGAAGTCGGGGTGTTGGTTCGCCGTTGCCGTTGGTCAGCTCGGATGTGAAGCTGATAGAGATCTCGCTTGTATCGTCGTCGCTCATGTCATACAAGTCATCAAAGGCAGTCTGCGGTTCCTGCGGTGAGTCTTCAATGAAAGTAGTTCGGTTGTGGTTTCGTTCCCGACGAAAACCTGAGAATCGACTGGCGGGAAGGGTCTGGAGAGTAGCCATTGAATTAAGTTAAGAATTAATTAATAAGACTGAGTGAGCCGATCCACAGCTTTTGTTAGAGCTAGCAAGTCTTCGGTCAACGAAGAGGCAGAAATGGCCAGATATGGGCAAGAAGTGAACGAGCGAAAGCTGCTCTGAAGGATTCAGCGGCGGTTGGGATGTGATATAGGTTCCCAGTTGCCGCCCGTCGTGGTCTGTTCACCACGCCACGCTGAATGGCTTCGAACGCCGTTGTTGACGAAGTGTGGTCGCTGGTCGACCGCGAGGCGGGTCACCTAATTGGGTCTGCTGGCTCCCCTACAGGATCACGTCTAGCCGCTTCTGTGGGTGGACCAACGAACGCCAGGCGCATCCAGAGCCAATCATTCGACTGTCGCACCTGGGCTTCTGATTTTAACCGCCGATATTCACCCTTCGGTGGAGCGTATCGCATTCCATGATGCGGATTCCTGCCTCTTGCGCGAAGCTTTATATTGTTAATTTTATGGCTGCGCCATCCTTACAAAGGAGCTTGGCTTTATGCGGCGTCCAGGCAGGAGACTTCGCAGTCTGCCGCACTCGTTCCTGCGTGGAAAGATCCGGGGGCACAGGGCTTCGGTCAGAAGCGTTCGCATACGTTTGCATTCATGCTGGAGCTTTTAGGCTGGAAAGCACTTGAGGATCGCAAGTGTGGAGATGTTGGTCCTTCGCTTGGCTTGTTGGACAGATGGAGTGAGCTTAGCGGAAACTCGGAGCTCACAAGGAACGACAGCCCACAAACCCTACTTTTGCAGCACTGCTACGTCAGACATCGCATCGACCAGAACAAGACCTTAAAGGTGATCCTCACGTTCAAAAAGACCTGTAACCTCTGCCGATAAGGGCCTGTCTCAGTTGACATTTCTTCAGGTTGATTAATTTCGTGGCCCCAAAGCTAAGCCGATTTTCTAAAAGCTCGACTTTTTCCCTCAGGCCGCGAAAAATGTCGCCCGCAGCAATCATCGCGCCCTCCATTTTATCGGCTGATTTTGGCAAGTTAGGCCAAGAATGCATTGATACCATGAATCGAGGTGCGGACTGGCTCCATGTAGACATTATGGATGGGCACTTCGTGCCCAACATGACCTTTGGCGCCCCAGTGGTTACTAAGATCCGCGAGAGGGTGCCGAAACCAACAGTTGAGATGGGAAAAGGTACATTTGACTGCCACATGATGATAGCGGAGGTAAGTTGAGACCCTATCATCATGAGCCGTGGATCTTTGGCCGAGTGTATGGCTGTTGGATGCTATGCAGCTGCTTCGCCAAACACTGGGTAATGGCTGTGCAACCATGCCCCTCTCTATTCCTTCAGGGTTCTTAAAGCTCGGGGTTAACGCATCATTCCAGCCCCACAAGTGGGTTGTCGATTTCAAGAAAGCAGGCTGCGATCTCTATTGTTTTCACTACGAAGCGGCGCTGGGTTCGACAGCGGCGCAATCTCCTGAGCAAAAGACAGACGAGAAGACCAACCCCAAGAAGCTCATTGCGTACATCCATTCCCATGGCCTCAAGGCAGGTATCGCCATCAAGCCAAAAACTCCTGTAGATGTGCTATGGGATATCCTGGATAGTCCAAATTTGGAAGAACGACCTGACGTGAGTGAGATATAATTGCACACATTGTGCTACATTCTCTTTGAAGCTCAGATTTAAGCTAAAGTCTTCACAGATGGTGCTCATCATGACTGTAGAACCAGGCTTTGGGGGCCAGTCCTTCATGGCCTCGGAGCTTCCCAAAGTGGCTGCGCTGCGAAAGAGATATCCCGATCTACCGATCGAGGTTGATGGGGGACTCTCCGAAAAGACGATAGATCAAGCTGCGGATGCCGGAGCAAATGTCATTGTTGCTGGCAGTGCTGTATTTGGTGCCCAGGATCCCGCAGAGGTCATCAGAAAGCTACGTGAGGCTGTCGACTCGCGAAGAAAGTAGGCATACATTCAACTCTAGAGGCGAGACATTTCAGGCAGGTGAAAAATTTGCTAATCACCAGAGTAGATAGCCTTCTCTATGTCTGACACAGCCGGATACCTCACTGAAGCTACGGGGCCATCATCGCGACCATGTTCTCCAGATTCACTCCTGCGTTAAACTCTTTGAAAGATTCTAGACCGGATAAATGTCAATAATCAACCTGCATCCTCCTTCGCACAGTTTAATTTCTTCGTGCTGACCTTTGGTATAACCTTTCACTTGGTTTTATCTCATTCCCGTTGGGTTTAGCGTGCGATCTTTTTTTCGTTTGCCTTTTTGCGAACTTCAATCATTTCAATGAATCCTAGCAGCTCTCTTTTCTCTTGGCCGACATTTATTCTATGATCTCGATCTCGGGCAGGCCGATCCTTACTAAAGGGAGAAGTGACCTGGGCCGCGTCGGCTCTTCTACTTTGCCTTCCTCCAGGGCGATTGTTAAAGGAATTTAGCCCGCTCACGCTTTGCCGCCTCACTTTATCGCAAATGCAAGGCTTCGAGGTCCTCTCATGCAATATTAAGGAAATGGGACTTTCTGTACAACTCTGGGATGCTGTCTCGTTGCGTACCGATGTTCTGTGGCTAGTTTCTTTACGACGTTCTCGAGCAGAAGGTGCGCTCTTGCCAGCTTGGACTCACGGCCAAAACACAACTTCGGAAGAAAACAGATGGTTCAAGTGAGAGGGGTTCCAGGATCTAGATATGTCCAACTTATTGTTTCCGGGGTTGTGTCATTCTCAGATTGCTAGTGCTATGCCCCAATGCACTTCGAGAACGCGATTGGACTTACCCAATTCGACACTTTTAGCTTCCATGTCATTCTGTAGACCTCCATGGCACGCAATATCGCCCCGTAGAATAACGCAATTCACAAGTTTGCCAGGACTTCACCTAATCCTCCTTCCAGAGCCAAAGAGCTTGCTCCGGTTTGCGAATATCATAACACGCGAATCAACAGAACGCGGCATACAAATCCACTTTCCCCTCTGTCCTTGTCTTGACACCCCCCCATAGAAGCGCACGGCGTCTCGCTTCATTATTTACTTCATGGCCGTTTCAACTCTGGCGACGCAGAGCTCCGGTTTACTTTCAGTCTCGTCAAGCAAATGGCTCTCGCTTCATTTTTTGCTTCGTGACCGCTTCAGCTCTGTCGAAGCGGAACCCCAATGTACTCTAGGCAGCGATCTATTTCCAATTAGTTGTATCAATGGTCGCCTCAAAGAGGCGGGTTTGCGATGCTTCATGTGTTCCGGCGCTTTTGTTATTCCTTGCATATATGCGGCTGCTCTGTCTTTCATGGCGATGCATGTCAACGCTGGATTCCAGAACGGGCCATTCTGTTGAGGTTAAATACATCTTTGACATAGAGACTTGAATTTTATAGAGATTGTCAGAAGAACTACTCACTCTGAACCGATCTTCCCAAGCGAACAGCTCTGACTCCGGTGTTCCATTCTAACTTTGGACAGACATACATCATCAGTACATAGATTTGGTCGGCTACCCGCCTTTTCCAGCTGTGTTCTAACCTTCATCATGGCTCCTCCATCGGTGACTAAGAGCGCGCCCTGTGTTGAGTCACCCCCATGGGTCACGACAGAAACAGCAGATCGGAAGGCATCTTCTTCGTCATCGCACAACTGGCAGCCGCCCCCGTGGAACGATCGCCATTTGGTTCATGTCGGTACCCTGACTTTAGTCACCGAGCGACGAGGAATGTTGATTTGGTTAGATGCTGACACCCTCCTTTTAGGAGATTGCTTCCGCAGAACGTGGACTCAAGCTCCTTGAATTAGATTCGCAGCTCGTAGAACGAGTTAGGAATGCCAATGGCTTTTTCCAACGTGGAATGGACCCAATGCAGCGGTTCAAAAATTGCAACTAGATGCCGTCTGAGCGGATTTTCTTGGTTGCGCTCTTCTGCCTCTTCCCGTCTATGCTGCAGCTGCCAGTTCAAGCGCCACGGGCAGCTTCGTGCCGCATGGGACGGATTCATCGCCTCTGCTCACTCTAGGACTTCGATTCTAAAACAAGCATAACCTCGGTTGAAAAAAAAATTTCTGTATTATCATGCCTTTTCATCGCTCTCATCTTTAGCTCTACCGACTGCTCAACCGAGAGCAGAGAACTCAAAGCCAGGATGTCGGGGTCAGGATCTATTTCAGCAAAAGGCTGGTCACGTTATGGGACGCAATGCTGTTCCGAAATGCGTCCGCAACCTTTTACAGTTCGCACACTGAAGATACGAGGCGCTCTCCACGAGCACGGCGCCCAGATTGGTGGATCAGACGTTTCAGAACGCCACAGCTGGTAGACAAGCGAATCAGGCCCGAGCAGATTACCCTGTCCGGCACTGAGGACGGATTTCTTGGGAAGAAATAGTATGACGACTACCCACGGTAGCCGACGCTGAACAGGTCTGAGACTCGATTTGGGCGAAGGAGCAGGGGCCGGGCACGGCCAGCGGAATTTTCTTGTACACTGTCTATCTTCTTATAACTTCTGGGCGCTACGGCGGACTAGCCGCCGGTGCCAAGGGCAGGATGGAAGTTCGGGTTGGCACACGAGGGACGCTGTACGAGTATTTTAGAATGGGCATAGCAGGCAGCAACGTTGAGAAGCAACGTGGAGACATGGTGTCGGCGTTACGGGACTCAGTTTTTCGTGCAAGACGTGCAGTCCGGCTGCTGGCCTCACTTTCCTATTGCCCTTCTCGCTTTCGCCCTTCCCTTGCGTCGCTTTCGACGTCCATCAGCACAGGCCTTTGGCGGTGCATGTGCCCGTGGAGGGCGCAACGAGCGACGCGCTCCGCATCTGGACAAACTGCGAGCACGAGATTGGGGACGGCGGGGGGACCGTAACGCGGTGGCGAAGGACTTGGCCGGATGGGCATGGACGTGCGTGGTGTTGGCCCACACTGCGACACGAAAAGGAGCACTCCTGCGCCTCCGTCCGCTCGCGGTCTTTGCAGCGCCTCCGTACGACGGGGCACGCAAAGAGAAGCTGCACGATCGTCGACGAGCCAGGGGCAGACGGGCAGCGGGCCAGGGAAGCGAAGGATGATGCATCGTGAGCTATTTTGAAGCGCAGTGCAGCGCTGAAGTCAGCCAGCCGAGCCCAATGGCGGCCATCCAAGACGGGCGACGAAACACTGGGATCGGCTCCTCTGCCACCACGAGATCAGCTCTGGCGCCGAGCAGGCCGCGTCTCTTCTTCCCATGCTCTTCACCCTCGCTGCCGCCGCGGTCAAGCCGGCATCTTCTTCAGTCAATCGTCTCCGTCGGGCCCTCCAGCTCCAGCTCCCGCTCCCGCTCCCGCTCCAGCACCTCAGCAGCGCCCGCGTCTGCCTGCGTCTGCTTAGCCTTGGCGCTGGCCCCGTTTTGGCTGCTCCAACCCCCCCAAAAAGCCCGACTTAATCTCCACCGGAAACACAAGCTCGGGGACGTCAAGATCGGCACTGCGCAACGTAGACTCTTCACACGACGCTACGCCCCCAGTATCCACAGCGTCTCTCAGCCTCCCTCACAATTCGTCACCGCCATTACTTCAACCCACCGGAGGCGACGCTCTGTCATGAGCGCTTTCTGACTGCCGGGCCAGTCTGCCTCCATTGCTCATGATTTGATTTTCATTCGTGCCTTGCTTGACTGCGCAAGGCCGCTTATCCAACCTCTGCAAGTATGGATCGACCCTATCAGTTTTCAGATCCGGATCAGCGCGTTACCTCTCCGTTGTATGTGGCCCACCGCCGGAAGGCCCCTCGTGTGCACGACGAGCTAACAGGGTGCAGAGATCGACGGCAGCAGGACGTGTACAGGCCGGCGCAAGCTCCGTCTTTCACGACGAATGTCAACCGCGCGAAGACGAAGAAATGGGTGGAGGCGAAGCAGGTGTCATACGGAGGCGACGACTGGGACGACTACGACGAGGACGACGAGTATGGCGTGTCAGCTGCGGATGAGCTCCCCGCCGCCGCGTCGTCATCCTCCCATGGCAGGAACTTCACCTCGCCGGTGTCCGCGCCCTCGCAGGAGCCGCAGCTACAGCGCAGCAATTCATTTGAGCGTGGAGACGAGCGACGCGCATTCTCTGCCACAAACCCGCCCGTACAAAGCCATCCACGATCTCCTGGCCCTCCTCTCCACGTCGATACCACCGCCCCCGCTAAACAGGGGCAACCACTCAACAGCGCTAGCTCATACTCTGTGAGCGATACGAGGCAAGTGAGTGCCACCAGTTTCGCGCCATCGACCATAAGCGATAGTTCGGTGAATCCGGAGAACCGGCGTGACTTCTCGCCTTCCGCAATGCCTCCTCCCTTAAGTGCGTCGACGGCCGCTGCCGGACCCCAGTCACCTGCATCGCAAAACAAGGGAAAGCCCTTCATTCGACCTTCAGACATATACAAGCGCATGGAAGAGGAGCAAGAGAAAGAGCGCAGAGCGTCGATAGAGTCTTCGCGAAGCCAGGACGCGACCAGTCCAGCACCCAAGTCGTCAGAGCCGTTCTTTCCAAGGCCAGAACCTAGACTGGAGTCTACTTATCGCATGGGAGCACCTCTTGAGACTGTGGCGGAGAGAAAAAGCGAGTACGGTATGCCGGGCCTTACGACGTCTGACGACTCCAAACCGGCCTTCACCAGTTTATCACTGCCAGAATTCGAGTCGGGATCGAGCTTTGGCAACTTCTGGGACAAGCCATCGCAAGAAAGCACGACGTCTCAAATTGCGAAGCCCGATGATTCGGCGCTACATCATCAACCATCTGTGGGCTATCGGTCAATGGTCCACCAGGCATTCGACATGCCCGCCAAGGTGTCGAAACAGGACAGCACCCGCTCGCAAGCAGCTACAGAGTCATCGGGCTTGTCGCGAAGCGACACGACGGGTACGTCCGACATCAGCCCAATCATGAGCAGAGTTCCCAGCTCGGCAACTGCTGCCATGAAGCAAGGAGAGCAGCGCGACACACCCCCAGTCATCGCAGAGGAGCCAGAGATTGACGACAGAGGTCGAGCGGCCATTCTTGCCGATGTGAAGCCAGGTTACCGACGGGATCTCAACCCACCCAGCGGGACCAAGAGCCCAGCCCGATCGCCTGCTGTGGAGGATCATAAGGAACTACAAGATCCTATGTCTGCAGAAGTTATTAGCAACCTTGAATCTAGCCAGGCTGCTGATCCGTCTTTCCGTGAAGTCGATCTAGCTGCCTCTGCATCTGCTTCTCAAGAAAAGCCCAGCACGTTGGCAGCGCTGGAGAAGGCGGCTCAGGAAAACTTCGCCTCAAAGCATGAAATGCCGGCTGAAGCGAGCCCTGCAATTTCACGTTCGGAATCGCCTACAAAAGGTCGCGTTGCTGATCTTGCCGGGAGGTTTAATCAGGCGGAGTCACGCAGAAACTCCACACAATCTGTTGACTCGTGGGAGGGCGACTCAAGGCCATCAAGCTCCCATGGCGGAAAAGAAGGCACACGGCCAGCCGCGGCTCGTGAAGCAAGCTTCAGACCCAAACTTCCTGGCTCATTTGAATCCTACAGCAGCAGTGTGCAGGCTTCTACGCCAGCAGCTGAGGACGTTTCTGCAAAAGAGACTGATCTTGAACCTACGACCACGAAGTATCAAGTCGAGGGTAAAGCTGTCAACCAAGGAAAGACCGCAGAAGGGCCTGTGGCTGCTCTGGCTGCTGCGGGCGCTGCTGTAGCAGCTGCTGTTTCGGGTGCGGTTGGGAGTCAATCGGATAACACGGATTCTACTGCATCTCGGCGTGAGACTGGTGATATTTACAATAGACCTCTCCATCCTGACCGCATCGATTCAACTTCATCGTCAATTGCCCCGGCGTCTCCAGCGAAGGAAATCGTCGAACGTATCTCAACGCCTCCGACAACTGTAAAAGACGAGCAGTCACATGGCGACTCTGGAGAGTCGGGCGAAGACTTCGAGAGCGATCGTCTCCGACGAGATATCGTTCGCACTTTGAGCCCAACGCAAGAAGAGGCACCAGCGCAGCGTGGATTGGACGCACCAGAAAATCGTGCACCGAATCGAAGAAGCGATGTCATCTTGAGCGAGTATGAGAGCTATTGGGCTGGGGCTGATGAGGATGACGACGAGGAGCCAAAGATGAGTGCATCGGCGCTTCCAACATTCGCACCCAAGCCTCTTGCACCGAAGCCGGCTACAGTGCCTGAGTCTGAAAAGGTGCTACCTGACCCTAAAGTGGCAACGACTCTCGCACCCGAGGCTGTCCCACCGCCTGCGGCCACTACTTCTGCAGCTGAAGCTCCGGTAGCATCCTCTACACGGCCTGGCTTCTTGACACAGCGTTTTAGCTGGGAGATGACCCCAGCAGACTCGCCTGTCAAGGAAGAATCAGAGCATAAGCGTTCAGCAACAGTTTCTGAAGCTGCGCCACCACCAGAGCCTCCTAAAGACAAGCTTAAACCTGATGATCCATTGTCGCTGAATCCAAAATTGAGCAGTGAGCACCTTCAAGTTCGAAATGCCGAGCCGGGTGAGCTTCCTAGCCCAGAGGAGAGGGGTCCCTCACTTGATTCAATACGGGAATCCACCCCTCCTCCTGAGCGCTCGAAGGCAGAAGGTCCTGAATCCCCTGTACAAACGCCAACGGTCCGCGAAACGCCTGCTGGACCGCGGCCTCCCTCGGGCCTCAAGCCTCAAGATGGGCAGGAGGCAAGACCCCCGTCCTTCCGGGAGATCCTGGCCATTAAATCCACACCAGTTCGTGTTGCAAAGTACAATGAGACGCGACTGCAATTTGCAACTATGGATACTGGTTTGGAGCATTGGTTGAAGAGGATGGCTGCAACTAATCCAGAATTTCGCAATGTGCAGACTACCGTTTACAGGCCCGCAGTTTCTTCGATGACAACATCAACAAATTCACCATCTGGAGCACGACACAAAACTACCACCTCACTTACCAAGGTGTTTAGTAGCCAGGGAGACAGATTCGGCGGCCCTTCGGATTCACCACAAGAGTACCGGACATCAGCTTCACCGAGTGATCGTACTGCAGCGGCAGCTCTTAAAGGCAAGGACTTGCTCAACAAGGCCGGCGCACTTGGTGGAAAGGGCGTGAGCAAAGGCATGAAAGAGGCGAAGGGATTGTTCGCGAAGGGCAAGTCCCGATTCAGGGGTAGTGGTTCGGAAAAGGTAGATGACTGATTTTCCTTTGTAGAACACTTTCCGCACGTTCTCTTCCACTCCCTCCTTTCCCATCTCTTGTTCCGCTTCACTTTTATTCTTTTCATTTATCTCTTGTAACAGTTTGTCTGCCTTGTCACATGACCATCTTCGAAGTTGGCTCAGTCTCAGTTCGGTCAGTTCGGGCTCACTTGGGTGGATACAAAAGGGCTGCAGTGTATTGTATCTCCTTTCTCCCCCAATGCGAAATTCTATTTTCGTGGCGCCTATGACACCCGTGTGCTCTAGAAACCTCTTCATCTTCTTTTTCTTTCATGGGGACGCTTGCTCATATGTGCTTTTTTGTAGGCCCCATTCGAGACCTCTTCCCGCCGAAGCTCCATTGCCTCCGTTTCTTCACAATCAAGCATCTTCAGCCTTCCATCGTCCCGGCGTTCTAGCTTTGATTCCACGCCTCCAGCGAGCCGACCCGCATCTGTAGACTTAAGCGTGGCGTCGCTCGGCCCAAATCCTTCTCCCCATCCAAATTTCAATGCCGTAAAGCTGCCGGAACCTCAAAAATGTCTACCAGATGATGACAGTTTCACCCCATGGTCCGATGAATGGCTGCGCGAGAATGTGAATTTCGACGTCATGGCTATATTTTCAAGGAAGAAGAACAAAGTGGAGGAGGAAGACGAGGAGACAGCAAGGAACACCAAGCTGAATGCGCAGATGTCGGGACTGCCAGTAGCAAATGGACAACAGCCCGTGGGTAAGATTGGGGACCTCCCTTCGCCTGCACTACCTAGCTTTCATTTCGAAAGGTCGCGGCCCTCGTCTAGTAACGGCTCAGACGTCGTGAAAAGGGGAATAATGAAGAACCCGAATGGTTCTTTCACAGCACTGGCGTCGCAAACTCCACAGCAAGGCGTGTCGTCTTCATTGACGATCAATAAACCCACTGGCAAAGCAGAAGACCGCAACAGCGATACGAGAATAGTTAGCATGCTTGGACCTGCAGATGGTAATCAACGTGACATTGGGGATGATCCCCCTTCTCCTGTCTCACCTGTGGATGAGGATGAGAAGTTCACAGGAGCAAATTCGAATGGAAGGCCAAGTGCATTAAAAGTCCCAAGCGCTCAGACAAGCGTACAAGGCACTTCGTCTCCAGGTGCAACTCAATCACCAGCTTCAGGATCGCCTATGCTTCGAGCAACCAGTGCCGTAGGTATGATGGATGTCGGGTCGAGTCCTCGCGTATCTTTTGCGGTCAGCGAGCCCAAGGGCAAAGAAAAAGCTACCGACGGGTCATCTACCCCTATTCTGGGAACTGCGCGCCACATTCGCTTCGACTCGACTACGTTCCATCCAAAGGCGAAGGAGATCAAACTGCACAAGCAGAAAGGGGGCGAAGACAAGAAGCAGCAAGGGAATGGTCCAGAGGGGAACCACAGTCCTCCGCTCAGGGTCGGCGCGGCTCACCATGGAAATTTCCAGCAAGCCGTAAAGGAGTCGCAAAGACCAGGCGTGCGACCCGCACCTCAGAAACGTGCGAATCCAGAGAGTGGCGCGCTTACGAGCTTGCATCGGGCGGACTCGCAGTACGATCGGATGGCGGCGATTGCAAATGCACATCGCATGATGAGAGAGCAATTCGATGACATTAATGATTTGAGTCTGGCGCCGCCTGATCTGATGGCCCGCGAGACGGCTGCAAGAATGCGTGCCAGGCAGGAGGAGCTCGAGAGGATGGCGACCATGACGAGTGGCGGCGTTGTGGGTGGACCTACTCCTCCTCTTTCAGAGTCTAGACCACAATCTAGAAGTGGAGGGAGGACCCAGATCAGCGGTACCGCGATCAATGCTGAACGATCCGAGTCAAGAGAACCGCGACCTCTGACCGTTGGACAACCTGGCAATTCCAGAGATTCAAGCGCTGGTAGCAGGTCCACAAGTATGCCGCGGCTGCCTCCGACTGGAGGACCGAGGGCAAATAGCATCCCTCGACCTGAGAGTATAGTCGGAATGCCCGGCCATAAGGAAGCACGGCGTCGAAGTCTTACAAACAGTCGCCCGGGCACGAGCGAAGGGCCGTATTCAGTCTCACTCGATACTTCTGTTCCTTTATTGACAATCTCCAAAGGCCAGTCACCAGCGACTCCTGTAGTACGTTTGAACCATGGGTCCGCATCTCCAGCTACGCCTTCAAGTCTAGGCGCGTTGCCCTCACAAATGAATCGGCCCGTCTCGCAGGTTGCGACTTTTGTGTCGCCAGACTTATCTCCGGACTCACGACTCAGTGTCGGGCCGGAACTGATGCCGCAGAATACGCGGCAGTCAAAGTCGCCGTCCTCAAGCACGCCTTCAATGATGGCCAACAAGCCCGAATCCGTGTCTACTTCGCAGCAGCAGCAGTTGACTTCAGCAAAGAACCACAGTCTAGATGCACGGCCATCCGTTGGAGGCAGGTCGGAGCATAGTGTATCCTCACTGGACGCTACTGATCATTCTGAGAATGCCAGCCCCATAACGGCAAAACGTGCGGTCAGTCCTATCGGCAAAAATTTCGAGACACGGCAGTATTCCCCCCCTGATCCCAAAAAGGAACGGCCTATGAGTTTCATCCCGTTGGAGAGGGACGCTCGCGGGCTGCCCGTTTCAGAGATCATCAGCACCGCTAAGCACCCCATTGATGTAACAACCCCTGAGGATGAGGAAGTAAAAACAGCGCCCAATGCTGTGCCTGGGCCTGAGAGGGATCCGAATCTTCATCTACAAGAGCAGCCACAGAAGCAGCGACCATCGTCTCTCCAACGTTCGAGTCTTCTCTCCGCGCCTTCAGACCAAGACGACGACCTGTACAAGCCACCGACCCCGAGGCGAGAATCTAATCAGACGACTGAAGCAAATGGGACATCGGCGTCCACATCACCAGCGAAGCCGGCTACGCCGGAAGAAACTTCCACTGCCCCCTTACATTCAAATCCGGTAAAACATAGATCAATACAACTCTATGATAGGCCTTTTTCCAGGGACGGAACTTCTCCCGAACTTAGCGTCTCAACGGCCGTGCCAGATGCAAACCCGATTGAACATCTACAAACTCCAATTTCGCCAGCTTCGAAGAAAGGACTCCTCTCTAAGTTCATGAGTAAGCCACAAGCGGCCGTTTTAGCTGACGCAAGTGCGCATTCTCAGCAGTCGTCGCGCGATACCACAAACTCTTCAGGTGATCAAAGACTGTCCTCTATGACCTCTACAACCGCTAGCGTAGATGGTGAAGGTAGAGACAAACAGCGAAGGCGAGGATCTGGTTTATTTTCACTGAGACGATCCTCAAGTACGGAACCAGTCTCGTCACACGAGCCTGATGATACCTTCATACCCCCCCACAACCAAGTTAGGCTCAACTCCAAAAATGTAGCCCCTCCTCCCACAAAGTCAAAGCCGCAACGGTCGGCTACAACAAATGTGGACGTACCTGGCAAGAAGCGACGTGGTACTCTCGGCAGCATATTCGCTCGTGGGTCATCGTCTACCACCTCAACGCAGACTCCCAAGAAACAGAGCGCAAAGATGACCGTATTTCATCGCGTCCCAGACAATCCCAATCCGAGTGCTTGGGAATCTCATCAGGAGCGGCGATTTTCAGGGCCTCGAGGGGCGGATTCAGGAAAGCCACCAGTTAACGATCCACTACACCCAACACAAGGCAGCAGGCCAACCAGTCGAGGTGGACGGCCACCGAGTTTCGTGCACAGCCCCGGAGCCATTGGGATGGCCGCTATCGCTGCACAGCAAGATGCACAGATTACAACAACGATCTCAAGTACGCACCAGCGCAAAGAACGACGCTCAATGTCACTGACAGGCGGTGGCTTTTTCGGAAAGAGGCGATCAGACTCATCCCCATCTGGACATAACCGTAACCGTAGCAATAGCGCGGAGTCGCAATCACAGACGAAACTAAAGAAAGGCCGTAAGGGTAATATGGGGAGCATCTCTGAAACAACGCATCAAGAAAGGCCATGGGCAATTACTCTTCCCGGTGCTGAGGACCATGACGATGAGGAGTCAAAGGAGATCGAAAGGCGAGAGATCATGCATGCGTCCTCAGCTCGTTGGCAAAGAGGTGCTGATGGGCAGATGCACGCTCAGCAGGATCAGTCTCCAGCAAGCCTGACGGGCTCTACTCCTATCAGCCCACAAACATATCCTTTCCCTTCACAGGGGGCCCACAACCAGATTTTCTCATATTTGCCAAGTGGCGCACCGTCGCATACATCTTCAAGAGTGCAAGATCAAGCCCAGCGAGGTGAAGAGTTTTCCGGCCCGCATCCTGCCGTGTCTCCGCCGCTACAACATGTACGACGGCTGAATAACTACATCGACCCGGAGAAAGCGGAGATTTATCAGCCCTCCGCGCCGTCCCAACCAATCATTCCTCCTTTGCTGCAAGACGATGTTCCTCTCGCACAGCCTAAGCCACGTCGAGCGAGCGTGCAAGGAAACGTCAACGATCCAAGAATGGATCCAAGCTATCGTTCGACAGGTGCATCTCGTTCAACGACTTCAATTGCCACGGCGTCATCATCCCCGCGTGTCGTAGACAATACTGATTCGACAAGGTCCCCTTACTCAAATATGGAATCTCGTGGTGGACCTGCACAACATTCGCAAGGCTCTCTCTCTAGACCTGTAATGAATGGCCGAGGAGGTGATGGATCCTCCAGTGTTCACCCTGACAACGGCGATAGTCCAGACGAACGTCCGCCTGTTCCGATGAAGGATACAATATCTTTGGCACAACGTGGTCCACCACGCGGAAATGCAGACGTTGGTAGCGGATCGCCCGCTCCTACCACTTTCATTGCTGCCCTGGAAGAAGAGAGACGCAAACACGGCGAACACGCTGCAATGGGCTACTCGGGCAGCAAGGCGAAGCGTGAACGGGCAGGATTAACGGTCAACGTCCCTGTGACCAGCGGGGCGCCGCCACCTCAAGTCGGCATCTTCTCGGATACAGCGGCTGCTATGGCGAGCACGACGGCCAGCGCTAACCGCAGAAGAGCCAATGACGACAGCGACGATGACGTGCCTGTCATGAAAGCGACAAGTTTCCCTGGAGACGAATGGGTTCCGGAATTTTATTATGAATAAGCATTTTCCACATTGCTGTTTTACCGTATAAGATTTTGTAATTAGAAAAGCATTTCGTGTTTGTGTCTAGCGAGGAGTTGTCGTTGGTCTAGTAATAACAAACCGCAAAGGTGCCATTGTTTAATTCTCCTTACCCGATCGATCGCCCGCCTTTCGTTATCTGTTGGCACGTCCACGAAAACCTGCTTTTTGGTCTTGCAACTTGACTGGCTTGCAATACGAGGCTCGACAGGCTTTTCAACCGCTGAGTGGTGATAGGCTGCGTCGTTGGCAGATGCTGATTTGACCATGCTTTGCTTGGAAGGCCAGAAATCTTGATGTCATCATGTACGCTATTGTATATATATATATATATATATATATATATATATATATGTGACCTTCCCAATTCTTCGGAACGGTGAAAGTGAAAAATTGTCTCACTATCACACTGCTTGCGTTAGCTTTCCCACACCTCGTGTCACGACTAATGCATACACGGGGTGTGGAGAATTCCCTGTTCCCGATCAAGGTGGCAGCTTAACTTGGCCTAGGCGAAACATTATCATGTAATTCACGCAGGGGCCTAAGGCAGCAGGATTTCCGGGATGTCTGTCCATGCCGTACGTGAGCGATCTGAGCGGTTGAGGACTGCTTGAGCGACCATGTAAGCCTCGCCTAGGATAGATGAATGCTAAGCATGGCGGCTGATCGGGCCTTTTTTTTTTTTTTTTTTCCAAGGGGCAGGCAGCATTGTCAACAACGGTTGACAGAACATCTTTGCTTCACCAAAGCTTAGGCTGACTGGTCGGGCCGTTCCTCTGGATTACGAACTCCTTAAGGGCTTTGATTGATGGGTTTGCGCCATCCAAATGGCCCGAATCCCCTTCGTCGCCTCACCTTTTTCATTCGATTTTTTTTTTTTTAAAAAAAAAAATCCCTCACGAAGCGGACTGTGGGGCCTCGAGCGCATACATGCTTCTTCGCGCTCTTACTGACCAGGATTAGGGGTTTTTCCACCATCGCGAAAATCTAGATTCCGTTCCAGCGCAGGATCAAAGCCCCATGCCAACCATGACGGACGACGCTGTAGGACCTACCTCTGGACCGAGACTTCGTTTTCCAAGTCATGCACTGCGACGGGACTATTCTCGAAGCCTGGAGCTTGCGCACCCAACGTAACGGATGCGGCAACAGTCCATGAACCAATAGAAGCGCATTGAACAGCAGTGATTGCTTGAAAGCACGCTGCCTTCACCCCGGACAACCGAAACCAGGGCAGCAAATTACGTCTTCAGAGGTCGTCGAACTGCTAAGAAAGTCTTTGGTCGTTCATGAACCGTGTTTCAAAGCTTCTGCACGGCAGCATGCGTCCTTCGATCACTGACGTTTGCTTGGAGCGTGGCGCGAGGGACGACGATCTCCGTCCCGACTGTGGTGGGATTGAAGTCAAGTCCAGGCCTTCTCGTACGATCGACTTTCCCGCCACTTGACGGAGTGGCGGCGCGCTCTGGCCTCACACAAGACGACTTATAAGCTGTCGCCTCCATCTCTCTGCAGCTCAAATTGGTTCCAGGCCCCAGGCTTGAGACAGCAGTCTGGGATCGTCGCTGGTCTATTCGCGTTCGCAGTCTTTACGCTGGTTCGCGCGGGGCCCTGTTATAATATAATAGTCTTACAATCCTTCCCCGTGCGAAGACGCCGTTGGTTTGCGACGCTGATACTACCCCCCCCGCTAGCTAGATCACATCCATTTCTGAACGGTTACGGCGCACCACCTCATGCTATTAGGCATTGCCCAAGAGTGCGGCACATCTCTGCAGAATTGTTCTCTACGTGAGCAGCGAACTTGCCCTTGTCGAGGGCGAAATCAACACAAGATCTTCGCGAGCATGAGCGTCAGCTTTGAGACTGACAAAGCCGTTCATGGTGTGTCCAACCGCTTTCTGTCAATTTAAAGCGTGGGTTGATGTCTAAACCAGAGAACGCTTATGCTGCGGAAGACGATGGATTTACCGAAGTATTCGCGCAGCTTCAAGCAGCCGCGCAAGAGGCGATGAACAGCCGCACGCCAGAGGATGTTCTTGAGGAGTACTTTCCCATGCAGAGCTCCACGTTGCCGCCATCTGGCACGAGAAGTCCCACGAAAACGCGGCCCACGTCGATCAGCATTCACGACGAGGCCCTGGCAGACGTTTCCGAGATCGCATCTGGAGGAACTCTAGAGATCGACGACCCTTTGTTTTGGGGCCTTGGTGCAAATGCCGGGCCTGGACGCTGGGCAGGTCGACAGAAAACGACTCGCCTTTCAAATCAACTGACCCTGCCTGCCTTTGCCCAATTGCCCACGTGGGTCCGTATTTTTGTCGCGCAGGTCGCGGTTGGCTCCGTCGTTTTGGCCGTGTACGGGCTGCGAGAGCTGCTGGAATGCATTCGCATCCAAGTTGCCAACGTTTCTGCGCACCACGCGCCACAAGACGCGTCCTTTTGGACGACCTACTTTCCTCGTCTAACCAAAGTGTCGGGCTGCAAGGCCGTAGCAATGTCACTGAACGGCCTCATCTGGCTGTGCTCAGCTGTCCACTGCGCACAGTCCTTTCGCCAAATGCTTACGGGCGCGATGTCAAACAGAACGATTCAAGTTCGACTGCTCATTCTTACCCCGCTGTGGTTGGCTTGCTGCACTGTGGATGGGATTTTACGGCTGCGCACGAGAGAGGAGATCTCGCTGTCGATGATGACGATCCTGATGCTCATGTTTGTTCTGTCGACGTTTGCCAGACATCTGGCAGTTCCTAGCTATGCGTGACACGAAATTCAAAAGTTTTAGCCCAGTGCTCCGTGCCTCTCTATCCTCCCCTTCGACCACGGTCACATGATTACTTTCTATTTCATCCAACCAGAAGGCCATGCAAAGTTACTTGGAGGAGGACGAGGAGGAGGAGAACGATGGCTTGCTGTGTAAAACGGTTGCCGAAATTCCCCAAGTTACCTGTAGTTGTACGTAGACATGTGACACAGTGAATGTCCATGTGGACAAGAACGTTTGATGACGAAACATGCTGCGTGTGCGGCTGCGAGCCTCCTGGGCTGCGGAAAGAGATGATCCTTCTCTTTAATGTTTTTTCCTTCTGCCCGAGTTCTTTGCTCGCCTTGCGCTCACCTTCACATGCAAAGATGCGGGCAGCTGTCAGGTTCAGCGTGGGTGGTTGGCTACCTGAGCGCGGCCGCTGGCGCGAATCAGTCTCCGCAATTGGCGGTCCCTCTCCCACCCCCAGTTCCCGCACCCTCACCTCGGCGTTTTTCTCGATGACGAATTTCGGTGTGCCCCCAATTGCTTCTGGCTCGTTACACTCTCGCGACACGATGATGTCGCTATCTCTGTCACCACCCTGACGGTAGCTCCACGTCGGTCACCGGCCATCGCTTTCCAGTGCCTACCGTCTCCGCACCCCGCCGCCGCAAGCACGCGACCTCAATTGCCGACCAGGCCTTGACGTCAGGCCGAGGTGGAATCGGCGAATCGCACATACTAACTACTGCGTGTGGTTGGTCCCGCACGCGACGACAAAGTCCTTCGAGACCCGTTCATACACACGCACATCCCTCCATCTCTCGCTTTCCCTCACTCTCAGCCTCGCTCTCCATCTGCTCGTGCGGCCGCTACGTCGGTCGCGCTGATTACTCAGCCAAGATGGACCTCATCAAGAGCCTGGAGGCGTCGCTCGAGAAGATCGTGCTGGATCCAAAGTATCACGATGTCTTCATGCTGGTCAAAGCCGTGCGTAACGGCGTCGTCTACGGCACCAAGGTGCGGTTCCCTCATGCTCTCGTGTGCGTATACCCTCTCTCCCCTTCATAAACCCCCGTCTTCAGTTGTTTCCTGACGACTGATCCGGCGGCCCCAGCATGATGTTTCTCTTCCGCAGCGGCACCTTTCGGGAAAAGATGTGGCTCGTCATCAAGGCTACGCGTATGCACGCTCGAAACCTCGGCCTCTTCGCCTTCATATACAAATCCACATGCCTGGCGCTCAGGGCCCTGCAGAACGGCAAGGAAGGCCACTACGACACGTTCCTTGCCGGCCTGCTGGGCGGCTACTTGGTGTTCGGCCGCACCATCCGCAACTCCGTCTCGCAGCAGATCGTCATATACATCTTCGCGCGTGTCGTGCTCGGTATCGCCAAGCTGCTCGTGAAATCGAAAGGCGAGGCGATGAGCGCCGTGCCAGGCGGCGGCGGCGGCTTCGGTCTGGTCAGCAGCCCCAAAGTCAGGGAATGGCTGGCCAAGAATGGATGGGTCGCTTTTGCGAGCTTGAGCTGGGCTTCCGTGATGTATCTCTTCAGATGGCACCCGGAGGATTTGCAACCCAGCCTGCGAAGCAGCATGTCTTATATGTGGGTTTCCCCTACTTTTGCACTTCTATGCCCAGTTTTCTTCTCCCTTCCTCTCATCTTTTCCTTTCACCCCGCCTTCCATCGCCTTTCCGCCTCGCACAGTCCTGTGAATACAACAACTTGTGACGGCATTGGAAACATACCCAAAGCAACAACTTCGGCGCGCTAACGATTGCGGGAACAGTTATGTCCAGTCGGATCACTGGGACGGTCTGAGAACGCTGATTTGGCACAATAAATAGGGTTTTAGAGGCAAGAGAAGGTTTGGAATTTCCCGCTTTACATGTTCGTGGCATCGGATGGGGAGACAAGAGGAGCACATGCACGACAGCATTTAACAGGCGTTTATTAGTGTCTTTTGGGGAGAGCGCGGCACGACTCTTCGTCATGCATGTACGAATACAGCGCATATTATTTTAGGATGTTTTAGAAAGGAGAGCGTAACACCGCCAAAGACGTTTGCGGGGTCGATAGCTCCAATGTCACATCACGTCAGCAGGGTCTCGGTGTAGAATTGCGTGTCAAGTCAAAGTCTCGTTGGTCGCTGTTTGAATCGACACGTCTTGAAATTTCTGTCTCAGGAGGGGTTGAAGTAGATCCCATGACGACCCCCGACTATCCCGTCTGAAGCTCTACTACCAAGAAGCCGCTAACGCAAGGCATCGGATGCAAGGGGTGGACCAAGGAAAGCTCACCGAGAGTAAAATCAAGCATCGCATTCAGTCATATTTGTGGCATCAGTGTTGACCGGGCGATTGCAGCCCAATGGATATCAGGAGATTCTCCATGTGACCAAACAAAGCATTCAGGAATCTCCTCTTTCTCAAGCGCCGTGTACAGTGCTTTACTAGTACCAAACGCATGCAGAATCAGATCACACCGAGCCATGCTCGTACTAATGTACGTATAGGTTGCGCGTGCAATCAATGCTGGCATCTCATCTCGTGCCAACGAGAAGAATGCGCAGGAAGCCGTTATGAAAGATAGGGCAGCCACTTAGAAATTCGCAAAGAGATGTATAAATTTTCGGGGCGGATACGAATCGGTGCCAAGTAAACACCCACCAGTTGCTTAGATGCAGTGCCGATGATTCGTTGCGATTAAACCGTAAAGTTGCTCCGCGTACGGGGAGGGCCGAAGCCACCCATTGGCGGCCGTCGAGCCCGAAACATGCGCTGACAAGATGAAATTTGGCTTATCTCGCCGTCGGATCCAGGCTCGTAATACCAATCTGAGCGGGATGTTGAAATGTTCGCGTCAAGTAGACTTCGTGTCGATTTTCTCGGTTAGAAGCGGTCGAAGCTTCTGCAAGTCCATGAAGCTCCAATCTTCAACAACACAATCTAACTGGTCAGCTACACTGCTCATAACGCTGCTTAACCGAGCAACGTGTTCTTGTACATTTCAGACGAGCGAATGGTACGTACTTTTTTTATCACATTTCCTTGCTTGTTTTTCAAGCATTCGCTTGGCGGTTGGAGGCGTGTGAGTGAGCATACGTCCCGTTGTTTGAAGCCTGTCCGATTGAACACTGCGCGGCGCCCGACGTGCATGTTGACCGGTCTTGCTCGAGGATCGACGTGTCCACGACAAGTTGTTCGACATTGTGCACGAGGACACTTGATGCGATGGATAGGTGGGATCTGCGTGGACAGAAGCGTCGTTGAAATCTCAGGCAGTCGTGAATAAATAGTTCCCTTGTCCGCGTTGATTTCTGAAGTCTTCCCCGACCTCATCTCAATAAAAAAGACCCCGTAAAATTCCACCTTTTAAACTCCTTTGATATCTTTATACTAGCAATTAAGGTTCGATCTTAGCACGGCGTCCCGACAAGCTCTGGCATCTACACAACGACCAGTTGTCAAGAAATTAAAGAGACGCTTTGTCCCGGTCCTTACCCTTGAGGTAGTGACTGAAAGATATTCACGTGTATGTTACCTGTATATTGTTGTGATAGCGCCTCTTGTCTCTAGAGGTTTTTCGAGTATAGATCTTTTCGCCTTCTATTCAAAATGACAAAATCCAACGGACGGCCCAACGAAGAAGATCAAGTTCCCTCTGCGGAGCCAAGACAACCGCAGTTGAACCCAAGAGTATGCAGCTGCAATTGCAGCTTCCGAGGCTTCGTGACAGGTGATGGAGAAGCGGGCGAGCGAGGAGTCGATGGTGACGATGGTACGTCCGATGTGCTGCAGGTGAAGGTATCAAGCTAACATCATCGACAGCGGACAAGGTCTGGCTAGCAGGAGACGAGGGTGTCAACACACACATGCTCTCGGCAGGCACGTCCCTATCCCCTACACTCAATCAGTACGAGCCGTTCAACGTGGACACGCAGTATGTCCGCTACGAGCACGGGCGCAATGGGTTTGTGATGACAGGAGTTCTGGAGAGCTCATCTGCCGTGGCCGATGATGACGACGGGTACAAGCTCCGTCGCCCGGGCTCGGATGAGTCTATGATGATGCACGGCGACGGCAGTGGCAAACTGAGCATGGCCTCAAGCATCTACCAGATCACGGCGAGTTCGCAGAGCACCACGCAGCTCGTCGTCGGAACAGGATCCCAGTTTGGCAACACCGTCCATCACACTTTCAGGTTAGGCTATTTCTTCACTGCGCCTCCCCTTATACTTGTTGCGCCCGTCCACTGCGGATGCCACCATGGTGCGATTGATACTGAGAGTCGTGACAGCAGCAGCGCAGACATGTATACCGATCCGAGAGAGTTCTCTGAGAATGTGACGGATGATGAACTGGGCCACTAGCGTGGTCGGAGAGGAAGGGCACTACAGGCTTGGAGGCGTTCCGTGTGATGATTGTGCTTTTCGAGGTGGGAGGAAATGTCGTTCTCAAAATGGTAGGCGTCAGGTCTTGGACTGTAAAGTGATTCTAAGCATTGGCACGAGACGAGAAATAAAGCAATTGAGCCAGACAGCGGTTTCCCACCGGCGCGAGTGCGTGTATAGAGAGCGGCAAAAGCGTTTGAGCAAGCGGAGAAGTCGAAAGAAATCAGTTGCGTGTGTGCAAGTGATTTGTGCTTGTGTGTGGGCAAGTACGGGCAGAGTGCACACCGCCTCTTCTTGTAGCTTTTCCAAGGGTACCGGATCTTACAGGCCAAAGGCAAGCAAAACAATGAAAGTGTCCAGGCAGGCCAACCAAAGTAAGCATTGCGGAAGCCAGGCCGCACCCGTTGTTCCTCAGTGTAGCTATCGATCAGGCGCGTCAAATGAGCCACCATCCGATTCGTGACGACGTAAGCTGCACAACGTGAAAGTCGTTCTTGTGATCACCGGGTGACAAAGGCAATGGGCGGTGCGCTGGATATTGGTCATATGGAGAGCGAAGATTGGACGAGATAGATTGCTATTTCTGCATCCCGTCGGACAATACTCGCGGTCGAGCGTACACGTGAGGTGAAATATTTTTCTTGTTCCCCCTCTTCAACGGAAGGATGGTCAAATGGCTGGACGCGCGAGATTGGATTTATTGACTAGACAGGTAGCTTTGTGCGGTCGCGAACGGGTTCGAAGGGATGGCGGGAAGAGTCGGTGGCGTCGCAGCGTGGTTATAGCCGACCAGGGCGCAGCGCAGGCTCCTTCATATTCTACAACGGCAACAAAGATGCTGGTTGCGATTATTGTTTATCTTTTATCGTTCCTGTAATCGTTGTTATTATTGTTGATGTACCCGCGCATTGCGTGGCGGTTGGGATCATCCGTGAGCAGATGCAGCGTTCCAGAACAGACAAGGCGCCTTTTTCTCTCAACCAAAAGGTACATTATACGGCCTGCATGATGGGAATTGGCCAGGGCGAGTGCATGAGTGCGTGTGTTGGGGCTGCTCGAGCATGCAAAATGCGATTGGGGTTTGTCGACGAGACGTGATCTGCACGCCAGCGCTCACAAGTGTTACACAGACAGCCTTGTCGTTGAGAAAGATTTGGTCAGCTGGAGTTTGGCCAACAAGGCCATCTCGAATTGCCCCTACAAGTTCCCTTGCAGGACTAACAGTATGAACGAACCACGGCAGTAGAGATCGGAGTACGAGGAGGTGGTGGAGCGTGCAGGATACGTGTGCGTACGACAGTGCAAGTTGGTACTGGCAAGCGGGCCTAGGAGGCACAGCGAGCAGCGAAAGCACTGGGCCATGCTGTGCTGTGCTGCGGTGTGCTGTGTTGTGCGGCAGCGGGGGGGCTGCATGCAGTGACGTTGGCTCACTAACTTTCTGGGGCTTTTCCCCAGCGTGATCTCCCGCCCTTACGGCTTGACGCTCCGTAGGTCTGCAAGTCTCGATCCATGCTGACGTTCGCTCGCCGTACGTTAACTAAACTTTGGTTTTTATTGTCCACCGCATCGCCGTCTTCTCTGCTGCCTTTCGTTGTTATCATCACAGCCGTAGCTTTTGCATTTGTTTTTCCAATCGTCGTCAAAAGCCCAAACTGTCGACTCTTCTCAATACTACACACCTCTCCTAACCCACGCGGCCCTTTCACCCTTTCTTTTCCTCAAGCCATTCACTGCGGCATTTTCCCACCCCTCGAGCGTTGCAATTCACGCTTCTCGCCCGTCATTTATTCAGGTCCCTCGACACCGGGACACGTTCTGATACTGCCTCGGACGGTCTATTCTTGCTTTTGGCACCACCGAGTCGACCATTCCCATGTGCTCGCAGGCGTGACTGCAACCAGCACGAAAAAAAGACGTCACCGCAAGCATTCCCTGCACCCGAACTCTGCGTCCATCCGTAACGAGCCTGTTCTTCTTTCCTCAGCAACCAGCCCTAGGCGCGCCCCATTGGAATCTCCTCTCCGACGCTCCTGACCAACGGTCGAAATTTAATTCAACCCCTAATTCCGTGTCAGGCCAAGTCCTGCGCCTGTCCAGATCACGGGTGCGGGTGAAGTCGGAGAGTGTCCACGCACTGCAGCACTCTGGACCCCCAATAATTGCAGGTCAGTTAATAAGGCATCACTCATCCCATGTGGGCATCCCGCTTCGTCCAACAACCTCGCTGGCTTTGTCGGCATCACGCGACACAAGCTTATGTTTCTTATAGGACTGTTTCATGTGTTTGGATCTTCCCAGCCTTCCCCTACATTCTTCAGCCTTTTCGTGCTTAGCCCTCTCCGGCTGTTTCCGTTTTGATCTGCCTCTTTCCTTTTCACGCAGGCCTGCTTTCCAGGGCGCTTCCGTCACAAACATCGCCTGTATAAGCCTGAGTAACCTTTGCTACAACGAGCCTCAACAACAACATCCTCATAACGTTGTCGTTGGTATCGACCTTCATATGGGCAACCAATTTTCCTTCTCTTCTTATTCAATGTCGAATCACGAAAGTGGCGATCCCCCACATTGATCTGGATTCTCCACAATTGACGATAACTTGCATCCACTGGTGGATCTTGGCTAGACTCTTTTTTCAAGTGCTGCTTGAAGATCATTTGCATTCAATGTTCACACCTTATTTTCCTTGAGCAGTTGCAGACGATCATAAAATCATCACATCCTTTCATGTCGCCAAAGCGATGGCGGACTCGACATCTCCCCGGAAGTTCAAGGTCGAACCTATCGAGTCCAGCATCAGGAGGTCTCGCAAATGTGCGCCAGAACCAGCAGAACTCACGCCGGACAGCCCAGGAAATCCCATCGAGGATGCAAAGGAGAAGCTACCAAAACGCAAGTTCTTGCCACAGCTTATTGAAACCACACGCACAAGCAGTGGGAAGAACTTGAAGACGCAAGCTGAACCCCAGGATACTCTTCGCAAGTTCACTCCTCAGTTAATGGAGACCAGTACAGACCATAGGAGATCGAGCAACGTCCAACCACAGGAGGATCAGCCAGGCACACCGGAAAACTCTACAGTCGAAGAAGACTCGGTGATACAAGAACTGCCAGCACGTCGAAGGTTCACTCCCTTGCTGATTGACACCGCAAAGCGCACAAGGAGAACAGGGGACGTACGGCCCGCACACTTTCCATCGGACCGTACCGACGCCATTCCAGAGCCATCAATCGGCATACGCCGTTCAAGAACGGTCCAGCTTCCGGCGCAACCCGAAAACACACCCGTGAGCACAAGTTTACCTAGCCCTGCTCTTACATCTGCAGAATGCAGGCGACTAGGTATACCTGTGCCGAGGCGGGGAAGGTCAACAAGCAGTCAGCGCCAACATTCGTTTCGAGCGCCGTCTCTTGAACCTATCGAATCATCCGAATCTGGCGATGAATCAAAACTCTCTTCCTCCTCGAGCACACCTTCTTCTTCTTCTGATTTGTCTTACCAGATGTATAAACACGCGACGAGGCTGAGAGAAAGCGTGGACGCCTCCTCTCAAGGCTATTTGCTTGAGCTCGCCGCTAAGGCTGCAGAACGCCAGCTACGTGAACAAGCTCTGGCCGCGTTTCCAAATGACGACCGTCATGTCCGTGTAGATCACTACATTGGGCATGATTATGACTCCCCGATGCGTTCAATTCGGAGTGACTCCGATCGCTATCGATTTGGTTCGGTGAATTGGGAGCTCAAAGACATGCGCCGCCACGCTGAATTCCTGGAGGCCAACAAGGAGCGCGAGCGAGCCGCACGTGAGGCGAGGAAACGATGGAACCGGGAGTACGAACGGAAATGTGGGGCGTGGAGGAACCCTTTCAAGAATGCCGTTCCTCACACCCACAAGGATAGTGTCGAAATGGAGCGTATGCGCAAGAAAGCTCGTCCACCCATGCTTGGTGCTGATATAGAATTTCCACGCTGTTCGTCCCCAGAGCCGGCGCGTTTTGATGTCACGCAGGGGACCTACAACGAACGAGCAGCCATGTGCTACCTTACGGAGCAATCCAGTCCTGGTCCATGCGGTGAAGGGCTCTGGGCAGTAACTGCGAAGAAAAGCATCGGAGCGGCATCGGTGCACTCACAGGCAGCCAGCCGAGCACCAAGCACAGGAAGTTGTTCTGGCGGCCTCTGGGGTGGCATGTGTCAAGGTAAGGCTGGGAATCTTTCTCCGCCGAGGGGGCCCACGGGGCTACTAACCCCAAGGGAGGATGCTACGAACCTATTGGAGCCAAGTGATGCCACCAGGAACCTACATCAACTACCCCCATCGCCTCCTCCGTCAAATTCAGGAGTAGCGAGCTTAGACGAGAAGCTGGAACTCGAACTAGCGATTGAGGCAGAGTTCAATGACGAATTTGTCACGCAGGTGTACAACTACCTTTCCCTTGGATATCCCTCTATAGCTCGACGATACGATGAGGAGCTTGGCAAAATCGCGCGCGTTGCTGTTACGGATCTGCGCCACGACGACGAACTTGAGTCCTCAAGGGGCTACATTCGCTTCGGTAAAGATGGGAACGGGGCCGAGGAAGGGATCAGGGAGGACATGTGCGCACGATGGAAGGCACTTAAAGCATATATTCACGAATGGGCACGGCAACAGCCTGGCATGTGTGAGCCAAATAACAAACACGGCGGCTTCGGTGTAGCTGTCCGACGTGGCAGCTGGGCATGGTGATTGTGGTGGTTTTAAAGACCAGCTTCACAGCCTCTTGATTACCCCTTAGAACACCTGGAGTGCCTTGTCGGTTTCTTCTTTTCTTTTGCCTTTAATTCCCGGCTTTCACAGCTGTTTCTTGCATTTGCGTTCAAGCGTGTTCTGGGCTTTTTTTTTAAATTAGGATACCAGCGCTGTGCGATGGCGGCATTTGAGCTTAGCATTCTTGTGCAACATAAATAAATACACATATATACGGGTTTGTAGAGCAAAATGTGAGGGATTTTGCGACAGTTGCGAAGTGCTATCGAAGTTTGAACAGACGCAAGAGAGAAATTAAAAAGGCTTAATTCAGTAAACAGCTCTGATTTCTCAATTAACTCTGATTGATCCGCTGATAGTAACACTGGGGAAGTTTCATCGGTAAGCTTGAACGCGTTCAGTCTAGCTTCGATCCCGCTTCGCAGATCATCCGTGGGGACGATCGCATCTTGAAGACAGACACAGATCAATGACGACGACGAAACCCAAACGCAGGCCTTCCTGACGCACCCGCCTGCCAATGTCTTTTGACGCAAACAAAAACACCTGACTGGAAGCCTGTCTTCCACTCAGGTTCTGACAAACCTCTTTCTTTTCTTTTTGACTTTCGTTTGTCAAACTGCGGTTTTCTTCTGCATGCCTTCGTCGAATCCATTGTTGCCCACCATGTCGAAGCCTCACGGAGCTTCCACGTGTGGAAATCGGAAGCCAAAACGAGTCCTTGTTGTCGGGGCCGGAGCAGCTGGTACGTGTGCTTTGAGAGCTGAAAGCTATTCATTTCGAGCGGGACTGAGATTGCAACGACGGCAGGGATGTCATGCGCACACCATCTGGCAGAGCATCCGGATCGATTCGACGTCACCCTGATCGACGCGGTCGACTACTGCGGAGGCCAGGCTTTTTCAATCCCAATCGACAAGGACAAGTACGGCGCGAGCTGGCTCAACCAAGGCGTGCAGGGCGGCAGCTACATCTTCCACCACACCATGACCATGTTCGCGAGACAAGGCTTCTATGCAGACCCTGTCAAACTGCAGGTCCGTGGTACCCCTTCGTTCTACGCGAAAGCTGCAGTTTACAGACATCTCTTTGTAGGTATCCTTCGACAAGGGCGACACGTTCTGGACCAACGTTTTCCCCACGAAGATGATCGCGTCGCACCAAAAGGAGGCGGCGCGTTTTCATACAATGCTCAAGGTCGTGCGCTGGTTTGAAATTTTCTTCGCCCTGCTGCCAATCAAGTATCTCCTTAAACTATTTCGATTCAGTGACGTGTTCGCGAACACGGTGGCGCTGCCCATGGTAGCTTTGTTCCTGGGTACGGGCAATTACACGCCGGATGTGCCTACGATCATGCTGGAGAGATTGTGCACAAGCCCAACGTACGGCATGTGGTACCCATCCGACAAACAGAGCATTGTAAGCAACCTGCCGCCCATGGTCGTTTTTCCTAATTTCTCGGTCTTCTATGACACGTGGAGAAAGGATCTGGAGAAGAAGGGAGTGCACGTTCGCCTCAGCACCGAGCTCACGGAAGTCATCAGACGTGACGCAAAAGGCGTGGTCGTCAAGCTGATCAAACGCACGTCAGTTAATGACAGACACAACACGGCCAGCGCATGGGCAACTGAAGGTTCGGTCAGCAATCAAGACGGCGACGCTGAAGAAGTCGCAGAGGAGTACGACGAGCTCGTGCTCTGCCTACTAACCGATGTCGCCAAACGTGTCCTCGGCAAGACCGCCTCATTCCGTGAGAGGAGGATACTAGGCGCCGCCAAATTCGCAGACGACATCACTGTAACGCATAACGATGCCGATTATATGAAGAAGCACTACGAGACGTTCTTTGATGACGACAAGGCCGTCGCACATCTCTCAGGCACGGACCACAGCAAGCGTGTCGAAATGGCGAAAAAGGATTTCAGACCCATGTACCTAATCAAGTGCTACGGTGAGGACAGGACAAAGCTGGAAATGTGCTTCGACTGCTCCAACTACCAGGCCCAGTTCCCGCCACAGCTTGACTTCGAAAGGCACGTCTTTCAGACCATATTCCTGAATAAGAAGCGCGATGGCAAGCTCTGGACCATCGACGAGATCAACCCTGACAAGATTATCCGGAAGGACTGGTGGCACCAGCTGTGCCACTCATGGACGCATTACCTCTTCGTCGTGCCCTGGATGTGGCTGTTGCAGGGCAAGAAGCATACACGCTTCGCGGCCTCGTGGACGCTCGTCAACGCTCATGAGGTTGCCTGCATCTCCGCCATCTCCGCCGCCGTCAGCCTGGGCGCCGACTATCCTGCCGACCTAGAGAGGGACGGGTTCGCGTTTCTGTGCTTCCGACTATATCACCTGTTGCAGCACGGGACGTGGTACCGACGCAGGGTCACCAAAGAAAACAGAAACGGCCCAGGTGCAGAGTACGCAAGCGGCCTGTATGGAAGCGTTTACAACGGGCCTGGCGTGAAGGCCACCGAGAGGAACATGTGGAGGGAGGAGCGCGAGGCTGGCCGCAGCTGGTGATGTCGCGTCCAATCTCGAGGAATGGATGACGTTGGCGGCAGTGTTGTGGTGAATGTGTTGGTACGAGAGGACTTGGTGGCCTCAGAGACTGGAAACTCACCGTGGAAGTATTACTTGCTCGTACGCAGTGTAACTTGGCACAATGTACATATACCGACACCATGTTGCGCATCGCGAAGGCTTCCCTCGCGCGTGAAGAAGGCAGGGTCTGCTCTCCTCCGACTAGTTTCTCTGCCCGTCGTCGCCCAGAGGACCATGTCAACCAGGTTCCAAGGTATGCGCAATTTGGATCAGCAGGCGCCAGGTCGCGAGATCGGGGTTGAAGCAACGTGTTCTTAAATGCAACCCAGCGTAGCAAAACGTCTAAAGAAACCTGCCCTCCATCCGGAAGCCGCCTCCAGCTCGAGACCGGAGTGCACATGAGTGCTGCAAGAGAAATACGTGGCTCTATGAACCTAAGAAGCTTGTGAGGGACAAAGAATCATGTCGAGCACGGCACCGCTCCGAACGAAGAAGAGGAAAAAGAAAAGAATAGACCATTCTTCGTATTCGGGGAGGGGGGACTACGGCTCCGGTGTACCAAGCCTAAGTACAAAAGAAGATGTAATTTCAGCACATGTCCACGTTCGCTCAACAGACACGCGCACAACTACACATCACGTGTTTAAACCTCACTTCCTGCCCCGACGCCCTGGCTCGTTTGAATACGGAAGAAAAAAAAATTTTTTTTAAAAAAATGGTTTCAGACATAGAAAACGCAAAGGCCTCAGTCTGGCAGGCGTGAGAACGTCTCCCCTTCAATAAAGCGGCAGCGGGCAGCGGGTAGCGGCGGCAGCAGCAGCAGCAGCAGCGAGACAAGAAGGGCAACCGCATGACATATGAACAGGTCAAAAGAAACTTACACAGAGGTCCGTGAAGCGTGACAAGACGTCGCAAAAATAGAGAAAATACAAAGAGGCGGCTGGTGAGATATGGGATATAATCGCGAAGAAAAAAAAAGGGTTTGGGGGGGTAGGGAGTGTGGGGAAGGGAGGTAGAGAGGATAGCGGTGCAGTGAGGAATTTTTTTTAAAAAAAGAAATAAAAAATAAAGATAAAAATAATTCCAAGACTCAGGCAACACTTGAAAGAATCCACACCAGAAGGATTTAGGGGCCCCCACACCGCGCTAAATGCTGCAACGAAACGGAAGGAACAAAGAAGAAGAAGAAGAAGACGAAGCAGAAACGAAGGAAGGAAGAAGAACATATGTTGACTCCGGGGTGTTGCCAGGCTGTCTTCGCAGCTGCTGACCCGCTCCTTCCTGGTGCGCCGAAAAGAAGGTTCGACCCCACGGACTCATCTCTCCAGGCTCTTTTCCGCATGGCGAGAGATCCTGCTCCTGCTGGTGCCACGCCCCCCTTCGCATTTTTTCAAAGTGCCGTCCACGTCAAGACGCGAACCCTAAAAATACTTTCTTGCAAGAAGTGAAGCCAGAAGATCGTAAGATGGGCGAACAGGCGCGGCGAGCGTGACCTAGAAGGCCATGCCTTGCCTGTACGCGCCGCTGGTCATCCCCGTTTGCGCCTGCACTGTCTTCCTGTACTCCTTTGCGCCCAGGCTCGGCGCTCTGTCCCGCTTGCGCAGCCTACTTGTCCGCCAGCCTTCGTACCAGACCTCACGGCTGGCCTCGCGAAGCTCGGCACGCCACTCGGAAAACACGGCATCCTTGAGGCGTACAAAGTCGCAGTGCTCCTGGTTGTACGGGTCGGCGAAGCCCCAAGGAAAGCGACGTCCAATGAGGCCCGGTTCATAGCTGTCCGGGGAGATGATTGACATGGGCAAGAAGGGTATCTCCTCTTCGGCGGTAGCATCTAGTGCAGACGATAGACTGCGGCGATGGGCCTTGACAGCGTCCTTGTTGTTCGAGCGCGGCGATGAAGTGGGGGGTGATGCGCCCTCACGCTCTTCATTTTCACCCTCATCCGATGAGCCGTCGGCAAGGTTGTCGATGACCTGGGAAGAGTTACCAGCAGCCGGACCGTCGTTGGAAGAGTCCAGGTACGCGTCCTCGTCGCGCTCGTCGAAGCTGCCTTCTTCTTCTGAGTCGTCGACAACGTTCAACACCTCTAGCGGATCAATCTTGGCCTGTTTCAAGCTGTTCCACACCGACTTCTTCAGCACTGCCATGTGCGTGGTAGTGATGGTGTCCGCCTTGCTTATGACAGGAATCACAGTCGTTTTGCCCTGGAGCGTCTTCAGGACCTGGATGTCCAAGTCCTCGTCTAGAGCACCGATAAGCCGCGCTGGTTCGTCCAGCGAGGAGCTGGTCTGCTTGCCCTTCCGCGTCGACACCAGGTTCGCGTTCAGTCTCGTGGGATCGAGAATAAGGAAGACGCAATGGATGTGGGTATCACGCACGCCCGGCGCGCGGACGACTTTCTGCTCCTCCGAAAATGTCTCCTCGAATTTAGATTCCAAGAATGAGGACATCTCTCTGAGCTGAAGGTCGACGAACTTTCGCTCCAAACCCTGTGAGTCCCATAACGTGACGCCGATGCGTTCATGGTCAATGTCCGTCTCTAGATAATACGGCGTGAAGGCGGAGTCGCCAGGGAAGGCCGTCTGCGGTGGCGAAGGCGTCTTCTCCTGCTTCTTCTTATCTGCGAGTGCATTGCGAAGGAATTCGATGAATGACGTTTTGCCAGAGTTTCGTTCGCCAATGACAAGGATACTGTGAATAAGAAGGGTCAGCCGGGCAAACCAAGATGTGACATCGGCGGACGATACAACAGATGTATGTCACTTTACGCCCGCCGTGTCTTCAGAGACTCACTTGTAAGGGGTGGGGTCTTTTCTTCTCCTCACTCTGCGTGGACTGTTGATACCAGTTCCACTGGAGATAGCACTGCTGGCATAGCTGTACCGACCACGGTGGGTCATGCTCTCGGTTCTCGCATACGGGTCGATGTTGTGATCTCCATTTTTCACAGCAGCCGCACCAGACGGGATGGGTGGCACGGGTACCTGTTGGTAGCTGCCATACGTGCCCGTGCCCGTGCTGTACGAGTTGGTTGCGATCTGATATGAGTCCGGGCGGGCATTCTCGCCTCCGAAGCCGGGAATCTTGGAGAGCGGCGACGGGGTAGGCAATTGAGGAGGCACAGCAGGCACACCCTGCGGCTGCGCGTTTGTGTCCGAGACGCCTCGCTGCTTCTTCAGCATCTTGCCAGCGTCGTTGCTCTTCTGGCGGCGCAGGAAACCGAAGGAGGTCCGTCGCTCTCCGTTCTGGTGGGCTGGCTGTTGCTGTGACGAATTGGGTGAAGCGGTGCCGTTGCTAGGACCGGTTGCGCCAGCTGGGTGGGAGGCAGAGGAGTCCTTCAGCTGCGCGGACGCAGACATGACGGACGAAGGCGTGGTGTGTAGTGCGCGTGGGTTTTGGGAGGGTCCGACGTCGAAGGGTCAGGGTGACGGGACAGCGATCGGCTGGTACAAGGATCGACCACGGGTCGTCAACGACAATTGCAGACCAGTCGCGTACGGAAGCGCGAAGATGCGGCTCTGTGAGTAGACGATGCGAGAATGTTCAAGGGCGCAGCAAAGGCGCGAGTTGTAGGGTCGTGGTGTCGCAAGATGGTTCGGACAACGGGTAATCAAAGTCAAAAAAAGGGTCAGGACAGGCTCCTGGCGCCAGACACACTGACAATGCGGAGAGCGGGAATGCTCGTCCCTAGCAACGCCCAAAGCGTTCGCGCGCTTTGGGAACGTTCAAGTTACCTTCTTGTCTTAACTCGACTTGGACAGTCTTCCCACCCCCAGAAAGTCAAGGGGCAGAGGAAGGCGGGCAGGCAGTTGAAAAACACGACGCGAACGCTTACGCCGAGCGGATGGCGATTGAGGGTTGCGGTGAAGATGGCAGCAAGGGAGATGGTATTGACGAAAGACGAAGAAGAAGAAGAAGAAGATGATGATGATGATGATGATGGTGTCGACGACGATGAAGTACGACAGATCCTCGTCTAGTAGTAGGAGTAGTAGTGGTGCGCCTGCGACAGCGATTGCGAGGGCGACTGAAGCGCACGACCATGCAACGGAAGAGGAAGAAAAGCGACCAGCGTTTGCTAGCGCAGAATCCCAGCGCGGACGCAGACGAGAGCTCCCGCAACGTCTGATAGCCGTGGACAAACGTCCTGGGATGGCGGCTAAGAAAAAGGGGCGAGCGGAGGGGGGAGTAGGTCGTAGTACAGCTGCAGGCTGGTCTTTTGCGCAGCGAGCAATCATGCACGTACGCACGCACGCACGTACGCACGCACGCGCACACACAGCCGGACGGTCGTCCAGAACAAAAGAAAACCGGCGGCACAAAGCCGTCGAAAGCGTGCAGGAGCAGAGCCGGAGCACCGCTGATGCCAGAGACTCTTCTCTCGCCAGGCCCATCGTCCCGCCCGTCGACCGAAAACGTCCAAGAGGATGGTGCCGCTGGTGGCCAAGTGGTGCCCACCTGCGCAGCCGACGGTCGCCAATGCAATCGAATGTTCCGAGAACACGCTAAGTCACGGGATCCGTCCGCCCTGTAAATTGAAGGGTGCATCTGCAATCAACCAGCCCGTCTGCCCTGGGGACGAAAAACTGGGTCGGACGGTCGGCTCCAGCGACGAGCATGCAAGGCACCGTTCTACGGGCACCGTGCGCTGGCAGCACTTGTCCAGAGCTGGACGGCGTACTGTGCTGTGCAGAGTGGTGTGCAGAGTGGTGTGCAGAGTGATGTGCAGAGTGCTGTGCCTCCACTGCTGGGGCCATCGAGTATACGCACACACGCGTTCACACACGTTGGCTCCGCACTGCTTCTGGCTCCGAACGGCGCTGAAAACAGAGAAGGAGCAAGAACCGAATGCAGCGTGGGCGGCGAGAAAGACGAGTAGTCCTAGTGCGAAAGCCTTCAAAAGAACCGTCCACACCACGCTGACGAGCCCGTCAAAAGCCGCGCGATACATCACAAAATCAGCGCCAAAAAAGCCCCCTTTCATCCAAGAACGTCTGCAAGCCATCCCACGATGCTGCGAGACATTTCTGTCTCCACGCAATCGCTCGAACGGCCATGCATTCCGCTTCTTTTCTTTGTGTCTCCAGCCTAATCAAAAAGAAAAGCCAATCACCGCGCCCAAACCTTTCTCACATTTCAGACGCCCAAGTCCGCAGGAGCCCGCCGTGGACGAGCCTCAAATTTAAGCTCATGGTATGGAGTCATTTGTTCACTACTATATTTTCTTCTTTTGCTATCATGAAACTCAGCCCGCAGGCTTCCTTCCAGCGATCATCCTGCGCCAGAACCCGGTGAGGACCTCCGAGAGCAGCATCTCTGCCAGCATGGGTCCTTTTGACCTTTCCTAGCCCAAGCTACCCTCGTCAACGCTCACATCCTTCATACGCCCGTCATCGTAATGAGTCTTGCTCCATATCTGCCCATGATGCCAGCAACGAGCATCGCGTTTCTGTGACTATCGCTCGCGTACCTCAGTCGATGTCCCACGTATCTTCCTGATCTTCTTGTCTCCTCGCCAGATTCGTACCAATGGCGCTATTTTGAGCAGATTGAAAAAAGCTTCAGATCATCGCTTGTCAGTTGGACGCCACCGCCTTGTCACCGCATCGCCGCCCTCATGTCTTCCCGTGGGCGCATCGTGATCATAGAGAGCTCACTCATGGTATTAAAAGTCTCGACATATTGTCGCGAGGGTCAAACGCTCGCATCCTGTCATTTCATTGCTACTGCTTGGCCAACTGCACAAAATGTTGAAGCAGCTAGTCCCTGTATTTCTTTTGGACAAGGTTCACGGCAGTGTACTAATCAAAAGCCTACCGCGGAACAACGAACGTCTGATGAGGCACGGGTTGAATCGCTTGATCGATCATGTGGGCTCGCTGCCATCATTGACTTGACCGTTTGGATTTATCTCCGTTGCCGGCGCTGCTTGAGAGCAGCCCACAGAATCAGCCTGACAACCGTCCTCCAATAGCCTGGCTCACACGCACATCAAAGTAGGTTTCTGTGTGCGAACTATTTCCGTCGGACAGCTCTGCACTTTTGGTACGGCAATGTTGCCTTCACGTCTTAAGATTCAGACTAAGTAACAGGTTACGAACTGGCGAAGAGGTAAAACGAAGCCTTCAATCGATCTTAGCATCATTGCGTTGCCCAGACAGTTGCCTGTTTTGGCGAATGGCGAAGCTGCGATGCGCTTTTAATGCGCAGGGTCCCTGAGGCTCCACCAGCGGTTTTTGAACCTGAGAGCTCGAAGCTTGTATCTGTCATACAGCTTTCAACCTCGTGAATCATCCACATCGTTTCTCCCCAACGATGGCTGAGGCTTCGCCAAAGATGGAGCTTAACGACGAAGGCGTGCATGTAGAACTAACGTACGAGCATCTCGACCCGGTGTCTGTCATGAACAAAGTCAAAAGCCCGAAGGCTGGTGCCATCGTGCTGTTCGCCGGTGAGCCAACTTCACGCAACGGTCGTTGCGCTCCTGCCTTTCCTTCTGTGCGCTCACGTGTGTCACCAGGAACCACCAGAGACTCGTTTGACTCCAAGCCGGTGAAGCAGCTCGAGTACTCGGCATACCCCGCTCTGGCGCTCAAGTCAATGCTCAAGCTAGCTCGCGACGTGAGGCAAAAGCACAGCCTGACCGCAGTGGCCATAATTCACCGCTTGGGCGTGGTCCCCATTGGAGAGGAGAGCATCTTGATCGCCGTGTCCAGCCCGCATCGCCAAGCTGCGTGGAGAGGCGGGGAAGAGGCGCTCGAAGTGTGCAAGGCGAAGGTGGAGATTTGGAAGCTGGAGGAATTCGAGGACGGCGGTGGTGTGTGGCGAGCGAACAGAGACGGCCAAAGCGGCGTAAAGGTAGCCGAGAATGAATGAGGGATCTCTCAAGCATGTTTCACGGGTGAGAGACGTCTGCCGAGAATGTGTTCTAGATCACGGCAGCCGGATAAGAACTCTTTGCCCGGCACTGTCGCGACTGCTCGGCATCTCAGATTTCCTTTTCGAGCAGGGCGAACGTGCAAGAGACAAGACCGCAGACAGATCTTCTTGGAGCGAAAAGGTCTCGATCCGGCTTCTACCCCAAAAATCGGCTTCTTTCAAGCGCGGAAGATACAAAACGGCAGAGGACCGGGCGCAAAACAGGTTCATAGAAGATGCTGCGTTCGCCGCTTCACGCCCGATGGCCGATGCTATGCGGGTATACATCGGTGCAAAAGCTCTGTGTGCAAAACGTCATGCACGAAGCAGGTTTTTATTGCCGAGACAGCAATGTGGTAGCAGGGCACCTTAAGGCTGGGAACGGAAGGTCGGGGGTATAACATCTGCTAGCCATACATTCCCATACGAAAAGGAAAACATTTGATCCCGGCTTCTACCCTCGATTGCGTGCCATGTCTTCTTCGCGCAGAGCTCGGTTCTCGTGCACGCCGTCGAAGACGAACCAAAGTTTAAAGGGGGTGGGAGGTGAGAGAAGGACGGGGACTACGCAAAGGCGGGGCGGCTCGAAACGCAGAGCCTCAAGCACGTGGACGAAAAAAAAAAGGTAGGCGTGGACTCGCCGAACTCCACGTCGGCGAGGCGAATCATTGCCAAGGCCGTCTGGACGCAGGGCGGATTCGAGGAAGCCCAAGCGCTTCTCGAGCGGTTGCGTCGGGACACGGGCGAGATGAGGAAGGGCAGGTTTGCCGTGTATAAACGGCGCGAGAAGGAAATGACGGAGGAGCTTTGTTGTAGAGCTGATGAAGCTGAAGTCCATACCCGGCGCCTAGATTGCTACCCCCGTCCCCTTTTTTTTTTGGAGCTCCCGTTGTCCAGAATAAAAAGTAGAGAAACGAGAGCAAGTGCTACAGTCAAATGTTTGTCCGTACCTTCAGGTATGCATTGTACTAGAGACGTGGCCTACCCCGTCTCGCCTTGCACCCATCTATTACAAGAAAGTATGGTTATCCACATCGCCGATGCCCAGCTCGGTCCACGGGGTTGGTGCTTGCACTTGAGGCTGTCTAAGATGCTATAGTACAGGCAACAGAGCGTCCATATACAATGGGCAGACAAAGGACTTCAAAGAAAAAGAAAGGGAGGTTGATGCGATATGCAAAAGCTGGGGCGAACCGCCGTGAGGTTCGCAAACCACGACTCTATATGTGTCCGTTCTCGGCTTTAACTGGCCTGTGAAAGGGGAATGGAACGAAGACTCCGTGGGGCTACCCTGCTATGAGCACCCAGAGCAGGAAAAATATCATGAGAACCTGCAATCGTGTAAGTGTGTGGCCCTAGGCTGTCGAACAGTGACTGTCACAAACCCCGAACATCTTGGCTACAAGCCATCGGTTTCCGCTCATGCGGTTCCACTAAGATGCACCGTTAAATACATGGGCTTCTTATACGCTTCAAAGACACCTACGTATTTTAATAGCTCTCGTTGAGCACCCTCAACTGCGGGAAAACAGAATCAGTAAAAGATTTCCAGGTCGAAGCAGCGCGGGATGAAGCGACATGAAACTCACCATTTTCTACAACGGCGTCCTAGTCAAATAAAATCAGCAGCTGGGTCAAAATGTCGCATGGGAGCCAACCTACCGTGTTCGCATCGATTCGCTGAATCTGCTCTCCTTGCTCGGACACCTTTTGTTCAACGTTAGCCTTTATCCACTGTGTAGCCGACAGTCTCGCAGGAAATTTCCGCGATACTCGAAAACCTCATCAACAGGCTCGAAATAGCCAAGAACGCCCATAAAAGAAAATAAGAGACTACTTGCCATTTGTGCGAGTTGAGCTGTGTTCCTGTTAGCCAAAGACTCTCGTGACGTACAAGGCAAGCCACTTACTGAAAATGCCTCCTAGTTCAGTCATCGTCCGCTAATCCAATGTCAGTTGTTGTCACAGTTTGGAATTTAACCCGTATGCCGCACCTCGATCTGATCTATCGCATTTCCTCTCTCCTGAATATACGAATTGCTTTGTGCTCCTTCCTCCAGTAGCATGAGCTGCTGTGCCGAAGCGCCTCCAGCCCGGCTCAGCGCCGAATCACCTCCTGTGGGCATGTCCAATGACAGGATATCGCTCCTCGCCGCTTGCGTCAATTGATATGGTTTTCCTGCTGATCCGTTTCTCTGCTCCACCGAGTACAACGGCGAGTCCGTCCTTGACACAGGCAACGATGCCGGATTCGACACAGAGGAGGTAAATGCAGCCGTTCTCTCACGCGATGCCTGAAGATTTTTTGAACGAAGCTCCAGCGTGTCTTTGAATGCCGTTGTTGCGGACCCTAGGCGGGTCTGTAGGAGAAGGACCACCCCCTCTGAGTGCTTGCTGACTTGCTCTGGTTGTGAGCCTTGTTTCGAAAGACTCTTCAGGTTGTTCAATTCATTGTTAATCTTCGCCAGACTCTGCTTGATAACGAAGGACAGCTCCGATACTTCAACACTGTTATCCGCAAACAGGCTTCGGTTCTTGGCCAGTGACGCCAATCGACCCAACCTATCCATCGTCGTTCCGATCTCCTTCGATATGCTCGCGGCCTGCTGGGCAAACGCGCTGCGCGCTTTGGGTGTGCCATACGCCGCCTTCTGCTGCTCCGGCGTGAGCAGGGCCTGCCGCTGGCTGCTGAGTTTCTGTTGTCGTTTCGCGCTGGCGACTATAGACTGGAATTCGCGCGATCGGTCAAAGACTTGCGACATGGTTCCGGAGCGTAGAGAGCGTCACGGAGGACGCTGTGTGTGTAGGAATTCGACCAACTGCTGGACGATATCGCGTAGGCTAGCGCCTGATAGAATAGTACGCTGACCTTCGGATGCGGCCGTCTAGCACTTCACGCCAGCAACTCTCGCGGAGTATAACTAGTAGGACTGAGAGGTATACGTACGGATGTTGCAGACCGTTGAGAGGGTGCGCGGGCAAGAGTTGGAGGTGACGTCCGTGTACGCAGGTTTGCCACGTCTCCTGTAAGGCCTTCGCAGGCTCCCTTGGTGTCTCGTGCACGTTGATTCACGGAATTGGCAGAAGAGGAATGCTGAAGGCAGCAAAAGTTTATTTAGTGCTGTATCGAGGGCGAAATAACGTTGGCTAGTTATCCGGCCAGATCTCAGTGTACCCACTCCGGCTTCCCTGGACTGGACTCCGCCATAGGCGGCGCAGTTGCCCCCTTCCGAACCAATCAGGCAGGCTCGAGGCAAACAAACGACTGTCTCATCACGTGCTAACCGTGGACAACTATTTCAAACCGTTGACCTTTTAATCTTCTGCCTTCCCCCAGGGGATATAAATTTGTATACCGAATGCTTTCTTTCAAATTAGTGTCACGTGAGCTAAGTCAATTTCCAAGATCCTAATAGTTCATTTTGGCGGCATAGTCATCCAGCAGAATTCATCTCGAGAATCCTAAAGACGTCTGGTTATTTACCTCTTTGCTACTACTCACGAAAATAATTGAAAACCGGAGACACCGGAAGCCTCAGCTATTGAGTTGCATCTCAGAAGATTCCGAAGTGCTCCTACGAAGCAAAAAAGGAAAAATATGAACGTGCTCTGGACGCGGGATTTAATGTCTTCGAGTTGATTCTGCTCTTTCCATTTTTTGTAAGGAAATCCGACCGCCTTAATGTCTGTCAAGTCTGAGAGGCAGCAGTGGACTGGATCAGCAGGAAATGCAAACACGCATAATTTGGACCGATATTTGCCGTCCAAATGTGCTGTTTTCGCTTTGCGTTTCGCCGCTCTAAGATCGACCTGAACTGGAGAAATAGGCTCAGCCAGTACTGCCAACCAGATCAGCCATACAACGGAAGGGAGTGGCCTTTCAAACTATTGTTACAGCCTTAATTTACCCACGTTAAACCTCGAGACCGTGGAACACCACATCCTGTGAAAAAAGTTCCCTCCATCCCTACGACAACTCCCAGAGCTGCTCAGAAATTCCGTGACTGGAGAGCTCGCGAGAAACGCCGAAATAAATGTAGTAAAGAAGGCTTTGCGAAAGCTTTCTCAGCCCATCCTTGGTCTCTTGTTCATGCCGCCCTGCTGGCCAGCCGGAAATCCACCACGGCCAACACCTCCCATCATATTGCCCCCCATCATGCCTCCGCGGTTCTGCATCCCACCCATCATGTTGGGCATGTTGAACATGCTCGGCATGCCCATCATTGGATTCATCATAGGCATGGTAGGCATGGCAGGCATACCGCCCCTGCCCATGCCGCCCATCATGCCTCCTTGGTTCATACCCATATTCATACCGCCTCCGCGACCCATGTTGACACCCATGCCGCCTCTGCCACGATTGTTCATGCCACCGCGATTGTTGAAGCCCCCTGCGGCCATATTGTTGAAGCCACCACCCATAGCCATGCCGCCCTGGTTGTTCCAGCCGCCTTGATTCATGTTTGGCATTACGCCACCCATGTTATTGTAGTTTCCACGACCAACAAAGCCGCCTCCGCGGTTGAAATTTCCTCTAAAATTACCTCGTCCGCCACGGAAGTTGTCCCCACCTAGACCACCGCGGGCATTTGTTCGGTTGGCTCCTTGGCTGGTATTGTTGCTTGAACGCAAATACGGGTTTGAGTTGGCGTAGTGTACCACATAACCGGCAGGCTTGCCTGGTGGCTTGGGAACTGTGTTGGCGATATAGTCCTTCACAAGTTGAGCCGCCTCGGGGGTTGTAAAGCGTACATAGCAAGCACTGAGGACAATCAGGAGTCCGAAAACGCGCAATGAGAAGAGAAAAAAAAATACTTACCCTTTTGACTTGCCATTCGGCTTGAACTCATCAAACTTCAGCTCCTCTATCTCACTTTCCTTACCTACGGCATTTACCCATTCTCGGATCGTCTCCTCGCTCATATTGTGTCCGAGTTGCTGAATATTGAGAGCATGCGTAGGCTGTGGGCCGTAACCACTGTGTTGTGACGGAACCGGCGTTGACGACGTCTGCCGTGGCGTCATGTTCTGTGCTGTTTGGCTGTAGTCATCATCATCATCTCTCTCTTTGCGCTTTCGCGAGCCTGACGCGTCGGTCTCAGCGCTCTGTTCAGCATTCGCTTCTCCTTGAGCCGTGTCTACCGAATCAACTTTTGCGTTTGAGTCGCCGTTGACGGCATGATCGATATTTCCATGATCTCCCTCATAGTTTTCATCGCCATAGAGCTCTGTAGAATCGTCGTATTGATAGTCACCGTCTTGATGATGCTGCTGATGGCCCTCGGCACTATTTTCGTCCATGTACGACAAATCCAAGTTGTAGTCGTCGCCCTCCGCCATGTCCGAAAAAAACCTAAACTAATTTGGGAAGGAAGGATGGGCGTGTAACGGTTTTGAGGTGTCAAATGTTAGTATAAAACGACTTTGCTTTTGTCGCGCTTGGGCACAGCTCTTGAGCTTGAACAAGGTAGATTGTACTAGACACAGTCATGTTAGGCACATATATCGTACAGGCTTTGAAAGATCTCGTCGCTGCGAGTTCCAAGCATGGCCTTGCCGAGCAGCCATGTCGCGCAGCAAGAGCGAAAAGGGCAGGAAATACATTGACGTTTACATGAGTACACATACCCTTTCGAGAAAAGAGATTCAGCTCTCAAAGACAAGTACAAGTCCGCTTGACAGATGCGTTGGCCCGATGATGATTTGTAGGTACAAGAAGTTGAGTAAGAAGCTGGACACGCCAAAGCTCTCAACTACAGTAGCCAGAGATGTACAGATGTACAGATTCGGTAGCTTGCTTGTTCAATGACACTTGCGAGTGGTTCCGCGAGACAATATTTCGTGGAGTTGGTACTATAGCTCAGTTTGCCAGCCTAATAAAACACTTTGTAGGGTTTTCTTTTTCAAACGTCCCGTCTTCCAGCAAGAGTATGAGCAATACAAGAAAGAAAAGAAAGCTCTGAGAAGAGATTGCGCAAAGGTCAGTACGGCGTCCGCATCGACGCGAACGGTTTGGGAACTGGAAGGTGAGGGCACGGCGTCAGTCGTGGACGTAAAGTGAGCAAGCGAAGGCAGACTACGTGTCGCAACGTCAAGCCGGCGTATAGGGATCTGTCGCCGTTAGCGCGTGTTGTTGAAAAAGCATGTCGAAATGCAATGGCGATTCACTATCCGCACCTACAGTCAAGAAAGTTGAACGGTGGATGATGGGGAAGCGGTGAGGGTGAGGCGAAGGGAGAGGACGAGAGTGAGGTGAAGGAGGTTTGTCGCACGCTCTCCACGAGGCGTTGCACAGGGCGAGCTTCTACAAGGGGACTAGGCGCAGTGGTCGGGATCGTTGGCTCGATGTGCCCAATCCGGAAAGGATCGGCGACTGGCTCTTCGGGGCTGCTTTCTGGCCAGATGTGCTGCTGACCATAATTCCTATCCCATCCTCCTCCTGCTAATCGGCCACGCTGCCACCTCGCATCTACTAACCACACTTCTCGACCGCCTCTCCTCCATATACACCGACCAGACATCTTTCCTGAAGCGCTCTGGACTTACCGACACGATGGCCGACCAATTGAAGGTATGAGCCTCCAAGCCTTTGCGTTCGAATGTGCCCTGATTTTTGGCTTCATCTGCTGCAATGCACGCAACTGCCATGCCCCCAACCACCTCATGTGTCGACTTGTTGCTTGATTGGCGTGGAGCGCATAGCGAGAGCATGAGGCTGACGCTCTGTGCACCGTGAGCTAAAGTGTTGCGCGCCAAACTACCCTGCTTCGCGAACGTCAGAATGCTGCGTACGACCTGTTGCTAATGTGATCTTGTAGGAACTCGCAGGTAGCTAGTGCACCAGCCTCGGCGGCCGCCTACTTCCCAAGCTAATCCACTCTTCTCCTCTAGATTTGCCAAAGGAGTTTTTCCGCGATGGTACGTCGCAATTGCCAACATAAGCTGTGACCTGCTTCGCCTCGGGCATTTGAATTCTGCAAAAGAAACCAGAATGCTTCTGTGGAGTGCAGTGACCGCCGTGGTCGAGAGCGTCTTTCAATTTTGAGCGCAGCTAATTTGTGGCGAATTACAGGGCAGCAATTCATGAGACGTTGCCGTACGTGCGGAATCTAAACTGCGCGACGCTCGCCTGGCACCTACTGACCCGTCCTGTAGAGAAGCCATCGAAGACGGAGTTCCTCAAGATCTCGCAGGCTGTTGGAATAGGATGTAAGGATATAGCCTCGCTATGCCAGTTTCAGGGTTCCACGCTAACGTCGTTTCCCTCAAGTTGTTGTCATGGGCGCCATCGGCTTCGGTAAATACTCTCTAGTCGTGAAATCATCCTGCTCTTCTTCTGGCTAACACATTTTCTCTGCAGTTATCAAGCTCATCCACATTCCCGTAAACAACGTTCTCGTGTCATAGAATCTGGGTGTTGGGAGGTATAGAGGACGACTTCAAACACGTTCATGGATTGGGTGGGATGGTGTGATCAAACCTCTAACCTGTCGGCATAACTTGCAAGTGCATCATTGGAGACTGTATAATATAGCAAAGCGTTGCATACGGCGTTGGCAGAGAAGCAAAAGACGCTTAACGTGGCATCCATATATTGAACCATGATGAGTGCTAATTGCACACACCAACATTCAACCATGCTCTCCTTCCACTCCTTTACGGATACCTGCTACAAAAGTATGTATGCATTGTATCGAAACACCAGCAAACACACAGAGGGCATAGATTGGAGCTGGTCACAATCGGACACTCTACGTTTCTGTCTTCATTGGATCGCATACATGATAAAACTAATAATACACCATGCCATTGTAGGTGCGAGCACATGCCCCACAGGCGACCCAATGTGCCCTATGCAGGATTTCGAAGTTCGTCTCTGTGCATGAACAGTGAAAAAATGAAAGGAGGAAGAATAAAGGATCATCAATTATTGCGCGTTTAGCATCCTTGTCCTCGTCGCCCTCCACCATCGTCCCTGTGCACGAGGCGGTTCGGGTGGTTCTTCATCCAATTCCAGCCTTGCCTTGTATTTCACGCCCATTGCAGGGAAGCCTTCGTCTACGTCGAGACCATCATTCCACGAGTGCACAGAACACGTTCCAAGCGAGGTTCCCCAACCATTCCACGAAGTTGCTGCCTCGTCGTCAGCCTAAACACCCGCAGAAAGTGAAGTACAGGATTGTTTCGCCCAACTTACCAGCAATCATAGGCACATCAGGATGCCAGCTCGCATCTCTCACACACGTATTGAATCCGCTGCTGCCGCCCCAAAATCCATCATCGTAGTCGTCTCTACTCCTGCTTCTCAAGAAATTCGTCGCGGCACTGACATCCACTGTGCCCTTTAGCGTTGCGTCCATATTCCATATGTACACCTTCCCGTCGTAGCTTCCAGAGTACACGTATCTGCTATCCGTGCTTCCAGGAGGCGAGAAATGGCATCGTATCAATGTTTTGAGGACTTGATGTCCCCTAAAGGTGACCAGCGAGCAGTCATGCGGGTGCGGGCGCCAAAGGTCGTAGTTGAAGGGGTTCATACGGTACTCAAAGCCCGTGGTATACCTATCTATGCGCACCTTGTCCGCCTTCTCGGTTGGGATGACTTTGCGAAGGTCCCATAGCTTCGCAGTTTGGTCTTTGCCGTTGGAGATAATGTATCTGCCGTCGCCTTTGCTGTCCACGTAAGTCAAACCCTCAGTGTGACCCAGGAAGACACCGGCTGCACGTCCCTCGCCAAGAGAACGTCTGTCCCATACTTTGAGAGTAGTGTCATCGGAGCCGGAATACAGCACATGCGGTGATGCGGCGTCGCCAAAGCATACGGCATTGACATCATCTCGATGACCGGGAATACGGAGAATGGATTGGTTGCGCTCAATGTCAAACACATATACCGAACTGTCGCCTGTACCTGCGACTATCTCTCTTCCGTCTCCTGAGAATCGAATCGACCAGATGGCAAAGCGGGCGTAGGCACGGGCGCCAGCTCCTGTGCCAAGGCGTGAGAAGTCCAGCGTGCGTGGATGAGAAACGTCATTCGGGTCGGTTGGTGCAAGGCATACCACGGAGCTAATCGAGCTGTAGGCTAGCCACTTGTTGTCCGTTGAAAGGGATGCATCGGTGATAGTCCAAGATCCGTAAGGATTATCAACAACCTTGTAGTACTTCCACTTGTACGGATTGCTCGTATCATACATGCGGACTCTAAAGTCCTGCCCGCATGAAAAAAAGAAGTTCCCGTCTGCAGAAAACTGACCGGAATAGCAACGCGCATTGTAGATGATTACTTGATCAGCCGTAGACTCAGGAATCATGTCATGTTTGATCATGGAATTGCTCGTCCTCTGCTGTCCTTGTGAGCTTAAACCAAGCTCCCTCTTCAGCAGTCTATGAGCCAACTTCTTCTTTCGTTGTATCGAATCCATCCGGCGCTCATTATCGCCAAATGTTCCGTTCTCCAGTAGCTCTCGGCCTTTTTCGCTTGGCACCTTCTCAAATTCAATAGGTCTTGAGGGACGCGAAGATTGTCGCACGCTTCTGCTCCATGGTGTCCAGTCATCATCATCATCATCATCTGATTCTGCACTGGTATATCTGCCGATAACGTGTGCACGCAACAATCGTTGGAGACCCGGTTGTCGCACAATCCGCAGCAGTTGTTCTCGAGTCACTATGCTCATCAGCATTTTACGACAACGTTACGGAAGGCCTCTACACACCAAAAACAGGCCTTGATCTGCCAGATCCTTGTGTTCCTTCTTCCTCTTCTTCTTCTTCTTCTTCTTCCTCGTCTTGTTCTTCCTCGCCGTCGTCATGATTTTCATGGTCATTGTCATCATGATCACTGCCCTCTATCGTCACTTGTATAGTTCCTTCCTCTAGTAACGTTTGAAGTATATTCTCTTCTGCATCTTGCCACGCCGCTTCTTCTTCCTCTTCTTCATCTTCGTCCAGATCTTCGACGGCCGGCACGTAATCCATGTCATCGTCATCATCTTCGTTCTCCTCGTCTATCCATGCCGGATCATAGTCCGCAACTCGTTCCTCTATGCTCTGTACACTTGGGTCGTATGAAGGTGATCTGTCCGCCATAATAAATGAATTTCACTGTTCAAGAGGGATTGTACGTTTCACAAACTGTTGGGTCACACGGCATGAAAGTAATCACGGCATTGTGAACCCTAGATAGGTGAGCTTCCATGCCAGAGTTTCCGCCACTCGTCATTGACGAATTGCCGATTTAGGGCGGGTTGGGCAGTCTCGACGGAGATACCGCCCTTATCACCGAAAATTGTTAGACTTATTGGCAGCGCACTACCTCTCTCTCTACACATTAGCATAGTCATTGAATGGAATTAATACATCGGACGCATCCATGTTCCAAAGCTGCTCATCCGATTCGACAACTCGATTTCTTCAAGAAGCGTCATGGTTCAATTCTCGTTGACGGCTTGCAAGGTTTCTCAATCAAACAAATCCTGATTATGAGGCCCAAAGACGAATTATGAAAGATTGGCTTTGAAGCTATCCAATTTCTGCTGACGGTTAGTTTCAGCAGGCACCTTGAAATTTGTCAGAATGAAGCCAAAAGCAACGAACTTGCCAATCATTTTGGCTGTCTTGCTTCGATAGAATAACTGGAGCAAAATTCGACATTTGTATCTACATCATCACCATGGAAAAGTTGGAATCCCTTTCCGAGAAGGCTCGTTGACGGAGGCTATTCCAGGTGCATGCCCCTTTGCATCACATGTAATTTCATGCCTGTCGCTTGATGGAAACCCTTTACGGTCCATTGCCCAATGCTTTTAAAGCCTGAGTTCTCATAGAACTTGACATTGTTGTCAGTAGTTTCTGTTTTGATGGGAATCTCGAGGCTGTCGGCTTTTTGGATTCCCCACTCAAGCAAGCGCTTGCCAACACCATTTCCTGCAACCCGAAAGTCGACACATATGTTATCTAGGTAAAGGAACGTGCCGTTGTGGTACCTACACTTGTCAACGTATGGCATAGCCACGGCAATGCTTATTACCTTTTTTCGAGATCTTCCTCCGACCTTAGATAGTTCATGAATCGAGTAGCATCCTGGTCTTTTCGGTGGTAAAATAGCCGCCAATACCAAAGCTGCAAGTCGACAAGTAGCTCTTGTTCGCATCCGCGTCAGACTTGAATGGAAAGAGTAGTCAGAAGCACAGGCTGACCTTGAAAATGTTCCAGGCTAGATCGATAGTGGTGGCCTGTTCCGCCATTTGCCTGCACCATTCCCTTCCATTGCCAAACTGCAAATCCGATCGGCGTGCAAACTGTCTGAGAACTAGATAAAGGCAAAGCTTGGGAGCTGTTGATCCAACTCAGCATGCTCCATGACTCTCTTTCTATCTGCTGTGTCGGAGCCTCTCTTGGCTCTGAGGGTAAGCCACAGTTGCGGCCTTCTGCCACAATGATTGTTCGCGAAGGATCCCATAAAGTCTTACGCAGGCGTTTGTCCCAAAAGTACAGAGTGTCAGACGCGTTAGATACATCGTCATGTAAAGGAGCATATAGATAATCAAATAGTGGAAATCTACGGAACGAAGTTAAAAGCATAGATAACATCGCAGGGATATCATCCACAGTTGCTTCTCTGAGATGGACGGTCACAGCCGTCATGGCGGTTTCTTTTGGACGTCGAATGCGGTTTCTGAATCGGATTAAGCTCAGTCTAAGCTACGTTCATGTTAGATGACGTCAATTTGGCCTGACCGTTTTCGTATCAAATCTGAAGCACGTGAGAGAAACGGAAGAAGATGGGCAAACTCAAGTTAGCAAAGGAAAAAAGTGCGTTCTTCACTGCCCCAATCTACCCAGTCTCTTGCCCCTTCTTCGCAAAAAGAGAGCGTAATATCACCCCCCTTTCCAGAAAGGTGAGATCTTCTTTTTCTACTCGTTATGTACACATCGCCGATCACTTTGTATTCACCTGGCATTGACGTCTCTCTTAGTATGTATGGACTCATCCCCCCATCCAACACGCAACAAATATCGTCCTTCATCGTCAGTGGAGGACCTAGCCCAAAGTATCCTCGTCGCGTAAGAACGAGACGTCGGTTATATGTGCAGCTCTGCACCCAATAATGAATCATGTCGTACTTGCCTTGTGTTTCCTCATCTTGACAACCTTCTTGCTTAAGGCTCAGGAGATATGCTGCTCTGTACACTTGCCACTGCTCCCAATTTCCGATATGCCGCCCCACAGAAAGGGTTGTAACAAATGCGATGTCCTGATCAGTTAATGCGTACGGCGATGTTAGCTGTGCGTGCTGTGAGATGGTTTTCCATAAGGAGCGAAGTTCCGTAATCGACGGCTTCTCCTTAAATACTTCAAATATAAACTCTACTTGATCGACCACGACACCACATACATTCAGAATTTTTGCATTGGAGGTGTTTATTTGAGTGTTGGAGGTGGAAATCATCGGCCTGGTGTCAAGATTTGTGCCGTAAGGGGAAACTATTCTGACCTCAAACATGTTCACATCCCAACGCGGCACCCAAGAAGGACAGTTGTCAAGAAGAGTGGCCTCCGTATGCTGTATATACTCTAGAATTCTAACGCTGTGAGTGGATTCGATATACTGTCGCGCCAGTTCCAAGTAGACGTCGTTGGAGTGCTGCCTGTAGTCGGGCATGATACTGACAGGAAGAGTAATCCTGTTAGCGAGCTCCAAAAAAGCGTAAACACGGTCACTCGGCTCCTTGAATCGAAGAGGTCGTGCGTAGTGAAACAAATCGAGGAACAGGACCTCCGCAGAGTTGACATTGCTGTATAGGGGCGTTGCTTCTTTTGGATTGCGGTTTCTGTAGATCTCGAGATGCAGATCGTTCATCCTGTCGATACTTGTCGGGTTTTGCGTCCAGACCTGAGGCAGTCTTTGCTCCATCCAAGTCCAAACTCTAAGCACCTTTTGCCATTCTATCTCCAGGCCTCCCCATTTGACAACGGCGCTAGTCGAGAGACCTGCCTCCTGGACCACCCATCCACGCTCAAACCAAGGCTCCTCAGTTAGGGCTAGCAGTGATTTCCATCTGCCGTCTCTCGCGAGTTTCTCCCGCTCTTCGGCGGTTAAGAAAGGAAAACTTCCGTTGGAGGAGCTCGCATACTTGAGCTTGTCGAGAATCATTTCGTCCAGTTCCGCAAGCAACGACACAGCGGCTGGTGCGTGTTCATTCGCTTTGGCCTCGAGACATATTAGAACTCGATCTGCTTTACTATAGATTTGTCCCATTAGTGCAACCTGTCTTGCCTTCTCCGTAAGATCCTCCTGGTTAATACAGATCGAATCGGCCCAGAGCGTACGAGACTGCCGAGGCAAGCGAACGTCTCTCAACACTCTCCATAAGTTATGTGTTATTTTGACAACCCTTCCGTTACATACTACATCTTTTTCCTTTCGGTCACTGCCCCAAACGTATGAGATAGCTTCAAAATACGGCATCTTGTCTAGGGACGAGACAACGAGAACGCATTCCAGAGGCTCATCGTCTTCTCCAGCTTCAAGGACTATGTAGCGAATAAAGTTGCCATCACTTAGAGGCTTATATAAGATTTCTTCCGTTTCCATGGTACGAGAATCCAGATTTTCCTTCCGAACAGCCTTTACGGAAAGTGATCAACTTTGAGTCAACTGTTTACATGATATCTGGTGCAGCAGCGAAGCTATATAAAGAAGTTAGCTCAAGAGATAAGGGTTCTGCTTGCCAAGGCACGATCGTTACGAAAAGGTTGACCGAAGCGAACGGATTATCCCGTTCCAAGATTATCAAGGAAAGAGTGCCCCGCGAAGGAGTACAATCCCTGTAAAAGGTGCTCAAGTCAGGAGGAAGGCGGTGGTAAGGCTGTAGCAGACGACAAGTCTGACTGTCTGCTTGTTACCCTATATGCAATGCCAATTCCTAGTCTTTTTGAGTCTGCTAGGGACACTTCGGTCAAGTCCAGACTGTTTCCCTGGCTTCAACGCGTCTCACAGTGCTGAAGGGCTCGAAGCTGGCCGTGAATGCGGCACTGTCCAAGTGTTCGTTGCTTGCATCTAAGGAGACGATGGCCGATCGAGCATTGTCATTTCGCCTCCACATGTCGTTCGTATAAGAGGGAAAAATCGTGAAAACATCATCTTCATTCAGGATTCCTATCCACGGAAGGAAAACTTCGACAGGTTTTGCTATCTTATAGAGTTCGTTGCCCGCTTTATGATCGACCTCTTCAACCCCTGCGTAAAACCGGCATCTCTGTATGACAACGCGGCATTCTAAGCTTGAGGAAAGAGTTTTGCAATGGCTTCGACAGTGGTGTTGCCCCCGCTGAATATTACGCCGACATTCCAACCGTCCTCTCCAGCTTCTTTCTCCACCATCTGTCGAAAGTCTTCATTGTACAGAACAACGGCCAGCGGCACACACGCACTTGGCTCCACAAAGATTTTCATCCTCTCGAGGACCAGTCTCATTGCTTTTATAATCTGCTCTTCGGTGACACTGTAGATACCTTTGAGCTTATTAGGGTCACTGATAATCTCCCAGTTTATCACGCCCACTGGCGTCCTCAGCCCGTCTGCTATCGTCAATGTTGAGACAGTCTCGATGCGTTTTCCTTCCTTCAAGCCTCGTTCGCCATCGTTGGCGCCCTGGTATCTAGGCTCCGAACCAAACACCCGTATCCCAGTTCCGTACATTGCAGTAGCTGTTCCTGCGAGGAGCCCACCGCCACCAAGTGGCGTTATGATGGCATCGAGGTTAGTTCCCAGGTTCTCGACTTGTTGCTCAAACTCCAAGGATGCAGTTCCTTGTCCAAGGATAATATTTGGGTGATCATAAGGTGGAACCAAGACGACACCTGGATGCTCTTTCTGTACCTCCGCCACCTTCGCCTCTCGGTCAACCGAGGTGGACCCCGAAAAGATCACCTTTGCTCCAAGGGCCTGAGTGCCAGCAATCTTGGATGGGGTGGATATAGTCGGCATCACAATGTAAGCGGGAATCCCAAACGTTTGGGCAGCCAATGCCAACGCCTGCGCATGATTTCCTGACAGGAGTAAGTACTATGATAAGAGAAAGACCTGAAAAATATTCACCTGAGCTATGCGTGATGACACCCTTGCTTCTTTGTTCCGATGTTAGACGGCTGACGGCGTGGAACGCGCCTCTCGCTTTGAAAGCACCGATCTTCTGGTAGTTTTCACACTTGAAAAAGAGTCGTATCTTTGGCCTCGCCGGCTTCTGGCCCTCCCATTCTGTACCTGCGAGATCCTCTGGCGTCTGAGGTGTAGAAGCGATGGTGTTGAGTGTCGTTGACGTGTGCACTGGGGTAAGATGGATATACGGTTTAATCAACTCGGCAGCCGCTGCCACCGATTCGCGCGTCAAAGGCGGACAAGAGGAAATTTCGGACATGATCGACATGTGACTATTTTCAAAGCACAACACCTACAAAAGAAGAGAGCGGAAGTTGAGACAAGGCCATACAGTGGAGACAAAAATCACAATGTCAGAATTCCATGTTCTATCTCCGCCGATTGCACCGAAATAGCGTCCTGATTTGTGTTTCGGAATTCCACGCACAACCTACGCAAGCACCAAATACAAGATCAAGAACGGGGCTTGACAAAGCTACTGAGCTTAGAAATGAGACTGCGTATGAAATATAGGTTTATTCTAATTTGAAGGATGCTGAGCAATATGGAGAATAGTGAAGATACATTACGAGAGCGGTCCAATGTACTGCATCGGGTTAGCCGACATCGGACTTTCGTTCCGACCACCGAGATATATTTGATGCTACTGTGAGAAGAATTTATGCCCCTTCCCTTCCACCATGAGTCTCAAAGAAGAGAAACCCACCGTGTCGAATAAGGTCGATCTTTCAGCGTTCGGGTTGTCCGCCGAGGAGGTCCAGACGCTGTCGCAGAAATGCACTGAGGCGAAAGAAAAGGCATACTGTATGTACTTAGATGCGTCACGTTCCTGAGCATCACTCGTACCCCACCCAGATTGAATAAAACTCGACATTGAGCAGACAAAACAGGCCGCTACTCCCACTTCAAGGTCGGGGCTACGCTGCTGGTCAAAGACGATGCTCCCGCTGTGTCGTCGACTGGCCGCTTCATCTCTGGCGCCAATATCGAAAATGCATCATATCCCGTGGGCACCTGTGCTGAGCGCGTAGCACTGGGTACGGCGGTCTTTGAAGGACACCGCTACGGGTCGTTCAAGGCACTCGCAGTCGCGACGAACACAGAGCCAGGTAGCCCGGCGAGCCCTTGCGGAATGTGCCGACAGTTCATCCGCGAGTTCTGCGAACCGAATATGCCAATCATTATGCACGATAGACTTGGTGGGCAAGTCGTGATGACTGTCGAGCACGTAAGTGTTCTTTTTTCTCTCCCTCTCGATTTGATGTCGAGTGGGATGAAAGAGAGGAAAGAAAAGAGAGGACAGGAAAGGGACTGACTGAATGAAACAGCTCCTGCCAATGTCCTTTGGGCCTGATTCGTTGCCCGCTCCTGGGGAGCTGGACAAGCTAGAAAGGACATAGGAGAGAACATCTCGAGGCGGACTCGGAGTTTTAAGCTACTGCAAAGGAGCCTCTGGGAGGGGACGCATGACTTGTCCTAGGAATGATGCACCCGTTGGCAAACGGCTGATACCAGTGTAGATATCGCGCTTGCCATTTGAGACAGGCAGATAGAACGAAAGTTACTTGGCTTTCATCCACCTCGCTCTCTCGAGCCCCCAATTAGCGTCTCGTCCTAGGAAGTCATTGGCAAATGCAGAAGCCCGATAGGACCGTCGAGCATGTAACGCACAGGAAAGGTCTGTCGCGCGGGGAATCCAGAGAGATAAGGAAGTCTGGGGGACATGGAGGGACATGCCGCCTCACGTACGCCTTTGGCAGGGATCAGTCCCAACATGTGCGTCTGGGTCCTCCCGCTCTTGCACGGACACGAAACGCGCCGTGGAGATGGAGAGAGAAAAGTCGCAAACAAAGGACAAGCGATCGCTTTTACACTTGCATCGTTCAGAAGCGAGGACGAGGCCTGGGCGTTGGCGATGGACGAGGCGCCGACGCCGTCTGGAAGTGGACGTCTGCTCGTCAGCGCAGCGGTTTGCTGGCCAAGCCGCAGGGACTTGACGTGCATGACGCGCAGGATGGGCTTTTCGTTCTCCGTCCAGCTCCCAAAAGGCCCATCGCCCGACTCGTCATGGCCTCACCGACACACACACAACCCGCACTCCTCCACCCGCAACCACAACCACAACCACGCCCGTTGTCCAACCCTGTTCGCAGCCCTCAATCAGCCTCTCAATGCCCTTTCTGGCTGCCAGAGGCCCACGCTAAAAATCTGTCTCTCACGATCGCCTCTGCAGTGCGTGCATCTTGCCCCGCTCGCACTTCACAGACCCGACCACCCTCGCCCCCATTTTAGCGCTAAAGGGCGTCGTTATTATCACGTCCTTTTGATCGCCCCTGTGTCGCAATCTTGTCTTCATCTCCTCTTCGTGAGGTTCGACGCTCGCCTCCGGAGTGATTTGGTCTTTCTTTTTTTCATTAAAATCGCAAAGATGACTCGCCAGATCATTTATGGCGGTGCCTTTGTGCTTACTGTGGCCTGTACGCGTTGTTGCCTGTTGACATCATACGAACGTCTTCCACTGACAGCTGCGACACAGGCACGGCCATGACGATAGCGAGCATAGTGGTGCCCAGTTGGATCCGATGGGACAACGTATGTGTTCATATCCAATATGATAGAAAAATTTAAAATAATGCCACGCGATTCTAAAGGCAAGACAGGGCACGCCGTCGTCACCGACTGTTTCCTACGGCCTACACAAACGATGCTCGTCCGTAACCGGCATCTGCGAGACGTTCCCACAGGATTCTGACTGTAGCCGAGATTCGGGCTTCTGTTCGATGTGGCGCAGCGTTGGTTTCCTCATGTCCTTCGCTGTCCTAATCGAGCTTGCCACCCTCGTTGGCTATATCATCATCGTGCTGGGCGGCAAGCAGACCCGTGACTACGGATGGAAGATCATCTGCACCCTTCTCGCCTTCGTCACCGTCGTGCAATGTGCTGGAATGGCCATTGTCGCCTACCTCTACGACAACGATCCTCGATTCATCATGGGCTGGAGACTTGACGTTTCCTGGATCCTTTGCACCATCAGCTGGTGTCTGGCCCTACTTACCGCCTTAGGCATAAGTGCTGCGAGCTACGTCCTTCCTGAAGAAGGCGGATATGAGATAATTCCTGGTGAGCAGTGAAAAAAAATAGATAAATACAATTTTTGTCGCAACACGGGACCCCTTCGTTTTCAACGTGGAATGAAGTGGAAAGGAAGACGCGGCAGGAGGTGTGAAGGGGACGAACGACGAATTTTGCATTTTTCCTTTTGCCTCTCCCCTCCCCAACCTTTTTGTTCCCCTTATTGCATTACACGGTTTACAGGAATCTGATTTGTGGAATGCACGAATAGACGAACAGCCGCATCTCCAAGAAGAGCGGCATTTTGGACGCGCGGGCATCACGTCGTGGCTAGGTGGCCATGAGGATGGCTATGCTGAGGATTTTGACGAGGACGGGTACCACACGAGCTTGGGCAGGAGCTCAAGTTACAGCAAGAGCTCTACGTTAGGGAAGAGTTTATGAGGTTTCGGAGCAGCAAGAAACGGTCCTGATATTTGGTGGTGGCGTTAACCATACACACTGTCTTGGGCGCCATGGCCAATGTTGGCTTGTAACCATTTCCTTTATTCTCCCTTTTCCCCCCCTCTCCATTTGGGGGTCTACATTGGCTGGGCGTTTTGTTCGCGTTATGATATCCCCCGTCGCCCAAGCTGGCGCTGTCTTCCATTCCGCACAGCATGGTTTCCAGGGTTCTTCAAGGCATCTAAGTAATAATCCGTGGTCACACAGTTCTCGGGACTTTCTAGACGCATTTATAACGTCTTAGCATATGAGTCTGCAATTGCATGAGCCTTCGGCAAAGTTTTTGACGACCATTGAATCTTCGACACATCGTCCTGCGCGATTCCGTCACTTGCTTTGAGAGTGAGTCGCCTGACCGGACGCCGAGCAGCCGATCGGTCGAGTGAACGTTGCGGACAAGTGCTTGCCCGTCGCACCAGATGGGTCTGCTGCAAGCAGTCGGAGCTCCCCACCTTCGACTCCCGATGCCCGTGAGAAGGGCGACTGAGCTAGGCCTAGCTCTCACACCAAGGGCGACGTCAGCTCTCCTGGCTACCCCTCCACTTCACACGCATGTCTCACCGAGCTGACCTTTTTAAAGCTGGCCTTGCGCAGCAACGTACGCTTTGCTCTCTTGACTTCAGCTCCGCCTACGAAGCTCCGATCCTACTCGTACGGCGCTACATTTGAACCTGGCCGCTTCGTCAGGTGGGAGGTTCTCTTCATCATTTTTTTTTTTTGAAAAAAAAAATTCCCAAAGATATTCTAGAAAACTGTGAAACCGCACCGTCCTACTCTGCCCTACTCTCCCTTCCTCTCCCAAGAAAGGATTGTTTGTCGCAGCCCAAGTGGGAACATGGCAGGCAAAGTGGACGAGGCCATGGAGGCGATCATGAAGTCGCGCTCGATGCCGGACGTCCCCGTGAACTTTGTGCCTGCAAAGGCTGGTGAGATCATCAAGCTTGGCCCCATTACGTGCCGCGTGCTTGAGGATGGCTCTCGAACGGGTGCGAAGGTCTCCGAGTCCTCAGAACTTGGTTGAACACGGGGCGCTTACACAAAAGGCATGCAAGACAACCGCATAGGCGTCGCCGAGTTCACACTTCCTCCTCGCACAAAGGGTCCGCCGGCACATTGGCACGAGGTGAATACACACCTATACATTATACATCCCTCACACATGTAAATCAAAAGAAAAAAAAAAGAAATCGAAGTTGCGTCCCGTTTTATTCTCGGCAAGGCTGACCCCGCCTCCTTCTTTTTTCGCAGATGCACGACGAGATGTTTCTCACCAGTACGTGTTGCGCCTGGCTCGGCCTCGCCACGAACGAGCAAGAGCGCGGACGATGCTGACACTCCAGGTTTCAGCGCAAGGAACCGTCCGGTACCACGTTCCGGGCAAGCCGGACATCGACGCGGCAACGGGCGACTTCGTGTCCGTGCCGGTGCGGGCGCCGCACACCTTCTCCAACCCGTTTGACGAGGAGGCCAAGTTCTTCAACACGTACACGCCCGCCTTCTACATCAACTACTTCAAGCTGCTGGGGAGCATGATCGAGGAGGGCGGCGAGATGACCAAGGAGAAAAACCTCATGGCTATGGCGAACTACGCTACGCTGCCTGTGCCCCAGGACAAGATGGAAACCACGTGGGACAAGAAATAGATGCAAAGCAGGCTTGCTCGCACGGGGAAGTTGTGGGAGGAGGTTCTGCCGCTGCCCTCGCTATCTTCGATGTGGTATCATGGCGCCTCGCCCCTTCCCTGTGGAGAGACATCAGAACAAGAAGAGAGCATGCGGAGTGAATTAGGGCTTAGTATAGCATTAGGCCATATGAAATTCGTATGCATATGCGTTTGCTACAGCAGCGGTAGAGAAGACCTCTCCTCCCCCACCTCGGGGGGATTCAGTTACCGTCGTCTCAAATTATGTGAACCCAGTCGAGCAGAGGGCGTCGTAGTGATTCACCATCGCTTTGTGCGAACTGAGAACAGAGTCAAGAGTCCGAGACGCACAGAACGTTGGCTGCGAGGGGAGATCGAAATCAACGGCATTCAGTGTGTCATGGCATTTCGCCGCTCCCCGGGCCACCCGAGCATTTTGTTGAACGTCGGAGCAAGGCCTGTCTCTCGTCACTGGCCCCAGTCGTTCGGGGGTTTGCCATTGCTCTCGCCTCGCTGATGATTCCTTTTTTCCCGATCGTTTTCAGGCGAATGGAGGTGGGGTGGGCCGCGATTGATGGGCGCAGCTCGACGCGCACGGTGCGAGGCTTGCTCTGCTTGCTGCTGGCAAGCGGGCCAGACGCGTTGGCCTGGCTTTCTGGTGTAAGCAGAGCGTACTTACGACTCCTGTCAGCGCGGTTTTTAATTGATTACTGTGGTGCGGGCCAGGATTCTCTCCTCTTGAATATGCAAAGATGAAGTTTCCTGCCCTTTTCCCTTTCCATTTGTAGCCAACAAGGGGACCGTTCCTCAGATCTTGAGATCGGGCTGCGTCGCGGGTATCTGGAACTTTTGGCTTTTTTATTTTTATTTTTTTTTCCCTTCCTCGCTTTCGACTTCTTAGTGCCAGCTGCTGCTGCTGCCACAGCTGCATGTGGTTGGTTGGCCGATCCCTGGATCGACACTGTCAGACACGTCCGTGTGAAATGACATTCTTCATAATCAGAAAGCGAGGTCACGGCACGTTCGTGTAAGAAGAATCAGATTGAATCCCAAAGTAGTTCTAATACAAAGTAGACTGAAATAGCCCCCATCTCCATGAGGCGAGGACTTGGCCAACGAAGCAAGGGAACAGCATCCCTTGTGGAAACGTCATCACGTCGGTTTGGGAGCCGGACAGTAGTCAGATGCGGCAAAAAAAAAAAGGAACGCTGTGTATCACCCAGGTCAACATGTTGAGAGACGGCTTAGGACAAGCTGGGGAGTTCATAATTGACAATGATTGAACTATTGGATGAACATTTATCGTCGCCGTTATGAGGCCGTACGTATCGCTCTATTGTTCAGCTATGGGCAGATCTCTGCGTGGAGCAGCCAAGCCCCTGTCCATGTATCTGCGGCTACGGAGTAACAGTGGGCCCAGATATCAGTTGTCAGATCGTAATAGAAGGCGTCCCTTTTAAGACCCAAGGATGTCCAATATTCTCACCCAGAAAGGAGACATCTCTGGGAAAAAAAAAATTTCCGGACCTGATCGATGGATTCCCAAGAGACGGTTCGGGTTGGGAACGGAGAGAGAGTCAAATTTCCTTTCACTTTATCGAGGGGAAAAAATGAGGTGGCTTTGGAATCTGGCTGGCTGTCGTCAGTGGATTCGAGAGCGGGAGTGGCGCTACGGTGATCCTGTCACTACGGTGATCGAACAAAGCTAAGGAAAGCTCGTTGGTCACGACCGATGATCTGGACTCGGTGGGTCCAGGAAAGCGTGCGACGGCATTATTGTGTGGTAGCGACAGGAGGGAAGGGTCCGCTCCAATGCTGTATGTACTACTGTCGGCTTCGAAAGGAACAGCTTAGAAAACGAAAGTTGTTCGAGTCGTCGGTTAGACTAGACATCACGTTAAGATCAAGTGGTGCGTGATTTGCATGCGTAGCGTGTGCGAGTCAAACAATGCACTACTTTGACACGAGTCGCCGTCGTCGTCCACACTGTCAAGCAGTGAAGCCGCATAATTTTCCATCATTTTTTTATTTGACAAAAAAAAGTTTTTTTTTTGGGAAGGGTTAGAGAGGTCGATAGATTAGAATGTGAAGGTGTGATGGGACAAATCGGAGTGCATATTTCACGACGAAGGGTAAGCGGTGATGGTATGCAGATGGCTTAGCAGAGTGCGGTGTGTGAATGACGATGATTGTGGCACAACAGAGGCTGATCCGGGAGATGAGGGAGCAGAGGTCCGATGTGATTTGAGGCTGTTCACCTGCTAAACCAGCTGTGGGTCTCGTATGCTGAGAGATTCATGTTCCACTTGCCACTCACTTTGTTCGCTGCTAGTCAGGTATGGAGTAAGGCTCAATGAGGGCGGAAAAGAGATAAGGGCAGATCAGAGAGAGCAACGGAGGGTGATTAGTGGACGAGATCCTGGGGCGGCGCAGCTGAACAACGGTGCCGCTTTGCAAAGTCCAGAGGTAGCCCATCTGCTTGACGAGCGAGCGGAAAACAGAGGCGCGAGCACTTGGCCGATTTGGCAGTTGGCTCGTTTTGCGTGCAGTGGACTGCGCAAGCCACAAAAGCCAAAGATTGCACCGGCGTGAAAAGGGTTGTGGGACGAGCCCTCGTGGAGCGAAGGCTGCAAGTGCGGCCGGTGGAGTCTCGTGGCCCGTTTCGGAAGTCGGCTTTGTGACGGAACCGTGGTGACAAGGGGTCCTAATAATTTTTTTTTGGCTCTAGAGCAGAGAGAGGGAAAAACAACGACGAGAGAGGTGCAGCAGCATAGGAACGCGCACGGCGCATGATCCGCTGGGGCCGTCGGGGAGCAAAGACGAGAGAGGAAAAGAGCGAACTGGTGGGAGGAACAAAAAGGAAGCAAAAATGATGTGTTTCAGGAGCTGCACAGGTAATGCAAGGTTTACTGGCGCTCTGCCTCGGACGGGCGTTTTGGGAGCGTGAGAGCAATAGCAGGAGATTGTGTGCGTGCAAGTGCAAGGCAGGGCGAGTAATGCGTCTACTCCTTGCTCAATGCGAGTGGTGAGGGCGAGGGTGCGACGGGTAAGGGTGTGTGGCAGACGCATGGAAGATCAGGGAGGGGAAGAACGGGGATCAGAGAGAGGGGCTCAGGCTGGCAGCTGGGGCAATCGTCCAGATGGTTTTGCGTGATGATGACCAGTGCCATTATGATCACTAGGAGGATGGCAATGACGAAGTAGAAAGATAGGATGGATGGACAGCGTACCGCCACAAAACCGATACGGCACGACCCAAGCAGCCTGTCCTCTCGTCACCACTCGCTACACTACCCAGCACTGAACATACTGTGGTCGCCGTCGTCGTACTTGCTCCATGCTGGTGCTACCGTGCCGGCCGGGTTTTTTTTAAACGCTTGTGGGCCTGCGTCCACGCGAGGGATGGGCCCAGTGGACTGGCGTCCGTTCAGGTACAGCCGAGATGGGCTCCTGGCAGTAGGAGGAATGGTAATCGTCTTGCGGATACGGCGCAGCAGTCGTATGCGTGGGAGGAGTAGGACAAGGACATTCTCGTCGCCACAGGGTCTTGCTGTCAGGATACAATTCTACGTACTGCATGGTACCTCTGTACAAGTGATCAGACAGATTGGCCGTGGGCGAGTGACACCAGCAGCAGCGGAGGCAGGAAAGGTAACCGTACACGCGTGCATGTCGTGTGGCAGGCATCAGACCTCCGCTTTCCAGAAGGTCGGCTAGTGCTGCTGCCACTGCTGGTGCTGCTGGTGCCGCTGCGACGGGTGAAGGTGGTGGTGTTCGCGACTCAGTAGTGTGCCTTTGCTAACGTTGCTGAGCCTTGACTCTCTCTGCGTCTTGTGGTCTGGTTCGGCCTAGCTTGCCACCCGGCCGAGCAGCTCGTGTAGTTCGTTGTAGCAAAAGGTCGCAGCACGAGCAAGGTACGTGACGGCGGATGCCATCCAGCTCCAGGCACCGCTTGCGTCTCGTTCCACAAGGCTGTTTGCAACTGTGAGACGCCTTCTCACATAGCGACGTGGGTGCACACCACCGGCACGGAGGATCAGAAGCAAGGGAGCAGGAGAGAGGAAAGCGGCGCGGCAGATTTGCTGAGGCGGCAGGCTCGTGCGGACATCGTCGAGCGAGCCCAGCTCGCCTCCGGGCGCAGTCTTCGCCAGCAGGCCCGGCCGCGGCGTCGTCCTGTTCGAGGCCCCTTTCTCCCTCGACTCGGCGTCGGCCGCGCTGCTGGCCTCGAGGCGTGCACGCAGCAGGGCGCGCGAAGGCAGCCGGACGCCCTCGAGGAGGACGACTGCTGCGGCCGTGCGACTGCACCGACGGCTCCTCGGGCGCAGCGGCACCGCGTTTGGCGTGGATCCGGCGCGCGCACGCCGGGCATCTGGCCCTCCAGCGGGGCTCGTGCACGATCTCCTTTTGCGCTGTGGCCGCGCCCGCATCGGCACTCGCCAGTCGTCTGCGCGCGGTCAAATCAGCGGCGCCGCCAACGCGGGCACAGGGGCTTGTCCGCGCCCTCGTTCTGCCCTCGCTCCCCCAGTCGGCTCAACTGCTGGGCCTGGCCCATTTCCACGCCTCGCTTGACGACGATCGCGACCTCGTGCTGCAACCTCTCCTTCGACCTCCTCCTCCCTGTTCGACTCTTCCCATTGTTCCTCCTGCTCCCGCCTCTGCTGCTGTTATGTCGCCGAAGCCCTCCTAGCTGCGCTCTCTGCTCCCGCCGTCCGACTCAGCCTCGCCCTTCACCTCTCTCTGTCGCTGGCCCTTCGTCGTCCTTGAGTTCCCTGGCCTTGCGCTTGCGGGTGACCCGGTTATTTTTTTGGCCCACGACTTCGGCGAAACCTAATTTCGGGACACGCTGCTTGATCGTGCAACACTAGCAGCTGCAGCTCTTTGGTATGGCCTCAAGGCTTCCGATCCTGCTATCAATTGCTCCTGTCCTCTAATCTGTTACCCCAGTCAATCTGATTTCTCTCGGTCCTTTGAAATTTACTTCGTGAAAGACATATTTGCATGCACACATATACATATATATGTGTATATATATGTAAAAATAAGAGAGAGAGAGAGAGAGAAAAAGAGAGAAAGAGAGAGGGACAACGTGAAATTCTCTTCGAAAATTCCTATTCTGTACCCGCAGCACGCGCACCTGTCGTTCTCGCCTGTCGACCGTCCCTTTCGAGCAAACGTGACGAACCGATTCGGGTGCACCACAGGTAACACCTGAGCTTCTAGGCGCCGGTTGAAGTCTTCGCAATGGCGTCTCCGCCGCCTCGCAAGGCGCCAAGTGTCACGAGCAGTGCCGGCACTACGAAGTCCATATCGCTTCCCTTCCTCCCCCGATACACGCCGAAGCCAGAGCCGGCCTACGTCTCGCCTGCCGCCGCCGCCGACTATATCCTTCACAACCGTGACGACGATCAGCTAGATCACATATCGCCGTCCGTATCGCCCACGCACGAATCAGTCGTGTTTTCGGGCCGATCGTTGAGCTTGCTCAATTCATTTCTCGACTCGCTCCTGTACAATTTCCTCGCGAAGGCCCGAGGCACGTCGCTCAGCCAATTGAAGCCGGCAATCATCGAGGTGCTCAAGTCGAAGCTAGCACGAGATGCCTTGGCCAGTGCCGACGAGGAACTAGAAGGCCTGGTCGGCGAGGCAGACCTGGATGACGCGGAGGATGTGGCCACCTTCGGCGGTCAGGAGGGCTGGTCGCAAGAGTGGCATCTTGAGATGGCATTCAAGCGCATGCGATTGAGGGTCATGGTCTTTATCAGACTTGGGGACTTTGACGATGAAGACGAGGAGCGCTTTCTCGGCGAGGAAGACGACTTGCGTAACGGCGAGAAGCTCGAACAGGAGGAGATGCTCGCGTCACCTGCGGCAGTGTACCTGGCTGGCGTTCTCGAATACATCGCAGAGCGTGCTCTTGCCATCGTCGGAGAAGCTTCGTGGAAGCGAGCTTCAGGGAAAGCGCACAGACGCGTCCCAAGCGACATGAGTGAGCTCAGCGATCTGCGAGGGCTCGTTGTTCAAGAGGCCGACGTCGAGAAAATCACCCTCAACCCCACACTCGGTCGCCTCTGGCGGACTTGGAGAAAAAACTACCGTACAATGCATTCTTCGTCAGAATCCGGGAACCACATTGTACTAGCGTCGCCCCCAACCCCGACATCTGATAGACCTTACCGTGGCCGTCTTGGTAGCTTGAACGAGACCATTGCCGCTGTTAGAAGACCTAGTCCTAGCAACCACGAAGAGCGCGAGAATCGACATCTGAGCGCAGACGAGATTCCAGAGGGTGATGTTCTCGAATTCGACATCGCCGCAAACATACCCCTCCCCATCAACGAGAACGATGTCGAAGAGATCGAGACGATTGAGCTTCCAGATCAAGACGTTGTAGCCGCAATACCACTGCCTATGGGCGACAACGATGTCAACGAGATCGAAGTACCCGGACTGGCAAAAGAAATCGTCGACGAACCCGCTCGAGCGGAGGAAGCGGTAGCTGAGGAAGCACAAAAGAGACCACTTAGCGCCATTTGGTCATGGCTCACTCCGTTCTCCTGGGGCACAGAGCCGAGCAAAGGCAGGCCCAACCTCCAAAGGATGCGATCAAGCTCTGTGCCCACCAGAGAGCGTCCTACCTTCATGGGTGTGGCGGTTTTCACTCCTGCCAAAGAGCAGGAAGAGCCCCGGTTTGAGACCGTGGAAGCTTCAAGCACCCCTGAGGCGGGAAGTGAAGACGTCGCCACCGTTGGGGACGCAGAATCAACGTTGACATCTAGATCCGATAAACCCAGAATCTCCAAACTGGCGGACATGGTCGCGGGCGCGGCGGTAGGTGCTACTGCGATAGCTGTCACAACCGCGGCCGCTGTAACAGGCTCGCGTAGATCACAGCCTGCGGACGAATCCGAGAAGCCTGGTGCACCCCTAGCCACCAAATCAGATGCGGACAAGTCAAGGAGCCCGGTTTCTACGAGCATCGCGGACAGGAGGCGAATGTTTGAAGCCCAGACAAAAGCAGCGAACAAGGCCGATGCTCCTGTAGCGCGTGAACCGTTGACTACCACATCCGAAGAACAGATGCAATCTGCAGCAGCGGAAACGCCATCGCACACGTCTCCGTCGAGGCCTGTGGCTGCTGCCGTGACGTCCGTAGCGACGACAGCACATGTCGGGGCTGAAGGATTGATGGCACCTATTGGAGTTTTCGTAAAAGAGGTTGATCCAAGGGTAGACAGAAAGACGGTAAAGGACGAACCTGAACCGGCACCAGAATTGCAGGCCACTACTGATGAGAAGGCGATCGGCGTTGCAAGGACATCGGATGTACCAGTCCCAGTTCCTTATCCACAAGCCAGCCAGTCGACTGCTCCGCTTCCGGAGAGACAGCGTCCTTACCACCTTCCCGGCAACCAGGTGAGAAACGAAAGTGGGCGAATTACGCCCACGGAGTGGAACACCAACAGGGACCGCTCGTTGGTTGGTGCGGACGAATATCTATACGCCAGTCCCTCATCAGCTAAAACTGGTCCATCACCCCTTCGGACCGTTTCAAAGACGGAAGCGCGCCAGAATGAACCAACGCGAACTTCTAGCGATGGACCTCAATCGGTCACATTCTACCACTCTGAAGACGAGAAGTCTGCGAAGGAAGAGCAGAGCAGCCAGTCCACTTCTGCATCGAGGCCTAAACCGCCACCACTGAAGGTGGCGACTCGAGAGCCTGAGTTAGAGACAACACCGATTCGCCCAACAAGTGGTCCGCGTTCCGCTACTTCGACTTCAGGAGGCCACAGCACCAGGGGCTCTGCTTCCAGCTCAACTATCCAGCGCCAGCTTGACAAGAAGTCGCTTGAGGAGAGTCGTCAACGCGACTTTGATTCCCTGCTGAAGAACAATGAACCTGTCAAATATACTCTCACACCAGAAGATCTTCGTACCACAGAAGTTCGCACCACATCGTCAGTGACGACTCGAATTCCTGCCCTAGCAGATCGCGGACCGCCGTCGCCTCGAATCATATCCTCGCCAGGAACGTACACAGTGAGGCGATCTCCACCGCGTGAAACTGCTGCATCCAGGAAGGAGACTCCCAGCCCAACAAGTGCCTTAGGTCCGCATGGGCGCAAAGCAGGCGTGCCTCGTGTCTCAGAGTACAAGCGCACTGCGGCGAACAGACTCTCCCAGAAACCAGAGGCCCTCAACACAAGCTTGCGAAAATCCGGATTCATGCCCCGTGAACCACGCGTGATCACGGACAACACGGCCGATCTTGCTGACTATATGGCTTCGACGGCTCCAGAGCATGAACCAACTATTCTCCCTCTTGCTCGTGCTGCTAGCAATTCCAAGCTGCAGCAGACCATCGGGCGTACTTCATCTCCGCTACCCCGATCTGCCTCCCGCCAGAAACTAATTCCGCGAGAGCCCGAGGTTAGGAAAGATGGCACAAGCGACCTGATTGACTTCATCCGCCAAGGTCCTCCTGGATCGAAGCCTGACAAGGAGCAGAGGCGGACTGTAGCACCGTTCCGCAACACCATGGACTCGGACGACCTTGGTGGCTTGAGCGATCTGGCGAGCGCTATGCATTTCGGGTCTAAATTGGAGTCCAACTCGGGATCCGGGGTGCTTGGTGGTTCTATGAGCGGTCGTAGCAAACCATCTGCTCCTGGCAGTGGTGCTCCAGTTATTGTCAAGAAGCAGCGTCGGGTGAAGGATCCGTATGCGATTGAATCCGACGACGATGAAGCGGACTATTCAACGTCCCTTCCGAATGGTGGAAGAGCAGGGCAAGAGCCACAGGAGGAGTCCCTCGCAGATTTCCTTCGAAATTCAGAGCCTCCTTCTGGAAACGCACCTCCGCTTCTCAATGGCAACTCAATTAGCTCGAGACACACAAATGTCTCTGCGGCTGGCGGGTATAGTGCGTCTCTTTCGTCCAGTGCTCCTCGATCCGCAATGATCAAGTCTGGGCTGTCTTCTTCCGGTGCCACTCAGCGGGCTAAGTTCGAGGCGCGCGCGGCAGGCGCAACGCGCAATGGCTTTGGTGGAAATGGATTCTACTACAGCACCAACGACATGGCTGATTTCTTGCGAAGCTCTGGACCTGTTGAAAATGTTACCACGCAGCAGGTTACGCTTCAAAAGAAGCCGTCCAAGAGGGGTGTTTCGTAAGTTACTATCTTCGACGACATGGAGATTTGTCTGACAACAACCACCAGAAGCCTGATTTCAAGATAAGCTGGACAGGCAGGCAGTTCTTTTCACCCTTGTTGGATGCATATCCAACCCACACAATGCACGCGTAACGTTTCACAGTGCGACTTCGGCCTTATTGTTCAGGGAAGCAACACGCGCTCCGTGGCTTCGAAGCAAGCGTCGGAGTCTGCCAGACCTCAGATACCCATTTTCTCACTTTTACAAGACGGAGGAACAAAAACATACCTGCTCGCTGCGTCCATAATATTTCCTTATGTCATTTTAGGCAATTGGAGGGTTTTTTTTTTAATTCTTTGCGCATCTATTGCTTTCGAAAGGGTACCACAGAGATGAATGGGACCTGCCGTATCTGCATGAAGTGAAACTACATTATTTACGCCTCGAAGGTTATTCACGACCGTCCGGAAAGAAGCTTCGATTCAACTTGAAAAGGGACGCTTTGGGCTCAGCGCATTTGTTTCATTGTAATCAACAAGTTTTCAAGATTGTACAGCTATGGCTCCATTTCGGACCTCGCAAGGAGGCCTGCCTGCTTTACATGGTGGACTCGGATGCATTTCTGTCTATTCCCGTCCTACAACTGTATGCTAGATACTAATTTGAGGCCTAATTGCGAGATCTACAGAGACTCACACGTCACTTTAGCAACCTTCACACGAGATCGGATGAGACAAATTTTGCTCTTTACTAAAGGAAAACGTATAAGCACGCCTTGTGGAGCTGGATCATCTCACCGGTTTTGCATTCTAGGCAGTCAAGCTCCGGTGAGCCAGTTCAGGTGCCTGCGGCTGCTATAGTGCACATATAAGTGATCTGGCAGCGTGGTTGGTGTATTGTGTTTCGTAAGACGGGTTTTGTTTGCTTCCAACCTCAGGGAACCGCGAACGTCGCAAAATACGACACCTATTAATCAAACTAGTGACCGCAGCAACACTGAGCCTGGCCTCGAACGATGTCGAGCAGGAAAAATGAGCCGCTCACGACGCAGCCTTGCGAGGCAGCGGCCGCGGTCGTGTACATAGATATATGTATGCCCTTTGCCTCGCTGATGGACCGCGCTCCGCCCCAGCGCCTGCAGAAAACAAAAATCGAACCCCCTTTGATCGTACTCGTACTCTTCCTCTGAAGTCCCGAGGGACGGAACGGGACACATCAGCAGCTTCGTGAACGCGTCCAACCTCTCCACTCTTCCACCGAACCGGCCGCCGACCGCGAGACCGAGACCGAGACCGAGGAGATCAACCACCGAGTGTCTCGAAGGAATTTCTTCGACCCTTCATCGCACCGTCCCTCACGCCCTGCCAGAGCCGAGGCGAGGAAAAAAAAAGGACAAGATGCGAGCCTTCCTGGTGCTCGCTTACGCAGCTCTCAGCGCCGCGCCCCTCGTCTCGGCACAGGGCCCGGACGGTCCCAGAGCAACCGTCACACCTGACACGTCGGTGCCGCTGGCGGCCTCGACGACGGCGCTAAGCGCAAGCCCGCCTTCCTCCTCGGTCGTCTTCGCTTCCGCGTCCGCGACGGCGAGTCGCGCAAGCGGTGCTGGCCTGGCGCTCAACCAAAACGTGCCTGCCGGAGTTGCGGGCCTGATTGGGATTGCGGTTTTCGCATTATAACGCAAGCGTTTGCCGTTGCCTTTGTCGTCGTCATCATCATCGTCGTCGTCGTCTGTGCGGGGGAGTGTGCCTGTCTTACCTACAGTTCCTAGATAGAGACAAGTTGCTTTGGAACCCACGATTGCAAGCTTCGAGTTCCTATTCTTCTTTCGCCCCTCCTTGCCCTATGCTCTTCTTCTGAAAAACCCCGACAATTTCATCCCGTGCATTTCGAATGAATCGTGCATTTGTTCAAGTTTCTCACCTTCCTTCATTTCCTGCTGCTAAAGTACGGGCAAAGGGCTCATCGAATACGTAGTGCCGACCGGCTACGCTATGAATGAATCTTCAAGAAAAGTGAAACTACATTGCCTCCCGCAGACTGCCTACTTTAATCTACCTATGGAGGTTAGGTGTAAGCACATGTTTCGTAGGAGCGCATTTTCGCTATTGGCATATTCGTTTGAAAAGTGGCAGAGGGTAACAAGTACTAATACAAACTCCCAATTCCACGCCCAGAGTACACATGGGCCCCTTACACCCTTTGGGATTCCATTTACAGTACGATCCTGAGCTCATGCCTTGTACAGCCGACTTCGTCCAGGTTTGGATAATATGGTACCATAGCATCTGCACTTTGGACATAGGCCTCATTGTAGAGTCGCCATCCGGGTGTGCGCACTTTTCTCGCTGGATGGAAAAGCATGCCCACGAAGTAGTTCATCACAAGTCCGGTGCCCACGGCATTGCGAATAGCATCGATACCCTCGATTATTCTATCGATGACATGTGGGGATGTTTCGAAGAGGTTCGGTACGAGCAGATTAAGAAGATGCAACATGGCATCTTCGCAGCCAAGTCCGACGACACCTAGCGCCAAATGCTTAACAACGGAAGCTGCAGTCTGGCGATGCACTTGATCCCGGTCGATGAGAGCGTCCTCAAGAAGCGGTGTGACGGCGTAGACATAGTCTTTCGACATTTCTCCAATGTACTCGAAAACGAACGTCAGGGCTTTGAGCACGCCGTTCTGAACATTGAGTTCGGGGACACGATACTCAGACATGAGGGACGGGATGACGGTGAAAGGTTGGCACGTTTCGGCGACAATGCCAATAGCGACGGCAGTACAGACACGAGACTGACGTTCTGAGACACGAAGATTGTTCTATAATGGTTGTTAGTCTTCTTGATATTTATTTGGAAATGTGTAGCGCTACGTACCAGGAGCGTTGCTAAGACATCAGAGGGACCAATCGCCTTTGCGATGAACCCAAAGGTGTTGTTAGCCGCGCGTCGAATGCCCTTCTTGTGTGCCTTCAACATGTCAAGCAACTCGAAGCAAATTCTCATCCACTCCCTGGATGGAACAGACTCAGCGCCGCGATCGGCGATACGACCGACCAAATCAATCGTATTTTCCTGCACTTTCTCATGTCGGTTTCGAAGAATAGGTGTAAGGCGTGGTAGCAGATCTCGAACTGGTGGTTGCATAGTCTCCAGACCAACGACCGTGACAATAGCCCGAAGAGCGCCAAGAATTGAACCAAGAACCTCTGGGTACTCTTCGCCGAGATACTCGTAGAGTACGGAGCCGATCTTGGTGAGAAGCGGGCCCTCTTCGCACTGTTGAATTACCACCGCTACTCGGGCAACTAGGTCAGCTGCCTGCTGGCGTACTGAAGGGCTCTTGTGATTGAGCCGCCACAAGATTGTGGACACTATCTGCGGAAGGTATTGCTTGGTTCGTGTACCTAAGCTGTTGACAATAGTGCCGAAGCCGTTGAGAAGGATAACGTCCTCGACGCTTTGTTCTTGGAAAGCGTAAAGAAGACCGTCAATAAGGCGCTCTTCAAGTCGCTCGCTGATATCAGCGGCTCCGAGAGAGCTGATCAGCTTCTCAATTGTCTCGAGTGACATTTTTCTGTATGCTTCAGAGTCATCCTTGAGATTGACTACAATGCGTTCAATGATCTCGCCAGCGCCGACCTTCTGTCCAATATCGACGGTTGTATCGACGACTTGACGATAATTACGTTTATCCAATGCCATTCTTCGCACCCAAAACGCCTTGAAGAAATCATCGCACACACGATTTAGTAGGTAGCTCTTTGTCACGCCGTTTGTTGATGCAGCCTGGGATAACACCTTAAGGACTACCTTTTTCATCTCTTCGTCAGGTGAGCCAAACTCTCGAAGCAGAATCTCCATGATCTGTTCCGTATAATAGTTTGCATATTCCTCGTCCATAAGTGGGATAATGTAGCCAACAGCTTTCAAAAAGGCTGCAAGGCCTTTCCCTCGAGATTTCCGTGCTCCAATCCAAAGAGGGCTCAGGATATTGTCGAAACTCTCGATGCCGTAGGGCGCAGCGGCTTCGGCCAGTGCTGCAATGGATAAAGCAGTTTGTGTCTTAACTTTGATCTGTTCATCCTGCAAATTCTCGCCAATGCAGTCAACTAAGCCTTGCAAGTGAGGCAAAATGGCGCAGCCCATCTGAATAGCAATTTGCTGAACGATCTTGACGCCAGTGTGACGAGCCTGCCAGGACTTCTTTGACCTGCAGACAGCACGTAAAAATGGAAGAAGAGAGGGAATTCCGAGGGCGGAGGCAACAACAGCAAACGCACGAGCCGTGGTGTTTCGCACGTATTCATCTGAGTGATCAATATCTGGTCTCATGGTTGCAATCATGTGTGCGAGACCTGCGGCCTTGGCGAGGTTGGAGATGATTTCTCGACCTTCAACCCGCGCATAGTAGTCTTGGTCAATGAGCAGAGGCTCAATAACGACCAAGATCTTATGCGTGTATGGTCGAACTAGGTCATCAAGCTTATAAAGAATACGATCAATGACCTTGACAAGTAAATGCCGCTCCTGGTCCTCAAGGGTTTTTTCCATCAATAAAGGCAGAATCTCGCTGAAAAGAGCACCAGCGCCAAAAGCGCGAGCGTTGTCCGTAAGTTGACGCAAGGCAGTCTTACGCATAGGGGGCGTGCCGTTTTTGACCTTGAGAATCAGTCGCTTAATCTTTCTCTTTTTCAATTCTTCCACGGTAAGCTCGTCATCGTTCGTAGCATCAAAAAGATCAGCAAAGTATTGCTTATCCTCCTCCTTAAAAAAGGCAAGCTCGCCAACACCAGCAATATCTGTTGGCAGCTCCTTTCCCATCATGTTAGCGCGGACAGCCTCCTGTTGCATGAATCCTCCGAGGACCGAAGAGCTCTGTGCAACACGACGAGGTCCGACAGTGTATCGATATCCCGCTGGAGGCTCTACAATCTTGTAGCCTTCTGCTTCACCCGGTAGAATCATATCCAACTCCTCATCTGACCAGGAAGAGTTACGTCCAATATCGGTACCGAAAGCAACCGGCTGTGGTGCTGTGCCTGTCGGTGCGCCAAGCACATCCCATCTTGAAGAGGGTGCGGGGGCAGCGTTTGGATCTTGAACGAGATCCCATCGTGACCGTGACTTCTTTGGCTCTGGTTGGGTCGCCTCTTCTTTGGAATGCCCGTTGGTGGCTGCTTGACCATTTGCATCATCAACAGCATCGCCCCATCTGCTCTTCCGCTTTCGCTTAGTAGGAACCTCTGTGCTATCGCCGTTCGTGAGAGTTGGCTTGTGCTCCTCCACTTTTACATCGCCATCGCCATTTGCTTCCTTCTCAGCAATGAGTTTGGCAACGCGTTCTTCTTCGCGCTCTAAATCACGCATTTCCATGCGTTGTTTGTAAGTAGCGTCCTCACCCTCTTGAGTTCGATCAAAGGCCCGCTTCTGATAATCTGACATACGCGAGACGATTTGAGCTTGTTTTGCTCGATCCTCGATCATGTCAACTTCGCCATGAGCGAACTCGTTCATGATCTCCTTACTGGCTGTATAGTTGCCAACGAGCTTTCGGCCATTCATCTCAGCGTCTTCCATCTCGTCATCTCCATTATCCACCACTGCGATGGAGGTATTGTAGCCTGCAAATCGATCGTTGCCATTATCGTACAGTTCTTTATCGAATGCTTCTGTGAGAGGGGCTTTCGACCCATCCTTGCGTTGGGTATCTAGACCATTCTTGCCGCCCTTCTTTGCAGCTGCAAGAGCGTTACGTTCCTGCTGCAGCTTCTTAATCTGCGCAAACTCGGCTGGCTCTTTATGAGTGTGAAATCTTGGTGATACATGTGAGATGGACTTACCATCGGACATCTTGTTGAATCCTGTTGATAGCGAGAACGGTCAGTAAGGTCTTGTACTCGAAATGATGGGACGATCAAGATAACTGCGCTGTTGCACGCTTTTTCTGATCAACTGTTTCGAGGGCAAAATCTGTTACTCTCTCGTCGCTGGTATTCGAGCGGTTGGTAGCTGTCGCTTCGGAGAACGAGAAGATTTCTCGACTTCAAGATGTGTTATCACAATGAGAACCTACTTTGGCACCTCACGCAGGTCTCCTTCAACGGCTTTTTAGTCCTCGCGCCTCCTCGGCGCTCGCCTCATAGATGCAGAGTAGAGTTGAACGAGGTTGGATCACACTGTGGCAATGATGTCCGTGATACGTAAAATGGGAGATGTTAGTCGTTCGCGTTGTCGCGGGCCAAGAGGCGCATCGCAAGCAGGAACTTTAGGTTTAGTCACCTTCCGCAGTTAACTTATATGTCTTGGCACGCATCTGAGCACGTGATTGCCACTTCGCCTTAATAAAATCTTCAGAATCTTCAGCTTAGTTAACCTTTGTGGACAATACAATACAAAAGAATTATATCCTATTTGTAAGTTGCAGTGCGTAGGCAATCGGATTTAAGAATTGCGAGGAAGAATCGTTAGTTTAATCCTTGTGAGCTGAACTCTACAGAAGACCAAGTCTAGATTGGCTATCACTTTATCGTCGTCAATCACTATGATTTCGCCGCCATGCAAGCCGCTTTTTCACACCTCATCTCCGGACCACTTCCTTTGCAATAGCATTCGCCAATTCCACCCGAATACCAGCTCCTGTGAGCACATGGATCCATAATCTTTGTGTATCACTCAGCCGATCGTTCGCACTCTTCACCTCAGCAAACTTGATCTCTCTTCTTTCTGTATGCCAAAGGAACAGATCCGGCATTCCGCCACTACGTTGTCCATATTCCTGCGCGAGCACTTTGCATATAAGAGCCAATGCATCACCGGGAAACAGCTCCGTTATCTCCAAAAGATCGTTAAGAGGGTAAGTCCAATCCAGTCCAATGACACATGTCTGACGAGCATGGTGTTCGTCCCAAACGCGGCGGATGAGACTGGGTGCTTCGCCATTCGATATTTGGAGGAGCCGCTGATTGATTTCGCTAAGTCGTGTGGGATAGAATGCATCTGTATGGAGGTCTAAAGGACATGTTTGGAACTGTGTCTGGAAGACGTTGGGGATATAGGTGAAGAGTACGTCGTAGAATAGATACGCGAAAAGCGTTCGTGCAAGACGTCCCTCGCAGTGATAGCCTTTCCACCCCTTTGATCGATAGTATGAAAGGCACATTGCTTCAACTGAACATTCGCCGTTGTCTTCTAAGGGATCGAGCCAGATTGTCTTCGTTCCTCGCCCAGCAGCTTTTCCCGCATGGGGGGAGCTGTTTCTTCTATTTTTGACCAGTCCATCGAGATCTCTTTCAACACGGATACCCTCGATATTGACTTCCTTGGCTGTTGCTAGCCGGACGTGCGAGAATGTGTGCTGCTCACGCTTGGGTATCTTCAAGCTCTTCTCGAGCTTCGTTACACGCTTCTGTAGATCATAGTGATAGATCAGATGTACGAGAGGATCCTGTAGGCCTTCCTCGCATGTTTGTAGTGCAATTCTCTTCGAATATCGCTTGTGTGAATCCTCACTCCGCCTCTCTCTTGGTATCCAGCTGTGCATGTAATGTTCTTCGAGTAGAGCTTTACGCTGATACCAAGCACCCCGCCTAGCGTGATGAAATAATCGCTGCTCTAGAAGCTCGCTCAGCAATCGGTGTTCTTCTTCATGCTCTTTTCTTCGCCCTAGTATCTCACTCGCTTTGTGTAATATTCGAGTATAAACCCAAGCAGGAGAGAGCCGACGTAGATAGGCACCCTCGCCGCTCTGATACATACTATTTTCCTTCTGTTGCTCCTCTTCGAGTAGTGCCCTCCATCGTGGATAGATCACTTTGTACGTGTCCAAGATCCAGTCCAGATCTTCTTTGGTAGGCGGGCCATTATATTCAAGAATGTTGTCCACTTTGAATTGTGTCCGGAGAGCTGCTTCGTACTCAAGGAGCAGTCCTCTTGATCCGAAAATGCTAGCTGATCTTGAAACTATGTACTCCGGGAAATTCCATCGTGTAATTTTCGCAAGAATAATAGCCGTAAGGGACTTATCCGTCCACTCCGTTGAGCGATAAAAAACAAGATGAACCCTTTCGAAGAGTTTCAGAGGTGCAAGACTAAGTCTAATACAAGGTCCAGTCTCAATTAAGATTTTCCTCGTGAAATGGATATCTCTGTTTCGATCGTCATCCTCATTTTCGTATGAAGATGGTGTCACTGAGCCACTGCGGGGGGGTTGATCTCCCGACGAATGGCTCGAAGCTGTCGTATCTACCCTCTTCAAGCTTGCCATCAATCCTACTTGTTGCCGACTGGTCTTGTGTAGCGCGTGCAAGAGCTCTTTTTTGTTTTTGCCCTGAATTTTAGCATCCCTGGCCAACATCTTCAGCTCGTCTAGCCTTAACAGTGACGAGGCCTCCTCCAGCGAGGAAATCGATTTCGAATGATCTGCGAAAGTAAAGCTTTGTGCAAGCGCCGTACCATCAGGTGGTTCCAATTTCCCAGGATAGCTCTCTGGATGTGAGGATGAGGAGGGCAACTGTCGGCGCCTCTGCAGCTCCTCAATTGCAGCATCGAGATTTCCAATGTCGCTATGATATCCTAATCCATTGATCCTATGCCACGCCGAAGTCTTCCTTAAAAAAAGTCTAACATATAGATACTGCGCTTCATAACTTAGTGCTTTCCAGTGCTGAAAAAGTCCTTTCTCTGCATCATTGAACAAGTGCTCCTCATCTTTCAATACAGTATCTAGAATGAGATTAAAGGCGTCCACATAAATTGAGTTCTTTCCTTTCGCCCAAGTTCTACTCGCCAGGCGTTCTTCTGTAGTAGCATGTGCATTCGAGTCCTCATCAGCAGCGCGCCATTTTTCGTATTCATCGATGGCCTCTTGATCTGTCGGGATAGGCGGCAACACAATCTCCAGATCTGTTTTTTGGGCATCTACAGATTCCACCTCGTCGATATGCTTGACGTCTTCAATGCTAGCTCTTTCCAACTGTAATGACGACAGGTGCCCTTGTGTTTTGTCCTGTGTGGCATTGCTGCGCTTCACCCTCTTCACCGGTCGAGTCGAACTCTCATCATTTGGCTCATTAAAATGGGTCGTTATGGGCCGTGCAATGCGCTGGCTTGACATTTGCTTATATTTTGAAGGACTACGAGGATCTAAGGTTATAGTTGAAGCTTCTGCGTGGCCATTTGAAGTCGGCAAGGATCCAGGGAAAGAGGACGAGTTCGACACGAAATTGACGCGTCCATGCATGAAGTCACGCTCAATTGAGAACAAATCCCAGCACGCAGGCAAGTGGTAAATCACACAGCATGTGTATGCGCACAAGTACTTGTATTCAAAAGCTTATAATTATTTTCATTCGTGCTTCCTGATTTTGTTGCATTTTCTTTCCCACACTTATGGGTAAATCGTCCCTCACCGTTATGCCTCTCCAGTTGCGATGAATGGAGTGTATCAGTCTCGCCAATGGAAAACGAAAAGATTGCTAAGAGGAACGCCACAGCTCGATAATATACACGGCTTCAACTATACCACTGAGCCTGCCTAACCGGTACCAGATGGAAGCTCTTTTGACTCCTGTCAAGTAATACAAAACTGTTGAAGAGGAAAACGATGAGAAGAGGTAATTTTACTTACCACCCCCGCCAAATTTGAGTTTAAGTTTTAATTTTTGCTGGGGCGGGGGGATGTCTGAAGGTCTAGAGGATGGTGTTTCAGTGTTCGGTGCAGGAATAGATGAAAGTGGTGGTGGAGGTGGTGCCGTTTCCATCTTCATATGAGTAGTACCATTCGTCTGTGGAAGGGCAGATGCTCGTGAGGCAAGTGGTTCGTCATCGTCGTCATCATCATCGTCTGCATACGGCGGCACTTTTGGTACGGCGCTAGATTTCTCTAGTGTTGTACCCTTGACAATTGACGCGTATTCTTTCTTCTTGTTTTTGAACTTGAGCACCACACGCTTCTGCTTCAACACAGATTTCGTAGCGAGCTTTGGAGCAGGAGATACCCACGAGTTTGCTGAAGACGCGGAAACCTTTTTCACTACAGCTGGCGAAGGCTTCTTCTTCACAGAAACAGGGGACGTTGATTTTATCGGAGCATGTGGCGCCGGTGATTCGTTCTGTGAAGGTTGGATTTGCTTCGGTATGGCTGTGATGGCTGACTGAGACGAACCAGGGGATGGAAGTACTGGAGGTGCTTGGAGAGCTGGCGTTGTTGGGATTGGAGTAGGATTACTTCGTCCGAGGGATATCTTGAGTGGCAAACCAGATTTTCTGCGCTTCGCATCTGGCGATTCTGACCGCTCGTCCGAGGTTTTCTTGCGTTTGAGATCAGGCCGGATATTCTGCGGTTTGAAGCGGAATTTGTCGCTTCGATAGAAACGAATTTTGCCATCGCCGAGGTTTTGGATACGCCAATAACGTGGGTAATGGAGAGTGACAGGTAGATAGTCCTTCGTCTTGTAGAGGTGCGCGCAAAGATCAAGCAGCTCAGAGAAATCCTTTAAACCAATTATGGGTGATCTAAGAGAAAAGTGAGTGAGTGAAATCATTCGGGTCCGAAAATGTCTTGACGAACCTCAGCGCATCCATGATGGCTCTCTCCAAGGTTTTATTCTGTTCAAGTTGCACTGCCATCCACTTGAGAGCACCTTCCAAGGTAGATCTTTCCATGGCTTCGTTTCGACTTGCCAGCATAGTTTCACCAGTGTCAATTGTAAAACCATTCATATCTGCGTCTCCGTCTTGCTGACGGTCGATTTTTGTCTCGCCAAGAGCAATGGACGCAAGGCCTCGGTGTATTCGGCGCCACAAACGATCGCGAAAGTATGAGGATGGTTCATTTGCAAGTGAAGAGAAGATATATCGAATGAATGAATCGTTCGCCATCATACCAAGACTGATCAGGTGGTCAAATGCCTCAAGACGTACTTCATCATGGTTGCCTGGACGAGTATACGGTAGAAAGGAGGCAGTGCGTTTTGGTATAATGCGCAACAGCATTAAATCAACCAACCCGCGAAGCGCTGCTCGAGTGTGGACATTACGATATGAGGGTATCCATTCATCGATACGCCTCATCCTTTCGATCTCACCAAGAGCTTCACGCTTCAAGCGAGCCTCGGCCGCTTGTTCTGCAAGATCGGTGTCCATTTGGAATTGGAATGAATTGTACGACGATGAAAGGGCTCGCGTAAGTCCAGAGATGAGGTAGGCGACGTAATATGAGTCCGAATACTATCAGTCGTGAGTGTAAGTTGCAACGTGCATAGCGAGATATCATGCTTACCTGGTTGCTGGAATTATCGTTGAATTTCAGCGTGTCGAGAAAGAATTGCTTAACTCGCTTTGGTGCCTTTCCCCTGTCGTCGCGTATGACTGACATTGCTTGAACAATTGCGCATCGAATGCGATAAAGCCTCAAATCAGAGAAGTCGTTTGGTTTGGTCATTCCAGCATTACCCTCATAACAAAACAACGTCTTGAAAGCCTTTTCTAGGTGAAAGAACCCAATATAATCAAGCTGGCTGATCGCACAACCCACCAGAGCTTCAGCAGCCTTAACTCTCACACCGTAGAAATATCGGCTGTCCATGAGTGTGCGCAGGAAGACTGATGACAACAACCTTGAAGGTGTTAGGGCCATGAGACGTTGAATAGCCTCAAGATGTGCTACAACGTCGTTGTCGCCTTGGAGTTGCATGATATACATGAGTTCGAGCTCACCCGGCGTACCCCCTGGATGAAAGCTGATATTTGCGATCCACTCAAAATCTTTGTCAACTCTTATCCACTCATATGACGCATTTGCAAGGATATTCTCTTGGTCCTCGCTCAAAGTTTCGAGCTGCCACTCAGCTGCCTCTTCCGGCTTCATGAGAACATCACCGAGTGAGTATGTTGGCACGTAGTCGTCTCCGTCTTCAGCAACATGTGCGTGGCCTTCAACGGCGGCTTCTTTCAGTCTCTGACGTCGTTTTCGAAGCTGATTCTTGTTCTTTGAGTTATAATGGAATTCGACTTTGGTTTCACCATCACGAACTTCAACGATTTGCTCGTATGGCAGGCCGCTGGGCTCGTGTACACGAATCGTCATTGGTCCTGTGAATGAATCTTGCAACTGGCCAGCATATATCTCATGCTCCATTTCTTTCACTTCCCGAAAGAAGTTGCCAGCAGACAGAGGTTGAGGTTGCAAGGCGAGTACATCCAATTTCTGCGTTTGTTTGATGGTGATAGCAACGCTAAACTTTTTTTTCTGGAACGCTTGAGAAACCAGAAAACTAGGTACTCCAGAACCGTAGACCCACTGATCAAAGAAGCTTTGGACCTTTGCATGCGCAACCTTCTCAGTCGTGTAAATGAAGCGGTCAGTCCATATCTCATTGGACCCCAACCGCCCAGATCGTGCGTCAGATAACATCCTCGTCAATATTCGAACGACACCAACAGCACTACTCTGCTTCACCAATCTTTGATGAAGCAGATAGAGTATGAGAGGCGCTTTCAATTCGAGGAAATCAAGCTCGGCAGGGTCGAGAGAAACAGCATTTCCACACTCATAGATAGACGGCATGTGCTTATCCTTATCCTTGACGGCATCTGCGGCAAGCTTTTGCCGATATCGTAGTTCGTTTCGACCCCAAAGACCCGCCATGAAGTTCTCAGCCATGAAGTAAGACGCGCCTACTATAATCCAATAGTCTGAACTTGCTTTCGGAGTGATAAAGACACCGATCCACTGACTTGCGGCAGCGCGAATCAAGATTCTCGAATTCTCCCACACACTGTCGAGTATAGTTTCAGGATATAAAAGACGCGAGCTACATAGCGAAAGTGTTGCTGTGTCTATTACGTCCTGAGCTAGATCGTCCACGAAACACATCTTGTACGTCTGACATTCGGGGGCGAATGGGTAGGATATGTATGACTGCATGAAGCTATCGATAGCCATTTGGAGAGGTAAGCAAGTGTTGCGCAGTTCATCAGCTCGGCCAGGCATGCAGTAGCCACGAACCCCTACGGCATGGTCCTTAAGTTGGTCCTCTTTGCCGCTCTCGCGAAATTCAGAAAAGTCCACCTCCTCAAAGGGTCCAATTGCGAAGCCGATGTGTACAGGCGCAACAGGTACCGAACACTGAAAGACCCATTTTCTTCGCCGCTCGCTAAATTTGCATGGAGCATCGTTGTCTTCAAGCAAACCAGAACCAACCACAATGATGTCTCTATTGCGCTCCTCGTTTGTGAGCCCCCGAGCAAATTCATCCTCGTTTGCGTTGATATTCATGGTTTGATCATGTCCGTTCGCGCCATTCGTTCGCGGGTCACCCTTAGTGCGTTGCGGCTTCCAAAAAAGATCTCCTAAAGTTCGTGGGCAACACACGCTCAATCTCCAGGAATATTTCGAACTAGGCGAGCCAAGGTAAGGAAAAACAAAGCACGGGAGCGAGCCCGGTAATGATGATGCACATGTATACACATGAGGATACCGTGAGTCACCATCTCGTAGTCCTATCCACTGTAGACTGTCTCTTGAATTCTCGATTGTGTATTCGACCACGATCGTGATGGGAACGAACATGGTATCCCCTTCTTCCAAATTGTTTGCCAGAGCTGACTCTAGGACGGCATCAAGGGCTGCACTGTGTGCGGATGTGATTTCGTTTGCATTCAAAGTATTAACTTTGATTTGCTTCGGAAATTGAATAGAAAGATTGGGATCAGGCTGTTCTTTCACAGCATCCTCGATATTTTCTCGCATCTGGTGATGCTGATGAACGGTATATCCATCCCTAACGTTCAAACCATCATACGGATCGCGGTATGTAGGTAGTTTGACAGGATGGCCATCGACAAAAACTTTGGTAACCTTTAGGGATCGACATGTTAACGAGACTGACGTAAGCTCCTTCGACTGAGGCTCTATGATGATGCTCGTGCGCCCAATCAGTACCCGCGACTTGAAGTCGATGTCGAGTTCCACCTCCTGCTGCGTAACTGTGTAAAGAGCTTCGGAGCTCTCCTGCTGCGGTTGCTGGGCCTGCACGCCAACCTCATCTACTGTGACGGGCATTTTGCTCCTGCGGTCAGCTACCGCGCAGTCCGTGGGTATTTGTGTGCGCAGGCCACCATTTCCAGTGACAGGAAGTTGGGACTGGGTGATAAAAGGTCGGAGGAATGCGAGAAATCGTGAGGGATCAACTCCTAGGTCGCGTGATTGCTACAGCGTGACGGTGAAGTTAATCTCAAATATCTCTGAATATTACGAGGCTTTCGTGAGGTTCGTCGCAATACTATTGAACGAGTATCTGTCGCCTTCGCTGACAATGTAGAGTCGCAGGATGCGCTCACGCTGTCATGATACATTGCAGCCTTGTTGCCTCAGCATCAAGGACACAATTGGGATGTGCCCATGCGAGCATACGGCAGTTTATTCACATGTACAACGAATGCTATATGATCGAGTGAATTGAATTGCTGTGAAATTCACCTTTTTTTACTAAATATTCACTCTCCTTTGAAATGAGGGTGATCGCTTCTGTATCCTCCGGTGCTCGTATGCTATTCCTACACAAAGTTCATGCCGTACTGCTCTCTCTCCTAGCAATTAGCCAGATATCTGCGCTCGTATCGGTTTAACTCCCAGACAAACTTTTATTCTGTAGTAGTTTGCAGGGGTTTAATATAATGCCGGTTCTTGGCCTGCTCGTCCTTTATCACGTCGTGAGTTTTCGTCGAGAAGTCCATAGACTTCGGCGGATTCAGTTGGAGCACCGATAGTAGTCGTTGCGGTGTGCCTTCCTTGTATCATTGAAATACCGTTTCTTTCATTTGCCCGACTTTATCATCTTGTTTTTCTTCTCTCGTCGCCGCAGTCGCTCGACCCGTTTCCGATGCATCTTCTCGGCCAACTTCTCGTACCGCTCTTTTTCAGCCTTAGCCGCTCTTCGATCTTTGATACCTTGTATCCAGCGCTGCATTGATAGAGTTAGTGAAAGCTTAAAGACCATCAAAGCTCTCAAACTCACTTGTCTGCTTGCCTCCTTCTCTTCCTTCATTTCCTTCTCCTTGGCCTTCATAGCCTCAAGAGCTTTTCGTTTTTCGGCGCGTTGCTCATAAGAGGTTAACCCTGCTGTTGGTCTAAAGGCTTTCTTGTTTTCGTGCCATTGTTTGCCTTGAAGAATCTGTAAGCGTCTAGAAAACCGCGTAAGCAAACGTCTCATACCATTTTTGCGCATTCCCTGGACAGAAACACATGAGGAACTCGAGGTTTCGGTAGTCATGGCTAAAATTCACCAATAATGATGCACGACAGCGAAAATCAGGAAATGGTACACGAAAAGCAAGCGCGATGAGTTGTGCTCACAAGTGAGGAAAATTACAGGCTTTAGATAAGATCGATCAGATAAATGATCAGACCCCTACCAACCGCTTCGGAATGGCAAAACTTTTGGAGCCATCGAACACAAAAAATCCTGCACGCCCTGCAAAAAGTTCTGAGCTACTTAAGCGTACATCGACACCGGCACGATGAGCTGACAAGTTTCTTCGTTTATTTAGCTGCGCACATCTCTCGCCTGTGCTCCACATTGGTCCCCGAGTTCGGCCGACAAAGATCACATATACAATGCGTGTGGTCTAAAGCTACACCGTCACCGCTTCCCACGACCCCATATTCGTGTGTGAATTGTGAACCTTGATGGAAATTACCCAGGTTCCTTCTGGAGCTATTGATCAAAGAGTGCAAGATGCGTATCTCATGGACGAGGTGACGTCGGCAGGAAAACTGCAAGAGCAAGGCCTCGAGGCGATAAAAGATATTGTCTACGGTTCTACTGCCGGCATAGTGGGCAAATTCATAGAGTATCCATTCGACACAGTCAAAGTTCGGCTACAGGCGCAGCCGGATGGCTTACCTCTGAGGTATTCGGGTCCACTAGACTGCTTCAAACAGTCTTTCCGTCAAGATGGATTTGCCGGCTTGTACAGAGGTATTAGTGCCCCACTTGTTGGTGCTGCTGTAGAGACGAGTAGTCTATTCTTCAGTGTACGTTTTCTTCACCTTATTTGTCTCCGGGTACGCTAATTCCCAATAGTATCGTCTTGCTCAAGATGCTCTACAAGCCACAATATTGCCAAAGGTAGAACCTCTTCCTTTGTCCGCCCTAATTGTTTGTGGAGCAGCCTCTGGTGCCTTCACTTCCATTCTCCTCACACCTATCGAACTTGTAAAATGCAAGATGCAGGTCCCGGTAGATTCTGCATCCGGCATCACGAGATTACCCAGCGCAAGCGTCATTATATCCACTGTCTACCGACATCACGGTATCTTTGGCTTTTGGCACGGCCAGTTGGGTACTCTGATCCGCGAGACTGGTGGTTCGGCAGCCTGGTTTGGGAGTTACGAAGGCGTTAAAGCAACTCTCCGAAAATGGCGCGAACTAAGCCCAAGTGATTCACTCCCTGTCCAGGATCAGATGTTGGCTGGTGCAGCAGCTGGAATGAGCTACAATTTCTTATTCTACCCTGCTGATACCATCAAGAGTAGGATGCAAACAGAAGAGGTCAAAGAGATAGTGGCCGGGAATGGAAAGAGGACGTTTTGGGCGGTGGGAACTACCTTATGGAAGCAACATGGTTTGAAAGGATTGTATAGAGGATGTGGAATTACGGTGGGGAGAGCAGCACCGAGCTCTGCGTTCATTTTCACCATATACGAAGCACTGAGGAAAACATTTGGATAGCCAACGCTTGACGTCTTGCGACATTGCGTAACATAAGGCAGTTTGCCATCATCTATAATTAAAAAAAATTCATAGTTAGTGCTATATCTTCTGTTCCCTTGTTTTGAGATGTACTATGCGGTCGTTCGAATTTTCTTCGTATCCAAAATCGTTGCCATTTTGTATGAGGGTTGTGCGTGAACGAACCACTTGTTCGAGATTTCAAAGAAGTTGTTGCAATAGTTAAATTGCACCCTTCTCTCGTCGTTACAGAATGTCCAGATCCTGAAGCGTGGCCAGTTTGAATGTACGCCTATCAGCAGATTATTCTCAGGATATTGGTCATATACCCGGCACCAAACGACAGAAAGTGTTTGCGAGAACTTGGGCACAAGAACCAGTGTTATGTCTCCAGTTTAAGTCTCACAAAAATGGCTTGAAATAAGTAGCGACGAATTATCGGTCCTTTGAGAAAATTTCTTTTTCTAATTATCTTTAATGTGGTATTCAAGCATATCGGCAAAGATTTATCAGGCAGAGTACTCAATGCTAAGTGATTACTTATGGCAATTCGAAAAATTTGCTCTTAATGATGAAGCAAGTTGTGTTTCGGGCCAAATTCACAGCTTCATTACACTCTGAGCATTTTCTAATTACTTATAATTCTCCTACGCCATCATTATGCGTATATCTATGGTATCATCATGCACATCCACAAATATCGTCCTAAATGTAATCATCATGCTGAGTGATGAGGCATATCCAAACTCCGTTCATTGTGCGAAATCCACCATTCCGACGCAAATTTCGATCTAGAACCTCTCCAGCATGTTTTTCCGTACTGTCCACATCCTGGCACGTTTGCCATATATGTACATCGGAACCGATAGAAGTAGACACGCGAGTTGGATGCCACCAACGGCAATGAACACTTTCTTCGAACCGTCTGATTCAAGCCAGGAAGTAAAGAAGAGAGAGAAAACGAGGCCGTGAAAGATGTCTTCGCTGATCTATTAGCAGTTAATTCTTCTTTTAGGAAGCAACTTACTTTTCGAAAAGTTCAGTGTCACCAGTGCTTCGCCAGCATACTGCCGATATGAATCAACAGCGAATGTGATGGCAGTTGTGCTTCCCAGAGAGCATCCAAAACTAATAACACCGAAAAAAAATGTGGGCACGAACCACATGTCCCGCTCTGCCGCTGACCACCCAAAGCCCATCAAGCCTATTGTAGAGGTGATGGCAATGGGTATTGCCATGACTAATCTGAATTCCGGCTCGTAAACTCCATCATTGCGCCTCGCCATGAATCTCACAATAATGTCGGATATTCTACCAGCAACAGCCGTGCCCATTATACCGCCAACAAAAGGGCTCAAGTACACAAGACCAGTCTGGATGGAGTTAAAGTTATAGCTGTCACGATTTTTGTAGACCACCGAAACTGACTCAGAGAGCACAATCAGCCAACCCACAGAGAGAGAGTACACCATAGCAGACCAGAGTATTGAAGGGTACAAGAAGAGAACGAATGGGCGAACCGCAATTCGGAACCAGTTTTCATGACTAAGTCGTCCGTGGTATGGCTTCAGAGTATCCTTATATGTCTTCAAAGGTGCAGATCGGTAGTGCTCTGTATACTTAAGTCCAGCGGGGAGCGGTAGACCTTCTGACTCAATTTCGGACTTCTCATCGAATATCGAATGAATGGGCGTCTGCACTGGTTGTATTGGACCTCCAGACTCGGTTTCACCTTCTGGCATGCTCCTCTCAGCCGTTTCTACCATTGACGATCTACGGCTAGTTTTTCCAGTGGAGTGATTTGGATTAGCTGCCGGCAAGCTGACATGCTTGTCGACTTTATCTTTTCCACCGGTGTCGGCTAACACGTTTGCAGGGCTCAGGTTTATGGCCATTTCGTCGACAACAGAAGATTGCATCTTCGTCTGTGCCACGTTTTGTACTCCAGCTGCTGGTGACGCAAGATCGGATTGAGTAGCCATAGTGAAATAATCGGTGTGCTCTTTTGCTTTCTCTTCATACCAGGGAGAATTTAAGTTACGTAAATTGGGTGCAGCCTGCATGGCTGGCCCGGCTTGATCAACAACTTCCCAGTCTGCGGGCGATTGCCATGACGACAGAGGAGTACCAACCGTAGATTGTTGCTGAGGTGTAGGAACGGTTGATGCTGAGAAGTTCAGCTTAGACAAGCGTGAGCATTCAGGGATAGCAGCCACAGAATCCGACTCTGCGACATTCTCTTTATCGACTTGCGTGGAAGTTTGTTCGAATGCAACATGCTGCTCTCCTTTTCTTTTACTGTGAGGGGGGTGCATTTGCACTGCTAGGCTGCTGGGGTCGTCGGTGGTAGGGTCAGTGACCTGATGTCTTGCACTGAATCCAGACGCCGTGCGATGGAACAAATGTGGCAGATGCAGTTTCGAAAGAGAGCCATGACGATTATGTTGCCTTGCTCTTGGTGTTCGGTCCCAGAATGTTTCAGGTACAAAGAGAAAGAGCAGTACACCACCAAAGCCAAGAATCATGGCAACAATCCAAAATACCCATCGCCAGCCAAGTGTTTCAATGATTGCTGCACTAACCAATGGTATTAAGTTCTTGCCTCCTAGTAGAAGCAGCGTATAAATCCCTAGACGATATGCTCGCTCATGGAGAAAGAAGATCTCTGCAATCGTCGCTGATGGCAGACACTCGACCGGGCTGACTGCGATACCTTGAAATATCCTAGCCACAATCAAGGAAGCAAAATTTGGTGACAAGGCACACCATACTGAGCTTATGATGAACAGCACGCAGGAGGCCAGGTACACTGGCCTTTTGCCAAACTGAATGGCGGTGGGCGACATCACAACGGAACCTAATCCCAACCCCATCATGTACAAACCTGTGCTTAAGCTGACGCGTGAAACTGAGATACGGTAGGAGGTAGCGACCTGTTGGAATCCGGCCGCAAGCACTGGAGTCATGCCACCTCCCATCATGCAGTAGAAGCCAAGAGAGAGAAGAGCTGCGTTCCGACGCCAGATGGGCCAATTGAGGGGATCATTGCCGCTGTCGTCCGGTTGTGGTTCTAGAATCACGCCATTAGCAGTCTTCTTCTTCCGGTCTCTGGTTGGCGTGCGTGACCGGCTACGGAGACCAGGCGGATATGGCGACGGCAGGGAAGACGCTGAAGTGCGCGCTGGCGCGTGTTGTAGACCAAGCGGCTCATTACGCTTCGAAAATTTTGAGAGCAGCAACACAGATCCTGGGACTGTGTTAGACTAACATACGTTCTGTCAGCATTAACGAAAGATATACCAGGGACTTCATCCGTTTCTTTGTCTTGCAGGATCCCCAAACTCCATTTCGGTCGCTTTTGAATAGTGGTTCCCTCAGGATCATCTGTCGAAGCGGAATCATGAAGTCTCCCTTCTTTGTCGGAAGCGTTCTTGTTTCGTGAAAACGGACTCCATTTTGGCATGCTTCCAGGTTCTGTGGACGGGTGCTAAACGCTATTGAGACACAAAGACGCTATCAGTCTGTCATTCGTCACGGCTTGATAAAGCTTCTTCGCAAAACAGGACGTTCTTACAGCAAAGAAGTACAGCTGGACTATATTGACTCAATTCTTGGCGGGGCAAACAAGCAGTGAAGTGGACGAGGATGGCGATCTTTATGGGCGCTTCTGGCCTGGATGCACAATGACGTCTTCGTCTACGCCGTATACTAAGAGACAGCGAAAGAAAGGAGAAGGGTTAGACAGTCGGAAGCTGAGGACTAAGTTGAAGTTTCCCCAGTTGAAATGATAATGGGCGAGTATGGCATGCTTCGCCGCAGTCATATGAACCGCTGTCAGATGCTAGGACGACTGAACGTTGCACAAGCTGCGTCCACATCCAGTCCTGATCAGGCAGTTCGGGCCAGGGTCTGCGGCTTTTCTCCACCCAGGCTGTCATCACAATGCCTGCTGATCGCTACCCCATGACAGGACTCTCTCCTAGAACCTCCAAAAGCTTTGCGTGGAAACCTCTGCTGCACATCACACCGCACAGTCGGAAATGTTCTCCATGCGGTAACTTCCGACGTTAGCGTACTGTTCAGATGACCATCGTCGTCGTTGCTACCTGTCTGACTCGGCTCCGTGCAGAAACGCGGGTTCTCCCCGCCCTCTCACATGGACTTTCATAATGACATATGTCGTATCTCGCGCAAAACCCAAAAAAAAAACGCGAGGATTCCTCATCATCGCATGCATGATGCAAACGACGCTCCATAAGTGGACGTTTCATTCTGAGTTTGTAGAAGATAGCATCTCTCGTCCTCTCCATCCTTGCCCTACCGGTCCGAAGATCGAGCAGTAGATCACGACGAACTCGGTGTTCTTCGCGCCGTCAATAGTTATCCATGCAAAAAATAAGCCTGGAAGGTTGCTTGACGAAGCCTTGCCACAGGGAAAAGAGAGAACCTCCCCCGTGAAGGATCGAGACGCGGATCAAATGTCCATTCTTCCATCCGTTTAATCATACCATTCTACTGTTGTCTTAAGCGCACTAGAGGCTGCCCTGCGGCTGGAGTATGGAGAGTAAGACACTGATTGTGGTCCAAATCAGCAGATGCACCGATATTCGAAAATTTCAATGACTATGGTGGTTCAAATTAGGCGAACGTTTGCTCTGTTCACGCACTCTATTCTCTGTAGGCCTATCGTTTATCTCCGACATTGGAGTCCTAAGCCGCACGTTGCTGAGTGATTTCATGTTCAGTATCTATAGTCGTAAAGTGAGGAGCTCGTTTGGACGCTACTGAGGGTGAAAGTTTATTTGTGTTGTTTGCTCTGGGCCTCGTCTACCGCTTGTCCACATTATCTCTGTGATAACTACTGACTTCCTTATCATCGTGTTTGATCCCGCTCTGTTATCTTTCATCCGAAATACTTCTATAGTTGATCGACGACTTGAATCCGTGATGTCAATCCTCATCTCTGCTTTCCAGGCACCTCGAAGTTATAGCAAGTCCACCGAACTGTGGTAAGACAGTCTGATGAACAAATTGTACAGTTTGGGACCTCATCGCGAGTACTCATGGCGTGACATGAACCTTGATACTCTCGTCCTTCCTAGAGTCGCTATGTAGTGCAAATCTCTGCGCAGATATCTTTTAGGCTAGTGCGAACTAATACTAATACGCTAAGTGCCGCACAGTAGTTCCCAAGTACTTTGATCATATTTGTAGCCAACCACAGCGAGGTTTTCTCGAATTCCGAACGATTCGGATGCATATATGTTAGTGCACTGTAATCTGGCAGGTTCGATTTTGCCAGCGAAGTTGACTGGTCATTTGGGTTTCATGAAATGGTGACAAACTTTGGCTGCTCAACACACGTAGACTGAGCTGAGATACTGTTGCAGCATAACGCCACCAGTTGCGTGGCTCTAATCAACTGGGTATGACGGATGGTCGTATTGTCAAGGACAACTTATGGCGACCATTTCCAGAGCTAGTCCTTCAGATTTTTCAACTGATAGCTCGTTCTGAGTCGAATATCTCCAGCGGAGTCTGGAGTAAATATCACAATTTCCTTGGACGACAAACTTTCCAAGAAAACCTTGTGGAAGGCAATCCTGAGAACGAGCACATAGATAGTGGATTTACCAAACAGCTTGCTTTCAGCTTCTTTCGCGGACAGGGAAATTCACGGCTCTTCGTCTTCACGTCAGAATAGTGTGTGAACGAGGTACTAAGTGGAGTCATTAGAGAATCCTTTCTTCGGCTTTGAGAATTAAAAATCATGCCTTGTGAGTTGAAATTTGGTATGCTCAATTATATAATCCATTCCCATGTAACTTCGTACAATCTACCATAGTCTTCGTCCCTCGAAGTACGAGCTCGCGCACAAGAAGATTCATTTGGCTTTGTGCTGTTTAGTGATATGCTTACTTGATTAGGCAATGGTTAACAGAAAAGCCTAGCGCGGTTGTATATTTTACCCCTCGAATATTTCTGCATAGCAACGCACAAAACCGACCCCCCACACAACCACTGCACTTTTGGTGACCACAACTCTACACGACCTTCTGTCTGGCGCAAACATCATGTCTGACGACAAGATCTTCTCGCTTGAAGGCAAAAGCCTGAAGCTCGACTCTGCCGAAGATATTCGACCCCACATCGAGGCCTTGAAGAACAATGACAATGTCGAGGAAGTGCGCTTTCAGGGCAACACCCTTGGCGTAGGAGCTTGCGAAGCGCTGGCTGAGGTCTTGAAGACCAAAAAGGATCTCAAAGTTGCAAAGCTGGACGACATATTTACAGGCCGGCTGCTGAACGAGATACCACAAGCCCTAGACGCACTTTTGCAAGCATTGCTCACACTACCCAAGCTGCATACCGTCAATTTGAATGACAACGCTTTTGGGTTAAATACACAAGCACCACTTGTTGCCTTTATTTCGAAGCATACTCCGCTCGAGCATCTTATCCTTAACAACAACGGCTTGGGACCACATGCTGGTGTATTGATAGCGGACGCGCTTACAGAGCTCGCAAAGAAGAAGAAAGAAGTTGGAGCACCACCTCTTAGGACAGTAATATGCGGCAGAAATAGACTGGAAAATGGCTCTATGGAAGCATGGGCGAAGGCCTTTGCTGCTCATAATCAGGTCACACACATCAAAATGGTGCAAAACGGTATACGGCAAGAGGGCATCACGCGCCTGATTACCAGCGGCCTTGTCAACTTGAACGAGCTGCAGGTGCTCGACCTACAAGACAACACCTTCACGATCATGGGCGCACGAGCACTTGCAAAGGTCATGCCCACTTGGACAGAATTGACGGAACTAGGTGTCGGTGACTGCCTGCTGGGCGCCAGAGGTGGGGTTTTACTGGGTCAGTCACTGGCAGCAGGCAAGAACTCCAGTATCGAGGTCCTTCGACTTCAGTATAACGATATCACTTCCAAGGGTGTGGAGGCCCTGTCGTCCGCCCTCGATAAGCTTCCTTCTCTTCGACGTGTTGAATTGAACGGCAATAAATTCTCAGAAGATGATGAGCACATTGAGAAGATTAGAGGTGCCCTTGACGCCATGAAGGAGAAGAAGGGCATAGAGGATGACGAGGATGAGAATTATGGTTTAGATGAACTGGATGAGCTGGAGAGCGAGGATGAAGAGGAAGAAGAAGAAGAAGAGGCAGCGGAAGCGGAAGAGGAGGCAGATGAGGAAAAAGAGAAGGAAGAGAGGGTGCTGAAGCAAGCGGACGAGGCAGAAGCAGCGAATGTCTCAGAGAAGAAGGACAAGGATGTTGATGAACTGGCTGATATTTTGGGAAAGACAGAGATCAAATGAATCCTACTTATTGTAACTGGGCGTTTGGAATGGAAGAGGACGATAGCATTGCATCCATGCATGGACTACAGATATGGACGAATGGACAGCACATGTGGGAGATGACGCTTTTGAGATACCATGTAGAAAGAGCTCATTTATGAATAGATAAACGTTGACTAATCCAAGCATAATTCGAACAACATCATTAACTCAGCGTCTAATCTTTATGTTCTTTTTCAAATGAACCCAGATCATCCCGATACCTTGCAGATGCTAGTAAAGCCGGGGTGGATCCTAAGACGCGGTACTTTAGGATCCTAATATTTGGATGTTCTTTGGAGGTCAGCTGCCCCTCATCAGAAATACTCTTGGAAGGCTACCATCTTTCGTTTTATTTCATCCTTTAAGGCCTGAATTGTCATTCGACTCCCTCCATTTCATCCTCGCCTCCGTCATCTTCACCACCATCTTCGCCACCTTCATCATGCACTCTCCACCAATGTACACAACCCAAGCCAGCCGCTGCCATACTACCAATGATAGCATATGGGACGGGGCTCTGCTTCGCGGTCTCCTTTTCATCAGCTGCCTTTTGAAAGCCGCCCGCAGCCACATGAGTACGAATGGTCAAGTCACCATTTGGGTTTTCAAGGAAATCAGCTTTCTCGGGCCCAGTGTTATGCCAAATCTCGTCCTCTACCCTGAAGCGCACCGTCTCGTCCACTTCGTAGAAATATGCATCACTCAAGTCATCGTTCAGCGGATCTTCCGACGCGTTAGGGTTCCAGACCCAAACAGGCTTGGCTTCGCTTGTGAGAAGACGGGAGTCCTCCGGCAGATTGGTGGGAGCGGGGATCCAAATGTCTGCGAAGAAGTCAAGGCCGATGCGAATTCCCTCTGGGGATGAACTGTCAAGTATGACGCCTTGAAGGATTTCGCCTTTGAATGGCCGGAAGACCACAAGACGAAATTCCACTAGGACGGGTCAACCTTTGACGTTTTTGAGAATGCATCTATCCAATTACCGTTGACATTAATCATTCCATCACCTTGGCCGATTAGACCTTCAGAGGCTCGTAGAACATCCCATAGGAAAAGACAAAGACCAACATTTTGGAGAACCTTAGATCATGAATAAGTCGTGAAATTCCAAAGGAATGGTTTCAAAACGTCATACTCTGTTTGCGTATTTTTGATTGATGTTATCTTCAAGAGCTTCTTCAATGGGCTTGCGCAGTTCTTTCGGCTGAATCTGTATCAAGTCGGAGATTGTTGTCTGGCAAAGATCAGATACTGCTGTGTCTCATCGATTATAATTCAGTGCTTACAAGAACGAACATATTGATCTAATTCTTTGCACCTTCATGATCTTGATAAGGTAGAGATTGGCACTTGAAATCATCTTGCTTTATAACCTTGAATTTTGCTGTAGGTCATACGAATAGAGAAAATGCTAAGCCGAACTAGGTCTAGATACTAGAGTGGACCGCTTGGGGGATACCTTTTCTATGCTCGTGCACCGTCATCTCGAACTCTTTTACAGACTTCTATTGAAATGTACAGAGTCTAATTCGGGAACTATGCCGAAAGTTCTGCGAATATACATCACAAAGGCATTTTGAGTCGTTTCCATTAAAAGGTATCGATGCACGCGAAGTCGGTACTGGTTGAGGTTTCTTCCACCGCGCATACGATCCTGAATCTTGACCAGCACTTGAAACTCACTTGCGCTTGAATTATGCAACTTTGAGAATTTGATTTTTAAAGTATCTTCATCAAAATGAGCGGTTTTTCATTTCCTCCGCCACCTCCACCTCCACCAGCTCCATCTGCTACAGGTCAGCAAGCACCGCATGGTAATCGAGCAGATTCATCCAGCCGGGGAGCTCGAGGACGGGGCCGAGGGATCAGTCGAGGGAGTTTTCAACGGGTTGCGTATCACCAACAATCATCTGTGCCTGCTCAAAGAAGCCAGACCGTAGCACCGACTTCGTGGCATCAACTTAGGTCTCCACCAGAGCCATTGAACAGATTAGGAAATGACGGCTATCAGAATCATTCAGTACATAGCCAACATTCTCAGAACACCTCGCTTGGGTATGGTCATCAAGGACAGATTCCTCATGGCATTGCCATCCGTCCTGGCGTTAAACGAACGCACAAACAGGCTTTTGATAAAGGTCACACGAAACAGGCAACACAGAAGCTTGAAAGCAGACCGAAGGTTCCAGCAGCACCTGCTGTCCCAAGCTTTGGCTTTTCCCTGCCTGCAAAGGCGTCTGCTGAGCAAACTTTAATTGAAAATGAACAGAACTCCAGTCAAAAAAAGCAGCGAAAGACTAATTTTCTCGGACTTACGCCTCGGGGAGAAACACGTGATGAGAGTGATGAGGATGTAGATGAAGAAGCGTCATTTGCACAGGGGAGTCAAACGTAAAGCAACCAAGTCTTCATTCTGTGATGTCAACTAATCAATCTCAGTATATCCATACAGCATCGTGGTCGCTCCATTGAGCTCAAAACCGCAGCTGATGTGGCAGCATGGATTGCAGAACGCAAGAAACAGTACCCGACGCAAGCTAGGATAGCCATGAAAAAGGCAGCTCAAGGAGCTGCTCAACAAAAGGCTCAGGGAGAGGGAAGTATGGAGGAGCCAGGTCACTTCAAAGGAAAAGAGCGGACCGTGAAGGCGAAGAGGAAGGAAAGAAATCCAAAAGGAGAGGAAAGTGACAAGTTTGCAAACAACGAGGACCATCCTTCGCAACCTGCTTTTGAAGCGACAAATGATCAAGGGGATCCTCGGATGAGAATAGCCTTTTTAGAAGAACAGCTAAGGCAAGCAAGAGAGGCTCTAGCCCGCGGATCAACTGCCCTAACAGAGGATACGATGTTCCAGTCTACTGCGCAATTGGTCAATCACCGGAAACCAGAGACAGCACAAGAGAGTTCAGACATATCTCTCGGTGAAATCACGCCACTATTTTCAACTTCGACTAGCAGCACAAAAGATATCACCAAGCATGAGGAGAGCAAAAAAGTTCTAGGTTTGATCTACAGTTCTGAAGATGGCGAGCCAGTGAATAGCACATCCGAGTCCTCTTCCGAAGAGCCAAGTTCCGACTCAGACGATTCGGATGTGGACTCAGATTCCGACTCAGATACTCCGCCAGAGGAAATTTCTGCAAAAGCAAATCATCCTATCAATGTCCCTCCGCCACGCAGAAAGGAGCCAAACAAAGCACAAGTGTGTAAACAGTTTGCAAACACGGGGCGATGTAAGTATGGAGAAAAGTGTACACGTAGCCACTATGCAGTGTGCAAATATTTTGCAAAACATGGCCGTTGCAAGTACGGGGATAAGTGCAGGCTAAGCCATGATGTCACTCCAAATACCGGGAAAGGAGGTGCAACTAGCAGAGATCGAACAAAGATCATGTCATTGCGGGAGCGCATGTTTGAGCAGGAACAGAGAAAGGCAGCAGAACTCGGAGTACTTGTAATTAAGCATTTCGGAGACAAAGGGTTTTTCCAAGAGATGTGAGCTAAACTCCAAAATAGTAATTTTCGCAATAATTGTATCATGTGCAATGCTGTTCATTCAATTATACTTTGCTCGCGCTTTGGATCCAGTCATGCAACTGGCTCAAAGTCAACCACACGGCTTCTTCGGTTCGTATTGTCCTGCTGCCTTGCCCAGGGCAGGAATTGACCCAGAAGTCGAACAATTCGCCTACATTCGCCTTGCTAATGCCTTTCTCGGCAAGATCTTCATCTGCTGCAGCTGCCGCTTCCAAGCCAGCAACGCCTCCGAACACGACCAGCGCATGTTCGAATTTGTCCGGTAGTGAACGCGGGACTGACGTGTCTTTGGTTTCCGTGCCGTTGTGCCTTGATAATAAACTCGATAGCGTGATTCCGCGTTCGGATGTGCCAATGCTGACGTCGTAGCCTTGTTCAAATGGCGACTCAGTGAATACAGAGCTCAAGCTTGAAGCTTGACGTACGGTGTAGCCCCAGTAGTATCCCCCCTCCTCACGTGGTTCCGCAGGATCGACAGCTTCTGCATCCGGTATGGATGAGGTGGGCGTATTTATTCGAAAAGGAAAGGAAGGGGGTGCTGCGGCTGTTGCGAATTTCAAAGTTACCCGCGTATGAGCGGGAATAGGTACATTGATAGTGACAGGGCTTGGAAAGCCAACATCCACAGAGGAAGTCCCTGACTCCGAACTGGTTGGTTCGACTGTCACGCCCTCCCGATACTGGCACCATTCGTCTGCCTTTAGATGGTGGGGCATGTCCAGCGAAGGGCAAGATCCTGCTGTCCTCAAATTTGGATGAAGTGGGAAGAGCTTCTGTCGTAGGTATGGTGGACACTCAAGATATGACAACAGGTGGAACAAGAAGTTGTCCGGGTCAGATACGCCTGTATAGCCATCTTCAGTCTCAAAATCCCTCATGCGATGTTGGGCATGGCCATTGCGCGAGGAATGCACAGAAGCTTGACCGTCATTAAATACAACAATCTCATCTACACAGAATACCGCAGCTGCTCGGGCTATACGTCCTGCAAGAGCAGTACGCAGCTCATGTGATTGCGCACTGAAAATCAAGATTAGCATAGACTCATGAATAAAGCAAGAGCAGTGGTGAATTTTTCAATTAGAAAGAAAACTCGACACATTAACTTACTTTGCAATAATACTACCTGGAATTGCCAAGCTCAAAGTCGCTTTTCTGCCCTTTCCTGAACTGTGAAAAACAGCAGTTGGCTTGGAAGTGTCGAGGTCATCAGTCTTTGCACTTTGATGAACTACAACGTCTCGTTTTCGCTTCTGAATTAAGGGTCAGTCTCTGCTAGTCATTCACTTGATCCTTAGAAATATGTGTACTTTCGATTTCGGCTCACCCATGACTCGATACGTTCAGAATGATCAAAGGAAACCTGATGGACTGCCCTTGCTCGAAGTTAGCGCGACAAAGAGGCTGTTGCTGCCTTAGTATATGGGAATGTGTGCCTGATGCACATTCCATTCCCATAAGCGATCTCTATGATGCTGGTCTAGTCAACTACCAGAGGATGGTCTCGTCGAATCTCCTCTTTCTATTATCAAAGTCTTTGGCTTAACTCTAAATCATGTTGCGTGTGGCTATTTTCTCCACTCTCAATTGATCAATGCTATCTGATTGGTCTTTAGCAAGTAACGCTCCATTGAATCAAGGGCACGAGGATAAACCTCATGAAAGACATAAACGTATTCCTCGATTGGTTAAGCAGCTTAAATTTTTGAGCTAAGGGAAGCTCAGCGCTGATTCCTTTTACCTGAGCTTCGTGACTAGGCCCTACTGTCGGAATCACATTGGCTCCGCTTGCAATTCTTTAAGCATTACGGCGGGCTTTGTCTCCCAAGTTTGTAATTCGAGTCACTCACTTCTGTGAGCACGATGTGCAAAGTTTCAACACGTGAAAGCTCAAGGTTAGCACAGATGGCTGTGATTTCGTTAAGTAAAGAGAGAAAGCCAAAGGCTGGCATACGTAGAGCGGCCAATTCGGTACATTGCTGATACTACGCTATAACGTAAGCGACTCGCGTTGAACTCCCTCTCTCTCGCGGTTTCTGGAGTTGTAACTTAGGCTGAGATGTAGAAAGGTGACACAAGACCGTTGATTGCCTTGCAGTTACCCTCGCTGTTGTGGCTTACACCGATTTCGGTCACCATGAAGCGGGGATACTTGATGTTACAATCGTAGTTTGCTGAAATGACAAGTCTCCTTCCAGGTATTTCTGGATTTGGGCAGCGCGAATTCGATGGAATACAATTGCATTTCTGTTCAACACAATTCAAAACTTTCATTACGTTAAAAGTCAGTCCACTAGACGAGAATGAAATCCATGCATTCACACTTCTCGCCATTGAGTCATGTCAGTTTGGTATTGGACACTTGATGACGGGGTCAAATACACTTGAGAACATTGCCCAGAAAGGCAACACAGATGAAGAACTAGATGGCATGTTCGAGAGACCATCAATCGAGCAAGGCTATATCAAAGAATGAGAACCCTTTATGCTTACTCGGGAACTAATCGGAGAGAATTTATGGGCGCTAGCCCTGATATCTATTTGAACATGCTCTTTACCAGTCCAAAACATCGTAAACAAGGTGCTGGAGGTCTGCTAGTAAATTGGGATACCCATCGAGCAGATAAGTTGGGACTGGACTGCTACGTTGAGAGCACCAAGGAAGGTCGGCCGCTATATGAACGGTTCGGCTTCAGAATGTTGAAAGAAACAGAGTTTGACCTGTTGCAATACCGAAGACCGGACCTTGGGGTCGACGTTAATTTTATAATGAATAGAGAGGTCCCGCTGACACTGAAGCGTTGAAAGTAGAGCTTGTTAAACATGAAAAGGCATTTTTTTGCAATACTGCGCAATGGTGTCATTCAGTGTGCCTGCTTTGACACATGAATGAAGAAACTCTCATCAGCTCAGGCTTCTGGGTCACCGTCTACCGTTCTTGAACATCTTCCTACTTGGCGTTTCCCAAGTTTCAAGGCGTTGCAGAAGCTATGCTATAACAGAGCATCGCATTGCGCCTGTTATGGAATGTGTGCAATTCTGACTAGCTGCGTTGCATTCTTCTATTGTCCTTGCTCATCAAGTGAAGACAACACCTCTTGCATAGCTGTCATTTTTCCCAAGCAGAGACAAGATTTGCTGCACTCTTTGGCGATATTTGTAGTCGAGACCGGGAAATTTTCGGGAAAGGATACATGGCTTTTCCAGCAATTTTCAGCAAGTTCTTCTCTTTACTGAAGCCTCAATATGTCTCCTAAATTGGCGATCAAGCTAGAGTCTTCTCACCCTCAAGCTGATACTTGTCCATCAAGCCCTTTAGAGTCGATCTCCATTTTTTGATAATTGGATGCTGGTCAGCAACAAGTCTGAAGGTGATGCTCTCTTCTTTTTCAAGGCCTTCATCACCTGCAACTTCATATTTCCAAATCCCATCTTCCCCGAAGTATTCAGGGCCATACAGATTTTTGGCGGAGAGCTCATTTGTTGCCAGTTCGAACATCTTCGAAACTGCGACTCTCATCTTAGTGCCTTCATCGTTTGGATATATGGCCACTGCCAAGGATTCAAGCACTCCAACAATCTGTCCTGCAGCGGCTCCCAGCTCTGCGCCCAAAGAATACCCTTCATCAAATCCATCCTGTAAAAATTTCTCCTTGCTTGCAGCGACGCCATCGCGGTAACCGTTGGTTCTATGAATACCTTGTAGTCGTGGAACATCCGAAACATCATCATTCTGAGCCTGCTGCCTTGAAACGTTCCTCATAGAAAGCTGTTGGGTTGAAGATTCATCATCTGTGTCAGCACCGAAAACATCGTCAAGTGAGTCAGGCCGCGTCGTTTCTAACTCAATCGTGCCCAGATCAGTTGGGGTGATATCTGTATTCGAAAACCGCGATACTGTATCATTGGTGAACATTATGATGAGAATCTTGCTTTTGCGAAAGCTTTTCTCCCTAGCTTAAGAGGATAAGTTGTTAAGACGTAAACTCATTTAGGTCAAGGGTCACGTGGTCATGAGTCAAAATGATATTTAGTGTCTTCAGTTCTTAACTCTTCAGCAGAAGACTCTGGGGAACAACAATCCTGGCCCATTTTTTGGGAAATATGTAGCTTTGTTAAAGAAAAGAGAGCGAGATAAAAATCCATAACGTGCTAGGCAAGCTTATTCTATTGAGTTCTAGGTCTATGGCAGAACAGCAGGGGTATCTAAAATACTTTCAGGAACTCGATGCAAAACATCTAAGCCAGAAAAACCTTCTTCTACCGTCCATCTGTCTGTTGTGTTATGTAGCACTTTGCAAGCTTCTCCGACCACAATCAAACCAGGCGGCCGAGAACCCAATTCTTCTACAGCAAGACAGACATGCTGAAGTGTGGATCTGATGACCCTTTGATCTTTGCAAGACGCACGTTCAATAATTGCACATGGCGTCGAGATAGGCCATGGTCTCGAGCTAATCTCAGGTATCGTTCGTCCATCAGGTTTTGGCACCATAGTTACGGGTTCGACGCCAGTTAAACTTTCAACGAGTGACGGCAGCCGATGTAGCGCCATCAAAAAGACGACTGTGCGTGTATTAACATACTCTGGAGGAGGAGGCGCCTTGCCTGCACGTCCAGTGCCTGTGCAGATAAGTACCTGATCTGCTACACTACGCTGTGTAACGGGAATTCCAGCAAATAGCGGGGCCGATAGTGCACTTGTGATTCCTGGGAGGACGATAGGCTCATACCCCTTCTCCCTAAACCAGATCACCTCCTCCCCTCCACGTCCATACAAGTATGGGTCTCCTTGCTTCAATCGAAGTACTGTTTGACCAGCTTCTACACCGGCAAGGCCTAGCTCAAGAAATTCTTCCTGTGCTGCGTCTGCATTTCCTGGAAACTTTCGTGCTATATGTACTGTAGTCCGACGTGGTATTAGGTCAAGAACCGGTGCCGGCACAAGTTTGTCGGCAAGAATAATGTGGGCCGTTTGTATGGCAGTGAGTGTCGCGCCAGTGAGCAATTCGGGATGACCTGGCCCTGACCCAGCGAGTATGATGGTGCCTTTCTTCCGATCTAGGCGCGAATCGAGACCGGCCGGCCTTAAGTCAAATGGACTACCAGAAGCTGACTTATAGGCCGAGAGCATGGCATCTGCGTCGGCGTCCGTGATAGCACAGAGTCGCTTGAGCGGCCAGTATTCACATATCTGGGTCAACCATCTCATGCGTCGATTCCGCTCTGCCTCGAGAGTCCCTGGCAGAACGAGCTGGTTGAAATTTGCAGGTTGTACAGAATCTTCTTCCTCGCCTTCTAGGTCGTCTACTTGAGAAAATACGATCTTCTCGTCTTCTTGCTGTAGTCTTCTCCGCAGGGAGCCAAGACGTGAAACAGCGGCACCTAGTCCATCAGGAAGAGATGCTACAATTTCACGCTTGATGCGTGCAGAGAGTTTGCACCCACGCCCAGAGGTGGTAACGCCAATTTGTAGGGGCCCGTCTGTATGAGTACTCAGCAACGTGAAAGTGCTCAAGGCTGGAGAATCTGCAACGTTGATGGGTATCCGCAGCCTCTTGCACAAATTAGAGATATGGGAGCTTCGCGGGTCTCTACGGTCAAGCGTAACAAAAACAGCATCCACAACATGGTCCACCTCGGCGCGACCGAGAGTCTTCAAGTCATCGGCTTGGAATTCCCTTTGCACCCAAGAGATTTGTTTGTCATCGATGCGTTTCTGCAAGCCGTAATGGACTATAGAATCCCTTGGTGTGATGAGTATCGGCGTCGCACCGACTTCCAGTGACTTCGCGCAACGGGCGCTTGCCAATGGATTCGAACCGATGATCAAATGTACATGATTCGAAGAATCAATCGAAGCCAACAACGAGTGTTGCATGTGGATGCGGTAGTGAGAAAACTGTACGAACGACACGGCTGCAACTTTCTATGGCGAATATTAGCACGAAAAGCAAGAGAAGTGAAATCCAGGAAAAGGTTACGAGAACGAGATAATTTGTTCAGATCACCACGAATATGTAGTAAGGACTAATTTTCTATTGGGACCCGACGCGGAAAAGCTCAAATCGCGTCAGTTCAGATGGACGTTCGCCATTGGTCGCAGGCTCGGCCAGATCTTTTTGCGCGGAGAAATACGTTCTTCAGGTACGAACACGAAGACATCTCCCCAGCGGCTAGAATCCTTGCTGAACCTTATCGGAATCATGCAGAGCGGTGGGCGAATGAGTGGATCGTGGAGTACTTTTGAATTCTTGTGCGCCGAACAAAACCGTTCGTCATTCGTTCAAGCCTCTGCATCTCATCGATAAGCAGTCCTTATCTGCCAAGTTAGCTCCAGTTTCTCCGACTTCACTTCAATGTTGCACCCTCCCTTTGACGCCCAAGGATTAGTCTTGATTCCAAAAATCTGGCATGAATTCGTTTGCGCGATTAGGAACAGTGTGGCGAGTCTCTGGAGTACTAGTGGACTATGACTTTGAATAGTGGAGAGGTGATTGTTGCAGTGGGACAGATTCACGTATTCAAAACAAAACCATAAACGTTTATTAAACGAACACGACAGGCTCATACGTCCTTATCTGCATCTACTTCTTGTATAGTATCCAACTTAAAAATGATGTCATCTACACTATTTCTCCGCCCATCATCTTGGTGCCTTCCTCTAGGTTTTGTTCGGCCGCACGGCTCGAATCTGCTGCTTCCCTATCTGGTGCTTTATCTACTTGATTTTTGCTGTTATCATCACTGTATACGGCCTCTAATAATCTCCTTGCTCGATGCCCCGGTATTTGTGGCAAATCGAGCAATATCACAGGTGGTTCAACCTGAAGGTCTGTGGCCTTCTTTCCGTCCTCCTTGTGGCGAATGAGCTTAGGAACGCCGTAACGGTTTAGGTATACCCAAACAACAACGGTAATTATGGTAAACAAGAGGCAAATGCATATGAACTTCCAGATATTGTTATTAACGACAAGTTGAGCTGACGAAGAATCGCTCGTGAAGCGAAAGAAACCCGTGCTGAAGATGGTGGCGATGAAGGTGCTGGGCAGATAGACCATGGTTAAGCCAGCGATTGTTTTCATCGATGTACTATCTCGGCGAGTTTCAACTGCAATGGTTTTGGACTCATCCGCAATACGTTGAGACTGTTTCGCAATCAGAGTATTTATAATACTGTCGGCCTTCGGACGTTAGTTACAGCTCAATTCCCGCTTAGGATTGGTCCATACAGCATTAAGTTGAGACTGGGCTCTTTCTCCAATGACCCGACTGTCTTCAAAAACCCCCTTGCATGAAACTATATGGGCTTTAAAAGCTTCCTGGAGGCTCCTGTCTTGTATCGGTAGATCTTGATGTGATAATGGAGGATGTTCACTCCTTCCAAGACTTAGAGTCACAAACTGGATGTGAGCCTCGTAGATGAAGGTGGTAAGCCGGATCTGAAACTCCATCGCGTATATCATATTTCTCTGGTTGCCCCCAATCCAATGCATGTTCCGCAAATTGAAACTATCCGGATTGTCCGGTTGAGTCACATTAGCCTCCAAATATGCAATAGCACCGCGGCCGGTTACTCGTTCCATCATGATTACAGAATGATCAAGCTGTCCGCGTTGCCATTCTAGATAGAAGTAATAACGTGAGATAATGCAGAAGGCCATTCCAAAAGGATGCCAGTCTTCTCGAAGCCTAGACAGCTGCTCTATCTGATACTCAATGTGACCGGATAAGTCGTTGCCAGCAATTATCACAAGCGCCTTCCTGGTCTTGAAATCATAGCGGATGTAAAATGCGCCTTCAAGATGCCCGGCCGGGAAGACCTTGACAACAATATCTAGTCTGTTAGTGAGATCAAAGAAGGACACGATAGTTTCTACGGACGTACGAAATGATTCAGGAGATTCATCTGCCTTTGAATAAGTCACAAAGGTCGAGAAATTGCCCAAAAAGTAATACAGAGACTCAACAAACTTCGGGTGTACTTTGAACTCCTCTAGCAACCAAGTAAAAATGTCTTCTTCCATTGAGATGGTGAAACGGATATCACCATGCTGACCGTCTAAAGAGTGGCGGTGCTGATAAATATGAGACATAAAACTTTAAAAGCAGTTCGGCTAGGATCGTAAATTCCACAATGTATCTTACAAGATCGTGATGTCTGGGTCAGCCTTCTTGCACTCAGCCTTTATAGGTCAGTCCCGAATGCCGGGCATGTCTGGATTGCGACCTACTGAAAACACCTCCCTCGCCGCCGGTGTCGATATATTAGGTGCAAGATCACCGGCTTGATTTTATTTTAGTAGCTGGCTTTGGAAGAATAAGAGTGCTCTAACAGATGTTTCCAGCCTTGGATTGAATAAAAGCTAACGTATTGCCTTCATATATTAAATTTTCTTTTAGCTCCTGTAAGGTTGTTCCATTCATGGTCAGGGGATTGAAGTATGGTGAAGAGAACGGTCATTCCGTCTTCATAGAATGCTTTGAGTTGGACTCCATGATTATTGTGGCCGGCTGCTATCCGTGCAGATTGAAAGAGGCTCAGAAACTCTATGTCAGAGAAATTTGAAGGGATATATCCTTAGGATTTTCTTGGTTGGCTTTGCGCGATAAGGCCAAACAAAAAGTGAAAGGAAAATGTGGAATCTTACGTCTACGGTGTTAGGATGGTTTGATATGTCTATAACTTTTGATTGGGAACCGAAGCCCATTCTTCATTTGTCCTTGTCATTGTATTTCCAGTGCGGCTCAAACCTGATGAGGGATCTCAGGTGCAGGACGCCACACAAGTCTAGTTCGGCTGAGGCTTGAAAGGATGCTGTATAGAGCCACGCGGACTCGTGGAACGGTAGCACTGGAAAGCTTGTTTAAGCGACCTGCATGAATGAGCTGAAGTACGGAGGCAAGGATTGCTCAGCTGACCAAACTTGCCTAAATCGAGGCTCGTTTGTGTATAGCTGCCGTGATGGTCTGTCCACGAAATGCCATCGTGTGAACTTCAAGGACATACCCGGCGTCCTTTCACCATTTTCTGCCTTCATATGTTCTTGCTTTGGCTCTGCACTACAAATTAAGTTCTACAGATCGCAACGAACAACAGTGAACGCTCATACGTTTCCTCCATTACATCTTGAGCGACATTGACCTGAGCCGATACGCAAAATCGTCAGTGATGGCGATGAGCTCTGAAGTTTGATCGCTGTAGAAGTGGCCGAGCCTGTCGAGGAAATGAAGCTTCGTATTCGTTCGAACCTCACATTGACACTATCACTTGGTAATGCTGACTGGATGGGACGTTAGCTGGAATCAAGCGCTTGGGACTTTCACTCGTCAAGCTCGACACATCACTGCATTCTCCGGAGATCACTGAGATTTGAAGGCGTGCACTGCGAAGTGTCTGCTTTTTAATGCCTGCGAAAGGTGCGGCGAAATTTACGCAACAGATCAAATCGCCAATTAGTTTCCTGACAAAGTTTGCAAACGGGGGTTCGTCGACATGAATAATGAAACAGAGCTAGCTCTACGTCAGATTAGAACGTCTCAAGGGTTGGAGCTACTGCGCATAAGACCAACAAAAGCGTCGACGACATAGACTAGAAGTTCCGTGATACTACGTAGATTTTAGTGAAGGGCCGATGGAATTCTGCTAAGATTTTGAATCAAGTCTTTTTATAGCAATTCGTCTACTTAGCCAGGTGGACATGTCGTAAATAATGAAAAAGAGGATATCTGATATCCGTTTCCCTCAGTTTCATTCACAGGTGTCATATTCGCATTAGGTGCGCAAAATTGTACAATATGCACGAATTTCTTCGATAGTGGAGAGTAAATAAAGACGGTACGCGCGCTGAAATGTAGTTAAATGGGTATCCAGACCACCATTCCCTCTCCAGACAGCATGCCCGCTTTTCCGTGGCCACTCACGAAAAATCTTTGTCCATGTCCTTGAGTATACCATTACCGCCCGGTCTATATGTGGCATGCGTGTTTCGACATGCAAGAAACTCCGAGTAGCGCCGCTGTATGTCTAAAGAGACCAGTGGACGCGTTATCAAACAAAACAACTTGGGACTCGTCAACAAGTTCACTGCACTAACCTATTTCCCCCACCAACCGATATCGACAGTGCAGGAGGTGGCACTGTCGGTGTATCCTTTCCATCGACACCATGGAGAGCACTCGTCGAAAATGTCGTTGCGCTTAGCACTGATGGTATAGTGCCCCCCGATGACGCCAGTGGTGATGAATCCACCTGATGAGGCAGTTTAGCCATGTGTCCTCCTTCTAAGTCTCGATTCTGCGGGGTCGGATTCTGCGAGGTAGGAGCCGAAAGCACGTTCACATCAATCGTCGATCCATTCGACACAATACGGTTCGGACCGCCTGGCGTTGCAAAAGCTTGTGCTTGCATCATTGTTGGGGCTAAAGGGGGGTTGGCCCAAGGGTTTTGTTCATAGAATGTGCGGTCAATAGCTTCGCGCTCGGTGTCTCGAAGAGATATGCGTGGGTGAAGAGGCCGATCGGGAATCTGAAAGAGATTTGTCAGTCAACGTCTCCTCTTGGCAGCGTGACTACTTTTGAATTTCTACCTTCATTAACTTGAAATCCGAGTCAACATCATCCGGGGGCAGTGTTGATAACTCTGGTGCCGCAGGAAACCCTACATGCTTGGCAATACCAGATAAGATTGACACTTCCAGATTATAGGATGTCTGCTGTGCGATCTGCTGAGCGCGCTTTGGCTGATACATATGGGCATAATTTGCGTCATCAGCACCCCATCGACGGCGGTCTTTCTGGATTGCGTAGAGATTTCTGTAGCACTCCTCGAGAGTCCTTTCTCGGGTGTTTCGCACCTCTTGAAAGTATTGACTGTGCAACTGTTGTCGTTCACAGACGGTTCTGACTTGGAGTGCGTCATGCTTGAACTTGAAGAGGACGTTTTGGTGCCGAATTTTCTCGTCTCGATAATGATCAATACATCGCAATTGTGCAAGAAATTCCGGATGAGAGCTCGAAGGTAACCGCAGTAGGTCGAGTTCTTGCGATATCTGTTGCAACTGTTGGTTTATATGTCTGCGTCCCATTAGCATGTTTTCCACCTGCGATCATCCTCAGTGTCTCACCTTTCTCGGAATGATGCGAAGTCCTTCTCGATCTTCGAAAAGGCCTCTAAGGCTAGTCGTTTCCTGGCGACTATGAAAGTCAGTGAATCAATTTTGACCGATGCAGTTTCGGAGCCAATGCTTACTTTCTTCATCCCTGTTGCTGTCCTCCTCTTCTTCCTCAACTGGTTCCGGTTCCTCTTGCACCACTTGCTCGTCACCATTGACATCTACATCGTCGCCAGCAGCCCTTCGGCCTTTACGCTTGCCCTTTCTGCCTTTTCGGCCTCTGGGAGGGGCCACTGGCTCCTGGGTTTCTGCTTCTGCATCTTTCTCCGTTGTTACTGCGGCCTCAGGGTCTTGGTCACCAGACTCGTCGTCGTGGTCGGCAGACGGTGGAGGTTTATTGACAAGCGTCTCAGTAGAAGACATGGCCGATGCGTCTTTGTAGCGCTGTGAGTGACTTCTTTTTGCAAGCGGCTCATCGGTGTCGCTTAATGAACTGACGGCCGACTCCGATCGTTTCCGCTTCCGACTTGGAGTCTCTGAATGGTCAAGCTCAATCCCGTTAGTATCAAAATCACCATTTGCAGGCGACCCGATCTGTTGATCTGCCAAAATGGCGTCGTTGCTGACGGCAGTGGGTGTGCTCGAGTCGTCGGCAAGAATTTCTTGTGCCAGTTTGCTCGGGCTCTTTTCTGGAAGCGAATTGTTGTTTAACGGAGCATTGAGTTTCTGAGGTGTGCGCTCCAGCCTCTCTGTTTCTGCCTCGGTATCATATTCTGATTCTTGATCAACGAGATGGGCGGAGGCAGTATCTAGCTGGTCATCGGCAACGTCCTCGAGCTCACTTAGGCTGCTCGACCGATCATCGTCGTCCTGATTGTCTATCCGCTGCTGAAATGTAGTATTCTCGCTTTGCGCCGGTATGGCGAGCGGTGTCGCAGGGCTTTGCCGCGTTACCGTCGAGATCATATCGTGTGGCTTATGATCCTTGGAATCTGGCAAGGTGGGTGATGGTGTGGGCGACGTTGACGAAGGAGCAGGTGAAAGCCGAGAGTCGGAATTGGGGTTAGCTGATACGTCTGTAGCATGGACAAAATGTTAGCGCGCATTGCTATGGTGACGCGACTGTGGATGGTGTTGCTGTCGCTTGTGCGGAGGCGCCAGCCCTCAGCGGTCGCTTTTGATGGGTGAGCAAAGTTGACTCGGAGCCAACGCGACACACGGGCTCAACCACGAATTACAATCTTTGTCGGCATGGACAACATCGTGTGGGTCTGGAAACATGTGTGGACTTCGACATACCTGTGCCTCGTGAGGGGGCCGTGTCTGCAGTTCGTGACCTACTTCTCGACCGCGACGCCAGCATAATGCGGGCGCAACGACGACGGCCAACTACTGTCGCTGATCTGCCTGCAAAAGGCGCTATAGAACAAGCAGACGCTCTGACCGTGTGTATATAACTCCCAACAACGCGGATGTGGTGTGCCGTGGGCGGTGGTGGAGAGCTTTTCGCACAGGGAAGCACGGCGATCGCAAGGTTAAGGGTGGTGTGGAAAGTTATGGAAGATTACTGGTGCGCTTGAAATGAAGAATGGATGGGCGACGCTTGAGAAAAGCATGCAAAGCATCACATCTTGCGATTGTCTAGCGGTAGGTGGGTGGTGTCAAGCTGGGCTCTGCTTTGGACGAGACTGAGAATGAGCGGCCGCTTCTCGGAACTGGTCATGATGGTTCTCTGGTCTGCTGCCCTTGGGGGACCGACACCCCTGCAGCCAATCATAATGCATGCGACCCTGACCCTTGCAAAGCTGCCGCCAAAAAAAAGCTGGACACTAAGATGCGACGGAGAATTGCTTCGCAAAGCCTGCAGAAGAATGGCCAAGAAGACGAAAGCTAAGCCTGAAGAGTCTGCTGAAGCACCCGGGAAGAGCAGGGAGAGTCTTTTCAGCAGCACAAAGAATGTCGACCCCGCTCTCGCTTCTTTGTTCGCGCGCAGCGTCAGTTTGAGTACTTCGTTTTGCTAACTACATTCTGCTGACTGTTTACAAGACTCCATGGCCCCCTTCCAATGCGTCAAAGGCGAAAGTCAATGGCAAGCAAGGGCCTCTGAAGCTGAATGCAAAGCATACTCCAGGTCAAAATCAAACCGATGAGGAGGGATCGAGCGGCAAGAGCGAGGCTAGTGTTGAAGATGAAAGCGACGAGAGCCGGAGTAGCAGTTCGATCACCTCGTCATCTGAGGAAGATGTAGACTCGGAATCGTATTCAAATCGGGAGGAAGCTGGTTCTGATGGCAAGCCTTCAGTAAATCAGCAGACAAAAACCACCTTGGACGAGACCAAGTCTAGTAGGCGCAAACGAAAGCGTGAGGATGAGGATTTGGAGTCCAAATACATGCAACGACTGGCACAGGAGGAAGCACGGGAAAAACATAAACATGAAGCAGAGCGGCTGCTCAAGAGACAGAAAGCGTCTGAGACTACAGGGGATGATGAAGCCCAAGACGCTGGCGACGATGACGATGATGCGCAAGACGATAGCGAAGATGACGATGACGCTAACATGCTAGATGCTCGTGAGGACGAAGAACAAGAAGATGGTGATGACGATGAAAATTACCAAATCCCTCAACACGAGACACTGGCCAAATCCCCAGCCGCTGAGATCGAGAAGGCAAAGCGAACCATATTTCTAGGCAACGTATCCACCGATGCCGTTATGTCAAAGAGGGCTAAGAAGGCATTACTGCAGCACATGTCATCCTTTCTGAGTGCCTTGCCCAAAGAAGACTCCACGGCGCATAAGATTGAGTCAATACGCTTCAGATCAACTGCATACACCAACATGCTTCCCAAGAAGGCGTCTTACGTTACACAAGACCTCATGGACTCGACAACAAGGACTACAAATGCCTACATAGTATACACCACCAAAGCTGCCGCACGTGAAGCCCTTAAGCTCAATGGCAGTATTGTGTTGGGACGCCATCTGCGCGTAGACTCTGTAGCACATCCAGCTAAAATAGAGCCGCGAAGGTGCGTATTCATTGGTAACCTCGGTTTCGTGGACGACGACAGCGCCATCCAAGCTGCCGAAGCCGAAGGAAGCGGCGGGAAAAAGCGTAAGCCCAGGAAAAAGCAGCCCAGCGACATCGAAGAGGGCCTGTGGCGCGAATTCGGAAAGTGTGGCACAGTGGAAAATGTGCGCGTCGTTCGCGACTCAAGAACACGTGTGGGTAAGGGCTTTGCTTATGTACAGTTCGCGGTAAGTTACGTTGCCTGCGTGGTTAAGCCGCATGCACAGGTATATACAAGGAACTTCTTTACTGACAAGTCTTGCGTGTGGTAACAGGATGAGAATGCGGTCGAAGCTGCTCTGCTGTACGATGGCAAAAAGTTCCCTCCCATGCTACCTCGTAAACTGCGCGTATCGCGCGCAAAAGCTATGAAACGCAACTCGGCTAAGAAGGATACACGATCACAGTCAGCTGCAAACAAGGTGTACAACCCAAAGATCAGTGAACAGCAGAAGTCGACAATGGGCCGGGCGAGCAAGCTGCTCGGACGAGCTGGCGCAGCACTTCTACATCAGTCTGATCAGGCTGGTGTAAAATCAGTTGGCCGCAGTACTGCCGGGGTAAAAGCACCGGAGTCATTTGTATTTGAGGGACACCGCGCCACGGCTGGTTCGTATGTGACTAAGAAGAAGCGTGTCGCTCCCAAATTGAAGGGCAAGCCAAAGAATCGTAGTGCTCGGCGAGCGTCTGCATGGAAGGCAGGAGGCGGGGTCTAGACTATTGAGAAGGCCATACCTGGAATATGATGGAAGGGCTGACGGATTAAGTAAGAAGCTTAAGCGTCTTGCTAAGATGCATTGGCATGAAGTAAGGGCAGAGGGGAGTGCTGAAGGAAGCGCTTGGAAAGGAGCGCAAATCCAAAGCTTAGCATGGTCCAGGGATGGTCGTGGATCAACAAGTGGTCGGGCCTAGTCTCCCGAGCACGTGAGACAGAAAGTCAGTAAGACAGTCATCAATGTACATTAAGAGAATCCTCCGGCACGTCTGAATTTCGAGCCAAAAATCTCTCGCGGATGTAAGCGTCCCGTGGCTCTTGCCGGATCTACTAAAGGTCTCTCGTCATTTTTTTTTCTTTTCATCGCGAGTGTTAAAGGACCGCAAAGCGTGTTAGACTTGGGTAAGGTGTCCGCGTTTTTGCGTCGCCTCCATATGATCCCGCTCGAATACCGTATCTGATCCGGTGATGTATCTCTAACCCGATCGCCGAATCTGATAAGTTCGAGGAAGATAACCTGCAAACCTCTGCTGGCCTTACTCGCGTGGCGACTGTATGACGGGATGCTCGGACGCCTTCGCGGACTCTGGCCCGTCCAATTCAATACGCTGCCACAAATCGGAGCTCAGAAAAACGGGCACTTGTGGCAACAACGGCTGACAGGAATGACCCCCATGTGACGGAGCAAGTTTGCAGTGGACAGTGGCAGCTTGCGGGTCGGTGCCACACAAGCTCCGAGCAGCGGATGCGCGACGGAAGTGAGCAGGCCTCGGCGCGACCGTCAGTGTCGACAAATCCTTACATAAGCCAGAACCAGCTCCGGCTGTCGGCGGGACGCCCAGCTTTGCAAAGCTTAGTTTGGTTGGCATGCACGACGAGCGCCGAATACGAAGTCGAGGCGAACCATTGAAAGGCAGAGTGACGGATGTAAGAGATCTGCTACAGCAGGCTTGCGAGACACTCAATTTCGTCTTCCAGACACGGGTTGTTTGCCATGCTTTTGCCATTTGCAAGGGCCAGCTCTGTGTTGAACGCGGTGGCGGTCAAGATCTTTGAAGGACTGTTGCTTGGCCCGCACATGCAGTAGTTCCTTTTCAGCGTGCTTGAGGCTTCATTACAGCACGGGCAGGGGACGTGGAACACGATGGCATGCGCGCCCGAATGTGATTGCTTGATAGACCGTTCGGTTAGAGCTTACTTTAGCATTGGCACGACCCATGCTTCTGAATAATCAATGGCGGTGTTTTGCAATTGGCAGTACCCGGCAAAGTAAGTAATACAAGGCGGGTATCCATTTTGCTTGTAGGCAGCTTTGATCTACCCGGTAGAAACCCGTAAAGATGGGCCGTGAAGTGCCTTTAAAATAGGTTGCCCGTCCGTCGATGGTGTAGCTCGACTTCTTCCTCTTCTTCTATTGTTTCTCTGGCTCCACTCAGGTTTGTCTGACCAGGTGCTTGAAAGCAGCCGATCAGTTTCCAATATTCTTTATCGTCGCTTGCAACTTCACATACGTCACAGTGACCGCAGTGGGTTTCACCTTGCCTTGCACTGCCTAATCTTGCCAGCGTTTGGCAGACAAGCGAGAGGGATTGACAGCATCGTAAAGTGGGTTTTGTCCATCTTGGGACGACTCCCCTCGGCTCGCTGTTGACTTACCAAGCTGCGGTTGCGTGCGCGTGTGAGCTCATAACCATCTGGTCCGTGCCGACGACATCACGCAAGTTTTGCCCACGCCCGCAAGAGCTGCGTATTATATACCCTCGAGAATCCTACGACTATACCTTTTAAGCCTTGAAGCCTTTGCCCAGGCCATTCTTGAAGGCAATTGGGCAAGTCCGCAGCATCCCTATCCGTTCCGGCACAACCTTCGACCTGCCTCCATCGGCAAGAGACACTTTGAGAACGTCGACGTCTTTCGGCGCTCTTGGAAGCAGGTGCAACAGCTCTAAGCTGTGCAATGTCGTCCCTTAAGAAAGCCTTTGACAAGGTCGCCCACCGTGGCAGCAGGTCTGGCACCCCTACGGGCAGTAGCCAAAATAGTGACACCGAATCCGCAACAAACGGTCACGGCAATGGGTATTCTTCCTCGCCACGCGCTTCTGGCACATTTGATCGGCCACATAGAGCTTCGGGCACATGGAACAGCGGACGCACGTCATCTCCTCGCAGCAGCGGGATTTTCTCGCGCAACTCTGTCAACAAAGGCCATCACAGCCCTGTCAGAGCTCTCAAGGATAAATTTCGTATCGGCAGCGAGTCGGATGCCACGGATAATGATACGGACACGCCATACAATCGCGATGGCGAGAAAATGAGCAAGAACCAACTGCGCAAAGCTGAGCGCCAAGCGGAAAAGGAACAGCACAAGCGTGAGGTGGAAGAGAGGGCACAGGCTGTTAAGGAGCGCAGAGCCGCTATGGACGAGAAGGCCGCGAAGGAGGAGTCTCCGGAGACACGAGCGCTGTATGGTGAATTTCCTGTCAACAATTACGCCGGCGAGTGGAAGCATGAAGCTCGTCTCGACCTGCGTGACCTGTCCGCGAAGGACATCGGGAAAGAGGTCACCTTTCGAGCTCGTGTGCACAACGTGCGGAAAATGAGTTCAAAACTTGTATTCTTTGTCTTGCGGCAACAGACCGTCACCGTGCAGGGCGTTCTGCATGAACATGGCCCTGTATCTTCTTACTTCGTCTATTGGGCCGAGCACATTGATATCGAGTCTGTCGTCCTCGTCAGAGGGATTGTTCAGGCCCCTGCTGCGAAGCAGGGTGAGATTATTGGTGCCTCCATCCACGACTGTGAAATCGCTATTCATGCCCTGCACGTCGAAGCTAAGCTAACCGAGCCATTACCTTTCACGGTAAATGAGGCGGAGGTCACAAAGGAGGAGGCAGACCAGCCAGGCGACCACCGTCAACATGTCAGCGACCGCGTTCGTCAAGCAAACCGCATACTTGACCTTCGTACGACTGCCTCGCAGAGCATCTTCCGCATTCAGGCAGGCGTCTGCCAACTGTTCCGTGAGAGTCTCAACTCTGAAGGTTTCATTGAAATTCACACGCCGAAGATGCAGGGTGGTGCTTCTGAGTCTGGTGCTAGCGTGTTCAAGATTGACTACTTTGGACGTCCCGCATTTTTGGCGCAATCTCCACAGCTGGGCAAACAGATGGCTATCGCCGCTGACTTCAAAAAGGTTTACGAAATTGGTCCTGTTTTCAGGGCGGAGAACAGCAACACTCACAGACATTTGACTGAATTTACGGGTCTTGATCTTGAAATGGCAATCGATGAGCATTATCATGAAATCCTCCGCACCCTGGACCGCACGTTTAAGCACATATTCTCCGGCATCTACTCGAAATATCGCGCCGAAATTGACATCATCAAGCGCCAGTTTCCTCATGAGGACTTAGTCTGGCTTGATGAAACGCCAATTATTCCGTTTGCGGATGCCATCAAGCTACTGAATTCAACAGGCTGGAGAGATGAGAACGGCAATCCACTTGCAGAGGACGAAGACATGGGTACCAGAGATGAGATCCAGCTCGGCAAAGTTATCAAGGAAAAGTACAAGACAGACTACTACGTGCTGGACAAGTTCCCCGTAGGCGCTCGTCCTTTCTACGCCATGCCTGACCCCAACAACCCTAAAGTGACCAACGCGTTCGACATCTTTGTTCGCGGCCAAGAGATCTTATCCGGAGGACAGCGTATTCATGATGCTTCAATGCTGCTTGCCAACCTCGAGAAAGCGAAAATTGACCGTTCCACAATGGAAGAATACGTGCAAGGTTTCGAGTGGGGCGCACCACCCCACGGTGGTGGAGGCATCGGCCTTGAACGAATCGTCATGCTTCTACTGAATCTCGGTGACATCCGAAACTCCTCTATGTTCCCGCGAGATCCCAAGTCTCTCCCCGCCAGACCACCTGTCATACCGCTGCGTCATCCGGAAGCTAGCACTCTTCACCCGCCATGGGAAGGCAAGGATCGCACCGTCGCGAATATGGAGTTCCAGACGATAGAGAAGCTCATTGCGAACTACGGTGATGCCACGAACACCAGCTGGCTCGAGCCGAGAACTCAAATCTGGAGAGATGAGGCTACTGGCGCGGCTGTCGGCTACGTTCCTCAAGACGGGTTCGCCATCACCGTGGGCGACCCGCTCTGCCACGAATCTCAGTATGCTAAAATCATCGCTGGCTATATACGATATATTAAGAAGGAGACCAATCTGAAGTTATTGTGGCTACTTGTCGGCTCGAAAGTTGAAACCGTCCTCGCCGACAAGTTCAACTGGCGAACGTTCTCAGTTGTTTCGGAACAAAGATTGGACCCACAAAACAACCCTGCAATGCATGATCCTGATGTCCAACGTAAGGTTCGCCATGCGGAGAAGGAAGGTGTCAAAATCTTCGATTTTCCTCTTGGCAAGGAGATTCCGCAAGACCTGAGGGATAAGATTGACAAACGTGTTGGCGACTGGCTCAACAATAGGAAAGGCAAACAGGTCCACCTCACTAATATAAGGCCGTGGCAGGATATGGAACACAGACAATATTACTACGCCGTAGACAAAGACGGCGAGATCGCCGCTCTTGTGGTACTTGCACAGCTTTCCCCTGAACATGGCTGGCAGGTGAAGTACTCTCTAGATTTCCCTGGTGCACCATCGGGTACCATCGAGTACATTGTCACGCATGCGCTCAAGAAGGTGGCCAGCGAAGGCTGCCGGAACGTAACGTTCGGCGGCGGTGCGTCACCGCACTTCACTCCTGGCCACAACCTCAAGGGCGCGAAAGTCAAGATGCTAAGCAAAGCTTACCATGCCATCGTCACCGAGCTCAAGCTCACACAGAAGACGGAGTTCAGAGAGAAGCTCGGTGCAAAGGATGATCCGATCTACGTTTGTTATCCCCCCCATGGCCTCGGTCCGATGGGCGTCAAGGCTATCCTAAACTTTTTCGAGGACGATTGAACGCTCCGCTTTATTCTTCCGCAGACGCGTGGCAGGATGGCGTTGACTCTTTGATATGACTTTTTCTCTCTAAGTGTGACAGAATCGGCAGACGAACGATCAAGAAGCAGAATATAGTGATGGCTGTGAAAATGAGAGCGCTGTGGAAGCAGGTGTTGATTTGCCTATGAATGGAGGCACTCCCCGGTTCTTGACAGTGTCGCAAGCTGCGGTGCCGGTCGTGCACTCCCGCTTGTTCCCCATATGGTCGTCTTCTTGATCATGATTCCCCATAATCACGTTTTCCTAGTGTCTACTTCTTAGGTTCTCTTGTCTTTTTGCGTTCTTCTTTCGAAGGGTTGTGTCCGAAGTGGTATATTTTCCACCAATATCAGAATTCTACCTTCTCTGCTGTCCGTATCTCTTCTTGCGTGGGAGGCCAAGATCTTTTACGGTGCACTCTTATATATATCCGATGAGTGATGTCACGTGAAGGAAACGAGTAGAATTAGGAATAGCAGATAGGAATTCTGACATGATCTTCCTTCGAGTGAGCGTGCGTTGGCTATTCTCATTTGATCGTTTGCGTGCTGTTCTACAGCTGTGAAACGGAAGTTCGAGATGTTCTGTGCAAGTGAAGCGAAGGACTCGCCGGATGAGGGTCCGAAGTCAGCTGAAGTCGGCGTGACGTTTGGGCAGCGCGAGTGACTTCCAAAAAAAACAAAAAAGGTTCATGCCCTCCTTAATGTATCTAGATTTGTCTAGTTGAGTTTCACGACGCAGTAGAACTTAACGTGAATTTTTCGTCTTTGTACTAATCTTGACTGAGACTGTTCAGGTGAGCGTTCCCGCAGAGGGGTTAGAATCAATGGAGCTTCGGCCGACCATACGCTGCTGATCTTGCCCTAGCACGAACTGACGTATGACTGGGTGGAGAGCAAGCACTATGCTGAAAGGAACAAACCAGCGTTTTCCCCACGGTTCTTTCGCTTCCAAACATTCGCAATGGAATCCTAGGTGTATGCAGCGAACATTCAGCACTTTCTATGATGCTCTGGATCGATAGGTTCGAGACATTGCAGCCATGGCGACCCAGGACCAAGAGCAGACGCGTAAAAAACCCATCCTGCTCAGAGCGTGGGAAAAGCTTGGCCTCGATGTACCGACCGTCACGAAGATGGTGAAGTTTGCGTTGCCACCGACAGTTGCCTTGTGCATATGCCAATCAGACACGGTTTTACACGCGTACGGCACGGTCAGCTACCTTGTCGCCGTTGGTGCTGTGTTATCGTCTGGCATGGCTCCGCGAGCCGCCTACATCGAAGCTCTGATATCCAATGTTGTATTCCTTGGAATAGCGGCGCTAGTCGCTATATTCGCCATGTGGACCGTTATCAAAGCACGAGAGACTACGTCGCCTCCGGGGAGTGCTCCTACCGCATACAATTCATCCGCATCAGCCGTCGCTGGAGTCTGGCTATTTTTCCTTCTGTATGTCATCAATGTGAGTCGAGAAGTGCTCCAACTGCTGGGTTTCCGTGGCTTATATCATATCTAGTCTGTAAAGTTCACACGCCCGCAGTTTAAGTTTGCTAGCGTGATGAGCTCGATATTGGCCACAATAACGATGACATACGCACCGCAATTTCCGAACATGGCGAGCGCCCTTAATATGGTGAGAAGTCTATACGGCGCCCTCATGAGTGGCATCGCAATCACTACAGTGATCTCGTTGCTTTTCAACCCAACTTCGTGTCGGCAGGTTGTCTTCGCGGATATCGAAACGTACATCACCCAGCTGCGAGCATTGCTAGAAAGTGAACGCAAGTACATGACTAGTTTGGAACTTCAAAATCCATTCCGCAGCCATGAGGAAGGAGAAAACGTCCTGGAAAAGGTGCAGGCTCTACGAAGCGCGCACGGAAAGCTGTTCGCAGATATGGGTTCCGCGAAGAAAGAAATTGCGTACGGCAGGCTTCTTCCTAGCGATCTTTCTGAAATTCAACGTATTCTTCGGCGCATATTCTTACCGGCCGTGGGCATTAGCTCTATTATCAGCATTTTTCAACGGCTCGCTCTGCATCATGGCTGGACTTCAGCTGAAACTGATGTGGAGACAGCAAGCGAGCACCATCTCAGCATGGAGTACCAAGACATTATGAAGAGCCTAGACAAGCCAATGAATCGTCTACTTGACGTTCTAGGCGATGCTTACGACCACGTGCTTTATCGTCTCAGGCTAAGAGGCTGGAAAAAGGTGCGCGATAGTTTACGGGCGGAAGAGAGCGGTTCCAACTACGACTCAAAACCCGGTCATGACACATTCGTTCGCCACCTCGAGGATGAAGTAGATCTTTTTTACCGTACTAGAATCGAAATACTGAGAACTTGGTGCGAGCATCACAATATCAAACTGGCCCCTGACTCTTTTGAATCTGATTTCACATGGATTACAAACAGCGGAGAGACACTCTTTGGCACCCCCATGCAGAGACAATTGTTTGTAGTCCTCTACGTAAGTACCTTCGGTACAAAGTAATTCTTCTCTCTCTCTAATTAAAAGTCACAGATCGAATTTTTGCTCTGGTCCGCTGCTCGATCTACATTATCGCTGGTGCGATTCGCTGACTCCAAAGTCAAGGATGGAACCATGTTAAAGAAGCGCCTAATCTTACCCGGAAGGAAGACCGTGCTTAAATGGATCAACACTTTCGGTAGATCTGATAACGATGACAGTCTTGACAGTCAGGGTATGAATCGCTCCACAGCTGATACGACTCGGACACTTTGGACGGATACGTTCAAAGGTTTTCGGAAAGATCCTGAGCATTTGCCCATGACAAATCCGCTTCAAAACATCGGTCGCTTCCTAAGGGCTTTTGGTAAGATGCTGCGATCACATCATTCGCAATTTGGTTTTCGGCTCGCCTGCGGAGCAATGTCTATTGAGATCATCGCTCTCCTTTCAGACACACAAGTCTTTTTCGTAGAGCAGCGCCTCTTCTGGGCTACCATAATGGTACGTCTTTATACGTAGCTGTCTAACAAAAGAAGTAGGAGTGACTTAAACATCGCAGGTTGCCGTATCAATGACGAGGACATCAGGCGAAGCATCTTTCATCTATTTCCTCCGCATGTGTGGCACATTCATCGGAGCAGTATTCTGTTACATCATGTACTATATTGTAAATGGACACACAGCTGGAGTGCTTTTCTTCTATTTCATTAGCATCGCGATGTTCGGGTACTTTCCGGCAAAGAAGCCACGGCTTTCGCTAGCTGCAGTGATTGGCACGATCACGAGCACAATCGTCATTGGCTACGAGCTTCAGGTCCAGAAAACCGGCACGAATTACGGAACTGGAATCAAGCCTATATACTACCCCATTTACCTGCTTGCACCATTTCGATTTGCAACAACGATCGCTGGGATCTTTGTTTCCTACATATTCACGATATTTCCGTTTCCAATATCAGAAGGCTCAGAGATACGAAAAGACCTTGGCGTAGCTCTGTAAGCAAAACACGCTAGATTTGGCACACAATTTTGGTGTATCGCTAACATCTATCTTCCAGGTACACTCTTGCAAGTCACTACTCATTAGTGCAAGAAACAGTCACAGCGAATATCACCGGTGAACATGGAGATCTCAGCATCAGAACAAGTCCTGGAAGAAAGCTCGAGAGAGCTCGAGTAAAGCTCATGGCAAAGCAGATGCTCCTTTTGCAAAGCATGCGAGCCCAGTTAAGTTTCACAATTTGGCAATTTCCGCTTGATGCGCCTTTCCCAAAGGAAAGATACGATAAGATCATCGACTTGATTGAGAACATTGTCAATTTCACTGCGCTCATTGGATACGCTTCAACGAGTCTCAATCTGACAGAAGAGGAAGCCAAACCTGAAACTCTGGAGTGGCACCAAAGCTTTCGTATTCTTCAAGACTCAGTTCAGCAGACTTCGGATGAAATCACTTCGTTACTGTGCTTACTATCATCAAGCATTCTGTACGCTCAGCCCTTGCCTCCTCATCTCCACGTCCCGGCTCCCTACTCTTTGCTGCAAAGGATGCAGGCAACGAACCGACACATCTTAGATATTTCACACGTTGCCGAGAAAGGATACTCTGCTTTTGCTGTGCTCCAGATAGCTAGTCGTTCAATCATCTTGGATCTCTATGAGCTCGTAGAGTAAGTCTTTGTTATGGAAGCACAGTAATCTGCAAGCTAACTCTTTCCAGCCACATTCGAGAACTCGTGGGCCAGCTCGATTTCTCAAAGCCATATAGCTCAACATCTCTTAGTCGCTATACTACGTCGAAAAGCAAGCAATATTGACATTCATCACACAAAACAAAAATCAAGTCCAATGACTCACAAATAGAATATCACTCTATCATATTCTTATGTTGTTACTTTCTCAAACCTCGCGCTTTACGGCCTTTCTTCGTTTAATCGTGATATTGATTCGCTCCCAGAAGCCTACTCCTCCATGTACAATGAACTCTCCTGTTTTCGATGGATCTACGAGCTGAGGCTCGAATTTTTGGAAGAACTTCACCGAAGTTAATCATAGTGGAGGTAAGATAAGAGAGAACGAAAAAGACATACCAGTAAAGGACCTTTCGCCATTTCCATGAGAGCGACATCTTTGCCAAGACAAACACGCGCCCCGTAACCGAAGACCATGCTGTATTTATCGTATTCTTTGACTTTTTCTTTCGGATCTTCAATCCACCTTTCCGGTCTAAACACCTCTGCATCTTCCCCGTACAGTGATTTGTCCCGCCCAACAAACCAGGGATTACAAGTGATCTCAACGCCAGCAGGTGCATATTTTCCAAAAAGCTCAATTCCACCTTCAGATACCATCCGAGGGAAGATGTTTGGCGCAGAAGGACACAGTCGCATGGACTCCTTAATCACAGCGTTGTAGTACGGGCAATGCTGTTGAACCTCAGCATATTGCGGTATCTTACTAAGTAGGCCTTTCCGCGTGGCATTATCAATCTCGATCATCATCTTCTTATAGCACTCAGGATGCGTGAAAAGGTAGTACAGCACAGCCTGAAACGCGGTTCCCGTCGTGTCAGCACCGGCCAGGAGAACAAGAAGAATCTCGGCTTTGATATATTCTTCATCTAAAGGCTTGCCCTCTGCAGTCCTGGCTTCGAGAAATGTTTGTAGAAGGTCTAGCCTAGGGGTCTTCCCTGCCTCGATATCCGCAAGTCGTTGGGCGAGAAGCTTATCACGAAATCGCATCAAGGTGCCGATCCCGGTATTATCCTCGGGCTTCGCAACCAGTGCCTGCTTTCCAATGGAAGTCTTTTTCAGAAGCCCCGTGAAGGGGTAAAACCTGCCTAGGAGCCCAAATGCCGTCATTCCGTCGTGGAAGCCTTGAATTAGTCCGCCAATATCGGTTCCGGATTCCACAAAACCAAACGGTGCCCCAAAGCCAAAGTCAGACACAATATCGTAGGCCATGAAAACCTAAAATTCCCCGTTATCGGCCGAACAAATTTTTGATATTAGAACAAAGCGTCGAAACTTACAGCCCACTCACAAAAATCGAAGTCCTTGCCTGTCGATGCAAATGTTTCATCAAGTTTCTGTATCCATGCCTCCAAACGTTCGTCCATCATGGGTTCCATAGTGCTCACTTTTGAGAAGCTGTAAGGAGGGGCAATCAATTTCCGCAACTTAGCATGCGTCTTATGGTCACGGATGTTGAAAAGGCTTTCGGTCTCTCCGAAGCTTCCTGTAAGGTAGTAGGGGCTCTTGTCCGCTTTGAAGTGGTAGACTTCAGGGAGCTTTCTCGCATCACTGACTAGGAGCATTGTCGGTGTAATGCGAATTACCGGCCCATACTTTTTGTGTGCCTCGTAGCAGGCTGCTAGTTCCGTCTGCATGTAGTTGTGGTATCCAAGCCATATCCGGGTTACTGTCGCCCAGAATGGCCCGGGAAAAGCAGAAAGGGGATGGAAAAATCGATAATAAACAATCTGGTAAATTGTCGAGTAGATAACGTACCCGGCGATAGCAAGAAACACATTGCGCAGGGTGAGATGATCGAGGACAGTCTCAAAGATTGCCATTGTTTGAGAACAGAGCAGAAAGGGAAAAAGAAAGTACACGACCTAAAAGGTGATTGCAGAGGATTCATACCGGATATCTATAAGCACCCAACCATATATGCCGGTCCTTTGACGCATCTCATCCCCCCCTATGACTTTTGAAGCCTACATCAGCCGCTGGAAGTCAACCTGACATGGATAGTTCGTACACGTTTAGGAATTAGATGCGCTTCAGAGCCACGAATATGTGCTAGCGCATGCACCCACAGGCTGCAATTCTGGGGTTGTTGACCTACCTGCGGGGTAAATGGGGTACTAGTGCACTATGTTCGAGGTGATTCACGGCCTCTTCAGGATAGATCCACGTTTCCAGATCAATTGCATGGGTGGCGGTGGATAAATTCTTCCGGGCTCCAAAACGATAAACTGAACGATTCCCACATTACGACTGATAAGCCACGTAGAAGAAGTAGTTCCTTTCGTTGCAACGCTTTCAACCTCGACTTTAGGGGCGCCTCAAGAAACTTTGATGTTGCCGAAGCCGTCTCGTGACAGAATCTTGAGCAGTGAACTTGACGCGGTTTGTGTAGAATTGCACGTAAGTTAGCATACGAGGTCTCAGAAAGAGCAATCAGGTGTACCGCGAATAACAGCACGTGTTGTAAGATTGAATCAAACCATCCAGCAAGTTACGATACTTTGCGATTTAGGTTTTTGCTCGCTTTTGAAGGTTCCAGGCTTTGCCACTAGTTATTCTGAAACGTGGATGTCGAACATCCCTGCTTCTCACAAAGCAGGCAGACAACCAACCCTGCTGCAGCATGACGTACAGCCACGAGTCTCCACCGTCTACAAGCAATGGCATGCGACTCCACTATCCTGATTTTTAGGATTGACATGGACGGAGAGATCTTCGTTTACGTCGCATTTCATAAAACTTGGACGTTAGGGGGTCCGGGAAGATTTATATGTTTGACGTAGCTACCTTGTAATTCCGAAATCTGAAGCAAAGCTCATCTCTCTGAGGACGACTGCCTAATCTCTATAATCAAAGACAACATTATGTCCCCTCCTGCGCCAGTGCAGCCTGCTTTGGGTGTGAAGCAGACAATTCAAGCAAGGCATGGCGTAGCGACATATGTTCCACAAGGCTATACCATCAAAATCATAAATACGTATGGGAAGCAAGTGGTAGATACGTGGGCTTTTGCTTTGCATGCCCCTCCTGAGGATGCAGATATTGATAAAGGAGAAAAGAAAGGTGAAGTAAAAAACAAGGAGGGTGAATCCACGGCTAGCGAGCAGAAGATAGAGGATGCGGTGGAGAACAGTGGCAAGACTGCAACGGGCAATGGTGAGGACGCAAATCCTGAGAAGGCCGAGAATCCCACGAGCGAGGAGCCGAAAGAAAAGCCTGAGGAAGAGACGGAAGATATTTCTGATGAAGTCAACGATACTGCACAAGACGCCAGTGCTGGATTCAAGGAAGAAAATGTTGAGCCTCAGGACAAAGCGGAGGAGAAAACTGAAGATTTAGCTCCACGTAAAGCCGATGGGATCAAGGATAATGCAGAGAAAACAAATACTGCTGCCACGGAAGGTGGGGAAAAGGCGACCGAGAAGGCTCCCGACAGTGCGGACGAATCGACACAAAAGAAAAGCAGATGGAGTGCTTACATACCATCCTTGCAGCGAGCAAAAACGCAATCAAAGAAAAAGGAAAAACCAGAGGACTCTACGAATGAAGAGAAGACGACAACGACAACGACAACGACGAAAAGCTGGAGTGAGTACCTCGGTGTTGGTGGAGGCCAAAAAGAGGGTTCATCCTCAAACACGAACTCGCAGCAGAAAGGATGGTCTGCCTATATCCCATCAGGGCAAGCATTTAGTTCGTACATACCTTCCAAAGAGGCACTTTCTGCGTTTGCGGGCTCGCATCACAGAGACCCGACAAAGAGTTATGCGGAGCAATTGTACGACTTCTCAAAGACCCCAGTCGGCGCTGCCAGCTTGAGCGGTAAGAATCTTATTAAACTCCTGAATATGAGATCACTGACATCTAGCAGCTGCAACAGGGTCTGGGTATGCTGGCTCGCTGTACGCAGCTTATAAGGCATACGAACAGACGGCCGGAGACTCAGACGTACCCGCGATGGAATACATGAGTATGATGCATACAAGAGCTTCAACTTTGCATCTCTCACCCAGAGTGGGTGACACTCTGGTCTCAAATCTTCGCGCACCTCTCCTCACTGTCGTAGAAGACACGAGCCCAGGTAGTCACGATACTCTCATAGCAGCATGTGACCCGCAGAGATACAAAGAACTCGGTGTAGAAAAGTGGGAAGAGCATGGAAGTTGCTCAGAGAACTGTGTTCTAGCGTTGAAGGAGATAAATGAGCGTAGTGGACTGAAGGGAAAGAGAGCGATTGGCAGTGATGTTACGGTCAACACAGTTCCCGCGCCACTGAATCTCTTCATGAACATCCCTTGGACGCAGAAAGGAGATATAAGCTTCGAGGAGCCAAAGACAAAACGGGGGGATTACATCAAGTTCCGGGCGGAGCGTGATGTCGTTGTCGTTATGAGCGCCTGCCCCCAAGATGTTCTAGCAATTAATGGCCATAAACCCATGGTCGCGCATTTCGTAGTGGAAAGTTCAAGCTCAGAGGACATGAAGGAGGCAAGGGCGAAGGAGCAAGAGTCAGAGAGTATTCTTGCCAAGGCGCGTAGGAGGATGTCGTCAAGAGACAGAGTACCAAAAGCAAAACAGCAAGGCGCCTCCGTGGAGGCAGCTCCAGCTGAACCGCCGAAACCAAAAGAGCCACCAAACGTGCAGTCTCCAGTCAACCACCCGAGACCAGGGAGAAAGGCGCCGCGGAAGTTGGAGAAGAGAAGCAGTGCATCACAGAGCCCTGCACCAGCAGCGAAGGCGTGACGCAGGAAGTGCAAGAAATGCGTTGAGAGACACAATATTGCTGAAAATGATTCTTTAGAGATTGGAGATTTTATCTTAAGCCTTTCTCTTGTTGTGCCATGATGTATGTAGGTTTTTCAAATCCAGAATATGTTTGATGTCCGGTTGGCTGTTTCAACCTGTTTCTTTTTATCTCAAGACGCCTAAAAATGCTATCGTACATGTCACTCAAATTAGACTAGCAACACTCTCATGATCTTTGTTGCGATTGTTCGGTGTTGCTTTGTGACGATTGCGGTGGTCTCGCAGGCTTCACGTCCTCGAATTCATCTACGCCGACAGCTTTGAGGGTGTATGTATCTACTCATGCATTAGTATTTGACGATATCTTAAAGCACCGAGTGGAAGACTCACAGACAGCAATGGTGAAGGCAAACAAAGCGGCACCCGTCGCAATATTCTTCACGAGGAAGGGTTGGCGCGCTCGAATGAGCGATGCGCCTTGCCGGTAATGGCCATCATAATACGACGATTTTGGTAGACTGTCCGCCTGTTAGCCTTGCGCTCGATTCGACTTAGAGACGGATAAATCCTTACAGCGGCATCTTTCCAAGTGGTACGGTGGATGTGTTTAATCTCAGAACTTTCCAATTCCGGAAGCGGAGGTTCTGCGGAAGCTTGGCCCTGGTTCATGTTGGCACGCATCTTTTAACACCACCTCCATCACTTCACGCGAGTGAACCTTATCACATCTAATGAATGATTGCTAGCTGTCCGCTTCTTTCTCGATTAGCTAACCTGCAGACAATGGTGCTATGTGATTGCCAGCTCCCATTCCCGACACAGAGTCATTGATTTCAGACGCGCCGCGACTTCTGTGCCTTTCCTCTAGCTTTCACGCAACATGGCTAGCAACAGCGCGGCCGCTGGCAATAGCCAGATGGCACAGTTAGAGGCAGTCCGACAAATGGCACTGGTAGATCCAAGCAATTACAAGTCGGTCTTGACACAGATCATTCCCATCTTCAAGTCGCAAAACAACCCATCGCCAGCTTTGCGCGCATGGGGTGCTGACTTCATTGCTGAAGCCTTCTCTTCGCCTGCATGGACAGCGCAAGACAAGCAAGAGGTCAGCATTCCTGCGCTTCCAGTTTTGAGAGAGATGCTGGAGCTGCCTCCTGGCCAGCAGTCAGTGCCCATCAGCCAGACAAGCATGATCAAGAGTGTAATCCAGGCAGCTTCAAGCATTTACCCACATGTTTTTAGACACATGTAAGTGGCCCCAGAACTTCACCCTGGCTATTAGATAGACAACGACAACACGTGCTCGTCTATGTCTTTGGTTTTTCCTTTGACAAAACTCTATCGCCCTGATGTGTAAATCTCTTCTGCCGAAGCATTTTGACCTGACCGTCGCCTACACACAGAATACGCAACCCGGATGATACCGAATCATGGCAAATGATGTCCGCAATCAAATCCAACATCCTCCGCAGAATGGATTCGGAACACCCAGGCGTTAGGATATGCTGCATACGCTTCATCGAGCGAGTTGTTCAGACTCAAACTCCTGGCGTGATTGCAGACCCACGAAGACCCGAGACGAACGAGACATCCCTCGCCCTCGTCCCTCCCGACCATCCAGTGCTGAAAACTCAGAGTCTGGAAGCTGAAGCACATGGATTGCTGGACCGAGCTTTGGGCATACTACAAGAGAATCATAGTGACGCGTTGCTTGTCACAGCAACGCTAAATGGCTTGGGCGGTCTTATACGGACACGAGCAACGATTGCGAATAGAATACTCAACGCGGTCATCAATTTCAATCCCTTCCGGCTAGCAAATTCGCCCATGACACCAGCAAACAAGCTGATGATCAAATCTATGGAAAAGACGGTGGTTATATTCTTGCAGCACATTATGAAGAGGGCACCACAACATCCAATGATGGCAAGGATGGAGGCACATATCATCCGGTTGCAGCAAATGCGTAAGGAAATTTTGGACAATTCGGGCTTGAAGCGGCCTGCAGAGGAAGCGTCAGATATGGCCGATCCAGCGAAGAGACAAAGAGTAAACGTGCCACCTCCAATGCCCATTGGGGTGCCTCCTTTGCCGTCTCATCGACCAATCAGTGTGGCGGAACTTTTCACCCTCACAGATGACCAGCGGGCTTTGAACATGAATGTCAAAGCCATTCCTCCAGACATGGCAGCTCCTGTGCTAGTAAGCTTATTGCGCGACCATGTCAACAGAGAAACTCTACATCACGCCGTAAACACGGTTCGTACTCGTTATCAGCAGGTTACAGCACCAATGCAGCCACCCATACAGACAGATACCCCCTTGGATGACGAAGACGATTACGAACCAGACTTTTTCCCGACAGAAGATGCCGAGCAAATTAAGAATCGATTGGAAGCCGATGCGGATATGCCACTTGTGCGAACAGTGCCTGAATCGGTCGCTGTATACAGACTACCTAAGCCCCCGCCTATGATGCCTGCACAGATTGACTCGCTAGCCTATGCTGTGTCTGACCGCATGTTTGAGAACCTTGCACGGTTAATGGCGACTAAAGAGCTGCGTGACAACAAAAGAGGCTTCCAGGACTCGGTTCTTCGCGGTTCAATGGACTTTCAAGCTTACTTCCGTATGATTGTCCGTCTAGCCATACGGCCGTTTGCGAGTCCGGACGGCGATGTGAAGAACGGAACGACTGGCGACTCCAGTCAAACACCTCTTACAGATTACGTGCGACAGCGCTTGCTACAATTTGTCCTCAGTGACTGGCAAAGAAGAATTGCGTTTGCCGTAACATGGTTTACAGAAGAGTATGTTGCCGAAATATTCATACATTCATCGCCAAACTCGGATTCAGATGGCGCGGTAAAACCCGTGTCCGTGTCAACCGCAAGCAATTACAAGCGTTGGCTCCTTCGCTTCTTATCCGACCTCTCGGTGTATTTAGGATCGGGCAAGCAAGATTTGAAATTTCTCGTTCGATTTGTGAGCGAGATACCACTTTTGGATGAAGAAATTTTGAAGAAGATTGCCCATTTCGCGGATGATCCTGAAAGAGTGAGCACAGTGAGCGCAGCTGTGAGATACCTAGTCAGCTACAGGCCCAGTGTGAGGGAAGCTGCGTTAGATGCTTTAGAAACCGTATGGAGATGTGAGTTTTGTTAGGTATTCAGAATTGCACGGCCTTAGATGCTAATGTGTGGCGCAGACGAGGGACACGCGAAAGAGAGTCCGAACGCGAAGATGCTGACTAAGTTTCGACCGCAAATGGTGGAAAGAATTCTCTCGATGGTGGAGGCAACAGCTTGACTCGTTGACGAAGCCGGACCTGTGGCATAGTTGTTGATGTCTCTAGGCAGTACTTACTGTCCCTCTAGAAAGAGGAATTCTCTCCGATCACGTGCTGTGCAACGAGCCTCTATTAGTGTATTGGACTCGCCCATCATTCATTGCAGAGAAAGCTGTTGCTTCCATCTTGGTTGCGTGTCTTGACACAGCGCAAGCCGTTGTACTACGTTGCTAGCTGCTTTGCAGTACCTGGCAGTGACGAAAGCTCTTGAACGAGTCAAATGCACGGTCATAGTTGGTAGCACATATAATGGCAACGCATGGCGCAAAAGTTGATAGTGCATCCTTTCATTTTTCGTGCTTGCAGACCCTTAATCAGCGGGACCTACAATGTACAGCGGTGGTCAAGGCACACGGCATTGTGAATGGGTTTTCCAAGCTGGATTCCGTAGTTTTCGGCGGCCAGACGCTTTTGCGGCGCGGTTGTTTCTGTGGACAATCCCGAAGCGTCTGCCTAGGAAAGGATGGTAAGGCTGATTGATCAACAGCATGGACTTTGTATTGTCTATAGATAAGAGTTCATACGCACAACTCCGTACCTAATTTGGCGAATCCAACCTGTAAATGATCCCCAGATCGCCCCTGTCTACGTGCGGTGTGCTCAGTTGCAGCGAATCAAGGCAAACAGAAGCCCGAGGGATTGGAGGATGATCTTCAAGCCGTGCTCCTGAAGAACGAGGTGGGTAGCACAATCTACTTGTAGATCCCCGTCACTAGCGACGGCCTGTTCGTCGATTGGGAACGGGCAGCGGTTCGTTAGACTGCTAAGGAGGGGCACGACTACCACAGCAAAGTCAAATCAATGAAGGACGTTTGGGAAGGACGGCGAGGATGAGGGGATGCGCCACCGCCCGGCCTTAGCAACTACAAAAATATCCACATCTCGCGTGTGGGATACGTCGCACACCCGGGTGTGGCTTGAACCTCTGCCTAGCGCGACCCCTTTTCGGTTCGATCAACCGGCCGTCGAGGAGCTGCTCGCTCGCTCCAGATCGGCGTGGGCTCTTGGAGTTGGCTACGTTGTAGGATGGGTCGTGTGTGGGACGGCATGAGGAGACTGGTTGCGCATACATATACTCACATATCCATACACACGCACACACACACACATACACATACACGTACACGTACACGCTTGCACGCAGTCTCTCACAAGTCTCTGCTTTGCGCGTGCCAGGGACGCCGTAGACGACCCGACAAGCGCACTTGGCGCAAGAGCTCGCAAGATTGTCTCCTTTGGTGCCCGCGACGCTGGCCACGACGTTTTGCAGCGCACACATCAGCCTGCCGAGTCGCTCCACACGCAATCCTGGATCGGCTCATAACCGAAGCCGTGTCACCAGGCTGGCAGTCCACACCGTGCACACGTGAAGCCAGGCCCGCAAGAGGAATAGGTTGACTTCATGGCCCTCTTCACTTGCTGCTGGACAGCAAGGTCGGCGGACGAGCCAGCGACGGCCGCGGGGTCGCCGTCGCTCGACGTCGACTGCGGTAGGGCAGCCCGGTCGTGCAGAGGTGCCGGCTGCGCTTCCAACTGCCACACGTCATTTCTCCTGCGCTGCTTTGTCGGAAGAAGTCGAGGTTCTGCACCGGCGCAACACGCACACGGCGGACGCGAAAGCCACGACGAAGGTTGGCCATGGGCGTGTTTCATGCATTGCACGGGCCCCCCGTACATGGATGGTACAGCATCCTGTGCGTGTCTGTCCTGTCCTGTCCGGTCGTGTAGAGTGTTGCGTTCCTGTCCTGTCCGTCCTGTCCGTCCTGTCCTGACGGCCGTCGTCTTGGAGCAGTCCGCCGTCGCTGGTCTCACCATGGGAACCTTCCCTGCCCGCCAATCTTCAGCTTTCCTCCTCTTCCTGTCCCTCGATTTCTTCTTTTTCTTCATCCTCTGACTTCCTTGTTCCCCGCTTGGCCCGCCCGTCGCACTGCTTCTCTGTTCTTCTTCAGCGGAGTACTTTTTCTTCCCCTTCATTTTCCTTTCTTTCGTTCATCGTCGCTCTTTTTTTTGAGCACCTCTCGTGCTGTTCCGCTCATTATCTGGTTTCAAGCCTGGTGGTTTTTGTAAGGCTCGTCCCCCTTCATTTCCTCGCCTTACAAACACCTTCCAAACATCTACCCCCACTCCCTGCTTCACGGTAGACGGTCGCGTTCACAGCGCTCGCATTCTGGTTGAAGGAGAGATAAGGTATGAGAATTGGTTTTCTATTCCTGCCTCCACTAGGATCGCCATGCTCTGTTCTAGCGCATTGTGCCGCGTTTTGCATTGGAATCCTCACTGGCCTGTGGCCCAAACTTTCAAACAAATCCAGTATCACATCCATGGCTGTGTCTTGTGCCTGTCACCCACCAGGTTTTTTTTTTTTCAAGTTTGCCTTTCCTAGCCATCAATGCTACCTCTCACCTGCTTATTCTCCCTACTCTCGGCCTTGAGTGGAGAAGAAAAAAAAAATACCAACTTCGAAGGCGTTCCGTAGCTAACGGTGTCACAGCCTATCTGCTGGATCACTCCATTGTACCCATACCGTGGTCACCATTTCAGGACTTTACATCTCACTGCAACCCGCTCCATCGGCCGAGTACACGTCAGTCACGTCTTGTAAACGTCACCTGAACCTCGACTTCCGTCTTTGCGCCACCACTTAGTCTGATACCCAAGCCCCGGGTTGTTTCCCTCTTGCCCCTCCACCTCCATCCGGACTCTGACTTTGAACTCCAATGGTCTGTCTCTATGGCACCCGTCACAACAGTTGTCTAGTACTATGACACGACTGTTGAAATCGTCAAAATCATTAGCCTTTTGGACCGAGCAGGTAGTGGAGCATCTGTAGGTCGACTTGCTGAGAAGGTCAAATGAGTTTTTCGCCGCAGCGTGCGAGAGCAGGCAATGCTTCCGCTGCCGGCTCGGGACGAGACATAGAGGATGCACAACAGGGCTCGGTGACAGCGGCGAGAGAGCGGCTGAGGGCGATTCAAGCAGTGCGAGCGCAAGCGACCAAGGATGAACAAAGCCCAAGGTCGGGAGACAGGCTCATTCAACAGACATCATCGCCACCGTCTCGGCAACCTGCACAAGCGTTCCCTTACTCTCCAATGTCTCCGCAACGTACCTACGATCAGGACTACGACTATCAAGAACCCGCGTCCGATGCCTCTTGGCCCTTGCCGGCGAGCAGGTACAACCCTGCTGCGAATACAGCGTCTTCAGCACGTAGAAGTCGCGACTCGGGTGTCTTGCCAGATCCCAACGCGAGGTCATTTTATGAGGCAGGATCTCAAGAATTTCCTCCCGAAACCTTGCAACTGCCTCAACCTGCATTTAACAGAGGCCAGGAGAGCTACGGAGTGTCGGATCAGTACTCTTCGGTCACATCTCCCTCAGCACCGCCTCGAACACTGTCATCGACTTCAATTGGGTCACTTGGTATACCAGACTTTCCACTGCCAACGTCTCAATACCAAAATGCTCGTCGCAGTCAAAATTTTCCCCCGCAAAGCCGGTCGCGCCGTGGGCCGTCGTCGTTTTACTCTCAACTTTCAGGCCCTTTTGGCGTCTCCCCAATTCCGGAGGAGTCTAATTCCCGAACGACAAATTCGTATGCGTCGAGCAATGTGATTCCATCTGCGCAGATGAAAGAATTCTTTCTCGACGAAACACCGTCCGATGAAGACGACGGCTCGAGTGCTGAATTTAACTGGTCTAAAGATATGGAGAAGAACCAACAGAGTAGCCCTGGGCTTGTTCGACAAGCCAGCCTTGGGAGGCTCCAGAAACCAGCATTGACGACGATTAGAAGTGGCGAGAATCTTCGGCCACCTGTGGCAACTCCTGTGTTGCCCAAAGAAGTGCCTGGGTCGAAGATGATGCGCACGTCTCAGGTTGCGAGCATCTTAGACGGAGAGAGTGTGCTTTTGGATGCCTCCTCGACGGAGCAATCAAGAAGACCCAGCTTTGGAAATGTTGATCTTTCAGAGCCATTCAATCCAAATGAAAATACGAAACAAGGCTTCGGGCGACTGGGTTCGCTCAGGAAGAATGAGAAAGGCCTGGCTGATCGAAGACAGAGCAAACTTGGTGCCTCATCAGATGGAAGAACTGCGAGACGACCGGCTAACATAGACGTACAAGCCATAAGAGATGCGGAGGCACGCGCATCTCTTACCAGTCTTCCCGACTTGATTCGCCGAGCAACGAGACTGGCAGCAAATCTTGACAGAGGAAAGACAGCAAGCAGACTTGGCATGGATTGGATGACCAATGACGACGAAAGGCCAGTCGCTTATCGACCGTCCGAAGGTTCATCATTGGGCGGTATGCTTGCTTCCTTCCCACCGCCTGCTACGATGCCTCGAGATCCTACGCCGAGCGATCAAGATACAGCTGAAGAACTGTACAAGAACCTGAACGTCAAAAGAAAAAGAGCTCAAGTCCCGGATAGACGTGGTAGACGTCAGATTTGTGGCATGTCAAGACGAGCCTTCATTGCGATCGTGCTTTTCGTTTTCTTTCTGGTTGCTGCGGCGGTAATCCTTCCAGTTTTCTTGATTCTGCTTCCAAATAAGAACAAATCAACCAGCAGCGCGACAGTACCGGTATCAACTGCGCTGCAAACCTGCCAGAAAAACCACCCTTGCTCAAATGGAGGTGCTGTCGTGATCAATCTTGATCAGAGCTGTGGGTGTATCTGCACCAACGGCTTTACAGGAGCGCAGTGCACCGTGCAATCAAATTCTGGCTGCACGACGATTTCTGCGACCAACACCGACAAGGCCACAGTAGGCACTGATGTCCCCGATCTGATCACAGCCGCGCAGCAAAAGTTCAGCATTCCACTCGACGCCACGGCCTTGTCCTCCGCATTCGCAGTGAACAACATGACCTGCACGACTGAGAATGCAATAGTCACATTCCAAGACGCTTCAAATAAGAGACGTGAGTTACCGTATGCGATCGGGCACAAAGTGTTTGCCCAGAGAAGCAAAATGTATCATGGTCGTTCTGGAGACCTTGATATTGCAATTTCAAGCACAGTAGACATTGAAACAGCTCCTCCTACTGGCACTGCAACATCTTCCACCAGTGCTGCATCCGCAATACCAACGGCTGCTCCAACGACAACTCAAGCTACTTCGACGACAAGCGCACCCACGATGGGAGCCAACTCGACCACGATACAGTTTGCAAAGGTGGGCGTTCTGTTCGTGCTGCAAGACAGCCGGGAGCTTGCCGTGGCCGTATCAGCCCAGGAAACTTTGTACCAATTCCTGCAAGAAGCAGCAAAGGGTGCGAGCTCCATGCCGATGAACAACATTACTCTTGGCAGTGGTTATTTCATCGATCTCACTTATTATAGCGTCACTCTGCGCAACTCTACAAAGTACGGCATCGGCGTCAACTTCAATGGAACCGCCACTGGATTCAACAATGCGAAGCGGGCAACATCTGTAAGCTTACTCACGCATTTTTTGTTCTGACAAACCTTCTGAAGGGATCATCGCACCACGTTCAAGGCGTTTATGGGCAACGATGATTTCTTGTTCTTGGGGTTTTTTTTTTTGAATCTCTACCAAAGAGCAGACATTTTCTGCATTTAAGTTTGGTTTCATCTGTAAATTATAGTCACGATGGCTGCCTGGGCAGTTTCAACGAACCGTTGTGTACAAAGCGAGGGTGGCTAACCAAGAGCTTCGGACGGTCCTCCTGTACTGTGTAAAAATTTTGATGGAAAACATCAAGGTCGTCATTTGATGATGATTGTAAGCATAATGAGCGTATATACAACAATTGTATCTAGGATTTGAAGGCAAGTCCATCTTCAGTCGGTGCTTCAGAAAGTTCAGAAATCAAATGCCGCCAATACGCGCTCCTCACGTCACTTCTCAAGCAAAATTTGTAGAGGCACTTTGGGTAATGTTCTATGCAGAAAGTGGCCAGAGCCATGGATCCATGCTTGATCATAACGTACCAGCACACAAACTTTGCTGTCGACCATCCTATGCCCAAGCTTCGCATTGGCCTGGAGGCACAAGCGATGAATCAAAGAAAGAAAACATATATTTTTACTGCCGTCGTTCACTTTGGGCTGTATACCGTTCGAGGAATGATGGTTGCTCTCGCAAAGCTCCGCATCAGCTTGCCGGTTACCACACACACACACAAACAAGACGGGGGCAGGTCTGTTTTGCTTTCGTCAGGGAGGAGTGGATCGCTTGCTACGCTGATCTTTCCTTTCGGTTGGGGTGATCACTTGGGTATTGCCATGGCAGGATCGAGCGCCGATTTCTTCAGTCCAGGCTTTGGACGGGGAAGGAGTCTCGCGTGAGACGTGTGGCCGAAAGGGCTCGCGAAGGCAGCCTTCTTCTGGCCCACGCGGTGCTCGTAGTACATCAGCCGCGTTGGATTAATGGAAGGCATAACCTCAGGACAAGGAGCCCGGCTTCGCTTCCATCGTCGCGAAGATCTCTGTCGAGGCGTCGTTGGAGTAGTAAGACGCAATCTCAGGCATGCAAGGAGAGCGGCAAGGAGAGCAACCTGCGGGCGTTCAGGATTGTACACGCATGGACCTTTTCTTGGCTTCAGTTCGATGCTGGACCAGACCTGGGGTCACGATGCTCCAGCTCGTGCTCCGCGAACGACAGGTGGAAAAAAAAAACCTGACGAAACTAAACGCGCAATGTCGCTAGACCCGTGCGCGAGAAGCAGGTAGTACCACGCCGAGCTGTTGCGAAACGGGATCCTGTCCTGCATTCTTGGGCCCTTGAACGACGGGCTAGTTTCGTGATCTCATCTCTGCCTACGCAGACAAACGCTTCCCACGGAAACAAAAAAAAAAAAGTCTTTGGAACACGTTCGACGATGTTCTTCGGAGCAAGAAACGTCGACCAATGTTCACGAGGGCGGACCAGTGAGGTGACAAGCACGGGAGCGAGGCTTGAATGGTGGGCGACCGAACGCATCGTAGAGTGGTATTCCATGAGGTAAACGCCATCGTCGTTGACAGACGAATCCGTCGAACGGTTCCGTTAGGATCTGGTCTGTTCCCCATGACTCTCCAAAGCGCCCTGGCCAGGTGCTGATCTGCGAAGGCGCCGGTCGGTGGAGCGGAAAGCTTGATTTGCCACACACAACACAAGTCATTGCAACGACGGATGAGCTATTAGACGACTGAAGACAGTGCAGCGAAAGAGTGCTCAATAATAAGAATGCGAAAAAAAAAAAGAAGGCTCCAAAGCGACAGAAGAGAGACTCGATGGGTCTTGACCGCTGAGCCTTTGTCTATCTGTTCGAGCGATGCTGGTATGTCCCCTTCCGTCCTTGTTGCCAGCACAGAACAGAGATCGGCAGGGACGGGCTCGAGATGCCATTCGGGCTTCTTTCCAGCACATGTGAACCTTTGGGAAGATCCACCACTCAGTTGCCTCTAAAACGTGCCTGAGGATTTTGCGTGACACCGCGTTTTGTCAACATGCGAGGGTCAAGGGGGCATCCTCATGGTCTATGCCGCCGGCCCGGCGTGACCTCGATCCTTTCTTCAAAGCCACGACAGGCCAGCCGTGCAGCTGTAGCAAGGACGTACTCAAAGTAAGGATAGCATCAGTTATCTCATTTGTCTTCTCCAAATCCGTCCCCGCCGTTCTATTTACGCCTTGCCCAATTCCCCCTAGCTGCGGCTAGTCTCCGGATTGAAAGGTACAAGTTAGCTCAAACGATGGACGCATGGACCCTGGGCGATTCAACACAGCTAGAGACGGGGAACACAAGCGGCAACATTTCTATCAACCACTACGCGTCTGCTCACCTTGTCGGCAGAAGAAGGGGGTGGATTATTGGGGCGTAATGGGCTCGCGAGTCGAGCCATCCTCCCTTTGCACCAGCCAGAAATAGGCTGGATGAGCGACATCTGGCTTCTTAAAATTATGAACCCCCTCCTATGCAACCTCAGAAGAATAAAAAAGTTCTCCCCAGTGTCTTTCGAGAGCCAAGCTTTTTGATTTTACTGGAGTTCATGCCCAGAAAGACACTGTCCTCCCCACATCGGACGAAGCTAGACTAGCATTTATGGGTCCTGACGAAGGTAACACTCCCGTCATCCCAAAGGCTGAGGTCAGACTTGGCCTCATCGCTCTGGGTGTTATCGCGTTAGCATCAGCACTATGCACGCTTGCCCTCATCAGCTTCATCGCCTACCGGTCGTGGAAATGGAACTCTTTCTACGCAACCTCCATTCGAAGGAATGTGTTCGTCATCCTGCTGTGCAACCTGTTCCTGGCGGACTTCTTTCAGTCGATTGGCTTCCTCTTTAGTTGGTACTGGCTTCGCAAGGATGGCCTCGATAGCTATACCGGGCCTTGCACCGTCCAAGGCCTCTTCATCAACTTTGGTGATGTGTCATCGGCCTTCTTCGTTCTCGCCATCGCCGGACAGACGTGGTTGCATCTACGATTCAAGCGTCAGCTACGATTCGATGCCTTCCTTACTATCGTCGTCGGCATCTGGATCTTCGCGTTGATTCTCACCGTCTTAGGACCCGCGACCACTTCACGATACTTTGCCGATACGGGAGCGTGGGTGAGTGCTAACGAGCCCTGATCTTGCCTTTCATTCAATTTGTTCACTACTTTTCGCCTCTTAAGCTTTCACCCCTCAAGCCCCGCCATTCATCTTTTTCCAACCTCAGCGCGGTTCCCCGACGCTTTGGACTGACTTGTCTGACATTGCTATAGTGCTGGGTGGACCCTCGTTTCAAAAGTCAAAGGCTGGCTTATCACTACTTTTGGATCTTCCTTGTCGAATTCGGGACAGTTGTTGTATATGGCTTCGTAATCTGGGAGTTGCGTCGATCCTCAAGCAAACTAAGCGGCCTCCAGAACGAGGCCTCTTTCAGCCTGGAAACCGAGACGCACCGTCGAATTCAAAAGTCTTGCCTGATTATGTGCTGCTACCCGATCGCATACATAACGCTCACTTTGCCCTTGGCCGTGAGCAGGATGTCTGAAATCAGAGGCGCAGACACGTCGATCCAATTCCTCATCTTCTGCGGCTGCTTCCTTGTTTCGAGTGGTAAGCTACGCCCACGCGCAAGTACTTTCGGGCTAATTCGGACTTTTTTTTTTTTTTTTTTTTTTTTTGCTGACCACAACCGGACAGGCTGGGTCGACACGGTGTTGTACATCTTGACGAGAGCGTCGTTCCTGAAAGTTCAAGGTCACACACGAGTACAGGAAGAAAGCAATCAGCGCAGTCATCGAACCAATTCGGCTGTAATGTTTAAAAACATTTCAAGGACTTATCAAGGATCACCTGCGCAGACAAGAACCGCGAGCAGCCCGAGTCCAACGGACGAACCGGGGCGGGTGATGTCCCTGTCGAGCTGGAAATATGACACGAAGACGTTACCTTACTCGCGAACAGAAGAGACGTTTTCAACACTTGATAACGAGCGACTCATTCAGGCTACGAGTACGCTGAATCCGTGATCCAAAAGAAATGCATGGCGTCAAGTGAAGTGCGGACTGTTCTTTGGATATGGGTTTTCACTTCCAAGGTGTTTTTTTTTAAACGGCGAGCATGGTGTTTCAGAGAAGAACGAAACGCACGATCGACCGCGGATTCCCAATGTCAAATTGTCCTACGTTGCTGCCTTGTCATCGAAGGGAACGGCAAAGAAAGTACAACTTCCAACCACATACGGAAGAGCATCGGGTACGGACATGGACTCGATGTCTACTGCCGTTGAGTTCAGCCGAAAGGGCCATTCGAACGGATAAGGGAAATCGAAAGCTTTCAGCGAAGGGAAAAATACCGGAAGCAGGGTAATAACCGTTCATCGGCTGGCGGTCGCCAACCGTTTCACCCTCGTATGTGTAATGCTATTGTAGAACCCAATAAGGAGAACAGAATATCTGCATTTCGACAATGAATTCAATTGGACATCACGGCGAATTGCGCATTGTCACGGCCGAAGATCGCAGTTTTGAGCCAGGCGGCTTACTATGCAAGATGGTCATGGTGTCTAAATCCGTACGGTTTTTGCGTCTCTGGAAGAGATAATATCGTAGGGCGTGCAGGGACCCGTGGATCGACAGCCTCGGCCATAACGAGCACTACCTCCTTTCTCACGCTAACTGAAATTTGCCCCTGGACAAGGACCCATGAAAACTCGGGAGTGGGGCTGTCCTTTTTGGGTGTAGGGGATCTGACTTGCATGGCTCTCGTTCATCTCAGCAGCAATCTTACGTTCCACGTATCAGTATTTTCTCCGCACGAGTCAACGGAAAGCGGGTTCGAGGCCTCGACAAAGATGTCTGCAGGATCGCGCAACAGGAGTTCCGGGGTCACTGGGGAGACATTGCAGTGCTGTTCGCGGGACGTAGCCCTAGTGGTCCTTCAAACACACATGTGCAAACGCGATGCTTGCTTGGACAGCACAACATGGACGAAGGAGAAGGTAAGAAGGGGGTTTTGGGGGTGGGAAGAAGGTGGAAGCTCGGAGAGTGAGAACGCTTGGATGACCTTGAATGACTAGCATTAGTTCCGTACTGTATTACGTTAGGTTTAATATCGCTGTCATTATCATCACCATATAAACTTACTATTGATTCAGCTAGCGATTCATTGTTCATGTTCAGTCGCACGCTGAAGAGCAAAGGACAGTAGCTTGACAACGGCTGTGTCGACTAGCGTGGCAGTCAACGGTGTTTGGCGTTTTTTTTTTCTCGCCGATCCACCCGTTTCCACTTTGCGGCTGACTTGCGGTAGCTTTGTTCGGCAGTGGCAACACGGGATTGGCCGTTTGCTCTTTCCTTGCGCACATGTTTGATTCCAGTCTGGCTGCCGTGCGACTTTCGCACCTTCCCAATGCGAGTAATGCCAAGCTTCCCAGGCCGCCTCCGTCTTTCCTTCCTTCTTCCTGGTGTCGGCAGCGCCTGCTCAGGCTCAATCAGAACGTCCAACGTCGCCGGTTCCGTGGCCGGTTGTTCTTGACGCTGTGAAGCGACGCGATGCAATGCGATGCGATGACATGAGGAGCGCCTACATAGCCGTCATCCTCTTTGATTACGACTTGCGCTGCTGCACATCATTGCAACCGCGGCGATACCCGTCGTCCGTTTGCTCACATTGCCCCATCTCAGATCCGCACCTGGTCTGATAGTTGACCAGGACTAGGACCAGGTGTCGTCCCAGAAGCTTTTTGTCAGACCCACCCCAGCGCCAATCACACGTCCGAGGAAGTTTTCTAGAAGGCCACGCCCTGTTCCACTGACGGCGCTTCGTATTTTGCCCTTCTCGCCTCCCACTTGATCACTTGCGGTCCCATAAGCGAGAAGTCCTTCTTTTCCTCGTACCAAACATAGAAGGAAGAAGAGAGAGCCTGTGTGAGTGAGAGAGAACAAAAACTGCACTCGTCCCTGTCATCCTTCTCTTTTCGCATACATCTTCCGTTCCTTTCTGTTGCCTTCTCCACTCGTTATTCGCTCTGGCCTACCGAGACGTTTTGAAAGAAGAGAAGAAAAAAACGGCCAGCTTCAAGTGTTCCGACAAAGGTTGATTCTGGTTTTGCGGTCCGCAGCAACTCATAACGACCACCGCACGCAGTGTGACACCGGATTCGCAAGCATCGGACGGACGACATGTATAGCTCATAATACGAACCGGATCAAACCCCCCCCCCCCCCCCCTCCTTTGGAAACACTCTTTTCTTGCGCAACAGAGAAGAGATTGATCGCAATGGCCGAAGCGAACCACTCCAGTGCTTCGGGCACCTTGTCACCTCTCACGCCTGAGCTTAGCCATGGCTTGATTCCAGTAACTCTGTTCGGCGTCTTGTCCTTCGGTTCAGCCACCATACTCCTAGCCTTGATATCGTTCCGGCTGTTGAGATGGAATCAGAAGTCCAAGCACGTCAACCAATTCGTCGTGCTGATATGCAATCTTTTGCTTGCCGACATCCAGCAATCCATGGCCTTTCTGTTGAACGCTAAGTGGCTAGCCGAGAACCGGATCCACGTTGGGACCTCGACTTGCTGGGCCCAAGGCTGGTTTGTATCTACGGGAGATCTAGCATCTGGCGTGTGGAGCTTCGCCATTGGTCTGCATACCTTTGCCGTGGTCATATTCGGCTACCGCCTTTCCACCATGAGATTCATGATAGCGATCCTTTTGCTGTGGACCTTTGTCTATGCTATGGCCGTAGTGGGTATCGCTATGCACTCGTCCGACTTCTACGTGCGCGCCGTGGCATGGGTAAGTTGATACAGAATTCATTCGAACCTCTAGAATGGAAGCACTAATGGGCCCCGAAAACAGTGTTGGGTCAACGTCAAATACGGACGTTTGCGGCTGTGGCTTCACTATTTCTGGATCTTCGCCTTCGAATGCGGCACCGTGTTGATATACGGCGTGCTGATCGTTGCTCTCCGCTGGCGAATACGAAGTAACTACTATCGATCACAGCAACAGGAGCAGCAGGCCAAGGATGCTGCAAAGCTGATGGTAGCCTACCCGATCATATACGTCTTGTGCACACTCCCTCTCGCTACGCTTCGTATGTACCAGGAATCGGCGGACGAGCGTGTTGTGAGCGCATCATGGTTCTGCTTAGCTGGCGCTATGATAACATCCAACGGATGGCTGGACGTGATACTGTATTGCGTAACTCGGCGTATAATGCTGTTCAGCGACGAACCTCCAAATTCAGATAACGGTATTGAGTCTTTCGGCACCCCGTGGGTGAAACGCGATGTTTATGGAACGGAAACAAAATGCGAACATGTCCCAACGTCTCCTATAGCGTTTAGGCGAAGACTTGGACGACATGATAGAGACGACGATACGATCTACATGGTGGACAGACCGGTTGAGCAACATGTCATCAAGGATAAAGCCGGGCAAGTCACTATTACCGCTGAGCGGACTATAGAAGTGAGAAGCGATCCGGCAGCCGACACGGAGCAACAGTTTGCAGCGGATGGTTACTTGGCTTCCAAGAACAGACACGAGCTCTGGTCGGTAGATAGCGACATACACAGCAAGACAGAAGGCGGGCCGACTCGCCCTGCAACGCCTGGTAGTATTGACTACGAAATCGAGAACCTCGAGTTCAAGACCAAACCCAACGGCTTCTAACATAACGACGAACCAAGACTCATGGCAAGGTAGAGCAAGACACGCGCACGTGAGTACGTGTACGATTTGTGCGTATGATGATTTCTTAGCACAACGTAGAACAAAGATAGGCATAAATTCTCATCTCTTGTATAGCATGGTGTCGGTGTTGGACGAATTAGAGGTCAAGAAGATTTTACGACGGCTCGAGTGGAACACTGTTTGCTGTACATGTAGCATTTGGCTATTTCCTTTGCTGAGATACCCTAGGTGGGGCTTCCTCTTGCATATAGACGGTGCAATAATGCTGGCACAAAAGCCACCTTGTCACCAGCGCCCAGAGCGCATCATAATGAAAAGAGAAGAAAAAGAATATTTAAGAAAAACAAAAGAAATGTTCAAGGCATCTCAACTGATTTGGTACTGAAGTTCTTGACAATCTTGAGTCTAGCTTAGTCCTGGCCCACCCTCTTGAGCAGATCGAATGTGCAGCACCGACTCCGCCAATCCCCCTTCCTGCAGACCAACATTCGTTTGCATGTTCCGCAGACTCCGTCAACGCTGTCACCACGCTACGTAGACTTTCCGGTCTTGTCCAGCTCTTCAATCGTGACGTTCAGCCCGGCAACCTTAGCTCTGGCGTTTGCAGCACCGCTCTGAGAATTCCGAGCCGGCTCAAAGGCCGGGTTGACATACTTTTCGCCGACGGTCATGACGTCGTCGAAGAAGTCAAGCATCGCATCGCAGCTCTTGGGGAAGACGCACTCGACAAAGTTCTCCTCGCCGCCTGAGAAGGTGGGGCAGATGAAGTGTTCTTTCGGCTCCTCGTCCGCGTCCTCCCAAAGGCGGGACGAGTCCGCGCTGCGCGTTGGTCTGTCGTCGCGGTCGGCGATGCCGACGCACGTGTTGACGGGCGCGGCGGAGACGACCCACGCGCGCGTGCGTGTTTCTACAAACTTCGCGAGAGAGGGATTGAGAGTTTGCGGGTCGACATGCGGATGCACCCATGCTGCGGCCTTGACGCGGGAGCTCATGGCGGACCAGTGTTCGTCAAGGTACGACAGCACGCCGGTAGTGCCCTGGCCGATGCCGACGACGAACAAGTTCGCGTTCTCGCTCACGTATGCCGCGTTGTTGATGACCTTAGCGAAGGCTGTCGCGATGTGTTCACGCCCGTCTCGCGACCCGGGAATGAGGTTATGCGCTTCGTGCACTTTGATCGCCGGGTGGAAGAGGCTCTTCCTCGGTAACGCCTCCCAAGACGCGTGACTGAGAGCGCGCTTCTCCCTGTGCGAGTAGTAACACTGGCCCGGGTTGAGCACGACGAGGCCAGGCTCGGTTTCGGTCGAGCCAGCGCGACGCTTAAGGGACTTGAGCGTGCCGGCGCAGGAGCCGACGTCAAAGCCTTGATCGTTAATGGTGCGGTACGCCCAAACCCCTAGGTCTTGGATGAAGTCGTTAACGATGACAATTACAGTCTGTTTCGTCTTGAGGTCCGCCTGTCGCGTGGCAAAGATCGGAACGCAAGGCTCCTTGGGGTCCTCGGTCGTCATCTGAGGGAGGTACAATGCCGGTGCGCCCAACCGTTCCATACGGTCCGCGATCTCCTTTCGAAGGCATTCTAGAGTGAGGATAAGCATACAGCTTCACCAAATTGACATATTAAACTTGCTGTGAAAGGCCTCTTTGTGCACTTCATTGAAGCGTACGTTGTTCGTGACGTTGAACTTGAAGCGCTCAGTAGGATGTCTAATTTGCCGAATCTCAGACTTCTCGTTGATAAAGTAACCAAGCCTGGTTAAGTCCGCCTCCCACGCCGGGTCCTCTGGTAGACTGTCAGGTAGGCGTCTAAACATCTTAGTTGTGCTCTGATGGAAGGGCAACTGAAGGGTGTTTCGACGTCGTCGGATATGTCAAAAATGTCGCTACTCGCGGGCGATGCGAACACAAAACAAACTTAGTTCTAATTGTGAATAGGTGTTTGAAAGATACCGGATCGGGTAGTCGGGTAAGAGCGAATGCTGGGTGGCATTCCAATGACAAGATATTTGTTAGTGTCCATCCCAGAGGTCATCACGACACATTGAGAATGCTACCGGCCATTGCAATATAAAACCCGGAGGGGCTCGAATACGACTTGTCCCGAACGGCTTCTTCTTCTCGCAAGGCAAATTAGGCAGATTCAGTCACTTTATGTTCCCAGCGTCTATATGGACAGCAATTCAGCTTATGAAGGGCGCAAAAGCGCCATTAAAAGATGTTTCATTTTCCCTCGATCCTCTTCTTTTCTTTCCTCTTTCAGGTCTTCTCTTGAGATGACATGGATTTGCCTTCCTCTGTTTGTCCGTTCAACACCTGTGTTAGCGCATCAATAGGCGTAGCGCCCGTTGGTGGTGTACCTAATTCGTGCTCGTCCTCTGACGGTGCCTTTTCCGTCGCAGTATCATCTTCTTCAACCTTTTCCCCAGCTTCACTGTGTGCCGACTGAAAGGTGTCGATCGATAACCGGCTCTCCTGTGATGGCGTAGGAGTTTCAGTCACCGGTTGCACGGCATCGGTCTCCGCCCTAAGCGGCACAGCTTGCGCCTGCGGTTTTTCCTCCTGTGGAGAGTAAAATACATCGTGTCGATTAGAGTCTACGCTTGGTCGTGAAGCAAGTTCTCCTGGGACCTCAATTGAATGTGCTGCTTGTTCGCTCTTCATATGGCCATCGATCGCAGTGTTGGACGCCCGGTTCACGTTTGTCTCATAAACAGGTCGCTTGCCTTTATCTTGCCTTCTCAGTTCCCCCTTACTATCATCTAGCAAATCAGAAGGAGCTTCGACCTTCGAATCAGGCCCACTGGTATCAAGGCCATCCCATGCGTGATCCCATCCATGTATATGATCGGATGCATGTAGTATCTCACCGTTTCTGGCCATCCCTCTGATGTCGGACCAGTATCCCAATTGTTTGCATTGAGCATCTGCAGCCTCAACGGCCTTCAACAAGTTGTCGATATGTATTTTCTCCTTCTCCTTCTCCTCTTCTCCCCTCTCCTTATGCTCGTTTCGATGACGCTCGGCCGCTTCGAATTCATGCATGAGCATAGATAGCAATTGCCTCCTGGAATTCTGGAAAACAAGAAGTTTCATGATGTGCTCCATGTTTTCAGCCAGATAATGCAGCTCCTCCCCACCGTCCGTCAAGAACCTCCGAACCAACACGATCTTCTCCCGATCGATGGCTGCGGCCCGCAGCCCTCTCAACAAGTCCGGAATGTTGGTAACTTCCATGGTGTCAGCCTGGTCTTCGCAGTTTTTTGCATCCCACGCACTGCTCGTTGCAACGGAACAACGAGCTCTTTTCTCAGTTCTTGTGGTGCTATCCATGTCCTCTTCATTGTGCTTCGTCTTCGAGTGAATGGTGAAATAGTCGCTCGTCAGCGCGTGCGCTGCCTCTTTCGGTTTCGCAGTCTTCCGCTTACATCTTTTCCGCAGCCACCGTCTCCTCCGGACAAAACTATGAAACCACGGATGCGTCCCGTGCCAGGCTGTACCTTTGCCGAACCAGAAGCTGTATTCCCAGCCCTCTTCGTCCACGTCTCCCGACATATCCACGTACCAGCACCGCCATGACCATTCCCAGCTCGGGTCGGGAACCTGAGCGTTTGTAATGTTGACTGCGGAGGGGCGGTGTCGACTGTCAAGCCAAGCGACAGGATCGAAGTTCAGCAGCGAGTTTGACGAGAATCGAGGTATGCCGGCAAAGAAGAACCCTCTTTGATTCTCGTACAGGACGTCAATGTGTGAATCGGGGTCGTCAATTTCGAGTTTTGCCCCTTTCGGCTTCGACGTTCGAATAGCATCCTTTACCTTTTCCCCGCCTCGACGCACCCTTCCCTTACCCCAGGCGTCGCCGTCAGAACCGTCCGAGGTCAGCTTCTGGGCCAAGGTGTCCTTAGCCTTTGCAGACGTGCTACCTTCTCCCTCCTCGGAGACGTTTGGCGAACTGTTAACATTCGATTGACTGTCTCTACCCTCTTGCCACTTTGACCGTTGATACTTCCTCCTTGCAAGTGTTTGACGGATGGACCCGTGTGTTAAAGTCTGAGAGATGCCAGTTAGGGTGGTCAACGGTTCTATGCCGGAGCTCGGCTCTTCCGTCGACACGGTGTGGTCGACGAGAGTTATGCGGTTTGATTCTCGCTTGTTTCCCTGGGTTTCATTATCGCTAACAGACGCGTCCTCGTGAGCCATGCTGCTACCTGTACACGAGTAGCACGGTGAGGCTGACCATGTTATGGGATGGACAGACAATGGCTATTCCTCAATGGATGCCCAAAAGAAATGCCTGAAAAAAAATAGGGTCAAAGGAAAAGAGTCAGCACAGTGGAAATCAAGGGCACAGGTGAAATCATCATGTTCTCATCCGCCGCGCCAGGAGAGAAGGTCACAATGCAAGACTCGAGCTTAATGTGGCTTGGGCCTGGTGGAGCTTCACCGTTTGGTGCAAGTCGCTAGGCCTTCTTCGCTGCACCTCTTACGTCACTGCCTGCTCTACGTAAAGCGGGCAGGCCAGCAGCTGCAACAGATCACGAACGTGCTGTTGCTCCTCGGCCAATAAATGCCAGCAGCATTCCTGCGTCCTCTGGTGAAGTACTTTTTCCGTCGATCACCTGTTACGAGCCCCCCCCAAACACATCTGCTAAACCGTCAGACACCCTTTTTCCACTTTACCTCAAACCCAATTCACGCAACAATGTCCGGGCGTTTTGTAAAGGTCGCTGGAGTCGGCCTCGTCGCCGGAGCCGGCTACTACCTGTACCAAGCCGGAGGCCAGCCTAAGGTGGCAGAGAAGAAGTTCGAACGTGAGTCGCCCTTCTCCTTTCAGGCCCGCGAATTCTTCCCGACTAACGCTTTCAATCAGACGACGCTGCAAAGCTGTCCTCGAAGATCCGCGGCGATCTCCCAGGCGCCGAAAAGGAGGCGAAGACTGGCATCAAGCTCGCAGGCGAGGAAGCCAGTGCTAAATTCGACTCTGCGGTACGTTCACCGTCGTGACAGCTCCCTATCAGCAACCGCATGTGCTGACGTCGTCCAGGCTGCGCAATTGAAAGACTCTGCGAACAAGACAGAGAACAAGCTCTCGGCCTATGCTAATGATGCGTCAAAAAAGCTTGAAGACACAAGGAAAGAGGTAGGCAGCACCCTGATGGCTGGCGTGGACAAGTTCGACAAGACCGTTGAGAAGAAGGCTTCCGAGACCAAGGGCTGGTTGGGCGGTTGGTTCGGCGGTAGCAAGTAAACGTAGCTGTGCAGCAGTTTACCGACAAGCGAAATGTTCTTTTTTTTTCGGGTTAAGGCATGAATCAGCATACATGTGAGCTAAGAAGCAATTACTTAATCCCTGCTTGAGATCGCGTAGCGTCATGTAGGTTGTACATGAATTACACATTTTTCTTTACCTCTCTATCCTGTCTATTCTCAACCATAATCCAAAAAACGAGGCGTCGAATTATCCAGACTTGCTCAGTTGGCTAGGATCCCTTCCAGCACTCTTCAAGACCCCGATGATCTTATCCGGTCCGCCTTTGATCTTCGCCCCTCCAGCAAGCTTGGGCTTGCCCTTCGCGGCCTCGTCTTCGGACACTTCTTCTCTCCCCACGAAGCCCTCCTCCAAAATCTGAATCAGCTCGTCCAAGCGGGATATGCAGAGGTCGGTGTGGTCATGAGAAGCCAGGTGCTCATTCACAGGATTCACTAGGAGAACCGTCGCGGCTCCAGCACTGTGACCGGCGGTCATGTCGTCGATGGAATCACCCACCATGATGCAATTGGACGCGGATCTCAGGTTCCACGACTGAGCAATGTGATTGATACCGGCAGGAGACGGCTTGGGGGGTTTGAAAGCGCGGGTGATGATGGGCTCGAACTTGTGGTCCGGTAGAAAGGACGTAAGGAGATGCTCGATCGGCAGGCTGACAACGATTAGCGAAGGGTTCATGTGGCAGCCTCGAAAACGAACTCGAAGTTGCGCGTGCATATGGCTTTTTGGATGCCTCGTCTTTCCAGATAGCTCATCAGGTCTGTGAGTCCCGGCTGCGGCTTTTGGTCCTTCATCGCGCGTCGCTCGATGGCCTTGATCTTTTCCATGGCGGCTTCCTGTTCTCCATCAGGAAGAGAATGGACATGCTCGAGAATGTCGGTCGCTTTTGAAATGCCCAGAGCGTCCCGCATCTCTTGGAACATGTAGTTTTGCGGCTCGCCTGCTCGTTACATCAACAAGCTGGCCCAATGCAAGGTAAAGGCGCGAGGGCGAACGAAAAGAAATGAAAGCTTACATAGCGTGCCGTCGACGTCAAATATTATCCCTTCCAGCTTCGGAATATCTGCAGCCGCTGGTTTCTCTGGATTCAGAGGTGCGAACTTTCGCACCCGATAAGAGCCCATGGTTCGCGTTCGGGTGTGAGTGCGTAGATGAAGGTGTACGGCGGCAACTGCGGGGCGAAAGGGAAAAACGTTCATGAATTGGCACCGCACGACACAAGAACTGAAGCCGTCGGCAACGCTCTCTCTGGGTTGCTGGAAGCGCTGATGAAACTAGCTGTTGCGGCAAGGCATGTGCCCCACGCATTCCGAAAGAGCACGCACGTCACCCATTAACACACAGTACAGCACTGCAACCCAGCGGTCGCCAGGCGGGGTTACCCGAAAAGGGCAGCCTCGTTGAAAATTGACTCAGAGATGGTCACAGGAGGAGAATGCAAAATGGGGGGCCAGCTGAGACCCGACAGAGGGTAAAGCGATGCGTGAAATATTCCGTCATCACTTTGGGTTTCTTTGCGCGGTCGGGACCGGCTTTTCTTGTCCACGAAGCTGTGCTGCGCACGTCGTACATGAAGTCTCTTCGACGTCCTTGTCGTAGAGCCGAACAGATTGTTTGACGTGAAGACTAGGAACTGGATCGAAGAGATTGGTTAAGCGTCGTGTGTACTGTGCGTGTTCACTTTTTGTCAATGCCACTGATCTACCACACTCGCGCACACAAATGAGAACACGTTACGCCACACATTGAGTGGAGTGTTTTGCTTCGTGTGCGCCGCATATGGCGGAGATGAATCGAGGCCAACGTAAAACGCCTCGCCGTGAAGAGTCTGTCATATCCTTCTCCTTGCCGGCCCTTGATCTGGACAAAAGAGGGCGGAGAGTTCGGAGCGACACACGTTCTGTCTGCGCCCGTACAACGAGTATCTTCCCACGCTCAAAGTAGCCTTTGCGCAGCACAGTTGCTAAGACGGGAAACGATCCCAAAGCCGGTCGCAGTTCTAGGACGCCCAGCAATTGACTTGCAGCCGCCAGCAGACGGCGCGATCTGATAAGCAGGTCACCACACGCAGCTCATCAGCAAGGCATGACATGGCGATCGATTGAGTTTCTCCCTCCGTTCTTTTTGTTAAGCAAATTCCTGCGAATCTAGCCTTGGAAAGGGTAGAGAAGAGAAGCACTTGACACGAATTCAGAATGGAACGTGATGCCGTGGTTCTGGGATCTGTCTGTCCATGCCATTGGGCGAAGAACGCACAGCACGAGGGAATGGAGCCAGGTGCCCGTGGGGTTACCCGAAAAGGACAGCTTTGTCGAATCCGCAGACGGAAGGTCACACGAAACAGACGAGAGAATGCGCGGCCAATCCGGTTGTCTGTGGTGGCACGTCTGGGGCGTGAGGTGAAGACAGTGCAAATTGGCCCGGGGTGGGATGGAAGGCTCTGGAAGAACGCGAGGCGCTGACGCTGGCTCTTCCAGCGAGAGAAAAAAAAATTCACAGAAAAATTTGTGACACCAAACAAGACAGTCGTGTTGCGCCGCCGTCGATTAGCTGCTGTTTCACGGGGCGGGCAGGCCGCGAGCTTCAGCGCGACAAATCACCCAACCACCGAGGCATGGTAGAATGGATCTTAGTCCTGGAGCTCGAAGCGCAAATGATCTGCCAGACCTTTGGGCGGCCGCGGGCTCCACGTCTCGCCCAGCCTTCCTGATGAGCAAACGCCCTCGACCGGTGTTCCAAACTGTACTCCGTAGTGAGAAGAAGGCCAAGATGGCGCGCTGTTGCGGCTCAACCATGAGCTCTGAAAATAAAAAACAAAGAAGTAAATAAATAAAGCTGGAGGCCGGCCTGACGGCGTGTGGGTGGGGGACAGCAAGCAATGAGCAGCTCCAGACTGGTAGACTGGTAGCTTTCTCTGAGCATGTCTCTGAGCATGTCTCTGAGCATGTCTCTGTGCATGTCTCTGTGCACGTCTCTGTGCATGGCGCCTCAGTCGGCACATGGAATCGTTCACGATGCTGTCCAGGCGAGCGACTGCACAGTTGCGGCATTGGCTCTCGCCACCAGCGCGCCCTCCCCCTTCAAAGCCACGGTTGCCATAGGCCAGACGCGGCGGCAGCACAGGGGGTGGGTTGCATGTCCCAGTGCCAATCCTGAGGCTTCCCAGAGTCCCCAAGATCCAAGCCGAAAGGCCACCTAAGCTACAAGTCCGTTTCCGACGAGAACCCTCGACATAAAAGTCGACAAATTGCCCGCCTCCATTCTCGCACTTTCTCTGATTAGCGGAGCTCCCTCTTTCCTTTATTGCATTCCATTATTCTTTTCCTCTTACATCACGGCTCATTTCTCAAGATCACCGTCCTGAGGAGTCGAGCACCACTTCTTCACCATGCGCTTTGCTTCCATTGCTCTTGCAGCTTTCGCTGCCACGGCCGCTCGCGCCGACGTGGTCGAGGACGTGAAGGATGCCGCTGCCGACGCCTCGTCAGCCGTTGAATCTGCGACGTCGTCTTCAGTATCGAAGCCAACCTTTACAGTGCGTCGGCCCTTGACACCAAAGTCTAAACCTCCCCCCCAAAAAGACGACAGCAAGAGAGAGACAGATCGAGAGCTAACTTGTCCCTGCTACAGCCAACAACATTGAAAGCGCCCTTCCTCGAACAGTTCACAGACGACTGGGAGTCGAGGTGGAAGGTTTCGAGCGCGAAGAAGCAGAATGATAAAAAGGAAGACACCGAGGAATGGGCCTACGTGGGTCACTGGGCTGTCGAGGAGCCGACAGTGCTGAACGGCATGGTCGGTGACAAGGGCCTGGTCGTCAAGGACAAGGCTGCTCACCACGCTATCTCGGCCAAGTTCGACAAGCCAATTAATCCCAAGGGAAAGCCCCTCGTCGTTCAATACGAAGTTAAGCTCCAAGGTTTGTTCGCTAGCTCTTCGGTCGACAAGAACGCATTCTAACAGTGCTCAGATGGTCTCGAGTGCGGTGGCGCATATCTTAAGCTGCTCCAGGAGAACAAGAAGCTCCATCGTGAGGAGTTTTCAAACGCCTCGCCGTACATTATCATGTTCGGGCCTGACAAGTGCGGTTCCACAAACAAGGTTCACTTCATCTTCCGCCACAAGAACCCCAAGACAGGTGAATACGAAGAGAAGCACCTCAACTCTCCGCCCCTTGCCAAGCTTGGCAAGACCACAACACTCTATCAACTGGCCGTTTTCCCCAATCAGACCTACTCAATCAGCATCGATGGCGAACAGAAGAAGGAAGGCAGCTTGTTCGAACACTTCACGCCACCGGTCAACCCACCAAAGGAGATCGACGACGAGAATGACAAGAAGCCCGAGGACTGGGTCGATGAAGCCAAGATCCCGGATCCTGAGGCCACCAAGCCCGAAGACTGGGACGAGGATGCGCCATACGAGATTGTTGATGAGGAGGCTACCAAGCCAGACGATTGGCTCGAGGATGAGCCAACCATGATTCCCGATCCAGAAGCCGAAAAGCCAGAAGATTGGGACGACGACGAAGACGGAGATTGGCTCCCGCCAAAGGTGCCGAACCCGAAATGCGCCGAAGTCTCCGGCTGCGGTAAATGGGAACCACCGATGAAGAAGAACCCAGCCTACAAGGGCAAGTGGTCTGCCCCGTTGATTGACAATCCGGCCTACAAAGGTCCATGGGCACCACGCAAGATTCCAAACCCCAAGTACTTCGAAGATAAGACCCCGGCTAACTTCGAGCCGATGGGTGCTCTCGGTTTCGAGCTTTGGACTATGCAGAACAACATCCTCTTCGACAACATCTATGTCGGTCACTCTCTTGAGGACGCCGAGGCACTCAAGAAGGAGACCTGGGACCTCAAGATTGCTGCCGAAAAGGAGGAGCAGGAGAGAAACAAGCCGAAGACGCCTGAGCCAAAGCAGACTGGTACCACCACATTCACCGAGAATCCTGTGGCTTTCATGAAGGAGAAGTTCGACCTGTTCGTTACTCTGGCCAAGGAAAATCCCGTCCAGGCAGTCAAGCTCGTTCCAGAAGTTGCCGGTGCTATTGGTGCCATCTTCATCGTTCTCCTCGGCTTGGTTCTTGGTCTCCTCGGCGGTGGATCCACTCCCCCAGCTGTCAAGGATGCTGCTAAGAAGGGTAAGGACGCTGCTAAAGATGTCAAGGACAAGGCTGCGGAGGCTGTCTCGACTGGCGCTGAGAAGGCTCAGGCAGAGGTTAGCAAGCGCAACACCAGGTCATCAGAGAAATAAGCGACGAGTGAATGTAGGGATATGCAAATGATTGAATAAGCGAACGCATGAGAGAGAGGAAAGCCGCTTCGGCGTCCGGGAGGGTCAAAAATAGGTTCGTTGCTTCGACACAAGGTCCTTCTCAAGCAAAAACATGTATATGGTGAGCGACATTGTGCAATTGAGTGTGCGGCCGTCTCTTCGACTTGTATCATCTAGGCTTGGAGTCGAGGAGTTTTATAGCTTCAAATAGCTTCATATAGCTTTGCTTCGAATAAATCATTTAGCGTTCCTATCTGCAACATCTTTCCCATCGATTGTTTTTTTTTTTTTTCCTTCCTTTCAACGTGTGTAAATGAATGCATGGATACATGCACAAAAAGTCTCGTCCGGAGTTTCCTCTCCTAATTCGGCAGGTCTTGGCGCGGACCTCCGTTCCAAAAGTTCATAGCAGAATGAGTCTCACAACTTTCCATCACGCTTCACAGCCCACAATGCCTCCCACACTGATCCGACGCTCACTGCTGGGCTTCAATTATCTTCCAAGACCTTCAAGAGCGATATCGAAAACCCACAATGTCGAATTCCGACGAGGCGAGGCGACATACAGACGCCACATAAAGAAGCTCTCGATCCCCCCAGCACCATCGTTTGGACCGCAGAAACCGACGAAAATGCCATTAGACGTACCGTCTTCATCGCATGTGATCTTTAACCCTCCGCCCACGGCTCCCAACGTGTACCACACGCCATTGAAGTTCCTGCCCAAGAACGACAAGAGACGGCAACTGTACACCGACAGCTCCACGCCCTCGTTGTACACCGTGGCGACCAGCACCAAAGCCGACCCCAAACCCTCGCCCATCGCCAAACCTGGCACCGCCTTGCACGAGATCGCACGCTCGATGCCGTCCTCACTGCTCCCCCGGGTCCCTGACTCGGACCCGATGCCACCGCCGCTCAACGAGCCCAAGGAGAAGAAATACCACCTTACACCCGAGCAGGTGGCCGAGATGCAGGAGCTCCGCAGAAAGGACCACAAGACCTGGACCATCCGTAGGCTGAGCGAGAAGTACGGGTGCAGCACCCTGTTTGTCCGCATCGCGGCGAAGAATTGGCAGGCCGGTAAGGAGCATGTTGAACGGTTGGAGGCGGCCAAGGCGAGGTGGGGACGAAAGAGGGCGCTTGCAAGGCAAGATCGGAGAAGAAGGAAGGAACTTTGGGGTAGAGACGCTTGATGCGGAGTGGAACAGGGTCGGATCGGCGTGTGTAAATGCGAAATCAGGAAGGGAAAGGAGGGGTGGTTCTAATGTAAGATATGCCTTGCATCGGCTGAATACGCCAGCGTTCCACTTGGAGATTTTTGCTATATATATATATATTGTTCCAAATGAGGACGGCATTGCAGGCGTCTATTACGTATGCTTGCATTTTATAAGGAAAATAAAATGCTATTTTGCGCCGCCAAAAAAAGGGGAGAAGACTTGTCCTTGGAAAATTCAAACTGCATGGAGACTGGTGTGACAAAGATGACCTCCAGTCGTGTCTACAGCTTATCCCTCTTGCATTGGCTCTTCAGCAACGTAGTGCAGATACGCACCCAGCAACTTGATGCCCTCGATGTAGTTTTTCTTGTCCAGCTTTTCATTGATGCTGTGCGCCGCGTCCGTCGAGCTTCCCATCGGCAACAGCAGCACATTTTTCCCTGTCGCTTGCTCGAACGTCAGCGTTACAGGAATGCTACCGCCTTCGCGCGTAAGATCGGGCTTCACCCCCCACACGCGCTCAACAGCCTTGCCAGCGGCTGTGAAGTTCCAATGCTTGGGGCTTGCCACCCACCATTTACCCGCGTGCTGGCAGCTCACGGTGCACTTGTTCTTCGACTTCAGCTTTGCGAACTGGGCGTTGACGTAGTCGAAGACGAGCTTGTTCACGTCGTCGATTTCCATGTTTGGAACGGTCCGGATGGAGAACTTGCCGATCACCTTGGCCGGGATGACCGTCTTTGCGCCTGGTGCGGAAAAGGCGCCCTCGATGCCGTGAAGGGAGAGCGAAGGATAACGCCAACGGCCCATGAGAGTGCGCTCCTTCTCCTCAAAGAGACCAGTCTTGCTGCCTAACGACTCGTAGAGATTGTCCATGGTGAACGCAATGTCGCTGTACAGGCCCTTCTCCTCCTCTGTGAGCGGTGCGACGAGTTCGTCCAATCCGGGGATGAGGATCTTGCCGTCTACATCGACCAGAGAGGCCATAATCTTGGTTAGATCGGTCATAGGCTCGTGGGCGGTGCCACCAAAAACACCGCTGTGCAGGTCCTGAGCCGGGCCGGACACTTCGATGGAGTAGTAATTGCAGCCTCGCAGACCGTACGTCAAGCATGGCTTCTCGGTGCCCAGCCAGTAATTGTCCGATATGCAGACCGCGTCCGCGTCCTTGAAAAATTTCTTTGCCTCGGCGTTGATGAAGTCGTCCAGGCCCTCGCTGCCATACTCTTCCATACCCTCGAAGCACATGAGAAGATTCACAGGGAACTCTACGCCCGCCTTCTGATGTGCTTCAATGGCGTTGAGCCAGCCAAGCACTGGGCCCTTGTCGTCGGTGCTGCCCCGTCCGAACATGCGGCCCTTTTCATCGATCGTGAGCGTGAAAGGCTCCGTCGCCCAACCGTCTTCCTTCAGAGCCGGTTGCACGTCATAATGGCCGTACACAAGGATCGTGCGCTTTTTGGAATCGTTGCCGTAGCGGGCGATGACCACGGGAGGAAGATCGAGATGCTCCTTGTGAGGCTGCTTGCCCAGGGGCCGGATTTGTACTTCTGCACCTAATTTCTTAAGCTCCTCTGCGAGAAACTCGCCCATCTGTTTTTTCACGGTAAGCCATTGAAGTCAGTCATGTCACGCTGGATTCCTGCCTACTCGGACGACATCTGCCCGTCGCTCCTCGTCTGCAGACACCGAGGGTATCGCAACAGCCTTTCTCAGACGATCTATGAATGCATCCGACAGGTCATCGACCTGCTTGAAGTACGCGTCCAACTGTGGTGCCATGATTTGTTTCGCGCTGTAGAGGTATGGCCACTCAGGGTGTCTGGATATACGGGAAACAGAAAAGGCGCGTTCTTGCAAAGCGAAAGCGTTCTTGCAAGGGAGGTTAATTTTGCTCCAGCTATGCCTCGTGATAAAACTGGAGGTGCGGATCGCGCTTGTAGCAGCTCTCATATAGTGGGGCATTTGCATTGCATATGGCAGGTGTGAGAGCTTGCGGAGTTGGATCGGAATGGCCTCGTGCAACCCGACGCTAGCCGGTTCATTCACGGCCTTGACTGAAGAAAACAAGACAGATCTTCGAAACTAAAATTTGAACAGATTTTAAGTCTAACGGAGGACCACATGTTCCAATCTGACTCTATTATATACAAAGATGATATACAAATGGGTTGTCAAAGTGTTTTGGGGTTGAGAAATTTGGCAACGAGGGACGAGCTATGCTCTGGCCGCCGTGCCTGGTTTCTGTGTAGGCCACATCTTTTCCACAAATTCCATTAAGGAGCGCTTTTGCGAGGCAGAGTAGGAGCCATTGAACTGCAGCGTCGTTTTAAGGTGCGACATGATCTGCTGTCGTGGTGAATTGCCGTGCACCCCCTGAATAGGCTCATATTTGCCAGCTATAGCCTTTTGATTCAGTTCCTCCAAATACACCTTTGGCAAGGGAGCCAACTTCACATCCTCCTTTCCACGCAAATGTTTGTTCACCTGCTCCTTAGCTAGCTTGAGCACCCTCTGCTTCTCCTCTTCGTTTGCGAACCTCACAACCTTGCCTTTCAGAAATCTTGTGACCAAGGGTAGATCTCTCGCCTTCTGTGACGCCTTGATTTCTGCAGCTGGGTTGTCGCTTTCCTGTAATGTCGCCACGATTGCTGGAACCTTTGATCCGTCCGTACGTGTTATGTAATGCTCGAACTCATTGCCGCGTTCAGCTATTTTTGACTGGTCCTGCTTCTGCTCATAGGCTCGGGGTTGTTTTCTAGCAATAGTTGACACACGTTGTTGCACTGTCGAGGATGTGGATACATCAATTCCGTCTTTAGTAGTTGGAGTGGAGGGAAAGGAACGAGGCTCTGACGAACTGTCTTGAAGTGGCGGATCCGACTTCTTTGCAAAGCCTCCAGGCGCAGCCCTTCGCAGGCCCTGGATTATACGGCCAGCCAATTGAGAGCTTTGTCGTTTTGTCGCTGGCCTTGCTGGCGTTGTTCGGGTTTCTGAATTTGCTCCATCTGCCTGCTTCTGTAGGCTTCCTTGGTGGTGGATGTACCGCGTAGCACAACGGGTGCAGACTTGTGACGATGTGACAGATCGATGTGATGCTCTCACGAAAGACGAGCCAAAATATATTGCGCTCATCTCGTGGGCCTCTTCAATGCCAATGGGCTGATTGTCGAGCTTCCGTTCTTCAAATGTTGTGTTTCCCCATTAAGCAAGCAGCCGCCATTGTTGCCTTAACGCCTTACATAAAATTTAAATACCTAAAGTTATCACCTACTTGTTGCTACAAGCAGTTGAAAAAATACAGTTCTCTCAATGTCCGTCGCTTTTTCCCCAAAATTTGATGATTATTCTGGCTGTCAAATATGCTTCGACGCACACCTACTGCAATATCTCTTACTCAGGATGATCTAGAGCAATACGAACAGAGGCGCCAACAGCGACTTGTGGAGCAACAGGCGAGACGTGCAGCTACTGAAGATTTTGACGGTAGCGAGAGAACAAAGAGTCACGCAAAAACCACCAAATCAAAGGAACAGCGAATCATGGGTACAGGCAGATGAATAAGCAAGATGAACGCATTTTACGATGTGTATGCTAGGAACTTGTTCACACCCTCTCAACCATCTAACGTGATGTCAGCAGTGCTCACTTTGGATTAGTGATTGCTTGAAGGCAGCAGATTGGAGCTGCTTGGTGTAAGTCTAGAACACAGTAGTGCAGTGAGAAGATTCCAAACACAAGGCGAGCTTTAAAGGACGATGACAAATGAAGTCAACTAGAGTGAGGATCTTATCATGTGGCGAAAGGTCGTGCATTACTGCTTGGTTCAGATGTATCGACAAGTGTCTATTTTCAGATACCACCAACGCCAGTGGCTAGCAGAATTACAGACTAATTTATATACAATAAAATTTATCAATTTTTGACCTCCTAAGGGGGGTTTCCGAAGCATTCAGCAATTTAAGACTGAGTTGGCATGATCGTCTTGGCCTTGTTTGAGGTTGCATCTTCACTCCTCCACAAACTTGTTACGGTCTTGGTCTGGGTGTAGAAGTTAATGCCTGGCTTGCCATAGAATGTATTAGCTCCGCCACCAGCAATAGACTTCTTGTTACCCGTAAAGGAGAACATAGGAAGCGGGACCTATGCGGAGTTAGAGATGCGATGGAAAAACAATAATTCATTGAAGCTTACTGGGATTGGGACATTGACGCCGACTTGTCCGGCTTCGATTTCTTTGGTGAATTTGGATGCCGATGGGCCAGAGCGAGTGAAGATGGCCGTTCCATTGCCGTACTCGTTGGCATTGATCAATTCAATCGCGTCGTCGAGAGTTGGAACGTTAAGGCAGACCAAGACGGGGCCAAAGATCTCTTCCTTGTAGCATCTCATGTGGGGTTTGACGTTTGCAATGATCGTTGGGCCAACCTATGTTCTTATTAGTGTCAAGTTGCACTACTCGAAGAGCGAAAGCATACAAAGTTGCCATTGGGGTACTTCTCGGGCTTGAACCCACGACCATCGAGGAGGATGGTTGCACCCTCGTCTTCTGCACTCTGAATGATATCTTCGATCCTCTTCTTGGCCTCCGGGCTGATAACCGGGCCAAGGTCGGCGCCTTCCTCGAATCCGCCATTGACGTTGAGAGCCTTCGCTCTCTCAGCGATCTCTGGGACCCAGTCTTTAGTCTCGCCAATCATGACAAGGGTGCTGAGGGCCATGCATCGTTGACCTGCAGCGCCGAAAGCAGCACCAGCAATAGCGTTAAGGGCATGATTCTTATTGCAATCTGGAAGCACAGCAGCATGATTCTTCGCGCCCAAGTTAGCTTGAACACGCTTGCCATTTGCCGAACCACGAGTATAAATATACTCGCCGGCCTTATTGCTGCCGACAAAAGAGATGGCCTTGATACGGGGTTCATCAATTATAAAATCGACAGTTTTCGCCGCACCGTGGACAATGTTAATGACACCTGGCGGAAATCCAGCCTTTTCAGCGAGTTCGGCTAGAATCATGCAGGCGCCTGGGTCACGTTCTGATGGCTTGATTATAAGGGTGTTGCCAGTCATTGTGGCAATTGGGATTGACCAAAGCGGGATCATAGCTGGAAAGTCTAAACATTCCTGTTAGAGGGCATGGACTGTAGTGGACCTGATCATACTCACTAAAGGGGCAGATGGCAGCCGTGACACCTAGCGGTTCCCTATATTGTTTTGTTTCCATGTCCTTTGCCACCTCCAAAATCTCGCCTGTGAGCTGAGCAGGAATGCCGCAAGCGTGTTCCGCAACCTGTAAGCCGCGCAGAACATCGCCCTTTGCGTCAGCAAATGTCTTGCCCTGCTCGAGGGTGATGCTAGCAGCGAGCCTGTCCCAGTTCTCTCTGACCAAAGCAGTGTACCTGAACATGATCTGCTGTCTCGACATGACAGAAGTCTTCTTCCACTCGTGGAACGCCTTCTCAGCGCTGTCAACCGCAGCCTTGAGTTCCTCGTCTGTCGATTGTGGAACTCGTGTGACGAGGTTGTTCGTAGCTGGATCGTGCAATTCGATCCATTCCGTGGCTTTGGAGTCATAGAACTTGTTGTCCAAGAACATCTGAGTATCTGCCGGGTTTTGGATTCGCTCATGGCTCATGGGATAATCCACCTGGGCAGCAGCAGCCGCTGGCTTGAGCTGTTGAGCTGTAGCATGGAGCCTGCGGACGGCAGTCGTGCGTGGAGATGAAGGAGCCATTGTGGAAGAAAAGTTGAAGGCGCTTCGGGAGACTCTCGAGATGCGGGGAGCTAGGGAGGGAATTGATCGCGCTACCGCCCTTCGAGCTGCCATTGTTTATTAGGAGAGCTCACGACCTTGACCTGGTGAGGATACAGTTGTGTGTATGAAGGAGGTGTGTCCAAACGAGCAGAAAAAAGCTTAGTTATAGCGAATAGGCCATGCATACGTAGCTCCGATAGGACATAGTCCCACGGAGTTTGTTTTCCCCCGCACAGTGTATCGAAGGGGTTGACAGCCGACGACAGCCGCGTAAATCGGACTCCGAAAGTCCACTTTAGCGATTCTTGCTTCCGACATAGGCGAGGTCGCGAATCTCCGTGTTCCCTTCATGCGGCCGAGCACCGCAAGGTCCGCGTTTATACTTACTCAAAACTACGAAAATATCCGCATCCAACATACGTTGCATATATTCTGAATATTTTGCACAGTCCTTAATCCTATTGGAGTTCTCTAGGGTCTACTGAAACTTTTGTGCATCAGGTATGACGGGTAACTTAGGTAGTAGCAAATAGTTGTCGAATGGCATCCCCATCCACTCACTCCTCACTCCCAGATCTTTGACAAGGTCTTGTTTCAATATGCTTATGCCACGCGCAATCTTTCTCCTTCCAGACACCCACACTTTCTCCCGTCTTAACCTTGATCAACGAATCGACAAAATCCATTGTAAGCTCACCGCCATGGCCGAGAACATTCCGCATCACATTGGTCATGCTACCCTCGGCGACAATATGATACGCCGTGGCACTGACAAGGAATTCTCTCATCTTGTTAGGCCCGCTCGTGTTCTCGTAGATATACTCGAGTCTGTATGGCGGACACGAAGAATTTGAACCCCGGTGGTAGGCTCGGATGAGATCCATGACTTCATTCTCCAATTTTTCAATCTGAAAGCGTGTGGCCAGAACGTAGAGACCAAGATAGTGTTGTACCGTATGGCAGTTGCTTGGGCCGGACAGCTGTCCTCCATAAAGCCACATATTGAAAAGGGCGAACGCGAATTCGTTGAGTTCGGGAAATGCGAGCGTAGCATCGGAAGCCTCAGGGAGCTCCCTCGTGATGGGAAAATTGGTCATGGAGTGACGACGCGCTGGTGTTCCGAACAGTTCGCGAAAATACGGGGAGCGAGAAGTGAGCAAGTCTGTCAATATCTTGAAAGGCTTGCCAGACTCGCCCGCCAGGATTGTGGTCATGCTAGCATTTGGCACAATCGAACTTCTGTTCGTTAATCTCGATTCGTCATACTGACGGACGTGCGATCGCTTACCCAGCAGGCCCAGCAGCGGGAGTAACCATCCCCGACAAAGTCTGAGAAGTATTCGGCGGTGCTTTGGACTGAGGAAATGGCGAGTTATCAACATTATCAACAACCGGTCCTTTTGAAAAAGGGTGGGGGGGATGAAAGGTATCTAAGCTGCGAGGAATGCTTGAAGTTGATGTGCTTCGAACATGGCTTGGACGTGCTGCACTTGGGATGTCCAATTCCATCCGTGCAAGCCTTCCACCACGAGATTTGGTCATGCTGTTGTATGAGGGGCAGTAAGACCGACAGATTTCTCCAAAGACGGATGGACTGGCTGAGGAAGATATGAGGATGTGAAGAAGGATAGTTGGCTGGAGACTTGTAAATTGTGGGATCATCAGCGTCTTAACGAGAAACAGATAGTTAACAGGTTGGCTGCGGTTGCGGTTGCCGACGACGCAGATGCGTGGTTGCAATGTCAAGTGTTGCTCACAACTTCCTTATAAGAGACTGTAAATAAAGCTCTGATAATATTTTTTATTTGCCAGCTGCAGCTCACAGCGCCATTAAAGACGTCTTAAGCCAGGCAATATGCTCATGCCAATTCTCGCTATGCTGTCCAAACGCCATCTCCTCATCATTAACATGGATTTTGTTTGCCGTGGTGATACATTCTGCCCGCCGCCAAGACCATGAACCAACGTTCATCAAATAAGATGCTTGGACCTAAATACACGAATCAGTGTACTGGCTTTGCGTTGAGAGAGCAGGAGTAGTAGCTGTACCTAAAGTAGGCGCGCAGATATATGATCTGCCACACCCCTAGTCCGATAAGAACACCAATGGTGCCGAAGGCAAACCACTTGACGCGTTCGTTCGTGCTCTCGTTCGTGTCTCGCAACTTCTGTTCTCGTGATCGTAGGTAGTCCATCTCGCTAACAATCTCCGCAACTTGTTCCTCTAGCTTTTTGAGCTCGGTCTCAACAGGCTTCAACTTCTCGCCCGCCTGAATTGCTGACCAGTCCTTTGCATCTGCGCCAATGTCGACGTCGAGCTCAACGTGCCGGACGGGATTGGCGACACCACGAGCTAGAAATCCGTAAGCAATGGCCATTGGATCGTTGTATTCACATACAATGCGTCAGAATGTTCTCGAAGCAAACGTCGAAGGCAGAATCGGCGTGTGAGGTGAATGCGTAGCGATTGTTGCCGACAACATCCTTTGGACGACCGTATTCGTTTCCTACAGCGTCCTTGATCTGTGCATATTTCAGCATAGTCATGGCTAGTACAATAGATTACGCACGTGTAAGTTCAACTGTTGTCCATCGCCTCTGTTCCCATCCACATTTGCTGTCACAACGACCAGCTGGTCCTTTGCGACAAAATTCCTGATGCAACGTTCGTACTTTGCAGACTCGTGTCCGTGGTGCGCAGCAACATCAAACTTAAGCGCAGAGATGACAGGGAGCCAGATGAGAAACAGCAAATAGGTGCCAAGTTGTATTATTGCACCCATCTTGACGAGGTGACCTTTGAAAGCAGGAGAGCAGAGTCTGAGTAGTTGTGGACATCTATCACCTCCAAATTCACGGCTCAAAAGGGTAACGCTGGCAAGACTCCTTGAACGGGGGGGGCGCAGGGGCAATGGTGAACCCTTGAAATTCAGGACGTCAGGCATCCAGCCTAGCCTAGACTCCGCATGGCGGCCTCGACCTTCTCATTCGCGCGTTTGTGTGGGCAAGCTAGTTAATTCACATCCAGCATTCCCCAGACCTGTCCACCTGGGCCCCGTTTGGCATTGAACCAACTACGTCAGTCATATCTCCCTTTGACTGACTGGACCCAGACTCTTGTCGCCAGAAGGCTCTGCGGAACTACTTTGCCATCATCTTTCGTCCGCAATGGCAGAAAAACAAGAATCGCTCGGTCATACCGTGGTTGTAGGGGGCTGTGGTTTTCTTGGGAGTCACATCGTCAAATTGCTGCTCTCACGACATCCGAAGACTAAAATCTCGATACTTGACCTTCGGATAAAGGACCAGATACCGAACCCACAAACATCGTACCATTCTTGCGACATCACCGATGCCGAATCGCTTCTACAACTGTTCAAGGAACTCAAGCCAGATGTAGTCATACATACAGCAAGCTCAACGGCCTTTTTGCCAAAGGATATTACGTACAAGATCAATGTAGAAGGCACCAAAAATCTTCTGAAGGCTGCACAGGAAACTGGGGTTAAGGCGTTTGTTTATACAAGCTCAGCAAGTGTGATCATGGGTGAAATGACGGAAATGATCAATGTTGACGAGCGATGGCCTGTTGTCATTGGGGACAGACAGCCAGAATACTACTCTCATACAAAGGTATGTTCGCCTGCCTACTTTAAGGCGCGCCATGTGCTTATATTAGTATTTTTTCTAGGCAGTGGCAGAGATGGCTGTATTGGAAGCCAACCGCTCCTCTAAAACCTTCCTCACATGCGCAATCCGGCCAGCCGCGATTTTTGGTGAAGGTGACGTACAACTACTACCTCCAATGGTAAAGGCGGCGAAATCTGGGCAGTCGAAGTTCCAGTTGGGCTCAAACGACAACTTGTTTGATTTCACGTATGTGGGGAACATCGCACACGCACATCTTCTGGCTGCTGTCGGCCTGCTTGCCACGGCAAAACTCAACTTATCGCCTCTAGACACGGAAAGAATTGACGGTGAAGCATTCTTCATCACGAACGACTCACCGGTATATCTCTGGGACTTTGCCCATTCCGTATACAGAGAGGCTGGCGCAACAACAGGTGTGGATCCGAACAGCGTGTGGCATATTGGTGCAGATTTCGCAATTACGATCGCAGGTCTGGCAGAGTGGGCTCTTTGGCTATTTGGAAAGACGCCAAACTTGACCAGAAGCAGAGTGCGATACAGCACATTAACGAGGTATTATAATATATCGAAAGCAAAGGAACGTCTTGGTTACGCGCCAATAGTAGGCTTGGAAGAAGGTATTAAGCGAGGGGTCAAGGATGTGCTGGCGAGGGACTTTCCTGAAAAGTGAATGATTACCGACTATACACCAACCGGCTTCATTTGATTACAATCAGTTTAGTTATGATGCGGACTTTGTTATCTCAGTTTTATGTTTCCACATGCCGTTCAAATTTTCAGTGACTTTCCTACATCACCATGAAGCCCCATCACCAAATTCGTGACTAGAACAAGTGTTTTACTGCACGCTTTTCAATCGGACAAAATTCAAATGAACGCTACAGATGCAAACTATTTATGACATCACATTCCAGTTACTTCAGAGCTCTACAAAGCCTTTCCTTAATCATGAAAACCCGCTCTGTTCAGCCTAAGAGATCCACCAAGCCAGCTTTCAAAAAGCGTAGCTCTTTGTTGCGTCTCTCAATCAAAGGAAATACAGCGACATAGCTAGCATCTTGTCCCTGACTCACAATCACGCCTGCTATTCAACATACCAGGTTACCGAAGACTGGGATCCATATTTTCACAGATGCATTGCTAATTTCTTAACCTCGACAAGTTCATGCGCTCAAATACTTCTCACGCTAGAAAACAGTGCTGACAACAGCTGCATAATCAAATCCATGCACTATTTGCAAACTTTCGAGCAGTCAAAACAGCAAAACAACGGGTATGTTGGCCTGAATCCCCGTAGTATTAGAGGGAAATGTGCCGTATGATTAAACCAAAAAACATTTGCAGTTCTAATTCACATATTGACAGAAACGGTGTGCCGGACACGTGCAGTGGACCTTCTAAGGATTTATTAATCCTGTGGTGTATTTACATCGTTTTCCTTCTCGTTATGCTTCTTGGCTATGTTGGCTTCGCCATCTACTTTCTTATTCGAGAATTTTCAAAAGGCAGACGACAGCGGCGAGAGAGAGCGCTGCGCACAGCAGAGACAGGCGAGAAACCCTTGAGCACAGATGACCACGAAGGCGCAGATTTTTTATCTCCAACTAGCGGGGGAAAGCCCCTATCTATTTACGCTTATTCAAAGACATCAAACAGCTGTAGAAAAGGACGCCCGGAGGAAACTGTTTCTGCATCATGTGAAGAACAAGGTGAGAGCTACGAAATGGGCAGTTTCGCGAGAGGTTCGTTGAGAGGACTCCAAGCACATTCCGAACTATCAGCTTTGACGACATGAAGCTCAAAACTCGAACAAAATTTAATCGTTAGGAGAATCTCGTTCAAGTTTTGACCAGAGCAAGTCCCAGAGCTAGGCAGCAAATGATCTAATCAAATAATGTGCTAAGCAGTAAGCAGTTCTCTTAAATTCGATATTGACTGGTTTCCTATATATGATCTCGTGTTCGTGTCCTGCCGGTTTGTATTATCTTATAATCAAGCTTGCCCTTCTTCATGATGAGTGGCTTCCTTTTCATCGATACTTGCTCTCATAACACCAGTCTCCGCAAAACTCGCTAATCCAAGCTCCACGTTGATTTCATTCATGATCTCACGGTCACGAGCAGCAATTCCCACACTACCAAAGACGATGTCCATCTCTTCGAGACTAAGACTTTTCGTCTCGGGAACAAACCACCATATAAAAATTGCGCCCCCGAAAGTCAAAAGTCCAAAGAATATATACGTACCGTATCTCATTCCCTTCAGCATGTCTGGGGTGACCTGACCTACGATGAAGTTGTTCATCCAGTTGCTTGAAGCACCAAGAGAAATACCATAGGATCGATTGGATAGCGGCCATACTTCAGCAATGACAATCCAGGCACAAGGGCCCCAGCTGTAGCCGAAATGAATGACAAAAAGCCATACCATTGATACTGCAGCCCAACCTGCTCCTCGATGAGATGGCCACGAGTTTTCAAACGCCCCAGAGATGCCCGCGACGATGAGGTGGCACATTGCCATCCCAATTGCGCCTACGATCAAAACTGGTTTTCGGCCTAGTTTATCAACAAATAGAACTGCGGGAATAGTGGCAAGAAACATCGCTATGCCAACAACTCCCGTTGCGAGAAGGGATACGGTGTTAGAAGAGAGGCCCAAGTCGCTGAAAATCTGAGGGGCATAATACAGAATTGCATTGATACCAGTCCACTGCTGAAAGAACATGGTAACTGTGGCCACGACGACTCGCTTGAACATAGGTTTTGAGGCAAAAAGTGAGCCAATGGCCACGAACTGGCTGGTAGCTCCTTAGTACATCTTATCAACTTAAAAATGAGTCTTGCAGCTTACAGCTTGAATGTGTTCCATATATTTTGTTCAGACAAATGTGGGAATCGTTCTGCAACAACACGCTTCTCGAACAAGGACTGCGCCTTTATTTCTGCAAATTCAATCTCAATAAGCTCGTGGTCTTGTGGCAGATTCCTTAATGAGGCTAGAACACGACGTGCCTCCGTTTCCCGATTGTGATGAATAAGCCATCGAGGGCTGAATGGCATGAATAATATGCCCGCACCTAAGAGGGTAGCCGGAACAAGCTGAAGGCACAAAGGCAAAAGCCAGGCTGCATCGTGCTGGCTTTTGCCAGTGCCCCCAATGTAGTTCGTTCCGTAATCGATCCAAAAGCTTATCCTGAACGTCATGCATTAGCTTGATATGAAAAATATCGTAAGTGCTCAACACAAGATTGTGTTTCAAGATATTACAAGCCTCCGGGGGACAATTTGAACCTTCTTCAGGAAAAATGGGTGCCCGATTTTAGAGGGTTTTTTGAATGAGGATGGACGTACATGATTCCAAGAGTAATTGAAAGCTGTTGAAGACCGACTAGAGCGCCACGAACTTCAGGCGGCGATATTTCTGCATTATACATGGGAACAATAGTACTTAGAGAACCAACACCCATTCCAGTGACAAATCGCCCCCCAAGAATAGAGTTGTGGCCGGATGGTGTAACTGCGGTAGCTTGAACGACGACGCCGAGTACAAAAATGCAAACGTTAAGGAGAATAGCATATTTTCGAGACAAGCTTTCTGCTGTAAACCCAGAAGTTATGGCACCAAACCAAGCTCCTAGTTCTAGAATGCTAGTCAACCATCCTTTCTTGGTCTGGTTGGTCGTATAGTCGCCCATGTCTATGACGATGTTAGTACAAACTTCCTAAGGAAACTGGTCAACGAATACAGACGATGGTCGAAAGATGTCATGGTCAATACGCCACTGAACACTCCCTGATTGTAGCCATAGAGCAAACCGCCAAGGCAGGCAAAGCACGCAATACCGAAAACTCTTAAGTTCTGGAAGATTGCCAAAGGACCTGTTGCACCTGCAAGAGCCTGGCGCTTAGCCAGAGCAGCGGACTCAATAGTCGCAGCTGTTCCTGGAGCCATTTGAAACTCAAAATTCTAGCCTAGAAGAAAGCACACGCAGAATTTGGGACCACAGGTCGTCTGCGGTTGGGAACACACTTTCCAATAGACAGATGCTACATGGTCTTTATGTGCTAGACGGTTTCCCGCCTTGAGATTCTGGAGATCTCTCAACTGCCGAACGTTGCAATGCATTCGGGTTGAAGGAAGCAGCTCTATGCATCGACCGCCACCCTGCTGCATAAGTCGAGTCTAATTGGGAAGCGTTGTAGGTCGCTACCGTATGGAGTATCCAGGATCTCAAGAGGTAAGGTTGCAGCAACCTGGGGCCAGGTTGGTTGTTGGTGCTTGACTAGAGCCAATATCGCCCACGCCACTGACGGATTACTGAGCAAAGAAGCTCCATTCCATATTCGAGCTTACGTATATCCAGTTCAGTCCGTATTGATCCTGTAAAGCCTCCATATTAGGATTCTAAAATATGTCTCCTAGAAGTAGTCCTCTTGTTTTCTCCCGTTGATGGTAGTTTTGTGTGTAATTTGTCGTCAACATAGTTCTAATGAGCGGATTGTAGTATTGCTCGAGCGTGTCACCTCAAATCGGCTTCTGAAATTGCCCTGTTCAGCGTTCCACGTACTCCGGGCAGCGAGCTTGGGAAAGGATCAGCAGAGGGGAATGTGACATTGTAGCATTTAGCAAACAGTGGGAAATAATTGGCGGAAGCGATATGTCTGTGATCTCGGCAAATGTCAACTGGTCCCGAAGGCAATGGTAATTCTATCCTACATTAGCGCATTTTGAAGCTGGGTTTTCTTGGTTACAGTCTCTTACTACCCTCTCGGACTAGGCTTGGATGAAACCTAAATTCGTTGAGACATTTTTGGCTCCGGTACCGCTTCGGTCTCGGAAGTTCTCACCTGAGTTCCAGGTCTTCGATATTGTCACTTTCATTGTCGGCAGTCATGTCAACATGTATTGGGCGCACTTATCTGTCCTACCGGCTCGTAGTACGATGACGGAGGCATAATAGAACCTCTACACTCGGAGCAGACGGGCAGGCAGGGTTTTTGTTGCCACATTGCAAAATCATTGTACAATGGTGTACACTTGCTGTGTACTCATCTAAAGTGTTGAACAAACTGATTTCATCTATTCGCGCCTGCGATGAGCAGCATGCAGGACTAACATGGAAAGCTTTTTGAGTCTACGTGCACTTTCCTCATGCGCTGAGCTCCGGTTTCTCGCTTGCGTTGTCTCGATTATGCTTCATCTCTTCTCCTAAACTGTCTCAATTGCTCAGCCCGTATTTCAACACCGCCTCTAGAATACACAGAGCTAACCACTCTTCAGTTTTTATGATATACCCAAAGTTTTTCATCTGAGGAGCCTCCATGTTTTGACCGACAACTATCTTAATTGCCGCTCAAATCCTCTAAATATTAGAGCCTACCATTACAACGTTCCTTTTCATCAAATTCACATGCCGAAGATGACAGACAATAGTACTTCCTACATGCCAACATCGCTTACTGCGCCACAGTACACTTTTCCAGCCAATGACGATGGAAGCCGGATGGAGTTTACATTTGGCGAAGACCATAGTTTGACCGAATTGCTGCGCGATATTTGTCTATGTGGGAAAAAGCGACGTCTTTCCAGAGGGGAAAGAATGGAAGCCGAATGGCTCGCTGGCAGACGAAGCGCTGAAAGAGTTGGACACCTTCAATCAGCGCAGCGTATCCAGAGGATTCAAACTCGCTCTCTGCCTACCAATCGGCCATTATCAAATCCGCCGAGTATTCATAGTGGTGCGATCCGACACCTATCTGTCGTCCAAGAAGAGTCAGGACCGTCGGTCGCCACGCAAGTGGAGAGGGTTTCAGCAAGTGAAGCTGTACGCAAGCACTGGAGTGGTCAAACACAACTCATCAGATTACATACTGACCAAGGAAAAATTCAGAGGTCACTGGCAAAATCAAACGTGAAACACACAAACCCCCGAGAGGCCGCGACTGGAAGTTCAAGCCAGCGGAAGAGCAACTCAGGCGATCGACTAACAGAGGACCAACCCTGTGGCACGGCTGAAATGAATTCGGCTCGTTCATCAAAAAGAAAAACTCGTACAGCTAGGTTTCGTAGCTCAACAACTCATGAACCGACAAGCACCCAAAATCCCGAGAGAAGGCCTGGGAAATCGAGAGATGAGCACGTAAGACGCGTTGGCACACATGGCATATTACATACCACAATTCTCACCACTGCGACAACGATACGCAGTTGGCTCGTAGGAGATCATACGCCAACCGACGGAGAGCATCAAGGTTTGGTAACAATACCTATGACCCCACTATCTATTCCTGGAACGGCACGTACCCCCGGAACTCCTCGGGAAAGTGTATCTCCGAAGACATCAATATCTCCACACGATGGTGGCAATTCTCACAGCGGTGGGACGACATGAGAAGAGAGAGATGAGATATCCGGTGCGAACATACCACCAAGTCGCGTATCAACAGCAGAGCAACTACAGAGAGAAAACATGAACGCTCAATCAAAGGAAAAACCGTATTGGATGCGCACGCGTATGCTTCACCTATTATTTACTTCTTGTCCTAAAGTCTAGATCAATTCCATACATTTCATGAATCAGAGCTAATAGTTTTGCGATGATCTTTGTTTCTCATTCACCATCTTCGTCCACTTCATCTAGTTCAATCCACTTGGCTCTGCACTTGACCGCTTCTTGCCTCACAACCCGCTTCTTGTCGTCTAGAGGAACTATGAGCTTCTTTATCACCTGTTTTCTGTAAGGAATAATAAGCTCAGCTCTTAGTTGAGTTACAAGAGCAAGACACTTCAGACCCTTTGCCCTCACAGTTGCCGAACTCGTCCTTGATGAAGAACACGTTAGAAGTCTTGAGATCAGACCACTTACATGTTCCTCCATGATTTTTGGATTTTCGGTAATGATGACCATTATTGTCTCGATCGTGCCAGCTCTGACATCTTCCTCGCCGCTAACCTCGAGTGTTTGAAGCAAAAGTGGAGTAAGGGAACTTAATTGAGGCTCTAGAACAGCGTATGGCAGTGACCTTATGATCCCAGCGAGCGCGATGAGGTAATTTTTCTTTGTTTCCATCGCGGCTGCCCTAAAGCCACTTGTGATGTCAGGCACTAGCATCGCAAATGTCTTTTGCTTATGTAGTGGAGAAATTGTGCAATGGTTCTCTTTTGTAAGAATTTCGTCCGGTTGTAGCAACGTTGCAAAACCATGAGCAACTGTGGTGCCAACTTGGGAGTCCATCAGAGTTGACGTCAGTGACGAAAAGATGTCATTGAGGCTAGAGGAATTTCGCAGAACTAGAGCTTTCGCGATGGCGAATATCGTTTGGACTGAACTTGGTCGGGTGAACATGGAAGAGAACAGATCGTTTTGACCATGTACAAGAGCGTCCAATGTTTGCTTCAACTCCGCAGAGGGCACATATTTGTTCAGCACAAGCGAGAGGTGTTGGAGACAAGCAACTTTGATACCTGGAGTCAGCTTCTCCTGTGACGCGAAGTTGATCAATGATGAAAGTAACAATCCGCGATCGAGTGGAAGATGAACCTCTTTTCTCATGGCAGCCAAAAGGTATGTCGAAAGCACAAGCCGTCTGCTTTCCGCGAGCGAAATATCCTTCTTAAAGGGCGGCCCTTCATCAAATGGTGAATCCAAATACAGAGTGTATATGTTTGCAGCCACGTTTTGCTGTGACTCTGTGTCCTGACACCGGAGGATTGTGTTGGCTAACCTCCCGAGAAGGTAGAATGTCATGTCATCTTGTTGTTCTTCGCTTGCCTCGAGACATATTTTCTGAATTAGAGGTAGCACCAGTTCCACAAATGCATTTTCGAATGCTTTTGGAGGCTCTTTTTTTACCGATTCCTGGGTGAATGCGTACAATAATGCTGATAGAATCGCTTGAATGTACGTAGAGGAGGCCCGCGAATGAATAGCGGAATATAGCTTGTTCTTTAATCTCAGTACCACGGTGTCAAAAACCTTTTCTTCGCTCCCAAGTCTCGCGAAGGCTTCAAGAATAGGGATGTAAGTGTCTGGTCCGGTTTCATCCCTGTCTGGCAAGCGGGCCAGGAAATCAGGGAACGATTTGACAATGACAAGCTCGGACTTCTGGTGTGCAAGTTCTACCAGAGCGCTGATCGCAGCGGTTTTTAATTCATCCTTGCCATAGGACTCTTCCGATATAATGATGTTGTCGAAAAGATTGATTATGGACGATATTTGATCATCCGATAGAAGAGCTCGCACTTTCGCGAGCTGTAGCAAGGCATCAAGAAGGACTAGTCGATATGAAACCTGTGATACTAGTGCTGTCGATAAAGCCCCGATCAATATCTCGAGCGCATTTGTAGCGTAATCACGGAGAGGATTACTCAATGATCTTTCTGAACGCAGTTCCAAATCACCGTTGGCAAAGTCTCTTCTCCATTCGCCGAAGACCACGATGTCAGCTCTTATGAGGGCAGCTAGCGTTTCGACAAGGCCTCTTCTTTTCGCGATATCCTGTGTTCCTTGGTACATGCTGAACAGATTGGGGAGAATGGCAGACAAAAGATAGCTACAAGCCGCCGCAGACGATGAGCTGATCGCATAAAGCATCCTCGTTGCGCCTTGTGATTGCTTAGTGGGAGCATCTGCAAGATGTTCGTTGCATTCCTTAGCAACAGGTTTCAGAAAAACCACCAGAGCGTCTGAGGACCCCCTCGCTAGCTGTCGACCGATTTCTTCCAGCACTTTTAAAGACTCCTTTGCCAGGTCTTCTTCTTGCACATTAAGTACTTCATACTTAAGTGTATCCCATAGAACAGTTGAGTACAAATTGATTGCATGGGGGCCATATTCGCGGATGCAGCTGAACAATGCCTGAAGAGTATCTCGCTTCACGTTGAATGATGTTGAATCGAGTTTATCGATAAGAGCAGGAAATGAATATGGAGAGAATGAAGATGAAGCCGAGATGCAGAGCTTCAAACGTTCCTTCAGATCTTGAGCTGTTATTCCATATGGGTCGTCAGGTGGGGGGCGAAAAGTGATTGGGAAGTAATTGAATGAGGCCTCGAAGAGCTCCTGTGCAGCCGACGAGACATCCCATTCTACACCAACGACCCTTAAAAGCGAGAAAATTATCATTAAGTTCCTAGGATCTTTCTCACCATCGAAATATGCAATGAAGCGAGGGAGAAAGTCCTGTGAACTCTTGTGAAGCGTATGAATAGCCTCACGATATTTTGATAGCAGGCGATCAAGCAAGACTATTACGGCGTAACGCTCCGATTGTTGTTTATATTGGATCAGTGGTGATGTATGATCGAGCAATGTTGAAAGCACTTTAGCCACCATATCCTGATCCCATCGCCCAAGCTCTTCTAGCGCAAGCAAAGCTTTTGCACAAGAACCGATGCTAGAAGCATCATTTGATATCCTGGATAAGATAAATTCGCTCAACAGATTTCCTAGATAATCTGAGTAGGTACTAGATGACAGAGGCCGAGAAGGACTTACGCTGTTGAACGGAAAGAACCTTTGGCGGCATAAATTGAAGGATTTCCGCAAGGTATGATAGTGCTTTCATGCTGTTAGAACACCCTAGTGTCGTGTAACATGCTAGACCTACTTTTTGCACGTATTGCTGCATCATCGTTGTTCAAATATTCGCCGATGGATTCTATCAAATCCAGCAGCTTCAACTCTTTCGCCTCTAATCCTGGATTATGAATCAGAACCCTGCAATTCGTTCACATGGAAAACGTCCGGCATACTGTGAGCTGTAACACTGGCAATTCGCGACGCTTCCTTTTTATCCTTTTCGGCCTCAATCAGGTAGAGCTGAACGTCAGACATTCTGATTAGTTGTGTTAATAGCTTGGATAACAAAAAAGCCGAAGACGATGAACGAATTGCTTTACCAAAAGAAAACACTAAACCTAAAATGGGTAAGCTCCAGTGGTGTAACTCGCGTCTCCGAAAAGGATTCTTTTTTTCAGTAACTCAGTTTTCCTTGCCTCAAATAAGACTTTGAGCACAAATGACGCGAGTCCTGATAATAATACTGAGTGATGCGGCGAGACTAAATCAAGTGTAATCGCCCGAATTTCTTCATCATTTCTTCTCTAACATTGGCATCACTGTCTTCCTCTTCTTAACAACCAAGAGCCTGGAAAGAGACGCATTGCACAAGAAAAGCTTGTAGACACGGCAGAATTACACATTAAAGAAGCTATCCGCAGAAACTAGGCGATTTTACTTCCACTTTTGCTCAATTTGACTGCTCAATACTACCGCGAGACTTGGGGCTGGATTCTGCCAGCTGGGGAGTTGGCTGCTGCAACGAAGATGAGTGACGACGAGGATGTCCCGCCTCCTCCATCGCACTGCAAAGTAATACTTGCAGGTACTCTGAGCAAGAAGCTCCAAGGCGAAGTTAAAGCCGGTGTAGAGAAGCTACAGAAAGTGCCAACACTAGTGGGCTTCCTCTCAAGCTCGGATCCCGCCGCCAGAGTTTACGCTGAGTGGACCGGAAAAACGGCTGAAGAACAGTAAGCACACGACACGAATTCGTAATATGTTAGCACTGACTTCTCCATGCAGTGGTTTCAAATTTGAATTGCGTGAGGTTGATCGAGAGGAGTTAGAAGATGCCTTGCTTCACGCGAACACAGACCCGAAAGTCGATGGAATTATCGTGTACTACCCCATCTTCGGCAACAGACAAGATCAATACTTACAACAGGTCGTTGATATGTCCAAGGATGTTGAAGGTCTCTCACATAATTATCTCTTCAACATGTATCAGAATGTGAGGTACCTGGACGCCAACCACTCAATCAAAAGCGTTCTCCCTTGCACTCCACTTGCTATCATCAAAATTCTTGAGCACCTACAAATCTACAACACAATTCTCCCTTACGGAAATCGATTGCATGGTCACACGATTACGGTAATTAATCGTTCGGAGGTAGTCGGACGCCCACTTGCTGCGCTCCTCGCCAATGACGGTGCGCGAGTGTATTCGGTCGACATCAACGATGTTCAGGAATTTTCGCGTGGAGAGGGAATCCGTAAAAAGAGGCATGAAGTTACGGAAAAACCCGGTTGGAAGCTTGAAGACTGTCTTCCTCTCAGTGATGTTGTCATTAGCGGTGTACCCGGGGAGAAGTTCAAGGTGCCCGTCAAGTTGATCAGAGACGGGGCCGTATGCATAAATTTTTCCAGTGAGAAGGTCTGCTTTCTCATTTTGCTGGATCATTATTTTTATTATTGCATATATAAGCAGCTAACTTTATATATAGAACTTTCCAATCGAGGTTAAGGAGAAGGCTTCAATTTATATTCCAGCGATTGGCAAGATGACTATAATGGTCCTTTTACGAAATCTTTTGGTGAGTCCAAAGCCTGATGTCCAATCTCTCAGTTACATGCTAAACAAGCATCAAAGAGGATTATCAATAACCGACAAGAACTCGAACGAAAAGAGGCGGAGATTCGCCAGAAAACTGTCAACTAGCAATCAGGTACACAATTATAGCAAGCTTTGAATGAGCGGCCCAAGTCTCGATTACCTTCCTTCGTCAATATCAAGTAGTAGGCATGAAGAGTCCGAATCTCCTAGATTTTAATTCTCTGCGATTGGTATAGAGAGGTAGATGCCAGAAAATCGAATACCTTTAGACATGTCCGTCCTCACGGAAAGTAAAGCGACAAGACAAACTAGCTTCGCAATCGTTCAATTTCTTTACTTATCAACCGAGGTGTTTATGTATTGCTATGAATGACTCCAACTATCTTATGTCTTATGCTACAGAAGCACCACAAGTAGAGCGGTTATAATTTCGCGCTCCGAATGATGAATTAGGTCTTCGGTTCAACATTGCGCCTAACACAAATAGAGATTACATCATATTCGTGTACACTTGAGCCTATGTGTGGAAATTTGTCTGATCACCTTGCTCTCTTAGTCTCTGCTAAGTCGTCGTCGCTCAGGCCGTTGAACTCATCCTCATCCACGTCCATCATTTCCTCCCGGGCTCTCTTGAGACCCTTCATCTTCCTTGTCTGAAGTCCGCTTAAGTCTTGTTTGCCCACGTGCACTTTGCCAATCTTATCGCCCATCATATCAGTTTCAATGTTCTTCTTCGTCTTCGGCTCCAATTGCTTTGGCTTCTTGAGCGCCTCTTTCATCATGCTCTCATCCGCATGCTGCATTCTTCCCACTCTTAAATCGATCCTAGGGCCAATCTCTTCTATTTCGACCCGCGGTAATTTCTGCCCGGATCGCTTCGTAATTATTTTGTACACCCTCAGATGAATCAACGGCGCAGGCTGACCCTCTACTTCCTCGCCTGATGATATATGGATCATGTACTGCAATCCCTCAACATCGACTGCTGGCACATCTGTGCCTTTGAAGAAATCCGTGAAAAAAGATTTTGCCAGCGTCCATGCAGTCTGCCCTGGGCCTTCAAAAATTGCACCAGAAAAAGCGAGTAAGGGTTTCATCCCCACGCTAACCTTCTGATTCTTGAACTGACTCAATGTCCGAAATCCCTCAGGGTCAATATAGAATTCCAACATGTCTAAGACCTTATAGTGGAACATTCTCACAAAGGTCAAGCAATGCGGCCGCTTCTTGCTTGTATACCCATACACCAGCAACGAAGCGTCGTTCTTCTCGGAGAAGAATTCGAGTGAGGAAGCATCTTCGAAAGGATGTATCTGGTTTTTCTTGTGAAATTTAATTGTATTCGGCGCTTTGAGCGTGTTCAAGTCGGCGAGGGCCAACTGAACGATTTGGGAGCATTTCTCGCCTCGGAGGAAGAGAGTTGTTTTTGGGTTCTCAACAACCTGAGGGGCCTTTTGCGAGGCTACTCGCTTTGAACGGGCGTTCTTTGGTTTTCTAGACAATATTTTGCTTAATATATATTACCAGTAAACGTGTATAGACCGCTGCTTACACTGTTTGCAACATTATTACAATGGAATACAGGACCAACTTAGAGTGCAAAAATACACGTGAAGCTGCTCTGTGTTTCTGACCTCAGCGCATGCTTTGGAGCCCAGCAGAATTGAGGCTGTAGCACACTCGATTTCTCTTGAGGCTTGGGAAGGGAGAATGCTTTTCCAAGAACCGCTCATTCGCAAGAACACGGAGAGCTGTGTTTGGCAACATTTTTTTCTCTACGGTTAGCTATCGATAAGTTGCAGCGAGCTTGACCCTAGGATGTTTTCGGAATAGCACGGTATGATGAAATCGACGCCGATGTCGTGCGCTAGAGATGTGGGCGAAAGATGATCTGATTATTCTATCAAACTCCTCTGCTTGCCTCTCGCGTGCGACATTTTTCTTCTGTACATCTTGCAAGGTAATACAAGAAAGTCAATCAGCACTTTGAAAGTTAAGCTTGCGAAGAAGTCATAGCACCTCCAACATGGCGCAGCCCATTCCTGCCAAGTCTGATTCGGATGGGGATAGTGCAAAAGCTTCTCATGCTGGGTCCGTTCAGCTTCAAGAGATTGCGACAGACTCTCAGTTCTCAAGCTTGACGTCTAACCTCCCATCCTCGGCACTTCTGGTCATCTACTTCCATGCGCCATGGGCAGAGCCGTGCAAGCAGATGTCCACCGTGCTTTCAACACTAGCTAGCACATATCCCGCCACCAGCCCACCGTCGATAGTTTTCGCCTCTCTGAACGCGGAAGAACTTCCTGATATATCAGAACTGTACGACGTCACCGCAGTCCCTTACATTATTCTCCAGAAGGACGGACAAGTGCTAGAGAAGATCTCTGGAAGCGATGCAGGCAAAGTGCGCGCCGCAGTCGAGAAGTACGCAGGAAGGAGCGGTAGCTCAGGCAGACTTGATCTTCCTCCTGCACAAGCTGTCTCGAAACCAGCAGAGAATGGCGGCGCGGCCAACGAGCTCGGCGGCCACGTACCGCGCTCCACCGATGCGGCCAGTACATCACAGGTTCCATCAGGAGAACAGAGTAAAGAGGAGCTGTTCAAGCGACTTGAGGGCTTGGTTAAGGCTGCCCCGGTCATGCTGTTCATGAAGGGAACTCCAAGCGCTCCGCAATGTGGTTTCAGTCGACAGACTGTGGCTCTTCTGCGTGAGCGAAGTATACGTTATGGTTTCTTCAACATCTTGGCAGATGACGACGTGCGACAGGGTTTGAAAGAGTATTCTGACTGGCCTACCTTCCCACAACTGTATGTGGAAGGCGAGCTTGTGGGGGGCCTAGATATTGTGAGCATTCATCTGAGACTAATCAGCCGCCAAATCTAACCTTGGATGCAGGTCAGAGAGGAGTTTCAGAATAATCCCGAATTCTTGATGGAGTACTCCGTCCAAAAGACTCAGACTGGATCATGAATGGCGCAAATGAAGGCTAGCCGTAATTTTGTGAGGGACACCTGAATACAACCTGAAATTCTGCTCCATCAACTGGGTTCTCCATCGCTTGAGGTCCTGACGCTCCCAATCTTGATTTGAAAGCCGCCAATTACACTAAGGGCATAAAGTCAAGCAATGTATTTGATGGCCAGACATAGATTACTTGCATGGCAGCCCACGCTGCTTGCGGACAGTTACATGAATGCTGAAATTTGTTCCTGCTAAGGCAATCTCGCCCGAGCCTTTTTTGCATTAACCTAGTTCGTTAGGCTGTGACTTCAGAAACACGTTGTTTCAGTTCGCTTGACAGTTCTGCGCTTCAAGGATGAGGTTAAAATAGACTCAAGCCCTTAAAAAATCCACCGTGAAGCAAGCTCAACTGATAACTTCTCTTAAGAATCGTGTATGTTCACGGCTCGTTCGCGGTATTCGTGAAGGTTAGGTCACCAAAAAATGCAATTAGCAATGACAACAGTGCTCTATATTTTCTGTCATGGCCAAAACCAAGCTGCGTCCTTTTCTCAAGTCGAAGGACCGACGCAGCCGCTCTCGCCAATTACCCGCCCAGCTATTTCAACCAAACGCTCGTGCCAGGTGCTGAGCCTCTGAAACCTGCCGAGCCTCTTACGCCCACAACCACCTCAATCTCCGCACCTCGCCTCCCCAAACTAAGATTCTCACTCGTCAGCTCGTCCATGAAACGCAAACAGCAATAAACATGAGCTGCCGTGTACGTCAAGGCTTTTTGAGTGGTCCCTTTACCTCTTCCACATCTGTTCCGTGGAATCTTACCAGATGGCTTTGCGCTCTTGGCTCTAATCAAGTGCACCTTAATTCAGGAAACAACAGGCATCGCGGCGGGTTTCAATTCCCACGTCCTGGATCCGCTGAATGGCTCGGCATGACTTATGCTAGCAAAGCTCGTTTTCTTCAAGTGATTCGTAAATGCGTGCTTCTGATCTTGGCGTCTGGTCGAGACACATCTTTCTCGTTGGAGTGCAATGTCCAGACTGTATATTCACCTTCGATGCCGCTCCTTCAGCATCTCGCTTTGTGCTTAGTATCCCGCAGTGCCTTCTTGAGCAGGGCCTTCCTTCTGGTCGCGGCCTTCCCTTCCTTCCTTTCTTCTTTGCTGGCAGAGGGCAATATTCGGCTGTCACAAATTGTGTTCTAAATTCTCTGTCCATATTTCCAACATCCGTTTGCCGCGCAGACGCCATCAAATAAGTCATTCTTTTTATTGAAATTGTTCTTTTGCTGCATTCGTACTGTGTAAAATCATTTATGCCTCGACTGTCGTTAAGGTAACTCTTTGTTTCCTTAACAAACATTTTCTGCTCGTCAAGAACTGCACCCCTTGCAGGCAGAACTGTTGCAGTCGAGTTTCAGCACCTCTCGTCGGTATTGATTACTCCTCAAGTTCAAATCATGGCGAAGTCACTTTTGGCCTACCTTGCAATCCTGCTGTCATCGAAGACAGTCCTTGCTGCACCAGCTCTGTCAAGCAGTGAAACGGGTAGGTCTAAATATTTAAAAAGATAATAAAAATTCACTGACAATGTATAGATGCTCCTAGAAAATCCACAAATGGCTATATTGGGCTAAATCCCGCTTCATCAAAGCACGAGACCGGCGGCGAGCAATATGTTGTATTGTTCAAGCCTGGCGCGAGCAAGAAACGGTCTTTATCGGTCAATTCGCACATCGCCAAAGTTCTGGCTGACCTCGATTTAACTCCAGAGAATGACGATGTAACGCACGTTTTTAATGGCTCCTTGGTCAATGGTTTCGCCGCGAATATGAAGTCCCACTGTATCGATGCGCTGAACGCGATGGATGACGTCGATGTCGTGGAGAAAGTCATAGAGATCAAGAAGTCGCAAATGCCCAGTATACAAGTTTCCACAGACAATCAGTCGACTTGGGGTTTACAAGCAATTTCGTCTACACCTCAACCGATTACGAACGTAACTGGCTTTAGCCATGACTATTCTTTCCAGGCAGACAGCACTCTCGGAGCTGGAGTGGACGTTTACGTTCTTGATACGGGGATAAATACCGCACATGTAGTCTTCCAGACGAACAGTGGCTCTCGAGCGGACTTGCAGTCGATTCTTTCCTCACAAGTCGATGATGAGGGCCATGGCACTCACGTCTCTGGTACCATCGGTGGAGAAACAGTGGGAGTTGCACCTGGAGTCAGCCTTCACGGAGTCAAGATTTTAGATTCGACTGGGTCAGGCTCAACACAGACAATTATCCAAGGCCTTGAAATTGTAGCAGATGCACACGCTCAACGAAAAAGCCAAAATGGTTTCATTGCCAGTGTAGTTAATCTCTCACTGGGTGCAACAAGATCACGAGCCATGAACAGCGCTGTCCGTGCAATCACGAATGCCGGTATTCATGTTGTGGTGGCTGCTGGAAACGAGGCTGATGACGCATGCAATTACTCGCCATCGTCATTAGGAGGCTCAAATGGGAATGTGATCAGTGTTGGCTCGATTGGTCCAACATACGCAGTCTCTACATTCAGTAATACAGGGAATTGCGTTGACGTATATGCTCCAGGCGAGCAGATTGTTTCCAGCTGGATTACCTCAAATAGGGCATTGGAAATATTGCAAGGCACTTCGATGGCGACCCCACATGTGACAGGACTGGTTGCTTATTTCGCGGCTTTGAATTCGCAACTTGGCCAAAACCCTGCGGGCATGAAGTCATATATCAAGCAAATGGCACAGACAGGTGCTATAAGAAACAATGGCAACTTGCTGCTTGCGAACAATGGATTAGCTTGAATTAATACCATTGTTTTTACTCACTTTGCATACTGAGCTTTTATTGCATTGCGCTGGTGTTTGATGACTGATAGCTGTTAATTAATCAAAGCTTAAAAAAACCTAGGTAACTGCAAATTCAAGATGGCATTCCTCTATCTGCGCGTGTACCCGTCCTGACAAAATGTAAAACCGCGCTATAAGAATTCGTCAGGACCTTCTTATTGCCCCTCGGGTCCTGTTCGAATTTTTACAAACATTCTAGCACGACCCCAAGTACCTTAGACTCGAACACTATAGAATACAGCTTGCTGAAATGAAGTACTGGACGGAAGCACAGCTCTTTCCGCTGATAAACTTTAAGCGCTTCTATTCGCGTGAAGTATCAAGATAAATATATTCTCCGGGTAGCTTTTAGACTGCACATAATCAAAGTCTGTTGATATTTTGGCCCTTTCGTTGAGACCGAAATTTAGGATCTGACTTGCTATTCCTGATGTGGGATGTGAGTGACTCCATTCCCAGAGCATGAAAGAAATCGATTACCGATTAAACCCATGTGCAAAGTCGACAATAGATGGGATTGGCAGAACTAAACTATAGATACGGAATTTATGCCACGAACTTAGACTGAACACCGTCCCGTAATCGTGCACCTGCTGTAATCCTGTGGTCTGTGCACAAGATGCCAAGCCATCCACCCTCAAAGCACAACAGCTCCAGTCTTGACTTCACACTCTTTGCATCTTGAGCTCTTCACGACCAATTGGCCGCAACAATGGCCGCAACAGCACCGAGAGTCGCTTCTGTGGCTCGCCAGTTGACCTGGAGATCAATCAGGATACCACGCGCGATCGCCCAGGCACCCGTTCGACCTGCGTTCTTCTCTCATATCCATCGAAGATATGCCTCTGGGACTCCGCATTATGATCCGGCCCCCCCACAGATTGAGTACATTTTGTACAAGCAGCATGCGGAACCTCATACTCCAGAGGACTGGAAGGAGATCGGACAGTCCGCGCTGCAGAACTGCGAGACCCAGGCGGAACGAGATGCTGTCCAGGAATACATTACCAACGCACTCAAACCATCATTGACGGATGAGGAGGTTATTGCAGTAGCTTCTCAGGTCGGCACTCAGATCACTACGCCAGAAGAACTCGCAGCTGCCCATGTCGTGTTCAAGAATATGATAAAAGCCGCAACTCTAGCCGAAGCTGAGACTTTGTTCAAGTATTACGATCAGACCGGTGAATTCCCAGCCGAGATCAAGGCTGCGCTCTCTGAATCTTTGACGAAGGCATTGGCTTCCCCAACCGCTTCTAACGGCGCTCATGGGGATCATGGCCACCACGATACTCATGGCCACAGTTCTCACCACGGCGGAGAGCACGCAAAAGAATCATTTGGCGTACGAAGCATCTCTGAGCTCATCATATGTGCACATGCTGACTGAGGAATAGATCGGCTGGTATCTAGCACTCGGCACGATTCCATTCAGCTGGATCCTGATGACCCTAACTCGGAACAAGTCCGATGAGGAGAACAAACCTTTCCTCACTCGTCTCATTCACAAGTATGATTCGTGGCAGGACGAATGGCGGCGAAGCAACGAGCTGCATACTAAGGCTGTGGAGCAAGCCGGTTTTGATAGACTTCTGTTCCGGCATGCTGCAACGTCGGACGGCAGAGGTACCGGCAAGAAAGAGGTCAGGTTCGAAGAGTACGTACATAGTCATACGTGACGGTAAAGGCTGCATGCTAACATCTGTCTTTAGTGCCATGAATCAGGGTCCTCAAATTAACGTCGCTCCTGGCTCGTATATCAATGTGGACAAGGTCGTAGAGCACTACAAGAAGCTGAACGAGGAGACTGAGGAGCGGCGGCTTGAGATTGAGAAGTTCTATGAAGCTCGAGAGCGACGTGCATGAGATGGTGCAGAAAGGCCTGGCACATTCGGGGTAGATTTTCAGCTGGAAACACAAAGTCTCCAAGTACGCCGATCTGGGATTATCTACTCTGGCACAGGTGCTATCATGCCCAGTGGCTTGGCGGCAAGCATTACTGTACATAAGATTATACATATCCAAATGCTGTACTTGTTATCCTTGGTTGTGGCAGACTCTTCGCCGGACAGTGCCGTTCAAGCTCTTACCTGGTGGGTCGTCCTAAAGTTTGCACAGGTAGGTCCCGACCCAACCTTTGTGCATGTCCTGTGCCCTGCAACACACATATACGCAACTTTTTTTTTTTTCTACATAAAGATTGGGTTGGCTCCGCGCACCGTGACTAATCAAGGTGTGCTGCTGCGGGCGGAAGACGTGAATGTGGCATGTGGATGACAAGAGCTCCATGCTGCCTCATGACTCGCATCCATTCAGGTATGCCAGTAGCTCTGTGCAATGCGAGACAAAAGCTCAGCGTCAGTCCGAAAGAACGATGCACACAGGATTGGAGTGCAACGTCTATATACATTGGGCCGTGGCACTGTCAGCTCCAGCCATGTGATGTTAGCGAGCTGCAGCTCGACACGCACAGCGTCACGCACTACTGCAGAAGCCAGCGCTGGCACCTCCCGCCTATCGAGTCGAACAGTCGGAAACAGAAATGAGTTGAGCGTGGTTGATTCGCTGCAGAAGTAGGCGTGCCAACTCCTGTCGAGCGGCGCCAGGAATTGTTCCATTGGCCTCGGATAGGCAAGCATAACGTAGTCCTGTTCTGTGTCTCAGACTTTGACGGGTGGCCGTCTGGCGTCTGCTTTGCGACTCTGCAGCGTGGGTGTATCAGAACGTCGAGGTTGTTTCTCGCGGCAGAGCGCTGTTTCCGACCGCTCTCGCAGAAAGAGTCATCCTTTGTCTGCTCCAGCCGGGCTCAGTCTCTGCGATCTTGTGTGTCGCCTCGTGCTTGCGGCCAGCTTTGCTCGGGCGGACCTCCGTAGGTCTACATTTACACAGAGTCCACCAAACCACCAAACCGCGACGGCTTGCGTCAGTTGTGTTTCGAACCGCACGTTTGACGGGGTTCGAGCACCGCTCAGCGTCCGTCCGGCTACAGCGTGCGTCGTCCCCTGGCAGCTTCTCGAGAACATCACGAGACAAAGGCTTTGAGTTTCCATTGTTTGGAACCGTCAAGGGAGGCGAGCTCGGATCCCCCGTCGCCTTCCATTTGTCTCCTCTGCCAGTCTCTCCACGTAAACCCCCCACCAGTACACCATCCAGCCGTAGCCCGCGTCCCCTTTGTAGCTGTCGCTGTCGACATCGTCGCTGTTGCTGCTGTTGCTGTTGCTGCTGCTCCTGCTGCAGCTGTTGTCGTCGTGTTCTCTGCACCGACAGCTCCAGACCATATCCACAACCTCAGCATCGGTACCCCATACGCTCGAGTGCGCACGTCCTGCTGGCGAGCCGCGACGCACTAGCTCGAGGCTCGAACCCTCCACACTCTGGTACCGACAACCTCATCACGCTTGCATTCGCAGCCACAAGCAGATCGCCCTGTCGAGAACAAGAGACGTTATCCAAAAGAGAGGACCTATCGCCACCTCCGCCGCCCGTTGCTGCTTGCAGGTACTTCGGTGCTAGAAGTCCGTGCTTTTCGCTCGTGTCCTCGCGAAGAACGGAAAGATAGCCAATCCCGCCACCGCCCACCAGAAGGTACGCTGAAAAGCTCCTGGAGCACGCTGCCGATCGACGACAGATACTCCACCCTGCTGTTCAAGCCTAGCGACTCTCCTTTGGTGTCGCAGTCTCCAGCCAGAATCGTCCTTGCATCGTTGTAGCTGTCGCAGCTTCAATTCACTGCCTGCCCTCTCCACCTCCCCGTCACAATCCTCATTCCTCACCGCGCTACGCCGCACAACGGCTCCCCATACTAAATATCACGGACAGGATCCCTTGAGCTTGTCTGCACAGAATGGCCTCTGCACCGCCAACACAGTCTCTCAAGGTACAGTTGGAGACCCTGGATCAAGCATTCGTCGAGTCTCTGCTGATGATAGATTCAAGTGCGTCGTCACGGGCGATGGCGCCGTTGGCAAGGTCGGTTTGCTCTTACATCACACGCGCTCGCACACGACAGTTTGCTTACTGAGCTCTTGTAGACATGTCTTCTCATTTCATATACCACGAATGCTTTCCCAGGCGAATATATCCCTACCGTGTATGTTCATGCAGCCCTGTTGAGCCCTGCGCTTCCCCTGACCGCATCACAGCTTCGATAATTACTCGGCGAATGTAATGGTCGATGGCAAGCCGATAAGTCTAGGTCTTTGGGACACTGCAGGACAGGAGGACTACGACAGACTTCGACCACTCTCATACCCCCAGACAGATGTCTTCCTCATCTGCTTTTCGATCGTTTCCCGCGCCTCTTTCGACAACGTCAAGGCAAAGGTATACTTCGCGCACACGTAAAGCTTCCGTGGAATGATCATTGCTGATGCAGATCTCACAGTGGGCCCCGGAGATCGAACACCACGCACCTGGCGTGCCCATCATACTTGTCGGTACCAAGCTAGACTTGCGAGACGATGAAGCGACCAAAGAAAGCATGAGAAAGATGCGGACGCAGCCCATTTCGTATGAGGAGGCGCTGGCCGTCAGCAGGGAGATCAAAGCGGTCAAATACCTTGAGTGTTCGGCTTTGACTCAACGCAACCTAAAGAGCGTCTTCGACGAGGCTATCCGGCAAGTCCCATACGTCCTTTGTGCATTTTTGCCCGCCGTGCTAATACTTTCCAACAGAGCCGTTCTCAGCCCGCGTCCACCACCGAAGGCAAAGAAGAGCAAGAGTTGCGTGATACTGTAGAGGATGACATATCTTGATACCGTACATGCTAGCTTCTGTGACTTCTACCCTCTTTTTCTGTCTTTGCTTGGCATCTTCTCGCAGATAGACCGGTGATTCTTACATTTTGGATGAAAGGCGCGCGAGGTGTCAGGAGGGAACGAAAGGGCTTAAGAATCAAGAAACACGGGAAATGTCACAAATTTTGGAGCCCACGCCCAACACTCACACTCGCTGCAGCCAGGTGACTGAACAATGGGAGCAAGGAAGCCCATGTATTGCCACTGATTCCCCCCATATATACGCTGTTTGTCTATTGTCACACACCAATATGGCTTTGCATAGGCTGCTCTGATTCCCACCCGTTCTTTGCTGAGTTTATTTCTGTTCTTGGATGAGATGATGGATCGGAGCATAATTTGTAGATAGCCAGGAAGGAGCAGGTCTTTAAATTATCGAATAATCTGACTGGCATCCATCTGCATTTTCATGCATTGCGCACTTCAATACGTGACATTTAAAGCAGACTGTACATCTTATTTGGCACCAATATACCAGTTGTCATGCCAGGGTCGCTGCACGTACTAGCGCGGCAACGGTCCTGTCAACTCATTTGTACGAAGTCACCCATTTCAAAGTCCACCTATGTCTATGCGCTTGAATTCGCATCCGATCTTGTCAAATACGGAACTTTTTCTCTTTCTTTCTCTGTGATTGCCGTCATGTTTCATGAAGGTGACCTGCAATCCGGCATCGGATTGGCGATACAACAATCCAAATCTGTAGCTTGCTTTGTCCGCGGTACACAGATATCACGAAAGACTGGGCAATGAAATGCTGACTCGAGCTACCAGACGATAGCTTGGAAAGTTCCCAATGGGAAAATGAGTGGCTACAAGATGATGAGGTACGTCATTCATGGTGACGGAATGACGAAGTAGAAGCTAAGCCATTCATTTAGGTCTCAAGACTTTTACAGTCTAGGTCTGTAATCTTGCGCCTAAATGCTGGCTCTCAGGAAGCAGGTTTCTTGTCGGCATTCTGTCCAGTGAATGATGTGCCTGCACTCGCTTTGATCCAGTCGGTAGTCGCCTTTCTAGTCTTTCATGGAAGTAGCTAACTTGTCGTAGACATGGACAATTGTTGGATCTACTTACCCGACCTATTACGGAAGACGAGTTCAAGTCACGTATAAGAAAAGCATTAGGTGCAGGAACAGAAACTTTGAAGGACGTGCAAGTCGCGCCAGCACAAAGCGAAACGGCGAGCAGTTCACATTCAGACGCCTCAACCCCAGCAGCTGCAATAACCTCACAGCCTGCGATATCCGTACCTCTAACCGATGCTTCAAGTCATGATAATGAAGGAAGAAAAGAATCGAAAGGAAAGCAAAAGCAGGAGGATCCAACACCAGCTCTTCCCGCCGCAACCCATATTCAATCTTCCGCGCCACGGAACGATTGGCTTGAACAGCAACGGCAAAGACAACTGGACGCGCGAAAAGAGAGAGAAAGAATTATGGCGCAGATTGAAGCGGACAAAGCCGAGCGACGAGCTCGACGAGAGCAAGAGAGGAGAACAAGAGAGCAGGCGACAGCAGAGACTGAGACGGAAAGTGCGTCTTCATCCCTCGCTTCGAAGACACGACGGACATCATCGAGAGCAAGTTCATCTAATCTCCAAGTGCGTTTACTTGATGGAAGCACGATACGGAAACAGTTCCCTGCAGACGCATCATTAGCGAGCGACGTGCGGCCATGGATCGACTCACATCTGGAGACAAAGGCGCCATACACGTTCAAACAAATCCTTGCGCCGCAACCAGCAAGACCTATATCCGTCGGTGAAGAACACTCGTCCCTTCGGGAACTTGATCTTTTGCCCAGTGCGACATTGGTCCTCCAACCTGTTCAGACATATTCAGACGCCTACGCACCAGCTTCGGCTGGCATCCTCTCGCTCCCTTACAATGCAGTTACGGGAGCGTATGGAATTATTAGTGGTACGCTGTCTGGCGCGGCGAATTGGCTACGTGGTGGGCTGTTTCGACCTGAAGACGACGAGCGCGGTCGTACGCTTGGACAGCAGCCACAGCAGGAATCATCCACGCCATACACGAATCACGCGGACGAAAGACCTGCACCACGTGGAACACCTAGAAATAATATTCGAATCAGGACGCTAGCCGATCAGCGTGACGGTACTGTTGATCAGCAGTTTTACAATGGGAACAGTCTTGATTTTGAGCCTAATATCGATGATTCGACATCGTCTAAGTAAAGCCAATACGTCTAGATACTTTCGCAAGTCGAAGCAGTCCTTCAGCAAACGGATCCATCATCAAATGCGTCTATTTCATTGGTGTATGCTTATAAGCAGTCCAGACTACCGGCCAATTCGCTGTTTTCAGAGCATGGTTGCGTTTTTGGTGGTAGAACACTCGGGTATCACTATGAACACAGAACTCGCAGAGTCAAGAGCTTGGGCTATGGCAGACTCATGAACAGTTCCAACATCTTAGGATATATAGGCGTTCCCAATCCAGTTAAAGGATCCCAGCCTTCTACTGCGGAGAAGCCAGAAGTTCCACAACCTGGGTTGTTCCCCTTTGTCACATCCTTCATTACCCTGCTGACATTTCAGTACTTGACGCTATGTGGTGGAGGAGGCCTAGACACTCACTCTGGATGCTCATAAAGGACCTGATTCAGAAAACCAACACTACTTTTCCCAGCTTTCATTCGCTCGTTATTAATCAGCGTGATCATGCTCCCAAATGCAGGTGCGCTTGCGCTCGTCCCGTAGACCAATGTGAAGCTGCCATCCACAGCCACTACATAATTTGCACCATTCGTGGACACGTCTGGATATCCTCGTGTGCGCATTGAATTATTGAAAACGGAGCCCGAGTATGGAGGCGGATGTTCTTGGAACCAGGAGTGAACTGTAGATGCCTGGTAATCTGGAATTTCAAATACATTGCTGAATCCACCGCCTGAGCGAATTACCGTCTCGCATGCGACTTCAGGCTGAGTGTTAGAAGCAATAACGCGTACTATATTTGTACCATTTGAGACTTGTGTTGCACCCACACTAGTGACCCAGGGGCAACCACTTGGGAACGAAGGGTTGAACACACCGTTATTGGCATTTGGTTTTGTATAGTTGCCCGAGACTGGATCGATACATTGACCTAGGTTGCCCGCAACGCCGTAATCGCCGCTACTGTATAAGACGGTGATCCCTTGCAACGCAAGCTTCATGTACTCGGCGCATTGGCGACGCACGTATTTCTCCGTCAAATCTGCCTCGTTGTACCCAAAGGACGTAGATATGACTTTTGTGGGCTTGAAACCACCACAGTTTGCCGGTCCAATATATCCGTCTGGAGGATCAGGGTAGATGGCGTCCGCGCTCGGGTCATCACCTCCTTCGAAAGTACAATATGAACCGTCTATCGCGTCGAGAAAGTTATTGAATGACGCGCCTTCAATTTCGTCGCCAACTTGGTACAACTGCGTCTTGACAGGAGCGATCAACGTCATTGCGACCTGCAAGTCTAGATCTGCCTCGCCGTTGAACTCGAATGATCGATTTGGGAGCAGTTGTCCCCCATCTATGGAAGCGAGTATTGGACGTTGTCCGACCAAGTTTTTCGAGAAGTTGCTGAAGAACTTGTCCAAGTCTTCAGGAACGTAAGATTGCGGCGCGTATTCCACGACCCCCATCAAATTCTGCGACTGTGCTGATTTGGGACTGCTGAACCCATACAATGCGCGGAGGCAGTTTGGCGTTATTTGCCGGTCACAATTCTCGAGCTGATTCTGGTCCAGAACATCGGAATCAGCTAACGTAGCACCCTGTTTTGGCCCAACTCCCTGCTCTGAGCCAACATTCGCGGCGTCGCTTTTGCCCGTGGATGCCTTGTCATTCGTAATGTCATCAATGCTAAATGGGCTTCGCCTCCGCAGGTTTGGCAAAGACCGCGTACGTCTTTGAAAGTCGCTCCGTTTGATCTTGGCATCGAAATGGACGCTAGGCGTAACGAAGTCTATGAGTTTTGCTACGTGAGCTGGTAGATGATATTCGTGACAGGCAACGTGTGGGGTTCCGGTATGCATGTGCTCAAACATGTAATACTTGGCTTTGAACAAACGCTCGGCTTCATCGATACTTGCGTTAAAGGAGAGCCAGTTCATTCCTAGCGAAGTGCGAATTCTCTCGTTTTCGATACCGGACTCCACAAGCCATTGCTTGACTGCGACAATGTCTTCTTTCCTTCACATTTATCAGCATAACGGTCTCACGAACAGCCTCTCTGTTCTCAGACCTCGGAGCAAATGTCTCTGCGACCATCTTTGGTGTCCAATGCTTCCCATACTTCAAACTCTTCGGGTGAGAAACATCATACATAAATTCATCCGCTCTTTCTAAATTCTGTTGCCTCAGACCAATCTTCACAGGTATAATCTCATCTTTATGGAGTCTTTGGCGGCGCAACCACAACGGTGGCGTCTGGGTTCTTTTTTCATGAAGAACATGATTAGGATAATGTACTGGACCAGCCAATGTAGAAACTATAAAACCGGCGATTAAAATGACCGAACTCCATCGTACAAGCGTCATTATGACAAAGACGAATGCGTAGAGAGCCGTCCAGACGAGTCACAAAGCATCATCGAGAAAAGGTTGGGGAGCATGGCTATATTTCGATTCCCTTCAGCGTTCCTATCAGGCATATTGCCTGGCCGAGCTTGCAACTGCGGCTCATGAAGCATGCAAGCAGATAGCGGGAAAACCACGTTCTGCATAATGTGAAGAAGGTAAAACATGGGACTCGATTCGCTCCATAAATGGAACAATGACCCACGGAGGACTCATGATTGGCGCAGTACTCTTCGGAGATGTATGTAAGAATCGCAATTTCAGATTAGCATGTCAAACATTAGGGTCCTTCTGCGTAAGTTGTTCGAATAATCGAAACGGATTCGTGCCGCAAAGTAGCCTGGAAGGGTATTGTAGATGTTTTAGATTGAGCGCGTCCCCCAAGTCTTGCGACAGAATAGTCACTCGCATAAGAAACATGGAGTCGTTGGGACGTGCGTAGTATCTCTTGCGTTGCACAAGCGGGCAGGCATTTCGAGATTGGCTAGCAACGCCGGAACCGTTGCTCAAGCATATCGATTGCACTTTAGTATGTACACGAAGAGTATCTGAATGGCAAGAATCGGACGAATTGAAATGTTATCTACGGAAGATTTCCACACCCTGCGTACTTGAAACATTTATCCGGTTCGAAAAAGCCTAACTTCACCTCAATAAGCACGTGCAGCATTTATGAGCGAAGACAGAAAAGAAGGTTAGAAATTGGTAAGTTTGCGAAGACTCTTTATTAACAATGAAAATTCAAGCATCTGTGAACAGTTTTGTTGCGCGTCGCTTACTTGCTCAATATTGTTGTCCTTTGGGGGCATCAAGCTCAACGGGGGGAGAGGAAGTCCTATGTACGCTGCAAAAAAGAATTAGCTATCAAAGTGAAATTTGATCCCTGCTAATCCATTAAATAAAGACTCACGTCGCGCTCATCTGTTGTGCACTAAAGGTACTAACTCGCTGTTGTGCCGGATCCGGACTTCCATATGTTGGTGGCACGCTCATTCTTTGGAAATTTGTTGCTTGTACAGGAACGTAAACCATACCCCCTGGTCCGATGATAGACTCTCCTGGACCAGCCATTGGCACTACTGGGCTGTTACCTCCTCCACCTGTGACCTTTTCCGCACTCAACATGCCAGTTACTGCTTGTTGAGCCTTTACTGTACGATGACGGCCGATGAAGTAAAATAGTGCAGCTGCTAGGGCAATAATAGCCACGACACCGACAACTACACCTGCGATTGCGCCAGCTGGAAAGCTTGATTTATGGCTAGTGTTCTCTGCCGTGGTAGAAGTGGCAGCTGCGAGAGCGGATGACGATGCACTCGACGCGGATTCGGTCGACGTGGGATAATTCGAACTGGACGCGGTTGTTGAAGCTCCAGCTTCAGATGGAAAATCTTCACCTGGTTGGAGCATATAAGTCGAATTTGCTGCGTAAGCTTTTTGCGTGGACAACAATTCCGTTGAGTTCTGGTTCTGTTAGCAGTGAACTGGCCAAAGACTGTTAGCTCCGACGAACAGGGTTGATAACGCCGACCATTTGGTACTTTATACACGAGTCTGGTGCTGAGCAATAGAAGAAAATCGGTTCAGTATCATTGATACGTATCGACCAGCTCGGAGGGTTGTCAAGAACGGCATCAACGGGATGAAAACCCGAGAAGAAACCTTCTTTCCCAACCGCGATCTTCTCATATGGTATGCACGGATATAGGTACCTGTGTATCATATAAGCTCTCGTTCGAAGATCATCGGTTTTGAGACACCACCACTCACTCCGCTCTAACTACTGAGTGCTGCTTACAACTTTAGCAATCACTTGCCTATGTAATTCAACTATTAAAACCTACATTTGGAGGGAAAAAATTAAACTGAACGATGTCTCCCACATCGGCCTGTATAACATCCGGACGAAAGGTGTGACCACCTTTACCAACGTCTACTGTGAAAGTTGCAGCGGCAGTGGTTGTGCTCGTTCCGGCCTGTTGTGCCAGCACGCCGATATCAAATTGGGAAAGTGCAAAAATAGCGTAAAATAATGTTATCATAGCTCCCTTGAAGTCGCTTCTAGTAGGATGCGAATAGTGGAAGAACTACAAAGGAAGAAGATCGATGAGGTTCCCTGTCAAGCATATATCGAAGGCAACAGAAAAGTAGATAAGAACGAAAATGCCTTCTTCCAAAATGAATGTAAGGCATCCGGAACTAGATCCATTTCGACCGTTTTTGTTGTCAAGAGACCGCTTTGTGCAACGGATTTGGGGCTGTTCTAAATATGCTGCCGAGATGCATACTCGAGCAGTTGACCAGTAGCAAGCTTCGTGGCATCAAGCAAGGTCATGCCATTCAGCCTTGGCAAGCCAGAGAACACGGAAATAGCCGTTCGATCAGCCATATGACAAGAACTCGTATCATAGATGGGGGCCGTAGCCGAATGTATTTTAGGTTAGTTGCAATTCCGTCCTTCTCGATTGTTTGGCTTTAAGACCTAACGCTTGAGAGCAACGGTGGGGGACCGAACGTGCTTGACGTTCTCGAGAGCTGAACTTCACATGCATAATGGAATGAAAACTCTGAGGAATTCTAACGCGTAACATGCTACGCGGAATCTAGGTAGGTCGCAACCACCGTATCTTCTCGAATTGAAGGCCGAATCTAGCCAGGAAAGGGCGAAATATGCGTCTCCTAAATACGCCGTAGCATTCGTATATTGGGGAGGAAAAAGGAGCCGAAAAATACGACTTAATACGGGTTGGAACCAAGAGTAGCAACCATTCTTGGATTTGGTAGACCAAAGATATATGACAATGGAGAAGAAGCATAACGAATACCAGACCTGGTCTCAAGTTCTAGCCGTCGGACGACCCTAGCCGACATCTGAATGTATTTTGGTTTATCAGACGGTCAGCGTAGAAATGTCTGAAAAAAAAATTGAAGATCTCAGCGCCGATTCTATTGGTAGCTTGGACCATGATCTTTCAGCAAAGGCCTCGTTCTTCCTTTCGCAGGTCAAGAGGCGGGCCCGTTGCTTGTCTGGAGCATCGACGGCCATTCCCGCCTTAGGAAACAAGGCAAGGACAGAGCATAGTTCTACTTGTTCCCAATTAGGAAATACGTTCGTCTTCCAGACAAGGACGAGAACCAAAAAGTCAAGCAACAACCGCAGGTCCAATTACAGCATCATCAGTCATGATTTGTCGGCGATGCGCTCTGCGGCTAGCAAGCTCATTCAACGCAACTCCATTGGCCCGTCGGATGATCTCGACCACGCATATTAACGCAGCAGAAGCTATCTCCTCCAAAGAAATAGAGCAAGCCAAACCGCGACAAGATGGTGACCAACCTTCGGCAATATCCTCAGCTGCTCAACCATTCACAACACCAATTTCCGTCTCTCCTACGGCACGAGGCGACAAAGCATCTAAGAAGAAGGCTTCAGACGTGCCAGTGGTAGTTTCATCTTGTCCCGCTGGCACAATCCTCAAGGGCCTCAACTTCATGAAGGGCAAAACCGACCCCGTGGCTATGGAGGATCACGAATATCCAGATTGGCTTTGGGATGTACTCAAATCTGACACACAAGATGTAGCGGATGCTGTCGACGCCGATATATATTCGAAGAGCAGAAACAAGCGGGCAAAAGCGAAGAAGGCCATGAAGAACAAACCCGAGGAAGATCTGTCGTTTGAGAAGATCCCTATACATGAGCAAACAATTGACCTACCAATTGGCGATGGGACTGAGGAGGGAAATCTAGCTGCTGCGAAAGCACGGCAGGAGCTTACGAAAGCCATGAGGCAAAAACGGCGAGCGACCATCAAGGAGGCCAACTTCTTGAGAACTATGCGGTAGTTCATCGGGTCATCAGCCGTGTACGAATACAACTGCTAACATCATTTATTCACTGTATGCGCTACTAGAGTTCTACCGGCATTGTGTTGAATAGTTGATCTACTCATAGATAAACTTCGTTTTCAACAGATCTCTCTGTACGATAATTTCGGTCTTTGCCTCTAGCGCCAAATAAGCCTTGCGTAACATTCACACGCCTCCCGTTTAGCAAGAATTTCCTCAGGTTGCCAGCCGCCATCCACACAATAGCATCATTTGGCAGTTCTGGAAACTCATTGAAAATAATGTCTGAGCTAAGGGAACAGCCGGACAGACATGTATTTTAGTGCACAGAGGCAGTGGTTTCGACGCCGCCTGGGCCTGCCATAGGTTTCCAGACACCCTTTGGAAGAGAGTTATATGTTGGTTTTGTTAGAATTAAAGTGCAAACCTTTCATGTTGAAAACTTTGTGATTCGCGGCGTCTACGATCTAGCAGTCTTCTCATGTATGTCCTAACTGTAATGGAAGGCTTTATGTCATGATTCAAGCTGTACTATTGATCCATATCCGTGAAGGACGAATCTAAGACCTAAACTCCAGGGTTTTGCTCTTGTCCTCCCAGGCAAATTCGGTCTTAAATGTGGGTCATCAAGGTCATTAAGATCCCGTCCTCACGCAGTCGTCTGAGATCCTCCACTACATATATTGACTAACATGCTATGATTAACCAGCATTGAGAAAATTTTGATCATCTTCTCTTGTTCTATGTCGACAGCACTTACTGGAAAACAAGGTTAGTAACCTAAGTTTTGTTCTAACAGTCTGACGTCTTTTATGGACATCCATCTTCAGGTAAATCATGCTTAATCTCTAGAGTCCAAAGGATACATCTTTGGTCAAAAGATTGCCTGCGATCTGTGAACTTCGACTGCTCGAATAGCATGAACGAGATGTATTCCTCTTCAACTACATCTCGTCCTCGGAGTTTTACCAGCTCATGACGTCGTGGGGCAAAATTTAAATCGAAGTCCCGAAACCGAACCCAATATTACTCTCTCACCCAGCGGAGACGAGTTCGGCTAGTCTCTTGCCCTTCTCCCCGCCCAAGAAGTCACCCTCATCACTACCATCCATATCATCGTCCATTTCTGCCAGGGCACCATACGCTTTGACAACCATGTCCTCATCCACTCTCTTTCCTGCCTCCACCAAACATCTTATCACGCCCACCACTCTCCCAATCTCTCTCCTCGTACTTGCACTGATCTGATCATTTTGACTTGAGTATACGTCCTGTCCAACACTCTCCTCCAATCGAGTGATGCCCACTTCTTCCTTAGGTTCGACATGCTTGCTCACCCATATAAATCCATTAACACCCAATATTACATCCACAGGATCACCACCGCGTGTCGTGTTTAGTGTGAAAACTTGACGCCTCGACCTTGTAATGCCTCCTTTACGGGACAGCCCACCGCCTCCAGCACCGGAGACAGATATGAACATGCCGTTACGGAGCTTTCCGTATTTTGTGCTTCGAGTGTGAAGAACTGCTTGCCCGCTCTCGTACACAGACTGCACCTCGGCGACCAGGAGATCACCTTCAGTGAAGAAGCTGCGGATGTTGAGCTCGTCCACTGCTGTACGTCGCCTTAAAATGCCACCGGGCAAGTTTATACCGGAAAGTGGTAGTTGTGCAAGCAGCGGCGCGGCGATTTCGACTTTCCAGCGTCGCTGCTGAACTTCTATGATGCGGCCAACGACAAGGTCTCCAATTTCTGGCGTATAACGGGCACGGAGTGGTATACAAGACAGAAGTTTATTCGTCTTTAGGATAGTTCCAAAAACGGACGAATGTATGGCCGAAGATTCTGGAGGATAATATGTGCCATGGCCTCTGCAAGTCGTAAGTCAGAACGATTATCAAAATTGCAAATATCCTAGGACAGCGTACCTCATCCACTGTGTATCTTCTGTGACAATCTCACCTGGAGTGACTATGTGCTTAGTTGATACTCTAGACCTTTTGTATATCGGCTTTCCTGAATCAATGTCCACATCGTCGTCCGAATCAAGTTCCATCCTATCATCTTCAGAATATTCGTTATAGGAAATCGGAGGCGGAGATGCGGGAGGAAGAATTGTAATAGGCATAATTTCCGTTATACCAATACTGATACTGCGGAATGCAGACGTGATACGTGTACAGCGGAGCCTCGCGTGGACACAATTTGGTTTTAAGACTGATGTTCGGCGAGTGGAACTTTTGTTAACTTGGCTTTTCCCCACGATCTGCAAGGGTCTTGGAAGAGCCGCGATTGACGGCGGCCTCAAGCAGAAGTGGAACGAGAGTTCGAGAAGACAGATATTTTTTTGCACGGATAGGAATAGATCATTGTCCCTCTTATGGATCTAAATACGCGATTGGAAACTTGTACTTCTTGCCATGAGTCGAGTTCGAGACAGCTGCTGAGGACAAAATGAAATCTCCAAGGTCTCGCTCACATCCATCATATGATGAACTCTCCAAAAAACCCATTGCCCCTTTCCCGTTCATGAGATCAATTAGAATATACTATTGACGAGGTTGCTGCCCATTGTCGCACCGGCACCGAAGATTGCCGCATTGCCAAGTTTCTTGCCAAACTTCTTGCCCATCTCCTGTCCTTTACTTGGTTGTGAGGAGCCACCGCCCTGAGCCACATCCATGGGCATGTTCCCATAACTCGACGGACCAGCCGGCGCCTTGACGTCCTCAACCTTGACATAATTGCGTGGGAAGATACCTTCCTGATTCGTTCTCTCGTTGCGACCCTTCCACCAATCTGCATTCATGTATTCTGTCACAGCAATACGATCATTGACCTGCAGGCTTAAATCGCCCGCGTCATTGCCATTGTATACATATAGAGCAACAGCATATGTAAGAGGAGCGGCGACAGGGGGCTGTGGCGTTGCAGGGTAGGCTGGAGGTGGATTGACCTCTTGAGCTGGTGGTTGGTAGTAACCGTTCTGCTTCTCGTTGCTGCTATTGAAAGCGTTTGCTTCTGCGTGGCTGCCGTTCAAATTCAAGTTACTCATGGGGGCCACAGGTACAGATCCTGAGGTTGGCGCCGATACGGCTGTTGCTTGCGAATTTCTTACGGCTTGGGTCTCTGACGGCAATTGGCTCAAGATCGAGGATAGCTGTGCATGCGTAATGGTGCCATTATCTGCTAGGAACTCTAATTCCTATGATTTATCGTCAGCAGAGTAAACAGAGGCTGAATATGTAGGCGGTACTTACTGCCTTGACTGTCCGGAGCGACCTATTGGTCATTGCTACGCTGAAAGCCTCCATTATTAGCTAACCACTAGAAGCAGGCAGAGAATTTCTAGCATAGAGAGGGAGAGAGAGAGAGAGAAAAAACGTGCGTATTTTGGTGCAGAACGATTGCTGCGTTTCTGTCGAGAAACGTCGCAGGACGTTTGACGGAGGATGAAGTGTGGCAGTGCTGGGCTGCAACCCAGCTGCTTCATGGGTTGCTGAAGCATATGAAGGTCTGGCCAGCGACGTAACTTTGAGCTAGCATCTTGGTTCCCTTGAAACCGTACTGGTAGGCTCTGTACACAATTTGTACTAGGAGGTGGAGAAAAGTGCATGGTGTTTATGACCAACATCTATAGCCCGTCCGCTTGAAGCGGTGGACTTCCCAGGGCAGATATACGGAAAACGCTTAGACGCATGTACGCACTGAAACGGAGGCTGTTGCTGAAGAAAATAACTACACAGGCCAAGAACGTCATTTAGGAGTAGGCGGTCATATGTATGGTGACATTTACCGCAAAGAATTCATTGTCACCTCTGTGACAAAAGTGCGTGCTGGTGAAGGCTGAAAAGCTTCCGCGACGTTGATAGGCCGGTGGAGGGTGCGCGCCTCACCCCGTTCACTTTTCTAAGAGACTAACCACGCGTGTCATCAAATCGCGGCAGGACCACCATTAAGTTGCTACGCTCAGTCAACGAATCATTTCACCATCGCGATCATGCAAGCACCTCAAGGTGGTCGTTATGCGCGCGGTCCCGCCAAAGGTTCGTCTCAATTTCCGCGTAGATCAACATGTACTCTCCGTCAGCCGCAATTGCAACTCCTGTGTCGCGCTCACCTAGACCTGGAAAACACCAGCCGTGGCAGCAGTCGCAACATAGTTCTCAAACTTCCATCTTTTTTTTATGATCAAGCACACTGACTTGGAGCGCACTTTGCGCCGTGTAGGGATGCCACCCGGCGGCCATGCTGGCTATCCACCATACCAAGCGCAGAACGCGCAGGTCGTCATGCAACAGCAGCAGCGCGCCGAAGACGAGCGGAGACAGGCACGAGCGAGGATGCTATCGCGCAAGCCTACAGATCGCGACATACCAGCCGGTGTGGACGAGATAACCATCGGTGGCGCCGTTGAAAGATACCAAAAGCTACGTGAGCTGGAGCGTAAGCTCGATGCGACTATGATGAGGAAGCGATTAGACTTGCAGGATCAGCCGAGGGACGTAAAAAGGCGACGCACAATGCGCATATGGATTTCCAATACTGCTGAAAATCAGCCGTGGCAAGCGACAGGCATGGACAACGACACGTTTGACTTTGGTGACAATTCACAAGCAACGTACCGAGTCAAGATTGAAGGCAGGCTCCTCGACGAGGAGGATGTTCTCGATTCAGATGATACGCGAGGTCCGGACGCTATGGAGACGAATAGCGACAGTGCGGAGAAGAGGCCAATCCCAGGAGAAATGACGAGGTTTTCGCATTTCTTCAAGAAGATCACTATCGACTTTGATCGTCCGCCTTCACTTCAGCCAGACAACATGGCACAGATCGAGTGGATCAAGCCAGAAACGCGCGAAGGTGTGGTGAACACTTCTGACGCAGCCAACTTCGATTGCCTCCACTTCGAACGGAAAAGCGACGAAAACATCAATATTCGTATTAACCTATACCCGGACAATCAGCCCGAGATCTACAGGCTATCCGATGAGTTGTCGCAGATATGCGGTGGCATCAAGGAGGATACGAAGGCGAATATCACTATGAGTGTTTGGAAGTACATCCGAGTCAACAAGCTCGACGGGGGCGAAGATGCTCGAAAGGCTCGTTGTGATCCGCTCATGAAGAACGTATGTATATGACAACATGTCTCAGTCTGCACCCGCTTACCATCACAGGTCTTTGGCTATGACACAATCGAGCTCAACCGAGTTGGTGATGCTATAATCCAGCATTGCAAGCCGCTTCCCCCCATCACTCTCGATTACACAATCCGCGTAGACAGGGATTATATTAATGCGACACCGAAGCCATCTCCTTACACCATCTACGACGTCTCCGTTCTCCAAAATGACCCAACGTATGACCTCGTCAAAGATCGCATCTTCCACTCTCCCTCAACAACCGCAACGCTCGAGACGATTTCCAGGATCGATACGCATCTCGCGCTAGTGATTCAGGCCATCGCCCAATCCAAGGGCAAGCACACTTTCTTTACAAGTATGGCAGCAGATCCTGTAAACTTCTTAAAACGCTGGATTAGCAGTCAGAAACGGGATCTAGAGGTTATCCTGGGCGAGGCGACCAGACCTGGAGTACGGTTGCCAGATGTGTCAGGAGCTGCGGACGACTCGACGATAGCCTTGAGCGACGAGTGGCGACGAGGCGGGAAAGAGAGTGTCTGGGGCAGTCAGACCGCTAAGGAGAGCGTCGCTCTATTTCTGGCGAGAGGTGGACGAGACAAAGATGGACGCTCTGTGTTTGGCATGCACTAATTTTCCTTTTGTGCTCATTACTTCTACCAATGTATTGAGCGTGGTGTTTCGATGGATATGTAACGGGCAGGATGTTATTTGCGTATAAGCACAGCAACTGGGGGGAGGCTCTCGGGCAATTCTTTTAGAGAGATCAGATAAACGCTGCAGTGATTTAAACGTCAGATCGTGCACAACTCTTCTTAGCGTCATCTCGAGTCGCTGTCTGGAAAGATCCCGGCGCGGGGAGCATCCACCTGCGTGTTCAGTTAACTACAGGGCGTTAGTGGGGTGGCTGAACGAGCAAACCCTTGAAACGCCCAACACGTCAGGTTGAACCTGCCCTCATAACAGCTCGTGATCAAGCGAGTCCACAGAAGAGCTACTCGTCAGCGCTTAATCGAGCGTCTCCTGAACTCATTCTCGAGTTCTCCTTTAACAACATCCGAGATCTGCCGCCCCTCTTGAAGGTATTCCTTTCTCGTTTCCACTGCAGTCACCGGACACCTCGTACACTGCAACGGCGTTTAAATACCCGAAAACCAGAGCACTATGGCGGAACTACAACACTGGGAACAAACAAAACAGCTGTTCCTCTTCACTTCTTTGACAGCAGGCAGTTCGCACATTGTGACGGCAACGTCTCGCATAGAAACGATTCTAAGAAACGCACGCATACCCTTCACATACATTGATACTGCCACAAACGAAAGTGCACGAAAGCTCTTCCAGCGCCGTGCAAGGGGAAAGAAGCTACCTCTGCTTGTCAAAGAGGGTTTTGTCATAGGTGTAAGTTTGCACGAACGTAAAGGGAAATGGAAGATGCTTTGAGACACGTCATTCTGATGTCGCATCGTAGGACTTGGAGGAGATAGAGGAGCTTAATGAGTTTGGAGAGCTAGAAGATGCGATTGGTGAAGTAGATACGACAGAGACGAGCATAACGACTGCACCTGCAAAAATGATACCCATAAGGGAGGGAGGCACGGCTTCCAATCCGACCCCTACGGGAGTTTCGGTCGTGACTTCGTCTAGCACTGCAGCTTCGACAACTGTAGCTTCAGCTAAGGAAGAGCCAAAGAAAGAGGATACTGTAGTGCCACAGCAGACCTCAGTAATGGGGCAGTTGGCAGCAGAAGCCGCCGCCAAGGCGAAAGAGGCTGCGAAGAAAGTACCTACCCCAATTCTACAGAAAGCGAGTTCAACAGAGAAGGATGCCCAAAAAGGGGATAAGGAAGACAGCAGGGAAACCCCTCTGTCCCCTAGCGGTGTACCATTACCCATGTCACCTGCTGTCAAGTCGCCGTCGTCGGATGCCAACGTCAAATCCCCCACCTCAATCAAGTCGCCCATAAGCGCCACGAGTCACCGCAGGCATGGCTCAACAGGCTCGGCGCACTCCTTTGTACCAGAGAAAACTGAACCAGAGCCTCGGGAGCACAGGGGGTCGGAGATCAGCGCTGCGAGCGAGGAGGAGATAAAGAGGATAGAATCGGAGTGCGCGATACCGGAAGAAGACGAAGAAGAAGAGATGGATGAAGCTACCGAAGATGCTATCCTATTTGGAGACGGAGAGGATGGGGATAAGGAGGAAGTGAAAGATCAAGCGGCGGACAAGAACAAAGTCGAGGATACGGATATGAAGTCTTCTACAGCAGAATCGGAGCCTAGTCTGGAGTCCGGCAAAGGAACCACTGAGGCAGCAGGAAAAGGTCAATCAGATACGATGCAGAAGCCACTTAACATCAAAGGTGGACCCAACAAGATAAAAGCAATTATGAAGAGCGCAGGGGTAGAGCCTTCCAGAACCGAAGCGGAGACTTCGAAAGCGAATAATGAGGATGACAACTAAGATGACACTGAAGATGAGAGTGAAGATGAAGAGGATGAGGATGAGTCCGAGGCGAAGGCAAGAGATGGAACAACCAGGGATTGACATTGCAAAGGCTTCTGAAAGCACATCCCAAATCGTCGACGCTTTCGAAAAGGTCCCAAATCCAAGACATATGGATGTCTCTGCTGAGAGAAACACATAATAGCCACAAAAAGTTCTGAACAATTGACAGCCGTATGGGTATTGTGAGCTATCAACTTGTCTTTTTGCGAGACTGTAATTATGTAAGAGGGAGGACGTTTCAGGCATGACATTTGTACATCCAGATATGAGTGCGGCTTTCTAGGGAAGGACATAGTTTGTCCCAAGCCTCATGCTAGAACAATGTGCTGCTTTATTTGCAGTAGTATAGGTTTATTTTATACCCCAAACCCGATGTAAGGTACGCTGCAGCTTACGCGGTGCTTTGAGCGGGCACATTTTGATATATAAACTTATTCCAGCAATCGAACGAAATGACTGAAGTATTTCTTGATCATATTGTATATATGACCACATAGCTATATCGCGCATACGGAGTACCTTGTCAGAAGTAGCGGCGAAGCCTCACTAAGAGAAAACGAACCTCGTTAGAAAACCAAAATAAATCCTTCGAAAGTATCCACGTCAACGTCATCTGTACTTCGGACCTCTCACGCATTGACGGGACTTATACAACAGCATTGCTTCGCGAAGTTCCAAATTTAAGATGATACCTCCCTCCAGCAGGCCAGTTTAGCCTTGAAAGGCTTCGAGGTCAGGTGAAGAGTTCCATTCAATATCCATTTGTGATGGATCATGATCGTACTCGCGCTTGTTGGCCATGATCTTAGCGATTGCATCACGGACCTCGAAGTCCTCAAGCACTGCACCAAACCTGAGAAATATCTCAATTAGGACACATCTTTCAACTTTAAAGGACCACAATTGGTCGTACTCACCCATAGCATCTAATCTTAGGCGCGAGTTCATCCCTTAACGCTTCACATTCCTCTTTTGTAAGTTCTGTGAAGCGTGGGTGGTTCCTGATCATCGCCCAGGCTCGTACAGGAGGCAACTCGCACTCTGCAATCGGTAGTTGCGCGCTGAGATTTAACAGCTTTTCTAGCTCCGCTCCAGGTAGGTCAGACACTTTGTGTGGGTACTTTTCCTCCGGTTTATCAAGAATGTGTGAGTGTGGCGGACATGTCGCCATAAGGACGTGACCAGAGATTTCGCCGTCCGAATCTTCCGAACGCACAAGTAGCATCTGCATGTGATCTTGACATGGTTTCTCCAATCTATAAGAGCATGAATCAGCCAAAGACCATCTATAGACGAGTGAATAACATTTTAAATTGTGATACAAACAAGCAAATTTCCATAAAGAGCAGAAGCACTGACAATTAGTCAAGACGGCTAAGGATGAATGTATTTTGAACTTATTACTGTGGTGGAGAAGGATAAGGCGTGCGTTCGTACGTTAGAACGAAATCAATGCCAACTTGATTATGATCAAAATTTTGCTGCTGAGGGCTCGTCTGATAACCGTGTGGGGCGGATATCATCGCCCCCTCCAATGTCGGTGGACTACCCTGGCTACTTGGATTTGGAATTGACGGCCCCGGAGGTGTGGGTGACGTTACACCAGTGGACATGGAAGCTCTCGTTTGGCTGTTCGTTATACTTGCGGTACTTTCACCATATTGGGATGACGCTGTGTTGTATGGTGCCACTCTGGGGTCGTATTGTATCCCATATGCTCTGAGAGCTTCCCGGAGAGCCTGATTTTCTTCGACAACTTGCTGTTTCTCCTTGACGGATTGTTCATAAAGCTCTTTCAGGCGCAGAACTTCCTGCTCAAGTGCCTTGATGTAAAGCTCCTTGCGCTCACGATGCGTTCTGACCAAATGTTAGACGAAGACTGTTAGCAACAAGTCCATGATCAAACCTTTGTGCCTGTCGGTTGAGCTCTTGGCGACGGGTAAGCGCCGGTTTGCTGTCTGGCTTTGGACCTCTTCTCTTCGGAACTTGCCCGTCTCTTGTCTTCTTATCGCCAATGTGTAATTTGAAGCCCAGCCGCTCTAGAGGACTTTGGCTCTTTGAAAGACCATCTTGATCTGCATTTGACTGTGCTTGACTTTCCCAACGAATGCCCGAGCCTTCAAGGAGTAAGAGGGCCATTGTGCAGACTAAAGCATTGATGTTCTCATTTACAGAACGATCAATTAGGCCTGTGAACTCACTCCGAAGACCCGGTTTCGAGAGAAAGAGCGGCACATCATAAGTTAGCACCAAAAGTCTTAGAAAATGGACGATCTGACAGCTGCTGCGGACACGGATAGAGGGACTATCATGAAGGCGAAAGCACCAACGCGGTTTCCCGAGCGGATGAACGAGCGGTGCACAGGCAGTCCGGTTTCGCAAGAAAGTATTCTCTCAGACTTCTTCTGCGCCCCTGCAGGAAAACTAGATTTCCCATAGCTGGGGTAGAGCGCTCAAATTGGGCAAATATAAGTAAGGCTTAATGTTGCTCCAAATGCCGTCAGACCTTTGGGGGAAGTGGGGAAGGGGGGATTGTTGTGAACAGTCCATCCAATGGCCATGGACTAGTATAATTCCACGGGAAAGGATCTCGTTGAGGATGAATACCAGCTCTATGAGCTTCCCAGCTAGAAATGCTCAAGCCTTGCGAGATTTGCTGAAATGGTGTGTGTTGTCAAACGACGCGAGGCATAATGATTCTTGATCCACCGAATGGGACCGCGACAAACTTCGATGCGACCATTGTTGAACGGAGAAGTATGAGCTCTGGCAGTTTACCGGCCGATGCGAAGATTCTTTATGATGTCCTGGGGTTATTATCTCCAAGAATGACTCTCGAAAGCTCCAATTGTTGTGTGCGGCTGTAGGAACGTGATCAAATCCATCCGTGTTGCAGCAGTCAGGGAGCAGATCGTTCAGTTATCGACTTACCGTATGTGTCGGAGCCATTGCTCCCCCCTATTGCCGACATCGTAGGAGCGCTACATGGAGGGAGGTCATGCACAGACGGTTGAGGTCAAAGAAATGAAGAGGCGAGCGAAAGGCAAGGTACACGACGATAGCGGGGGGGGTGTGACGCTGAATTGGGCGCAGCAGCGCTAAAGCAGCTCGAGACGTTCTAGAAACGCAGGATCACGGGCCTTTTGACACAACGAACATCCGAGCTTTGGTCAGCAAAGAATCAGCGCTGTCCATCCTGCTTGACGAGCTCTCTGTCCTAGGAACGGAACGATACGCTATTCTTGATATGTGAAGACGCCAAGCAATTAGGACTAAGTAGATTTACCAACAATGTGTTGGCGTTCGAGGTCGAGGGCAATCTCGTACCTTTTATGATTCCAGGCAATCAACCCACCTCGTTGGAACATACGTACGATATAAGAAACTAGCGCAGCAAGATAAAGGGCGACATGTTTGAGCGGATGTAAAATCGTTGGACGTAAAGTCAATTGTGACATATATGCATGTGGTGACTTGCATCGCCGTGCTACACTGCTTGCTCTGCGCTGACCCTAGTGATCCGATGCTTGTGCGACGAGCGGTAAGCAAAAGAACTGTAGTTTCCGTACGTGGATCCTAAATTTCAGCTAATTTCTGTTATCTAACCCGGGTGTTCACGTTGCATTTTGTTCCTTCCTAAGTGCAGACATCATATGTTGTACAAAAACTCTCTACTATACATATCAATTCGCTCGTACTTGACAACTGCCGTTATTCTAGTGTGCCATGGACTTCCCTATCTCACTCTCCCAGTTAGCCGCTCTCTCGAAGCCATTCCGGTGCATTTGATAGTCCATGAGTGCTTGATAAACTTCTTCCTCAGAATTCAGCACAAAAGGACCATACTGAACAATCTTTTGATCATGTGGTAGACCAGCAACCAGCACGAATCGTGCACTCTCAGTTGCACCTGCGTCAACTGATGCGACGACCTTGTCACCTTCTTGCTCAAAGACAGTGTTGTGATACCGCGGAACCGTTTGAGCCTTGTCACCTTCGCCAAATGTAACCGTACCCTCAAGACTGTACGCGAACGCAGTCCAACCGACAGGTAAAGGCTGCTCGATCCTTCCCCCAGGCTTGATCTCTATGTCGAGGAGCCAAACAGGAGTATAGGCCAGGTCCTTGACGCTATCGACGCCGTGAGATTGACCACTGATGACCTTTACGTGGACTTTGCCATCGTCTAGATCTACAGAGGGTATTTCTTTCGCACGAAGATCTCGATATCGCGGTTCGCAGTATTTCAGGCTTTTGGGCAAGTCCACCCACAATTGCAGGCCCACATTGGGGCTTCCATCCTCGTTCTGCCTAGGCATCTCAGCGTGTACTACCCCCTTTCCGGCAGTCATAAACTGCAGGTCACCGGTTTCGATGGTCCCTTTACTGCCAGTGAAGTCCTTTTGAATCGTTAGTATCTGCGTTCAGTATCCGGGGTTGTGTTGAGCAAACTAACCTCATGATCAACAGCGCCTTGGAGGAGATAAGTAATGGTCTCTTGACCTCTATGGGGATGGTCTGGAAATCCGGCCCCTGGCGATATCGAAAAGTGGTCGAGCATCAGGAACGGTGACAGATTTCGAAGGCGTGGAGTTCCAATCGATCTTCGAACTCGGGCGCCAACGCCTTCCGATTGGGAGACCGCCAGGATGGACTGGCGAATGCCACGGGCAATCGATGCATTTAGAGGCTTCATCAGTGACGGATCGTTTGGAGGAACAACTGGTAATCCTGGAAAAGCTTGGTCTCGTACAGACATTTGTGTGACAGTATATTTCAAGATTCGCTCTCGATGGTAAAGGACAACTGCAATGATACAGAAAATTATTGAACTGATGATTCGCTTCATCAACGACAAGTGGGGCCTTAATATACTCAGAATCGCTGAAGCATCCAGAAAGATATGGTCTCTTCATATACACCCTACCGAAATCATTACTACGCTATTGGAAATTTGGATTGCAGAGCATTTCTCAGCCATGACTAAGAGGGGCCCTGCAACCACGCCACGGATTGGTTTCCGCGTCGAACTGCGTGGACCAGCGTCGATTGGCAGACGTCATCCAATCCTGTCCTTGTCACCTCGTGGGCTAGCAGTTGGTGTTCGACAGCAGCGGAGAAAGCATCGTGCTTAGTTAGCATTTGTCGCACTGCCGAAAAAATGCATTCCTGCATTCGAGACGGTGAATGACTCTCCCAGCCATAGCGTTGCTGTACGGAAGACAGCGAGCTGAAGAAGCCAAGTCGTAGAACTATGCCCAGGGCTCATTTTCAATTGATCATTAATATGCTGCCCGTGCATGTGGGCTGCGGACTCGTTTTCCTGCTTTTACGTCACAAGGAGCCAGACCATAAGTGCTGCACGTGTATAGCAAGCGATTCACGGGAAATTTCTTGCCAAAAACGTTGCTTGATTAGCAGAATTGCGTAGAAGGCCTACAAGTCGATAACACCCAATTACGGCGCTATGTCGCCAACTAGTTCTAGTTTGCAGAGAGTGCGCTGAAATGTTTGCCCACCTTTCACACAATCTTTCGTGCTCAATATTCGAGGTCTAGGGTTATATCATGCGATTCATTACTTTTCATAACTTCGTGAACCGATTCTACTCCCATGGCAGTGCCTCTCTTCGAGCATCTCCAGTCAGAACACCCGAAACATGGACCAATGTTCCCTTCATGTTGAAAGTGGTCGGTGATGATGGTGGAGACGCACGCGATTGAGGTGTGTCGACTTTTCCGTCCACTTGAGCCGCCTCGGGCAACGGGCCTAACGGGAAAATCTGTTTGGAAGGCGATTTCGGGCTCTTTGGAGTATATGAAGCGGATCTTGTGGACGGGCTTCGAGCTTTATCGTCGAGAATAATTTTACCAGTAAAGGGACGCGAGCCATGTTCATGCGGCCCTTCAGTTTCGTGCGTTTTCAGCTTTTCCTTGATTGCTTCATGCAGCTTTGCCCTCTCTTTCGCCCTTTGTTTCGCTTGCTTATAGTCGTCCTTGACCGTGCTTGGTAGCTTAGCCTGTGCCACGCCAAACGGAAGCTTTTGTCCCTTTTGCGCCAACTCCTTTTGTTGTAAGTCCGCAAGTTGTTTGAACGATTCAAGGGACGGTTCCTTAGTTCCAAACAATTTGCTGAACGAGCTCGACTTTTTATGAGTCTTTGGCAATTGGGGAACGCTTGGTGGACGTACTTGCTCTGAAGAATCGCTTGATCCTCGTGAAGTTCCGCTGTGACTGCTTGATGCCCTTGATACTGTGCTCGTCGACCTCGTCCGGCTACTTTGTCTGTGGATATCTAAAGGCTCGATGATACCTCCTCGCCCTGCGCTCATTTTTGAAGCTGAGGAGATCGACAGCGGCACAGGGCGTTACTGCGTTAGCTGCTGCTGGAAGGAACGATCAGCGTTTCCTCAGTGTGGCAAATCGGTCTTTGAACTCCTTTCAGGTTTGCTGAACTTTTAAGATTGTTCGAATTATGCTCTTGAACAAGGACGCTGTGCGACCAATGTGCTTGGTAGGTGTTAACTTTGTGCACGAGGGCTAACGCCGCTCTTTATGAGTGCCGGTCTTGTTGGACCTGGGGCTTGGACGAGGTAAGGGTATACCAGGCAAGCGGAACATCGCCTGAAGCAGGTTTAAACGTATCCAATCATGATGTTGGACATGGCTTTTTGACTTTGGCGGGAATCTGCAGTCGCCATTCGCTTAAGTTTCTACAACGCTCAGCATGCCAGAAACCCGTAAATTATCACAGTAGCATTGGCTGACGCAATGTCTCGACCCCAGCAACAGACTACATGGGGACTCTTCCTCAGCTCGGCAATCGACAGCGTTCAAAACTCCACCACCCAATGATGGCTTCGCCGCATCTTGGAGCAGCGGTAAAGACGAATGGCACGGTGGGGTAATGCTATTTGTGATGGATCGACCTGGCAATTTTCGCACGTACAGGATCTGGCGATGCAGTGCCACGCTGCAGACCCCACCAAACCGCGATATCAGTTCAATCACACGCGTCCGCTACCACGAGGTCTCAACATCGACTAATGAACCAATATGGCGGTTTTCTCGGAAAGCATCGTCGCAATCAGTATTGATCAGCGCCCTCGATAAGGTGCCTACGGTATCAAGATATGGAAATCCGTGTCTCCACGTGCAGCGATTCAACTGCGCAAGTAGGCTATCGAATTTTCGCACTGCCCGGAACCCATCTGCACGGTGCTGGTCTCTATCACGCTCGGTGTAAGGGATTCTAAAGATGTCGAGCTATCATCAAGCAAGGAAAATTCTCAAGCGAGGGATATTTCTCAACCCGTCTTTAGCGAGCATTGGAAACCCGTTGCTGCGACTAGTGCAGAGTTCCAGACTTCGCTTGCGTATGTAGGCGACACGAACACCCTCCGTCACACGTGCAACCTGCTGCCCGACTTTCGCAGATCCTTTTCCACCCGGTTTAACAGGCCTGCTTCAGGTTGAAAATTGGGCGGTGCATTTAATGCAGGACGGAAGTTTTAGGGCGCGGATATTGCCGTCGACCCTGCTTTGACCCGGGCAAAATCTTCCCAAGCACCAGGCATATGGTCGTCATTGTGTTGGTTCCCATCCAAGTCTCTTCCCGGGTCTTTGCGTGCAAGGGAGTATTCCGAACGAGGCCTTGCGGAGTTTTAGTTTATCCCATCTACGGAACCGCTGTATGAACTGATATGCATGCATTCCGACCAATAAAGGGCTTGAGGGGTTCTGCAGACCTTATTGTTGTTCCGCCCAGTTTCTAGGTATGATCTCATCCAAAGCTTCTGTGAACCATTGCTTTTAGAGTAAACTGTTCAAAGGCGTAATGTCCTCGGGGCCATACGTATTGGAGCTATCGCTGGCGCCTTTTAGTCTCAAAGGATTGGCAGGGTTAGATGAGGGTGCTGCACAGATCCCGCTGCCTGTTTCGAGGATAGCTGCCACCTGTTAAGAGCTTGGAATACTGGGAGGCTCGAGGAACTGAGCCGGCCATTTATTATTATGAGAGAGCGACCCAGAGTCTGTCCGAGAGCATCGAATCCGGCTAACTCACGATTTTTCATTGCATTGCCTTTTATATTACGACGTTTATTATCAACCAAGCTCTTCTTCTATTCTGAGAATTCCTCTTTCCAGCGGCAAATCATAGTTGTGTTCTTAAGGCATATGCAAGTCTGTTATCGGCAATTCCTACAAGAGTTTTCCGCCTTGGCTTAACACACGAGAGACAAAGCAAGAAGATCTTCTAGTTTGTCGAATTCTGGTTAACGCGACTCTAATCCGGTATTCCAAGGTATCTGATGCCAAAAATGGCTTCTGGTTTCCAGGGCCCTCTCTTCCAAGTTTTTATGGATGTCTGCTAGCACGGGTTATAATCGTTTATCGTGCTTGTCCTCGTAACTGGATATTATTCTCGTGTCTATAGCAGCATGAAGGTACTTCTTGACAGCACTGCTGCAACAGGATGACATGTCCGATAAAGGCTATCTCCAAAATCTATGGGAAGCGGGTTTCCTATGCCTGTGTTGACAGCTGTGCAGCATCTCAACATCCCCGATTCATTTAGGTCCTGCAGTACGTAACTCGACCATCTTTGTCGTCGTATGGTGTTCGACGTTATTTAGCAGAGGATCGCGTAGTAGATTGTGCCTTGATTGTCTTCAAGTGTAAGGGCTTCTCTCCCTCAGCTTCGGATCGTACAGAATGGACTTAAAACCGCGCGCAGTAGTTGTCCTGCTAGCCTGGTTAGATTGGGAGTGTGTTATCCAGATGAAAATCGAAGCCATGATATGATTAATTGAAATCGATTATTTGCATGATTACAGATCTGTGGATTTCAGTACTGGGCTGGCGTTCTATCGATGAGACTGGAGGACGTCATACTTGCTTTAACTGACATTGACAAAGTTGTTGATAGACGCGGGCGAGGACTATGCAGTCTAACTGATGGGAGCATCAGTGGTCAAATGGAACAAGAAGACTTTGATTATGCATTTGCGATATTCATCAAAGTTTTTGATGTGAAGCGGACATCCATAGTCAGGGGAGTTACGTGCTGAAGGGTAACTAATTAGTTTCTAGGGCATCTAATATATAACCAATAACTGGTCTATGTTGATCAAAGCAGCAAGCAATGGCCAAGCCAGCTTGGAACGGTGGCCTATGGGCACCAAAAAACAAGGTACGTCAAACTATGCATTGCACACGTGAAGTGAAGTCGAGCAGCGAGCGAGAGCGAGAGCGAGTACACATTTTTTTTATTGTTCGATGTTCGAAACCCGCCGCCTCCTATATTTTTTGGGCTACATAGGCCGACATGTTAGAATCGCAACGAATAAGATCTGTATTTCACTGTAGTCCAGGACAACTTCAAGGCTAGCCACCTCTGTTCAACAATTTTGCGCTTGTCTTTCATGGCACCTGGTCTCGAGATAGGCTTGATACATAGCACCGCAGGCTGCTTTTATGATGCTATCGCCATTACTTAGTGTCCTCAACCTCCGTACACCAATTGTCAACCATAAGATTCAGTAAATCAATACTCATGCCAAATCAACTAAGGATAGAGCAACGACAAGCTTTCCGAGGCACAATAACTCAGATACACATAGATTTTGGAGAAAAGCAACAGCATTACTTTCACAGCGAACCACAGCCTCAGACATACATAGTTTGCCAGCTTCAGTAGACAAGGAAGGCATTGAAATGATGTTTGGGTCCAAAATTACAAGCCTTGCGATCGGAACAAGGCTTCTCGCAGAGCTAATTCGTGACTGCTCGACTTGAGGTATGGGTAGTCCATCTGCTCAAGAACAAAAGTCTTCATCCCAATCAAACGCTGTTTGCAACAGGATAAAGTCAATGATTGTGTAGCATTTTGCATTTAGAGTAGAACTCGAGCAGCATCATGATTCTGATAGGAACGAGGAATGAAGATCCGATGCTGAGGCGTTGGAATTTAGAGAGGTGCTTAGTGAACTTAGCCAAAAGTGCATGCATTGAGAGATGGCATTGTATGTAGTTAAAGGTCTTCGGCAGTTGACGGGACACAGCTGTTGTCAGCTGGAAAACAAACACATTCATTTCGAGAAAATAGCTGGCAACCCCTTGATATGGCCCACAGCTACTCACAAAAATGAAGGAATTACAAAGGATGCGCGAACTATGATCCAGGTATCAATCATCACATCAGCATGGGCCTCCTACGAGAATGCCACTGCGGGCGAGGCTAAGTGCCTTGCCTGGAGACATGATATCGGCTCTGACATGGCACGCTATAGACAGCCGCACAAATGATCTTTTTGTGAGCCTTTTGATAATCTGCAGTGCTATCCTGGGCCGCTCTACAAGCACGCGAGCACTCAAAACCCTAACTCTAACGTCGTCTTCTTTGTCATGCGCCCAGCCAGCGAGGCTTGATCGCAAGGCTACGCTAAGCCCGAAAAGGCAAATCCAAATTCGCCGACTGTCTCTCGCTCGTTCTCAGAGCTGGGTTTCTCCATCAAAATCCTTCCCTGCGTTACGCAGTCTACAACCAACCTTTTTTGTGCTTGCATTGACGAACACCACACGCACGCTCGCTGCTGCTTCCTCGCCTTTTGTCGCCCGCGCTATCCGCCATGGCCCAGCCAGACTCCGCTGAGCTCAAGCTCATGCGGTCCACCAAGTTCCCGCCCACGTTCTCCCGCAAGGTCGACATCCGCAAGGTCAACATGGAAGTCATGAAGAAGTGGATGGCACAGCGCATTACGGAACTACTGGGCATGGAGGACGACGTGACGGTGGACTTTGCGTACGAACTCGTTAACGACAAGTCGGGTGCCAGCTTCAACCCCAACATCAAGCTTCTACAGATCAAGATGCAGGCTTTTCTGGGCGAGGAGTCGAGCGCCAAGTTCGCGAGCGAGTTGTGGGATCTGATGCTGAGCGCCCAAGAGAGCAGCTTAGGCGTGCCAAGCCAGCTGCTGGAAGCGAAGAAGGCCGAACTCATGCAGGAAAGGGTAAGAGGTCGTCGGGCTCCCCCCCCCTCCCCCCTTCCCCTTTTAGTCGTTTCTTTGCCTCTCTGGCTTCAGGAGAATTACGGACGAATTCTGATCGGACGTGCTACAGGAAGCTGCCGAGCGACGGGCTCAAGAGGAGAAGAGGCGGAAGGAGCGCGAGGCTGCGCGAGATAGAGAGATTGACGATCGACGACGACGGGACCGCCGGGACCGCAACGAACGACGCGATCGCGACTATCGCGGCGGCCGAGACAGCCGGCGATACTCGCCCAGACCTAGATCCAGATCTCCGCGCCGACGAAGAGAGTACGATGACGACGGTGACGACGGATCGCCCCGCCGCAGACGGTACCGCTCGCGTTCAAGGACGCCCCCCAGACGAGAGCGTAGGCGAGACGACTCGCCCCCGCCGTACAGGCGGCGAAGAAGCAGCACGCCCCCGCCACGGCGTCGTCGCAGCCCGGACCGCGATCGCTCTCCGAACTCCGCCGCCAGTCGGCGCGGATCCTCACCTCCGCCACCACCTTCCCGCAGGAGACGGAACTCGTCGTCGCCGTCCTCGGGCGGCTGAGAAGTGTCGACACCACATTTTGACGTCTTTTGTGCACCTTTCTCACTTATATCCAGGGCGGCCCTCGACAAAGACTTGGAAAAAGAAAAAGGAAATAAAGAGAGAAAGAAAAAAAAAAAGGAGATAGGAATGAGAAGATCCCCTCCCCCCGAAAACAAAGGAGTAAGAAAGGCCAAGAAGACGAGGACATAGATACCAAGCCTCCACGAACACAATCCAACCCGCGCCCTTGCTGTGACGGCAACTCCCATCTCCCCATCAAAACAAAGGAGACACGCGAGGTCGCTTTGAACACAGCCGTTTTCCTAGGGAGCCAGCTGCGGACCCAATCGACGTAGACGCTGAATCGTGAGGGGCCGGGAAGGTTAGCCCTTCTTTGCGAAACCCACTTTTTCTCTCGCAGTATGTCGTACTCGTCTTATCATGATCCGAGCCAAGGCAAGTAGTTCACGTAGGCAGTATATAAAGACAAATGAGATTTATTTTATTTCTAATACATCTCATTACTGTCCCTTTTTGTAGTCAAATCTATCGCCCTTGTACCTCCACTTCGCATATTTTCATCTTCGACGGCTCACCAAGAGTCTCTCACAGCCTCGAGCCGTCCGCACCCTTGGTGTTCTCTCCAATGACGTTTAGGAACGCTTCATGTACGTTGTCCGTAAGGTCGCCTGCCTGCAAGCTGCGCCCTTTGCTCCTGAAGGCGAGCCTGGAGCACTCACGCGTGACGGCGCTGCCCGCGTACGCCGCCAGAGCCAGCAGTTCGTCCTCCTTCAGGTCGCCTTCGTGGTCCCATATCTTGTCGAGATACGCTCGTCTCCACGCCAGGAACGTGCCGATTGCTCCCGTCAGCGTGTCGCCCTGGCCGCCGGAGCGCTTGAGGCCGCCCTCGCCGTCGGAGACGAACGTGTCCGACCCGTTGGATATGTAGTCCTTGGCGCCCTTTTGCACAATCGTCGGACCGCCAAATGCCCTCGCCAGCGTCGCGCACACCGTCGCCGGGTCCTCCCGCTGCACGTCTATGCCCTTGCTCTTCGCCAGCCTGCCGAACTCGACCACGTTGGGCGTGAGGATGCACTCCTTGTAACCCTGTATCAGCTCCGGCCGCGTCTGTACCAGGAACAGGCCGTCCGCGTCCAGCACGAAGGGGATGTTGCGTTTTCTGGCCTCGGTGATCGTCCGCGCGACGATCTCCTGCATCACCGGGTCGCGACCCAGGCCGGGCCCGATCACGACGACGTGAAGCCGCGACAGCATGTCGATGACCTGCTGGGCGGCGGCGTCGACGGCGGAGCCGTCGCTGGCCGAGATCTGCTTCGACGAGCGCATGTAAGGGTGGACCATCAGGTTCGGGGAGTAGGTTTTGATGACGGCGCCGGCGTCCGGCGTGCAGATGACGTGGCTCTGTCGCGGTCGCAGCGCGTTAGACGTGCGAACATGTGCGTGTGTCTGTTGTATTTGTGCGCCGTGCTCACCATGTCGCAGCCGAGCCTGGCCGATGCCATGGCAGAAAAGTACGGTGCGCCCGTGTAGTCTTCGCTGCCGCCGATGACGCCTACTCGTCCCAACTGACCTGATGAACACGGGCGTCAGTACTCGTTCCCCTGAACGCAAGGAAAGCGCACAGGAGCATAGTGTAGGCCAGGAATCGTTTAGGGAAAAAAAAAGGCGAGCGTGAAGAGGGGGAAAAGGAAACAGGAAGCACAGCACCTTTGTGAAAGCTCTCCAGCATTGGCGGCACCATCTTCTGCACCTTGGAGATGATCTCCTTTCGAGCAGCCATTGCGCCCACTTGCGGACGGGGAAGAAGTTCCGGCCGCGATATGATTTAGAAGCTTGAACAAAGAGAGAAGCAAGGTCTGATCGTTGGCAGTGCAGTACAGGTTCTCACACTGGCCGACCTTCAGGATCGCACAAGTTTTATCCGGTCGTCCAGCAAGCTTGCGTTTGACATCATACGTGCGAAACGGGACGGCTTCCTCACGCTGGGGCGCTGGTGCACGTCAAAGTTAAGGCGGGGGCTGTGGGGCTCTTTGCCGTTCACTTCGGAGATTTCTCCTTCCCAACACAATGCGCACACGGCAAAAGTCAGCCAAGCTGCCGCTCAGATGCACAGAATCATGCAGTCGCTCGCCGCTGCTTTGACCTTCAAAGCCATGTTGTTACCAGTACGGGCAATGGAACGGAAGACAGTCAGAACGAATCAATACAAGGCAGACCTTGCGTCGCCACTCTATAGTTTCTCGGCTAACCATGGCAATAGCGTAAGCACAGCTACAGTTCGAGCATATGCCTCTCTTGCGCCTTAAGACAGAACTTGGCCTTGCCAGCCACGACTTGAATAATGTGACTCGCTCCGCCCACGTTTTTGTTCTCCATGCAAATACAGGAGATGCTGGGCCACCATTACGATATACACTAAACCATCAAAGAGCAGGTTTGAAGCAAGAGTGCGCAGAACGGAACAAAGGTGAAAAAGATCGAGTACCGTAGACAAACTACAGATTCTCGGGCCCTGTTTTTGATGACAAATAAAAGGTCGCCGTGTGCTGCAGGCGACGACAATCGTGCATCTGTCGTCGCTCTTCCTCCGCTGGCCAATTCTGCCATGGCCAGGGATGACAGCGCTCGTCGAGCATGAATAGAAAAGTATGACCGCCTTTTCCGAGCCCTTCATCGCCGCTTCCCTTTGCCTTTTATAGGAATAAAAAAGGAGATAATATCCCTGTGGCGACAAACAAATACAGAGGGATATAAGATTTAGCGTAACGCCGATACAATGGTTCGATCGAGGTCGATGTACATGCCGCAATGCAGTCGCCAGAATTTTTGGTAATATGAGGGCAAAGATGTCATTATCGGAGATGGAAAAATAAAGGTGCGAGGGCAGACATTTGTGCGCCGTGGTCGTTGTTCAGTTGTCGAGAACATCAGTCGTGGTTCGAGTACGGTAGCTAGTAATACATGAGTTCGCGGGGAGAGAGAGAGAATTCGTAGAGAAGTCGTGGGATAGGTCGAATTGCCAAGGAAATCAGCGCCGGTCGTAGTGCTGTGCAGGTTGGCCGGAATACTCGACGCCTGACATGGCGCCAGAAGAAGCTTGTCCCCATTGTGCCGCAGGTGCCGACTGTACAGGAGGGAGCATGGTTGAAGGAGGCCCACCAGAGGCTGTTCTCGCGTGCTCTTGTGCTAGCGAGTGGGTGAAGTTTCCATAAACGTGGTTCCTGCCAGGGTCCAGGCGCTGCACGTCACTCCATAGGTGAGTAATCTCTGCTTGCAAGGCCCGAATCTCGTCTTGATTCCTACGAGACATATCCAGCTCCATCTTCAACCGCTCGGCATCACGGCGGACAACCGTGTCACTGGACTTGAGGTGTCTGATGTGTTCAATGGCTAATCCAAAAGGGTTAGTGAAATGTTACGTATAAAGATGCTTGTTACTGGTTCATACCCTTGGTAAGAATCTCCCACTTGCTCGATTTGCCACCAGGCGAGTTGGGTAGAATGGAGTTGAGTTCGTCAAAAAGCTGCTTCATCTCACTTCGTCGCTTTCGTTCAGCCATCTTGTGGCTGACGCGGAGCTCTGGGGTGCGGCTGTAACTGCCAGTCCCCGACACGGACAGACCGCCTTGTTCATTGTTTTGTAGGCTCGTGACGGAGCGATGTTGAATGGAGTGATGATGAGTATGCAGGTCTGCACTGAGATCAGCTTGGTTGATCCGACCGTTTGCTTTGGCGCGCAACATACCACCGTCGTCAAAACGTTTCTGGCCGGGAGGTAGCGCTGAATCTGTAGTCAAGATGCTGCTGGCGATCGACTGCGCGTAACTGTTCTGCCGGGAGATATTGCCCCTGCCGTCATGAGACTCTTCGCTGCTTGATCCTCTGCGATCGTCTAGGGATTCCTGATCGGGGAATGCCCACGCGAAACCTTTGGTCGGTGCAGCTGCAGTAGGATCGGGCATACCCGAAACGGCACGAGGATTTGCGATGACAGGCGCACGACGTGGGACGACGTGGGCCCTATTTGCCAGACGTGTACCAGTAGGCGAGAGCGGAGTGAGCCCGTTTGGAACGCGAGCCTGCTGCAATCCGGAAGCAAGGGAGGCGCGCGAAGCATTTTGGCTGTCATAAGGCGACTGCGGACTGATTTGAAGGTGTCCCATCCCGACGTTCATACGACTGTCAACGCTGCTGCGTCGACTGGAGTCGAGAAGAGCTGCATCTGTACTGTGTACACTTGCACGATTTTGATCGAACCCTTGGTTGAGCGAGGGCAAATTCGGCTACAGCCATGTTCAGGATGATGCCTTCAATCGAGAGCCGTAGTACGTACCTGTAATGACCCTCGACCAGAGTGTGGTGTTTCAGGCATAGAGTTGCGTGGTGGAGAATCTTCATTGTTGTTCAGGATGGTTTGCAGGTGCAGCCCTGATGCGCTCGAAATGGCTGAAGAGTCTGTTTGTGTGTTAGTCGCGACAAGCCCTGGGCGGTGCGGAGCGTTGGACACCAGTCCAAGCAAGTGCTCGCATATATAGTCATTTGTCTGGCACACGTGTGGACATCGCGCTTGGATACTGTAGGACTGGTTGGCACGATGATGGGGGTTGACTTACGTTTGCTTTGCGAGGCGAGAGAGAAGTTGCCAGAGTCGCGGATAGCATCTTCCTGCTGGCGTCGAATGAGATTGGGCGAGGGCTCAGGAGGCGGTAACTCGTTTGTCAAGGTGGTGATTGGGGGAAGCGACTGTGGAGGCAGCACCGAGGCTTGATAAGATGTGAGAGGTTGACTATCCGGATTCATTGCCATGTTTGCGCACTCCTGTGCAGGAAATGAACACCGAGTGGTTCTTTTCGATCACTGCAAAGGTAGAGTGAATATACAACTGCTTCATGATTAGCTTGAAATTCTTGAACTTCACGGCCGTCATGTCGGTAGAGGGAGAACAGGGCACTGTTTGCCGCGGTCGAAGGCGTAGGCAGTAGCAACATTGAGTAGCCAACATTCTCACAGTCGAAGCCGCATCCCCGCTGTTCGGTTACCGTGCGTTCACGGAGCAAGACAGGCAAGGCTGCGTTTGGGCTTATATCGCAAAACGAGTGGGCGTGACGACTGATAATAGGAGATGTGGTGGCAATCGTGACGCGCAGGCAATCGAAGGAACGGAGGGGAAAAAAAGTAAAACGCGGTCGAGATCGGTTCTTACCTGGATACAAGCGATTTGAATTGATTGGGGTTTGCAGTTGCGAGTTGCGACTGCCTCAGGTCTCGGCGCGATGAAGGCAGCTTAGAGCACGAGGCTGCAGGAGGACCGCGAGGTAGGGCTGGCAGAGGGAGGGCGGCCGAGAATGATCTCTTTCTTCTTCGCAGGCAGCCAGAGAGAACGCCAATGGCGACGCAGAAAGTGTCGCGACGACCGAGGGATAGAAAATTCCCAGAGTTCGTCGTGCTTGACCCGATTTCGAGCCGGTGGGAAAGGCGAGATTTAACCCACGCTGCAGCCGTAGGTCGTCGATGCTGTCACGGTAGTGGAACCACTGGGCGCAAGTTGAGCATTGCAATGTGGTCCGGCACGAATGTGACAGAGCGGTAGCAAGATGAAGCGAAGCAGGTGATTTGGGCGGGGGAAAACGAGGGTTGGAGGCGAAGAGTGCGAGTCGATGGGGCCAGTGTGGGCGACGAAGAGGTGGCGATGATGTCGATAGGTGGTCGACGTTCCTGGACCCGGCTAGCTGAAGAGGCAAGCTTTGGACAGGCAGATGCGGTCGAGATCCAGACGTAGCACAGGCGCTACGGATCGGGCGAGCTGCCGTCGGAGTAAGCGGCCGGTACGCCTCTGATTGACAGGCGCGAAGAGGGATAAGCTATGGTAGGTAGCGCGCGACAGAACACGGCTGAGGACGGAGAGAGCTGGAGAACGGGGGAGATGGCGATTGAGCGCGGTGCAGGCCAGGAGGGTGACGGGAGCGCAGGCGGAGAGGATGGAGACAGGAAACGAGAGCAATTGGATGGGGATGACCACGGACAGAAGGACGCTGTGCCCAGCATCGAGCGACGAAGCGACGCAAAAGGCACACGCGCGCAGCGAATCGACGCCGCGCGGGAAAGGGTTGCAGAGGATCCAAGAAAGCTGGGGGCGGCCGCGTTGTGTGAGCGGTGTGTGTTGGGCAGATGCCAGAGGCGAAGGGAGAGGGAAAGAGGGTGAGAGAGCGAGGGAGGGCGAGTAAGTGATGGCAAGAGCGGGAATGGAGGCAGGAGTCGCAGAGCGAAAGCGAATTGCAGACGCTAGAAAGAGGACAGAGACGGCGGAGGGCCAGCGAGACGATCACACAGACAGTCGGGTTGCGCAAGTGCGTGTGCGTGCGCGTGTGAGTCCGTCTGTCTGGTTTGCCAGTCCAGTCAACGCAGTCGGCGAGGGAGGGGTGTCTGTTTGTCTGCGAGAGAGAGAGAGTGTGTGTAGGTGGGTAGAGGCCGTCCGGCTGTGTGAGAGTGCGTTCTCCGTTAAGAGTGTTTGCCAGTCCGTCGGCCCCGTCGCACGCAATGCCGTGGTGGGAGCAGCTCAAGGGTTGGGGTGGCAGCAGGACCTGGCTATCAAAAGAAGAAAACAAGTCGATGCCAGTCGCCTTCAGCAGAACGAAAAATGAAGCGCCAGCGAGCCCAGTCGGTTTCCCTTCACTCGCTCCCTCGGGCGACCACGTGTGGGCGGCGCCCCGTCTCCCTTGCAGCCCAGCAGCAGCAGCAAACCCGTGGAGCGATCGGCGGCATGAGACCGCGCTAGCGCCAGCAGCACGTAGCTTGACGCTACTGTAGGACGGACCATGCTCGCGACGGGCGCTAAGCCGCTGCGGGCCCGGCCTGGACGTGCGGTGCTGTGCTGCACTGTGCGGTGCTGTGCTTCGATCTGCGCGGCGCTGACTGCTGGGCCAGAACGCCGCCGCGGCGGAGGCGTTCCCAGTCTCTGCTGGCGCCCTGCCCTCTCCCAAATCCAGGCACGCCTCCCCGCGCCAACCACACGCCCACCCAAGGCTGGCGCTGGCACGCTCGCCCTCACAGACACACAAACACACAAACACACATGCGCAGTTCACGTACCCAAGCGACGGCATCCCCTAACAACGCCTGTTCTACCCGTCCTCCCTCTTCCCCCGTCCTCCTCGCTTGCTCGCTTGTGGAAGCAAGTCCACAGCACAGTTGCATCGCTGGCAAAGCAGTGCCCACCCCTCCGCCCTCTCCCCCCACACACGCCTCCTCTTCTCGCTTGCTGGCTTTTGCCTGAGTACTGCTGCAACGCATCTCCTCCCTAGTCTGGCTCTTCCTGGTCTGTACGACGTCCTGGCCTTGCCTTTCCTCATCTACTTGCCTGACCTGTCTGCACAAATCGTCCCTGTCCAGATCCTCCCTCGCCTGCTGTTCTTCATTCGCTTCCCACGCATGATTGCCACAGTCCTTCAGCTGTGCCTGGCAAAAGCCACCTTTTTGCTGCTCTGCCCTTGTCAGATGCTTTTCCGCCTCGATCTGCCTCGCCCCAAGCCTTGGTCCTAGCTGACACAGAAGAAAAAAACAAAACCAAAGAGACCTTTCGGAGCAGCACTGTAGGCCTTGTCCGCGAGGCTGGCGCAAACCACCGCATCTATCCCGTCCCTGTCCGTCTATCGCAGATGCGCCCCTATGTCGGCCCAAAAGGAGCAAAACCCCGTCCGCTGCGCTGCTTCTTTCTCCGTGTGGTGGTTGTGGAGCCCAAACTCCCGTCGAGTGGCGCCAATGACAATTCCCCGCCCGTCAGTGTTCGTGCTTTTTGCTGCCGTTTTGCGTCCCTCTGCCTGCCTCAACTGTCCGCCACCGAACGCAACCCAATGTATTGTCTTTGCCATCATTCCTTCGTATTGCTTTATTCCTCGTTCCTCGTTCCTTCTCCTCTCCTTTGCTTTTTTTATTTTACCATTCTCTCGTCTTCCTCTTTGCTTCGTGTGCCGGCCTCCACCCAGCCTACATCAAGGTTCTACCCAGCCCTTTCGCTTTCCCTGACAGTGGCCCGAAGCCCGTGCCATGGTAAGACCTTTGACGGACATACCGTCCAATCGATGGGTCCGCTCACCCTCGAAACAAAATCGCCCGAACAGAAAGGCTCATGGAATCTGCATCCACATCTGTGCCAGGGGGTGGGTAACAAATGGCTGATCGATCGGCTTTGTTCGACGCCAGCCAAGGCCAGACGCTACTTTCCGCCTTAACTTGCACCAAAGTACCCAGACTATGCTGCTATTCTTGACGCTGTACCTCCTTACGGCTCAAATCTTGACTCGTCTTTTTTTTTTTTTTTTTTTGGTTCCGCTATGAATGCAGTGTTCACCACTCTCTAATCTCTTACACACTCTCTATCTCGGTGGATTTTTTTTGGAGGGGGAGGGGCGTTGTTTGTTCACCCTGACGACAGTTTCCGCTCGCTTTCGCTGGAACATTGCAGCACGGCACACCATAGTTAAAAGAAACTACCAGCCAGCCGTGTTGGCATCGCCCATTGCTGTTGAGTTCTGGAATCGCCGACCTTCGCCCTTTTGATGTGGGCCTCCGCAGGCCCAAAGTCGACTAGCTCCGCATTTCGGCTGCTGAGCCTAATCCCGTAAGTGACCGAGATAATCCATGGACTTTTGATCGGGCCGTTCTTTCGCGCACAGCTTGTTCAAAGCATGGGCATCTCTAGCGTGGCCCTGCTCGCGAGCGACACGACGCAAAGTTCCTTGCTGTTATGAATGGCATATGCGAAGAATGATAATGTGGAATCGCAAACGTCGCGACCCGGCGGGGGTTGTTCGCCATGCTGCAACCCGCGTCCGTCTCGTTCCTTTTTCTTTTTCTCTTTCTTTTGGCGAGGTTGATCATCGTCGAAGCTTTCCTTGATCGTCTCTATTCTTTGCCTGACACAGACGATTGGTTATTGGTACCACTACTGTGACATGCTCATCTCCACACGACCAGCCGTGACGCAGATCAAGCCACCATCAACACACGACCGTTTTGACTCAGCGCACGAGACAAGGCGAGGAAAAAGAAACAAAAAGAGGGCTTGCGGGCGTTTTCCACACACGCATCGCCTTCTCGTCCTGCACGCAGGTTGGCGAGACTGAAGAACGGAGCGGAACAGTTCATGTTTGGGAAACAGAGCCTACGGATCAAGATGATTTGGGCGATCCCAGCAGGTCAATTTCCGTGGGTGCAAGTGAACAGGGGCCTCCCGTCGATCTCCAGCACCCAGCGAGCTGGGTTGTTGCGAGATCCAATAATTCGTGGCTCGACTCTCAGCAAGATCGGATCTCTCCTCGCGGCAGGGGGCTCTGCCGTGAGGGCATAGCGTGTTTGCCCGTCCCTCGTGGCCCACCACGAGTCTTCGTTTTTTGATCGGCAGTCCAGAAAAGAAGATCTCCGCGACGGCGACCAAGAAAGTGCTTCTTCACTGCGCGCTTGAATTCCAAATACTCGTACGTCGCTCCGCATGAGTCCCGCCCGTTCTTGCAGGTCCCGAGAGAAAGCTCTGGAGCAAGTCGAAGTTGAGCGATCCTTACCATCTCGTCTTTTTGTGGAGTGGAGGGCGCGATGGCGAAGTGGCAATGCCGTGAACGCGTGCTGCTCCGTCAAGCCAGTGTCTCTCGTCCGTGCTTTAGCTTTCGCCGACTGGTTTCGGGACAGACGAGATATGGTCGGCCGAGACTGTTGCTTGACGACTGGGCTGCAAAGAGCATCATTGGTCGCCCACGGCGAGCGAAAAGGACGGGTGCACCCATGTCGTCATTGACACGACGTCGTCGCTTAGCAGTGCCGCTGTCTGTCAGCACGCTGTGGGCTTTTCTGCCTACACACACGGAAGACAACCAGCAACACACAAGATAAAAGCTTTCGACTCGCAGCGGGCACAAGTCATGGCACATGCACGACGGACCAGAGCAAATGCGGTACATGGTGGTCGAAGCTGAGGCAAACCTCACGCGCTAATGCATGTCTGTATGGACATCTGTTATTCAGATGAGCCATCAGACGGGGATCACGGCTGGCCCTCCTGCGAGCTGCAAGCTACGCAGCCTTCCAGTTCCCTCGACTTTCCGAGGTGATATACATTGTACCCAACCATCTCGCCAATGGTGCAGTGACCACCAGCGAAACGTATGACAAAGTCGTTTGGACAGGTCCGTCGCTGCTCACTATCGCACGGGAAGGGAGTTCGTCAGGATTGTAGACCAATTCTTCCCTTTTCTTTCTCTTCCGTTTCGTGAAACTGACCTGCGCAAGCCGTGCATTGTCGACAGGTACAGCACCGGAAGTATCTTCCATTCCCTCGCAGTCCTGTACCCCACCTTCCGTCTCACATGACATAAATCTCGTGTCGACGCGCAACAACGCCTTCAACTCTCCATGTCCCACTTCTGGGGGATGCAAGATTATGCAGGCGAGAGTCACACTTATTTCCAATGGGGGCATACCTAAGCGGACCGATTGGTTCGACTGCGGGAGTTAGTTCCGGTGCATCAAGGTACGATCGTGGCCGCAGCAACGCGTGTTGGGAACCATCGACCCCCCTCCCTCCCTTCTCTCGCCTTTGGCAAAAATCATGGCAATCCACAAGACTCCGATATGAGCGTGGGAAGCTTTGTCGACGCAGATCTCTGAAATGGCACTCGGTTCAACATCAGGGGCCTGTTTTACCTTGTCACCCTTTCCACGGTTTGTCGTGCGCGCGTTCCGCTGCAGGACGACGAGCCGTTTCGGCTCATGTCGACTTTCTCCCTTTGTCCTGCGGGATCCGGTTCGCGAAAGCGTTCACACCTTCCTGTGGATGGCAAACACTAGGCGGCATTGGCTCTGTGGGCAGTGATGATCTTTGGGTAGGAAGCAAGCGGGCGTGCATGTTGCTCCATTCTCTTCATGCAACAGTCGTCCGACATTTCCCATATGCGGAACTCAGCCAACGCAAATAAACGCCCATGCGAACGAACACGTTCGTCTTCTTCCTCGTTCTTCACCATCGTCAGCGCGGAAGGGGCGGGTCTCGCTCAGCTTTCGCGCGTTGCCACAGACCTATCCCACCTGTATTTCTGACGTACGACACATCACAAAAGGGACCTGATCTTACAAACAGAAAAAAGGTATCCATCCTCTGTGAACTTGGGGTTTTTGAAATTGGATTCAGCTCAATCGCGGGCAGCCTGACGGAAATGCAGTCCGTTGCTAACGTGGGAATCGTCGAGAGACGGGGGCATGCTCTCTCGCGTGTGGGTTCAGCAGAACGTCTCTTTTGCAATCTCGACGATCAACACGTGCTGTTCACAACTCCCAAGAAGGAACCATGCGCCCGGGATTAGATTTTGATGTGCCTATATCGTTGTTTTTGTTTTCCCTACGTCGACATAGAAGATTGTGTCGAGGTCAGTTCATCCTGCTCTTAACGTAATGCTGGAGATGAAGCGCTGGCGACATCACGGCCGTCTTTGAAAAGCGAGTGGCTGAAAACAGCGTCTAACTTAGCCCTTCCTTCGCGTTGTTTGCCCGTTGCATCGATGGTTCGGAAACCATTTTTGCCGTTCTATTTTTTTTTTAAAGCCCCTCCCTCCCCTTGACTTTTTGTGAGTTCCGCTGACCCTAGTCAAAGCATTTCCCATCCGCAACGGCGACGCTATTTCGAGCGGATATTGATCCGACATGGGCAATAGTAGGACGCTGCAGCAGCTCATCGACATTGCGGCCTAGCCGCTAGGAGAACACGCTGCCGCTCGCTCATTCTCCGTTAGCTGGACAAGAACTCCACCGGCGGGACCCGCTCCAAAGACAAAAAAGGGCCGCTCTCAAGGTTACTTGCTGCGTCGTCTCGGAGTCCAGCTCGATCATGACTAGAATGGAAGAAGCACGCTGTTCCTGCGTAAGAGCAGGACGGCTTTGCAACGTGCCCATCTCTTCCCACCGAGCTGCCATTGACCGCACGACGAGCACTCATTTCTGACTTTTGCCTATTCATTTCCAGTGCGCAATGCCAGCTGTGAGCAAATCTGGATCATGTTGCTTGCGATTGACCATGGCTTCTCTGCCTGACCCCGTGCTCTCGCCCGTTCAAACATCGCTGAACAACCATTGCCAAGTGACGTCGGCGAGAGGCGTGTAGAGTAGATCAAAGTTGGATGACTACTTCACACGTAGCAAGAGTTACAATTGAGCACTCTGAGTCGAGACGTTTGAGGAAAACAAGAATAAGGCGCTTACAGGGCGGTGTTAGAATTACGCTTAAGTTCTATACTGAAGGAGATGGAGGTGTTGTCCCTCTTAGCTAAAGAATTATCGTACACATGCGTATGTATATATGTATATGTGTATATTATTTCATCAAGGGCCGTTTCAAAACCCATCCACCCGCCCATCCGATCCGGCCCCGCCAATACGCGATTACGCCCATTTCTCTTTTGTTTAAAATATCAGATCCAAAACGTGACGAATGTTCATGTTGAGAGAATGGTTGCCCCCCCCCCAATACCCGAGTTCCTCCGCCAAAAGATGGCTTGGCAAATGGAAAGGGAGGGGGAGAGGGAAAGAAAAAAAAAAGTAAGGAAGTAAGGCGTGGTTATCTATTCCGACGTTGTAAGATGCGTCCTTCTCGATCCCAGCGTGAGGATCGGGCCCACTAAGAAGGGTAGGATTGGAAGACTAAACGAAGAAAAGAAACAAAACGAACTCCCGGAGATGGATCTGGGCATCTCGATGACGCGTACATGTAGGGGGCCATAGGTGATGCCCAAAACAAAAAAAAACCCCACTGGTGCCATTGGTGGGGGAACAAAAGAATTTCTCTCGATGAAACGCCGATTATGCTGGATGATGCGTGCTGAAGTCAAAAGTTCGAACTGTAATTCCTCGATCCTGGAAGAGGAGGCATAGGTCCGGGGATGGCGATTGTGTTTCGTTTCCGATGGGCGTAGGCGGGCCGCTTGGCCATGACGCTCTCAAGCTCCTTGAGCATGCTGCCCTCGCGTTCGCGTCTCTCCTTGAACGAGGCCATGCGCTCGCTTTCCTCCTTCAGACGTGCGATGCGTTGCTCACGAGTGAGCGAGAAGCGTGTCTTTGGGTTTGCGATGGCCTCGAATATCTCCTCATCGCTGTTTGAGCCCGCGATGGGGCTGTCCGAGCTGGCGAACGAGAAGCGATTGTGCAACGGCGCTTCGCCGTTCAATGCTCTGAGAGCGTCCGAGGGTGTGCCACCTACAGACTCATCGACGGCCGTCAAGCCGCCCAGCGACGGTACCGGAGAGCGTAAGCCCGATGACGCTAACGATATTCTTCTCGATTCGCGGCGGTCAATGTTGAGCACCAGGCTGGCCTTGCCACTCTCCCAAGCTTGCACCAACGCCCTCAGATCTTGACCAATGGCGTCGTATTGTACCATTAGCCTCGGGCCCAAGTCTGAGAGATCGTCTGCTTCGTCGATGCTCTTGATTGACTCCTCGCGAAGGATCTGCATCTTGGCTTGAAGGCCTCTGATGCCGGATGACAGAGCGCTAAGCTTCTGTATCTGAGCTCTGAACTTCTGGCGTTCGGGATCCCTCGCTCGGTGCGGCGTAGCTGGTGTAGGAAGGACGAAAGTCTGTTCCTCGTCCAGCAGTTTGTTCATCTTCTCCGCCCAGTCACCGCTCACAGCTGCTAAGCGTTCCATCGTGTCGACGGCCGTCTTCCATCGATCAAAGTCTGGACGCGCGCCGTCTGCTTCCATGGACAGAAGCGCGCAAAGGGCGACGCGTCGCAAGATATTGAGCCGTGCTTGCAATATTCTCAAAGCCTTGAGGGACTCTGGGTCCTCAAACTCTGAGGTTGAAAAGCCTTGGTAGGCCTCAGTGATGTCTTGGTACGTGATCTCGTAGACGTCCAGGTATTTGTCAAGATCATCCTCCGAAATCAGGTCTCGCAAGTCCGAGCACGCATCGAGGAAAGGTGGTATGCTCGCTGCAAATGCACCCTTCAAGCATCGTCGTATCCGGGCGCACCGTCTCCCCTGGCCATCGTCATCCATTCTCGAGATCGGGGGTAGTGGCGTTCCTATTCTGTAGCCCTTCGACACCAGTTCCACCTCTTGCACAAGTATGAGCGCAGCAGAAGTTGACGCCTCGAAGGCTTGCAAGTTCGTGACAAGCACGGACGCGCTGTTTACAGCATTCTGTCTTAGGTTCTGCAACCACCGACGTCTTGCCCACGCGTACAGAACCATGGCCGCTGCGATCAGCACTGACAAGACAATGAGCGCCCTTCCCGTACTGAAGCCACGCGCTCTACCGGCCCTTGCCCAGTGAATAAGCCACACGACGGCAAAAGACGTGGTCGCCGTCAAAAATGCGCCAGTTACGCTTGTGGCAGTGGCTTTATACTCGTTCAGAGGCTCGTTTGTACCGTCGGCACTGGTCTGCATAGGCTTGGGGGGCACAAATCCTTGGTTTTCAGACAGCAGCTGCGACGCGACCAAGATGTACCGGAAGTGCTCTAGAAATCGCGCGTTGTCCGCCCTTCCTAACCTTGAATTTACCGCCCTCGAGCACACTTCATGCATCCTCGCTACGGGGCCTTCGCTTGGTATCTTCAACTTCAGCGGCTGCGGAAGCCGGTGCCGGATGCTGCGCCCAACCGTGGGTCTCTTGGGTGCAAAGCTTGAGGCGAAGACCGCGTCATCGTTCGTCGTCCTCGACTCGGCCACCGACGGGGCGGAGGATCTGGCGGGTGAATTTGGTTCAGAGGGTGGAGTTGCCGTGATCCAGGGCTCGTGACCGTCGTTGTCGGTCCTCTGACCTTCGCCTGCATAATGGCACGCCTTTAGCATCCTAGCCAGCAACACTACCACTTTAACGTGTAGCGAGATGTACAGCATGTCGTCGCGTCGGCCACATCACCACCGTCACCACCACCCATGACCGTGTCGTATGACGCGCTGATTTGGGGGGGCTTGTGTCTTAGGCGAAGTGCAAGGGTTTTGCGCGCCGAGGCAAGGAAACGAAGGCAGTGCTGAGACGGCGGAGGTTGGTGTGTGTGTGCGCGGGCGTATGTGTGTTCGTGTGCATATATGTTTGTGCGTGTGTGGTTGTGTCGGCTTGCAGGCGGAGAGGACAGTCGAAAGGAGGATGCGGCAGGGTGTGGTGTACGTGGAAGTATGCAAGAGGTAACTAACCTTCAAGGTAGGCTGCCAGAGGCGAGCTTTCCGGTATGATGGTCTCCATATGAAGATTGTACCGGCGTGGAGATCTCGTGAAAAGCCGATATTAAGTCGGGGCACTGCGGTACGGGCAGGGCATGCTCTCTCTCTAAGCCGAAAGCGTTACAGTTGCCGAGCGCTCGCCGCGTTGACTCGTGAAGCGATGGGTGATCGACCGCAGGCGACGGCTCGTGGAAGCAAAGGGAAGGAAGTCTCGAAGAAGGCTCGTGAACGCGACGGCTCCGGGGGGAAGATATGGGGTTGCAAATGGAGACCGCCAGAGTGCGCGCGCGTAGAGTCGCTGGACAGGATGATGCGCCGTCTCAGAGGTGCGGTCAATCTCGCAGGCTGCTGCATGAGGCGGTGCGAACGGGTCCAAGGGGCGATCATCGGCCGTTTTGCCTCCCTCCGCCCCCCGCCCAATGCTGGCTACTGTGGTAGACGAGAGGATCGTTTTATTAGTCCGTCTGTTCGGAGCAGCCTTCGCTCGTTTTCCTCGGCGTCCCCTGTGTTCGCTCTCGCCTCCTGCTTCGCGGCCTGCACGCAGCGCTCGAATTGCACGGTGCTCTTCCCTCTGCTTCTGGCGTGCTGTGTGTACAATCTGCACGTGAAGCACTCACAGCTGTGCACCGTCCTTCCCGTCAGGTGGCTCTCCCCTCTGCAGAGACGAGCGACGAAAATAACGCATGGAGAATCATGGACCTGGCAGCGCAAGGATGGTGGATGCTACGCTTGTTTGAAACACCACATGGCCAGAGCCGCAATGCCTCTTCATTTCGTGTCCAAGGCACAGATCACCACGAATCTCCGAACGCCATTCACGCACCGCAGAACACCTAAATCTGGGTGCATGGACCTCGTGAAGCACCAAACATGGTGATGTTTCGTCGTGCGTATTTACAATGACAAGAGCCTCGGAATGCCTCAAGCTATGACAGGCTCCGAGGAAAATGATGACATGATCCTTCTCTCGCGTCCGAATGAACACGTCTTCATCGTATAATCTTTCTGCATGGCACCAGCCTCTCTGGTCGCTTTCAGTCGCCCATGCGTCGAATTCAGGACTTCATACATGTATTCAGACTCGCAAAAAGGAGCCGTTGACTACGCATCCAGTTTCACCTACGTCATGCCGAGCCACCATGTCTACAAAGGAAATATCACGGGTCAATCGAGAAATTTCTCAGGCGCAATTTCATCTCTAAAAGGGATGATCAGCGATTCATCAGCTGCACGAGGTATGTGGGCTGTTAAACATGCTTTCTTTGTCTTCGCAAAGGAACATCAAAGCCAAAGATGTGAGAACAGTTCTGCATGTAACATGCAAAGGCAGTTAGTATCGCATAAGTGCGAAAGCGTTGGATAGAGATATACGCTCAATGTTTTTTTTTCTGTGTATTATTCCGCTCCGAGATAGACTGGCCGTGAAGCCAAAGTTCGCTCGATAGCCAAGAGGCACCGATGCATATACCGACAAGGCACTGTGAAACCCTCAGCCTCGTGTACACCAGTAGTTTACATGAAAGAAAAGAAAGCAAAAGAAAAAGGTGGAAGAGTCGTGCTGCCAGCTTTCATTCCCAACTGATGCCCGTGCCCGAGTCCCGTCGTGGACAGGGTCTTGTATGGAACAGAAGCGTTCATCGATCTCTTCAATAGCCTTTGTCACCGTTTACCATGACTCTTTACCAGGCATCAACATCGTAGTACTCCTCGCTGAAATAAGTAATGACGCAGGTTCTGTCCCCAAACTTGCGGCCGGCAAGTGCAGCAAGAGCCTTTTGCGCTGCTTCTACAGTCTCGAGCTTGACGTAGATCTTGCCAACACCAGGTGATGTTCTTGCCCCCGCAGGGCGCGGAATCTTAATGCTGAGGACCTTGCCGAACTTAGAAACTTCTTCTACAACATCTTCACGGATGTCTGCATCGACCACGTTAGCGATATGCACCGAAAAGCAGTATTGCCACACGTACCTTCAACATCGTCATCCCGAATGAGTTCTTCAGGAGTGACCATATTGAGCATCTGCAGCACACGAGTCTTCTCCATTGTGGTAGAAACAGTGCCGGCTAGCAGTGACATTGCGTTGACTCCCATGTCGGCTGCAACCTGTTCCTGACCTAGACATGCGCGCTGAAGTTTGATGCTCAAACCGCCAATCTCCATACCATTCAGACCTTCAAACGCAATATTTGTTGTTTCTGGGTTAGCATACTCGCAGAAAGCAAAACCCTGCCGGTTTAGTAAGTATTTAAAACATCGACACACCAATTACAAACTCACTCGAGATTGCCCACTGTCGTCCACGGCTAGAGCCAATGCTTTCAATGGGCCGATGGCAACCAGGAGCTGTTTGATCTGCTCCTCGTCCAAGAATGGAGCGAGGTTTGTTATGAGAATCTTCTCGGTTGTGTCAGGTACTTCGTTAGAAATCTCTTCAGACTGCACGTCAGACGGCGGCGAAGGAGTAGGACCGATATAGTCTTTGGGACGCTTGACTTGAAGACCGGACGATCCATTTGCCGTGCCATCCGCTGTGTCCATGCTCTCATCGGTCATTGAGATTCCGTCAAGCGCCAATGCAACTGTAGCGTCGCCAGGATTCTTAAACTCAAGCAGGGCATGATTGCCTGCCTTCGAAATATGTGCCGCTTGGCAAGGGTCGCTGCTCTTGATCAGGTTGATACCATTCAATTGCAAGTTGAAGAAGTTCACGAGGTCTTCCTCGGTCACTGATTTGGGAATGTTGTACACGAGCAAACGCTTCGCTTGGCGTGCCATGGTTGGTTTCAGAGCAGAAGTTGCTGCCAAATTTTGCGGCTGGCTAACGAGAGCTTGCAGGCGTTGTGGATCCATAGGCTGTTGACGAGGCGCACCAGGCAGTGGGAACATACCAGACAACTTTGCCTGCTCTGCTGTAATATTCTCATAACCAGGTGGCTTAATGTCCCACTGTGTCATACGCCGTTGCCGTTCCAGAATAGGTACTACGTCTGTTAAATCCGGCGTCGGCTCTCGCTTTTTTACTGGGGGTGTAGCACTGCGTTTCCTCTCTTCCCGCCGGCCACCGCCATAAGCATCGCGTTCACGACGGTCTCGTCCGCCGCCACCTCTTCGGTCATCGAAGTCCCTTCGTCGGTCGTCATCCCTATCGCGCCTGGGACCGCGATCTCGGTCCCAGCCTCCGCGATCGTCACGTCTATCTCGTCTGGACTCATTCTCACGCCGGCTTGAGCTATAAAAATCTGGCTCATCTCGTCTACTCCGATGTCCTCGGGGGCTCCTAGATCGACGTCTTTCACGGTCGTCATCGCGTCGTCGATCGCGTCTATCGTCTCGGTCTCTCGGTCCGCGGTCGTCCTATTGGTAGGGGAGAATGTTTAGCTCACTTACGTGTACACTATGCAAAGCGTCTTCACAAATGAAGAACGCACGGCGACGACTAGCTTTCTTCTTCAAAGTCCATGGACTAACAGTGCGCTCGAGACAAAGATTCATTAAGAGTAAGTTCGGATAGCAAAGCCTCGGTCTTCTCGGCTCTACCGTGCTGCTGGGTGCTAGACAAGAAAAGATAAATACTCACTCTGTGAGAACGAGAGTAACGGTCGTCACCTTAGTACAACAAGTCAGCCGAGTTGTCATCGCCAAACAGCCACGAGGAAAGATTCCAGCAGCCCCCATACTAGACACTGCCATTCCATATATTTCCGTCATCGGTAACGCGAGAGAAGGTGGTAGGAAAAGAACGAGGTGGGCTCACCGTTGCGAGAGCTGTCCATCTTCTCGGCTGTCGTGCAACAAGTGGACAAACTCGGAGCGATCACACGAAATAACTTCAGGTCGTGCACGGCCCGTTAATTGACTTAAGGGTGACGGCAACGACGCAATGAAGGGGAGAACGTCGCTGTAGCGATGCAAAAGTGATGTTGTCGTCAAAGGAGCCCGTCACGTAGTGAAGCTGCGCGAAAACTTGCGGCTCCAGCATGGGACGTGCGCCGCTTGCCTGATTTGACGCCGCGGGCTGGACCCTTGAGATAGTCTGGGGAAAACCGTGAGGCATCGCGAAGTACTACATCTTCTCCTGAGCCGCTGCTGTAGGCGCCTCAATTTCTCCATTCCTAGGCTTAGGAGCTTCGTAAAGCATCGGATTTATAGATTTCATCCTCCGCTCTGGCTCGATTAGCATCCCCTGTTGCGCGCAGCCTGCAGTCTTCGTTCACATCCCGCCTGTGTCGTCGCCAATATTCTTTGCATTTCTCCACCGCAACCGCAACACGATACATGGCTGAATGGCATAAGCTGCCCGTCAGTTTGACCGAGCTATGTATTGACACAACGCTTCGTTGCGGCCAAAGTTTCAGGCAGGATATAGGGCATCTCGGCTTCACTCCAGCCTAGCTGACTCTTCACAGGTGGCGCAAAGCAGAAGATGGCACATGGTCAGTGGCCTTGCACGGCCGATTAATCTCACTGCGTCAGGACCCGGAGCATTTGCACTATCGAGCCATATGGCCGAAGACAGTCTCAGCTATTGCGACCCCGCCGCGATCAAGATCGAGCCCCGCCGACGGAGTCGAGCACGATGGCGACGACACATTGGAATTGCTCAAATATTATTTCAACCTGACGCATAATCTAGGTGATCTATATGAGCAATGGGCAGCTGGAGACGCAAACTTCAGGAGAAAAGCGCCAAGGTTCACGGGTGTACGCATTTTGAAGCAGGATGCTTGGGAGGCTCTAGTTGGGTTCATATGCTCGTCAAACAACAACATAACGCGTATATCTCAGATGGTATCGAAGCTATGTATGCATTACGGGCCTTTCATTGCCAGTCTGGATGGCGAGGCCTTCCACGACTTTCCGCAGCCAAGTGCGCTTTCGGGCGCAAAAGTCGAGCAGCACCTGAGAGAGCTGGGCTTCGGCTATCGGGCGAAGTATCTGCACCAAACTGCGATCATGATCGAAGAAAGGGGAATGGACTGGCTCAATGGGCTGCGCAATCCAGAAAGCCCCGTTTTTGGCAGGGAGCCTAAGCCTGCTGGAGAGCTAGTTGAAGGTGGACGGGAGGGCTATAGGCAGGCGCACGAACAGCTTCTCGAGCTGCAAGGTGTCGGTCCAAAGGTTGCAGACTGCGTTTGCCTGATGGGCTTAGGTTGGGGTGAAGCCGTGCCGGTCGATACACATGTCATGCAGATTGCGCAGCGAGACTACAAGTTCGCCAAAGGCAAGCACTCGAGTTTGACGAAAGCCACATATGACGCCATAGCAAACAAGTTCCGAGCCTTATGGGGCAAAGAGGCGGGATGGGCACATTCTGTTTTGTTCACCGCGGACCTGAGAGCATTCTCAGAGCGCTTGGTTGAGAAAATCGAAGCCGTGGACGCAAAAACCACCATCAAGACCGAAGACAGAGCGATTACGGTTAAGACTATTGGGCAGGAGACTAAAATAGTAAACAAGCGCATCAAAGATGAGCTTGATGCAGAAGAGCGTCAAATACTGCAGCTATCTGCCAGGTCGGTAAGGGCAGCCAAGCGGAGAAGGAATGTATAATTTGTTCATTAGAAGTCCCCACAAACAAAGTCTGTATGTCCTGACGGGCGAAAGAAAGAGCTGGTCTCACACTTCGCCTTGAATGCAAATCATTGCCAGCTGTATCTGAGAACGGCCTTGTTGGTCATTGTTTAAGCTTGAATTAAGGTCCGCGGCTAGTGGCTTAACATTGTAGATCCTTGTACGTGCAGGACGAGGTGCAGGTGCATGCCTAACCTTTTATACGTCATCTCTCACCGAATCGTGTTACAGCACGTTAACACCTACTGCACTCTTGTCTACTGCGAATGCAGTATACAGAAAAAAAGGAGGGCAGGCTATCTCTTATCAAAAGATTCTCATTGCATTACGAAACAAGCACGGTGAGTGAACTGCGGTTGCCTAGCTCGCTACGCAAGGTCCGCGGTGGACACCCCAGGTTTTGGGCGTCAGAGAACGGCGCATGGCTCTGGCAGCGGAGCTGGGTTGCTAATATACGAACTGTAGTCTGCTTCTAAGCCTGGACGGCAGCACATCCGCACACAGGTTTTAAAGTCCTATGCGCCTGCGGCGGAAGTCGACATCTAAGGCTATGGAGGGGCATCATCATATGCCACGATACTTCCGAGATGAAACGAAGGAGCCGCGATCAAGAGACGCGAACAAACAGCTTGTTGCGTCGCTGACACGGCTGGTGAACAACTATCCTCCCCAATCACTGCAGCCTGGTGGCGGGCTTTACTATGGTCCAGGTGCGTCTTATCAACAGGATCTCTTCCCCTTAAACGGGGCAACTGACTATGGCCTCGACACGAAGTGAGCATATCATACCTGTTCTTCGTACTGTCGAGAATCTACGAGGATCTCGAAATCGAAGGAGCAAAGCTTGGCATTTGGGCCGCAGCCTATTTGAAACAGGCTCAGAACCATATGAAGATATACCCAGGTCCTACGATCGAACGGTGCGGCGTGAGCGACGACATCATGGCCATGGTCGCGATGGACGCGGCGTCGACGCGAGACCCTGACCTCGTCAAGGACCTGTGTAACTTTGCCAGAGTAACGAGCGATCCCGATGCGGGCAATGAATGGCTGTACGGACGAGCCGGGTATCTGTATCTCTTACGCTTAGTGAAAGTGTGTTTCGCAGATGACGTGGGGATCAAGGAGCTGATAGACGACACGGAAGACGAGGTCATCGAGGCCATAATGAACAGTCCGCGGCCGTGGAAGTGGCATGGCAAAGCATATGTGGGCGCTGTTCATGGCGCTATAGGCATCATCACGCAAATCGTGTTGAGTGATGCATCGTGGGCACCAGAACTCGAAGCAGAGCTTGGCGCCCTGCTCAGCTACCAGTACGACAGTGGAAACTGGCCGTCTTCGATCCCGCCTGGCAAGGACCGGCTTGTTCAAGTCTGTCACGGCGCGCCGGGATTCGTGATATCCTTGCTGTCCATTAAAAAGTTTTTCCCCAAACTGGAGCAGAAGATCGACAAGGCCGTTGCGAAAGCTCGCGAGTGCATCAAGGAGCGCGGGCTCCTGACGAAAGAGCCGTGCCTATGCCACGGCATCTCTGGCAACGCGCTCGCGCTGGAGGACAAGGACTTTGAACATTTCTTGTCGTTCAGTACGTTTGCTTCCTTTTCTTAAATTTGTTTTTTGGTGGCTCGCATCTGGTGCGTAGTCGCGATCGCGATGCTGACGGACCCACGTGTAGCTACAGGGCACGAAATGAAAGGACTGGATAAGGATGGGTTGCTTGAGAAGTCGGACGACCCAGCGTCTTTGTGGACGGGTGAGGCCGGGAGAGCATGGGCTTGGGCCGTCGCGGACCGTGGATTGGAGAAACGTTTACTTGGCTACAACGATGTTTGAGGACTCGATCTCCAGATATAGATTGACAGACGGGTGCGTACGTTCGGAATAAATTACTGCGCCATGTCGTTCGTTTCTAGCGGGCTGACGGTGAATTTTGACAGACGCCAGACGGACGCAGTCGGCAGAGGCGTCCGTCCGACGACGACGGCGCACACGTGCAGCAAGTTGTTTTGGGTCGTGTGCCTGGGACTGTTTGATGTTGGCGGAGCTTGGTACGCGCAACGCCCACGCCAGGGTTTGTATGTTTGCGGCAGAGGCGAGCCAGACGTATGGGTGCAACAAAGTGTAGACGCATAAAGATGCAAAGCAAACAACACCATTCTGGTCGTTCCTGTGATTCGTTGCACAGACCGTCTTTCCATTTTTGCTACGCAAATCGGCAGCTTTGTAGACTTGTGTCAGAAAGAGTGGTGATGGCATTGGTTCGCGTCCGCAAATTTGCCCAGGCAACGACGGACAGAACTGCGGACGGTCCAGAGAGTACGAATGGTGCAACCTGCAGACGCGAGGGATCGCATCCGAGCCATCGATGGCGCAGTAGCGACGAATGGAAACAGATCAAAAGCACGACGCATCGGTGAAGAGAGAGCAGTGCTGTAGCAGTAGAGACACACGTAGAGCAGTCGTGCCACATGCAGGACATCGATCCAGTATTCGGTGGGCGGGCTAGCCAGAGTGACGTTCCCTCGCCAGCCCCGTCGCTCGCCGTCGAAGGCGCCCGTCGTTGTTGCTACGAGCAGAGCACACACCCACGCGCGCGCACGCATACACGCATTCATACATACACAGGCACAGTACTCCGTACCCCAAGATGCGTGCCAAGCGGAGACGGCGACCGAGTGCCTGACATGCGCGTCAGGACGAGCTGGCCGGGGGGTTTTTTTTTCCTGTTCGCTGTTGACCGCGCACTGGCTGCGACATGATTGGCGCTGGGCCGGTAGCCACTGACGTGCGCAGGCTCGGATTCCCGCATGCCTCAGCCCCCCGACGGCAAATGGAGCCTGCAGGCGGGCCTGGCCTGCGAGGGGGCCGAACGGCACACAACACCAAGGCTGGGTGAGCCAGCGACGACGTGTCCGGCGAGGTTTTGCGGTGCGTGCAAAGAGCGAAATCCCGGCGCGAGCGCGTGAGAAGCGCAGAGGGGCCAGCGTGTCGACGAGCGCAGCAAGACCGGCCACGAAGAGGACGGGACGCGATTGGGCGGACGAGCCCCATCGCCGGGAGATTACATGGCTGAGCCGGCGTGGACTCACCACACGCAAACTCACGCACGCACGCTCGCTCGCTCGCTCTGGAGGTGTCGCTGGCGCTCCCCTTGCGCTCCTGCGATCGCTCTCTTTTTCTACTCTCCGGGTGCGTGTGTGCGCGTGCAAACTTCCATCGTCAAACACCGTGTTTTCCGACCGCAGTCGTTCTTTTTCATCCTGTGTTTATTCGCTGCCCGTTCCAGGCGTCCTCTCCTTTCCCTTCCGTTTCTTCCTGTTCCCATTTCCGACCAGGGTGCTTCCCTGGCCTTCTGCCGACCTACACGCAACCTGGCCCGGCACGCAAAGCAGCCAAAGGCTCAGCAAACCATCGAGCTCTTTGCCCTCCCTATCCATTCGAACTCGCCAGCGTGCTGGTACGCACCGGAACGTCAGACGTCGTCTTCGCCAAACGCCCGCCCCGCGATCGTACAGACCACGCAGCTACGCCGCTTGTTCGCTCGCTCTCCCGCGCCCTCTCCACCTTCCTTTGCTCGCTCACAACCCTCCGCCCCCGTCCGACCGCTGGAACGACACGACCGGGACCTGCCTCGCGTGTTCCCGTCGCATGCACCCATGCGATGAGGACGCTCTTCGCGTTGCCAGCCCGGCTGGCAGCCTTGGTCTTCACCGCGTCATCCTCACTCGCCTTTAGCTTCCAACAAGCCCCGTCCTCCAACCTCGACATAAGTCAGCTGGGCAGGGTCGGCGTCGCTGGTGACTTCGACGCCGTTTCGCTGTACCAATGGGTTGGTCAGTCGCAGAGCTCCGGCAGCCAAAATGGCAGTTCTTCGCTCCTTTCGCGCTTCCCCTACGGCACGTTCGCCAACCTAGACGTAAGCGACGGCATGATACAGGCAATGTGCCCGTTTGTGCTCCAGGACGGCACGCTGGCGGGCGTCGTCGTGGGTGGTAACTTTACGAGCGTGGGCGGCGTGGAATCCAACGGAGTGGCATTGTTCAACACCACGACTGCGGCCATACAACCGCTACAAGGCTTGAACGGGAGCGTGTCTGCGCTGTACTGCGATCAGAACTCGAGCACCGTCTACATGGGCGGTTCGTTCACGAGCGGCAATTCGTCCAACGCAATCGGCTGGCGGACCTCGAACTGGATAAGCCTTCCCTTCGACGGCTTCAACGGGCCCGTCAATGCAATTACGAAGTCGCCAAACGGAACCTTCATCTTTGGGGGCAGTTTTGACGGCTTAGGTAACGCGACGACACCCGAGGTGCGCGACTCACAGGTCATCCCTCTGTCATCCGCAAACATTTCCGCCACCGCAAGCTCGACCCAGGACGGCTTCAGCGACCCGCGAAACATCATTTGCAAAACGGGCAGCGAGGACGGCCCGGGCAACACCTGGCTTCTCGCAGACAACGCAGCCGGCACGTGGACGGCCGACTTTGAGTTTGGCTTCATTCCGACCAAGCTACGGCTGTACAACACGAACGAGCAAGGTCGTGGCACCAAGACGTTCCGATTCGTCGCCCAGCCGATCAACGGCATCATGAACTTCAGCTACGTCGATCCAAGCAGTGGCCAAGAGATGTTCTGTGACGCGAGATGCCCTCTTCCGGAGAACAACAAGACCGCACAGGATTTCCGATTCGTGAACATGGTGGGCATGAATTCGTTCAGCATCGATATTTCTGAATTTTACGGTGCTGGAGCTGGCCTTGCTGGCATTGAGCTATTCGAGGACGACATCTATGCGTTCGCCATCAACGATTTCAACGCCGGACAGTGTGCTGGTGTCAGTACCACTTCGGCCATTTCAACGACGACAGGACCTTGGGAGGTTACACCCTCGCATCAAAGCAACTCGGAATATCTGACAGCTCAACTCGACGGTACCACCACCACGGATTCCGCCTCGGTCGTGTTCGAGCCAAACATCGTACAGACTGGCAACTACTCGATCACGATCTTCACTCCTGGATGCATTGGCGACGGAACATGCTCCACTCGTGGCCGAGTTAACATCACCGGTGTTATGAGCAATCCGTCTGGTACCGGACCGTCTGTGCCCATCTCGACGGAGATCTGGCAAACCAACAATTATGACAAGTACGACGAGATATATCTTGGTCGAGTTGATGTCGTCAGCGGCAGTTTCCGTCCAAGTGTGACCCTCACTCCAAGCGCTGGCCAAAACGGCCCCCTCACCGTTGTTGCGCAAAAGATTCGCGCCAGTCTCCAGGTTTCTACCGGTGGTCTGAACGGCCTATTTGAATACAACCCGAATGAAGCCACCGCTTCCACGGACTTCTCAAGCTCGGTAGTTGATACAGCTGGTAACTCGCTTGGATCGACTGCTTCGATCTCGGCACTTGCCGTCGAAAACCAGACAATTTACGTCGCCGGCAATTTCTCCTCCAACATCTCAACTAGTGTCTTCGCTATTACGGATAAGATCAGCGATCTGGGCGAGGGTGGCCTCAATGGCGCGGTCTCATCGATGACTCTAAACAACTCCGTCCTCTACTTTGCTGGTAGCTTCAACGGCACGAAGGACGGTTCCACCGCCGGGTTAACTGGTGTCGCCTCCTTCAACATCACAGCAGGCAAGTGGGTCCCACTTGGGGCCGGCATCAATGGCAATGCAGATTTCGTCGTTCCATTTCTACTCAACACGACGGCCTCAAACGATCCAGAGGTTGCGATCGCTGTCAGCGGCAACTTCGATTCAATTAACGCGTTTGGTGACAACCAAGCCAAGGCCGCTGCCGGCTTCGCCATCTGGTTACCAGGTCATGCCAACTGGCTGGAAAATCTTAATGTGACCACGATCTTCTTGCAAGGCGTTCTTATCACAGGTACTAACGTACCTGGTAACCCCCCTCTGTTCGCTGGCCAGGTCTCGTCGTTTGAGCTTGCTGCAAACGGTTCATTTGAACTGACGGGTACGGGCAACACGATTCAGCAGTTCCCAGTCAGCATCACGGATACGCCTTCGCAGACAAAGACCTCGGCAAAAGCCAAGCGCGCCGTTGTGGATCAATCTACCAATGGAGTGGTCGCAGGTCTCTTCTACAACGACAATGGGCTGAATCTCACCATCTACGGCGGGCACTTCACTACGACAGCCACGAACGGCTCCACAATCACCAACCTGGCTATAGTCAATGGATCGGATGGCAACGCCGTTTCCGGATTCGCTGCTGGCGTCGACAGCAGCTCCGTCGTTGCAGCTTTGGGCACTTCAGGCACATCACTATTTGTCGGTGGCAATCTGACTGGCAACGTCAATGGACGTGAAGTAGGCGGTCTTGTCATGTACGATCTTGTCGCGAACGACTATGCTAGCCCGCAGCCGGCCTCGCTTCAAGGTTCCTCCGCTACCGTCAACGCTATCGCCCCTCAGCCGAGCACCACTCTCGTCTACGTCGGTGGAGATTTTCAATCTGCTGGGTCCTTCAACTGTCCCGCGCTATGCGTATTCGACACGAGCAGATCACAGTGGATCAGTCCTGGTGGCAACGACGTGTCCGGCTCCGTCACATCAATGTCCTGGGTGTCAAATTATCAACTCGCCATTGTCGGCAATCTGACCGTCGGTAGCAACACAAGTACCGTGATGATCTATGATACGAAGATTAACTCTGGTCAATTCCTCGACATCAACGGTCCCGCCGGCACGCTAACAGCTATCACGTCCGGTAGCTCGGATGGCACGCAGTACTGGGTTGGTGGCACGAACGTGGATGGTTCTCCGCTCTTGCAGAAGTACAACGGAACTTGGACGGCGGTTGAACCAGCGCTCGGCCAAGGTTCGGTCATTCAAGGCCTACAGGTCTTCACGACAACCCAGAATCATGGCAAATCGGATCTGCTCAACCGCAACCTCGTGCTCATGGCACTCGGTTCACTCAACGTCCCCAATTTTGGCAATGCGTCTGCTGCCATCTTCAACGGTACTACCTGGACGCCTTATGCGCTCACTGGGTCGACAACTGGTAATGGGAGCCTGAGGCAAGTCTTTGTGGAGAATCCATTCAACTTTTTCAAGAGCAGCCGTAAGTGTCTTGACTGTTCCTCCCCTTCCAGCAGATACCTAACATATGCTTCAGGCCGTTATCTCGCCATTGGCTTCGTCGTCCTAATTGGTCTCGCCATCTCACTTGGAATCATCTTCCTGCTCGTCATCGCCGGCATCTTCGCGGAAAGATATCGCCGCAAGCGCGACGGCTACGTTCCTGCGCCGCAAAACATGCCACAGGACAAATACAACAATATCAACAGAGTGCCACCGGAGCACCTGTTTGGAAGTATGAATCCGAACTCGAGACCGAGCGGACCGCTATGACGAAAACAACCTTTGACGAACATTTTCATAGACGTATTTCCAGATTCTCATATCTTTGGGACCCGCGAGCAGTCTTCTTTTCTTGTCGTGGCTCATATACCCAGCATGTCTGCAGCGCCGAGACAGAGCGACGATTTGGGCGCCTATTCAGTGCGTCTTCTCACGACCTAGCATGGAGTTCTTTCTTTTTCGTGTACTTTCCTCCAAAAAAAAACTTTTGCAAGGTGTTATTTCAGCTTTGTCAAATTCTTTTTTTTTCTCCTGCTTTGTTAGTACGGAGATCGAGCTGCAGCAGGACAGCATTTTTTTTTCGACGCAAAGCGAATTCTATCATCTTGCGACGCGAGCTTCTTTACTTCAGTGCCTCGAGCAAGCGGCCATTGTGGGCTTGCACGAAGCGTAATTACTCTGCGACTGTCGCCACTATGATGGTATAATGTCTTAGTTTTTTTTTTTTATCCCAATTAGAGTGGAGGATTGGTGGTAGCTCGCAGGGAACATTCGAAGGCTTGCAGAACTATTGAAGGACGGCTGCTTTGTTTCGTGTGTCTGTAACAACATAGTTGTAAGTAGAGAATTGAGAGGAGACGCAGCTGCAGGTTGCCAAATCGCGAGTGCGTGAGAAAGATCGCGTATGTGAGCGTTCAGATAGGCGTGCGATGCTGTCTTTCCGAATTAGCTAAGACACGACTCGTGGATCAACAAACACTGTGGTGCCATTTAGCTTGACATAAGTGTATGGTGAAGAATTGAAAGAGACTGTGAGACAAATTCCTGAGGTGCATCTCCACACGCAGCTGATGTCGTTCCGATCTATCTTTTGGACGTGTAGCAGACATTATCTGCTGAGTCTTTACTGAAGATCAATCAAAGCGGAAAGAGCTCCTGCTTCTGCCGAACTGGCCAGACATTCAGCCTTGTCGCTTGGCGTTGGGCTGGGGGGGCAGGCGCAAATCAGTCCAGGGTCCACGCGGTGTGCATTGCGAAAGGTGTCAGTTACGGATCTGAGCAGTCGACAACACCCGCGACAAAACGGCCCTCTCTTTTTTCCTCCCCTTCGCCTTCAATCGCAGTGTCGGTCGCACAAGAGCTCACATCTGCCTTGGCACCCGCTCTTTCACTTTTGCACATCCAATGCCTTCGTAAACACGCTCCTTGCCTCGCTGTTGCTCTGCTTGATCCCTGAGCGTTGCCTCCATCGATAGAATCTCCATATTATTTCCTCCCCACCCCCTTCTCGTCGACAGCGTTCGTTTGACGCGCACACTAACACACTAATACGTCCCTGTGTGTCAGGAAAGCCCCGCTTCAGCTTCCAGATCTGACGGTGTAAAGCGGTCGGAGCGCGTTTGGTGGAGGGCACGTATCTTTCCAGTGCTCTTTGGCGTGCGAATCTGGACACGATGCCGCTCAAGTCACGCTTCACCCGCATCGACGCCTTCACCAAGACAGTCGAGGATGCCAGAGTACGCACGACGTCTGGAGGCATCGTCACCATCTCGTCCATACTCATCATACTGTGGCTGATATGGGGTGAGTGGGCGGACTACAGGAGGGTTGTTGTCAAGCCAGAGTTGATCGTGGATAAGGGGAGAGGGGAGAAGATGGAGATCCACATGAACATCACTTTTCCCAGGGTTCCATGCGAACTGCTGACCCTGGACGTGATGGATGTCAGCGGCGAAGTGCAAGCAGGCGTCATGCATGGTGTAAACAAGGTTCGACTTAGCCCAGAGAGCGAGGGGAGCCGGGAGATCGAAGTTCGCGCGCTGGAATTGTATGTGCATGCCCATCTCTCTACGAGCTTCTTGAAGGACTGACAAGAGCTGTTTGCAGACATCAGGACGATGCCACGCATCTCGACCCTAACTATTGTGGCGAATGCTACGGTGCCCCGGCACCAGAAAACGCTAAGAAAAAAGGATGTTGCAACACGTGCGACGAAGTGCGCGAGGCATACGCAAGCATATCATGGTCCTTTGGCCGCGGCGAGGGTGTCGAACAGTGCGCGCGAGAACATTATGCCGAGCGACTTGATGCGCAGCGCAAGGAAGGTTGCCGCGTCGAGGGCGCTATCCGCGTCAACAAGGTGGTGGGGAACTTCCACTTTGCGCCGGGTAAGAGCTTCAGCAATGGGAACATGCACGTGCACGATCTGGAGAACTACTTCAAGGACGGCGCGAGCCACAGTTTCACGCACTACATCCACCAACTGCGGTTTGGCCCACCCATTCCGGACTCGGCCCTCAAGGCCATGAGCGGTGCTGGCGGAGTCTGGACGAACAGTCACATCAACCCGCTTGACGGCACAGAACAGCACACGGACGAGAAGGCGTACAATTACATGTACTTCATCAAGGTCGTCTCGACTGCATACCTGCCGCTTGGTTGGGAGAAGTACAAGGGAAGCAAGTCGATCGACACAAACGTCAACACAATTCCTCACGAGATTGTCAGCATGGGCAACCTGGGACACGGTGAGCACGGCAGCATTGAAACGCACCAGTACAGCGTCACGAGCCACAAGCGAAGCGTCCATGGCGGCTCAGACGAGAAAGAAGGTCATAAGGAAAGACTGCATGCTAGAGGTGGAATCCCGGGCGTCTTCTTTTCATATGTGAGTGCTCCAACCAATCCGGGCCCACTTCATCGAGAAAGTGCCGATTACTGATTATGTGCTCTCACACAGGACATCTCGCCCATGAAAGTCGTGAATAGGGAAACGCGCTCGAAGACATTCTCCGGGTTCCTGGTAGGCGTCTGCGCATGCATCGGTGGCACATTGACTGTTGCCGCCGCTGTCGACAGAATGCTGTACGAAGGCCAAAGGACAGTCAAGAAGCTGCACCAAGGTTGAGGTACATATATCTATTTTGGCACGGGCCTGCTCTTTGTTTTTTTTTTTCTATTTTTTTGATATGGTCTGGACGAATTTGGATGCATGGTCTATGGCGTTTCATGAATTCGCGCTGCTTGTTGATGGGCAGTTGGAAAAAAAAATCATCTTTCTCCACGCGTCTCCTGAGTGGGTGCGCTTTCTACGCATGTTGGAACAAGGACGCAGTTTGCTCGTCGAGAAGAAAGGCAGAAAGCAGTGTTGTAAGATGCAAATCTATTTTGGTGCGCAGACAAGACGTGTCGCATTGTCCCAAGTTCTATGTGCGTGGTTCGTACTCATTACAGCGATGTTGTGCACGCTCATGTCGCGCTGCACAAGATACTGTCTACCCCACCTCCCCTCCTCCAAAATTCTCTAGGGTCGTGTCCTTCGTATCCTCCAATAGAGACAATGGTATCATGTCTATTACAGCTGAGCGCACCCATCATAACCCGAATGTATTATGCGCCAGTATCATCAATAGAGGGAAAAAAAAATATGAGATGAAGTTCTGTTTGATGAAAGACGGAAAGAAAAAGGTACAAAAAATAGGAGCTCGCTAAATCCTTGGTTTTTTTTTTGGCAAATTGCCAGCATGTCCCGGTGCTTCCTCAACCCACGCTTGACGGCGGTGTGTTCGGAGTCCGTCTGCCACCTACACTGCCCTCGTTGGTGGAGATCTCCATGGCATCGTTGGAGAAGCCGCTGAACGCGCTCGCGCTGGTCACGCGCGACAAGCTCGAAGCGGGCGGTGCTTCTCCCATCTCGTCGTCCTTCATCTCGTTGGGGCCTCGCTGGGTCGATGTCGAGCCGGACGGACTGGACCGTGCGACAGCGGTTCGATCGGGGACGCCAGCGCTGCTGACTTGGGTCTGCGCGAGGGCGGGCTTCTCCGCCAGGTTCTTCAACATCGACCGCGACGTGTCCAGCATCTGCACCGCGTACTCCAAGAATTCCGCCCGCTCGCTGCTCACGCTCAGCGTCCACCTGTACTCGCGAAGGCGCATGCGGTAGAACTCGGCCTCCTCCTTCGCCGGCGCTGTCGCCCACAGCAGACCGCCGAATGTGCCGATCAGGGTGAAGTTGATCTTGGACGGGAAGTACCAGAACGCCTGGAGATGCTCGGGCCGAAGTCTGTTGACAAAGTCCATGGCGGAGATCAGTCGTGTTTTCGCGGCCGAGCGGCAGATGTACGAGAGATACGGGTCGGACGTGGACTCGCTGAGAGACTGAACTATGCGACGGTGCAGTGTAATTTCGGTGGCAAAGTATGCGAGATGCAGAAAGCCCGTGGACGACAGCTTCTTCGGCTTGACGTTGTCCATACGCAGATTCGCCGGCAGTTTTGCAAACCAGTCTTTGAGCTTGATCTGCACAGGCTTGGCTCGTTCGAGGATCAGTCTGGTCGAGTTCTTTCCTGCGTTCGCGAAGTCTTGTATAGCGGCTTGGGTGTAAAAAGTGTCCATGATCTCTGCCATGATGGCTGTTAGGGATATCATCTGGGTGAAAAGAAGCAAGCCCTGCTCTATGTCTTTCTTCTCCTCGTCGCTTTCATTCACGAAACTTGGGTTGACTTGTGCGTCCTCCGTGACGTCTGCTTCGTTCATCTCTTTGACGGCCCAGTTGGCACTGAAAATGTGCGACGGCCGGCCGTGTATCAACGAACTCCATTTGTCCTGCATATATAGAGCCCAGGCGATGCGCTTTCTGATCCCGCGTTCCCACAAGGGTATCGACCAAGCAGACGAGTCTAGATGGAGCCCAAGTTCCTGGCCAATCGCGACAAGCTGCGTGGTAAGACTCCAAGAATCAGCCTCTGGTCGTTGGAGCAAGAGCAGACCGGCTTGCACCGTTGACAGCTTCGGCCGCTGCATGGCGGCAGCGAGGGTTCGTGATGCTATGGACTCTAGCTGGTGGATGTCAGGTCGAGGTTTGTTTGCAAGGCTCGGATCATGTGACCACCAATTAAGGGCTAAGATGTAGATGCCAGCCAGCAGCGGTGGTGAGACGTTTGGCAGACTGGTTCTGTATCTCTCGAGGAAGACATGCTTCTGTACAATAGGAAAAGAGGGGTGTACGATGCGGAAGTACAAATCAATCAAGGCCTGCCCATGAGGCGAAACTATTCGGGTAATCTCTGCTACAGCCTCGCTGTCAGTCCCGTATTCGCCAGTCTCTTCGTCTGAGACCATAATGAAAGTCTCTTGATCGTTGACTTTGCGGAGCGTCCCTACGTTGAGGATACTTTCCCCGCGCGAGTCGAATTGCGACAGCCCGACCAAGACAGGGTCAAAGGGTGAGGTTAGGCCAATATATCGTGAATGTCTGCTGCGCTGAAGACCCAACGTCTCGCCCAGGACATGACTCTCCACGTGGGCAGGCGGTCCTTGAATTGGATTGCAAAAGATAGGCCGAGAGTTCGGCGTCTTTTGGGGGGGCAGCTTTGGCGTCACTATGGTTGTTGGATCGACGGATCTACGCGCGCGATTAGCATGACGAGCACGTGCGGGTTGTAAAAATTTTTGTGCAGGACAGGCTGTGGTGACAGGCAAACACCCTGCATCCACTCGAAGGAGCATACCTTTTCTTGGGACTACCTCCCTCCTTCTGTTTGTCGGCGTCCCCCGTGACCTTGCGCTTTCGAGGCTGAGGGTCTTGCACAAATGTGCACTCTTGCTTGTGAAACTCACACAGCACACACAACACCGCCCCTTCGTGGATGACGCAGCGAGACTTTCTCCTTCTGCACGCGTCGCAGGGTCTCTCCCTCCTGGCTCTGACGTTGGAGACTCCAGATGCTGAAGTAGACTTTCCTTGGGGTAGATTTTCCTTCCCAGACATGCGGCGTTTGGGCTGCGGTCGGGCTGCGGCAATTGACACTGGACTGTCTGTTGTGGGATGTGCTGGCATAGCCGGTTGTATGGCTACCGCCATGGCTGTCTAAATTCTGTTGGTACGCGGGCGGACTCCTTGATTGAGGTCACCAGCGTGGGCAGCAAGAGTTCCAGATAACGGTCCTTGCGATCGGCAGGGCTAGCCTCCTGCTACTGCAGGCGTCGATGGATGAGTTATCAAGCCAGTGAACGAAGGCCGGAGATACGTGGTTGCAAAGCCGGCATGAAACTTGTCAAGGCTGACAGTAACCTCAACAAGTCACACGACAGCGCAGTGACAGGATTGGTGGAGGGCGAGCAAGGCTCTGATAAAGTACTTGGCTTATCGGAGCCCGCTCGTGAGAAGATGGATTCGAGTAAGAACCACGCGCGGACCGAAGGGGAACTGCAGAAGCAAACGGAAGCCGTTGACAGAGCGATTTATGCAAGATCAATGAGGATAGAGCAGGCTAAGGGCCATTTAAACAAGCCGCGAGGGCTTGCAAGAGGATGAGATAATTGATAGCCTTTGGGGTCATTGAAGGTCGGCGGAGTCGGGCTGGCAAGCATACAGACAGGTTTGCGAGGAAAGGGCCGCAGACGATGGGAACAAAGACGAGCAGGTTGTTAATATGAGAAGCAAACAGCAGTCATGGTGGTGAAAGGACGTCTCTGCGAATGTCACACACCAGTTGATATTCGGCAATGATGGGATGTATTTGAGGCTGGTCCTGTTGCGCAAGCCAAATGACACCAACCCAGTCTGGAAAGCATTAGGTAAAAAGTCCCTAGCGAAGAGATAAGCCAGCAGCGGACCAATGGCCTTGCGCCGCGCAATGGCTTCTGATAACCGTTTGTTAAGACTTTCCATGCACCCTGTCGTCGCAACACCATCGAACACCGTCCTATTCGACTCCAGATAGGGGAGATCGTCTAACTTTGGGCGCCAGTTGTGCCTATTTACGTGAACTCCGCCCGTCCGTCCAACTGTCCGCCTTCGACGGCTGCCATCGCGCTCGGCTCGTATTCCGACCACGGTTTCATCTGCTACGCCAAGTCTCAGCTCTGGCGACTTCGGAGCGTCAGGAGCCATTCGCGCACCTTTGGATGACAATAAGATGATGCGAATCATTGTCAACCGTCGCCAAAGATATCCCGCCGTGCTGGAACTGCTGCCCTATGCACTTCCTCTGCGCCTGTCAAGCGACTACTGGGGGGTCCCCACAGTCAGCACACCTGGCTTTTGACTTTCTCCGGTTCCTGACACGCCTTCTCGTCTCCATGAACGTGAATATCTCACCCTTACCATTTGTAATCTCCAATTTTGGTTCTTTCGTCTAGCGTGCCCTTATATCTTTTCGTTACGAAGGCACCTCTGTTCAGGCAATGGTTTGACATTGGTTTCTCCGTCCATGAACCGCCACCTCGCCAGCGTCTAGCCCAATAGAGCGACTTAAACGCGCTCGAGGCCGGCCAATTCCGGACCGGGCGTAGCGCCTCGAAATGCTGATTGAGCCCACTGCGTTTATATCAAAAACAGTGTCAGCCAGCCGGTTTGTCAGTTCTTCCCCTGCATGTATGCTTCACCTTGGATTGGAGCATCAAGGGATGAATGATTTTGTGTTGAGGATTACCATTTACCGCGCATTTTTGCCCCTCAGGAACAAGCCAGCGTGAAAAGCAGGAAGTACATCTGGTGGGCCCAATGTCAGTCTTTCCAATGATGTTGTGAATGCTACATGGCATAACAATCTCTTTATTTTGAGCTACATAATCGTGTTTATAGTCTGTGCATTCGTGGGCAAACCAGAGGAAAGAAATACAGTTTGGACTTGTACATCCCCAGCTCGTACGGGGTAAACCTACTCATTCTGTCTTGCTTTATCCAAAAGGAAAGGTTCTGCACATAATCCGGGACACTATTCTCCCTAGATATTTTTCAAGAGAAAGGCGTAATGGAAAGTGGAAAATTCTCGCTCCTCTCTCTCGTCTTCAGGTGACATTCTAGGCGTCAGAAATTCAAAACACTATTGCAGCAGAAAATCATCAGCTAGAACTAAAGCTTAGAGACTAATGACCACTGCAGATCATCTTCCGCAAGAAAATGTTGAAAAATCGAAAGTAGGATGGAAATCCTGAGAGTGGTTTGCCAACAACTTTGCAGGCGGTGATTTTAACTGTTGCCGTGTCGGCAAATAATCAGGCAGCGGCCGGAGTAGAACTAGTGTCCTCCAATGCTCTCGTTGCTTGTTCCCGTTCAAGGCGCTCCAATCGGTCAGCCTCACATTCAGCGGTCCTGTAATACGGGGGAACAGATGCTGAATCGTCTCGCTTTTGCGCACGTGTAATCTTTCGAGATTGGACAGCCGTTACGCGGGTAGCAGACTCCCACCAGAAGGCACGGTTGCAGTGTGTGCACTGTCTTAAGTCAGTTGCCGCGGTTGGACGAGAAGGTGATTTTCACGTACCCACATCGACGGGCATCCGCCATCCTTGATTACTGCGAGAGAGCAATGGGGGCAACGTCTTGCTCCTTGCTTCTGTAGATTCTTCAATGCCTGAATTTCCGCCTTGGACTTTGCATCGTCTACGTGCTCCCAACGGTATTCAACACAAGTTTGTCCTCTGTGCCATTCCACCCTGCAGGAAACACATATGTGCATCTTACAATATACGCACTGAACCTGGTCATTCGTTAGATTCAACATCTAAAAGCACTGGTTCTTTCAACATACATGTGGATATCCAGGCGTGTTACTTTCTATTAGAACTGTAGCTCTGCAATCTGGATTAATGCATTCTTGGAGCATTTTATTGACCTTTCTCCAAGTGTCGAACAGCTTCTCAGAATAGGCGTTAAAATCTGAACTTGAAAGGTACTTGGCCACATAGTGTATTGGGTCAAACAACTGATCACAATTCTCGTCGGGACAGCCGACTCGATCTGCTCCTTTCAGATCAATACTGGCCAGCAGCGAGGCACCAATGCACTCGCGGCAAACAGGGCCGGACTTGTTGTTTCGGTTCACGGTCAGGTGGTCAACACAACGAGGTGGTACATCGCCCAATGGAATAGTATGCCAGAGTATTCCCCTTTTGATTGCCCTTTGGACTGTTGGTCCGGGATTTGGGAAGTCTGATAAGGGTTTCTCCTCAATGCAGATGCGACAGGTCGCTGAAGTCTTGCGAAGTCGTTGCTGTTGGGCCTGTGGTTTAATAGCAGTTCGAGCCTTCTTTCTTCTCCAGGGATGGTCCTCTCTCGGAACTCGTCTTCTCTTACGTGGTGGATCTGGGGGCAAAGGCTCTACCACGTCTTCCCCTTCAGCTCTTCGTGTCCTTTCATGTCGGACACCTCTGAGTTCGTTTCCAATACATTCAGTGCACGTGATAAGCACTCGATTGCCTGACTCGTCGTCCAGGGGGAAATCGTCTGTGAATTTTCGAGTATTACAGACTGCACAACGATGTCTGCGTGTGGGAGTGTTCTCGTCTATCTGCCCGGTCGTGATTATTTCTGCCTGTAGCGCACGCCGTTTCCATGTTTTGGGCGTCTGAATGATAGGTCGGCCTATCCGCGCCATGGATGAGCGAGAAAACAAATGCAAGTTCTTCTCAATATCTGAAAGCTTCTAAGACTCAATAAGATTTTCCTCACGTGAAGTGAGTGAAAGAATAAACTTTAAGAGCATGAGCTGCAAATATCAAAATGAGGATATCAAGTATCTTTAATGTTCTTTGAACAGCCACAATACGCCTTCAGGCCAGGTCATGTAAGTGGCTTTGTTGCCTAGCTGGCAGATGAGTAGCAAAAATTAGCGCTACTGGAGCCTACAGATAGCCGTATCAAGTATCTCAATATGCCTAGAAGGTGAGTCAAAATCCTGGTAAATATTTGCAAGTTCTAAACCATTGCAGAGGAATAGATTAGCTAGTGTGATGCAGTAGCCTAGTCCTCAGCCAAGTCATGTGACCGCGTTCAGCTGCTTAACGCGACTCTCTTCGAAACGGCGTTTTCGATGTCGCCGTGTTAAAGATGTACAGTTGCAAGTTGCATGTCTAGATTTTGAAATTGGCAGTCATTGTCTAAACTCAACACTAATCATGTAGTTGTGCCATGTTCAAACAAGTTACTACCCTAGTCCTGTACAACTGAGGTTTACCGCCATGAAACCTTCAGTCTCGTCTTTCAAATATGATATCTAGACATCATTCACCTATCACATACGTACAGCCTTCTGGGCCCATCCAGACCTCATGAACCCGATGAGCATCCACATCAATTCTAGAGCCAACACCAAACGTCTCTTTCCGAGGCGACTCATCATTTGGGTATGTAATTGTGAGCTGTCCCTTCTTTATAAGATGTGTAGTGAGACCATCATGAGAGTGCGGTGGATAATGGGCATTCCTAGTTTTTGATTAATTTCTCGAAAGTTTTAGATGGACGAATGATAACATACGGGCCATCGGTCCAGGTGAATACACGGCTGAAGCCCCATGATCGCACTGCAGCTTCAGGATTTTTCAAATCTTCTATCGCCATTCTGACTTGTTTTGTTGCATAGATGTTTTTTCTCCTAATGCTTATGATGTACGCTATGTGGCGCAGATTGTAACTATGACGTTGAACCAGGAAGTGCACGTGGGAACTATAACAAAAAGAGCAGGAGCCGTTGGGGAAGATATATCATGTTTCTTTTATAATAAAAAAATGGCTAAATGTGTTTAAAAATATATTCAGTGGTAGAATTTGTATTCGCGTAGTCGGGTCTTCGTTAGGCCAACTTGCCTGCTTCTAGATCGAAGCCCGACACCACCAGCATTTGGTTTCTGAGGATTCTTAAGAGATCCTTTCATGTATGCTTGTCTGGAATGAACACAAGGAAGAGAAAAACTTTCATTTTCGTCAAAATTGGGTCAAAGTTTGAAGATACAATGTAGAAGTACCCCTCGATGATCTGGCAAACAGCGGACATAGGCCAATGAATACAGCTTTGCCGCTATGCCAGCGGGATCACATCTACAAACGAATGACGCGCAACGGAGGACACCCAGAAGATCTCAACACGCCTAGGTGGGTCCTGCTTCTCCAATCGAATAATGACATGTTTTTCAAAACAGTCTAGTCAAATGAAACACATGCTTGTCATAGAAAAAAGGTGTAAAGGATGTTGCTGTGCAGCTGCTAGACTCCGCTGCAACCCTGTCACGCTTTACACCGCAGCAACTCCAAACTGCACTTGCAACTTCTAACGACGCCCAGAATCTGGGCACACTAGCTTTTTCCTGGTCTATTTGAAGAGCTTTGGAGCACATTCGCACTTATGCTTTCCGTTATTCACGACAAGATGACCGAGAAGCTTGCAAGCACAAAGGCAGCAGCGTCGACAAAATTAGCAGGCGGAGGTGTAACCAAGTATGCTGACCCCTCTAAATTGAAAGTCGAGTATTTCGAAGCCCCCGTTGTGGAAGGCCTCAAGAAAGCCTACAAGCATGGCAGCAGCAAAGAAAGTACTTTTGAAGATTTTCTCCAAGAAATGTCGTCTGAACGTTCCAACGCTCTTCTTCCAGCTCAAGAGCAGGATCTGACACATCCATTATCCAACTACTTCATTTCTTCAAGCCACAACACATACCTCACTGGCCACCAGCTGTATGGCAGAGCGAATGTGGATGGATACAAGAATGTATGTGCTCTAGGTAATTCGTTGTCAAGGTTATCACATTGATAAGTTAGGTTCTTCTGCGTGGTTGTCGCTCAGTAGAGATCGACGTTTGGGATGGTGAACCCCCATCGTCTGAATCCTCAAGCGACGAAGAACAAGCACCACCTCTGTCCAAGACAGGCAAATCCTCGAAAAGGGGAGTGCATGACAGGACCGAGCCTGTCGTGTTACATGGTAAATCACATCTCCGTCTCAAAAATGGCTTCGCTTACTATGATTTAGGATATACTGCTACGAAGGATGTGTCGTTCCGCAGAGTGTGTGAGACGATTCGCGATAATGCGTTTGTGACTTCCAAGCTCCCCGTGATTGTCAGTTTGGAGGTGCATACGTCTCTAGAGCAACAGGAGATCATGGTGGAAATCATGGAAGAGACATTCAAAGGTTTTCTGGTCGATGGAGAGAAAGTTGATGACCAGAAACTACCGTCTCCTGCCGATTTAGAGGAGAAAATTCTCATCAAGGTCAAGTATTCAGCGCCTTCTCCGCCAAAGGAGGGATTGTCAGACGGTTTGAGCAAGACCACAACACATACTTCTGGTCATTCTGATGGGGAAGAGGGGCAAAGACAGAACGAAAAACCCAGCAATATCATTGCTTCACTGAGCAAGCTTGGTGTTTACACACGAAGTTACCACTTCAAATCTCTAACCCAACCCGAAGCTTCCATCCCTACTCACGTCTTCTCTTTGTCTGAGGGTACGCTGAGCGAGGTCCACAAAACAGATCCAGAAGGCTTATTCAATCACAACAAGGACTTTCTCATGAGAGCTTACCCTAGAGGCACCCGTATCTCATCATCCAACCTCGACCCAGCACCCTTTTGGCGCCAAGGAGTACAGATGGTGGCACTGAACTGGCAAAGTATCGACACTGGCCTCATGCTCAATGAAGCCATGTTTGCAAACACCGGAGGCTGGGTTCTTAAACCTCCAAGCCACCGCAGTAGCGCAAAATACCTTGGAGAATTCGGGGGTCATGGTTCGAGCCTTGCAGTCCAATTTATTGCTGGCCAGAATTTGCAACCTCCAGAGGGTATTGAGCCAAATGAACTCAAGCCGTACATCAAATGTGAACTACACGTAGAAATCCCCAACGAGTGGGAAAATCTAACCAATGCCAAAGAAAAGTCTAGAGACGAATTTAAAGAGAAAATCGACCCAGTCAGAGGTATTCACCCAGATTTCAAGTCCCAAAAGGTGGAATTCAAACAACTACCTTACCTGATACCTGAGCTCAGCTTTGTCAGGTATGTTCTTACGCAATCTTCGTTTGGAGAATGGCGCAGAGGATTTTGTGAATGTACCAAATCTGAACTAGAAATGACGAGTCAAGAAAAGGCTGGAGTTCTTAATATGACGAAATATCTGTATAGCTTCGACAATCCTCGTCACTGAAGGGAAAGAAAGAGGGGGGGGGGGAGTGGGGAGCTCTTTTTTTGATACCCATTGAGCAATATTTTCATAGCATCTGGGGCTGACAGACTTTTTAAGGTTTAAGGTGATGCACGACAGACTGGTCAATGACCCTTTAGTGGGTTGGAACTGTATTCGCTTGGTAGGTGATGTTGGCCGATGGGGAGATTCGGAAGAATTAACATCTATCCAGGATCGCTTAAAACAAGGCTACGGGTTCGTTCATCTTTTCGATGCAAAGGGATTACAGACCAAGGGTGTCATTTTGGCAAATTTCGAGTTCAAGTGGCAGTTGCGAGATCGACAGACTGAAAAAACCTTACCCCTTCGTTAGGAAGGTCATTGCAATGTATCAAAAACTGACCACGACACTCATATCGATTTAAGGCTATGGTTCAAATGAAAATCGGACTCCGATCGTCAACGCTTAATACATTGCCAGCCTCTTGTTGATTACTGGGTTACTTACCGCATTCACTTCCCTGTATTCGTCATTCCCGTAGCTCATTTGCGTAAAGGGTAACGTGTAAATGGAATATGAATTTCATTATGCGTTGAGACAATTATAGCACCCTAACTTAGAGTGTTCCCTGTGTACCACGATAGCTTGGAGGATCACTCTCCTGAAGATACGCCACTGGACGATAATCCAACGACGACAGATCGACAGATAGGATTTGAGCCTCATGGCTATTGCTCCCTGTATCTTAGTTATCATGTTACAGTATCTCCTCAATCCGACGCACTCGCGAATATTCCTAGTCCACTAAGTACTACGCAAACCCAAGATTCACGTACAAGTCATTTTACTTTCTGGAACCATGGCGAAATCTCGAATATCGTTGTTGCAACCGTGGCTAACTGGATTATATTTGACAGTTGACTCATCACAAAAATATTTTTGTTGCACCTGAAGAATCACGCACTACTTTGTACTTTTTCTGCCAACCCAGCAACCGGAACCACCGCGCCGACCCGTGTCGGGAGCGGCTTAGAATGAGATCTCTCGATGGATTTGGACGGGCTCGCTAGTACATTAGAGAAGTACATATGTGTATCGTACAACTCGATCTGTAACGTGGGTGGACTTACACACCTTCCTGGTCAAATTGCAGGTGCCGTAAACCCGTTCTCACCTGTGACTTTCTGAACCGTTGCACGTGTCGTTGTTTGCGCACGCTGCCGCGCGTCAAAGCTGATGAGCTGACGTGCCGTATCACTCTGAAACCGGTCTAAACTTACTTCGTGCGCGAGTGCAATGATTAATACCTTGCTTCCGGCCCCAGATTCCGATAATCTGAAGCGGGAAGCATGGTTGACTGACAACAGAGTATCGAATATGCCACGGCTTCTTGTTACACTGCTTAGACATGACGCTAATGCATTCATGAGGGTTTTTCTTGTGATCAGGGTACTTATTTCGCTTAGCGCGCTGTTTTACATACGTCTCTAAAAGAACTTGTAGATTCACGAATGCTGCAGGAGCTTACAACACTCACCAAGGTTGGGGTGCGGTAAACGAGGCTGTGATTGACATGGACTCACATGAACGACCAAACCACGCTAAAAACGTTCAACGGTTTGTTCCAGGCACCGCCTTTTAACCTCATCCAAAGCCGTGGTTGGATGCCCACCCTAATCTAGCAAAGCCAACAAATTCTCACATACAGCTCTTGCGGTATACGCAACAGCAACAAATATCCAAGCATCATTTACTCTTGGGCGCGTTGCGCACATCTCGATTCACCAACCAGGGACTTCTGTCAGACTCGATCTCGGTGAATTTGCATCGCCATCTTCGACCTAAGATCGTGGAAATCCTTGTTGTGGAACGGGTCAAAGATGCGATGTTGGATTTGGCCGCTGGAAGGGCAGGGAGAACTGCGAGCTGACGTTTAAGGCACAGGCTCGGAAAGACTTCAGACTGGATAGAGGCCAGCCAGAGCAGTTACATGAGCTTACCGTGTTCCGTTCTAGCCTCAAGCTATTAATTCTTCAGGCAAAACACAATCGAATCGGAGATGGTGGATCGTCGGGACTTCTTGACGTGAGCCAGGGTAGAGATATGCAAGCCTTGGATCCCTGTGCTGACCCTACCCCGGAAAAATGTGACTTGTCAAACATGAGACGTGCGCAGCAATTGGGCACAGTAATCACCGTTCAGCCTGAACGTCACGATCTCTGGAACGCAAACGACATGCGGGACATGAGCTCGATACATCTAATCTGTTGGCTTCCTCCCGATCGGCAAACAGTTCTGAGTGTTTCTACTGGCAAAATGACAAGTTTGGCCAGCTTAACCAAAAACAAGTAAGACATTGCTCGGGGAAACCAACCCGAAACCTTAATTCCAAGCTAGCAATAGTGAACTTTTGCAAAATGGCAAGACCGCAAAGGAGGAGCGTATCGCTTGGGGCGGCTCCGCGTCTCGTCGTTGGCTTCTATCCCTCGCCGTCTTGCGCTGATGAAGGGATAAACCTCAACGCCACGATCGAGCTATCCATGCGGAAAGAGTTGCGATTGGAGTGAAACCTGCATGAGAATGATCTAGGATGTCTTTCGAGGCACAACCCGATCACAATAACGCAAGTAGGCGATATGCGTTATTTGATTCGACCTCGCGGAAGCCTTGTCCTCATAGTACCCTTCCCTTTCGCCAGTCACCATGGACGAAAATTGTAGCGATTATATGCACCGTTGCACTGCCGCGGAGGACGTGATTTATCACATCAAGACAAGCGCGGTAGAGACGGGATCTAGCGAGGCGGTTAGACCAGGCTAGACCCATAGAAAAAAGAAGTCCTTGCTCTCTTGTACAGCCATATTCTTCGGCATCTCTCATTTGTCGACGCGTTGCACTCGAGGACGCAAAGACAATCCTTTGCGCAGGTTAGACAAAGACCCTCTCCCATACTTGTTCTACAACCAATATGCGGTAAGACCGCCACGAAATGCATTTCACAGAAGGGAGCCCGGATTAAACATGTTTGTTGAGCGAAGAGGAGGCTTCCTCATGAAGCATAAATACCAATGTGACTTCAGACCTTGAAAGTCAGAACTGCAAGGCATTTACAACGTCTTCGAGAGTCCTAAAACAAATCCTACCTTTACCGGCCGAACTGATCTGATCACTATTCCGGTAATCAAAATTGCTCACCAGAAAATTCGCAAGAACCATATCATCATGACCATCAACTACCGTCGTTATGAGATTATCAAGACCCTTGGGGTTGAGCCCTTACCATCCCCACCCATGGAAGTCGAGGAACCGGCTCCGAGTACAGGGGATCCAGAAATCTTACCATTGCGGATATACCAGGTAGGGACTGTGGAATGGAAAACTTGCTCCGAACAAATGCTGAACAAGATAGACGCCCAATCTAACCATGATCTCACAGGCGGTAGTAATAGCGGAAGCTAACAGCCAGCCTGTAGACTTGAATGATCCCATGTCTCATATGACGGTAAGGAATGAACATCCGGGAGTAAGACTTGCGTGGTGTAGTCGAGGAGGCGCAAATCTGATCATTTGCTGAAACGAATATAGGTACCGGCAAGAAAGTGCCCAACATGCGAAGAGAGAGGAACAACGACCTGGGTCATGCCAGGCAAACAGTGTCCTCGCTGCAACTCGGTCGTTGACTAGTCAGTGAAACCCCACTACTCTTTGTGTTGTCACGGGAAGGCATCATATGATCAGTCGAGGTCGTCTGTGGCGTGTTGACATCAAATGTGAGCAATATGCTGAGAAAAAGTGAAGCCTGATGCGAGTACACATACTTGAATGGGACAACTCAGAAAAACCGCTACAACATTCGTTGAACTGGGCAAGATTTGGAAAAGTTTCGATGCATTTCTAGCCAATCATAATTCCTTCGCTTTGCAGTGCAAATCACGTCCAGGATCCAGGAAGGAGTGCACTCCGATGATTTTCATATTCGTGACGCTAATTCAGCTACTGTATGCTTTAAGCACCTTGTCCTGCAGGAATTTCCTAATGATTGGTCCTCCTTTCTCAGGTGCCTCAAATGTTTGCCAGTGACCACTTTCAATCTCTTTGACCGTCAGGTCTGGGAGGAGCCCTGCTTTTTGAGGAACAAATATAGCCTGTGTCAATCCAACAGCATCCATAGTGGCGCCGATGAAGAGGACCGGAATATTGAGCCGATGACGCTCTGTCGGAAGGTCCTTCTCGACTGCCCAATGATAGTTTGAATGTAACGCGTGATACCAGTTAAGGGGACCTTCCAAACCGTCTCGTTTCATGCGAGCAATCCATTTTTCTTTGAAGCCAGGTGTTTTTGCATACGTTTTCAGTGGCTGACGCGTATCATTGCGAAGCGTTGCCTCCAGCACTCTCTAAGGTGCCTCAGACGTCAATATTGTTTGCCATGATTTCACGTCGCGCTAATGATTCCTACTTCAACCAAAATGACAATGACGGTGAAATTTAAGGTTGAGTTTGGCTGAATGAACGGGAACTCACATGGTGGCACAATACGTCTTCCATATAATTTTTTGTTCCCTCGTCGTTGCCATGAAGCACATGGAATGCGGTTTCAAGGTGATCCTCAATCACTTGGCGGGCTCCAGGGGACACAAAGAATTGCTGATACGCAAGCCTGGGCAAACCGGTAGTCTGAATGGATAATTTGTTTGCCTCTTCAACGTCAAACTGCGCTGGTGGTCGATAAGGGATATTCAGGATGATCAAGCTGACGATACGATCAGGGTGCCACAGAGCCAGGCGCTGTGCAAGGGTAGAACCCCAATCATGCCCTACTGAAATAACCCACGTGTAGCCTTCGTGGTCTATTATCTCCATCAAATCACCTGCCATGCCCTTGCTGTTGTATAGCCAAGCATCGCTCGGTTTCGATGTTTCCCCATAGCCGAGAAGATCTGGTACTACGATCGGGAAACCGAGGTCTTTAATGTAGGGAACAATATTCGACCAAAGCTCATGATCGTCTGGAAAGCCGTGCTGAAGCAGAAGGACAGGCTTCGTTTCTGACGACGGGAAGCTGTAATAAGTATACGTAAGACCACGAGATGTGGTGAAAGTTTTCTTCATGAAGTCGTCCATAATTTGAAGAGGCAAATTTTTGTTTTATTTCACTTTAATTTGGAAAACCACTTTGAACGGAAACATTGGATTGTACAAATTATATACTCACATTAGTTGATCCACACCACTCCCTCAGCCGTAGTTGTAAGCACAAGTGATCCAATAACGAAAAGGACAGAAAGAGAAGAATTAGTAATTATCGAAAGGAGCCGAGGCAAAATGCATGGCTATTTTGACTCACATCCAGCGATCATGTTCCTGTCCTTGAAATACGGGAACGGGATTAAAAACAATAGCGATTCCCGGCCGTATGTATGTCCACGTGCCTAAAAACTGTGCTTGTATGGCTCTTTATCTCGTATTCAGAACGGGAATCTTTCCACACCGAAAAAACAAAAATCAAAATGGTTGGAGGGAGAGTGTAGGCAGGCGCCTTTAGTTAGAACCGCGCAGAGAGATTAGATATACATAGGGAGATGGGAAATTGGTCACGTGCGTGGCGCTCTACTTCCGCCCAAAACGCTTAGTCTTGAATCGACGCGACATTACCGTGACTGTCCGACTCCATCAAAGTACGATCAGAAGTATCCGCTACGCTATCGCCAATCCATGTTACACACATCGTGAATGATTGGGCGCGAGAAAACACACTCAATATGGCTCCGGTAAGCCCGTTCCACCTAGTCGCCATCTTCGAATCTCCCAAGTCTCTATTCATATTCCTAGAGCACAACCCCATTACCCAAACTCAGACATGTCCCAACGTTCATCCTCGTACTCCATGGGCATGTCTAGCTTTTCTTTGGAGGTGAACATGGATTTTTATGTGTAAATTTCTTTATACTCCGGATTGCCATCTCTTTCAACGCGATAGTTCTCGGGTCACCCCCAATCAGAACAAGTGATCAGGCAAGAATGCACGAAGTACTAAACATCAGATCCTCACTTTCCTGAATAACATCAAGTCAAGCCCATAAAATAGGGTGTCCATCTGCAAGGTGCAAAGCTGACCCAGCTTCCATAGTTACGCAGTCGAGCAAATCGAAATCAGGGTGACGACGAGACTTCAATTCTCAAGGGTCTACCTATTCGACAATGGCGTTTAACAGAGGAGAAGATTGGACCACCTGTCGAAGTGAAACCCGATCTTGGAAAGCAAATTTTTCCTGAGTTGCCATTACCACGTGATTTCCACCTATTGCCAGAGATTAGCCAGCAATTGCTTCGCAAGGCACGAGCCGGCCAGATCTACCATTCACCGACACCAGTTATCAATGGAAAGGACGATAAAAGTAAAGCGGGGAGCAAGGATGCTGAAGGCGTCTTCGTGTCCAAGAAATGGACACTCGTTCCGCGAGATAAGGAAGCCGAGGAACCAACCTACCTTGCAAAGCGTAGAAAAGGGCTACCGGCTACCTTTGGTGCAGGAGTCGTTAATCTTGTTCCACAGACTTCTTACAGGACAACGAAGGTCAAGAAGTACGATGCTGACGGTAAATTACACGTGTATGAAGTGCTTGCGCCGGAAGGGCAACAAGTAGAAGGAGAAATTGTAGCAGAGGACGAAGCAGCAAAGGCTGCTCCAGTCGAGCCTATCGCTGCTGCCCCTGGTACCATCGTGGAGGGTATCGGTGTGGTCAATGAGCAAGGTATTGTTGTCTCGAATGACTTATTGGTTCCAACACCACCACGAAGGAAACCACCACCGCCTCGTCGAAAGCCCAAGAAAGGTCCAGGACGAGGTAAAAAGAAAGTGCTATTTGAAGGCGCAGAAGCCGGTGAAGGCGCGAATTCCGACGGGACTGCATCCGGTCTACTCAACCTTCCTGGCATCGCTTCTGAGAGAGCAGCAGATTCTGCAGCACCTTCTTCGCAGGGTGACACGCCGATGCTAGATGCAGGAGATGATGATGAGGGATCCGGTTCTGAAGGCGAAGAAGGCGAAGATGGAGATGAAAATCGTGAAGAGGGCGAGTTGTCTCCAAGTCCAGAACCTGACAAGCCTATTCCTGAAAGCAAAATCCCCGCCAATCTACACCTTGAATCATCTTCATCGCTTCCAGCAGAAGTTAAGGAAGAAAACAAAGATGATGATACTGTGATGATGGAACGGGCAGTGGAGGACGAGCACAAGCAAGAGCAACAGCAACAGCTGCAGAATGAAGAATCCACTAACAATGAAATCATTGCCAATGGCGAGGATTATCCCGACCCCCCTTCAAAACCGTCTCCGGAAATCGAACCAAAGTCTACATCTCACTTGCCGACAGCACCGGAACCCAGTGAATCATCGTCCGTTGCTCTGGCGGCATCGCAGGCAAGCTCTTCAGAAGCCCCAACTGCAGTGCCCACAAACAACGCGGACGATCCTAGGCCGCTGCTTCCAGTGGTTGAGGCCAAAATGGTGGAAACCGCTCCTCCAGAAACACCGTCGGTATCGGTGCCACCGGAGCCGGAGCCGGTCCACATGGTGAATGCTGCTGGAGGACTTCCAGCTAGTCTCGAAAAATCTAAAACACCAGAAGTTAAAGCTGAAGCTGACACAGAGGTGAAGAAGGACAAGGATGGTGATGTTGATCTTCTCAAAACGCTGGAAGTTACAGCGGAACAGGCCGCACAAATGGAAGAGACAAAAGAAGGGATTTCGGGGTAGAAGCTAGTGCATGTACTGCTGGATTCTATCCTCATTTACCACGCCGGATGACGTCGCGACTATAAAAAAAGCAAACGTGATCTTGTCGCCCATCCGTAAGAACGGTTTGCGGATCTTTTCCACTTTTTTTCAGTAGTACGATATGTAGATGCACTGGCAGTTGCTCAGTACACAGATCATCACAATTTTTATAGCTTACAAAGGAGAAGTGTATAGTCATGTTTTTCCTCTCCATTGAAAAGGAGGGACTCATTTGTCCTTTGCCGAACCTTTAGCTTCCCCTTTCTGCATCGTGGCCTTGGCCGTCGATTTCTCCTCCTCGATTTCGGTACCACCTGCCCTGTTTTTATTTCGCTTCTCACTCCAATATCTCCAACTCCTACTTACGCCAGCTGTCAAGGCGCTCTTAACTGTTTGACTCATGCTGGGCCACCACACAGTTTGATAAATTGCTTTCGAGACCATATCTTTTAAGTCGCTTTCTCCCGCAATTCGCCTATCAAACTCACCACCCTCTCTCCTCTTGAAGCTTTGCGCATCCTCATCCTTGCTTGCTTCCAACATGCGATTGTATTCTCTTCCTGGGATCCCGAATTTGCGCTGGTATAAAAAGTACAATTTCGAACGGAAGGAGGACGGCAGGCGGCGCACCATATTGCCCCGTTTCTGAGGGGACATGTCCTGTGTAAGTTTGCAGTTGGCGTCGGGATCAAGGAGCCAATCAGGAGAGCGGCACTTAGGATCCGTAAACGTCACGTTGGGTAGATCCTCGATCAGCGGGGAGTACAATTGCCGAAAGTTCGCCATTTGATTGTCAACAATATTCGCTACCTTTCGGGGGTTCTCGCTGCCGAAGCGCATGCGTGGATCACCCTGATAGCTGATACCTGTGATGGCGGCGTACAAATCCCTCTCAGTGAATTTCTCAGGGAGCATGAGAAGAGCCGTACGGACAGCCGATATGAGATTGATTTGGTTTGCGAGTCTGACCTTCGGATCATCACGTAGAATCTTGACTGGTTTTTGCAAGCGCCCAGCCAGATAAAGCGTGTCCCATGTAGACAAGTCATTTCGTAGAGTATCCAAGTTGACAACGCCATATTTTATGAGAGTACCGTTGACAGTAATATAAGGATTGAAGTAGACACCGGCTCCCCAGTTGTCTTGTACACGTGTGACAAGGCCAGATCCAAGAGAGCCGAGGAAGGAATAATGGTCTCGATGTTGGTGCAGGTTCAACGAGTGCCAGTGCTGTGTGTACGACACTCCGAAGATAAAATCGATCATTTTCCCGCCTCCTTTCTGCCATTTAACAATTGCTTCCGGAGGGTGTGGATGTGGTGATAAAGCTGAGGAAGAGGGGGATGCACTTTGTGAAAACACGCCTGAGCCATAGGCAAACGCATAGCGTATAGGTGCCTTGAACTCCCAGAGGATTTGCCGTAAAGCTTCCTTGAATTCTTCATTGATCCGCATATGCTGATTATATCCAAAGGTGCGATGTGGCAGCTGGGAGAAAGTGGTGATGTTCCAATCGGGGTTATCTTCCCAGCCGGGTGGCAAAGATACATTCGAAGTATCCGTTTCATATCCTGATTGAGCCTGTTTTTCCCCCGACTCCTTGATAGTGGGTGAAGCGGACCCTTCCTGTTTCTTCTCTGAGGACGATTTTTGTTCTTCGCGAAGGGCAAGGTTGCAATGCAGCCAACGATATCCTGACAACCTGGACTGCCGGAAGCGCGCAATATTGGAGCGTAGCAAGCCATGCGTTTGCACCAGAGAGGAGAATCCTCTATGCGCAGTCTGATTCAATTGTTAGCGACAAGAAAGCTGCCATTGGGGAAGGGGAGGAAATGAGGTCGCTTCGAGATGCACTCACGGGCAGGGCCATTGTAGTACGATCACGGTGGATGCAGCGGTAAAATCATGCACATTAGTCTCGGGATGAGATGAACAGCGTTACCTCCGTAAAGGCATCTTGAAGAGAGCGTCGTGGAGAATGGTGGAGCCTTTGCTCGTTGCCAGTTTTGGCTTTCATAAAGTCCGGGCTCGCTTCAAGACGCAACACGTGGAGAGCTTGCAGCTGCGAGCCTTCCGTATGCGGACTAGTGCGAACGGACCACGCCCATACGTCCCCATGTTTTGTGTGAAGCTTGGCGGGTAAACAACACCAGCTTCTCTGTATACCGCCCACATCTGAAGGATAAGGCGCCAACAACGCGTACGCTTCGCTGCCGTGCCTTCTTCAAAATGTCCATTCCGGACGGCATCAACACATTCCAAGGTCGACTTGACACGTTTGCGCAACCACATCATCTCGCCAAGAGACGCGCATCGTCGACGAAGAAGAAGGGCCCAAGTGCCGTGTCGTGGCCGCATAGCAATCCTCTCCCCAATGACGTGAGTAACAGATTGTCCATATCGTGGCATATATATGTCGTCTAAGTGTATATGTAGCTCGCGCGCGCTGGCTTCTTCTACCGGCCGAGTGCTGAATCCGAAGACAATTGCGAATGTTTTCTTTGCCACGTCAAGCTGGATGGCTGGGAGGAGGGCGATGATCCAATCGAAGAGCATCTGAAGCACTCGCCCAGTTGCGGGTGGGCACTGAATGTTTCGATACAGCGCAAATTCAACAATGGCGAGACAGTCGACGCAGATCCATTGAGCGAACAATTTGTACAGGCTCGGACCCATACTTTTGGCGAAAACTGGCCGTATGAGTCGCGAAAAGGCTGGAAGCCGAAAATTGCAAAAGTGCGTTTCCAATTGAACATCTCTGCTAAGGAGAATTCAGGAAGTCTATGTGCTGATGATGGGGTGTTTAGATGGTGGCTGCTGGTTGGACATATGATCCAAGCCCCGAGTACGATGATGGCGTGACATGCATGTACTGCAACCTCTCACTGGACGGCTGGGAGCCGAAAGATGACCCCTATGCTGAACACCAAAAACGATGTCCTGACTGTCCGTTCTTCACTCTAGTTGATGAATGGGCAGACGCGCGAAAACAAGCAAAAGGACGGAAAGGCAAAGCACGCGCATCTAGAGGCTCAAAAGCGTCGCGATTATCAACGCAGTCGGTCATCTCAATTGCGTCAGAAGCACCGACACAGCTCTCACTTGGCGATCTGGATGAACCTGCTGCAGAGGAAGATAGCGTATTAACGACAGCAACAAATGCTACGGTTGGCTCGACTACTGGAAAGGGTAAGAAGAAGGCATCGATGAGAGGTCCTAAGAAAAGCACACGTGGCAAGAAGGCTGCCGCACCGGTCGATGATTTGGTCATGGAGACTGATCCGCCCAGTCATATCGAGGAGGCTTCGATGGCGGATAACACTGTGAAGCCTACGCGAAAGACGACCCGAAGCAAGAAGGCAGCTGCCGTGGAAGAATCTTCAAAATTGGACACAGATCAGTCTGCTCAGATAGAACACCCCACGGTAATAGAAGAACAGCCGAAGAGACAGACGCGCCGGAAAGGAAGCAAGTCAGAAAAGCCTATTCCCATTGAAGACACGTTGAATGCGAGCGAAAACAAAAGACCAACACGAGGCAGGCCAGCAGCAGTAGCAGGTAAGCAGCAAGCGAGGATGAGCGAAGACGAAAGCCAGTTGCACTCCGAGCTGCAGGCCGCAGTTGATGCCAGCATTATGCCCACACAGCACTCAGGAAGGCCAGCCCGTGGTGTAAAGAGAACTAGCGATGGCGCACTGAAGGTGGAAACGTCCATCGCGCCAAGTGAAGAACCAGTGGATTCGGAGACCCAGAAGGCGAGACCAAAGCGGGGACGCAAGCCAAAACCCGCTGTTGCCGAAGTCCAATCGCAAGATGCATCTCAACCGCTATGTTCAGATATAATCGAGCCCGAACAGCACGTAAGATCTATGTCCCAGGTTCAGTCAAAGGCACCTAAAGGCAAGAAGGGCGCAAAGGTTGCTAACACTGAGCCTGAGCCTGAAATGAACGATCAAACCGGGGAAGAGCAAAACGTTCAATTACTTGCAGAGGAGCGTGAGGAGGAGTTTGACTTCGCCGAGTCTCTTGTCAATCCCATCAATCCGTACGCACCTATCACAGGCACACCAGAATATAGCCCTGGAGAAGCATCTCCCGCGCCATCAACACCTACCCCGGTTCGAACTCACCAAAGTATTGCGTCCAGCCGCCCTATCCTTGCACCTCCCACTTCATCCGCCGAGCGTGCTGTATCCAACAAAGCTACGACGCCCATCTCGTCTCCAAACTCTTCGGATGCAGAGAACAGACCTCCGTCTTCGCGTCCTCCTTCTACACGTCCGCCCCTTTCTGTACAACGCCAACCTCTAGCTTCAGGTACACCCAGCTCTAATCTTCAACTCAGTCCTTCCAAACGCGTTATCGGTGGTGGTGGCCTGAAAAGCATACTTCCCTGGTCACCCATAGATTTGGAGAACATTTTCCTGAACTCCCCTGTCAAACGCAATTATGGGCTCAGTATGGAGAAGGAAAACACGCTAAACATGCCGGATGTTGACTTTGAGCACCTCACGTCTTCCAAAGCGTTGAAGGAAGTTGTGGAAAGAGTAAGACGGGTACTGGGGCAGGACGAGAGAAAGATGACGGTCGAACAGTGGGTGCGGTGGAATGCATCCATCGGAGAGGAGAGGTTGAGGAGGGAGTGTGAGAGTTTAGTCATGCTTTTTGAGCAGGAAGGTGGACGGGCGTTGAGGTCTTTGGAAGGAATTGAGTGTGCTCCATAATGACTTTACTAGCTTCTTAATCGCTAGCATGCCGCTTTTTTGCTTAGTGGCCTTTAGTTGTGCATGGTTTGGCGTTCTGGTTTACATCAGTGCCTTGGATGCATAGTCCCTTGGCTTCTAGATACGTGTAGCGGAATTGCAACGAATTGAACGAAACCCTAATCGTTCGGATATGAACTTGGTTATATTTCATTGCGTGCAAGATCAAAATTCATGAGCCCTTTGACAGGATTTCCGCAGATGTTGCTCAAACACATCGGGAAAGAATCTCCACTCTATTTTGATCATAGTTCAATGCGATCTGGTGCATAGCATTTATGTAATTAGCCATTGCCAAGAACTTGCTGCTTAATGCGAGAGCACAATCTTAAGTCAAATTGTTAGAACTTGTTGTGGAAGCGTGGGCAGAAACTCTGACAGTCTTTCTCTCTCTCACACACACACACACACACACACACACACACACACACACACACACACACACACACATGTATATATATATATATATATATCGATGTTCGCTATTTATGTACCTGTTGAGCACGAAAGAAAACCCACAAAACTTGTTATTTGTTTCAAGAATATCCCCAGTCCAGTAAAATCAAATTGCACCCAAATATCTGTGAGCATTAATTCGTTATATCCTTGGCTGAAAGGAGAAACTTCTCCATTACAAAGTGTCCGAAAAGCGAGATGGTGACTAATTGAAGATCCTCTCGTGTGGAATACTATAAAAATTAGAATAGCTGTGACTGCCGATCCGACGACGTACGAGGGAAGTAGAGAAGATCTCACTTCTTCAGCTTCTTACGAGGTAACTCTTGCTGCTCTTCATTGTCTTCGTCGTTCTTGTGGCCACGTTTTGGCGTTTTTATGCTAGATTTGGCCGTATTCTTACCCTTGCCAGGAGATGGTGCATTTCGACCGCAAAAATTGTTATCATCTTCAGGATCATTCGCCCTTTGCTCCTCCTCCTCCTCCTCCTCCTCCTCCTCTTCTTCTTCTTCTTCTTCTTCCTTACCTTCGATACCTTGATCTCCACTGCGGTATATATTACGTCCAAGTTCCTCTTCCGTATAAAGCTTTTCCCACTCAGGGAGTAGTTGGAACTCCACATACTTAGGGCCTGTCTCTTTGATATATTTCTTGATCTGCTTCTCTGACTTGCCTTCTTTCCATTTGATTAGTTTTTTTTCGTAGTCTGCATATGCCCACTGGACGAGATTCTTGCAATCTTCCACGGATTTGTTCTGTCCACAGAACTCCTTGTGAATATACTTAAGAACGTCAAGATCTGCGGGCCGCTTGTTGTTCTTTTGAGGAGCGCCGACACCTTTGCCAGTGGCTTCTTCGACTACACGTTGTTGGTCTCGAGAGCGAAGCTTGATCGTGAAGGTAATATTGGACTTGCCATCCCTACGAACTTGTTTTTCGATATTGTCGATTGTAGCAATAATGATGTGACGTTTCTGTCTTTGCCAACTCTCGTCGAGGTAGGACTGATTTTGATAGTCCTTACGGCACCAGTTAGGAAGTCCGGACATAAACTTCGTAGCCTTCTTGTTGCGCCCAAAGTAGTCTGAGATGCCGGAACGATGAGCATCGCGACGATACTGATTCTGAGTGCAGCCAGAGACAGTACCTGAACCACGCTCACAGACAAAAAACTGATCAACTTGACCCTGCTTTGCTAGCTCGTTGCGTTTCGCTACCCTATAGCCCACAGCAACAGCCGCCTTCATAAGAGGAAGTTCTTGGTCATCCAAGATTTTGTCCCATTCAATATTCCATTTCCTATTTTGCGCCTTGATATTCGAACCTTTGCCTGATTTGTTATCAATTCTCGACGCCGCGATGTAGCCAATAGTTGCTGCATCTTTCAACGCACGTAGCAAATTTGTTAGCTTTTCCATATCATCGCCGCCGTCAATGTCTTCAAGGTCAGCCGGGTGGATAGTTATTTGAGGATTAGATGGATTAAAACAAGATTGGAGTAGTTCTAGGGTTGTGTGCCTCTCGTAGTTGAAATTGTGGGGAAAAACTTCACTGCGATCGTCGTCATCTATGTCAAGATCCGCAATAGCGTCCGCCAATCTGCGCAACGAAGGATCAGGAGGAGCTTTTCTAAAGGCCTCTTTTTCATAGAGATGAGGTATTTCTGGCTTTTCCTGGGTATTTACTGACTCTACAACGGCCGCTGCGGTGGTAAGCAGGTCTAAAGCGCCAGACGAATATCCGAACGTACTGTTCACGGCGTTTGAGTCTTGAACATTTGGCATGTCTGGATTTTCAGAAGCTCCAGATACTGGTTAGATCAGTTTGCTAAAGTTCAAGAAATGGTGGAAACTCACTGGCCGGTTTCAGGGGCGGCTCGCGATCAAGAGTAGAACGCAATGCACTCTCCGATGGCATAAAGTCTGGGCCGTTGACTTTGATGCCTCCCATTATACGATGTTGGGTACCGATGTTAGACGGTCTGAACATCGTAGGAGACAATCTCGTAGCATTAAGGACTGTCCATCCAAATGTGAGACTTTCCTTGTCTGTCCCAAGAGATTCAGTGGAGATAACGCGGCCATCAAAACGGCTTGAGGATCGCGGTTTTTGATCTGACATACTTGCGGTAGCCTGGTTCAAGGAATTTAGGAGGTATTTATTGCAATTATGAAAGTGTGCACACGATGTTGCTGGAAGATAACAGCTCTCTCAGAGATTCTAATGAACTAGAGCTGTTCGACCGACAGTTGAGGAGACTTATGGTCTGTCGTGTACTGTTAGACGGTTTTAAAGGAGGAGCTTAGAGTGTTGTGTGAGTTAGCGCAACCTATATGGTTTCAATAGAAAGAAGATGAGGATCGAAGAAGGAACCGTACTTAAAGCGGATACCAAAGAGTCATATGGAGGCATAAGATGGCTATTCACGCCGTCCAAACGCAGCCTTGCTACAAGGCGGTGAGTCCGGAATGACCACCATATGCTTCCATGAAGAAAGACAGCGTGGAAGAAATCTAGAGATTAGCTCCACGATACGTAATTGAGGAAGTATTGGTGGTCAGGAGACTCTAGTGATTCTGAAACCTAACGACCTTCTTGGACTGTACAATCATGTGAGTAAGAAATAAGGGGCAGTGGACTCATCTATCTTCGCAACTTTGTCGATGACTTGCTCCCTCATTAGCCGATTAAAACCTAAGTCACGCAAACTTGTCATGCCTCTAGATCTAGCATGCTGGCCCAGAGACATCGCCTGAAAAAAGAGCACCACGTGTGATCATTAAGCAAGACAATCCAGTAAATTTCTAAGATTTTTTTTTCAAAAACTGTAAAAGATTCATTTGAACTTTTCGAGCGTGGCCATTGAGCCGATATACGCCAACTGAAAGCTTATCGAGATAGTGACTTGTCCACTTTACGAAAAGCAAAATAGGGCCAGGCGTTTATTCGCATAGATTTTGCCATTTCAAGTGACACAATCCCTCGAAACTTCCTTCGTTGTCCAGCCTTCTAGTAACTGATGATAATGTAAATCGAAGCGAGTGACGAATGATATGACTGGACAGCAGTTTGATAACTGGATCGCGTCCAAACATCATTAGAAGTTGATGTATGCCATTGCAGAACTCGTCAGGGCTTAAGTCATACCTTTGAAATAATAGCTTAGCTTGACATAGGTCCTGTATAAATGGTTGGGGGTGCCAGTCAATAGAAAATGCAAGACCTAACTCAGGCTTCAACAAGTGATGGAGAAGCATAGTCGCTCAGAATTGACAGGTATAATTGAGCCCATTACGCCAGCACCAGTTCTCGAGGGCTAAGAGCCGTCATGACAGTGAGTAGCACGGTCAGTGGGCTCCTGAAGCTCTCTATCTGGAGGACTTCAATGTCTAACAACTGTAAGGAACTTAACCATCTCACGAACATCGTCGCTTTTGGAGTCTAGGCTTTTGAATTCTCCAATAACGCAAGCGTGCCAGTGACATAAGTATCCTGATCCAGATTCTTGGGAAGAAGATCTCCTTTACCTTTTTTTCGGAAATTTTGACCACCAGGAGCTGAGCTTAGAGTCATTGACAGAAGTCTCTACGTGTTTCTCAACGCTTTGCACGATTTGCAAATACAAATCTTGACAATGAAAACCCCCAGAAAGTTTTTCATATAAGAATAATGAGTAGCTAAATGCTCGCTTGCATGAAATATGATGAGTGCCGGATGCTGGAAGTAAGATGTTCCTCTTTCTGCGAAATGTGTGCTACTCGAGAATTAGGATCGAGAACACGACCAAAGTATGACAGACGGTGTGCTGACAGAAGAACTAGGACTTGCGAAGTAGAAACAAGTATCATCGACTTGGTTCTTGTTCTGAACATCTCGTAGCACTCAGTAACCAAACCGCGACTGGCATTAATAAACGTTGTGATTCGAAAGCTCATGATGATTACCAGCGTGGTCTCGAGCGTCTGCAATCATATATTTTAGGCAAGACTGCTCATGTTCCATGCTAACAAGGGACTTTCGCCACATGCGTGTCCGTCAAATTTTTCATGGAAAGCAAGAGGCATTCACTCAACAGCTGCATCGCGTACGATGGACATACACGGCTTCATCAGGACGGATGCTGAATTGATTAGGGAGAAACTCCGATTTCATGACGCTGATCGCCCTTCGAGCGTAATATAGGGAGGCCAGGCTGCTATAAGATGAAAAGAGTTAAGCCTAGGAATCAATAATCGAGCATCCGAAAGAAGCCAGCCTGTCGACTAAAGTGCGAGCACAAACCGGAATCATGTCGCTAGATTGCGCCAACCGCTTAACAGGGCAAGCTTTGGATTTGGAAGCTATTATTGATGACAATTATGAAATCAACAAAACAGCTCTGGAGAGGCTTTTCGGTACTCTCGGTAGTATCGTGTTGGCCAAGTTATCGAATGTGAGTGATACGTGATATACGGCTGTGCAACTTCAAGAGACGATGAGAAAGACCGAGAATAAAGAGCTTGGGACGCAAAAATAGGGCAGTGCCGAGGAAGGAAAACCTGTATTGTGAAACTCCTGAAGATATTTGGAGAGAGATTTGACGCCTTGCCGTGGGAAGGTCATGCATGAGCACGGATGGCTTGTCTCAAGCTCCCAGAATTCCGCATTCAGTGTTCACTGTGCCGCTCCCGTGATATATGATTACTATTCGTGTCAAGATTCCCAATCAGGCCATTTCTCCATCTAGGGGCATTATTCCCTTTGATCCAAGCTCTTGCCTGCATTACAGATGTACCACCCTACCGGAGCCCAAGTATCGTGGAAGGTGTATGAGAATAAAAAATCCGTCCCATGGAAGGCTCTAGGATTCAATTCAGGCCCAGCCTCTGAAGAGTTGAACAAGCGACCTTTGATTCGAAAAATAGGAGTTCCATCGGTTTTGGTACATGTCCTGCTATGTTGCGGGAGAGACTATGGATCGCTGGGCCGCAAAAGTTCTTTAGACTTGCCTATGGGACTCTTTACCTAAGAGCAGAAGGCGTGATGGCAGTGTTCTCTTACGGGCTCATTCATTTCGTGTGGTGCACAGGGGATCCTCCTGTAGCCACGATACAACGCCTCTAGACAAGGATAAACGGTACAGCAATGTGCTTAGGATCAAACTGAGCAGACGCAAAAGCTCCTCATGTTCAAAAATCACACTTCCAATCTGCTTTAGCTGTGATCGAGCCCAGTCAAATCTGCCGATACTAATGGACTTCTTAAGCCTTAGTTGCATGACAAGCTCGTACGGGAAGATATATACGTCAATGTTCTAACTGGTCCACGAACGCGAGGACCGCTTGAAGCTTTGGCATATTCCGAGCTGGCTTTTCACAATTAACCAGCACGGCCGTGGATCCTTTCCAGGCATCGCTTTCGTCCAAAGGAGGTGCTGTGAATTAGTAATCCTCATTTTAAGACACGGACTGTTGTCCAAGAGATGAACGCTTGACACAACGTCTAGCGCGTCTTGTACGCCCAAGCCAGCTGCGTCCTTCGTGGATCCTTTTGGGCGTGTGTGCGCAAAGGAGGATTATAAAAGCCAAGCGTGAGCGTTGAATACAGTGGGTTGGCTCGGACCTGTTGCTTCCGAGAAGGGTGAGGGCGACCGGATCTCGTCATTCTTGCCGGACTAGTGAGCTCCAGGGACGAAGAAGGTCGGGACAGGCCCACCGCACAAATCGCGATGAGCGCTTTCGAATTAATAATCATGTTCGACCGAAGCTTTTGGGTCGGCGGATCTTGTGCTTGAGGCGAAAGAGGCTTACGGGTATATATCAGAAAGCCGAACAGAGTATCGGCTAACGAAATTGGTCGTCGAGTCCTGAGCTTCGGCGAAACACGCGCGGACAAGATTGCCTGGCTACAGCATCATGGCGCCACCGCAAATTACCCTCTATACCAACCATAGATGTCCCTATGCGCACCGCGCGCATATCACTCTCGAGGAGCTTGGTCTTCCTTTCGAAGAGGTTGTTATTGACCTTGACAAGCCACGGGAGCCGTGGTATCTGAAGATCAATCCTGTGCGCAGCCCGGCCTACTTATCAGCTAGGTTTGCTCGCTAATCTATTTGACCTACAACAGCGCGGTCTCGTCCCTTCGATCAAGTACTCCGACGATCAGATCAGCAATGCGGTCATTACCGAGTCTGCCATCGTCACACAATTTCTTGCCGATATTCACCCCAGCCATCTGCTACCAGCATCCAATAGTTCTTCATATGCAGCGCTCGCACGAGCTCGCGTGAACTTCTTCATTGACACATGGAGCACTAAGATCGGAAGCTTCATGTTCTCTATCTTTCGCGCTACTACTGAAGAGGAGAGGCAGGCTAAGGCTCAGGAATGGGTCGCTGCAGTCAAAAAGGAAATTGAGCCTCTGCTCGCCGATGCCGACCCTTTCTTCGGGGGGAGTAAGAAGCTGACACTCGTTGAAGTACGTGTGGATCCATATATCTCTGATGAAATCACAAACTGATAAGCGAATGATATAGGCTAACGTAGCACCCTTCCTTCTTCGTATATTTGCTCTGTCTGGCGCTGGTGTACTGCCCACCTCCGTCAAGACTGGCCTCGATCAGCTTCCCAACTTCTCCAAGTGGGCCAAGGCAACTATTGAGCAACCAAGCGTCCTCAAAATCTGGGATGAGGAGAAGGTTATTGCCGGAACCAAAGCTCGTATCGAAAAAATGAAGGCAGCCACTAGCAACGGGGCCAAGTAAAGCTTTTTGTCTTTATGCCAATCTCCTTAAAGTTTGACGTCCCAAGGATTTAACGATTAATGCTCTTGCTATGTTTTATTACTGCGAGTGGTACAGTCAATTTTTTGTTCTATGTGCGCTAATCTTGAATTTACAGTCAATAGTATGGTCTTATCTTGATGTCGAGTAAGCCCGCCATGCTCTCCAGCCAAAGGCATTAACAATTAACGAAATCAATTCCGATCATTGCAGTTTGTTGTACATTAATCCCAGTTCCAATTGTTCTTTGCTTACATGAATGTTGCTCCTGTATATCGTGTACGCTACCAAACTGAGTTGACATGTTATGGAATCTGATGGGGCACAGAGTTCCTTCGCTGACGCTTCTCTCGGTGTTTGTCTTCAACGACCGTACAGATAGTTGCTCCACGTGCTCGGAATTGCAAGAGCACCAGAGCAGCTCTTGAATCTGGTACTCCATGTTCGATCCGTTCCCTATTAATCGACAACCCTGGCTTGTGAGGTGATTGTTTCTCATCGGAAACGTGCTCGAGCTCATCGTGTAAACGTTTGCAATTGTTTTTCTTGCTTGAAGCTTTGACGCTAATTGTGTTCGCTGGAACCACAAGCATCTGAGGTGTCTTAGTCTTTGGTGAGGACAGAAGGAGAAGAGTTTCAGCTGCGTTGACTTCGACAGCGTCTTTCTGTCCATCCCGTGGTTTATTGACCGCTTGCCACGTCGATCTTGGCGATATGTCATGGGCGCAGTCACTCCATTCACTATCTGTGCCGTAGCCACTCTCTGGTGAAGTAGCAATTTTGGGAAGCCGTGGCTTGGGCCTCTTAAGTGAAGTAGACGGTACATTTACTCTTGAAGTGCCAGGGGTCTCAGACTGCTCGCATGAAGAGCCTGGTGTTATGTGTGCGTCGGCCCGCTGAAGCCACTGCTGGGTCTCAATTGTGCAAGCCTTGATGATGGAGCTGTCGATCTTGAAATTGGCGAATGTTGCATCAGTTGGACGTACACAAAGATCTGCAAAGTCCTTGCCAAAGAGAGGCGTAAGCGCATAGCGAATATGGAAACAAAACGTGGCCGCAACTGCCTTCGCGCAGGCGAATGGCATCCAATACCCTAGCATGATAAGTCGTGCGACTAATGTCAGAGGTTCGAAACTCACCCTGTGCCGACAAAGCGCCTCCGGTTATACTATGGCTAATATCTCGCAGTCCAGGGTTCGCGTTCAGTACTTTCGCAGGCGTTGTCTGATGAGACTTTGTCAGTAAAGACCAAACCAAAGTCGAGTTGTTCGCACCTTGGAGTACTTGCAGCACTTGAAGAAGGGTGTGATCCTGACGAGTCCGATATTGTAGTCCCACATGACAACGTATTCCCGGTCTTCACCTGGAAGTCTGAATGTATACTGAAATACTGCGGTGATGGTCAGCGCCTAATCAGTCACATTCATCTGAACTTCCACCTTCAAATGCGTCTCTGCCGGTTTTACTTAGGAATGTTTTCTTATCCGAGCTATAAGGGATATGGTGGCAATGCTGCGCAATCTCGCCACGTGGATATATATGAAAATGCTCATAATGCTTTGCTAGCTCGTCATCGTCTTCTGCCTCATGCGGAGGAAATAACACGTCGCCCTTAGTTGGTCCTTTACGAAATATTGGGGCATCTTTAGGCATCTTGTTCTTATATGGTTTGTGAGTAGTCAGTGCTGGTGTCTGCAAGGTGGACGCTGCTGGCTGAGGTGGTTGAGTTATCGAATCCGCTGGCTCCTCTGTGGGAGATGGGTTAAGAAGTTCTTCCACCTTCATAGTCGACAGGCTGGCAAGCTCTGTTCGTGAAAGATGATACTGACAACTTGATCTGGAAGCGGTTTGACTTAATATGTTGTGTACAACCTCTATGAGGCGAAGTTTGACAAGCACGTAGATGTTAACCTGGCCAGCCAAATATACTTAGTCTGCGGATTACTAGATAAGTACGCTAAGATCTTGTTTGCGAACGAGGGGCATGCTCACGAGGTAACAGAGTTAGGTTTTTGCCAAATATTCCAAACCAAACGACTAGAACAAATTTGCTTGATAATCGTTGATCGACGATAAGGCGATACAGTATAGTGTGTATGTTTCAGCATATACGAGCCAACTGAATCGGGAGGGCGAAAGATCTTATGTCGATGTTGCTGACAGCTTTGTGCAGACGTTTATCCTTATGAATCTTGTCAATAATATCAAGAAAGCGTCAGTGTGATCATCTATGACTGTAAGTACATTCAACAGCGTATTATGAAGACACAAACATACAGACAAGAAATGTGTTGACCAAGATACACTTGATGTTCTGACGAATCGTAGACCTTATTTGCTCTCTGTCGTCATCGTTAGTCCGCTTGCCTGTCACGAAAAGGGTTGACTAACGCAGTCAACTTGATCATTTGGCCAGCAGCGAGATTGAGAATTTTGAGTGGTTGATGGTATTTATGCAGCCTGGCAATGAATCTCTTGGTCAAGCGAGTTGATATGAACATGAAACTTGGATGTGATTGAAATCCAGGGCCCGAGTGATTGGGTATGCCTATTCGTCATACTAGAGGCGGTATGACTTGCAGCGGCTTCATACGGTCACGAAGCCACCCGTTGAGGGTCTCGGTGGAGGAAGATTTCTTGGTCGGTGTGGTCAACCTTTCAGACTGGTCACGAATGGATCCTAAGATGAGGAACATGAAACGCTCCAATGTCTTCGCTTGGGCATTGCATCTACCAGACAGTCGACTCTATACCCTTATTCTCACTGAGAAAAACTCTGTATTAGGAGGCATGTAACAGTCAAGATTGGTATGTCTCTGTAGAAGCTACATTTACTCGTACACTTTTCATTGTCGAAAGTCTTGCTGCAATATCCCGATGAAGATATACATGCATCAGCAAATGTGTTGAGAGCAACTTCAAGTAGGTGACCGCCACCATGCATATATATCGTCCTACAAACAAGACATGCTGATCGGTGTTGACAACATCAGTCTCGCGAGTCTCTTCAAGAACGCGGCACACATAATTCCCAACAACATGCGAGGCGATGTTGTCACGAGGAATTTTCGAAACTCCTAGATAGGAAGAATTGTGCTCCTGGGAACCATGTACCGAATTAGCATTTGGAAGTGCTTTTTATCAATGGCTTCATAAGCTTCGACAATATCAACAGTCCAACGCCGGCTTTCTTCAGCCGGGCTTGCACTACCGGAGAGCTGAAAGATGGTCCTATCATCTGATGGTTTGCGGGCTCGGTTGATTCTCGTTGGCTGGGTTGATGCGACGTAACAAACGAAGATTTTGGTAAATGACTGGAGACAAAAAAATTCGGCAAGCGGACAGCTGCGTTGGCCACACCTTGTAGGGATGTTGAGTCTTCAAACAGAATTCACGGCTCCAAAACTGATCATCGATGGCAAGATATTATTTGGGCCTTTGATTATTTCAGGTTCAATGCCAAATTCGACATTTTTGAGTAGATTGGAATGCGAGCGATGATTGAACTGCACTTAATTTTCTGCATGCAAAATCAGAGCTTTTTTGGCTTTGGATAAGGAGACATGTTAAGAGAGAGGCAATCTATTTCACTGGTTACGACGGTAATCTCTCTGAACAAAGAGAACTATAAATATGTTTCGTCTCTGCAGAATAGTTCAAATTAGTCTCTCGTCTTTATGATAGCCTCATACAAATGCCTTCACCGTATTTTTTGAAGCTTAGTGTTAGCGTCGGTCAAGGAATCCAACATATCTCTGATAAGACATATACGTCCATTCTCTGCCAAAGGTTCCCTTGTATTCTGGGTATCCAGATAATGTTCAAGCCGATCTTGCTCATCCAATAGAGCGCTGTCTCCAAACAAATCTCCGTACTTTACATTATCCCCATTATCGAAGCAGGAATGTGCTGAACTCAGCATCTCAAGCCTTGCGTCAATCGGCGGATTGATAGGCATGCCAAAGACATATCTTCCGCACTTAGCCGGGAACGCTAGATGATGTGCATGTATGACAGGTCTCCGCCTGAGCAAACGGATGTCAGTAGCGCGAATCACTGTGCTTTATTCGCATTCTCCGAGGCGGAGTTTTGGGACCTGATCAACTCGACGCATCCTCTTGATACCTCTTCCAAGCGAAGCAACACGTCAGCATACATGCAAACACGTCTCGTCTTAGGCGGTTGTTGCCAGCCTCACACCAAAATCGGTTAAACGAAGGCGGTGGACGGGAAAACTGCAGCCTTCCGCCGAACCGGATCATAGCCAGGGCCAGTACGGATGGCGACAACCGCTAGCTTCAATCCTAAGAAGACGCTGCAGGAACGTGCTCTTCTAAAGCGCCACATAATTTGACAGCTTCGTAGCACAACGCTTATCCTGGCATGTAGAACCTGAGAGCAGCCAGGTCCTGTGATCAAGGTAAAAGGTTGGAGGCATTGGTCAAGGTCAGAACTTAGACCTTCAACAGAGTCAAGTGCTGTATCGACTCATAGAATAACTTGAGAGAAGAGAGGGTGCTTGCGGCATCATAACTTAAGTATATCGGTCATTACTTATGCTAAAATGAACACCTTACACGTGGACCGCCCTAAATATTTCTCTCATATGGTACATTTCTTCCATAGCAATTTTGGTTCCAGCTTTCAAACTAGTCACTGTCGTCGTTGTCATCATAATACTCTTCATCGCTCTCATTGTCTTCACTGCTGTCCGCTGTAATGGTATACTTTGGCCTTGACGCGGCTGCCCGCCGTGCAGGCCTTTTGACCGGAGCGACCTCCACGTCTTCATCACTTAAAATGTCGTTTGCAATGTCCTCTATCTCATCATCATTATCATCCAGGTTCGTTGCCTTCCCTTTAGTTGATGGTTTTGACGCAGTGCCTTTGGCCTGCTTAGCAGCATATGCCTTTGCAGCTGGAGACAGAGGTATGGCCTTTGGAGCCGTGGAGACAGCAGTTTTCTTTGCCGCAGGCTTCTTAGGCACCAGCTTAGGAGCTGGGGCAGCTTTTGAAGCTGGTGCTTTTGCCTTCGTCATGGTTGGCTTACAAGCAGGAAGACCCAAGGTGTCTTCGTCGTCCTCACTCACCCCAAATGCGTCATTGGCTGGAGGCGCAACTGGACGGCGTGGTGAACCTTTGAGCAACATTGCATAATCAGTGTCATCTACTCCACCATCAGAGTCAACAGGTGACTTTGACTTCGTCTTTCCCTTTGGATTAGCCAAACCCTGGCTGCTGTTTGGTCGTGCCGTAGCAGAGAAGAGTGTCCGTCCTGAGCCAGCAGTGCTCTGACCTATCGGCTTGAGAAAAGTGCTAATGTCCCCAAGTTTGTCATCGGCCTCCGACACTGCGTCATCGCTGTTGTCGTCGATGACATAAGATTTAGGTCGTGTTGCTCTAACGGCTCGTGCAACTGAGTTTTTTGCAGCAGCTTCCGCCGCAACGGCTAGAAAGGCATCTGAGTCATCAGACTCAGCGTGCATGGCTTTTCTTGGGGCTGGCTTTGCTTTGGTTTTAAAATCGGCAGACTGACCCTTTGACTTTACAGCAACGACTTCGGAATCATGTTCTTTTTCCGCTGATTTTGGGGCGCCAACTTTGTCAATATCCATGAAGTCATCACCGTCATCAACAATTTCTGTCACGCGAGCTTGGGCAGGTTCATCTTTCACAGCTTGGGGAGGCCCATTCGCTGCGAAATTAGCCCATAATCCACCACGATTTTTTGCTCGATCTTGAATGGCCTTGAGGGCAGATGATTTCTTCTTGCCAACTTCAAAATCGGAGTCATCATCAGAGCCGCGGCGTGCCTTCTTCTTAGCTTTACCAGCTCCAATACCCAATTTTGCAGAAGCGCGACGGCCCGTATTGCGTAACTTCTTCTTGCGAGACTTTTCTTCCTCAAGTTGATTATTCCACTCCTCAAGAAAGTCATCAAGGTCCTTATTCCAAAGGTCCTTTGGAGTCAGCTTGATAAGCTCGTCGATCTCATGCTCCTTGTCACCAATTTGCTTCTTGATACGCTCGACACGCTCTTGAGTCAGCGACCAGATTGGCATACCCAGAAGGTAATCATAATCGTTTGCCCCAACTGCTGTGTCGTCTTCAGCGTCCTCGGATTCGTCGTTCTCCACGTATGCCTCGTCCTCGCCGGCCTTTTTGGCGTCTTCAACTTTCGGGAACGGCTTGAACCCCAACTGCTTAAGCTCGTCGATAAGGACAGACTTTTTCTTCTTAGATACGACCAGTTTACCGTCAATAATCATCTGGATGAATCGGGCTTGATTAGTGAGCTTATCGAGCTGCTTGTTCAGTTCATCAAGAAGGTATTGCTGCGGGAAGTCAGTCTCGCCTACTGCATTTCTCAGGTGTCAGAACAACTTACTCGACGCTTCTCATAAAACTTCAAGCGAACGTGATAAAACTCTTCCATGATATCCAGCACAGTTTCATAGCGCTGAATACGACCTTGGCTATCGAATGCTACCATGTTGGATGTAGACATCGTGGTAGAGAGCTTGAAGCGATCCTCAAGGCCTTTCTCTAAAGTAGCCTTCATTTGTTTATCATCTAATTTGATAACGAAATGGACTGTGGTGGGTGTATTGTATTCCAGGTAGTCTTTGATCCACGACGGCTCCTTTTCAGCCTTAATGACCTCTTCAAGTCTGTCCTTGAAGTCCTGCGTCCACATGCGCACAGGTAATTCAGTTATTTCTACTTCATTGTCGCCCGTCTGCTGGATTATACCCTTGAACTTGAACTTATCGGGTCCTGCTGACTCGACCTCACCTTTGAAGTCACGGAACCAAGGATTCATGGGTAGCATATCTTCCTTAGAAGTGCCTCTCATTCGACGCTTAAGATTATCCACAATATCCTGAGGGCTGTAGTTTGGGATATTTGTGCTCCAACCAGTGCCGATGCCGCTTGCACCGTTAAGCAAGATTAGCGGAACCACGGGAACGTAAGTGGTTGGCTCTATCTGCTTGCCATCATCCTCGTCGTACGTCAAGAGAGCGTCATCAGCTGGGTGAAAGATGCGGCGAGCAAACGGTGAAGGACGAGTGTAGATATACCTAGCACTAGCCGCATCGGCACCACCCATTCGTCTTGAGCCGAAGTTACCGCTGGGTTCCAGGAGATTCACGTTGTTTGAACCCACAAAGTTCTGCGCGAGACCAACAATTGTTTGTTGCATCGACACATCGCCGTAGGCGTATGCTGTTGAACCAGACACAATACCAGCAAGCTCCACGACTTTCATGTCCTTCTTCATGTTTCGCCTGAAACAAGTGTAAAGTACCTTGCGTTGGGTAGGCTTTAGACCATCCACCACCGAGGGAATGGATCGAAGATTGTCCGCCATGCTGAAGAGAATCAGCTCTTTGTTGATGAAATCATCGTAAGTGATCTCCTTCGGCGACATGTCAAGATATGTGCCAGGTACAAACTCGCGTAGCCAATTCTTACGCGCGTCAGCCTTCTTCTTTGAGAACGCAAGGTCAATGAGCGCATGCTCCTCCTCTTTCATTGGCCTGAACAGCTTCAAATGTTTATCTGGATCCCTGAAGTATACTTCGGCGTCTTCGTTGGTGCTAGTTCCCAATCCCTTATAGTACTTGTGATCCCACCCTTTCTGATGACCAGGCTCTTTCTTCCAGTTGAGGTACTCGGGCATAGTGAAGAATGACTTCTCTGCCTTCGGGTGTTTTGGATCACCTTTCCAAACCTTGACTATAGGCGTGATGAACACACTGAGAAAGTTGGGAATCTTAAGCAAGCTTGGATAATGAGCTTCAAAGAAATTGACAAGCAAGCCTTTTATGTGAGAACCATCGTGATCCTGATCGGTCATGATCATGAGCTGTCCGTATCGCAAGCTCTTTGTGTCGGTGTACTCTTTCTTATGCTGAAGTCCCATGAATTTTTTGATGTTCTGAATCTCTTGGTTGTTTGAGATCTGCGCAATAGAGGCATCGCGAACATTAAGAAGTTTACCTCGAAGAGGGAATACACCGATCAAATCAGGATCAGCAACAGCGCGACCAGCTAGGGCTAAACCGCTAGCAGAGTCACCTTCCGTAAGAATCAGAGTGCATCGCCAGCCATCCTTAGTTCCAGCCTTGTTTGCATCAGTGAGTTTAGCATTATTCATCCGCGCGCGCTTGCTGCCATCGGACTTCGCGAGAATTTGATCAGCTTTGCGCTCGGCGAAGTCCATGATATTCTGAATGATCGGGGACTTCTCGATCTTGCTTAGGAATGCATCGCTGACGGTGAACTTGCTGCCGAACTGGGAAGGCTTGGTCGTCAGTTGCTCCTTTGTCTGTGAAGTGAAGGCCGGATTCACAATTTGGCAATTGATGAACAAGAACATGTGGCTCTGGATCTGGTGGGGCTTCAGAGCAACACCTTTTCGGTTCTTCTTCTTAATGACCTCCAATAGTTTGTTGATGATTTGATCGGCCACATACTTAACGTGCGTACCGCCAGAGGTAGTTGCAATATTATTCACGAATGAAACCTGTTTGAAAGAGCCGTCGGACACAGCAAATCCAACCTCCCAACGTTCATGAGGACGATCAATTATAATGGTCTGCTTCTCGGCGCCCTCTCCGGAAGCTCCGGTCTCGTTCTGAATGGCTTTGGTGTACATCTCCATGTACTTCTCAAATTTCCGAATCTTGATGGTCTCGCCATTTAATTTGACCTTGACACCTTTGACAGTGCCTGCCAAATCATAAATACGGCGCTTAACAAGTGCTTCGAAGTCATCATCCATGCCTTCCATGTGGAAGCGGGCATAGTCCGGTCTAAAGGTAATTTTTGTATAGTCTTCACCTTTGTAGCCGTCTGTGATCTTGGCCTTGCCTTTCACGCTCATGTTTTTGGTCCATGTTTGCTTATATTTTTGCTTCTTCCGCGAATCAGCTGTCTCTACAGTAAACTCCAAGCTGTAGATATTAGCCAACTTTGCACCATAGCCATTTCGACCACCGGTGACCTTCTCTTGGTCATCCTTGTAGTTAGATGATGTCAGAAGGTGACCGAATATAAGCTCTGGTACGTAGATGCCTTCAGTCTGCGGATTTGTAAGTCTTATCTTCGTATGAAATAAAGGTCTGCTAAGCCTACTTTATGAATGTCGATTGGAATGCCGCGTCCATTGTTCCAGACGCTGATTTCACCAGATTCGCGATCAATGGTGACCTTGATCTCATCCATGTTCTTGTCGTTTTGTTTATTGTCGGCCGCGTTCACCAAAATTTCGTCGAATATTTTGTAAAGACCGGGCACGAAGTTAACTTTGCGGTACTCCATCGCGTCAGTCTCCGAATTGTACACCCACATCTCATTTTCCTGAAATTCTATGGAGCCAATGTAGGTATCAGGACGTAGCAAAATGTGATCGATGTGAGTAATTTTTTGGTATCTATCGCTGGCGTCACCAGAGGTCGTTGAAGCGGGCTTCGGTTTTTCCGCTGACTGGAGGAAACTCTCATTTTCAATTTCCTGGAGAGCTTTCCCGCTTGACTTTTTTGGGCCAGTACTGCTCTTCGACTTCTTCGCGGGAGGAGTATTAGAAAGGAGGGAGTCATCGTTGAAAGAGTCGTGATCCATATCCGAATTCTCTTCATCCGAATCGCTTGACTTGCGCTTCTTCGGGACGGCTTTTTTAGTAGTTGTCATATTGAGCTTGGACTGCGCGAGCTTCTTCGGGGCAGCAGCCTTGGTTGTTTTCGGCTTCGCAGATGAGGCAGTGGTCTTCTTTGTCACGGCCTTAGCGGTTGCCTTTGCCTTCTGCCTGATGTTAGGAGAGTTCACAATAGCCGAAATATGGAGGTGCTCACCGTTTTTGGGGCAGGCTCAAAATCAGAGCTGCCGTCAACATCGAAGATGGAAGCATCCATCGAGTCGTCCATAGCGGGAGTGATAGAACGCGCCGAAACGCGTGAGAAACGCTAGGAATTCTTCGAAAACAAAGTTGAAAAGAGTGATCCGATCCTATGCTATACACATAACGAGGGACAGGCTGCACATGGACGCGAATCAAAGCGTAGCTGTGTTGTTATGAGATTGGGGCTGTTGTTAAACAACCCGTAAATAGGGTTAAGCGCGTTTCCGGGAAACAAGCGCTAGGGTGAAGTATCATCACGTGACCAGCAAGGCTTCACTAACTTGTTCCGTTTATTCACGGACTTATGCGTCCTTCCAGCACTTGTTAAGCTTTCGACGGCTTTTAACATAAGCATGCATTAACTAATACAAGAGGAGCTAAGATGGCTGTCTTTTTGATACAGAGAAATGCCTAAGATACGCGCTGATCAAGCGCAAGCACGATGCTCGATTTCAAGAGAAACCTTTGAATGTTTGTTAATTATCTCAACTTCATTTCAAGACTTCTCTAGAGCCTTCAATTCCAGTACTTTCTCAGCAATTCATATCCGCTGGTTCCATGATCAGATTCTGTCAAGTTCTAGTCGGAATCAATATTCAATCGCCATACTTGTCGATCGACCCTTGAGGCGGCCAAAGACTTTCATCGCCGCAATCGTTGAAAATGATATATATTGTCTAGCCTTCAGGACAGAACTCGGTGCGAAATCCGCAACGACTTCGTAAGCATACCTCTTTGATTCTGGACCAGCTAGAGCATTGGCTTGGTGTCAAAGAGTAGCAGCCCCTCTGTCCTCAAAGTGCTGCCCGGTGGCAATGGCCATGTAGTAGTGCGTTAGCACTCTTCGAAGGGGATAAAAAAAGTCCGCCTCAAAATATATATAAGGCAATTCTCTTCAAGGCTCGGTTTATGTGACGAGTTCCAATCTCCTGGAAATGGGCTCGTGACTCTCAATCGCTATCATCCCCTTTTGCTTTCTTCCTCCTCTGTCTATTCCTCTTTTCTCTCCTCCTGGCTCTTTCTTCTTCCTCTCTGTCTCTTGCTTTCTCAATTCTCGCTTGTAGATCAATCGCGCCCGACTCCTTCGCCTCTTCTTCCTTCTTTCTCTTTAACCACCGGAGACGTTCCCTGACCTCCTCCACTGTCGCCCGCCTGACTTGTCCACTCTCGCCCACGTTTTGTAGATGCTGCTTGCTGTTGTAATGCTCTACCAGCTGCAAGTTATCCTTGAAAGTCAGATCGCACGCCTCGCAGTAGAAGCCTGCGCCCCTTCCTCGTTTGCCGACCGCTGCCCCAGCGGGTACTAACATTGTCTTTCCAACCATATCGCCTACGTTTAGACGCGCCGAGCGCGCCTGCGTTTCACGCACATCAGGCGGCGTGGACGCCCGGCGGACGTATTTCTTGCCCGCAAGTTTAGCCTCATATCGCGCCTTGGCCTCTTCTTTAGCTTTGGCCTCGTTCTGGCGGGCGCGTTCTGCGTACTCGGCTTTGTCCCAGGTGCGTCGAAAATCTGTGTCGCCGGAACTCGAGACTGTTTTTTTCTCTGACATTGTGTTCAAATGTTGCAATGGTATCGCGCCGTTGTTCGTTTCAACGTGAGGTGAAGCTACGAAAAGTTCCATGGTTGAAGGCGGAAGACTTTCCGCAGCTGACCCTTGTGACCCTTCTCACTTATCTGAAATTCACCACGAGAAAAACAAAGAAAATAGAAGCTGAGCGCTGAAATAACAAACAAGAGACATAAGGGGAAAATGAATAATGTCGCGAAAACTTTTTCTCGGAAAATTTAGAGCAGCAGCAAGATAAGAGTTCATCATAAGAAGGGAAACTTGATTTACTTCATCTCAAAAGACGATATACTAAGATATACGCAAGTATTGGGTATCCGTCAGATTCATTTCTTCACTCTCCCATGAACAATCATCTTCCTCTCCTTGACAATCCACTAGCACTCCTTTGCATAGCGGCACCGCGTGCACTATTGCTTCTACTCATTGGTAGCGCTTCAGCATTGCCTTGCTGACTGTTCTGTCTGCTCATGCTTATGGTTTGAACCGGCGCAAGAAGCGAAGGTGGAGGAGGCTCCTGGCCGCCATTCATCAGCGATGGAGGTCGATACTGATATTCGGCAGTTGGCTGTGGTCCTAGGGCCCTTTCGAGAAGCTTATTATTCATCTCGTCATCACCGTGAGTATCGCGAAGCATGATCGCCAGATCTGCATCAATCTCCGCAGCAGACAGTTGCGACACCATTGCCGGTGCACCATTAGCTTTGCTGCCTATAGCGGCCGGTACATAGGTAGGTATGATTGTCCCCAGAGGCACATCACCAGAGTTCAAGGAGGAAAGCCCTTGTAGTGCTTTTGTCGTGCCTCTTGTTGCATGATGCGAAGTGCTTGTGATACGTTCCATACCTGGAGCTGCGGGTGTAGCGTCATCATCTTGGTCCACATCATTTGCAGTGGCGGTGCCAGACTCTACACCTTCGTCTGCTTCCGCATGTGTGCCATTGACACCATTACCGTTTGCCTGACCATTGGCCTGAGGTTTGAGCAGGAAATGTCTTGCAGCAATTGCTGCCGTGTTCATGGTCATGCTCAGCTCTTTCTCGGTGAAGAGTCTCTCAATCGAGTACAAGGGAGCTTCTTGCTGTTGCCACACGGTCTTGGCTTTGGCATCGCGATACGGGGATCCAATCCCGACGTCTGCTCTTGACGGTCCAAGAGCCGGAGACTGGCCCTCAGGCTCATCAAACAGCCGTTGGCGTTTCCGACGACCTTCCGCTTGGTCTTCTGTGTCTCCACCGCGCCTTCCAGTGTTCCTTGTTGCACGCTTGTGGCCGCTTCCGGGGCTCGAAGGGTTTATGAGGCTGAATTGGTTGGGATGTAGAAGCAAAGCATTGCTGTCACCAATATCCAGCATGTCCTTCTCCTTCAATAACCGATCTCGCTTTCGAGTCAGTTGGGCGATCAGTCTTTCGCGAATCGTATTTGCCAGCATCCTGTGTTCTTCGTGCGCCATCCGCACGTAAAAATTATATCGTTGCTCGAGTTCTGCCATAGTGGCTCGATGCCTGTTCTGGTGGACGGTGTGAGCGTTCCGAGATGGTCGAACAAGCGATAGAATTTGCCATCAATACTTACATGCAGCAACGTCAAGTTCACATCACGTTCTTCAAGTGCATCGTTGACCTCGTGCACAAATTTAGTGTACAATTTGCCAGCATCGGCCAAAAAGTCAGCCTCAGCGGCCGGATCCGCAGGTATCTTCCCGCCAACTGTCTCACGGATGAGATTGGCGATATCATCCGGACTATCTGGGAGAGGTTTGTTTTGATATGGGTTTGCCCGATGTATGAGATTAATATCAACCTGGATGGCATTGGCTTGGGCCTCATAATGTGGGCGAAGGTTAGCGCTGAAGGACGACACCATCTCTTGGAGACGCTCTGAAAGCATCGCCCGTCTCTTGTCGCGCTTCGATTGGCTCATTGGTGCTGGTGAACCAGACAGCCGCGAGTTCATGTCCGGCGACGGGCTACGATTGCGCGCCATGGCAGTCTACTGTGGAATGCGTGAATTCGCAGCGAAGGAGAGAGTCAAAGAGAAGAGGTCGAATGGGACAAAGTGCTGTTTGCGCGACTAAAGGGTTATACATCCGATTAGCGCTCAATGAGCAGGTCCAAGCAATTCTGAAGCTCTACGTTAGAGCTTCCTAATCGAGAGAAGAAAGTATAGCAACAAGGGAAACTCCTGAAGCTGCAGACAAGGAAAAGGTGAGAAAGGTCAACGCACGATGGTGGATCAGAAACGCCGGAAACTGACGATTGGTCACGCAACCCATTCTGCCAGAGTTCACCGCTTTCCAAAATTAAGGGTACCCCATGTTTACGCACCCATGCTTGTGATCAACCCTATCGCCTTAACCTTTGACATTTGTCCTCGAGGTTTGGATTGGGCTGATACTTATCAGTTCTCTATTACTCGAGAAGGCCTCTCGAATATAACGATGACTGACCCAATCAGAGTCGTTCGTCCGCCAAGGATTGCAAGAAAAACTGAGAGCCAGCCATGGCATACATACTTTACTGTCGACGTATTGTACGCTGCCGCTAGGAAGACAATTCTACACCCCTTTGTTGCTTGGATAATACCACTCTGCTTGAGGGCCGTCACCGTTCCGTACGACGACATTTCCATGCAACTCTCCATTGGCTATGCTTGCTTGCTCACCTTGCTGTGGGTGCTGTCCGTGCTCAACAATCGCATTGCCTATGGTATACCAAGAGAAGTCGACTATGACGAAGAGGTAATCATTATCACTGGTGGTGCAAGCGGCCTTGGCCGCTTGATTGCCGATTTCTATGTAATGCGAGGTGCATCTGTTGCAGTGCTGGATTTGAAGCAAGCTGATGATGATGAATTTATGGGCATCCGATACTACCAATGTGACATCGGCGACAAAAAACAGGTTGATGAAGCTATCACAAAAATCAAAACCGATGTACGTAGAAGTAAAACTGTCTCATTGTCTCCTTCGCCTCTCTCCAGCCTGTGTGCACATTGGTAATTCTCTAACGGCTGCGAAAACAGCTAGGAACGCCGACTATTTTGGTCAACAATGCAGGTGTCATGCACAGCAAGTCGATACTTGACCTTGATCCAGAGGAAATCGAGCTTACTCTCCGTGTGAATCTGTTGTCTCACTGGCACACAGTCAAGGCATGTTTACCGGGCATGCTCGAAGAAGAGCGTGGAACTATCGTGACTGTTGCCAGCGTATTGGGATATCTAGGCTGCCCTAATCTCTGTAAGTTGCCACGAGAAACACATCCGTGGTCCTGCGCAGGGGCTTACCTGGTACAGCTGCATATACCGCGACCAAGGCCGGTCTACTGGCCTTTCATCAGTCTTTGACAGCCGAGCTCTCGCAAACGCCAGAGATCAAGACGATCCTCGTAGCGCCTGGACAGCTCGACACGCCTATGTTCAAGGGAATGAACACTCCATCGAACTTCCTAGCCCCCGTAGTCGCCCCAGTGGAGTTGGCAAAAGAGATTGTAAACATGATCGACTCCGGCTGGAGCGGCGAGATATGTCTCCCACTTTACACACGAGTCACACCGCTCATTCCGGCGTTGCCCGCGGCCATTCAAAAAATTCTGAAAGCATTGAGCGGAATGGATAAGGCTATCTTAGATTTCACGGCCGCCAGGAAGAAAGAGTCCTAAGCACGGTTGAGCGAACAACCGAATTGATACCCAACGCTACAAGCTTCACTGTGTACAATTGTACCCCCAGCATCATGGTCTATAGACAATCACTTCCAATCCATTCGTATACGGCGCTGTCAAGTTCCGGAACGGCCCGTTCGGGTCACGAACGTAAGACAGAAACTCCTTGTACCCTGCAGCGGCGGAGATGGTGTTGTCTGCCACGATCACGGTGCCTGGCCGCATATGGCTTTGCACTAGCTTCAAAGTAGGCAATGCGAGGGGCGTCCAGACTGGTTGAAAATCCCATTAGCTAGAATCTCTCGCTCTGGCGCATCACGTACTGTCAAGCAGCAGCAGGTCAACCTGCTCGAGGTTCTCCTTAAGCGTCTCCAACAAATTGCCCTCCCGCAGCTCAATGTGCCTCTCCACGTCTTCCCCAGCCTCTCTCCAATGCTGCCGTGCCTTTGCGGCCTTCGTTGCCTCAAGCTCCGTCGCAATCACCTTCCCGTTCTGCGCGTCGTTCTCCGCCACGGCCAAGGCGAGATAGATCGTGCTGACCCCAAAGCTGGTGCCAGCCTCCACGACATACCTGGCTCCCGTAGCGAGCATGAGCTGGTACACGAACTCACACTTGTCTCGGTCCAGTGCAACGAACTTGTCGACCATGAGCCTGTTGAGCTCCGCCGTGCCAAGGACTGGGTCGCGATCGCGTGAGTCGAGGAAGGATTCAAGCGTGGGCTGTATCTCCGCTTCTTGCTTTATGGATAGCTCATGAAGGCGAGAAAGCAGGTCAAAAACCTTCTGCGAGGCTCGCACTGGTGATGGCCCTGTATTCGAGGCCATGATGTCCCAAACAAGGATAAGGTTTTATCCAGAAGCTACTTCGAAGAGCTCGTGGCTGTTCACTTTTAATTTGTGTACGAAGGCAAAGAAAGAATCCTCAAAGCCTGTCCCCCCGTGAATGAGAGTGGTATGTATAAAACTGGAAGGCTGAGTCACCGGCCATGCATTGGTCCGAGGTCGCTGCAAATTACGAGAGATCAACCAGTTGTACCGACGCGGAGCACACGTCGGCACTTCATTCGGAGTTGTTTGTCTCTCCGGGGATCGCTTCGAAAAGAGGCTATACTCGTTTCGCCTTGTTTACCTGCAGAGTCAAGCAGTAAATGTGATGTATTGGACGAGCACGGTTAAGCACGTGGCTAAGTACAACACTGTTAGCTAGCTTCGCAGTTGGACCCGAACACACTATCTAATCAAGGGATCACAAGACAGCTCAGCTCATCTTCGAGGTCGGCTACGTTGCCTCGTTGGAATCATGGTAAAGCATCGCAACGTTGGCGTCCTTATTCGGGACGTTGCAGCCCGTGTGCGAACTAATACGCCCAATCCTCAAAGAAGGTCGTCAGACTTCTGCTGAGTGCACAGGCCATGACGCTGGTATGATCCTCGTCGCTGTAGACCCTCAGATGGACGTCACGGACACGAGGCGAGGCTCTGAGCTTTTCATACATGGCATGCGTGTTCTCCTCGAACTTGAACCCCTCAAGCATCTTCTTCCGCCTCTCAAATGCTTCGTCAGTCTGGTCATGCCACTGTTTAGGATGGGCTTCCAGCTCGCCGTAATAAAGCATGACCACGGCACCGGAGTTTCCTTCGTCGGGCTCTTTCTCGTATTCCTCCTGCTCGGAGAAGATGAAGTCGTCGTGCCAGTACAGCGAAGGGCTGCTCGCGATGTAGCAGTCAAACAGCCGCGGCCGCTTGAACAAAGCGTGCAGAGCAAACAGGCCTCCGTACGAATGGCCGAACAGTGCTCTTCTCCCGAACGTGACGTCTGGGAATCGCTCTAGGACGGAAGGGAAAACAGTGTTCGTCATGAAGTCAAGCATCTCATCGGCTCCGCCCACAGGACCGAAGACGTCCTTCTCTGTGCCGTCCGGCGGTGTGAGATCGTAGCCGCGAGACGGACTGTAAAGTTTCTCCTGTGGCAGATCATAGCCGATGGCGACGACAAGCCCGCCACCAGAATAATGAGGACCCGAGGCACGCCGCCACGCAGCCTCAGTTGCTGTAAGAAACAGGGCGTTGCCATCCATGATATATCTGAAGCTCTTAGGATCCGCCCAGGTCCTGGATTTTGCGACAGGCACTTACATGATGGGGACTTCCTTGGCTTCCAGTGGTGCCTTGTCTCTCCAGTTGAGCGGCCATGATGCTTGAATCAGATATGTCTGACCCTTAGCATTCGACAAGATCCATTGCTCTGAGTTGCGCAAAGTCACGTCAATCCTGTGTTTTGTCATCTTTCAACGCGTGTACTGAAGCCCAATTTTTCTGTTGAGTACCTTCGAAAGCGTTCAGGAAAGATAGACGAAATTGCGTTGCATTCTCAGTTCGCATTTTGCGCATGGAGGCCAGAAGTTTTTTTTTTTCCCCTCCGCTGTCGCAGCTCATGCTTGTCCATTTATCGCTTGATCCAAGTTGCCCCGCTTTCACATCCTTCTAGTGCCTATGTTAGCAGTGATGAAGCAGGAGGAATTTGAAGGGCAGTTCCCGGATGCTTGATCGTCTTATCTTATCAGATCACACATGCTGGGTAACTTTTTAGTGCATCACCAGATTCGCAGCCGTGCTTGATTTTTGCTGTCTAGCGTCGGAGTTCAAATCTTACTGTCGGAAAGTTTTCCAGTGTATTCTAACTTTTTCCGCTGTCTTGGCGTTTTCTAGTTTGTTTTTTTTATTTACTTCTGCGCGTTTAACTGAAACTTTGTTTCGTCGTTTGACAATTTATCCTCACAAGCCTGTTTTTGCGTAGGAGTAACAGAAGCTGTTGCACAAGCCTACCGTGGATTTGTCTCAATCAAGATCAGTTGGATGGGGAGTAAACACCGTCCTTGCGTCAATTTAAAGTGGTTTATACGAGTCTTTTTATACGACACACTATCGATGCTCAGCATATGGTGCGTATCGACTAAATCATTAAAATCGGAACTCAGACAAGGTTGGGCCAGATATTTAGAAGAACATATAGTGAAGTTAGTTTGACTAGGTCTCAGACTTGTGCCAGCTTGTCTGTAGCGCCAATGGACTGACTGCACGCCTTAGGCCCAAGTTGTGGGTATGTGTGTCTTGCGAGGATTTGTAGTGTTCCAGGTGACACACTCGTCTTGCCACCGCGAGACAACTATTTCGAACCAGTAGTTGCGTTGTCATTTTGGTGGTGGGGTCGACACGAAGGCTCTCTTTCGCAAATGCTGCTGTTGACAGTACATATGCCGGGAAGGGAAACGAAAAAAAGGACTCAACAGAACCACAGGGCGACGAAGGCGCTGCTAAAGTCAGGAGTTTGGTTTGCGCAAGCTTTCGCGGGAATTATGAAATTGATCGACCCAAAAGTACGTTTCCCGGATCCGCATTTGTGATGCAGAGAGGTCGCCACGGAGCGGGTTAGCAAAGCAGCGTCGCGCGTCCAGAGATGCTCGCGTCGATCCTTGCAAAAGTTGGCATCACACCCGAGCCGAAACGGCCTGGATCAGTTCTTGCATTCTACTCTACATGCGTGTACAGAACACAGCACCGCCACCGTGGTGCTGTCAGAGGTGTGGAGATGCTCGTCGCAGGCACGGATGCCGATGGTGTTATCGATAGATGACGCCAGAATGCGACAAGAATCGTTCGCTGGCGTTCCTCAAAAGTATGGGGCCATGACTTGGGTGGCTGGGCCCAGCGAAGGCCCCATGAAACAGAACAAACTCCCGGCGCATCCCCCTCAATAACACCAGCCTTTTTCGAGGTGGCACAAAGGCGCAGGATTAAGGCAAGACGAGCAGCAAAGCGAAGTGACCAGGCTTTACAGGCAAAATGTCTTCGCAGCAGTCGCACGGTAACTCAGGACACGGCCACCACAAGGTTCCCGAGCCGGAGCGCGGAGAGCGGAGAGCAGAGGACAAAAAAGCCAAAAATACACGAGGCAATGGCAAACAGCCTTCCCAGCTCGGAAACGTCACAGCAAGAATGGGGTTTTGGATTTGCACCAGAGGCACGTACGGGACTAGCAGCGGCACGGTGTGGGCTCACTGCATAACCCCTTGCCGCAGCTGATCGTGCAGCCAATGACGAAGGTCCGCGCCGACAATGGACGCGCAATGAAGCCAGTCCTGAACGACGATCCCAGCCCGTAAGCTGGCGGAGCATGAGCATTCGGCAGCAGGAGGAGGATGGGCTCGCTCCTGAAGAGTGGGCGGAGACAAGAGAGAAAAGGAAACAAAGCGCCCGTCCAGCCTCTGTTTCTGTCGTCCTTCCAGGCCTGCCACTCTCTTTTCGCAAGCGAGAGACGGAGACAGAAGAGCAAGAAGCCAGAAGTCGCCACTGACTGCAGTCCCGATTGAACTGGCCTCGGTTTTGTGTTCTCTACTCAAGCGACTGTTGACGATTCATCTCTGCCATCCACGTTTGCAGGCTCCACCCGTCTGGAATCGTCGACTTTTGGCGCGCACCACTCAGCCAACTTTCCGATCTCAGGCGCAGCTACAAGTCCAGCATTAGTACGCACATTAGCGTGTTTTTGCCGTGCTGTCGTCGCGGTGCTGGTGCTAGTGCTGGTCCCGGGCCTGGTTCTGGTTCTCGATTCCTGCCTTGTGTCTTCGCCGACTACGACCACCACTACGGCGGCGACTGTACTGTTCTGCTTCTGGCTGCTTACGACCTGCTACTGCTCCATACTAGCCGCGTCGTCCTGCTGCTGCGTCAAGACTCGGTCTCGCCAGCCGCGCGTTGGTTCGGCTTTGTTGGGTGGCCCAATACCACCGACCGCCGCGCCCGCTTCTTTCCCTTTCCCTCCCCCTCCCTCCGACCCCCCAGCGCCTGCCCCCATTCCCAAACGCCTTGTACTTCCTTGCGCTCTCTCGTTTTTCATCCTACTCTTCGCTTACCTCCCACTCCAACACCTCTGCCGAACCACGCCCCAACCGCCAACTTTTCGTCGCTCGCTCAATCGCCTGGCCGTCCAGGGCGTCCAGCTCCCAAGGGCTCCGCTCGCTTCTCCACGCCCGCTGATCTGTGCTCGTTATCTTTAAGCCAAGAATCATTCCGTCAACTCCCCAGCATCCCAAGGCTTGCGTTCTTCAGGTTCGTGCGATAGCTGCCAGCACCGCCAAATTTCCACATCGCTGCAGCGGACAATAGCGTGCTTCAGACATGGCGACCATGACACAATCGCCCTCCAAGGGCGCTGCTGCTGCCGGCGGCGCCGACCATCACCAGCGACTTTCGATGCGCCCTCGTTCAAAGTCCGCATTCAGCGTCACCAGCGACAACAGTCATAACTCGCGCCGTTCCGGCGACAAGGAGAAGTTGAAGGAATCGCACGACGAGAAAAAGAAACTTGCCTTTTCGAATACCACAAAGGCCAATCCAAACGCCGCCATAAACGAGATGCAGCCCGGTTCGTTGTCTCTCGCCACCGTCTCCTTCGATCCTGGTACTGACGTCGACACCAGTTGCCCAACAACTCGAGAAGGCCACCATTGGCTCTCTACGTGCGAGCCAATACTTCGATATGAACGGAGTGCCAATAAGTAAGTTCTTTTTCTGCTGCTGCTTCTGCTTCTGCTGTTGTTCTTCGGTAGTGTTGATAAGTGGGTACAGCCGATCCGGATTATTCGAACCCCACACGTCGCCGCACTGAACGCCCGCTCGAGACGATCATGTCATTTGAGGCTGCTATCGATCGTGAATACAAGCGGCAGCGTGATGCTGCTAGAGAAGCTGCACGGCAGTCGTATTACGAAAACGGTAAGTCGATTTGCGCAACCTAGTTGCTAGTTGCGGGGCTCATTACCATTGCAGGCGGCGGTCAGGATAGCGGATCTGAAAGCCGACGCTCTTCGTACTGGGGTATGTCCTGCTCTCAACGTTCGCGCCACCGCTGCTAGCTCTTCGACGGTTACAATTGCTTCGTTCGCTGCGTACAAGCCTCAACCAACGTTGCGTATACAGACCGATACTGCTGTCTTGTGTTCCAGCATGACACCAACTGGACTGTCCGCAATGGCTCAGCCTTTCGATTCTTCAGGGCGTGCACGTAGCAATTGTACTCTTGTACGAAAGTTTTCTGCAGTCGTAGACGCGATCATTCGTATAGATCTTCTAGGATGGCGTGCTAACAGACAAACAGGCGGCGGAGAGTACGCTGGCAATGGCTACTACAACCACCCACAGTCGCGACGCAACGGTTACTTCGATAATCCCCCGTCTCGCAACAAGTTTACTGCTCGAATGTACTCGGACCAAGGGGTTCAACGGTACAACTATGGTAACAACGGCTACCCTTATTCTACGCCGGGATACGGTCAGACCCGAGACACGGTCAACACCGGAGGCTCCAATGGCAGCGCCAGTGATCAGTGGCACAACTCTACCGATCCTAGCAGCGACAACTCGTCCATCGAACGGATGAGAGGAGAGCACGGCGAGTCGTACGGTTACCCAACACCACAGCGTGAGCCTATCTCGGAGGATGGGCACTACACTTACACGAACGGCCCTGGCTATAATTCTGCTTACATGAATGGTGGCAACAGTGGACCGGGTGGAAGCAACGGATACTTTGGGCAACAGTACAACAACGGTGCTCCGGCTCCCCCGCCAAAGGTAACGCAAGGAGGTCCTGTACAGCCACCGGCAAGGCAGCCTATTAAACTCGACAACTCAACGAGGCCTGACATTATCCCCGGCGGCACAAGGACTCCCGCACCGGAGAAACGTAAGAGTTGGTTGAAGCGGAGGTTCAGCAAGAACTGATGATGATTCACCAAACCTCCTTGTCCGCAGTTTCGTTTGCTTTACCACTTTTATGATACCACATTCCTTGATACTGGGGTTCTGGCAAGGCCAGCTGGACGCAGGATGAAATGACTCGACTCAAATATGCGTAGCAGAGGCCGCTGCATGGTTGGAAGCTGTCCATATGCTAAAATGTAATGATTCGAATGTTTTTCACATAATTTGTTTTCTTTTGCCTTTTAAAACAGATGTCATCACGCACGCACAATCTCCTTTCTCAGGTTCTGCTAATGAGAGGGAGCAATCGTCTCCAATTGTTCATGTGGGATAAGGGGCGCTTAAGCTAGAACAGGGATATTGGGCACGGCTTGCAGTATCAAAGACCTTTTTAATGTCAGCTGGAAAGTGATGACGGGAAGCGACTTGGTGTTCATTTGGCATTGTACATATTCCACCCCGAAAGAAGAAAGAGAGGTGAAGGTATTAAATTCGTACTATTGTTTTATTTCAGGTTCTCGACCAATTCTTCCCCAATAAGCGAAACCTGCGTGTGAGTTCTTTACTCGCGAGACCACCAAACGCCCGACCATTTCAACGTAGTAAGTCGCGAACGCTCCCAAACGAGCGTCAAGTCACTCTGCTTTCTTGCCTTTCTTGGCCGCCAACCCGGTCGACTCGGACTGGTCCTCCCTGACGGCAACAATGACATAGCCTATTAGCACGACGTTGGCCACAACGGCAGCCAGCGCGCCCGCGAACGTCGAGTTCCCTAGCCGTCGATGAAGCGGTCAGTCCTCGAATATGTCCGCGATGTGGCAGGGAGCGTGGCCCGAGGGGTTAAGAGCCCACGAAACCCATTCCAACATGGCCCAGAAAGGGGAGGAACGCACCTTTGAAGACGGTGTTTACGGTGGCGAAGTAGCTGCCTATCGGCAGGACGATCATGGCGAACGTGAATCCCAGCAGCTTCACGATAACCTCTCTGCAGGCGGAACCGCGGCACCGGTCAGCAATCGTGTGCGAGGCACGCCCATTGCCCCTCCCAAGAAAAAAAGCAAAGAAGAACGGAAGTAAAACAAATGAAATCAATGAGATGTCAAGTAGCTTGGGAGAGAAAGTGAAAGAACAAGAGGGAGGGAGGGAGGAAGGAAGGGGATTTTCTCTCACGTGGGCACCGCCGGCCGAATATCAGATGGGCCGTCCTTTGGAGCCAGATCTTTCTCCGCCGGCGTCTCCGCTCGTGTCCGCCGTTGCGTGGCCATGTTCGCGCACTTCTACTCCCCTCGCCGCGAGTCGCTTGTCTCACTTCGGACGGGCCTCTTAGGTGACGACCACCACGTCGTCTTCTCGCTGTTCCGTGGACCGAGCCCGAGAAGAAGAAGGGCGGCCAGCCTTGGTCTCTCTCTTCCTTTTATTTTCCTCTTCTTACCCTTGAGGAGGGGATTGGGCGGGGAGGAAACGTAATGACCCGTGATGGATTTCGTAAGAGACTGTTGGGTCTGTCTTGTTACTGCGGCTCTTGGGGACGAAACCACACTTCTCCACGACGGCGGCTAAACCGTATCTGGCAACCATCTCGTTGGCTGTGTTCCACTTCGAAGGGACGCTCCGCTTCTCCGACTGTGACTGCATTACGGCCGCATCGTCTGGAGCTAATGATCTGGGTTTTGAATAGTATTTCCCTCGGTCGGGTGATGTTTCTTTTTGCGGGATCAAGGGCATTCCGAATTCGTCATATTCTCACGTTTCGCAGGCGCTGTTTTCGCGTTTCGCGTTTGGCCGTTCCACGGGCGGGACTGAGGCTCTGGGCTTTCGATTAAACGCTTCCGACTGTTTTTGGCTGGGCTTTCTTTCCTTTCGCATCGTCAAGGTGCAGCGGTGTAGTTTTTCGATCACGGTCATCTCTTGGGCAACCAGACCTTCGGCGAGGCCTCGTTCCGCTGCTGTAGATGTGGCTCTCAAGGAGGCCGCTCCGGGGCGCTATTTTGTATGCGGCTGCGTGGGAATGAGCACGTTTTTGACCCCCGCCATGACGGTGTACCCGTTTGCGAGATGACGGGAGAGACGGCAGAGTTCATAACGCTGACGAATCTCCTGCGTTCAAGACTTGCGTTTTAGCCCTCGTTCTTAAACTCCCCCTCCAAAGCGTTTTTTGACAGTGCAACTGTTTGCGTGCGCCCTGTGATCACGTCAAATACCATGACATTTAGAGCTCAGGCTTGCCGATCTCGGTGATGCGACCGACTTCAGTTGAACTACATCCACTTTCACCAACACGCGATCACGCTGGTCTGGCACATAGTCGAACCGCTGTCATGGCGCCAGATAGGGGTGAGTCTCCCAGAAATCCGAGCAGAGGTGCGCAGCATGCGCCCTTCGCCGCAGACGCCGAGGACCAGCCGTCACGATCAACCACCACTGCAAAACTTCTCGCGAATCGGGCGGGCGAGGCCCAAAACTTCACGTTCAGAGGCGTCGCTGTGGGCCTGGTGATTGGCGTGGTCATATGTTTCTCTAATATGTACTTCGGGCTGCAGACCGGCTGGGTCAGCGGCATGGCGATGCCGTCGGCGCTCTTGGGCTTCGCATACTTTAGAGCCGTCTCGCCGCTCTTGTCATACCCATTCACACCCGTAGAGAACGTCCTGGTCCAAAGCGTCGCGGGATCCGTGGGAACCATGCCACTGGGTTGCGGCTTCGTGGGCGTGCTGCCAGCGCTGAACTACCTGCTGACGCCGGAGGAGAATGGTCCTCTTAAGACGGGGCTTTGGAAGCTTGTGGTGTGGGCTGTCGGCATCGCCTTTTTCGGCGTGGTGATAGCGGTCCCGTTACGGAAGCAGTTCATCATTCGCGAGAAGTTGAAGTTCCCCAGCGGAACGGCCACGGCGTTGATGATCGGTGTTCTACACGGAGAGAAAGGCAATGCCAACATTGTCACGCAGGACGCGAACAAGATCCAAGACGAAGAGGTTGACAACGCCCAGCAAGGCGCCGAATCGCCCGCGCAGTCCACCGAGATTGACGTTTTAAAAGACACCGAGGACTTTAGGGACTGGAAAGCAAAGATACGTTTGCTATTTATATCCTTTGGCGTATCCGCTTTCTATGTCAGCACATTTCATCAACACTTAGATTTGCGTGTGCTAATCTTCGGCAGACACTCATATCGTACTTCATCCCTCAGATACGAGACATTCCCATCTTTGGTTCCTCTTTAGCGAGCACTTGGCTATGGACACTCAACCCCTCGCCTGCGTATGTTGGCCAAGGAATTATCATGGGTCCGGCAACGACCATGCACATGTTGTTGGGGGCAATCGCGGGATGGGGGATATTATCACCGTTGGCAAAGTCCAAGGGGTGGGCACCGGGTCCCGTCGGTGACTGGACAACCGGTAGCAAGGGCTGGATAGTGTGGATCAGTCTAGCAATCATGTTGGCGGACTCTCTCGTCAGCCTTGGCTGGCTCATTTTAAGGCCTATTATCAACCATTGGTCTAGCTTCGTTAGACATTGTCGACGCGCCTACCACACTGGCGACTGGAAAACATTGGCAGAGTACCGCCCAGCTTCAAGGCAAGGCTACGCGGCTGTGAGCGGTTCAGAGACCGCAGAGACGTTCTTAGATCCGTCACGCTTGGACGCTCCGTCAGATGATGATCCAGAGGCCGATGCTCCGCCTTCGCGTCAAATCGGCGTTCGCGCTACCTTGATCGGTTTGGTCCTATCCCTAGTCCTATGCATTGGAGCCGTCCATTACGCTTTTGCAGACCTGATACCAGTCCGGCTCACCATTCTCGCCCTAGTCCTGGCACTGTTACTCTCTGTTATGGGTGTCCGGGCACTCGGCGAAACGGATCTAAACCCCGTGTCCGGAATCTCCAAACTCACACAACTGCTCTTCGCCTTCGTCGTGCCGCGGAGCAATAAGAATGCTGTCATCATCAACCTCATTGCCGGAGCTCTGTCTGAAAGTGGCGCTTTGCAAGCCGGCGATCTACTGCAGGATTTGAAAGCAGGGCACCTAGTGGGCGCAGCGCCTAGCGCACAGTTCTACGGCCAAATCATTGGCTCGGCAGTGGGTGCGGTGCTTTCTGCTGCCGTGTACAAGCTGTACACGCATGTATATACCATACCTGGCGGCATGTTTGAAGTACCCACAGGCTTCGTGTGGATTTTCACGGCTAGGCTTGTCACGGGTCAAGGTCTGCCAGAGAAAGTGCCTATCTGGGCCTTAGGAAGCGGGATTCTCTTCGCACTCTCTACAGCCGCACGGACTTGGACCAGGACGCAGATCGGCTGGCGGAGAAAGCTGACTGGCTACATACCTGGTGGCATCGCTGTCGCTGTCGGTATGTATAATACACCTTCGTTCACGCTTGCACGCGCTATCGGAGGGATCATCCAGCTGTATTGGACGAAGTATATGAAGCGGAACGAAACTCCTATCATCGTGCTTGCAAGCGGTTTGATTCTCGGGGAAGGTCTGTTCAGCATTGTAAATCTTCTACTGGCGAGTGCACACGTTTCGCACCTGTAGCGCAGTTCGCTACGTTTTGGATCACGACATTTAAGGCGCGCATAGACTGTATGATTGTAGTTCTATCACGAGTTCTACTTCCTAGACCTTCGTTGTACGAATTATCAGGTGGTAACTTTAATTACACATCCTCTTCGGAATTTACGGCATGGTGCGCACATTGCAATCCAGATCCGCCTCGCGTGAGGGATAATTTCAAGTCATGAATTAACTACCGTGGACGTCCAGTCTATCATAGAACCAAGCAAGACAGCGTCGGCCCATACGTAGTAAATCGCAACAGTCAACGCCAGCAGAATCGCGGACAATGCCAGAGAACAAGCCGTCAGGGGTGGTGAACGCATATGATCAAGCTCGTTTTGTTCTTTTCCAGCGGACGCCGGATTCGAGCACTCATCTGCCCACGGGATCTTCTGATTCATGTCGTTCATTATTTGAGTAGCGACGATCTTGGCGCCAGCCAGACAGATGGGCACGCCCGTTCCAGGATGTGTGCTTGCTCCTACAAAGTACAAATTGCTGATGCTGGCATGTCTGGTCTTCGGTCGGAAGCTCAGCACGTTAAAGAAGCTGTGGCTCAGGCCAAGGATTCCCCCACGATCCAAATTGAAGGCCTGTTTCCAAGTTGATGGATCATTGATCTGCTCGTGGAGAATTAAAGACCCTAGGTCGACACCCGTCCGAGTCTTGATCGTTGAGAGAACCTTCTCTCGTGCAACCTTTGTCAGCTTTAGCCAGTCCTGCTTGTGTCCCGATTTGCTTGGCGTCCCATTGTCTTTAGACGAGCCGGTCGGGAGCAGGTGCCCGACAGGTACAAGCACGACCATGCTGTCACAGCCATCAGGCGCTGCCGAGAGATCTACTCGACTTGGAACATTCACATAGAATGACGGTTCTTCAGGGATCAAATGATCCCTGAAGATAGAGTCAAAGCTATTCCGGTAGTCGTTTGAGAGGAAGATGTTTTGTGTTTTCAGTTCTGGTACGACTTGGCTTATTGCCCAGTAGAATGAGATCGAGGAACACGAAGTCTTGCGTGTACTTAGGGAGCTTGCGTACGCAGTTTGCGGTAGCATATTACTGTAGGCATATACCAAGTCTGCATTGCACACCACCAAGTCTGCACGCAGCGTAGAGCCATCTTCAAGCTCAACACCTGTGGCCCTACGTCCGTCCGGCGAAAGCGTCACTTGAGCGACGGGCATTGAGAGGCAATATTCTACGCCCCAGCGATTCCCAATAGCAACAAGGCCATCTATGACTTTGTCAAAGCCGCCACGCGGATACCATATCCCTTCGGCTAACTCCGTGTACTGCAGGAGACTGTACGTCCCTGGTGCGTCGAACGGGCTCATGCCCATATACATGCTTCCAAATGTAAACACTCGCCTCATACGCTCGGTCCAGAAGTATTTGCTCGCCCGTCTATATATAGACTCGAAGGGATGAAGCTCGAGCAAGTGCCAAAAAAAAAATCCGGGCGGCACATGATCAACAAGGACGTGAAGTTCTTCCGCAGAACGTGGGTCACGCTAAGCTCGTAGTGCCGGTGAGATTCCTGCAAGAACGAAATATATCGCTCGAAGCCATCCTTGCCCTCCCAGCGTTCAATTTCGGCCTTCATCTGCGCCAAGTCCGAAGACATCTTGAATGACGCTCCGTCGTCGAACCAAATGTGGTAGTTGGGTTCGCATTTTAGCAACTCGATCCCTTCAGCCTCGAGGCTGCTGCCAAGATCGCGATACGTATCCTGGAATAGGTGTGGCAACAGGAGCAGTGACGGGCCTTGGTCGAATCGCTGGGCCTGGGTGTCAGTTGCAAGTTTGATTTCGTCCAGCCGGTAGGCAGTCACTAAAGCTCTTACATAGCCTTTATGGTTCAGCAATGAACATCGTCCACCGGTGAAATGATTTTTCTCCAGAACGAGTACCTTGAACCCAGCTTTGGCGAGTCTCGCTGCAGTTGCAACTCCACCCACGCCAGCACCTATTGAACTCTCGTTAGCGAAGACGCAGCCGCTGAAGTGGCACAAAAGCATTCACCAATAACAATGGCAGTCTTTCCACTCATTTTCTCCTTGCACATCTCGCCATCGCTGGCGAAGGTCTGGGATATCTACATTTTGGCCGCTGAATTTCGTCTTCAGAAGCATGGTATATATATACCACATCTGTTATACCTTGATGTGACGTTTTCAGCCTAGCTGCAACCAGTTGCAGCCATACCAGTTAAGCCACACGCCAAGAGATAAACCAATGTAAACGTCAAACTTGATCGTCACGCTACAGTAAAGAATTGCATGTTTAAAAAACCCTGAAATCAATTCCTCGATCATGCCAACACAGCGCTTCAACTACGCGTCGGCGCACTTGAAATTTTGTATGTCAGCCTTGTTCCAGGCACATCGGACGAATGAGTGTGACAGACGCAGTGAATTGAGGCGCAATGGAAGCGGTCGTGCACAGCACCCCGCCAACGACACCGTTCTACATTCGAGCAACTCAAACTTTCTCCAAGACTACAAAGGTTCTTATAGCTTTCGTTAGTGATATAGCTGCTATGTGTATCATGCTCGCGTGATCCTCCTGCATCGATATCTGCCCATTGTTAGCATCAGATTTATAGCTGTTTCCCATCGCGTACCTCGTTTCGTAGACCCTTCTTGTGCGTGCGTTCGTCCATCAGGCTCCGCTACACAAATGAGGAAATTATTTCGGGACGTAGTTCCTTTAAGGAACAAGTACAGGAATAAGACCCGAGCAGAAGATGGCGAAGCGACACCGCCAGTTCAAGGCGTAAGGGACAGCCAGATCCAGGTCGGTGCGAACATTGTCGAGTATGCTGCCCAGCCTAACTCAGAAGATGTGTTCCCTTCTCCTCGCGAAAGCCAGACTCTTCCCCTTCCTGAACAAGCCGAACGGATCAGACCCGTGCGCAGGTACGACTCTGCGCCCGAACTGCCAGTCTACGATTACGACAGGCTACCCGAGACCACGTCTCTGCGCGTGCTCGAGCTCTTGCCGGGACATGGGGAAGATCCGGTCGTGTGCAAACTGCATGTGACAGATTGGAACGATCCCATACCGTTCGAGGCCATCTCGTACGCCTGGGGCGACCCAAGGATACGGGCGTGGATAGAATGTGACGGGAAGAAGCTGGGAGTCACACCCAACCTGGTGGACTGTCTGCATCAGCTTCGGAGGCGGAACGAGTCACGCTTCCTGTGGGCGGACGCCATATGCATAAATCAAGAGGACCTGGAAGAACGCGGGCATCAAGTGGACAACATGCGGCGCATCTACGAGTGTGCGCAGAGGTTGCTGATATGGCTGGGCAGAGACGACGGTGGTTACGCTCGCAGAGTTGAAGCTGCGATGCGCAATCTGGCTCAGAGGTGCTGTGACGCAAAGCAAATCTCCATCGACGACTTGAAAGATATCGACAACCTGTGGGACACGGTCTCTTGTGCGCCGTATCGTGTTGCTATGCCGATGGAGTCTTGGCAGGCTATCGAAAGGCTGTTCCTCTGCAGTTGGTTCAGTCGGCTGTGGGTCTTTCAGGAGGTCGTTTCGTCGGCCAAAGCGGATGTTCATTGGGGTGATGTGTTGATCAGTTGGGACATTGTTGGTCTGACGGCTACTTATATCCAGTCGTGGTCGCACGTTATCGAGTACAAGTATCTGCACTCCGGCGTGTACAACTGCTACATCATGCGAAACAGGAACAACCACATCAAGTTCAGCGTGCCGTCGATACTCGACTGGTCACGGACGTTTAGGTGTAGCGACCCGTTGGACAGAATCTACGCTATGCTGGGATTTCCGTCCTTTCACAGAAACGGTTTCAGCATTCAAGCCAACTACAAACGAACGCCAGAGCAGCTCTTCATAGAGGTTGTCAATCAATGCATCAAGGCTGACAAGAACCTCCAGGTCCTCTCATACACAGATCACACGCAGAATTCGCATCTTCGAAAGCCTTCCTGGGTACCGCAGTGGGATCCTGGCTCGCCTGGCTGGACGATTGGCTACAAGCGCACGACGTGGACGTGGTGTGCCACCAAGGGCATGGAGATGAAGGTCGACATCAATTTCGAAGCACAAGTACTCAGTGTCGCAGGTGTGTTGTTGGGTGTGGTCAAGGAACGCAGGCAGATCAGCAATGCCCGCTGGTTCCCTTACAATCCGACCAGAGAGCATCCCATCACGCAGATCTGGAAGGACAGTTTCCACAATGAATGGAAATATCCGTCCGGAGAGCGTGCGATTGATGTCCTCGGCGGCATCTTCGTTGCCGGCATCCCGTCCAATGAATGCAATTGTTGCACCAGGCAAGAGATTGTGCGTAGGGATTTCGCGTCGTACGTTACGAGGTGTGCAGAGGAAGCCGGAGAGGATACGAACGAAGAGGTGTGGAAGGAACTCTATCATAAAGGGGGCAGAGGCGATTGGAAAGGCTACGAGCAGAATGGGATGAACTTCTGCTTTGGTCGATCGTTCTTCACGATGAAAGAAGGCTACATGGGCCTGGGGCCTAACACTATGGAAGCAGACGACGTTGTCGTGCTCCTGTATGGAGGAGACGTGCCATACATCCTCCGGCCAAGAACAGAAGGTGGTCATGTCCTGGTGGGAGAGGCGTACGTCCATGGTGTCATGCTTGGAGAACTGATGCCCAAAGTCAGTACGGGGGAACACGAAGAGCAAATTTGGGAACTACATTGAGTAGTTCCCTCCTGCACAACGCCACCCAGACCAAAAAGAACATAGGTTGGATATGCCCGCACCGTTCTGGCTTTTATTTTATTCTTCCAAAGATTCTATGACGGTGTCGCTCTGCACACGGCGACACATGCATGCCGGGCACGAAGTGACCAAATCCTTTGTGAAGATTGCGAGATCCAAGCTTTCCTCCAAGAACGGTGGCCTAGATAAAAGTGCTTGCATTGTGCAGGGGCTGTGAACATATATCAAGCATCCATTATCGCACGAGGCTGAGGACGGATCCGGGGCGTTACGGGAGCTGACTCGTGCAACCACAACGTTTGTCGCGAGGCCGACTGCCCGATGAGGCAGGTCAGTCTAGAAAATGACGCTCTCTCGCGCGTGAAGCTGTCCACAAGATGATCCACGTCGGTCGGCTAACGTCGCTTCTGGACAGTCTGCTGTGTGCCTTGACCAGCTTTGGATGGTGAAATGCGGACAAGCTGCCTGTGAAGAGCTGATAGCTTCAGCAGGCGCAGCAGCCACGCTCCGGGCCAGAGTTCGCATCTGAGGGCTGGGTCGAGCCAGTGATAAGAGAGTTGCAAGCGACGATGGACCAGCGCAGAAGTGAGATGACACTGTTTTGTTTCGAAACGTTCGAAGTTGTTTTCCTTTTATTTATTTTCTGGGCTGTCATGGAGGAAGGGCTGCTGCGCGCAGGAGCTGACGGACGCAGCGTCGGGCAGCGCTCAGCTCTGTGCACGACTGGGCCAGAATGATTGCGGCAGAGCGAGTCGCTATTTCTGGCGTCGACGTGGCTAAACAAGGCCAAAATTCAACCACAAGAATACATGTACGACATGAGTCGAGACAAGAGACGCAAAGACGCACAACAGGCCTCGATTACTGGTGCCCCCGCATTCGTCCCTACAGTAGACGCGCATTTGTGCTGGAGCTTCCTTTCACAAGGCTACCGGAGCAATCGAGCAGCCAATGGGCCGACGAGGGAACGAGCATGATAGCAGCCCCTGCGTCCCGCGCGTTGGACGGACAAACCAGCGGAGGGTGAAAGCTATTTTGCGATGCCTTCATGGCACGAGCGATGATGAGCTTCCGCCGGGATGCCTGTGTCGCGGGACCAGAACCCCCCCCCAGACCGCGCTGCCCGTTTCGCTGGTTCCTACAGCAGACGGCGGGCAAAGGCGGTCTGAAAGGGGCGCGATCGAGGCCCTCGGAGAGTTGAGCGGTTTCGACCCGCAGCTTTCTGAAGCGTCCCGGGCGGGTTTTCTGATCGCTGGAGGTGCGGTCCGTTTTCGTGTCGATTGCCCACCGGTCGGACTCGCACAAGGACACACGTCCTGGACGGGCGGCGACCTCCGCATGTTTTGCGCATTTGTGATCGCCCGCACAAGGAACGGTGGGCGAAGATCACGGTTCAAAACTGTGCGTATCCCACGCGGGCCATCAGCCCGCCGCCATGATTGTGTGGCCTAACGGAGCTTGGCCCTGCGTCTGCTCGCCGGGCGGACCTGGGTGGAGAACAGAGAGCCGAGGCCAGCAGGTCAATTGATAGAGAGGAGACGAGGAAGTGTGCATGCGACATGGTTGCTCGAGTCGCTCGCCCGCTCAGGCCAGGCGCTTCCCAAGGGCTCCCCCCCCCCTCCGGTCGGGCTCACTCCGCTTTGGTTTGGCGCATCGTCTGCCCTGCTAAGCCCCGTCAGACCGACTCCCCGGTTTTTGCCTTTGTTGGAGGCGGGCAGTCTTGGACTCGACTGGTTCGAGCAGAGCGGTAGTGTTTGGCGGTGCCAAAAGGCATGCTGCTCGCGGCCTAGAAACAGGAGAGCAGGCGAAGCCAGAGACGTGCTCCCTCCTCGAGGAACAGAGTCGACCTCGTCCGTTTCTCAAACCAAAAAAAAAAAAAACATCGTCTGATTTCACAGTCTGGCCCAGCGCAGGCGAGCAATCTTTTACACGCAGTCCCAATATCCTTATCTATGTGGGTCTAGAGTCTTCCCGCCATCCAGCCAAGGTCGGCCCAGTGGACAGGCGTGATCGACCAAGATAACTCACTAGCAGCTTTGCGGCCGGCATCCGGTGCTGAACGGCTCACATCACCTTGTCTGTCTCAATAACTTCCTCTCCTTCTGAACATTATCTCAAACAGCGAGCATATACTCGTGCCTACCCACCCGCTCTCCCTTTCCTCCCCCTTCCCCCTGCTCCTCACACGCGAACGGGACTCGACCTTACGCAAACGGCAACGCAGCAGGACCCAAAAGCAATGACAGCTTCGCGGGTGCGAGGCCGGTGCACATCCTTTTTACGAACCGATCCAGCCTTTGGTACGTTGTAACGCACCGCTCTGTCGACTGAGGTCTGCTCGCGCCGGCAGCAGACCTGCCCAGCATGGGCTTCAACACCACCGCGCCGCCGAGGACGACGAAGCTGCAAGACAACCCTACGCTTCTGTTCAGTTGGTGGTGCACCGGCTTCGCGATGGCATTCATAGCGGTTCGATTATGTGGTCGGATGGTGCGGAACAATCAGCTGTTCAAGGAGGACAAGATCATGTTCTTGAGCGTGATCCCGCTGCTCATTCGCATGGCATTCATACATGTGGTGCTGATATGGGGAACCAACAACGTGGATCTGAGCGGTGGATTCACGCCCTTGGAGATCAAGCAGCGTACGATAGGATCCAAGCTTGTCCTACCAGCGCGCATATTCTATGCCATGTAGTATGTACATCCGAGTCGCTTCTGTCGCGACGGTTTCCTGCAACGGCGGCTAACGGGTACCAGCATCTGGATGGCCAAGCTGACCATTTCCGAATTTCTCAAGCGCCTGACCTCAACATACTGGAAGCGCAGCTACGAGGTGATGCTGAAGGGCATCCGCTGGTTCCTACTTCTAACCTTTATTGCCGTCGTCATTGCCACGTTGGCAGAATGCCATCCGTTTGACCACTACTGGCAAGTCATTCCCGACCCGGGGCCTTCTTGTCGCATGGGCTACGCGCAGCTGATCACTATGGGTACTGCCGACATGATGACGGATGCGCTACTTGTTATTTTTCCCGTCTCTCTTGTGGCTCGGTCTCCTGCTTTCCAGCTAAAGCGCAAGCTTAAGCTCATCGCTCTCTTCAGCTTGTCCATCTGCCTCATGGTGGTCACGGGTATGCGCGTGAAATACGTGATTGCACACAACAGTAGACAGCAATACCGAACGGTATGGGCCTCTGGCGAGATTCTGGGTGCCGCTGCAGTCACCAACGCCATCGTGATCGGATCTTTCTTGCGAGACCGTGGCGTCAAAAAGCAAAAGTACAAGTACAACTCGACGACGGACAGCATGGACCGTCCGTCCCGACGACCGACTAGAAGCATAGGAATGACAGACAGCGACGATGACGACCTAGACCTTTTCAGCGACATGTGTTATCGCACCGAGCATGGTCCTGAAAGCCCCATCACACCTCGACCTGCACCTATGGCCGTTGTATCGCCACGCACGCGGCGCGATTCAATTCTCAAAGTGCCAGGCAGCTACTTCCCAGAAGTGAGGGACGACGCAACTCGTGCAAGCGAAGAATCAGACATAAAAACGGCCGTGGAAGCCCCCTTGAGAACGCCCACGCAGCCGGACACGAGTGCACAGCAGTCGCCGCGCCGGCACCGCACCGTTTCGTTCTGCGATGTCGGTGGCCTCCTTGAAGACGCTTCGTCTCAATCGAGCACCTTAGCTCCATCCTCACCCCAGACGGGAACGAGAGACTTTGCAGTTCTCAACGGTCCGTCGACCAGACGAGGTTCCGACGTAATTGCCTCTCCACCACCCGCACGACGAGGTTCCGAGGCACTCAACTCGCCACCTCCCGTAAGACGAGGCTCGCACGCCCTGTTGTCAGGCATCGGTGGATTCTTATCCCCGATCCTGCAAGGACAGCGACGAGGATCGGGCGACGACCTGAAACGGACAAAGTCAAATGACTTTGGCAACGACTTCGAGTTGACGCATGCGTCAGGGGCCTTAGCTCCTATCGTAGAACCTTCCGTCAAACCTGTCGCTCCGATTCAGCTTAGGAGACATGGCTCGCGAAGCTCGCTGCAAGACGTCGGTGGTCTCCTGGGCCCGCCCACTGGTGGGATTCCTCCTCTTCCTGACATCGCATTACACCCTCCTCCTACAACCAACTCACCTAACCGGACACCATCGCCCACCAACTTTTCCAGACCTCGGCCTCAAAGTTCATCACCCTTGGCCTCGCCGTTGGCGGCATAGCTCAGCGCAGGACACGCTTAGGGCGACACGTAACCACTCTGCGTGTGCGCCCCTACCAAATGCCATTCCCGGAGTTTCTGAGTCACGGGGCTCTTCTTCTGGAAAGCGACACAAAGGGTTCATGTTGATATCCTCGGATCGGCCTTGCTTTGTTTGAAATGCTCTTATTTTGGTTTTTTGGTTCGCACGATATCCCCCCCCAGCCGCACTATTTTGACGCAGGAGGAAAAAAAAAAGGCTCCTTTGCTGCGTCTTATTTTTTTTTATAATTATTTCTGTCATTGTACAATTAAATGAATCATGAAGGAACGTCTTTACGATTGTTAAGGGGATTAGTGGAAGAACAGGGTCAAGGATGACTCGGACGTGGAAAGGCGAGAGTTCAATAATCGACGACCTGAGAAAGTAGCTTCTGCTATGAAGCACAGACGTAAACGATGGGCACGTGGGTCATGAGGCTTGGCTAAAGTTCTTTATTTTTCTGAAATGCGAAGAAGAAATACCAAAACGAATTCTTCACACAAGGTCATAGGGAACATGCTTTCTGTGCTCGTCAAAGTTAAAAAAATTTGTTGTTTGCGCAAAAGTGTGGTCGTTAGCTACATGTTGAAACCGCATGAATAAACGTGGCTAGAGGCAAGGCTATGCAAAAGTCACCCAGCGGCGAGAAAGCAGAACTCCACGCGCCGCAGTCAGGGAGGCGCAGAAAAAGACATTCGTGAGGATGCGCCGTGCCCAGCTGCTCCCAGACAGGTCGGCGTGCTCCTCGTTCCCAAGCGCCCCTCGAGACTTGACCGGCGTCGCGGTCTACATTTCCAGGCTGTCTCGGACGCATTTCCTGACTCTCTTCTTGAACCCGGCCGGGTCCTCTCTCCACTGCTTCGCTGCGTCCACGTTGGCGGGGCTCTCGTCGTTCGGGCTGCTGAGCATGCTGATGACGGAGAGCAGGATCGTGGCGGGCGTCTGGACGGGCGACCATCGCTCGCTCGCCGACTCGTAGCCCATGCTGTCCTCCTCGGGCGGGTGCAGGATCGATATGCAGACCTCGCCGTTCTCGTAGACTGTGAGCAGACGTCAGCTTCGCTCTTGCCTTTGGGCTCCTCGACAAGTCGGAAGTCGGGGATGGGTGGACGGCAGGGCGCAATATAGGGGGAAGTGAGGGAGGGGAGGGGTGAAGTTCCTACTGTTCGGGTGCCATATCGGCGTCTCGAACCTCATCTTGGGCGGCGAGTGCGGGTAGTCCTGTGGAAAGCTGAGGCGGGCGCGGAAGAAGCCACCGCCGTACAGTCGACACTCGTCGCTGATCATGAGCATCACCTCCCACTCGAACAGGTTCTTGTCGTCCACCAGGCCAACGCTTATGCCTTCTATGTGGTCCGTGGTGGACATGAGCTTGAGCTGGTTGGCCAGCAGGATTCCCGCACTCGTCTGCTTCTTCGCCTGGCTCGCCATCTCACCTCACGCAAGCGACCGTGCTCTTCTCTGCTGGCCCCTTGACACTCCTCTGTGTGCACTCGTGCAGGTGATGGCTCGTGGGGGTGGGGAGGAGGGCAGAATAGCCGGGTGTTCTGGAACGAAGTATCCTAAGTGAGCTTGAAGGTGAGACTTGCGATTTGACCTTTTGTGTCTGCGAGGCGACTACCACGACGAGGAGGGGGGGGGAGAGGAAAGATAGCCACCGAAAGTGGGGCAGAATCTGGTTTCGGCACGCCCAAAGATCTGAGATCGGGAGCGTGAGAGGTGAGTGCTGGTAAAGGCCTGGACGTAGCGGTGGGAGTTCCACACAAGACGGCGCCGATGCGATGGGTAACTTTTGTGTCGCAGAGAGTGGCACGCGATTCGAGGTATGTGCGGTTTGTATGGATGTATGAAGGTCTGAACGTATTTGACGCAGTCAACCGGTCGTCACGTCGTGTGCCTAAGCATGCCCGAGCGCCAGAATTCGCACGCGGCAGAGCAAAAGGGAAAACGTTCAGCAATGGTCGTGGTGTAGAGAAGGCTATCGCAGACCCGCAAGAGCTCGTGCAGGCCGTTTGGGCTATCGGCTTCCTCCCAAGGGACGCCAGCGGAATTCAGCCGCTAGTGCCTCGCTCAGCGTCCAATGTTCTGTTCCAACTACAAGGCACGGTGCGTACTACACCTTCGACTGCCAGATTCTCGCTTTAATTCTTCACCCTTTACTCTCTCTCTCTCTCTCTCCTCTTTTTTTTTTGATTTTCTGAATTCATTTCCATGTCGCAACATTCCCGTCGGACGAAAGAAGACAACACATGGTCGCTAGCCGAGACGACAGGTCCCAGACGCGAGGCTACTACGTTTTAAGACAGTCGCAAAAGACTTTGCACTTCACAGCTCGCCTCTCCAGGCCGCCGTGTTCGCAGTCGCGAACACGTTCAACTGCGTGCTTTTATGGCGACGGAGGTTGCAAGCCACAAGCTGTACCGCTTATTGCTCGACTCACACCACGTCATCGCAGTTCCTACTCTGCTTGCCGCCTCGTCTACATATCACGTGACAATGATCGCAGCCTGGCGACGAGACGCGTCGGCAGATCTCTCGCTCAAGCAGATGATTGCCAAAAACAGCTTCGTACGCCGTAGCACTTCCTTGCACAGGAAGAATCAAGAGAATATGTTTTAAAATTCATGAAGAAGTACACCAAAGTAGCGTGAGGTCAAAAGCCATTGGGTTCTGCACGTTTGGATTCATGCAAGCATTTTAATATCTGCATCGAAATAAGAAATAAAAAAAAACACTCTTTTCCATCCGAGATAACCCAGAACGAGTCTCACGCATTTGTGGATTTGAAACTCCAAAGCGCCATGCAACCGCTCATCTAGCGATAGACGAAACAGGTCTGAGGACATGCGAAATGTAGCCCAGAAAAAAAGAAAGCACAGTTCCTACCATAGCATCCCAAGTTGACCCCCTTTTTTTGTTACAGTTCGCATTGAATTACTTAAGTGTAGAAACCGCCCTTTTGGAAGCTCTCGACGCTGATGTCACCTGGCTTGCCTTCGATCTTCGGGGGCTTGGCGGGGACCTTCTCAGTCATGGTCTGCGTCCTGCTGTCCGGCGCAGACATTGTGTTCGTCATAGTCTGCGCTCTGCTTCCGGCAGGGCTGACCGGCTGACTTGTACTGCCGCCCGCCGTAATCTGCGCTTGGGTTCTTCGTTGGATTGGCTCCAAATATGGCGACGGAAGGTAGCCTATCCGTCCGTCTCGCGATCTGCACCTCCACCACTCCGACGGATTGCCCAGGGGATCCGATTTCGACAGGACGGCGACGAGGTCGCCCTTCTTAACGGCAAGATCAACCCCCTGCACAACCTGCGCGTTGGTCTCCGGGGTGAAGTCGTACATGACGCGGCAGAACTCAAGCTTGTTGGGATCCAGATTGCCGTTAGCGTCCAAAAGTTCCGGGTTGGCAGCCATCCGCCGTCTCTCTTCTTCTTCGTGATTCTTTGCAAGAGCTCTGATGAGTTTGCCCATGAGGAAGGGGAGGCCGAAAACGGCGACCATGAAAAACACAAAGGGCTTCTTCGATGGCGCCGGCGGCGCTGGAGAGCCGTCAGGCAAGCGACCCGTGAAAGCCGCAAACTTGGCGGGTGTGAGCTCCTTTGAGGATGCTGGAGGCGGTCGGCCTGTCAGCTTGGCGATCGCTGTGCGTATCCAACGCATGATCGTGAAGATGCCCAGGACAGAGCCCAGAGTCTGCCGCAGGTTGCCAAACTGCTCAGCCACCGAAACCATTGCTGTTGCGTGGTCAGCACGTCCGATATTTGATGGAAAAAGAAAACGCAAGACGGTGCAGGTACGTACCAAAGAAGCTGGAATGCGTGGCCATGTACGTGCTCTCCAACATCTGAGCGAAGCCTCCGAACGCTCCCACGATACCTTCGATCATCTGGAAGGTGGCCTGGGTGCTCTGGTTGAAGCTTTGAGTCAAAGACTGCGGGTTGTTCGGATCGCCTGGCATGCCGCCGTACATGCCGGGACCGTAGCCGCCGCCGTACATGCCTCCGTTGTACCCACCGTAGCCACCGTACATGGAGCCCATCATGCCGGCTCCAAAGCGGTTGTACGGAGACGTGTACGATGAGTACCCTCCATATGCGCCGTAGGGGCTCGCGCCATACGCGGTCGTGCCGTACGGTCTGTTTGCCGCGCCGTACGTCGAGTATGCAGATGCATTCTGATTTACCACTGATGTCAGGGTGCTTGGTCTTTGGGGTAACGAGGGCGCTGCCGTGGATGCTCCCGTGGCTGTCGCAGTCGCCGTTGATGAGGGCGCTGCCGCCGTTGACTCTGAGGTCATGCCTGCGTGCCAGTTTCTGTCAACATGTGCTCGGCGTGCGGACTTTGGCCGAGGATGCCCGCCACTCACCTGTCGAAGTTCCGCCTGCGCCAGCTCGTTCCCAAGGCTTTGGCGGTGAGGCCATCGCACGCAGCGACGCAAAGGAACGGGTGCTGCTATGGGTTTTATCGCGTTTGCATCCGCTGGGCCGTTCGCTCGCTGTGTTATCTTTGGGTGGACGACCGTCGGCTGGGGCACGGCTTGTTATGGGCTGGGTTCTAGAAGATGGCAGTGCCGAGCGAGCCAATGACGACTGGCGGGGGTCCCCAGAGAAGCGCCTGTGCTCGGAAAACGGCGAGCGGAGTCGGACAGACAAAGTGGCGAAAAGGGTATCACAAAGAGAAGAAGAAACCACAACGCACAAAGTGAAGATGCAAGCAGACGTCGAGTGAAGGGACAGAAGAGGTGGGGGGAAGGAGAGACGATCAAGAGGCGGAGGTGGAGGATGGTGAAGCGGATGGTTGTAGAACTCTGGGGAATTTCTGGTACTCGGTCCGGTAATGATGTCTCTGATGGCCGGCAGCCTGATTCGCATCTCGCCGGGTCCTTTGCCGCTCTTTGGAGCGTACCGAGGCATTGACCCACCTAGAGTGATGCGCGTGGGGATGGCAGAGACAGTTCGCTCCGCACATCGTGAAAGCGACTTTGCCTTTTATTCCTTGTAGACAATCTCTACTGCTGCTGCATGAACCTGCCTACGTACAGAACCGCATCGGTTGACCCCTATTTGTTGACGGTTTTGATGCCAAAAACCACATGATTTCATCTCCAATTTGCAAATGTAGCTCATGCTGTATCGTCCCATTTTTGCCTTCCCGCAAGCCAAAGCCGTACACCAACATCGTTGCATTGCACACTCATATCGCATAATGGAGAACGGGGGAAAAAAAGAATTAATCTGAGGCCATCGAGTCGTTGTACTGCTCCTGCATGAAGTGCTCTGCTCTGTGCTCCGGTCGCAGACTTGGATCGTAGTGCGGTCTATCTTGTGCAAAGATTCTACTCACCGTGATAGAGAGCGCACCCGATATCCTGTGAGTGGCTATCCTGAGAGTTTGAAGACTGAGTTAGCCATGTCGATCGAATCGCTGGTCCCCTCCTTGATGTCAGATATCTGAGCGGCGGTTAGGATCCCGGAGAACTCGAAGTCGTTCTCGAGAAGCTGAACGACGACGCTGTTGTCGGACATGAGAACTGCAAGCTTCATGAAGCCGTCGACAGGGCGCTCAAAATAATCTGAGCTGCCTCCGGTCTTGCGTTTGTGGAAAGTCGACTTTGCCCTGCGACGTATTAACATGGTCCGATACGCCGTAAACACGCAGCGTCACTTTCCTGCCATCGCCTGGGTCGAGTGTTTCGAATATGTCGAACTCACCACAGCCGGATGCCCAGCAAGAGCAAGGGCCGTACTGCTGCGTGCGCGGGATCTGGCCGTTCAGCACCCAGATTCCAGGCATGTTCGCGTTGAAGCCCGTGGTCAGTCCATCGTCGGGCATCTGAAACTCGAAGAAAAACGCTTTCTCGGCTCCAGCGAAACCCTCTGTGTACTCACGTCAGCAAGGACCCAAGTGTCTTGCGGAGAGGAGGTGAAAGAAATCTAACGGTAAGCTACGGCCCCGGGACGGGCGAAACCGCACTCTGCGCGTTCGCAGCTAAGGGCGGAAAAGAAGGCGATCTCGTCGGCTGAATCGAGCTTTCCGTTGAATGTCTGCGGATATGCTGAGGCGGACTTGGCGTCGCTCGAAGCGTAGGACAAGGAATTACCAAACGTAGAGTCCCAAACGCCGGAACCCTGGCCGCCCATGTTGTTGAGGAAGGTCAAGCCGTCCGCAGTCCCGTTGTCCCTGTTGAAGTACGCGATCTGCTGCCAGTCCCCAACCTGTGCTTGAACTTTGGCCGGGGCCCCCTTCGTGTCGGGGGCAGGTATGTTGACTGAGTCTGACGGGGAAGTGGACGCAACAGCAGACACGATACTAGTTGACAACGTGGACGTGACCGGGCACGCTGAGGATTTTGTACTTAGCAGCTTTGTTGACGATGTCTTCGTGCGGCCGTGTGGCCAGGAAAATGATCTTACCGTTGATAGTTGCGGTGACCCGGACTGTCGAAGCGGCGGGTGCAGAGCCCGAGGCGGCCTTCCCCTCAGATTGGTTAGTCCACAAGACGACGTTGCCGTTGATGGCCGTGGTCGTAATGTCGCCGACAGCCCTCCTTTTGAAGGCGCGAGCAGCCTTGTGCTTCTTGGCCTCGTGATAGCGAGCATGATACATGTGCTGCGCCGGGCCGACGCTGCGCTTGGTCTGGCCTTCGGCGGGATTGTAGACAGCAAATTGCCTGAGGACAAGAGGACCGCGGAAGTGAACGGAGAGCTGAATATCACGTCAGCTACGACGACGATGAGATGATCGGGCAAACCCACATCTTCATCGAGCGGCGCGAGAGGGCCCGAGAACGCTTGCTTGGCTTTCCTGCACTCTCCAGTTACAGCATTCATGTCGACGACGCGGTCGTAGCTGCCGCTGCCGCCAACATTTGTGTAGGCGATGCGGTCAACGGGCTGGCAGTACCAGTTGCCTTTGTCGAGCGTGGAGCCCTTGCTGCACATGTCAGCAGTGACAAGGTGAGCGACAAGTGCAAACGTAGCAAGAGTCTTCATCATGCATGTACTTGTCTGTTTGAACGTTGAAGGAGTAGAGAAGGTTGTGGAAGAGAGAGAAGTGTGCAAAGGTGCAATGGAATTGATAGTCACAGAAGAGGGTGGTGGGATTGAAGAACGTTAGTCAGATGGAATGTTTTTGTACGCGCTTTGTTGATGGTTCGCGGCACCTTGATAAGGCTAGAAGGCGATGCTGTACTGTTGCTAGAGGCTTCATTGAGGTTGCCGTTGCCATGGAGAGGCGGCACTCTTGACATTGGTCCTCCATAATACCAGAAAAAAAAAACAAGATCCAAATAAAGGTAACCTGACAAAGCAAATGCCACATGAAAGCTCCATGGCTGATGATGATCTATCATTTCTTTTGAGGCGCCGTCGCTACGTGGAGCGTCAGCTGGACAGCTATGTACACAATCAAGCATGAACGCAAGTGAGTAGAACACATGCACACGCACGCACGCACGCTGAAGCGCCGATCCTGTCAAAACCGACAAAAGAATTGCGAGCCGCTAAGAGCAAGCGACCTCCCAAGCATTAACAACCGAAAGGAATGAAAAGGCGTACTTAACGAGGGTATAAAGATGACGCCGTATAAAAATCTGTGCACACAAATTTGCTTACACCAGAGGGACATGTGGCCTGTATTCCTTCGCCAGTACTAGGCCAAGCTTCGGGCTAAGCCATCACACATATTGAAACATTATCGCGCTCAGAAGATCCGCAAACAGTAGAGAAGTGCGCCGAACGCTATGCATGAACATTCAAAAGAACAGAAATTAGGAGTGTGTGGTGCGAGGGATATCACGAATTCGAGGCGCTGCTCTTCTTCCTGAAAAAGCTTCGAGTGCGAGATTTATCTCGTTGCTTTTTGCTGTTCGATGAAGCCATTGTGTTCGATCGGCCGCGACGGTCGCCCGCCTCCTCGGCCTCATCGTCATCCTTGTACTTGTCCTTATGGATCCTGGAGATAGTTAGCACATCATTTTCACGCAGCCCTGTCCAAGACAGTGAAAGTTAGACTTACCAGCTGTTACCTGCCATGCTCATTCCCTTAGCCTCAGCCTGCCTGTACAGCTTAGCGGCCTTCTTCATGTCCTTCTTGGTGCCTATGCCTTCCGCGTAGCAGAAACCGGCCTCAGCTAGCGCGTCGGCATCACCCCAAGACCCGGCAACTTCGAAGCAGCGCAGGGCTAAGACTTTGTCCTGCTTGACGCCCCAGCCTTTGCTGTATGACATGCCAAGCTCGTAAACGCCGAGAGCAAACTGAGCCCTATGTTTGGCCTTTGTGATGGTGTCGAGAGGCTTGTTCTGCTTCGCAAGCTGCTCGTCCTGGGCGACTTCAAGCTGTGCAGAGTCCACGGCCTTCTGCAACCACGTGACTGCCTCCGCAGGGTTGGGTCGCATGCCCCATCCGTGTCTGCAGGCGAGCGCGTAGAGAAGCATGGCATCTGACAAGCCGGCCTTGGCTGCAAGACGTAGGTGGTAAGTAGACTCTTGAAGCGAGCCCGACTCGTGGCACTCGATACCCTTCTGAAGATGTTCCTCCGGCGTGAGGTCGTTCGAGTGCCGCTGGCGCACCATATGAGCCTTGATGGTGCTAGCGTCTGATATCGTCGTTGTTGGCGAGGCTGGTCCCGACCCCTTCTTGCGTTGGCGAGGCGAGGATTGAGTCTCCGTTGAAGGACGGGGAATCGTTATGTCAGCGGGTCGATGTTTTCTAGTGCTCTTCGAGCCGTCTCCATGGGCGGGCGAAGATGAGCCGACATATGGACCATTTGCAGGCACGACATCACGATCTTCCTGGTTATCATCCCAGTTGATCAGAGCGGACGTACGATTGAACAGCTCTTCGATTCCCAATGATTCGCGCTTGATATTCTTCCCGCGAGGCAGCGAGTACTTGGCATAAGTGTACGATGATGGCGCGTCTACACTGGGCCGCTCCTGATTGAAGAACTCGCTTGATACACTCACCGGCGTATGCGGATCATCACTCGTAAGCGGAGTGAGAGGACTGTCCATCGAATCTTGTCTTTGCGGCGCTTCAAGAGAAGGCCTTGTGCTCGTGCTTGTGCCAGAGTCCTGTCTGTGAGGACCTTCCAAACCTCTCCGCTGGTCCACGAGCGGATTGGTTGATCTGCTCAAGGGGCGCGAGTAATTCAAAGATGGCCGAGACAGTCCAGCGCTGCTTATCGAGCGCTCCGATGCCATTGAGGGTGAGCGCACCATTTGCGGTCGGAACGGCGAGGCAGGCGTCTTCGGAATGTTGAATGAATCAATAGAGCCAGAGGCAGTGAGTGAAAGGTTTTCGATGTCCTCCGAGTGGATGTCTTCCATGACAGATCGGATGCTAGGAGAGTTGGCGTATGATCTGAAGGGAGGAGAGGGTGGTTGAAGGCCAGCGCTGCTCGAAGGCGAAGGCCGGACTGGCAGTTGGTAGACAGGCGCAGCTGGCGGACCCATGGACGTTGGCTCTGGCGCATTTCTCCCGCTTGCCGTTGACGTCGTGTCCAAGGGCTCGGGCGAATGCGAACGGGGCATGGAGAAGTAGTTGCGCTCGGACTCGTGCTCATCTTCGTCGACGCTGTCGAGTCTATTATGGTAGTTTTCCGAGGGTTTGGTAAACCCAGAGCCATTGTCTTGGATTGTTGGGTGCATAGACATTGGTCTCTCGAGCGGGACTACTTCCACACCTCGCGGTGTCGACTCCTGAGGAGATGCTTCGCCAAACGAAGAATGTTCGCGTATGGGCGAAGGCAGGAAAGCCGGTCGCGCTTTTGCGAGCTCGTTCTGAATGGTCAGATGCGGCAATCGGCTCAGACGTCTTCCCTTCTCAGCTTCCTCCTCGAACTTCCGGGCCAGCAGTCGACTCTGGAAGGCAAAGGCATCGAGCGGCGACAGGGCTGGAGGAATAGAACCGGTTTGCGGAGGCGTCAGTTCGCTGAAGGGACTGGTGTAGCGTGGTTGAGCAAGGGGATCGGGGGGCGTCTGGGCCAGATCGATGTGCCGCGGTCGGTCGGCCATGATGTCGTGGTGGTTGAAAGCAAAAAGGCGAGATACGATGCGGTTGTAGAGTGCAGAGGGAAATGCTTTCGAGGGTGACGTGAAGAACGTGCGACGGACGACTTTGTGGTCCGCAGGCTTGCGGGTTGGGGGTTATCGACGGATGGTAGGGCGACGCGCCACAGGATTCGGGTTTCTATTCTGGTTCAAGAAGAGTCCTTCGGCGGTGCGATCGGCGGCAGCATGCAGAGCGACATTCGTGTACAAAGCGCAGGTGTTGGATTCAGAGGCAGAGGCTGTGTAGTGGCGAGACCGGCGTGCGAACAGGGTGCGGAAAAGGGAGCGCTGGGTTGTTGGTTGGATGTGATGGAAGGGATTCAGGGGAGCAGACACGGCGGGATAATGGACACGGTGAACGAAAGACCAGGCCCAGATGCGGCGGATTACTGTCGGGCGACGGAGCAGCGGAGGTAGGGAACGTGGGAGGAGAGCAGAGGCAGCGAGAGGATGAATGCGGTGGTGTGTATAACAGCAGCGGGTTGGGGGGGAGAGCGAAGAAGGAGAGTTAAAGTTTCCACGAGAGCGAGCGGTCAGGGCGCCGTCGTTGCGGTCCTGCAGCGCAACTGAGCGGGCGCATGATGCAGGTCCCGGCCGTTGCGTTAGGGGGGGCCGGCCGAGTTAGTGCAAGCACGGGCTCGGGCCAGGCAGAGTCCTCACGAGGCCGGCGCTGGAAAGTCGTAGTCAGCAGTAACTTACAGCAGCACATCGTCCATTGGCTGCTAGCCGGCGTGCGGCACCGAGCAGGCAGCAAGGCCATGCCCCAACTCCCACCACCGCACCACTTCTTCGTCCCTCCCACGGCGCACCCCCTTTCCCGACACTCAAAGACCACCGTGTTGCTTACGCCCTGTTTTTGCTGCTCTGCCACCCCATACGTCCACCTTTCAGATTGCCCTTTGTCTGTGCAAGCTCCCATGTCGCACACAAGACGCAAGGCGCAGGCTTCTATCTCTGGCCGCACCGCACCATCCGCCTGGGGAAACCAATCAGGTCCCTGACCGTCCAAGGACTCAGTACGGAGTAAGTTACAGCGTATTCCCCGCTGTCCGCGTGCTTGGAGGCTCTTTGCTTATGTAAGCCCCATCGCTGGTAAATTACGGCCGTTGACACTCCACTTCGTATCAAAACTGTCCCCCATTCCACCCTTCCGCCCAAGTCCCGTCTTAAGCTGTCCTTTTCGTCCCCCATCCTCTACCTTCTCGCCGTCACCGTTCTTTTGCAGGTGCCTGTGTACGTCAATTTGGCTGCTCAAAAAGCGGCCTCAGCTTCTGTCTCAACCAGCGAGCACGGAGCGAACGACGATTTCGTCCTTTCGTTCCTGATTGAAAAGGCAATGCAGCTCAGGGTGCATTGGCGATCCAGAATCTAAGTGCGGATCGTATGTTGTCTCAGAACCTTGACCGCAGTCGCTGTGTCAGGTTCGCCTTTTGAAGCTCTCTGGTTTCTCGCCTTCTCAATCATCAGTTTATCCCTTTCACACCATGCCTTCGCAGCACTTGCGCCAACATGCTTGAGAGAATACACGGATACGACGCCGCTGGGCTTCTTCGCTTACGCCTGTATGGTTCTTTCAGTACTTAGCCAACTTCCATACGTGACGCTGTAGCCAGAAAATAACCTCCGTACGTCAGACCTAAGCCTGGAACTGGTCGTCGAGATCACCTCGGCCAATTTCACGCACAACCCTCGTCGCGAACAGCTGAAACAATCATTGGAAAGGCGAGGTGTGCCACTTAATTTGCTTTGCCCAGCGCCCGCTAGCGTCATTAGGACTCTTCTCCGCAAGCCACCTGTACCCCAAACGCCTTCTTCATCTCCAAAATCGACTTTTCTGCACGATCTTGCCGAGCCGAACTCTGTCGACACTGGCCATTGCTCTGCTCTTTACCGTAGCAAGACCTTCACTTCCGACGGAAGCAGTAGTGAGGAAAGGGAAATAAAAAAAATTATCCGAGATCACGCGTCCAGTGGAGACCGTAGATGTAGCTTTTTTATTTTCTTTAGGCGATCTGGAGTGTGTCAATCTCCCACACACAGTCGTCCACTGTAGATGGCACACTACCTCTTTTGAACACCACACTCCCTTAGGCTTTGCCCTAGAGGCACCTTTGGACAAGTAACAAAAGCAATCTCAGCGTCATCGACGCTGTGATGCGTTCTATGGTCAGCTTACCCGGAGTAAACAATGCGACATCGATTCCATTACGTATCCGTTCATCTCTCTCCATCGATTCCGGAGATGACATCCTTGAGTCGTCGATCAATTCGCTCCCACATCTTCTTAACCACGCCCTCGTTCGACGACCATTTCGCTAAACGTACCTGCTTCCTGCATGTTCGCCTTCAGGCGCCGTGACTCTGCCCGCGAGACACCTGCACCGTCCTACCGCGCACTCGCCAAGTCTCTTTTCCACTGTGCTTTCCTGTCCTCGCTTGGATGCTTAGTCGAGCCACTCTGATCTAGGCCGTCAAAAGGATTTTTTTTTTCATTCATTTCATTTCCCTTTCCCTCATTCGTTGCGTGATTGGACACTGCGACACGTGAATGCCAATTTTAAAGGAAATGCGAGAATTCCCTGGGACGATCGATCCGTTAACCCTAATCGAACCCCGACGTCACGATCTCGCAAGATGACAGCAAAGGTCGACAAGAGCATGCCTGCGATGGATGACATCCTGATCGTGCGGGCGCCATCTCCATCGCTCGATAAGCTTCAACCCCTGATAAGCTTGCAGGAAAGCTTCAACAAATGGCCAGTCAGCCCGCGTGTCCAACATTGGGTTTATAGCTGGGTAGAATCCACGCCCGGTGTTCTTGTTCAATGGCTCCACGATCCTGATACTGAGGCCCAGATCGGGATGCGAGACGAAGCGCCGAGCAAAGACGGCGGCGATCCTTTTGAAGGTCGTCTTTCCGGCTCATTGTTTTCTTCTGTGCTCCCGGAAGTGAACACCCACGCAGCAGAGTCGATGCCTATTCCGTCCTCTCCAGGTATCAAATGATCAGGACCTCTTCTCGATGCTGCCGCTCAACGCTGTTTGACACGGGCTGCTTGAACTAGTCGACAACGTGTCCGTTGACGCCGTGCATCTTGAGTCGGTCGATACCGAGCCTTTTCCCGTATCACGCTGCTGGCCGCGCATGAGAAGTCGCCCGCAGTCAACGAAACCTCGGCACCGTTCGAGCCACGCGGCGTAGCATGCTGTCCGTCGATCGGTGTCACGCCTGGGGTCACAACGTCCAGATCGTCTCCTTTGTGCTCGATTGCGTTGGCTAATGCAGCGCGGCCCGTGGCGCACAGCTGGGTGAACGCGTTGCCGCCTTTGTCGGCGCACCGCGTCGGCGCTCTCTCTCTCCAGGTTGAACTCCACGACGGCGTCCAGACGCCGGGATGTCTCGGCAGACTGGCCACGCGAGGCGAGGTCTGGATCGGTTCCGTGAGCAGCAGCGTCGTGCACGGCACCCTAACCCGCTGTGCGTAGCAGTCTCTGATCGCGGAACCGCGCGTGCAGTCGTCGATTTTGGCCCGGTGCCCGGTCGAGTGCGTGATCGCTGTGCAACGTTCCGGTCGTGACGGTAATAACCTCAAGCCGTCGGAGGAAACAAATCGTTCTGTTTCCGCTCCATCGTGCCCATATAAGGCGATCCGCGACAGCTAAGTTAGAGAATAGCGACGATTACGCGTTGGGCGCCTTCAAAGAAGACACTTCGCTTCTTAAGCAAGGCTTGATCGAAGCCCGTCATGGCAGCTAGTCGTCAACCAATCCGCCTTGCCGATCGAGTATGTCTGCACTTTCCGTCTTGGTGTTGCCTCTGCCTGTCCTCCACTACACGCGGTTGGGCTGATATCGGAATTAAACACGCGGACGTAAAAAAGAAAGACATCCTGTGGCGCCGACGTCGTGACGGCTCACTCCTTACTGTGGGGCAGGTTGTAAAATGCGCGCCGTGAATAGAACAAGTTTAGGATTTGATAACGTTTGATGCCCCGTTATTTCTAATCTTCCACCAACGACATCGAAGCCCCTTCTGACCGCGCAGCGGAACCCAACCTCGACAGCAAACTGCCCTAGTCAAGAGCATTACTCTTGCAGCTCCCCAAGCCCTGGACTGTGATTTGATGAGACCAAAGGAAAGACGACGAGATTGTCGGGTAGCACACGACTTTTGATGTGTGTTTTTAACATTGGTAATGCTACACAAACTCTCTACCGCTCTGAGACGGTGAACAAAGAGAATTTTTTTTGGGATGGGGCAGAAAGGTAGTTGCCTCAGAACCAAGACATATTTCCAGTAATTCCACATATACAGTGCCGGTGCCCGCCTCCGTCCTGGCCAGCGCATGTCCGCGATGCACCGGGAAAGCAAACAGATCCCCTAGTTCCTCCGAGACGCCGTGCTCAAGAAGCAAAACCCCCCATGTGTGACATAAACTCCTCTTTTGATAGGGTAAGAAATCGCTTTTCCTCCAACCCGGATCCCATACCCCAACCCACGCATCCGTCGACGTGGATGCGAACCTGTCGTAACGGCAGTTGCAGACAAGGTGGCTCCCAGCTTTTGGTCGTCGCTTCGTTCAAGTCGTTACGTCGTTGTTGCCTAACGCTGATTCTTCAGCCTCAATCGAGTCTTCTCAACTTCCTCCCCAGTTGTACGGATTCCGGTCGCTGTAATTGGGCCATTGCGTGTCGCGCGTCGAAGGTGCTCTTTGCGGCACCCGAGGATCGACGCGCTGGCCCGAAGCAGATGGCGGCCTGGGGCCCGAGAAGCTCATTGTGTTTTGTCGGTAAGGTCGGTCAGTCTTTGCAAGCGAGGCCTGACCCTGAGTATCCTGAGTGACCTGAGTACCCTGAGTACCAGGAGCACCTGGAGCATCTGTTCTCCTCCCGTAGTCCTGGTACTTGTACAAGGGGCTGACATCGTCTTCCTCCACAACCGGTGTGCCAACTTTCACAAGCTCAAAACGGCTGTGCTCCTGGTGGCCAATCTTGGCATCCAGAGACACGAACTCACGGTTGGAGCTGAACTTGGATTTCACCAACTCATACCATCCAGTGAACATAGCTCCGCGGATCAGCAACAGACCGGCTTGAACACCAATCAACTTGAGCGTGGTTAGCAACGGTTATGTGTGGATGCGTGGCAAACTTACTGCTAGCAGCATGAGGATGGCAAGGGCAGTGCTCTCGTTGGTTAATGCTTTTTGACCATCGGCAAAACACTTGGCTTTGCCAGCCTCGCCGTTGACGAAGAGACACGTCAAGAATGGCAAAAAGCGATCTATATCGCCCTCGTTAACGGTTTCCAGAGTGTTGTCCATTCGCACCCAGACGATGGCAAAGAAGATAATGTCGACAAGCACGAACATAACGATGGTGATGCTTCTCCATTGAAGCCAAAGCACCTTCTTGACACGTTGATACACTGCTCGTGCTGACGCAGTTCGAATGCTGGATGAATGATATGACGGAAGTCCAGAGCTCCCAGTGGTCGCGGGTGGACTATCTGAGAAGGCGTTCTTAAGATAGACCTTTATACAGTAGAAGAACGTCAATATCTGAATGACAGCTGCGGCGACCGAGATTCCGAGTAAAGGTCCCCAGAAATCGGCCATGGAGTTGTTTGGATTCACGTGGCAAGCTTCGCCAAAGCGGAAGGAAACACCCGTGATGGTCATTGTGACGGTGAATAAGACTCCCGCGACACCCCACCCTACGCCTTGTGAGACGTAGAAGAACATCTGACCAGGCACAATATCCCAGCAGATCTGCAGATGCATCGACAAGGCACGCATGAAGGCTAGTAAAATGTGAGCTGAAACACTCGTCACAAAGATGGATTACACTTACTCCAAACCACAACAATAAGACCACCTCCCACAATGAACGCTCCAGACCAAGCGCATGTCAGACTGGTATACATATCATTGGGCGTGATTTGATCGTAGCACTGCTTCGGTCTCACAGCTAAGGGGATGACAAATGCGAGCTGGAATGTGTCAGACAGAATACAATGCGCTGTGGTGAGCACTTACAGCTTCTAGAACAACGCCTAACGTGAGACAGACGCTGAGATAATGTCGACGGGTCTTGTTTGGAGGGAGGATGGCCCACGACAGCAGAAGAAAAACACACATGGCAAGGCCCACTGCGGATATGGCTTCCGATACTCGATACCATATTGTGAAGCCTGGCGTAGCGTTAGTCAGTTGGCTTGGCCGCTTCGTTGAGAACTTACTTTGCGGATACAGCCAGTCTGTCGCGGGGCAGGGGAGACAGCATTCTGGATCCCCGGGCAACTGTGAAATTTTTGCGCAAAAGCGACCGGCAATGTCTTGGTTTGTCAGTCACGCTATGGGGTTTACAAGTCTAGGTCTACACTTACGTCCACCACCGCTGGTGAATTTGGACGCGTCTAGAAATGGAGCTGGACAGGCGCCATTCAGATCAGTCCCGTTCCCGACGGGATGGGAGACCTGGCTCATGTTGTCGTTGAGCGCAGGTTTATCGTGCTACGCAAGCGCACGATTATCTCTGCATTGATAGGTCGCGGGCTGTTCTCTCTTGGAAATCACCAGACTGTCTATCACGAGCCAAGAATTTGACTGTGTGGGCGGCCAGAAGAACCAGTAGTGTCTTGATTTTTGCCAGGAGCAATAGACAAAAGAGTAGTGATGTCTGCTTCTGGACGTTTGAGATCGAAAAAAGATGGCCAGATCTGGAAAAGAACCGATTCCTCGTAACGCGAAACTTGAACTTTCTTCCAGTCTGATGTAACGAGCGGCCAGACAGGAGTCGGAAAGCCAGCAGACGCTAGAACGCTGGTGCGGCAGTAAAGAGCGACAAAGTTCGACGACGCGGGAAAACCTGGGTCAATAAGCAAAGGACGCAAAATCGAAAACCTCTTGAAAATTGGGCTCGAGGGGACATGTGCTATTTACAAGCCTTACGAATCCTTATCCCCCAGAGTGGGGTGCGTGAACTAGCAGCGTGCGAATGGATCTTCTCATCGGCTAGGACGCATTGACTGATGAGCAGGGCGTGTTTCCATACCCTTGGTCTCGAATTACAACTTGAGGCCTGAGAACAGCCATGGGAGTAGAGAGCGAGACCACGGTCTCTTGGCTCCATAAAAGTGGAACCCCTGGTATCACTGGTCAACCCTTTGTTCCACGAACGGGACATGACGGATACGGGGTTGGTCCGAAAGATGGCGCATGAGGCTGGGATACGATGCGACGTTCGAAGAAAGGAAACTGTGTGCTCGTTGCCAGGTCGGCTAAGTGATCGTCCGGACTAGCTCAGACGCTGGGCCTTGGGACATTTTGCCGTTTGCACGCCGCGCTTGTCGTAGTTTCTTGGAGCGACATGTAGGCCGGGCGCTGAGCAAAAAATGCGTGCCCAATGATGCATGTCGTGAAGTCGTCAGCGAGAAAAGTCCGTTCCTGCAGCAGCGTCCCGCTCGCGTGATCTTCATGCACGGCCAGAGGCATCGTTGATGGCCATTGGGCACGCGCTCACCGTCTGGCCAGGGCAATCCGCGATCGAGTCCTGCCTGCAGCGGGCCAGCGGTCGACGCCCAGCAGCGACACGACTTGGTGTATCCCTACGGTGCGCAACTGGGCCGTCGAAAAAGGAGTGAAAAACGGCCCCCGGCACGTCTTCCTTTCCAGATCCAGCATAGGCGCAGTCTGACGTCTGATTCGTGGGACGACGGGGGCGTGGCGCTCAGCTGCATAAACGACGCTTCACGCTTTCCACGAATACCTCTTGAACAAAGCCTCTCTGCACTGTCACATTGTGGAGCCGATATCAGCAGTGTCGGATAAGACGTGTTCGCAGCGCTTGCCTGGAGAGATGTCATTTCGATTAGAAGACCGTCCATCGCTTCAAGGCGACGAAAGCTCTCCACCTCCCGCGGCCTCGGCCTGCCGTCGCCAAACCTCCCAGCTTGCGTCGACTCCATTCGTGGCCCTTCACTAAGCCGGTGCTCTTCACCGGGGACAGTGCATTAACTTTTCACTACGGAGTGCTGAAGAGTACGGTAGTGACGGTACAGCTCGCAAACAACACGCAATGTCCGGGTCAGGGAGTCTTCACTTTCTCCACGACCTGTACCGCTCGGCTTGCGCTGGATTTTGCCACTTACAGCTACATCTCCGGCACTACGGCGGTAACGACAATCCATGCATGAGTTTTTTTAAAATTCTCAACATTCCCGTTTCCCCGCGATGGACGCCGTCTGGCAGCCACGCGAGGCGCCTCCAGCACGCGTCTGAACGATGGCGTTTTTCCAGCATTCCTAGAACAATAACGACAAGCCCGGTGCACTGAACTCTGGCCTTCTTTGGCTTCTAGAAGCCTTCTGTCGCCTTGACCAGTTTCCATGCCACGTTCCATATATTGCTCGCTAAGAAGTCTACACTGCTTCGGACTTGATCTGCTTTCTCCTCGCCATCTGCGTCATGTCGGAAACCATAGGGGAAGAGCTTGTGATTTATCATTATAGATCATCCGGGTTTGAGTTTTTCTGCTGCATGACTTAGCCTCAATGATGCAGACCACAGACATCCGTTTTGGCAGATTTTGCCTCCCCGTCGAACAAAGTACAGTGTCCTATACGTGCCATGCTTCAGACCTCTCGGCTGTGCTTGAGGCCGCGACCCGTCGATGTGATGTTTCTTTGCATATCAAGTTCTATCTCTGTGGGGTCGGTCCAATTGTCCTTCACGATGGACAAACATGTTTGCCAAGGAAATGACTTCCCGCTGCCTCCCTGCTTCACATGAAACTCGGGCCTGCCTGCAGAACGCAACGCCGCTAAGTCAGTCAAAAGGCAGATCATTGAATGGCTATCGATACAAACACTAGTCAGAGCCTTCCCTTACTTGCCTAGAATACGTAATCGCTAGTGCTTTCGCTTCTCGGACAACCCACGACCAAGGAGAACATCCTGCCAAGGCGACCGCCATGCTCCCTCTCATTCCTCACGGTCTGAGGATATGCTCGTGGAAACTTTGCAACCATGTCCGCTAGGTGTACCGTCGCTTGGCTTGATTTTGTTAGGTCCGCTTCCGAATCCATCTTGCTGTCTTGTACGTCGCTTGCTTCTGGAAGCCGAAAATGGCTGCCTGCTGTATAAGGGAGCATTTGAGTGGACCGGCCTAGTGCTGACGGGTGCCAAAAAAGCCCAGCCCTGTTGTGTAAAAAGCAATCGCGCTATTAGTATGGGTTCTGCGAATGATGGAGGCTCTCCAGTGGTACAGGTTATGGCCTTTGTTTAGGGAAGTCAAAGTGACGGTCATGATTTGCCCGACTCGTCGTATCGCTCGCTTGAAGTGCTTTTTGGAACAGTTCTCCATTCATCTCGTACATGGCGAATCGTGTCTCCTGAAGACAGATCATATGTGGTACAAGGCCTTGTGCCTCACTTATCTCAGCCCCCAAATCGATAGTTCCGCACATTTTTTTTCTCGTATTCTGTCCTTTCCTCGTAGAGAAATCAATGGATCAGTCACGCATGTTAGACAACCGCAGATAAGCAAGCTGCAAGGAGGAAGGCGAGAGAAATGTGAGGATAGGCTGTCCTTGAATTTGGGTAGGATGTGTCATCTTGACTGAAATGCGATGATTGAGTCCCACTTCATGTTTTCATGGTCTTCACTCTGAATTGAAATATACAGTGGTATTAAAGCAGACGCCAACGCTATGCTACCCAAAATGCTAGAAGGAGAACCGCCGCAGATTTCTATTCTCAGCCAGAGCAGGCCAAAACTCATTTAATTCATGCCTTTCAAGCGTGCAAGCGATCTCTTCACCCTCGCGCACTTTGTTTTGAGAAGCTTCACGCTGTCGATGAACAGTTCTTCGCTATCAAACTGACCTGTGCTCTCTACCGAGAAAATAAAATGATCGCGCACCCTTCCCAGCTTCACCTTGTTCTTAAATTCATCATGCCTCAAACATTCTCTGGACACCGTGTCCTTCATTGGATCGTCGACCACCGCCTTCTCATCTCCTTCTTTCGCGCCCTCGAAACCAGGCTGCGATAAGTCCTCCTGAGTAACAGGTACTCTCTTGATAACGCCCTTGGGAAAACAACGCGCGAACTTTAAGGCGTCCTTGCCAAATATAGGCTTCACTATGTCAATCTGCGGCAGAAGGCGATAGAAAGCCGTCGCGACGGGTGAGAATTTGGCGTGATCAGCGCCAATGCCTTTGTTGCAATGCAAGACTGCATGTATAGTTTGACCAGGACGCAGCTTTGCGATGAGAATATCTGGATGGACTGGTCGGATAGCATTTTCGCCATCAAACCATTCCGTTTGACGGCCTTGCGGTTCAAATACGAGATGTTTTGCGTAAACTGTGATTGCGGTCCACGTTAGCGCGAGGGCTTGACAGGAGAACGCATTCTGCGTGGCTCACCATTCGGGTTCTCATATAGCTCGTCCACATCCGTGACTCCGTTTCGAGCCTTTTGCGGACCGTTTGGTTTCCACTTGCATTCGATTTTGAGATTCAGAACAACCGTGTTGTAGTCACTGAAAACACTTTCGGCCGTGCCGTCTTCTCTCTTTTTGACTCTCGTCATGAGCTGAATTCCCTCTTTCCCACCTTTTAGCGGAATAAGACCAAGTCGGTGAGCCAACACTTCATCTTGCACAATAGAAGTGTTGTTCATTATAAAGGCAGTCTCTATGGCCAACGTGGGGATCTCTGCTAGGAGAATGCGCCGGAACGCGTTGGCAATGCTGGCATCAATCCCAATGAGTGAAAACGTCGCATTTAGGGGCTCGGCTTTGTGCATCTGTATTCGAAAGTTCTTTTTGAACTTGTCTACGCTCCAAGAGTAGTCCTCTCCGCCCGGGTAGTACTGCGGGTACTCATCGCTTGACACATTTTTGATCGTGTCTGCTGTGAAGGTCACGAGCTGAAGAGCGAGTGAGTCCAGGCGACTGAATAAAGGAGCACGCTGCCGCAGCATTCAAGAGAGACATACCTTCCGTCTATCTAGTTCAGTCATCTTTTCGGTCTTCGAGGAATTAACTTTGCGAACATTCGTCCAGCGTAGGCACAAGAAAAAGTTTCCAATTGGGTAAGTGCATATCGATAGCTATTTGCGCCTTGGCGCCTCAGGCGTTTCGAGGGAGCTCCCGGCTGCGATTGTGGACGACAAGACGTCGAGTACGAGCTTTACGAAGGCGAATTGAACGTCCAACTCTCCACTCCGACCCTCCATCCCATTCGAGGCGATTGCAATGCCACTGCCCGTCAATCTCACGCGTCTGACGGGCCACACGGCCAAGCGGCTGTGTATGCGGCCTACACGCACACCTGTCGCTTTACCACGGTCCTTCGCCCGAACTCTCTCATCTACTCCAAGGCGGCATTATGCCACAGCGGAAGATGCAGCCCCTCAGAGGACTAGACTCATCCCAGTCGACGAGTCTTTCTCTATGCCCATCGACCAGAGCAACCCACAGCATATGAATGCTGCAACAGACGAAGCGGACAGCCCCAAGGAACGCAAAATCCGCCACTACACTGTCAATTTCGGTCCACAACATCCTGCAGCTCACGGCGTGCTGAGATTGATTCTCGAACTCAATGGTGAAGAGATTGTGCGAGCCGATCCTCACGTCGGTCTGCTGCATCGAGGCACCGAAAAGCTCATAGAATACCGCACTTATTTGCAGGCTCTACCATACTTCGACCGCTTCGACTATGTCAGCATGATGACAAACGAGCAGTGTTTCTCACTTGCGGTCGAGAAACTGCTCAATATTGAGATTCCGGAGCGTGCCAAGTGGATACGGACAATGTTCGCCGAGATCACCCGCATTCTCAACCATCTCATGTCCGTCTTGTCGCACGCAATGGACGTCGGTGCTCTTACTCCATTCTTGTGGGGCTTCGAGGAGCGAGAGAAACTCATGGCATGTCCTGTCGTAATGCAAATCTAAGTTCCAGTGAAACTAATTGGCTGGCTAGGAATTCTATGAACGTGTTTCCGGTGCCCGTCTTCATGCTGCCTACGTCCGTCCAGGTGGTGTCTCGCAGGATATTCCACTAGGCTTGCTCGATGATATCTACCAGTGGGCTACCCAATTTGGAGATCGCATCGACGAGACTGAGGAACTTCTCACGGACAACCGCATTTGGATCGGTCGTACCAAAGGTATTGGTGTTGTCTCGGCAGCTGAAGCTCTCAACTATGGTTTCACCGGTGTCATGTTGCGAGGGTCGGGTGTCCCATGGGACATTCGCAAGTCTCAGCCCTATGACGCATATGGCGAAGTCGAATTCGATGTCCCGGTTGGTGTCAACGGTGATTGTTATGACCGATACTTGTGCCGCATGGAGGAGTTTAGGCAGTCGCTACGTATTATTCATCAGTGCCTAAACAAGATGCCGACTGGGCCGGTCAAGGTTGAGGACTACAAGATCGCACCACCACCGCGCGCAGCGATGAAGGAGAACATGGAGGCTCTAATCCACCATTTCCTGCTATTCAGCAAGGGCTATGCTGTTCCACCTGGTGAAACGTACTCAGCCATCGAAGCTCCCAAAGGTGAAATGGGTGTCTTCTTGGTGAGTGACGGCAGCGAACGCCCATACAGATGCAAGGTTCGCGCTCCAGGCTTTGCCCATCTAGGTTGTTTCGATCAGATCTCAAGAGGTCATCTCTTGGCCGATGCAGTTGCCATTATCGGAACAATGGACCTCGTGTTTGGTAAGTCATTTGGAGGTTGAAATTTTATTGATCATCGTGCTAATACAATTGCCAGGTGAGGTCGACCGGTGATTTCGTCTCGATGTGCAGTGAAGGAGGAGGTAACTAGCGTGCAACAAAATACTGGAGTGGCTGCATAAACACAGGAGGGCTGCATCTAGATTGAAACTAGAAGATATTGGTAGCTTGAGGCGTCTGTCGCTACACGCCGCTCTGATGTATATACTGTAGCAAAATTTATTTTGTCTAAGCCTAACTCACGAGACTTCCAGGAAATCGTCAAGGTTCTGCGCTGCAGCTGTAGTGAGTTTTGACTCCGCGCATATGACCGCGTCTTCTCCCACTGAATCGTAATCTCCATTTCTGGACCCAATGCCGCACAAAAACGAAAACGAATGAGGTGGAGAAGCTATCTTGGCAAATATGCGAAAACTGCCTTTTTTGGGATGAGATGTCACGTTCCGCTGCAGTAGCTAATTCGTCCTCCTGTTCGGGCTCCGTGTGTGTTTTGTCACTTGAAAAATCCCAAAGATGTCGACGGACGAATTTTGGAAATCGAAGATAGCAGAAGTGTCCTCGACACTGGAGAGGGCGGACCCAAAGCCGGCGATATCGTGCCACGATCTTACAGTATGTGCCCTCGCATTCCTGATCCAGCCAGCGCCTTGGACGGCCGTCCACTTGTGCCTCCGTCGTCGAGCGGGAAGTCCAGGCGACGAACGCACCTACGACAGAACACGCGTGCGTCGCCGGCCTGGCATTGGTTTTTTTTTTTTTTTTTTTTTTTTTTTTTTTTTTTTTTTTTTTAAAAAAAAAAAAAAAAGTATAAGAAAAAGAAGAGAAAAGAGATAGATCCAGGCCCGGCCTAACGTGAACCGCTAGGCGAGCGCGCTCGCGAGCACGATCGACCACACCCTGCTCCGGCCGGACGCGACGCGCGACCAGGTCGCCGAGCTGTGCGACGAGGCCGTCCGGTACGGCTTCGCGGCGGTCTGCGTGCGCGTCGACTTCGTCGCCCTCGCCGTCGCCCGGCTCCAAGACGCGCCCGCGACCAAGGTGGCCTGCGTGGTCGGCTTCCACGAGGGCACGCACGCCACCGCCGCCAAGGTCGCCGAGGCGCAGGCCGCCGTCGCAGCTGGCGCCGCCGAGCTCGACGTCGTGCTCAACCGCGAGACGGTGCAGGCCGGGACGCTGGCGAGCGCGCACGAGGAGCTGAAGGCGCTCCGGTCGGCCGCGCCGCCGCCCGTCGTCCTGAAGCTGATCCTTGAGACCAGCCAGCTGAGCAGGGACGAAGTGATTGCCGCAACTGTGCGTCCTGATTCCCGTTTCTTGCTCTGCTCTCCCCTTTTCCTCCGCTCCCTGTTTCCTTCACAGACAAGCACACACATATAAACTTATATGTATACGTATATCCACCGTTGTCTTCCTTTGACTCCCCCCCCCCCCCCCCCCTCCCACATCTGTTCACCTCCGCTCGATCCACATCCGCAGCACCGTTTTTTTTTTATTTCCCTTCCGGGCTCCAAGTTCAAAAATTGGAAAAGGAAATATTTTTTTTTTAAAAAAAAAAAAGGGTTCTGACGCCTCTTTTTCGTTCAAAGGTCATCGCCGGATACGCAGGCTTCGATTTTGTCAAGACGAGCACGGGCTTTTGCGGCCGCGGGGCGAGCGTCGAAGACGTGCTGCTCATGAACAGAGTCGCCACGGCACTCAGTCAGAGGGACGACCTGGGCGAGTTCAAAGGCGTGAAGATGAAGGTCAAGGCCAGCGGGGGCGTGAGAAGTCTTGAAGACGCGAAGAAGATGCTCGACGCGGGCGCGGAGCGCATCGGCACGAGTGGTGGCATCAGGATCATGAAGGACTACTTGGGGGAAGGCAGTTCAGAGCCTGCAGGTAGTGGCTACTAGGGGGCGTAGTTCAGAATTCGTACGTTTACCATTTCCTTGATGGCGAAGCATGAATGGCTATTCTTACAACGCCTTGCCATGCGTCCTTTCTATCAATATTGACCAGCCGTTCTTGTACCACGACGTGCTGATTCTGTTCCGCTTGACGTTTCGGAACGCATATCCAAAGACCAGCTGAGCGTCAGTCCTCTTGCTCGTCAGCGGCATGCTTGTTTTCCTCTACCAAACTGCAGCGTCTGATCCGTCCTTCATTCCCGCGCATCCTCTTTCTCATACTTCCCCTCTCAATTTCCACATGAGGGCTTAAAGGCACGATCTCGTCTTCTCCGCTGAGCTCTTCCGTTTCGAATTCTTCGGGTTCAGCAGGCAACCTCTCGAGCCACTCTGGTATGCTACTTTTTCGTTCCTGGGATGGAAGCACAAAGGCTCTTTGTGGTGGGACGTAGAATTCGGAGTCGCCCGTCCACGAGGCCGATGAGGAACTGAGCTCTTCCTGCTTTCGCATCGTCTCTATGTCGTGCATGGCGACGATCTGGGCGCTGGCAATCTTTGGTGGCCCGTTGAAGTAGCTGTGCTGCGGCACGCCCGGTGCTGGCGACAACCGTGAACCTGGGTATCGCGAGTGGGCTTCTTGGACCTGTCTGTAGAATCTTGTCGTCTGAAACGTCTGTCGTCCATTCTCTAGGCCGGGAATTGGCATGGGCGTTTTTGTTCCTGGCTTGGATACGGGAAAGGCGTCGTCCTGTGGCAAGACGGGATACAGATCTGCTCCCACGTCTGACCGGCCTGTTTGATGCGCCTGCCATCCTTCCTTGTTGAACGCACTCGCCGGACGAGGACACAGTGGGAGCGGGATGCTGTCTGAAGCACGGGGAACTCTGCTGGTGGTGGGAACTGAAATACTTGCCTTCGCGTCACTGAAGACATCACCCATCCTGGATGAGTGGCCACGCCTTGGTGGGCTTTGCAGCAAAGTCGGCCCATATAGTCGCCGCTTCGCCGAGTTAGCTTGAGCAACGTGGGTGCCCGTCAAAGCACCTGCTAAAGAACGATGTGGCGTCTGTCTGAGCAGAACTGGAGGGGTCTCGGCACGGCCGACAGTTGTATCAGTGGGCTGTGGCAGATTCGTCTCCATTGTAATGTGGAGGTTCTCTACTGTCTGTCTGTTAGCGTACTGATCTTTCGTCGCCTTGTCATGCAAACAAATCTCGCTGTTTTGTCTAAGATGCTTGAAATGCGTGAGTGCACGTCTGAGGATGAGCGCTGCTTGATACGAGTCCGTCTGCGCACGATTGAGTGTGACGTTTATGAAGGCGAGAAAACAAACAGACGACGGCATACACTGCACATGTCAACAGTCGATTCAACATGCACAACGGAGCGGGCAGTCGCGGGGCTTAATATTGAATCAACGCAGGGTTTGGACATTCCTGATGTTTTGACTTCGCTCCTTCCTCAGCCTTCTGTCACCTTGGGAATCGCAAAGAGCTGACAGAAGGCCTGAACTGAAGACAGAAAGTCGGGACGAAAGTGAAGCTCGAAGCCCAGAATTGGTTGCCCAAGAGATGGCCTGTATCGATGGGCCTTGAACGTTTACGGCGGGAGAAGCAGAAGTCCTGAACGTCCTGCGGACATGAGGACCGCGCTAGCTGTTGGGCTGAACAACGATCTGAACGGTTGGTTTAACATCTGCTCTCAGTGAGCCAACCATTAAATTTAAGAAAGATATTGGCTCGTGGGAGATTTGTATGCAAAGCCCAAGGAACTGTAAGCTATAATTTCCTTGACAATATGTATGTCTGGTTAGCTTGCTTTCCATCGCCGCGCCGACTACCGTTAAAGTATGGTCGTCGTTGCAAAGAGTCTATGAGTGTTGCCTTATCCCAACCACTCTATTATGTTTTTGCATGGAGATGCACGCTTTTAGGTGATGTATGGCCTTATTCACTCAGCACAGCTCGTAACCTCACCAAGAAGCCGTCCATCAGCTTGTTCAGCTCCTTGACCTCTGGCTTCTGAGGCTCCCCGGCCCCGCTCTTTAATCTCTGCTGCCTCGCGCGCAGCTTCTGTTCCGCTAGAATGCCGTCTATACCATCCTGTTCCTCTTCCTCCTCCGAGTCAAAACTATCGTCGTCCTCATCAAACTCGTCAAGATCCTCCTCTTCGACACCAAAATCGCTCGGCTTAATCTTATTGAAACCTGGCAACGCCACGCCACTGGCGCCCGAGTTCTCGGCCTCAGCCATCTTCTGTCGTGTTTTCTCCTGATGCCAACGTTTGCGTTGGATATGCCACTTGATCAGCGCGTTGATCTCCTTGATCGCTGTGTCATAATCTACGACGCCCTGCTCGACGGCCTGCTGCATGAGGCCGTTCATGTCCAGAGAGCCGCCTTTGGGACCTTTGCGCAGGAAGTCCAGCACACCCTCGATGTGGCCCATTAGCGCATCGAAAAGACCGTTGTCATGCTTGTGCATTTCGTGCACAAACTTGTAAAAGTCCTCTTCATGCCGGGCGCACAGGTCGATGAAGGCCTGCACGGTCTGGTTAGGATCGGCGGAGAAGCCCTGCCGCTGCGCTTCCTCAACCGTTCTGACAATGTCGTCCACGAAACTTGACAGGTCTGATACGCTGTTGTAGACATTGGCGGCTTTGATGACGCGCATGATCGGTTCGTAGAAGATCTCAAGCAGATTGCGTAGTAATCTGATCGTGTTTGGCTAATGAAAAAGCGTTAGCAAAAGGTCTTCCAAGACACACATCGTAGGGCTAGAAACAGTAGCAGCAGCAGCAGCAGCAACAAAAGGCCCTGTGTATTGACAACACGATCTTGAGCAGCTACTTCTACTTGCCTGCTGATACCAAGCCAAAAGGAGCTCCTCGGCAAACTCCAGATATTGATGTGCGGCCAAGGCTACAAGTACGAATCGGACAACACCAGCATTCGTAGGACGGTGTGGAGTTTTGCGTACCTCATTGATCATCTCGAGCATCTTCACTTTGTCTCGTTGCCGGATGTAGAGTTTCATGAGCTGTTTCAAATGCGCGTACAATTCTGCCTCGGCCGTTCTCGTCGACCCTACGTTCTCTACGGCCTGCCTCCAGGCAGCATGTGCCTCCTCAGCAAGCGCCATTTGGTCGTGGCTCAGGGTTATATCGCTGCACCATTCCGCGTCCTGCGACTTCTTGAGTATAGCGTAGACGATGTCGATGTCCTCGTAGAACGCAAGCGACTTTACTTCTGCCTTAGCGACATCATCCGCCTCCACATATCGTTGAATCACCTGCGGGAGATCAGGCTCATGTATCCGTTGCGTTATAAGTACGGTGACGGATTTTTGAATGTTGTGAATCCCTTCTTGTATCGCCATGCCGAACATGTGTTGCAACAAAGAGCGATTACCGAACGGCTGGGCCATGAAAATGTCCAAGATTCTTGGGAAAAGGGCCATTGGGTTAGCAAAGCGCATCACGTTTTTCACAATCGTATAAGGGAACAGGGAATGTATTCGCTTGAGCTGGTTAAAGAGCTCGGCAGAATTATCCTCGGCCAAGAAGAGGTGGTAGATAGTAGCAGCGACCCTTCAAACGCGTCAGCAACTCGACATGCAGAGCGTGGGGAACTGCATCCTTACTCAATACGAAGCCACTCCGCCACCTTCTTATGTTCAGGTGGCAGCTCTGATATCGAGTTGCACTGCTTGATTGAGGCAAACAGTTTGCGAAGGCCATCTTGGTGGGGGAAAGTTAGCGTCCGTTCAGCACGCCTTCGATTGTTGCTTGATAAAATGAAATGAAATGGTGTAGCTCACTGCTTTCGATAATGTCGCGACGAAACCGCTCCATGTGCACGTCGACCTCTGCGGCTCGCTTCGACGCAATCTCGTAAAACCTTCGTTGCTCCTCTATCCGCTTGTCATCCACGGCCTTGCGACGTTCTAGATCTACCCGATCGGCATCGTTGAGCTGCACGGGGTCTTTGAGCAGAAAGTCCTGCATGGACCTTGATCTGGCGATATGCTGATTCTGAAGCAAGATGCGGAGGGACGCCCTCAGAGATACTCGCTGCGCTTCTCGAAACAATATGGGAGGCACAAGCGCATCGGAAGAGCCTCGAGGTGAACCTGCCAACTTTGGAGAACCCGGCAACCGGGGCGAACCCGGTGGTTTAGGTGACAAGGCAGCCCCGATTGATCTTTGCCGTTTGTGTGCTTTGTCTTTTATCTTAGCACGAAAGCCTTCCGGCTTTAGCCTGCCGTCGTCGCCAGCATCATTGGTACGGTCCAAATGTAGCGACGTGCTAGACTCGTAAGAACCAACCTTGAGTCCATCGATCTCGCTGCTCATAGAGTGGCCTCTGGACCGTCGAGCCTCGTCATGATCATGAGGCAGCGTGTCTTCAGAGGAGAAGGACGACATGGATTCTGAGTCGTCAATGAAGCTGGGCATAACGTAGTCTGAGGAATTTCTTTTGGGTAGAGGAGGCAACACTTTGCCAGCCAACTCCACACGAAGCTTGCTGTGCATCTGCTTAAAATCATCGTACGTTCGTATCACGTAGTGCTCCGGCTTGTCCGCTGTCTTTACACGGATAATGTACTGGCCCTCGTGGGCGCTTCTCCCGAACCGTTTCTTGATAGTGTTCATACGCACGCCCGCGATGTTAACATCCCAGCCGTTGATTGGGTGACCCTCAGGAGTATTCGCGACCAGGCCTTGTTCCTGTGCACCTCGATCCACGACCTCCATCTCGGAGAAGCGGATGCGCTCCTCGTAGCCAGAGGACGTCGGTATGCCCGAAACCATCATGATCTCCACCAGCTTCTCCGCCTTCTTGGCAAGCTTGCGTCTCTTCGACTCTTCCAGTCTGTCATCGGACGAGGAGATCTGCTTTGTCGCAAACGACTCGAGGAACGTCTGCACCCGGTCTTGCCAAAACTCCTTCTCTTTGGCCTGGTTTAGAAACGGGAATGTCCGCACATGGTGCACGAACATATACCGCAGTAAGGGCAATTCGGAATCTTGCGGTGCCACCTCGCCCTTGTCTCCTCTGAAGGGGGCTCCGAAGCGCTGCAGCGCGGTTGGGGAGCTGAGCTCATTGATCTCGAATCGCACTTGCTGGCTGATGAGCTCGCGTTTGAGGTCTGCATTGGCATGGGCGTCAGCTCGGGGTGGCTAGACGTAGTCGAGCGTCTGTTCTGCTCAGAGGAAGACAACTCACAGTGCTCTTGCTTGCCGGTCAACATGGCGCCGTCCTTGGGTATCGAGTTGTAGGACGAGGATGATTCTGCTCGAGCCATCTTCAGTCTTGCGAGTCTGTCAGGCAACGAAGCCGCTTCGGCCATAATAAGTACAGAGGGGATAGATTATGCAGCGCCGCGCATAGGGAATCTCAAAAAGAGGAGGCAGGCTATGAAAGAAATACAAGGCGCAAAAATGTCGACTTTCCGCTTGCGCGACTCACGCCAGCCCTGTTCGTGTCCGGCCGGTTGGAAAAGGGCCAAAAGTGCTGGCCATGCAGCGAGTACTACGAGCGGATGACGTTGATCTTACACTTGCCGGGGTCGTCAAAATCAAGATCTCCCGAAGCAAAGATTCGCCCGGACAGGGACGACCGCTCGCACCACTCGTGGCAGCAAGGAGCAGCAGCAGCAGCAGCAGCAGGCACGCGCAGGGTCGTGGCGGACGGGCTGGGTAAGGAGAGAGAAGAGAGAGACGGACGGAAAGGGTGATTATGAAGACACTGATGACGCTCTCAAGCACCCGTTAGTTGCGCAAACCGACGGGGCCACACACACACACGCGCGCGCACACACACACAACCCCCCCAGCGACGAAGGTCAGCATCCGGGCGCGTGCGTGCCGTGCGTGCATGCGGGACTTTTCTCTCTCGGCCGGCAAGCCGGGCTCATGAGAAAGGCAGACACGAGCGGCAAAGACAAAGGGGGGCAGCATTGGGGCTTGTGATGTGACGGCGAACAGCATTGGGGGCACATGCGCTGTGCAACGCCGTGCTTGTGCGTACCTTCGCAGAGTCTGGGAGCGTCGAGCAGGTCGAGCTCTGCTACGTCACCCGACGGGCGCGTACGTCAAACTCACGGAACTGGCCAGCAGGGCTGAACGTCCAACCCCGTCCCGACGGCGGCGGGGGCCTGGATTGAACTGGACCGGACAGAACTGGATTGGATTGGATTGGATTGCGACTGGACTGGACTGGATTGGATTGGACTGGGTGACGCGCGCGGAGGTCGGCTGCGGCTCAGCTCGCTCGCACCAGGTCACCGTCGGTGAGCTGGGCTCAGTCACCACGACCGCGTGCGCCTTGCGAGTTCCGAACAAGCAGCAACGGTGGAAAAGCTTGCTGTGGTAAGAAACAGAATAAAAAAATTGGAGGGCTCCTCGGTGCTTGAACCGCACTCAGCTGTGATCCAGCCCCCGAATCAACGGCGCTCTTATGCTCTTTCGACGTGTGCGCTCAGCCTCAGTGGAAACGTGCGTAACCTTTCCCCTCCCCACTCACTAGTTGACCTTCTACCGCACACACGGAGGCATGCGGGCCCATACTTTGGTCTTGGGACTGGCGCCAGCAGCTCTTGGTCACGACCTAAGACCAAGGCAGACTCCACCTTGGCTGCTCACTTCCAGAGCCGCAGAGCAATCTAAGCTGCCTACCGACACGTACTCCGGAATCCCGCTTTCACATGGGAACATCAGGGGCTTGGACGCGATAGAGTGCCTAACATTTTGTCACACTCGTGCGATCGTCTGTTCTACATACAAGTCGAAAATGCTGCCGACGACCTGGTAATGGCCGCATTTGGCACATTTGTCTTAGCATCACATCCCATAAATGAACCCACACCGACGCCGTCCCTTGTTGAACTCCTGCCATGAGCCCAGGTCAACGACAGATATCTCGCCAAACCGAGAGCCGTCAAGCTTTTGCCATGCTGAAAAAGTACAAGCTAATTATCCGTGACGCCGAAACTGGTCATGGCCCATCTGGACCCATCTTCAACCCCAATTTGTGATGCACCCCAACACGCGTGCTCATGTCTGGCCAGGACACGGGGGGAACGGCCAAGTTGCTCCCAATTCCGTGCCTCGAAATGTCACGGCGGCGCCCAAGACTTAGTAGTCCAGGGCGGCTGTGCCGTTACCTGTGGTGGTGGCATCGAGGTCTTCGTAGCTCTTCAGTGCACGGCCTTGAACCGCTTCACGAGGTCCCGCACCTCCGCCGTCCGAAAACCGCGGATTCATCAACTTACCACGGACCGGGCTGAGACGACCAGAACTGTTCCAGCGAGCACTGCGCTGGTCCTTGCCGTTGCGGTCGTAGGGGCCGGCGACACGGCTGTTAAAGCGACCTGCACCCGTGCGACGGACACCGGCGTGATCGCCGTCAGCACCTGGCGGCACTGCCCACTGGGCTGCCATGCCATGCTGAGCCATGAACTGTGCAATCTGAATCGCGCTTGGAGCGTTACCGTTGGACGGTACGCTGAAGGGCGCGTTCGCTAGGTTGAAGCCACGAGGAGTGCCCGCTTGGCCGTGGTTGCTGAGTGGGAAGTGGCCGTTGCTGTTGGCATCGCTGCGGGAAGGTGCAATGTGTGCGGGATCGAGCACGTAATTGTTTACGAGTATGACCTGGAACAAATTAGCTTAGACGAGTAGTAAGAAACACAGCGACGACTTGACCCACATCGGACTTGATCTTGTTAAAAAACTCCTCGTGACGCTTCTCAACATGTTTGCGCCAGAACACCTGGCCTTTGAAAAGCTTTGTGCAGTCTGGAACCTTGCAGCGAAATTTTGCCTCATCCTCCTGCTTCACATACTTGGCCAGCTCTTCCTCCAAGCCGTCGTCGAGTGGCTTGCCACCAATTTTGCGAAGGTCAACGCTTTCCGGGTCCAGAATCTGAAGAAGCTTGTCTTCATAGGTTTTGACCCAGTTGAATGCTTTTTGAAGCTGCTGATACGTCTTTGAACCGGGTTGAAAGGCAGGCTTTTTCTCCTCGGCGGGCGAGTCGCCATCAGCGTCTGAAGAGCCCTGGCTAGTTTTCTTGAAGGGGAACGCTTTGCCTTCAGCGCTTGCCTTCGCTACCAGCTTCGCAGATGATGTCAAACTAGCGCGGGGACGGCGAAGATGGCCTCCAGGACACTTGCGACAGAGCTCATGCACAGAGTCGCTCTCAAAGACGCAAAACAGACAGAAATTGTGAACGCGGCGAAGGTATTCAACGAGCAAATCAAGCGTTTTCTTCTTCACGATAAGCTCCTCATCGTCGACCTCGTCGTCGGCGGGATCGTCTTCAATTGCGCCCTCCTCGTCATCGTCACTCTCCGGTTTGGTCGTGCCAGCATTGACAGGAGGTTGAAGCCAGCCTTTCCCTTGCAGGTCCTCCACACGTTCTACCACCTTGGTGACGCCAGCGAAGCCATTGCCCATTTCTGTATCGAGCTTCTCTGTAAGCTGAATCGCAAGCTGAAGGTCGCGTTCGATTCGTTCTGGAGCGGAGAACAAGTCCCACAATGCCTTCTTTCGGGGTGCATTAGGCGGTTCATGGATGCCTACATGACAGGTAAAGTCGCCGCGCTCTTCATCCTTGATCGTCTTGCCGTTAATCTCTTCTAAGGCCTTCTTCGCAACTGCCAGAGACACGGATGGTCCTTCGGACTCTACAGCACCTTCTTCCATCTCTTCATCACCATCACGGCCATCGCCACGATCTTCTTCCTTGTTTGTTGGCTCCGAGGATGGATTAAGCAGAACCCAACCAATACGATGGTACTTCTTCGTTGGATTTGGGTCGCTTAAGCTTAGCCAGCGAAAGCCCGCCTCACCCTCGCCTAGATGCTCCTTACAAAAGGCCTCAAGCTTTGAGCGACTGACGGTTGGTGCAATCGTTTTGATCAGTAGAGTCGGTTGTAACGTGGCTTCATCACGTAGGTCGCCGCCACGGGTGGGTAGGAGATCGCCAACACCAAGAACTTCATTCGCTGCAACAGCCTCACCTTCTTCCTTCTCAACTACACCGCCCTCACCATTGGCCTCGCCCTTGTAGATGCCTTCGAGCGTGAATTCGTCAAAAACACCGGACTCAATATCTTGTACCCACTTTGCATACGCTGTGCGTCTGAATTCCCCAAGCTGTTGACGGAAAGGCTCCCGGACACTAAGGTCATAGCGCTCCTTGAACCACTCCTCACCCTTGTGCTGCTGGACGAATGTACGGGCCATTTGAATCTGTAGCTTCTCCTTGTAAGCATCATAGGCGGCTTGAATCAACTCGCGCTCCTTCGCTTTCTCTTCTTTGATTTCCTTTTCGCCTTTGATGCCAACTCTCTTGCCGGCTTGGCGTTCCTTCTGCTCTTTGATGTAATTGTCAACTCTCCACCACTCTGCAAACCATGTAAAGCCAACCTGGTAGTCGAGCGTGAGAGGGTTTGGCAGCGGATTGCTAACAATCGTTGGCGCAACTTCTTGACCGGGGACATAACGATCAATGTGCTGGGGAGCTGCAGGAGATCGACGACGAGGCTCATCTCGCTGGCGGTACTTGTCATCGCGGCCACCGGGTTGATATCGATCAATGGCGGGAGGTGACCTAGAACGACGGCGAGCGCGGTCACGCTGGTACCTGTCTGCGCCTATGTCACGTTAGCAAACATGCAAAAAAGAGAGGTACTTGATTAAGAGCAGATGGGTGGGTTTAGCTGGAACTTGTGCACAAAGCCTTTGAAGATTGCACTGTAGTCTCCCCAAGGACAGGTATGAACAACTCCCAAATTATTCTCCAACTAGCTCGAGATAAATTAGAATTGCATACCCGGGCTACGGCGGCGATAAGCGTCTGTTGCGCCACGTGCATCGTCACGTCTGGAACCGTTAGGGACTGAGTCTATTCATTACGTGTATCAACATACCCGTATGTGTCCATGGTGGCGAATTTCTAAAGAGTGGTAGCTGCACAGTTGACCAAGGGGTACGAGACACGAGCTCGACCTTATAGGGGACGTAGTCTAAAAGGAGGAAGAATCAATGTAGCTGCCACGAGCGAAAACGACGTCCACGGTCCGGACGGAGCGAAAATTTCCGCAAGCAAAGGCTGGCCGAGCGTCGAGCGCAAGCAGCAATTTTGCGGTTGATGAGGTCTGTGAGCTGTGCATAACGAGAGACAAGTTAGACGGGTTTCCTTCATCGACCAAAGAGTAAGACAAGACGACGATGATGAGAAGAAGTAGATGAACAATGTAATCGTGGGCTCAAGGCATCATAATCATGAAGCAGAAAAGGAATAATAGAAGAGCTTATCCGCGGCTGACGCTGCAAAAGAGTCGCGTCAACCAAAGGACATGCTCACAAGTGAGGCTGCGGAAGAAAGGCTGCTCAGACCGGGAAAAGTCAGAGGGCCAGAGAGAGGAGAAGCGAAAGCGATCATTGTGATAGACGAGAACGATGGAGGAATAACTAACAAGAAGTGGCACTAACAACTGACAATGCGCGCCCACATGAAGATGTGGTGTTTGGTGTGAGAAGAGAAGGAGCGACGACGGTGAGGTTGGCAATGGGGGAGGTGACCTGACCCGCAGGCGCGGCTGGGAGGGTCTCAGGTTCGCGCTTGCCTTGTTCTAAGTTAGCAGCGAGGGCAACCGCGGACCACGTGCCGCTCAAGCGAGGTCTCTAACATGGCGTCTCCGGACAAAAAGACATTCTGCACTGAACATACCCGTCAAAATACGGAGCAGAAAGACAAATCCAAGCCCGGAAATTTGTTGAAAGAACATTTTCCCTTATCTGAGTGAAATCTGGACAGCATTCACCACTCGCTTTTGTTCCTCGCGCGCGATATAGCATACAACGCCCTGGACACGATGACGACATACATTCCCAGCATAACCATTCCTGACTTCATCTTGTCACGGCCAGCGGCTGCGGTGCTACTCCCGTTGGCGTTAGGAAATGTAGTCGGAGCAGCAACCAGACGTATGTGCAATGCTCCACGCTCGACCAATTGACGCGCCACTGACTCTCAAACAGCGGACAGGACTCAAAAGCAGTACATGGCGCTGAAGCAACCGCCATTCAACCCACCTGCGTGGGTGTTTGCACCTGTATGGACTGCTTTGTACGCTGGGATGGGCTATGCGTCGTACCGAGCGTGGAAGGCAGGCAACAGCTCGTTTCTAGGGACGCAAACATTCGACCTTGCCAAGTACGAGGCCTCGAGGGTGAGCTGACCAGCATATATTGTGCATGTATGGAAAACTCGCTTGCTAAAATTTTATATAGCTTGGATCTACTCTTTACACAATACAATTGGGTTTGAATTTGATCTGGATGCCACTCTTCTTTGGCTTTCAGCGGCCTATCGAAGCTACGGTCGACATTGTCGCGCTTCTAGGAACGACGGGTTATCTGACTTATGTGTGGAGTGGAGTTGACGAAGTAGCGTCCTACATCATGTATCCGTACCTCGCGTGGCTAGGGTTTGCTACGTATTTGAGTGTGAGTCCAAATATCTAGTCATATCCTTGGACCACCTAACTTTGTACGCAGGCTGGTTGCGGCTATCTGAACGGGTGGGACTTCAAGAAGACCAAGGCGACCCAGCCGAAGCAGACTTAACTATAGCAATAGAGTGGAGCTTGGCGGCAATCAATCTTTACTCTCAATCAACAGCCTAAAGGAGTGTTCTTGCGAAACCAGCTCTGCAAGCGTTTCTAATCTAAACTGCAGGATACGAATGGCGGTGGAGCCCATAATCGAAGATGCATAGTGTAGAGGTGTGTGTCAAGATCGTCTTGTATCTAAAATTTCAGTTAGGGCGAGGAAAGTTTTAATCTTGTGATTGCGCAGCCTGGAGAAATGTCATACGTGCGAGAAGAACGGAGTTAGAGGCCTGATGGGCTGCAAGGAGAATCGTAAGAATCGTTGGTCGATATGCAGTCGTAAGCTGCAAGCGTGACCTGGACATGAATAATTGCTCTTGGCGCGTGACATGCCGAATGTGTGAACACTCAAGGCATCATCATTTCTCCTGGGGATCAGTTTGAGCATTTATGGACAGCAAGGGCATATTTTCCTCGTGTGGACATGCCGGGAGCTATTGGAAAGGCCAAGGCATTCATCCAGACAACGGCAGCGTCGAAGTGCGGGATAAAGCATGAGATATCGCCCTCCATATGTGAACCTGCAGTAGCGTGCATATGCAACTCCTGCCTTGTCGTGAGTCACCTCTTGCAGAGGAAAAGTTTGATTTGGAGATGTCCCAATTGCCAGGGACACTGGTGGTGAATGTGAACAAGATCAGGGCCAATGACACCGCACGACGCTGCCCACATGAAGACACAGCGCCGGGGGTAGACGCTACATCTTCAGGTTGTTATAGACTAGCACGTTCGAAGGATACGTGCGGGCAGGAGCTGCCGACATGCCCCGATGCAAGGAGATAGATGCACGCAAGTCTTCTACTTTGGCCCCCAAATTCCCTGAATGCTGCGAGCGAACGGGTGAGCATGTAGTCTGTAGAAGCAGACAGAAAGCGATCGGTGCTCCAGTAGTCTCCATAATCGAGCCATGATGTTCCGGTCAAGGCACTAAGTTACAGGGCGCGTCGTGACATTTCAGGCCTAGTGTAGCATGGCTTGGGCCGGGTCGGCGTGCGGAGCGTTATCGATCCCGAGCCAGGAGAGCGAAGGTCCGAGCACAAGGCTGGGCGAAAGAGAGGTGGGCGGCGCTTCATACTGTGTGATGGTACGAGAACATACAGTAAAGCGCACTGTTTCTGCTTCCAGATTAGCATTCGTAGTCTTGCGGTGTTGCATGCTTGGCCGCGAAAGTTTCAGGCTCTTACATTCTCGTTCTCGACGGCTTGATGTTCTGACTGCAGTCCGGAGTTGGCGTTATAAGAGCGCGTCTTGTTGGAGGCGCAGTTCGTAATCCAGAGGTCCGTGCGCCAGGCAGCAGTCATTGCAACATCCTCTCATCAACGAGCCAACGAAGGGCTCACTCAACACGCCCGACCCGCTTTCAAATCTTCCTTCCTCTTTCCCCCCAAAGTCTCTTCTCTAAGACTTGACCGTCCACGCCTTGTCCCTCTCGACTGCCTTTGCGTCCTGTCTCTGCAAAGGACTTCGCGGTCTCGTCCCTTCAAACCTCCCCTCCTCCCACTCTCCCCACACCTGGCAAACGCTGCCAACAGTCAATCATCGCTTGATTCTCGTCAGCTTCTGAGCTCTTGTGCGATCGTCCGCTGCGCATACTTACTTCCCTCGTTCGGTGAGACGTCTCTCCACTCGGATCCGACCGAGGGATCGAGCTTCCAACTCCGCCTCGCGACCATATCAATCCCTTGGCACATTCCGACAGCAACAGACACCTTGGGTCTTGAACTGCTATTGACCAGTCTCGCTTCAATTTGCCAATTGCTGCAACAAAGATCAAGGTACTTTTCTCCCATCAGCTTAAGGTTTCAGATCATTCCCCCGCTCGCCCCATTTCTGCGAACCACTTTCGCTTCGACTGCACGTCCAGAACATTGCGAGGGCAGTGTTCGGGGCTGTGACTCACCCCGTGCGCCTCTCATTCGACGGTGACGGAAACTTGCATCAGGCTAACTTGTCTTTACTTTCCGGCAGACTGGCACACTCTGACTTCGATCATGGCGTCTACTTCTGTGCATCCCCGCCGTCGGCCTCAAAAGTCGCTGGGCACCACCTCTATCCACGCAATGTCACTCCGCAAATCTACAACCTTTAATGCCCGCCATCACCAGGACGAGAGCCCCGTCGAGCAGTCTCGCTACATGCCACGCCGCTCTCAAACCTGTACCAAGACTTTAGAGGAACTCCTCCCACAAGAACCAAACTCTACTTCATCCCGTCAAGCCCACGTCGCCAAGTTGCTGCAGGATTTCGACGATAAGATCAACGGTCGAAAGCCGGCTGGTGGAGACGGAAGCATTTTAAAAGAGGAGGAAGTTTTGGCCGTTCCCACGTTCCTGCTCAACTCGGCCATTGTCCCGGATTTGATGGACGTTGATCAGAAACACTTGTCAGCAGACCATCAGCACGAATCGGATTCTGGGCTCGGTTCAAGCGTGTCGAGCTCAAAAGGTATTGTTGCTCAGTACGACAATAATCGAACAACAGTGGCTAATTGCCTATTTAAAGAGGACCCCGCTCATCGTTCAACTCGCACCGCTCAGTCAATCTCTACCACCCGTTCGGCTGTCACGCGTTCAGCGTCCACAATCGACGCCCAATACCCACGCGCGGAGCACTTTCTCAGTAAAGAAGCTGAGCGACAGATTCGCAAGCACATTATCAAACCAATTCTTGCCGAAGACTCTCTCAAGGATTTCCATCCCCTTATTGAGGACATTCCACGTCGCATTGGTGCCAAGTTCATAACCAATCTTCGTGATCTCGAAAAGACCTTGTTCTTCCTCGCTCCTGTAAGTGACGAAATTCAAATTTTGCTTCGTGCGGTAGCTCACGCTTTGCGCGACCTCAAGGACTTCGCGCCTTCACCGCAATCGTTTTTGAAATTCTGCGAAACGTCGATCGAGTGCCTGCACACGACTGTCGACTATATTTCCGAGCGCGATCAACGAAGGGATACCGACAGGCCTTACACTAACAATTATTTCCTTGATTTGGTTGAACAGATCCGCAGATACGCCGAAATCATGGCCAAGACACGAGAGAAGCAAGCATCCGGTCAAGAGCTGGATGAAATGGACTACTCCCCGTATGTGATCCCTGTTTCACCTTCCCCATTTGGTCATGCGGTGTCTGAGTCACTCATGTGCCTGAGTCACCTAACCCTACATAAACCCTTAACGTACTTACGGTCGGCTCGTATGCCTTTGAACACTTACTTACTCGATGACAGTGATGAGGAGATCGCCATCGAAGGCGGCCTGAGCAAGAACGGCAGACCTGCCGAACTTGTTCGCAAGACGAAGGATGGGAAAGTGATTCCCCTCTCCGATCACAGTGCCCTCAATGAGGGTAGCCCGTCGACCTTCAAGCGTCATTTGACTGACGACGAAGATATGGATGATGATGTTTATCGCTCCATGGCACGCCGCCGCAAGTCCGACAAGCCTGGAGATGTCATGCATTCCTGTCGCTCCTGTGACAAGGAGTTCAAACGTCCCTGCGACCTTACCAAGCATGAGAAGACTCACTCGCGTCCCTGGAAGTGCCACGAGCCCAATTGCAAGTACCATGAGTTTGGCTGGCCGACTGAGAAAGAGCGCGACCGACACGTCAATGACAAGCACAACGCTGCCCCCCAAATGTACAAGTGCCGTTTTCCTCCTTGTACTTACTCCTCTAAACGTGAGTCAAACTGCAAGCAACACATGGAGAAGGCGCATGGTTGGACCTATGTTCGCTCCAAATCCAATGGCCGCACCAAGAAGCCGGTGGCCAGCTCGGTGAACCAATCACCAATGGAGTCAGTCCCTTCTTTTATTGCCACTCCGTCCTCTGCGGTAAACCATTTGACCTCTCCTGAGAGCAACTTCGTCCCTTCGCCTTCTGTGCCCGTCAACCACAACTTCAGCTTTAGCAACTTCGGTTACACACCTGGTCCCTCGTCATCGGAAGACCTGTTTGATTTCAGCAACATGCGTCGGCAGTCCGTTGCTACAACCGGCTCTGGAGTAACCTTCTCTTCCGGTTCAAACTTCTCGCCTGCGCAACAACATGTGAATTCCGCTTTCGAAGACGCGTTGTCACCAGATAACCTTACTTTCGATCAAGGACTCTTTGGTGCAGACGCGAATATCGCAGATAGTTTCCCAATGCCTATGCAACAGCCAACACCTGCTATGAGTGTCAATCACGATTATTCAAGTTTGTCAGGTACCCAGCACTTGTCTCCGGCTGGTCATGCCAACATGACTCTTTTCACGCCTCAAATGGACACTATGCATTTTGACGAGGCTCTTGGTGATGAGATGGGCTTTGGTCAAGACTTTACTCTATTCGACGCGACTTGCTCAAGCAACATGGCCATTGCCTCCGGTAACTTATATCCAGAGATGGGCACGATCGGAGGTCAATTCGGCGATTTCAGTTTCCCGAATGCAAATAACTTCGATGATGTCTTTAGTGGTCAACAGAACTAGGACGCTTCAGGAATTATGCTCGTGAGTAGTGTGAGCTCGGTTCTTGCATCTCACTATTGGTTCTCCCCTCCCCATTGGTTGAGTGGTTGAGATGGTTTTTTTATTCTGAATGTAATGTTACGCAGGTATGATTTTGAATGATGCTTCTTTTCAAAGGCGACATTGGAGTCGAATGGATAGGACATAGCCTGCGTGTGTTCTTTCTCTTGTCGACACATATTGTGTCGAGGCTTAGGAGGAAGAGAGTGGATGTAAGACTGCAAAGACATTTAAGCAGAAGCTCAGGAAATAAACATCATCTATCTTGAAATCTTTGTTCATTTGCTTGACAACGTTACCAGAAGTTATCAACGTCGACTGGTTTGACTCGATCAAATCTGTTCCCGTGATCATATCTATGGTGTAGTACTTGGAAAGGCTAGAGCAGGCTCATCGCAAACAATCCAATTTGAGACACTGTCATGGACATGAAGAATTTCTCTTCTCTCTCCATATTCATTTCCTCGTCCTTAATACGTTCAGGCCATCCCAAACGTTTTGAGTTCACACAAAGAATTCCGTGCGTAAACAAGCGGACATTGACCTCTGCGTGCTCAGTTTGACGTGCAGTTGGTGCGATGAGCAATTCCACGTCAGCTACTGAAATGCTCGTTTTATTAGAGAAAGGGTGGGAATGGAATACGAGATGCCATGGCGTTGGAAGGATCAAGGGTCAGGGGGGCCCGGTTGAGGGTGTGCACTCTTCAGAACATCTATTGGGCTGTTGAGTCAATTTTGAATTCGATCGTCCTGCTCGACAACCCTTTCAAATCATCAGGCGCAGAACTGGGCATGTGATTGCTGGTGGTTTCTTGTACAGTTGTTGCTGTGAATGAAACTGCCTCCAGGAAGACCTCGCGCTCGCGTGACATTTTGAGCCTGCTGAGATGCTTCAACTCCCGGCAAGACATGATGTCGACGATCACGTCTGCTAGGCTCTTAATGATCAAAAAAGACCAGGGGGTTAAATAGAATCCGGCGTCGATTTCAGAGACCTGGAATGTTGGAACCAAATGTACAGAAAGTCAAGAATCCAAGCATGACTCTGGATAAAGCCAGGACACTATTCACGTCGTAGACTCAGTAATCCTGTTAACCCTGTCTCTTACTCCTGAACGCTCCATTAGACAGGAAATGTGGAGATGAACATTTCTTCGCAAGTAAAGAGGAGAATAAGCGAAGATTCCGTGATCTTCTCAAATGAAGTTAACATTTTTTGCCTGTTGTGTGTGCCGGATGGCAAATATGGACTACCGTGGCAAGGGATGCAAGATCGATCCGCGAGCATTAGCCATGCCGATCTGTATGATTTTTTTTTCTTGGTTTGAAATACGGCATGGAGCAGTTGTGTATGGGTTATCGTGAATCGTTGAGTGGCTGCGACATGATCATACGGTCGATTTGAAAGTTAATTATACTCTGTAGGCCCTATCGCAGACACAATTGGCGGTCTTTACATGGTTGTCAACGGCTTCACGTCTGGGCACATCCAACTCTCATCATATTCTCGTGAGGGGTTATACTTTGATTTTACAGAAGGGTATCCCTCAAGCTCTGAATCACGCAGGAAGTCTTCGCTGTAGACATTACAATCTTGTGCACACGCATCGAACAAGAGAGATCCTTGAGATTAGCCGTCGACATGAACAGCATTGCAAACTCAATTCTCCGACGGTTCTCCAGCAATGCATCCACAATTGTGGAGCTGGAAAGCCATCGAGATGACCCCTACCAATCGACACTGACTTCGGTCACGCCATGCAGGCAATGCGATAACGAGATGATGGCTCCACTCCTTCCTCAGCATTTTAACTGGCCTATGCCACCAACACAGTATCCTAGTCCATCATCAAGCACGTACTATCTTGCGCCTGACTCCATGGATGAGGCCGAAGTAGACAATCGCAACACGTTCCCCTCTATGCCCAGCATATGCCCAGAGGAAGACCCTTTTTACCCTCTCGAACGACAATGTGGTCAAATACCAAGCTATATCAACCGGTCTGAAGTATACACCAGAGTTGACGCATACTCCAACGTGGCGACGATCACGAAAATCAGCGAATCCAAGGAGAGGCCAATACAGAAGATGTCACGTCGAGTATCCATCGTGGGTAGGAATGCCAGCAAGCAGGCAAGGAAGCTTAGCGGAGAGTTGGTAAGAAAGGGAGGCAAGATTCTGAGCTTGAATAAGGCACCAGACTTGATCCGAATGAAGCAGCGCACGGCAATGGATGAGGAAATGAACTGGCTGACTCATCGTCAAGTTGACCTAGGACGTGAAGTTGATCCAGATGATAATTCTCAGAAGTGGCGCAGAAATATTGAGACCGACTTCCGCATTGTGGAGTGGACGGCTTCGGTTGAGAACTGATTAGAAGATCCCAGAATTGTTCTGTTTACTGTGTAAAATGATATCATCGCTCGTCTCTACCATAATGGATGTATGGGGAGTCTTGGACTATATTCATCGCTCGCGGATTAAAAAGTAGTCAGAGGATACGTCACGTTTCCCGTTCTAATAGAAGTTTACTCCAGCAAAGCCTCGCTACCTTGAATCTTCTTGATGGCATCTCTATTGTTTTTCTCGGCTTCCTGTTCTTCAGTCTCATTCGCCGGAGCTTTTGGTGCTGGCAGCACTGTTGCATCAGTACCGCTAACATCTTCCCAGCTGAACCTCTCTAGAAGCCCAACATGCCAGTCCTGGAATTTCCTTGCAGCTTGAGGCAATAGAAACTGACTTTCCTGGAGACCATTTTTGAGGGTCTCGTAGATATGAGGAGGGAACACTAAGTGTTCATGTGAGAAATGACGGGATTCCATTGTTTCGGACGCATTTTGTATACGCTTCCACATTATTTTCATGGCGCGTGTGGGATCTCGCCGCTTGAAAAACTGATATGACGAGGAAAACGAGAGTGAGTCTGTGAAGAGCCATAATAGAAGCGCATTTGATCCATCTTTATCAGACCGAGCAGGCTCAACCACGAAACGACGAACGCCTGAATTTTCAACTGCAGAAAGCAACTGCGTTGATATCCACTTCAAGTTGGTGAAGCATTGTTTGGAGGAGTCTTCTCTAGAAATACTTAGACTCCATTTGTACAGCTTCCATCCCTCAGTAGCCGGATCAACAATGCCTAACGCCAGTCCACAACGCGTGCATTGCAGGACAGAAGACTCTGTTGGATCGGCAGCCTGAGCATCGGTTAGTCTTCATTTTCAATTTGACGAACGAAGTAGGAAAAAAATGTATCTCAAACTATATCCCAGCAACAATGCAGAGAACTTGACCATTGGCCAGTGAAACAGAGAGATAAACCCAGACCGCCTGAGTAACCCAGCAAGCCGATATGGTCGGCAGCAGGTAGTCTCAGCGCCGGCCATTTCTTGCTCTTGGGCACGTGTATCAGATGCCTTCGCCTTAAAACCACCCTACGGGTAGACGGGCACCTTTCTTTTCTAGCCCGTGTAGTTTTAAATGACGATTGAACTTGCTCCGGATACAAACACGCAGAAGCGACAGGCACATACCTGAATATTCTCGCAGTCGACTTCCGCAAGTATAAGATAGGTCAATCCAACGTATCCAACGCCAGCTCGCGCAGTCAGCTTGCTAGATGCCGAGTACCCTTTTTTTTGCGTATCTTCAGCGTCATGAGTTTCATGCTCATGTGGTTTGTGACAATGCCAAAAGTCCATCATCTCGGCCCAATTCTCATTCGGGAGGTCCCTCCACTCATTGACATCCTGCATTCTCAACAACGAGACACCGCACTGCCGACATTGAACTCCACTGGCATCATCCATCGCAGTTGCTGGCCATGGCACCAAATTCTCATCGCTATGCTCGAATGCGATCAAGCCCGGCTCGGTTTCTTCCACCTTTAACCGCAAAGTCAAATCCTTAGACGGACGGGGTGGTAGAGTAAGAGCTGCGGTACCACCGCCAGCCATCCGGCTCGGCAAGCGGAGGGATGCGGAGATGCCCTCATGTTGAATACTTATCATAGAACCATCTCCAGAAAGCTCTATTCGGGTTTCCTGGTTACTTTCTGTGTGGAGTGAAGCGACGAGCGTTACGGTGCGAATGTTAGTCAAAAGCTCTGCATAGAGCTCAATTCGGCCCATTTCGCGGGGTTAAAAGGATTCTAATCACATTTTCCCTCGCTGATTTATTTGATAACTTGGGCGAAACTCGATAGATTGAAGTGGAGCTAACGAGTCACGTGACATATTCCGATGGGTCTTTCAATTCTCTTCTATATCAGAGCAGTACTCAGTAAACGTGGGTCTATGTCTACGACTTTTCCTAATATCTAAGCGCGCGAATACGTGGACAGTGAATGCATAAATTGTCCATCAACGAAACCATATCGAAATTTCTCACGTCCCAAGGAAAAATGAATGGATATACCCGCTGCAATTTGCTGTGGCTATACATCATGAAGATTTGCTCTATAGTGGCAACATATCTCGCAACGGTGCATTTATGCTCCGGGCCTGAACGCCGCCGCATGCGTGGTACATAGCTGATTCGATTCTATAGCCCTTGAAATCGTGCTACGCTGTGTCCATCTTGTCATCGTCGTGTTTGTCCTTTTTGTCGTCTTTGGACCCACTAGGCTCCCCATTCTGATTCAACAGCGGCTGCTGCTCATCGTCCTCAGGTATGCCTTCAAGCTTTTCTTTTTCTGCAGCTTCCTTTGCCTTCTTTTCCCTCTCTAATCGCGCCTTTTCCTCCTCTAATGACATCCGCAATGCAAGGGCAAGCTCTGGATCTAGTTCCGGATTCACACCGAACTCAAACTGACTACTATCGCCTCCGACAGCATCAGAGCCGACGCCTCCAACACCACTCGAGCCACCCACACCATCACCTGCCAGAATCGGTGATGCCAGAATTGAGTCACTCAGTAAATTTGGACCAGGCTGCACTGTCTCCAAATGTGATCCGTCTCCTCCTTTGACATTCTCGTTGAATGCATTAAGCTTTTTTAAATTTTCGTCTGTCAGCTCGCCGAACGCCACTACATCAATGCTGATGTTGTTCTTCTTCATCTTTTTGGCTAGCTTCACTAGGTCCTTCTCTGTCTCGCTTATCTGGGAACACACAAAGACGATGATTCGCTGCCGCTGCGACTTATTTTGTCTATGTTTCAGAGCAAGTGCGGCTATGTTGATTCCCGTGCTGAAGTGCGAGTTGCCTTTTATCTTTGTACGGTGTATGCCATCGAGTATCTTGCCCATATCCGTGGTGAGGGTCGTTAGTACCTCTGGACCATTACCTCCCATGCTCATAAGTCCGACTGAAGATTCTGGATTGGCGCCAGTTTTTGCGTTGTATATGAGGTTGACAGCATCGGCTTGCGCGTCGAACCGTGTCGGTCTATGCTTCGTCAATGAACTGAAACGAAAAGGTAGTGATGTAAAATTACACATAATCTCCATTTCTACTCGACTCGCTATTGTCTATTCTGTTATGATCATCAGTCACAGATCAGGCAGCTTGCGAGGCTTGCGCGGCTTACATTATCATTGTAGCCTCTAAAACCATCTTGATGGATTTAGGCGTTGAGATTGATCTAGAAGATAAGGCAGGACTGTATCAGACTATTAGAGACTCAGAGATATGTTTGAACAGTGTAGTTGGCCGACGCGTTTGTAGATGTGAGTATTAGGGTGAAGCTGTTAATGAGGTCGCTCAAGGCCGAAGCTTCCCACTCGCTCTCCAGCCACACGTGTGGCGTATTGTTTATGTTCCTACCGGAGCTGCACCACTTTCACCTCACGTTTTGTAAACTGCCAGATTTCACATAAAGAGTCTGAAAGCACTTCAAAATCATTCTCGCAATGCCTCCAATCAGGACGCGAAAAGACCTTGCATCAGGCACCAGAGCTGTTGCTATACAGTCACCAAATACACCCACAGAGCGAGAGTCGCGGCAACATGCCCCAATTATAACACAAGCGCAAAAACAGGCTCTAATAGACAACCTGCAACTTGAGAGTATGGTTTTGTTTGACTAGAACCAACGAGATATGCTGAAACTTGTCACAGTCAAGGAGAGGGCGCGCAAACTACGCGCGCAATACGCCCTTCATGCTCAAGGTCTTCGCTCTCGTCTTGAAATGAGGATAAATAGAATACCTCAAAATCTGCGCAACGCGAATATTGACGACCTAATTGAGAAATACGCAGAGCACCTCGAACCTCCCCAGCAACAAAAGCAGGCATATGGCGCATCGAAGCCAACTTTATCAAGGACAACAACCGCAGTATCCAAAGAACCGATTGCCACAGGATCCAGCCCAATGAGACGCGGACTTAAACGAGACAGGTTAGTCCATCAACAGCCAATACCTTCAATGTACTTACATGTAAAACAGTTCTGAAATGATGGAACAATCCGACAAGGAAAATATTCAAGCCGGACTTGATATGCCAAAAAAGAGGGCGAAGACGGCAGACACTACAACTGTGGCTACTGCGGCAGGACCGGCTGTTCCGAGTAGAGGTACATCGCGCAAGATCGATCCGTCCAAGGTCCTCTCCCCCAAGTCTCACAATTCACGCACGTATCCAATCTCACCAGCTAAGGCTTCCCCAAGCAAACCTACCGTGGCAAGATCAGTATCACCTATCAAACCTGGCACAGTTGCCGCAGCTACAGCTTCACTGGCCAGCCTGGTGGATGGTCCGGCAAAGACAACCAAATCCGCAGCATCTTCAAGAATCATGAGCAAACAGGCTGCTCCGACTGGCACGGTACGCGGTAGAGGCGCACGGACGGGTACGATGGCGCCTCCGCCCGTACCCAGTAAGGCTGCTGGTCGCGGTAGAGCTGCGAGCCAGAGCAGTCAGACCTCCGACTCAAGCGCTCAAACAACGATTGTGCGGAAGGCGGGTATTGTCAGAAAGGCTGTTAGCAAGGCGACAGGGTTGACCTCTGCTGCTTCCAAACGAACTGCGGGAGCGAGAAATGGGAAAACTGAAAGCGTCCCTGCACCTTCAGCCGCGGGTGCTTGTGGTCGAACACTGAGAAGTAGGAGGTAGCAAGACCTCAACTAAGAGTTGGCAAAGTGAAGACAGCATTCTGACGCAATATACCTGAGCCTCAAGTGATGAATGGAACCCAGTTGCAAACGAATTAAATTGTCGTGATAGATTTCTCCTCTGGAGGGAATATGAAAATCATATAGGGAGTTCACACTCGTCCTCGATGTGTTGGCCATCTCATTGCTCCAAATCCGAGTCGCAAACCATGGCTAATGCATTATCGCATCTAAGCCATATCCTACGCCGGAGACTCCTTAGTGACGCCTTTTTCTGAAAAGCGTCCGTGAGCACATCCAAATCCTCTCCCATCTCGTCTCGGTCATCATTTTCGTTTGTACGTCCCTCGCTCTCGCAATCGAGGGAACGACATACAGGATCTAGGATTGGCTTCGCCACCCGACAGCAATCCCAACCTTGTGACGAGCTTGAGCAGTGTTATAAAATCGCGTGAGCTAGCAAGCTGTGCTTTACTCTCCCTGCGAACCTCTTTTCGGCCGATTAATGCCAGTCAAACATATGACTAAGCGTTCTGCTCTCCAACGACAGAGGCCGATGGTAGAGGTCTATTAAAATACTCATGATCATGCCTCCAGGTTGTGCCATCATGTCTTTCTCCTCTTGCACTGTCCAGCCACTACGCTAATGTCATCCATCTTTCCACCCTCAATGCTCAATCCTTCCTCGATCGCTTTCTCCATGTACGGGCTCTCTGCAAATGGGTCCTGTGCAATTGCCTTTGCTGCCTTGACAAGCTCCTCAGCCACATACATCATCTCCTCACTGTAGCTCTGCTCAGCAGGTTCACGACCTTCGTTCTCTAATGGCACTTCGCCATTTTCCCATCTGTGCATGCTGTCCACCACATTTTGTAAAACCTCATGGTCCCACAAGTTGTCAATAACACCGTCAGACATGGCGAGCACTACGTCATCCTCTTCGATCTCAACGCGATCCATGACGGCATTTTTTTCAGGAGTGTCAGGTGAATTTGTGCCAAGCTGGCGTGGACAATCGAACCAATGCCATTGTTCTTTGCTTTTGTAAATGATCTCTCGATCGCGTGGTCGTAAAACCATGATCTGGCTGTCTCCTAGCTGAGTAGCATATATCACCGGATGGGGAGGGTTCTTATGGTCGTCACTCAGAAGCGCAGAGCTTGCTGTCGTAGTCCCATACCATTCACTAGGATGACTAGTCGCTTGCTTCGTAGATTCGAAAGCCCTTTGTAAATATGCGACAGGATTGGGTTCGTGATCGCCGCCATATTCGTCCTTCTCTGCTTCTAGAGCCCAGAAATGAATGATGAGCCGTGACCACAGCGCTGCATGCCCTTTCTCCTTCTGCGCCCAAGCACCTACCCCATCGTTGGCGCATATGAAGTTCTCGCTAACCAAGACAGCATCATCGCCATTAGTAATCCCTCGTATTATCTCACCGTTCACGGTAGGCTGTCCCCTGCGGTCGCGCGATCGATCGTGTGTACTGAGAGGGTCGGAAAATGAGCCCGAGGGCATAGAGACAAAGGGAGGGGGAAAAGGCCGTGAGCGACGTTTCGCAAAAAGAGCATATCCAGCTTCGAAATAGAACGGCGTCTTCGCGTATTTCTTTTGTGAGGTATCCGGTGCTGGAGTTGAAGTGCCACTGCTCTCTAGCTGCACATTACCTTCCGCGTCCGCAATCTCGTTCTGACTCTGCGCCTGCACAGATTGCCATCTTCGTTGAGTACTATTGGAGCGATGACGGAGGCAATGTCGGGCTTGGAATATGGAGAGGTAAGACGTTGAGGCGAGGCGATATGCGCAGGTGGACTGTCGTTGTTGCAGCAGACCAATCTGAAGTCTTAACCGTACAGTCTGCATACCTCAAGAAGAGGAATTCGAGAAGCAATTGGGTAGATGACCCAAAGATCGCACAGTTTACATAGAAAATTGTGGATCGTTGGGGTTGCCTCTCGCCGCTGGAGGCTTCGGGCTTTATCGCTTCGGGTGAGATTTGCGACTAAAATAGTAATCGAATGCTGATCTGGGACGTTGAATTTGATGACTAAGCTCTATTCTTCATCCTGTTAAGTTAACTTAACCTCCTTTGTCAAGCTCCAAATCCTGAAAAGTACTCTACTTAACCCTTTTTACTCATAGAGGAGACTGAAGACAGACCTCCCAGCTGCTCATACTTGTAGCTATGGGAAAGCGACGAAGCCCAAAGAGAACAATTTCGAAGGCGCATACAGTTTTTGAACGATATAGGAGACGACAATCAAGCGGTTCACAGGCCGTTGCAAAATTGTGTAGGCCGCATTTAGAAGTGATGGTAACAGCAGGAAATGAAATGCTTTCCATATAATTCCGTTGATATCATATTCGTGTTTACACTACCTGCATTGATTCTACAAAGCTGGAATTCAGGAAATCTATTTTAAGAATCGATTTTCTCCATTTAAATCATCCTTTACAGGTTAGCTCCATAGCCTACAACGGCCTTAACCTCGAGGAAGTCATGAATACCCCAGTCTGCAAACTCACGACCGTTACCCGATTGCTTATAGCCACCAAATGGAGCAAACGGGTCCCATGCGGTTGACGACATCCTAACCTGTCCAGCTCGGATACGACGAGCAACTTTCAGAGCGTGTTCAATGTCATTAGACTCGACGCTTGCAGAAAGGCCATAGACAGTGTCGTTGGCAATGGCAATAGCATCTTCCTCGTCTTTGTATGGAAGGATTGAGAGGACAGGCCCAAAGATCTCTTCACGAGCAATCCTCATGTTGTTATTTACATTACCAAAGACTGTTGGACGGCAATAATAACCACGTTCAAGGCCTTCTGGACGTCCAAGCCCACCAGTAACCATGGTCGCACCCTCCTTGATACCCGCCTCAATGAGGCTCTGGATTTTGTTGAACTGAGCCTCGCTAACAACGGGGCCGAGCATAGTGTCTTCCTTGGTCGGATCGCCTACCTTATGCTTTTCAGCAGCGGCTTTAGCAATAGCAAGAGCCTGATCCATTTTTTCTGCTGGGACAAGCATCCGTGTTGGAGCATTGCAAGATTGGCCGCTATTGTTGAAGCAGCTGTAAACTCCGCGGGTTACGGCCGCTTCTAGGTCTGCGTCCGGAAGAATGATGTTGGGTGACTTGCCACCCAGCTCCTGGCTTACACGCTTCACGGTATCTTCGCAGTATTAGCATATGGAACGAAGCGATTAACATATCTACTTCTTCAAGTATGTTTAGTCCCTTCGAAAGCATCTGATATCAACTCTTCAGATTATGCAGATAACTTTCGAAAGGGACCAGCATAGTCAATGAATCGATCTATATTCATACGCACCAGCAGCAGCCTTTGCAACAATAACACCGGCACGCGTGGAACCAGTGAAAGACATCATATCGATATCCGGATGCTCGGCCATCTTTTGACCAACAGATGGCCCATCACCATTAACTAGGTTGAAAACACCCGGAGGTACGCCAGCTTCATGCATAATCTCTGCGAAAATTGTGCCGGTCGTAGGTGCCACTTCGCTTGGCTTCAATATCATTGTGCAGCCTGCGGAGATAGCAGGCGCGGTCTTTGCTACGATTTGCTTATAATTATTAGCAAAGACCAAATATCTTCTACTAAGACCTCACATTGAGTGGCCAGTTCCACGGGGTAATGAGCCCAACTACGCCGATGCCTTCACGGATGATTCTTGACGATCCGCGTTGCTCCTCGAATTCCATTTTTTCAAGAGCCTTTAAGGTGTTAGCCAGATGCCCCAGTCCTGCTGCAGCCTGTGCATTTCGGGCAAGTCCGATCGGTGCACCCATCTCCATAGAGCATGCCTGAGCAATATCCTCGATGCGTCTCTGATACACATCAAGGATCCTCTTCAAAAGCTCCATGCGCTCGGCCTTCGTCGTCTGTTGGAACGCAGGGAGAGCGGCACGGGCTGCTGCGACTGCTTTGTCAACATCGGCTGAGGAACCCGCTGAGATCTTTGCAAAGACTTCTTCCGTGGCCGGGTTGATCACGTCAATGGTAGCGGGCGTCACCGGATCTACCCATTCGCCATTTATATAGAACTTGAGGTACTCCTTCATTTTATCATATACCTCCTCTTGAATGCTCGTTAAAGATGCTCGTAGGGAGTCGAGTTAAATTTATCCTGAATCCTAATTTGGGCTCACAATCGGTAGTGGTGAGCATGCGAGGCGATGTTCAACCACATATACTCCAAGCAATGCGATTTCAGTAGTGCTTACGCCTGTCAATTCCCGACAGTTCCGTTCTTCTTTTGAGCATGCGCAAAGGAGGGGACGGAGAACTGTGGTAGGTTACCTCGGTACGGGGATATAATTTGCTTTGCGAGCTTTGAAGCGTTATTACTGACAGGCGGGGTTAGGTCGCGCTTCGTGCAACTAGACTATCGAGCTATTAGGCAAAATCTGAATTAAGATTAGTCATCGACATGTTTACTCACTTTATAACCAAGTTATTCAATTGGACTTTACCGCCTGTAGATCATCAAACTTAACAAATACTTCTTTTGGCGGATATAGGAAAAGCTTTAGTCGAAACAAACATCGAATAAATTTATATACTGTCCTAACATAACTTCAAGGATTAACCCCGCCGTAAGATATTTGATTGTATACTTTTACTCAACGAATAAGCGTTCTAGATCCGCATAGGACATATTTGCGATCTGGAGGGTTTCAGCATAATTGGAGTATGTGCTAAAAATTGATGCGACATGTCACGAAGAGCATCATGTCGCTGAGTACCTTCATTGCCGCCCTTTGTTGGAATAACTGGTACCAGCTCGTCCTGTTAATCTGCTAGATGAATATTTATTTCCATGTTTGATAGCTAAGTTGAGTTAAGCGCATTTGGGGGATCAGCGTTCCGCGTTTTATTTGTTGTTTAATCGCTTCGTTCTGTCAAAGAAAGGCTACCCAGCGTTATATTGAGGCAGTAAGACATAAAGATGTTTGAAACATAAATTAGTCACTCTCTTCCTATAAATTTTTAAGATGTTTTGTTCAATGCGCTGAAAGTTCCTCAGCTTGTGCAAGCATACAGCATGATAGATCAATGAGTAAAGCGAAACCCTGGCGTATGTTCCAAAACGATCTTTCCTTTTGCTTGCCGTTTATTTGCGGACATGAAATAAGCAGAAAAGACTAAAACGAAGACGATCATCAGAATATGTGATCTGTACATGTTATTAATACCTCGCCATAAAAATTTTCATTAGAATGCACACACCCTATAGAGGTCCAGATTGCAGTTGGATAGTTCGGCGCTTCGTTGTACCGAATGATGTATGCCCCTGCGATTCCCCCAGCGCCATTGAAGGCTGTTGTCATTGCAGATGCGAACACTCTCTTCCATTGACCGGTTATATTTGATGCCATATAAGCATTCAACGCTGCCCAATTCGCAACATATGACCCTGTTACCAAAAAAGTTCCGGCATAGCGTATTCTCGCATCGTTAATAAAACCAAGCATGCTGTATCCTGCAATCAAGACAACGGAATTGAATGAGATGATTGGTCCTCGCAGCGAGAGTTTGTCGCCCAAGTAGGAGGATATTAGTGCCGGAAGTGCTGCGTAATAGTAGACAGGTGCATTTAGCAGAATCGACTTCGACGAGCTATATCCAAGACCGTCGTGTAGAATAGTGGGCAGAAAGTATGACATGCTCGTGGACACAATATTCAACAGAAAGAACATGCAGCAGAACGCCCAAATCTTCATATCTGAAGCATGAATAAGAACTTTAGACCAGGCGAATTTGTCTGCCGTCACGTCCCCTCGATCGCGATGGATCCGGCTCGCCATGATGGCGCTTTCTCGCTTGTCCAAAAACCTAAAGCTTTTGTCTGCGTTTTCAGGGAAGTCTACCATCCAAAAGTAGGTGGCTATGGCGAGGACGCAGGTAATAAGTCCTTGAACAAGAAACATCCATTGCCACCCCTTCAGAGTCCTGCCATCTAATTTGTTCAAGCCGAAATTAACAAAGCCCCCAGTAGCCAGAACCATCACCTCGCCTGTTTGTAGAAGTGCGAACCGTACTTGTTGCTCTTCTCTAGTATACCATGTGCTGATAAGATAGGTCAACCCAGGGTATATCCCGGACATGGCAATGCCGAGCAAAATTCTGAGCAGGATCATTTGCTTCCAGCTCGTGACGAACGCTGTGCAAAACGTGATTGTGCCAAACGTAAAGGTAATGAGGCTAAACCACACCCTTGGTCCTATAACCCGAACAGCAATCGTTGACGGTAGTTGGAACGCAATACTTGCGATTGTGAAGATAAAGATCGACACCGAATAACGATTCCCTTTATCAAGGCCTAGCTCTACGAGCATACTCGTCACTGCTGCATTTGAGATAACTCCCGAGTCAAGCAAGTTCAAAGAACACAAGATGCCTGCGATTGAGCACAATCGAAGATCTACGCGAAGCCGTATTCTTTTTTGCTCTTTTAGCTCATCGGCATTGAAGGTGCACGCTGTTAGGTCTCGATTGGAAGCTTCGTGAACCTCCCGGGCCTCGGAACGAAGTGTATTCTTCAAAGGTGGTGACCATGCCGCAGTGGGGTTGATCATGATTGAGTTCGCCATTTGGTCTGAGTTTGTTGTAAAGAATCACAAGTACGAGAAAAGCACAGAAAGCAGAACGAAACCAAAATTGCTCCACCTAAATGCTGTTCATAAGACCATGTTGGAGACCTCAGCTCAATTTCTCAAACGTAGAACAATATGCGGTGCTAATCAAACGTGTGACAAAAAGATGGCGGCTTCTCATGCCGTGCTCCATCAGCTTCAAGGTCCCATATTATCGGAAGAGTCGCTGCCGATCACGCTGGATTTATTCCTGGGTGCTTAAAACTCACTTGCCCTTTCGGGAACTGAGGGGGATTTGCCGACACCCCGGCATTGTGATGTTGCCACTTCTTTTCTTGCTCCTAGTTCTAGTTTATAGCATTAGTTCTGCAAAATTCATGGAGATCAGCAGTCGCCCCCAAACCCACTATAACTTTATATTGTAAGCCCGCAGTTTTACCTATCGCTGAGCACCTGGATACTCGGACCGACACAACTCATGCATCTACAATCACGAGATTTTATTTTCGTTCATCAAATACATTCGTATGGGCTTTGATCTCACGCGGTTTCAGTCCTAATATGCAACGCAGCTCAATTTATGACGCACACAACTTTTCTGCTCGACCTGATGGCATTCTATTCAGATTCAATTGCTGAAACGTGGTTAACGATACATAGGACTGACTTAAATTTGCCACAGACTGATGTATTTCTCGAAGACTACCAGGCTATTGGTCACTGTCAGACTTGTCTAATTTCTTCTGTGCTCAAAGTGATGGTAAATAGCCTTGTGGCGCCTTACCAACGACGGATACCCGCCTGTGTCACACGAAGCCTTGTGTTGCGTCTCAAAGCTGCTAAATTACCAACTCTCCTTTATCTTATAGTTAACAAGCAATAACAAAAACGATAATTTCGAGAATTCGAGAGTCGAATTTGACTCCAGCCATGACGAGGGGTTGTCGCTACCTAAGCAAAAATGCTTGTCTGCGAGCATCAATAGCTTTGTTCTCTTTCTGATCCCATGTTTTCCATGACTCAATTGAGAAAATGCTCGACGTAATTTTGATTTTGTCTTCGTTTGGGAGAAGGACCAACATTTGTGGACTTCGATCTAGACAGCGAAGGAAGAAGAGGTTATGAGCAGATAACGGTATACATGTCTAGACTATTGATTCATCTGGGGAACGAAACAATAGAGCCAAGCCTACGTGCAGTTAAAGGCTTGATTTACAAGCTTCAACACTCACGCATGGTGCTCCGAAAACATCTTGGAGCATTAGGGGTCAGGGTTCGCCAAGCTAGTGTACTGGCTTATGGGGGCTCAGCAGACGGTAAGTTTGCTCCCAAACACAAAGGATTTTTTGACTGAGTATGAAATCCCGATAGATCGTCCTGGGTCGTGCAAATGACAGAACTTTATACCTTTCCGCCAATCGAGTCCAGATTTGTTCGAAACAGGGTTCAGTAGAACTATTTTTGGGTGTCGAAGTCTTCAAGGCCAACAAATTTCCAGGAATCATTGAAGCAATCTTGACAGGGTCTGATCTATTCAACAACCTAATTCTCATAGCGGGCTTGCAGCGATGTAACGGAGTCTGATTTCGGCATGCTCAGCTGTCGATCACATCAGGAAACGTACTGGTCACATGACTAGTCACGACGATAGGGTCTAACGAACTGTACTCTTCTTGACTTCTCTCATGCGTAGATCCCAGATCGAACTTTTGACAAGAGTTTCATAGCAAGTTGTGTTACGCCTGGGTGTGAACGTCAGAGCACTCGGATTTAACGAAACTGTTTAAAGCAACAGCCTGGAGCCTCGTCTACCCCGCTCCCCCGTCCAATAATATTGCCATTTGTCTCAACATCAAGGTTCAGCGAGCTACCCAAGAAGAGTAAGCAACTCTCGTTGGTTGGTCACATTGTCCACTCCGCGCCGCTGTCAAGTCATGACCTCTCGCCCACATCTCCGCCAGGATTCTCTTCAGATATCAATCATACGGACCTGACCTGTTACACTTCGTTGACTTCTGCCCAGACAGGATAATAGCAACAAGACAGTCTGTTCGAGAAGACTTTGACTCGAGACAGTCGCTAAGATCAAACTCTCCCCAACGGGTACACCAGTCTTCCAGAACCAGGTTCTCTCAAGATGACTCCACATGCTTCAGCTGTGATGGAGGTTCTTCACACAGCGGAACTACTTGAACAAATCCTCTCCGACCTTTCCATCGACAGACTCCTGATCGTCAAGCGTGTTTGTCGTTTCTGGAACGCAGTAATCTCTACATCACCATCGCTCCAGCGTAATCTTTATCAACGTCCAGATCTATCACGTGATATTCGAGATTATAATCCATTGTTTGAGGACTTCTTCAGCGATATTGGATGCGCAGATGTCCCGATGAGATCGCAAAATGGTTCTAGGGGACCACCAGCGCATCTGAAAATTTCACCGATCCAAATGCGAAAATTATTGACCAAGTGTCCCCCAGCCCTCAGAACTATGAGCATGTTCCAGCCACCATGCCGGTATTGGCTTACCTTGCCTAGTGCAAGTCCTTGGGACTTTACTGTGAAGTTTATGAATGAAGCCGACACACCCGTCATGCGAGCTGTCGAGAAAGCTAGCATGATTATTGAGCTAGAGGCGGACAAACGGAGGAATCTAAGACGGAATCTTGAACACAGACTGCGACCAGGAGTTCGAGGTGCAAACATGCGACACCGGTACCAAAACGGTCGTGCAGGAGCGGTCAATGCATGAGTAAAGATCAGATTCTGTTCACTACAGTGGCTTTGACAAAATTGGTGTCACTGTCCGCAAGGGTTTTCTTAAGAACTTTTGGCTCAGTCTTCAGCATGAGCTTGTAACGAGCTGCTAAGAACACCGATGCCGACACTTCAAGAAATTGGTATTTTTACCAGTCATCACTCCCACTCCGTGTGTCAAACACGGTCGGTCATGTGCGAGGTGTGAACGAAATCATACCTACCGTTGTAGGTTTGACTTGAGACGTTCAAGATACTACACGAATCCTCACCGTGCGAGGATAATCTAGAACGTGCAGTTCGAACGCTTTCCCATTCAATCCACAATGAGATTTGTTTCATGCTGTGCTACTCTATGGTGCACAGTATATCCTTTTTTATCTTGTATCGCGCTGTTATCATTTCGCTAGTCTCTAGCATACTTTCTACAACTAGCTACGGTTAATTTCTCTTGATATTCTTGCCAAATAATGGAAACACACTTCTTGATATTCGCTTCGCTTCCACTCTTGGTTTTCCGTCGAAAATTACATCATTTTTCTCGTCTTCCAACTGGACTGAGTCTCCATTCTTTTTGGCGTTTACATTAGCGCTCTTACTTTGGCCATGCCAATGGACACTAAAGATATTTTAAGGAAGTCTATTTTATGCGCTTTATCTGCAGAAGAAAGGCGTGCGAGCAAGGCATGACGAAGTGTCGAACCAAGCTTGAGCCCTATCCGAAATGTTTAGACGTTTGTCTGAACTGCTTCATATCCTGTCAAAGCGTACAAAGCACTTGATTATTCGAATCGAGTAGGTCAATATTATTCAATTACTTATAAACAAGCTAGGGACTAGCAATGAATTAGCGAGAGCAAATGCAACAAGTGCTCAAACCCTTCAATCGCATGTTTATTAATGAAAAGCGCAAGAGGTATTAAACCAGTAGCTGATGGAGAATTGAGCATCTTTTGAGAGCCGTAGTACGTGGCAGGGAATTCAGCCATTGTTTATGTAACGCTCGACCCTTTGCGATCTCGGTGGGGTGTCATCCATTACTCCATTGCGAGATTCCATCTCTCGTTGGCTGGCCTCACGTTCTTGCAGCGCCAATACATCAGCCTGAAATTGCCTCATATTGACCTCTTCTGAATTCTCTTGGTTTCGTTGGCTAGCTCGAACCACCGTGCCTGGTGTGTATTGGCCTAGAGTCGGTGTCCATTGTCTCGTTGCTAGAGCTCCTATGTTAACGAAAATAGACAACCGATGTGTCTTAATACTTACGATCTGCGATGTGTGGAGTTACCGGTAGAGTTGTTGTTGTCTGCATTTCTGAGCCTTCGAGGCGGGGCGTAACTACTGCTTGCTGCCGGCGCATTAGTATGTTTTGTCTACAGCCAAACATGTGCTGGCATGATGACATGATTTGAAGGAAAATGATCCCTAACACGGCCAAGAACCTGGGAGGGCTATACCGTGCTTGCAGAGCGAGTCCTTGGAGGCACTGTTGAAAGATTATTTTGTGGTATGGAGGAATGTCCACCTAAACTTAGTCAGCAACACGAATGAGTCTTGAAATATTAAAGGAAATTACGGCTCCAATTTCGCAGTGGGATAGCATGTCGAACGCGTCTATTGGAGATAATGCTATAGCTATATGCTGAGTGGATAGAATGGCGTGAGGCATGACGAGCTTGAATTATCGGAGGAATAAACTCGCGATGCTGGGTCACTCTTTGGTCGGCTCTACGAATCAAGTGATTGTTAAGGATTGGAGATGTGCTGGGACTACTCGGTGGCGCGGAAGGCATCATTTCAGTTTCTGTTCCATGTTGTAATGCCGGAGGCGATATCCAATGCTGCGGTCTTCCGTAAAGCCTGCTATACGTTGGGTGATCGACGCTCATATTCACGGCTATGTGCTCGTTCGCAGCATTCGCGTGAAAAAGATTTGCGCTTCGCCGCTCAGGCGATGCTTGCTGTGTCGCACTTTGACGAGCAATCGAAACCAGGCGGGTTTGCGCCGCCGCAGCTTGCTGGGTGATGGTGTCTAGAGGCGAAGGCATGTCTGCCGCGGCAGCCTCAGCAGCAGATGAAGCTGGACCCAATTCATTGTTCGTTAATTGGTCGTTTGTGTCATTCATATTTATCAGGGCTTTGGGAATATTTGCTGGCAGTGCGGATGGGCTGTTCAAAATGTTATACCGCTCGCCAGATGCACACTCATCGCCAATACTCCACGCTTTTTGGTATGAAATATCTTCCCTGCACCCCCCAAACGGTATGTTGCTTTCGCTACGTTGCTGAGGTGGATAATTTCTATGTGTAGAGTGAGGAGATAAGGTTTCAGAGATATATGGAGCACTTCTCGTGCGCGATTGCATTAGCTGTCGAGCTAGCGAAGTGTGGCCTTTCGGGACAACAGCACTGGCCGTATGACTTTGAGTCGATGATCCCGGTTGCAATGATTCATATTGGCCATCAACCTGAAATTCGCCCACAAACGGTGAGCTGTGACGAGAAGGAGGAATAAAAGCCCCATTGCGATCTTGCCATGATGTAGACGTCATATATGGCCCTGAGCTCTGCGGTTGAAGTGCACTGGTGGACGAAGGCTGGGCTCTCAAATCTACTCGTCTCCCGATATGATTAGACTGTGAGAGGCCTATACCATTTGCCTCCTCAACACAATGCTCAGCGGAATAAGGTGCCATATACTGAGCAGCTTGTCCCATGACAGCCTCGTCTCGAGATCGCTCTGGACCGCGCCGCAAAGTAGCTCCACCAAGGGGTCGCTGGCGTTGTCGCTGGCGTTGTCGCTGGTCAAGAATGACATTCAGTATCTGGACGTCATCTGTCGTAAGAGTTATCTCGGACGGCTGAAGACGAAGCATTTTGATGTAGGTGAAGGCAGTGCCAAATTTGCAACAACTCAAAACCACGAAGCTGGTTAAAATTATGGCTAAGGTGCACTCTTTGATTAAGAACAAACATCGTAGTGCGCATGCGCCGCTGAAGGTCCACGATACAGGTAGGAAGGTGAGACAAACATTTGCATAAATTGAGAAAGAGCACACTATTACTTGGCTCTTGCACAATGAAGATTCATGATCGATCCTGACCGATCAAACCCACTCGCTCCATGGTAACGGGATTAGGCTGTGCCATAAGCCTTCAACCCTTTAGGAATGGAACTTAGGATGCGATGCAATCAGACTGGAATTTGTTAGCGTACAGTTGTTCCAGTTGGATAAGCAAGCTTTGAATCTAGTTGTGGATCCAGTCACCGAAGCCACTCTTCCAGCGGCTCCAACATTGAGCAGGAACACCTGTAAGTTGGAGAGTTTGTGACAATCTGAACCGGATACTCCTACGGTGGGAATTAACATGAATTACAGGATACCAAGTAGAGTGAAATGAAGATCAAAACGTTGTAGCATGGCGACTGGTTCGAAGTCCAGGAATAGTGGGTTTGAGAACAGACTATATCACGATGGGCAGGGGAAATGGAGCCACGACCAGGGCATAGGCCGACGACGATAGAGTGGGACTCCTCGCTGGCACTTGTTGCGAAATATTGACTTCCTGTCAATGAAGGTATAGCCACAGCAATGGTAGAGTAGTACGCAGGCGATTCCGCAACCTCATAGACTCGCACAGCGGTTGGCGGACCTCGGACGAGTACTCCGACCCTTACCAACGGATCTGCAAGATGACGATGATGTGCCTACTGGTTGGACAAAAGCAGAGGCCATCTGCAGAAGGAAATTGGAAGTCATTCGAAGACAGCGACGGCAAATAAACTGGGGCGGAAAAGAAAAAAGGCAAAAGCCTGCTGCTTGCCCAGCGGACGATGAGTTGAGCGCCGGCCTGCGGTCCAACTGTCCAGTGTCCAGCCCGCCAAGATTCGCGGTGCAAGCCACGTGATTGCACCTTGTTTGGCTGGAGTGTCGACTCCAACCCGATCTATAGTGTCGGCGCTGCTTCGTCTTCATCGCGGACGACCTGGCGTGCACTCTTCCTTGCAGCCGCAAAAAGACGGCCTCGGTGGCTGGAGAGCAGATCAAAGAACCTTCACTCGCTTTCCTTGGATTCTGCGGCGCCTGTGGCTGCGCCTCTCCAGCTTTCGCAAGCCCACGGCAGAACCCCCAGTTGGTGACGCTGCGCTCGCAACTTGCCGATACATTCTGCAACTGCACGTCCACGTTCCGCTCGTTACCTTACGTTCGCAGCCATGAATGGAGACATCAGTCTCACAGAGACATATCTGGGCGGTCTACGTATCGCTAATCCAGATGATGAGGACACCTCGTCACCCGCGGTAGCGGACTCGTCACCGCCCAGCCAGAGCTCTCAAGTCCCACCTTCGTCATCTCACTCCTCATCCTCCACTGCCACAGAGAAGCCGGCTGGCAGGAATCTCTCGCCCTCGCCGACCCACGATTCCCAACCTACGACGACGACAGCAGCCACAACAACAACAACAACAACATCCTCATCTGATCCGGTCTTTCAACCGCAGCTACAACACCGTCCATCATTACCTTTGCCTCACCAGGCTCAACAGCCTCTGTCATTGGCGGGACATCCAGGACCTAGTTCCCAGCACCGAGCATATCCCACGAATGTAGCCCGTCCCATATCGGGCATGTACAACCATTCCAACCTCTCTGGTAGCTCTGGCATATCTAGTTATGCCGCTTACAGGTACGGTGAGGAACCTACTCAGCCAACCATACCAACGGCTTCAATGGTTCAAAGGAGTAGCTCGCGGGCTGCTGCCTCCGCTTTATCACAGTCCGGATTGCTCTCACGCGACCGGAGTGGTAGTGACCGAATGCTACAGACACAACCAGGCTTTGCAGAGAATGGAGCACCGCCTCCGCGCAGAAGTTCGAGAAAGATGCCACCAGGATCGTCGGCATCCACACCAAACACCTCCTCACCTTACACGCTTGAGAATGGCCCACCCCCAAGCAGCGAGGAATGGAAGGAAAGGGGAGCGGCCACGACGATTCGGCAAGAAGTAGATGCAAATGGTCGGACTGTTCAAAGAGTGACCAAAAAAGGAGTGAAGGATTTCAACTTTGGCCGAACACTAGGAGAAGGCTCCTACAGTACAGTGCTGGCAGCCACTGATCGACAGACCTTGCGTGAATACGCCATCAAAGTGCTGGACAAGCGACACATAATCAAGGAGAAGAAAGTCAAGTACGTGAACATAGAAAAGGATACCCTCAACCGTTTGACCGAGCATCCCGGCATCGTTCGTTTATATTACACTTTCCAAGACGAACGATCTTTGTATTTCGTTCTGGATTTAGCGAGTAATGGTGAATTGCTCGGTGTTTTGAAAAAGATGGGCTCTTTCGACGAGGAATGTACACGCTTCTACGGAGCCCAGATACTGGATGCGATTGACTACATGCATTCCAAAGGCGTCATCCACCGCGATCTCAAGCCGGAGAACGTACTCCTTGATGCACACATGCATGTCAAAATCACCGACTTTGGCACAGCGAAAATTTTAGAGACCAAGCCGAAGAAGGATGGCAGCGGCTCAACAACGGGTGATCCTCTCGACGGTGCAGATTTGGATAGAGCAATGTCATTTGTTGGGACGGCAGAGTATGTAAGTCCGGAATTGTTGACAGATAAGAACGCTTGCAAAGCAAGCGATCTGTGGGCTTTCGGCTGCATAATATTCCAACTACTCGCGGGTCGTCCTCCCTTCAAGGCAGCAAACGAGTATCAAACGTTCCAGAAGATTGTTGCCTTGGACTATCAATTTCCCGATGGTTTCCCTTCCATTGCAAGAGATTTAGTCGAACGTCTACTTGTCCTTGACCCTGCGAAGCGATTGCCCATGGAGCATATTAAAAACCATCGGTTTTTTGAGGGTATTACATGGGGCAAAGGCTTGTGGAAACAGAAGGCTCCCAGATTGAAAGCGTACAGCCCCCCTGCACAGGAGCCGATACGCTTGAATGGTAAGTGTAAATCAAATATCATAAGTTTATCGCGAAATTGACGACGACATGCAGCTCCTACATCCGCTCCACAGAGCTCAAGTCAATTGACTAGACCTCATCCACGCGTTATTACCGAACTGCCTCCGCCATCACAACTCGATATCGACTGGTCACCTGTTCTGACGAGAAATAATGAGCGCATACTAAAACTTGGAATCCTTAACGTGACCGTAACCTCACAACCACACAGCCCGAATTCCAAGAATGGAGAAGGCTCGAGCGAAACTTCAAAGAAATTTTCAAGATTCTTCGGCGGAAACACTAACAAAAGACGCCAACGGCTGGTTATGGTCACCTCAAGCGCTCGACTTGTCCTTGCATCGGCAGGAGGTGATGAGAAAAAGGCTAAACTAGATATCACTCTTATGGCGCCTGGAACGATGTGGAAGAGTTTTAAAGATTCAAAGGGCTTGACTGTGTGGTCCGTCGATACACCAACAAAGCATCTTCTTTTCGAAGATCCCAAGGCGACGCCTAGCGATCCTGATGGAAGCATGTATGGTGCGCAGGAATGGATGGATGCCATAGAAAAGGCCCGAGAGTTCGCTATATCTCAATCGATGGCCAACTCTTATTCCGGGGATTCGGCATTCAACGACCTAGGCTCCTCTTTGTCGAGCCCAAGCAGCACACTCGGTGGAGATAACACTTTAGACGGAGTCAACATTCCCACCGCTCGCTTGCGAAAGGGCGAAATGGATCAAGAATCATTGAAAGGGCGAAAACGATTCAGCAAGAGGCACTCGAAGAACGGACTTGCCGCCGTCTTCTAAGCTGTATGCCATCACATTAACTCAGCAACCTCCCACATATTGTTTTTCTCATGTTCAGCGTCTACAGCCATCTCACGACTTAGCATTCTCAGTACTTGGTAACAGGACCTATTTATGAATTTACATCTTCATCATCGAGCGTCGGGCGTTGCGGTTACCAGATGTTGATATCCTAGTCCGAAGAAGCTTTTTTTTTGTCTACTTTCTTTTTCTTCCTTATTTCCCTTGAAAAAAGAGTCTGCTTTGGGAAAGCGCAGCAGGTATGGTACTTGTAATGATTGTGGCCTGTATATTTTCTTGATTCCCGGGTCCATGACCTCTTCGTCCAAACGCTACTTGTTATTTTCGAGGAGTGGGAGATTGGTTTGCGCTTCGATGTACATGCTCTTTCAAGTGCGTGACAGAGATAGCTCTTCGATCTGTTACGACCTTGTATGCTTTGTATATAGAACAAGACATGCATGAGCGATCGAGTTTTCTTGTGATGCCAAGACATTTTAATCTTATCGACTATTGTTGCATGGCTTACACTGTTTCCCTCGCTCGAACGGCATTCAAATGTCATAGACACGCAAAAGGCATCCCTGTCCATTTTCCAGACGGAGAAATCCGATGGTCAAAACTTACATACCCTTACAGGTATTCCTGATCTATTAGATTCGTAGATCCAGCCAGTCAATGAATTTTTCTTTCTAAATTCAATCCCAGTTCTTTTGCAATTGGGACGTTCTTCAGTGCCTTTCCAAGGTCATCCGCCGCATCTAGAACAAAACCATGCCGTTCTGCTTACGTTGGAGCTTACCCTGCTCCACAGCATGTTTCCGAGCGTAGACATAAAGGCTCATAAAGGCTCGTCTTTAGAAAAGACGAGACAGCTGCTTCAATTCACTGGTTTCTCTACAATGACTGCAGAACAAGAACTTAACGAGCTTAAAGCTCTGCTCGAAACAGACGAAATCATTTATCCCGAATCGCCAGACTATGTGATGAACAGTCGGCCCTTCGCTTTGCAGAAGGACTACAAGCCGAAATTAGTCGTGAGGCCAAAGACTCTAGAGTCTTTGAGCAGGACAGTCCGTTACTTGGCTGAGTCGAGCTTACAGTTCAAGGTCAGAAGTATGGGGTTTGGGAGTGCGTCTGCCAAAGATGTTATCTTGAGCATGAGGGCCTTTGACCAATTCGAATTTGATCGCGACAAGGAACAATTGATTCTTGGCGTTGGCCAGCCTTGGGAAAACTATTATACAAAGATGGAGCAGATAGCTCCAGAGTACTCAGGTAAGAGATCATCTCGGAACTTGGACGACAGTACTGACTAGATGGTGCTAGTGGTGTCCGTTAGAACTCCAAACATTGGCGTAGGTGGAAGCACGCTCTCTGGAGGGTTTTCATGGTTGTCTGGAGAGCACGGCTGTTTGTCTGATCCGGAAAATCTATTGGACATGCAAGTCGTTAAGCTTGATGGAACGGTAATATGGGCCTCTGAAGAACCCGATCTTCTCTGGGCCATGCGCGGCACGGAAGGCTCTTTCGCCGTAGCCGTTGCATTCAAGCTGCGTTGTTTTAAGTATCCACAGAAGGTGTGGTCCGGTCCTATCCTGATTCCAAATAGCCGGGAAGCACAAAAGCAGATCTGCACAGGAATTCTCGGTATGGACCAGGACCACCCAGAACCCAAAACGGCGCTGTTCTTGTATCGTATGAACCCAGAAATCCTAAAAGCTATTGGAGACGGCAAAAACGGAGACATGATCGTCGTTCACGCCTTTGATGCGCGAGGCGAGGAGGCTGGCAGGGAAGCTTTTGGATGGGCATTGAACATACCTGGAGTCATCGACCGAACCCGATATCAAACTATGAAGGAGCTCGCAATGATGCAGAGTAAGTCTTGCCTCGCCGAATTTCTAACCTCGTGCTGATTTTGTCCAAGATGGCGTTGGTGCTCTTACGTATACGCAGACGTTTTATTGGACCGGAATTGCTCTTGCACGACTATCCGAGGACATCCTGATGAAATCCTTTGAGTGGTATGATGAGTGCTCCATGGCTGCAAATGACTCCCTCGGATCTTACTCAAGCTTGGTCTTTGAACTGTTCTGCACTTCTGAGTCGAAATCTGGCAGGCTCTCTTCTGGATGGCCCAGACCTCCAGGATTCAAGCACATGATATTGATACAGTCAGGATCACCTGGGAGAAGCGCGGCAGACGATGTCGCGAGAGAGCTCGCAATGCAGGGGCCAAGTTTTATACTTGGACCGAGCGCCAATCGTAGTTCAACAGCCAATGCTATAGAAGACTTTCATGATGTCCAAGAAGTAGGCAGGCCGGTTCCTACGCTTCCTTCGAGGTAAAGCTGATCTTAGCAGATTTACGGCGAAAATTATGAGAAGTTAAAGGAATTGAAACGCCAATACGATTCAAAGAACCGATTGAATGGTTGGATCAAAGTTTAATATAGGATTTGATAGCTCGGGCTTTTAAATTAAAGAGTAAGCTTATCTTTGCTAAACCTGACAATGCATGATACCTACCTCCATTATCTCAGAGCACAGTCAACAACCCTTCTTCAATTTGAAAGCTGTCTTGGATACGATCATGTTGTAGGTTATGTCGTCCAAGATGTAGCTTCAGTTGATCATGTTAACGCTGTAATTTAAAAGTAAGGCCGCATGCTGAAGGACTGTTTGCATTGATAGCGGGTAATACAACTGAAGATATGATATCCATTTCCTAAGGAATTCCTTCGGTCACGTGATTATTGGAGATTAAGCCTCAAGACTGAATGCTGACGGATTTCTAGAAGCGCCTTTCGCGAACTGCGAGGTGATCCACGGCGAGAAAAAAGCGAGATTGCGAAACCTGGCCTCCGTTCCAGTTCGTAGTGTTCGGAATTAGCACGAGAAAGGTTTGAAACATCAAATTCTGTTCATGTAGCAGGTAGGAGGAGTCCTTTGTGGAGAGTACCAAGCTTTGTAAAAGGCATCGAGAACTTTGAGATTTCAGCTTTTGCAGAAGTCCCCTGCTATGCCTACTGTTGCCGAGCTGCTAGTGGTTGTGTTACATAGTAATCTCCGGATGGACAGATTTGGGTGCATAACGGGAGCATAATCGCATTTTTGCTGTGTTTGCGTATAGTAGCTCCTTACATTTGCCCCTCGAGACAAAGCATCTCGTCAACAGAGTCTCAAGCCATCGGCCTCGCCCAGGCAACATCGCTTGGCAGTGTGAAACTGGCGCAAAACATTCTTTTATTTGGGGCCACATCCCGAACGTCAACAATCTCAACCTCTCCCTCCACGTGGGAACTGCCCGGCCTCATCTCCCTGCCTAGCAGACCAGTAATTTCCGCACAGATCTTCTTTTCCTCTTCAACATTGTCCTCAGACTTCGTGGAGAAGCAGTACACGTGAATCTTTGGTAGTCGTGCATCTAGTGTTTGTGGAATGTCCGCAGCACGGTATACGCCAACAAAGGAGGTTAGAAAGGAAAGCGCTGATGCAGGTAGATTCATGACGTAGTGGCTGAAATATCGCGGTTGTATTAGCGTCTTGAGAAGCTTCTTTTCCTCCTTGGAACTTCGCGACGGTTTAGAGAAGATTTCAACCTTGTGCTGTTTGGTCGCGTGATAGAGGTCGCGCGTCGCATCCACGATGAAGCGGCGCCCATCGGTGGAGAAAGGCCGCACATACTGTGATACCTTGTTCCTTTTGATGGCATCCTCAAGTGAAGCATAAGAGTCCGGATTCAAGTCATTCGCCCAAACGAATACCCTCTTTCTCCCAGCCGGCACTGCAAAAGGACCCACTCCTGCCATAACATCGCATACGGCCTCTCCTTCCGAAAACAAACTTACTAGCCGCTTGTGTTCCGAATGGAGTCTTGGATTCCAGTAGACCTTCGCATAATCGAACCTAAAGAGACAGTCCTCCTCTTTAACCTCCACATTTAAGTCATTGGGTCCAGCTAACACCTCGTACGGAAACGTACGAAACGGATTTTCCGCACCAACATCGTCAATTTTGTTTATTACGGTGCGAACTTGTGGGTTTTTGTCCAGAAGTACAGACGCGATGAGTGATTTGTACGGTAGATATTGTGAGCGAAGGTTAAGGTGAGCAACGTGCCCGATGATGGAAAAGCCCGAAGGGACTTCCTCTTGCTCATCTTCGGGGAGCACCGATGTCATTATGTCATCTGCGACCGTCAGTCATTTGTCCAATACTTCAGTAGGGAGTTGGCTTGCAGTAGTCCCATGAATCATAGTTCAGCTGTAGCTCATATGGTATCACATCTACTTTCTTCGACGTCTCCAAAGCACGTAAGGTCTCACTCCATGTAGAGACATCTGCCTAGCGAAATCAGTCTCTCCTCATGATATGACCCGGGTTCAGGCTAGGTACCGTCGTGCTTGATGTTTGGCTTTAGTAGCAGACATTTCAGTCCCGTGTTATTCGCGCCGGGAGCCAGTTGTATCGGCGATATCCTCTCGTGCCTTAGAAGATCCCGGCTCTTTTCCAGATCTTTGCGACATTGAGAAATTTGCTGGTTGCTAAAGATTCGGGCTGCTGCAAGAGGCACGGTCTTCTGGAAGAAAGCGCGGTCAAGTTGCCGCATTGCGCGGTTGACCGGCGGTCGTAGAAGCATATTCACGTCGGACATTTGCTATCAGACATCAGATACGGTAGTGCAAGCGCAAAGACCTGAGAGGCTTTGAAACGGACATGAACCCAATAAGAGCCAATATGTGACTTGGCTGTGAACTTGCTCGCACAATCCGCAAATAGGTTACTTTTTTTTTTGGGTTGGTCCCTTGTTAGTGACGCATCGCCGCAACGCCGCAGCCGGCGACCTCACCTCTCACATGGGACATGCCAGGCCCATCCCAACACCTTAGAAACAACCCTATTAAACAGCGCGTGCCTACGCGACAGCTCCACGCGACTATTATTTTATCAAGGCAAACAGACATGTTCCTACGCATACCTAGATAGCTGCCACCGCGTCCTATAATTTATTTCCAGCCAGTCGGGTCTGTTGGGGATACAGTAAACCATCACTATGTCGGCTGGAGGCAACATCAAGGTCGTTGTGCGGGTGAGGCCGTTCAACAACAGAGGTACGACCATACCAGAATCCCACGAGGCTAATCTAGTGTTCTCGAATGTAGTCTAATAAGGGTACGCTGCAGAAATCGACAGAGGCGCAAAATGTATCGTTCAGATGCAAGGCAACCAGACGGTGCTCACCCCTCCGAAAGACATCGACCCGAAGTCCAAAACTGCAAAGGCGGCGCTTGAGGGCACAAAAACATTTGCCTTCGACAAGTCATACTGGTCGTTCAACAAAAATGACGAGCACTTTGCCGGTCAGGAAGATCTCTTCAGAGACTTAGGCAAACCGCTTCTTGACAATGCCTTTCAAGGTTACAACAATTGTATATTTGCGTACGGCCAGACGGGCTCCGGAAAGTCATACTCGATGATGGGTTATGGCCAGGAGTACGGCGTCATCCCGCGAATCTGTAAGAATATGTTCGAGAGGATCGAAGAGATGGGCAATGACAAGAACCTGACGTGCACGGTCGAGGTTTCCTACCTAGAGATTTACAATGAGCGTGTGAGAGATCTGCTAAATCCGGCAACAAAGGGCAATCTCAGAGTGAGAGAACATCCATCAACAGGCCCTTACGTGGAAGACCTGGCAAAGCTAGCCGTGCGCTCGTTCGCAGATATTGAGAACCTCATGGACGAGGGTAACAAGGCCAGAACTGTTGCGGCGACCAATATGAATGAGACGAGCTCGCGTTCACATGCCGTGTTCACGCTTGTGCTCACCCAGAAAAGGCACGATGTGGAAACGAACATGGACACGGAAAAGGTCGCTAAGATCAGTCTGGTTGATCTGGCTGGCTCAGAGAGAGCTACTTCTACCGGCGCCACCGGTGCTCGTTTGAAAGAAGGTGCCGAAATCAACAGATCACTTTCCACGTTGGGCCGAGTTATCGCGGCTCTCGCAGATTTATCGTCAGGCAAAGGCCACGGCAAAAAAATCCAAGTGCCGTACCGAGATTCTGTTCTTACATGGTTACTGAAAGACTCGCTGGGAGGGAACAGTTTGACGGCTATGATTGCAGCCATCTCACCTGCAGACATCAATTTCGAAGAAACCTTATCCACGCTGCGATACGCCGATTCCGCAAAACGTATCAAGAATCATGCTGTCATAAACGAAGATCCAAACGCTCGCATGATTAGAGAGCTGAAAGAGGAGCTCGCACAGTTGCGCGCAAAACTAAGTGGTGGGGGTGGTGGTGTTTCCATGCCAATGGAGGAGCAATATGCTCCGGATACACCCCTGGAACAGCAGATCGTTTCCATTACCCAGGCGGATGGTACCGTTAAGAAAGTATCCAAAGCCGAGATTGTAGAGCAACTCAACCAATCCGAAAAACTGTACAAGGAAATCAATCAAACCTGGGAAGAGAAGCTCGCACAGACTGAGAAGATTCACAAGGAGCGAGAGGCAGCGCTTGAAGAGCTTGGTATTAGTATTGAAAAAGGCTTCATCGGTGTGTCAACACCGAAAAAAATGCCTCATCTTGTGAATTTGAGCGATGATCCGCTGTTGGCTGAGTGCTTAGTGTACAATATCAAGCCGGGAACGACTACAGTGGGCAATGTCGATTTGTCGACAAATGCCGAAATTCGGCTCAATGGCTCGAAAATTCTCAAAGAACACTGCGCATTTGAGAATGTGGACGATGTGGTTACCGTAGTACCAAGAGAGGGTGCTGCAGTCATGGTTAATGGTGTGCGACTGGAGAAACCCAAGCGGCTGCGCAGCGGCTATCGCATAATCTTGGGGGATTTCCACATTTTCCGCTTTAATCATCCGCAGGAGGCGCGACAAGAGAAAGCTCACGAGGGCAGTTTGTTGCGACACTCAATACTAGCAAGTGATTTGGAATCGCCATCACCGCGACCAGGTCATGAGAGAACGATAAGCATAATGAGTCGACCAGACTCTGAATACGACTTCAGCAGCCCCTCACGAATAAACTCCCCGACTCCAAGAGTCAATCGGGACAACGAGTGGTCGTTCGCAAGGAGAGAAGCCGTTAGCTCCCTACTAGGATCTGATCAAAGGGTCGCAAATTTGACAGATGAAGACCTTGAAGCCCTTTTCGACGATCTGCAAAAGGTTCGTGCAGATCGCAGAGCGAAGGCACAGAGCCGATTGATCGACGCAGAAGAAGATAGTGATTCGGTGCAGTCATTCCCCGTGCGCGACAAATACGCCTCGAATGGCACCATTGATAACTTCTCTCTGGATACCGTACTGACCATACCATCTACTCCGCAGGCTGGAGACGAGGATAATAACATCCGTAGCACTCGAGAGACAATGCAATCTCAACTTGACAAGCAGAAAGAGGCATATCAAGAGAAATTAAAGTCAGCTGAAGAGGCGCATGTCGCAATAGAGGAGATCAAGGCTGAGAAATTGCAGATGGAAGAAAACTTGAAGCAGCTCAAGAGCGAGATGGAGAGGCAACTCGAGGAGCAGAAGGCGGAACTTCGTAAACAGAAGGAAGAGTACGAACGACAACTTCAGGAATTGAGGCCCACGCCCTCGGGTGCAGGGTCTAGTTCTGATAACGATGTGGAAGACTTGGTGAAATTGACACCAGGGCAACTCGAACTAGCACGAACTGTGATTGAACGGTGGCAACAACGCCGCTACGTTTCCATGGCCGAGCAAGTCCTCCAAAATGCGGCACTCCTCAAAGAAGCCCAAATCATGAGCCAACACCTTGATAAACATGTGGTATTTCAATTCTGCATAGTCGATGTTGGACACACCCTGGCATCTATGTATGACATGGTTCTTACAGACACTGGCAACGAGGATGATGAAGACCTTGATATGGCCCCGAAACCTTGTGTTGGAGTACGTGTCATTGACTTCAAGCATAATGTCATTTTCCTCTGGTCATTAAAGAAACTTCGGAAACGAGTACGACAGATGCGACAAGTTCATCAATATCTCAATTCACCACAGTATGCGCAGCATTTCAACCTAGGAAATCCGTTCGCCGAAGCGTGTTTACCTCAGTATTCGCGCATAGGCGACGTTGATGTTCCGCTGGCTGCTGTCTTCGAAGCTAGAGTCCAAGATTTTGCTCTTGATGTCATGAATCCCTTCACGTCAAACGTGATTGGGATAGTCAAATTGTCATTAGAACCAAGTTTCGCCGAAGCGCCAGAGTCAACCCTGAAATTCAACGTCGTAATGCATGAATTCGTCGGTTTTCCTGAAAGAGAAGGATCAGAAGTTCACGCACAACTTTTTATACCTGGCATATCAGATGAAGAAGGTGGCGTTACCACCACAGCTTTGGGCGTGGATTTCGACGAGGGCCCTGTGCGGTTCGAAAGTGTTCATAGCATGAGCTTACCTATGGATAGCCCACGAAATGCCGCCTTGCGGATATCCATCTTTGCAAGAGTCACTTCTATGCATCTTGACAAGCTGCTCAGCTGGGACGACATGCGCGACTCTGCTCCACGAGTACGACAGAAAAAGAAGAAATCTTCCAGGATATCGGAATCTGAGTATTTCAGTGAAGAAAAGCACGACATATTCACACGTCTTCAACTTCAGGAGATATCGGAATTTGGTGAATATGAGCCTGTGGAAGTTGTGCAGAAAAGTGCCTTGGATCCGGGGGTTTTTCAGCTGCATCAAGGTTTGCAACGACGCATCGTGATAAGCATGACACACAGCTCAGCACATTCACTACAATGGCAGGATGTAACCAACTTGCGAGTGAGCCGTGTAAGCCTCGTTGATTCAGATGGAAAAGCTTCAGATTTGGATACACCGCAACCTGAGGTTCCGCTCAAATTGGTTGGCCCAGTCACCGTCCAGGATAATGCTGACGGAACTTCCGATGTATGCGCGATTTGTCAATGGGATTCAAGTATGCACGGTTCGCCGTTGCTCGACCGTGCAACTTCTGACAGGCACCGCATTAAGATAACATTACTCTGGAATGTAGTCTGTGGGAAGCTTACATCGCCGATGAATTTTGCTATGGATCTTGCTGTTCAGATCAGACCAAGGTCATACATACGGCAAGCAGGTGTTTTGTCGCAACTTTGGAATCCTGTTCGAGTAGTTCACTCTACAGTGGGTATGTTTGCTGTTGCGATTCGACCTGTCTCGGCAAAGCGCGCTGCGGATCTTTGGCGCATGGACAGCAAGAACGACTATGTGAAGGGAGAAGAGTCGTTGTCTGGGTGGACACCACGTGGCGTCTCTCTAATACAGGACTACATTCAAGCGCGCAAGCAAAAGCGCAAAGTTTCTGAGGTTGAAACTGCGAAGAGCATACTAGGTATGCGAGCTCTGGCCATTACAACTATCAACGGTGCCTCGACAGAGGAAGATCAATCAAGCACGCAGCTCAACGACAACCAAGTAGCCCTGCTCCAGAAAGTGCTAAGACTCTGGACCACTAAAAAAGGGATCGAGGAAGCCCTACTCTCCTCTGCAAATACTTCACCGCCAAGAAAAGGCGCCGCGTTCGCTAATACCGGGTCCTCTCCAAACACATCACCACGCAAAGCACGTCGAATAAAGCCAACCCTCACGGCTTCCGTTCGTTTCATCCCCAAAAATCCGTCACTCATGAAGGGAGGCTACCTGCTTACTCCAGACCCTTCACAGACAAAATGGACACGGAGATATGTGGAGCTACGAAAACCGTATTTACATATCTACTCCGTGCCGGAAGGTGACGAACTCAACGCTATAAATCTCACACACGCAAGGATCGATCATGATCCTCAAATTGCAATGCTGTTGCAGCGTAACGACGCTCAGACGCAGGGAAGTACAGTGTGGGCTGTATTTGCGCCACAGAATAGCTGGATTTTCAAGGCAAGAAGCGAGAGAGATAAGGTGGAATGGATCTTGAAGGTTGACGAGAGTTATTTCTCAAGTGGAGGTAGTGGGAGTGGCGATGATTGATCAGTCAAAGTTTCTTTTGTATAATGCGTGACGAGAATGCTGTCGTGAGCATGAAGCTGCTTCACATTGTAAATAGACCTCAGCTTTTTTGAGCAGCCGCCCTTAGATACCCCAGATCGGCCTAAATTTGAGATATGGCGTAGCGGGCGGCCTTGAATGCATTCAACGCCCATTCATTTGTCCACGTCTTTGCTTTCAGCTAGTCCTAGCAGACCGATCGACGGGACAATTGATGAATGAATCAACGTTACAAACTTAGTTCCGTCATTCTTCCATCACCCTAGGTAACCGAAGAAGATCCTCGCTCTTTCTTAAAGCGAATGTACCCAATCATAGCTGTACGATTGGATTTGTCCTGAGACTTGCTGGGGGTCTAACATCATAGAAGCTTGCAAGCCACATTTTCTACAGATTTGTACCCACTGGAGATAGCAGTAACGCAGTTCAATATTACGGTTCATTCGAACCTCATAAGCAAGTGTGTCTCTCCATGAAGGAGGTAGATAAATCCTTCGTGTTCATCTTAAACGCAAGGGCGAAATCCCGTTGACTTCGCAGTCCAACAGCCGAGCGAGCTGCTGAAGTCTGCCAGACGTCACTCTTGCTCCTTAGAAAAGAACATATCATGTGAGGGTTTTTTTTTTGGTTGGGAAAGCCCTTCCAACAAGTCCTCTCGTCCAGTGTCAAGAAGACGACTGTAAGCCACTTTCCAAGCAGCGAGTTTGGAGAATTGGGTATGCCGAAGCCAGTTTTGATAGGAATTAACACAGCCGTGGCATTTCACCATCAAGGTCCTCCAAGCGCAGAGAGCGATATCCTACGCCTCACAGTTGACGTGCAACGAAGATGCATAAGCACACTCCCAGGTCGTCATAAACATACCCAGGGAAATTGATATGGACTTCGCACTACGACGAAGAGTGCATCACGACGACAACCAGCAAAATTTTACGGCCATTCATCCGACGGCCCGAGGCGATGGGGTGAAATCAAGTTTCAGGAGTCATCTTCGACTCTACCATGACAACCAATTAGCTAGAAAAGTCATCGTTCACTTACTAACGACGTCGGGTTGTCTGAATTATGAATTAAATGGTGCACATTTCTCACATCGTTGATTAGCTCCATATTCCGGAAGGGCAAAAAACAAAAAATCCCCACGAGACTATTGTAGCTTTGAAGAAACGCTTCCGTCGGTCTCTTGTTCTTGGGAAGAGCTGACTCTAAATGGCGGCGACGACGGCGGCAGATACGACGCCGCTTTCAGCGGCGGAAAATCATTATTTCAGTAACAATCCTCCCCCAAAGGCACTACAGCAGCACTTGTCGCTGGCAAAAGCCTTCATCGAGAGGCACTCAGAGAATGGAAAGCGTGTCGTGCTCGTCACCTCCGGCGGGACCACCGTGCCCTTGGAGAACCAAACCGTCCGCTACATAGACAACTTTTCCGCAGGCACCCGCGGCGCGTGTAGCGCCGAGTACTTTCTGGAGGCTGGATACGCCGTGATTTTCCTGCACAGGCAGTTTTCGTTGCTTCCGTACTCGCGCCACTACTCACATAACACAAGATCTTTCCTGGATTACATGGTCGAGGATTCAGAAGGCCACATTGTTGTTGGGGACGAACACCAGAGCCAAATGGTTAGCGTTTTCAGGAAGTACATGAAGGCAAAGAGGGAGAACACGCTACTGATTCTGAGTTTCGTGACCATCACAGAGTACCTGTGGGAGCTGAGGGAAGTAGCGAAGCTAATGAAGCCGCTGGGAACACATGCGCTTTTCTACCTTGCCGCCGCTGTGTCCGATTTCTTCGTGCCGGCAGACAGGATGGTCGAGCACAAAATTCAGTCTTCGGAGGAGTTCAGTGCACACAATGTGTCCAAGATGAACGGAAGTGCCAAGGCGCCGGCTGCGCGGACAGAAGGGCGCTCTTTAATCATCGATCTTGAGCCCGTGCCCAAGTTTCTCAAAGCGCTGGTGGATGAGTGGGCACCTGAAGCCATGATCGTTAGCTTCAAGCTCGAGACGGACCCGGCCATCTTGGTCGATAAAGCCCAGTACGCTCTAAAGAAGTATCAGCATCACTTGGTGATTGGGAACTTGCTCAATACGCGAAAGTGGGAGGTTGTGTTTGTGTCGGTGGTGGATGGTGTCAAATGGATCAAGGTACCACGAGGGAGGAGAACGCGAAGCCACTCCGGCATCGAATCATTGGTGGGACGTGCAAGTGGTCAGGTAGACGAAGACTCGCCCGAGGCACATGAGTTTACGGGTGAACCACCTGTGGAGATTGAGAGCTTGATTGTTCCCTCTATCAAGGAACTACATGACCAAATCATAGAAAAGAACATGAATGGCAGGACATGAATAGGCTCAAACTGTTGTCAATCAGCTGTGGATCGCAACGTAAATTGAAATGGAGTTATTGCTATTCTAGCTTTTGTGTGCCCGGATGAGCTGCTATCAGCGAACGTATTCATGATGCATCGTGACTAGATTAAGACATTTGACTATTTTTGCGCGTAGAAGCTGAAAGGCCCAAGTGACCGGGCATCTACAAACTCAACTAGGAGCAAGACACTGAACGCGCTCTCATGTTGGACACCTGGGAATGCATGGTCAGATCGACCCGTAGGGACAGAACGACGAGATGCAGCGATAGCTTGGTTGAATCAGTCCCTGAGGAACCGCATACACGGATTAGGGACAGGAATCGCGTCCTCCGTTTCAATCATTGTTCGTAACTTTGTTAAGTACATCTATTCTTACAAGTCACATTATCTCCTCTTCATGGCCTTTGGAGTCCACGGCTCCGGTTGTTGCTCGACGTCCTTTGCCAGCTTGTACGCAGTGAACTCTTTGACCTTTTTCGGCGGCTGCGGAGACGTGGTCGACGGCGTCCCTTTTGGCACATCTTGCGCCGCCCTATCCTGCAATAATGATGGAATCTCCTCTTTCGGCTTTTCTGCTGCCTCAAATGCCTTATTTGGTACCTGTGCCTGACGGTTCATGTCCTGCGGTGTACTTTCTGAGGTCTGGGTTGCGGATGGTAGTTGCCGTCTCGGAGTTGGCATATCGAGAGCCGATTCTTTGGCAGCCCATCGCGCGTCCGCTCGTGCAGCGAGCTCTTTCATTTGTGCCTGTCGTATCTCATCGAGCTGCTGCTCGTTGATAGATGGTGGTTCGACTCTAGCGTGACGTAGCCATTGTATCCATTGAGCTGGACCGGCATCAGCAGGTTTTACACAATGCGAGATAGCTCTGACAAAGACGTACGGGTAAGCTTTACTTCTGAGAAGTGTACCTTGGTGCCGTATGACACAATGCGCCGCACTCTGCCTGCGTGAAGCGCATCCTTAAACTCCCAGCTGCAGCGATGTGTGAGGACTATAACTTTTGAAGCCGCTATTTAGGGTCAGACTTACAAGGTATTGCCAGCCAGATCAAATCCAACGAGCCATTTTTTCCTCCACGGTAATCTGAGACTTTTCCATTTCCACCACAACCTCTTCAGAGCGCCTGGAGTAGGTGGCATGATGAGGATCGCATCGCGGAGCTTGGACTTTCGGAGTACGCCTTGTGTAATATGGAAAATTATCGAACGCAATTGGCTCGCAGCAATCCCAGCGCACAAGGCATTGACGGTCCGCTTGGACAACGCCACCAGCCTACCACGGTACATGGAGGAATGACCAGCGTAATACACATCACACCCGCCATTCGCGACTGGAGACTGATCTCCATCTTGAAATCTAGAAACGTCGTCTTTTGTATACATCCGTACACTATAAAGCCTCTACTTAGATGGCATTTGCTTCCTTCCTGTAAGAGTAGAGGTTTTCCAGGGGTTGGCAGTTTAAGTATCCTGCAAATAACATAATCGAGGACGTTGTTCGTCCATCATACGTCCATGATTCGGAGCCTTGTTGCCGCACGAGCAACAGCACCGCAGCACGGTAGCATCATAGCAAAGTAATTATAGCCAGCGATCAAAGGCCTGGTTTCTGATTATACTCGCCACCTGCTTGCCTGTGGCACAATCGCCTTTTTCTGTCATCCTTGTAACGCCAGCCTTCAAAGACTGAATGACTGCGCCTGGTGGATCCACGCGTTCGTCACCGACCACATCATCTTACCACCCCGCCGCCGCTTTCCGCGTTGACGCCCGACGACTATCAAGTCCATATCACGTACAAATTTGAGAGATTCGCGCGCCGCGACTGTACTTTTGTTGCAGGTCACACACTATGGCTTCGGTAACTTCGTTGGACCAAGATATGCGCAAGCTGCGCATGGATAGATACACCCCAAAGGCTGCAAATGAAGTACGCACATGGATTGAAGAGACTCTGGGCGACAAGTTGTCTGGCGACCTCCTAGAGGCTCTGAAAGACGGCACTGTCCTTTGTAGGTAAGGCGAAAGGACGAACATTTTCGGATTGATCAGTATTCATACGCGCGTGCGCTTACAGACTCGCCAACCTCTGCCTGCCCGGCGCTCCGATCAAATTCAAGCGCTCGAACATGCCATTCATGCAAATGGAAAACATATCGCACTTCCTTCGCGCCTGCGAGGAACCTCCGTTGAATCTGCCCGCTCATGACCGTTTTCTCACAGTCGATCTGTACGAGTCAAAAGACCCCGCTCAGGTACTCCAGTGTCTCGGCGCATTCAGCCGCGTCGCCCACCAATTATACCCGAACATATTCAAGACCACAATTGGACCAAAACGAAGTGGAGGCATAAGCCCACAAAAAACAGGGGAGACCGGCTTTAGCTCCGGAGCCTTCGGCAGGAATCGAGGACTGAGCAGCGCAAGTCCTGTAAGCAATTCAGCTGCTGTGCCTTCTACTTCACGCGCTCTCAGCCCAGCGTTGACGGGTGGTTCGAATTCGTCTCGCGCTACCGAAGGGGCGCGTTCCCCTCCAGCGTCAGTGAGTAGTTGGAGCAAGAAGGAAGATCAGGGTGCTACAGCTCCAGCCTGGAACATAGCTCAATATGGTATGCAACATCACATATACTGTTTTCAGCCATGTCTAACATCGTGTAGGCTACATGGGCGGCGCAAGTCAGGGAAACCAAGGCATCGCTTTTGGCGCTAGGAGACAGATCACCAGTGCTTCGCCTTACGTTCCGAGTTTGGCTGAGAAGGAGCGCAAGCGACGTGAAAAGGAGGAGGAGGAAGCGCGCTTACGGCAGCTCGCTGAAGAAGCGGAGGAGAAGCGACGCATAGAGCGACAGGCTGAGGAAGAGCGAGCAAGGGCCGAAGAAGAGCGTCGCTGGGAAGAGGAGGCACGACGGCAACGTGAAGAAGAGAAAAGACGGGTCGAGGAGCAGAAACGTCAGTGGGAAGAGGAAGAACGCAAATGGAAGATGGAAGAAGAGGCTCGACAGCGAGAAGACGCAGGATCGCCCATCCAGCAGACTACCATCCGCAAAGGTGGTGACAGTCATGTGCGACTTGAAGGCCAGTACTTGAGCCAGTATCGAGCCGATCAAAAAGCCAAGAGCAGACAGAGCAGCTACAATGATCCCGAGCGGCTGCGCGAACGGGAACGTGTGGCTGAACTTGAGCGTCAGCTTGAGGAAGCAAAAGAGCGTGAGAGGCAATATCTGATGGAGAGGGATAGGCATCACCACGAAGAAAATCACCCTCATGACCGCAGTCGTCACAACCGTTCAGAATCGAGAGCACGCTCAAAGTCGAGAGCAAGATCTCGGAGCAGGCCGCGTCAGGACTCCATGCCAACAAGGCAGGAAAGTAATGCATCATGGGCCGGCGATGAGCGTGAATATCTACGGCAGCAACATGCCGAGTACCAACGGGGCAAATTTGCAAGGCCACTTCCTGAGCCAAACAAGCCTTCTCTCCCGTCTCGACCCCTGCCTGATCCTTTGGCGTCCTCGGTAGCAAGTCGACCGCTCCCAGAACCTACACCTCCTTCATCTTCGCGACCACTACCCAGCCCCTCGGATTACAGTACTTTCCCGGGAGCAAATCCGCCTCTAAATCGAACGGAAAGATTCTTGGCCAACAACCCTGCACCCGTAGCAGCACAGCCTCGAACGTACCAGCCCGCGGAGATGGGTATGACGTCCGAATCCGAACGTAAGGCTGAAGACGCTCGCCGTGTTCAGTCCCAGCAGAAGACAAAGGCTGGGGGCTGGGCATCAAAGAGTCTTCTCGAGCGTGAAATGGAACGTGAGAGAGAGCGACAGCGCGAGTGGGAAGACTCGCAGAGGGCAATGCAAGCGGCAAGTAGAGACGCTAACGAGGGTACAAAGCCTGGACAGAGCTGGGACGTGAATCAATATGGATACATGGGGGGTGACAACCAGACGCGGAGCGGGCCCGGAATTGGTATTGCATTTGGCGGTAGGAGGCAAATCATCGGCCCACGGCCACTCGGAGGACCGAGATAGTTGAGGATTCAGACTAGCAATAGCATTTTTAATCGAATGAAGAATTGTCTTGCGTGACTGCTTTGATCAATTTCTTTGCCACTGCTGAGCCTTACCACGGACCAGATGGCTCCGCCTCGACCCCAGATCTCAAGCTCTTTGCTATGGCTACCCCGGAATCCTGTGGTCACAAGCCAAGGCGCATGTACTCTGTACAAACGCCAGTGTTCATCACGCTCTCGGCTTTTAATTTAACTGGCGCGGAGAAAAGAAAACAAAAGCTCGGCCCATCTCCACACGAAGCTAAACCGCTAACAGCATCAAGCTCGTGACGATCTGTCCAACATCCGCAAGGAACTGTCAGCATCAAGGAAAGCTCAACGATCGTCTCCCCATCAATGTCACCTCGAAGAGGGACCCGCGGCGCCTACAGTTGACACTCCCTGGCCTTATTGCGCTCATCTTTGCATTCTGCAGAAGTGCACCGTAGTCTGTGTAACGCTGCTGGCACACCCTTGACGGTTGCTCCCCGCAATGAGGACCAGGCTGCTGGAAGTGAAAAGCCTCCGAGATTTGAATAAAGGATGAGAAAGCGCGCGATGGGTGGGGAGGAGAGAGTGAGCTGGTGGAACGCGCCCTCTTCAAGGTCGTTAAAGTACGATTTTATGTTCCTCACCTCTGCCTCGGACGTCATATTCACGTTCGACCAGGCACTTCTTGCGACCGTTCTACGTGCATTTTCCGAGACCCACGGCTCTAGAGCTCCTTGCGGGGATAATTTTCTCCATCGTCGTGATGTTGATCACGAACTTGCTCAAAATCATAGTGCTCGCTTTGCTCGCGTCGGTAGGCAGCTCCGGCGCAACCTTTGGCGGCGGGCAGGTTCCTGCTCCGGGCCCGGATGGGAAGTACGTGCTGTCGAGCGAGGGCATTCGCGCGACATTTATCCCCTACGGAGCCAGCATTTCCAATCTGTTCATCAACGACACGCACGGCGTGGAGAGGGACATTGTGCTGGGTTTTGACAATGCAACATACTACTCCATCGACAAGAGCCACCCACACTTGGGAGGGGTTCCCGGCAGGTACGCGAACAGGATCAAAAACAGGTGGGTGCCATGTCTTTACGTGGCCAGGTGGGATCGCTGAATGTGTGAGTGAACAGCTCCTTTACCATCGATGGAATTACGTATCACGTGCTTCCGAATGAAAACAACGGATTAGACACGTTACACGGCGGCCCGGATGGATGGGATTGGCGCAACTGGACAGTCGCTGCAGTTTCGTCAAATTCTATCACCTTCACCCTGTACGACTCGGATGGCAACCAAGGCTTCCCGGGCGCCGTCACCAGCACGGTCACGTACACTCTTTCACCGTACACGTGGAGTTTTAAAATGACAGCAAAATCACTCACCAAGAAGACACCTATCATGCTCAGTTCGCACACGTACTGGAATCTGGACGGGTTTCAAAATCCAGAGACGCCGCTCTGTCTTAACTGGACCATGTCGATGCCATACTCAGGACAGAGAGTCGGCGTCGACGGCATTCTCATTCCAAACGGCACGATTCTGCCGAACCAACCAGGATCTGTCAATGACTTCTGGTCCAAGCCGAAGCAGATCGGTGCTAACTGGACCAGCCCGGATCTCATTGGCAATTGTGGCACTGGCTGCAAGGGCTACGACACATGCTTCTTGGTGAATCGGGCACAGAACGGTCCGTACAATTGGGTTGATGCGCCGATCGCGTCCGTGTCGAGTGACTTCTCAGGCATCAAGATCGATATCTTTACCGATCAAGACGCATTTCAGCTGTACAGCTGCGGGGGGCAAAACGGTGCGTCAAATATCAGATCTTCATCACGTTACGCTTTTCGTGTCTGACACACGTTCGCAGGCTCTCTCGCGCTCAAGAACACACAAGGCTTCTTTGACGATCCAAGTCGACCGCGTGTAGTGGAGCAATATGGCTGCATTGTCATGGAGGTAGAAGACTGGATAGACGGTATCAACCAGCCTGAGTGGCAGCGCGACAAGAAACAGATCTTCGGGCCGGATGACCCAGAGTACAGCTTGGAAGCTATTTACCGATTCTCCGTTGCAGGGAAATATTAGAGGGCGTGTCGATCTTCGCGACCGATGTTCTGCATTACTGCGTTGCTCAATTGATACATAATCAAAATTAATGTCATGGGCAGATCTGGCCTCCCCACAACCAAGATCGCAGTGATTTAACGCGCAAAGCAGTTTCGGTATCATGATACTCTACCAGAAATCAATATATTTTACCTCTTGGTTATTTTTTTCGACTGAATGTCGCTGTAGATTATCGCCACGGCCAGGAAAGCAGCAATTTGCAACGACATGGTGAATTAGATCAAACTTCAATTGCGTGTCGCAGAGTGTGCTGAATTCTGGGGGGTAGCGAGCACCTCGCCGTGGATTTTAAATTGGATTTTTCCAGCTACCATGTGAGCGAGACTATAATCTAGGCCCAGTTTCGAACCAGCTTTTCAATTCTTCCGTGGCGTGAAGACAAGATGAAGTGGTCCGGTTTCAATAGTGAAGTGATCGCGGCTCTTCTCAATCAAGTCCTTACCAGTCTCGCCCGGAGCATAAGAGACATCAAATGCAAGCAACAGCTTCGCCATGACAATACGAAGCTCCATAAGAGCCAATGGCTTGCCGATGCAGCCCATTGGTCCAAGTGAGAACGGGAAGAATGCCTCCTTCTTCTTGACAAGTTCTGGTCTGCTATACCAGCGCTCCGGAATGAACTCCTCGGGCTGGGCGTAGATCTCCTCGGCTGTTGGATGTTAGCAATATGCTTTCGATGAGCGAGATGTTCAACCTACAGTGACCCATTACATAGGATGGGCACCAAACACAAGTGTTGCCCGGAATATATGTGTCTCCAACCATCAAGCCTTCCGGAGGAGTCAAGCGCTGAAGAGCGGTTGGGACTGGTGGATTCAGTCGAAGTGCTTCGTTGATACAGCCATTGATGAAATTTGCATTGGCCGCTTCCTTGTTGTCGAAAGAACCATCCGCGGAGACGAGAGGTTCAAGCTCCTTGCGGGCCTTTTCTACCAAGGCCGGATCCCTGGCGAGATAGTTGAACACGTACACCAAAGTTGCAGAGGTTGTGTCACTTCCTGCGACAATAACAAGGCGGGAGTCCGCACACAGATAAGATAATTCCAACTTGTTCGGCTTTCGCTTTCCTTCTTCGAATGGGGCTACAACAGGCGACATAAGATCAATGTCCTTTGGCTTCTTCTTGAGCCGCTCTTGGAGTTGATCGTCGCAGTACTTGACGAATTTGTGATAGCCCGCAGCCATACCTGGAATGGCTGCCAAAATGCGAAAGAACCAGACAGGAGCTAGACAATGCTTTAGTAAAGAGTACTTGTCTAGTTCGAAGATACTTACGGAAAATCGCAAACGGCTGCATTCCTTCATTGAGAAGAGTCACAGCGTAATGCTGCTCGCCGCTCTGGAGCATGCCGAAATCCTTTCCAAAGGCAAGGTCGCCCATCACGTCGTAACCAAAGAAATTAAACTTCAGATGTGTTAGACTAGCTTCCATCTTGAATGTGTGGTCTTACAAGCTGTGCGACATTCACTGGTTTGCCTTTCATTTCCTCGATACGGCGCAAGAGCTGATCGGCGTAAGGCTGGACACGCTGCTGATAGTTGCGAAGTGCCTTGTCTGAAAACGCTGGACTCCAGACTCTTCGTCGTCGATCATGCAATGGACGATCTCGCGAAGTGTGCATGGAGGTGAGAGGCTTATCGCCATCGTACCTTTTGCCATTAACTGCAGTGAACATGCAAGCGAATTCAAGTATCCTACCATTCGGATTTCCTGCACTTAGATTTGTGGCCATAGAAGAGCTCAGGCGCATCCTCGTGGGCGACGGAGACCTGGTTAGGAGAAATTCGTACAAACTTTCCATACTTCTTATGGAGGGCTTGGTTCTTCAGGAACGCATGAGATTCTGAGCCAATGTGGGTCGTCCACCAGAAACTCGTCATCCGTGCCATGAATGCGCCGGGAAATTTGTTAAGAGGATTAAAGAAGGCGCGCCATATGATCAGACTCGAATACACTCCCGCCAGCCAGGTCCCGACAACGGGCACGACCAATTTGATGGCCTCAAGGAGGCTATAGCCATATTGCGTTTTTGCAACAAGTGTGCCAGCGCTAGTGCCGCTGAGGAGAGTGAAAATATAGAGCAAACCATTCATGTGATGCTCGCCATGGTGGAAGTATAAGAGGTGTGAGAGCACACCCGTGACGAAAGCGATGGGTTTCGCTAGATTTCCCATGATGGAAGGACGTTCGAATTCTGCTTTGGAACAGAATTCCGACACAAATTGGGTTTGCGTCGCACAGCTTCTCCTCTAAAGTAGCAAGCTTCTCTTTCTGGGCCCCGCAGGGGATAAAGAAGGAGATTTAGCTGTTAAGTAAGGAAGCCTTATTCGCAGGATAAGAGAGAAGGAGTAGCGAGACTTCGTTTATAAGGATACATGGACGCTTTCCAGCGTTCCGGGCCTATGCACGTCCCTCTCTGCTCTGACGCGACGAACACTTGTCATGCCGGTTACACGGCGAATACCAGGATGAAGGATGCTGTCCCACGCCGCCATGTCCTGCATAACGCTAACCTCAATCATCTGGCTTGTCGAGACGGTTTCTAGCGCTGGGTTGGTGTGGGGATCGCCGGCTTTCGCCAATGAGAACCAGGTTCTTCAAACCCCGCAGCTGTGTTTGTGCGTCTAAAAGTACTAATTCCACCTCGAGCGAGACCATTCTTACAACGTTGCGGTTTTTATTTGATCATAACCCAGTCCGAACTAACTTTACTAAATGCCAAACGACTTTTTTCCAATGAAGGTCAGAACAATGAGAGTCAGCAGCTTGAGAGTCAGAAGATAAAACTCACGGGCTCAAAGACTCGAGACCAGAGACTCGGAAGTCGAAGTCTCAAAGGCGGAGACCTGATCCGATGCACTGTCATATGTTATTTTCATGGTGTCGGCCTAATCTTGCACTAGATGACTACGTATTTCGCTGAGCTGACACGAATGGACATAGAATCTAGCTGATGTGAGCCGAGCTGCTTCTTCATCACCACACGCGAAACAAAGCTAAATGAGGCGAATGGTGTGTCAAAGTGGTAACATACCACGTTCGCAGCACACGCGCAACTTTTCGTAGATCGGACCGATGGCTGTTCCCGAGCATGCCAAACCAAGGTACAAAGTCGTATGGAGGCCAACGTGTTCGTAATCAGGTGAAAATGCCGGGGGTAAAACCTAATTGGGTCCGCAAGTGGATCCACTGAAGGGTGGTTCCGCCGAGCCGCGAAGAAATTAGCGGCGCATCAACGCGATAACCTTGAGGATTGTTCCTTAATGAGGCCGTATCTTTGATAGTATTTTATATCACTTAGGGCTTCGACATGCTCGAAGAAGCGACCTAGGACATTTCGGTTCATCTCATTGGGTCAGAAGACCACCTTCCTAAGGTGCCACCGAGATATATCCAACCTTCAGACAGATACCTTAAGAGAACGACTTGGCGACTCGCCCCATGCGAGATCCACCTTGTCCCTGCTCAAATGGATTGCTGATATGAAACAAGCTATCCAAAGATATCCGCGTCGCTTCGCCCAAGCTTGATCCTGGGTGTGGACCTGTCTAAGAGACCAAACTAGAAGGCCTCTATTCCGCTTGGTGATGGGTCGATGCTACTTCGTTAATTATATCGAGGTCTTGTCGAAGTTGCCGGTTACCCGCTAAAATTGCAGCAGCTCCTTTGAGTCCAAAATTCGATTCGTGAGCTTGCGAGGTTGATATGAATGCTGAATGGCCATTTCAGAGACATGGACTTCACGCTAATTCCGTCCATCCTCCCGTAGCTCTAGTCCTTTTCGGCTTTTATGGAAAATCAATGTCTCGTTGATGCCATTTTGAGTAGCGAAAAATTGCCGGATGGTGTAAACCAAGATTTAGAACAGGTGCCACAAAAGAAGTCATAAAGCGTATGCAATAGCTTACATGCTAAGCATAACCCCTAGAAAGTTCACACCGTTTTGCATACCTGGGTCTCTCCAAGGACGGAGTGAAATTTGAAAGTTCATGAGAAAGCGCGAAAACATTCCATCTTTACACTTCTTATACCTAATCAAGAAATAGGGGTATGACTTCAGCCTCTCGACACCCTGCGCACTTCTTGGGGTCTATCACTTTTTAAGATGTCACCAGCTGAGTCGACCCGAAGAACAAATGCGAGGAATACTATCGCCAATGTTTGAAAAGCCTTGTCTTTTGCGAGTGAAACTTCTACGCTACCTGAAATCGTAGATTGGTAGCATTCTGGGCGAGGCTTGAAAGACAGGTAAAGTTTTACGAAATGACACGTGACCGCCGCAAGTCTGGAAAGGGACGGATGAACTACAACACTGTTCTTGATGCTCCCAATTGCAGAAGGTTTCTAAAAGGTCAGACAGTAGAGGTGTGATAAACTGAAAGTGTATGAAGGCAACCACTTCATGTGAGAAGACGATTTCGGGCAAAGCCAAAGTTGCCCAATAGCTAAACCATTGTCGCCGTCACATGCAACGTCGCTTATGGCTATTTTATATGGTAGATTGGTAACGTCTCGGTGCTATCAGCGAAAACCACTTATAGCAGAGATAACGATCTCATCGTGGTTGCCTCAGTGTCCGCGCTTTCGTCGCCTCTCAGCATTTAGCACAGTCATGGCACCATAGCTTGTGCGTCTTGAGCGTATGCTGCTTATCTGTATGCGTTGGTGTAGCACAGGATATATTCGTAGCCCCTTCTGTCCCGCTCTTGCCGTAGGACAAAAATTCAAGCTCTGACTAGGCCGTAGAAAAGTGTCCAAGTCAGCACAAAGGAGCTTAAGCCGCTCACCAGATCTCCAGCCCACAGATCACCAAACGGTCTATAGAAAAATCTCTTTGGTTTCGATTCTGCCCGCAGGAAAAAGATCAACGCTGATACCAGGAGGGTGCCTATCAAGTAGAACGCGAACCCAGGGTAAGACTCAAGGCCTAATGTACCAGCGGCAACGCCGAACAAGGACGCTGTCAGATTTCGTATGTTTGAAACGGTCTGTGACCCAGACATGTTAGCACAGGCAGAGCCACTTCGTCCGTAAGAGAATAATTGCGCGCTTGACGGGCACGCCACCGAAAAACAATACGCGGGCAAAACATACGCGACCATTATGCTGTACGCTCTCCCCAACAATAGGGTGGATTTGTAGCTCCTTCTCCTCCAACGACATTTCGACGAATGGCGTGTACCGGTCGTCCCGACGAGGAGGCGAATTATCAGACGCGGTTGAGCGCGGATGAAAGGATGCGAAGAAGACAGCGGAGGCGTGTTAGGGGGGATGCGGTCCTAAAGATACCGAGCAGATCGGGCGCGACGTAAGCGCTATGCTGTCGAAGGCTATACGGCTGTCGTCGGATGAGATAACCAAGAACAGGAACAGAAATGAAGTAGCTGCCGCTGAGATCCGTCGGTTGCAAGGGGTCCCACGATCAAGGAAGCTTCGGCCTCGATGTTTCAGCGTTTAAAAAATTCTAGAACGCGAAGGGGGAGGGAATCGAAGAGATGCGCGTATCGTCTAGAAGACCGTAAGGACTTCCGACGTTGGGCAATGCGGATGGCGTGGATGTTGCAGACTGCTGAACGCGAGCTTTGATGCGCCTCAGTAATCCATGCTCCACCGTGATCGGCTGTATTGAACTGTCGCAGCCGATTCTGTCCTCACACATCACAACGCTTTGTGTTGGTTGCCAGGAAACTTCGAACACCAAGAAATTTGAACGCAAATTCTCATTGCTATTCTATGCAATTATTACAGACAGAAAAAGAGTGAGGTATTTTCCTTCGCTTTTGTTAACTCGTTAATAGCATTGTGTGCGCAGGGAGTGTCATCAGCCTGCTCAGACGTTCCAGGTATGACGCTTCTCAGGTCCAGCTCGAGAATGTCCAAAGCATGACGAGGTGGATAGAAAACAGCGCTCGATTCACCGCAGTTTGCCTCAGTTGACCCAGCGCCCGTAATCGTCGAGCCATTTTTGTAAGTGAGCCGGTAACGGGTAACCGGGAATTCTCGAAGCCTGGCGTAAATAGTAGATGGCTTGCGTAAACAGTGCTTCGCCGTCTCGCGGCGAAGAGACGTTTCCCAAGCTCATGTATGCTTCGGCTGCCTGCATCTGGAAGTCAGCACCGTACACTACTGCGTAAATCACGATACAGTCATACAGTGATGAGCAAGTGGCTAGTAATGTTACTCTGTGACGAAGCCTCATCCACAGCGCGGCGCAAATACTCCGTAGCTGGCTGGAGGTACCCTCTCGCCTCAACATAGTCGTGAGTTCCAAGCCTTGCTTCCGCCTCCCTTTGTATCTGTATGTTTGCTTGTGTCTCTTCTTCACAATGGGGCCCGACTTCTACGCTGCTTGGATGTCTCGATCCTTCACTTCCTGATGAGCTCCCGTCCACGGCATGAATCCTTGCAAGACCTGGTTGTGCCCTAGAGAGCCACCAACAACCAATTCCTGATATCAATCAGCTTTCTTCGTATAATCAATCACAACGTTTGTCGGACGCAAACCTCTGAGTGCTGGCACACTGCGAGGATATCTTTGCAGAACTCTTAACCATCTCTCCAGGCTCCAACTCGCAATGTCTGTGACCGCTTCACCGTCGACATCATGATAAGCAATACGTTGCAAGATGTCGAGTGCCCTGATTTGAAGTCCATAGTGTTCGCTTGAGCCAAAGAAGGACCACGCGTCCAAAGAGGTCATAAGGTCTCTGGATGACTGTAGCGCCTGCCCATCTGGTGACATTGCGCATGCATCTAGATACTCAAGAATAGAGGTGACATGCCGAACCCAGGCGTCGTCCATGCCTGTTTAACTTAGAAATTCTGCTCCTGATATTGAGTCCAAGCAGGAAAAGCGTAGGCTGGATAGACAAACAGGAGCAATCCAGTAGCCTTATGTATAACCCATTAGGCATTCTTGGGGCAAACGGATTAGTAGAATTCCTCGGCGGTAGAAGAGGAATGCTGAAAGATATGCAGACCGCCAGAGCTTGAACGCCGTGGTTGGTCCTAGAATCTGCTCGCGACGAATGATTTGAGACCAGAGGCTCTTGATGCAGGGCGAGATATAGACCGCGACATGCACGATGTCGCGTTTTTTACATACTAGGGACTCCAAGCAATGGAATAAACTAGTCGTAACAGGAAAGATTTGAGTATCGGCCGGGATGATCGACGTTTAAGGACTTGTATAGATTATGTGTGTCGAAAACGAGCCCACGCGATGAACGGCCTGCATCCTAGGATATGAAAAGAGGCAATACGACACTCTGATCCATACCATATGTATGGTAACTTGATGGAGCCTGCGAGCGGCGACTACGAGGGCCTAAGGAACCATGGGTGCACAAGGACGTACGCCGAGCGGCAAGCCTGGGAAGCCATTGAGGATAGAGGCCATGTAATTTGTCAGGAAGCTGGTGTCGACTGCAAGCAAATTTGATGGAACCAATCTTGATCGACTTCACGGAACAAAGAACAATCCAGAACACGTATGGAAATTAAACCGGTCTAAAACTTCAACGCGCGGAAAGGTATGAATCGCGTTGACGAGAGGGAAAGCACAAGGGCTACTAGCGGAAGTTGGCCTTTAGGGAGCCTCATAACTTCGCTTCGCTGGATGATAGCTTTAGGGAGATTTGCATCTCGACCTATGATTGGAAACGTCCCTGATCCTTAGGGTAGAAGCGGAGGAGCCATTCGATACCTGGAATCTGGCGGCGCTTTGCAGATGTCAGCAGGGCTGAAGTGTGGAATCTCCCGGCTGAACCGAGTACGGCGAGAGGATGTTACGGCACGACGTCTAGCTCCGCCAACCTACATGCTCCCAGTCATTCGTTGTGGCAAAACTTCAATGGAAGATAAAGCGCGAGTGGTAGAATACCATTCCTCGTCAATCCATTCTTGCCTCATTTTCGCAAGCCGCTCCGGCCGGCGTCCAAATTCCAAAAACGCGGTCAAAAATTTAGAATCAGAAGCCCGACTCTGCCTTGCGACGTCATATATCACCAACAATTTTCCGATGGCCGCGGACCAGGGTCTGCTGATTACTCACGAGTTTGGACTTTCGCTAACTGAAGTTAAGAGTTTTGCACAGTCATTCCTTAATAATGACGGGAGCTCCGGTTCGGCGTCCAAAACAGATGCATTAGTCACAGCTTTCAAATCCGGAGACCCCTGCGAAATAATTACTCGATGTCGTACTTATTTGAGCCATTGGATGGCAATGGGCGCGAGAAGGGGTCGCGAATGCATGAAACTCAGCGTGCATGATCAGTTCTATGTCTGTTCCACTATATTGTAATCTGATGTCCAACGTTTTTATTTTCTTTTTCGACATCCGATCCCGCTTGGCTGCCCGCTTAAGACCTTGATGGCGGGGAGTCGTGTTCCTCGCGTGGCTTGCATTGATAGTGGCATGTCCACCATACCGAGGCGCCAACCAATTACTAAATCAATCCCTGTTTGAAGTATCGAAATGCCCTGTATTTTCGTAGGCGATCCAAAGTGCTTGTATTGTTGTTCTACAGCCGCGAATATCCTCTTCGATTCTTGACCAAACAAGAGGAAAATCTCACATCTCTGAACTCCACCGAGCGGTCTGCGCTGGATCTGCTGCTTGTAATGCTACACGAACCTAGTAGCTCCTGAAAAGCCACTGCTTGATATTGATCATGTGGCCTAGACTGCTGTCCTGTCCACCCGACAAGTTTCCAAATAACGACTACATTTTTCATCCACGCCCAAAGCCTACGTGTGATTGCTTTGTTTGCCCATTCTATTCTCTGGTCGAGATGGCGAACTTTCATGTTCTGTCTGCAAACATACCTTCACTATGGCGGATATCCTCGATTGTTCCGCGACCCACTTACGGGTTGGGATGTTCCGACGTTATGTCCAGTCGTTGTCGGGATTTTCTTCCATTCGAATCTGCAATTCCAGCTCCAACATCAGGATTCGTTACGGGTTTGAAGCAGGTGTCTGGCAGTTGATACCAAGGGAAATTATCCTTTAGGCCTTTTTCCGTAATCGCGATTGGAACGTAGTAGGGGCTCCTTGTTGCGGATTCGTTCAATGAGGGGCGACCGCTGAGCAAGCGTCTTTGAAGTTAGATTGAAGTCAGATCTTCAAGTGCGAGACACTAGAGGCTTTCTGCCGTAAACGACGGTCCTATGAATACTTAGTTCACTATCACAGGAATTGTAGCAACCGGCCAACACGAACCCTGGTAGATAGGCATGGGTACTAGTGTCCTTTAACGTTCGCCGCATTTCTGCAAGGAACAGTTGCGCTCGCTCGTATGACCACTTCTTTTGATCAGTCATGCAAGCCTTAGGCTAGCAAGTAGAATCCAAGGAGGACTTACGTTCAAAGCCATCGTCAGGAGACGCAGCATGAAACCTTCAACCCCATCATGAAGGCGCAGCTGATTCCATCTTCCAATCTCCTTCAACTTGGGATCCAAGGGCCAGCCGTTCATGGGCCACTTGTATCGCACTTCGACGATGTCCACAAAGCCCGCCTTCTCCATGTATTCCTTTGCGTCTTTCCAGATTCGAAAGCTCTTCCCGAACTTCTCACCGCATTCAATGACGGTCTTTCCCCACAAGGTGTAAAAGTGATCCGGGCCAACTGTGCCGTCATCGCTAATCGGTTCCACTGAATGCTCGACTATCTCGACCCAGCCCCCAGGCTTGACGTGCTTGTACGCCTGTTTGAACAAATACTGCCAGTCCGGCACTGAGCCAAACATTTCCCTAATATGCACAAAGTCAAAGTGATCCCTAGGATAAGTCCACTCCATTGTCACATCGTCTATCTCGAAAGTACAATTGGGAGGAATGAAGTCGGGCTGTATGGGTGACAAGTCCGTGCCTATGACCTGCGCAGACGGGTATGCGTCCGCCATATCGATTGCCCAAATGCCAGTCCCAGTGCCTACATCGAGGATATTATGGGGTTCAGTAATTGGTGCAAGATGCAGCTTACCCCCGAGGGTGATAAGATACCTATTGATCGACATTAATATTTTAACAAGCGAAAACAGAGTACCTGGGACTTCGTACATGTGATGAGCTAAGTCCTGTATCTCATTTCCTACTCGACTGTCAGACCATCCAGTCGTGAATCACCAGTTCTCTTCAAGACCTACCATGTTCGTCATTAGGGCCCCAATATGACCCGTCACGATACGAGTGATAACGTCTGCCATTTTCATACTTGTAGTCTGTAATGTACGACGCCAGAGTGACAGTGTCCCCTCCGATTAGCGATTCGGAGTCGTAAGCCGAATCAGCATCGGCCTCCGTATGAGCATCGAAATCATCGTCAAAGGTGTGGCCAGCTCCCATGGTTCCTTGAATTGGCGGAAGAGATATCGTCTGCGGGGGAGGAGACGTGACTGAAGGTTGGTGCATTCTCGGCGTGGAGCCGGAATACAAGGAAGCGCTCGCCGAGTGATAGCCGTCACCTTCGTTCGGTGCCGACGACGAGGTTGCTGGCCTGGTTTCAAGCGAGCTCTCTTTGCGCGGCTGTTTTGAAGAGTGGAGCTCGTGGTCGCGCATTGTGAAAGTGCGTCAACGCTTATAGTGTGATCCCCACAAACGAACCCTCAGGAAAAAACCTCGATTCTCGGTGGATGCGGGAATTCGCGCAAGGAATCCCAGGAGGTGCTAAATCACGCGAGAATATGACTCGAAAGGGAAGAAATGGAACACTTGAGAGCCATCGGGGCCCTGGCAGTTTGTGCGAAACCATTGTACATATTGGTTTCCATCCCTTCGTGGGTGACCCAAGCCAGCGAGATCCTTCACAAGTGGATCCAACGGCGGAAGCTTGAGGAGTAGCACCACCCAATCAAAAATTCAACATGTCACCAGGGATTGCCCGCTCGTGGTCACCGTTGAGAAAAGCTACGCTAGAACACACAAAGGTCAGGATGGCGCGAGAATCGCGTGGGACGTCTTAGGTTTCGTGCGTTCAACCCTGGTCACGGAACGGCAGCACCCAGCCCTTAAGAGATCCGCACAGTTAGGGCATCGACAAGCCGCTCTTGGGCAAGATGCAGCGAATGTGATGACTCGCAGGCCATCTGATGAGCTCCAATCCATCCGGTCAGCCAATCAACCACGGCTCTCTGGACTCGTTCCGGTTCGAACCAGCAGGGTAAGGATCCACGGCTCAAAGTCCGGAGCAGGCCATCTCACGCGAGACCCAGCAACTCTTCACGTTACCGCGTTCCCAAAGGCTTAGCCGACGTGCTTCTTCAAGAGCGTTGCTCCGGCGTAATGACCGTATTCTTCGTGATCTCCGATGTAATGTGCGTGCAGGTCTGTGGAGAACAATGACCTTGTTCATGTACTCGTCCGCACTCTGCTGCTCGTCTTGGAGCCGTGAAGAACTTTTGTCTAGCATTTCGCCTTCTCTCTTTGACTCGTTGTAGTACGCCAGTTTTCATTTCGATTGGTGCAAGCCTTGAAAAGTTGGTTTTCTCGTTGCCCGATGTTGAAATGGCGTCAAGTGACATAGCGTCCGAGCCCACGAATGTGGTTTTGATTATTGGCGCAGGTCAGTAGTGGCCCTTTATTCGCGTCGAGTGGTACCCCAAACGAAACCCGGCTGTACTGCGGCTCGCATTGGCGACCCAACTTGCTATACGGCTTGCTATTTGATGTCTGGCTGACGTGTAATCTGACGCCGACAGGAAGCACTGGATTGGCGATTGCGCAGGGTCTGAAAAAGGTAACATGTTGTTCGTCAGACACGCGGTGACCCGGCCCAGTCCTAACCAGACTTGGCCTCTTCATCGACTGCAAAACTGTCGACTTTGGAATCGGCGCTAGTTCCTTGGATCTTGCCTACTCATTCATGGACGGCAGAACGACATACCAGCCGTTGTATTCGAGCGCGATGCTAGCCTCACAGCTCGCCCACGAGATTGGAATATGGGCCTCCATTGGGGCGCTCCCATGCTGCAATCACTGATATCGCCGGAAGCGTGGAACCGCATTCAATCCGTGCAGGTCGATCCGTTGAGTCAGGTGCTTCCCGTTGCATCAGGGCTGGGCTGACAAGACATCAAGAAATGTTCCGACGAAAGCGATGGATACGTTGAAATTTCTCAATACTTCAAACGGAGAGACGCTTGGAGCGGCCAACATAGACTACTTCTATCGATTGGTCCGAAGCAAGTTGCGCATACTGCTCTCAGAGGGTATCGACGTCAGATATAACAAGAAGCTTGACAAAATCTTGTATTCGGACGACGGGAAACTTGCAACCGCGCACTTCGAAGATGGCACATCCGCCACCGGTCGCATCATCATCGGTGCCGATGGCGCTCGCTCAGCCGTTCGTCGTATAGCAGTCGGCAATGATGGCCATCACAGCCGCAGGATTCCTTATGGGGCAACCTTTGCTCAAGCGCGTTTCACGAGGGAGCAGGCTCTTCACTTGCGCTCGTGGCACCCGCTCTACCTTGGCGGCGTTCATCCCCTCGGATGTTTCTCCTTCTTTGGGATGCAAGACGGTTCCGACGCAGATGCACCGGAAACGTGGCTCTTCTTTTTCTACATATCCTTTAAACTGACGCTAGAGGAGCAGGAGCAGATGACGTCGTGGACTCAACCTCAACTCATGGCGCACATCCGATCTTTGGCTAAGCATTTCGCTGACCCTTGGAAGTCAGCATATGAATGGCTGCCGGATGATCATCCCTTGTGGTTCATGGCCATTACTGACTGGGATCCTGCTGCGCCTGGACACGCTTGGGATAGCAAAGGAGGCAGGACGACACTGGCGGGCGATGCGGCTCATGTGATGACTTATCAACGTGGACAGGGTCTTAATCATTCAATCAATGATGCTGTCAAGTTGGTTGAGGCAGTAAAGAAGTTCTGGAGCAATGACGATGAGCAGGCCCAGGCCATCGCAGAGTACGAAGCTGAGATGAAAAATCGTGCAGGTACTGAAGTGCGAATGGGAACCGCGAACACTGAAATGCTGCATGACTGGGAAAAAGCTTTGCAGAGTCCAGTGTTTAAGAAAGGTTTGAAGAAGTCATGAGTGCTTAGTCCCTTGGGCGAAGGTGTATGCCTTGATGGACAATGAACACGCGTACGACTAACAACGTTGAAAATGCTTGTATTTCCTCTAACTCGAGCATTTTAGCTGTATAGAGCCTTTACAGTTCGTCGAAAATGCGTAGCAGGGCGTCCTGTTTTGCCGGAGAAGTTGACTCCGGTGGCTTCGAGGTTCTGCTCAGTAATGCAGTGTTATTGCTGCCTTTTAGTGCATCGAATGTAACCGGTCCCGCACGTGTGTTGATTTGAGTCCCGATCGCATCTTCAATCATGCTCTTCACGGACGTCGGAACGGTCGTTAGACTTTCCAATGACTTCGCTGCTAGATTACCTTGATTTTCCACGGATGGATGCTTGATCGCGTCGCCCAGTCCGTAGCCCATGTATGGCAAAGAACAAACTGCAAGTATTGTGCCGACGACGGTGCCCAAGATGATGTACATCCAGCGCAGACGCCCTGTCATTCGTTAGTATTGTTCGTGTTCATGATCTGCATATGCCGAACGCACAATTCACTGAGTCTTGCCACTCCTTCTCTTGCACCTCCAGTACGGAGACCTTTTCCCTTGCAGCCTCCAGTCTCTCGCTCAACTTGTCGGCTTTCCGTTTGCTTTCTCTTACACGTGTATCAAGCGTGTCGATTGTACGTTGCTGCGTCTTGAAGCCTTCAAAGCCGTCAATCTGCTTCTGAAGATCGCTTGTGAGTTCGTCGGTCTCTTTGCGGAATTGTTTGTGAAGCTGTGCAGTGAGATTGGACAGTTCCTGAAGATTGCTTATCGTTGATTGCAAATTGGCCACTCTCTCCAGGAGATCATAATATAAGTCGTCTAAGCGCCGCGTTGTTTTTAGGCTCTCTTCCGAGAGATTATGTAGTGTGGATTTTAGCTCGCTATTTCACTTGTATCAGCAATCGCTCTGCAGCATAACCGCTTAACATTAAAGCTTGCCTTTCTCTCGCCTTGTTCTTCCAGTACTCCTGCAAGAACAGTCTCTCTGCCTCCTCGCCAGAAATTCCATTGTCCACAGTGAGCACAACCGTGCCGTCCACATTGTTGCCAGCAATACTCCCTTTCCTACTATCGTTCAACTCTTTGTTCCCGGTCGAGGCGACTTGTTCCGGGGCGACGGAAACCCTGCTGCTCTGCTTGGAAAGCTCAGTGAAGGAATGACCATTCTGAAGTCCCAAGAAATCTTTTGCAAAGCGCTTTGGGTGGTGTGGAATATGATGATGCGAGTGCGCGTGTCGGTGTTTCACTGACGATTTCTTAGAGGCGTCTGAATCAGCTGCTGTCAAGGCATCGGCGAGCGGAGAAACTTTGGTCACAGCACTTTGGGAACGCTGGCGAAGGACGCGAGGACGGGTCGCGAGAGATTTCTGCGCATCCGCATTCATTGCGGGAGAATTCCGACCGTCACGACATATCCTGCTGTTCAAAAGTTAGGGTTATATGTTCAGAGTAATGTGTATGCACTCAAGCATGGACGAGCACTGCTGCACTGACGTCGCGCATCTAGGGTAAGGCATCACATGCAAGGCTGAGACAACCTTCCAGACAACATCACCTTCTACGAGCATCTTCTCTATCGGTATCGCTGTCAACTTTTAATTTTTTTTTAGAAAAAAAAAAAGAGAAACGATGCATTAGAGCGGAGTGACAAACAATGCAAGTGTAATTATCGCCATACACTAATTGGTGACTAATCCTACAGGCTGAACTACGCCAGCAAACCATGCAAAACTCCTATCCGGGAGAGCAAGAGAACAGGCTGCTCTTCCCCTGTACGCTTTTTCCCTGTAAATCATGAATGGTGCAAATTAATTTACGCCAATCCAACATCTCATATAAATTGCCGCTGAGCATGAGGCTCCCTTTTGAGCTTCCGACGTTTGTGCTCTCTTGCACGTCTCGAATCATGCGTTGTCCAGTCGTCATACAACTCAAACTCCGCCTCAGGAGGATCTGGCAGGGCGACACCGAAAGCAGTCATGTGTCTCCCATGACGGGTCTCACCCAGAGCCTGAGCACGCAGACGTGGATCTTTGTAGAAGCCCGTAAACGGTTGCTCGGGACTGGGCGGTGCCTCGTACAAGACGTGTTGTGATCGCCTACGACGCGACTGCTTTGGGGTTTGTCCAGCTTCCTGTAATAGCTGAAGCGCAGCTCGCGCATCGAGGTCACTTGAGCTTGCACCAGCACTTGAGCTTGACACGGCATCTGCGTTATCGTCCTGCTCCGCTTCACGCTCTCTCTCCTTCTTCAGCCGCTGGCGCCGCTCTTCTTCCTTCCATCGTTCAAATTTGTCCACTAAGTCTGCGACTTCTCTGATGAAATGATCACGCTTAGGCCTCCATTCCTTCTGCTCGCTCTCGGTTACACCAGTGACGCCAAGCACTTTGAGCCAGTCGGGGCCCTGCAGGCCTTCCAATATTCGCTCCAGATGTGCCTTCTCATGCTGGGCTCGCTCCTTTTCAATATTGCGTAGCTGCTTTTCCCGGCGTTCGGCACGACGGTGATAAATTAGGTACTTGTCGTCTGCGAACGGATCTCCAGACTCAATTGAAGATTTGGCAGGAGATGGCAATTGTACAGTTTTTGCTTCATTTTGAGCAGATGTTACCTGAGAACGTGCTGAAGCAGCGTGCGTAGAGGGTGCTCGTGGTCGCGTGGGTACGGTGATAGACCTCGATTTAGCGGGTGAAGATGATCCTTTTGTCTTCAACGGCTCGTCCACAATGTAGATGGGTTCATCGACCTTGAGAAAGTCAGGTGAACGCGGGGCATTCGCCATGATCTCTTCGTAATTGCTGAAGTACATGGACAGCTCTGATTTGAACTGAGCCTTCTCTTTCGACCTTAGTGTCCTTGTTTCTTGTGATGTCTTCACCTTAACATGGCTCGCCGGTTGCGAGTCCGGCCCTGCAAGAGATGCTTGCGGTGACATATCACCATTGTGCTGTGGAGAGTTTTCATTTTGATTGCCGGTGCCTTGTATGGCGTTTCCGCGTCGAGGAATCGCTTTTCGCTTCTTGGTCTCGGAGGAAGGAGGTGTAGAGACGCGCTCGGCCGACGCATCGACGACTTCGCCGCTTCGCACAAGCGATTGCGCAGTGTTTCGCGTAGACTCTGCAGACGGCTTTCTTTCGGCTTTTGACTGCGATGTATGGCTGAGAGGCGCGAAGAAGGACGTGATACGCGAGTTCTGCAGTGGAGGTCGCGATGTCGACGAAGTGTCCGCTTTTGATGCGAGCCTTAGGGCTTGCAGTACCATCTTTGGATTGATAGTAGATAGTTCATCTTCGTCGATGTCCTACGATGGCAACGACACGATCATTGTCGCGAAGGATGACGGACTTGGTGGTTTGAGGTTGAGATACTGACTCTGTAGAACCTGGAAACGGCTTTCTGGTACACCCAAGGACCTGTCAGATTTAGTCTCCCTAGAGCGACCATCAAATGTCAAGCACGCCAGAGAAAATTTAAGACGCATAATTTTTTACATGGCTTGAGTTGAGTTCTTGTAACTATACATTTTCTATTCTTACATCATATGCCATGTCGGCTCTACACATATTCCTTTCGCGCACACTCAAACGCTGCACTTCTGTTCCCTCATCGCACACAAGGCTGAGCCAGCCTGACACAATGCGTTGAATCGACGGTTTCTACTTTCCCACGAACAGACCCAAAGCTCAAGGGGCCTCACAAATACCTTGCAGTCCTGACTGCGGAGCAGTCTCAAGTTGCAAAATGGCCAGCGCAAGGTACGTGCACTTTTGTGTTGGAAGGTTCAGAAATGTTAAAAGACGGAATACGCCTCTCGTTCATGTGGTAAGCACAAAAGGCAGGATTCCAGTCCTCTGATGCTCGCCCCAAAGGTAATGTATTTGCGCTCGACAACTCGCACGAAATATGAGCCGGCTCAGCTCATATCTTTGTGTCCTTCAAGTCTCGCCAATGCTTGCGAAGCCTCTTTCACGCCATCTTCAAATCCTATCGTCTTTGAAAACGTCTTTGCCTCCTGGAACAATCTCTTGGCTGTTACAACATCTCCCGACATGTTAGCCAGCTCTCCTAGGTTGTGCGTAATCACCGCACACGCAATGTCGCACTCTTCCGTTCGTTCGGGAGGCTCCAGTGCTTGAGCGGAAGCTAGAGCCTTCTCAGCCCATTGTCTGGCTTGATTTTGTAGATCTTTCGCAGTGGGCATTTTCATATCCAAATTCTTCTCGGGGGCCTTAAGAAGGGGTGCTGCTCCAGGTTTTTGCATAGACAAAGAGGCGGATACTTGATTCACTGCTGTCGATCAGCCTCTGGAAGTTATAAAGATGTGGAAACATACTGAGCATCGCTGCATGACATGACTTTGGTGGGCATAACGACAGTGCCTGCAAGAATAAAGGCAGCGCAAGCTCGGGCTGCTTGGTCTTCAAGTAGCTATGGCCTAGTTCCTCCAACGAAGCACCAATTTCTTCGCTGTTCAGCCATTTTGCTCCCGTGTCCGTTATACCTTTCTGATCTCGTCTTATGTTCTCCTTCAGCAGCGTTTCCACGGCCAAAACAAAAGCTTCCTGCGCCGCTTCCGTATCATCGACCGCATCTTCGCTATACAACTTCCCCAGCTTTATTCCAAGCTTCACTGCCATCCCCACGATCCTGCTTCTATACTCCTCCGAGACGTCACCTTTCTCTTCAGCCTTATCCAGAAACTGATAACAGTAGTCTCTCTCTCTTTCAAGCACGGTGATGGCCGCCTCATACTGGTTGTGCTCCTCCAGAAATTCGGCCATTCTGATGCGCATTCCCATGAACTCTTCCGAAAATGGGTTCATCTTCAGGTCAGTCGCAATCATTATTGCTTCTTTGTAGTGCTGGAAAGCCTTCTTCGGGTCTTTGCCAACACCCTTGTCAAAATAAATTGCTTTGCGGAGCTCTTTCGCTACGGGTTCGGGGAAGTTATGGAAGGCGAATATTGAGACAAAGTACATGTAGTTAACGTAGCCAAGGAAGATGAAGGAGATGAAAACCCTGCGTGCGTATGTTAGCTGCGAAGGTCGACTGATAATTCAAAAGTGTCAGCTCACGCCGCGAATCCGGCTGGGAGCAATATTGGATGCTCGCGATATGCTTGCCGCAGCTTGTCCATGCCTTTTGGCTTAGGCCCAGCGTGATCGAACTTATGCCGCATCATGATTCTGGACGGAAGCAGTCTATGCATCGCACCAGGACATTTGGTTGTCGTTCTCGAGATCCACGGCTGACCATTGATACGGAGCGCATTTGCGCGAATAGAGGCGAACGTTGCCCGGCTAAGCATGGTCGCCAGAAATTTGCCCAATTGGAACTCTCAAGTTGTGGTCTTGAGGTCGCGTTGTGGAATGATCCAACAGCTCGTATTCGCGCGATGACGTTCGTGGGTCGCGTCCATTGATCTCAAAACTCTGTGGCTGGCGTGAGCTTCGTCTCCACCCTGACCACCTATTTCGGGTAACTAGTTCACCACTAGTACACCATGTGTGGACGATATGCCTTCTACCAGGTGACTTCCTGTTATTACTTGTGAAGTAGCCTTGTGTCTAACGAGCAGTAGCGACCTTCAGAGATTCGCAGGCAACTCGAGGATGCACACATGCCTGTGGACGACTGCCCAAATGATGAAGGATCTCGCCAGACGTATAACTTTCCTCCAGGAGCCATTGGAATCGTTTATCGTGCTGATGTTCCAGACTACGGTGCTGGGCCAAGTACGAAACATGGAAGAAAGAAAAGCGATTCAACAGAAAAGGGCGTTCATGACGAAGTCAAAGAAGAGCCTGAATATGACACCGAGGTCATAAACTTGCCACATCCACATAAAGATGTGCGATACAAGCTTCAGTTTATGAAGTGGGGTCTTGTACCTTCATGGACGAAGCGCTCACCGGACTACCCTACCATATTACGAACTATCAACGCTCGCGACGACTCCCTTATGGAGAATCGTGGCCTGTGGAACGTGCCGAAACGTAGAAAGCGATGCATCGTGCTCGCTCAGGGCTTCTATGAGTGGCTCAAAAAGAACAATGGCAAGGACAGGATACCCCACTACATCAAACGGAAAGACAATCAGCTCATGTGTATGGCGGGACTGTGGGACTGCGTCAGATACGAGGACTCAGACGAAAAGCAGTACACGTATACAATCATCACTACAGAGGCAAACAAGCAAATCAGCTTTTTGCACGACCGCATGCCGGTGATCTTCGATAACGGTTCGGACGCCATGCGCAAGTGGTTGGACCCAAATCGATATGAATGGACTAACGAGCTGCAATCTCTCCTTAAACCTTTTGAAGGTGAGCTTGAAATCTATCCCGTCAACAAAGACGTGGGCAAAGTCGGCAACAATTCGCCCTCATTCGTCGTACCCCTTGACAGCGCGGCGAACAAGAGCAACATTGCCAACTTCTTTGGAAATCACGCCAAGAAGGCCAAAAACGCAGAAACAACACAGAATGTGATCAAAACAGAGAAAGACGTTGAATTGGAGAGTGGGCAAGTGCAACAACAGTCTAGAAAAGAGCCCGAGGCGATCAAGGCTGAGATGGTCAAATCGGATGTTCCATCGGCTGGAGATACACTGCGTGGCATCAAACGGGAATTCAGCGACGAGGTTGCGGAAGATAACAGGAGCTTGTTTTCACCGGAGAAGACGCCGACGCTGGAATCTCCTCGCTCTACAAAGCAGCTAAAGATGTCCCCTATTAAACAATCGCCGAAGAAAATGAGGAGCGCAACAAGCAATGGGTCTGCCGGCAAGGGAGGAAGCCCAGCCAAGTCAGATCGGGGCACACAGAAAATCACCAAGTTTTTTGGGAAGTGAAGAGTATCTGATACGAAATTTGGGCCGTAAAGAAATAACGCCATTACGTAGCACTCAATTGAAACCCTTTTCGTGGTGCGAAGGAATCCAGAAAGCAGTGAATTTACAATGTGATAAAGAGAATTCATCATGGCGGAGACATGAAAACAAGGCGAAGTTCAGAGGGCACTGAATTCAATCGCAACTCTTCTGATGTGGCTGCTGCTAAGCGAGCTTTGACGGCGTCTCAATGGCCAAGACACCCTGCAGACCAAATCCTTCCCGCACCTAACGCAATTCCACCGCCCTGGCTCTGGTAGCGATAAGTCTCAAAGACGTTGCTGGCTTGGTTTTCTTGTCATCCTTCTCTCATGAACTCCAGTCCGATGTAGGCGGTCGTAAAGCTCTGCGTGTTCAAACAATACGCCATTACAAGCCGCCTCCACCAGATCCCAGCTCTGGCCAATGAAGGTGCTGACTTGACGATATATTGCCAGCCACTTCAATAAACGAAAAAGAAAACAAAGAATACGGGCTTGCGGATTTTCCTGATTGCCTTGTCTCTCCGTGCTCGAGCCGACTGTGCCGGATGCCTTGTTACGCTCGCACATGAAACGGGCCGCATTTTCAAATTTATCGCGAATGGTCTTAGCCCATCGACTTGACTAATAGCTTGGGTCACGGCTAGGGGTAGCGAGCGTGCGACGAGGTGGTATTGTATCCACAATCAGCGTACCTCTTTTTTTTTCGCGCGTCTACGCTTTGGTGATATTGCTGATCCCAAGCCTAGACAGAGACGTACAAAACCAACTTCGCGCTGCAGTTACCCTCGCCATCAAGCCACGTCTTCTTGCATCATCACAATATATCATTTCACCGTTTTCACCGCCTGGAAGTCTCCCACGTTGTGTTTGCTCTGTTTCCTGATGGCGCCGAGGAAAGCTCTTTGTTGTCGTCTCGCTTGATGCTGTATTACTCGCGCCATCATTCCTTTGTGCAGATTAATTTCCCTCGCATACTTTCGCGGCATTCCCGTCCATCGAAATCCCATAATCTATTCTCTGATCCTTAGTTTACTACGAATTAATAAAAGGGGCAGCTCTTGATCTTTCTTTATCAGCGGTAGCACCCCGCTTTATCGCACTTTATTCCGGTCTCGCAGGGCTACCGCGTGAAGGATTCGATGGCAGAGTCAGTTCTTGCCGCCTTATTGGCCCAGAAGCAACCAGCCGTTGACGGAAATCAAGCACTTCTTGTCTTTGGCCTACAAAATGACTTTGTCGGACCCAATCCGAAAGTACAACTGTCCATGGACTCAGGATGGGTAGAACGAATCAAAGAATTGGTACCGAAGTTCAGAGAGTATGCTGGAGACATCATATTTGTCCGCTCTGAAGTTGCTCAGGACTCTTTGAAGAATTTGGACAGTGATAAGGTCATTCTGAACTTACTCGATCCGGAAGGCAGCGAGAATGTCGTAGAAGGATCAAAAGATGGAGAAAGATCACCAAGCAAAGGCAAGAAAAAGACAAAGCGCAGTCGCATGGCCCAATTCCTGAAGGATATAAGGAGAAATGAACCCGTCGAGGAGCCCTCAGTGCCAATCGGAACAGAAGCTGAAGAAATATATCGCAACCGGGGCGGCGACGGCCCCTGCTGCGAGCCAGGAAGCGAAGGAGCTGCACTGCGCGCCGACATCCAGGCCTTAGTCGAACCCGAGGATATATTGGTTGTCAAATCAAATTTCTCAGCTTTTACCGGCACAGACCTTCTGATACAATTGCGAATGAAGATTATTACGGAGCTCTACCTCGTGGGCTGCTTGTCAAACATGTCTATCTTCGCTACCGCTCAAGAGGCTGCGAGTCATGGCTTTGTGCTCAACATTGTCGAGGACTGTCTGGGTTATAAGTCGAAAGCGCGGCATGATGTCGCGCTGAATTACATGAAGGAGCAAATGGGCGCCTATACAACCACGAGCTCAGCCATTCTAGCGGCCTTTGAAGATTCAACCGAAAACGCAACTGGCACCCAAGCTGCCGCCCATGAAGGAGATGCGGAAGACCCCTTTGGTTTAAACGCTGCGCTTGAAGCACTAGGGCTTGAAGGGAAGGACAGAAGGTCCGTCCAATCGCAAGATATGGATGTCACTTCTCTCGCGGAATCGCTTGCAGCAAGTAGCCTCAACGTGCGGTCTCTTAATCTCCAATCCCCTCCCCAAACTGCCTCTGCCTCGCGTCCACCAACTGCGGGCGCTGCAAACGAGTCACAAAGTCCGTCGTTATCGAAGAACCTTCGATCTTTTCGATCTACCCCAGATATCCGTAATAGGGCGAATGTGCGCGTCAGAGTGCGAAGGCGTGCTGAAGCTGATCTGCCCAATGTTCCTGAGCTTCCGAAAGCGGCCTTGCACTCGAAAACCTTGAGTCACGAAAACGAGAGGGCTGAAATGATTCAATCCATCCTTGAAGCGAAGAAAGACCAAGAAAAAAAGGCCTCACCACAAAAGAAAGGTGAAAGCAGTCGATGACCCGCTTCCGTACGAATTATTGTACTAGCCGCCAGTTGACTCATAACTCAAACCATTCCTCTCACAAATAGTCCGCCACACGATTTATGAAGACCGCGACGGCGGTGAACAACCGCTCTTCCAAAACACGTATATTCGCATGAAAGTGAGTGGAATTTGAAGCCTTTGGCAGTCCTTATTTGTCCCTAATTGGAGCGAAAACTTCCCAACCGACGGAACGTTTCTCAGCCGTAGAGAATCACGATTCACTCTGAACAATTCCCAGTCACCGCAAAAGCCTACCAGCTGATATTACATAAATAAAGAATGAGTTCACAGACAAAAACTTCAAGAAAGCACAAAGACTTATCGAATTTGCCCTCTCTTGGCCCTGGCGATATAATCGGCGAAGGAGACAGTTTTATCAGATATAATCTCCTAAGCGAGGAACTGCGCGCTGATTCTGACTCGAGCGTCCCGTTAAGTGAAGTGATATTCCAGGCGATTCGCGATGAGGTACAATGGCAGAGGATGTACCACGCGGCTGGCGAAGTGCCACGTTTAGTAGCTGTGCAAGGCGCAATTGCGGAGGACGGTAGCAAGCCAGTTTACAGACATCCAAGCGATCAAGCCCCCCCTTTGCTACCATTTTCAAAAAACGTTGATATTGTCAGACGAGAAGCCGAAAAAGTGGTCGGACATCCGCTAAACCATGTGTTGATCCAGTTGTACAGATCTGGACAGGACTACATCAGCGAGCATAGCGACAAGACGCTGGATATCGCGAAAGGCTCAAGCGTTGTCAACGCAAGCTTTGGTGCTCGAAGAACGATGAGGCTGAGGACAAAGAGGAGTGCAAACAAGGGAGCGGACGCTCAAGCGGCGTGTTCTAGAAATGAGCTTGAAGCCGAAACAAAAATAGAGGAAGCCAACAGCGTCGAGCGCATTACCCAACGTATCCACATGCCACACAATTCATTGTTTGTTTTGGGATTGAAGACGAATCAATTCTGGTTGCATGGCATCAATCAAGACAAACGAGCGGAGCGGGATCGTAGCCCTGAAGAACTAGCTTACAACAGCATGCGTATAAGTCTGACCTTTAGGTTGATCGACACGTTTTTGAGTGCGGACGAAAAGCTTATTTGGGGCCAAGGCGCGAAGAGCAAGAGTAAAGATACAGCAGGCCGTTGCATCAACGCAGATGATGCCGAATCGGAGAAAATGATCGATGCGTTCGGGTTCGAGAACAAAGAAGGAGCTGACTTCGACTGGGACAAGGTGTACGGTGAGGGTTTCGATGTGCTCAACATGAGGGCGTTGACTGCTCCAGTAGCACAAACTACGACTGGCACTTCGATGACTTGAAAGCGCAAGGCGATGCTTCGCTAGTCTCTGTGAGCGATTGGGTTTCCGACTTTTACAGCGTTACAATGATAATATTTAGTGTTTTGCATTCTGCTCAGAGTCTGCTAGGTGCCCTTCCTCCCCCAGCGTATCTGAAGTACCACTTGACATTGCACATGTTCACGAATCCATCTCCGCACAGTCCCAAATCGCTAGCACGCTGCAAGATGCCATCTAGTCTGGCCCCATCGTTGACGGATATGGTTATACTATCCAGGCCCTCTGGCTTTCCCTCCTGGCCGCGCACGAAGCCCATTCTTGCATTCGTGAAAGCCACGAGGTCTCTGCTCATACCAACGCCAAAAATACTTTCCCATTGCCTACTCGCACCCTCGGTATCCCAATCACCAGGCGCAAGTCTCAGCAGCGCACTTGAGAGGTGCAGATCTCCGTATTTCCGCATCAGCCTAGAATAGTGCTCATAGTCCTTACCACAGGCGTGCCAGGGCGAGAAACGGTCCTTCAATGGATTCGGGTTTGCCTCGGTGGCTGCGTGACTGTCGAGTTCGGGCATCATACCACCCTTGATGCCCTTGGGGTGGTACTGTATACACGTGACGTCGTCATGTACATGCTCAAAGATGACCTTGGAGAGCTTCTTGGATTCGATGTACTGACGACGCTTTTGAGCATTGAGATTTTGCATGATGATCATATAGCCTCCTTCGCCACGTTTCTCCAGCAAACGGCCAGCGGTGGTGCCCTCTTTGAATGGCGCAACGACCTCGATGATATCACCGCCAATCGGCACTTGCAGTTCGTCAGCAAACCGGCGATAAAGAAGTGAAGGCTTTCGGAACTCACAAAGGAAGTTCTCGAGGCCCCATTGCGCAACAGCTGGATCTCGGAAGCATACCTCTACGCCGAGCACCTTGGTCTGCAAGTGGTCAGCTATCAGCAGTTGATTCACAATGCAGCCCATGGCTTTTGGTGGCTTCATTCCAGGCACATGCTAGGTCTGAACACAACTTTGGACAAATCTTTCGCGTTATCCTGACTGTATGCCAGAGTTTCGACTCAACTTACCAACAATTGCTCTGCTTTCTTTAAGTCCCTGACGACTAAAGCAATTTGCCTTAGCCGGGTCGGCTCAGGCGGTGCGCCAGAAGTTCCAAATGAAGGCGGCATACTTGAAATCCAATCTTCTCTCAAGGTTATCAGGAGAAACGGATTGAAATGTTGTACTGCACTTCTTGCCTCATATTACCCAGTATATCCGAGGATTGCCATAATTCCCCGCTCATGAGATGCAGTAAAACGAACTCAGCCTTCTGAGTCAACAAGGCTGACTTTGTGGAGGGAAGCCACTCTGCCGTCTTGGGACTCCGGAAACGACAAGAGAATTCCGTTCGGGGGTCAAAATTGAATGGGACAGTAGAGCAAAAACTTTTAATGCATCACTGTCTGTATGGTGTTTGGCGTGTCATCACCAGATATCACCAGGTTCATAACCCAATCATCGTTTACCGAGCAAATGGCAACTGGAAATTGAAGCGAAGAGATGTAGAGTAAAACATGAGTCTAAGCATTCAACGAGATAACTTCTATTCCAAACGGATCAGATTATTTTAAGCCGCGGTCACTACCATAAGAAAGCTACTGAATGCTTACGCGCTCTCGACGGCTCGACGAACTTTTACGTGCTCTGAGCACAGACCATCGTTTAGATCCTCTTGAATCTGCACGAGAATGTCGCGTCGCGTAAGGTAAAGCCTACCATCCCAGCTGACGGTCGCATCCCGAATTCAGAGTTGTGACTGAAGGACTAACATGGCGGATTCGTCGACAACACCCGCGGACACGCCTGTGCCTACTGTCAATGGTGGAGGTTTGGACGTTGAAATGAAGGATGAAGCTGGGCAGGAGGTAAAGAGTATCCACAAGTTCATCCTCCCCATCGGTGCTAACAAAGTCGAAGCCGCATCCCTCAACAATACCTTCAGCTCCGGTAAATCAGACAACAAGTCGACCACACACTCCGGCGGCTCGAGGCTCGCCACATCCAGCCCCACCTGTCACAGTACCCCCCAGCCAACCCAACCCTCATGGCAGCCCCGTGCGAGTTTACTTAAATCAAAAAGTAACTCCGTACCTTCTCGAGGGCATGAAGCAGCTTGCAATAGAAGAGCCCGAGAAACCTCTGAAATGGCTTGCTGAATATCTCGAACGAAAGAGCAGAGAAGTAGAAGGTTGAGAGGAGGAAGTATATGCTCTCAGTTCAAAGCTAAAGCACAAAGACTGCACGCCACCTGACCGATTGTGATATCAGGCGTACGGGACTATGCTGTGCCGAATTTAAAGGCCGAGCAGTCCAATGTGCCCTGAAACCCAGGGCGAAATACGGACGCTATTAGTTGGAAGAAGCGGGCCTAGAGTCTAAGAGGCATGCTAGGAGAGTTTGACAGGCCACATGATGGAATACTACAAGCTCATTGCTGTAGAACAGACCGGCATGAATCGTTCAAAACGATGTTGACTTTGCAGACTGCAAATATAGCCCTCATTGATTCATACTTGGTGCAATCTATTCATTGTTCAGGATTTGCACGCCATCTCTCGTCACCGTGAAGCGAAAGTATTCGTTACTCCCAACCACCTTTGCGGAAAAGTAGCCAAGCTCGACAGCAGTTTGCCTCAGCGACTTTTCTTTCTCCGCATCCTCCCAAGACATTCCCAGACCAAATTTTTCAACTCGGTCTCTTTTCAGCAACAGTTTTGCAGTCGGGAAGCTCGGCCATGGCGTGGGAAGCGTTCGGAGAATCTGCTCTCCAGATGCAGACTCCTTGAACGCAGATGCCGTCGTGGTCGCAATAATCGCGCAACTCAGTGTCTGTTGAATCGAACGGAGTCGATTCACCAGCAGTGCATATGGATTCGGCTGTGACGGTGACTTTGCTGCAGTTGATACGCCAGACGCCTTCGCATTGAGTGCAGCGACGCGCTCGTTCTCGAGATTGGCAAGAGTCTCCCAGTAGAACGCGCTTGCACTATCGATGACAATGCTATGAACAGGTCGTTCAGAAGAATGGTGGACTGAGAAATCGTACAAATAGCCCAGTAAACCGTTTAGACCGTCGAGCAGTGACGCCATACTTCGTGGTTGAAACACATGCAGATGCTGCAGACTCTGCTCCACGACTTCTTGAGCATCTGTACCAGAACTTCCTGTCGCCGATACATGTTTCATGTAGCTGTGCATGATTTGGACAAGCCTCTCCACGTCAAAGCGAGCATCCGCATCAAAGAGGATCACCGTACCCTTCTTGCCTTTAAGATCGCTTGAGCCATGGCTGTCTGGTAATATGGCTTTGGAAATGATGTAGTACACCAGTTGGGATCTCCCAGCACCCGTGTCCTCCGCACTTATCTCGAGCGCAGGGTAACGAGGCTGCTGGCCACGGTGCAGAGGATAGTTGACAGACAGGAGACGATCCAATGTCGACAAAGTTTCATCTTGATGTATCTCTTGTCCAGAAATTGATCGCAGCGTCCTGAGAACCTGTTTGGGGCGGTCAGTCCCGCGCGTACTGCACCGCAAGAGGTTCAATGAGGAACAAACTCGCCTTGTCCAACCTCGTCTCGACGCATTCATTCAACAACCTCCTCCCCAAGTCGGCAGCGCACATCTTTCATCTCGCACCATCAAATCTCCTCCTTTAAAGGGAATCTTAATCGAACCCGCCGGCCTGCCGCCTCGACCGGGCTCTTCGCTCTCTGTCGTGTTTTTATAAATGGCGGCGCTTGGGCAGCCTGTCTACCACGAGATCGGTCCACCGCTCCAGTCGTTCCCCGTTAGTGAACTTGAGAAACAGGTCCAATTCAATGAGAGGAACGCATTACGAAAACCTGGTGTGAAATTAGACGAATGCAAATTGATGCAGCTGGTGCAGTATAGCTGCGTTGTGGCGCACAAGACGAAGATTGTGGAGTGCAGACCACTGTTGCGCTTGTTCCGACAGTAAGTGCTAAGTCTCACTTCAGAGGGATTCGCAAAGCCCCAGCATTTATACCGTGCTTCTGAATAGGCCACGAAATTGATTCATGCTATCAGATGTGAAAACGGCCTGACCGTTGAGACGACGGAGTGGGAATACATGCGGCCATGACAGCAGCAGCTGTCTTGCTGTACCGAATTACGACGAAAATAGGCATAGACATTAAGCTGCCTTTAGATCATTGTAAAATTAGAAACGAGATCGATCTGCTTCTTGAGCCGTGGATTCATTATCATTCATTACTTCTCGAGAATTTTTATCATGCGTCATTTAGCATCTGGCTTCAACGCCGTCTTTGCTAACAGTCAAGTACTTCACACCTTTGTAAGGCTGCACACCTGCTCCAAGTCCCTTCGATTTCTGGGTATCAATGACAAGCTTCTCCACCTTTATGCCACTCGCAAGCCAACCTTTGACCTGGAAGCTGACACTGGCACTTCCTGGCATCAGCGACCTGGTCGACTTTTCTGGTCTGTCCTGCGAGTTTGCAATCTGTGCTTTCTCATCGTTGCCGCTCTGATACGCGCCGGAACCGTCATCATAATCCCAAGTCCCCGTCTTGACATCCGCTCCAATTTCCTCATCATCATACTCACCATCGCTCATTCCAACGACAGTGCATCGAAGTGTTGCCACCACGCTAATCGCGTTACTGTGCAGTGATCCGATAGCCGTGGACGCGTCCTTTGCTGCTATTTTCCACTCGACGGCTGCATCAGTAGGCGAGTAGTGCGCTTCTCCACGACTCGGTCTCAGATCATTGATGTTCCGCACACCAGCAGGAATCGGTACGCGAACGACTATATCCTCTACAATAGGACTAGCAGACGTTCCACTCGACTTTGCACCAAAGCCCGTCGGTTTCGTGAAGGCGTCTCTCCCAGTGCCAGGACCAGCCTTTGCGGCGAACTTCGGATCAAGCATTAATCTGACTTCGAACTCTGTTCCTGCTGCCCCAAGCCCGGTTCGCACATCTACTGTCGCTGGGATATTCAGAGCAGCGGAAAGTTTGGGATTTGAGACAGCCTGTTCCAGGTAGTCTGAGCCAAGTAAATCTACTTCATACCCGGCTAGGAGAAACCTCCCATCCGGCGGTACAAAACTCAATTCGCCTGGCCTCTCTTTCCATCTCGCCAATCGCACACATGGGTGAAAAACGGGGAGCTTGAGCACCGAGTGTAATGTATGTGACCCACCAGCAGCCGTAAGCTGAAGCACGAGGTCTGGTATTCCAGACACCTTGCAAGTAAATGCAATGGTCCCGTGCGCAGATGCGGAGAGAGGTCGTCCCGAAGGCGCCAATATAACGTGTAGCGTCTCCACGATATCAACATACATCTCATTACTTGTATGCCTAACGTTACTTTTCCTCCACGGTATTGCAATTTGATTAGTATTTGATAGACTTTTACCCAAGGCAGGTCTTGGTAATCCTCCTAGTGAAGGCGTGATCGATGGGCTTGGAGAAGGCAGCCCAACACCACCAAGTAGCTTATTCATCCACGAGGGTGCTTCTACCACGTCTCGCAGTGCATTGGGCTCCGTGATGGCAGCGATGCCTCCGTCACACATTTCCCCCAGTAGCTGTGCCACAACATCGTAGGACGATTCGATCTTGGATGCAAGTAGTGGCGACCCCAAGAAGTCTTCAAGCGCATCAGCTATGCGATGTAGAAACTCCAGATGCGCAAGGGGGTCGCTGTCAACCGAAGCGGGTGACAAAAAGAGAAGCCGGTCTTGTATTATCGAGTACACAAGTGTCGGAGGGTTCAAGTCTGGTGCGTGAATGAGGGCAGGCCGTGGCGAAGAGTGTGATAGGTATATCGGAAGTAGGATTTGCGCAGATGGTGGCCGTCCATTCCATATGTGCTCGAGTATACATGAGCTTGAATCGTTGGTCAGTCTATATGCTGATGGTGGGGAATGGTGGGGTCTCAATGGACGAACTTATGCTCATCAAAAATGTACAGTGCTTCTATTCCTGACATTTTATCTGATTTTTATGTGTTTCCATGCTCCTAATTTGTGCCATGTACGTAAAGGTCAAGTACCTGAGCTTGATATATGGTCCTTTCAAGTGGGTGTTCTAAGTTCGTTGTAGCTGCGGCGTTACCAGATTTGGATGAGACTTCCGATGTGCAGACTTCCCCACTGGCTTCTTCATTGCCTTCGACCAAAGTTTGCAAATAGTGGTCTTATGAATTCTAAGTCCTAGATAAGTTTTATCATCATGTCTTCAGAGATTAGCCCGCCAGATGTAAAGGACGCCATTAGGGCCGATGCACACACACAGCGCCAGTTCGAGGACTGCACCCCATGCAGATTAATTGGTACCCAATACACCTAGACTGATATGCAACAGCGCATTACTAACCCTCCATACGAAGGTTCTGGTGCATTTGCAGGTCTCGGGGTGTATACATGGATATCCGGACATGCTCAACTGCGACAGCAGAAGGCGGAAATACTGAAGAAGGGCGGCGCAATGTCATTTCAGTTGAGGAGAGCTGGTATTAGTGGAACAGCCGTTGGACTTATAGGACTGGGACTATACAGGCTCTTGGGAGACTAGAAGGAATGGAGATGCCCTTTCCAGCACTGATTGCCAACGATACCCTCCCCTCTTATATCCTCGAAGAGTCGGTGCCGGTTTGAACGGGCGTTAAGCAGGTCGATCGCGTCGACGCGAGAAAATTTTGAGAGTCAGGGTTGGTTTTCGTGTTCTTTCTCAAAATACGTGAGGGTTGGGCTTGATTTTTAATGCCGCATCATGAATTGAACTTTTCGAGGACTTGGTTTTCAAACTATCTTCGCAAAGATCAGAAAACCTGTCGAGGATCCAGACAGAGGAGGACAAAAAAGTGAACGAATCCGGCCTTTATCCAGACATTTTTCGGCGGATTGACCCCCTCCCCATAGTCTTGAAACAAACGATACCAACAATCCGTTAGTTATTGACGGTCTCGATTTTGTAGCATATGCGCGGCATGGCAAACGAACATGTACATGATGGGCTAGGAGTCACTGGCGATGTCAAACCAGATGCGAAATTGAAAGATTGGTGTATATGTGGGTTTGCATACTATGCACATGTACAAAGCCCAGTACCACGTCTACACGTCAAAAACAAACTCCTTTCCCCCTGAATCCTTCTTTCGTGTCATTCAGTTCCACTTCAATGCGTCGAACAAATAGACTTATGAAAGCGATCTTGCATCCCGGATTCATTGTGAACAACCGCTATCAGTCGTTCAAGGTCTCTTGACAAAAAAAAACGAGATATAACGCAACAACGACCATCAACGAAGCAGTCTTGCACAGACACAAGACCAAAGTTGATCTGAAATCGGACGGTCCAGCAAATCAGATACACGATTACGGCTCTCACATCTCACAACTCAATAACGTTTTAGTTCCTCAGACTCAAAAAATCCGTCACGGGACATCGAGCGCGTTCGTTGTTGGCTGCGCAAAATTTCCATATTTTGATTGACAAAGTGCCTAGACAAATTAATTCGTCTAGCAAGCGCCTCTGAAGACCAGCTCATACCTCAAGCGTCGTTCTTCAAGGCTCGCGTCTTGAACTCCAGCATGTGCTACATGGAGGATGTGTTCCATACGAAATGCAAGCACTGGGGCCGGCAACGGTTTTCTGGAGAACCATGCCCTCGCTCTCGACATGTAGAGGGGAAACAGGCTGTTTGTTCCTCACCTGAGGTTGTTGGAATGGCCAATAGCAATGAATTGTGCTGGCTCTGTGAGAGAAGAGCCGGTAGAGCTGGTACCGCGGTCAAAGGGATGCATTTGGCATATAGTCGACTAAAGGTCGATAATTCGGAGCAACTGGACCGTCTCAATTGCAGCTGATCTCTGGAGATCAACGCCAGTCAGCCTGATATTCCCGAAGAGAATATCAATCACAGCATGCCAGGATGAATAAAAAGAAGTAAAGTTTATTGTTCATGCTCCGTATGAGCACAATGGTAGAGGCTCACAGGTTCGGAACCCGTCGACTGTCCAACATCTCCACGGCTTCAGGTATCTTGAACTGCTATTCCACCTCATACAGTCAGTAGTTTCATATATTCGTCTTCCGAGATGAGTATTGGGGATCTACGCCTGCTAGGAAGCTTAGATGATGCCTAGCAACGTCTCTGCTAGGGTTAGGCCGTCATGGGTTTTCATAGGCTCTATGATGTACAAGACTACCACACTAACAAGCAAGATACAAGATTCTTTGCAGTTTACAGCAGGGGAATTCCAAGAAAGTGCTCAAAGCTAGACCATGTGATGAATGGTAGCCAAAGCATATTGGCTCTATAACCCATTGTTTATATTTGCTATCGTCTTTGTGTTTTTTTGCAGACTGCTGGATCACAACATGATATGTCGTTCTTTTAGTAGGAGCAGCACTTTTTGGGCTATGCTCTGCGGATATTCTTTTTTTTCTTCTTATTTTCAATTAACCAGCCATCAATATTGCATTATCGTTGCATGCGCTCAGGTTTCATAAACTGACTTCGTCAGGGGTTAGTATATCTTGACAGCTGGACTTCAACATCTATACAATGCGAGTAGTTCACGATATCGCGGAAGGTTCTTCGCTGATTGAATGTTCTCTGTTTTCAACAAATATAGCAGAAAGCACGTTACACTGCACAATCAGACGAAGAAAGCGAACACGCAAGTCGGATTTGGCGGTTGCTGGCTGAGTGTGGCTGGTAGTAAGATTGTCGGGATGAAACCCCCGAAAACGACAGCAGTTACAGACGCATCTAAGCGTCCGGGATTCATTCCGAAGACATTGGGACACTTTCCGACTTGCTTGTGTCTTCGGCTACAGAGAGGATGAAAGACTCCGCAGGCGAGCAAGTAGCAGCGCCGGAATAGTCTGAAGGTCTTGTGTCTCATAAAGCAAAGATTTCTCCGTCGAGAAAGACCAGGCAGAAAGGATGATCAACCAGATTACCAAACGTTTATGGCTGAAATGCAGCACATGAAAGTTTGACCGGGTGCGATGATCCTGACGCCTCGGGTGGGCCCCCATAAGGCCAGACCTGCGTCGGGCTGACTCTATTTTCTCACCGGCCGCTAGCAGGAATTGGGTTTGTCAAACATGACGGTGCGGCAGGCTTGATTCCCCTGCGACAAGTCTTTGTTGAAATGGTGGAATCACAAAGCAAGGACGTCGTTTCGTGGAGAATGAGCAAATTCTTGAATCACTCCCCTAGTCGTCCAACGACGACGAGACGGCGACGCCGAGTTTACAGACGGTCACGAGACGTGCTTGCGGATTCCGGTCACGATTCTGCATCCTGCGACGTAAGAGGCAGATTGATCGTCCCACAGCGGTCACGGAAAGGGATCGGTGAAAGTGCGAAAAGAATACGTAGGCTTTCGTTATTTCCAGAAATTTATGTTTCAAGCCCAAGCTCTTCAGAGACACATTTTCTATGCCGAGCGAGCATCGTCTTCCAACGGGGGAAGACAAGTTATCAGGACGAACGATCGACTAAATGTCGTACCATAATTGCAGAGTTTCTGGTCACTGTAACTGGACTTTTTTGTTGTGAAAGGGCGATGTTAATACGATGGACTCTAACCCACGGGTATCCCCATCTTAGTGATAAGTATGTGAGCCTGTCACAGACGTTGAGAGCAAGAGGCTCGGCCCGCCCGATAACAGGGGATCGAAGATTCTCAAATCGAGTCTTGAAGGAAGGCCGAAGGGAAATGGATCCGAGAGGTGGGATGAAGTAAGAGGTTCGCCTGCGGCCTCGGGGAAAGCTCCATGTGGCCTTGCCATGCAGAAGAAGCCCCACGATTCCCTCATGCACGATACTCACGGTAGCCCCAATTCCAAGGCCCTGGATCTAAAGGATGGTGGGCGCTATCAAAAGGCACGTTCAATCCTCCTCCCGCTACAGAAGCACGGAGCCACCGCACCTCCTTGTGTCACGAATACAGGCATTGGGATTTGAACTTTTTTCTTGAAAACCTTTTTTGTGCCTTTTTTTTTTCAACAATCATTGTATCGAATGAGACAGATGAGATGTGGATACCCACACACTCACGAAAAGATGATGAAGAATTACATACTTCTCAAGAGCAAGGAAAGAAGAAATGATTGTTTAAGTTTGGACCCAGAAATGAAAAAGATTATTGCTGGACATAGAAGGAATTCACCGTTGTCGGCCGCCCCTAGGAAAACGCCATGCCATGATTTCCTTCGGCCACCCGTCTTTTGTGATAATGCTTCATTTTCATACTCGCTGCCCAGGAGAGAACAGTCTCAACGACCTCTTGTAGAATTCGCGGTGAGGCTCAACTTCGCTTATTTCGTAGCTTCGGAAGGGTATAATCGCGCGTCCAGAAAAGCAACGCAGTCATAACCACCAGACTTACGAATGCTGGGAAGGGGTATCTTGAATCACACTATTGCTGACCTCCTTGATAGGCACCACCTTGGAAGCCACCGGCCTGATAACCACCTGGCTGCTGGTATCCAGCTTGATAGTACGGGGCGCCTGGCTGTTGTCCGCCCCAACCACCTACAGCACCGTAGCCTTTGGCACGTCAGCAGGACTCAAGTCTGTGGATTCTGTTTCGAAAGCTTACCTCCCTGACGACTACCGTAGTTGGCGCCCTGTCCGCCTTCTGAATGAACTAGTTAGCCAACAACAGAACGGCGTTCTCGCCTCTAGGCAACTCACGATAGCCTCCACCATAGCCACCGGTACCGCCAGATGGATCGTTGTAGCCTCCTCGACCTTGGAAGCCTCCACCGCTGCGGCCGCCGCCACGGCTTTCACTTGAAGCTTTGTCGACGCGGATAGTCCTCCCATCGAATCTACGAGAAACACAGTCAGTCGCATGATTGATGCATTTTGACTTCGCGCCCGATCGAGGTCTCGGAGCGAGCTTACTCCATGTTATTCATCGCTTGAATAGCTGCATCAGCTTCAGACTCCTGCGCGAACCTTACGAAACCGAAGCCGCGACTGCGACCAGTGTCACGATCTTTGACTACAACCTACAGATAGTTACGATTCGAAACTGTCACAATGAGGTTATTCACCCCTCGGTTGAGCTACTTACTGCCTCCTCGACTTGGCCAAACTCTTCGAACTTTGTGCGCAAAGTGCTATCATCTGTGTGCCATGCTAGGCCGCTGCGGACCGCTTATCAGGATTGGAAGCTCGAGATGGATATACGATGAATGCAACTCACCCGATGAATAGTTTCGACATAATTCAGCCGTGAACTCGGTTGTCTGCTGCGTGCTTCGTGAAAAGAACACCGTTTCGGCACATGCGCATTCGCACTCGCACAAACGAAGCCACCCACGAACAAAAGTCTAGCAAGAAGAATGAAGGCAAAGGAGGGGATATCAAAGTTTTGCTTTTTTTTGTCGAAGCACAATCAGGCAGCCGTCACAAGCCGAAAGGTTGGGTCAGATGTTTGCCACGGAGTAGGCTAGGAGTAGTAAACCAGCGGGTGAACTTGAAAAGAACCGACAGCCGCGCTCTTAGAAGCGCGAGAAGCGGCAACAGCGTCTTCAATTGGGGACTTGCGAAGCGAAGAACGGAAAAAAAAGGTGCGCGAAAACTGCAAGAGTAAGGTAAGGCAAGGTGGGAGTCAGGTATGCTTATCCAGGCGAGATCGCGGGGTTGCCATCAGAAAGGGAAGACACACCCCGCGCTAGCGCACAGCCTGAGTACTGAGCGTGATTGGGGACACAAACCGTGATAGTGGTCGAACGAATGGATGACTACTGAGCTGAAAACAGCGACAGCCTGCTAACGCTCTTTGCAAAACACTGATTCGCCGACCGACCCAATAAATCCTCGCTCCTGACTGGCCCGCCGCAGGAAATGGACGATTACGGGTCCGTTGTTTTGGGGCGACTTGAACTCTAGCACGCCGTGAATGGACAGCTTGCAACCCGTGACAGAAGGTCTGCGTGGTCAACCTTGCAAGATTTTCTGGAGACAATCTACGAGTCACCCTATTGCTCAGTAAGTCTTACACCGCGGGTACAGATAGCATGCATGTCCGGCATTTTGGAGCAAGGGCTGACGCCGCGCAGAGCCTGCGCAACGCATTGCATCTGATGGGCCGACCGACATGAGGACGGCAATTGAATAGTTGGTCATGTCAGCCAGAATCCAAGCACGCAAAGTATGCTGGCGAAAATGTGGACCTCGTCTAGACCGTGGTGGTATCACGGCTAGACAGCGCCGGCTGGGTGGAGGGGTAGCTTTTAACTCGTTGATGTCCGCAGTGCCTACCGTCCCATCTGCACAGGGTCCTTTATCAAATCAGTTTCACCTTGGCTAGGTTAATAGGGATTCGAAGGCCAGAGCTAGACGGCAATTCCCAGTGGGGCGGGCACCAGCAGTGCTGCATCGATTGCAAAGCTGCATGAATCCCGTCGCAAGCGAGCAGCGCAGTCAAGAAGCACAAGGAGCATAGAGCACCAGGGCGATATGTCTTTGGAGTTGTGTGCGCGTGCTTGCCGGGTAGGATGCGAGTTTCTGGTTTCGCCGCCCAATGATGCCGCGTCGCGCTGTCGATCGCTGGTGCTAGATGGGGCTTGGCAAGCCGTCCTCCACCGCTGGGCTGAGGTCTGGACATAGAACCGAACGAAATGTACAGGCCAGTGCTCCCGCTTCCTGGAATAACTAAAGGCGGCGAGGGGAACGAACCATATTGGGCCCTACGACGACGACGACCAGCGCTACCATTGTCGTCGCCATTTTTTCTTGTGGTCTTGAGATTGAAAAATGGGGCGATTGACTCCGCGGCCGTGTTGTTCATGGCTATGAGTTCTGGAGCATCTCACTGCCAGTGTCTTTGGGGCGGCAGCACGCTCAGGACTCCTCACCAGCGTCTGATCGAAGCAGGCGTGCATCGTGGCGTCCATGGACTTTTGCTCGCCGCTGAGCAACGAGGTCAGATCCGAGCAACTGGCCAAAGCGACACGATCTGGGCGTGAGAGGCTCGTTCACTCCGGCGGCCTCGTACAAGCGGTCGTGCGAAGGCTATCGACGCCGTGATGTACGCAGATATATGCCGAAGAAAATTTGTAGCGGCGTGGCCGATATGATCGCAAGCTCAAAGAGAAGATGACCAGGCTGAGGGAGCAGTTGCCGGAACACAGGCTGATGCAGCCGCAGACATGATGACAAACCAGGTTCATGACGGTGCAGGTGTTCATCTTGTCGTCTGCGTCTTTTACGTCTGCGTCTGCTCGTCCTGCTCGTGATTGTGCTGACTCTTGGGGAGGAAGCGAACGAACTAGCAAGCAAGCAAGCAAGCAGAGAAAGGAAGGCACTACCACAGTCAACACCACCATCACCAGCGACAACAACTGCGTGTCTACCAACTGACCAACAGAAGCAAACGTCCACCACCACATTTCATACCGCATCGGGTATTTCTGTCAACTCTACCAAGTACCTTTCTGATGTGATGTCTCCACATTTCCTCTCACCTTCGCACAATGGTCCTTCTCACTCCAACTAAATGATCTGGTCTTGATTTTCTCCTTTCTTTGATGGTGCGAGCGCTGTCGGATTGCCACAATACCCTGCTAGTGTCTTGCTCTCGGGGCGATGGACATCATTCAATGGCTCAAAGATACCGCGGCGGCAACTCGGCCCACGCTGCCTAAGCCCGCTGCACATCTGCCGGAAGTAGTGGAAGACCCTGTCCAAAGCACCTCTCCACATCCACGCAAAGTGTGTCAGAGGTTAGGTGCTGATAGCTCCATCCTAACACCAGAACATACACCGTCTAAAGTTGCCCATGTAAAACACTCTCAAGGAGCCAAGTTGGCCCGCCGCGCGAGTTCAGCGTCTCTAGATAGCCACCGCATTCCGCCAGACGGAACAGTTTCAACTCATTCGAATATAAAAAGCGCGGGTTTATACCAGCGGAGGAAGCGCTGTAAGCCACGTCCAAACAAGTATGATCTGAAGGTAGAACGTACGCGCGAGGTCAAGGAGCCATCCAAAAGAAGCAAAGCAAAGAAGCCAAACTTGCGGAAGGACAAGAAGAAAAGATCAAATGACAAGCTGGTTGCGCCGGTGGTGCGCGGTTTCCATGCACCAAATGTTTTGCGAGAAAGACTAACAGTGGGCTCTCTGCATCAAACAATACGCTATTTACCCTCGCTTACATGTCCAGTTGCCAACTGTGTTTAACCCAGGCCTATTTAAAAAGGGCAAAGCGTCCTCGCCGTTCAAAGGCCGAGGTCGTGAGTGGTGGCCCCTTTATGCAGCTTGTGCATTTTTGCCAGAAGCTCCTGGACTGACCATGCAGCAGCGCCAGACCTTGCTTTCTCAGAGAAGAGATTCCTGCAAAAGCGGACGGACTTGCATGATGCAGCAATCCTTGCTGGAAAAGGTAAGAGCAAACTTAGGAAAGGGAGGTCCGCGCAGATCGAGGAGGAAATATCAGCGTACTTTGGTGGTACGAGGCCGCCCTCGGTTGAAAAGAACGTCGGAGATCCATTCAATAGACTCTTCACCCGGTTCGATCATGAGGCCCGCGCGCAACGCAAGGACCTACGAGGCGATGTTTCAGAATCCAACCTTGGACACGTCCAGGTCGAACAAATTGAGGGGAAGGTAGCGAGAGCGACATCTCCATGCTTAAAGGAGACCTCCACAACGTACTTCTCGTGGTCGACGTCCTTGAACACAGGAACTGGTATTGCTCCGCGGCAAGCTCGGCACCGGGACAGCTTCCCACTCTCGGCATCCGATCTGCACGTCGACGGACGACAGGACGGTGCACAACGCACTTGTTGCGCGTTGCTAGGTGGTTCTAATTTGCAAGGAAGCTCAGAACCAGGGCATGAGCACAGCAAGCAAAGCTCTCTGAACGAACAACATGCGACACGAGCAGACCGGGTCACAGGAGACACACAAGAGCGCGAGAGATATGAAAAGCAGAACGTTGAGAGGATAGGGTCAGCCGCCACGTTGCAGACTCAGTCAGCTCTAGGAACAGAGATTCTCGCGTTACCCTCATCCCCTCCAGGTCTAGAGGCACTTGGTGACATGGCAAGTGAGGGTGTAGGAAGCAATCAAAAAGGAGTTATCACTTCGGGGCCATCTGGGCTCGACCTGAAGAAGAGCAGTTCTGACCGATCGTCATCGTCGACGTCAATTGGAGAGCTTTTGAAGGACTGCGATGCAGTGTTTGCCAAGCCTTCATCGCTGGAAGTCCTCTCTGACGCTGAAGACGAACACTGCGGATACCAAAGCCTAAGTGGGCGTGACTACAGTGAGCAGACTTCGCTACGTCATGCTGATGGTGTGAATCCAGTTCACGAAGACTTGCGGCGTAGCTGGAGGATCACCAATGAAAATGTGACGATCAGGGACGCCAGCCGACCGGAACTATGGGAACATATGTCCATTGGGAGTGGCGGATACTCGTATCTACACGAAGAGGGCCTAGCAGCGGGTTTGCAGGAAGAGCAAGCTGCATGTGGACGGAGTTCGCTCAGCGTGGAGGGATTGCATGGGGATAAGACGGTTGGGATTGAAGTCGCAGACACGGCGTGTCTTGCGGCCGACTGGGCAGCGTCGATCAGGCACGGCGGAGAGGAACAAGATGGCGATGATGGCGACGCGACCCTTGACGGGTTTTGGCGACCGAACATTCTGTACTGAAAAGACGACGGAGCAAAGCCGTCAAGCCGCTCGAGTTTGGCGAGACAAGACGAGCGACGTTAAACTGCTGTAGGCCGTGTGTATTCCACATGTGGATAGAGCACTTGGTCGCATGTAGCGCGCACGGCGCTGGAGCTGACCAGCGAAGTGAGAAGAGTCGTTCACGAATGGGCTGGGAGCGACCAAAGCAAAGGCTGGTGGCGAGAAGCCACGGCACGATTGTACGGTCAGTTGTTCGGCGCGAGCGGGTGCGGCAAGTCACGCAGAGCGCCGCGACCGGATAAGGAATAGCCGCAGCCCCATGTGGCCGAAGCAGCGAAAGGCGACGCGTTGGCTGGAGAAAGCGGTGGAAGCGTACGATCCGAGGTTCGTCTTGTCACGAACAACAGGCCATCGCCGCATCCGCATCAATAGAAGAGCAGTCTCGGCCGCATGAAGGCATTCCATCCCTCCATCCGCCCGCTGTTGACCGCCTGCTCAGCCCTTGCTTGGCTCGACACCCCGTGCTGGTCTGGCCCGTCCGCACGTGCTCTTGGACTCGTGAGTCGTCGAAGCAGCGCTCACAGCAGCGGGTTCCGGCCGGGAGCTGCTGCTGTGACGAAATCCGTGAGCACGCTGGCGGCAGAAACCCGACGCAGCGCTGGCAGCCCCACCCTGCGAGACAAAATTCAGTCTCGTGCGGGCAACATTGCTGGCCACCTCAGAAACAGCTCACTCTCCTTCTCCTCCTCCTCCTCGTCGTCTTCTGCTTGTTCCACGACCACGTCGCGCTCCCCGTCCCACCAGCACGCAGCCATGGCCAGCCCGCAGTACACCGCGAGGAAGGTTGGCGCTCCCAACACCCTGGAGCACCGCATCTACATCGAGGAGAATGGCAAGCCCATCTCGCCATTCCACGACATCCCGCTGTATGCCAATCCAGAGCAGACCATCCTCAACATGATCGTTGAGGTGCCGCGATGGACCAATGCTAAGATGGAGGCAAGTCGCTGCTCCGCCCTCCTCGCCCGCTGTCTTGCTCGCCGTCCTCCGCCGTGCACTTGACATGTCAACACGACCCCGCCATCTGCACGCCCACCGCCATTTTTTGCTTTGTTGAGAAGTGCATCACTAACATTTTTTTTCTTCTTGTCCACTACAGATCTCGAAAGAAGAAACGCTCAACCCGATCAAGCAAGACACCAAGAAGGGCAAGCTACGATTCGTCCGCAATTGCTTCCCGCACAAGGGCTATCTCTGGAACTACGGCGCCTTCCCTCAGGTACCTTCCTCCCCCACACCCCCTCTTCCCTTCCCAAAAAAAAAGGAAAATTAAATCAAATACACACATCTGTCCTCTACCAATCTTCAGACCACTAATTGGCCGCGCTAGACATGGGAGGACCCCGAGGTCGAACACCCCGAGACTAAGGCTAAGGGTGATAATGACCCGCTTGACGTCTGCGAGATCGGTGAGCTTGTGGCGAAGCCCGGCGATGTCAAGCAGGTCAAGGTCTTGGGCATCATGGCACTGCTCGACGAAGGCGAGACTGACTGGAAGGTCATCGTCATCGACGTCAAGGATCCTCTTGCAAACCGACTGAACGACATCGAGGACGTCGAGAGGCATCTGCCAGGCCTGCTGAGGGCGACCAACGAGTGGTTCCGCATCTACAAGATCCCCGATGGAAAACCAGAGAACCAGTTTGCTTTCTCGGGAGAGTGCAAGAACAAGAAGTGAGTTTGTCGAATTCATGCTTGAGTGGACGTTCAGCCCAGGATTGGAAACTAACCTATTGCAGGTACGCCATGGACGTCGTCCGGGAGTGCGCTGAAGCCTGGGAGCGTCTGATCACCGGAAAGGCCAACAAGGGTGACATCTCGCTGTAAGAAAACCGCACCGCGTTGTCTCAAGTCAGTTGCTGATGTGCTCACTAGTGTCAACGTGAACGTCGCCAAGTCTCCCGACCGTGTCGACCCTCACAGCCTGAACATCGCACCGGGCGAGAACAAGCTTCCCGCACCGATCGATCCGTCCATCGACAAGTGGTTCTTCATCTCTGGCGCTCCCCAGTAGACTCTTTCCAGAGCATGTTGATGGCTTTCTAAATCAATCGTATGCGCGCGTACAGATATCCTTGAGATGCAGTTCGAGCTCGCACGGCAGCAGCCAAAACTTGGAGGATGTATGTCAGCGAGCGCGCCTGCATGCCTAGGCATTTTTGGTAGAAGGTGAGACGGCATCGCGTCGCATACTTACATACATTAGACAAACCATCACAAGCTTTTCTGGCATTTCAAACTGGTAGCTTAGAAAAATATGGGGAAAAAAAACTTCAAACTAGGCCGTTGTAGAATACACGGTTACCATCAACCAATTCAAATGGGCAATCATTACCTGCAGATACCTATCATTGTGTACCTGAGTCTAATCGTGACGCCGTTGCATGCATACTTCATTTTCACCCTCTTATCCTACACATTCCCTTCTCGATCAGAAGACCTAGCCCGATGTCAAATTCTCTTTTCTTGCCAGCATTCTCGAGTGCCTATCCACTTCCGCCATCACCTCCTTAATCTTTACCTTCTCCGGGTTGAAGCTCATTTCCATACCATCCTCTGCGTCCTCGTCAGCATGTCAATTTGAACTGTCTATGCAGTGACAATCACGTACTGAATGTCACGCTGAGGCTTCCTTTCTCTGCGCTGTCCCTCGGTAGCTGCGAGACCGAGATCTTCATGCTCGTCCGCGAGTCTGGCGGGAGCATCGACAGAAACAGGCGTGGCATCCGCTGCGCGCGGACGAAGGGGTTGAACTTGGCGGAGACGCCGCTGATGAATTGCGAGATCATGGTTTCCGCGAGAGCGATGCGGTGTGCTGCGACGACGCACGAAGGGCGAGGAGGGCGAGGAGGGCTAGGAGCTCAGTTTCGAGTGTCGAGGCTTTGTGCGAACGGGACGGGCCTTCGCCGCGACGGCCTCCCTCGACCGGACGCGTTGGGAGGAACGGGACGAGATGGTGTCGATTGGATAGGCGAGGAGGAAGCTGTCCTGCTGCAGCACGACGGCGTCTTCGTGAGGCGGGAAATAAATCAACAAAACTATAAAAGAATAAAGATGCCGTTTGGCCGTGGACTCGGCGTCGAGGCAAAATGTCGGCAAGGGCCCCCCCCCATCTTCCCCGATTGAGAAAGTCGCGGGCTCTTCGTGAGAGAATGGGTCGACGACACTCGATCCTCTCCCGAGTTTTTTTTTTTTTTTTATTTTTTGGTTGAAGAGCACCAGGCTCCGATACACGCGCGCGGTTGAGGCCCGCTTCTTTCTTCGCGCGCCCCAGATGTTGTCCTGGCAGCTCTCCGGCCCTGGTTTGACGAGCTTTTCATCGCGCTTCCTGCTCTCGCAATGTTCTCGTCCCGACCGCCGTCGTCGTGGCTCGTACGGCTCCCGCACCACCTGAGACCGCTGTGCTACGGACAGCTGGCGCAGGCTCGGAGCTTCAGCCGTTCTGCTCGGAACCTGGCTTCGGAGCCCGAGCTGTACGATGTCGTCTGCGTCGGAGGCGGACCTGCGGGCCTGAGTCTTGCCGCTGGCTTGAGTACGTATACGAGCAACGCCTCGAGCGGAGCGCTTTTCGACTTGGGAACTCGCAACGCTGACCTTGATGCGATCGCGCAGAAGCCTCGCCAATCGCGTCGAACCTGAAGGTGGCTCTGGTCGAGAGCCTGGACCTCTCCAAGACAAAGCTGGACAACTCGTCGCCGACGAGGTATTCCAACCGTTGCAGCTCGCTCACGCCGGCGTCCGTTCGCTTTCTGCAGGAAGCAGGTGTGTGGGAGCACGTCGACCAGGCGCGCGTGCAGCCGTATCAGGCCATGCAGGTCTGGGACGGCATCACGGGCTCACGCATATCGTTCGACTGGGCCCAGGCGGCTGGCGGTGCTCGACCGGTCGGCTCGCGGACGATCGCGTACATGATCGAGAACCTGAACCTCACTACGGCCTTGCAAAAGCGTTTGGCGGAGCTGGGCGGCGTGGATGTCATTTCGCCCGTCAAGGTCGATTCGATCGAGTTCGGCAAAGACACGCCCGCGCTCGACCTGCGCTCCTGGCCCATCCTCACGCTGAGCAACGGAGACAGGCTAGGAGCACGGCTCCTGGTTGGCGCAGACGGTGCGAACAGCCCTGTCCGCAACTTCGCCGGCATTGAGAGCCGCGGCTGGGACTATGGAAGGATGGGCGTCGTGGCGACGATCCAGCTCGAGGGTGAAGGCTGGGGTGGCAGCGAGCACAAGATTGCGTATCAGCGTTTCTTACCTACGGGCCCGGTCGCCATGCTTCCCTTACCCGGTAACATGGCTACTTTGGTGTGGTCGACTCTGCCAGACCGGGCTATGAAGCTCAAGCAGCTCAAGCCGGACGACTTCTGCGCCATGGTCAACGCTGCGTTCAGACTGAGCATGGTTGACATTGACTACATGCACACGATTTCAGAAGGCCAAAGGGATGAGTTTGACTGGAGAATGCAGCACACGGCGACCAATGAACAGGACCTGCCTATGCGCGTTGTTGGCGTGCAGGAGGGAACTGTAGCTCCGTTTCCCTTGAAGCTTAGACACGCAGACAGCTATGTCATGGAACGAATCGCACTCGTCGGCGACGCTGCGCACACGATCCATCCATTAGCTGGACAGGGACTCAACCAGGGCCAGGCAGACGTGGCTTCACTCGTGAAAGTCATCGAGGACGCGGTAGAGTCTGGGGCTGACATTGGCTCCCAGATATCCTTGGAGAGATACAACAGCGAGAGGTACGCCGCTAACAATGCTATGCTTGGTGTCTGCGACAAGTTGCACAAGTTGTACAGCTTCAAGTCTGGGCCGATTGTGCCGTTGAGGTCTCTCGGCTTGCAGGCTGTGGACAAGCTCAGCTTCCTCAAGGGATTTCTTATGAGCCGAGCAGCTGGCGGAGCATAAAAAGTTTGTAACATCATAGGGGAATGATCAATCACATCTCAACAAATGTAACATAGTACGGGTCAAAAACAAATGACATGATGCATTGATGCAGACAAAAGAATCCTCGTATTGTTAACATCTATTGCGCATCTATCCCATCTGATATGTACAAGTCCATCGCTTTTTTTTGACGTGACTCACACGATGAGCCGGCTGATTGACGACGAAGTGATGGCAGATGCTTCATGCTGCTTCGAGGTTCTTCGCGCGCTGATCTTCGAGCTTCTGATAAAAGGCGTCGCGACGGCGAGTTGCTGGAACGTGGTACCCGTACCACCAGGTATAGCCAGCGGTCGCACCGAGACCTGCGTTTCGGCGTTAGCGAGAGCCCGAACGATGTGTAGTCCCCCAGGTTCAAAAGTTCTCTTTGTCCGCAATTGAACGACCCGCTCCCCGCCATAGACATCAAAAAAATGGCAGGGCCTGCCACGAACCTCTCCCTCTTACACTTTTAAGGCGTGGTAGGAGCGACATAACGTACCGAGAGCGACGCTGAGGTCGAGAACGAGGCCCCTTCGGAGCATCTGAAGTACACGGTTAGCCAGGCTGTCGGGGAAGTAGAGGGGCGCCAATGGTGTCCAAAACTTACACCAGTGATGGGCTTAATTGCCATAGTGACTTCGAGAATGGGGTGAGATGTTGAGGAGACTGTTGCTGTTTGTCTTGTGAGCTCGAAAGTGTGTCGTCGGCAGCTCTGGGGGTGGTGTGAGGTTTGAAGCGACCAATTCCGAGCTGTTGCGTCCTTGGCGCCTCAGGCGTAAATATCCCTCCCTCCTAACGTCATGCCCGTCTAATTAAACAGTTGAGAATTGCAAACCTGGAAAGGCTTGTACAAGAATACTAAAAGAAAGAAAACAAAACTTCGTTTGGCTCGATTTCGATTCCATGAGTCATGCCTGACCAGGACAAACAAAACGATAATACTCAGGCTGTCAAGCGCAGTGACGGCACCGTACTCGAGCGCTCGGAGGCATCTCGAAATTCAATGGAGCGAGCGATGGATAAGATACAGGACTGTCAAGGCGAAAACCTGGGCCAACCGCCTCACAAAGAACCTGTAATTCGCGGTGATGGAACGGTGCTGCCGGACCGCGCGGAAGCACAGCCTCGCAATCCGATGAAGAGAATGATGGACACTTCGGGAAGCACGTAGCGGAAGACGCTGCCATTGTACGAGGTGATTTGAAGTCGTTCGTTTTTTTCTCTGAGCTTGGCAAGGAAACCGCATTGGACTGAGCGGCTTTCCACAGCATTGGAACAGATAGATGTATGTACAACGGAAGCGTAAAGGTCGGTCCAGACAAGACGACGCTTGAGGGCACGCGCTTGACGGAGCGCAGAGCCATGAAGCTATAGAGACTATTTTGATCTAGGGAAAGAAAACATACGAAATGCATCCACCGTGGCTAACTTCAAAACATTCGATAAATTTTACCTAAAAGAAAGCCAGGTGATACTGATGCGCGATCCGCGGTGAACACTTGGTGCACACGCAATGGCGCCTTTGGCCTTTACTCGAACGTCGATCTTTCGTAGAAGCGATTCGAACACGCGAACATCACTAAATCGCTTGGCACAATTTGAGCTCTCTATGACAACGACGCGCGTTGCTCAACAAGGCGAGGACAGAACGAAATCAAGAGGCCCGCTTGTGCAACCGAAACAGTGCTCATATCTGAGTTTGAATCGAGTATGCGGCAGTGGCTATGTGTCCAAGGCTGGAGGCGAAAGAATATACAGAGGAAGCAACAAGACAACGTGACAGAAGACGCAAATCAGAGCGCTGGAATTTTTCAGCCCTGTTGTTACCGAAAAGGGTAAGTCAGCAGGGTTCCGCACGCGGCCGAATCAACGGCAGCTTGGCGCCACGTGCAGCCAATCAAATGGCAGGAGAAGGGAGGAATTTTGTTGTCTCTTCCTTGCCTGAGGCTGCTTTTGCTTCAGTAAGCCGCGCATGGTCTGGATTCCGCATCGGAGTCGTACGAGTTGGTACCGATTTTTCTTTATTTGGGACTGTACATCGCTGGATGACTGGCTCCTCTCGTACTGCTTTGCCTTGAGAATCGGTGAGCTTAGAAACTCATTAGTTGGATCTCGAATCGTGTTAGAAGTGAAGAAATCCATCTTGAGACCCGAGTCCAGACCTTGTGGATACACGCTTTGAATCGTGTACATTTGAACCTGCATCCGCTCTCGAAGTGAAGATGTCAAAGGCAAAGATTCAGCAGCCAGCTCCTCATTTCCAGGGCCAGGCCGTGATGCCGAATGGCTTATTCGAAGGTAAGACATTGGAACGGGGTGCAAGCTTGCTCCATCATATCGGATCGATGCTCATCACAGTCTCAGAAATCTCCCTTACAACATACACCGCGCAGAAGAAATGGCTGCTGCTCTGCTTTATACCCATGGCATGGACCTTCGTCTGCCCCACCGAGATTGTCGCTTTTTCAGATGCTGCTTCACAGTTCGCCTCACGAAACACGCAAGTCGTCTTCGCGTCAGCCGACTCAGAGTATAGCTTGTTGGCCTGGCGGAACACGAGCAGGAAGGACGGCGGGCTGGGAGAGGTTAGCATCCCGTTGCTCAGCGACAAGAATCACCGGCTCAGTAGAGACTATGGCGTCTTGCTAGAAGACGAGGGGATCGCTCTCCGAGGCATGTTCCTGATCGACTCTCAGGGAATCCTAAGACAGGTATGGTTCACGCTGGCAGGATACCAAAAAGGCAGTACTAATGGACTCTCAAAAGATCACCGTTAACGACCTTGCCGTGGGTCGCAGCGTGGAAGAGGCCTTGCGGCTGGTGGACGCTTATCAGTTTACCGAGAAATATGGTGAAGTGTGCCCGGCAGGTTGGCAGAAAGGCCAAGAAGGGATGAAGGCTAGCAAAGATGGCTACACGAACTTCATCACTACCAAGAACGACGTTCAGATGAATGGAAGCCATCTAGAATCGACTGGACCTCACGTCAAGTGAACTATGGAGTCGCTAGCTTTGAGGATGGGGAGAGGACATGAAGAGCAAGAGGGGAATTTATTCTCAACATCAAAGCGATTTAGCATTTCTGTGGTGTTGCCTTCCTTCTGGAGTCAGAGCGTGCGGTGTTTGACTCTGGTACGGAGCATTTGAGTATGATTTTTTAGGCAATGTGGAGCCAGGAAGCGTCGATTATCAGCGCAGAAGCGTCGACTCTTCGGCCAAGCCAGTTCCTAAGACTGATACCTTTTAGGCATGCTTCAACTAATATAGAATGGCTTATCCGTTATTGTGCATGTAGCATAGAAAAGCAGGGCAAATAGAGCGTTCGGTCTCCTCTCCTTCCCGTATTGAATCTCCTGCCATCAAGCCGGTACTTTAGTTAGAACCGCGAAAAAGAGCGGTCCCCAGCGATGGCAGCTGGGGTGGTCTGGCAGCACAATCCATCCAAACTTCGTCCTCTCGGCCCACATGCTCTCTATTTCTTTCTCGAGCGTAGCAGTGCCGTCGCCGGCGTCAAACCCGACCTTGACAGTCCACCTTCCCCCCTTTCTTCGCTCCTTTTCGATCTGCGCCAGCACTTTCTCAACGACGCCGTCATTCTCGGTTGGCTCGATCGAGCATGTGGCATACATTACGACGCCACCGGTCCTCACGACTTTCAACCCGGTTATGAGAAGGTCGATCTGCATCTTGGAGAGTCGCTTTGACGAACCGACGCGCCAGCTCGACATCTCTTCCGCTACTCTGCCTGATGTGGAGGCTTTGGCATGTGCGTGAATGATGTGCCTCTCGGACGAGCATGGCGCGTCCACAAGCACCTTGTCGTAGGAGACGGCTCCGGACGATGTCTTCACCCGGAGCTCGTACTCGGCCTTGGGCGAGGTTCCGTCCACTCTCAAAGCGGTTATCTGCCCAGACTCAAATAGCACGCGTGGTAGGTACGCTTTCAAATTGTCCACCAACCTGCGCTGCCGTCGACCGTCAGCCTCGTTGGAATGAAGGACGCCGGTCTTAACAGGTGTTTTGGACGACGTGCTCTCCTCCGGAGACGAGCGGTCAGCGTGCAGATGCGGCCAGAGCGCCTGCGACAAAGATATGGACTTTCCTCCGGGCGCAGCACACAGGTCTAGAACTTTGTCTCCCGGTTTGATGTTCAAAAGACTTGCCACAAGGACGGAAGCCGCGTCCAGATTCCAGTGGGAAAGAAGACCGTTGCTTGTCACTTCTGGTGCAGGAAACGTCGCCTCCTCCGTTTGCGTCGACTCGTCGCCTTGCTCAGCTCCAGACTTTTCTTGGGTCTTGACGATCAAGCACTTGGGTCTCCGGTGTGGATTCTGCTCGTCGCCGTGGGGAAGCGGCAATGCTTCAAGATCAGCTGTCGAAGCGCGCAGTTTTCGTTCCACGTCTTCACACGAAGCGTAGCGGTTCAAAACACATGCGTAGCGTGTGGGCCGCAACAAGGCAGGGTATAAGGATGTCTGCCAGCGTTCTTCGCTCCAAATCCCAGCGTAGTGTCGGTGGAAAGAATCAGCAACCGAGCCAACATCATTTCGTTTCGTTTTGGTCATTCTTCACTTTTTGACTCCCGCCTGATCAGCGCTCGAACACGACGTCCGTAAGATGTAGTGACAGAGAATCATATCTTTTTGAGATGGCCTATGCGGACTGGTCAGGTTTCTCACTGAAATGCTCGATGCAATGAGCTCCAAATTTTGGTCGTGCTTGTATCTACGCGCAATTGAGCGGCATGCCACGCCTACTGGTATTTTTTTGCACAGCCATGCCTTCAAAAAATGTCACACTCGAGGCCAAACGAACATTGTGAGGACGAAATAAAAACTTTGATTCGAGAGATTTCCAATTGTAGGCCTCAAATTCTATTATTTCGGAACCCAAATTACACCGCGTTATACATAAGCCCGGCGAAATCATAAATTTTCTCCTCTGCTGCCCTTTATGCAGAAATAGTCCATCGGAATATCGTACCATCTATCTGAGCGTTCAGCATGCCCTCTTTCATTCCACTGTCCGCGGTCCAGTACCCAATCCTCAACATCGGGTCGAGGACCAAGCGTCTGGAGCCCTGATTCTGTTTTCGCTATCTTTTCAGCTTGAAGAACATCGTCCCGCTGCCACTGCCTGACGTACTCATCCATACCTCCATAGGTGTCCGCCTCTCGAAATAGCGTCTTAGAATTCAAATTCTCCACGAAAACGCTCAACGTCCATGCCGGGACCAACAAGATCGCTCAAGTCTCTCCTGTTCATGGCATTGAAGACTCTCCGCAAGGTGTCGTACAGGTTGGTGGACTGATTTTGCGTGAGCAACCGGTCAACCTCGGCTTCACTGACGCCATCGGCACCTCCGGAGCCAGCAACGATTTCTTTGGCCTTCTGTCGTGCCTCAGCCTCGACAACTCGGTGCATGGACAAGGCACCAAGAAGATGGCCCGCTGCCTGCTCATGGACACCGATGTTAATGCATGACACCCCGAGGTTGTACCGTGCACGGACGAAGTTTGGCCTCAGCTCCAGAGCACGTTCGTAGGCATGAATGGCATCCTCGCTGCGGCCAGAGTTGGCCAGAGTAGCGCCCAGTCTGTTCCACAGAAGATGCAGGTTGTTCTCCCGGTTGACGACACCGGCCTCTGTCGACGCGAGCGCAGCCTCGAAGCAGTCCACAGCCTTGTCAAACTCATCTGCAGAGTAGAAAAGGACGCCAAGGCCGACTTGGACGTCTGGATCCATAGTCTCGCCCGAAGGAGACAACTGCGCTGCCCGAATGAAAAGATTCGTGACTTTCTCGTGGAGCTCGGAACGATTGGTAAAGCCCATCTCTGCAGCCTCCGAAAGTGGCTCCGTAATGAGGTCAGGATACTTGGTGGCTAGCCATCGCTCTAATGTTCGGTAGGCGGTAGCTTCGTAGTTTTCGTTCGTGTACGAGACAGCCAGACCCATCAGAGCCTCTAGATTGTTTGGGTCCAGCTTGATGGCTTCCTCCAATGCTCGAATAGCAGGAGTCTCTTTTTCGTTTTGTGCCTGTGCCGAACCAAGTCGTACCCAAGCAGCGACGTGGGTAGGATCTTTCTGGACTGCAGCTTCAAAGGCCAGCGCGGCGAGAGAGAGATTTCCTCCCGAATCCATAATCTGCACGCCCTCATCAAACGGATTTAACGTGTCCATGAAAGGGTTGTTCTGCTCAAACAGATAGTCCCCGAGATGCGGATCCCGATCATACATGTGGTAACCCATGTCATCGAAGTTGTCCCACGCGCCCTTCTGATTCATGGACTCGATCCACTCCTCGTCCTCGACAAGCGATCTAGCATTTGCAACCTCAGCCTGAATCCCCTTCCAGATGTTCTCAAAGTCGCCAAAGTCATCGATTTGAGAGTCTAATTGAGGATCTACTGACCTGTCCATTTCATTGAGCTCCGCCTCGATGGCCTTGTTCGCCTCCTCATCGAGCTGGTCTGCTTTTTCGAGGTTCGCGAATTCGGCCTCCCACTTTTCGTCGTCGAGCTCGATCATGCGGCCTTTGCCCTTGCCTTGAGCATGCACGGGCTCCATATTCTGCTGAGGCTGGTACATGGGCGAGAAAGCCCGCTGCATCCCCATCATGCCCATGCCGCCGTAGACCATGTTGTTGTACATCGATGGCTGGTACGTCGATTGCTGGCCAGTGATGGGACTAGCTGTTCGCTGTGCGGCACTCGCTTGCTGGAAGCGTGCAAATTCAGCAGGGTTGAATCCAGGACTCTGGGGCTGAATGTTGTGTTGCATCCCTGGGTCGAACTCGGCAGCCCATGCACCGGAGCCGTTGTGTTGCGACATACGACCCAGCTCTTGCCGTAGGCCGTCCATGGCAAAGGGCGATGGTGCGCCGGGCATCTGCGCCGGCTGCTGCATGAACTCGTCCATCATCTCCAGCTCCAGTCAGCCTCTCGGCTTGCAAGGCTCTGCTTGGGAGGCACTTACCCCATCTTGAGGTCCTGCTTGCTGGCTTCGCATGCTTTCTTGCAGACCGGGTCCTCGACCCACCAGGCGGTCTCTCTGCAAAGACGTATCCTGCTGCCCGACCTTAGCGAACTGCGCGAGCGGGTTGCCCGCCGTGCTGCATTCGGCGCCACCCAGGAACGACATTTTCGGTTGTATTTGTAAAGCGCGGCAACGGATGATGTTGAACGGCAAAACGTGCGGCGGAGCGACGTGTGAAAGGCAAACAAGATGAGCCTTCTGTCACACAGGCATGAGTGAGAAAGCGAGTGCTGGTGCTGGCAAAGGACGAGGCCTGTCAGACTGGCAAGTTCGGATAATAATATGAGCAGTGAAGTCACGCTTCGGCTGCTGGCCAGTTCCAGATGAACACCCCACAGTTCGGAGCGAGATGCCAGGGACCGAGGCTCTGCAACGCTGAGCGGCGGCGAGTCGACGCCACACGCACAACGCAACGCGCAGCACGCTCCCGCCGTCAACACGTGAGAACGAACTTTCACCTGTCGGCTGTCGGCTTGCGTCGATCCTGACAGAGTAGTTCATTCACTACACATATGCCGTACACTGTACACGTCCGTGCAAGTGTATCTCAGTCACGAGCATTCGAGTCTTCATGCGATCAACCTTCCCAGGAGATTGGCGAACAAAGTCAATGGAAATTCATTTTCCACTTGATCGTGCGACAAACCAGATCAAACAACAATTAAGGAGATGAGATTTTTTTGGTGGTATGCGAATGTTCTACAAATACAGAAATGCCAACGAGGCGTTCAAGGAAATTTACAATACCTCCTGATAAGCCGTGCTTCCATGAGAGACTAGCCTTTCGAGGCTTTAGCCCTTACTGGCATTCCTCCCTATCACAAATATTGCAAATCCGAACTCGCGGAAGATCTATTGTACAGTCCTCTGTTCAAATACGTAGTACATAAAAGAGTGGTGCGTTTAGTCCCGCAAAGGCGATCTGCTCGAGCTAGAGGGCATACCATAGTCCACCTTCAAGGTACGACCGTATATCGTCTTGTTCTTCAGAATCTCCATGGCCTTCGTGGCGCTGGCAACGTCAAGGAAATCCGCATGAGCGAAACCACGTGGTGCACCAGTCCGACGATCGATCGCGATTCTAACGTCGATCACGTTGCGCACTTCACGGAACAAGTCGCTCAAGTCCTTGTCCGACATCTCAAAGGACATATTACCAATGAACAGAGTTTTCGACGGCGGGTTGAGTTCGGTCTTTTGGCGTCCGGTTACGGGCATACGGGGACGGTGGAATTGAACAGCAAGACGGCGGCCTTGGAAGATTTGCTGATTGCTGAACTCTACAGCGCGCGCGGCGTCGTCTAGATTTTCAAACTCGACATGGCCGAAACTGCGAAGTGTCAACATCTAATTCGCTCAGCAATTTATAAAGGTGAGCTAAGTTGACCTACCCTCTGCTCAGTCCACGTGCATCGCGAGAGATTTTCGCACTCTTGATTGGTCCGAAGCGCGCAAAATAATCGTTCAACGCTTGATCATTGACGTCAAAGAAGACATTGCCAACGTATATGATCTTGTTCGGCGATGGCACAGCGCTTGACTCGGGGGCCTGATCACTCTGACCCGCGGTAGCGTTGGAAGCTTCTCCTGAAGTGGCAGACGAGATCGCATCTGCGATCGCAGAGGCAGAGACGGTGTTAGGTGCATCGGGCTCTGGTGCTTGTGTTGTATTGTCCATGGACGTGCCTGTACCGTTAGTTAGATCATGCCTATGCGCTCAACATGTTTCATAGCGTACTTGTCTCTTCAGTGGTTCTCGCAGTCGCTTCTGGAGCTACCACAACATTAGCATTTGAATGCTGCGAGCCCGCCATTTATCCAACGTACCAACTTCAGGCTCTAATTCTTCTGCAGTCTTTTCCGACGTCCTGGATTCGGCCGTGGCCACTTGTGGCTCACTGGTATTCGATTCGACTTTTTCCGACGTCGTAGATTCGGCCGTGGCCACTTGTGGCTCACTGGTATTCGATTCAACTTTTTCCGACGTCGTAGATTCGGCCGTGGCCACTTCTGGCTCACTGGTATTTGATACGACTTTTTCCTCCTTTACAGCTGATTCACTGACAAACCGTCTTTGCAATGGCGAAACAGCCCATCGACTTGCCGGTCGGAGTCTTGATTTGTTCAACGACACAAAAGTTCTGGCCTTCGGTACGATGACTGAAGGATTTGGCTTCGCGACTGAGAGCGCCGCCCTGATGGCATTCTGGCGAAGTACGAACCTGAAGAGAAGTACATTAGTTTTTGCGATTTTGCCGCCAAAGACCGGGATTAACGTATGCGCAAGAACTTACATGGTGGCAAGGTCACGATGGAATATTGAGAAACAAATAGAATCCGAGCAATTGAGCAGATAGGATAGCGCGAAGATTCGAGAGGTTGATGGAAAGCGTCGTGGAAACTTTCGATCGAATGGCGATATATTGGTTAGCGCGTATCCCTGGTTTGATGCCCAAGGCTGACATGGCCTTATAAAGCCTCGCCTAGCCTATGGTCTTCCATTATCGTGGCTCCCGTACCGCTCTGGCAGTTCTGCGATAACGGGAATGCTTTTGGAATACTCTTCGGCATTATACCTCTTGATGCAATTCTTGACACATGGCGTAAATGTGATGTTGTTCTATGTACAAAACAACGTGTGGCCGTCAGCACGGTACTAGCTTGCAAAGTCAGGTCCTAAAAGTGCTCCGAACCAAAACCTGAAGATTTCTCATAATAGACCCGTCCAAAACCACTAATATCAAGCACATGCCGTCTTATCACCGAATCACGTATGTTTTGTGGCTTGTGTTCTAGGCCAGCATCCCCACCGCTAGAACCAAAATCATCAGACGATCTTCTGTTTTCTTTCTCGTCCAGTATGCTTGATACAGCTAATCCGCCTTCGAAAGCATTCGAAAGTGGTGGAACATCGAACGACGAGAAAATTCTCGAGCCGCAGAAGGTTGAATTACTAATTCTTGGGGCCGGCTGGACGTCCAAATTCCTGATTCCCGCGCTTAACGAGGAGAAAATCGAATATGCAGCGACCACCACTTCTGGCCGTGACAATACCATACCTTTCAGATTTGACCCAGAATCGGATGATAAGAGCCCATTCGAGGTGTTGCCGGATACAAAAACGGTGCTGATCACTTTCCCACTCAGAGGCAAGGGCCAGTCTTTGAAGCTTTCGCAGTTCTATTGTGACACTCATTCGAATACGGAACCGAAGTTCATACAGCTGGGCAGCACGGGCATCTTCACCAACAAAGGATGGAGCAATCATAAATCTCCATATGACAAGGCGGACGAACGCGCCATAGCCGAGGACGAGCTCCTCTCTTGCTGTTCAGCTACCGTGCTGAACTTGGCAGGTTTGTATGACAACGAGATACGCAGGCCGCAGAATTGGGTATCGCGAGTGGCGAAGACCAAGGCAGACGTCAAGGGAAAGCAGTCGCTTCATTTGATTCATGGTAAAGACGTAGCTCGAGGTATCATTGCTTCACACAAGAACTTCGACGCCGTGAAAGGCCAACGTTGGATCTTGACGGACCTCTTCTCCTATGATTGGTGGGGGTTGTTAATGGCTTGGGGAGGCACGCTGCAAGATGGTAGCGACATTCGACAAGTGATTATGGAGGCAATGCTCGAGAATGAGATCAAAGCCTTGACGAGGACCACGGGAGAAATCGGGCGCGCTCTCGACGCTCGCGACTTTTGGAAGACCGTTGATGCAATGCCCCAGGAAGGCAGCGTCTACTAGATGGTTTACAGCCAAATTCAAAGCTTTATTTCGCAAGGTGAAAAAAAATTAATCCCTGGTGTTAAAAGTGGGATTCAGGCCCCGGCTTACGTTTTCCAAAGACTGCGCAAGCCTGCGAATGTCTTGCCCTTCGTATTGGCTTGCATGGTGGAACAGATCATCCGCACGTTCCAAAAATATCACTGGATCGATCAAAGTGCCACAATGTCCTGTCATGTCGCTCATCTCAGAATATCGTTGACCGGTGCCAGCTCAGCCAAGAGTACTCTTAGGGCTTGCTTCGCGTTCTACAACATCCTGTTGCATTTATTCGTTCAAGTTCCTTCCGTACTTTTTGAGCCATCCCTGACACTTTGCCCCGCACTCCGCAGACTTATTGGAAACTAATTCTTTTTAGTTTGTTGAAGCACGATGTCATCCTCACTAAGTGAGAGGTTCAAGAAAGCAGTTGGAATAGGATCTGGGTCCCTTTCTGTTGGAGAGGTTGTAGGTGCAACGGCCTCTAGTGATGCGCCAGCCTCGAATCCAAGCGTCAACTGGGACGAACTAAAGTCGTATCGATACGATGCACTGAATGACATGTCCAAAGACATTCGGCTGATGACTATCCTGCCGGACGAAGCCCAGTTTCCTATCCGTGTGTCCCTTGAGCATGTTACCCTAGAGCGGGTGGACAAGCGGCCTTGGAATGAAGGCATCTTCAGCCTAAAGCAAATCCGTGACACGTTACCAAGCGGATGGGAAATCCGCGAAGCGTTTGCGGAGAAATACATTTTTACGAGTGCGCGCGCGAACAGTTGGACACATCCGAGTACCGGCTTTCCAAAGTCTAGTTACATCGCTGTGCGTCCACCAAGGGAACCTCATTACGAGGCACTTTCGTACACCTGGGGAGAACCTGGTGAGTCGAAGCAGATTATTGTTGAGCGTGTCGATACACGTAGTTCAAGTAAGCCTATCGTAAGGCAGTACAAGATTGAAATTCGTAAGAACCTGTACGAAGCGTTGCTTGAGCTCCGAGATGAAAAAGAGCCTCGGACCATGTGGGTTGACGCTATCTGTATCAATCAAGACGACATAGAAGAGCGAAATGAACAGGTTTTGCGTATGGGCGACATCTTTCAATGGGCATCTCGTGTTGTGATATGGCTCGGTCCTGAATCTGGAGACAGCGAGCTAGCGATGCGCAGCGTGGCTTATATTGGCAAACAGATAGTAGCCTGCACGGACTACTGGCAGATGAATTCGCCAGACGCGACGGAAAGAGGTTGGGGATTCATCCAGACAAAGATCCCATACTCGGATTCGACGTGGACTGCTATTGAGGTCCTCCTCAGACGGCCATGGTTCGAACGTTTGTGGGTTGCCCAAGAAGCCGTGCTCGCCGACGCAACCTCTATCATCAAATGCGGATCATCTGAAATGCTCATCACAGATTTCAGAGCTGCCGTCCAGAAAATGGGTTTGACAGTACACACGCCTCGAGTGTTGAGAGCAATCGCCATGAACATATCACTAGTCTTCCGCATCAATAAAGCCCAGCCGCTAAACCTACTTCTGTTACGTACCTCCCGCAAATATTGTACAGATAGAAGAGACAGAATCTATGCGGTTTTGGGCATTGCCCAGAAGGGTCTTGTCGACTCAATCATCCCGGATTACTCGATCAACCACATCCGTGTTTTCAGGCAGGCTACTTTGGCGGAGATAAATTATTCCAAGAAACTCGACGTTCTAGAACACTGCCATTGGGCCGACCACAGGGGCCAAACGCCCACATGGGTTCCGCGCTTGTCTGGTCCGTTGGCTTGTGGCAGCATCTTTCCTTTTCACTTTGCGTCCGGATACTCTGCTGCCATGGTGCACGTGGAGCAATACAACAAGCACCACCAGCTGATCGTCGAAGGCATAGAGTGCGCAACGGTCGATGTAACCGGTGATCCGAACCACATGAGCACCGACAATATGGTTGACATCTCCAAGTACTGCAAAAAATGGGTGGCACGGGTTCGTAGCCCCGAACTTCTGAACGACGTGAAGTTTTTCAATTACCTCATCAGAGTACTTTGTCTGGACGAGGAGGATGGTCGCACGACGAATGTCGGTTATCCTCAGCTCGACGAGTGGAAGAGGTTCTTTGTGAGAGACAAGTTATCCACAGAAACGGCGCAAGCGGATAATCTGGTAGGCGCCCACAATTGGCAATATGACGGGTACTGCAAGTGGGCGGGACGCGCTATATTTCTTTCAGAAGACAACATCATCGGTGTAGCATCCATGGGAACGCAACCAGGTGGGCTTCTTCTTCTTCTCTAATCACATCCCCAATCGCCTGCCATATTTCACTGAAGCTAATTTCGACTGCTAGGAGACATTGTTGCCGTTCTTCTAGGTCATCCATCTCCCGTAATACTCCGTCCCGTCAACGATGGCACCTATAAACTTGTTGGAGATGCTTTCGTTCCTGAGCTTTCTGACGCTAACGCTCTCCTTGGACCTCTTCCTTACCCTTGGATTGTTCAATGCTACGTGCGGGAAGGTATTAACTTCTCAATCCCGCACTTCGTGAATATCGAAACAGGAAAGAGCTCCGTACTCGATCCACGACTACCTCCGCTGGAGGATTGGGAGATAGTTGAGGATGAATCGGATCTAAGTGTTTGGACGACAGGCGGGTATAGCTTTCGGAATAAAAAGACAGGCGAAAAGACTCATCATGATCCACGGATGCGATTCGACGCCTTAAAGAACAGAGGTGTTAATGTTCGGCAGTTTCGACTAATTTAGAGTATCCACCGGTTCCAAGTGGTGATCTTGGTCCCCAAAGATCGTTGTTCATAGGTGCATGAAGGTGTTGGAGATACCTGTATGATATCTTTGCTCTCTCGATTTGCAGGAGGCTGCAAAAGAACATTTTATGAAACGCAGGTATGAGGGCGACGACAGCTGCGACGGCGATGCTGTTGAGAACGATGACGGATGACGAATATGTTATCGACGATGATAATGTCATAATACAAGAACTATCTCATTTTCCCTTTCTATGCGCGTGAAGGTTTGCACACAGCCGCGGCCCTGTTCCAGGTATAGCAGCCCTCTCCGTCCCATCGTCTTCTTATCTATGTTTCATCTTACAAGTTTCTTTCCAGCCTTGCTCTTGATTTACCCTACTGCCCATCCTTGAGATGAAGGAAGGCCTCTAAATCAAAGTCGGCGCCCGATGAGTTTGATGTGACTGCGATGAGGTTTGTTAGTTCACGAAAATTCTGGCACACAAAGTTGCCGCTCCTGTAACGATTCCAGACATACAGTCGAAGCCAGCACTCTTATTCTCCTCGGTTTTCGCTTTTGCCGGGTTCTTTTTCCGCTGGAACTCGGCCTTTGCCTCTGATATCAGCTTGGCCTTGGATTCGTATTCCTTTTGTGCTTGCTTGGCTTTATCGGCATTGGTAATGTTTCGCTGGTGGTTGAATCCGTAGAGAACGCCGAGACCGAGCGCTGAGAAGCGCAGAACCTGATCGTGCTCGTGTCAGTACTGGTTGGATATTGTCCTCTTTCTTCTCTTCCGACCACCCGGGCTTGCAGGAAAAACGTACATTAACGCCCGACATTTGCGGAGGATGTGAGCTGGGGAGGCTGGAGAGAGGATGGAAGAGTGTCAATGGGCTGGCAATTGGCCTGGAACAAGTCCCCGAGCTGACGAGAGACGGACGAGGAGACAATTGATGCGAAGTTGTGGTGTTGACGGGTTGAGATGATGGCTTCAGAGGTTGGCAGTTTGAATGCGAAAGTTCCCGTTCGGCGAAGCTTGGACCCCTTTGCGCGGTCTGTCCCTGCACTACTCTACAGCCGCTACGTACGTTGATCCCGGACGTGTTTCTCTGGTCCATGTCTCCACCTAGAATGAAGACAACCTGGAAGGAGAAACAATACTACCTTGTCTGCTTTCAAAGTTCCATTCTCCGCGCTTGATGGTTCAGGCATAACCCTCTGCACTTGTTCTGCGATCCTACCACGACAACCTGTACTTTTCGACACCCATTACGCTCGTGGGATTCCTATCATATGCTCCCCCAAGTTTGCATACTCCTCTAACGATAGTCGCCTAACACATTAATCCTTACCGCCATCATGGATGCTGAGGCGCGAAAGGAGGAAATCCTGGCGAAGAAGGCTAAGCTGGAGGAGTTGAGGAGAGCACGCGCTTTAAGGGAGCAGGAGATGCGCAAGAGGCAGAGCGCAGGGGAAAATGGAGATTTAATGCATCCGACGCCGAGCCGCGATGCGAGGCAGAGGGACATAGAGAAATTGCTTACCGATGTCCTGGGAGAGAGCCGAGCCGCTTCTCCTGGAGCTGTTGCATCACCGCGTGCAGGTAGTCGTAGTCGACCCACCAGCACGGTCAGCTCATCGAGGCCGCTAAGCGATGAACGAAGAGGGAGTACGCATCGTATGTCAAGCGAGACCGGGGAAGCTCGAGATTCGAGGGCAACAATTGTCTCCGGCACGACGTATGTGGCGATCGCGACACAAACGCTGGGAATCGCCCCTACGGTTAGTCTTTACGAACAACCAAGTGATGCGCCGCCGAAGAAAGAAGTCGTAACATACGACAAAGGCATCCAGACAAGCGAAGAGTGGGAACCGCAACGGAAAGAAAAGGGTGCTGGTATCGAAGAGGAGGACTGGGAGGGTAGACATACACCGCAGCCACTGTCCGAATCTGAGAAGGAAAGAATCAGAGAAGAGCTGAGGAAAGAAATTGAAGAAGAAGTCAAGGCTGCTTTACAACCAGGGAGCGCTTTCCCATCAGATGAAGCACGTTTCCCTGCAAGAACGCTGACGAATGATGAGTTGGATGCGGTGACCAGCTCCAGGGATTTCCAGGACTTCCTTGATCAATCGACGAAAGTCATCGAGAGGGCGCTAGATGAGGAATATGACCTGCTGACTGATTACGCTCATGGAAAGACGAGCCTGGACGAGGATGACGAGGGATACAGCACACGGGGAAAGCGTGGCAGACGCGTTCGACAGGTTGCACAGTACTGGGATGAAAGATGGAGTAAGAAGCGACAGATTAGCGACATCGGTTTCTCACCAAAGGTAGTCCTTCTTTACGGGCATCTTTTGCACGGAATCAATTGCTGACATGTGAATAATCAGTATCCGGAACTCTTACTCGCGTCATACACGAAGAATCCTTCAGCGCCGCACGAACCTGCAGGCCTGCTCCAAGTGTGGAATGCCCATATGCCCTCGCGCCCAGAGTACATTTTCCACGCTTCGTCTGACATCTTGACCGCCAAGTTTTCTCCTTTCCACCCCTCCCTCATCGTTGGCGGCTGTTACAGCGGCCAAGTTCTCCTTTGGGACACGCGCTCCAAGTCCCACGCACCTGTACAGAAGACGCCCTTGACCGGCTCTGGCCACACCCACCCTGTTTACAGTATTGACATTGTGGGCACGCAAAATGCAAATAACATCATCTCCTGCTCCACCGACGGAGTAGTCTGCTCCTGGTCAGTGGACATGCTTGCCCAGCCTCAAGAGTACCTGGAGCTCGTTGCCCCTTCGCCCCCAGCGAAGACAGAGGATGTGGCACCACTCTGCATGGGCTTTCCGCACGCAGATCCGACCTATTTCCTCGCAGGGACAGAGGAGGGCACGATTTTTGCGTGCCACCGATACGAGCGTGCTGGTGCAAAGGCAGGTATAGATAATCGTATTCGCTACGCCGGCCACGCAGCTCCGGTCATGAGTTTGGACTTCCATCCTTCGCGTGGCGCTGTCGACCTCGGTGACCTCGTGCTCTCAGCCAGCATGGACTGGAGCGTCAAGCTGTGGCGCGTGAGACCTCCAGCGGCGACAGGCGGCGCCGCCGTATCAGGACAGGCTCACATTCAATCGCCCGTTCTGGACTTTTCGCGCGAGGACCTCGTGTTCGACGTCAAGTGGTCCCCTGTCAGGGCCGGTGTCTTCGCTCTCGTCGACGGCGCAGGTGCGCTCGAGATCTGGGACCTGAACGCAGACCATGAGATCCCCATTGCGCACGTGACGCCTACGGAGCACCCGAACGCGGTCTCGTCCGCGGGCGGTCTTGGAATGTGGAAGAAGCGCAGCTTGAACAGATGCGCGTGGGAGCAGAACGACGGGAAGAAGATTGCTGTGGGAGGCTTGGACGGCGTGGTCACCGTGTTTGAGGTGGGCAACGAGCTCGGCGGAACAGAGGGCGCAAGGGCGGAAGAGTGGACCGGAGTGAAGAAGGTTGTTGCGAGGGCGGAGGCCCAGCAGGGCGCCGCGAAGGAACTGGGTACTGGTGTGAAGGCGCCTACGGTTAACGGCTTTGGTAGGTAGCTTGTCCTGTGCCTGGATGGGGTAGAGCGTGTCGCAAAGCGCATGTCTCTCCCCCAGTCGTCTATACTCTTCGTATTAACGCGAATACCCAATTTTCTTTTCTCTCGCCTGTGGAAAAATGCCCTCGTTTCTTGTACATATATTTTACTGTGGCTCTCAGGGTGACAAACATTCCATCAGCGTGACACATTGTGCCGGAAACGTTCTTGGATTCTACTGTCGAGAAATTCAAAGCGGATCACGGGCACGCGTACGGGGATGTCCACACTGCATTCAACATTTTCTACACACACGCACACGTACACTTATTGTAAAGTGCACCTGCTCATCATTTTTTTCCCTTCTCAGCCGTCACAGAACCAATTTCCAAAAGAGACACAAATCTGACGATCAGAGAGACGATAACAACAAGGTGATGCTTTATACTACACTGAATGTACCTAGAGAAAGATGAGCGAACGAAGCATGCACATATGCTCAGCTTAGTAAGTTCTCTTGAACGGTGGCACAGACTTGCATTCGGCCTCGTCAAGGGTGTGCATCGTCACGGCACGGTATCCGATGTCGACCTTGTCATGCGGCTTCTTCTGCCATGTCAGAGTGTGCTTCATCCAGTTCTCGTCGTCGCGCTCGGGGTAATCCTCGCGAGCGTGAGCTCCACGTGATTCCTTTCGGTTGGCCGCAGCCTCAGCGGTTTGAACACTTCGCACTCCAGTTAGCATCTTCCTTACATCCTGTGCTTGAGGTATGACTTGGAAATGGGGCAGGTAATCACAAGCAAAATGAAAAGTAAATACGTACGCGCATGTCAACAAGTTCCTAAGCTCGAGTGTCTCGACGAGATCCGAGTTCCAGATCATACTTCTGTCCTTGGTTCCAACCTGGCTGAATGACTTGTCGACCTCATGGATCCTCCTGACACCCTCGTCAAGCGATTCCTGAGTTCTGAACACGCTGACATCGGTCTGCATGACCTTCTGCATGGCGAGACGAATCTCGGCCGTGCTCTTCGGACCATCTGCAGTACGCAACTCATCAATGACGCGAATACTCTCGGCACCGGCATCGGGCGAAAGCTCCTCGTGCTTGTAGCCTGGTTTGAAGTTGTCGCGGATGGTGTGCGAAACAGCACGGCCGAACACGATGAGGTCAAGCAACGAGTTAGCACCAAGACGATTGGCACCATGGACGGACACGCAAGCAGCCTCGCCGCAGGCAAACAATCCCGGCACGACCTGATCCTTGCCGTCCTTGTCGACGGTGAGGACTTCACCAGTGTACTTGGTTGGAATGCCACCCATGTTGTAATGAACGGTTGGCAGAACAGGGATGGGCTGCTTCCGGACATCGACACCTGCGAAGATAGCTGCCGTCTCAGAGATACCTGGCAGGCGGTCGTGGAGGACCTCTGGTGGCAAGTGGCTAAGCTGGAGGTAGATGTGGTCCTTTTCTGGGCCTACACCACGTCCCTCACGAATTTCCATGGTCATTGAGCGAGAAACGACGTCGCGAGAGGCAAGGTCCTTAGCCGTTGGAGCGTATCGTTCCATGAAGCGTTCACCCTCAGAGTTGATGAGGTATCCACCCTCACCACGAGAGCCTTCCGTAATCAAGCACCCAGCGCCATAGATACCGGTTGGGTGGAACTGAACAAACTCAAGATCCTGGTTGGGAAGACCAGCACGAGCGACCATGGCCATACCATCACCTGTGCAAGTGTGGGCAGATGTGCAGCTGAAGTAGGCACGACCGTAGCCACCGGTGGCAAGGACGGTGTTCTGGGCCTTAAATCTGTGCAGAGTGCCGTCCTCCTGGTTGTAGGCGATAACACCTTTGCAGACGCCATCCTCCATGATCAAATCGGTAGCGAAGAACTCGATAAAGTACTTGGTGTTGTGGCGAAGCGATTGACCATAGAGAGTATGAAGCAGAGCGTGGCCAGTTCTGTCAGCGGCGGCGCAGCATCGGTACGCTTGACCACCCTTTCCGTACTTTTGTGACTGACCCCCGAAGGCTCGCTGGTAGCTGTTTCATGGTGAGCACAAAGCTAGAGATTCAAACGCGGGGAAGATGCGCACATTCTGCCGTCCTCGGTACGCGAGAAGGGGCAACCGTAGTTCTCAAGCTCGATGACAGAACGAGGCGCCTCTCGGGTCATGTAATGGATAGCGTCTTGGTCTCCCAGCCAATCCGAGCCTTTGACAGTATCATACATGTGCCATCGCCAGTCGTCTTCGTGCATGCTATTGTTTTCGCCGTGGTTAGCCACGTCGCATGTCAAAATCATCAATACAGGGTCGACTCACTTTCCCAGAGCGGCATTGATGCCGCCCTGCGCAGCGACAGTGTGCGATCGAGTAGGGAAGAGCTTTGATATGCAGGCGGTGTTGAAGCCGGCCTCTGCCAGACCGAAGGCAGCTCGAAGACCGGAGCCGCCCGCTCCTACGACAATGGCATCTACAAAACGTCAGGAGAGCTTCTATCAAGATTGCGGTTGAAGCTGCACACCGTATTCATGATCGATGACCGGATACGAATGCGAGCCGGACGTTTGGGCCTCTTTGGCTCGTAGCGGTTGACTGGTTATGATCTTTGCCAGGCGGTGGCTCTGAGTGAACTGTCGCGATGGTGTCCGCACAGCTCTCGAAAGCTGCACCAGTCATCAGTAAATGATCAGCAAGGCGTCGCCAACCACAATTGGACGGCAGAAGACGTCGAGAAACAATGGACTTCCGGGAGCTGCGGGCGGCCACGGTCAGGAAAGAAGCGCCACCATTGCGAGAAGCACCGGGCGGCCATTGCGGAGAAGGAGAGACTCACCTGGCGTGAAGGGAGAGCTATCCGGCGCAAGCCCACAGAAGCCATCTTCGCGGGGGCTGCACAGGACAGAAACAAAGGTGAGGTGTGGTGTAGATGGGCGGAATTATGAGGAAAGGTTGGTGTTCAGAGCAGAAGTATCGCTAGCGTCAATAATTGGCAGGCCAGACGACACACACTTTGCTTTGCACAACGGGTAGTCCGAATCCGCCGATGGCCCTCGGGTGATGGCTGCAGCAACTCGCCTGCCCACGCCAGCCCAGCAAACCCCGTCCCAAGCGCCCCTCTGTTCGAGCAGCCTACATCCTCCTGCCAGGTGCCCGTGCCTGGCAATGCATTTGGCAACGGTGCATCGGCTGCGTGCACCTTGGGTTTTTTCTACTGTTCTCTGAATTTCTACCGGGCGCGCAGCCTTGAAGCTGGATGCACGACGCCGTCGAGGACTGGCCGGATGAACAATTCGCGCGCTCTGATTCGCCCTCGGCATTTTTCCACCTGGATGTCGGCGACACGCTCATCGTTCATGACGATCGCGAAGAGCCGCCTAAATCATTTTGCTCGCACGCGAGCCGATCAGCAGAACCTCCTGTTTCTGTCATCTGCTGGGCATTCATGCCTTCCCATTGGCTTTGCGGCATCTGCGTATCGTTCAATGACGCCTGCTCTGCTCTTTCGGTCTCGTGTACAAGCGCGGCTCCACTCGAAGAAGACGACATGGGACTGGCCAAAGGGCCCACATTAAAATACGGATCATGTGACACGATGTGGAGAGACGTAGACAGAGCGTACGATTGGATTTACATGTTCAGCATCAAGCACATAGCCAGCTGCATGTCAGTTTTGTGACTCTCGCTATGCTGCCCCTATCTCGAGCATTGGGTGATGATGAGGATGATAAACGCCATGCAAAGAAGACGACCCCGGATATTCCCATCTTGCGAATCACATTTTCCCACGTAAGAAAAGACGAAGAAGAGTGCTTTCCCTTGTCTATGCTGCAACCAAGTCCTTCTTGAGTGTGCCCATGAACTGCTTCTTCTCTGCCGGGGTTTGGTATGCACCATGACCGAACTTGGACGATGTGTCGATCCACTTGAGTTCGATCTTCTCCAGGGCGCTTCTCTTGGTGTGTGTGAACATCGACTTACGCAAAGTCAAGACCCGCTTCTTAACGCCCGGTACTGAGCCCTTGATCAGGAGGAAGTCGTTCTTGACTTCACCATATCGCACGAAGCCACCCATGCTTGTGCACGTTAGCGTGTGTCTGAAACAGATTAAATGAAAGAGAAGTACGACTTACGGTGTAATTGTCTTCTTGGACACATCAAACTCGGTCGAGGCATTGCCCTCGTCATCGCCCTTGCCAATGCGGTAGATCTTGTGGTTGACCGAGGTACGGTGGTGGTAGCCCATTTGACCAGCACGAGCGACGGTCCACTGGACGTGGGACGGATGCCATGCACCGATACAAGCGACCTTGCGGAGACCCTTGTGCGTCTTGCGAGGCAGCTTCTTGGTGCCCCAACGAGCAGTGACACCATTGAAACCGTGGCCCTTGGTGACGGCGATGACATCAATCATCTCATCCTGTTCGAAGATCGAGCCAATCTCGACTGGCTTCTCGAAAAGGCCGTAGGCGAAGTCAACCTTAGCCGGAACTTCACCGCCGTTGACCTGGATCTCCATAAGGTGTGCCTTCTTCTGCTTCACTGTATGGTCATCAGCACAAAATCAATCTTCATGAGACATTCATAGACATACAAGGAGTCTTGCTAATTTGAGTGTGGGCAAGAACACGGACGACAGTGCAGTACTTCTTGATGCGTTCGAGTTCACGGGTGATCGATGTACCCTTGCTCTCGGCATGCTTCTTGGCGTAGCGGGTGAAGGCCTTCTTCTTGCTCTTGTACCAGTTCTTGTAGAAGCGACGCTTGAGCTCATCGCTCAGGTGCTCAGCCCAGACAGTAGTCAGCGATCGCAGGCCACGAGGAGTCTCTGCTGGACATTAGTCTCCCAATCATTGAGCCACAAAGATTATCCACACTGACCGATGTAGCCAACAAGGCCGACAACAATCATTGGTGGAGTGTCAACGACAGTCACAGCCTCAACAATCTCCTTCTTGTGCAGCTTGGCGCCTGGTCGGTCGAGGTCACGCACAATGGTGGTCATTCCAGCCTTGTAACCTGTGCTAAGGTCAGGCGCTGTGTCTGTATGTATTGTGCGAATTATTCCATACCCATAGCAGCTGTGAGGTGAGGAGGCTTCTTCTTATCATCCTTGGGGAAGCTAAAGAATGTGTTAATCTCATGGCCCGGCTTTCAACACAACACGCTCTCTCATACCTCTTGACCTTTCCTCGATGTCTGGCAGCTGTAATTCCCGTCAATCTCTTGTACTCGGATACCACCATGTTTCTTCTTTCTTACCTCGCTTCCTAGGCAAGAAGGCGAGCGAGCCATGGCGCTACATTGGGCGTTAGTACTCTTGTCGTCAAGCTCGCATGCACGGGTAGAGTTTGGCAGCTGTCTTGAAATTTCGCGACAAATTTCAAGAAGAAACCAATGGCTGGGATGGTCAACGTACTGGAGCCTCGAACTTGCGGTGCGACATTTTGAATTGTAGGCGTGTCGCTGTGCAAAGTGTGGTGATCAAGCAGCACTAGAAATTTCGTGAGGTTTGTGGATTTTCGGTGTAGTGCGCACGAAAAATGGCAGCCTGAGATGCTGTGGGTTTGACACCTGAGGCATCCTCGACGTCAACTGCAAGCAGCGACTGACCAAGAGTGAAAGCGTCACAAATCGCGGCTGCACTCTGCCCAGCCCACGTCCAAAGAGCCGAGTGAAAGTCATCTCGAGCCGTCACATCCCATAGGTATTACCTCGTCATTGCACCCGCCGCACGCCGTTCTTTCGCTCGAGACCGACGATCACGAGAGCTCCAACCACCTTGTACTCCCAGTGCATTACATACTCGGCCGGTCGTGGCACCAAAGTCCGTCTCCAAATTGCGCACCTGTTAACAGCTCGAACAACTCCTAATCTTGCGTAAGATTGTTACTCTTAGCTGTCATAAAGCATCTTAAGTCCATTTGGAAGCTCTTATAGTGCGAAATTGATCGCAACATGTCGGACATGGTTGAGCCCAGCCCGACCACTTGGAAATTTACCCAGTATGCCTGACCCTCCATGCACCTTTGGCTGTCGCGTGACAAATGCACTGGCTACTCTCTTCGCAAGCCAAAGTTCTTCCTGTCTTCAGATCGTGACGACTGACAGCAAATGGCCCACGCACACTTCAAAATCTAAACTATGGCTGACTATGGACCAGGTGCTTCGGTGACAAAGGCGACGTCGAGGACATAACAGAGGGTCTGCAAGAGTGTATATCCCCCATTTTGTACCTCAGCTAACTGGGTTGGCAGCCGACATAATATCCACTGTAGAGTTTGATCAGACCGGTAATTACCTCGCCACTGGTGACAAAGGCGGTAGGGTTGTTCTCTTCGAAAGAAATGAAACGGTAGGTACAACAAAAAGCACCGATTCCGCCGTGTACTCAACAATAGAACAGAAAAAAACTTGCGAATACAAGTTCCATACCGAGTTTCAGTCCCACGAGCCAGAATTTGATTACCTCAAGTCTCTGGAAATAGAAGAGAAGATAAACAAGATCAAATGGTGTCGACGGCAAAATGCATCGCACTATCTCCTTTCGACAAATGACAAGACAATCAAACTGTGGAAGGTCTTTGAGAAGTCCTTGAAGGTTGTGGCGGAAAACAACTTATCACATGAGTTGACTCCAGCAGGCGTTCCAGGCGGTGGTGGACCCGTTCGAAACCCAAACGTGAATTTCCGATCCGCTGCTGACCTGAAGCTGCCTCGAATGACGCACCATGACACCGTTGTAGCAGCAGTGCCAAAAAAGACATATGCTAACGCCCATGCGTACCACATCAATAGCATCTCTGTCAACAGTGATGGCGAGACCTTTATTAGTAGCGACGATCTTCGGATTAACCTCTGGAATCTCAACATTCAGGACCAGAGCTTCAATATTGTTGACATAAAGCCCGCGAACATGGAAGAGCTGACGGAAGTCATAACTGCCGCAGAGTTCCATCCATTGAGCTGCAACTGGTTTATGTACGCAAGCTCTAAGGGTACAATTAAGCTTGCAGACATGAGAGAAAGCGCTCTCTGCGATCAGCATGCAAAACGTACGTCATGTCTCGTTTCACAAGCACTTCTTTCAAGTGTTAATTACTCGCGCAGAATTCGAGCAGGAGGAAGACCCGCAATCTCGATCTTTCTTCTCCGAAATCATTTCCTCAATTTCTGACGTCCGATTCTCCCACGATGGTCGTTATATCCTTTCCCGAGACTACCTGACAGTTAAGATCTGGGATGTCAATATGGAACGGCAGCCTATCAAGACAATACCCATCCATGAGCATCTGAGACCTAGACTGTGCGACACATATGAGAATGACAGCATTTTCGACAAGTTTGAGGTTGTGTTCTCTGGCGATGCTAAGAACGTCATGACAGGCTCATACAACAACAATTTTATGATCTATCCATCGGATCCAGAAAAGGACACTGAAGTGGTTCTACAGGCAGACAAATCAGCCTTCAAGGCAAAGAAGGTTGGCATACCGACACCGATGAACTCTGCATCGAGCCCAACTGGATCAACTGGCAAGAAGGCGAATTCAAGAGCAGGAAGTCCCGCCTCAGTCGGACCAGGCCAACGAATGCGCAAGGAAACTGACGCAGATCAGATTGATTTCAATAAGAAGATACTACATATGAGCTGGCATCCGTTCGAGGATAGTATAGCGATAGCCGCAACTAATAACGTAAGGATAATTCCGCAGTAATGTCAACTGACAAGGTACTGATTATTTTCCAGCTTTTCGTCTTCTCTGCACTATAGACTGCACGGCACTTTGCATTGTTCCTGGCAAGACAAACCAATCCCATGGAGAGGCGTTTTCTTTACTTCTCATCGACGGCAGCACATCGCGTATTGACCTTCGCAGCACAAAGTGGCGAACAGACAACCGTATCGTAGTGATAGACCGAGGTTAGGATGACTATCTGGCTATCTGATGAGCAAGCGGCAGAGTGTGGGGCGTGGAGTTAACGCGCAAATCCGTCGACGTGTAGCAAACGAAGGGAAGGATGTAGAATAGCGGAGCTTAATCTTGGTTTTGAGGATTTGCCTCCTCTCTGTAGCCGAATGCAGTACGGCATGCGTCCAAGAGGGCCATGTCTTTGTGCTCAAAAATTCCGTGTATTCGCTTGATTTTAGCTCGGGATAAGTATTTTGTGAATTTTAGCGTTGACAGCCATATCGAGTTTCTGCGGTATATATAGCCTTTGAGCCACGAACTGCATGCACCTGCCCAACATGGAACAGGGGCTAGTCTCCTGCACATCAATCTAATCGGCCACATCAGCCATTGTAATAACAAGCATCACATCAACGCGCATGGCCCTTGGTGGCGCATAAATACAGTCCATATCAATGTTGTTGTTGTTCTAGTAGTAGCATTGTAAAATATTCCTCTTGATTCGTAAGTCAATGCCCATCTATTTTTGGACCAGATTGCGTCCTACGCACCACCCACCCCTAGCAGCAGCTTCGATCGACTGATGTCGGCGGCGTTAGATCGATTTCCGATGTGTGTACATGTAAAACTCAGCTTTCAATCCTGATAGAGAACCAAGCAAGATGCTAGACGCGCTGGTGCCGGTAGGCATAACCGCTTTGATTTTTGGAGGCTGCTGCTCGAATGTAGGCCTGGACCTTTGATCCGCAAAGCACCATCCCGCTGAACATCATTCTAGGTTTACGCGCTTGAAGCTGTCCTAAAGCATGAGCCGGACAGTGGTACGTAGGAACCAGATTTCTGAAGGATGCAGAGTCTGATCATCGATTCCCAGGTCTTCTCATCACGCTCATGCAGTTCATTCTGGTCACTCTTTTCACTTACAACAGCCAGCGTTCACTCAATCTGCCATCCTTTTTGAAGCCTACCAAGATTCCACTCCGCAAGCTTTTCTCCAGCGCCGCCATGTTCTTCACCGTCAACATGCTCAACAATTGGGCTTTTGCCTTCAACATTGGCGTGCCTGTACACATCATCCTACGAAGTTTCGGAAGCGTGACTACCATGGCAGCCGGCTGGTTGCGCGGGAAACGATATTCGCAGCTGCAGATTGTTTCTGTCGTTTTGCTTACCCTGGGCGTCATGATCAGCGCCTGGGCGGATGTAGAGTCAAAGGTGAATTCCCATGATCGCTCCCTACAAAGTTTTTGCTGATCGAATCTTTAGGGAAAGCCTTTGAAAACGGAAGGCGTCGATACTGGTATTTGGTTTGGACTTGGGCTCCTGATCCTACTCGTCGCACAGCTGCTTTCTTCCTATATGGGAGTCTACGTTCAAGACGTGTATGCAGAGCACGGCAAGCACTGGGATGAGAATCTCTTCTATAGCCATTTTATCAGCTTGCCGCTTTTTTTGCCGTTATCTGCTACGCTTCGGTCGCAATTCGTGCGTTTACAGAATTCGCCGCCCATGCTCGTCCCGCCTGTCTTCGCGTCGTCCGTACCTCTTGTACTGCAGTCCTGGCTAGCAAAGGTACCGCGCTCCATATTCATGTTGGCAGTCAACTCAATCACGCAACTTCTCTGCATCACAGGCGTTAATCTTCTTGGGGCGAAGTCATCCGCTGTTACAGTGACTATTGTCCTCAATGTCAGAAAGCTTGTCAGCTTCATGCTGAGCGTCTGGCTATTTGGAAACCCAATGAGTGCTAAGATGATAACAGGTGCTGCGCTTGTGTTTGGTTCGGGCGCCTTGTATGGCTGGGAGACCACTGTGGGCATCAAGCGCCGGCAGAAAGTGCAGACGATATATCAACAGAATGGCAATGCAAATGGAGACAAGAAAAAGAGCTAGATTGTCAAGAGAGCCAAACAATCCCACCGTTAACTCGGGTTTGGACTTGCCATTTGGGCCTTTCACCAAGATCATGAGGAAAACTATGAGGTGGAGATCGGGTAAAGACAAGTTCTGATATCGAGCTCCAACAGAAATATTACCACAGTCAAGAGTCGTGTCATCTGGTTATTTTGAATTCGTGATTCAAATGTATAATAGGACAGGTCAATATCCCCTGCTCATTGATAAGCAAAACTTGCACAATCGATGAAGAAATCGATAATTAACTATCCGTGGTCAATTGGTTGTACTCTGAGAGGCATGCCCAGTGACTTCTACGATTATACAGACCAATTTCTACATTTGAAGCAAGAGAATTTGAGTTATCAAGGGCTTTGATATCCTTGTGACCAGCAAGCTTGTCTTCTGGAAGCAAGAATGATCTTTTTTGGACAAAACGTCTTTGGAATCGATTTGATGGAATAATCAGACGACCTGAAATAGAAAACCGTGCCCATAGAATGGGGCTACGCAGTCATAGTTCTTTGTCACCTCAAAAAGTATACGTATCTGCGATTGCGACGAGTAAAAGAGTACACAAATTGAAAAAGGCAGAAAACCAAGGTAGATCAAAGCACGAATTTAGACCAGCAATCGATCTACAAGGCCTCAAGTTGCGAATTAAGTCAGAGTTAGCGCCTGTATTACACGAGGAAGACGAGTAAGTGCCTGTTTATAACGCCCTTAACGGAACAAGGATTTTACAAAGGCTTGAAGGTTAGCAGTGGCTAAAGGATACTCCCTAGGTAATGCTACAGGACATGATGAAATGCTATTACGGCAGCCGATCATCCTGGCATACAGGTCCATATGCTTGTGATGAGCCATAACAGTAATAAGGGGAATATCTTGCTGTCGAGGGTATAACGGAGATGGATTAACATGGTGCGGTTCACGAGCATAGAGTAGAGAAGATGAAAAGATTAAGGGGAATTCCATTACAGTGCACAAAGGAACAGCTCGAGTTGCCGTTCTGAACGAGTTGATTTGCATCTTGGGCGCAGCTGGGGTAAGTAAGGGCAATGTTCGGATGATCCTGAAGTACAGTAAGCACTCTGCCGCAATACAGGTAGCTCTGGTCTAGTAGAATGTGGGTTGATCAGAATCAAATTTCTCGTTCAGAGAGACCGTGGCCTCTATGTCCCGTCTTGAAACATTTTTTGAAAGCGTATCATCAATGGAAAATGCGTACAGGATAAGGTTAGGATAGACATACATTGCATCAGTGAGAATATATTGATTTAAGCCATCAAGTGTGTAGCAGACGCAAACATACTGCAACAGCGATGTTTACTGATAGAGAGTTGAATTGTACTTGTGCCATTCTGCACGAGTTTGTTCTAGGAATGTTCAGGAACTAATTGGTCGGCGCAAAAAATTTGGAGCCGTGCAGAAAGTGAGATCTTCACGTGAACGTGTTTTAGCCTTGATGCCTTAGGGTTGGCGCACGGATCACCACCAACTTTTCCAAAATGCCCACCAAAAACTCTCGTATCCGTGAAAAGTGTCAGCCGTTCAGTTTGGTAAGAGCCCACTTTGCCGTCAAGATGGGTGCTCTCAAATATATCGAGGAGCTTCAGAAGCGCAAGCAGTCCGATGTGATGCGCTTCCTTCTTCGTGTCGTAAGTCAATGGCAGAACTTGAGTGTACGTGTATTTGCTAATACCTTCTGACAGCGCTGCTGGGAGTGAGTCTGATCTTGTGCCATCGAAGTGTTCACACTTGTGCAATGGCACCGCCTACACTTCGTTGAACAAAGCTGAGAAGTGCAGGTACCGTCAGCGACATGTTATTCACCGAGCGTCCCGTCCATCGCGCCCAGACAAGGCTCGCCGACTTGTAAGAGCACACGGGTCTCTAAGAGACGACAGAGATTGACACGGGACAACAGGGATACAAGGCTAAGCAGGGCTATGTCATCTATCGCATCCGCGTTCGCCGTGGTGGCCGCAAGCGACCTGCGCCAAAAGGTGCTACATACGGCAAGCCGACCAACCAGGGTATCAACCAGCTGAAATACCAGCGCTCCCTTCGTGCCACCGCCGAGGAGCGTGTCGGCCGCCGTTGTGCCAACCTTCGCGTCCTCAACTCGTACTGGATCAACCAGGACTCCACTTACAAGTACTACGAAGTCATCCTTGTTGACCCACAGCACAAGGCTATTCGTCGCGATCCACGCATTAACTGGATCGTCAACCCAGTGCACAAGCATCGCGAGGCTCGTGGGCTCACTTCTACTGGCAAGAAGTCCCGTGGTCTCAACAAAGGCCACCGCTACAACAAGACCCGCGGCGGCCGCAGAAAGGCCTGGAAGCGTCACAACACGCTCTCTCTCTGGCGCTACCGATAAATGCATATCGGGTGTGGATGGGGTTGCTAGTGCATCGGGGCTACTATGGCGTGATGGAATTGTTCTTCTCGCGGGCATAAAATTTCTTGCCTGCCTCATAGGCAGTTTCTATAGCATAAATGACATGAACATGAGACGACGGGTTCTCACAGAAATCAAATTTGTCTCGGACTCCAGTCTCCTTTCATAGCTTCTCAAATGTAGGCTTCCGCTTTTGTAGCCCTGACAACATGGCTCTCTCCACATCCGATGTTTGAATCATGCCAGCGTTCCAGATGGCCGTATACTTGAGACCGTCGTCGACGGGCCTGTCTCTGCTCCAGTTAAGAAGCTCTTTGGTGCCATAAACAGCGACAGGTGACTTTGAGGCGATCAAGCTGGCAATCTCGATTGCTTTTTTAATACCAGCCTCTTTGTTCTCAACCACGTGCGATACGAATCCGACTCTTAACGCTTCGTCGGCATAGAACTCCCTTGCCGTAAGCGCAACCTCCTTTACCCACGAAAAACTGCAACCACTCTTCGGAAGTCTCGTCAATGTGCCAATGTCAGCTGCGAGGCCGATATCGACTTCCTTGACGCTGAGCCTGACGTCCTTGGTAGCTATTCTGATGTCGCATGCAACACCCATGTCAATCCCCAAACCATAGCTGATACCATGGTAAACGATGATGACTGGCTTGCCGCAGCGCTCAATATCAGTGATGCAATCTTGAAACTCGATGATGCTCTCTCGGGTCTTTCGTGCTTTGCGAGCTACATCCGTGTCGGACTTCTTCAGAGTTCCCTGTGACGCAGCCTGGACATCAAGACCTGCGGTGAAAGCACGCGGGCCAGCGCCACTGATAATGACAGCACGACAGTCTGGGTCCAGGGAGAGCTTCTTGATAATGGCGGAGAAGTTCAACCACATCCTGTCAAAAGATCATGTGAGCACGAGGCTGAAACTCGGAAGAACTGCATGAAGACTCAAGAACAAAGTTGAGCGACAATCACGTCCATTTCGACCATGAAATGCTCGGCCTAGAGCCATATGCGCACTTACTTTTGGATGAAGGCATTGAGCTTCTCTGGCCGATTGATTTCGACCTGTGCCACGAACTCGGCCGGAAAGGTTACATTGAAGTACTCGTAATTGTATGTGTCCGGCATTTTGACTGATTTGAGAAGCAACCAAGCTGTTCGACTAAAAATAATCCAGCTGGTGGTACAGTTAATAATTGATGAAATACAAGTAAAGAAAAATGAGTATGTACGTCTAAAGGGATCTATCTGATATATTTTGTTAGAATTTCAAGTCCCCGGCTGTCAGTGGACTCCAAGTCAGATATGTGGAGACGAGACCCCTTGCGGTCGGCGAGCCGAGGTTGGCAGCACGAGGAACCTCTTCTTGCAACTTTCCTGCACTCTGAGGAGAACCGAGTTTGTTTCTATTTTGGTTTTTGAATGTGATTGAATGCCTTTCAAACTTAGCGATATTTGTAAACTCTAGTTACTCTATCAGTCTCGTGCAAGTCAAATGCCTGAGGACACCCCACTATCGCAACTCATGTCATCTCCAAGGCGTCGTCTGCCTTCATCAACACTTCAGCCATCCGAATGGTACAGTCTGCGTATCATCGGCATTCTGGAACCCGGTTCCATATCAAATACTAACCACTGGTCCCATCGTCGAGATCTTTGAAACAGTTGTCAATGCGATCACAATGTTTGCCTTGCGATTTGGCCAAGCATCTGGCTGAAGCTTCAGGCCTCTTTATGGTGCTTAAACGCGGGAAAGTCGATAAATTCTTACAGCGTAGTGTAGATCCATACAGATGTACCAATCCTGTGTTGTACCGCAGAGCCTCATCAAAGGAAAATGCCGCCATGCTAAGGTTATCGTTTCACAAAGATCGCCCCGCTTTGTGGCGTGGGACATGCAGACACTGTCCTTGATACACAATAAGCTAGCCTATAGAACGCTCAGGTTCTTCCGGGATGTCCTGCACGCAAGCGAAAATGCGAGGAACATAGGAACGAACGCGCGCATTTAGGGAGCAGCTGAGCTCAGCTGTATTTCATGCATGAGCGCACAGGTGTTGTGGCCAAAGTGCTTCGACAGCCGTTCTTTTCACATATTTTGCCCACACATCATCCTGTATACGATAATGAACGTGTCTGGCCAAGTACGACATGGCTCGGACATGTATAAGGCATATCAGTACTCCACACTAGACCCACCAACTACTTTGCGCCTAATCAAGTTATGGCCCGCGATGGATCATAATGCTACCCTCCAATGCAATATCGTTGAACTTCGCGAACCATATGAGAGTGAAGACTACGATGCGCTGTCGTGGTGCTGGGGCTCACAGGACAAGAAGGAGTGGAGTAAGGAGCTTATCATCCATGTGAATGATGACCAAACTATAGTTCCTAAAGTGTTCTACATTTCTGAAAACCTCGACGGAGCCTTACGAGCATTTCGCCGCAAGAAGGATAAGATCACTCTGTGGATTGATGCCATCAGTATCAATCAGGACAATCTGGACGAAAAAAGCTACCAGATTCCATTAATGGCGGTCATTTACCCCAAGGCAAAGCGCGTCCATGTTTGGCTTGGGCCTGAAGATTTTCATAGCACTCTGGCCCTTGAGTTTATCAAGAACAGTGTGTTGAAACTTTGGAATTTCGACAAACTTTGCCAAACCGATGACGAGAACAACAAATCAAAGGAATGGGAGGCTTTCTCTAAACTACTGAACCGTGACTGGTTTGGACGACGCTGGGTAGTTCAAGAGATATCGCTTGCAACAGAGGCAATTGTACACTGCGGAAGCAAACATATTACATGGCAAGAGTTTAGCGATGCTGTGTCTCTCTTTGTGGAAGCGGAAAACAAATCAAGGCTGTCCGAAGTAATGCGGAATTCTAAAGATCATAGTCGATATCAAGATTATTTTGGAGAGATACCAGCATCAGCAGCGTCTTTACTCGTGGACACAACTCGAAATCTGTTTCGGCGATCTAATGATGGCGGTCGGGAACCAATATCCAGCCTAGAATACTTGGTGTGTTCACTATCTATTTTCAAGGCAAGCAACGAAAGAGATTCCATCTACGCGCTGCTTGCCATTGCGAAAGACGCGCTGCCACAAGCTGGCGTTACGAAGAACATCGATGAGGGTCTGAATGACCTAGAATCACCAGAGGTCAGACGGCAGATCAGAGCTTGGGCAAGAATTCGCGGTAGAAAATTTGCGGTACACGCCTATCACGTAGACTACAAACAAGAGATCGTGGATGTCTACAAGGACTTCGTACTTTTTGCCATTCGAAAAGCTGAAAAATCTCGGGCGCTCGATATCATTTGTCGACCATGGGCGCAAGAAGTTTCAGACGAAGACGGTGGCTCTGATAAGATGCCTCTCCCAAGCTGGATTTGCACTCTTCGCAATGCCCCGTACGATGTTTCGCAGAGACCCAACCTGGGAGAAAGGATGGCGAGGAAAAATGCAGATCCATTAGTTGGTATGCCGGACATTGCAGGGAGAAACTACACCGCAGCTGGGTCGAAATCAATAACCGCTTCTGAGTTCAAATTCAAGAAGGGGGACGGATATTACAGCATGTTTGTACAGGGCTTCGTGCTCGACGAGATCACTAGAGGTGAGAGCAATGTTGGGACATCAGATTCCGGATCTATACCAAGAACCTGGAGGAGCTTTATGCACTCAGGAACACAAAATAGAGTAGAAGAGGACTTCTGGCGGACTCTAGTGGCTGATCGCGGTCCGGATGGGAAAAGTCCACCCGCATACTATCGTCGCGCGTGCGAAGAAGTGTTCAAGACTGGGCACAAGGACGGACCGATCCAAACCAACGAACTAATCTACGAGAGCGGCTGCACCATCGTCGAGAAGTTTTTGCGTCGCGTCCAAGCGGTTGTCTGGAACCGTCGTCTGATGAAGACTAAGCACCTTGGGAAGATTGGTTTGTTCCCAGCGGAAACGCGAACTGGAGACTACGTCTGTATTCTATACGGTTGCAGCGTCCCTGTTGTGCTGCGCAAGGTTGAGAAAGATGAGGAAGAGATCGAAGCGGACATTAAGCTTGCTCTAAGAGAACAGGTAGCCGCAGCAGTGATGATACAACGCAGGTTTCGTGAGAGCCGGACCATTCGATTGGCTAGGGCGAGACGAAGAAAGGCTATAGCCAAGGCTCTAGTTTGGAAGCTTGTGAAGCCTTATATCTATGGTTCAAAGGCGCTGGATCTTGCTTGTTCAATCGGGTTTGTGGTCTGCGTTTCTCTTTGCATGTCTTTGGACCCGCTCGCTTGGTTACGTACAGTGCTTAGCTCTATAAGGATCGGATTTCTGCAAGCTTTCGCCCTACTCACAGCGCAGGAAGAGGACCGTCGACTTAGTTCTATTGTCGTGCTTTCTCTTGCATTCGGACCTTTGATCTCTGTGACCTGCAAAAGGATCTGGAGGTCCGGGAGAACGATCGCACGCTCATTCCGGCTCTTTTCCAACGAGAATATTAGAATGCCCAAGCCGAACCCAGAGTACTTCGTGTTGATTGGCGAATGCTATCTTCATGGTATGATGAATGGTGAAGCAATTACAGAGCAGCGCCGAGCTCAAAGCAAATCTACAGTCGCTTCAACCTCGAACGGGCACGCTGTGGGGCAAAATCCTGCATTCGAGGAACCCATTGCCGCACGTGCAAAGTCGAAGAAGGCACAAAAGGCCGCAAATCGCAAGCTCAGAGCTCGCAGGAAAAAGGAGGAAGAGTTGAGAGGGATTCATCCATCTTCGACACTCGAGAGATTCCAGAACATGACATTCGAAATTCGATGATCGAGAGCGTCTCTTCTTATGAACGCAAAAGTTAAAAGCGGAGAGAAGATTTTGTTATCTCTTCGGCATTTCAGGTATTATCCTCGACATTTGAAAGCCTTCTTCTTCGGTTTAGACTCGAGTCCGGAGCTGATTATTGAAGTTTTTGAGTAATTGCTGTTATCAGGCCCGGTTTAAATAAACAGAGGTCTATTGATCCAAGGCCACAATCAAATCAATTTCCACAAATGGACTTAGGAACGTATCTAGCTTGCGGAAGGCGCAGCGGCTCAGCTTATCCAATCTCTGTTGGTTAAACTTCCCGGCTGGACATCGACGAAATGTCGTGATTCTATGCAACTTGTTTTTCAAACGAAATAACCTCATCACGTAATATATTCGATCAATTAGCTCGCTGATAAGTCGGCTCGTCGAGACAACTCTCCTAATAGTTCCGTTGGACGCTTTCTAGGCTGTGCTGAGATGTATAAGATATATCTGCTCGGAAGCCACCTTACGTGATGATTCTCGTCCTAAAACATCCGGAATACTTACTGTCATAACTTGACCAAAGCCATAGGTCATGACATGGAAATATCTCATCGTACAATGTTGATTAGAGCATTGGTCCGGTGCGACAACTTTTTTCAGATCAGCCCTTTGTTCCTGGAAGCTAAGCGATGTCATTCTTATTCAGGCATGTACCAGGAAAGATTTCCAGTTCATGAGCGAGATCTCCTGTTACGCCACTGTGTTGCTTGCGCTCTCTGCCCTGGCTCCCAGATTTGTACATTCGTGATTTGCAGGGATTCAGCAAGGAGGACGAAGCATCCAGATCAGACCTCGAGCAGGCCTATTTCGTGGCGAATTGCTTTTGTATCTTGATCCTGTGCATCATTAAACGCATGAACTTATATAGAAATACATAATCTAGTAAGCCTTCTCTCTTGTACTCGAGCATGATGACTTTGCGCGCTGTTGCTCTTTCATCGCCCGCTCCAGTTCTCGTCACATCAACTGCTTTCATTGCAGAAGCGGCACCAAGATCTATGGATGTAGAGACTCGGGACGATGCATAGACGACAGCATTGCGCCGGAGATGTTGATGCCAATAATTCTAGAATGATTCTGAGTGGCTTCGCTGGTACGGAACGAAAAAGGAAGGAGCCCAAACATGTTGAGTAATTGGATTGCATTAATTTCTATTCTTCAGTAAGTCCAACGCTCATTTTGCAAAGCCCACTTCACCGCTGCATACACGTCGTCCACGACAACTCTTGGCTTCCACTTGGGTTCCCCACCTTGATGCACACCTGTCCTGACAAGTATGGACCACCAATCCGTGCCGACCGGACTTTTGAAGTCATTACCGCCTTTGATATCACTCTCGGGGTTATCTCCGACCATGTACACTCTCTTCAGCGGTTCAGGTGGCCCATCAACCTTGCCTTTGATCATCTGCTCGCGGTGCCTCGTCATTAGCCCCTCAGCGTATGCGTAAGTCATCGCGTAGGGCTTGCCAATGACCTGCTTAACGAGCCGCACCCCCGCCTTCTCGCCTCCCGTCGTCGCCGCCCACAGGCCTTCCAGCGCCTCACGGAAACCGCCCTGTCCCAGCCGCGGAAGGTGATACTTTGCGGCCCAGAACAAGTCAGGATTGGAGAAGTACAGCGGCGGTTGCCCATCTTGCTGGTAGCCTCTGTTGGGAAGGGAGGCGTCGCCGTTTTTTGCACTGATGGTCCCGAGCACGCCGCCCTTGGACAGCAGGAGGTCCAGTACGATCGTCGCGTCAAGGCCCCAGTCTCTAGGATCGTTGTAGACGAACACGGCGTCAATCTTCAATGAGGAGGATGGGTCCGCGCCGGGCGTGTAGAGCGGCTTCGGCAGCGGGCGTGCGAAGCGCCTGTAGAAGTCCAGAAACTGGCGCGAGAACGGCCACAGGCTCGGCTCCGCCACGAACAGATCTCCGGGCACGATCACGCGTCCGAAGCCGTAGTTCTCGGCGACGGAGCGGCACTTGTCCTCATCGCCGCCGAGCACCAAGATCGTCTTGTCCTTGTACTGGGCCAGGTCAGCGAACGGAGTGTGCGACTGCATGAAGTTCGACGTCGAAATCTGCACGCCCAGCTTCGAGTTGATCTCGTCCACGCGTTCCTGCTCCGTCTTCCCGCCGCCGTTGGTGAGGAGTATGAAGGGGATCTGCTCGGACTGGAGGAGCGACAGCGCTTCGTGCGCGCCAGGTATGGGCTTGGACGCCCGCAGGAGAACGCCGTCGATGCTAAAAGCAAGAAAACCATTCTGTCAGAACATTTCGTCGCCGAAACTGCGTAAGGGCTTGTGCGTACTCGAAAGCGAAGCCAAATTCAGGAACAGAAGACGGCGCGGGGCGCGCAGGTTGTGAATAGTAACGCTGCCATCTTTGTGGCTTTGCACTGCAGATGCGTAGTAGTGCAGGCGGTTCGGAAAATCCTACGGCACACCTGGATATAGACCTGAGCGGCAGCACCGCCGTTCGCAAAACAGCCATAGAAGGAACTGCAAAGTCGAGGATCTCAGTTTTATATACGCGGAGTCATCGGAGGTGCTAGCTCCGACCTTGGCTCTTTCCTATCTCGGCAATCATTGAACGAAAATGGACCCGAGCACTTGAACACAATATTCAACGACAAATTTTACACGGTCACAGTACGATTTTTATTGGCCTCGAGCATATCTCTAGTTCGCTCAAACTGTATGCATGATTTTTAATTTCCAATTGCTCTTCGCTCGACTGAAGTACAGATATGCATCATCTCCAAAGGAGGTATGCGCGAACCATTTCGATTGTGAATCCACCCCGAAAATGTACGTTTGACCTCTACAAAGGCTTGCCGCCGATGAACTCGCTCCACCTGCGGACTTCGCTTGGAATGCCTTCCTTCTTGGGCAGCTTCTCGCTCATGCATCGAGCAAAGAGCATGGCCGTCTGTGACTGACGTTAGTATGTTATGTATTTGCATCTTTTTGGTAAATGATACGTACCTGGGGCTCCATGAACAAGGGAACGCCGAAATCAACAGCATTCCTACGCATTACGTAGTCTTCGTCAACCAAGCTCGAGGCCCGGACCTTGGCAAGGTTGAACACGCCACGGATGTCATACTTCTCGAAGACTTGTCGCAGGGCACGCTTGTCCTCCTTGGGGAATTCGATGGATTCGACAGAAGCGCCTGGGACCTTGCTCTCGAGGAATTTCTTACACTCGTCATTGGCAGCATACAGCTTGTAGCCGAGTGGCTGCACGTACTTTACAATGGTTGGCAGGTTGTCATTGGACAAGTCGCCGCCGAAGAGAAGGCCTTCACCTGGAAGGGGGAGACGGAAATTCATAGTCGACTGCACCGCTGTCCAGTAAGCCTCGATGAGGTCCTTGCCGAAACATGCCATTTCGCCGGTCGAGGCCATTTCAACACCGAGGAAGGGGTCAGCGCCCGCCAGACGCGTCCATGAGAACTGAGGCACCTTGACGGCAAGGTAATCTCTCTTTTCCTTCATGGGGTCAACAGGCTCTGGGACGTCCTTGCCGACCAAAGCTTTGGTGGCAACCTCAATAAAGTTTGTTCCAAGGACCTTGGAGCTGAATGGGAATGATCGAGAGGCACGAAGGTTACATTCGATAACTTTGAGGGCGGGTTCGGATTGACCCTCGACATCAGCCTTTATAATCTGCATGTTGAATGGACCGGTAATTTTCCATGCTTCAGCAACCTTGACAGCAATTTCCTTGACACGTTCTTGCACTTCCGCAGAGAGGGTGTGCGGAGGAAGAACCAGAGAGGCATCGCCAGAATGGACGCCAGCTTGCTCGATGTGCTCACTAATTGCGTGGATGAGGAGCTTGCCGTTCGAAGCGACAGCATCAACATCAATTTCCTGGGCGCCCTCGATGTATTGGGTAATGACAACAGGATGATCTGGTGAGACGTCAGCAGCAGCGGTAAGCTTCTCGGCAAGTTCCTCCTTCGAGCGGACGACAGTCATGGCAGCACCAGAGAGCACGTAGGACGGACGGACAAGAACAGGATATCCCACAGAGTCGGCGAATTCCTCCGCATCCTTGAGTGACGTAAGCTCTTTCCAGGCGGGCTGGTCGACACCAATGCTGTCAAGGATTTGAGAGAACTTGTGTCTGTCCTCGGCCTTGTCGATGTCCTTTGGATCCGTACCCAAAATCTTGGCTTTGCCATCTTCCTGGAGCTTCAGAGCAATGTTTTGTGGCAATTGACCACCGACAGACACAACGACACCGCTAGCAGCCTCAAGCTCGTAGATGTCCATCACACGCTCGTAACTGAGCTCCTCGAAGTAAAGTCTGTCCGGAACGTCGAAATCAGTGCTGTAGGTCTCAGGATTGTCTGGGAACGAAATTAGCATGCGATTAAAATTGGCACTGTTAGGATATGAATGGCGGCCAAAATGCATTGCCAATCAGTTGAAGGCGCATTCTTTCCCAGCTTGTGTGATATGTAGAGATGAAAGGCATGCACTCACAATTGATCGTGATGGTCTTCTTGCCTAGTTTGCCAAGGGATTGCGTAGCGTTTACAGCGCACCAGTCAAACTCGACTGAGCTGCCAATACGGTACACACCGCTTCCGAGCACGATGACACCATGATCAGTGAACTCCACGTCGTGAGTGGTGGCATTGTATGTAGTGTACAGGTAGTTTGTCTCCGCTGGGAATTCAGCGGCAAGGGTGTCGATGCGCTTAACGAAGGGTCTGATGTCGAAGCTCAGCCTGCGAGCACGCACCTCATTCTCGGTGCTATTGACAGCCTTCGCGATCTGCTTGTCGGAGAAGCCCTGCTTCTTTGCCTTCATCAGCAGCTCTTTCTTCAGGCCATACAGACTGCCGATTTCCTCGAGCTCGCGAGTCGTATCCACAATATTCTGCAACTTGTGCAAGAACCATCGGTCGATCTTGGTCAGCTCGTGGAGCTTCTCAACGCTGTAGCCGTGCTCGAACATGGCGGTTCCGACCGCGAGCCAGCGACGGTCGGTTGGGTTGCGCAGCACCTCATCAAGGTCTTCAAACTTGTCTCCTTGGAAACCATGGAATCTGGGATCGACCATACGGCAGGCCTTCTGGAAGGACTCCTCGAACGTTCGACCGATGGCCATGACCTCGCCGACAGATTTCATGGAGCTGCCAATGTCACGCTTGACATTCTGGAACTTGCTCAGATCCCAACGAGGCATCTTTGTGACGATGTAGTCCAAGCTAGGCTCGAAGTTGGCCGTTGTAGTCTTGGTCACAGCGTTGGGCAATTCGGGTAGCGTGTGGCCGAGACCGATCTTGGCGGCAGTGTATGCCAGTGGGTAACCGGTAGCCTTGGAAGCCAGGGCGGACGAGCGAGACAGACGGGCGTTGACCTCAATGACTCTGTAATCAAGGCCATCGGGTTGCAGAGCGTACTGGACGTTGCACTCTCCAACGACACCAAGATGACGGACGATCTTGATGGCGGCAGATCGAAGCATGTGGTACTCCTCATCACTGAACGTCTGACTCGGGGAGACGACAATGCTATCACCGGTATGCACTCCGAGAGGATCGAAGTTCTCCATGTTGCAGACAGTGATGCAGTTGTCACTGGCATCACGGACCACTTCGTACTCAGCCTCTTTCCAGCCCTTGAGCGACTTCTCGACAAGAATTTGGGGAGAGAGCGTCAAAGAGCGGGCAGACAGGTTTCTGAGTTCCTCCGGATTGTTTGCAAAACCGGACCCGAGACCACCAAGAGCATACGCGGCGCGGACAATGATTGGGTAGCCGACCTTTTCGGCGGCGTCAAGAGCATCCTCGACCGTGCTCACGGCGATAGACTCAGCAATAGGGATGTTTATTTCCTTGAGCGCCTGGGCGAACAGGTCTCGGTCCTCGGAAACCTCAAGCGTGCGGATGCTGGTGCCCAAAACCTTGACGCCGTACCTTTCGAAGATACCCATGCGCTGCATCTGAACGCCAAGGTTCAGAGCAGTCTGACCACCAAAGCTGAGGAAGATGCCATCGGGACGCTCGCGCTCGATGACATATGTAACGTACTCTGGAGTGACGGGTAAATAGTAGATTTCGTCCGCGAGGACGTGGGAAGTCTGAATAGTTGCAATATTAGGGTTAACGAGCACGGAGGCAACGCCGGCCTCCTTGAGCGCTTTTAGAGCCTGAGAACCTGTGCAAATGCCTTTTGTTAGTCCACAATATTCTTTTGTCGTTTATTTTATTTTGTTTTTGCTCCTCCGTAATTTGAGCGTTTCTATCACTGAACAGCGCGATGGCGCGATGGTGCGTACGTTCTGTGCGTGTTCATGTGGTTCATGTGAGGGTGAGTGGTTCATTGTTCAGCACTGACTCACCAGAATAATCGAATTCACCCGCCTGACCAATTGCCAACCCGCCGCTACCGATAACAAGCACCTTCTTAACGTCGACAAGATCCCTCGCACCAGCAATGGCACCGGAGTTGAGGTACGCCTGGGCGTTGGGAGCCTCTTCGGACGCGTTCCTTTTGATGGGCTTTTGGGAGTAACAGCGCAATTGGCGGTGTACGCTCGGTTTCGAGTTGTTCTCGAACCCGCTACGGTTCGCGTGTCTCTGGTAGTACGGCACGAGCCGCGAGGTTGTGAAGCTCCTCAGCGCCGTTTGAGGAACACGGCCAGGTGTGCCGTGGCATTGCTGATGTAGCACATGGCGTGTAGGGCGGATGAGTCGAAGGGCGGCCGACGCCATGGTTGTGAGCGGGCCGGTACGTTTCGAATGTCTTGGTTGGATATCTAGAGAGCGGTCGAAGCGCTCAATTGGGGTGCTCACTGGACGGAGCGAGAGATTTGGAGAGCAATTGACTCTCTTTGGGGTGTAGGGAGAAGAAAGGGTTGGAAGGACTGGGGGATTGCGAGATTGAGTCTTATTTTTTTTTTTTTCCTTTTGGCTCCCCGCAAACAGGAAAAGGCGATGGATGACTGGAAGTTCTGACCAGGGGCGATCTCTGCGAGTCCGGCGCCGTCCCAAGCTCCAGCCGATCGCGCTAGAGCGGGAAAAGATAAAAGCCCAGCTGGCAGATAACGGTAGCGGCCTTTGCCTTTTGGCCTTCGCCCTCGAATGACGATAATGTTAATGATAATACGGTCAGATTCGCTCGAGACGCGTATGACGAGTCGGCTTGTGAAAAAGGACTACGCCGCCTGCTCACCGCCAGGTGAGCACAGAGCAGTGCCAACTACTCGATTAGAGCCTCACTGTGCACGACCTCTCGCGAATCCAGGGCCTGTGTCGGGCCCTCTTCACACACGCAGAGCCGACTTCTTGAAAAGAAAGGCAACAGGAGAGCGGGTGGGCGGCGGAAAAAACTTTCGATTGACAAACAGGCTTTCGCTCTGCGGTCAATGATGAGCCCCACGACCGAAAGCTTCAGCGCCCGCCTCTCCAGCGATATCGCTCTGACGCAAAATGCCCGAGCCGCCGCAAGGTCCCCTGGTACATCACAAGCCAGAAAAAACTTCGATCTCATGCAAAAAGGCCCTCAGGGATCCCTTTTTTTTTTTTTTTTTTTTTACATCCCCTTCTTTTCCCGTCGGTAGCATTGCAGATGCTGAAAGGCGTTGAATGTGGGGATCATCGCGCAAGGGCTCACCACCAGTACCAAAAAGACTCCGTGCGCACACACACACACATGCGGACGCCCCAACGCATTGGCTCGGCTTCCGAGATCACAGGTGCCTGATGCCGACGACCCACCGCTGGAAGCCAGGAAGCAGTGGTCCGTTTGCCGTTGGCCGGTCACGTGCACCATGGGGCACTCAAAAGACCTCCGACATGAGCTCCACGATGAACGGTGAGGGGAATGGCTCGTAGAGGTCACGTCTACGATGTGTACGTGTAGATTATGTTGATTAGGTTATTTTCGTACTCTCAGCAGAGCTCCCGGGGTATCTAGACGCTATCAGTGCGTAAACAGCTTGAACAAACGGTCCTCTGAGCATGGCCTTTTGACCTTACTTCGCTCTCTCCTGTGGCTGCGCCTGCGCTTGCGCTTGTGTCTGCTCCAGCTCTCTCATGCGTGTCTTGTACTCCCTTGGGCTCTCGCTGCCTGGCTTCTTCGCGCCCAGCAGCCGCTGCCACACGCTCGGTTCTTTCCACATGCCCACGCCCTTGAGCCTGGCCTTTCTTTCCGCCGCGCGGTACAGCTCCTCCCTGCCGCCAAACTCGCTGCCAAACTTGGCCTCGTACACCGTCGCCAGGCCCCTCTTGAGCATCTCCAGCCCGACATCGCGTCGGAGCCCCCAGCGGCGCACCCACACCGTGCCCACCACGCGCCCGTACTGGTCCTTTCGATGCAAGTACGCTCTCACGCGGCGGTGCAGGATGTACCCCGTCAGAAAGTCCAGCGCCTCCTGCCCGTACGGCTGCGCGGGCCGCCCAAAGTGCGCCAGCTCCGGCGCGTCGATGCCCGCGATACGGACGTGCAACGTCTTGTCCTTCAGCCCAGCCTTGTCCGCCGGCACTCTGCGCCAGGGAAGCCAGCCCCAGCCGGCAAGTCGCCCGCCGGGCGTGTGGAAAAGTCGAAAGTTGTCGCCGTCGCCGACGGAGGTGACCTTGCCGAACACGCTGCTCTTTCGCAGCGCCTCCGGCCGAATGTGCTGCACGCTGGGTATCTGCCGCAGATGCCGCTTGTAGATGCGGATGCTCAGGAGCACCGCGCTCGTGAGCACGACCGAGGAGATGATCGTTGTGGGCTGCGCAAAGTCGCTCCAGGATGAGGATTTAATATCGTGTTCGATGCTTTCCACAACATGTCTCGACGCATCCTTCAAACTATCCAGATTTTGGTTGGCATCGCTGGCATTTTCATCTTCGGCCTTTGCTCTGAATGGCCAGATGTTTGGCCATGGCATTGTAGGTTCCGTGACGACCAACAATGCCTGTAGCAATAGCTGCGGAGCTTGAAAATGAGAAGAAGAAGAGGATGAAGAGGTGGGGGTTTATTTATGAAGGGTGGGCGTGCACATCACCCGCAAAAGGCGGCTTCGGAGGTCCGCACGCTGTCACCTTGTTGCCTGACAGCCAGGGGTAGCAAGTTCAGGCCCATCTGCACAAACTCTCACGACAACCTTTCAAAGTTCCAGCTGTCAACATTCAAGATTGCATATCGTACCCATTGGCTTCATCTTACGCTCCAAAGACCCACCCCACAGCCGTTCCGCAATTTCAAACAATCCTTAGTCTCTTTCCAAGAGACACGCATATAATCAACGCACAAGCTTCGTCCTGGTCATCACCATCAAGTATCTGTCAGCTTCTCAACTAGCCACTCCACTCATTCGGAAATGGCACTGTTTTTGCCCACCTTCGGCTTTGGCAGCCTTTTCTATGGTACTGAACATTACCCGGCCCTCGTCAAGGGTACATGAGACAAAACCTTCGCTGACATTTCCCACCCAACATAGCCAGCGTCTTGACCATCAATGCGATCGCCATCCTGTCCGAGGACCGCTTCCTTGCCCGCATCGGCTTTGGAAATGCAGGCCAGGAGCTCGCCTTTGGCCAGCCCCGCGACGACACGAGCATTAAGGCCAAGACCATCTCACTGGTGAACAGCATCCGCATGGTCGCGAGAGGTGAGCACGTCGCGCCGGCCACCCGCGCGCAGAGCGATGGCCCGAAGCAAGACGAGCGAACGAGATGCTGACCATGTTCTCATTTACACAGTGCCGCTCATCTTCGTCAACCTCCTCGTCATCATCTACCTGCTACTGCTTGGCTGAAGAACAACATAATGCACAGAAACCACGAGAGGGAGCAAAAGCCGCTGCCCTTCCCGGCCTCCTATCGAAGTAGGGTGACCTCGCGACAATGCCTGAGTCGCTTCACTTGGCTAGTTTCTCTTCTTCGCTACACTGGACCTGCGCCGAGGTGACTGCACCGGACCTGGATATCTTTAACAAATGAATCAACCTGTCCAACATCTCATGCGTAGGGAAGCAGCTTTCGATGACGACTAGCGATTTCTGTGGCAGGAGGCATGCGGCGGTTTTGAAAACGGACGGAAGGAAAAGGAAACGGTGATGGGTAGTGGAAGGAGGGACAGCTGTTGCCTGGCAGCTTGACTTCAGATAGTCTTGCCGCTGTTCAAAGTGGGGGTCTCAAAAAAAGATTAACAAGACAGAGATTCAAGAAAAAAAAAATAAGGCAAGGATCGAGGAAAAATGGACTGGAGACCAGAGCCAAGGAAGAGGAAAGGAAACGTGTTGCTTACATTTCAATGGCGCAGAGATTGCACGATGAAGAAACACCCATAGGGCACGCCGCCACCGCGCCATGAGCGACGCAGCCGTCGCGAACACAGCCTTTGTGTATGTTATAATACAATGAAGTTGCCCTGGTGGGCTGCCACCAGGGCCGAACAAAGCGGGGTAGAGGAAAAGAAAACCTCACATCCTCACTATGCCCATCTGAGCCCCTGAAAAAGAAAAAAAAAATTTTTCCCTTTTTTTTTTTTTTTTTAAATTCGCCCTGTTGCCTGGCTTCTTCCTCTTGTTCGCAAACATGGAGAAGGAGGCGGAGAAGGAAAGGGGAGGGAGTCCAAAGCAGGGGCCCTCAACCCCCCCCCCCAGAAAAGGATGAAATATGCACGGTAGCAGCGCTCCGCTACTTTCGATCTGTATCCCGTTACGTTCCTTCATCATCATCATCTTCTTCTTCCTCTATTTTTCTCCCTGCTCTTGGTTTTTGTGCGCATCCGAACCGTGTACCATCTGAGGCCCCCTTGCTAAGGTCTCCAACAGGGGGGGGGGCGCCAAGCACGAGGGCAGCAGGGGTGGGCAGCGATGCCAAACCTGTCTCCCCTCCTTTTGCCGGGCGGCGAAGACGTTTCGGAATCAGTGGTGACTCCTCGACAGCATGCTGACGCTCTTCTTCCTTCCCAGGCCGAAGCCGATGCCGCTCTTCTTCGCCTTCCTGTCCTCGGGCTTCAGCTCCGGGCTTCCCACGCCGGCAGGCCCGGCCGTGCCGCCCAACAAGCCCTCCCTCAGCTGCTCGTCCGACTTGGTGGGCTCGCGCAGGGGCAGGTCCTGGCTCTTGCGCGACTTGTCCTTGTCCTTGCCGGATGACCACCAGTGCGACTTCTTGTTGATGCTCATCGACGTGTTGCGGAAGCGGTTGAGCATGTTGCCTCCCGGGCTGGGAGCCATCGCCCCGTTCTCCTTCGGATGAACGTCCGTCGAGAACCGAAGCTGGTTTTCTTCGCTCTGGAGACCTAGACCCGTGGGTGCGCTTGTAGGTGGCAGAGCCGTAACAGGCGGCGCAGCCGGTTCCTCGACCGCCGTCGAAGACGCGTTGCTGCTTCCCGCGGGCGTAGCATTCTGCGTCTTGACCGCCGGTTTGCTCTCCTTTTCCTTTCTTGCTGCCTCGGCCTCCTTCTTCCTGAGCTTGGCCAACCTCTCTTGCTCCTTCTCCTCTGCCTTCTTGCGCTCCTTCTCCTCCTTTTCCAGGCGTTTCTGCTCCTCCTTAGCCATGATCTCGCCCTTGCTCTTCCTACGTTTGAGGAATGGCAGGTTTGGAGACGATGGCGTCGGCTCCAGCGGGCTCGCGAAGGGAACGGACGCTGGAAGGGGTGACGTCGTGCCAATGACTGGGGCCGTGACCGCGTGATCCAAATTTGCGAACTCCTCCACGTCCGGTACGATCGGTGTAGTGGGCGCAGCGTGACCGTTGGTGTATCCGTTAAGCTTCGAAGCGATGGGATCCTTCTGCGTTTCAGCAGATATCGCGGCTTGCGCGACGCCCTCCGAATCGAGCTCGCGCTGCATGGCTTCAACCGTGGTCTCTTGGTAGAACAGCACGTACGCGCATGCCAAGTTCTTGGGGTGCCCGTTGGTGTCCAACCCCTCACCAAAGAACTTGGTGACGAACCGTTTGTCGACCGGCTCGACCATCTCGTCATCAAAAAGCAGCCATCCTCGGTCCTGGGTTTTGATGATCGAGACGTAGTGTCCGTGGTACGGCCCGCCTCCGATGTGAACAACGACGGCGTACAGCTCGTACAGACGGTCGGGATCGTCTGCGTCGTCCGTCGTGTTGAAGAGCCGTAGATAGTATGGATATACGACCCTGTGAAACAGCTTTTGCAATCGCTGCATGTCTTCCGTGTATTTGAACCGCTTCAGGTGCAACGCAAGTATTCGGGGCAGCCGCTTGATCTTCATCCGCTTCTCCGCTTCTTGAAGACCGCTGCATTTGTCGCAGTGAAATTTGTTGCGCTCGCACAGCATCTCCTCCTCCGAGAACCGCCGTAGACACGAAGTGACCGAGTTGTGGTTCTCCAGGTCGACGGACAGATCCAAGAACACCTCGTCGCGCTGCGACACGTTCTCGCACGTCAGGCACCGTGTCTCCGACGTCAAAGTGCCCTCAAACAGCTCGTGCACCCACCGGCTGCTCTGCTTCGTTCCTACTACCTGCGCGCTTGGAGGCGGAGTCGAACTGCCCGCAGGCGCCACGGCGTCCTTGAGGTCCTTGGCAGCCTGGGCTTCTCCTTCCCCAACGACTTTGCCGTTGGCCTCGCTGGCCTTTGCATACTCTTCCACATTCTCCACGACCGAGTTGAGCAGCAGGATCAAAAACTCGTGAGCATCCTGGTGCATGGGTGCGCGGAACATCTCGTTGTCGCGCTTCAAGATGTCGAGGAACTTGTGCGGGCTGACGACGCCCATGCGCGAGTCGTGCGCGATGACGGCCTCGAATATGTCCTTCAGACTTGTGAACAGGGACTCCGTCATTCCGTACGCATTTGCGTTCTCAAAGTCCATGGTCAGGATGGGCCCCGTCTGCAGCGCAACCTTCTTCTTGTATTCGGGAGAGTCCTTGTTGTCTTCCGGCTTGGGCGGTCCGTTCTGCGCGTTCGACGACGGCGGCCCTTTCGTCCGCGGCGACGAGGACTGCTGCGCCGTGGCAGGCGCAGATTTCTGCTGCAGGGAACCGCGGCCCGGCTGTAGGGTGCCATCAGCAGCGAGATGGTTGGAGGTGAGCTTTCCCTTGAGCGAGTCTTTGGGCGTACGGATGGGAAAGTTTATGACCTGTTCTCGGAAGGGAACGGAATAGTATAGACATTGTATTATCGAGTTGCAATAGCTGTAGGTATGGCCTTGCGTCAGCCGACATGCACAAAGCGCACGCGTACGTGTATGGGGCAGCAGCGCGTTTCTTTCCGGGCTGATGACCGTTCCCTGGCGGAAGATGTGTCGAGAGACTGGTAGGTCACTTACCAAGTACTTCCAAACTACGCACCGGAAAGCGGATTAGCCCTTTGCTCCACAAGTGAACGGCGCCAGCGGCACCGGATCGTCATCGTCTTACATTCTCAAAGCCAAAGAATTTGTCGCTACCGTCTAACCGCAGCGGGCCGGTGTAATCCGCCAGCAGCTTCTCCAGCGGCGTCGGCAGCGGTGCGTTCGGATCTTTCTTGGTCGGCGCGGCGCCAGATATGTTGTTCGTGCCCTGCTCAGATTGCCGAAATCAGCAATGCTCTTTCTGGTAGCCTTTGTGTGGCTTCCTCCGCCAGGCTCTCCCAGCCCATTTCTCCTCCGGTCCACCTCGTCGGCTGGAAAAGCCGTGTGTGCGCGAGGACGTGCAAGCGAGGGGGACATAAAAAATAGGGCGCCCTTACCGCCGCGGACTTCAACCTGCCGAAGAACGAGCCCTTCGACGTTGTCGCCATTGGAAACGAAGTATTATCGAGCCCGCGGCCGCGATGCCGACCGGGGTTGCGGTGTGTATTGTATATATGCCGTGCGCGTCGTCGTCGTCGTCCTCCTCCTCTTCACGTTTTGTTCGGGTAACGAACCGACCATGGGACGAGATATGTTTTCGAGCGCGAGATGACGTCGCGGGGACGGAGAGAAAGCGACGAAAGGTGAAAGCGCACACACCGAGAGAGAGAGAGATGCACGCACGCTGTCACCAAGGGGGGTTTTTTTGAGGTGCGCCAGATGGCGGTGGTGCAATTGTCAGACGGCGAGAAGACCAAGAATAATGGCTCACTCCTTTGTTCTGCCGCGCGCGGGGCGGAAGGACACTGGCTGCGTGCGAACAGCGGGTTTATTGGGGAGGGAACACGCTAGCGGCGATGCGGCCGGGGCGTCTCGGTAGCGCAGCGAGGCCAGAGGGGGGGGGGGACGAGGAACCGAGAGCGAAGTTCGTAGGGCAAATGGAGGCCACTGGGGACACAGGGAGAGAGGGGGCTGAGAGGGAGGGAGAGTGCGAGGACAAGAGCCGGGGGCGAAAGCAACGTCAAGACATTGTCAAGCGGCGCGCGAGAAAAGTGACGGCGCTCAGAGCGGCGGGCGTGAGCAGAGGCAAACGCAAGCAAAGCGACGGAGACGCGAGGGCGGGCTCGGCGGAGTTAGCGAGGGTCGGCCGACGACTTGGGGGCCCAGCGCCCGAGCCGGTTAGCGGGCCCCCCTGGCTAGGCACCCGCGTGGATGATTCGCAGGCCGCGCCAGCTGCTGCACGCACAACCCGCCCGCTCGCACCGCCCGTTCGCGAGGTTACATGCATGCGCTCTCTGGACCTTCGCCCCCTCGCGGCGCTGGGCTTTCGCGCCCTCGCTGCGACCGCGTCCGTCGATCCTTCTCGCTGCACCCCTCCACCGTGTTCCTCTGCACCTCGCCCGCCGCTTGCCCTACGCTCCGGCATCGTGCCCATCACGCTGTTTGTTCTTGGACTCCGCCACCGATCCCTCGGTCCCCGCCCGCGGTGCTCGCCGTCTTTGCGCTTGCCTCCCTGCGGCGAACCCTCCTCCACGCCGGCCCAAGTCCTCAGGATCGCTGTCCGTCCTTGCCGCCTTGCCCTTTCCCTTCTCCCGTGCCATCCCGCCTTTGGGCCCCAAGCTCTCCGTACTCTTCATCCCCTCTCGTGCTGCAGCGCTCCCGCCTTTCACAGCACGCGCCGGCAGCTTGGTCCTGCATCGCTTCTAGGATGAAAGTGGTTTGGCCAACTGAACTGCCTCCATGGTTGACCTTCCCCGCCACCGTGGGTGCCCGGCATGGATGAGCTCAACGTGACAGGTTTCTAGAACACCTCATGCGCGCCAATGACGATGGAATCTCGTAGCCATGTTTCTTTGATCTTCTGTCTGCTTATCTGATGCGGCCTGGTCCCTCGAGCGCCAACGTCCGCGGCGTTCTAAGCAAGGTACAGGTTCTGCTCGTAAACGTACACAGTGCCCCCGTCTCGGCTTGTCTGATGCCCTTTCTCTTTCTCCCCCTTCGCCGTTGTCCAACCATGCAGGGCGGCCGACCTGAACAAGCTCAACAAACTGAGGGGTCACTTCGAACGAAAACCCCCGAGCCCCCCCGGCTCGGAGGAAGCTTAGCAGACGCTTGATCAACTTTACTTACTTCGATACCACGTGAGGCGGCAGCAGGCTAGAACAGATGCAGATGTAACTCCACGTCGCGACCTGCTTGGCCGTCTGTTATTCATTCGTCCTCGTCATCGCTCACGATCCTCCTCCGTTTACCCGTCTTCTTTCCACGCTGCTTAGACTCCTTCTCCACCTCGCTTTTCTCCTCTGCCTCCTCGAGAACTACGCTAACCTGTCTCGCCTGTTGCATGTTGACCGCGGTACAGTTGAGCAGCGCGCCGAGCTCGGGTAGCTCTTGGCTGCTTGCAGCCAGACTCACACGACTGGGCCGCCTTGTTTTTTGTCGTTGCCTCTGCAACATCTTCGACGGTGATGGGAGGGACGAGTCGACTTGGCTCAGCGGTTGATCGTCATCCACAACAAAATCTTCAAGGTCTGAGTCTACGTAGCCATCTTCGACCTCTGACTCTTCCGTATCTGCTGAGCCAAGCGTGATCGCCTGAGAGCGCACCTGCATGACTGGAGACGTATGTAGTCCGCTGCTGGGCTCGCCTTCCGTGTCAGAAATATCGTCCCCGACTACTTTGTTTTTCTTCCCCTTCCGTGCTAGCCCCCCTCCCCGGACGGCCTTGTTCTTGCTCCCTGGTGGGCGACCGCGACGTGGAGCTGATTCGTCGGGAGGAATATTGTCTTTAATCTTGACGAGCCTTTCCTCCACAAGAGTGCTTCCCACATCCTCTGGCTCAAGATAGGCTGCGTCAACATTCCGTTCCTGCTCTTCCACAGTGTTTGCATCAATCTTCGCAATGCGTGACATCGCCAGCACGAATTCTTTGCAACGAGTGCTGTGCTTGACCGTGTTCGTTCTTCTCAGTTGACGCTGCGCCACTGGGTGCTTGTTCAGTGCTGGAGGAGTGATGATCACGTCGTCATCCCCCCCAGCGACGGACTGGTATAGGCGCTCGAGGTCACCTACCTGCTGGGCGGAAAGGAACACGTCGTGCAACAAGGGTATACTCTCTGCTTCGTCGACAAGAATCCCAGTTGCCTGTCCTAACCTAGACACATTGGTGAATCCAGTGACAACGCCATCGGGCATGTGAAATTTTTTGGGAGGTCGTTTCGGCAGCTTGCCCCGACCTTTCTTTGTTGGCACGGGCAGGAAGTCGGACGCCGTGCGCTGCGTGTTCTCGACAGGGATCTCAACCGCCCGCTTGTCAACAACCGGCTGTATGTCTTTCGGTACGATGCGCCTAGAGCGGTCGTGATGGAAGTTGAACCGATCACCGCTCGCAATCAACTCTTGCATTTTCTCGTAATTGTCCATAGCTTTGATCGCGTCGTCCTGCTCTTTGCCTTCCATCTGAAGCCACACGACCCTCCCCTCTCGCTTGCGACCTGTCCTACCCATTCTTTGCAGCAGCCGAATTGGCGACGACTTGGAGTCGTAGCAGATGATCAAATCCAGTTCACCGATGTCAAGGCCCTCCTCACCCACTTGCGTTGAAATGAGCACGTTGAACTCACCCGTCTTGAACTTTTGAGTGACTTCCAATTGCTTCTTCTGCGTCATGCCCTCGGACTTCTCACTTGAGGACTGACCGACAAAGACGTGAGGGCGAACGATAGGCGCATCTTTCTTTAGGACGCGGCAGATCTCTTCCACCGATTCACGGTATTGCGAAAAGATCTCAATTCGAGTGCTCGTCCTTTCGCCTCCGTTCGCGCCTTCGCCCGCATCGATAAGATGCTGAAGGACTTCGGCTCGCACTTGCTCAAGTTTGGGGTGGCCTACAAACTCTGGGTCGCTGTGCCACGCTTTGAGTCTTACCATCATTCTTTCCATGGCCTCGCTTTCATCGATTTGCTTCCTGTACTTGGACTTCGAGGCGCGTGCCTCTTTTCGCATCTTGAGGAGTTGGTCATAAAATGCCTTGATACTGTAGTACTTGAGCAGCTCAAGGGCGAATGCCAAACTCTGGAGCACCGAGAATGCCGACGCAAGCATGCCCTTAACCGCCATTCCCGCATGTCTCCCGGCATTGGATTTGCTCCACTCGCGTTGTGCCAATAGAAGGCCGTAACGGCTGATTTTCAAAGGGTCCTTGACGTAGTATGCGTTCTGCGCATTCACGACGTCAAGCATAGGCTGTGCTACTTTCGAGAACCATTCGAAAAGTAGCTCCATCTCCTCGTTAGGCTGAAAAACTTGCTTCGTGATCTCCTTTTGGTGCACATACTCGCGAATATCAAAGGACTTCTCTGTTCGGATTTCACATCGAGCTATGTCTAGGCCGTCAATAACTTTCTGCACGGACTCCACTTCACTGCCCGGTGTAGCTGTAAGGGCAAGGATGCGGAAGCTCTCGTTAAATCGACGTATGAACTTGACCACTTCAACGTATGCATAATTCCCCGTGGCTCGATGGGCCTCGTCTATCACAAGTAGAACGACACGCTTGGGATCGCAGATGCCGGTTTTTAGGTCGTTGATGAGAGTCTGCGGCGTCATGAAGAAAACTCGCTTCTTCTCCCATTCCTCAGCTCGAAGCCCAGCATTTACCTCTCCCGTCAGCATGGTTGTCTGTGAGCGCGGAATGCCAGCTATATTAAAACATGCTTCAACCTGTTGAGCGACTAATGGCTTTGTAGGAGCTACGAAGATGATCTGTGCGCTCCGCGTCCAACGGTAGAAGTTGAGCATAATCGTTGCAGCTATAAAAGTCTTCCCAAGTCCAGTCGGCAGGGCAACTAGGAGATTGTGGAAAAGACCGCGATGAACGATATTAAATTGGTAGTCACGTATCTTGCCGAGATTCGTTGGATAAATCCATGTTTTCATTGCCTCGCGATCGACCTCATGGTGTGTAGGGGGCTCATCCTGATTGGCAAGTGGCCAGTTGCGTCGTTTGTTGACTTGAGATAATGGAGCGTCTGCATTGCTGCCTCCAAAGAGTGTTGTTTGACGCAAGCCATTCATCGGCGCGCGTACCCCAACCGCTGTACCGCTCCTGCTCTCTGGAGAAGAAGCAAACGCATCAGAAGGCAAATTTGTCAAATCGAATGCGGAGCTGTAGTCAACGCTGCTGCTGTAAGCCTACATTAGCAGTTTCATTATAAATGCGTACATGAGACATACTTTGTTCGCGAAACATTGCTATTTGAAGTCGCTATGATCTGGGCTAGATTCTTTGTGTGTCCTTGCCGCGGAATAGACTCTGGCTTTTGCTCGTTTGTGAAGTACGACGCAATGCTACATCTCTTCTCTGGCGTCATGTCCTTTGGCTTTTTCCAAACAGGTCCTCTGATCTGCCATGGCTGTGAAGGCGGTACGACTTGAGTTTGAGATATAATCACGTGCTCCAGGTTAGCTTGGATCCGGGGCGCGTGAAATAATCGTTGTCGCCTATTCGGACTCTCTGCTTGTACATCGCCAGACTCTAGCAGCTCGTCATCGCTGAGCAAGCCATCCTCTGGAATGTTGCCCTCCGATGATCGGTCATCGAAACGATCTTGGGTACATTGGCGCTTCCGCGGCCGTGGCGACGTCACGAAGTCAACTTCGGCGGCTTGACTCTCTACCTGTTGAGTTGCGGCAATCAAAAGCGCATCATCGTCTGATAGGCCGTATAATTCGCTATCTGACATGTCGTGGTAGGCATCGAATCGTAGTCCACGCGCATTTCGAGTAAATGCTCAATGTCGTGGGCTGGACGCGTCGACCGAAACGCCAGATCACGCCGCCGCTTAGTCAGCATCGACAGCCCCTTTGCCAAGCGTGAGAGCAATTCAACCGTAGTGAATGCATGCAGGACGCTGGTGAGTAGCTGAAAACTCCCGACGCTAGGAGTCGTGCGCGTTGCAGAATTATTTGGTTCATATACATGATATTTATAGTGTCTATTTCTCTCCAGAAGCTTGGTTCAGATCCAAGTCGGAATGGAAGCTCGTCGGACGTTTGCGACCATTAGTATTTGCAGTAGATGTTAGTTGTAAGTCCTCTGATTGGTGCGCTGACTGAATCATCCCCATGAAATGGACGTAGGTATATCAAGGTCGTTCAAAGTTGCTCCTCCTTTTCGCTCATTCACCGAAAGTAGCGCTGTACTTCGGACGTTTCCTCCCTGAAAGGCTGGATGTCCTACTGTTCGTCAAGGAGAAACCAGCCCGTTCCCTACGCGTGAGCGGCGGCAAGCACAAATTTGCTCCCTTACGTTGACGACGCTGAGGTTTTTTTCAAGATTTGACGCTGTACTTCGCATATCTTCTTGTGGGCATTGGTGTTCGTCCTTCAGAGTCAGTGGTGTCAGAGCTCATTGCATCGTTGAGATCACGAGACAGGATCGCTAACCCCACCTGGCTAGCAACGGCCCAACTTAAGCCCTTCCGCCTTTATATATGATTAGCAGTTGCAAGGGTTAGCAGGACACGAATGAAGCGAATGTCTATGAAACCGATGAGCTGTGGTGTGTATTGCTGATCTCCAATCATCCGTTGAAAAGCCTGCATACATCCGGTCTTACCAATAACGCTTCTGGTGGTAAGAGAATAAATTCCGAACATGTGACTCTATTCTGGAACATATTCAAACGTCATCACAGCTTTCTCCGCACCGTTGAACACACCTAAATTCACACCAGATCATTAGGATAAATCGGGCCAAGATCGAAAGATACGGAAACCATCAACTTTTGGGGGCCTCGAAACCGACGTGAAGGAGCTAAGCGTTGCTCTTGAAGCCACTTTATCACATCGCTATTTTTGCCATCGAGTCCTCAGTAAAAAGATGTTTCAGTTACCAAAGCTACCCTTTTCCAACCCATTTTCCTACTTCAACTCTCGTTCAATCAAATTGCCTTCAGTCAAAATCGACGACATTGAGACGTCTTCGGATCGCCGGGCTCGTACTCTGAAACACCTTTTGAAAGCTAATCACGCCAACCATTCCATCATCTATCACAACTTGAGGTTTCACAATCATTGCCCGCATATTCTCGGTTCGGCATATCTCCTCGGAAGCACAAGTGAGCATTTGAACGACATCTATGATAAAGAATCGAAGCAATTGGAAGGCTGGAAAGACGCCCCTGGCGAGGTCACTGGTGGCGACTGGCGAGAATATCTTGGGAAAAGGGAATACCAACGAGCCTTCGTCGATCTCTTTGAGGATGAACTAGTAAGACACAACTACGATTGGAAGTCTCTTCTGAACACCTACCTATTCGACGGTGAAGAACCAGTTTTTAACAGCCTCATTGAGGGTCTGGCGCATCCACTTATTCACCTCGGCTACGGCTACGAGCTCAACTCGCAAACTGTCGCGATAGAGGCCCTTGCCATGGCCTGTTGCTTCTATGGCGACATGCACAAGTATATCGACGATCCAGCTTACAGCAAGCCACCAGCTCCAGAGGTCGTCAGTGCTTCGCCACTAGAGCTTCTGCAAAAGATCCAAGGTGACAGGCGCTTTGATTCACTGAACCTCACACACCCTGGCTCCGAAAATGCTGAGAAAATTCTAGCAGAATGTGAAGATGTCGTGCTGGAATACTGGAATGCGTGGACGCTACCCAATCCGAAGGACCAGTTCCAACAATCTCAAGAGGCCGCAGTAGCGTTACTCGTTGGGACCCATGATGAGAGGCAAAAGTATGACTTCTTTCTTTTACATCTCTTGACTAGCTCGCACGCCATTCGGATTCTGCTGCCGCTCATTCCTGCCAAATTCGAAATCTCACTTGTTCGACAATGGTGGCTATTCGCAATTATCACGTATGTGTGCCAGTTGCGGCCCCAGATCGAGATGTCACGCATCCATGACGTGAAGCTGGACGGCAGAGACTGGAAGTTTATTGATCATGCAGCCTTGGCTGGAAAGTACAGTTTGGACCCGCACTATGTGAAGGCTTTGAGGGCTTTGAAAGAAGCAAATAACACGTGGGGTGAGCATGAGCATTTCTGGCTCAAGGCAGCTGTTAAATTCGCGGAAGATTTTAGTGATTGGTTTGGATTTGGTCTAGATGAGGAGATGGAGAAGAACGCAAACACAAGAGACTGAGTGCTTCAATGTATAGTATGTAAAAGTTATCTTGTTTCTGGTAAGGTCTTTCGTTCGCAATACTCTATTTATCACGTCATCTTCTTACTCGCAACATCTTTGCATCCCGGCGCAACGCTGCAATCCGTAGATTCTAAATCTGCCATGCATCACGAAGAATCTGTATATCAATGAGCAAACCTAAAATCCAATCGCTTGTTCCCTTCGTCCTTTGTTGTTGCTAAATAATGCTCCTTCTCCTCCTGCGACATGGCGTCCCACTTCGCAGCCCTCGTCTTATTGACATGCACGTAGAAAAGCTTCGCGCCAATGAAGAGGATGAAATTGTAGGCGCAAATTGAAATGAGGACCTTGTTACCAGTACGATACATTGGCTTGTCTTTGTCACGATAGATCTTTGACGTACTTCAGCACTTGTCTCAACAAAGCAGCTTTGGCGCACTTACGTTGGAAGCAATGATAGAGCTCGCTTGGACACACATATTGTAGAATGCCGATGCCACGGTCCTAGTCCTCACCGAACCAGCATTGCGTGAAGTAATTGCGACGAGAATAGCATGCACGTACGGGTGACCCACCAGAAGGGTGCTGAGAGCCCACTTTACCCATGGGCTAGTCGAGCTCGGTATAAGCTCTAATGCAATTAGAAGAGGCAAATTCCAGATCTGGCTAACCAGTCCGACGAGGAATCGTTGGTTGATCTTTTCGCTGAGCCACGTCCAGAACAACAGTTGGAGGATGAATAAAACGTAGGCTGGAATGGTGAGCAGATTGGTCTTGAAGGTATCGAATCCAATAGCCCGGAGATTAAGCGTGAGGTATGCCGCCACTGGGTTGTTCGGGATGAGCCAGCTGAGGCCGATAAGATAGATGGGCCACATGTGCCAATCTGTGACGCAGGCATAGAATTGGCGAAACCCAAGACCTTGCCGGTTGTGCATATCTCCCTTCGACGGGTCATCGCGCAAGATTCGGTTCACCATAATCTTTTCCTCGGTCTCATTGAACCATCCGTCCTTGCCACGAAAGAAGCTGGCAGTCTGTGTAGGGGATGGTGGAAGATAGAAAAAGGACGCAACGCCAATGAGACCAGTGAGCAGTCCTTCGAGCGCGAAAAGCCACGCCCATCCTGGCTTCCCATTGTGCCCTCGCAAACGCAAAATACCGTAAGCCAGAAATGCGGACACAATCTGAGTGCTTTGGTAGGAGACCCAGAACCAGGACAGCCTCCTGGGAAGTTCCTTCGACGTGTAGAAGTAAGACAGATAAAGAATGCAGTCTGGAATGAAACCGCCCTCCAACAGACCAAGAAGCGCCCTGCACGCCCAAAAGCCGCTTCTGGTTGTTATGAAAGCCTGGAGGCTTGCCACGAGACTCCAGGAAACCATCTGTATAGGGATCCAGTTGTCTGGCCCGATTTTCTTCGAGACAAGTTGCGATGGAACCTCTGCAAACATGAAGCACAGAAAGAAGATTGTCATGCCCGTGTTGTAGTCGTTGGTGTTTAGATGGAGATCATTTAGCATGTTGTCTGAAAGAGCCTGGGAAATGTTCCCTCTGTCGAGTTGAAGCGCAAAAAACATCAGACACACCCACGAGCAGATACGCTTGTCAATCTAAGCAGGAAGCGTTAGTATCCTTCATGATTGTTGCACTATATGGACAAACATACCTTTTTGACCACCTTTCGCTCATCTTCTTCTTTCCATTGAAATGAAGGGTCGTATCGGTGAATCCCTTCATAATTCGGGATTGGTTTATAAAGATCTTCCAAGCCCAAATTCTCAAATACTTCCCCGTTATTGCGTTGCTCCGCACTCTCCAGAGAATTCTCATCTTTAGAGCTGTACGATGAGACACCTGTGACTCGCTCCTCGATTTCTTTCTTTCCGGTCATCGCGCAGAACCGAAGAGGCTTGATGCCCTAAGTAAGAGCAAGAGAGGAGAGATTTGAGGGACGTGATAGTTCCGAATCCTTGGAAGACTTCACGACAACCCTACTTGACCACAGTTTGTAATACTCAGGTGCTTGGTATTGTCGTCCGGAGGCGAGGTACTGCTTCTCAAATACCACGATGTGGCAGAGACGCAAGATGTTGCGTTCTTCGCTCCATATATACGCAAAAGAACTACCTAGAAACGTGAACCATGGACTAAAAACTTTCGTTCGCTTAATATTGTCCCTAAACAAGTATACTTCCTGAGATATTCCACTTTTTTCGGCTAATTACTGCCCATGCAGAAATATTTCGCATTATCAGCGTACATTCAATAGCCATCGTGTCTTGCTCATTCGGAGGCTCATACATTTTTGGAAGAGAATTAAGACGCCATATTGCGCATTCACCTTGCCAATGTCCCATTCTGCAAGACTAGCTCTGTCAATCGCTCCGCTTTAGGTCCTTGGTCAGTCCTTGGATAAAGCGAGGGGAGTGGAGCATTCGGTTAAGCGTGATACAAGTCATGTCATGTGTGAGACGACACCGTCGTCGTGAACGCGGCTAAGAGCCAATGAAATTACTTTCAAGTAAGAGCACGTAAAGAAATGTGCGTATGGCGACACCGATAAGAAAGGGCGCAGAAGATATATTTAAAAAAAGGGCATGGTTGAAGAAAGTCGATGCTGTGGTGTGGTGCGCATCGCGGATCACGTCACCCAGGGGTAGAAATCACGAATGTTTTCGCGAAATGTCAACGAAATTCGCTTCGGCAACTGCAAAGTATCATCTACTTAGATCAGAATGCGTTGATACGCCAGGGAAAGGAAAAAGTTGGATTACCGGCCACTGGGGAAATTCGAGCGTTGGCTGTCAGCACATCTTGCTAAGGAAACTGGCCGTCATTCCGTTTCTCGCTACTCGACGTTAATAGATCGAAGTATAGGTTGCCTTCGGATGGAGTACCAGCTCCGCTGAATGATCCACGTAAGTCTAGCTGACAATCGTACATACGCCGAATAGCGGAGACATTCACAAGCTTGTAACATTGCGCAATACCGGTACCGGTTTAAATGCCTGAGCATTTATGGTTATAAGAATGCGTGTAGAGAAGCTGATAACGATTCGTGACATTGACTTGTCTCATCTTTCATGAGGTCTCCGAGATTTTCGAAATGGCTTCAGCTTTAGTTGAAAACTCTTTTTCGTCGTCACTCAACCCTGCGTTCAGGGAAGTTTCTGGAGTGGGAAACTATAAGGAGGCCTATATTGGCGGCCCTCGTGCATTCAAAAAGGATGTTGAGGAGAAGGGCAGCGAGACACAGCCAGCAGCCCGTTACCCACACTACCTTCCGGTGTGGGATCCAGAAAAACGTCAGTTGATATGCGATTTTGTATGAGCTGAATTTAATTACTGATGCATGGGGCTCAGACTACCCACCTCTCGTGCCCTTTGAACACTATGACCATGGCAAAGACGCCGACCCGAGGTTCCCTAATCTCCTGAGTAAGGACGTTAAGGTCATCGAGTTGACCGCAAATATCGGGGCCGAAGTGCACGGCGTACAGCTTTCCAAACTTACAAAGGAAGGCAAGGACGAGCTCGCCCGGTTTGTTGCAGAACGCAAGGTAGTTGCCTTCCGTGACCAAGACCTAGCAGATTTGGATATCCAGGAAGCACTGGACTTCGGTTCGTACTTCGGCAGACACCATATCCATCCAACTTCAGGTGCACCAAAGGGCTTTCCGGAGATCCATCTTGTTCACCGCGGCGCAGATGACACTACTGCAAAGGACTTTTTCGAGGAGAGAACAAACAGCGTGACGTGGCACTCTGATGTGACTTACGAAGAGCAGCCGCCCGGAACCACCTTCCTGTATTTGCTAGACGGACCAGTTGCAGGAGGTGATACTCTTTTTGCCAATCAGGCTGAGGCCTACCGCCGTCTGAGCCCAGAGTTCCGGAAACGCCTACATGGACTGAAAGCCGTGCACTCCGGCTTCGAGCAGGCCGAAAACGCATCAAGGAGAGGAGGAATTGTGCGTAGAGACCCCGTTGCGAATGTTCACCCAATTGTGCGAACACACCCTGTGACAGGGGAGAAGGCTCTATTCGTGAATCCGCAGTTCACTCGCAAGATCGTGGGTTACAAAAAGGAGGAAAGCGACTACCTGCTGAATTTCCTCTACGATCACATTGCGAAGGGCCAGGACTTCCAGGCACGCGTCAAGTGGGAGCCAGGTACCGTTGTCGTTTGGGTATGTTGCTTTGTCTTTTTTAGCCGCAGAATGAGTTGAGTGGGACTTCCCAGCTGACAGATATTCCCCAGGATAACCGTGTGACCGCGCATTCTGCATTGCTTGATTGGGAGGATGGTCAACGCAGGCACTTAGCTAGGATCACACCGCAGGCTGAGAAGCCGTATGAGACTCCATTTGAAGGCTGATACCGCGTGCTCCTTTGCAAGAAATAAGAATGAAATACCTCGTTTGCATGTAATGCTTCAAATTGCCCAAACCACTACCAATAAAATTATCGTTCATTCAATGCACGTGGTGGAAAATGTCACCCGTTTCACTCGTGCCCCCGAATGTCGGGAGATCCTTGCTTAAACAATTTTGAGCAAGTTGGACTATACGTGATATTGTGCGGGCTACATACCGGTTTCCCGCGTCTGCGAATTAGCCAGAGTGATGTAGTAAAATGCCCGCTCGCGCCTTGCGCGTGGCCTCTGCCGCTCGATGCTCTCTCCTCGAGAACCACTCATTACTGCCCTCGAGATGAAGCTTGTTGTCCTGCAGTGTTTTGCTCCGTATCCATATTTCTCGCAGACTCGATCATTGATTTCTGAAGCCGCCCTGTCCACCAGGTTTGCCATCGTCTATTCTATCCAGAGCTTCCATCATGACCACTGAGTTCCCGCGAATGACAACCATGCCAATGCGAACCTTCTCTCCTGACTGCTTCTCTTCAACCGCCTCATCCAGCACAATATTCAGGAAGACCTGTAGAGCATATCGACTCAGCTTGTTACCAAAATTGTGGTAAGAATATGCTTACATCGTAGCCTCTTAGCGTTCCCATAACCTTTCTGCTTCCATTGAGGGCGACAAACACGCGCTTGTCTAGATACTTCAACAGGTCAGAACCATGCTGCTCAAATATACATGACAGAAGCAGTTGTAGATAGCGGGACTTACCTTCTTAAGCTCCGGTTGTGCTTGAGGCATTGTGGAGAGCGCTCAACAGTCGTTCTTTGCAGAAGATTGGGCAGTCCAGCGGCCGTAACAGATGGTAAGCTCGGTAGAATAAAAAGACCCGCGTTGCGTACGAAATGGTGAACGCGCAGTGGATACCGACTTGACTGCAGATGAGAATTGTTGCTGCGGTCGGTTTTTTGGCCGCAAATGCGAAATGTGGTCTGTGCTGGACTTCCATGCAGGTCAGCGTGTTAAGGCAGGCGGACATCACGTATTGCCGCTGTCACTTGGCCAGACCAGCACCGTTCCTGGTCATTCCATCCTTTCCCATCCATACCACATCGACCAACAACTAGCTACATCTTCACGACCCCATCACTACGGCGACCTGCTGCCTAAACTTCTCTTGCAGCTTACTCAAAGAGCATTCGTGTTTTTGTCGAGCCTTGCGAACCCAGCAACTTACCGTACTTAGCGGCGCCATCCTCAAGGCCGCGTCGCAGTCATGCCTAGCGCTACAGGGCAGAACTGGGAGAAGTACCAGAAGAACTTCGCCGACGATGAGATCGAAGAGAAGAAGATTACACCTTTGTCCGACGAGTACGTGTAGCGACAGTCTGGTAACTTTGAAGGGCAGCGCATTTAACGGCAACAACAGGGATATCCAAGTGCTAAAGACATACGGCGCCGCACCTTATGCATCGGAGCTTAAGAAACTCGAGAAAGAGATCAAAGACAAGCAAAGCGCTATCAACGAGAAGATTGGTATATAGACCGGAGTGGACGATAGCTTATGGGCGCAGCCTGCTGACAAACATGTACTACAGGCGTCAAAGAGTCAGACACGGGTCTCGCACCACCACATCTTTGGGACATTGCAGCCGACAGACAACGGATGCAAGAAGAGCAGCCGCTGCAGGTCGCAAGATGTACGAAAATCATCGCCGACGAAAACCCAGAGAAGAACAAATATGTCATCAACGTCAAGCAGATAGCGAAGTTCGTCGTCAACTTGGGCGAGCGTGTCAGTCCTACAGATATCGAGGAGGGCATGAGGGTCGGGTGCGTATTTATTCCTCTCGACCGTCTACGTTTAGGTGAACGTACTGACGTAGGTGAAGTGTCGACCGCAACAAGTATCAGATCCTTCTACCACTGCCACCTAAAATCGACCCGTCGGTGACGATGATGACTGTTGAAGACAAGCCAGACGTGACCTACGGCGACGTTGGCGGTTGCAAAGAACAAATTGAAAAGCTAAGAGAAGTTGTTGAGATGCCTCTCCTTTCTCCCGAACGGTTTGTCAATCTGGGTATCGATCCACCAAAAGGCGCACTTTTGTACGGGCCGCCTGGCACCGGCAAGACACTGTGCGCCCGTGCCGTTGCAAACAGGACGGATGCTACCTTCATCCGCGTCATCGGATCTGAGCTTGTGCAGAAGTACGTAGGTGAAGGAGCCCGCATGGTGCGCGAGCTGTTCGAAATGGCCCGAACCAAGAAAGCATGTATCATCTTCTTCGACGAAGTCGATGCTATCGGTGGTGCACGTTTCGATGATGGCGCGGGTGGCGATAATGAAGTCCAGCGTACCATGTTGGAGCTGATCACACAGTTGGATGGTTTCGACGCTCGCGGCAATATCAAAGTCATGTTTGCCACGAACAGACCGTCGACACTTGATCCGGCGCTCATGCGCCCCGGCCGTATTGATCGTAAGATTGAATTTTCGCTGCCGGACATGGAAGGTCGCGCAAACATTCTGCGCATCCACGCGAAGAGCATGAGCGTCGAGCGCGATATCAGATGGGAGCTGATTTCACGGTTGTGTCCCAACAGTACGGGTGCGGAGTTGAGGTCTGTGGCGACTGAGGCGGGTATGTTCGCCATTCGGGCAAGAAGGAAGGTTGCTACCGAGAAAGACTTCCTTGCTGCAGTGGATAAGGTTATCAAGGGTAATTTGAAGTTCAACTCGACGGCTACATACATGCAGTACAATTAAGCGGCGTGAACATGCGCTATATTTTGTGACTTTGCATTAGCGGGCGCTTTACAAGAGTCGGGCACATGGAACTTTTGCCTAAGGGTTGTACGTATCGTTTTGATGCTATAGTCAAGCATCATAGGCTCAACATGCAATCAACTACATCAAGCATCACGATTAGAAACTTTACATCCCCGTGCGTTGGAACTATAAATTCAACGGTTCAGCGGCTATTCTCTGGTTGGGGAGATTGTGCGGTTTTGATTTTCAGTCTCTACCCAGCTTCCCGTGGACAAAAACGAGGCCCTAGCTACAGTACATTGTTCTCAAAGCTTACTCGGCTGCTTGAGCTGCGCTTCGTACGACTGGATGAGCAACCACGCGACCTCAGCAAACGGTTTCATCTGCGCACCGTACTCCGACGCCCTCGCGCTGCTCGCCTGCCTAGCGGCATATCTGGCCGCGATGCCTTGCATGATGATGCAGGCCCTGTACACGCCGAAGGCGTCTGCCCACTTGATCTCGGGCCTGGGATCCCACCCGGCGGCAGCCTGGTACCAGTCCAGACATTGATCCTTGGTTGGCAGACCAGGCAAAGGGTTCACAAACGAGTTGTTGACGCGGCCGGCCTTTCGCGCGAGCGGGATCTCGGCCATGGTCCAAGGGTTCAACAGGTTCGCAAGGTCGGACAGCGGGTGGCCGATCGTAGCCATCTCCCAGTCCAGGATGCCGATGACGCGCGGCTCGGTCTTGTGGAAGACGACGTTGTCGATCTTGTAGTCGCCGTGAACGAAGGTGCCTCGGTCCTTGGGCTGCAGCGCCGCGTTGCTGAAGAACTTCACCATCTCCTCGTAGTGGGGGATCTTCCCCACGGGCACGCCGGTGTCCTTGTCTCGCGTGGCAGCCTGGGCCTCCTGGATCGTGGCGAAGGTCTTGAGCTGTCGGTTGTAGAAGCCCGTGGGTTTGCCGAACGAGGCGAGGCCGACGCTCGCCGGCTTGACGCTGTGGAACTTGGCGAGGGTCTCGACGGCGCTCTTCCACCTGCGGACGTCTCGTTAGCACCTCGCTGCATTCACGAAGCCTTGACTTGAACACTCGTACATGGCGGTGCGCTCCTCGGGCGAAACGCCGGGTAATGCCGGGTCCTCGATGATTCTGCCGTCCAAGAACTCCATGATGTAGAAGGGCGTGCCGATGATGCTGCTGTCTTCGCAAAGCACGTATGCCTTCGGCACGTTGACGTCCGTGTTCTCGAGCGCGTGAATGATCCTGTACTCTCTCTCGACCTTGTGCGCCGTGGCAGAGAGCAGCTTTCCTGGAGGCTTCTTTCGCATCACGAAGCGCGTGCCCGTCTTGTCGGTGATCTGGTACGTAGGATTGGACTGTCCATAGCCGAACTAAGCAACCGAATACAAAGGTCAGCATCATCGTCCCCAAGACCGATCGATTGCATGTACACAAAGGCGTGCACGAGAGCGCACGCGACCCCACGAACCTGCTTGACGGTGATCGGTACTTGGATCTCCTTGACATTGTCGGCGATGTAGCGCTCTAGCGCAGCAATGTCTATCGGCTGCCGTATCTCGCCAGCCATGTTTGTGACGGGCTAGCTAAGTGTGAGCATGAGGATTGCGAGTGGCCATCTTTTTCCAATTGATGTACGTCTCCACGGCATTGGTATCCTTGCCGATGAGGGCCCAACTCTGCCGAGGTAGCGCAACTCACTTATGCGGGCGGTTGGACGTGCTCCAGGCTGGGCAAGGCTGCGCTGGAGCCCCCGCCTTGGCCAGGAACACCGTCTCTCTTCGCTTCGGCCAAACTTCCCCAGCGTTGGACCATCAACCAAAGTCAGATAGCCAGTTCCCGAAGCACAGTCAGATCGACAAGGGAACTGGAGCTCGTCACGTGAGAGCACGTTCCTGGGAGATCGTCCCACGAACGTCGTATACTTTGTAAGTTCTGAGAAAATGGCCGCTGCGAAGGGGGGCAGTGTGCCCACAAGAGCCTGGAATGGTGAACATGGTTCAAGCGAAAATTGAACGTAAATATGTAAAGTGCCTCTGTGCGATACATCGCTGCAAGTCCTTTCCAGTTTTCCAGCCGTTAACGCCGCCATTCTTCCTTGCTTTCCAAATTCGCTCTCGTCTTTGTCGTTCGAATGTGAACCTCCCCATGGAGAATTCCGATAGCTTGAACCACGTGCTCGAACGCTTTGCTACTCATAAGTTAGGGTGCCTCGTTGCGAATGCGGCGTCTAGGCACCTACTTTGGAGTCGCAACGACTGGTTCCATCTCTAATAACTGCTGCAACCTGAGGCGAACTGATCATGACTCTCGAAAACAGCCAGGGCCGGACAGATTTTAGGTACAGTTCGCTACCAAGCGCGGAGCACACGAGAATACTTGTACTTTCGCCAGGGAGTGGAGGGAATAAGCTGGCTTGCAAGCTGGAAGTTGTTGAGTTGGGTAAAATTGAGAACGACTACACTGCCCTTTCGTATGTTTGGGGCGATCCTACCCTTACAACTGATATCTTTTGCGATGGGAAGCCATTGCAGATAACCCTCAGCCTTGCCGAGGCGCTGCTAGAGTTGCAAGACCCCACGACCGAGGTGCGGCTGTGGGCTGATGCAATTTGCATCAATCAGGGTGATAAGGAAGAGAAGAATCAGCAGGTCACGAATATGTGGACCATATACGCGCTTGCAAAGCATGTCATAGTCTGGCTCGGGCGGGATAATGAAGGTATTGCCAGCGATTGCTTTGACCTGATCATCAGCACGAACGCCTACTTGGATGGGGAGCTTTCTCTATACGAGGAGTGGTCGAAAATACCAATCCTTGCTAAGCCGTACCCCATCTGCGATAGCCAATCGCGGTGGAATAACGTCCGCAAAATGCTTTCGCTTCCTTGGTTCCAGCGTGTGTGGGTGATCCAAGAAGCCAGTTTAGCAAAGAGCTGCACTGTGCGCTGGGGTAAATCCGAGCTGGACTTTGCTCACATCATGGAGCTGGCTCTTTGGCAGCTGCATCGTGAAGACGTGACCGAAGTTACGGGCGCTCTTGGTCTCTTTCGGCTTATGAACCAATTCAGAAGCATCTACTCCACCTACGTAAATTCGATCACATGGAGAAGCAACCTTCCGCTTATAAGAAATGATGACCATTCTGGCGAGCTGTTTGCCGATCTGCTGTATGCGACGAGTGGCATGTCTGCGACGGACAAAAGAGATCATGTCTTTGCGTTTCTTGGTAGCCCACTTGCCTTTCGAGACGATGGGCGACTTCTCCTGAAACCAGATTATAACAAGGACCTGTGTGATGTGTATTTTGATCTGGCCTGCTCCCTCCTGCAACATCCAAGAGAATCGCCCTTTGTGCTCTCGCGTGTGAAGCACTTTTCTCAAGACAGTTTGGTTCAGCCGGGCTTCCCCAGCTGGGTTCCCCGCTGGGACTGCATCCCTGAGTTTACCATCTCACGACATTACTTCTGGTTTCGTGCTGGAGGCGAACGTTCTGGCTTCAAACCTGTCGTACAGGACGACAGGTCTCTGGCAGTGCAGGGAATATTCATCGGATCGATCACGTACACCTCCCCTGTTATACAAAAGCATAACATTGGGACCGACTTTGAATCCTGGGACGAAGAGTATCACTCAGCTCAAATTCCTTTCATCGATAGATTGTCTGAGGAGGCCTTCAACGCGACGAAGGCCTCGTTACCGAAAAATGAGTTTGAGAAAGAACTTGCATGGACTCTAGTTCGCGAGTTCCCACATCTGCCCGGAAAGGCTTGCGATGCCGAATATATGTGCGAGTTCGACGCCTATCGGAAGCTGGTAAGAGCCGTAGCGGCCTCTTCTGGCAGTGACGTCCCACCTTCCAGTGCAATAGACCAGGAGAGGTACCCGCGGAATTTCACAGGCCGCTTCTACAACTACTGCAACGATTTGCGTTTTGGGATTTTGAACTCGGGCCGATTTAGTCTCGTTCCATCGGTTGCCAAACCAGGCGACTTGTTATGCGTTATCCTGGGCGTTCCTGTGCCCATGACGTTGAGACTCACGAAAGAAGGGAAATACAATCTCGTGGGAGAGTCGTATGTTCGCGGCATCATGGCCGGCGAAGTTTTCGTGCCTGGCGCAGTCGAAGCAATGACGGTGGAGCATGAAACGGTCATTCTGATTTAATCGTGGGCCTAAGGATCTGGGGAAGGCATTTCATTTATATGGGCTGGATACAGCCATCTCCGAGATTGGCTTTGATCGCTCATAATTCACGATCTAACGAGAGCCAACTACCCATGCTTACGGCAGTTGCGCTAGTAAATAAAGTGTAATACAATTAACACAATCGCCTCAAGCTGTCTAGTTGACAACCCCATCCACTGAGCCGAGCTGGTTAACGCGACAGTCATGCCCTTCTCTCCAACCCCATTTTGTGCTCATGATCGTCGTTGTTGCGAAGCGGAACCGTCAGAGCCAAAAACACATACCATTTACAGTGGTGCAGACAGTATTCTGGCCGTGTGATATGCTCTTTAGAGGGAGTGACAGGGCCATATCTTAGGAAACAAAGCAAGGAGCGAGTTTGACGCATAGGACGCAGTGGAGAGATGACACCACACATGGACTCCAATAGCCGAATTTGATGCCGTCATGTTCCAGGAGCTGAACGCACGCATATTGTACACCTTGAGAATGCAGGGAAACCCTCGGCAAGGCTGTATTCGAGGCTGTATCACGTGACCTCGGGAAAAGCGTAAGTCGAGTTAGGCCGTAAGCGTTCTCAGCTTCTGCTCCTCGTCCGCTGGGATCAGCCCATGCGTAAGAGTCGACGAATGTGACGAGGCCGTTGACAGCACCACCAAGCGTAGTGTGCACGGTGTTGGCTGGCCCTTGTGCGACGGCTGCCGCGGAGAGAGACATGCACTGTCTGACACGGCTTGGGTGCTGCTGCGATGGTAGGTAGCACAGCGGTCCCTTCGTAACGCTGCGGCACGTACAGTGTCAAACAGGGGGATTCTCAACGCCAGTGGGAGCCCCAGGGCGCTAAGTAGCGGGCAGCGCCAGCGGCCGCGCGCATCGAGCGGATGGCTTGGCTGGACAGGTAAACACGGCAGGCCGGAGCAGCCCCGTCGCCGTCCTGCTCAGCTGAAGAAGCACGCATCCTGGCCAGGCTAGAGGACGAAGCTGTACGTTAGCAGCGAGCGGTCGACGGTGCGCGAGGCTTGATTCGCAAATAAGCAACTCTGGTCCACCGGCTCCCAATTCGCCAGCGTCTTGGCGGCGATCAAATCAAGGCCAAAACCCGGCCTCCTGTGCGCGCACACAATCGACGCCCTTCCCCCTGGCCGAGCACGCTGCGTGAACTGGCATGATCCTCTTCGTCGAGCCGCGACAACCACACGAATCCCTCCACAGCAGCACAACGTCCGATTGCCAGCTCGCGTGTTGAGGCCTCTTCCTTCCATGGCACCACCATGAACGCGGCCGGGAGTAACCTGCAGACGCCGCGTCGTCTGGGCGCTCCGCGTCCGTCGCTCGTCGGCGGCATAAACACAGCGAGCTCGCCAAACCTTTCCGCGGCCGCTGCGGTTGCGAGGAAAGCCTCCTTACAAGCTTTAACCGGAGGTTCTGCATCCGCCAAGATGGGAGGCGGAGACGGTCACGACATTCAAATCGGCGACACCGTCGACGTGCCCGGCGGCATGCACGGCACCGCCAAATTCATAGGCCCCATTGCTGGCAAGAACGGCGTTTTTTTGGGCGTCGAGCTTGCCAAACAATACGCTCACAAGGGCAAGAATGACGGCGACGTCGACGGGTATGTGGTGCCAGTCAGGCCTTGCCTTGCACTCCGTGATTCTTCGAGAAAATGCTGACGTATCATACCAAAAAATAGTGTACGCTATTTTGCTACTTCTGTGCCCAACTCCGGTATTTTTCTGCCTCTACACAGAGCAACCAAGCGCGAATCGATATACGACGAATTTCCGCCGACACCCACCACACCGTCTTACAGTTCCTTCGACCTCGCATCGCCAAATGGAATGCCCAAGTTCTCTCAGTCAGTGGGCCCAGGGGCACGGCCACCTAGTCCCTCCTTCAAACCGAAGCAGGGACGACCGTCTCTGCCACGTCCGGAATCTCCTTTGCGAAAGGTGCCAACATTGGCACCGACTCCAGGCAAATTGCCGTCTCTGTCAAAGAGCCAGATAGGGACGCCACGACCTGCCGCGAGTCCAGCGCCAGGACGTAGCGTACCGAAGTCACGAACGCCAGGACCTTACTCGAGAAATAATTCGCGCCTAGGCGTGCGAGGCGACGAAAGTACGGAGACGACCCCCACGCCCGCTGTTCCCCCAACGCGGAGTAGCGATGGCTCCGCAGCAGGATCGGGCGCGAGCGTGAATTCGACCTTCACTCCCCTCACCAGACGGTCTACGGATAATGCTGAAGACGAGATCAAGAGGCTGAAGAAGCAGCTGCAGGAAAGGGACAAGCAGCTAAAGGAGCAAGCAGCCAGCCTAGCTGAAATGGAAGCCAGCTTGGCCGAACTCGAGAACCTGAAAGGACTCGACGATCTTGGTGGCCATGCTCGCAACAATAGTGGCGCTAGTGGTTTAAAGGATGCAGACGCTGCTCAGCTCCGAGCTATCATCAGGGAGAAGAACGAAAGAATCGCCATGCTGACTGCGGAATTTGACGCCCACCGAGCGGACTTCCGTAGCACGATCGATACCCTGGAGATGGCCAGCACCGAAACGGAGCGTGTGTACGAAAAGAAGGTGGAGGAGCTGCTGGCGGAAATCCGCGAACTGCAGGCGAATCAAGAAGAAGTCTCTAGCATGACCCAGCAGATCAAGCAGGTCGAAGAAATTGTAGCTGAGCTCGAAGAGGGCGTCGAAGATGCGCGTCGGAGCGAAGCCGAAGCTCGAGCTGAAGTCGAGTTCCTTAGGGGAGAAATTGAGAGGACTCGTGCCGAACTGAAGCAGGAGCGCGAAAAGGCTGCAGAAGCTTTGAAGAGCGCCGAGGCTGCGGTAGGCTTGGGAAGCCAGGATTCTCGTGACAAGGAACAAATGCAGGATGAGATCCGGGGTCTTCGAGCCATCATCCACTCTCTAAGCTCAGGAGGTGGTAGCCCTGCGGTTGAACGCCCAGCTCTGAATCGTTCCGTATCAGAGGGTATGTCACTTGAAGAACAGACCATGATGAAGGCTACCATTGAACGTCTTGAACGGGAAAAGAAAGAGCTACAAGGCCTCATTGAGAGAAAGAATTTTCATGAGGAAGAACTCGAGCGGGAGGTGGAAAGATTGAAGGGAATCGAGCAACGCGCTAGCGTCATCAGCAACGGCCTCTCCGACCGCACTGCCGTCCAAGACAAGAGGTCGTCTGCTCGTGACTCGAAAGGCACCGTTGTGAATTGGCGAGGGTCAAGCGGACGCATCGAGGCCATGGCTCCACATGCAGAGGCAGACACACAGAGTGTGAGTACGGGTAGCGGTATTCTCTGGTGCGAGATCTGCGAGACCAGCGGACACGATATCCTCACATGTACCAGCATTGACAAGGTTTCAACGAATGGCGGCAACGAGCATGACATGGACGCGTTGTCAAGGCATATGCAGAAGGCGTCCATCTCCTCACTTGACCCGGACAAACCAAAGCCCCTGGCTACGTCCTTGCACAAGAAGCCCTCAATTGGTAACCTGCCAGCAGCCAGTAGCACTCCTCCAACGGCCCCGCTGCCCAACCCTTACAAGCTGGGCGACAGCGTCGCTGCTGGGAAGGACGGCACAAAAGACCCGAGCAAGTGGTGTGCCCTCTGTGAGAGAGACGGACACGACAGCATCAACTGCTCATTCGAAGACCAGTTCGGTTAAGACTGCTTATCGGCACCTGGATGGAAAGCGAGAGACACGCAGCATTTGGGTTGCGATGATGGGATGGAGTCACAGAGCATATTTTTGCGCCGCTATGATCGATATCCATGTACCACTACGTGACGACATCTTGATTTCTTTTTTCTTCGAACGTATTTCCCCGTCGCCAAGTTGGCTTGAGTCTCGAATACCTGGCGGTTTGGTTGGCATGGCGGTGCGTGCGGACATTCTCATGCATCCGGTTAGCGTTCTAGATGCACAAAGTACTTCTGCCTAATAGATTCTTTTATGTGCCCTCCTAACAACCGTGTACAACGAACCTGTGCAATATTCTTGCTCAGTCGAATGTGGCATCTTGTTCGCAATTTTCGTTTGGGAAAGTTTTCAAAAGGAACTAAGCGAGCAGCATATGCAACGCTCTTCTGGCTCTCCTTTCGTCGCACCAAAGCTCATTTGCTTAGCCTTACGACGACAGGGATCAGGCTCCAATAAAACGCGATGATCCAACTGCGGAGACGGAGCATGTACTGCCCCGTCTCGATTCACGAATACGAATATGTGCGGAACCATTTGGATTTCTGCTGCCTGGCGCTATCTTGCATTCATACAAAAGCTGGGAGTAATGATTGCTCGCCCGTCAGCAAAGCCGCATCGCACTCGTTCAATGAAGGCTTTATCATCCAATTCTGCCAAAAGGAATGGTCTAGCGGTTCACCAAAAATCATGGGAGCAGCTTTGACGTATACTCTGTTCACATTTGTGGCATATGTTGTCTATGGGTTCGTCCTATCTTGGTATACGGAGTATCGATTCCGGCAGTTTGCGCGCCTCAATGGCTGCGAAGACCCAGTCCGCAATCTTAACAAGCTACCGTGGGGGATAGACGGTCTGTATCGCGTCATCACAGCTGTTTCGCACGGGGAAGACATCTTGGACGATCTCGTCATCCCGGCATTCAGGGCGTTGAATGCTTACACAACGGAAGGCACTGGTCTATTTGGCCAGAAGATGACGACCACGATCGAGCCGCGGAATATACAGGCATTGCTGGCCACCAACTTCAAGGACTTTGGTACTGGGGAGCGGCGGAGCAAGCAGTTTGGAGCTCTGTTGGGCTACAACATATTCACCTCGGACGGCGAGTTCTGGGCGCACAGCCGAGCGATGTTCAGACCGCTGTTCAATCGCGAGCAGATCAACGACTTAGAAGAAACGGATCGAGCTTCGAAAATATTGATCGACGTGCTTCCAAAGGGCTCGGACGGATGGACGGATGCTTTCGACCTCATGCCATATTTCTATCGTTTCACACTCGACACCGCAACCGCGTTCCTGGTCGGGCACACGACCGATTCACAACTCGCAGCCGCGGGCAGACCGACCGGCGAGCGCCAGCAAAGCGGCATCACGGAGATGGCGGCCGACCAAGAGTTCATGGACTCGTTCACCGTCGCACAGGAATGGCTCAGCTGGAGGATCCGGCTGCAGGGACTGTACTGGGTTGTCCAGTCGCCGCGGTGGTGGAAAGCAACTGCGAACGTGAGGAAGTACGTCAACCACTACGTGAAAATGGCCTTGGACCAGAAGGCGCGAGAGGAGCGCTCGGGCAAGAGGGTGGAAGATGGACGCAGATACAATTTGCTGAGGGAGCTCGCGGAGGAATGCAGGGATCCCATTGAGTTAAGAGATCAGTTGCTCGGTACGGCAGTTGAAGGATCTGCCCTTTTCATCAGCTGACCGATGGCGTTTCTTTAGGCATCTTGGCTGCTGGTCGAGACACCACAGCGGCACTGCTGTCATGGGTGTTCGTCGAGCTCGCGCGCAATCCGAAAGTCTACACGAAGCTGCGGCGCGTCATTCTCGAAGAGTTTGGAGACGGATCGTCGGATCTGAACAAGCCAAGCTTCTCCAAGCTTAAGGCCTGCGGTTATCTTCAGCACGTCATCTCGGAAACCTTGCGCTTACATCCTCCCGTGCCCTTCAACAACCGGCAGGCAATCAGAAACACAACGTTGCCGACGGGTGGTGGTCCTGACCAGGACAAGCCGATTGCTATTCGTAAGGGTCAGATTGTCAACTTTACCGTCTATGGGATGCAAAGGCGGAACGACTTGTGGGGGGAGGACGCAGACACCTTCATCCCCGAACGCTGGGAGGGAAGAAAGATGGACTGGAGTTTTTTGCCCTTCTCGGGCGGTCCTAGGATCTGTCTTGGCCGTACGTGCCTTCCTCTGCATAGAAACTTTGCACCGCAAGCTAACATATCTACCGAAGAACAATACGCCATCACAGAAGCGAGCTTTCTCATCGTGCGCCTGCTTCAAAGGTTTGACGCTGTAGAATGGCTGGGCGAAACGGGCCGAATCACGAAGGCTTATGGTTTGATCATGTATCCTGCCAAGGGGGTCCCAGTGCGATTCCATAAGGCTTAAGGCTATTCTAGGCACTGAATGTCAAAAGGGACTAGTATCCTTGGTAGGATTATGGATTTCATGATGAGAACAGCAAAGGAAACACCTGTGGATGACGTATCAGAGATGCACTCTTGTTCTCAACTCGTGACTTTCAGATATCTACGTTCTTTCATCTATTGCTGTGTATTATGGAAGTTTATAAATCAAGTCCATACTCTTTGGTGATGCGCTCCGCGGCCGACTCGCCAATATAATAGCCAGTACTCACTGTATGGCAATTAGGAAGGAATGGAGTGACCGACAAGTCCGCCACTCTCAGCCCTTCCAAACCCTTGACCCTGAAGTCTGTGGTCACAACAGCAGTCGGATCATCAAGTTTACCCATCATTGCAGTGCATGAAGGGTGAAACGTCGTGCTGCCGTAATTTTTAACATATTCTTCGAGGTCTTCATCACTATCTGACGGTGGCACGTGAAACGGACCAATGATGTCGGGAGAATGAGTTGGGTTATATAGCCAATGATAGACTTTGCGCATGCCATCCAGTAAAGCCACGCGGTCAAAAGGATGCGACAAAAACTTGGGATCAAGAACAGGTGGGTCGGCTGGATCGGCAGACTTTAAGCTTACCGTCCCACGAGATTGGGGTACCATACCAAAAGTCATTGCCGAGTTGTATGTCTTTGACGGATCAAAGCCAGGAAGCGGGAATGTTGGAACGCAGCCAGCAAATTCGTACGTTGGGATCGTCGGCTTCATGAGATACGCTTGGACGTCCTCCGGTAGCTCTTTGAATTCTTTGGACTCATACACCGATGTGCTGCCTTTGTCGAAGCCGACGACAGCAGAATTGCACAAGATGCTGAGAGGTCCTGTGCCATCAAGTTCGAATTGTCTACGAGCAGCTTCCATGGCTGCTGGCGCCAACCATGCAGGACGTTCATCAAATCCTGGCTTCTGTTCAACGATCATCGGCATGAATAGGTGATCTTGCAGGCCGATGCCTACTGGTAGATCTGCGAGGATTGGAATACCGTGCCTATTGAGCTCAGCCGCAGGACCGACGCCGCTTAGCATCAGAAGTTTCGGGGAGTCAAGGGCGCCGGCACTCAGAATCACATCCTTTTCCGCGTAATAGTCATTTCCTCCAGCTCGGATACCGACTGCTCTCTTTCCCTCAAACAGGATTTTAGTTGCGAAAGCATTTGTGACAATTTCTAGATTTTTTGGAGGTTTCTCAAGATATGCGGTTTTCGCAGTCGTTCGCCGTGAATGTGACCCAGTGGTGGCTCCAACTGCAATACCGATGGGGTCCCCACTGTTTCCGTCCATATTTTTCTTCCATCCCATCTCATATCCAGACAAGAGAGTTCTCTCCTGGATATTTTCCCATCGTAGTGGGTCCGTAATCTTGACAGGTCCATCGGTTCCGTGGTTTTCAGGTCTCCAGTCGGCATACTTCTTGTGCATTTCTGTTTGTATGGGGGCGAAACCTTCAAGCTTTTTGAAACGTCGTTCAGCATTTTCCCAATTATAGAAGTCGTCGCCAACGCGACGAGCCCATTCATCAAAGTCGTCTTTCGGGCCTCTTGTATAGAAGCAGTAGTTGATAGCCGAGGAGCCACCTAGGCCTTTTCCGCGAGGACAGGCAAGTTTGCGGTTACCTAGGTGCTCTTGTGGCTCCGTCTGATACTGCCAGTCATATTCGGGAAAAAGTTTAGATGTCATGAACCTATTGATTGATATCAGCAAGCTTATGTCCTTATTAGTGAGTTCACGCTTGCCTGTCTGCAATTAGAGTGGCATTGGCATCATCATTTTTGCCTCCTGCTTCAAGAATGAGAACTCTGGGCGCAGAGCTTGTAGTGGCAAGGCGATAGGCAAGCGATGCCCCAGCAGGTCCGGCTATACACTTTCTTAACGATCAAGCGGATTAATTCGAGTGAAAGACGTACCTCCAACGATAATGAAGTCGTATTTCATCTTAACCTAAAGGAGTCTTGGGAAGCGATGTCACGTTGCTTTCCTTGACCAATGTCACTAGAATATAATTTTTGGCTTATTGTAACAGGTGATACGCCACTTGGAAGAAGAGACCTAATTTATAGTCGTCGAACACTTCGGCAACTCAGGAGGAAAATTTCACCGTAGTAAGACATTCTAGAAACGAGAAATGTTCCTAATCCTCTAAGCGCGTCGTTTGTGTTTTGATCTTATGTTCAAAGCACCTTGTGATGGCTCAAGGTGTCAGACTACAGGCGGTAAGCGCTGATTTGCCAAGACACCCCAACGGCCAACGTAGTCTTCCGTTCCATCTTTGGATGGCGTTCGATGCACCAAAGGAGCATGAAATACCTCATGACGCAAGCACTGTCATATCATTTCGCTGAAGAGTAACCCTGATTCTCCGCGGCATATACAAATCGGCGAAGCTTCTTAGGTTTCGTATCCTCACAGAAGATCTGACATCAGACGAGCTTAATGCCGAGATGACTGATGCAAATTGTACAGTCATAAAAGGGTATAGCTTCTTCGTCTGGACTGACGAATGTCAGTCGGTCTTAATTCAAGAAGATGTTCCAACACTTCCAGTCTCTATTGCAACGAGCAATCGCGCGGAAAGCGTGTTCCAGCTGACAAAGTGAGATACGTTAGGTTGTCATCTTGGCATAGTGTAAAGCTTCAACTCCGGTGTGCGTTGGCCATTTTAGCAAATCTAAAAATGGTAAACATTTTCTGGAAGTTTTGTAGTAGAAGACGTGATTACCCAATGAAGCAGCCTTGGAAGTTGAGTGATTGAGCTAGCAGCACCAACAGGATGGAGAGGCAAAAATGGGCAACTCACTCCAATGGAAGTTGTAAGTTAGCCAACTCATGGCCACGGAGATACACGTGACTGGCAATGGATCAGGCCTTAAGGCGTGAAAATCCGAATACGTCTGAGACGCCCAGAACCTTTTCTAGTGATGACATATCAGTCAGAGCAAAAACCAAATTACAACCATAGCCCAATACGCATCTCCGCTGCGTTGAAGATGCTGACTGTGCATCTAATAAGCTATTGAATTTAAATCGAGCCACAGTCTCTTCCTGTCACAAGTAGTCGTGCGCGCATCTAGTGGCGACAAGTCGCAAAGACGCCAACGACCAGCTAGGCGACGACATTATTTTTTTTTTGCCTTTCCTTCTCTTGGTCTATCGTACTAGGCTCGCGACACGCTCTTGTCGTCATGGGAGTCCCTGCATTCTTTAGATGGCTCTCTGCCAAATATCCAAAGATCATCGCGCCCGTTGTGGAGGAATTACCTACAACTGTAGACGGCGTGGAGATACCCGCCGACACTACTCGTCCGAACCCAAATGGCGAGGAGTTTGACAACTTGTACTTGGATATGAATGGTATTGTGCATCCTTGTTCGCATCCAGAGGATAGAGAGCCCCCTAAAAACGAGGAGGAAATGATGGCTGCAGTGTTTGAATACACCAACCGTGTCGTCAACATGGTGCGGCCGAGGAAGCTGTTATATATGGCTGTTGGTATGTTTTATCACGAAGCACTATGTCAAAACCAGAATTCGTGCTCGTTCCGTATCATAATTTTGGGAAGTCTCGATCGTAGATCGTTTTGCTAACAGGACCGCAGATGGCGTAGCACCTCGCGCAAAAATGAACCAACAACGAGCTCGTCGCTTCCGAGCCGCACAAGAGAAACAGGAGGCCGATGAGAAAAAGGAGGAATTTCGCCAACTGATGCTAGGTTCGCAGAGAGCAGAAGCAACCGACGGCGAAGAAACAGACGAGCCTAAGAAAACTTGGGACAGTAATGTCATTACTCCAGGCACCCCATTTATGCGTCTTCTAGCTCAAAGCCTTCGTTATTGGGTTGCTTATAAGCTCAACACAGATCCCATGTGGGCTAATTTGAAGGTCATAATTTCAGATGCAACCGTTCCTGGCGAAGGCGAGCACAAGATTATGGAATTCATTCGTTCGCAAAGACGTTCGCAAGAGTTTGACCCAAATACACGCCACGTCATATATGGTCTCGATGCCGATCTGATTATGTTGGCTCTTTCTACGCATGAACCTCATTTTCGTGTTTTGCGAGAAGACGTCTTCTTCCAAGGGGGTCAGCAAAGACCTTGCAAAATCTGTGGCCAGAATGGTCACCGTGAGCAACATTGCCGTGGTGAAGCGAAGAAGAAGGACGGTGAGGTTGATGAGAAAGCTCGAGCACCTGTGCTGAAGCCTTTCCTTTGGCTTAAGGTCAATGTTCTGCGAGAGTATCTTGCCGAGGAGCTGACCGTTCCTCATCAACCCTTCCGTTTTGACCTTGAACGTGCGATTGACGATTGGGTTGCGCTTTGCTTTTTCGTCGGGAACGATTTCCTTCCTCACCTTCCAAGTCTCGCCATTCGCGAAGAAGGCATTGATATTCTTGTTGCTGCCTGGCGTGACAATCTACCGCTAATGGGAGGGTACATGACTAAAGATGGTACTGTCGAACTTTCCCGACTGCAGTTGATTTTACAGGCCTTGGCTAAACAAGAGGATGCTATTTTCAAGAAACGAAAGCAAATTGAAGACAAGCGAGAGGCAAATGCCAAACGGCGAAAATTGCAGGAAGAGCAGCGTAATGCAAATGGCTCTAACGACAGTACACCGACGAACCAGCATCGTGTTCGCCGCGGTGTTCAAGAAGACCACAGCAGCTATCCTACATTCGATCCCGCAGGAGCTGGCTGGAGTGTGCGCCAAATCACTCATGACATGATGGTTAACAAGAAAGCATCTTTTCAAGCACAAATCGCAGACACTGCAACTGCGAATAAAAGTGCCGCTGCCGTGCTTAAGGAAAGGCTGAAGCGGACTGCATCACAAGCGTCATTGTCTAGTACAAACGGTGAACAGGACAAGGACAGTCAAGATAACACGGACAACGGCAGTGTCATTGGATCTCCGACCGTCCTAGGAAAGCGGAAGGCCGATGTGTTAGATGAGAGTGAAGGCACTCCGGGACGTTCCACTCCACTCGCCCCATCTACTCCCAAGGGTTTGATAGAAAACCCACCTCCGGATACGGTTCGATTGTGGGAGGAGGGCTATCAAGATCGCTATTACGAACAAAAGTTTAAGGTAGATCCAAGGGATCTCGAATTTCGCCGCAAAGTTGCCAACGCGTACGTCGAAGGTGTTTGCTGGGTGCTGCTTTACTATATGCAAGGATGTGCTTCATGGGGCTGGTATTACCCTTATCACTACGCCCCTTTCGCTCAAGACTTCGTGGACATTGCAAACCTGAACATCAAATTTGAAAAGGGAACGCCATTCCGTCCGTACGAACAGCTCATGTCTGTCCTTCCCGCAGCATCAAGACATGCAATACCTGAGTTATTCCATCCGTTAATGACGGAGGAAGATAGCCCGATATATGACTTTTATCCGACTGACTTCGAGTTGGACCTAAATGGAAAGAAATTCGCCCATCAAGGAGTCGTACTCCTTCCCTTTATTGATGAGCAACGTCTGCTAAAGCACATGCACGAGCTATACCCCCAACTGACGGAGGATGAGAAAGTCCGAAACGACGTTGGCAAGGAACATCTATACTTCTCCACGAAGCACCCAATGTACAAGGAGTTGGCGCTCAACTGGTATACCAAGAAGCAAGGTGCAGCTAAGATCAACCTAAAGCCGAGGACGAGCCTAGGATTACTAGGAAAGGTTGAAAAAGACGAAAATTATATCCCTGACAGTGGATTATATTTCCCTTTGTCCAGCGCAAGCATGCCGAACCTGGAGGTTGATAATTCAATGAGGTATGTCATCATATCCTTTTCTTTATGATTTAAACAGTGTTGACTAGGGAATAGTGTAATCTACGAGATGCCAAAATCCACCCATATACATAAGTCTATGCTGCTTCGTGGGGTTATACTACCACCAGCTGAGCTTACGAGGGAGGACCTGCAAACTGTTCACAACAAGGCCGGAATGACGGGCCGTAATTTTGGTGGCGCACCTCTACGTGACAGCAGTGGAGGACGCATCAACTACGCTAATCCAATTTCTCAACATCTGAACCCAAACTTCGATCCGAGCCAGTTTACTCGTGCACCTCCACCGCCCCACATCGCAGCTCAGATGGGCTTCGTTCCTCCACCGCCTCCCAATTGGACCGGTCCCCCTGTGGGAGGACATGGTGGCAATCCTTATTCAAGCAGGAGCTATCAAAATAATCAGGGCTACCAAGGAGGACAGAACTACAACAGTGGATACCGTGGCGGTAGTAATCAAGGATACGATGGATACTGGGGCAATGGTAATCAGGCTTACGATAACCGGTACCAAAACCAATACCCTCCTCCCCCAATACCTCCACAACAAGGATACAATGGCTATGGGATGGGGAACAGGGATCGTAGGGATGGCTATAACGATGGGTACCGCGGCGCCCGAGGTGGCAGAGGCGGTCCACCACGGTACTAGCGTTTCAATTGTGTATATAGTGTCCACACAAATGTATCATAGCGCTCCTCGTTCTACGGGGGCATTTGCACGACATTGTTTACCTCCTGGCTTTGCTGATAACATTGCCGTGCAAGCTGCAGGCGATTCAAAATGTCAGGCATGAGATTGTACACATCAAGTACGTACCTTTTGACGACCGTCATCATCCAGTCAGTGACTGTATAAAAATCTACACCAGTACCATGTAGACAAACAGCAGAGGCTCATCCAAAATGGTGTTCCTCCAGGAATTTCCCCGCAAGAAATGCCAGGACGCTACTTCGCAAGCCTGGCGCGAAAGCCAGGTCAGGGAGCGAAATCAAGAGGCTAACTTGGAGCCCGGTTTAGAACAGCCGAACGATGACTCGCCGAGTAGTAGTAGTAGTAGCAGTAGTAGTTTAGCTTGCAACAGCGAAGAGCTAACCCCCGCGCTTGCAACGGCGATCGCGAGGCCGGCGGTAGTTTAGTGCTATCTTTCTTCGAACGTTTACGTGACGCCGATCAGTGTCCTCGACGCTGCTCCTGATGACGGCGTGCGGATGGATACAAGAATCCGCGAGACCGCTCCGATCGGATCCGGGAAACGTTCAGCGTGAAAAAAAAAAAATAAAAAAAATAAAAAAAAATAAAAAAAATAAAAAAAATAAAAAAAATAAAAAAAATAAAAAAAATAAAAAAAATAAAAAAAATAAAAAAAATAAAAAAA